CAGAGGTTGTGCGGGATATTCAGTTTTTGTTATCCCGGGACATTTGTGTTCCTTACCCACTTCCTCATTTCCTGGTTGACCAGTTGGTATGGTCGACTATAGGTGCCACCCTCGTTTCTCACCTCCAGGGGCCCTGGGCTCACCTCACCAGTGATGTTTCACTTGGTGGAAGTTGACAGGGTTCTACGAGCTATTTTGGGTGTCTATTGTCTATTCTAATTACGCATGACAAATGCCCTCTCCGCGTGCCAAGAACTGACTCCTCTTGCTGCTCATGCAACACAGATATTTTTAGAATCCGCAGACAGCATTACAAATTCCACTCATCCAGACCCAGACATTTTTGCATTTGATACCGGCTACATCCGGTTCAGCAAGCCCGTGATCGTGCGGTCCCTGGTGGTCCAGTGCGGCAAGTACATCTCCTTGGTGGGCGGCCGCAACGGGGACCTGCAAACCGTGTGGATGCGCGCCATGCGCAACCAGGAGAGCTTCCAGCACCCCATCGTGGTGGATTTGACCGACGACAGCCGCCAGAACATCGGGCTGCAGACCATCACGGAGCTGTTTTTCCTGACCGCGGAGCACGTGAAGCTGATCTCGCTGGAGGTGGTCGAGGCGGCGGGCACCACGGTGAACGTTTTGCTCCTGGGCCAGCAGTCGGAGCTGGTCCGTCAGAGCATCGACGCGGCCGCCACCGCGCACGTGCTCAGTCTGGCGGACCTGATCCGGAAAAAACTGGTGATCAAGACGCGGCAGGCGCAGCCGGGCGACCTGGAGGACGAGGTGATCGTGGAGCTGATCACCGACATGCTCACGCAGCCCACCGCGAAGGGGGAAGACGTGGCCGCGATGCTGAACAGCGGCATGGTGCCGGACCGGCTGCGCACCCAGATCCAGAAGCACGACCTTTTGACCAGCATGGACCACCTGCTGGTGGACTTCGCCCCCGCGGCGGCGGACGCCTCGCCCGAAAAGAAACAGAAGCAGCGGGAACTGGCGGAGAGCCTGTCGAGGTACAACGATCTGATGATGTCCGCGTGGCTGCACTGGATCCAGGGCATGGCGAACCGCGTCGGAGGGCCCGCCGGCATGATAGTACACAACAACGACTACAACCCAGTTGGAGGTTCGAAGACGAACAAGAAGTCCGGGGTACACGGAGGCCGCGGGGGGCCCATGCGGGAGGTGGTACTGCCCTCCTTTTTCACCAACCCGGTGGAGGAAAGGTTGTGGACCGAGCTCTACACCAAGGCGAAACAGAAAGTCGACCTGCGGGAGCAGGGTCAAGAGCTGGTCGGCGAGGAGAATTCGCCGCAGCTTCTCACCGACGAATTTGCCGCAGAACTGGACAAAATGCTGAACAAAACGCGGAAAGCGAAGATGAGAAAGAAGGAGAAGCTGCGCAGTGCTGCCTCAAAAAGTAGTAGGGCGTCCTCCAAGAAGATGCAGAAGGACGAGCAGTCCTCGTCTATTTCTTCACGAGATGATGTTGAATCAACTGACAGGAAAGAAGCCAAGCCGGGCCGCAAAGAGATCGTCCGCGAAGATGTCGATGACGAGGACAAATCTTCAGGTGATCTGCTCTCTGATGCGATGGAGTCGACAGGAACTACGCGAAGGGTCGTGAACGAGGGAAGATCGGATGGCGCACCCGGTTCGGAGGAAAGCGCGACAGAACTAGGTGAAACGTCTAGAGGAGGCGTTCATAGTGCTCCTAGTGCAAGAACAAGTACTTCTAGGACCACTTCTTCCAGCACTGCGGATGTTGAAACTGGGGCAGCAAGCGGCATGGCTAGCGAAGACGAGGAGTCCTCTCACTCAGCATCCGATGATGATCGGTTGGGAGGTGGCGAAGATGAATCATCCAAGGGAATAGAAATGAAGCAGCCTCTCTCGGCCGAGCAAGAAGCGTTGCGGGACCGCGTGCGGGAGGTGATTGAGCAAGTGGAAAACGAATCGGCCGACCTGACGGAATCGACGGAGCTCGTCGTGGACTTTCTCCTCACTGAGGTACCCGAGGACCAGCAGGATTTCGTGCTCCAGGTCATCCGAAGCGAGGCGCCAGGAGAGTCTCCAGAGGATGTTGTGGTCGAGGTCGCCGGAAGCGCGGAGGGAAATGAAAATGATCTAAAGAAATTCATTCAGGCCCTAAGCGGCGCGCCGGATGAAGATGAAGTAGACGGCGCGGCTGAAGACCACGGGAAGAAAGGCACGGAAGCAGAAGAAGCAGAGCGCGACGCGACAGGAGATTGGCGCATGAGAAGACTGCTGAGAAGACTGGCTCACGATCATGAAGATGAGCTATAGGAATTTCAATTTTTTCCTTTTCGGGTTCGGCAACAGTCGTGCGGGCCGACAAAGCACGGCCACGCAGTTCGCCGTCTTACATTTACAACAAGATAGTCATCATAAGTACATTCTCGACATAATTCTGAAGAAGTCGGCGGAATGAAAAAAAGCAGCTGAAAGACGAAGAATTTGAAAGAAGTACACGACCACAAAGACATAAAAAAATTTCTGATCCCCTCAAGCTAACCACGAGAACACAAGCAGTAGAGAAGGAATCTGCAACTACAAGGAGACTCTTATCCTGTAGAGTTCTTACTAGGTGGTTGGTATGAAAGTGGGCGTCACCCTCGAGTAGCTCATCTTCGTTCCTAGGAAATAGGCAAGGACGAGAACTCAGGTGCTTGACAGACCAGCGGAGGTTGAACCAATTTCCCCCTTTGACTGAAATCTGACGACACAACTGTAGGACGAAAACGAATTTATAAAGTCCGATCTCTATACCCCACACTGAGACAACATAACTACAACTAGCGACACTCGGGGACCCTACTAAGGTCTTTCGCGCACCATTATTTCAAAAACTTTTCACAGACTTGACTCGCGCATCCCAAAACTTTCCATGTAAGTACGCCTTTATCTCTTTTCGACCTCTATTTCAGATGCAAGCAGCAGCACTCGCGGAGGCAGTCGAAAATGCTGCGCTCATGAGCTGTGTCTGTGGCGGCGTTCAAGTGCAAATTTAGCAGCGTACAGCATTGATATAGCTGTTAGTCGTTCCGTTCGGTATCTATTTGCTCGTCGCGGCGCGTGCCACCTGCATGCTTGTAAGTTGTATCTGTAGTCGTGCCTAAAATGGCCTAGCTTTTTCGGTCCATATGAAAGAATAAGAATGTATAGATACGTTTATTGCCTTTCCGTAGCGTTATTTTCGTGCGTCGGTATCCGTAACGAAAGCATTCTCGGCGCAATCGTGAATAGTGATAGTCATAATGCGAAAAAATCATACTCATACGTAGCTATAGGCGCTGTTATGCAGTCTCGGTCATCGTCTTCGGTACGTGATGAGTCGTAAAAGGTTGGAATCAAGCTCGGACTTGCGCCGCTTGCGTGCATTTGTCGGTCGTCCAAGCGTTTGCACTTTTTGCCCGTGTCCATCGTACATTGCGTCCTTTCGAGATTCGTCCTAGAGACGATTTTATTCCGTCCAAGAACTGAGAATGACGCTCACCAAAGCTAATATTTGACTCTTTCAAATACAGGAGCCTGTCACCGACCCGTAATTGAGCTTTTGTAGACCGACAAGAATGAATTGAAATAGTGAGTAGCGCCGCCATCGTTTTCGCTGCTTGTAGCCCAAGAAAGCGTCCTCGACATGACGTGCATATCGTACATCAGAAATCTCGCATTTCATTAAGATCAAAAGTCTCTGTCTCCATCGCCGTAGCCCGGAATGGAGTACAGATTTTCCACTTTATTTACTTGTAACCGGAAGAGGAGCTGGCCCTGGTCGAGTGGAGGTTCTTGCCGAACCACGCGAGGCGACATGAGGGCTTTTTCTCCGCGTCCCTCCTGTGTAACAACTACACGATCAGTGCTAAAAACAACGGGTGCTTGTACAGCAACAAATCCTGCTGGATCGAGCAACAAGAGGCATTATTTCCACCCCTTCTTATCTGCTAGTGCCTGCGGCCTTGCGGTGGTCCTCTTTTTTCCCGACGTATCCCAGGCCGCTATGAACGTCAATTTGAATGGGGTGGAGGAGGAGGTCGGCCGCCTGCGCGAGCGGATTTTATCGTAAGGAAAAATCCCCCCTCCCCATATCGAAAACGAAACTTGTCATGCTGTATTTGAGTACACAAATGCAAATGCTAGAAGACCGAGAGCCGCAGTTGTGGCCTAGTTTGCAGGCAATTTGTGATGGTGTTTCCCACTTCCAGCTGCCTCCTGTCATGCTGCAGAAGCAAGGCTTTCCCACGCCACCCAGTAATACAGTCCGCCTCTTTTCCCGTCTAGCATGACAAAGCTAATTTGTGACCACAGACCTGCATCACAGACTTCCGTTTCGATATGGGGAGGGGGGATTTTTCTTCTTGATAGATTTTCGTCGACCGCAAGTTTGTGGCGAAGCGGGGCAGCCGGACCGCGGTCCGTCGCGGCCTGCGGCGGCTGCCCAAGCCCGTGAAGGCCGCCTACGTATCCTGTGCAAAAGTATCGTACTCGTATTGCAATCATGCATTACAAATCCTGTACCTATGGTCAATCAGCATTACAAATTTTATTTCTCATGCTGAGAAAATTTGTAATGCATTTATACGAGTACGATACTTTTGCAGTTCATACTATGCGGTGTCTGGTGATCATGACCTGTACAACAGCGACGTGGATGAAGACGCGGAGAACGGCGGCATCGAGGAGGTTTCCGACCACGCGGTGCTGTCCAAGAGCGAGTCCAGCGACGGCAAGATCACGCCGTCGTCGCGCGACGGCGAGCGGACCCGCTCCCTGTTCGCGGACTTTTTCGGGGAACTGCTGTTCGGTCGCCGCCCGTCGCCGGACGGCGCCGCCTACTACGCCGGGCGTGGGCGCGGAGGTGGTGGGGGTACTAACAAGGGCCGCGGCAAGGGCGGGAATTATCGGGGCGGCGGGAGTAGTACAAGGCAAGCGGGGCTTTATTCTACTTCCATGGAGTCATCTTCATCGTTCGGCTTCGGGGCAGACCTAGAGGAGGAGTTGGTGGAGGAGCACTACCGCAAGCAGGACAAGGAGCAGTACCTGTCGTGGCAGGTGAACGCAGCGGAAAAAACGTGCTCGTCGCTGGACGGCCCACTGTGCAAGGACGACCGCGACGTGGGAGGTGTGGTGCCGGTGTCGGTGGTGGCCGCCGGGATGCGAGTGCGCAAGAAGCCCGCGGTGCTGGACCTGTACCGGGAGGAGGCCGTGGCGGCGGACCACCGCAACATCCTGGACCTGGAGTACGGCCGCTTCACCAAGGTCGTCGCCAATCTGACCGACCTGGCCACGCCCGTGGAGGATGTCTCGAGCTTCGAGGAGGAAGACCGGCCGTACTGGGCGAGGGACTACGGAGACAGGCGCGGGAAAAAACGAGGAAAAAACGCTGTCAAGGTCGTGAAGAAGAAGCAAATCGACTTCACCTCCGACTCCGCCGGTCGCAACCTTCAGCACATGCAGGTGGCAGATCTGAGTCACGGTGCCACGCTCCGGCGTACTTCCCTGTCGTACGTGGATGTTGAATCAAGCCGGGTCCTCGCAGGAGATCATGTGGTGGTCACCACGGCGAGGACCCGCGGCATCAAAGGAGGCGACCGGCTCATTGCTGAGGGAGACGATGCGGCAGCTGGGAACTCAACATCTCTCGCGGGGTCCTTCATCGAAGGCGACGGCGCGAAGGGCAGAGGAGAAATGAGAGAAAACGAAGAAGATGTTGAACAGCAGCTCCAGAAGAACCACGAACTGCAACAGTATCATTCGTCTGCTTCAGAGTTTCATGAACCACGGCAATTTGCATCACGGACCTCGACAAATGAAGCCAGTAGCGCAAAGTCAGCGGCAGCGGCCGACCTGATCCGGGTTGCATTCCGAGGAGGCTGGCGGATTTTTTCAGACATCGACCGTGAGCCGGTCAACGACGTTCTTGCGGACCACGGCCGCGCAGCTCCTGAAAAGAGCATGCTCCTCGCCGGCGGCCAATTTGGGTCAATTCGATTCTCCCGGCCCGTTTTGGTGCGGAAGTTGCTGGTTCGCGGCTCCAAAATGCACCAGCACGCCGTGTATCAAATGCAAAAATGTCTGGGTCTGGAAGATTCCGGGATTTGTGATGCATATTTTGTATGATCCGTGATGCATGTAATGCATGATCTAGCATCACAGATTTTTAGAGGACTTCCTGATGCCTATTCCGCATGAGAAATGCCCTCTCCGCGTAACACAAACTGGGCTCCTGTTGCTGGTCACGCAATACAGATTTTTTTGGAATCCAAGGACAGCATGACAAGTTGCAATCTTCCAGACCCAGACATTTTTGCAATGCATACCGTGATATCGGGCCGCGCCCGCTTCCGTGAGGGCCGGGAGGTTTTCCGCGCCCCACTGTACAACGTATCAAATGTAAACATGTCTGGGTCTGGAAACTTGTGATGCTGGGTGGCGTCTCATGATGAGGCCACAAGTGCTGGCTCAGCATGACAAGTTTCTGAGCTTCTAGGTGTTGCCTATTCTGCATGACAAACTGCGTTTCTGCATCACGGAAAAATGGAGCTCTTGGGTAAAGTGCATGACAGATTTAAGAGTCATGCCAGACAAGCATGACAAACATGCATTCTTCCAGACCCAGACATTTTTACATTTGATACAATGTGACCAAGACCGATTTGCTGGCCAGCTACTCGGTGCCGGGGGGCTGCGGCTCCCATCTGCGCAGCACCTGCCGCGCCGACGCGGACGAACAGCAGTTCCACCGGGGGTTCCACCACGTTCCTGCTGTCGAGGGAAGCAGTGGCAGTGGGAGCGCAGAACCTTCTATGCATGAAATTCAGCTCGTCCCGGCGCCGCGCCAAGATCTTGTCGAGGACCACGATCCGGTTATTTGTAATGGCAATGGGTCAACACCAGGAACATCAACCTCCACCTGCCAGAACACGGGGACGGGGCACGACGTGGCAGACGAAGAGGCCCACGACCACGCTTTTCTTGGAGAAAAACCAAAAAATATCGACAAAAATCTGCTGGCGCCGCTGAGCGGGCCCCTGCGCAACTCGCTGGCGAAGTTTGACAGCGGCATTGATTTCGCGCAGGACAGCCTGCTGAACGTGGGCCTGGTTGCGGTGGACGAGTTGAGTTTCACGGCCGCGCGGAACGTGGAGGTCGTCGCGCTCGAGGTGACGCCGGCTGCGTACGACGAGGAGCCGCGGGCGGCTTTCGTGCTGTCGCAGGAGGGCACGGTCGTGTTGGACCACGCGGTGAGCCCCAGCGCAGCGCCCTTCCTGATGCCCCTGAAGCGAGTGCTGGAGGAGGAGTTCGCGCTCACCGAGCCGGACATGCGCTTGCACTTCCTCCCACCCCAGCTGATGATGTTGGCGGAAATAAAGGAGGAAGAAGAGAGAAAGAAGCGAGCAGCAGACCATGACGCGTACGCGTTGCGAGGAACGACTTCTACATCTGCAGTTGTAGAGCAGGAGGAGTGGATCCGCGGACAGCTGGACCGGCACAGCCGGGAGGAGGAGGAGCGGCGGCCGGGATTCGGTTCGCAAAAGCCGAACTACCTCGAGATGTTGCAGAAGAAGTCCCTGCACAAGCGGCTGCTGGAGCGGCCCTCGTTCTACAAGATGGCTTCCATCATGCGGGAGGACGCGTTCTTTGCGCCGAAGCGGCGGCAGATCGACAAGGACCTCCACCTGCTGGACTCGGCCTTCCGGGCGCTGGGCAAGCACCAGCGCCGCAACACCGCCTTCTGGCAGGCCGAGGATCGCCTGTTTAACGAGTGGACCCTGTTCGTGCAAAACTTCGACCGGAGTCTGTACTATTCATCCACCCAAACTGCCACCACCTCGCTCGCGAGCGCTCATGATGGTATTTCGGCAACACCAGTTCAAGTTCTTGGTCAAGAAGCAGTAGAGCCACAGCTGGCCGCACCCAGCGGAGGACCAGACTACCGCGAGGATGTTGACCAGCAGAAATTATTTTCGACTTCTGCAACTTCGACTTCTGATTCTGAAAGCATCTTCTTTGGATCGAATGTAGAGGCGGGGACGCAAAATTATGACGACGGTGTTCATCATCATGATGTGGCTCTATCAGCGTCCTCGACGTCCTATTTTTACGAAGATTCGATTACAAGAACACCAGCAATGTTGGGACCAGTGGAACCACATCATGTTCAAGAGGAACCGAAGAACCAGCACCAATTACCGAACGCCGACTCGTCGTCTTCAACAAATTTCTTGACGGACGACGGATTCCTGTTCGCAGATCATGATGCGGATCATTCGGAGGACGAAATCGAAGAAGACGATGAATTTCTGGAGCAAGCACGCCGGAGAGATCCAGACTTCCCGAAAAAAGAAGTCGAGGAGCAGGAGCAGGACAGTTCCGAGCATGATAGCTGGGGGGACAGCGTCGTGAAACGAGTCACTTCGAGTCTGACACGGATTTTGAAACCGAAAAAGTACGTGAAACGGCCGCGAAAAGTCAAGCGAGCGCGGTCGAAGATCAAATCTTCTCCCAGGAGGGACATCAGTTTCCACCAGAGCAGTCGTGATCGTGCCGGGATGAAGCAATCGCCGTCGAGTCGGCCACGAGGGCGGAGCTACGGGGGGGCGCAGAAGAAGCTGACAATTCCTCGAAGAAGCACAACTGGGAGAGCTTTGTCTAAAAATCATGCGAGTACTAGCGACGAGGAGCTTGGCGACTCAGTGTCCGATCATTCCGGCACAGACGCTTCCGAAACGTCACGGGATTCCATCTCGGGATCATCCTCCCCCGAGGGATACTGTGAGGAAAAATCCTCCCTCCCCATACTGCAAACAGGTACGTTGCTCAATTTTTGATGCTGATTTGTGACAACAAATCCTGTCTCTCTTGCAAGAGGTCAAATCCAAAGAATCCGCCGCCCTATGCAGGCGACCAAAACAACACCCCTACGCAGGCTGAGGCTTTGCCTGCAGTGCTGCCTCACTGCAAGACAGAGCTGATTTGTGTATACCAATCCAGCCGGAGAAGTTCGTCCGTTTCAATATGGGGAGGGGGGATTTTTCACTTTGATAAGGGATCCGCCTCGGGAAGCAGCTCCTCCGACTTCGAGAGTGACGAAGATGCTGTGGGTATCCTGAGTAAAAACGTCCCCACCCCAGAGTTGTCATGCAAATCTGCATGCCAAAAATGTTCCGCATGCGGAGCCCCATGAGAAGCATTTTCTAGCCGTGTTTGGAATTTGTGATGCTATAATCAGCATGATATACTAGATCTGTGATGCTGCTGAACTACCTAAACAGGATTACACTACGAGGACAAATTTGTCATGCCAATCGACCAAAGCCAGCTGATTTGTCTAGCAGATTTCCCATCTTGATGACTCTGGTGTGGGGACGTTTTTCCAAATGATAGTGGGCGGCGTGCTTCTGGATAACATGTTCATGAGCGAGGAGGAGACCGGGCGGATGATGCGCGGCGGCGCCGATGATTCGGGGGATGATATCGCACGAAAAAAGTGTTACACTTACACATTTGTTGTCAATTTAGCAACACAGATTTTCTCTGCATGGGAGGAAAAACTTGCAATGCAGGAGAGATCATAAGGGAAAACACATGTGAAATGAGCTTGAAAGCATTTTGTGCGGGACAGAGCTTGTCTGCATTGTTGGGCCTGCAACACAATGTGTAACTGTGACACTTTTTCCTTTGCATAGACGATGGCCAAGGCGTGGCTATGATGGACCTCGCGGATCTCTTGGCGCAAGTTTTCGTGATGGCCCCCGAGGACGGCGGACAAGAACCGGGTGGTGGCCCCGGGTGGCAGGAGCGGCCGTAAGGCAACTACCGGGCGAGAAGTTTGTGCTGACTGGATTTTTTCAGAAAAGTACAGCACTGCGAGGCGGGTATTTTTTTTTCGTGTTTTTCTACATGGTACGCACTGGCAGAAGTAGATTCTGCGTATTCATCAAGCATGCGTCTTTACTACGCGACTCCCTCGTGAATTTCGTTTCCAATCGTATCAGCAACGTACATAATACATAATTCCATAGGTTTTGCAACATGACGAGTAGATGTTCGGCTTTCACTTTTCATTGTTTTTGTCTACAATTACGGATGCGAATGTAGGCTTTCTTTTTCCGATATTTTTCGCCTCGATTGAATGTTCCGCATCCCATCATGTACTTCAGTCTACTGTTTTTTTCATACTTTTTTACTTATCCTGTTTCTTCATTCATTCAAGATCTTGACTTTCCTCTGCTCTCGTCTGCATATTATTTAACGATAAACCCTTCACTTTATTTCAATTTTATGTCGCTGCCAAAATAGGGCAGGGGCACTAAAAATTCGATTCTGAATTACCGAGCTCGAGTAAGTAGCAGTCCTTTACAAATTCAAACGCAAAAAGTTTTCATTCATAATTTCAGTTTTTGCCGAAATGCGAGTTCACCACGTTTCTGTCGCACGTTCTCGACCACATTGCCCAATATTTTAATACTTGCTCTATCGAAGTCGAACGTACACGTAGAGGCGGGGTTGGAGCCGATAGCTTTTCTTTCACGAAAGCGAAAAGGCTCATGTCTACTGCGTTCGCTGGTTGACGGTAACCCCGAAGGAACCAGCGCAACGCCAAGACGACGTGTTGTCCCGCTACCACCGTTTGTCTTTGTGCGCTTTGTGCGTATTCTCGAAAGGCATTGGAACTAGAAGAACCACATATGGCTCAGTCGTTGCTAGGCTCGGTAACACTACTTACTTAAGTCGCTCATGATACAGGTATCTCTATCAATATCATGTGTGACGGTGACGACACCAACTACGACTACTTACTACTACCTCATCGCAGCACGTGAAATTTCATCCTAGAGCTGCTACCATGATGGCCAGAAGGAAATTTCTAGACAAAGGGATGGCCGAGTAAAGCGGAGCCAAATTTTATCGAATATTCGTTCCAGCTTGCGAAAAAAAAAATCCTTTCGTGAAAAGTAGCGGTCATTGTTGCCAAGGATGGCATGATGAAGCGACAAATGAGCTCATTGCTGGCGTGAATCTTGTTCTGAACCAACATAGTTTTAGGAACGACAGAAAACCACATGGGCAAGGCAAGTCTAAATTGGGATCGTTACAGTAGAAATTTGATCCAGATAGAACACCATGGATTTCGCTGGAAGAGTGAGTGCATGGAGATTTCTTTCCGTGTCGTTCGCAACGCAGCCTCAGACTGGTGGCTGAATATCAGCACCTCAAGAAGAAAAGACCGTGCTTATCCGTTCGTTGCTGAGATTTTGTGCTTCAGATCCTAAATATTTTCAATACACATTCTGCAAACGCCGGATCTGTGTCGTATTTCAGCATTAGACGGGTATAGGATTCGTTCATCGTTTTTGTGAGTAGGATGTATCTATTAATAATTGCTTGTGGCAGTTGTATCATTCGTATTAAGATTGATTTGAATCCAATGACAGCGACGACAAATAATACCTGTGTTTGACGAGCGAATAGATTTAGATATTGAGACCTTAGAAATCGACTTCGTATTAAATGGCACAGGAAAATGCCGTTGTCACTCCTACGGAACAACAACCAGTAGCGACGCTAGTAGGGGTCAAGTTGGCTTACGGGAAGCACAAACGAACTGTTTGAATTGTGTCGAGCGACCTAGAACCGTTTAACACGCACTAAGTATTGCTGTGTGTTTCTGCAAGCATACTTAAAATCTCGCAGAAAACAAGAACATGGGTCGACGAGCGCGAAGGGCGGCCAAGCAGGCAAAGCCGCGGCCAAAACTCGACACACAATTCGATTGCCCCTTCTGCAACTCCGCGAAAAGCGTTGAGGTACTTCATGATTTTATAATTTTAAGTTGGTGAAGTACCAGCCCAAGGCAGGTCTCATTAGGCCTGTAGTTTTACTTAATTCCCTAGCTCCGGCATCGGCGTCGGCCGACTACGATACAGATTCAAAAGACGACTCTAGTAAAGATTTTTGCAGTAAGCGTGCGACGAGGGACTCACTGACAAACTTCGTTTTGGGTGCGCGTTGTACATCAAGTTTGTGAGAAGAAACAAATGAGACAGGAAGATGAGCTATAGTACTATTTGACAAAATGAATCAATGAAATACGAATACGAAAGGTAAAAATGTCGAGGCCTGAGACGTTGGGGCAGCTAAAGTGTCGAGTGTGCGGTGTGGGGTACCAGACACGTATCAATTATCTAATGGAGCCCGTAGACGTGTACTCAGAATGGATCGACGAGGCGGCGCAAATTGCGAAGCTACGCGACCAAAAGGCAAAGAACGCGCCCTCCTCTGGAGCGGCCGCCTCATCAAGCGCAGTGCCAAGGAGGTACTTAGTGCAGCCAGTTTGTTTTGTTGGTCCCGTGACCTAGTACCAAAAGCACATGTTCTTCTCCTCCAAACGAGCTACCTACGAAAGATTGGTTGTTGAGAATATACAAAAATTATACGAATTTTTCGCTGAAAGAGAAAAATATTTAGTGGATTTTTTCTTGTTTGCAGGTCTGCAACAGAAGGGGGAGGCAGCGTAACGGCCGCGAAGAAAGGGGACGACGAGGAGCTAAAATTCATACTGCGGGACGACAAGAGAATATCGGGACCTGAAATTGAAGACCCGGAGTTCTAGCACGAAATAAGAGTACGCCTCCTCTTCATGCTGAGCGCATCGCTGCCAACTTCAGTACCACCGCCGCATTGTGTCAAATGAACATGTTCATATTCATTCTTCCATGAACTGCTGCATGCACGTGATCAGACGACCGGGAACTACGTCCTCGCGCGACAAGAGCACAAAATAGTCCTGTCCTCGCTGCTCTTGCAGAAGCAAAAAATGCTTTGCGGTTCTACTTCGGAAGAGTAAGTGCCCCGGCTCGCTGAGGCACTGGATGATCAGCGTCGTGTTCCACTAGCAGCGCCCCTACGTTGGAGTCATCATCTTGGTCGTCGTTCGACTACAAATCACACGAGTGAGAATGAACCTGTGCGGTCGCAGCTGGTTGACCACGGTCTTGCTTGGCGTGCGTGAAATGTACCAGGGAGCGGATGCTGTGTGTCTCTGTTCCTGTAATGAATTTGAACAATCGACGCACCTTCTTCAGCGCGACTTGATTTTGATGGCATCGTGCTTTTATTGGGGTGATGGTGTTTGCGATTGCGTTTCCGCGAAGGTGCATGGAAATCGAAATGCACATATTATTGAACACTGTGTTTCAGGACGGATCCATGTGGCAGACAGATCCGACGGAAAGGAAGCCTGCTGTTGCACCACGCGATGGATCGATAAGGTCGTGGTAGCTGTTCCCCGACGAAGCAATATTGGTACCTGTCGACAACGAATATCCATTTTCTCGTGGTCTTTGCTCTTCGTTTCGTTTTGCTTTGCAGGAGTTTTTCGGTTTTCAGTTGTATGCCATCAAAAGAAGGCAACGTAATCTGTTCCTGGCAACATTCTTTCATCTCTCGCGTGATCCTGATTGGGCCCCTTGAAACGACCTTTTGATGGATAGGAAGTATCTTTCTTCGCTTATTGATTCATTATCCACTACCACTAGCATAAAGTTTAAGTTTTCCTTATCGTTCTGTGTGGCGATGAGATTGTGCCTTTTGTTCAATTCCCTATCTTGCCGCAACTGATTGGCAAAAAAAAGAAAAATACCGACCATAAAGGAAAAGCTTACTAAAATAAATTTTTTACCTTTTCGACCACTAGACGTGGAAATTACAGTTCGTTGTACATTCATAGGAAACGCCAACCTTTGATTCCAGAAAATGTCGGTGTTTCACCTGGGAATCGTTTGTGCATGCGTCCCGTGGTTTTACGGTCCGTATGGGCAGCAATCTTTGCAACTGGCGCAGTACTTGTACGATACCTACCAGTACCAAATCTCGTGGTTCGTGTACGAGTCGCAGCCGCTGCCGCAGGACAAGATGGACAAGTACCCCTGGGTCCGGTTTCATCGGATCGGTAAGGCACCTTGGATCTACATTTCGGAGCTGAACGCCGAGTTCCGAAAAGCAAGTGCAGTTGCGTCTTCTAGTACTTCTATTTCGGCGAAGAAAAGCCCACCGGCTTCATCCGGCAAGGGCCGGAAGAACAAGAACGGGGAACTACAAGCTCGAACAACGTTGCCGCCAACTTGGGAAAAAAAGAAAATTGATGCTTTTGTCACGATGATGGACATGAACCGGATTTTTGTGGACGAGCCCTTCGAGCCGGTGGCCGTGTCCTTATGCATTGCAAATATGTCTGGGTCTGGAAGGTTGCAACTTGTCATGCTACATCTGGATCGTGCAAAAATTTGTGTTGCATGATTACCAAAAGAGGTCCACTTTTGAGCAAGTTTAGAGGCCTTTTCTCATGCAGGAACGGCATGATAGAGATCTCACAGAACCTGTCATGCTAGGCCGTGCATGCCAGACCGCGTGGGTCATGGAAAACCTGCATGACAAGCCTAGCAATCTTCTACAGAGCCACACATTTTTGCATTTGATAGTCCTGGTTTCCCAACCACTGGGAGAAGCTGGACATCCACTCGCGCCACGCGCTGAGCCAGTTCGAGGTCGTATGTCCCTTGGCGCCGTCGGACGCCGTTTCGATCCAGGCTATCAACTGTAAAAATGTCTGGGTCTGGAAGAATCCAACTTGTCATGCTGATTTTGAATTCTAAAAAAATATCAATATGTATTGCATGAGCAGCAAAGAGAGTCCAAGTTTTGCTGCACGGAAAGAGCATTTATCATGCGGTATAGGCATCAGGAAGCCCTCACAAAATCTGTGATGTTAGGGCATGCATCACAGACATCAGGAGTCATGCAAAATGTGCATTTTGGCTCAAGTGGAGTTTCGCAAGGAAAGTAGATAAACACCCGTACGTGGCGGGTCCTCTGTGCCCCTTTACAGTAGTACAAGCTAGAGCATCGGCGCCCCGAGCGTCCGTGCGAACACTAAAAACGCACATGGCCTCTCCTCCGACGACAGCCATCGACTTACCGTCTTGCCCACGCCCAGAAGCACGGTAAAGGACCGCCACGCCGCCAATGACTGCCGGTGGATTGGGCAGGTGCCATGACAAGCATAGCATGGACCTCGGCATAAAGCACAACACGAGCGGAAAAAGGGCGCTTCGTTACTATCTTCGATGAGAAGGCTGGTCACCACACGCGGCCCAGCACAATCCCCAGCATGAGTGGAGTCGGACGCTTTCGGGAAGACATCTTCCGCGCAGGGTCCGCGCATCAGCAGATGCCGCGTGGCGCATCACGGGACGCGAGCGTGCGCTGGAGCCACGGCCATGTGATGGCGATCCTCTGGGCGGAGCAAAGTAGTATAGAGCTATTTTTTATTGTGCTTTTTGGTTTCCTCCTCTTATGTCCTTGCATGTGAAGTAGCTTCGTTGTGTCTCCTTCTCTCTTTCATCATTTGGCCGGTCTGCTACTCTGTTGTTGTGTGCACGGGGGCGGAACATGTCCGTCCCCGTCGTTGCCTCAATTAAATCACAGGTGCCCGCTCTTCCTGTGGACCCTGGAAGATGATGTTGTCGCTCGACCAAGATTCGCCTGCGCTGTCACCGCATCTCTCCCACCCCCAGAATCCAGGGCAGACCTGATAGTCTGTGCGCGTAAAGTCCCTGCTGTGACTCTAGCGGCACCCCTGATAGAGCGTGTTTGGATTCTGGGCATTTGCGCACAGGACTGCGGCCCAGCAACGCAGGCCAGGGCGGGACCATAGGAGCTTCGCGAGGCGGCGCGGGTACTCCTAAATGGCTTACGGTAGTGGAGTCGGCGGGCTGCTGGACGTATCTTGAGTTCCCCGCCCCAGATGCGTATGCGAGCGCGCGCGGCATTTCCAGCTCCCTCGTTCGAGGTAGTAGCCATGTCTGGGTTCCCCACGAGGACGAGATACGAGTGGAAGCCAGTGCCGACCAACATGAACGCGTGGCGACGGATCCCGCAAACGAGATGATGGGTGTTGCTCACCGCCTTCGGTGTTGGCGACGTGTCTGGATGCTGGATGTCCTATGTCCACCCCTCTCGTGGCCGTTCTGGTGCGCCTTCTCATGTGAGGTCGTTGACATGGCTTGGTGGGAAATTCCCGTTGCGCGAGGCTCTTGCCTTGCCCTCTGTCTTCGTCCCCAGTGGTGTTGCGACAGTAGAAGCGTCTGTTGTGGCCGTCGGAGCTTGCTCTGGGTCTTGCGGCTCCTCTTGTCTTCGGTGGAGTACCTGAGTGGCTTCTGCTGCTGCCTCCGTTGACTTTTGGCTGCTGCTTGACTGGCGGTTGGGAACACTTCAGGCGTCTTTGTGCTGTGCTTCGGCCGCGTGGTCCCCAGTTTTCCCCGGGTCCGGAACTCTGGGTTACCTTGGTCGAGTTGGTGTCACTGTCGGTTCACCTATGTCCCTGCCTTTCTGTTCTTGCCACTGGGAACAGTCTGTGCGTTTCTTTCGTCAGCGGCTTCTTGGCGCTGAAGCTCGTTGACGATTGTTTCGGGAGGTTCCTTACGGCCCCTGAGGACATTGCCTCGCTGCCGACCAGGCCGAACTTAGAGGTCGGCTTCGGGAAGGCTACCCGGAGTTGAGTCTGTTTCGGCAGGTCTCTTGTGAATGCGAGGGCAGTGGTTGGCTGAGGTTGTTGGAGCGTTCCATAGTGTCGCTCCAGATCATTTCTGATCCTTCTCCAACTTCCTCATTTCCTGTGTGGTCTAATGCAGATTGCAGATCACAACACAGGGCCACCCTCGTATCTCACCTCCAGGGGGGGCGCGCGGACCTCGCTTGCCATTTCGTTTGGTCTCGCGAAAGTTCCAGCTCCCCCGAGCGGTAGTAGGGAATTTCCAAGAGTGCAAAATGTGCATGACAAACCTGGCGATCTTCCAGACCCAGACACTTTTACATTCGATCCAGGAGCAGCTCCCACACAAGGTGGTGCGGCACGTCCCGCACGTCATCCGCCATGTTGAACGAGACAAAGCGAGAGCACACGATAAAGAAGTAGGATCTCCACGAGAAGAAGATGGAGATCTAAAAAAGGCGGCCTTGCGCAAAAAGTTCGGGGTTCCGCCGCGGGCGTTCATAGTGCTAGTGGTGTTTTCCAACTACGATCGGCAGCACAACCGCAAGATGCCGGACATGAGTCTCGCCGTGTTTCGTGAACTGTACCGGGAGTCCGTGCGAAACGGCACCGCTGTAGAGGAGCGGCCCTTTTTGTACGTCCACGCGCTGAAGCATCCGGACCTGCAGAAGGAGCAGGGCAGCGAGGGGATGCCCATGCACCTCATTTGGGATTCGCTACAGCAGGACGGGGAAATCTTGCCAATCCGCGTCAACGAGGACGAAATGCCCTACGCCGACATTCTGCAGCTCCCGCAGATGGCGGACGTGTTTCTCCATCCCGCTGTATCACGTGGCGTGAAAACTAGAACCTTAGACCAGATGCTGTCATGGGCTATAATGAACGGATCTCTGTACCAAATATAAATAAACACCGTTGAAATTATCATTATGCTAGCACATACAAAATCAATTGCGGAGGCATTTTCTTATGCTAAGAAATATTCAATTCCTCGTGCTTGTGACGGTGAGGATTACACCAGGTTCTTTTTCACTGCATACGAAAAGGCGGAGGGCTTTGGGCTACCCGTGCTGGAGGCGCAGTTGGGCGGCATTCCGGTCGTCACCACCGCGTTCGGGGCCATGCGCGACTACGCGATGTATGGGCGCGCAGTACCTCCAAACGGGCCGCTTTTTATGGAGCTGGGTTTCGCAGCCATGCCGGATTTTCAAGGGACCCTCAGCGCGCTGCGGGACTTACACTGGAGCCTCACTTCCATTCGGAAGGCGTCGGGAGGAATTGCGGACAGCCAAGGAAGAACTGGGCGGAAGCAAGAAGAGCGGCAGGAAGAAGTGCTAGCTTGCAAAAGCAGGAGGCCCAGGGAAGGTGAAGGGCGGAGTGCGGAATTGGATATTGAAGACGGGCCTCGGAGTCTCGCTGCGCCACGCGCTGCATCAAGGCGGGAGGTCCAGGTGGATAGTTTAGGCCTCGTGGTCGATGGCGGTGGTGAAGGGAACAGAACTAGTGCGGAGAGCCACGACGCCCGCTCGATTGTTCAGCGGCTGCGATGTGAACTCGAAGAGCAAAGGGAGCGTGCGCAAGCATACATTGCCGCCAACATGTCCGCTGCCAGTGTGGGAGACGCGTTCCACAGTTATGAATTGTAGAAAGGAAATCTTCCTCACGAGGAGACGATTCAAGTGCAGGAGGTTAGTGAATGCATGCAACTCGAAGTCAAGCGACATTTCTTTTTGCTGCACGATGTCACTGCGTTCATCTTCTCCATTCTATATGAATCTTCTATCATCGGAGCGGTTTGTATAGCATTGAAAGCACGAAAGGCTTGTAGGCGGAAAAACGATGAATGACAACGATGAGGCTCCTCTCCTTTTTTCAAAAATATTTCACTACGTCGTGGTACGAAAGCAAAGTACAAGTACTCGTGAACATACTTGACTCAATTTCTGCAGTAGCAGGGGGAAGATTCAGTTTTTCTTTCACAGCGTCGTATTCGCGTCCGTCCGGAAGCCCGCCTACGTATCACACAGAAAAAAGCTGGCAGGGCATATTTGTAATGCAAAAATAAATACGCAAAAAAATCTGTCATGGGTGGCCCCTTAGCATGCTGTTTCGGATATGCAACACAGATCTTTTTGTGTATTTATTTTTGCATTACAAATGTGACCTGCCAGCTTTTTTCTGTGTGATACTACGAGACAACGTTTCGCGTGTTTTCGTACGCCGAAAAGGTCCCCAAGAACCCGCCGGAAACGTCGCGGAAGGTGAAGTTTTTTGCTAAGAGCATGAAATCTTTTTTCCCATTCCCAATGTGAAGGTGATACTTGGTTGTACAACCTATATGCTGGTCCTTTCCGTCGCTGCGCCGGTTTTTACACCTTGCCTGCGGTGCTTGCCTGGGAAAGAAGACGTTTTTAGACAGAGTTGAGGCCAACGCATGGTAAGTCTTCAGCGTTGTAACCAAAGAGAACGAGACCTCAAAGAGGCTTGTTTTCGGGGAAGGTAAACTTGTAAATGCAGAAAACAAAAGCTTTCTTGTTCATACCAATCTTCGTCTCGCCAAATTTCGTCATTGACCGTGACAAAGTAAATTACGTAATCAAGAATTACGTGATCAACAAGACTGACCACAATGCGACCACCTCGGAGCTGGCGGTGACAAACAGGAGCACCACGCAAAGCAAAATTGATGGGGAAAATGCAACGCAGCTGGTCGCGACATCGCAAAACCTAACGTCTTCTAGTGCCGATGCCGAAGGGCCCTTATGCAATATCGCACCGACCCGGCCTTGCGCTAGCGCTTCGCCCTACCGTTGTCTTTCTGCTGCTTTCCATGATTTGGTTCATTTTTTTTTTTGCATTCTGTTTCTTTTCATTGTCTTTCTATGTCTTCTATCCGCGGTTGTTGTGCCGGGGAGAAGTGTGCGCATCGAACTGCTCTTGTAATGAAGACCAGCAGAAAAAAAGAAAAACGGATGCCACGTCCCACGTTGCTGTGGTGCTAGTTTTCGTAGTTGTCATGTACTTACCTGATTTTTTGTATGAGTACAATCTGACGGAGCAGCAGCAGCCGGCGTCACAGCGGTGGTGGCGGCGCCAGGTGGTCCGTGTTTGCACTTGCATTCTGCACGCTGTGGGTGGGATCACATTACGAGCTATCGGGTGGGGAGATGCCACGGTTTTCTTTCGGGAAGGGTGTTGTGCAGAAGAAGGCCGGCTCTCGGGTGCTCGGGATCCTGGACGGCGGTGGAGCGTCGGGAGAGATGCCGACTCTGATCATGCGCCGCAAGGTGTGGAGAAAAGTCTGGAAGCCGGATGTTCCTGCGGTGCAGATCTTTCAAAAAATGCACGCAATTAGCCGGGATTTCCGCTACGCCGGCGTGGTCGGTGTACGGCGTCCCATATGCGAAGAAAAAAGTGTTACAATTACGCATTGATGTTTTGCGGAACAAGCAAGACAGACCACAACCTTTGTCATGCCACAAATGCTTTCGGCTCTCGTTTCGTAACTGTTTTCCTTTGTGATCGCTGCGTTGAAGATGTAGAGCAGCTTAAGGTAGTGGAACTGTAACACTTTTTTGTTGGGATATCCCACACAACAGTGGGGTCAGGGAGATTACGCCCTTCCGGGCGTGAAACGGTGAAGCGATTTCCTGTCCGATTGCGAAGAGCAATTTTTCTATCTGCATCTTTGTATGTTTTATTGCAAGTGCAAAGAAATGGAATTTCCATTTCGACGAAACTGAATCACAAAATGCCATGATATGTTTCTTCACCTCCGGCTCCGTCCTTCTGCGCCCAAGTTTCGACTCTCAAGTTAATTCGTTTTTTTTTTTGGATTCCTTGTTTATGTTTTATTCTCGAAATTTGTTCACAACGCCACTGTGCGCCACGTGGTTTTCGAGGTGAGTCAGAGCGTGTGACGGATATAAAACTGCGCCCATGAAGATACCTCGAAGATGACGCTTCCATTTTGCGACGAAAAATTATTTGAATCGATAAAGTCAGCAGTAAAAAGTCCGACGAAAAAATCTGATGCCAGCGTCGAAACGCTCCGGAGACCTGTCTTCGTCAAAATGCAATCGTTAGCTCCTTGTAATTGTATACGCGGATTTACGATCATTTTCTTCTGTGGTATTCTACTGAATCGTTTTCGTTCAAGGCTTCGGTCTGGAATAAGTGCTTGCCTTTTTCCTTCAGAACACAGCAAAAAACAACTATCCCAACTTGATATAACAAAATCCCAACTTGACTCCAGCAACGACCTGAATCCGATCTGCTTCTCTCCTACATTGATTTGGTAAAGAAAAAGAGACAGTAGAGAGAAAAGTGAAGCCTTGGATCGAAAACCATAGGGGAATTCTGTCGGTTTGGGTTGTTTCTTATGGAAAATCATGAGTTGACACAGCAAAATCCCAAGTTGACAGAAAACACGACTACTACACGCTCTCAGAGGAGTGCTTCCACGTTCTCAGACAACTCCTTCATCACCCGGGAGTGCTCCTCAAGTGGATGCGTGGACGTATTGCATTGAAAGGACGACGCAGGTGGACGGTGTGGAGGTACTCCACACGGACTATGGACGCAGGGAGACGCGGACGTCACAACTGGACGTCGTGGGTGCCTCATGCGCGCACGATATATGGGCCATGGGGGCCGCCCTCTTTGCACGATATGGCGGCCCCTTTTTGTGCGAAATATGGGCCTTTTTTGCACGGTGCATGGGCCTCTTTTGTACGATGCATGGGCCTTTTTTGTACGATATATGGGCCATTTTTGTGCGATATGTGGACCATTTTTGTGCGATATGTGGACCATTTTTGCACGATGTGCGGGCCTTTTTCGCACGAAGGTCTAGCACTTTTCGAACGATATTCCGGTCGCGCCGGGACTGCTGCCGAGCCTCTCCGCCTGGAGAAGCCAGGGCCCTGGGTGGGCAGAATTGGCGATGCTAAACACTACCACTCGGGCAAAAATACCAATATCGTGGAAAATCGCCAACAACGGGAGCGAATTCGCTTGGGACAAGGCCAACAGCGCTACCCTGCTCCACCCTAGCGCGGGCTGTATCTACCCGGTAGAAGCAGAGCTCCCAAGCCCCCACAGAAGGCCCCCTAGCTACAGGCCCCTTAGCTGGAGGCCCCCCAGGAGGCTGTATCTACTGAATCGTTTTCCTTCAAGGCTTCGGTCTGGAATTATGCACGCTCAACGGCACAAACACTGCTGCGTTCCGTGAGGCTGACTACTAACTTTGGGTTTTTCATCAGCTTGGTAAAACTCGGCTAAATCGTTCTTGTTGTTGCAGTTTCGTGCGTCTCTCATACATCTCGTGTTGTTCTCAACAGAAATAGAACAATGTTGAAATACGCCACTTCGTCCTCGCCTTGACATTCGTGCGTAGGTGATTTGTTTCGAAATTTCCCATGTAGTGCAGCCCTGTACGCAGTCGCAAGTGTGCAATGCTTTTTACGGAAGTGAAAATTTCGTTCATACACCATTTTTATCGTAATTATTCATACGTAAAATAACTCTTCCCAGGCCCCCCGCGTAGCTTACTAGCTTTTGTCACAAACTCAGGTATCGGCAGTATAGTTTGTACCGCCGAGTAAAAGGGAGAAGTAAGTTGTCTGTGTGTGGTACGTCGGGCTCGGGACGGACCTGACCATTACGGCTACTGGCACTCGTGTGCGTCAAGTAGTTACAACTTGCTGCTGTAAAGTAATCGCAGCAGAGAGGCAGTGCCAGTGGCATCTCGAGGTCGACGGGGAGTAGGGTCGTACCCGGGGCAAGTCGAGCGGCATGTCGAAGGTTATTCGCTTTTTCTTTTTCCCCACGGCGCCGGTGTTCCGCGAGCTGCAGAAGTGGTCCAGGAGTTGCGTCGATGTTGTCGGCACAGCGCAGGCGTACACCCTTACAACGAAGCGGCGAGAAAAATTGCGAACGGTTCTGCCCGCGCGCCGCGCTCGGAACAGAGTTTTGATGACGATGGACAGGCAGCGCCGCCCGGCTCGGGAGACAAAGGCTGAGGGGCGACGAGCACGAGTTCATCATCGACGAGCCGATACCATTGTCAAGAATTCCCCGCCCTTGAAAAGACACCACGCTAGCAGTTCGTTCGTGGACGCGCGGAAAAATCATCAGGGCGACGATAGTCAAGGACAACAAGGAGGTGGATGGAGTACGGCGGCAGAAGTGTTGAACCATGTGGAGGCGGCGCTGCGAAATCTAGAAGCGAAGGTGCAGGAGATCGCGACCGTTTGTAAGAAGGACACGGCGAGCCACGCGTTACTGGATGTGTCCGGTAATATGGCCCATCTGGGGGTGTGCACGGACGACAGCCAGTGCTTGCAGCGGGACGGCCCCGGGGCGCTTACTAAAGTCGATTATACACGCGTTGGAGCGGCTGTCGGCGAGACGGGGAGCGGTGCGCAGCAAACAGCCGATGTGGACGTAGAGCTGTGCATTCGCAACGGCGTTGCCCAGTTATTTCTCAACCAAACCGGGTCGCACCTGCGGGCGGAACCGCCGGTCGTCACCGACCCGGCCAGCGGGGAGGGGTACTACGAGCGAACGGAGGGCTTTGCTACGTTCGTTGTCGAGAGAGTCCCGGGAACAAGCGATATCTCGGTTCAAAAGCAGGCCGCAGACCGGCGGATCATCGTGCAGTGGCCGCATCAACACAGTCGCGCCGAGAAACTGAATGTTGCCGCCGATGGAAATGCGCAGATGGTCGAGAATCCGCTACTGACGCATGAATCCAAGACCGTAAACGCCCCCTGGTACGTGCGCACGCTCACGGGCGGTGTGCAGAAGAACGTTCTCATTGCACTGGACCGCTCACAATCTATGGATGTTCCCCCAAAGAAGCTGCCTGGTGCCAGGCGAGCTGCCATTCAGATCCTGGATAGCCTCGCGGTGACGGACACTTTCTTTGTGATGTCATACCAGCATCCCGTACAGTTTTCGGCGTTCGAATTTGTCCATACGACGGACTCCCACAAGGAGAGCGCCACTGAGTGGCTTAATAACATTTACGCTGCCGGTGGATCGACAACCCGTCCGGACGCCGAGTTTGGGTTGGGTACGGCCCTGGTCGTGGGCAGTCTCGGCGTTGTGCCAGAACCATGGCGGGACAAGATCACCAGCACAGTGCCCGCAGACGAGAGACCTGCGCAACTTCCGGCCGTCACGGATCCACCAGATTGCCCGTTCGCTGCTAGTCAGGGTTGCGAGAAGACGGTGCTCGTGATGATGTCGGACGCTCCCCTAAAACAGGGCCAGGAAGATGCAGAAAAGGGACAGTGGCTAAAGGCTGTTCGAACGCTTCTCGATGCGGATGCGGCGCAGTCACAGGGCATCTATTCGTCATCTAGTGGGGACGGTGGCAGTGGTTCAACACCAGAGCCGGCGGTGCTCGTCAATGTGTATGCACTCAAAAACCCGTTCGAGTTCTTTGGAACGCCACCGCAGGGCCCGTCGCTAACGCCCTATTACGAAACACTGGCCGGCAAGTTTGGCGGTGAAGCAATGGCAATGGATGACAGTCAGGACATGATGGCAACAATGTCGCGATACTGGCGCTCATTGGTCCAGGGCGCGAGCGACGCGAGCGGCTCCCGGAGTGTCGTCTGGACTTGGAATGATGTAGCCACCACGGAAGATGCGACGGGTAGGAGTGAGCTCACAGCCTGCCGTCGCATTGATTTCAACACTGGCAACAACGACTTGCAGGGTGTTATGTGTGTGGAACCCAGCGCAGTGCTGCCTCTGACCCTCAACGAGCTGCAGTGCCTCCCGAGGTTTTTGGAAGAAATGCACACTCGGCTACGGTCGACGAACTGCAGTGTGGAAAACAAAGCAAAATGCCGCGCGGAGGCAGTGGTGTGCGCAGCTGCAGGATGGACTCCATGCGACTGCGACAACACCGTACAACTTCGAGTACAACAGCGTACAAAACTACGAGAACAATGGTGGTTACATAGGGACAGTAGCGACTGCAGAGACCCTTTTCGAGGTAATGAAGAAGGCGATTACTGCAGTACCGGAATCCGAACAAAAAATCACGACCGAGAAGCGCAAGTCAAACCACCCCCACCCGCAATTGTATCGGATACAAGACCCACTGGATGCCGAGCTGAAGGCTTTGGCCTGCTACTCAAGCCCCGTGCCGTCGCCGGATAGCACACCAGGACCCGGAGGCCTGACCACGGGGAGCCCGCCAGGGCCGACACCCGGGCCTGCTCCGGGGCCGAGCCCCAGTACTACCCCTGGGCCGAGCCCGGGATCGCCCGGGCCGGGGCCGAGCACAACCGAAACCCCGCCGGGAGGCCCCGGAAGCCCGTCTGGCACCGATCCTCCAGGGAACCTCGGGCCAGAAGTGGTTTTTTCGGACACAAACACGACTAGCGCTCCCGGATCGAATAGCACCACCGTGCCGCCCGCGCATGACCGTGCCCCGCCTGACGATGTCGCGAAGACGGGCTTGCTTGCGCCCGCGGCGGGTACTGGTCTGGCGCTGTTGTTGCTGGCAGCTTTGCTACTCGTTTTTTCCGCCCGCGGTGCTTCTGCGGTGCCCGGGGTAGCGGAGGACGAGGGCGACGACCGGTGGCTGGGCGCGGATGTCCAGGACCCACTACCGTGGGGCCCCACCGAAGAGGCGCTGCTTTCCATCGGGCTGACTCCGCATTACGCCGCCCAGGTGCTGGCGCAACTCACTGCAGAGGGCCCTTCGGGGCCGGGAAATGCAACAGAGAAGGCCGTGGCGGCGCAGCTGCAGACCGGCCTCGCGAAACCGTCCGACGCAAAGGACCTGCGGACGATGCGGCAGCTCGGGGTGGACTTCGGCTCCCCGGAGCTCGCAACCGTCGGGTTTGCACAGAACCTGGTTCGCAAGGGGATGGCACGGACGAAAAAGACCGGGGTGGACCTGCCATTGGCTCTGTTCACGTACCAGCGCGATGTCGAAGCCGCGGAACGGGCCCTCGTCACCGCGGGAATGACCCCGCGGGCAGGGAAGCATTTGGCGCAGCAGATCGCCGGGCCCGTCGCAGGCCACGCGCCGTTGAAGCTGCCGGAAACCGACGAGGACCTGCAGGTGCTGCGGGACCTAGGAATCGATGCCGCAGCGGACGGCGGTCCGCTTACTGCCGGGGCCACCCGGAGTGTGATAAGAAAGGCTTTCAAGAGAAGACGACCCGAGCAGCAGAATGTGGCGTTGCTGACCACCGCGGCCGCCTGTCCGGATTTTGGCACTGCGGAAACAGCACTGCTTGCGTTGGGCCTTTCCGCCGCGGGGGCTTCGGAAGTGGCGCGGCAGATCGGCGGGAAAGGGGAGGAGGCCGACCGATTTGAATTTCCCACCGCGGGCGCGGATCGCCGGATCCTGGAGAAGGAGGGTGTGCTCGAGAGCACAAGCGCCAGCGGCCCCGGTGCTCTCAGCGCAGCGGCCGTGCAGGCCTCGTTGCAAAAGGCCGCGAAAAAGAAGAAGGCGCCAAAGCCGCTCAAGGCGCTCGCGGCCACTACCCCGGAGACGTGGACGCCCGGTGCGGTCGAGACGGCTTTGCGCGCAGCGGGGTTGAGTCCCGCAGGAGCACGGACGCTGGCCGGCGAGATCGCAGGAAACGTCACTGGACCTGGTTTGGTGAAGCCGCCTGCAACGGATGCCGACTTGCGCGCAATGCAGGCTTTGGGAGTGACTTTTCAGTCTGGTAGGGAGTCCGCGTTGAGTGTGGCAACGGTTCGGCAGATGCTTGGTAAAGTCCCGAGCCGGAGCAAAAAACGGCAACTTCACCAAGGACCCCCGGTCGCGGCGGTGGCAACGGCCCCCGGACCCGATTTCGGCGCCACCGAGGAGGCGATGTTGGGCGCCGGATTTTCCCGTCCGTACGCCGCCCGGGTGGCGCGCTGTGTCGCCGGTTTCGCCGCCGACGAGACTGCGCTGACGCGCGCAGAAACGGAGCACGACATCCGGCTATGGGAGGACGTCGGGTTTGACAGCGGCAGGCCGATTACTGCAGGGCACGTGCGACACCTCCTTTTTCCGGCGGCGCCCCGCGCCGACCGGGGATCCGCCTTCGGCCACGGACCCGCCGTGCTGAGCACCCTGCTGTTTGCCGTGAACGAAGCGGAGCACGCGTTGCTGCAAGCGGGTTTCTCCCCGGCGTTCGCCAAGAAGGCCGCGGAGAATGCGAGCGACCCGTCCCTGGAGTATACCGCGACCGTGCAGTGCCCCGTGGCCGCTGCCGACGAAATCGCCCTGCGGACCATGGCCACTCTGACTGCCGAGCGCGTCGGCGGCGGCGAGGATGGCACATTATCCGTTGCGCAGTTGCGCGGCGCCGTCCGGCGGGCGGTGGTCCGGCAGCAGAGCCGCGAGGATCCGGAGCTGGCGGCCGTCTGGGCCGACCGGGGCCTGAGCCCGCGCGAGGTTGAGCAGGCCTTTCTCTCGGCCGGCGTCACGCCTGCCTACGCCAGGAGGCTCGGACGGCAGGTCGGAACGAAAGCGGTGCCCGGCGATTCCCGCCTTGTGGAGCCCGGCGACGCGCGGGACAAGCAGATCTTGAGCACCATCGGCCTGGATTTCGCATTGCCCGAGTCCGTGGCCCGGGTTCGGGGGTTTTTCTTAGCCGTGGAAGCCGCAGCGCCGTCGAAAGACGGGCAGACCCGCGTGGACGTCTCCGTCTTGTCGCAGCCCTCGTTCGGCAACGCGGAACAGGCGGCGACGCTCGGCGGTTTCACCAAGGCCATGCCTGCGCGCACACGGCACCACGCCCCTGCGCGGCCCAAGATGCTCTGTCTCCAGGACGTGTTGGACCACGACATCGCCGAGGCGCAGGAACCCGCCTGCGCCTGTTGCAGTTGTTGCGGGGCGGCGGGCGCCGGCGGCGGGAAGACGGCCGACCCGGAGGACGACAGCACGTCGTTCACGCACGACGGCAGTGCAGCTCCCGCGGGCACCAGAGACCAGAACGACGCTAGCAAACCCGCAATTATGGCGACGGGTGGCGGGGCTGGTTATTCGGTAGCAGGTGCGAAGCGTGGCGCGGGGGCGAAGAAGAAGGCTGCGTCGAGCCACAAGAGACTGAGCAAAGGCGGCCGGCGCGACGGCGCCTCGAAAGGCGGGTCAACGACGTCCTCGGCCGCGTCATCCAGCTCCTCCTCGCGCTCTTCGGAGAAGGACGCGAGTCACCTCAGTCACCGAAGGACCGCAAAGAAATCGCAGGCGCGCGGCACAACTAGCAGTAAGCAATCGACCGCTAGTGCAGCGCACGCACGGTCGCCGGAACAGGAGGCGCAACTGAACGCTTTGGCGGCCGCGGCAGCCAAGGCCCTGGAAGAGGTCGGCTTTCCCGCCGCCCGGGCGAAGCTCTTGGCGCAGCGAGTCGCGCAAACCGACACGGCGGACCTGAGCGATCTGGCCCTGGACCCCGAGGATCAGGCGATCGCGGAAGCGGGGCTCGGTGGGAAAAAGATCCGCGACCTGCACGACCTTGTGGACGCACTCGTGGAGCAAAAGAAGGACTTTTTCGACGAGGTGGCACCACCGGAGATGGCGGAAGATGAGGCGGAGGACCAGCAGGCCATGTTGTTGCACAACACCGGCGGACCACAGCCTCTGTCCATTCTTCAGACCCGCTATCATCACCATGTGGTCCGCAAGAAAAAGCCTGCACATCTTCTAACAAAAAAGTAAAAGTAGCTCTACTCATGATCTTCGCTGGTCTGTCAGTCTGATCGAATTATGTCAGCTTCCCTCATTTCTGATAATCTAGGTAAGTACTTAACTATTTCTACTCTTTTTTCGCTATTTGTGACAAGTTGTAAACGTTGGAGCGATTGCAGTGCATATAACAAGCAAATGGCGTGGCATAAGCAAGCAGTTATGTTCTTTTTCGACTCACTCTCAATCTCACGTGCGAGCTTCTGCTTCTTGATTTGTTCTGGAGTTCGTTGTCATCCCGTTCGATAGGAACGAACGTGCGTCGTGCGAGTTCTCGACTAGGCTTCAAGTTTCTGTGTCTTGCGTGGTGCAGCTCTTCTGCACCGTTCTTGAATCATGATAAAGAGATTGGTTGAATTTGCACCAGCACCCGGCCGACGAACTGTATGTCGTTTCCATATCGTTTGTATCCTTTCTGCGGCCCACTGGGGCCTCTCGGCCGACTTTTTAACCACTCGTATCGTCCGTGACAAAAAAAATCGTCCTTCATCCCACATGTCGTCTGGTCGGAGCACTCTTTCTCGTACATTTTCCGCATTTCGTCCATCCAGCGTCTTCCTCTTCGTCGCTTTTCGTTTTTTTTGCCCCGCGTCGCAACACATAATTCCACAGAATTACAACTAGTAATTTTGTCCTCAACTCCATCGAACAGGCTAATAACCCTGTTTTTTAATGTGTGGTTGTATCGGCATTGGAGTTGGAGTTGAACAAAGAAAAATAAAAGATGTCCCCAGAGAAGCAGCATTCTAAAAAACCCCGACCTTCCCGTTTTCGTTTTCACTAGCCGTACCTCGTTGATTGATTATTTCGTCGAGATATTTATTCAACATCAACACAGACTCCCCCGAGGAGCGATGCGAGCCCGAGGATCAGATGTATAGCTGGACGAGCGTGTAGAAGTATAGTAACGGACGCGACGCCGGCACAGGCAACACTAGACACGGGAAAACGACGAGAACGACCCCTGCGTGGTGCCGGCCTCGCAGCTCGGTTGGTGACCATGCCGAAGGGAGAATCACGAATCTCAATCTCCGACACGAGCGGCGTGGTGCGCGGATCCGGTTCTGGCCGCGGGAAAGATGGTAAGTACGCCGCTCGCGGCGCTGCCAGTGCGCTGCTGCTGCAACTGGCGGGCCCGTCCATCGTTTTCCACCAGTTGTACCAGGAGGAAGGGCTCGTATGGGGATACACGCTAAAGAAGAAACTCTCTCGCCGGAACCTGTCGTCGTCTTCCACGGCACAAACCCGTACACAACTTTTTCCCAGCAAGAGTGGCCGCCGCGGGGCCGGAAGAACGGGTCTCATCCACCGAGCGCGTGGTGCGAAGAAGCAAGTTCCGCTGGCCGTGACCGGCGACAAGAGAGCCAGGAGCGTGGAACTGGTGTCGGTATCGAAGCGCATTCCGGGGTTGCCAAGGCAATCTTGTCAAGCGAATCATGCATATAGTAAAACCTTGCGTGAGTGGGGACGTTCCCCCGCAAAGCCACCTTAGAAACGAAGGCATCAGCTCTTGCATTTTTTTTGTTAGTGTCTGGGTCTGCTCATATTCTTGTTCATATGAATGATGATATGGACATTTCGCCATTGCGTTTGCTGTTGTGACTGAGATTGTCTTGGCTTCTCAAGATTTTGGCAGAATAAGTATCCTTGCACACCGCTGATGAGCTAGAGTTTCGCGTGCCAGCGGACGAAGCGACCGAAGATTCACGCGTCCTACAACAAGATCGGCTGGTTAGGAAGACGTCCCGAGATGTAGGCAATCGTGCAGTTCCCGAAGGCCCGTCTGACGGGTCGCCTTTCGCATTCCTGGAGCAGCAAAGAGAATTGCGAAAAAAGGAAACAAAGAATAAAAACAGGAGCAAAAGCAAGGAAACAAATAGCGGCACTGAAGACCACACCGATGCGCAAACGGTGGACGCTTTCCTTCGTGGGACCGAAGAGAAGCTGAAGAGACTGCGGGATGAAATCGTGGGACGAGCAGGAACTTGTCGTGATAGTGATTCGCTGGAATTTACTGATGTGACAGCGGACAAGCTCGGAGAGATGGGTCACCAGGATTGCGATTCGGATTGCATCACTTTTGACCATCTGCCGGCCTCACCCCCCTCGGTAGATTACGGCAAGGTCAGCGTGCGTCATCCGACGAGTACCAGTGGTGATTCTCTCGCGAAGAATCTCTGTCTAGAGCGGGCGATCGCAGGCCTCTTTCTAGAGGAATCGGAGAAAACTGGGGAGTCGCAAGCGAGTGCGAGTAAGCTGTTGCGTTCTCCAATCATAGACGCAGCATCCGACGACGCCGATTTGGGGTTTGCGTCCGTGGTGCTGGAGCCCGCAACCCTTGAGCCTGAGTCTTCAGTTATGGTTCGCTGGCCCCACACGACCACCGAAAATCTGTCTCTGACTACTCTCCCGTCGTATGTACGGACACTTACGGGTGGTGTTACGAAAAATGTGTTGCTTGCTCTCGATCGGTCGGGATCTATGGCCGACCACACATCTGATGGAGTCGATTTACCAAACGTCTGGCCTGTGGCGGTAGCAGCCGCCAAGGCGGTGCTTGGAGTTCTCGATGTATCTGACCGGTTTTTAGTAACGACGTTTCAGCACCCAGTGCAATTTTCTGCGTACGAATTTGTCCAGGCGAGTGCGCAGAACGTGCAACTGGTCGAGGATTGGGTATCCAACAGAAGGCTACTGGCATCTCTCTCCAGATTCCATTCAAATTTGCATTGATCGGTATATATAAATGAAAATGAAAATCTATGTATATCAATTATGATTTGAGCATTTTATTTTCTCATTCTCATGGAGATGGATTGCGATTGCAACGTCTGACTCTGAAGCTGTACCTATGTTCAATTTCTCAGGCGTTGTAGCGTCATAAGTACACAACCATGAATACCCACATAATTGCAAGTGTGCAGGCACAGACTTGTGTGTTGCATACGGTTTCGGAAGATGCCTTTATCTGACCTGCATAGTGCTTGAACGACATAGTACCTGCGGATGGGGCACTGTACAGGAAAGACACGGACGAGGCTGAACGAGATTTCGACGAGCGTCCGGACATGGAATTTGGCATCGGCACTGGACTGATCACCGGCACACTCGGCGTCGTTCCGAAAACTTGGCGCGACTACATGAACGATAAACTCACCCCCACAAACGATACTGATACTCCTGTGGAAGACAGATCGCCTATACCACCAGAGCCATCGTCGCTTTCTCATGAGTCGGAACAGGTGACTCACGAATGTCGATGGGCTTTTAGCGAAACTTGTGAGAAAACGTTGGTAGTAGTGATGACAGACGAGGAGTTTACCGAAAAGCAATATGAGGATCCAGATTACCGAGTCTCAGTAGGAGGAGATGTGGCTGTGGGTCGGGGAGATTGGCTGGCCGAAATGCTGCTAGGTGGAAATGGAAACGTGGGTCCATTCGCATATGATCAGGGGGAGGAGCCCGCCGTCCGGTTTAGCCTGTACAGGTTCACCACAGAAGAGATTACTTGGAGACAGCCCGCATATCAATGGTAAAATTTTCGTTTTCTATCACAAAGCCATTTTAAGTCAAAAATGGGAAACACATTTTTTTATTTTTGAAATATAGTTGAGGGCCTAGCACCAGGCCGCGGACGATTACATCACGAAGCTGAAATTCAAATTTCTCCTGAAGTCGTGAAGACAGCAACGAAAGTGGATCTTTAAGCACACCCGGTGTGGCTCACATTTCAAGGATTCACATTCGTCGATGCATCGAACGATCGAACTCAGCGAAATGGTGTTAGTCAGAAGTGGTTTTCCCACAAGAAATACTGGAATCAATAGTAGATAGAAGTATGGACGAAAGTCAGTCTAAAATGAGAAGCTGATTGCGTCGCATGTCGTGCAGATCGTTATGCTTGATGCATTTGCCAGGATGTATGCGTCATTGATTGCTCTGCGAAGCGATCAAATGATAAATGATAATCATCCTCATCGGGCGGGTTTTTCAAAACTACAGCTACCATTTGATATCTGTTTTTCGATTTTGTTTCTCCTCTTCATTGTGTGTTGACGCTTTTAGAATGGTTGCGAAAACGAAATTTTCCCTTTCATACCTTCGGCGGTGTCTTCCCCAACATTGCCGCGAAGTTTGATGGCACTACCGAAGCAGTGTCGCGGAACGTACCACAGAATGATCCGCGTGCCTTACCGCAGCGCATGGGGCAGTATTGGAGGACATTAATGAGCACGGCAGGGGAAGACCAGGAGGCCATTATCTGGTCGGCTTTTCAAGACGAGAGCGAGGGTTATCAGTTGACAGCCTGTATGACGCTCACGATTCCAACGGGCGGTCAAGAAAGTGAAGAAGAAGACCTGCGTGGCGTTGTATGTCTCGACCCTCGTGCCGCGTTTCCAGTCAGTCTTGTGCAGCTGCAATGTATGGGTAATGTTGGCGACTTCGACGCGACCGTGCGAGCAAAACTCGACACGGCTTTGTGTAATATGACGGAGCAGAAGGAGACACGTTTGAGCTACTGCGAGAAGCTACAAGACGCGTTGAAGTTGAACAGGACAGCAGAGGGCGAGCCGGTAACCACGGAAGTATTGGATTTGTTGACTCGCTTCCAGGGTATAGAACAACGTGATACTCTTGATGAGGCTATTATGCGGTCTCTGACCGCGATTGAATGCGAGTCTGGAACGTGCGACCATTTACAAAGAAACACGGCGAAAGCAGAAGATGCACCCACGGGCGCTTCTGACAATTGGACTATGCGCCGTACCATGCATCCGACAGGAACTTTATTCGTGACTGGAGACGAGGCTGTCAGCGACACGTTGCCGGAACAAGCTGTATGCAAAAACACTACCGAGCCCGAGCCAGTTCCTGACGTGTGTGTGTGCAACAACGTATCGCAAAAAGAAAGCAGACCCCCAGCAAGAGAACATTTTTTGGCGGTCAATGTACTGTGCATTCCACGAATACCTCAAAGCATTGATTGAGATACATTAGTCAAATTGATTCTTTTGCGATCAAAAAAGGGGCAGACGCAGGTCCAGGAGCCGCCCCGAAAAATGATCGCGGGCGAGGTTGCGACGCACTATTTTCTACGCGTCGAGAAAAACCCGCACAGACGAAGTTCCAGCGATCCTTTTCTGCATGTTGGTCTGGTTGCCCCTTCTGAACGAAGCATATTTTGTGTTGATTGAACAAATTCGTTGGCTTCCATATGCATTTTGATTTTCCACGCTGCGAGGGACCAAGTCATGTTCTTTTCTGACTGGAAGGGAAACGCTTTTCAACATGACAGAATGGACAGGTCAACGAGACGGCGAACCTCGTGTCCTGTCCGCTGGGTAACAACAAGCAAAATTGTGTGCTCGATCAGTGTCACGACGGCTACGAAATTCGAATGAACTGGCCGGACGATGGTGAAGTCGGGTGTTATCCGAGCTGTGGTGGCGCTCAATGTCTCACGCCAGATGGTGACGGCGTGTACCACTGGCGGAACATGGCGAAGGGGGATAGTGAGTTGTGTGGTCTGGAGAACGCTTCCTCGCCGGTCCTCACCGACGACAAGGCCCTCGTGTTCAACGGTGTCACAGCAGTTCCTGCCGTTATCACCGCTTGCCAAGATTCATGCTGCACACAGGGCTGCAAAGCACCCGATGCAGGACAGACGCAGTATTTTGATTTTGTTTTCTTGTCGAGCACCACAGAAACTACACGCTTATAGCATCCGTCTCAATCAACACCCGAGACCACGGCCGCCTGATCTATGCCATCCCCATGATCCCTATTCTTCTAGGCATAAAACTCACATTTACACAATGATAGATAAGTACTAAAAAACCATTACAGGGCCTATAACTTTTCGCTCGTTACGGAGACGGAGTGGAAGCGGTTTCTTACTCTTGACGCGATGCTATCCTGCGGAACAGCGCTGGCTTGGAATATTTGCAAATTCAAAAAAGAAACAAGTAAAAGTAGGGGATTGTGGATCCGGAACAGGCGCAATCCAATCTGAGGAATTGGAAATGTAAAGAAACGTATATATTTGCTGCAGAGATGGTTTAGCCATGTGCTGGAGGTAATCCGAGGTGATTGCAATAAGGACTGTGGTCAGAAGATGATGTAGTTCGATAAAGCATGTTTCTGTAGGATAGTGCCAGCCCGGTGCGTCGAATGATACCGCGCAATTGGAACAATTGCACAACGCCAGTTGCAGTATTGGGTACACCGGAGCGCCATTTTTTTACTGCAAGGAATCCGGGATGGAACTACAGAAGGGTGGTTGTGTCGTTCCGCCAGTCACGACCATGGCCCCTCCCGTCGGGGGCTGCATTCAGCCGGACGCAGACGCTTTGCCCGGATACGATTTTACCGACGTCGACTGGGCCACTTTTCTCGCACATCCAGATATGCAGCCCGGGGCGAACAACACGGAAGACAGCGCAGTGCACGAGAGCAACGCCGTTTGTGCGAAGAATTTCACAGGTACGCCGAAGTTTTGGTGCGTCGCCACCGGTCAGCCGGTGCAGGTGGCCGGCTGCGTAGTTAGTGAGCATCCTCAACCGACGAGCACAGTGAAACCGACAACGAAAGGCCCGCACGAAATTAGCACCTATGGAATGCAAACATTGCTGTGGGTCAGGGTTCTGGTTGAAGATACTTACATGCATAAGGAGATGTTTGTATCCGCGCCCTGTTTCTAATTCTGTCATTTTTGAACGAAGCAGTACTAGTCTAGCAGCCAGCAATTTACTTGTCCAAATGCTAGTACAGACCATGTTGACCACCACGGGTGGCCAAGGGACCAAACATTTGAGAGGTCCCACGTATCGTGACTCGAATTTCGATCGGGAAATCCGAATCGCAGCACGGCAGCATGACAAAGCACGGGCACTTCTCGTTCTGATTTATTGCCATGATCACAGTCACAGATGACAAAAATATCTTTCTACCAGACCCGGGCATCACAACATTTGTTCCCGTGCATAGCGCGAGTTCCACTACCTCAACGACTACCGTTCCTGCGGACCCCGGTGGCCCCCTAGCCGCACCTCTGGTCGGCGGCCTCGGGGCCCTCTTGTTGCTGCTCCTGCTTTTGCTGTTGTTGTGTTGCGGCAAGAAGGAGGAGGAAGCCGCGAGGGAGGCGGCGCCGCTTTCGGCGGGAGAGGAGGGCGACCGGGGGTGGGATTACAACCCCGCGGTCGCGGCACTGGAGCTGAATCTGGGGGACTGCGAGAAGGCGCTGGTGGGTGCCGGGCTCACGGCGGCGTACGCGGCTTCCGCCGCCCGGCGCCTGGCCGGGGCGGACAAGGACCACCAGAAGTTAGAAAAGCCGACGACGGAGGGGGACCTGCACGCCATGCAGCAACTGGGGATGGAGTTTGACCTCGACGACGGCGTGGAGATCGGGTTTCTGCGCGGCATGATGCGGAAGGCCTACGCGAAGCGGAAGAAAGACAAGGTCAGCCTGGGCACGGCGCTGCTGGACTGCGGGCAGGACGTGAGTGCAGCGGAGACGGTCCTGCGGTACCACGGCATGACGGCTGCGGGCGCGCGGCGGGTTGCCAAACACGCCGCCAGCCCGGTCCTCGACGCGGAGCTGCTGGACCTGGACGACGGCGACCTGAGCGCGGAGGACGCACAGGTGCTGCGTGACCTGGGTCTGCCCGACGCCGCAAGCATATCGGCCGGCGCGCTGCGCAAGATGTTGCGCAAACACGCGGGGGAGGCGGGGAACAACGACGAGGAAGACGAGTTTTCCACCTTGAAATTTGACTTTGCCGTGGTCGAAACCGCGTTGCGGAGCGCGGGACTGACGCCCGCGTTTGCCAAGAAGTTGGCGAAGCAGGTGGCGAACAGAGCCGTGGAAAACGATGACGAGCTCCTGAAGCCGGAGAGCAAGCAGGACGCGTCTATCCTGGCGCGGGTGGGGCTCGACTTTGGGGAGACCGAGCGCGTCGGACGGGTGCGAGACTTTTTTGACAAGGTTGCCAAAACCCAGGGCAAGAAAACCCAGACCCTGCGCGCCTGCCCGCTAGAAGAAGCGGAGGAGCGCTTTCTGGAGGCGGGGTTCACGCAACGGTCGGCGGGCTTCCTCGCGGCAACGCTCGTGCGCAAGGCTCGCGACGCGGAGGACGTGCTGGCGCTGTCGCCGGAGGAGCGGGCGGAACTCGGCGCCGAGGGACAGGACGCGACACTGCTCGGTGAGATCGAGCAGGCGCACGCGTTTTTTGGTTTCGCGTACCGGACCAAGGGGGGCAAGACGACTCCGGGTGTGCAGGCACGCACCGTGGACGAGGCCCGGGGGCAACTGATGGAGACCGGGTTCTCCGAGAGGGCCGCGGGCTGGCTGGCCAAGAACATGGTGAAGAAGACGCGCGAGGCCGAGGCGGACCTGGCGCTCTCGGCGGAGGACCGGCGCGAGCTGAGCGCCGAGGGCAACGACGCGAAGCTGCTCGGCGAGGTGGAGCGGGCCAATGCTTTTACGGGCTTCGTGTACGACAAAGCGGACCAGAAGGGCGCGCACAAGTTGCAAACCTGCACGGCGGAGGAGTCGCGGGGCCGGTTCGTCGAGGCGGGGTTCTCCAAGCGGGTGGCGGGCCTGCTTGCGTCCAAGTTGCACAAGAAAGCGGCCCGCACCGGGTTGGACCTGGCGCTGTCGGCGGCGGAGCGGCGCGAGCTTGCCGCGGAAGGGCACGACCTGGAGGTTCTTCAGGAGGTGGAGCGCGCCAAGGGGTGGGCCGAATTCGCCTACCGCCCCGGCAAGCAAGGCGGCCACAGTCTCGAGGTGCGCACCAAGGAGGAGAGCCGCGAGCTCCTCGTGGAGGCGGGGTTTTCTGACCGGGCCGCCGGCATTCTGTCCGCGCAACTGATAAAAAAGGCCCGCAAGGTGGATCTGTCCCTGACGGCGAAGGATCGGAAGGACCTCAACGCGGGGGAGCAGGATCTCCTCCTCCTCGGGAAGCTGGAGAAGGCGGAGTCCTGGCTGAGTTTTGCGTACGCGGAGAAGCCCGTGGCCCCGGCTATCGATCTCCGGGCGCTCGCAGCGGCGGAGTTCGGCGGCACGGAGACGGTCGCCGCCTTCGCAATGTTTCAAAAGGCCATGCCGCCCCGGAAGCGGTACCCCAAGGGCGTCAAGCAGGCGGCTGCGTCCGACGGCAGCGAGGAAGACGACGATGACGACGACGACGACGAGGAGGACGAAGCGAGCTCCGAGGACGAGCGAGACAGCAAAGGGAAAGTGAAGAGCAGCATCGCGAAGAAGAAGGGCAGCAAAAGGGCACAGGCTCGCAGCCGCAGCGGGTCGTCCACGCGGAGCAAGGGAAAGAAGACCGCGCGGGCACTGCCGAAGAAAAGCCCAGCCAAGCCGAAGGCGAAAGTTGCGGCGCTCCCGCCGGGTCTGCTTGGCGAGGCGGAGGCCGCGCTGCAGGCGATTGGGTTCACGCGGCGGCAGGCGCAGCTGATCGGGCAGAAGATAGCCGGCACCGCGGCGGACGACTTGGGCTCGGACGCGGTCACTCTGACCGACGAAGAGCTGCAGATTGCGCAAAAGGGCCTCAACGGGGCCGCAATTCTGGACCTGCAGGACCTGGTGTGCGAGCTGGTGCAGCAGAAAGCCTCGTTCTTCAAGGAGTACCAAGGTGGAGAGGAAGAAGCGCATGATGAAAACGAAAAAGACGAGGGCCAGCAGATCTCTATTCTAGCGAGTGCCCGCCGCGGCAAGAAGAAGGCCAAACCGAAGAAACGGGGAAGATAAATTTTTACAACTTGTTGATGTTGATGTCGACAAACACAGCGGCGAGTTCAAAAGAACGATTCATCGCTACTATGTGACATTCAACTCCAATCCTCGCGGATGTGAGTGATGAGCATGTCAGATTTCAATTTCTTCACAAGACATCATAGACACACGAACTGCCATTTTTTAGTTTTCTTTTCTTTGTATTGTACTGTTCAAGTCGACATGCCGTTCCCTATCTACAAATTCGAGTTCAACACGACCAAAATTAGAATATGTAAAATCAATCTAAGTATTTCTACCTTGTAACCCCATAGATAAGATCAATCCTTCGTTACCGTTTTTCTGAAAATCGTAGCACCTTGTTGAGCGCTGCAGGAGCATAAAGTGAAAAATTAGTAGTATTTTAGAAATACTACTAACAAGCATAAAGTAAAACAAATTTAGCATGCAAGTGTTTCAAGTTTCTCACATGTCACATGTTGACTTTGAACATGACCCCGAAAAAGTAAAAGAAAAGACAAAGACTAAGATTGCTTGACGCCGCAGAAATTTCTACCCCCACGACCCACCTGAGATCAAACCCAAAGTGATATTTTTGCCGTTGTGCTTTATTCTCCTTGAGCTTGAGCCCATACGCGCAGGAAACGGAATAGGAAAGCACCGCTCGCCTTGTAATGGAAAGTGGGCGCGGTGTTTTTTGCTTCGTTTTGTGCCGAAGGACGAGAAAGAAGTCGGCAAGAATGCATCTCCGAAATCCGCCGCGTTTCACTCATCGGATTTTAATGCAGCTTTGTATAACAGGAAATGGAAAACGAAAAGGATAAGGAATAGGATTAGGAAGCGGAAAAGTTGAGAATGTCGTTCGTAAGTACAACTTGTCCGTCGTTCTGATGCTCTGAAAATTGACGTCTTTGCAATTTGGTTTTCGTCTTAGTCGTGCAGGATTTCCAAATTCGTGCAAGCAGAACATGAAGATAAGACCAAAAAGAACGAGCCCCTCTACTTTCGTCCTGTTTCCATTGCCACTCATTTGTATTATTCGCTTTCTGTTCGTTTCGTCTTCGTAGTTCGTTTGCAGGCAGTGCGTTTCGTCGTTGTTGGATGCCTTAAATCGTTCACGGACTTCGTGTGTACATGTTCACCAGGAACACTCGGGCCTGTTTATTGAATGAGCATGACGCCTCTTGCTGCAGTATCGATTTTACTGCAAAACTTCCTGCTTTAGTAACTTTTCGGATATAAAAATCAATGGTTTTAGGTCGTAAACTATCGTCGCGAAAAAAGTAAGTCTTACATCTTGTAGAAGTCAGCTTTAGCCAGTCTATCCGCTTTATCTTTCAGTTAGTCTCAGGCAAAGGTCTCACATTTTCTTCATTCACTTTGCTGCAGGAGCTCTACCACTGGACGTTTTGTGCTCTCCGCTGCGTCGCCGCTTCGACTTCACGCACTCAGGCCTTCGTCCTGTTTTTCAAAAAATAAATCTGCCATCAATCTTGAGCACTTACTAATGTTATTCGTTGTAACTCGCATATTTTATTGTGTACACAGCAACATGATGTTCTTTTTTTCTGGCTTTGACATCTCACCACTCTTCACACTACACGACTCATTGTTACATGTAGTCATGTTCTGGGGCACTTTTACTTGGACTTGGAGTTATAAAGTAAGACTCTTCGTCGACTGTAGAGGATGGAAAAAAAAATTTTTTGTTGGGGAAATTGTGACTAAACTGTTTAAATTATAAGGACAAGCTGTTGAGTTTGAGTTTCCTAATGAAAAAATAAAAACCCTCTTCTCAGGTCGTTCTCGTTGATCTATTGGAGCTACGAATAGGCCGACATCGATCCGTGGGGAGTGGACTTCGTAAAAGGAATTCGCAAGCACTCGGCGTAGTTCTCACAAAAAAAAAGGGGGTCGTGTCTTTCATATGTATGTTGCAGATGCTGAGTTGGTTGTTATGTGGCTTTTGCCGCTTCGTATTGATGACTCAAAGCCTGCATTTTCTTATCATGCCGCTTCACGCTAGGCACTACATTGTGACGGACTCTCCTTTTTTTTTTTTTTGCCCTCTTCCTTGCAGACCTGCATTCGGCTCATTCAATGAGAAAATAAAGCGATAAAGAAAAGAACGATGCTAGACCCGGACTACCGCGACGACGCTGACGCCCCCGAGGACCCCACGTCCGTCGGCATCACCGATTCGGCGATCGTGTTCCGTAGCCTGTACTGGAACATGCGGGGAATAAAAAACCGGAAACGGACGGACCGCCTAATTGCCGCAACGGCGCCGCGGTTTGAAGACTACGCCGAGGTGAACTGCTCCGCGGTCCCCAAGTCGGAATTTTCCAAGCAATTCCGGAAATTAAACACGTTCTACAAGAAGCTGTACGCGACTGATGTGGATCTGCTGGGGAACATTGTGGTGGGCGGGATTTTCGGCACGGAAGTGGACGCGCCTGGTAGCAACGTTGCTCCCACAGCTGTCGACGCCTTCAAATGTTGGAACATCTTGAGCTACGACCAGCAGACTGACGCCATCCAAACCTTCGAAACGGATCCCGACAATTTCCTGGCCTTTGCGGCAGCAGGAATCACCTCGGACGAGGTCCTCAAGATTACCATATACACGCCCCCGCGGAAGCGAAAGACCAATAGGTGGGACGCTGCACACGTGCAGAGACAGTTTACGGAGATGCTACGCGAGTGGACCAAACTGCTCGAACTTTCCAAGCGGATTATCGTTCAGGGCGATTTCAACTTCAACTACAGCAGCTTCCCATCTGTCTGCAACCATACAAACTTTTCCAACGACCACTACGAGCTGTACATTGTGCCGCTGATGGAGTGGATCACGATCACCGCAAACGCGTCCTTCATCCCATTGAAGGGCCCCACGTGCTACTCTTCTGCAACCTCGCCTTCCACCATCGATGGCATCGCCACCCGGGGTTTTACACATGTCAAGGCCGAGCGTGTACTCCTCAAAACTGATGGAAACTTCGTATGGCTTGACGACCCGGATGGCGATTACGATGCGGAATTCATCCGCCACTGTTGGGCGGATCACATTGCCCTCCTGGGGACGTTTGAGTACGACACCACCGCCACGCCGGGCATGAACACGGGCCCACATCCCGACACGGATCCCGCAGCCGAGCCTGCCCGCCCCCCCACGCCTGCCATCCCCACAGGAACGGACGCGAGCAACTTCCTCGGTCGCTACGAGGATTGCCAGGTTCATGATGACCAGATCAACTTTTTTTTGAAAACTCGAGCGGGTGGCGCGCAGAACTTCGCTACAACCATCACGCCCGCTTCTGAAAAAGAAGCCTTCCCTCCGAGTAGCGGTATACGAATAGCTATGAAGCGGAAAGACGACCGACACGACGCACACACACTACGCCAGGCCCTCTCGGAGTACGCCGCCACACGGCCGCCACCGAGGAACAGCATCCTGGCCTTCGAGCGGTGGGTTGCTTCTGCCATGTGCGCTAGCAGGCTGGTCAAAAAAGCATCGGGGTACAAGAAAGAGAAGAAGGTAGTTGCGGGGGGAGATGCTGGGGTTGGGAATGATGAGGCCCCACCATTTCCGGATGGGCCTGTGGACAATCGCGACGACGTTTCCGAGGCCCACTGTGCCGTCCTGCCTTTCGAAGACGACGACCCGGGCCCAGATCCCGCGGGACGAGACGACTCCGCTGTTGCTGCGCTCGGCGGCAGCGAAGATGTAGATGAGGACTACCGTGAAGCGCGGGAAAGCTTGGCGTTTTGGGACTGGAGTGTAGGAAGTAACTGTGGTACAGGACAGGACGACGGCCTACAACTTGCAGATGATGAAAAAAGGGAAATACAAAAACTGTTCGGCAACACAGCAAAAATCCGGGAGAAAGTCTGCGGCAGCCGCAAGGGGGAGCCGTTACCGCCGCTCCACGAACTTTTCGACGGCGACACCGTGTATACCGGTTTGGCGAACGTCATCGTGGCTGTGATGCGTTCCCACATCATCAAGGGCGATGTGCTGCGGACCTGGTTTGGCGAGCCCGCCGACATCTCCCCGGATCTCCTCACCACCATCAAGGAGCAGCTATCCGCGGTAGCAAAAACGGTCCCCCCACTTACGGTCAGCCTCGCACAGGTCCGTAACTTCCTAGCGGACGCAAACCCGGAACTGCGAGGGCCTACCGGCGTCCGGCTCAAGTGTTATGCCGCATGCTCCGACGAGGTCTTATTGGCGTACGTTGACGCCGTGAACCATCTCCTACTGCGGTTTCAATCGGTGGGTGCGAGATACAGCACCGGCCTTATCGATGACGAGCTCAAGATTCTGCTGGTCGAGTTACTGGGTAAAGGAGGCAAAGTTACACAACTAAAAAAGGTGCGAACTATCTGCCGCGGGGCACCGGGAATCCGCATCGCCGCTGGTGTCCTCGGGCGTGAGTTATTGCAGCTTGCGGAGGCGTTTTGTGTGTGGGGCGTAACAGGCGCTGGATCCCGACCGAACTCGGCACTAGCGCTGTCGATCCTTCGTGTCATCGATGTACAACTGCAAGCCACCGCGACCCGCTTCTACGTCCAAATCAGCGAAGACATATGCAATTACTTTAATTGTATACCACTACTCTACCTGCTGACGACGATGCGGCGCGCGATGCCCCATCCGACACTCCTACAGTTTTGCTTGTCCCTCAACATCGGAAAAAAAGTTATCGGGCGCAACGGCAGCAGCTTCGCGGTTGTGGACAAATTTAGCGGGGGCATCCAGGGTTGCACTTTTGTGATGTTCGCGGGCATCGCTCTGCAGGCCCGGGTCAACCACCTCGTCCGGCTCTTCATCCTGGCGTGTTACTCTCCGGCGACGCGCCGCCTGGAAACCGCGCGGATCCTCCGTGCCGGGAACGCTCTACTGCGCGACCTGCAAAAACTCCATCACGATGCAAAAACCTGGACTCCCTACTCCTCCGCTGATGTCGCTGGACACTTTGCAAACCCCGGCTCACCGGCCTCCGTCCGTTTCCCGCACTTCAATATCTTCGATACTTCAGGCACCACCTACCTCGAGAGCATCCTTGTTCAGGAAGGGACTTCGGAGACCGCGCTGGCGGACCTCATCGCCGTGGTGGACGACAAGGCCATCCTGATTCTCGCGCACATCGATGACAAGACAAATGGCAACCTGGGGCGTTTATTCGAGTTCCTGGCCAAAGCTACAGAGCTCTGCTTTCGACACACCGGGCAGTTCTTCTCGCAATCAAAATACGAGATGGTGACCGGGTCGCCGTACTGGAGCGACGAAAAGTGCGAGAAGCACTTAGAGGCGATGCGCGAACTCGCCGTGAAATACCTCAACCCCTTCGGCTGTTGCCCCTCGGTCAGCCTGTCCACGAAATTTCTCGGCTTCCTGTTCAACGCGGGGCAGACTTCGCGGGCGGTGCTCTATAACCAGATCGCCCACCGCCTAAAGTACTCACGTGTTTCGGCCGAGCTCGTCTACAAACACATGCGAAAAATGAACGGGGCGCAGGTGCGGACACTTTGCATCTGGGCATTCCTCTCCTGCGTGCTGCACCTCCTTGCTGTGGCTGTTCGGGTGTTCGATGACGCCGCCTGGACCGAGCTACTTTTCAGCCTCTCCCACGCTATCGGCGAATTTGTCGGCTTTACCAGCGATGACTTGAAATATTTGCTCCAGGCAAACCAAGTTGCGCGGGACGATTTGCACAAGATTATATTTAGCAAAAAGGTGATGTGCATGGTGGACCCACGCCTCATGGCGTGCAGGATTCTACGCAAGGGGGCTGCGAAGTGGACGGCGATTAGCCGGTCAGTTTCGGTCGTGCCGTACGCCACTACGTCGGTTTTCGCTTCCTCCGATCCCCACCGCTGGTCCGGCTTCGATGCGAAGCAGCAAACCGTGCTTCAAGATATCGCCGATGCGGACGCGTACCTGTCCGAGCTCCTCAAGGACGTTGCGCCCCCTGTCAAGTCATGTGTTGCATTGGGCAGACACTACCCGGACCCTGCGGACGCCGACGCCTCCCTCCGCGCCGCTGAAGACGTTGCAGCGAAAATTGCCGACCGTCTGCCCTCGCGAAGCCTGCTTGTGCCACTACCTGTTACCTCCGACCCCGCCACCTCCTCACTAGCGCGCAACTACCCCCCACCGAAGTCCCTTCCGGCTACGTGTGCTCCATTCCGCTGTCCCAAGGGCGCTTTTGAGTTCATCTTGGACAAGGAATGTGAACTTGTCGTCCTGTGTGAAGGGAGGCCGACTTTGCGGTACACCACGACCGACCACTACGAGATCTGCTGTCCGAAGACGCGAAACGCGGCGCGATACTTGGCCCTGGTTTGCCATGCGATTCATCAGATCCTGTTGTGTCCGGATGTGCAGATGGGACAGCCACAGCTGTTTATTTACGACCTGTCCACCAACGCCTGCCGCGACCTCGTGAACTACAGACAATTGTGGTTGCAGCTCTGGTGCTGGCCGGGTGTGGTGAAAATTTTCGATGGGCCGCCACGGGGTGAGCGAAAGCTCGACGCTCCCAGCACGAATGTCCGGAATTCTCGATCCACCATTTTGGAGCTTGCCGCCAGAGATGTTGGCGTGAGCTGGCCGATTCGCGACTACCCGTCCGTGCCCATCGACTTCAAGACCATCACTGACCACCTCCATGCGGCTCATTTCCGGAACCGCGTACACCTGGCATTCAAGAAAACAAAGCCGGACGCGGCGACAAGCGGCGGCGCCACAGGCAGCCAGGCCGCTGGGTCACAAGATATCGCGTCGTCCACGATTCCCGCTGGACCCGGGCCCCCATCTGCCGCTGCCGACACGGGTCGCAATGTCCAGATCGAGTCGCAGACCGAAGCCCCCGCGGATGGCGCATCAGCTGCACATGGACGCGCGCAACCGGTCGCAAGCTCCATCATGCCCCCTCCTTTGCCGGCCGAACCGCTCTCACAGCCGATGCCCCCCCAAGCCCGACCACAAACCGGCGCACCACGATCACGGAACGTCAAGGCCCCTGCGAAACCGGCCCAGAAGCAGACCAGCGCCAGTACTAGCACCACAGGAGCCGTGATGAAATCCGATGTCAAAAACAAAACCGGCTCCGCCAGGGCGAAGAAGAATAAGCGGGTGGAGCCCGCTCCACAGCCACTCGCCTGACATGGAGTTTCCCTCATCGAAGGATCAACAGTGTAGATGTCGTTTTCGTTCTGCTACTACCGTATTGGTACCCAGTAAGTATTGTGCTAGAGGTCGGTCTACTTTTACCAGTCGGTCCATCTGCTTCAGTGTCACGTCTAGTCACTTCGTTCCATCGCGCAAATGTATGTACATGGACCAATTACAAACTTCAAGAAAAACTCAAGAAAGCTCGAAACTGCCTTTATATTTGTCCAAGCAGATGACCACAGTATCTGTTGTAAAGATAAAATCTCGTGACGATCCGCTAGAACTGCAACGAGTGCCAGCTTCCATGTATCAACCGGTAAGAGAAAAAGCAAAAAAAACAAAAAATTCTGTGGCACGTATGCACTTCAATTTGTGCGTCCATTTCTCAAAACAAACAAAAACTCACAGGAACAGGGCCTGATGATTGCGAGTTCATATACTACATTTCCAAGACGTCTTTGCTTTGTTGTTGCGTGTGCGCCAGATTATGATTATGGGTGTGTCTATTACCAACAAGAGATTTGTAGTGCGGTATATAGTTGCGGTTGCCATCGGACATACACAGGATAGCAATTTTAGCATAGCTATGTCTCACATAATTTGCCATATCTATGATAGATTCCGCGCTGTGCTTCATAATGTTTTATTTTCCCATCCTGCTTCTCGCTGATACGTACTGTAGTGCCACTTTATTCTGTACCTTATCGCGCGTCCACATCGCATTTGACAGAGTGCATTTATTTCAAGATGATTTCCCCGTCCTTGACCTCTCCGCACCGCTACCTGAGCCACGGGGATTTCGCGTGGTCTGCTGATGGTTTGCGCTGCTTAGATGTCCGTCCGGTTCGGCGTAGGGCGGAGTACACGACCGGGGAAAAAAAAAACCACCTACTCGCCGCACCTTGCACTCAGGCGACCAGGCTCGACCACTTCTGGACATGTTGAGGCGTCGACGGGCCTGTCCCCGCCCCCCACGTTGACTCCCGCGCAGAGGACTACGACGCCGCGGTTCCCACCTCGACGGTGGCCAGCTCGGAGTTTTGCGCTGCTGCTGGTTCCCACCACGATTCGTAACCAGTTTGAGATGATTCAGACCTTCCTCGGCCTCGCTTCACCACCAGGTCCCGCCTCCGGATATTTAGCTCCGACGCCCGGCACTATGGCGATTCCGATAGCTCGCGACACCTCCTCCCGTCCAGTATCGCGGCACGCTCGCGGAAAAGACAGCTTTCCTACACCAATCATCGCGTCCCCGCTGGTGTCGCGCCCCACACCTCGACCTCGGCGACATTGGTTCTGCCTTCACACCGTGGTGGCCGATCAGACGAGTGGTTACGACGCCGAGGCTGCGCTCACGGCCCGCCTACGACCCCTCCCGCCATGGAGCCAAATTTGTGCCGATTTCCATCATCCCAGACACACGAGCCGCTTACCGGCCTCTCTCTCGTCTTGCATTTACTGCTTGACGCCCGGTTCCACTAGGGTACCCCCCCTTTTTAAGTATTCTATTTCTGTGTGAGCTGTATGTTGATGGAAATGCATCACAAATGCGGTCTACCAATGCCGTGCACGACGCGGCACCGCCCGATCTCGATTTTATTTTGCCGGTGATGATGACTGACCTTGATGAGTGAAAAATGACGTGAAATAAAAAGTCTGTTAATAGTTCAACTAGTCGATCCTGCGCCACATTGTATGTAGTCTGTTGAACCGCTCCTTCAGTGGACCACTTGTATGTCTTGTTCCTCCTCGGCCGGTACCGAATCGCTCCTTCGGGAAACCCGAGCTTCTGCCACCGTGAGACCGCTTCTCTCACTATAGCATTTTTTTTTCAATTTGTATAAACCCTCCCTCGGCCGTTTTAGATTGTATGACCGGCAGTCTATCATATCGGCGTCCGTTACCATTTTCATTTTTTGATATTTTGTAGCTTTCACGCAATTGTTACGACTTACCATACCGCACGCACAGCGAGTTCGAGTCTTTTGGTTATTGTTTTAGTGCTGAGAGAGGTACCTGGGAACCGCTTCTTCCCACGCGAGGTGAGACGCAAATTTAGGCCTCGGCCCCCCGGTTTACCGGACCTGACCGCCTCGGCGTTGAGAAGCCTCTTTGGACAATCAAAGAATTTTCTGTATCTGTATCTGTATCTGTATTCCAGTCTCGTAATTTTTGATGCCAGGAAGACGAGGAGGACGCCCCGTGGAGCACTTAGCTCTCAAAGAATTTTCAAAGGCTGTGGATATATCCAAACTTCACAAGCGTGTTGCCATGTATGTGCTATATGAGATAGTTCATTAATATCATTTGAATCCCGCTTTCAGACCAAATTTTTGTTTTCCTATGAATATGGCGTAATGTTGCCGCCGAAGCCGATGTTGATAGTGACCGCAGAAGGCAGTTAGGGACAGATTGCTGTGCTTATGAGTGTCTGAGTAAAAGACGCATTGTCTATACCTTTACTCCAGTAGTTCCGCCGGATGTCAAAAGGAAATCGTCGCCTGTGCGTGCCTCGGGCAGTTTCCCGGCGAATTGCGTCGCCCGCCTGGTTGCGGCTGTATGGTTTTTTTCTGTCTAGTTTGCAATTGCATCATCACACGTGCGCTGTTGAGGCCTACACATTCAAGCGCGGCCACCAGGGCACCAGGTCCACCTTTCCTTCGAAACGTCGGCGGGCCCAAGTTTTGCAGCACAGTATCAATCGGGGTGAACAACATGGGGACCAGCAAACCGGAGCGCTTTTCAAAAAAGTGCGGAAGGTAGGAGAGCAAGAAAAAATGCAGCAGAACGGGGACGCGGGCACCGGAGATGAAGCCTTTGCGGAGATAACACGGGGACGACAGGATTATCACGCGCAGGAGGGAATAAAGAGCCAAAACCAAAAGAAAAAGCTTGTTGAACATGATCGGCACCAACAAAATGGCACAGCGTCGCAGCAAGTCGCCAGCCCCAGTGTTAAAGACTACTTTGACGTCGTGGAGAACAAGCTGTGGCAGTTGCGCCGCAAGGTACAGGAAAGCGCAAACGCCTGCAAAGCTGACCCAGACTACGAGTTCGAGCCCTCGGGCACACCGCCCGCAGATGCACAGCTCTTCGGTAAGCTCGGGGAGTGCAATCCGACGGACGCTTGCTTCGCTATGGGAACGAAGAATGCGCGGGTCTCGTACCAGAAGGTCGCTGTCACCGACCCCGAAGATTGTCTGTCGCGGGCGAGTATGCAAGGCAAGCGGGGCATCCATCGTGTCGTGTACAAGTTTGAAGTTTGATTTAATTACCATGTAGGTGTAAACACTACCAAGTCTCGCCAGCGGCAGCGGTATCTGTCAAGTAAGCTGTTGCATTTGCAACTACTTGTGATAGGAAGTACACGGGGTGAAGAATTGGCAGCACTGGAAAAATACGAGTTATGATACATTGCATGAACTTGAGAGTTTCACACTATGTTGCTTAGTTCTCTGTTGTATCCCAGCCTCGAATACTTGTTGCAATTTTTGCGATGCTTTTGCCCCGCTATACCTTTTGCTCGGTTGCTTCTTCACGAGTCAAAAAAGACTGCGGAGCAGGACGGCAGCACTAGCACCAAATTGTTGCGGACGCCAATCACGGAGGACGCGAAAGACGCCACAGGGTCCGATCTGGGCTTCGCAACGGTGGTACTGGAAAAACCGCTCGGCGGCGGTGCCCCCTTCGTGGCGCGGTGGCCGGTCAGCGACCAGCAGGTGAACACGAACAGCGCCGCGCCGTGGTACGTGAAGACTTTCACGAGCGGGGTTTCCAAGAGCCTGGTGATCGCCCTGGACCGGTCGGGGTCCATGGGGGAAACCGAATCGTGGGGGGATGCGCGCAAGGCTGCCGCAGCCGTGCTGAACTCCCTCGACGCCACGGACCGGTTCTTCCTGATGACGTACCAGCACCCCGTGCAGTTTTCCGCGTTCGAGTTTGTGCACCCCACGGAGGCGCACTTAGAGGCCGCCAACCGCTGGCTGGAGCTGCAGGTCCCGATCGGGGGAGCGCACGACCGCCCCGACGCAGAGTTTGGAATCGGCACCGCGGTCGCGATCGGCACGCAGGGGGTGGTGCCGAAGGAGTGGCGCGCGAAGATCCGGGAGACCGTGAAGGACACTGACAACGACGACCGCGAGCTCCCACCGGAGCCGGCGGAGGACGACATCGGGTCAACGACGTCGTGTCCGCGCGCGGCCCTGAACCGGTGCGAGAAAACAGTCGTGCTGGTGATGTCCGACGAGAACTTTCCGCCAAGCCACCTTGACGACCCCAAATACGGCAGCTGGCTGCGGGAGGGGCTCCTGGGCGCCACCGCGAAGCTCGCCGAGGGAGAGGACCCCGCGGTGCATTTGAACGTGTACCGGTTCCAGGCCGCGCTCCGGGACGAAGTGCCCACCGTGGCCGGGCCGTACCAGAGCATCGTCGCCCACTACGACGGCCAGGCGGAGGTGGTCACGGGACACGCGGGCGACCTGGCGGAACGCATGGCCCGCTACTGGCGCAAACTGCTAGCCGGCACGGGCGCCGGCGCGGCGCGGGTGGTTTGGACCGCGCACGAGGACGCGGAAGGCCGCCACCTCACCGCGTGCGTGCCGTTGGCAAGTGACTACTTCGCTGCTCCCGCCGACCCGACGATGTCCTCGGCGGGGGGACCGCTTCCCCCCGGATTGGTGTGCGTCGATCCCCGGGCCGTGCTGTCTCTCAGCATGGTGCAGCTGCAGTGCCAGGACGGGTTCGCGGAGGAGCTTTCGAAACGGCTGACCGGCGGCGGGGCGTGCGACGTGCGGGAGCAAAAGGAGCGTCGCGAGCGGTACTGCAAAAATCTGTCGGCGGCGCTGGCGGAGGAGAAAAGCTATCTGACGCAGGTGTACGATTTTCTGATCAGCATGAAGGATCTCGAGTGGTCCGCGAAAACGTTGTCCGAGGCCATGGCGAGTGCGCTCACGCTGGTACCGTGCTACGGCTGCGACGTGGACACTGAGACGACCGCGGAGATGGACGAGCAACTGCAGCAGCACGCGTCGCAGCCGGGAGAAGTCTTTTACTACACACGCTCCTGCCCGGAGGCGAGCACGGGGCAGTGCTCGGAGCGGCTGGAAGTGGAATGGCGGAAATCATATCCGAGCCCCGACCTGTACAACGAGAGAGTGAACGGCACTTCCGGAGATCTTCATGGGGCGATGTCGGCTGAACACGACGTCAACCACATCCTACCCCAGGTAACGACCCTTCCGGGAAATCAGACGTGCGAAAAATCGCGGCCACCCGTGCCGCCACTGGTGCCTAATGTGGAGGTGAACGACGAGCTGGAAAAAATCGACGTGAACTGGGACGACACGTACAAAGAGGAGCCAGTGGAGAAGGATTCTCCTGTTCCTTCCGACGAGCACGACGATTCCGATTTGTGGGCCCGGATTCTTGCGGGCCTCGCGCTGCTGTTCGCGCTTTTGCTGCTGCTGTTGGCGTTCTTGTGCCCTCGGAACAACGACCAGGAAGACGACCCGGACCTAGCCTCGGGCGGTAAGGCGGACCGCGGTGGTGGAGACGACAAGAAGGTGCGACAGTCCTTGTCTCCCGCCGCGGCGGATCGATTGAGCAAGGGCGAGGGCAATCCTCGTGCGTCGTTGGTCGGGGAGGCGCTCGCGTACGACTTTGGCGTTGTGGAGACCGCACTTTTGACGGCGGGCCTCTCCCGGGGCTTTGCCAAAAAGCTGGCCGAGCAAATCACCGACCGAGCGGTGGAGGAGGAGGCGGAGCTGCTGAAGCCGGAGGACGAGAAGGATTTGGCGATCCTGGCCCGACTAGGCCTGGACTTCGGCGAGCCGGAGGAGGTAGGCCGGTTTCGCGGGTTTCTGGCGGCGGTCGCCAACGCACAGGCAGCGCGTTCCCGGCCGGAGCCAACCCTGCGGGCGTGCCCGCTGGAGGAGGCGCGCGCCCGCTTCCTGACGGCGGGATTCTCGGAGGAGACGGCCGGCTTTCTCGCGGCGTCCATGGGAAAGAAAGCCCGGGAGGCCGAGGTCGCCCTGGCGCTCTCGGCGGAAGAGAAAAAGGAGCTGCGCGCGGAGGGGCGGGACCTGGAGCTTCTCGGCGAAGTGGAACGGACACAGGGGTTTTATGGCTTCGCGTACCACCCGGGAAAGGGGAAAAAACCGCACGGCCGGATGGAGGCGTGCACCGTGGACGAGGCCCTGGACCGGCTCCTGGAGAAGGGATTTTCGGACGACGCCGCGAACTACCTGGCGAAAACCTTCGTGAAGAAAACCGAGGCGGTAGAGACCGGGCTTTCGCTCTCCGCGGACGACCGGCGCGAGCTTGGTGCCCAGGGGAAAGACTTGAAGCTACTCGACAAGCTCGAGCGAGCCCATGCGTTCGCGGGGTTCGTTTATGTTCACGAGTACACAACATCAACAAAAGGCGAGAAGAGCCCGACCGTGCAGACGCTCACGGTGGAGCAGGCCCGGGACCGGTTTCTGGACGCCGGCTTCTCCAAGAAGGTTGCCGGTCTGCTCGCGAAGAAACTGGTGGCGAAAGCGGCCAAAAAGGGGCTAAATCTCGTGCTTTCGGCAGCCGAGCGGGAGGCCCTCGGTGCGGAGGGGCGCGACCTCGACATTCTCGCGGACATGGAGCGAACGCAGGGGTGGGCGGGCATCGCGTACAAGCAAGGGCAGAGGGGCCCGCCGGCGGTGGAGGTGTGCACGGAGGAGGAGATGCGTACCCGCCTGGTGCAGGCCGGATTCACCGAGAAGACCGCGGGCGTGTTGGCCGTTAAACTGGCGGAGAAGGCCCGAAAAGTGGACCTGTCGCTGTCCGCGAAAGAGCAGGCGCAGGTGCTAGGCAAAACGGCCCGAACGCGGGACCGGATGTTGATGGCCCAGCTCGAGCGGGACGACTGGCTGGGCTTTGCTTACGCGGTCGAGGCACCCCCGGCAATCGATCTGGGCGCAATCGCCGAGCCTGCGTTCGGCGGGACCGAACACGCGCTTGCGGTTTCGTTCTTCAAGAAGATGATGCCGCCCCGGAAGGTCCGTGCCGGCGGCAAAGAGAAGAGTGCACGACGAGAGACAAAGAAGAGCGCACAGATGACTTCGTCAGTCAAAAGGATGAGTGGAATCAAACTGCAGGAGACTACTTCCGGCGGGAAGGACACCAGCAGTTCTGCGGGAGAAGATGGGGAAGACGCACCGCACGGAGGCAAGAAGAGTGGCAAGGCCACAGCATCCAAAAAAAGCGGGAAGCAAGGAACTTCCAGCGAAAATAAGGACACCGCGACCAGTTCTGCGGAAGAAGATGAGGAACAAGCCCCACGAGCAGGTAAGAAGAGTGCCAAGGCCACCTCATCCAAAAAAGGCGGAGGCAGAGCAAACAAACAGGCGGCAGCGCTGCCGCCCGGACTGCTCGGCAAGGCGGAGGAGGCGCTGCAGGCCATCGGGTTTACGCGTCGGCAGGCAGCCGTGCTCGGGCAAAAAATTGCCGGCACCGCGGAAGACGCGCTCGGGTCCGACGCCTTTTTGCTGACGGAAGACGAGAAGCGTGTTGCGACGGATGGCTTGAGCGGGGCCACTATCCATGACTTGGAGGACTTGGTTGCCGAGCTGGTCCACCAAAAAGCGGATTTTTTCAAAGAGTACCTTGAAAACGCGGACGGCAACATCACTTCGGGCCAAGATAAATCGGCAGAACCGCTCTCCCTTCTGGCAGACACCGTTTTAGACCCCAACAAAAAGACGAAGGGGAAACCAAAGAAGCGCGCCGGCGCGGCGGCAAAAAAATAGGATTAAGTAGCAGAGCCAGAGCGTCAACGTAGTTTAGTACTCCACTACGGAACTAGAAAGTAAGGTGTGCTTCAAATAGAAACTCGCATTTTCACCCCCAGGAGGTGTCCTGTCAGCGCCTGGCCAGAATGAAAAAAAATAAGTGAGTAGTTACTACCTAGATTCTCACTTGATAGGCCACTCAATCTCGATACGAATACTACTTGTAAGATCGTACTAACACTTCCGTGTAGCAGTACCAGCGGCACTCCTCACCCCTGTAATTGGATAGGCATGGTGTGAGGCTCAAGATGACGGTTACTGTTGCATTTGTTTTTCCCTTGCACTCGCTCTTCTCGGGTTGACGACTCACTACAAAAAGTCGAAGCGATGGAGATGTTGTAGTGGTAGCCGCGGTTGATCAAATCTGAAAGTGCCAAATTTAATACCTCAGAGGCAAGGAGAACAAAAGCTGTATAATCCCGACCGTTTTTATTGATTAGCAAGAAGAAAGTCGAAGTGGAGGTCTACGTCCAGGAGGATCAAAGAAAAGAGACGGACCACCAAGATCCGTGTCACCGCAGGTGTTTGTGTTTCCCGTCGAGAGGAGGACCAATTAACTTACACTTTAAACGTAAAGTCAACAAGTACCGAGGTGGTTCTGGTCCTCCATGTCTAGGTAGATGAAGTACGCAGCGCGTCTTTGATTCGGTCCTATTTGCACCTAGCTGTAGCTTTCCATAGTTTGCATTCGTGCTTCTGCTTTTGGTGTTGTTTTTCTGATCGCGATTTCGTCCTCGTGCACCTGCCAACTCCGTTCCACACGCTTGTCGTACGTACCGTCGTCTTGATCGTCGTGTTGATCGTCGTGTTAAATTACATCGTGTTGCCTTCTGTGATAGTAATTCCAATTTCGTGCTGGTGCTTCCGGATCCGGACATCTTTCTGCGCGTCCACTGATGAAGTTGTCTGAACTTGATGGCTGCCCAGGAATAATATTCTCTCCCTAAGTAGTACTTACTATCCTCCACTTCTAGAGACAATTACAGTTTCATCCCTAACCCCTTAAAGGTAGTCGATGCATCGTTCCAAGCATCATGTCTGTATAGGTGAAAGTATTTGAAATAAAAAACAAGTATGTCTTCTCGTTCTGTGCTCTATTGAAGGATTTTGGCTACCGACTTCCCCGGATTCCACTGTTGGTCTTACTGTTCGAAACAAAGAAAAAAAGAGTAGTGCGCTCACTGCCTTGTGGTACGAACGTATTTAGTAAGTAAAACTAATACACGCACACATCACTAGCACTACTCAGCTGCAGTGCCAGGGAGCTGCCTCTTCAGAAGCACCGACGGCCGCCAGGACGATCATCGCCACTCTGGGAGATTCCGCTGCGACCTGGTTTTACCGAAACCGATGATGTCTTTATCTAGCCTCATTTGTTTGGTAGCTGTCGCTGTTCACCTGGGCGGTGGTTCTCTATGGGTCTTCGATTTTTTTGTTGATCAGAGCCGGACGAGGACGAGGTTTGCGAGTGTTGCGGCCTACACGTTTCACGTTGCAAACACGAGAAATATGCGATCGTCCGAGCCGCGGCTCGGGAAGGTTGGCCATAAGAAGGGTGACAACCTGCGTCATGATGTTTCCGGGCCAGTCTCCATTTTTCAAAAAGGCAAGCGGCGAAAGCAGGCTGAGCGACAGCAGCGGAAGACGACTCTGAAACCGGCACCGCAGGGGCGCCGAACAGAAAAACGTCTCCGTGCTCAAGATGTGGAGGAGGTGCTTGCCCGTCGTCTGGACTCCGCAGCCGCGGAAGGTATCAGACTTGACAACTTGGCCCGCTGCTGCCTCCTTCGGGGTATCAACAGGCAATTATGTTGCATGAGAGCAGGAAATTTCAATTTTCAATTTATTTAGACCACTATGTTGTCTTGCAAAGCAAATTGAACGAAACGCAAGACGGGGCCTACGCCTACGTGGCTCGTTTCTAGTCGGCTTGCATGAAAGATCGTTGTGCAATAGATAAGCAAAGCGACCCACACACGTTGCTTCCATTGCTATCTATATCAATTTTGGTTCGAAGTGATTCATTGGGGGGGATGAGGGCCGGGATTTGTCAAACAGTATAGAGTACGAGGAAGGACTGGACATGGACAAACGCAGGTCCCGAGAGAGCTTTCTTGAGCAAAAACAAGGGCTAGACGATCTTGACGAAGCGCAGGCAACAGCGATGCCAGTAATGGCAACGAAAGACACAAGGAACACGAAGCCGCAATCCGGTTCAGCGTTCATCGCACAGGAAATACAGCGGGGTCGGACTGGGACGACCGTAAATGAGCGGATGAAGGCCACAGAGACAGAAGGATCAGGAAAAACCGGCACGAGGAGGACCCGCGCGGCCAGTGGTGCCACCCCTGTGGCGGATTTCCTTGCACAGGTCGAGAGTAATCTGAAGGGTTTACGGGACAAAATCGTCGAGGAAGTCGCAACACAGTGCGCGGAGGATTCAAGTGAGGACTTTGAATTTGATGGTATAGCATCGAGTTTGGAAAATCTGGGTGAATGTGGGAGTGACCAATCCTGTTTCGAGATCAAGAACGGTGTTCAAGTAAGCTACAGTCATGTGGGCGTGCAGAATGCAGCAGCCAGTGGGGCAAACACGAAAAAGTACTGTCTGCAGCGGGGAATTGCGGACCTTTTTCTGCGGGAGTCGCGAAGCACAGCGAGTGGAAAGCTGCTGAGGAGCCCCATCACAAATGCGAACAAGGACGAGCCAAGCGCTGATTTGGGGTTTGCATCCGTCGTGCTGGAGCCGATTGCGGCCGGTTCGGCAAACGACCAGGTGATGGTCCGTTGGCCGCTCAGCAGCCACGCGCCTGACATGACCAGCGCTCCGTGGTACGTGCGCACGCTGACCCGCGGGGTTACGAAAAACGTGTTGATTGCGCTGGATCGGTCCGGATCCATGGACAGCACAGACTCCTGGGGGCACGCGGAAACTGCTGCCAGGCGCGTGCTGGAATCCCTGGGAGTCACGGATCGCTTTCTAGTGATGACCTACCAACATCCCGTGCAATTTTCTGCGTTTGAGTTTGTGCACGCGACCCAGGAGCATGTCGACGCCGCAAAACAATGGCTGGCTGGCATTGTACCAGGCCTCGGGGCTGGTACTGTTGCGGCGAGCGATGATGTTAATGGCGAGGCGCACTCCCGGCCCGACGCGGAATATGGGATAGGAGCGGCTATCGTAGTGGGGACGTTGGGTGTGGTCCCGGATTCGTGGCAACAGAAAATCAAGAACAGTGTTGCGGTCGGCCAAGCGGAACGGCAGGCGGCTTCCCTTGATGTGCCCCCCCACAGGATCGACCTGCCGCCATTTCCGGTGCCACTGACAGACCAGGTGGGTGACTGTCGGCGTGCTGTGGCTACAAGTTGCGAGGAGACTCTAGTCTTGCTCATGACGGACGAAAACTTTTCCTCCACACAATACAACCATAAATTTGGCAAGTGGTTAAGCCATCTCCTTGGTGCGACTACGACAGTGGATCTGGACAGCGGTGCTGACACAACACCAGATTCCCCCGCCGTCCGGATGAACATATACCGTTTCGATACATCACAGTTCGGCACGCCCTCTGTGGACGGTCCGTTCCAAGCTATTCAGTGCAAAAAAGATATTTGTATCTAAGATCGAAATAGTAATAGTAGGAGGTAAGTCTAAGTGCAAGAACAACGCTATGGAAAAAAAAGGCTTCGCTTTCGCTAGCATGACGAGGGCCCGATGTCCGGTATGTATTTAAGTACATAGTTCGAATGCAGCGAAGATGTTGACGGATAAGATCGGATCAGCGAGGCCATTTGCGTTTTATTTCCCTGGTCATTATTTGGAAGGACGCTGCTGCTGCGAGACCTAGTTCGGCAGGCAACAAACAAGGTAGCTAAAGCGAAAATTGGTATTTCGATCTAGATTCAGAGACGTGCGCATTTGATAAGAGACATTGTCGAGCAGTTCCATGGTGAGGCAGAGGTTGTACAAAGACAAGGAGATTTACTCGGGGAGCGCATGGCGACCTACTGGCGAAACCTGATTTCGCAAGGCGAAGATAGCGGGGTTGTGTGGACTTCGCACGAGGATGAAGTCGAAGGCTACCACCTCACAGCTTGCGCACAACTGAATGTTTTCAATGGAGCGTTACGTGGCGTGGTATGTGTGGATCCTCGAGCAGCGCTTTCGCTAAGCCTCCAACAGCTGCACTGCATGGACGATTTTGCGGATGCAATGAGTGAAAAATTGTCTAGCACCGCCTGCAGTATTGCAACGCAGGCCACGACGCGGCAGACGTACTGCGACAATTTGACGAGCTACGTTGCCCCTGTTGCTCAGACGGAGCTTCGGGTCCAGGATTTTGTTGCTTGGACCTACCTTCGTTCTCAGGGCGAGACGAACTTGGTGAACCTCCTCAAAGACGCTGTCTCCGTGATTCCCTGTGGGCCTGGTGATCTGGGGCAGTGCTCTGGGTATCAAGCGGGTGCAGGTAATATACAAGGCTACGGGTATTCTCTGCAAATTATACGTCCGGGTTAGGGAAGTAAGTACATATTTTTGTCATGCCACCTTCCGAGGATAGACATAGAAATACAAATAGATGAACAAAATAGACTTTCCTGTACTTGGCGTGTTACGAGGCGTCTGATGAAAGTGGTGACGTAGTTCTAGTTAGTTACACGAAAGTAGGAAAAGACGAAACTTGGACAAGTCAGTGGAGTGCCGCTACCCTACGTGCACTCCGCTTGATAAAAAGCCAACATCAGTACTATTCACAGTCTTGTGGCTAGTTGTTCCCCTTTGCATCGTAAACACGCGATGAAGCAGCGCACTGCTGCTGCTTGTGCATCATCTAGCTACGCAGATTCTCATCAACTCCTCCAGATTGCATGTGAAATAGGCAAAGCTCAAGCTGCGCAAATTTCCCTGACCCTCACGGATTGCCCCCTCATACCGCGCAGCGCACCTTTGTGTATCCATCGAAGGACCTGTTTTCCACTACGCAAATAGAAACGCGCGCACGCCCTTGTCCGCCACAGCTGCAGTAGGCACAGACAGGAACTCTCTTTGCCTGGCATTATTTCTTGAAAAATGTTCATGTTGGGCATGGTAATGTTACAACTGCCTCTTATTTCAACTTTTCCGCGCCATCACTCAATCATCATGCACCTCCACCAGTGACATTGCAATGATAATTCTAATTGTAGGCAGCAGCGCAAGTGGAACACTGAGGATAATTTATTGCCGCCTGCCGTGCACGGGAAGTGGAAGTCAAATGAGCTAAGTAGAAGATGTTGAAAACGAAAAGCAACTGTTGCTGCTGCAGCGACTAAGTTCGTTGCGCGCTTGAAAGCATTGCTGGTCGGCGAGCCAAGCGGGCGCCTTCGATTATGGCACGACTTTATTCATGCTTGATATTTATGAGTATCACATCAGGCAAAGGCGTGCAGTTGCCACATCTGGACAGGTGTCCGCACAGCTCCCCCCTAGTCGGGTGCCAGTCTGCGAAGCGCAGCTATTGTGCAGCTGTCGACCGAGGGTTTGAGTAAGAGGCTCAGGTGGGCCACCGAATTCCAGATCGAAAAAGTGAAAATCCGAATGGCAAAACATAGGCAGAAAAGTGTTTCCTTCCAACTCAAACTGTCTGCATCAGCAATGTTCCGACTGTTGTGGCTTGCAGCGTAGGAAGTGGCGTGCGCTTTTCCCCACGATATTCGCCGGCGGAGAAAACTACGACCACCATCAGAACACAGGGCCTTCCGGCGTGTGTCCTCCGCCTGTATGAATTGCAAAAGTTGTGTCTGGGTCTGGAAGATTGCAACTTGTGATGCTACATTTGGATACTACAAAAATCTGTATTGCGTGAACAGTAAAGGAGGTCCAGTTTTTGCCACGGCGAGAGGGTATTTCTCATGCGGTATTAGGCATCAGGAAGCCCTCACAGAATGAATCTGTGATGCTAGGGCATGCATCACAGACGTCAAGACTCATGCAAACTGTGCTTGACAAACCTTGCATCCTTCCAGACCCAGACATTTTTGCAATCCATAGCCTGTCTGCCTGTGCAACAACGGAGATGTCAACGAGACACCTTCATCCTGTACCAAGAATGGGCACCAGAACTGCCAGTCTTGCCACTCGGGATACGAACCGCGAAGTGGCTGGCCGTCGGCGCAAGAAACGGGCTGTCATCCTGTTTGTGGAGGCATGCAAGAATGCCCAGCCCCGGATTCCACCGGCGCGTACCACATTCGGGATGATTCGAAGCCAGCCACGGCGTGGTGCGATATGCAGGACGACGTTGCGCTGGTTCTCGGCGGCATGAGCCAGCCGGATAGCACGGCACAAAGCGCCTGTCAAACTACCTGCTGCATAAAAGGATGCAAGATACCGGCTCAGCAGTAAGACTGGCTTTTTTTTTACTTCGATTATGAATTCATTTTCATTCATTCATGCAGGTGTAGAAGTAGTATTCTGACTCGCAAGTGCAAGAAGACTCAGAACCCCTATAAAATACAACATACGACGCGTACATTTGCAGCGCATGCGACCCCGGATTTCACCCGACCGATAACGGTACGGCGTGCGCAGAAAACGTCTGTGCGTGCGAAAACGGCAGCCCTTTGAAGGGACCGCCGATCTGCGCGGTAAACGGGGTGACGCCGGGATGCGCTACTTGCGACGACCCGACGTTTGAGCTCATTGACAACACCTGCGTCGCACCGGGCACGACAGCAACACCAAACACTACTGGTGGTTTTTGCATCCAACCGGGCGGTGGATCAGGCAGTGTCGATGTTGCCTACAATCTCTCTGCGGTTGTGGACTGGGTCGGGTTTCTGTCTTCCCCTGCTATGCAGCCCCCGATGACCGCCGACGCGGGAGAAATACTTGGGAACGCCTCGTGCGCAGTAGGTTTTGCGGGAGAGCCTACGTTTTGGTGCGCGAACGCCAGTGAGGAGGTGCTGATGACGGGTTGCGCGGCCGCGCACGTGGTCGTGACGGAGGAGCCTACTGATAATGTAACGCTCACAACCGCACCGCAGGTCGAGCCGGAGCCGAACGCGACCGACACCGAGGGCGGCACCCTGGCGGCCCCCCTAATCGGCGGGGGTGCTGGACTTCTCCTCCTGCTCCTCCTGCTGCTTCTGTTTCTGATGAGTTGCGGCGCGGTGGCGGCGGACGACGAGGAGGAGCTCGAGGAGGAGGAAGAGGAAGACGCCCGGTGGGATTACAACCCGGAAGTCGAGGCGATCGGGCTCGACTTTGGCGACTGCGAGACGGCTTTGCTGGAAACCGGGCTGAGCGCCGCGTACGCCGCGAAATTGGCGCGGCTTCTGGCGGGTCCGGAAAGGAAGGACAAGAAAGTGGAGGCGCCGACCGAAGACTCGGACCTCACCGCGATGCAGCACCTCGGCTTCGAATTCGATACCGACGACGGGGTGGAGGTCGGGTTCGTGCGGGGCATGATGCGGCGCGCCGTCGTCAGGCACAAGGCCGACCCCGAGCACTACACCTTGGGGACGGCGTTGTTGGCCTGCGGGTACGAGTTTGGCGCGGCGGAAACCGCCCTGGTTTACGGCGGGCTGACGCGGGCGGGTGCCCGCAAGGTTGCGAAACACGCGGCGGGGCCGACCCTAGACACGGAGGTGCTGGACGTCCGCGCGCTGGGCGACGCCGATACAGAAGCCCTGCGAAGATACTGGGGCTTCGAAGGAGCCGACACAGAAGCCCTACGAAGATACTACGGCTTCGAAGCCGCGAGCAAAAGTACTAAAGGTGGCAGTGACACTAACGTTTTGACCGCGGGCACGCTGCGCCAGGCGCTGCGGGCCAAAGTCGCCCGCGACGATACACACGAAGACGAGCGACACGTTTCGACCTTCGCATTCGACGTCGGTCTTGTGGAGACGGCCTTCATCAGTGCCGGCCTCACGCCGGCGTTCGCGAAGAAGATGGCGAGGCAGGTGACGGACCGGGAGACCCACGACGATGACGAGCTAACCGACCCGGAGGACGAAAAGGACGCGGAAATCATGAAACAGCTCGGGCTGGAGTTTGCGGGGCCGGAGCGCGTCGGACGCATGCGTGGATTTCTGGAGAAGGTGGCCGCACAACAGAACCCGAAGAACGCGTCCTCCTCCAAGAAGCTGCACACCGAGGACCAGATCCGGCAGCGCTTGGAAGACGCCGGGTTCTCCGAGAAGGCGGTTCGGTTCCTCGCGCCCGCCTTGGTACGGAACGCCAAAGCCGGGAAGTCGGACGATTTGCAGCTGTCTGCGGAGACGCGGCAGCAGTTCGAGGAGGTCGCGGAGGGGCACGACCTCGACCTGTTCGGGGGTATCGAGCGCACCAACGCGTGGGCGCCGTTCGCGTACACGAAGGGCGCCCAACGCGCGTCGCGGTCAAGCAGCCAGTCCGATCTCGCCGTGGCGATCGACCTGCGGGCTCTGATCGCGGGGCAGTTTGGGTCCACCGAACGAACGAGCGCGGGACCCGGTGGAATTATCCAACACGAAAAAGATGAAGCGTTACAAGACACTCAGCACGATTAATTGACATGTGGTCGGTTTTGCTGTATGATTTTCATCGTTGACATTTATGCTCAGAGGGTGTAGTTCGCACTTTTGGAATAAATCTGAGTGAATAGGACCACTGGGGCTGAACTAGGCCTGAAGCCAAAGCCATTTTTCCGCTGACGACGGTGGAACAAAGACTCTTCATTGGGTACTATCAGTATGAGAGTGAGTACAGGTACACAGTGAAGTGTAGTTCGTCGTGCGGGCTGGTTTTGTAAACACTTTTTTTTCCTTTTCCATAGCCCTGCTTTTCACCGCGATGCCGGCTCCGAAGCGTTTTCACCGAAAGAAGAAGCCGCCGCCGAGGGCGCCGGGTTCGGGCGATGGAGGGACCCCCGCCCCGGAAAGTCGAATTGGGACGCTTCCTGCGAAAAAGAAGAGGAAAAAGTCGGCACCGCCCCCGAGGCTGTGTCCGTGCTTGTTTCCCTCGGTGGCGGAGGATGCAGCACCCGAATCTTGTTTGTCATCCTCTCCGCCAACTAGCGCCGCGAGATCTACTTCCGTGGCCGCAGCCGCAACCAAAACAGACGGAGCCTCGCCTAACTCCCAAGGCGGGGATGCTGGGGATGCTTCTGCGGCAGCGGGTGCGAAGAATGGTGAAGAGGAGCAGCACGACGAGAATGAGCACGCCGTTGTTACCGTAAAACGGAACGCCACCGGCCTGGAGTCGTCCGGAGCGTCCTCGGCAGAGAGCGTAAGTTCTGGGGACACCGACGACGGGCACATCGGGGGGCCGTCCCCGAAGAAAAAGAAGCAGAAACAAAAGCTGAAGGCGAAGCCAGGCAAATCCAAATCGAAGTCCACCAAGGTGGGAAGCAGCGAGACGAGCGGCTTTCTCAACCTTGGTAGCGCAGGGACGTCGGATCCCTCGAAGGTGTCAGCGGTGACCGACTCCGCCCAGAGCTCCGGCTCTTCATTGGATATCCCACTTGAAATTTATTTCACTTTCGTCTCCGAATAGATTTTGGTGTACAAAATGAGTCAATGCTCGTCAGAGTGAAGAAGTCAGGACGTGGGGCTTTGCATCTTTGACCTGTGGAGGTCCTACTCGTTTTGCATGATATCAACTTGAGTTGTTCATTGTTGAGATACATAGCTGGAAGTCAGGGTGATTTTTTGAAGTGGGATGTCGGAAGACTCGTCCGGCAGTGGTGACAACGAGACAGGCAAAGGAGAGAAACGCCACGGGAAAAAGCACCCAAAGAAAAAGAAACCGACTGGAGCAGCCCCGGTCGCCGCGCTTCCCCCCGGGCTGCTTGGCGAAGCGGAGGCCGCGCTGCAGGCGATCGGCTTCACTCGGCGGCAGGCTCATGCGCTCGGGCAGCAGATTGCTGACACCGCCGAGGGCGAGTTGAAATCCGAGGCAATGCGCCTGAACGACGAAGAACGGTTATCAAATGAAACGACGTAAATCCTCGAAAGAGGACGAAACCGCGTGCAGCACGCGATGCGACCAGCTTGTTTCTACTTTAGTTTTTGCATTTCGTTTTCGACAACGTCTCCTTCTCCTTCTCGCCTAGCCAACACTAAATGCTAAAGTGCCTATGATTGATTCTGATGCTGTGATGTTGAAAAAGCGGGGTGAACATCAAATCGCTGGCTACAAGTCGAAGCCTGGCGTGCTGCAGCGCAGTATTTTTTCCAACGCATACCGGCAAATCGCGGAAAAGGGACTCGGCGGGGCCACAATCCTCGATTTGCAAGATCTGGTGGCCGAATTGGTACACCAAAAGCCGGAATTCTTTCACGAGTACACCGATGGAGACGATGCGGTGAACGCAGACACACAGGCTGCACTCGACCGGGGAGAGCCGGTTTCCATTCTCGCCCACAAGGTAAAGAAAGCCAAGCACCCCAAAGCCGGCGCAAAACACAAGCCAAAGGCAAAAGCCGCAAAAAAGCACCATTAACGACAACTTACTTCCAATGTGGAAAGTTTTTTTATCTGGTTTCTTGCACTTCCAGCACCAAATGCAAAAGCAAATCCGATCTGAAAGGGATGCATTTATGGTTACAGCAGATTTTTTGAACATAATTATAATTAACATCTACGTCAGCCACAGCGAAGTCGTTGAGTTTTATCTTCGCTGTTGCTCGCCAGTTTTTTAGAAAATTTTAAGTTTTACCCATTCTCTCACGTTCCCAAGATGTAGGTCTCATTCTCTTGATGAATTGCAACAACTTTTCTCGCGTCACGAGACGTAGCAGTAAATTTTTAACTTACTTGTTGCAGAAAACAGTCGTTCCCCGACCCATTCCTACAGGCAAAGTGCCAGTTTCTTTCGTTCCCCTTTCATTCTCTTTCTGATTCACGAAGCCCCGGAGTTGAATGACCTGCAGAAGCCAATCTTCAGGGTAAGTATCGATCCTAGAAATCTCGTACTTGATATGACGCCGAATTCGAGCCATTGAACTGCGTGTTCTCCAACGTGAGTCTGGAACTAGCATATCTTAGAATGCGTCCCAATTGTAGAAGCTGTGGAGCGTAGAAGATTCAATAGATCCGCCTACGATTGGTGCATTCTTTCATTGAAAGCATGGAGCATATTGTTTCTTCTTCCCTTTAGAAGTACCTTGAAAAGTGGCATCGTCGTGGAAAAACGTGAGTTACTTTTTTTAAGCTGCAGTAATATAGCTGACGCAAACGTCTACGTCCGTTCGGCTATCATTGCTTCTGCCACGAATGCCGTTGTCGTTCTGTATCGTGAACAAATTCTTACTTTTTGATCGTTCGTCCAGTTCTCTTTTCGTCCCACGACACTCTCGTCATCGCTTTTCATCGTCCGGTATTTGTATAAACGTACATTGAATCCGCCTGACTCCTTGCTTCAGACGTTGATGCGAATGTCGTTGGAGTGGCTGCAGCCACTCGCGACACTTCTCAATTGCTGTTGCAAGATAAGGTATCTTCATTTACTTGCTTCTGCGTGCTCAGCAGGCGATGGACGGCCCCCCTCACTTTTGAAAGTAGTTGCATGTTCATTTTACATTATTACCATTGCATTTGGAAGCAATAGAGATGTCCTCGATGCGTCGGTATTGAGAACGAGCACACGCACAGTCCCTTGTGATTCACACTTACGTGATGTTGACCGAAGCGTGTTGACATAATTTTCCTATACGAATTAATGGGAGTTGTAAAGAAGTAGAGGCCTTGACGCGGACGCGCACGATGATAAGCGAAAGCGAATGCCTAAGCCTGGCGCTTTCATCATCCCACGACCTGTATTCAGCTGATTGTCTAGGTCTTTTGTCTTAAATGATTTTTCGAAGTGATGAAGGATAAGGTCAAGGTTCTGAAGGTGGTGGCGAAAAGCGATCATCGCGTGCCGCCAGTTGCGCTTGTGCCATCGTCCGGTCCTATTCGACGTCGATGTGCCGCGAGTTCCATGCTGCGTGCTGTTCTCGAAAAGCTAACCGCAGTTTATTTCGTTTCCGGATGGTTGCTATTGCGGCTGGATGTCGATATCGACCAGGGCGGCGTTTTTGTTTCAGCCTTCACGTTCAAGCTGAGATCAACCAAAGCTCCGAACGTTGGGCGATCGAGAGGACAACCTCATCTGAAGAACACGGGTAGGAGGCTGAGAAAAGATACTAACGACGACCCAAAGGTTACGCCAGTAGCACTTTTCCAAAAGGTGCGTGAAGAGAAGAGTGCTAAGGCAAGCAGTGCGTCTTTCGCGGAAGAGCGCGTGGGCCACCAGGAAAATGCAGGCGCGGAACTGAATTTTCGGAATAAACAGAACCGCGCGGGGCAGCGGCAGGGTCGTTTCGAGCATGATAAGCGCAGCGAAAGCGGCAGTGGAACTACCCTGGGCGCAAGCGCAGCCGTAGTGGTGGAGGCTGCTTCAGCAACCCGTACAACGGTTGGCGCGAGGGCACAGGCCTACTTCGACCTCGTGGAGAGCAAGGTGCGCCAGCTGCGCCTTAAGATCTACGAGGCTGCGGCGGCCTGCAAGGCGGACGCAAAACCCGAAAAATGCTGCGGCAGCTCCAGTCCTCGCGCTACGTCGAGCTCGTCTTCGTCCTCGTTCGGAAGGATCGGGGAGTGCAGCGCGGAACAAGGCTGCTTCGCCATGGACACTACCGGGGGGAAAAGCGTGCGGGTCAGGTACGACGCCGTTGCGGTCACGGACGACCACGAAGATTGCTTATCACGAGCCATCGTCCACCTGTTCTTGGACGAGGCCAACAAGCCCGCGGAGGCGGATGTGGACGGGACGAAGCTGTTGCGCAACCCCATCACCGAGCAGAGCAGCAAAAGCGACGTCACCGCGGACCTGGGGTTCGCCACGGTGGCTCTCGAAAAACCAGGAGACGGAGCAAACCGTTTTGTGGCGCGCTGGCCTGTCAGCAATCACACGGTACGCACCGACCACGCCGCACCATGGTACGTGAAGACCCTGACGGGTGTATCCTGTGTAGAACCGTCCCCGGCCCATTCTAGCTTTCTATGTTGTCTTTGTGATGCGCCGTCGCACAACCACGTCTTCGATTTTCGCTCAGCTCTAGCAAGTACATGTGTGATGTTGTGCTGCCAGGCATTTGCATTTTCTATTGCTAATCATGCGCGAGTGCGATGATAGCGATACATATCCGCTACTGCAACTTTCTTATCTATTTATTAGGATGAGAGAGATGAGACTGAGAGGCTAGTAATCTCGACCACAAACACAATGCTGGTGGCTCGCGCTTATCATGCACAGACCTCCATCACCGCAAGATTTTCACTTAGAATCACCGATCCCGGGTTGGGACGAGGCTTTTACACGGGATACAATGGAGTGTCGAAGAACGTGGTGATTGTTGTGGACCGGAGTTGGTCCATGGACATGACTAAATCGTGGGAGGACGCGCGAGGTGCCGCCCTGGCCGTGCTCGAGTCCCTCGCCACCACCGATAAGTTCTTTCTGATGACCTACCAGCACCCTGTGCAGTTCGCGGCCTTCGAGTTCGTGCACGCCACTGCGGCGCACGTGGCCGCCGCGAAAGCGTGGCTGGACCTCCAGTTTCCGATCGGGGGCTCCACCAGTCGCCCGGATGCGGAGTTTGCGATCGGGGCTGCGATCACGGTCGGCACGCTCGGCGTCGTCCCCGAGGCGTGGCGCACGAAAATAAGCGGGACGGTGAACAATTACGACAGCGACGATCGTCGGTTGCCACCGGATCCCGCGTCAGACGCATCATGCCCCCTGGCGGCCGCAACACGCTGCGAAAAGACGATGGTGTTGTTTATCTCAGACGAGAACTTCAACCAGGACAAGTTTGACCACAAACACGGGACCTGGTTAAGGAACCTCCTCGAGGCCACGGAGAAACTCGAAGCAGATGAGGCTCCTCTTGAGAACGACATCGACCCTGCTGTTTACCTTAACGTATACCGGCTCGATTCGAGTCATGATAAGGAGGCGCCGCCGCCGACCGTGGACGGTCCCTACAAGACCATCGCCGGCCAGTTCGATGGTGAGGCGGAGGTCACTCGCTGGCAGGAGGGGGCGCTTGCGGATCGAGTGATCCGTTACTGGCAGAAACTTGTCAACAGCAACGACGGCGATGACGTAACGTGGAGCGCACATGAAGACGAGGAGGGCTACCACCTCACGGCCTGCCTACCGCTTGCACTAGATTACTATGTTGCGGCAGCAGGTGGAGCCGCAGCTGACACAGTCCCCCCCGGCCTCGTTTGCCTCGACCCTCGAGCGGCACTTCCTATCAGCCTGGCGCAGCTGGAGTGCCACACAGATGGCTTTCATGAGGAGCTTGCGAACCGGCTGAACGCCCGGGGCTGCACTGCGGAAGCCTTGAGGCAGCAAAGGGCCCGACGGGGAGCGTACTGTAACACATTGATAACGGCCCTGCAAAAAGACCAGGAGCTCGAGACGGAGGTGTTCGACTTTCTCGAAACTCTGCACGACGTAAATTTCACAAGCTCCACGCTCTCCGGGGCGATGGAGAAGGCGCTGACCTTGGTGCCCTGTATAGGTTGTGACCTCGGTAAACCCATTTCCCGAGAGGACAAGACCGATCCCAGCGTGAGATATTTTGCACACACTTATCCCAATGGTACAGAGGTGGACTATCTTCCCTCTTGCCCATCAAAACAAGATCAAGCGGCCGCGGGGGATTGCTCAGACTACGAGAAGCAGTGGCGACAAACGTATCCCCATCACGCCCTGTATCATTCCGAGGACGATGACGGGAACGGGGGTGCTCTTCCTACTGTGCAAGAACGGGCCAACATCTGCAACTCCACGATCATACCACCTGCAGTCCTGTTGACGCAATTGGGCGGGGGAGGTGTGGCGGACGAGGAAGTGCAAGCACTTGCCAAGAAGATGGACGTCCTCGGCTGGGTTTCCGGCGAAACGAGTGAAGAGCAGGAGACGACCTCTGAGGCTGACGAGGCTAGCGATGCCTGCCGTGTGTGTCTTCTGTTCGTCGTGATTTTTGCGCTGCTCATCATTGTTGTGCTACTGTTGTTCTGCTGTTACAGAACAGCAGGAGCACCACAGCGGGGAGGTGGCGCGCTTGTAGTGGATGAGAACATCTTTGCGTACACCCCCGCAATTGCGGCAGAGCGGCTCGACCCAGGCCGCGTGCAGCGTGCCCTGGTGGCCGCCGGGTTTAGTGCTGCCTTCGCGGCAACACTGGCCAAACAGGTGGCTAGCCCCGCGGCGGATCGCGCAAGCCTCAAGTGGCCCTTGCCGGGTTCTCCGGACTTTCGGGCACTGGAACGTCTCGGCCTCGACTTCAGCGCCCCGGAAACGCACGCACTCGGTGTTATTCGCGGCATCCTGCGAAAAGGCCTGGCTGTAATAAAGCGCAGGGAAGGTGGCGGGCGGAATCTGCGGGGGGAACCGGTGCTGGGGACGAAGGAACTGTCCCTCTATAACGCAGAGTTCCAAGCAGCGGAAAGCGCATTCCTGGACCTCGGCCTGTCTCCCGTGGGGGCTCGAAAAGCTGCAAGGCAGGTCGCTGGACCTGTACTGGACGCGGAGGCGCTGAATCTGACGGGCCTGAACGAGCTCGACGTGCAACGCTTGGAGGGGGAGCTTGGTTTGGAGACAGGCACCGACCGGGCCCGTACGGATGTCCCGATCGAGGTCGGCCGGGTGCGAAAAGCCTTGCGCCGTCTGTTCGGCGTGGATCGCGGGGACCCGAGCAGGGCGACTGATTCCGACCTGCGGGCCTCCCCGCTGTTGTTTGCGACGGCCGACGAAGACTTTGAACTAGCGGAAAGCTTGCTCCGGACCGCGGGCGCGAGCGCTGCGTGCGCGAGGAAGCTCGCGGGAGACGCCGCAGGACCGGATCTGGACGCGACACCCCTGGAAACACAAACGCTGCGGGCGCTGGACATCGCGGTGCTTCGGCGTGAGCTCGGTCTTCATGCCACGGTCGATCGGGCGCCGGAGGCGATGAAGCTCGGGCTTGACGCCACGGTCGATCGGGCGGAGCTTGACCTCGGCGCGCTCCGGGAGGCCCTCCGGACGAGGGCGGTGCTCGCAAAGCGCAAGGGCGGCAAGCGCAAGCTGAAAGAAGAGCTGCTGTTCACGACTTCTCAGCAAGATTGTCGGCTCGCTGAAGCAGCGCTCGTTGCCGCCGGTATGACCAGTAGCGGGGCGAGGAAGATTGCGCAGGACGCCGCCGCGCCCGACCTTGCGACGGAACGGCATCTCAGTGCCATCCTCAGTGACGACGATATGCGAATTCTGTTGCAGTTTTTGGAGTTGGATGAGGTTGCAGAAGCCGGCGGCGTGCTGACCGCGAGCGTTCTCCGCGGGGCCGTTCGAAAAGCAGTGGGCAGACATCGTGGGTCGGGCGGGGCAGCAGGTTCGCCCCCGCTGCTAACCACGTTCAATCTGAGCTACCAGACCATTGAAAACGCGTTTCTGAGCGCCGGTTTGACCCCGGGGTTCGCGCGGCGCTTGGCACAGCAGACGGCGGCGGCATCAGTCGGGGGTAACGAGGCGCTGGTTACCCCCAAGACTGAAGCGGACTGGCGAACGCTGGCGCTTTTGGGATTGGATTTTTCGCAGCCCGAGTGCGTCGGCCGGGTGCGCGAGTTCCTGCAAGTCATGGCGGCTGCCACGATCTCGGCTCGGTGCAAGGACGTCGTCGAGATGAGGGTCCTTTCTCTCGACGAATCCCAGCATCGGCTGCAGGCAGCAGGCTTTTCCGAAAAGATGGCCGGCTACGTTGCTGCCGTCATTGTCCGCAAGGCGCAGCAGCAGGGGGGCGCGCGTCCAGGGGGCGCAGTAGAGTTCTTGTCAGGCGCGGAACGACGGGAGTTGGAGCTCTGCGCAGAGTCCGTTGAAGACCGCGAACTCTTTGGCATCGTGGGTCGAGCCGGTCTCCTGCCTGGCTTCGTTTACGCGGGTTCCCGATTCCCACCGCAACCGGACGGAAAAACCGACGAGTGGTTCGCTGCGGACGACGAGATTGTGATTGATCTTCAGGCGTTTGCTCTTGGCGCGGAGCTAGGCGGAGCGGAAGTCGCGCATTCGGTGCAAGGCTTTGAAGCACGCAGAGTGGGGGCGGAACGCTCTCCTGGAAACCAAGCGATTGCGTTGATGCCGCCCCGAAAAGACGCGTACCCGGATCTGCGGCTGGGGACGCTGTCCTCGCAGCGGATGAGGAGCGGGGCGCCCCCATCGGCGGTGTCCGATATGATGCATCTTGATGACGAGCAGCAGACACCGACCGGCACCTGCGGTGCCTGTGTATCGTGGTGGCAAGCTCTTGTGGCATCGTGTTGCGGTAGAAGCGGCCGGATATTGCAAAAAGGACAGTGGCCACCTCCGGAGGCGAATTTCGAGGAAGGCGATGATCGTGAGGACGCCGGAAAGACTCCCGATGGGGCCATCTCGGAGGACACTCAGGGAGAACCAGGCGGCGCTGCAAGCGGAACAGATGCAGTGGCAGAAAGCGCCAAAAAAGGAAGCAAGAAATCTTTGGGTGCCGCGAAAAAGGGAACAAAGAAAAAGTCGAAGGCCAAGATAAAGTCGCAAACCGCAAATGAAATAAATGTTGCGTTTTCATCGTCGGTGGTGGTGCCGGCGCAAATTCCTCAGATCTCCTCTGGAATGTTTCCGGCGTCAGAGCGTCCTCCAGGAGAGGGCCTACTAAACGGTGATGAAAGGGCTACGCCAGCAGACGTCGATGGTGCGGTCTTGTCCTCGGCGCCCGGCAGTGTGTCCTCGGCGCCCGGCAGTGGGTCCTCAGGTTCCAGCCGAGCTTCGGGAAGAACAGGCGGGAAAAAAGTCGGGAAGACTTCGAAGTACCGGCTCGGGAATAAGGGAACCAAGAATAAGTTGAAGGCGGTCGGCGCGCTCAGCCGTGGGAGATCGCCGCCGGCGGAGCCAGTGGACCCTACTAGCAGTGCACCTGCTTCATCCACAATCACCAGCACCGCCCACGCGCCGGCCCCGCCGCTACCGCCCGGGCTGATAGGCCAGGCGATTGCGGCGCTACAGGACGTCGGGTTCGACCCCCAGCAAGCCGTGCTCCTGTCGCGAAAGATCGCGGCGGTCGATGCCGCAGAGCTGAACGAGAGGGCGCTGACCGACGGCGAGCGGGCGGTCGCGCAAAAGGGCCTTGGAGGCGTGAACATACCTGATCTGGACGAGCTCGTGGAGCAGCTGGTCGCGCAAAAGGCAGTCTTCTTCGCGGAGGCCCTGTCTCCGGAGTCGCAGGCGGAGGCCGGGGCCGCGCGGGACCGCGGGGAGCCTATGTCCCTTCTCGCGGACCGGTGCGCGGACCCCGTCCGGGGAGCGGCGAAAAGAAAGTGGAAGCTTCTGGCAAACGCAAATAAACCCAAACCCAAGAAGAACGCGGCTGCTGGATGACTGCGAGAGTTGTTTTTTATTTTTTTTCGCACCACTTAGTCTTAGATACACATAAGCACATTAGTGTTTTTCTCTGCCACCTTGACCTTCAATCACCACGACAAGGTAGATTCAGCTGGGTCGCTCGTAAATCCTTACTTTTTGGCAATAGGGTGAGGAGAGAGCTGGTGCAAGATATCGCTTTCCAGATGGCAAACAAGTTTCTGCACCCACAGCATTCGTTTTAAAGGCGAAGGTTTTGCGTTGCGGGCTTTTTCAATCGGAATTTCGTGCTGTTTGCATCGTGTTGTTCCTACTCGCAGCGCTTGCCGATTTGGACTTGGCTTTCGTTTTGTAGCACTTCTTCGACAATTTTCTCGTAAGAACAATAAGCAAACACTCGCGTTGATATTTGTAGCTCTGTGTTTTTCGCGTCTGTTTCTGACTTTGTCGTAAATTCGTGCGTGCAAAAGAAAATAATGAGTAAAAGATTCGTGATCGTGCTCAAGGCGTTGTTAATTTTCTCGTCCGCTGTTTCACTTCAGGAAACAATTCCGGGGGTGTAAAAACTTGAACTTCTACTGCTTGTCGTCCATCCGTTTGTTTGAAGATCGTCCTCTTGTTGGAGCGAGCTGTGTCGACACAAAAAATTGATGGATAATTATGAGGTGACACGAAAGCTATGAATCAATTTCAATGGATGCCGAAATCGCAATTTTTTCTGCCAATCTGTACACACAGGAAGTGAAAAATCAATCAGAACTACTAGTGTTGATGCCCGCGGCACCGCGGATATATTCTCGTTTAAATCTTTCTATCTATGTGTATGTGCTCAACTCGTTTTCCCCGACCAACGTCACCCGCCGAAGTTTGAGTGCTATGTACGATCGTAGTTTCTACTAAGTGATTTGTTCGTTGCGTAGTTTTTTGCGATAATAGGTGCAGCAAGGACTGGCATCTATTTAGGTATTGGTTTTACCCACTTCACACCTACTTGCAGGAGGATGCTGACCTCTACCGCTGGGCGCGCTATGCAGCACGTCGTTCGAATGCTTCTGGTGCCGGCGCCGGGGTCTTTGGTACTACAAAGTTTTCTGCCAAGATTATCCTTGGGATACACCTTCCGTACCGGTTTGAAAAGAAGCTCCCGCCACGTTAAGACCCTTCCGGTGACGACGAAGAAAGCAAGTGCAAGACCGATTCTACCCAGGAGAGAAAGGACGCGGCGACAGCAAAAAAAGACGAAAGAAGAGTATAGCACGCACGAAAATTTCCTTCAAGCCAGCTCTTCCATCAAGCAGCAACGCCGTCTACAGTACGAAGAGCGTAAAATAAGAACAAAGCATGGCATAGTTGAGCGCAACCAAGACGGGAGCTCCGGCATCACGTCTAACCCCAAAAGTGATAGCACCGAAAAGTACAGTGGGCAAAGTTACAGCACGGGTAAAGATTTGGTTCCTCCACTCGCTCCGACTGCAAGTTTACTGCAAATGAGTTTCAAGAAGGACCAGGACCAGGAGCAATTGCAATACGCCGCACAGGATTATTTGGACAGGACGGAAGAAAATGTGCTGGCTTTGCGGAATGAAATACTGGACATCGCAACCACTTGCGCAGGCAACCCTCAATATTATGCTCCGCAAGAGGAAGCCTATGCTTCGTTGGGGGTCTGCGATGCGCATGCGACGGATGGTGGCTGTTTTGAGTTCAAGAATAGAGTCGTTGTGAATTACAACAAAGTAGGGATCCGAGACAACGCGGAGTGCTTGCAGCGCGGCATTGCGCGCCTTTTCCTAGATGAAGCCCACAAGGACTCGTCCGATGCGCTTCTGCGACAGCCGATCACACAGGACACGAAGGATTTGGCGAGCTCGGATCTTGGCTTTGCAACCGTGGTGCTCGAGCCCAGCAGTGGCACAACGCCTGCATCTTCGAGGGATACTAGTGTTGCGGTCGTGCGTTGGCCGCATTCGCACAGTGAAGAAATGAAGGTCAACCACGCCTACACGGCACCAGCGGACGCCGCGCACGAGGTCTTGCAGTCAAGAGTGGAAGATGGTAAGGAGGTCAAGTATCTGCAGAACCCGCTGCGGAATCACGATTCGAGAAGTATCAACGCGCCCTGGTACGTGCGGACGCGAACCGGGGGCGTCAGAAAGAACGTCGTGTTGTCTTTGGACGTATCGAAATCGATGGAGCTCAGTGATTCCTGGCCGATCGCGCTGGATGCCGTCAAAGCAGTGCTCGACTCCCTGGATATCAGAGACCGGTTTTTTGTCTCCACGTTCGAACACACCGTGCAATTTTCCGCATTCGAGTTTGTGCACGCGACGCCAGCAAACGTCGCACGTGTCAAGCAGTTGCTAGAAAACAAGTATCCGTTTGGGGGCATAAACGTGCGTCCCGACTCGGAGTTCGCTATTGGCACGTCGATTGTGATCGGTACGCTGGGCGTGGTGCCAGGGGCATGGCGTGACAAGTTTCGGGATAGTAACGACGGCGCGGATCCTAGGAAGTGGAAATTTGCTGTTGCAGTTTTTGTTCCTGCTGTGCTTCATCCCCGCACAGAAGTGGTGGCCACCTCACGGCTAGTCAATTTCTCTTGCATGACGTTGAATTAGAATTGATGCTGAAGTTGGTGTATCATTGCACGAGACGAAAAATGATGTGCAATGTCACCCCCACACCATGGAAGCAGCAATTGTACTATCTGCTTTATTGCATTTCCATCGTCGAAAAAAACAACAAGCGAATCAAGCGATGACAATCTGCATGCTGATCCCCATGATCTTCAGCATGGCGAAGAAGATTATAGAAAAAGGAATCACATAATCATTTGTTTCTCACACAACGGACATATATACGTCTACGTCCGGGTTAGAGGCTGGAGAACGAACCAGCAACGCAGTAAATTTCCATTGCATACAATCCCCTGCTGTGGGCTTACCACCGGACGGTCATTTAGCGGATAGGACGTGTCCATCGAAGTCGTCCACTGTGTGTGAACAGACTGTCGTGTTAATCATGACCGATGAAGACTACAGCGATCAGTACGCGAGAGATGGCTCTGGCGAGCTGTTGAGCCACTGGGATGGCCTTGACCATTGGGACCAACATGGAACTGCGATTACGTGGCATGGCTACGATACGTGGATCAAAGATCTGCTACAAAGTACAGCGCGAATAACAGGCTCACAGGGTCAGCAGGGAGGAGCTTCTCAGGAGCCGGCTGTGTACCTAGACATCTATAGGTTTTACCGCGAGGAAGAAGAGCCACCGATCGATCTGAGCCAAAAAGTATACACAGACATCACTGCGCAGTTCGGTGGCGAGGTAAGGCTGGCGAAGCACAGCGACAACGAATTGCTACAGTCGATGGGAACCTATTGGCGGAGACTGCGGGACGCTGGGGCTTCAGAAGAGAGCCCCAGCACTTCTATCATTTGGTCCGCCCATGAGGACGTGGAAGGGTACCACCTGAATGCCTGTGTAGCGATCGACCTCCGCGGGACCAGTGATTTGCAAGGCGTTGTCTGTCTCGACCCGCGCGCTGCGTTATCGCTCAGCATGCAGCAGTTACGATGTTTGGAAGGTTTTGACGTGGCTGTAACCGAAATGCTTGCGCGGACCGATGCCGGTACGTGCAGCATAAATTCGCAACAGGCGGTGCGGGAAGCATACTGCGAAAATTTAGAAGCGAGCCTGGCCGGCTCAGGGGGTTACAACGTTGTGGTGCCGTATCAACTGATATTGGGAGACAACTGGAGCTCATGGAATGAGCTGTCTGCTGCGACCGAAGAGGACTGTGCGGAGCCCTCCGCGTGTCCCGACCAAAAACGAGTGAAATTCACATCGAGCTGGCAGAGGCATCGCGGACAACTCTTAGACGCCATGAGCGCGGGAATCCTCACCGCCGGGCCTGCGAACTGTGCGACCGATACCGAGGGGGGCGGGGACGGGTCGTGCACCGCAGCTGCGCGATACATCCGGAACAACTTATATCCGGATCCAGACCTGCAAGAGTCACAGTCAACTGGGACAATCCACTACGACGAGTTGAAACAGCTCCCGCTTCCGGGGGGAAACCAGAATATATGCACCGAAACTCGAACTCCGCCTCCGCCGGGCGACCTAGACGAAGGTACGTCCCCCGTGGATGGCGGTTCCGGTTCCAGTCCGGATGGTTCCGTGGGCGCTGGAAGCCCTGGGGATCCGAGTGGGGCTGGCAACGGGGACGCGCAGCAGGGCGGGGGACAACATGGCGGGGACGCGCAGCAGGGCGGGGGACAACATGGCGGGGACGCGCAGCAGGGCGGGGGACAACATGGCGGGGACGCGCAGCAGGGCGGGGGACAACATGGCGGGGACGCGCAGCAGGGCGGGGGACAACATGGCGGGGCGGCTGGCCCGGAAACTGGCGGGCACAGTGGTGAAGAGAGCTCCGGCGGACAAAGTAACGGTGACGAAAGCGGCCCGGGCGGGCAGGGCGGCCAAGGCCCGGGCGGGAATGGCGAAGTTGATGGCACGGACGAGAGCGGGGACGGCCAAGTTGACGACGCGGCGCAGGAGGTGGGGAACACCGGGGAAAACCAAGGAGGCCCCGGGGCGAACAACGGAGGCCTTGGGGGGGACAACCCCGGTCCCGGAGGTGGACACAACCCCGGAGGTGGACAAGAAGGGGCTAACGCGGGCGACCCGTCGACGCACCAGCTGGACCCGGGTCCAGGCCACGGGGTCCCAGGAGGCACCACCATCGAGGGCGAGCAGGCGGGCGCGGAAGATCCCACACTCAGCGGGGGGGACGACGGAAACGAGGAACCTGGCGACGAGGAGGCCGGGGGCGGCTTGGGTACTCCGGCCTTGGCAGCTTGCTTGGCCAGCCTACTGTTGGTTATGTTGGCGCTTGTTTGGTTACTGTGTTCGCCGTTGGGAGAGCGTCAGGAGGACGAAGCCAGTTCAATCGAGCGGGCAAGGCTCGCTGCACGGTGGGAGTACAGCGAAGATACCGCGTCCGCGCCTCTAGGGGAGGTGGATGATATCCGAAATGCTTTGGTGTCTGCAGGGCTGAGTGCGCCGTACGCCACAAAGCTTGCTAAAAAGGTAGTCGGAGGGGACCCGGACTCCAAAGCTGCACCAGCGCCGGATGCCATGGCTGATCGGCTTGCGATGTGGGATGCTGGCCTCGGATTCGGGACGGATGACAACATTACCCTGGGTCTGGTGCGGGGTATCCTCCGTAAAGGCTACGCGCAGCGCAAAAAGAAGGAAACAGAGGCGATGCTACAGGACGCTGGTGCGACCCCTGCCTACGCTGCTGAGCTTGCAGGACTTACAGAAGGTCCAGACGCGGATGCCAAGGTTGTCAGGCCATCTAGAATAAAAGCCTCGGAACGTGATCGGCACGCCTTGCGGCAGTTGGTCCACGATTCCGATGTGGGCGAAAAAATGGAAGCTGGTTTCATCCAGGGGCTCGTGCTGCACAAAGGCTTGGCAAAACGCCTCCAGAAGAAAGAAGTCGAATCCACGCTGACTGCCGCGGGTATTAGCGCCCCCTACGCAGATAAGGTCGCCACTGCGGTGGCAGGGCCGGGCCCGAGCTTCGAAGTGATGCAACCCCCCACCAAGGACAAGGACGTGCGTGCTTTGGAGCAGCTCCTTGGTCGTGCTGACTTCGATATACCACGTGTGGAAGGCGGAATCGAGCTGGGCGCTTTACGCGAGCTGCTTCACAAACGCTTGGCAAAGCGCAAGAAAGAAATTGAGGCAACGCTGACCGCCGCCGGTGTCAGTGCGGGCTACGCTTCCGAACTTGCGCAGATGGTCGCAGGGACGACTCCGTGTTCCCAAATTGTAAAGCCGCCCAAAAAAGACCAAGATCTGCAAGCATTGAGGGACCTTGCCCTAGATTTTGACCCAACGGCCGAGGAGATCATGGAGCTGGGTTTTGTGCGCGGGCTCGTGCGCAAGGGTTTGGCAAGGCGTCGCAAGGAAGCCGTCGAGACGACTCTAACAGCCGCGGGTTTGAGCGTTCCTTACGTGGCGGAACTGGCCGAGCAAGTAGTCGGCTTAGACCTGCTGCAAAGGAAGTACGCGAAGGCGCCTTCTTCTCCGCCGGATTTGCGTGCGATGCGGAAAGATTTTGGTATCGACTTCGAGAAACACGGCGACCGCATTGAAATCGCAGCCGTGCGCGAGGCCATACGCAAAGCCAGGACCAAACGAGGGGAGAAGGACCCGGCGGCACTGGAGCGAGAAGACATCCTCCTCTACAAACAAGACCTTGACGCAGCCGAGACGGCGCTAATTGCCGCTGGGTTGACAGCCGCCGGCGCGCGCGATGTCGCAAAGCAGGTCGCGGGGCCGTTTTTAGATACCGAAGCGGCCGGCGACGGGCTGTCCTCTCTGGATAAGGAGGCTCTGTGCGATTTGGTGCACGATGGGCCGGTGCTCGTCGGTACCGTTCGACAGGGGCTTCGCGCTGGTGGTGTAGTGGCCAGAGGACCAAACTTACCGTCGTCGAGTAACACAAGCAGTGTGGGCCCCCCGCTCTCCACCTTCGAGCTATTTGATTTCGACACAGTCGAAGTTGCCTTCTCCGACGTGGGACTCTCGCCAGTCTACGGCAAGAAGGTGGCCAAGCAGACGACAGACGCGCGCGTGCGAGACACGGAAGCGCTGGCAAAGCCAGACCTGGAACCCGACCTGCAGATACTCAAACAGCTGGGTTTGGATTTCGGGGAGGCCGAATGCGTCGGGCACATGCGGGGGTTCCTCGCGGCGGTCGCCGAACACCACGGCCCGGAGAACAAAGGGGAGGTGGTGTCACTTGAGGAAATGGAGCGCCGCCTAGTGGCCGCCGGGCTGTCGAAGAAGGTAGCCGGCCTCGTGGCCGCCAAGTTGCACCGAAAAGCCACCGCGGGAAGCGCCCTCGAGCTCTCGCCGGAAGACATTCGGGAACTGGAGCTGCACGCCGAGGACATACTCGAGGTAGAGGCGCTCGTCAGAGGCGTTGCCGAGAAAGTTTCTGCCACGGCCGGCTTCGTGTACGGTGGCCGGGTCGCGAAAAAGGGGTCGAACGCGAAGAAAGGCCAGGCACCCATCAAAATCGACCTCGTCAAAGTCGCGAAGTCACCGGCGTCGCTCGCCGCCATTTGGAAGCGGGTGCGGAGGGCGCTCAGCGCGGTGCATACCCTCGGAGGGAAGCCTTCTGACGAATCCAGCACCAGCAGCAGCAGGCAACACGGTAGCAAGAAGATGCCGAGCGCGAAAACAAGCACAGGAAGCAGCAAGAGAAAGAAGCTCAGCTCCAAGACTCCGACTTCCCGAGCGCTGTCGGACCATTCTTCTCAGTCCCACGGGAACACCAGCAGTGTCCTCTCTTCGGTGTCCTCGCTTATTTCTGATTCTGGCTCGCGAGGAGGGGCAGCAAGCCTCTCGTCTGCATCTGCCAGCACAAGCCAACCAGGGTCTGTTCCAGGTAGGAGCAAAATAAAGCCGAAGCACGCCCCAGACAGGCAAAAGGGGGGAAATAAAGCAACGAGACCTTCCTCGACCGTGTCGAGCCGGGACGAGTCCTCCGATCAGAGCAGGCAGTCCTCTTTGCGGAGTCCACCTCGATCGTCCTCCAAGCGGACCAGTTCCCGTCTGCACACGGAACTGCAAGTCGAAGCGGAAGCAGCGCTCCAGGACGTGGGTTTTTCCAAAAAGCAGGCCGCCCGACTGTCCGTGAAGATTGCCGGCACCGACCTGGGGGACACGCTGGGGTCGGGGTTTCTGAACCTGACCGAGGAGGAGAAGCGGATCGCGGACCAGGGCCTCGGGGGCGGTGCCAACATCTTCGATCTGAATGGCTTGGTCGACGAGCTGGTGGAACAGAAGGCCTCGTTTTTTGCGAGGACGCTCTCGCCAGAATCCCAAGAAAGCGCCGGCAAGGCACGGGAAAGCGGTCAGCCGGTGTCGTTCTTTCACTCGCGCGCTCACAAGAAAAGGAAAACGTCGCACCAGCATCACCACCACAGCAATCACCGAAAAGGACGAGAGACGGGCAAAAGTCGCAAAACAAAGCAATGAGGACGCACAGCGGGAGGTGGACGGAAACTGCTCTGGATCTTGCTGTCCTCCGCGCTTGCGCCGCGTCAGATGTACAAGCAACGTAGTACGTAGGTACTTGCTGCATTATCTTGTGCGGAACAGCGACTCGCGCGCCGACTGCTGTCTTATCAATCAGGCCGCCTGCGTTCTTATCAGGTAGCAAGAAAAACTTTTTCTAACGAGAAAGTTGTATATTGGAACTGACGCTTACGCTTCGGCTCTCAAATAGAAAGGCAAAGGGAGGACCCATGTCCCAGTTCGCCCTGCTTCCATTGCATTTTTGATTTTGTTCCCACTGAACTTGAAGAATGAGATTCGTCCATGATCATGCCGACTAAAGAACAAACTGCTCTAGTATATACCGCCGTAGTATTCACTTCGTTGTCGTTCACTGCGTATAGGTATACGTACACCAGTAACTTCTAAGCAACATTCATCGTGGCTCGTCCTCACAATCGTACAAAACGCCTCCTTGGAGGAGAAGCATGCATGAACACAAGGAACCGTACTAGCAGCACATCAAACTACGCAGAAGTGCTTCGTCGTTACTGCGAATGCGATGATGTGGTCCCCGGTCTTTTGAACTCAAATCAATCGTATCCAGTCTTTCGTCGTTCAAGTCGTTTAGTTTTGTTGAGAAATGCATATGCATGTTGTTGTTTCAGATTGTCGTGTTGGTTCATGCGTCTGACTTCCGTGAGTTTTGCTTTTGGTCTGTTTCGTAAGTAAACTGTCACTGTCTACTGCTTCGGACGGTGATCAAGTTGCGCAAGGTCTGTCTCCTCCTCTTCATACTCTCAAAAACATTATTTCCAGGAGCCAGAACAAAGGAGTATTCTCGTATCCCTAGCTTACTCTGATGCAACTTAGGTAAGCGTTCCCAATCCCAGCACTATATTCCTATGCTTCCCGCTCAAAAAAAGGGAGTCTAAAGCGGTAGTGATAAGCGATAGTCGTAACTTTTACTTTTTTGTCGAAGTCGTCGAGTAGGTACAACCATGGACAAACAGACGACGCCGAGCACTTCCGAATCTTTTTCCTGACTGCCATACTTACAAACAGAACATGCAGATACACGGCGACAAACCAAAACCGATGACGATAAAGATGCATTGGAAGGGTTATTCTTGCTCTGCAGCAGGGACGCCCACGCCAACGAGCAACGCCAAAATGACCACGATGAAGACAGGAAAAAAAATAATTCTCCCCGCCCTTCTGGCATTCGGCCCGCTCGTGCAGTTTCTGCTTCTGCAGCAACAGAAGCAAGTCGCCGCGTTCACTTTGAAGGATCTGCTGTCCAGGCGAGCCAAAGGGCGGCGCGGAGCTGGGAAGAGCGAAGCAACACCAAGCTCTGTGATATCTCGAGGGCCGATCAGCTTGAGGCAGTCACAGTCCACGTCCAGAACGAGTCGCAGAAGTAAGACGACGGGGGTGGCAGCCAGGGCAAGCGGAATTAGAAGAAGTGCAAGAGCGCGGCTTGAGCCTGACGGGGAGGACCGCGATCGGGCACGTATGATCTCTTTGAGTACCGAGATCAAGGACCACTCGCACAGACAAGAAGGAGAACAGGAAGTAGAGCTGGAGCAAGGACAACTGACAGAAGTCGAAGAGGCGGAGGTCGGTGCACTTGAAGTATTATCGTCACACCTTGATGAAGACCAGGGGCACGCGCACGAGACGCCTACTTCTGGGTCTTCTTCCTTTAGTGCCCTTATCGCAGGCCGCAATCGCAAGCATGCCGAGGATCATGCGGTGAAGCGTAGAAGCTCGCAGCCGCAACAACCGGACGAGCAACCACGTGTGGAGGAGGATAGTGTCGATGATGCTGCAGCGGAGAATCTGCGTGTAACGGGGATCGATTACGAGCAGCAGGCACTGGAGCTACAAGTTCCGAGCACGTTTACTGAGGAGAGCGAGCGGACGCAGGAGGGCCTCTTGCAGCGAAAAGTGGAGAAAATCGGGCTGAAGAATAGTGAAGCTCACTATCTTGCATCAAGGCAGCAACATCAGCACGAGGAAACACGTGGTCGCGCGTCTGCGGTGAGTAGCGATGCCACCGCAGCGGACATCTTGGCACACGTGGAGGAGAATGTGCGTGACTTGCGAAACCAGATCATAACCGATGTTGCCGTTCAGTGCAGCAGTGATCCGGGGGACAAATACATGACTAACGAGATGGACTTGAACTCGAAATTGAAGGACCTGGATTCGTCCGGTTGCACTAATTCCGTCGGCTGTTTTCCGTTTAAGGGCGTATATGTCAACTACGAAAAGGTTGGGGTTCAAAATCAAGCTCAAACGGTGGCGCAATCGCAACGAAAAAACTCTTGTCTGCAACGGGGAATCGCGGATATCTTCCTGCGCGAGTCCAACACAGGAAACTCATTGCGAAGCCGTATCACGAACAGTAACGAAAACGAGGACAATGCCGACTTGGGTTTCGCTTCCGTGGTGTTGGAGCCTCCGCGCTATCGAATGCAAATAGTATGTTCGTCAATGAATGAAAGATTGAAAATGCAGCTGCAAGGACATACACATACTTATCAGATCTGGACTAGGACTTCGAAGTTGTATTAACGCAAAATTGTACTGCGATTTCATTTCATTATCTTGAGTCGGCTTTCGTAGAAAGATTGTGAATAGTGCGCCTCTGCATGACCCAGTCTCGACAACGATTCCTGACCCTGACCAAACGGGCCAACATTTTCTTTTCCACTTGACATTGTCCACTGGAAAAGAAAATGTTGGCCCCTTCAGGAAGGAAGATTTTTTGTCAAGTTGACAAAAAATCTTCCTGTTCTCAGTAAGGAAAGCGTTACCTGGACTCCCCCTCTAGGTGGCTCAACAGGATGAATAGCATTCAACGCGCGCCCCAGGAGCGCGCGTCTTTGGAGGGCGCCTTACATTATTACTGCGTTGCGTACAACTTTTACTTTACTGAAATAAAGAAAAAATTGAAACAAAGGATGAAAGGAACGTGCCTCCGAGGGCGACACGAGTAAGTACTCGAGATTGCATCGGGTGTCGGAGCATGAAGAAGAAGAATTAATATGATGAACTTATATATACACTAGTTTGCTTTTTCTTTTTCGCTACTCAGACGATCGATATATTATTTGCTGAGGATACCCGACTGACGAGGACCAAAGTAACCACGAAGAGCGAGCAGGCAGTGGTCCGGTGGCCCTTAAGCAGTTACGTGCCGGGCGATATGACGAAAACAAGTTGGCACCAGCGCGCCCTGACGCGAGGGATTACAAAAAATGTCCTCCTCGTGCTGGACCGTTCGTATTCGATGCATGGAAATGGATCGTGGGAGCCGGCGAAGACCGCTGCTAAACGAGTACTCCAGTCCCTCGAGGACACGGACCGATTTTTCTTGATGACCTTTCAGCACCCCGTGCAGTTTTCCGCCTTCGAGTTTGTTCACGCAACCGAGGACCATATCAAGGCTGCGGAAGAGTGGCTGGACAGTATTCTGACGCCGAATGGAGGAGCCCCTGATAGTGGTACTGACGTGCGTCCCGACGCGGAGTTCGGCATCGGAGCTGCAATCGTGGTTGGAACTCTCGGCTTCGTTCCACACGCGTGGCGTCAACAAATTCTCGGGAGCACGGGCGGGAACGCAAAACAATATCGCATTCAGGTCAACGATGACTATCCTCCTCACCGCATTGATCTTCCGGGGATGCCTGTGAATGCAAACGAAGCTCGCGGTGCATGCTGGCCTTCCACCCCGACCGAAAATTGCGAGCGGACGTTTGTTTTCGTGATGACGATATGCGATGAAAAAGTGCTTCTCCAGCTGACCCTGGAAGGTCACCGCTAAAGAACGCAAGTAAGTCGTTCTTTGTGTCGCAATGTGTCATGAAGTAGTTTGATCGTCCATCCTTGAGTGCAAAATTGATTGAGAATGAGAGGGTAGGGTCACGCGCAGGAATATCACGCCGCCATGGCCTACCGGCGTTTTTGCGACTGCCGGAGCAACTGTGAAACCCTTTCGGCTGATATGCAAACGACAAGGACTTTTTTATGGATGAAGTGTAAAATTGCAATATGTTGACTCATAGAAGCGTCATACATAAAAATCAAAAAACTCTGACTGTCTGGGCCTAGCGGCTTCTTAGTACCAGGGAGGCGTGACAACCAGTCGTATTGTTTTTTGACTTTCCACTCCAAAGTTTTTCTGTAAATGTAATATGAAGAGGCTTGATCTACTTTTCGCCTTGTCTTTATTGCGACAGCGACACAGAGATCGACACTGATGAAGCGGAAGGGCCGCCGCTCTTTCGCGGTGACCTATTTTCATCGCGATAATCGGACGAAGACTTTTCTCGGAGCCAGTTTGAAAGTGACTATTCAAAATGGCTATCTGAGTCCCTGCTCAACGTCCAAAATTTTTCCGTTGCGAATTTGGCGAAGTTGCGTCTGGACATCTACCAACTTGATTCGAATGTTGGAAGCGGAGATCTCACAGATTCTGCCTACACTACGATTGCGGATAAATTCAATGGCATCGCAGAAAGGGTGCCAAGAAATGGGGTATTCAGTGCCAATGTGTCGTTGTCATCGCTGTAAGCTTTCATTCTGATTCATTTTTATTTGCTAGAAGCACCTATGATTGAAGAACAAGAATCTCAATCTTCACTGGTTGTGAAGATCAAGATTCTTCACAGTCATAAAGAAAGAATGAGTGCTGCCGGCCGCGGAAAGGATACCTTCGGGGAATATTTAGTATTCATGTGGGTTGCCCTAAGTAACTTTTCGTTTTCGGACATAGTGACTGACTGCAAAGAGAAAGCACCAGCGGGCTTTGTAACTTGCGTACGAGATGTGTGCGTACAGGTACAGTATTTTACCTAGTCATGATCATCAGTGTGATTATCTTTCTAGCTATTTGTGGTCTTTTTCCGAAACACGAAACGCGTCAGCATTCCAATGCAATTATTCTTCGGTCGTGGTGCTCCCAGCGCAATCGATGACACACTTGCACTGGATAGCGCGAAGCCTTGGGCCGCCGTATGGTCAAAGTTTGGAGAGACCTTATCAAGGCCAGCGATAGTGACCAGGTGGTATGGTCGTCCCATGATCCGCCTCATCAGAGCGAGTACAACTATGAGCTTGTAGCGTGCACGACGCTGACGCTCTGGGATGACACTGCCGACATGCTGCACGGCTCCGTTTGTGTTGATATCCGCGCGGCGCTCGATGTCAACCTCGACCGCCTGAACTGTTACACAAACCATTTTCGTGATTCAGTAACTGGAAAAATCATGCGCGCTCCATGCAATGGGAATGCCGGACAAGAGGCTACCGTGCGTGCAGAGACCTGTCAACAGCTTTCTGCTAAGCTGTCTGACGCGCAGTGGTTCCAGGTCAAGGTGACGGACATTTTGCAGGGAGGAGAAAACGAACTAGCGTGGGAAACGAACTACTTCTTTCCCGAGGACGCTGCACTTATTTCGGAGTTGGAAGTGACGCGCCGTCTCGGTGAAGTCGGAAACGTAGGTGAATTCTGGGGCTCTTCGCTTCTATCGGCACTTCAGTACGCGGTGCTGGTCATTCCCTGTGAAGGCGATCCTGACCGCATGTGTGAGAAATGGGATTTCCCCGATCATTTGATACAGGATTCAGATGGCCGGTGGGTGCGACAATTTCGTACCACGATTCTCTGGGGGAACGAGTTTGACTGCGCCAAATTGATTCACCCATGGACGCCACGACCTCAGGGTAATGTCGATGTTGTGCCAGCAGTACCGATGTATTTCTACAAACGTGGAAAGCAATGGCCCAAAATACATCCCGCCCCGGATGCCAATACCCTGTCCATTCCTGACAAGGCGACGGTAGTGACTCCGATTCCTGGTAAGGGTAATCAAGCTCACCAATATTATTGGGTTGACCCGAATGATCACAGCGGAACACATACTTTGACCGGTCGATCTGAAGACGATGAGCCTGATGGATTGGATTACGGAATGTGCACGGTGCTCCAGGCGAGTGCGGGCGCGGGAGGCGAGTACTGGGGCCTGCGGACCTCCATGTATCCGACTGAAAAACTACAACACACTACTACACGGAAATCCTAGAGCCACCGCGGAGCATATGCATCTGCGAATGCATGTTTTTCAACATCTCCATCAATCCCCTTGTGCTTTGTTTGAGCCGGACTAGACTCAAGTGTCTTTTTGTTGCTCATCCCGATCACGAATACCAAAGTAAGCGGCCAGGCGTAGAGAGAGAGATCCGAATGTATAATTGCATCAAGTATAGAAATCAATCGCATAATGAACTTGAAATAAAGTAATGCGCTGTGATCATTTTGCACATTTATTTTGTACATTGCATCATGCTATCTCACTCTAAATAAGATAGCCTGCTTGCACAGACGTACTCTGTGTTTGGAGGTGCTGATTGCACTACAATGTGAGGGTGTCCCCATGAAGATAGAGATGCTAGGCAAGTATTGCAGCAGTACGCGCTCCGGGTGGCAATTTCCCAGTGATACCAAGCGCCGTGGTGGAACACTACGTTAGTCCGGTGCTACCCCCCGTAAGCGTATGCCCTGTAAGCTGTAAGTGCTACAATGGCGAGGTTGACGCTGATGAGCAAGAGCAAACCTGCACGGTTATCCCTCAAAGGATGGGCATGTCTGCGTCTAGCTCTTGCGTAGACGTCGTTACGTATAGATTTTCTATGATGATGCGATAGTAGTGGAAGTTGTCCTGGCCTCCTCCGTGTTACATGGAAATAAGTCCTTGCCGCCGGCTTGTTCCGCGAACAAGGTGCAGTTGTCTCGTAGGCATGATAGGTTTCTTTGAGAGTGTGAATGCGATATTCTCTATATTCGCTGTGGTTTTTATAGTTTTACGTTTGTTTTGCGTATAAATGTAAATCTAAAACCGCGTCGTCCACTACTGCTTAGAGGAGAGGCAGACATGTACGTGTTTACTATCGATGGCTTGTGATGGGAAGCAAAATTGCTTGGCAGCGGGGTGCTTTGACGGTTACAAGCACAGGATCGACTGGCCGACGTCTGGCGAACGCGTTTGTTTTCCCGCTTGTGATGCGGGTGAAGAATCTGTGTCTTGCCCAGTTTCCACCGGTGATGCTGATCCGTACTACGTACGCGACGAAAACACGCGGAACGGCTACTGTACGCAGGTCACGGATCCTCTAAAAGCGCTGGCCGTAGGCGCAATGACGAATGCCGACAGTGACGCATACAAGAAATGTCAAGACAGCTGCTGCATACAGGTCTGCAAGAAGCCGCTCGACGCCACGCTCCAGTACTATGACATTCCTTTTCCAAAAGTGTTCCACTTTTTTTAGGGCAGACCTTCTCTGCTTTGCTAGTCCAATGCGAATATTGCGCCCAACAAGTAGATTAGCTGGCACAGCGTGCGTTTCTCTCCTGTATGGTCTTCGCACAACGTCCACTGTAATTGTGTTGTGCCTTATGCGTTTCCGTGTCCTTCTGCATTAGGAATGGGTATAATTGTTGATGTCGTTTACGTTTTCGCTGTCCACTCTCAGGACAAAAGTTGGCAGTTGCAGCTTTGGTTCTATAGAGGACTAGTGTGCGGCGCTGCAATATAGGTGACGAGTGTGTTGAAGACGTAGGTACATTAGGGCGGCGGCACTGACAAGGTTTCTTATTTACAACTACAACAGGATGCTTCAGTTTTCCCGCGACTTGACAAACAATTTACCCGACTGGGAGACATTTCTGAAGCGCCCCGAAATGAGACCAGGCGCCGCTACTGGCGATTCGCCTTTATGCGACAAGATGCATTGCCCGTTACCGTACTCCTTCAGATATCCCGGCTTGTTTTATTCGTTTTTGTGCAGCACAGACGCGGAGCACAAACAGCGCAGTGTCTGTTCGATTTTACACGGATAACGTGAGTTTGGATACGGCCATGCGTTGGCTTAGCCTGTACGTGACTCTTCAATATCAAGTGCATATACGGTTACGGTCTTACATTGGAAAAATCCGAAACAAATTTATAAACTTATGTTCACCGTAACGGTTTGCAATAGGGCTAATGGATATTTGAGTATGGTAGAGGGAATCTTGTTGTCGCGTTGATATGTATTCGTTTTTCCGGACGGGGGTGTGGCGTGTAACTCGAACTACAATACGGCCGAAACGCCTGGGTTTTATTGCCCCCTAGCTGGAGTGCCTGCGGTCTTGGTAGGATGCGGGAAGGAGTGCGTATGCAATAATGGAGAGGACGCGGACGCGAGCACCTGCGAGGGTATCCACTGCATGTGACGTATTTGGGACCGGGATAAACCTAAACGGGCATGCTGTGTTGCACTTATAGTTACTCTGTATGATCTTGGTCTTTCATAGTACTCGTTCGCGTATAATAAACGCCCTCCCGTTTTTTGGGACGTGTACTCAGTATTTTTTTCTACGCGGATGAATGTTTGATATATGATTTTGGCTCTGTAATTTGGATTTGCAACGTGCAACAAAGTCGCGCGTCTCGTCTGCTTTTGCAAGCGCTTCTGCTTATCTGTGCGTGCTGTGACTCAGATCAGATCCCTTGCCACAGTCACAAGTTGACTTGTTTTCTGGGGTGATCTTCAGACAATCGAGCTGCACTAGTTTTTTCCAAAAACTTTATCCCTGACCCAGCAACGAGTTTCCCGTTCCATAGCTGGACACGGCAAGCAAAACTGCAAGGAGAACGGTTGCTACGCGGGCTACAAGTACAAGGACAATTGGCCGACTCAAGGTCAACGGGGCTGTTTCCCGTCCTGTGTAGATGATGCCGGAAGCGAGTTTTCTTGTCAGTCGAGTGCCTCCTCCGCGGCAGATCCGCATTACATCTGGGCCGGAGAATCAAGCTATTGTGCTGACATCCCAAGCCAGTCTCCATTAACGCTCGCGCTAGCGGCGAATGGCATGGCATCAGAAATCAGCGAGACGTATCAGAAATGTCGGGACAGCTGCTGCATACAGGGCTGCAAGGCTCCGTCAAGCTCGAGCGAGACGATGAAGTACTACTCATTCTTAACGTTCTCGTCGTATGTGATTTTCGGAACTTCTTTCTTTGGCCCACGATATCGCTAAGCTCCTCCACAGTGGGACGGAATAAATGGTCTATGTATATGTCATGGTGGATATGGTGTGAGAACTGTGTTCGTGACACCAGAAGATATCTATGTATGTACACAAGAAATGCCGATGTACTAAAAAAGTCTTGTGCGAATATTAGTACGATGACGATCCGATAGCTTCTCCTCTGAGTTGGCTACTGGACTGGGAGGACCGCAGTGAATAGAGCATCGATTATCGTGGAGCCCTTGGTCTAAGTTTAAGTAGGAGAATATGAAAGTCATGCCAAAGCAGGCAAAGCAAGAAAGAAAATGAAAAACATAAGTAATTGACAACTGCTTACAGGAAAATCGACGTGCCAGAAACCTTCGCATGGGAGCCGTACCTCATTCGCGACGAGATGAAGCCGACGGGGAGCACTGATGGTGCCTTATCGCATTGACAACATGGGCGTTCTCCTTTGTCGAATAACCAACTCTGCGTGTGCATGCAGTACGACTGGCAGCCGTTCTATACACCGATTGTGACTCCGTGCCTGTCATGAAGATAGACATAAAGAAACAAGAATGCATGATGAAATAACTTTTGTTCAGCTGTGGCAAAATCTGGTAACCAAGAAATGAATGCATGCGCGCGCGCGCAGAGTCCCACGCCGGCCCACGAAGGTATTGGACTTTTGAAGGAGGTGGACACATGTTGTCAAATGGATACGCGATGACATTGGTTGGTATAACTTGCAAGCCTGAATACGATCAAGTTTCGCAGCCGAAGTTTTACTGCCCCGGGGGCGGACAAGAGGTGAGCTTGGTAGGCTGCGACCAGAGCTGCGAGTGCAACAACGGACAACTTGACCGAGCGCCGAACACGTGCACGGGTATCCACAGATATTTAAAAAAGTGCCTGTGTCTGGAAAATGAGTGCCGCGATTGGTATGTCATCTCGTCATGTGCGATCTACTGTCTGTTTCATGAATATGATTTTGTTTTCGCTCTAGTCTACTGCTACTATCAATGAACAAGAACCGCAGGCGAGAAGTAGCCACGCCATGGAAAGTACAGAATCGATAAACGCGGTTTTTCTTGGACGGCCCGCCATGCTGGTTGGAGTGGCGCTGCAGCATCATGCCTAGAAGAGCCCAATAACAGGTTTAGAAGAACCACGAATCTTGTTTGATGAAATTGATCCCCAGGCCGGCGGTTTAGAATCGCATGTACGAGGCGTTCAGCTCATCGACAAGGATTCGGCACAATATGTTGAGACTACAATAACGAGGGGTACTAAAAGTTAAAGGCGCACTCATGTTTCCCATTCCTGGTAAACCACTTTTCCCATCCACATTCCTATCCGGCGATTACGGAGGTAACCAGAACTGTCTGGTAACTGGGTGTAACTCTGGCTACAAGCACAGGACCGAGTGGCCGTCGGCCGGTAGCCGAGGTTGCTACCCCGCCTGCGATGTTGACGGCTTCCATGTTGCCTGTCCTTTACCAGAAACTGCGTCCGACCCATATTGGATACCAAAAGAATCGGTCAGTGGTGACCGGGGTCTCTGTGCGATTTCGACGGATGAAGAAGCTCTGGCAGAGAACGGGATGCAACCAGAACACGATACCTACAAGCAGTGTCAGCAAAGCTGCTGCACGCAGGGCTGCGCCAGGCCGTCGAGCGCTACGGAGCGGTATAGTTGATTTCTGATCGTTCTGTTGTAGTACAGTACTTACTGCGTTGCCCTTACCGGCGCGTCTGGTGCGAACACGACGCCGAGCGGGTGACAAGTTGAATTTATCGCTTTTTTCAGTCGTTTAGTTGCGTTACTTCGTTCCGCCTCCAGGAGATGCGCAGGCACAGCATAATGGAAGGATTGGCAGACGTCACGTAAAAATTTCAGACAAGCTATATGAAAGATAAAACCACGGTTACAACAGGATGATCGAGATTGCAGCACCTGCAAGCGGCGGCGATCCTTGGGAGGATTTTCTTACGTCATCCCAAATGCAGCCTGGCATGACTGCTGATTCTGCAATATGCTGTCGATAAACACGGTTTATTTCATTGATGACCTGCACCAGTACCTGTACCAGTAACATCAGCATCGGCATCACACACTTGTTGCAAATCTAAGACCTCCGCTACTGGAATAGTACATATGCGTACCACGACGTAGCTGGTTCTAGTTCTACTTTTCAGTGTTGGAGGAGGTTCGTTATGTAGGATGTGTCTCTCAACGAGGGTGGACGAAGGCGCTCCCTCGTCTCTTGTGTGCTGGGGACCAACCCTTGAGGCGTCCTGCTTTTTTCAAGAGAAGCATGTGCTGCCAAATAAAAGTAAAACAGAATTCAAAGTCTGAGTCTATGCAGACACCGAAATTGATCCAGCTAGGCACCACTGTCGTGCTGCGACGCACGTAGAAATAAACCGGGTTTTGTCTAGCCGATACGCAAGGGACCTGCAAGTGCAAGGCGGGAACGTAACCTGTGCTGCCGGCTTCGTTGGAACGCCTAAATATTTCTGCCAGAACGCCGGGAGCCCGGTGAGCATGACGGGATGCAGTCAGATATCACATTACAATAACATGCCTTCCTCACGCGAATTTGTATATTTGTCTTGCTGTAACTGTATGGTATTCGTATTTCGTTGTGAGAGTGATAGAAAATAATAATAAAGAGCGCTCTCCTCGACGTCATGCTTCAGACGATGATGATCTTACTAGCTGTAGCTCCGTGGTAATGCAAGAAGCAAGCGCGTAAGGTCGGCTTTACTTTTCCTTTTGAAACGGGAAGGTTATGGAGGTGACGACGACGACAACGACCAGTACTACGACAACCGTGACGAACGCCACGGAGGCGGTCGTGGGGGGCGGGCTGAATGCCCCGGCGGTCGCGGGCGGGTGTGGTGCTCTCGCCCTGCTGCTCTTGCTGGCCCTGGTGCTCTGCGTCTGCGGTTGCGGCAGCACGGTCGGGGCCGAGGAGGAAGAGGTCAAGGACCGGGACTGGGTCACGGCCCAGTGGGGCTACAGCTCCGACATCGACGAGGAGCCCCTGGTATGAAATGCAAAAATGTCTGGGTCTGGAAGATTGCCAGGCTTGTCATGCGTATTTTGAATGATCCAGGATGTCTGTGATGCGTGCCATAGCATCACATATTTTTAGAGGACTTTATGTTGCCTCTACCGCATGAGAAATGCCCTCTTCGCGTAGCACAAACTGGAGTCCTCCTGCTGGTCATGCAATACAAATTTTTTTAGAATCCAGCGACAGCATTACAAGTTTAGAATCTTCCAGACCCAGACATTTTTGCAATCCATACCTGGACGAGGCCGAGGAGGACATCAAGAAGGCGTTGGTCGCTGCAGGTCTCAGTGCGGGCTACGCGGACAAACTGACAAAGAAGCTGCTGGGATCCGACCCCAAATCCAAGCGCCTCAAGGCCCCGTCCGACGACAAAGATTCGCGGGCCATGCGCGACCTCGGTTTCGACTTCGACCTTATCACTTTGACGAAAACTAGAACTACATCCGACGGCTGCGTTTGCATTTCCATTTCGATTTCCAGTCGAAATGTCTTATTTGCAGCAGAGGAACAAATGCAGTTTCTTCGTCTTCCTTCTGGTTGGGTCTGGACGATGTCGATGATATTTCATGAGTTCCACCTCGTCATCGGGATGATTCCATCTTGGGTAGGCATTTTGAATTTGCTGCAACTAAAACTTCTGATCGCCTTTTCATTTCTCTGAAGCACATACTGATTATGTTGCATTGTTCATGAACAAGTGTCATCGTCAGAAAACTGATTGATACTTATTGACCGTTGCTTTTGGGCAAGCGGAAGATCATGCAAATGCAGCAAAAGTTAAAGCGCCGGATCTTTTGTTTTCAACGTGATAAAATTTGGCGACGTCGAGGTGGGGGTGGTGCGGGGAATCTTCCGCAAGGCCCTGGCCAAGCGGCGGAAGAAGGACATCCAAGCAGCGTTGACGGACGCGGGGGCAAGTTCCGAGTACGCCGCTGAGGTCGCCAAGCAGGTCACTGGTTGGAAAAAGAAGAAGAAAGTGAAGAAGCCGAGCCGGCCGGAGGACCTGCGCGCGATGGAGCAGCTCGGGGTGGATTTTGGGGGCCCTGTGGAGTTTGCCGCCCTGCGTCAGCTCCTGCAGAGCGCCGTGACTAAAGGTGGACGCAAGACGCCGCTCGGGCGGGAGGCCCTGCTCGACTACCGGGACGAGTGCGCTTCCGCGGAAGCCGCCCTGCTGGCCGCGGGCCTCTCGCCGGCCGGCGCACGGCGGGTAGCGCAGTACATCGCCGGACCCTTCGTGGACACCGAGCCCGTGCCCGCTGACCTAAGTGACGTGGACAAAGAGGCGCTCAGCGCTTTCGTTGGCTATCCACCGCACCACCTTCTGTGCTGTCGCTTGTGCAGCAATTATACGTTGTGGTCAAAGCAGGCGAATGAATATGAAACCCATCACGCTACTTGGATCTTTCTACCAGAATGTTCATGTTTCTTTTTCAAAAGTGAGCGTGAACCATGCCAATATCGCTATAGCCATGCAAAATATAATAATCCATGCATTTTTAGAAAAATGCCGCTGAGCTGACCGCAGGGAAGGTTTTGCATTGCATAACTTTGGCGAGGTGTTGATGATTGGTGCCGTGCGCGAAGTGCTGCGGCAGGCGGAGAGGAAGAAGCGGGGTGGGGCCGGCAAGGACCTGCACGGCGGATTAGATCTGTTTGACTTCAGCGCCGTCGAGACCGCACTGCTGGACGCGGGGCTGTATCCTGAGTAAAAACGTACCCACACCAGAGTTGTCATGCGACTTTGCCATGACAGGAACATTTGTGATGCGCAACCCCATGACAGGCATTTTCAATCGTGTTTGGGAACTTGTAATGCTGTAAACAGGATCAGCAGATCGATTTGTGATGCGGCTTTCCTTGCTAACTTGCACTACCTTACGGACTGAAACTTGTCATGCGTGACTCACAAAGCTCCTAGGTTTGTGTTGCAAAATCCCCATCCTGACTCTGGTGTGGGTACGTTTTTACTCAGGATAGCCTGTCGCGCGGGTTCAGTAAGAAGATGGCCGCCCAGATTACGGACCGCGGCGCGCGAGACGACGACCCGCTGGTGAGCACCGACGACGCGGCGGACCTGGAGGTGCTGCGGAAGTTGGGGCTCGACCTTGCCAAGGGCGAGACGGTGGGGCACATGCGCGGGTTCCTGGACGCCTTCGCCCACCACCACGACGACGACGGGGGCCTCGGGGGCGATTTGTCGGCGCTGACCCTGGACGAACTGCAGTTCCGCCTGGAAACCGCGGGGTTTTCGCAAAAGATGTCCTTGTTCGTGGCCAAAAAGATGCACAAGAAGGCCAAGTATCAAGTGTAAAAATGTCTGGGTCTGGAAACTTGTGATGCTGGGTGGCGTCTCATGGTGAGGCTACGCATGCTGGCTCAGCATGACAAGTTTCTCAGTTCCTAGGTCTTTCCTATTCTGCATGACAAACTGCGCTTCTGCATCACAGAAAAACGGAACTCTTGGGTAACGTGCATGACAGATTTAAGAGTCATGCCAGACAAGCATGTTGCCAGACAGAGGATCCGTAGCCATTTTGGCTCAAGATCCTTAATATACCAACCCCTGCCCCGGTGGTGGGGGGGATCCTCTGAGCACAGTTAATTTTTCCGACAGCGGCCCTTTGTGTGGGAGTGAGTAGTCGTAGACCATTAGCCTTTACAGATTGCATTAGTTTAGAGGCCCGACGTAGTCATTAGGTTTCCTCGACCTTTTTCGTTTTTGCTTATCTTATTTCCTCCTCTATTCATTCGCATTCTTTTCTCCTGATCTGCAGTAGAGCTGCGACCCTCGCGTCTGTGTGCTCCTGCTCATTTTGAAAAAATGCCCTGACAAGCACAGCATGGACCTCGGGGCAACGCGCAACACGATCGGAGGCGGGCGATTCGCTGCCGTCGTCGATTAAAAGGCCTGTCACCACACGCGGCCCTGCACAATTCCCAGCACGGGCGGAGTCGGACGCTTTCGGGGAGACACCTCTGGCGCAGGGTCCGCGCAACAGCAGATTTCGCATAGCGCATCACGGGATGCGGGCGGGCGCCGGAGCTAGGGCCGTAGTGTAGTATACAGGTATTTTTAGGGGGTTTAAGTATGGGTGTCCTCCTCTTCTTGTGTGCTTGCATGTGAAACTTCTTCGTAGTATCTCCTTCTCTCTTTCATTCAATCGGGCGGTCTGCTACTCTGTTGTTGTGTGCACGGGGGCGGAGCAGGTCCGTCCCCGCCGTTGCCTCAATTGAACCACAGGCGTCCGCTCTTTCTGTGGATCCTGGAAGATATGGTTGTCGCACAAGATTCGGCTGCGTCGTCTCCGCATCTCTCCCTCCCCCAGAATCCAGGGCAGACCTGATAGTCTGTGCGCGTAAAGTCCCTGCTGTGACTCTAGCGGCACCCCTGATAGAGTGTGTGTGGATTCTGGGCATTTGCGCACAGGACGGAGGCCCAGCAACGCAGGTCAGGACGGGACCACAGGACCTTCGGGCGGCTTCGCGGGTACTCCCAATAGGCTTACGGTAGTGGAGTCGGGGGGCTGTTGGACGATAGTCGAGCTGATGACTGTCCGGCGATGCCTCGGGGCCGAGCCGTGTGTACGAGCGGAAGCGAGTGCCGACCAACAGGAACGTGTGGCGTTGGATTCCGCAAGCGAGATGATGAGCGTTTCTCGCCGCCTTCGGTGTTGGCGACGGGTCTGGATGCTGGGTTCCCTAAGTTCCCCCTTCTCGTGGCCGTTCTGGTGCGCCTTCTCATGTGAGGTCGTTGACAAGGCTTGGTGGGAAATTCCCGTTGCGCGAGGCTCTTGCCTTGCCCTCTGTCTTCGTCCCCAGCGGTGTTGTGGCAGTAGAAGCGTCTGATGTGGCCGTCGGAGCTTGCTCTGGGTCTTGCGGCTCCTCTCGTCTTCGGTGGAGTACCTGAGTGGCTTCTTCTGCTGCCTCCGTTGACTTCTGGTTGCTGCTTGACTGGCGGTTGGGAACACTTCAGGCGTCTTTGTGCTGTGCTTCGGCCGCGTGGTCCCCGGTGTTCCCCGGGTCCGGAACTCTGGGTTACCTTGGTCGAGTTGGTGTCACTGTCGGTTCACCTATGTCCCTGCCTTTCTGTTCTTGCCACTGGGAACAGTCTGTGCGTTTCTTTCGTCAGCGGCTTCCTGGCGCTGGAGCTCGTTGACGATTGTTTCGGGAGGTTCCTAACGGCCCCTGAGGACATTGCCCCGTTGCCGACCAGGTCGAACTTAGAGGTCGGCTTCGGGAAGATTTTCCGGAGTTGAGTCTGCTTCGGCAGGTCTCTTGTGAAGGCGAGGGCAGTGGTTGGCTGAGGTTGTTGGAGCGTTCCATAGTGTCGCTCCAGATCATTTTTGATCCTTCTCCAACTTCCTCATTTCCTGTGTGGTCTAATGCAGATTGCAGATCACAATACAGGGCCACCCTCGTCTCTCACCTCCAGGGGGGGCGCGCGGACCTCGCTTGCCATCTTGTTTGGTCTCGCGAAAGTTCCAGTCCCCCCGAGTGGGAATCGGGAATAGTAAAGTGCCAGACAAGCATGACAAACATGAATTCTTCCAGACCCAGACATTTTTACAGTTGATACCAAGGCGGGCCAGTCGGTCGACCTCACCGAGGACGAGATCCGCGAGATCGAGCTGCAGTGCGAAGAAACCTTCGACTATCACAGTGAAAAGTGCCCCCCACCCCCAAAGTTGCAAAAATTTCTGATGCGAAGTTTCCAAATGAAAACTTTTTGTCATGCATGAAAGGAATATGAATCTTGCTGATGCAGATTCTAGGGCGGGTGTGTCGCATCGCTTGCACGACAAGCACTGCTCTCGTTGGGATCTTTTCCAATACAAATTTTTGCTATTCACGATCGGAAATCTGTGATGCTGATGCATGCAAGAGGGCGAGTGTTTCATTTGGAAAGGTTTGCAATACAAATGCTTTCAAGTTCGGGGGTGGGGGCATTTTTCATTGCAATATCGACGTGGAGAGGTTTCGGGGCATCACCGAGAAAGCGAGCACAGTCGTGGGGTTCCAAAAGGGCGGGGTCGCCCGCAAGGGCAAAAAGATCAACCTGCAGCGGGCGCTGTCCTCGCCGAAACTGGTGGAAAGCGCGTGGAAAAAAATCAAGCGGAAGAAGGCGAAGCACGCGAGGAAAAGCGACAAGGCTGGTGTAGCTTCCGATGTGTCGACGGCCAGCGAGGAAGCGGCCGCGATTGGCGCGCGCGCCAGCAATGTGAAGAAGCCGAAGAAGGAAAAGACCAAGTGGCAGAACGAGCTGGAGGAGGAGGCGGCCGCCGCGCTGGAGGAGGTCGGGTTCTCGAAGAAGCAAGCTTTTTACCTCGCGGAGAAGATTGCGGCCACCGACGCGGACACCGTGACCCCCGAATTCATGAAGCTCACGGACGAGGAGCGCCGGATCGCCTGCAAGGGGCTTGGCGGCATCGCGGTCGTTGACCTCGAGGGCCTCGTGGACGAGCTCGTGGAGCAAAAAGCCGACTTTTTCACGAAAACGCTGTCGCTATGGAAGGCAAGAACTCTCCTTCTAGCACGGACCGGATTCCAAATTGAAATCATGTGTCAAGTTGCAAGTTCGGATGAAGGCATGGCGCTGCACCTGCATGTTTGTCACAAATTCGCGTTCCACTTGCATACTTACTACACGCAAGTTAAGTACTTACTTGATTTTCATGAGCACTAAGGGTAAGAAGGATCGTTGGATTTGAAATGTCAATTCGCATGTCTCGGGTAATGATGGATAGATTAATATACTGATTGGCGCGTTTTTTCAAAGTGCGCTTTGTACACAGCAGCAAAGGCATTGGCAGGCAAGAGAAACTTGGATGTCGGGACGTGTTTGTATTCCATAGGTTCCAGAGTCCTACGGGGAGATTAACAAATCGCAGGAGATGGGCCAACCTGGTTCCGTCTTTCACAGTCGTGTGCACAAATCGAGTAAAAAGAAGGTGCACCACAACAATATCACACGAAAACTGCAACAAGGAGTCCGTCACTCCTGAAGAAGTGATTGAATCGCCAAAAATGCAGAATTCACTCGCTTATTTTCTACTTCTACAACTTCGTTTCCGTGCGGCATTGTAAAGAAACCGTTTCAAAACCAAAGAAATATTGGGATTGCTATGCTCTACAACTTTTGCATGCGTGATATTAATGCAGAACGATTATCATGAAAGGTCGTCGAAAACGAAACGAAAATGCTGTGATTGACTTCCTCGTAGTAGGTTTTCATGTGGACCACACAGAAGCCCCATCCCAAGAGCGGAGCCCCAGGAGCGGACAGGAAGAGCAAACGGAGCGTCGTGCACATAAAATCCAACACGACTGCCGCATCCGCTTTGAGTTCGGGGGCTTTTTTTGACCATAAGGATGCAGGCAAGCCCTCCACTTTGACGAGTGGGGGAGAAGTCAGTGAGCCCTCTTCTCATGGGCGCAAGGCGAAGAGTAGCCGCATGAAATCCAAGCAATCCGAGGCCGGCTCTTCCGAAGGTGATTCCGGCTCCTCCAGCCACCCCGGCAGCGAAAAGGGGCATCACAAGGCCAAGAAGAAGCACCCGAAGAGCGGACATGGGCATCCGAAATCAAAACCACATTAGTAGATCTTAAACGACGATCCTGACTAGAAGTAGAACACGACGCATGCATCGCGCAGAGCGATGCAGAAATAATACAAGAAGCAGAAGATGACGCAGGAGAACGCAAACACATATCAGACCGGCGCTGCAATGAAAAAAACACGTTTTCCCATAAATTTTTCTTGACCCTAGTACGTAAATTTGTTAGTTTGACATCGAAAACGAAATCAGATACAGATCCCCATTCTTCAGAGCTCCCCTACCCCATTCCATGTGTCGCATACGCATGTTTGCGCACAGTATGAAGCAGAGTTGCATTTTTTTTTATTTTTCTGGAGTATTAACTACATCGGTTGCGGTACCGGGAAGCTGTTTCGACCTGCCGTGCTACAGTTGCGGCCCTCGCCGTAGTCTGCGCAGAGTTGAACTCGGCTTCGATACCTTCCAAAATTCATTTTTTTTTTATCTGCATCTTCCTCACTCTGACTCTCTGTCTCTTGTAAACACTGCAAGCACCACCACCACTAGCGTTTTGTCAAACGATAAATTCAAAATGTTACCGAAAGTTACAACGAAACTTACCTTTCACGCACCACTCCCGCAAGCCAAGTTTCATCCTTGAGTTTGTGAGTCTGAGCACTATGTTTCGTTAACGCCCCGACGTATGCAAATGAAGGCACGTTGAAGTCCCCTGTTCTTTTTCAAGTAGCCCACGGAAAAACAGAGCCAATTCATTGAACTGACCTTCCCCAGTACAGCGACCCCCGTTGAATTTTCAGCTAATCTGTTGCAATCGGCCTTCGCGTGCTCGCTTTCGCAAGGGAAGCTGAAGTTTTTCTTCGATTCCCCGCCTGTCAGCGAAAGTGGCGTTTTGAAAGTAGTTCGCCACGAAGATCATGTGTGATGTTTTGCCTTTTGGCTTAGCAACGCAGTTGAATTTATTTGCGTGAATGAAAATAAGAGAGCTAAGCAGAGTGAGAAGACAAAACGGCGCAACTTTTTTTTTCGGTTTCATGAAACAAAAACAAAAAGGCTAAAATCCGCAAGAATTAAGTAAGTGAGTAGAAGTACGCAATGAGTGCAGAATGAAAAAAAAGCGTTTATGATTGTGAGGTCGCAGAGCGAGAGGCGAGTCGATGAAGTAGCCGAGCGTGGAGCACTTTCCAAGATGGGCTTTGCCAATGCCATCTTCAATCTTCTTCCTCCAAATAAATGAACTGACTTCCAGTGAGAAACACGACCCCTCTAACACAACAAAACGACGATTGGATTCCAAAGCGTTCATTTTCATCCCAATAGATAACAGGATTTTACTCCCGCTGCATACTAGTAGTCAAGAGCACGTCGCCTATTTGAGTGCTTTTGCAACAGTATAGAAAATTTGAAGCAACTACTTCTGGTAAATTTCTGAGCAGCTCGTATAAGAAGTTACAGTCCTACCCATTCCTACCCATAAGAATCAAGAGGAAAACAATGTTGCGGCTTCATCACGCAGTACAAAAGGCTGCCTCGGTTGGCCGGGTAGAACAAGATGCTGTCAACAAGGACTTGCACTTGGTGCAGGTGGTCCCCCCATCGGTGGCCCCACCAGCTGCAGTGCCTCTCGCTTCTCCGTTGCAGAAGCACCTGGTGTTGGTGGTGGACGTCTCTGGGTCGATGGGGACCGCTGTCGCGGCGGTGAACGAAAGCGGCGAGAAGGAAAACCACGGCTACTCGATCCTCGACTTGGTGAAGCACTCCCTGCTCACCGTGATTCAGAGCCTGGCCTTTGATGAAGAAAGCGAAGAAAATGAAGGCCGTCAAGAACCGCAGGGCTACTTTGAATACCAGCTGTCGCTGATCACGTTCACGCGCACGGCCTCGGTGGTGTTTTCGAAGCTCTCACTGCGGAATGCGGCCGCGAAGAAACGGGCCGAGGAGGCGGTGGCGCAGTTGCGGCCCGAATCCACGACCAACCTGTGGGCCGGCCTGAAGTTGGCGGTCGACCGGATCCTCCTGCCTGCGAACTCCGCGGACGAGAATTATCAGGGGGACGAAGACGACGCGGCCTCCACCACCACCGGGTCCAGCTCCGTGCGAGGAGGACCGACGACGACGACGACCGTTTCGGACGAGCCCGATGCGGAGCCGGGAGTGCTGCCAGCGGCCGCACGGAGGATGAATCTCAGGTTGCAGGAGCGCAACGCCGGTTCAGGTGCAACTGCCGGCACGACGACCCCGTATGAAGATCTGCTTGCAGCAAACACCAGCACGGAAGTGTGGGTGTTCACGGATGGCCAGCCGAACCAGGTGCCGCCGCAGGGACACGTGAAGACGCTCGAAACGTACCTCGAAAAGAAGAAGCTGCCCCAGACCGCCTTCACACTGCGCACCTTCGGGTTCGGCTACTGTCTGGACGCGAAATTGCTGGAGGATTTGGCCAAATTCGGCAACGGATCCTTCTGCTTTATCCCGGACGGGTCCTTCGTGGGCACGGTGTTTATCCACGCTCTGGCGTCCCTGCAAAACACGGTGCCGGCGCGGGCGCTGACCTTGCGCGCGCACGTGCTGCAACAGGGCGAAGCAGGCAAATTTGTGGCCGGCCCGCGCGGGGACGAGAACCACGTCGTTCTGCTCAACGTCCTCGGTGCGAAGGGGTTGCACGATGTGTCTCGGCGGGGGTACTTGGTCCCGAACGACGGCGGGCGTGCGATGGAGATGTCTGTCCCGCTTGGGAGCACGCTGGAATACGGCCAGAGTCGCGAACTGGTGTTCGAAATCCCGCACGGAGTCACGTGCACCTTCTCGCTCGAGTACTTCGACCTTCGCACTATGCAGCCGGTCACGTGCCAAACTACGTGGTCCTCGTCCACGCAGGAGCCTCCTGTCGTGACGAACGAGCCGGTCGCGCTGTTTCAGCATGCCCGCGCCCGGTTGCTGGCCGTGGACGCGTTGGATTACCTGGTCAACGAGGGTCTTCCGGGCTTCGGTGTAGAAAGCGGAAATCCCTCGTCCTTCGGCGGCACTGCAGGTGTCTCCAGTGGGCGCACTCCGACGCTGGAGCAGAAAGCAGCCTGTGTTGCCGACACGGTGCGCGACATCAAGACGAATATTCTCGCGCAGTCGAACGGCGATGATGACGTGGTTCTTCCACTGCTGCAGGACCTTGAGGGCCAGGTTGCGGAGGCGGTTTCCCGCCAGGACTGGTTCAAACGCTGGGGCGAGTACTACCTGCGGAGTCTCAAGTTCGCCCACGTGTTGCAGAAGCGCAACAACTTCAAGGACCCGGGCGTGCAGGGTTACGGCAAGATCGCGCTTCCTGTTCTACTTGTTTCGGGCGACGTTGAGCAAGGGGTTCGTAGTACAACCTCCGCGTTCGACGGGCTGGTGGAGCGCGTGACGGACGTGTTCGTGAACCAGGTGGAGGCGCCGAAGCCGAGCAAGACGTACGATTCCTCTGCGCACTCCGGCCCGATCTCCATGGCGGCGTACAACAACGCCCGCGGACCCTGCTTCACGCCGGACTGCCTCGTCCAGCTGTTCGACGGGTCTCTGGTGCGCGTGGACCAGGTGGCGAAGGGCATGTATGTGCGGTCGGGTTTGCAGCACCTGCCCATGCGGGTCAAATGCGTGGTGGAGACCGCGGGGCCGGGCATGAAAATCCTGCGCTTCGGGAAGCAGCTGAACAACCTCGGAGTCACGCCCTACCACCCGGTTTGCGTTTCGGCGGACGAGCTGCGGCAGATTGGGGCGACCTCCACGCCGCGCTCGGTCGCGAGTGACTCCACGACGTCGACGGTGGCAGACCTTGACGCTGACGTTGAAATTAAAACCGTGGTTTCCGAACAACAGACCGAGGCCGTTGTAGCTACCCCGATGTTGAACAACGACCGCACGTGGGTGTTTCCGATCGATTTGGTTTCCAAAATGAACAACGCCGACAAGAGTACAGCTTCTTTCTTGTCCAGGTACAACAACCTCGAGCATGTTTTGACTGTGACGGATGAGACGAGTCATGACGTTGTCTACAATTTTATCCTCGAACGCCCGGGCAGCTCCGCCTTTGGCTCGGACAACAAGGTTTCTGTGCCTTTGTCTCCCTCGGCCACAACCAACGCGCCGGCTCCGCGAACTCCGCTCCGCACGTTGGGAGGTGAAGAGGCTGATGACAAGAACGGGGAAAAAAGCCAAGAAGATCACACGATTGTCGTGAATGGAATTGTCACGTGCACCCTCGGACACGGACTGACGACGAACGAAAAGATCCAGCACCCGTATTTCGGGGACATGACGAAAGTTCTGACCGACTTTTCGCACATGCAGGGCTTCCAAGAAAAGGGTGTAGTCCGCCTGAATGCGCAGACCTGCTGCGTAAAGGACGCTAAATCGGGTCTTGTGGTCAGAATGGTGCAGTAAAATGACATGGTGAATGTATAAAAGAGAAAATGAAAATGATGTTAACTGCAATCGTGAAAAACTAGAAGAATAGGTTTTGAAGTGATCATGGCTTTGGTCGTGTTTCTCTAAAATGCATCAATTAAGATTTTGGTTTTTGCAAAAACAAAAATACTTAAAAAGAAATGAACAAGTATAATCAAGAATATCGAGCTGAATACTTGACGGGTTTTTTGATGACCCCTTATGCGAGAAACTACAGAACTTTTGCATGCCTCAACTTAGAACTACCACTAGACTACTACAACACTAGGTCCACCTATTACTGCGTCGTCGCGACCAGTCTTTCTGTCTTTTCAGCGCTCACTTCATCAAGTGATCAGTTTAGGAGGAAAAGGAAAAGCCCCCTTGTCCCCTTTAGGGGGGTGGCTGAGCGACGAGTGTCATAGCACTCGATTGTTGCGAACTGTAGCAACCGTTTCTAACTTTTTTTATCGTGAATGATCAGTGACAGTGAAGATGAACTTTTTATGGTTTTCTGGAATTATTGCCTGTGCGCAATATCAATGATTTATTTGATCCGAGGACATGGTTCTCCTTTATGTGTTTCATTAGATGTAAAAGTTCAAAAATGAAAGTGATTTGCCTCCAGAAAGAAACCCTGAAATGAATTTTTGGCGTAAAAAATAGTGTATGAAAAGTCAGGATGCAACTCAGTTGGAAAAAAAGAATGCAGTTCGGAGTCAAGCGTAAGCGAGCGGGATTTTTTCGAGGTACCCCGCAGCTTGAAACAGGGCTACAGCTCGATGTTCTTCGGTATAAACTCGAAATCGTTCATCTTTATGGCCATTGATTTTCCGAGGAAGTGGGTGTTGATGCTACTAACTTAGCCACGCGTCGTGAAGATCGCTCTCGGAATCGTATGGTCGTGATCGTATTTCTTAGCGCCGTAACTAAGAACATTCAGAAATTAGCTTTAGTGTGTCTTTGATCGACTATTTATAATTCGTTGTCGGCAACATTGTGTGGTACTACAAGTGGCTCTTGTTCGTGCGTTTTTCACGTTTGATTTTGTCGAAGAGTTCGAGGTGCCCCCAAGAGTGTAAAAACGGCTGTATCTTAATCTTATTCGCTCGACAAGCATTCGGTCGTTTCCGCTTTCATCCCCCATTGTCGTTTTGCCTTCTTCCAAAAATCGGACAGGCAATCTGCAGGACACGCCGTCTATCAGTCTTTCATCTATCCTCGCGCGGGCGCCTTTCATTGGATCTGAAACTCATAAAAAAAGCGAATTGTGCCGCGTGTAGTATTTAATTAAACTACTTGTACTTACCTCCCTAGCAGCGTGATCATCGCAAAGCTTGGTTCTCGACTCCATCATGCTTCAGCGTGCTTCCACTCTATTCCTGGAAAGTGATTTTTCCTCGGAGACAAATGCAACATGCCGCGGGGCCACGATCTTCGATACTATGTGGTCGACGTTCTCGTTCATAGGCAAAGGAGCAAATACCGGAGGCGGATTTTGTTCCGGGGTATTAGGACATCATCAAGACGAAAAATTACATCAGCTGGTGCAGGAGCATCATTTTCATTACCCCAACGTCGGGACAAAGTCCTTCGGAAAAAGAAGCGTAAGGACAGCGTTTCCGCCGGCGGAAGACGGTAGTTGTCGGAAGGCCGGGGCTATCAACTGTAAAAATGTCTGGGTCTGGAAGAATTCATGTTTGTCATGCTTGTCTGGCATGATGACTCTTAAATCTGTCATGGACGTTACCCAAGAGCTCCGCTTTTCTGTGATGCAGAGCCGCAGTTTGTCATGCTGAAGAGGCAACACCTAGGAGCTCAGAAACTTGTCATGCTGAGCCAGTATTCGTAGCCTCATTATGAGACGCCACCCAGCATCACAAGTTTCCAGACCCAGACATGTTTACATTTGATAGGGGCGACAAACTCCTGCTTGTTGAAGGTCGTGCCAGGAGATTTTTTATCAACTGCAAATGTGTCTGGGTCTGGAAGAATGCAAGACTTGTCATGCTAGTCTGGCATGACTCCGCACTCTGTATTGCGTGGCCATGCAAAAACGCAGTTTCTCATGCGGAATACGCAACACAGAAGCACGAAAAAACTTCTCATGCTTGGCTGCGCATTACAGTTCACTTTATTGTTCACTGACTTGCATCGCAAGTTTCCAGACCCAGACATATTTGCAATGCATGTTTTTATGAGGTAAACGGGATTCCGGACGTCCACGACGAAGTGGTCAAAACAGAGTATGAAACGCTCGTTAGCTGGAAAAATCTCAAACGGAACAATACCTGCTTCCATGACAGGCTGCAAGTGCAAAGTAACTCTAGTTTGTATTCTTTCTACTACTCAACCCTGCAGCTACTTTGCAAGACAGACAATTTTCGACCGATATCAGTGCAGATGCGGTTTCTTTAGAGTTCCATGTTAGGGTTGACCATGTCATGCTAAACTAACAAGAACATAACGCGTACATTGCGACTACCGAGATCATCATGATGCGCATAATTTTCCCGGATCGCAATCACAAAAACAAATTGTTCTAGTTTAGAAATGGCTCCCTTTGACGAGCAGGCCATACAAGCATCTGCGTGCCGCCTGGGCGAGTGGCCGAATACCAAAATTGGATGGACCAGACTCCTGAGTGGCGCGCGGCGAAGCGCAAGGCGCGCGAAGACGCCGAGTTGCGACGGAAGCAGGAGGAGTGGAACGCATTGACGAAGGAGGAAAAGAATGAACGCGTGCAGCTCGCGAGGTTCGAAGCGGAAAAGGCCGCCAAGAGTCAGAGCAGCGACGACAAAAAGGAGGACCCTTTGGAGGTAATTAAAAAGAAGCTCAAAATAAAAATGTTTTCCGAAATGAAAAATGTCCGCTGTGCAAACTACTAATCCTGCTCGCTGCAGGAGGCGGGGCGGAAATCGAAAGATTGATGCGATACATGTATGAAGATGATCCGTAAATAAGCTAAATCTAAAATACAAAAAGTAGACCCAGAGTAGGATTCTCTGTTTCGTACCTACTGAGGAACGATGCAAAGAATCCTCTTCATTCGGTAACGATACAACAAACGGTTGTTTTTCAGAAAGATGAAGATCACAGGAATGTTTCGCCCTGTGGCTTGTGAAGCAAATCAGAATGTAGCAAACTTTTTGCAAATCGATCCAACAAGTGGTCCCAGATCCTTGACCGAAGATAACGGATCGTCTATGTCAAATACCTACAGTACTAGATCTTCAGATTTACATCGGTTGAAAAAATGACCATTCTATGGGAGATCCTTGATGAACATGTGCATGAGTCTCTCCGTGTGTGTATGCGATCAAGAGGATCCAAATGAGCACCAGTGTCTTCTGATGTCACAACGCACAGGTCGAGCAGCTGAAGTTGCATGAGAAAGGATAGACGCGACAGACTTCTCCTGAAACGCAAAATTTTAAGAATTTGTTGACAAATATCGAGTATTGTTCTCACTGAAAAGCCGTACTTCTTCTTCTTCAACTTTCAATCATTTTTGCAGAAAAAAACAAGTATCAAGCATGTCGTCGGCGATCTTGAAGCAGGTGGAGAGCCTGCTCCAGCCAGGCGAGCGAATCGTGACCGACGCCGAGCGAGAGGCGCAGGACAACGAGAGGAAGGCTGCGGCAGCCGCACCAAAGCGAATTTTCGACGTTCCTGCGATCCATGGGATATGAACTGCAAAAGTATCGTACTAGTAGTAATTGCAATACAAATTCGCTCAACATGACAAATGGGCTTTGTCATGCTGATTTGCCTTAGGAACGAAATTTGTAATGCATGACTGCGATTACTACAACACGTGTACGATACTTTTGCAGAGCATATGGGAAGCTCGAGGAAATTCGGTACAAGCCAGCACCTAATACGAAGCACGTTCCATGTATGGAAGTGTCAGAATCGAAATTGACAAAATCGAAAAACTTGTGATGCATAAAATCGATACCAGTTGGAGCCTCAGTTTGCAAGCGGCGCATGACAAATTTCGGGAGCACCCAAATCCAGTCTGTCATGCTGTTTGGGCAAAGAAGACTGCTCCTGTCATGCTACTCTGGCAGCGCATTGCATACTCCTAAACAGGCTTACAATCGGTCTCATTTGCCTGCTCCCCAATACAGGCCTCCAGTGCCCTACATTTTATGCATCACAGATCTTTCGACTTTGTCGATTTCGATCCTGACACATCCATACCATGGGTCGAGACCTTAGCAATCACCGCTGCAAAACCCCTGGACAAGACCCTGGTCAGCGAAGATGTAAAGCGGGAGCAGGCCTTTCTCGAGCAAAGTACAATTTTTTTCTGCGGTGAAGTTGTCTAGATTTTTTGCATAACTTGGAACAAGAAGTTTTTTCCTGCATTTACTGTCATTGTGCAGCACCAGGCCATTAGGCCAATCTGAATTATTTTCAAAAGTGACAACTGACAAGGACAACGCATTTGATTTCTTTCTGTTCTCTCCAGGCAAAGAGCTGGTCGCAGAGGGGTACCGAAGACTCCGGGTAATGAAGATTCCAGCGTCTAGGCCAGAGGACTTCCTCGCAGAAATGTTCAAAACCGACGAGCAGATGCTGAAGGTGCGCAGCCGCATTGTGGAGGAGCAGAAACGCATCACCGGCGTGGAGGAGCGAAAACGCAACCAGGCCAACGCTAAGTTCGGAAAGGCCGTCGGCGTCAAGCGCATGGAAGCCCGGGCAAAACAGAAAAAGGCGACCTTGGAAGGAATCGAGAAATGGAAGTACAGTCTAGCTACTGATATGTTCTTCTACACACAGCACATTTTTTTATGCGTACACATGGGTTGCTGTTGCTGAACTAAAAGTTTTATCACAACCAGAACCGCTGCCACCAGAAGGCAGTGTAGTGCATCCATTTTGAAAAGTAAGTACTGGCGGCAGCAGCACATGCAGCCTGTAGATGAGATTTTCTATCGAGGAAACCACTCGTAATCTTAAAACTCACAGGTCCGACAAGGGAAAGGAATCCAAGTCTATCGAAGAGGTAATAGATGGCGTCAAGGCGAAACAGCGGAAGTCTGAAAAGAAGGGAAAAGGCAAGGGAAAGGGCGGAAAGGGTGCATCATCAGGAGCTAAGGGAGGAAAGGGCAAGGGTAAGGGCAAGGGCAAGGGCAAGGGCAAGAGCGGATCCAAGGGTAAGAAGGGAGGAGGCAAAAAAGGCAAAGGACGGGCAACGAAGAAGCGCTAAAGAGCGGACTGGTTCGCCCCTTTCCTTTGCATAAGAAAATGAACAAGCGATAATAGAGTCAAACACTCTTGGTGAACTGAATCACTTGTGCGTGTTACGGCAACAATCTGAACTAAAAATACGAAATGAACACTTGCTGTTGCTGCTACAACTGCTTGCGGCGCAGGAGCAAAGTCTGAAGCGATTATACTCGCTCATTGTAACGAAAGAGGTGTTTTGGTAGAAGAAGCGGAGCTACATGCTGGTTTTTCTTTGTGGTCTGAGCTGTTGAGGAGACAAAGGATCTACTTACTGTTTTTTGTATGGTGTCTGGACTGATGATCACGGGTGAGAAGATCTCAGCTTTAGTATACCACGACCACGAGAAGGTAAAGAAAAAGAAGGATCCCAGCCTGATGTAGCAGGTGAGTACTCACACCGAAGCTAGTAGCGCAATGGGTTGTCCATGCGTTGCGTACTATTGTAGGATTCATTTTGACAATACGAGTCTGATGCGACGATCTGGCTTTGCCTGCTCCTACAGTTTCTCTTTTATTCTTTCGCATGATCATCACTTTTCCGAACAGGACGTCATTGTTGTATTCGTATAGAAGCAAAGTTTCGACGTTCCCGTGTCCGTGCACCTGCAGATACAACATTTTAGTTCTTTGCAAAGGTAGGAGAATTACGTTTACCATTTGTTGGGAATAGTTACGGCCGTAAACCTTAAACCGAACAAAAAATGCTTCTCTCGGATAAGATAAAAAGACGAAAAAATTGCCCAGGGGGCACCTGGTTTAGCCGTTGCCATCGCTTTGGTGTCGGTCATGTTCTCGCAGGTGCCGCACTCGGGACGCGGGGCTCGGACGGATCTTCTTTCCTCCGATCATCACCTCGGGGAGCGGCCTCAAATGCCGACCTTGGCATCGACGCAGACGCGGCGTCATCAGCTCGTCTCGGCACCGACGCACAAGAAGGTTCGACCAGGGGCAGTTCGGAGTACGAGCACGAAGATCATAGAGCCTTAGGCAGCGCTGCAGCAAATTCTAGTGCAGGAAGTAGTGGTCTACTGGGACGACGAAAAGCAGCTGCAATAGCCGCATCCTCCGCGGCCGGCGCACATCAGGATGGGACGACTTCCGCCCGCGCGCACGAGGAGAAAAAAGAACCTCTTAGTACAGGAGGTGAACGAATTTTTACACCTCCATCGATAATAACATACGCAGCTCCACGTCCACCTCCACCATCCTCGCTTGTTGCCCATGAAGGAACAGCCAGAGGGTCGTGTGTCTCGCCGCCTTTTCTTCCGGAGGATTCCCCTCTGTTGAGCTTCCATGAAGCAGCACTGAGGCCGGCGTGGTCATCCCCGAAGAGTAGTTCATCGTCCTGCTACGAACAACAGCTACCCCCGCCCAATTGGGCTACTACTTCATCTCCTGCGGAGCACGACCAGCACTCGCATTTGAGTTGGACGTGGGCGGGGCTAGAGACCCGAGGCGGGGTGATCCGACGAACGACAAGCACCGCGAGCACGGGAATCCCGGAGGACGATATTACACCGACCCAGCCACAACAACTCACGCCCGGTAGCTGTTCTTCCTCCAGCAGCACTGCCCGGCCGTATCTCACGTACTACCGGCCCTGCAGCAGCACGGGCGCCGCCACACCCATGAGTTGCACTTCCAGTCCGGGCCTGAGCGCCAGTAGTCGGGGTAGTCCGGATTTCGGTCTGCGAAAGCGAACTTCGTTCACTACTTGTGAGGAAGAGAAAAACGATTTTTCATTTTGTGGACGATCCCTCCAGGAGGACCGGCCTTACAAGCCTGACGCGGTGGAGGAAGCGGTCTTACTTGGTCTGCTCCCAGAACCAGCCGAAGGAGAGGCAGCGAAGATATGCGAGGAACTAGACGAGTTATTGCTGCCGCCGCCTGCAGCGCCTGCAGCCGACGGCACCTCCTGCGTCGTTGTAGACGGTTGCCTTTTGGCGTCCTCTCCGGCAGCGAGGTCGTTTCGACGTGAAGAGAGCCCGCCCGAAGACGTTCGAGCGGCAGGCGAGCAGACGAAAATGCCTTCAGCATGCTTGTCTTCGTTGCCATTTCTTGCAAAAGAAGACACCGAGGAGGAGCGTGAGGAAGCAAAAACTGTTTTCCGGGTGCTCAAGCAACGACTCCTGCCGAAATGTGGCGAGGGCTTCACGGATGAGCGGCCGCTGAATTTCTTCGAACGCAGTAGCTGCTGGGCGGAAGTGGGTAGTACGCAGCGAGGACGAGGAGCAGCAGCTAGTCCTACTACACAGCTCGACGACGTTGAGCTTGCTGAGGAGGTCGATTCTGAAGACGAAGAAGATCCTCTCGGGTTGTGGACAGGCGAGCGCGAGACTGACCTGCCGCAGGAACTTGCATGCTACATTTGCCAAGGACTCTTCGAGGAGTCCGATGAGCAGCTTTACGAGGGCTTTCTCGGCACTGAGCACACAGGGACGGAAGACGACATTGATACAGTGATTCCTCCTGCGGAACAAGAAGATGAGCGCGATGAGCAGGAAGAGCGGTGGGTAAACGATGCAGAGATGCTCGTGCGTCGTGGCATAGCAAAGTTGCACTCAGTGCTGGCCGCGAAATGCAGAAGGCGACGGCCGAATCATGACCCGGCGAGAGCGGACCAGGCGCAAGGTCACGCACGGAATGCAGAAGTAGATGACCATCTTCGCAATATGAATGAGCAGGGACGACGAGCACGAGCTGTTCCATCAGCCAAGGCCGCTGCCATGTTGAAGAAGTTGCGGCGGCGCTTGGTGCGCTACTCCCGCTTGACGGCGCGGATACAGTGTAGCTTGGCGGAGATCCCCGCACAGTTGCTGGTGATGTCGCTAATTCTCAACGGCGGAATGCCAAATGGCTTTTGTGACGTGCTGCGCATCCTCTTGTACCTCGTGGTAGATTTTTATCCCTTCTTCTGGGACGCGGAGACGGTGGCCAACACGGAAGAAGAGGTGCTGTCCGTGATGCGAAGGACGCTGACGCTGCTAAGTCGGGTTGTGGTTCGGGCGGCGAACCAAAGCGCCGGGGTCTCTACGCCGGACTCTCGGGAGGAGGAACGAAACTCGCAATACCGGTTTTGGGCCGCGCTACGAGAGGAGGTAGATCTGTTAACTGCGCAGGGTGGCGTTCGGGTGGAACAGCTGGCAAACGAAATCCAGTCGGCGCGGGAGTCCCTCTTTCGGTATTTGGAGAGCGGAAAAGTGGGGGACGCACTAGGGGATTGCGATTTGAGCAACCGATTGTTTCGAGCAGAGGAGCTGCGCAGCTGTGTCCAGCAGCCTGCGGCGGGGGGAAAGAAAGCTAGGTCTACTTGTTCCAGCACCAGCAGTAGCAGCGCCTTCGATGACGACACCACTGCGGCAAAGCGGCCCGCATCTAGTATTTCTAGAAGAAAAGACCTCCTGCAGAGGGCAAGCCTCCTAGTTCGGCCCTGCAACTGCAAACAGAGCGTGGTGCACTTGCCTTGTCTGGAGCAGTGGCTGGCGCAGAAGTTCCCGAGCTCAACAGGTGGGTCATCCGCGAGTGGGAAGAAGTGCAGTGTGTGCAAGGAGAATTTGCCGCAGCGACTGCTGAACACGCTTCGAGACCAGCGAAAGAGACTGAGAGAAGAAATAGCCAAAGAGCTACAGCTGATTTCTGACGACGACGAGCAAGGAGAAGGACGACGCGGCGTAGAGGAGCCAGGAAACAGTCAAGGCCACCCTGCAATAAGGGCAAGAACAGGAAAAAATGTGCCGGGCTTCGTGAGCAGCAACATTCTTGGTGATCAGGCGTCGGATACGGAGGACGAGGAGGACGCCCGGTGCGAACAGGTCGCCGCCGAACTGGGGGATCTCATCGCGGTCGTGGGAAAGCCGGTGCGGGATTTGAGCACGCTGCTCGTAACGTTGGATAAGGTTCACATCTTGCTCCTCCGGCCGGCCCTGTGGGTCCTCCGGTTTCAGTACGACCGCATGTACAAGCAGCCGGTGTGTCTGCCGAGCCACATTTGCCCTTCGAAAAAACTCCTGTCGCGCGATGCGAATGTGGTTTGCGTTTACATCAGCACGTTCTACTTCATTCAGAAGTACGTCCGCCTTCTGATCCGCACGGGCAACGCGGGCGAGGGGTTTTTGCGCGTGCTCGGGCTCGCTCTACGCACCGAACTTGTCGCAGTCGCGCTCGCGTGGTTCCTTTCAGAAGCGATCGGACAGGAGCGGGAACCATTTCTGTCGAATAAAGACGACGCTTACAAAAAGTTCTGCAAAGGTCGGGACCCCACGCAAAACGGCCCTAACGGAGGGCTCGGGATCTGCGGGACGCATGCGCAGGCAACCTATTGGAGTACGTAACGAGCCAGTTGTTCCGTTTCAAGATTCTGCCGGAAAAAAACGGTTTCCGCTTCGCGTTCGCCTGCTTTTCGTGTTACTAGTGTCCAACTAAGCAGCAGAGGATTGCTTGTTGTTATGGAGTGGGAGAAGAGGAATTCGATCTGGATATAGAATGCGAATTCTTTTGGTCCGTACCATTGAAACTGGGTGGAGGGTAGTTTCCTCAAAGTGCTCGCGAACGATGCAACTGGGCGAGAAAGCCGATTTTGCCGCGAGTCCACGAGAAATTAATTGTGTGAATCCTAAAATACATGCATCATCGGGGTAGTTGTAACCCTAAGTAAATCATAATCTATCATGTTGTTTTGACTCTGTTACTTAGTGTTTCGAATATGGAACTGTATTTGGTTTTGATAAGGATTAGGATTTGGAAGGACGAGAACCGGAAACGGCGAATTGACCATTTTGGTTTGCGAACCATAAGCAACTGATATATAGAAAATTATGTAGAGATCTAATAGCCTTTGGTCGTGGTCAACATATTGATGGCTGCGATAAGCTGTCCCGGACGCACTGAATGAACGGCCGCCCGCGAAGATAAGCATCATGTTGATGTTAAATGAAGAAAAACTATCGCAACCGGTCCGCCGACTCTGTCTAGACATGTTCGTTGTAGATGTTGACTAGCGTTTTGCTAGGCCCAACAGCATCAGCATCAACATGTATTGCTGCATTAATACATAGCCCTTGCCAATAAATTTTCGGACTTTTTGGACCTCACCTCCCTGATTTCCGTTTTGTACCCGTTAAAAAAGATGAGAAGCGTCGATGTTGATCCACCTGTCGCACCCGCCGCTTGCCTCAGGTCTGCTTCTAGTGCGGCGGAAGCAAAACAGGTGAAATTTTCTTGCTTCCGCTCTACTATGTGTGTTCGGAACTGCAAGGCTGCGCCACTGGTCGTCCCGAATAGAATAAGTAAACGATCGTGCTGTGCTTGTTCCGAGTCACACATTGCAGCTCCGCCGTCGGTGTCCTGAAAAATCGTACGTTACAATCTACGATAATGATACTCCGTAGTTGAGTAAACCTACCTTCTACCATATTCGTTTGGCGCAAAAAAAAGTTGAAGTCGTCTACTCAACTTCGCAGCCCCGTGGCCGTTATTTCCTTTTACATGCCTCTTACGTATGCAGATGAACATGCAGTGTGAATCACCTTTCGTTCAATCATGATAATGTTTTCCTGGTCAGCATCGACAGCATGAGTTCCCTCGACAGCATTGTGGGTGTTGCGGTCGCGAAGGCGCTGACCAACACCTCGTATGAAAAACGGAAGCAGGCCGCGTTGGAACTGGAAAAGGTGGTCAAAGAAGCGCCGAAGGACCGTGTGCTACAGATTCTGATTCTGCTTCGCGACTATGTGGAATCGCCCACTGCCAACGTCCGCAAGGGAGGCCTCATCGGGCTCGCAGCCGCTGCCATCGGACTGGACACGCACACTTTTTTACGCACAGTAAAATCAAGCGAAAACGGCGCTTCGCAGCAGACCAGTGGAAAGAGTGGGAGGTGAGGTCATGTGATAGTAGCAGCAGAACGACCTTAGTAGAGCCACAGCAGTAGCTGACGATATGAAAGTAGACGAACCACAAGCATGCACTTTTTTTCGTCGGATCCATCTGCCTGTCGAATCTTGTAGATAAGAAGGCGCTGTTTGATTAGTTTGAATCAAGGAGCACGTCGGAGGAATGTCCTTGTCTTTGTGGGCAATCAATCCAGAGTTTCAGTTTTTTAACTCATAAAAGGTCTCCACGCGACCATGTTTATGTTTTGTAACCTTCACACAGGCCTCGCGACGGCGGCGATTTTTTCTCGCGCTTGATTGCGGAGCACTACCCGAAGGATACGGACGGCGCGGATCTTGCTACTAGTCCAGCGGATGAGGTGGACTCGAAGGCGGTGGACGGAACGACGGGGTCTTCCACCTTGCAAGCTGGCGGCTCGTCCTCGTCAAGTGCACGGTATGTTGCTTCCGGTGCGGTGGCCGGAGATCGTGGTGCATTTCCAGGAGACATCAACTCCAGAGCCGGATTATTACTGGATGACGCCACCGCTTCGGTTGAAGCCGGAACACCAGGACATGTGGGCGCGGGAACAACTGCAGGAAATATGGCGGTGAGCAGTGAGTACAAGGACTTTTGGGACGACTATATCGAGTTCCTCGTCCCCCCAGTGTTGTCCGTCTTCGAGGACGAACACCCGCGGGTTCGCTACTACGCCTGCGAGGCCATGTACAACATCATCAAGGTCGCCAAACCCATGCGGTATTTCAACGAAATTTTCGACGGCACTGGCCGCCACACTGCGGATCCGGACAAGGACGTGAAAGCGGGGGCGGTGTACCTGGACAAGGTTCTGAAGGACGTGGTTACAGACGCGGACGCGGTCGGCAAACACGGTTTTCGCACCGTTTTTTTGCCGCGGTTCATGCCTCTCCTCAGCGAGCGCATCCAGAGCAAGAACCCGTTTCTGCTCTCCTTCCTCCTGGGCTGGGTGCAGCTCCTGCAGACACTGCCCGACCTGGATCTGTACCCCTACCTGCCTTCGCTCCTCCCCGGCCTGTTCGGCATGCTGGGGGAGAACGTGAAGGACTTGCGCGTGAAAGCCGACTTTTGTCTCGCCAATTTTCTGAAGGGGCTGCGGTCATCGTTCTCGACGTCACCGGGTGCCATGAACTTCTTCGGACAGGGCGTGGAGTCGCCGCTGCTTGCTCCGCAACTGCAGCTCGGGTCGCAGGATCTGCGCCGGCTGAGGCACCGCGTGGTGCACACGACCACGCCTATTTTGGTCGACATCGTGCGGAACATCCACGGCGAGATGCGGCGGAAGCCGGGCGCGAACACGATCGCCCAGACGCGTACGTGGTCGTCGCAGCTCACCGCTGCGCTTGGCTGGCTGCAAAGTTTCGTTGAGTTCGCGACCAACGAGCTGGAAGAGCAGCGCAGCGCGGGGATAGCGAGAGGTTTCTCTGCACCGGCAGCAGATGTTGATCCTGCGGTTTCTTCGCAGCAGCAGCAGCTTCTTTTGGAAGTAGAGGCAGAACTCTTCGCACCCGCACCACTGAGCGCGCCCGACGACCCGGAGCCTTTCTCTCTGCTGCCCTTGTTTCTCACCGCTGTTCTTCCTTGTTTGGATTCGAACGACCGCGACACCGCGCGCATCGCGGTGGAAACGCACTCGGAGCTGCTGCAACTCGTGGACACCTCGGAATACGGCCGCGACATGAAGCGGCCGTTGCTACTGGCCCTGATTCGCTCTTTGCAGAAAGAGATGTCGCCGGACCTCATCGCCACGAAATCGACGGCCAGCGGGCCGCTGCGGCCAGCATCACGAGCGCCGAATTATGGTGGTGGGGTCGGTGGGGGTGGAGGACCAGGAGGGAACAAGAATAAACTGGAGCCGGCGATGAACACAACTGCCAGTCCAGGTGTCAACTCAACTGCCGCTGACGACGTGGTGCTGAAGACCGCGGCGCTGCAGTGGCTTTGCATGTTGCTATCGAACCGGCCCGAGGAGATGTTGGAACTGAGCATGGAGCTGTTCGACCCCTTGTTTCAGACCTTGTCGCACCCCGACACCGAGGTCGTCATCGCGGCGCTACAGGTTTTCGCCCGAATCATGAACGAGGCAAAGGTGTCTACGCTAAACGCGGCGGAAAACTTGCAGGACGTAGCGCAGGAGCAAAAAGACTGGAGCAAGACGCAACAGAGCAAAAGTCTCGCCGCAGCCGGGATGCTGGTGACCAGTTCTTCCGCAGGGGGCGGTGCATCATCAGCTGCACCTTCAGGAGCGACTACAACCGGCACCTCCGCAAATAAAAGCAGTAAAGTGAAGAGTCGTACCGTGGTGTTACAAGAGAATCTACCGCAGAGAACCGGGGCAAGCACTCCGGTCTCCATGTCTAGTGTCGGTGGTGCATCCTCTTCGCCGGGTTCGCGAATTCCTCCGGCGGTGTTAGCTGCAGGGGAAGGCGGGATGAAACAACTGCAAGAGCAGCAGCAGAGCAGTCAGCCGGAGCGCATCCGGATTTCCAAGCTGTTCCAGGGAGTGTGTCGAAAATTGCTGGACCTGTTCCGGATCGATTCGCAAATGTTCGACCAGCGCGGCCGGCTCGTCGTCAGGCAGCTTTGCGACAAACTAGACTGCGAGCTGTTTTACCGTACGGTGGCGGGGATTATCAGCGAAGAGCGCGAGCTGCTGAACAACGCAAACGCCACTGTTGTCGTTTCGTCCTCCATGACCAGTCGGGCCGCCGCGGTCCAACGCCACCGGCAGTTCCTCGCCCAGGCCGTCGAGATGTGGCACTGGATCTTGCTGACCAGTCGGGAGACCGCGCACTTGCGGGACCGGCTTTTGCGGGAGAAAGTAGGCGGAACTGCCGACGTGGAAGTTCTGGAAGCAGCAGTTGTTGCCATGAACAAAAGCAGTGCGACGAAGGCGAAAACTACGTCATCCCGAGAACAAGAATTGACGAGCAAAACATCTTCAAAAGAGGACAGTGCGGCGAAGAGCAAGGAGGAAAAATCCCAACAAGATGAACAGAATGAACGAAACGTCGACTCATCCAACGCAAAAAATACTCAACCATCTTCAAAAACGACTTCGTTGTTTGTCACTTTGCTTCTGTCCTGGGTTTCTGACCCCCTGAGTGCGGTGTCCCTGGCTCTGTGGTGCGAGCAGTACGAGTTGGCGCACCGGCTGTGTCAGCGTCTAGCCGCGGCGCAGAGCAGCTGTACGGAAAACTTCCTGAATCAGCTGGATCAGCTGGTGCACTTGTTCGAGAGCCCAGTGTTTCTGCGGGCGCGCATGCACCTGCTCACGCCGCGGAAGTTTCCCGACCTGGTGAAAACGCTGGTCGCTTTGTGCATGATGCTGCCGCAGTCCTCCGCCTTCGACCTGCTGCAAAAGCGGCTCGCGCTAAGCCAAAACGGGCTCGTACTCGAGGAAAATGTGTCCATGGAGGAGTTTTTGGACAATGGTGAAAGAGACGGAGCAGGACGACGAGTCGAGGGTGAGGACAATCAGCAGCGACCAGTTGTTGCGAAACTCCCAACCGAACAGGTTGCGAGGGTTGTCCGCCTTCTTGTGCTTCAGTGAATGCCGCTATTTGACGGATTTGCATTTGCCGTAATGCAGATCTGCATCTGCTTCCACAGGACATTCGAAATATAGAAGATAGTGATAGATGGAATACAACATCTTCACGCTGCTATTTGACGCTTGGCCCCATTAGCTGCATCAGGAGGGGCGTTGTGGTGTGATGGTGTTGCGTGTTCATGGAAATATGGTCGCCGCAATTCTGCGGCCTTTCGCATGTGCTGCATCAGCAGCCAAAATGAACGAATTCGAGTTTTCCTAAGTTTGAGCGAATGGCACCTGACATGAGTTTTTCCTATCATCATTCAACACTGGTTTGAAAGTGTAGGGAATCAGGTAAGTACGTAGCGAATTATCATGTAGTCGGTCGGACCACCTTGGTTTGCTTCGTTGGTCACAGTCTTTCGTGATGGGCTTGTTGTCACCCGGGGATACGAGTATCCTTTTGCCTCGGAGCCCAATCAGGCTGTCCTCGTTGCAATGAGCCAGGTCGCAGTTACGTGGAAGGGCGAGAAAGGCGAAGGAAGAAAAATGAACCCGGGTGGTTGGTCCTGGGGACGATCGTTCTTGCAGCAGCAGGACCCCGTTGACGTCGCAGGATTACACAGTAAGGACATGAAGATCGACATGCCCGAAATTATGACGAGGGCAAGCAGCTGGGAGCGCATACGAAAGCGAAGAATACAAACGAAGCTACGACCAGGATGTTGGTTATCCTTTCTTCACGAGATGAAAACTATGAAAGAACGCAGAGCGGCTTGTTTTCTCGTAACACGTCCCACAATAGCGAATCTAGGTGGCTCCCGGGCGCTCATCTTCACACTTTTCGTCCTTGCAGTTGCTTTTCTTCACCCCCTTCTCTATTCTAACCTCTTCGCCCAGGCACAGAAGACGGTCGCGAGTCTTGGCGACCCCTGCGACTGCAATCAGAACCACGACTATTGGCAAACCATGATCGACACCATGCTCCTGCACCTCACCCCGGAACTTCCGAACGCGCTGTTCGCGAAGGGGTCGGCGTCGGAGTCTTTCTTCGGGAAGCAGAGCTGCATCTGGAGCTCGGACAACGAGGACTCGCACCGCCTGGCGGCGTTGTCCGACTGCATTCCGGGGTTCGTGGCGATGAAGATTTCGTGTGTGCAGCACCTGGTCTGGAAGGCCTATGAGGCCATGACGGAGTCGAAGGACCCAGAGAACAACGACGATCCGCTATCCTGAGTAAAAACGTACCCACGCCAGAGTTGTAATGCAGATTCGCAAAGACAGGATGACTTGTAATGCGCATCCCCATGAGAGCCATTTCCAATCGTGTTTTGGAATTTGTGATGCTGTGAACAGGATGAGCAGCTGGATTTGTGACGCGGCTGCACTTGCTAACCTGCACTACACTGCAGCTTGTCATGCGTGACTCACAAAACTCCTAGGTTTGTGTTGCAAAATCCTCATCCTAACTCTGGCGTGGGTACGTTTTTACTCAGGATATCCGCACTTTGTGGATGCCAAAGCCAGCGTCGATCTGGTATGGCGCTCTCAACTGTTACATTCTCAACTGTTACATGAATTTGTCATGCAAAAACCGCAATTGGGAAAGGGGCAAGCTTGCAAGTCTTGCATCACAAATTTGGCATGGATTTAGATGCTATTTAGCCCTTCGACAATTTGTCATGCGAAGCAGCTTGATTGTCTTGCGGCTCATGGTCATTTTGCATGACAAATCATGTAACAGTTGAGAATGTAACGTTTGAGAACGCCATATCTGGCGCTGGGGCACATGGCGGAAGTGTTGCGGACCGCGGCGTTCGGGATATAACAGTGCACAACTCCCCCTCCCCCTCATTTGTCATGCAAAATACCCAATCCACCCTTTGCCTCTTGGCATTGTTTGCATGACAAGTTCTGGTAGCCCAAATAGCACTACACTCCACTGCAAATTTGTCATGCAAAAACAGCACTCTTTCTCTTGCTGATGCTTGTATTGCTGTTCATGCTATACAAATGAGGGGGAGGGGGAGTTGTGCACTGTCATACGGGAAAGATTGCATGGACGAGTCTGTGTGGCCGGTGTCGATGAACGATATCTACACCAACTACATCCGCTTTTACCGCACCCACAGCTACTACCGCGTCACCGAGAACATGCTGAAGGCCCTGGTCTGGGTGTCCGAGACCTGCGCGACCTCCGCCGATTGCGTGGGCGGCAACGTCGCCGGGCGTAGGTGCAAGCACGGTCGGTGCGTCGCACCCGAAGATCCGGGGCTGCTTGCGGGAAAGGATTCGGACGTGCAATACTTCTGTGCGCAGCCCGGGGGCTATCTGGACGGGGCGGGCCGTTGCTGGCACATGGGCAACGAAGGAGAATCGTGCAACGAAGTGTGCGAATATGCGGGATCGAGGCCCGACCCAGCGTACTTCCCCGATAAGCACCGGCACATGACGACACCAATATTGCGGGCGAAGAGCGAGAGTGTGGTATAGTACACAGGAAGCGTGCTGTTTATTTTTCTTGTAGGTTCGGCCTCGGCAGCTTCCGGTGTTGGGTTTCTTTTGCTAGTGTTCTAACTAGGGGAAAGAAGCAGACGCACTATCTACCTACCGCATTGACGTATCATCGTCAACATAAAAATTCTCATCCAGGTAATCCTGTTGATGAACGATCCCTGGATGGAGCAGGAGTGCTACGTGCGTTCACAAAGCCGTTTCCACCCAAGCATCGAGATCCCGCCCGCGTTGCGCGAGCGGCACCAGCTCCCGGAGAAGGAGGACTTCAGAGACCCGAACTGCTTGCTCTCCTGCCAGTGCGAAAAAATCGCCGTCCGCCTCGACCAGATCGGCACGGAGAAGGAAAAGCCTTTTTCCGATTGCGTGTATGACATCCGGCACATGTGTGTGTCCGAGGGAATTTTTCGGCAGTCCGTCAACTACCACGATCCCGATGCTTTCGAGGAGGGCGGCATGTTCCGCGCTTGTTCCGAGGTGGGGCAAACGCTGTTCAAGTTCGACATGAGTTCCAAGCTCTACCCCGAGCACCCGATTGCCACCGACAAGGTCGCGTTCCTGCTCCCCGTGACCTTCAAGCTCACGTCCACCTGGCACGGGCTGCATTCTCTGGTCGCGCCGTTCGTCATGCTGTACCTGGAGCCGGAAAAGTACGGGTTTTGGCAAAACGGGCAAAAAGTGGACCTCTTCCTGATCAACCAAAACCTCGAGCGCGATGTGGAGCACTGGAACAAACTTTTAGGGTACGACACCATGAAGTTCGACGGCAGGTACGGCTGGTTCGCGCGCTTCCTGCAGGCTTTCGAGAATGCGAACGTGATTTCCCAAGGCTACGAAAACATCAACCAGTGTTACGACAAGGTCGTGTTCGGCCACGAGCTGATGATGTACAGCGGCGGGGGCTACACGACGAAGGAGCACGTCCAGTTCTTCACGCGGAAGATGAAGAACTTTTTCCTCGGCGGCGGGCTGCAGCGCAAAGGCGCAGCCATGCTGGCGGAGGGGCGAGACCCGGAAGAAAAGCCGTTCTACCGCGGGCGCGCGAAGGGCGGGGACGAAAACGACGCGAACACGGTCTACACCTTCATCGAGGAAAACGCCGACCAGGCGCGCGCGAGGAGGGCGCGGGAGGAGGAGAGACGGGGGCCACTGGTCGAGTTTTCGGACCCGCGGGACGGCTTCGTCGTAAAACTGCGGAAGGACGAATTTTTGGAAACAGTTCACGCTCCAACAGATGAGAGCAGCGGAGAAGGAGCTTCTGCTGGTACTAGTAGTGGTGCTCCACCTGCTCGCATTGTCGATGTGAACTGGCGGTTCAAGTCGGAGAAGAAGCTGTTTCTCGTGCAGGACCGAATACCGGGGAAGTCGTTTCACCGGTTTGTGGAAAACATGAACGACGTCGTACGTTACATCGAGCTTGCGCTGGCGCTCCCCGGTCGCGAGGACGAGTGGGTGATCGAGCGCCACGACTTTGCCGCGCTGGACTTCGTCGAGCAGGCCCGTCTCGCCAGCAAGTCGCGCATCATGTTCGGTGCGCACGGCGACGGGCTGGCGTGGGGCTTGTTCATGGAACCGAACTCCGTCGTGATGGAAGCCGTGCCGATCCGACGCGGGGGCTACCAAGTCTGCGACGAAGGGCGGAACAAAAACCGACGGGGAATTTTTGGCGGGCTACTCAAGTTCGCAAAGGATGTCACACACGTACTTATTGCTGATTTACCAATCTAGGTTTTTTCTTTTTGTTGATGGCGTAAGTACCTACGTTAAGTGCTGCCAGCGTAAAGCAAAGGTCGCTGAAGTTTTCTATGTCACAGTTGCAATGGATCGTGGATCATGCCACAAAAAGCGGCGAGACCACATGAGCACCTTCATCTGGGAAGATGATCACCGAGATTCAAATCTAGATCAGAATTCCATTTACCTCCATCACAGATTTGCTGGGCGAACCCGCGGGGCGAGAAGTCGGCGATCAACATAACGACCGATGTGTACGATTGGAATTGGCGCATGCTGAACCTGGACATTGACATGATGAAGCTCGCGCACTGGCTCCGCGTGGCGCTGTGGACGGTGAACGTAGGGTTAACCGATGCGGAGTATGCGCACGTCCAGAACGCGCTCGTCCAGTTTTACCAGGAGAAGGGCGAATTTCCTCCGGCCTGGGGGGAAATGAACGAGCAGCTCGCGGCCATGAACCAGCAACACGGCTGAAGTGCTTGTCCTTGTGATGAGTTCTGGGCCGCAGTACTTGGAGGACTTCGGTTCATCTTTTATGCAGTTGTTGAGCTTCAATGTATGAGTTATCGTTTTCATCGAGCTTCTTGAACTTCTTTTCGTCTACTTGGACTTCGTTATCGGAAACCTCTCAAAATGAATTTCAACATTAACGTCAACGAACTCGTGTAGTCACCATCCACATTTACAATTTCTGAACATCGCATTCGTTCCGCGCTGCGCATATTGGATGACATACAAGAAAAGCATACTGTGTCCTCTCTGGTAGTCTCGTAGAATGCACTAGGCTTGGACACTTGGAGAAGGTGGTCCAGCTTGTCAATTTCACCAAGAGTCGTAAGTACAGCAAAGAACAAAGTAGACAAGCGATGTAATGTCGCTATTTGTTGCATCGATCCTGTTTGGGGTCCTCCCAGAAGACGCACATTTATTGTCGCGGCGCCGGTGGAGCTAGGTCCGGGCCTCGGACCAGGTGGAAGCTGTGGCTGACGAATCTTCCGATGTTTCACCAGCACGCGTGCATTTAGAGGGATTTTTGGCGGGTAAAGAAACAGGACAACGACACCCATTCCCATTCACAAGCCAAGGAGCGAGGAGAGACCGAAGAGGGATTTCTTGCTAGGTTCTGACGGAGCAAGACGTGCATTAGACTCAGGGTAGGTTCAATACCAATTACTGTACAATACGGCGTTTGCGACTTTTTGTAAATACTAGGATTGTTGTAGTGTCGGCATTTTCGCATTCGCAATGGACGCAGAGGCAAGGCGGAAGGCCCGCCGAGAGGAGCTGGACCGCCTTCTTGGCGTATCTTCTTCAAAGCCAGATAGGAACGAATCCTCTGCTTTGGACACCACCGAGTTCGCGCAGCCACCTCCTGGTGCGTCGACCTCTCACACAAGCTCAATCGACCTCCAGAGCAACGACTCAGAGTCAGTCCCGCCCGCGTCTGCACGGAGCCGCACGCGAAGCGCGCGCGCACGCGTCGACCTAGATGAACTTTTTAAGCGGCGGGACAACGATAAAAAGCAAAGAGCAGCGGCTGCACAAGATCGGGAGCGCCCGCGCGTCTTGCGCAGTAGGCTGCTTGGAGAGGACCTCCAAAATCAGAAGGCAAAAGGAGAAGCAGGGGAAAATTCGCGCACAAACGCAAATAGCAATTTTGAAGGGGGAGAAGGACAGCGCCAGCGATCGGAGATTCGCACGACAAACAATGGCGTCGACGCAAGCGGATCGGTCAATTCCAGTCTTGACTTTGAACCGCAGCCGCGGCCTGGATCTACAAATTCTGCTTCTTCATCCACAAGTTCTACGTGGATGCTGAGCCACGCGAACCCCGAATCGAAGAAGCCATCGACCGTCGATCTCGATTTTCTTAAACCCAGCAGCAGCAGCAGCAGCAAAGAACGGACACGGAGAAGAGATGAAGAGCAAAGTGACATGATCAAAACATCACATACGGTGTCCTCGAAAAATGATTCCAAAACGAGTCCCAACGAGCACTTGAGTTCGATGATTGAGGAGGACAGTATTCTGTCCGAGGAAAGCTCAACCAGGAACAATGTGAAGCGCAGCAAAAACTACGCTACGGACCAAGAATCGGAGCCACAGATTTATGTCGTCGATAATCAGGTATTGGGCAGGGAACCTTCCCCGCGAGAGCATACCGCCGAAGCGCTGCCGCCGCCACGAGTGCTGTTCTCCGCAAGTTCAGAAACTCCGAGTCTGCGACTGGAAAGCGCAGAAGTAGAGAAAAAATTGCAGAAGACGTCGCTTGACGGCGCGACGAGGGAGGACCAGCTTCACGTCTCGAGTGAGGCTCCAACTGAAGTGGAATCGTATCACTTAGGGGCTCCGGCAGCTGTTCCGGCAGCAGTGTCTGGAGCAGTGCAATCAAGGGAACCGACTCCAGAAGTTGGCGTTGTGTGCGAAGATGGGGAAGAGGACGAGGATCTCGTGATTCCTGGACTAAGCCACCACCACAAAGCTGAACCAGCGCCGGATCCAGCTGGCAATTTAGCATATCCATATTTACCGGCAAATACAGCACCCACTGCGGTTGAAGGAGTGCCAGCTGAACCTCCTATGGCTATGGCAGAACATTACGAAATAAAGTCTGCAGCCACGGCTCCTAGTCAACATCTTCAAATGACTGCAGCCCCTCCCACTGTCGCGCCGGCCACATCTTCACAGCAGCAAAATCCGTCCATTTGCATACAAGAGGCAGTAGACCACGGCACTGTAACAGACGAGCGAGCGAACCAGCTGGAGCAACAGCTCCGAGGCCTCGTGACAAAGTGCGAGCAGCAGCAGGAAAAGATAAAAGTGCTCAAAGAGGGTTACCTGACCAAACAGAAGGAGGTGCAGCAGCTAGAAGCGCAGCGAGACGCGCTCTTTGCGGAATCCGAAAGCAACCAGCGCCAGCACCACCGCATGGAGGAGGAACTGACCGAGGCCAAGCGGCGGCTGCAGCAAGTACAGAAGAGGAGCAAGGAAGCAAGCAACGGCGCGCATGGTCAACCGGGGATGACGAAGAGTAGTTCGTCGTCCGGGGTTGCGTCGAAGTTGCTGGGTGGGAATGCGTTGGAGTCTTTGCTTGGGTTTGGATCGTCTTCTGGCAGTGCTAGTAACAACTCCTCGAGCGGGAATTCTAGAGCGAACGATGTCGACACGGAGAATCTGGTATCGCAGTTGCGCTTGATGCGTGAGGAGCTCGACCGACAGATTGGCGAGAACCAGCAGGTCCAGAGCCAGTTGTTCGACCTTTCAAGACTGAAAGCGGAAGAAATAAACAAGCTGGAGGACGACGTGACGCTGAAAAACGAAAAAGTGCACCAACTGCAGAACGAGGTATGGTCAAGATATGATGAGGATGTAGATCTGATCAATTTATTGCACACTTCTTTCTTGCATGTCCTCAGTTCCATTTTCACTTCGTGTCGTGTTGGCGCCGGCTGCAGCTGCCGCCATCGGCAGTACTTGTTTATTTTTCGGATCGCACAGCGCATTTTCACCTGCTCTGATTTGTTTCCCTTATCCTTCTGTGTCTGTCAACAGATCGTCACGCTCCAAAACGACTGCGACTCGCAGCGCCAGGCGGCGGCGAACCTGGAGCGACAGATCCAAGACGCGCAAACTGCGGTGCGCGAAAAGGACCAATTTGTTCTCCGCGTGTCCGAGGCCGCGGAGGGGCAAAAGGAAGAGTTTCGAAGGCATCTAGCCAGGTGTTTCCCGGTTTTCGATGGCAAATACCTGCCGCCATCCGTGTGGTCTTTCTCTACTTCGAGCTCGGCGAGTGGTAGCAGGGGCAGGACCCTACTAGAGCGAAAGAACAGTGTGATACAGGAATGGAGCCAGCACCTCCGGCGCATCCTCGAGTACTTCGAGGAGACAACCCTAGAAACCCTCGGCGCCTCCTTCGTTCCGGAAGCGGGGAAGTCGAAGCTCGTGCAGCGCATCGCTCGAAATAAGAACCTGGTGCTCCTAGCGATCGAGAGACTCATCGCTTGTTTGTGCACGCCCCTGCACGCTGTCCCTCTCTGGCCAAGTGAGGGTCATCTTCACCAGCATAGCGGTCCAGCAGGAGGATCTTCTGGACGAGGAAGAACAAGTCAGCGGCGTTTTGTCTCAACGACGACTAGTGGAAGAAGTTCCGAGCCTCTGGACCTCAATCTCGCTTACGCGGAACTCGCGCCGGAGCGGAAATTTTCCACGGACGCGTTCTGGCAGGAGAACTACCAAAATTGGGACTACAGCGAGCGGGAAGCCGTGTTGCAGGTTTGGAACGCGGAACCGCTACCGTCGCCGCGTACGCAACAGGAGCTGCACCGCGCCCAGTACTTCAGCATCGCTTCACCTCCAAAAGAGACAGAATTGTTCCAAATGGAGGGACAGGTGCAGAACTTTCTTCTGCACCGCGTTGGTTCGACCACTTCCAGGGCGACAAATAATCAAGACCTGCTCAACGGAAGCAGCAGTGGGGGTGCGCGCATGATGAACTTCACAAAGTCCCCGGATTCGAACCGGGACGGTGCGACGCCGAAAAGTACGGCGGAAGGCGGGACAGCGGCTTCGGGCCTTCGAAATTGGCTGTCCAACACGGCGCAGGCTGCCGCCTCTCTGTCGCCGGTGCGAACGCTAATGGGAGGACGGGCGGCGGACAATTCGAGTTCGACCGCGGATTCACGAACTCCGCCATTCAACCAGCCGAACAAAGCTGGTCGGTCGCTGTCCGGGAGCAGTCTCGTTCCCCCTATCGTCGGATTTCCACCTCCGCAAGGGAATGGGAGTAATCCCACACAGCAGGTGTTTGCAGCTGCATCCGACGAGGATGAAGGTGAAGATGCTGACCTGGTGTTGGATGAGGCTGCAACGGTGGTTTCCTCGTCGGTTACTCCGAGCAACAGGCTTCCGGGCAGCAAATCGGGTGTAGCTTCCACACTGCTCTCTGCGGCTTCGAAAGCGGTGAACCTAACCTCTGCAGCGATGCATCAGTCCATCTCTAGTACCACTTCGGGGATCAGAACGCCCTCAGAAACCGGAACGCCCGTCGCTGCAGGGGGCAGCCATGGCCCGCGGCACATGTACTACTTGGAGCCGCCAAGCAGCGAGGTGGACAAACAAGTGTTTCCGGATCTGATGACAGTCTCCACGGTGTCGGTCCTGGATACGAGCACAACAGAGCCGGACCTCGCGTCCACGCCGGATGTGGTTGCACCCGCTGCGGTGCGCCATTCGGAAATGGATCGGGGCAACATCAACGTGGAAGGAGCTGCTGCACATCACCAGCAGCACCGGTTTAAAAATCGACAAGAAAGGACGAGAACCTCGTCGCTGCGCCGCGACGTAGAGAACAAGCCGAGCCTGGCGCTGGTTCTGCCCGAGGAAGAGAGCGCAAATCGCTGGTTCAAGTGCGCGCAAGCCCGGGCCACGAACCTGCTGCACTGTCTGCAGCGGTTCATCCGGGCGCTCGCATTTGCGGACGCCATCAGTGGGTTTTACAACGACGATGAAGAGATGTCGAATCCAAATAGCTATAGCAGCAACCACGCGCCGCCCGTTGTGGTGCAGTTGGGCAATCGACGGGCGAGGAACAACTTCTATGACGGGCCTCCGGGAAGTAGATCCTACGGCAATTACTACAGCAACCCGAAGCAGCATGAGATTACGCAAAGTGCAGATTCTCTCTGGGCCTTCTGCCTTGCGACGCGCGGCGTCATGCGTGCGTTTCAGATATACGGCTGCGTGCTATCTTCCGCGGAGATGGAGTGTTGCAGGAGTCACTTCGAGGAGCTTCGGGGGCTCGCAGACACACGTTCTTCTTTCGGCGGCGAAGATGCACATCAGCAACGCACACAACAAGGTGGACACCAACGAGCAATAGCTAGCCAGTCTGTAGCCCGCAGCGCCGTAACGACCGTGTCCGCCCCATCGAGCAAAAACACGACTCGGGGAGCAGACCACTGTGCAACTTTTCGGCCCTACCAGAACACGGTGAAAGTGATTCAGCGCGCAGCGGACCAGTGCGGTTCGGTATTCAAACTTCTGGCCGAGCGCGTCAATTCTTCAGCGCAGGAAAGCGACGAACAGGTGCATGCATACAACAGCTCCGTCGTGAATGCTGCACCGTACCACGATGGCTCGATCTACAGTTTAACCAGCCAACACACGGACACGACCCAGCACCAAGTCACCGCCAGCGGTCGGACTTCCTCCAAGGAGATGGTGCTGCAGAGTCTTCGGTTTGTGGTCGGTCGAATGGAAAAGATTTCTGCAACCTGCAAAAGTTTCGACTTTTCAACTGCAGAAAAAAACCTGCACATGGATCGCGATGTCGAGGGACTATTGAGATTCGATGGTAGAAGTAGGAGCGCAGAACAGGCTCTGCCGTATTCTTTTCTGGACCATTGCTTCGTCGAGGATCAGATTTGTGCATCAAAATTATCTTCAACCGACGGCAAGGGACATGATGACAACTCTACTTCCGGTGTTGGTGCAACTACATCTTTAGCCTGGCAACAGGAAGGACCTCCGCGCTCGAACCCGTCTACCATTTGTTCAACTTCGTCGGGCAGTGCTTCCTCTTTCCAAGAAATGCAGAAGCGTACGAAATCTCGCTCCGTGAACGCGTTTCAGCGCGAGTTGCGCCGTCTAGGCGTCGCCGTTCCGTTATCAACGGGTAACAAGAACAACTCTCAAACCGCAGGCTCGGAAACGAGCATGAACGTGACAGATTTATCCGGCGAGAGTGGCATGTTCAATCAATCTGTTCTCTCCACGTCCAGCGCTGGAACAACGACCACGAACACCGCATCGGATCAACATCCGTCAGCAAACAACTCCAGCAACATCCGCAGTTGGTCCGACATGCGGCGAGAACTGAACGCAAAGCGAAACCTCGAGATCGAACTCGACAACGCACGGACGCAGGCCTCCAACTTGAAGGCAGAAGTGGCCCGGTTGCAGGAGGAGCTTTCCGAGAGCAGAACGGTGTTTAGCACGATCACGCCAGCAGCAAGAGGCTTCCTACCACCGCCACGACCACCCGCTCCTGCGGATAGAAGTAGTGATGGTACAGCGAATGATAACCCGGAAGACAATGACAAATCGGCGGGTGAACAAGCAAGACCGAGTGCTGCGAGCGCTCGCAATCCGTCGGCGGCGAGTCCGTCCTCTCGCACGAAGAGCTCTTCGTCAGTGCAATCCAGTGATGACGAGATGCTGATCGGTCCCGGGGGCGAGCGGATATCGCTGCGCAAGATGCAGGACCAGCTGTCAAACCGGGAGCTCTTAGTGGAGCAGCTTGAAGGCGCCATCGCCTGGGCAGACAAGCGCACGGAGGACCTGCAGAAAGTGGCGCAGAGATACTACGGACAGGTATGAAATAAATCAAGCGTGCTTTATAGGTTCACCCGGTGCCTAGGTTTTTCCGAACATAGAAAACCCAACATCAACTAAAAGTAGACTAGATGTCTACGAGACTCGAATAGCTTCGCCCGCTCGGTTTGACATCGCAAACTTGCGCTAGAAGGAGCAACTTTCACAGAGTTCACAGTCTGGGGCGGGGAAGCAGCGCACGGGGCAGCGCGACGGTACTTGGCATCAACTGCAAACAGCAGCTGATCTGGAAGCGATTGACACCGCGACCCGAGCGCACGACGCGCGGGGCGGTAAATCATGCCTGGCAGGGGACACACCTCGGGCAGATTCCGCGTGAACATGCATGCGCGCCGCCACCTGCACCCGCTAGGGGGACGGCGCATACTTGCATCAGGCCGAGCCCTCTTTTGAAAGAAGATAGAAGTCGAACGCCTCAGCTCCATGCCCGATCGCTCTAGTTACTTAGCAGGCGCTTGGATCTCCGCCCTAGGCTTGAAATATTGACTTGATTACGTTCTTAAATTGGCTGCGCTAGTGGCCCGCACTTGAATCATCGAGCCGTGGATCGTTTTACGCCGTAGATTGCCGGAGAGCGGAAAACAGCCGCGGTAGGCGCGTAGGCCGCTCAACATGATAAAAGTCTCATACATCGCATGCCCTCGGCCATGCGCATCCTATTTCCAAACAGCGGCCACCTATTTCCGTCTCGCCCATGCAGACATCACTCAGAGCGTTGGTTTTCAGCGCGCCTCTGTTGTCATCTTCATCCATTAGTTTAGATCTATGATCGCCGCCAACGCTTTTACTTTTTTCCTCCAGTAAGCTGTCTTTTTTTCCTGCTGCGCTTTTATTTTCTAGTTTCTTGAAGACATTGAGATACTTAGCCGCCACGCACACGATGTCGAAGGAGGATCATGGTTCGGGCGAGCGCGGCCGATTTGCGCCAATTCGCCGGGATGTCATTTACCACCGGCGCACGGGTGCGCAGAAGGAGCACAGGGAGCCGAACGCTAGGGGAGTTGCGGCGGAGTACATTTGGGCCGGGGATTCGAAGGCCGCCAGTGGCCACGTTGTGTCGTGGTTTTTCACCTCGCAGGAGCCGAAGCGCCAGAAGGAAAGCGAGCGCCATCGTGTTCGCCTGGCGACTGGGGACTGGTGGCTGATTTCGTGGCATCGGGCGGAATTTTTTCTGGACGAAGTCGTGGGCATCTCGGAAGACTATACGAACGCCATCGACGCCGCATTTTCTGCGGTGCGGCCAGATGTCGCGCTGCTTCCGACGTCATCACTGCACTGGTCATAGATCTTGGCAGCCTTAGGGTCGACGTGTCCGATTGGTTTTTTTTTTAGAAGTCCTGCCGACAGGTCTCTTTGTGAAATAGTCATAATGTATATGAATGAAAGAAGATTGTGAGCGGCTTTTTACCGGAGTAGCTGCCGCCGTATTTGTTCCGGCCGATTTCGAAGATGTTCGCCATGGTTATAGCCTGATGGGCCCCAGCCTGCTCCCGCGTTTGCTTCCTTCCCTGCGCAGTCTTGTTGGTTTGCAGATATCTTGGCAACTTGAAGATCTAAGCCTATGACTTTTGATGTGAAGACTCACATGCGGGGGGCCCTTGCCCCCCCCCGCGCCCCCCCCCGCCCTTTCGATGTGATGACATTGCGCCTCAATCTGTATGCCTGATTTTTATTTTTGAGATGAAGACTGACATGCGGGGGGCCCTCGCCCCCCCCCGCGCCCCCCCCGCCCTTTCGATATGATGATATTGCGCCCCGATCTGTATGAGTAGTTTTTAATTCTAAGACTATAACTTCAAGATCTAAAGTTATGACCATGCGGGGGGCCCTCGCCCCCCCCCGCCCTTTCGATGTGATGATATTGCGCCTCAATCTGTATGAATGATTTTTATTTTTAAGAGTCTGCGCCCCGATCTGTATGAGTAATTTTTAAGTCTAAGACTGTAACTTCAAGATCTAAATTTATGGCCATGCGGGGGGCCCTCGCCCCCCCCCCCGCGCCCCCCCCGCCCTTTCGATGTGATGACATTGCGCCTCAATCTGTATGAATGATTTTTATTTTGAAGATGAAGACTTACATGCGGGGGGCCCTCGCCCCCCCCCCCGCGCCCCCCCCGCCCGGTCGATATGAGGATATTGCGCCCCGATCTGTATGGGTAGTTTCTAGATTTAAGATTATAACTTCAAGATCTAAATTTATGACTGATGAGATGAAGACTCACATCTTGATGAAGGCGCGCCGATTCAATTATGAAGATTGAGACTATGACTTTGAGAAGATTATGACTTTACTTCTAAGATAGGATAAGATGATGACTTTGATGATTCCAAGATGAGATAAGAAGTTGTGACTTTTGAGATGATTCGATTATGATTTGAGATTAAGACTTGAGATTCGAATCTTTTGAATATGAGACTATGTTATGAAGATATCTGAATTTAAATAGTGAATTGCGCTCAAGTTGTGAATTGAACTCAAATGGTGAACTGAACTCAAATGGTGGACCGAACTCAAAAGATGCACTGAACTCTTGAACCCTTGAACATTTTGAATTTCTCGCAAGTCTTGCAAAGATCTTGTAGATATGACTATCAACGATAGTACATTTGCAACAAACACATGATCAAGCACAGCACTACATCAGATTCAAGACCTTAGCGACGAACGCGAGACGATGCGGGAAATAATTGAGCGCAAGGTCGGCGAACTGGAAGAGCTGAAAAGCCGGGACCAGGAGACAAAAAAAAGCTACGAGGAGCAGATTTCAGTCCTTTCGGAGCACCTCTGCAGCATGGATGTGAAGTTCTCGCAGCAGGCCGGGCGAATCGAACGAGCGCGCATACGCTGCGGGAATTGTGGCACGTGGAACAGCCTCGATCTGTCCGGCGACAAGACCTGCACCAAATGCCGCAGCATTCTTCTGAAACTTGGATAACGAGATGGCGTTTTTGGTGTGTCGTTCGATCCAAGATTTGGTCTTCGAATCCGCGACAATGCGTCTTGGTTCGACGTACAGGAGGAAATGCAAAAACGTGTGTCGCATCAACAAGCATCTTCCGTGGAAGGCTCCGTTGGCTGGTGACTGAAACATCATCACAGCCGCCGAAGATGTCTCTGTTCGGTATTGTGAGGCCAAAATTCTCACCAGATCTAGTTCAGACTTAAATCATGGCGCATTGGCCATCTTTTCTTTGGCTTCTTTGTGAGGAGTACGAACAGCGAAACTAGTTTTCTAGGGAAGTTCACAACCCGCTCATCCAGTGCGATGCAGAACCGAGTTTCTTTGCGATCTCAAAGAAGTTGGGCCGCGGCAAACAATCTGTGTGGACTGCGAACGTTCAGAACGAGAATGATTGAAATTCATCGTAGTTGCAAAAGTGCTACTTTCATGGAGTAGCTTCGGCGCCACATGGTCTTTTTCTTGGTATTAGAACTAGTTGGTGGTGCGTTGTTCGATGTCGAAGAATAATGACGGCGGCCTTAGCAGTTCAGGCCTCCAAGAGTGCTTGTGCTGCAAGCGGATGCACCGGAGGTCTTATTTCAACGAGACGGAAGAACAAGGCGTTCGGGTTTGCGACTCTGGCAGGGCGAGCAGTTGCAGCAGCAGGTCCTCGTGGACCAACAGAAGCAGTGGCAAGCGCACAGCTACTAGCTGCATTGGAGACGTACGTCGCCGAAGCATTTTTCAAGGAGAAAAAATGCAAGGCAAGTTCGACTTCTGGTCGACGAGTGACAGCACATCACGGCCAAAGTGGTCTTTTGCCTTTTCTGTCGACGGAACTAAAGTTACCGACCGGCGAGATAGAGAAAGCTCTTCAAGGGATCATTACGGTGAGCGGTGATTTTCTCAGGGCGCTTCGTCGTGAGGACCACGTACGGCCTGATTATGTGAAAGATCTAGTGCTCTGCACGATCGTCAAACTGCGCGAAACTCAACTGTCGACGAGTTGCCACCGTACTGGCGCGACAAAAGCGATCGCTGAGGTTCTCAAGAGGTTTCCGCGAAGACTGGTCTGGCGTCAAGCTTTGCAGGCATTTGCGCACCTCGGGGACCTCGAAATGACCCTAGAAATGTTTTGCGACCACGTGGATGCATCGGAGTTCTTGGAGTTGCAGAAACTTTTGATGTCTCGCTCGAGCTGTAACTATCTTTCCGGTCTTCACAAAGCCGAACGGTTCTTCGAACCGACGATCGATGGAAAAAGGCTAGCACCGTCGAGCAAAAATGCCATGTTTACGCCAGATGTGGCCAGCCTGAACTATGTTTTGAACGCTTGCGATAAAAGCCTGGCGAATAAAGCCCGCAGTGACGAAACAGAGAGCGTGGACTGCAAGGCGAGACGGGACAGTGTGGCAGCGTTTGCTCACGAGTTGTTTAACGCTTTGGTTGTTTTGGGGAATGAAAATGCGCCCATTGTGACGCGTCGTAGTGGCCATGCTAAGGAAACTTCGAGTTTGGAGCTGGAAACTACATTGAAGCAAAACCAGGCTGCAGCGTTAGCGTTTGGCAATGGCGCAGCAAATAAGCCTGCGGGACTGCAGAGAATCGGGCCGACTGAAAGTACCTTCGTTGCCCTGCTTGCTGTGTTCAGCAAATGCGACAAGCTCTCCGAAGGACTACAATTTCTCGCGCTTCGTGTCGGATGGAAGTCTGTCACGACAGCCATGTGCAACGCGTGGCTTCGCGGGGTTCGTAGCTCATCGATTTCACAGGTCAAAAAAGCATTTCAGGAGCTCTCTCTCGACCTCGATGATTTCCAGGGATATGATGCAGCTGGCGAAGGCGAACATAGTCAAGAGCGGGACGATGACGATCATGTCTCTGAGTTCCACGACATGATGGGACTTCTACGAGGACGACTCATCAAGTGTTTTTTGGAAAGGATGGAAAATTACGGCGTCTTTCCGGACGAGCGGACGCACAACACGATTTTGCTAAGTCTGCCACCTGACGCTGCGAAAAGATACTTCCGGAGGAAGATACACGAGCCAAACGAACGAAATTACAATCATCTCCTCCTGTCAATCGTGGAAAATGACGACCATCAGAGGCAAGGACGAAGGTCTTCGGAAGTAGATCTTATTTCTGTGAAGACGCGCTCGCGCGGTCTGGTACTGGCTGAAGTCGAAACACTGTTGGAGGAAATGAAGGAAAAGCAGTTCCGTCCCTCACTTGCGGCGCTGACGCAGTACTTCGCTGTTGTTGCGGCCAAGAACGCAGCTGAGTGCTGGGGAAACGTGGAGGCAACGATGGACCGCTATCTGGAAAACATCGACGGAACTACAAACTCTGCTTCTACGGGTCGTCAAGATGATCTAAAGCTGGTTGGTAGAAACCAGCAGAAGCTCATGGCAGACGCGGCCGTTTTCGTTCCCCTGTTTCCCTACTGTCCAGACCCGCAGGCCTTGTTGCGTGCCGTCCGCACCAAGTACGGAGTCACGCCGACGACCAGCTGCGTCAACGCCGCTTTGACTGCGATGAATGGACTTGGCCAACACCGCGCAGTCGTGCAAATGTTCTCCACCTTGAAGCACCGAAGCCGGGCAACAAGACACATCACCCTGCAAGCCTGTCGGAAAATTTTGTTGAAGCAATCGCGCGCACTCGTGATAGCAAAAATGATGACGGAGGCGGGCACAAAAGAACTCGATGAGTTGTCATCCAGTAGTTCTCTACTTGCCAATTCGCTCACGAATTTCGCAGTGAGGCAGCTTTTTCAGCCGGAGCAGCGAAAGGTTTTCGAAACGTATGACCTCATGCTGGAGATCCTTCTGCTCGCCGCTGGCAGGTTCCGAGCCTGCGGAGATGATTTTTCTGACATTGCTATCTCTTCGTACCGCGGTTGGTCTGCGTCTGCAGAAAGCTCGGCAGAGGACCTCCGAGAGGACCACGCGGTGTTGCATTGTCGTGAAAAGAGGCAGGAACAGCATGCAGAAGGAACATCAAGCAGGCAATTGCTTATTTCCACCTACGAAGCCGCAGTGCAGGACGGGGTTTTTCCTGCCTTGAAAGACAACCTTCTCGATCTCCATCGCTACACACGCCAACTCGCTGTCTTCGCAGTTTGGTACATCTTGTCGACCCAGGGCTTTTTCGCAGGAGCATCGTCCACATGTAAAAACATCGGGAGGAAGAACGTCGACACTGCTCCATCATCTTCTGAAGTCCTCACCTTCATCGTTGGACGGGGATTGCACAGCGAGGACGGCACAGCGCATTTGGGGCCTGCAGTGGTTCGTTTACTGGATGAATTTTCGGACGTTTTGGAGTGGAACTTTCCGAATCCGGGACGAATTTCGGTCTCAAGAAAACGAAAAAGTCGTGACCATTGCGAGATTACTACCAGGACGGATGATAGTACATGAGAATTTCCTGTCCCTGTCGCGCGCCGTCTCTCTGCAGCACGTCCAGTGTAATAATCATGATCACTACTACTTCTTCTTCTGCAACTACATCTACCATCGGCAACATCCTCCGTCATCTAAAACAGTCCTAGTCACATTCGTCGGTAACAAGAAGAACAAAGAACAGCATCAAAAATCGTTTTTTCGGTTTGCGAAGAGAGATGGAAAATCGGACTCCGAGGGAACAAGCTGAGGTGGATATAGACGAGCGGTGAGAGTAGATGAAACGGAATCAGAAAGACGTAATAAACCGGTGTTTTTTATCGTGTGGAAAGTCAGCGGAAAGACTTCCACGATCATCTTCTTCTCGATGGACTCCCGACTTCGTCCCCAACATCAACAGGCCAGAAATAACAACATCGCACTCTCAACATAAAGTCCTCATCTTAACCCTTGGCATCCTCGGTGTAGTAAAAGAAAAAAACATGAAAGAACGAGAACCCAAACTGCACGACGACTGCACCCCGATGAAGATGACACGGAGTCGCACGAGCGATGTGATCCCGCGACCGCGGTTAATAAGCTAGAGGTAGAGGCCACGGCAATAACCAGGCGGAGCTGTCCAATTTAGCTTCAACACGAGGAGGTACTATGGTAAGTCCCGCGGCACAGTACCAAGTCGGGGAGAGCGTGGACGTGTGGAGCAATTCGAAAAACGCGTACCTTCGTGGTTTTGTTCGACAGGTAGTTCTGGATGCGGACGGAACGGTGGACCGGGGCGAGCGCGTGCCGCCCGGATCGGTCTTCGTGGAGTACGCAGGAATCGCAAAATGGATCATGGAGCGAGACATCGAGCGCCTATTGCAGAAGGTCGACGAAAAAGCCGCCCCCTCGAACCGACCGCCGGCAAAGCGAGACAGCGCTGCAGTACGCTTAGTTCCTTGATGATTCATTTTGCATCCAAGATAGACAGTATCAGCTGTTGTCTTCATGATCGCTATTCTTTTTCTGCTTGCTAGCGATTTTCATTCTGTTGCAATATGCTTGCGAGCACGAGCTATCGGTTAAAATTCTACAGGAGCGGCGTGGCAGCAACCCTCAACAGTTGGCGCAGCGTCTCTCCGTCCAGAACGAGCCCCCGATGTTGTGCAAGTGGGGGTGTGGGCACCAGGTGCAGCCTGGGTTGACGCGAAACCTGAACCCGTACGACACCTGCTGCAAAAAGTGCGGCACGACGAAGGGACAGGGCGGGCACGACCCAAATTGCCCCGGCCCGCCGGTCGACGACAGAACTCCTAAGGGAAACAACAGGCGAAAGAGTGTGCAACCCGCGCAGCCCATCGCGGACCAAGACGAGTTTCCGGGCGTTTCGAGCTTTTCCGTCCCCGAGATCTTTTCGTTGGTAAAGTCCACGCAGGATTTACAAGGACTAGTGCGAGACCATATCCGGGAATTCGGCGGCAGGGACAGTTTGAACAGAAACCAGCTGACAAAAAGCTACAAGCTCTTCTGCCATCAGGCCCTGGTCGACGACGATTTCCAACAGCACTGGAAACGGCACATGGGCTCTGCCTCCTCCGAAGGGGGGATTGGCTCCGCAGATTTATTGAAGTTCTACCGGTCGGTGGCGCAGGAGAATTTGCAACAGAATCTGAAACCCGAGAAACTGGAAATCCAGCGAAAAATGCTGATTCGGCAAAACCCGGGGCAGCTCGAGCAATTCTACAGCGTCGGCAAAAAGCTGGGCGAAGGGAGCTTCGGATCCGTGCATCTGGTCCAACCAAGGAGCGGAACGTCTAGAGATAATAATAATTCTCCCTCCCCCACAAATAAAGGCAAAGGACGGAAATCGGATCCGGACGGCTCAACCACGACGCAAATGCGGGTTTGCAAGTCCATAAAGCTGGACGGATTCAACGAGGGATCCACACTAAACGACTTGATTGAGGAAATCAACATTATGGCAGAGCTCGACCACCCAAATGTTATCAAGGTCTTCGAGTACTTTCGGGGAAAAAAGCAGCTGGACGTGATTATGGAGCTGTGTGAGGGAGGGGAGCTCTGGGATCGATTCAAGCGCTACGAGAAGAGCGACGCGGTAACAAAAGAGCGGTGGGTCTACGCAACGGTGCTGCAGATTTTACGCGCACTGGCCTTCATGCACGACACCGTCCGGATTGCGCATAAAGGTATAACTGTAAACATGAAGATTACTTTGCCTTCTGGCTCGCACCACAGTCACAGTCTTTTCTTCCGATTCTCCAAACCACATCGACTCACGAAAGTTTTGTCAGCAAGAAAATGTGCAAACGAAACAAAAAGATGCTGAAGCAAATGGTTTTCGATCAAGGCAAATAAATCAAAAATAGAAATCCCCAAAACTATCAACTCGCTGCAGATCTTAAACCGGAGAACGTGCTGCTCGTTTCCCCGGATAGCGACACCCTGAAAATCATCGATTTCGGTCTTGCCGAAAAGTTCCAAAAGGGGCAAAACGTGAGTGACCTGCAGTGCGGCACGCCGCTCTTTTCCGCGCCCGAGATTCTTCGGCAACAACCCTTCGACTTCAAGGTCGACGTTTGGAGTTGTGGGGTTCTCATGTACCACATGCTGGAAAACACCGGTCCGTTTCCGGCGCAAACCATGGAGCAACTGAAGAAAATGGTGTGCACCAACGCGTATAAGATCCCCAATCCGACCAGAAAAACGCCTGGCATCCCGCCCGACTGCGTCGATTGCTGTCTCCGGATGATGTGCAAGAATGCCACGGACCGGCCGAAGGCCAGCGAAGTTTTTCAGCATCCGTGGATGACGCGGATGCAAGCAGAGTGCGCCGGGGACGTGAAGCTGTCGCCGGGGGTGTGCCAGATTCTCGAGAACTTCCACAACCAGAGCGAGATCAAAAAGGCAATTTACCTGTACATAGCCTACTTCTCCAACATGAGCAACAAACACGCGGAACCCGTGCGCGTGCTGTTCTCCCACCTGGACAAACTCAACACCGGGCGGATCGCCCAGGCGGACATCAAGGACACGCTGATGCGGGCGGGGTTCGAATCCCGCGCGCACGCCGGCGCCATTGCCTACTCCCTCTGCCGGAGGAAAAACAGCGCCGGGGTCGGGTACACGGAGTTTCTGGCCGCGGTGTGCAGTATTCGGATCTCGACGAAGCACCACGAACTCATCCGACAGGCTTTTAACGCCTTCGACCGGAGGAGAAAAGGGAACTTGGAGATCGAGGACCTCGTCGCGCTGCTGAACCACGACAAGAATCAGGACCAGGTTGCGCAGGCGATCCGCCAGGAATTTTTCCAGAACGGAAACAATGTCCTCAGCTACGACGACTTTTTCACAAAGATGCGCCAGGTAGGCGCCACAAGTGCGGGAGACCAGTTGAAGGCTGTACATTGATTCAATAAGTGCACTAGTACAACGACAACTAACATGAAGACGAGGACTTACGCTTTTTGCATGTATAAGCATGATGCTGTCATTCATCTTTTTGGATTGGCTTTGACACTTCATAATCGCATTTTCGCCGCGCATATTCTCCCCGTTCAAGTTCAACACACACCAGTTAAACGCAATCATAAGCGAACTCTTGGGCCCCGTGGCCTCTGTGGAATCGTGCGTAGCGTGCAAGAAAACATCTAGAAGATTATGTTCCGTGCTGGTACGCATCCATCATCGTGAACGATGACAATCACCTGGACAGAAACGAAGCACTGAGTACTAACAATAGTCAACAGAATCGGTTGCGAATCGCGTGCAAATGTCTCGGTGACTGTGAATGCATTTCTTGTCATTCTCATTCATTGTCGTGACACTTTTTCGGTAGCTTTTGTACTTATTTGCATCGTGATCAAGCCAACAACAGGAACAGCGTGCTCGGTACGTGCATTCTCATGAAGATTTTGATTCGGCAAACAAAAGACTATCGGTCATCGTACGGCGCTCCTTCTACCGCTCTTTCGTTCACCATATGTACACGTACACTTCCTAAGTACATCGTTTCCGTCGTTTCGTGCTTAGACAGTTTTCGTCCATTGAAACTCAGCACCAAATTTTCTTAACTGATCATCACAGGCCTCAATTTTCACACGACAGTCTTCAAAAAAAACCCTGTGCGTTTGCCCTCCTCTTTGGAGCCGCGCCTTCTGTGTTTGCAAAAACTTTTACGCGTAGTTCAAACACACTACATACAACTCTCACGACCTTGTTTCTCGAGAGCTTCCTCTTTCGAAGAACTCACCAGCAGCATCTTCAAAATGGCGCCGCGTGGAAGGACACCCGCGAAGAGCATGAAGAAGTTCAACCCGCTTACCATGTACCCGCCCAAGTCGTACGCAGCGACGGTCCGGATTTTCTGCGGTAAGTACGCCTACCGGGCGGCCTGCGTCTGCATTTGGGGGACGCACTTCCCCTTGGCCCTGTACCTGCTGTACGGCGTCTTTGTCAGCAAGGACCTCAACCCCCTGCCTGACCTCCTGGAGGGCTGCCTCATGCTGGGCATCGCCGTCGCCACGTTGTCCGCACACATCATGAGTATACTGTTTTTTTAGTAGGAGGAGGAGATATACATGTTCATCTTCATCATGATATGCAATAGTACCTGTCGAACTCGAGTTCTTTAAGAAGTTCTGCCTTGTCGTTTCTGTATTCGGGTATTGAAAGTGAGGGCTATGAGCCCGTGCATCCTTTACCTTGGTCGCGTCTAAAGTGTGACGAAAACAAACTCAGACACCATGCGAGCGGGGAAGCATGTCGCGTGCCTGACCGGGATGGTCTACCACTTCATCACCGCCTCCGCGTGCACCTCCTTCCGACTGAAGCGGGCGGTATCGCAAGAAAAAAGTGTTACAGTTACACATAGTGTTGCAGGCATAGCAAGACAGACAAGGTCTGTCATGCCGGATATGCATAGGGGCGTTGTTTCATATGTGTTTTCCCGTAGGATTTCTGCAATGCAAGTTTTCTCTCTCATGCAGAGAAATTTGTGTTGCTGAATTGACAACAAATGTGTGACTGTAACACTTTTTTCGTGTGATAGGCGGACCAGTTTACCTATTGCCGCGCCATCGACGCCCGGATCATCAACTCGTTGGGCATGTACGACTACTTGCAAGGTACGACTATACTTGGCTTTATTGCATAGTTCAGAACGTGAACGAATGACAGTTAGACAAGGAGTTTTTCTTTATCAGCACAAAAATAAAAAAAGCTCGTCGGGGTTCATCGCGATCTTTAAATTCCTAACCGTGTCAACCAAATTTTGATTTATGCAAAACTTCTTTGTGTCCTCCTCCTCGTACGGTATAAAAACTAATAAACAAACTGCAGGTGACGGCGGTCTCATTGCGTTGTTCAAAATGTTCACGTGCGTCATGTTGGCCGTCTCGATGTACAACGCCGGCGGACCGGGCATGCAGAAGTTTCTGAACAACTCGATTTAAGCACGGACAACAAACCTTGTGCTTCCGGAAGATGGACTTTTGGTAACACTAACAACCAACTGCAAATGCCCATTCTACGAAATTTGAAGCTCTATCCTGTTTTAGCAGGTAGAGCACAGCTTCTATACCGGGCCTCCCGCCTGGGGTTGTAAGATTGCTATGTACACTACTCTTCCATAGTACCAAAAAAGCTAGAGCTGCATCTTCATCCTTTTTGAGCCTAACAGTCAGTACCCTTTTCTTGCTCCTGTTGACAAATCCGCATACCCTTTTTGACTATTATTCAACATGACTATTCCACGCACGATAGTTTGTCTCCGAGTCAGCCTTCTTGTACCATAAGTATAAATCTTCACTGCAGCGCTCATGATTTTGATTCCTCACTGCTTTTTCGTGTTTTGCGCATTTGTCAGTTTGCCTCTATGTAGTTGTCCTCTTCATGATGATAATAAATAGGTTCCACCTATCGCTTGTACTTGTTGTAGGTAAGCGACAGACAACCGTGTAGTCGAAAGGCAATGGTTCGATCAAGCGAAAACGGATTTGACAGCATCTTCAAGGCGACTGCAGGCTTGATTAAGTTGAAATTTGATCGTCTCATTGGTGTTGGTCGTCCTTAGCATCCGAGGAACAGGCTTGCATTGTCGTTAGACTCGAAACGCATTTTGTGTTCATTTTATCGTTCGTCAGCCCGTGAGACGATGAGGGGCGATCGTCCGTGGTTCTTGGAGTGGAGCGCACCAGCAGCTGAGCGACGAGCGTTCGTGGCGTGTTTCTTCGACTAAATTCCACATGTACATTCGGATTCGCTGCGTCTCTACGGTGGGCAGCAAATGGAGCCGGCAGCCAAGAGCTCTTACGAACTACAGGTGTTGATGAACATGCGAAGATCTTGCGCCCTTGACGACTTGTGTAGTTACCCTTGAGAGAAAGAAGAGCCAGGGTGTCAAGATACAATCTTCTAAGTACGGCGGCCAAGAAGTGAGGAACAGAATGCAGGTTCCCTCCGGGCCAGGCAAGTCACTTTCGCCGCCCATGCTGCAGGTTCCGGGCGAGAACGGGCCGAACCCCTTTGGGCAGTTTCGGCTCGGGAACCCAGCGGCACCGCCCGCGGGTCCGGCCCCGGTGGACCGGCAAAGAGCCCTGGCCATGCAGCAGCAATCGCAAAACCTCGCAGCCGTGATGTCGGGCGGCGGCGGCAGTGCCGCTAGCACAGCGGCATTTGTCAGTCACCACCAACCCCAGATGGTGCAGCACCTACCGCACACAGCCGGGGCGGTTTTGCAGCATCCGTCCGCCGCTGCCGCACAGCTCGCAGGTGCGGCTAACGGCGCAACAGTACTTATTTCTTCTTCTTGTCTCCTTCACGGCCGCCGGCGCTGACTTTGAATTGATGATGGCGCAGGATAGTGATAATCCCGTCTTAATTCCAATTGATTTGCAAATGAATGAAAATCGGCTGAAAATATGTGAACAAATTGAGATTTTGAGTGCAAACAAACTCTACGTTTACGTACAGGTCCTCGCAGCCACGAAGCAGCATGGGTGGCGGCAGCTTACGGACGGTTTGCGAGAACTCCTGCAGCAGAAGATCGGCTTTCACACCCAGATGCAGAGTTTCGCGCAGGCCTCGGCTGACGAGCTACAAAAAAATGCCACGACGCTAGACAAACTGGAGTCCATGCTAGTCCAGTTACAAAACGCACCACCGCCGACCGTCAGTGCTCCAGCTGGAGCGGTTTCGCAGCAAAAGGTAAAAATGTGTGGATGAATGTTTCTGAAGTTGTGCATGAAAGTGCTTTCACCAGAATGAGCTTCTGTTTGAAGCCCATTATCCCGTACAACTGCTTTGTTCTGGGCTTGCGTGTGCCTTTTCCAAACATGATTTTCACGTGGAAACAGGTTGTCGCGGCTACAGGGCAAGTGCCTCCATTTTTTTGGCAACCGAGCCACGACTACGAGAACGAATTTGCTGTGTCGGGAGACAATCTAGAGGTGGTGACAAAGGTTCGAGATTTTGAAGATCGAGGGTGGGTCATTCCGGTATTTGCGCTTTTGTGAGCGTCGTGGTCGTGTTTGCCTTTGCATAGTCGTAGCCTGTGCTTGGAGATAAACTCTGTCGCGCTCTTTCGTTTTTTTTTCAGATGTGAACTTTTGATGTGTAGTAGTACTAGTCTCCTCGAACACAAGACAGCCAACACTTGCAGGTCGCGGGTAGTCTGCGCATGGTCCGGGGTGCGATCTACCGGTGGTCAATGTGCATTTCGAAGAAGTGCCAGCACCGACCACAAATGCAGTTCGGCATCCACGGAGAGAACCACGAGAAGCCGTGGCGGCTGGTAACCACTAGTAGGTGCTCGCGTTCGAGGGACGATGACCCGTGGCAAGATCGCCCCGCGGGGGACAGGCTGATAGGTATAAACTGTTTGTGTTGTTGTATTGAACGCCAGCTTGCTGCCATAAGCATAACAACGAATTTTCGCCATGCATTTGTTTCCTGTACCTGTAGTACAGCAAAGACAGACGCCGATACAAATAATTGGAAGAAATTTCGCAAAATTTTCACAGAGGAAGGCGACTACATCCACGTTGTCGTTGACTTGCGTGGGTTCGATAGCGAGTTCGGTACTTTCTCTTATGCGGTGAACGATGGGCCAATGGAGATGGTGTTTGAAGATTTGCCCCTTTTGACTCCAGACGGCAAACTTGTGTCCCTCATGCCGGTTGTGTCCATGGGCGGCGACCAGTGCGCAGTGAAACTCAGCGCATCTGCCTTCGGCTCAGCAAGTGCTGCTGGAACCACGACTGCAAATGGTGGACCTGCGGACAGTGGTGCTGTCGGGAGCGCCGGAGGTGCGGCGAAGGGAGGAAAGAGTGGGAAATAAGTTTGAGGCTTCTGACGAATTCATCGAGCGCGTTTCTGTAGTGTCTAAACAATCAATCAGCAAAAAACGTGACCTAATAAACCCAATAGACTAATATTTCAGCGATACAGGATTTGTGTGTTGGTCAAACAACTCGCTGTTCCTCTTGTACAAAACTACTTACCAGGTATTGACCAACCACCTGTCATCGCATGATTTTTCAGAAACAAATTTGATAATATGTTACGAGAAAACAAGTAGATCTGCTTCTGCAGAATATCCTGCGTGTAAGGTAAAATATAGTTGGGTTTTGCAAGCACAAAAAGCTGCACAGAATAACATCCAGAAAATCAAGATTCAAGATTGCGACCCCTTTGTACAGATTTTAGCTTGTTTTTTACCCTTTCGTCCGCACAATAAACCCGTCCTAAAAACACGTAGACCCTCGACGCAGCACAAGTTTCAAGTAGCTTCAACATTCCCACACCATGCGCATCCGACCTATCGCCATTCATTGCGCATTCTGTGACAGGCATTGATCGTTGTATGTGTTCGACGGCTGTGAGTTTTCATCTCTCTCCCCATTCTCTCACAAAGTGGCTCTGGTTTTCGCTTTGCGTAGCGTAGCGCCCCCAGCGGTTTGCAAAGATCTGACTGCATCACGATGGTGCCCGAAAGACAAAAAAGGCCGATACGTCGCGACGATGGTGCAAAAATACTTGGTTTGATGTTGACTCACTGTCCCGATTTGCTGACGTCGAAGATCATGGTCTAGCGAATGGTAAAGAAGCGGTCTTTTCGTTCTCATCTTGGCAACTTCTCAAAAGCTCAAGTTCAACGCCGTTTGAAGATCCATTTTGTTTCTTCGTGTTTTTCTCTGAGTTGTATCTTGCACGAGGACGATGGACATGGATCGCATTCTTTCGATTTTTTCAGAACAACAGCAACGGAGGTGGATGTGACAGCACTAGCACATCCATTCCTGGAAGATTTCGAAGCATGTTGCTAGGTCTTCGTTCAAGTCGCGAACCAAGAAGCAGAAGCTTTGCGCAATAACAAAACATACAATATCTCGCGATGCGAACGTTGTGATAGCGGAACAAGCATCACGTTGAGCGCTCATCTTCAGAAATTGTTTCTCAAGAAGAACTGCCACTGCCTAGTCTGCAGATGTTGAGGCAACTTACGTAGGACGATAAAACAAACACCAAAACGAAGAATGGAGTAAATTGTCCAACGGTAACAGTTTTCAGTTTCTGAAGTACCACGGCACACCAGACAATTTCAGTGAAGTTTTGGCATTGATAAGAGTTCTATAAACAAGATCTGGCGTCAACATGACCGCAGGCAGTGACGCACAAGCTCCGGCGACCGCGTCCGCTGTGACTTGTGGCGTACCTTCGTGTTTTTCCGAGTGGAACAAACAGAATCATAGTTCGAAACAGGACCGGGAGTTTTTTGCTGCTGTTAGGGAGTTGCAGAAGGAGAAACACCTCGACAAGAACCACAAGATGGGTGATCTCGAACAGCAAAAGGAGGAAATGCAGAGGCGCAGCATGAACAAGATTATTTACCGCAGCATGAACCGAATCAAGAAGAAGAAGAAAAATCCGACTCTGAAGAATGCCAAGGTCAACAATTGTTCTGCTAAGTTGACAAACGCCGAAGTTGGAATCACTCGCTCCGTGTCGGAAAACGCCAGCTTCCGCGCGATTTTGCACGATTACTCCGTGAAGAACTTTTCCAATGAGGACTACTGGTTCACCGAAGTCAGCCGAGACAAGGAGGAAGCGAAACTAGCGAAAAAGCTTTGGAGTGTGCGACGGGCGGCCAAGAAGAAGTTCAGATTTTTGCAGTTTCAGGATTCCGAGTCTGATTCGTTCAGTGAGGACGAGAATAATTGCACCGACAGCATGAAATTGGAGCGCATCAAGGATAAAAACTATGTCGAAGAAAAAGATACGGGTCGTGAAGAACCTGTCGATCCAGCAGAACCAAAGTCGCTTGCTGATGCGATTTCGACTGTGGCTCCGGAGGATCGCGAATGGTTTACGGCCAATGCCTACTTGACGGAAGACGAGAAGGTCTTCCTATCGACCGGGTTGGGCGAGCACTGCATCGCGGCTTTGGAAGAGTTTCTACGCACGCCGAAAGAGTACAAGGAAAAAACGGACAAGCATGATGGCGGGAACATCAGCGTTTCGAAGTATCGTGAAGGGCCGCGCGATTACACTGGGAGTGGGAGTGCAGCTACCGCAAATTTGGAGGGGTCTGGTGAAAAAGCAGCAGATGAAGAGAAGGATCCATGCTCATCTGCCGCGGAAACTACAAGCGACAAGAACCAGGAGAAACAAGACCAGGAAATAAGCGACGATGTCGAGGACAGCGGCCAGACCACAGATGAAATGAGAACATCTGCCAGTTGTGAGGATGTACATTCATACCCTCTCGTCGCTGCGGGGACCACCGACATTGAACTGGAGTGGAAAGTAGCAAACTTTGCCCCTCACGAGGCAGTTCTCCGAGTGCAATCGCGGAAATTCGAACTGACGCGGATGCAGGAAATCTATCTGGCTGAGAAGTTCGGAAAGATCACGACAAAATTCTGCAAATTCTTTCAAGAAAAGGCCATTCCGGTGCAGATTGCGGCGCACTGGCGCGGAGATAAAATTTGGCTGGGGCGTTCGGATCTACCGCCGTACTACTGGACCGAGGTCGTGGACAAACCGACTGGCTGGAAAGACTGTCGAAAGGTGTATTTTTGCGACGTCGTTGACAAAAACCACGTGAAGACGGCAAAAACTGCGGAGGGTGGTAAGGAGGGAGCCGATTTTGTTTTGGATGGTTCAAAGTCAAAGCTGAAGGTGAAGACGAGCAAGAGCCCGTACATCGACTTGAAACAGGAGCAGTGGGAAAAGGAGTACGCTGACCCTTGCTATTATCCGGAGAAGAGGCCGTGGCTGCTGTGCAAGCTGTATTGTCAGGACGCGAACACGTCCCACGCGGTGCGCAAAATTTGTTCGATTCTGAATTTCAACGAATCGAGGTGGCAACGCCGGACTTCGAACTGGGGTGGAACAGCATCTAAGGGAAAACATAAGAAAAAGAATTACAGATACCTGCAGAAGTGGCTCCCGTACCAGCACGTTATGTGCAGTGCGCTGCTGCCGCGGGCGGGCAAAATTTCGGAGCAGTTTGTCGCTTTTCGCAACGTATCCGGGCAGCAGATGATCGATTGCGTGCGGGACAGAGACTGGAAGGGTGGTGTGGAGAAGCACAACAAGTTTGCAATTGAGCCGATCGCCTACAAGACGAAGGAGGCGTTGATCACGAAGTACTTTCCAAGGTACAAAGGACAATTCTCCTCTGAACAGCGGAAGAAGCAAAAAGCAGCCTTGAAGAAAACTTTCACAAAGTTCCTCGGACGCAAGGCGCGGTTCGTGAAATCTTGCCAAAAGCTTGAGCAGTCCGGACAAGAAGGAGAGCCTAAGGGAGATGGCTTCTCCAATCTCTACAAAGTGAAGTTCAAGAAAATTCTCTTCAGATCCAAGAGGAACACGGCGCGGAGTGCGACGGTCAGTGGAAGGGATCGCGGACGTTCGAGAAGCAGGCTTTTCGTCGCCGACCCACGCTCCAAAACCACCTCTGACTTAGAGAAGCTGAGGAGGTCGTTGAAAAAAACAGAAAAGAGACAGCAGAAAAGATTTCTCCGGGCAGAAAAGAGACGCAACAAGAAAGAAGAAACCAAGAAAATGCAACAGTTGCAGGAGACAGAGAGCGGGCGAAATGACGAAGAGGTTGGAGTTGCCCAGTTTCAGGACCACGGGAAGCAACGCAAAAGTTCCGAGAATGTCGAAGAGACTGCTCCCGTTGCTGACGCGATGAAGTCTGCTGTAAAAAGTGAGGACAGAAAAAAAAACACGTCGTCGAAGATAAGAAACAAACGCACCCGCTTCGGCAAAAATAAAAAAAAGAACATCAAGAAGAAAAAACAGTTCCATCGGGCTGCCGGAGGACAAGCATCTTCTTCGAGATCCGTTGGTGCGCACTTAAGGCATACACTCTTCCTCCGGGATCTTGTCATCACGCGCACTGGAGAGGAAGACGAAGATGCAGTTGCAGCTGCTCCGCGTGAATCCTTATCCGCCGAGGACATTTTTAAGCCGATCGTGACCTCCAGTACAAGTACCAAGGAAGAGAAGCTGCAGGCGCACATCTCGAAGCAGTTCAAGAGGATAAAGGAGATCGGCGTGCCCAACTTCTTCCCGGCGAATCGATTTGCGCCTCAGGTGGGCGAGATTCGGGACTATGAGATGGGGGCGATGTTTCTCAACCAGGACTGGAAAAAACTGTTGCTCTGTTTGTGCGAAGTCGTCGGCCGCACGGAGAAGGAGTTTCGGTTGGAACGTGCCCTGAAAGCCGATGAAGTGATGGAGGCCGCCAGACAATTGCACGCTATGAAAGTAGAGAAGGACGAGAGTAAGAAAGACGGCGACCGCCCGGGAGATCTTCACGTCAAAAGCGTTAAAAAAGACAACGTAGACGAGGCCAAAAGTAGTTCGTCTGCAAACGACATCGACCTAGGCTTTCTGAGCTCTTGGATGGACCGTTCAACGAGAAAGCGGTTGGCTTGCGGGTTGCAGAAATTGTTGGCGATGCACACGAAGGAGCAGGGTGAAGCTAGTAAGAAGATTCCCGTCAAGAAAAAAATCGCGCGGGAAATTGCTGCGAAAAAGGAGAAACTGGAGTTGAAGATGAGAGAAGAACTGCAGACGCTCTTGCTGCAGCAGGACAAGGTGTTTTTGGAGGATCGTTTGAAGCACCTGAAAGTGAAAGCGCGGAAAGGTGGACTGCGTAAAAAGAAAAAGAGGGTGGTTGTTGTACGAACGGCAGAAGAGCCAGCAGATCCGCGTCGTCGCCGGGGAGGGCAGCGTGGAGGAAGTAGAAAGGCAAAAATCGCCGAGCCGCTGGTGCCCATGTCGCCCATTATCGAGGAGGAAGGCGTCGAGGACACAACGGGACCGGCCGTCGTGGAAGCAAATGGTCACAAAGGTAGTGACAAAGCCCCAGCAGCGGACGTGGTGCAAGATACATCAAAGGAAGAACCTGCTGCGGATTATACCGATGTTGTTCAAGAAGAAACGCATTGCGGCATTGCGCAAGATCAAGATGCTGAAACAGGGTCGCGGTCTTCGCCAGAACGCACAAATGCAGGTAAGGACATTCCAGGCGATGTCGAACAAGTCGAAAGTGTTCTTGCTCCGGAGCAAGAACAGGAAAAGGCGGTCGTTTCTCAGGAAGACCAACTCGGCGAGATAGCGCAAGCTGATGAGCAAAAAGATGAAGTGGCAGCGCAAGAATGTGTTGTCGAAACGCCTAGTGCGGAAGAGACCGCGACCGCGTGCATCCAGGAAGATGGACCCGGAGTTCCTGTAGTTGACGAGGTCCACTGCGGAGGAAGCGCGGAGGCGATGCAGGGGGAGCAACCAGCACCGGAGGAGGAGGAGACGAGTGATGTGCAAGCTGATGTAGATGAACCGAAAGACGCGGCAGAGGTCGAGGATTCGGAAAATGTAGATGAAGATGATCACAAAGTGCAGGGCGAAGCAGGCTTGGCTTTCGACCTGCACGATGGCACCCGACGAAGCGACGGAAAAGATCAAGATTTACAAAATCAAGTCGCAGCTCTTGAGACTCCGGCTGTGGACGAGGACGAAGCCCCGCGCGCAGCAGGGGACGAGCGTCAGGACGAGCGTCAAGACGGTGCACATTGTAGGAAAGTGTCTGAAGACGAACTCGGACCAGTTTCTGCCGCAGCAGGGGAACTACCTGGCAGCGAGGCAAACAAGTGCGCCGAAAATCATGATCAAAACGGAGACGTTTCCGCATCCGCTGATGAGAAAAATGCGGTGCAAGTCACAGATGTTCAATTGCAATTGCCGGGAGAGGACTACGAAGTCGAGGAACAATGTGCAGCTCGAGCAACTGTAGAAGACAAAAAAGAAAAAGACGCGGAAGATGTGCAAAGCACAGCCACTGAGCAGGAAAAGGAAAAAGGGCCTGTCTCATCTTCTTCGGATGAGAACGATTCGGAGATCGTTGGGCCAGTGGACGATCCAGCCGACAAAGAGGAAAAGGCGGGATCGAACTCGAATTCTTCGACTGCACAGGAGGTCGTCGGGGCACGACCTGATGAAGTAGCAGAAGTTCTTGCGAACACAACCGGAGGCAGAGATGCAAAACCTGTGTCCAAAGTTGCAAATGAAATCGAACATCAGGCCGATGAGCAAGATCCTATCAGTAAGACTGTTTCTGAACCGAAGCAGGAGGCCACGGATTTTCTGTTTCCTCAAGACGCGGCGGATGACAGTCAGGAAGCGCAACTGATGCTGTCCCGTCGCGAATCTGCGGGAGAGGTTTGCGGTACCTTATCCTCCGATGACGAGCGGATGAGTCTTGGTAGCGGAGATAATTTTTCGGATGGCGGATTTGTGTCTCGATTTGGTGATCTGTACAGACTGTTCTCTCCTGTTTCCCGGCGTGATTCGGCTGCGGAGATGCAAGAAGGAGCTGCGGCGGGAGAGGAGGAGGACAGGATGAGCCTCGGCGGGCAGGAAGGAGAGGATGTACATGCCGCGAAGAAGCCCCCGGCGAAGAAGGTTGAGGAAAAAGACGAACTTGGCACTCCTGCTGTTCTTCCTGCAGAATCAGAAAAAAAAGTTATGGACATGCCCTCGTCAGATGATGTTCCGGGTTGCGAAAAAGTGGAGCATGAAGCAGAATCTAAGGACACGGTGCTCTTGAAGACGAAACCAGAGCCCGCTCCCGAAGTAGAGGATCCGCAGGCAAAAGCCGCTCGCGTCGCGGCTAAACTGCAACAAGAGGCTTCGGAAGAGGAGCAGGCCCTTCGCGAGACCGAGATGCTGATGCAGGAACTTGCGCGGCAGCGCGCCGAGCTGGAAGCGAAGCGCACGGTGAAGCCAGTCGAGGGAACTACGTCGCCGCGGAAAGCTTGCGATGATCAAACAGAAGAGCAAAAAGGAACAGCAGCAACGCATAGCTTGGAAAAAACTGAAGACGTAGCGGGAATAAACAACAGTGTGGCTGTAGCTTCTTTTGGCGCAGTAGAGGGAAACGGCGAAGGGTAAGCAGCTTTTTCGATCCTGATCCAGTTTCATGCTTTTATCCTTCGATTGTTCAACCTAACAGAGATGCAAACGGATCCGAATATGCACCTGAATATGAATGAAAACATCGTAGGCGACGTACATACTTACAAGTAAACTACTTCAGATCTTCATCTTGCACCACGTCAAGCGACAAGCAGCCTGCAGAGGAGAGTGTAGAAACTTTGGGCGAGACAGCCACAGTGCCTGCGCCAATTGAGAAGAATTCGAAAATGGATATGTGGCGTGAATTGGCCGCAAAGAGACCGGACATGGTTGCGCACATGCGAAATCTGAAGGCGTTTCGGGCTGACAAGTGCGTTGGAGCAAACAAGAACTTAGCGCAGACGAACGAGGGGGCGGAGAATCCAGAAGTAGCTGAGACGAACGGGAACGACGAAAACGAAAAGAAAACTTCGCCTCTAAGCGATCATGCGATCGCAAGTCAGGAGCTTCATGTTGGTGTCGAGAGCCAAAACGTCCAGGATCGGAACGACAGAAAAGATTATACGCAACAGCAGATGTCACGGAACAGCCGGAAAGATTACACCCAGCAGGGGGCTCAGAGACACCAGCATATGCAGAACCAAGGCGCAGCCGCAGGCTGGTGGGCGGGTCCACAAGATTCAGCTGCCGGCGGTCATGCTGGCGGCTGGGGTGCGGCGCAACATTCCCATTCCCAGCATGGACGTGAATCGCAATGGGCACCGCAGCAAAACGACGGCAACTACAACAAAGCCTCCCCGAACAGTTCGCAACAAGGTACTATCCTAGGGGGGAATAAAAACTGGCCGGGATCGTGGGCGGCGTCACCTGCACAGCAAGATCAGTACAACCAGCAACAATCCTGGGGGACTTGGTCGGAAGCAAAGGTTAACGCAAGTGATCCAAAAAGCACCAGCTGGAAGAATAGGAACAATGGTGATTGGTGGTCGCAGGGAAATAACGGTGGTTCCTGGTCCAGCTGGGACAGTAGAAACAACCAGAATTACGGACAGAATCAGAACCAACAAAACTGGTGGTCTGCTGCTTCGGATGGGGCAAACAACTTGAAGCAGAATCAGGATCATCAGCAGAGGTGGCAATCGTCAACAAACACGGGCAGAAATCAATACCAGCAACAAAACTCCGACACATCAGCGACAGCTCCTCTAAAGCATGAACGAACTACGCAGGGAGGACAGCACATTCGCACCGGGCAGCAGGGTAGGAAGAATGATAACCAAAAAGCTAGTACTGTTTCCAATGACGGCAAGAATGATGTGAATCCAACTCCGTCTCCGACCAGCACTGTGTCTGCACGACCCGTTCTTGCAGCTGAGGCCGAAATCGCCAAACCCGCAGTGCCGAAATTTGATTGGGCTGCGTACGCAATGAAGCGCAAGGAGCAGGTAGCGAAGGCCGGCCCCGTGAAGCTAGCTGCCGTAAACAAGGAAAGCACGCAGATGGTTCGAAAAATATACATCAACGTTGCACTCGACCCCGCCCGATACAGGTGCCGGCAGCGCCTGGTGCGGGCCCATTTACGCCGACGCCACGCTGTCCGACTTAAGCAGGCTCGCGAAGCAGTTTACGGTGCAGCTGTCGTGGACAAAAAGCAAAACTCGATGCGCGGCCGGAGAAGCGCGGCGAGGTCTAAGTCCCGTCGAAGCTGCTGCTCAAAAGGCCGCGCTGTTGTTTCTTCTCGACGGGAAACAAGTAAGAAAGGAACAAGGAGCAAAACCGCGCGGAAAAATCGCGGTGAAGAAGCCGCGGTGACTATGTTCGATGTTGGGAGGCCGGAGAATGAGAAAATGATGAAGAAGCAAGCCAACATGTATGGATTTGACACGGAAAAGCCCGAACAGAAGGACAAGTTCGCGTATTTCGTGGAGAAAGTGCGGAAAGAAGAGTGGAAGGTCGCACTGGATCACGCTTTTGGCGAGAAGAAGTGGGTGCAAGTCGAAAAACCTGGACCTAAGAAGAAGGAGAAGCGTCCGGTTTGGGACCCAAAGAAAGGACGGGAGTTTTGGCGTCACGTGACCGTACCAAATTACGAGTGGGTGGAGAAATCTACGCTGAAAAGGGATATTCCGGACCGCCGGGCGTTTGAGGTCGAGAAGCTGTTGCTCCAACTGAAGGACGGCAAGAAGACGCTGAAAGAAGTGCTGCAGCAGAAACTGTTACAGGGGAAGAAAACGAAAGCGTCCTCTGCCTCCCGCGCTGTTTCATCTAGTGCAACCAGCGCAGCTGGGGCAGCCGCGACGACCGCTGGTGACCACGACAAGGACCGACTACACCAGTTATGCAATTGGCACATGACGCGAACCTGGCTCCAGAGTGTGCAGCGTCTGGTGTGGAACCACGTTGCGAGCGTGCGCTTAGAGCGCAATGGTACCTCCATCGAGGTTGGAGACGTGTTGCGGTACCCGGATGGCACCCTGCGGCAGGTCACGGAGCGGGATGTGGAAAAACCGAACGCGGAGAAACTTCTCCGGCTAGTCGCGTTGCCGCTGCCAGGTATAGGTAACATCAAGTGAGATCCTGATATAATAAAATATGATTCGTTGCTCATGAACACTGGCTGCACGCTTTGATACTTCTAGTCGTGAAGGAGAAGGTGAAAACGAACACGAAGGTAACAAACAGCAGAATTTTTTACTGCACTCACGCACTTCTACCTACAGGTAAGACCATTCCCGTGCTCCAGTATCCGACGAACTTAGTATCTGTCTACGAGGACTTTTTGCGGGGGGAGCTCGGTATCACCGACGGATTGAAATCCTTCGGGAAACGATACTGGGGTAAGGAGGCGGTGCACGTGAAAGGGAAGTGGCGGTATCTGTTCTACCGCCCCGTGGAGCGCGTGACGTTTCAGCTTCTTGACGGCACGGTTCCTCGTTTTGAAGATGTTGTCTCCGAAAACAGGGTGGCTCCGATGGAAAGCAAGACAGAAGATGAAACTCAAGAAACTGCTACTTTAGTACCGCCGATGGAGAAGGAGAACGACGTGGATGCCAAACTCGAAGAAACTTCCGCCCCAATTGCTGGAAATAACTTGGCTCAGCAGAATGTTGCCGAAGATGGTAGGGGATCAACGCTCCTCGTTGGACCGGGAATGCAGAGTCTGTTGAAGAAAGCAGGCCCGAAGAAGTGCGCTGCAACCCCGCTGCTACTATTCGACGACGAAACTGATAATGATAATTTCGGCGGAAAGCTAGAGGACGAATCCGAAAACTCCGCCGCAGACGCCACGCAGGTAGCGCTGAAGGTGAAGTTTGAAATGAAGCGGAATCGTGCGAAAAATAGTGACTGCGCTGCCTTTTTGCGAGAACTGTGCCAATCGTTTTCACCGTAAAATGTTGTAGGCTAGAACTACGAAGTACAAAAAGAAAAATTAGCGACAGCCACAGCATTCACAAATTTTGCGTACAACGACATGCGTGTTGAAATAAAAATCTTGGTCGTGTTGCACGACGACATCGATTTTGAAAAAATAGTGACCACCTGTTGGAAGTGGGCTACGATGCTCGTTTCATCATATCATCTTCCGCTTCAAGGCATGCAACCCTTGCAAGTGAGAATCATGTTGCTTTGAGTGCTTGTTCAGTTTTGTCGTGCTAGCGCGCTCTTTGTCTTTTTAATAAGTCAAGAAAAGGAAGTTGATAGAAAAATTGGATATGACATAATATGATGACTCAACATCAACAGCACACCGTCGTTTTCGCTCGTCACATAGGTTTCATCGTCTTCCTGTACTCCGTTTCTTGTCGACAATTATCAAACTTTTGCGCTGATAACATCGGTGCTGTTTGTCAAAAGTGATGAACTTGACGCTGTAGGTTGCAGCATCTTGACTTGCACGAAAGTTGTAGTCGATGCTCTATTTTCGTGTACTACTAGGTAGAAGTCGACCCTGGAACAAAGTTACAGAATAAAAGAGGTGCTCTTCTTCATCTTTGGTCAATTTCTACAACCACGCATAAAAAAATCATCATGAGCCTTCACCTTCTATTGAACACCGCTGCAGGAGGCTCATAATAGGAGTGTGTGCTCGCAGCAGAATGGGTGGTGGCCGAGGCAAGGGTGGTTTGCTAGCGCGCGGTCGGTCAAACCCGGTCGCACAAAACTCCACGCAGAGCAGCGAGGCCCAGCGTTTGCGGAAGGAAAAAGAGGAACTTGAAAAGAAGCTTCGTGATGTCACCAAGGAGCGGGACAGGTGGCTTCGAAAATACTCCACGGTACTCTACTTCTCATGCTGTTGAAGTATTGGATTGAGTTTACTAGCTGTGTTGCCTCGACGTTCTGGAAATTTATCGAACAAGTACAAGTGTTTAAATGGTGGCTAGTACAGGTGTCTGTTGTGCGCCTGCGAGTTCCTACTTTCGATGTTCTTCAGAATCAACAATCGTCGTGCTGCAAGCAGCTTTCGACGAAATAGAAGAAGTGCAGAAAAATGCATCAATCTAATACTAGGCTGTGCCGAAAGACAAGGAGGCTGCGAAGCGATGGGGCGAGATTAAGAGCGGAGCTGGGGAGGGCGATGCCAAGCGCAAGAACTTTTTCGAGCGCATGGAGCAACATACCGGCGGCCACGGCACAAACAGCGCACGACGGCACGACCGCGCCCCCTCCAACAGCGGTCCTATGCCCCTTATGGACCTGGAACCTCCCAGTTCCAGTATTGTGAATAATCAGAACAACAACCCCATCAACATGTTGGTTGCGGTTCCCGCGGTCAAAGGACCAGACACACGCGACATGACGGCGGAACTGCAGGAGTACTTCGAAAATCTACAGAGGGAAAAACCTGATAGAGGTGCGGCCGCCGCAGCCGTAGAAAATTATCAAAATGCTGCAGGAGCGGGGGTAGCAGGAGCTTCATCATCCTCCAATACGACCGCTGACAACGCTGCAGGGGAGACCACGCTGGTTGCTTTCGAGAGCACTACTGCTGGTGGTCAACATCAGCCTTGCTCCAGTACTTCTTCCAGTTCTTCATCTTCTTCATCCTCCGGAGCTGCTGCAAAAAGGACTACAACCACCAGCTACCCAAACTTCCTCGACCTCCCCAACTTATTCCGGAGCTTTCGGGATCGGGCCAGTTACGAGATGACGCAAGCGGTGAAGTTTCTCCTGCATGAGGACGAGTGCTTTTTCGGCGAAGAGTTGCCGCAGGACCGGGACGAGGAGCAGTTCCCGGGACAGTCGGGGCAAGAGCAATACGTGCACTTGCTGATCTCCTACGCGATTCTCTGTCTAGAGGGGGTTCGAGTCCACAAGTTCCAAGAAGCGGCCAACGAGGAGGAGAAGTGTACTAACGCGAATGGCGAGGGCAGTGCCGAGGCCGGCGGGGGCGTACACAGCATGCAGGGTAGTAGCCACATTTCCGCGAAGAAAATGGGCAAGAAAATGCGATCCAGCAGCCGGAAAAATCCGAGGGTGCTGAGCGGAAAGATCTCGGAAATCAACGACGAATCGCGCGGATTGACGAGCGTGATGTCCCCCGAGGACGAGGAGGAGGAGGAGGAAGCCGAGCACATGGACGTCCAGTGCCTGCTGCGGAGAGCAGGCGAGTTTCTGTACGCGGCGCAAGTCGACATGGACGAGCTGGCGGCGAATTTTCCAAAGCAGTACATGCCTCTGAACGAATTCGTCAAGCGGGTTCTGCAACCGTTCTACCTGGGTCTGCTGCTCGAAAAGAAACTTCTGCAGGACCAGATGCTCGGCCCACCCGCGGTCTTGCCGCCGGAGACCATCGAGCTGCGGAAGAACGAGCCGTTGAAGCGGGACGAGAGCGGCAATTTGCTCGTCACCGGCGTGGAGAAGTTATCGCCCTGCCGGCAGTACGTTTTGACGCGGCCCAAATTCACGCCGAAGATGATGCGCCTGCTCTGCGAGGGGTGGTTCGACTACAGCGACAGTGAGGGGGAGGAAATGAACCCGCCGCGGCAGGGCGAGAAGGAGCCCGGATCCATCATGCAGTCGATTTCGGCCTCGTCGTTCATGCAGCAAACTGCCTCACGTGGCCGACAGGGGTTCCGGGAACTCCCCTCCTGCTCCGTAAGCGGCGCACCTCCTGGAGCCGACCCATACCAAAAGAAGCGAGCTGCGGTACCGCAGAACATCCGGGAGGCGGTTTCGCAGGGGAAGCACAAAGAGGTACAGTTGCGATGCTCATGTTTTCTTTCAGCCGAATAAAGGGAGTCGGGTAAGTATGCAATTATGCTTCACCCACCCGCCACCGCCCGTACCTTTTCTTCACAAAATAAAACAGAAACGCATCAAGAACACGGTGACCGACGGGAAGTTGCAGGCAACGAAGACCTTTCTCGGTGCGGATCGTGAGGGTGCAAGCGAGGCCCGTCATGCCATAACGGGTAAGGACGAGCGGCGACTTGGGAAGAAGATGCCGACTCTGAATGAAAACGACATGATCATCGAGCACACGGCAGGCGCGTCCCCGTCACAGGAACAAAGTGAAGACCTGGAAGACATGTTAAGCCGAATGGACCGGGATGAAATGAATATGAACCGCGAGGCCTCGTCTTCCGCCTCTGCGTCAGCCGCCGGCGGGGAGCCCCGAAGTGCGTCTGGACTGGAATTTGCCCCGGTGACGAGAAGTGCGTTAGCCAGACAAGGATCTTCCTCGGGAATGATGCTCGTCGGCGCTTCCAGCAGCAACGTGAGCTCGGTTGCCTCCAATTCGTCCCATGGTAATCATGTCTCACATCAGCAGCCGCAGACGCAGACGCTGTCGACCAGATTTCCGGCGCAAACGGCAACGACTAGTACCATCACACACCAGGCGCACAACAAGCAGAAGTGGAGGAATAAACAGTTGAACAGAAATGAGAGTATCTTTTCAGCGCAAGCAGATTCCCCCCTTGTGCCGCCGCGGCCGCCGATGCAACTCTCCAAGAACGTGTTGGACGATGATCCGTCTTTAAGGGCGGCCGCTCCGCCCGGCGGCAACAAAAGGCCCGCTCCCGCCGGGGCTGCAGCGACGTCGTCACAAGAAGACGGAGGGGGCAGCAACGAGCAGGCACAGCAACAGCTGCAGCAACGGGGCGGGCCAAAGAAGCAACGGAAAATGGCTCCGAATTGGAGCAAAGTTGCGAATAAAAAGTAATTGTAAAAATGGAGACTGGAAAGTCCTTACTCAAGCATGTGCTACACGTTCACCTCGTGGTGGATGCATCAAGTCTAAAGTAGCAACAGCACGGCACCGTCATCTTGACGCTGGTGTGGACGTGATACCCATGAGTGCGAGTGCTCTCATGGTCAGCACAATCTCATTTGTGTGTTCGCCCTTGATGTCTCCAGTCGTGAGCTGTGGGTTTGTATTGGACAAACGGCAACCGTAACAAAAATAACTCAACGTGTTGCTTATCATCATCTTGAACTTGATCGACAGTACAAATACAATTCTTCAAACTTCGCTTCTGAGAGAGCGCAGCGGGCCGGAGCCCGTACATATCGACGCTGTGAGAACTGAAACTCAAAAAGATAAAGAAGTGCTTCGGAGTTGTACTACTTCCTGAGAAGTTGAGGGAATCGTGAGAGCATGGAGTATTGACGCAATTACTTCTGAGGGTAGACGTACTTAGTTGTCGGGCAAGCGAAACACGAAACTCCTGGACAACAGGACACCATCAAGAGCGGAGCCTCTCCTCAAATTGTTCTTCCCAGCTGTAATTTTAGCCAAGGCTTTTTTTCGAAGTTAAGTACCACATTTTATCGTTTTGCTCGTTGTACCAAAAATTTGTTCTTGAATTCGCTTAATCTCTAAATTGCAAAAAAACAAAATGTTTCCTAGTTTTCCATGGCCAAGCAAAGCCGCGACCTAGCGCTCTCTATTGCGTCATGACGCTCCGCACGTCACTTGTGCTTGGCGCGTTTGTGTCGCTCATTTGCGACCCGCCCGGGGTAGTTCTTGCGAGCGGAGATGTTGCAGATCAAGCGGCAACAAGAACGACCGACACTGCGCTCCCACCTCGTGTTGAGCCAGCAGCCGTGCCTGTTCTGCCTACAACTAGGCTGATTCCGACGATAGAAGCTCATGCCGGTGCGACAGAAGATGTAGATGGAACAACCGTAAGTTCCACAACAACTGCAAACCCGAACGCGTGGCGCAAACCGCTATCCTGGACGATCCCTCGCGAGCAGCACCAGGAATGGGCCGCCAGGACGGGCATGCCTGCAATTTTGACGCACGAGTTTTGCTGGGAGCTGGCTGCGCAGAACAGAGAAAAGTTTGAGAGGCTGCGAAAATTAGGCGAATTGCAAAGGTCCACGCCGCTTCCAACGGGGGCGGAGCGAAGGAAGCTCGCCGCCGCGAACAGTGCAGCGCACGGCGGTCGGGCTGCTCTAGATCCGAAATGGCATGAGGAGATGCTGCGTGACGCCGAGGCGCATCGCGCCGGCGAGAAGCGGCGAATGGAGGAGCGAGACCAAGACGCATTTCGAGGAGTCCCAACCTCCTTCTCGCCAGGCCAGGAGGACGAATTCTGGCAGCCATTCGGGGATCTAGGAAAGTATTTGCCATATGCATATTGTTCGATCCAGTGTTCTTGAGAAGGAACGAAAAAAATCTGAGCGTCAGCACCATCCTAATCTCACCAGAATGGCTATAATGACCGAAAACGAATAAAAGTAAAACCGCTACCATCGAATTCTTCATCTTCAGGTATTGTGAGCAATACTCGGGAATGCATCCGTCCGCGAGGGGTATGACGTACATGGAGCGCATGCGTATGGCGAGGGGAATCATCCTTGAGACTTTGCTCGCGAAAAACCAACACGCCGAGGAGGCGGCGAGGGCGGCGGCAAAGGAAGAATTCCTTCCACAGCGAAGAAGGCTGGAAGAGGTGCGCGGAACCTTGCGAAGTCTGCGAGCAAACGAGGAGGAGAATCGGCAGCTAAAAATTGCAGAAGAAGAGGACTCGTCTGCCAAAAAAAGTGCTGACCAGCAGAAAAAAAATCTAGAAAACGAAGAGCGCGAACTTGCCGACCTGGTGAAGCGCGAGGAGGACGCGTACATGGAAAGAGAACACCGCCCGTTTATCGGCATAAAACTCGACCCCACACCGCTGAAAGTGAAAGAGGACATGGAGAAGCGCGAAAGACAAGCAGCCCTGCAGAAACAGTGGGAGGAAAATAGGGACTCGTTTCTTCGAGGCGGCATGCGGGCTGGAGTCGATGACAAAGAAGAAAGACAAAAGAGGAAAAGGGCCGCTGCGAGGAAACAAGCAAGTGCAATAGGTATTAGCGGTGTAGTAGTAGGCGCAGCACGAGATGAAAACTTTGAGGACCTGAAAATCGGTGGCTCACAACATGCAGTGACGGCAGGAGTGGGGGAGCAGTTGTCAGTTGGAGGTTCTTCGGCTGCACCAACAGCAGATGAAAACGAAGCGTCCGTACTTGCTGCCCTTCGGAACTGGTTCGTTGCGATCGTCTCTAACTTGCACGCAACTGTCCTTGATCTTTCCGCTATCACATCACCTAACGATGCATCATCAACACCTGCGAGAGAACAAGAAGAAAACTACAGGGACGGACTGCTCCACAAGGAAGACTGGGCTGTGAATCCCGCGGATCTGTTCACGCACACCGAGAACGCTGATGGTTTTTTTGTTCCGGCAGATCTTGACAAGCAGCTGCGGAAGCCGCACACAAGAAAGCTAGCTGCCAGAATACGGGCTGATGAAACGGAAACGAAAAATCATAAACGAAATCTACAAGAATCGGGGGCACCAGCCACAGCACATCTAAAAAAAAACGCCGAAGAACCAGTCGCTCCGCGGACGCCCGCGTCGAGCGCGTCCTCGGCACAACTGGTACCAGCCGGCGCAGCACCTTCAGCAGCTGCGTCCTCGCATGACGAAGAGCTCCCTACGTTTTCTGCTACTGGTACGTGCGTACCCAGCTTTGATCATGACCTTTTTACCGAAGATCCTCGTGAACTAGAAGCTCATGTTGACCGGCATGACAACTCGGAAAGAACCCCCGATAAAAGCACCACCCGGCGCTGCCTGCAGTCGGGCGACATCAGACAGATCGGAATTGTGAACAACATGCCAAACCAGACTTTGGTGAAGAAAATCACGGTGGGTAACGTGGTCTACAACGCGAACGAAATTCCCATCCGCAACCGCATCCCCATTCCAGAGCTGCTGAAGGACGACAACAGCAACAGCAACGACCCGCAGCTGCAGGCGGACGACAATCCGTACCTCACTTCCTTCACGCTCTACAACTTCGAGGCCAAGGCCTCCCTGGTGATGCACCAGCGCCGCGGCAGCATTTTTCTCTACGACGTGGATTCCAGCACCTACGACGACGTCCCGCGCGGGGTGGACTTCAACGAGGTGCTGCCCCCGGCGATGCGGTTCCGTTTTCACTCCTGCAAGGAAAACAACGCGTTTTGCCACGTGCAGATGTCCACGTACATCGACCAGGGCCTGGTCGTGCTGGACCGGCACCGGATGATGATCGTAAAATACCCGTGGTCCACGTTCGCCGGCGTCGACCGGGTGTACGACAAGACGGTGGAGGACATGGTGCTCCGCATGCCGCAGCTCAGCATTTTTGGTACCATGGACATCGCGGGCGCCGGCAACCTCGGCCTGCAGTCGGCGGAAGCGGTCTTGCGGTACCAGACCCACTCCGACATGGTGTTTGTCGAGCGGATCGACGCGTTCACGCCGGGACATTCCATCGCTAACCCGGATATCCTGTGCAAAAGTATCGTACTCGTACCAACTGCAGTCATGCAAGACAATTTTTTTTTTTTAAGCTAAATAAGCATGAGAAATTCCACTTCTCATGCTGAGCTAGATTTGTATTGCAATACTACGAATACGATAGTTTTGCAGTTCATACCGGATTTTCTGCACGTAGCGGACACCTTTCTGTTTGTCGCGGACACGGGGAATGATCGGATTGCCATTTTCAATCTGACCACACCCGAAAGCTACTCGTTCTACGAAACCTTCCAAATGAAAGACTCCTTGAAGCCCTCGCCGGAGCTGAATCGTCCGGTGGCACTGGCGATGTTCCTACCTGGGATGGAGTACAGGTACAGGAGAAAACTACAAGATTTGAATTTCACCTACTTAAGCCTCTCCCCATCTACTAGTTTCCGGTTTTTATCCCGACGAAGGAAGTGATTCATCTAGTCGTCCTGCTCACATAGACCACATATCTTGACGAATCGAACGACAATCAAAAAAAGAATAAAAACAAAACCACCCCACCACACAGGGAGAGCCCCACGTACGCAAACATATTCCTCTGTGACCGTTTGAACCACCGGGTTCTGAAGTTGAATTGGGGCTACTACCAGTACAGCGAGCAGTACAATTTTACGATCTACGACGATTTTGGGTTGGTCGACCGAATTGAACAGCGGACGCGCTACTACCGGCGCTGGAACCGCGGGCCCCACCTCGAATACGACAGCCAGATCGGCGGCGACACCACCCCCGGCGGCTTTAGTCAGGGGTTACTGACTATCAAATGCAAAAGTGTGTGGGTCTGGAAGGATGCAAGTTTGTCATGCTTGTCTGGCATGACTCGAGAATCTGTGTTGCATAGGCGCGAAAAGGCCCTCTTACCTGTCATGCAAAAACGCAGGCTGCCATGCGGAATACGTAAGACATGGCAGCCAAAAAATTTGTCATGCATAGTTGCGTATTGCAGTGCGTCTACCATTCACTTTTAGCATTACAAGTTTCCAGACCCAGACATATCTGCATTTGATACTGACGGAGCCGATTTCCGTGCAGACGTTCCGGCACTACATTTTCGTGCTGCAGTACGGCTCGGATGAGATCGGGGTGTACACGCTGAACTACAATCAGACGAAGGAGTTTTTGTTCGTTACCAAGTTCTATCAAATGCAAAAATGTCTGGGTCTGGAAGAATGCAAGTTTGTCATGCTTGTCTGGTATGACTCGAGAATCTGTGTTGCCGAGGCACGAAAAGGCCCTCTTACCTGTTATGCAAAAACGCAGTTTGTCATGCGGAATACGTAAGACATGGCAGCCACAAAATTTGTCATGCATAGCTGCGTATTGCAATGCGTCTATCATTCACTTTTAGCATTACAAGTTTCCAGACCCAGACATATTCGCGATCCATAAGTTCACGAACAGCCGCAAGATCGAGTACGGGATCGGCGTGAGCTACAACGGCTACGTCTGGTTCGCCCAGCAGGAATCGCGGCAGTCCAGTTACGAGAAGGACCTGGCGGTGTTTGAATCGCCCCGCGACCTCCGCGAGGGCATCCGGCAGTACAAGGCGGACGACTTGAAAACGCAGTGCGTGGACCTGGATTTCTACAACAAGACCATCATGAACGACCCGGCCGAGTTCGTCCGGGTGGTGTCCCACGCGTTAAACATCTCCGGGCTGCAGTACTTCTACCCGAACCGGACGGGGACGTACGTGGACCTGAAACTGTTCAACCTCTCCTACGTGGCGGAACAGGATTCCAACCCGTTGCTGACCGGGCAGAACATTTACACGCCCCCGGCGATGGACTTTGGGTACAATCCCAGCGGCCTCATCGGTCCGCAGTACCCCGAGGAAACCTGGTGGAACAGTACCAAAGCGGGGTTTAACTTCCAACTCTGGAACGCGACCATCTACGGGGGGATCGTGATGGAGGTCTGCGAGGTGTACATCCCGACGCCGCCGCCCATGCTGTTTGGTGGACAGGGTGGGTTCGTCAATCAGGACGGCTCCGCGTTGCAGCAGTGGGACATCAGTGCGGCCTATGATCACGGTGGAAAGAGGAGGGGTGTTTTGCTGGAAAAGACCGTTTTGTTACTCTTCATGTACTGCGTTTGGTTCATGCTGTTTCATCAGCCGCGGAAGAATTTCTACTCCACGCAGCTAGAGGAAACAAGTAACTCAGTTCATGTGCTGGTGGAGGTGCAGGAAAGAAACAGTCGCCGCAGTTTTGGTGTCGCTGCAAGAACGTCGATTTTGCAGCACGACAACAGAAGTGTCGTCGGGCTCCCGTGCGGAGGTACTGCTTCGGAAAAGAGCTCTGGAGGTCCAGATGCGGAAGCGAAACACGAAGACGAAACTGAGGAAGACCACGCACAAGAACACGACGAAATGACCTCTGGCGTAACTGCATCGTCCACGACACCGCATTCGAATTTGCAGCATTTTCCGCGCGGGTTGGTCGTCGAAGTTTCCAGTGACAGAATACGAACAACAAGAATACGAAGCCGACAGCACGAGATAAGAAAAACTAGAACTAGTACACTTCTCAACGACAAAATGGCACCAGGCTGATGCTTGTTGAGCCACTGCGAGAATCGTGCTACACAGATCCACGAAACGTGAACTCTTTTTCATTAGACACAATCCTGCAAGCGCTGAACTTTCTATGCCTGCTGTGTCCCTCAGGTTGCAAAAGCTAAAAGGCACACTAGATCATCAAAGAAAAACAAGAGTTGTTTCGCCTCAAGAACATGTTTCTTGAGTTTGCTGCGCGACTCGACTCGGCATCAGATATGTTCTGGCGGTTGATCAGTTCTGAGGATGCTTTTTCAGAAGATGAAGAAGTTGCGGAGTTCAAAGTGAAATAATTGCACATGGTGTGAATGTTGTCGTGAAGATTTGTCAGTGCAGATCTCTCATTCATGTCGACGCCAAGATCTGTTGCTTCCACTTGTGCTCAAAAAAGATCAAGGTCGAGCGATGGCTGCACCGAAAGAAAAGCGTCACTCACTTACACTTGGAACCAATAAATGAACAGGACCAGCAGGACCACAGGACCCCAAATTGATGTGTCGCAGAAACGAAAAAGACGCACGAGGTGCGGGAGCTATGATTTCTAGCGCTAAAGTGGACACCAGTGAGAATCCGTGACTAGTTCTTTGATTCGTGCTATACGCGGAACGACTTCCAGTTCTAAAGTATTATCAGTGTGTGAAATTCAAATTTGCAGAGCTTCCTTGTTTAAGTTTATGTCAATGCCCTCTGAAAATGAAAATCAAAATATTGGCGATTCCGTCGAGATCGCACACTAGAATCTAATTCTTCGCAGAAGTGAAGATCTTCTTGGCGTGAAAACCTTTCCTTGAAATGACAAACACAAAACAACAGAACAGTGGCACGGTCTCTATCATGATGTACATTACGAAAAATTTACCACATACCCATAAAATTTTCGGAGGTTCTGACCAAATCAAAACTCCAGGTGTTTAGGTAGATACATAAGGTTTTTTTTCTCGGGATTATATTATTAGTGATAACGCTAAGGCTAACTTAAAGTTTGAAATCGGCCACAGAAGATCCCTTTTTTTTCCGCCAAGTTTTGCGGCCTTTTCGTTGACCCCTTCTTTAAGAAAAAATTGAAATTTGTTTTTCCACGACGATCCTTTACATGGTGTTAGACTGTGTGCTGCCTACAAAACGGTCCGCATTGAATACACTGCCGATTATACTGAGTACCCTTTCATGATCCCTTCTGACTTTTTAGTTCGTGATCTTGTGAATACATTCGTTTCTACGACCCGAGTCTTGATACCGGCTTGATTTTCGGTTCCTGTCCCCGCTATACTAGTAGAACACCGACATTGACTTCGATTTTTCTGTCCGTCTCAGATTTTTTCCGCTCTGAGTATCACCTTCTTACGCGAAAGACGTTTTTTATCACATTGACATTTAACTTCTGGTTTTGTACCTCTCAGCGATTACCCGAAACGCAAACAGCTCCTTGGAGACGGAGCTGTCAAAAGATGAGCCAGCGAGTTTTTTCTTGACCGGCTGCCCTACAGAACTTCTTGGCGCGGAAGTAGGGAGGGAAGTGCGATAAAGATGAAGAACAAAAAGAACAGATCGCCGACAGTTTTTGCCACCCTGAGAAACTAAGGAGTTTACACAGGACGAGACACCATAAACACAGACGCCGCCATGAGCGACGTGATGGTGGTAGAAGACCAGACGGCGGCGGCTCCGGATGGAGCCGCTGCCGCCCCCCCACCAACCGCGGATCCTGGGGCGGGATCATTTGCGGAAAACGCTCCCATTTCGGAAGAACAAGTGCGGAAGCAGATCTCGGATCTTATCGAAGCAAAAACGCCAGTGGAGGAACTCATAAAACTACCAGAGCCCGTGCGAGACAGCCTCGCGGCAGTGAAGGTACGGTGGAACGTGCTGTTAATTTTTTTCGCATGAAGCATTTTTGTTCGGATAAGTGGTGTTTGCACTGACTTACTTACATACATGCGCAAGATGTGACTTTTGTTCCTCACAGGTCTATAATATCTACATCGTTTTTTTACCTTTTCCTTTTCCTACTTTTTTTTCGCAGGTGGTGATGCCAGTCCTGGGCGACTATGATGAGGTCGAGCAGAAGATGCTCATTGAAAATTTCGCTCCCTTGCGAAGCACGATTTATCGCACGAAAAAACTGTTACAGTTACACATTGTGTTGCAGTCCAAGCAAGACAGAGAAGCTCTGTCATGCAGGATATGCGTAGGAGCCTCGTTTCATAGCTGTTTTCCCGTAGGACTTCTGCATTGCAAGTTTTCTTGCTCATGCAAAGAAATTTGTGTTGCTAAATTGACAACAAATGTGTAACTGTAACACTTTTTTCTCACGATACGATTCTACCCGAGGCCATTAACATGATCATCGAGCGGCTGATATCCTGAGTAAAAGCGTCCCCACACCAGAGTTGTAATGCAGATTTGCAAAGACAGGAAGACTTGTAATGCGCATCCCCATGAGAGCCATTTCCAGTCGTGTTTTGGAATTTGTGATGCTGTGAACAGGATGAGCAGATGAATCTGTGACGCGGCTGCTCTTGCTAGCCTGCACTACACTGCATAGTGCAACTTGTCATGCGTGACTCCTAAAACTCCTAGGTTTGTGTTGCAAAATCCTCATCTTGACTCTGGTGTGGGTACGTTTTTACTCAGGATAGCTGATCCTGTGGGTATCCGAAGTTGAGCGGGGAAACCAAGATGCGACGCAGCAAGCCAAGGAGCTCACGGACTTGTTCAAACAAATTCACAGCTCGCCCCTGCTTCCCTGGCTCAAAATGGAAGCAAGCATGGAACGAAAGGTATAGGACTATATACAAATCTGGAGATATTACGAATAGCAATGATGTGTTTATTGTCCCTCACTTGCAGCATGCGCCACGTAAGACCAACGACATCGCGATCCATGGATGCGATCTGCGATCGAGTCCTGTTCTTCCTACTACGCCGTATTTTCTGTTTCCAGTTCTTGATGCTTTATAAAAAATGACTTGCACAGATCAAGTTTCTGTACGCCCTGGGTAGCTGCGTGGTGCTAGCACACGCCGAGGACCCACCGGAAGGCCCGATGTCCGGCGCATCGCTGCTTGAATGCCGACGAATCCTGAAAAAGTCCACGGTAGTACAGACCTGGTGCCAGAGACTACTCACCCCCTTTTTCTCTGTGCCCCAGAGGAGCAACACCTTCGTGCTCGAGACGTGGATCAAAGCGCGGAAGGAACGAAGTTACAAGCTGTGGAAAATGGCGCTCGAGGCGGTGATGCAGCAACCGACCGCTAAGGAGGAATTCAAAAAGCACTGCCTGACGCTCTTCGACCCCGAGGACAGGGCGGCGCTAGAGTACCACCAGCCGTATCAGCACAACTTGAACTCGTTGAAAAGCGCGGTGCGACTCTACGGCGGCGAGCGGAACATCGTCTTTCAGAAGTTCAAAATTATTGCCGAAAAGTTTTGCAAAGACGAGCCGGTCGCGGGGTTTTACGACACGTATTTGGCAGACCTCCCAATCTATTCCGTCGAACTCGCTGCCTTTGCCAGGCTGATGATGCAGGTAGGGATTTTTGTCTATTGCTTCATATAATTCTGATTCTCTCTTTTCCATATTATGGAAAATCGAAAAGATTCAACTTGTGCAGCACTTTGAGGTGGGACGAGAGGCTGGCTCTCAATTTTCTATTTCCACAAAACAGGTAATCGACCGAAGATCGGAGCTGTTTCAGATAATAGATGGCGAGTACCTGATCCTGAAGAATCCGGGAAAAGAGGCGCTTCAAAGAGACATATTAGCGCCGCGGATAGCAGCCCGGCAGGCGCAGCAGTACCAAGTGCCACCGTGGATTCTCGAGACGCTCGCGAGCAAAGGTCTCCCTGAGCAGGCTTTCCGAGGGAAGGATAAGGGCACACAGAAATTGATTGTCCAGCAGATTCTGAAACTAAAGGGAAAACCAGAAAATTACCTCGAGATGACGCAAGCACAGGGAGACGGAAAAGGACCGGTAACATCATCTTTGCATAATTCCTTCATTTTTACATGTTGATCAGATTGCATTCTCCTCATCCACAGGCACGCAAAGAGCAGCTCTCAAACGAAAATAAGCGGGAGAAAAAAAATCTTCTACAGGTCACGGCCGAGCAAGCCTTTGCGTTGCAAATCCGCAAGTTCGTGATGGACATGAAGGGGAAAGGAAACCACAAGGGCGTAATGGAGTTGAAGGGCAAGCTCGAATCGAAAGGCAAGAATCTGATGCAAATCCTGCAAGCCTCGGCCGCCCAGCCGCAGGCGGCACCCGCGCAACCCCCCGCAGCCGCCGCTCCTCCCGCCGCAGCAGCGCCGGCCGCAAGCCCACCAGGTTCTGCGCCAGCATCTTCCCCCCCACAAGGCAGTCCTGCGCAACAGGCATCGGCACAGCAGGGAGAGCAGACACAAGCTGAAAAGGACCAGGCCAGGAAAGTTCAGGTAGGAACAATGAGTTGCGGTGTATGATTTATCTTTTCTTTTGCATGAACGATCGTCAAGGAACGAACGGGAACGCTTTTCAAATGGAGTCTCATGTCAAATGAATACCAAAAAGAAAAAGCGAAATTCAAAGTCCTTTGTTAACGAGGAGCAAAAATGCCGAATGTTTTCTTCATTTACACCCCTACACAGGTCGTCCTCGCGCTCCGCAACAAGGGCAAAAGCAAGGAGGAGATTACCGCGGTCCTTCCAACCGTCCTGGGAAACGAGAACATCGTGAACATGCTGCTTGCCAACGCAGCTGCTGCTGGCAAAGGCGGACAGCCCGGCGGATCATCCTCCAGCACCGACCCAAAGGCAGGAGGAGCCGCGGCCGCGCCGCAGGGCAGCCCGGCCGGGACATCCAGTATTCTAGCAGGAACGAAGTTCCAAATGAACCTCTCCGCCAAGGACTCCTCTGTTTCGGAGGGCAATGTGCCAACGCCGGCCACGAACGGTGCGGTGCCACCAATAAACAATCCGCTCGCGAGCCCACCGATGAACGGCGCACTGAACAACAACGGGGCCACAAGTGCAGTGCAGCAGCCCGCGAACCCGTACAGCAGCTACGGCGCTAGCGGGATGCAGGCCGCGGGGAGCACGGCGCAGCCCGTGAGTGGCGCGGCAAAGCTTTCTGCGCTGTCCTCATCGGGGTCGTCTGGCGACTTGAACAACAAAAACAAACCAAGTCTGGGCGCGGTATTCGAGCTTCCGGGCACAGAAAACGCGAATGATACGAAGAAAAGCAAAGCGTCAAATTGGCCGTTCCAGCAACAAGAGAAGGAGAAAGGGAATAACAAAAAGGCGGATGGCGTGCTGGGGTTCAGAAGAAAAAGAAAAATTCAGTGGGACAATGCAGCTTTCTTGAGAGCAATAGTCGCAGCGGGGCTACAGGTAGAAAAAGATGTGTTTTCGGTCAATTTTCGTAAGCATGTTGAGCGCTTGAAAATGATGGAACTCCACGCCAAGTTCTTATCCTCAAGATTGCATCGGAAATTACTAACTACCTCACTCACAGGCGGGCGACCACAACTGGTCGCGCGAGTGGCACACCGCTTGCGCGGCTCACGAGGGGGGTGGCATGATGCCCACCAGTGTCCTCGATGTCCCGGTGGCCATGCTCCAAACCTTTGTCGAGCGGCACCTGTTCGAGGCCTACCGGGCCGGCTGGGCGGACGAGATTCTCTACCTCGGCCCCTCGGAACCGGACGACGCGCCACCGCCAAAAAAAGTCCTCGAGAACTACGCGGTGAACGGGGCGGCCGGCGGCGGTCAGCAGCAGCGGGTGTTCCGCGAGGTCAGTGACGACGACGGCTCGGAAGACAGCAAGCCCGGCGGGCAGAAAAAGAAAAAGCTCCCGCCACTTTCCGTGCTGGGGCTGGGTGGTCCCTCGCCCGAAGAGCCGGCGGCGAACGAGCAAGGCGGAGACGCCGCGGCCGCCGCTGCCATGAACATTGCCTACACGCAGGGCACAAACTCTTCCGGAGGAGCGGTCCCGCACAGAAGAGGGATCGGCATTCCGGGGAAGGGGCTGGGGCAGACCGGTATGATGATCACGTTAGGGAGGCCAGAGCCGACGGGAAACACAGCGCCAACGGCCGCAAATGCGCAAATCACGTACATGGAGGGGGCGAATCAGACCGGGTACTAACTACCGAAAATTTCAGCTTTTTTGTATGACAATGAGATATTTTGTGAAAAATGAACACACCAGGAAATGGGAAAATGAATTCTGGTAGGCAACTTGGTCGAGTTATTTGTTTCATACGAACACAATGTGCTTTTTCGTTTTTCGCCACAGGTTCACCGACGAGCAGCCCCCGTTCCCCGGCTCTGCGGAAGAGGCGAACCTGGTTGAGAAAAGGAGAAGGACCCTCACCAAGCTGCGGCACCGGCGGGAGAAGCGACAGCGTGAGGCTGACGCCCCCGAAGACGAGGCGACCGGGAAAAAGAAGAGGAAAAAGCGAATACACTTGACGATGTTGGGATTCTCCGACCAGGACGACCATCAGGACTCCAGTACGGACGAGGAGGAGCTCTTCGGCGACGGACCAACTTACCATTGGAAAACAAGAATTTGTTACAGCTTCGACCACGGGCGGTGCGAAAAGGGCAAGTACTGCCACTATGCGCATACGGAAAAGGAACTGAAAACACCGGGACAAGCGAGGCAGGAATGGGAAGAAAAACTGAAGAAGAGAGGCGTCATACCGCCGCCGCTTATGCCGCAAGGATGTACAGCATTTCTTATTTTTGCTTGTTGACTTCTGTACCTGCAGTCGACTTCTAGTTGTGTTTTTTTTTGATTTTGCAAGCGCGAGCCCATAATTTGCCCTGCAACTGCATCTTTTACACTTCCTTTGCGAAGTCACAAACTTACACACACACAGCCCTGTCTGGCGCTCCGACTGGCGAGGGGCTCGTGACAATAGAGCAGGCTATGCACGGCTACGTGGATCATTGGGGAAGAGATGCCAAGGGTCACAAGGGCCACAAAGGATTCTATGGAAAAGGTGAGATTTTGTTTGTAAATTTGTGATGCCGAGATGGACAAAAAACAGCTCTGCAGCTTATGTACGTTAACATGTTGCAATATGGATTCAAAAGCTCCTCCAATCTCCTCCTACACTGCTCATCCTCATTCTATCACAGACCACCACAAGGGATACGGAAAGATGGACCACAAGGGCTTTCATCACCACGGCAAGAAGGGCCCAATGCACCTCCCAGACCACAAGGGTATGCATCTGCCATTCGGCATGCAACCGCCAGAACAGGATCTCGGCTCCGCCTTCGCCCCGCACGACCCCTCGGCGCCCCCCATGATGCCAGGTGGTCCACCCGGTGCCATGGGGCCCCCGCTGCTAAAGGGCGGTCCGGGTGCTGCTATGGGTCCACCCGGGGCTGCAGCTGCTGTAGCAGGAGGCGCACCGGCCGAGGGCGCAGCTGCACCGAAGAAGGAGAAAAAAGAGAAGAAGGAAAAGAAAGAGAAAAAAGAAAAGAAAGAGAAAAAGAAAAAACGCGACATCGACGACGAGGACCTGTAGCGCTATTGGCCGCTTTGTTATTCTTTATGTTTTTATTGAAATAAACGCGCAAGAGTCATGAAGAGCTCCACCAGGAGAATGTTCCAAAACCAAAATATCGAAACGTTCATTTTTACACACGACTAAGTAGCTTTCCTAGTTCCAACTCGAATCTATGGTTTACATTACGTCCAAAACGAATACAGGAAAATCCTCGAAGGTCGCGCCCAAACGACTTCGAGAAAGATCCATCAAGCGAAAACGTATACTCGAAATCTGCAATTTGAGCACTTCAACTTCCTTTGTTGTTTGTCCTCAAAACAAAAACGCATTTTCGAAGCGAAAGCGACTGCGACTAATGTATCGACTTCCCTTGTAGTTATCAAATGGAAATGCAGCGGCGAAGGACCGCAGCGCGCATAACACCATTACGATTACTTTGTATTTTGTATCACGATGCGCCGGACGCGGACGCGGACCGAGCGTGGGGAAGCGGAAGCACGTGCCTTCATCTTGAATGATCTGTGGCCTTCGTTAATGCACCCGCATCCAAGATGGCGCTCGTTTCAGGGGCTTGGTCGTGATTCGCTCTCCGTGTTGACCTGTTTCTGTCCTGCGGCGAGATGCACAGCAGCAGAGTTATGGAAAGATCAAACATTAACGCACACAAAACACGTAACATACAAAGCGAATTTTTACTCTGCAAAGGTCCTTTTTGTACCTTGCTTCTTCAAGATTTTCGCTGCCCCAGTTGTTCGCTCCTCTTGCCTCATCTTTTCGGTGATTCGGCTTCTGTACTAAATGGCAACCCGCTTGGCCGCCGACGAGTACCTCCGAAAGTTTACAGAGGGGAGTGATTCTTAGTTCATTCTGCAACGGAAAGAAGAAGCCCTGAGAGTTCTAGTCCAAGAAAGGAACAACGAGTCGGGCTGTGTAGTTCTAGTTTTTTTTTGAGAGTGCAGCTCGAGGTGTAGGGCTGTTCCAGCATGCGACAACGCTTTCTCGTACTTACGAGTCAATACGAGGATAGAATCAATCTTCTGCCACTAGATTTTTTCCAACCGAGCATCCATGATGACGTAAACAAACACAAGCGCAGGCAGAAAGAGTTGAGGAGATGGAGCGGGCGGCTCAGGTACCACAGCGTACAACTGGAAGACATCAACATCGAGCCGCGCACTGTACAGTTTCGGCCCTGTTTGCGGCTTTCTTCGCGGGCCACCAATTTGCACAAGGGTTGCAGCTCCAGCCACGAAGCAATGCTGCCCTGATTTTTGAGAGGGAGTACGAGAAGGTGAAACATGGGGCGTACGAGCACGACAACAGTTTTTCGCCTAATAGCGAGGAGTACGACAAACTCTACGCCGCGTGGCTAACGCCCCGCTTCGCTAAGTTGCAGAAGCAAATCGACACCGCACGACTGCATGGTAACATCGGACAACAAGAGAAGGGAGTAGAGAAGGCAGCTTCTCATCAAAATAAAGACGATACCAGTGACAGTCCCGTGGCCGCCCCTCCTTCTCTCGTCATTGGCATCAAAACCGCTGGGGCGTGGACGCGAGTGCGTGATGTACACCGAACTACATGGATGAAATCGGAAAACCGACAAGGCAAAAAATGCGTCACCCAGAAACAAGTCACGCCTGGGCAGGTGACCGCCCGGTTCCTGCTCGAGGGCGAGCCGACGGAGGACCTGCTGAAGGAACAGGCGAAATTTGGAGATTTGGTCTTTCTTAACACCACGGATTACGCACACAAGCTGCCGCTGATGCCCAGTGATAGGCGAAAAGTGTTTTCTTGGTTTCGGAAAATAGGAGAGATCGAAGCGGGCGGTGGTCCTGACAAGAACGAAGAGCAAGCAGTTGCAAACACCAAGAAACCAAGCTACGTGGCAAAAATGGACTGCGATACCTACATTGAGCCGTGCGACCTGCTCGAGGACATGGCGGGCAGCGGGACGCCTTTGTACTACGGCCAGATGAATGGGCGCAAGGAGCTTTTCAACCCCTACGGCGGGCGGGACATTGACAAGTGCCGGGCCAAGATCGAAGGACGGACCGATCACGAACCTTTTATGCAGGGCGGGTAAGAGCAGAATCAGAGTGTGCTGCTTTACCTCCTTTTTGCATTTCCATTCATTCTTGCGTTGGAGTAGGGTAGACTTGGCTAGCTTCTTGAAATAAGTGTACTTATCGTAGCAATTTCTCATCTTCAGGTTCTACGCTATGTCCCAGGACATGGCGCACTGGATGGCGGAGTACCCTTCCTACCCGCGCCTCGTCAAGTCGGAGGACCAGGCCGTTGGGTGCATGATGCTGTACTCGATCCGTGCGGGCGCCGCCGGCCCGCAGATGGTGCACCCGGTCGTGTGGGAGCGCGAGGGCTGCGACCAGCACTGGTGCAACGCGTGGGACCCGAGGGGCGGCAAGTTTCTGTTCAAGCACTTGTGGTACGAGTTCGCGGCGCACGTGGGGAAGCCCCGGCACTTATCAAAATGAAAAATCCCCCCTCCCCATATCAAAACGGAAATTTGTGATGCTGATTTGTGACCACAAATCAGCTCTGTATTGCAGAGAGGCACTGCGGCCAGATCCCCAGGCTAGGTAGGGGCGTGCGGGTCTGGTAGTTCAGCATGGCAAGCGGCCCCCCTTTAGGCCCAACAGCATGACAAACCGCTTCCATAATGGGGCGGAAGCTTGTGCCCTTATCTTCTTGCAAGACAGATGTGATTTGTGACCTCAAATCCGCAACGCAAATCTTTGCAAACATACCGCTTCAATATGGGGAGGGGGGATTTTTCCTTTCGATAGCACTACAGCATCAATGTGACCGACGTGATGGCGTTGCAGGATGACGGCGCGGTGATTCCAGAGTCGAAACACGACGTACTGAAAGAGGAGCAGGAAGGAAAGGAGGAGCAAATGCAGAAGGGTTTGCAGAAAGAGAAAAAGCCGGCTCCAGCGCAGGCTTTGGAGGGGGGAGCTTCAGCCGCGAAGGCTGAAAGTGGTGCGAGGAAAGAGCACTGAGAGTGAGAAATAAAACAAGGAGTAAAGTGTGTGGTTGTCATACATACTGGACAGGTCTTACATGTGGTTGTGGATGTTTGTTTTCTTTTCCGAAATAAATACTAGGTGTTTGGACAGTTATTTTTCCGACGGCGCATGCAGTAGCAGTCGTGATGCCCAAGAAGATCAAGATTCATGTGAGTAACTTATTGGCTTGCTTCACCTGGCGGTGCAGCGGAACAGATTGCACTTTTACCACATCGACACCTCCGGTGTCAGGGGGCCATCGAGTTGCTTCAGATAACAGCATATCGTAGCTGGTCGTGTTTTGAAAAACAAAGCATGTTCTTCTCGATCTCGAACGCGACTCCACGATCTGTTCAATGTGCTGCATCTTCAGACGGCTAAGTTCCGAAACAACGCAGATCAAGGACAAAAAGACAGCGTCCTGATGCCCTTTCGAGGGCCGGGGCGCTCTCTTCGGGACGAAAGAATTATGGCGCTCTTCTCAAATAATGTGATGATGCGCGGCCCTATGAGGTACTACTACATCCTCATCGCCATGGGAGTAGTTGCTCCCGCGTTCGTTCAATCTCTGCAGGTGGCCCGTAATAACAAGAAAACTCTCGACCAGCCGAAAGGATCGATTCCGACATCCAACTTGCGGCCCGTAGAAGAGTTCTACGTGGACAAGCTGCGACACTCTGGCGTGCTCGCCCGAACGACAGATCACCAGGGAAATAAAAGCACGAGTGCAAGAGCATCGGCTGCAGCTTCTTCCCTGCAAGAGGCCTTGCAGGAAAAGGCCATCTCTCACTACCAAGCCGAGTCGTCCGATGGGTTGGCGGAATTAAAGCAAGAAAAACTCGTTTTGAAGAACAAAAAGAGCTACGACGTGCTGTTCCTCGTGCGCGCTTGGCAACTAACGACCGAGCAGTACACGCGCCTACGGGAAGAGGTGCTGGACGTGAATGCATTTCACGGTGAGGAACGGCTAAAGGAGCTAAATCTGCACAGCGAAAATCTGCCTGCTGTGAGTTCCGCCAGAAAACCGAAGATCCAAAATCTCCACATGGTCATCTCGTACGACATCAGCGGCAGGAGAAAAGAAGACGTCTACCAAGAGATTGAGAAGCAGCACGGCCTTCAGGTTGACAGGGAGAGGCAATTGATCAAATTCTTCTATGATCAAGACGACATCACAGCGCCGCAGCACCAGCAGCAGGATCAAAGTGCTCAAAAAACAGCTACTCTCCCGATCCACTTTCTGGATCAGAACGGAAACATGAAGGAGCGGTACCAGACTTGGCGGGAGTTCGAGGCGCCGTGGCAATTCGACGAAGTGAAAAACTACGGCTGGAGCTACCAGACGGAAGCGAGGGACAGCGCCATCGCGTTCATGGAAACGAAGGAGAACCTGGAGTACGACTTTGTGTTCGTCGGCGAGGCGGACGTGGGGTGGACGGGGATATCACACAGAAAAAAACTGGCAGGGCATATCTGTAATGCAAAAATAAATAGACAAAAAAATCTGCATTGCATAACTGAAACAGCATGCTATGGGGCCAAGCATGACAGATTTTTCTGTGCATTTATTTTTGCATTACAAATATGCCCTGCCAGCTTTTTTCTGTGGGATAGGGGAAGCGGTTTTCCGATTTTTTCGCGCTCTCGGTCGCGACGCAGCCGGATGAGGATTTGCTGGTTTCGGTCCGCCGCCGACCGTGCGAAAATAAAGTAGAGCACAACGAGGACTCTTCTTCTTCTTCGTGCAATAAAACACATGGGGGTTGGGGCTACGACAAGCCCTACACGAGAGTCGCCGACTTGCCGGAAGTCCCCGAGTACAATCTGAAGTTCCACACGCCGAACTTCTTCCGCTTCCTGCAGGGAAAGCTGAAAGAAAACATGTGGCTCGCGGAAGAGCACTTCCTTCGCCTGTCTAGACCGATGCTTCGCGAACTTCGGCGGCAGTTTGACAAGTTCGACGTGAGCGGCGCCAGCGAGGTCTCCGTCCCGTCGATTTGCAAGCGGTTCGAGAATTTTTATCACAGCGAGCAGCGGGTCGGCGATCAGGATCAGCAACCTCTTTCGAAGATGAACTTGTTATCCTGTGGTGTCATCGCGCCGGAGTTCATTTCGCCATTGTTCGACTGGAAAAAGCTGTCGCCACCTGGTAGAGGAGAGGCGTTCTTCGCGGATTTGAAGGAAAAGCAAACGAAAAATGATATGACCTCCACGCGTGTCTCTGTCGCCGGAAAGGATGAGCAACGCGCTGCGGCGGGCATTGGGCAACTTGTCCATCCAGTGAAGTGATAGATGTATCTGGAAGTTTGCGATTTTTCCTGAAGATTCATGTAGATGTAGAAACATAAAGCCTTCAGAAACGAAACAAACTGCAGAAAAGAATGTGCTACCGCGTGCCTCTTCTTTTCCAATCATACGACCGAAACCAACCTATTTAAGTACAACATGAAGCTCACTCTGTGATGGAGCGCCAGGGGTCCGTACCCACTTTATGATGGAACTCAACACCCAATAGATGTGCGTCTGTATAGTATCTCGCTTCAGTAAATTTGATTTCTGACTGGAATTGCAATTTGTCTTCGGTGGCACCTATGGAAGTAGTTCAGTCTCTCTGGTGTCGGTCTCGATCTGTGTGCATCTTTGTCGCCCCCAGAACTATTTATTTGCTTCGGTCTTTCTGGTGGATCTGATTGTGATTGGAATTTATTGGAGATTCGGTTTCGCCGCGGCGTTGTTGTGGTAAGAGCCAGTCGCGAGGCGACCACTTCGTGCTGCAGTATTCAAGTATTATGATCCGCTCATAGTGTTGCAGTGCTGACGTGCAGACTTTCCCGATTGAAATCAGATATCATAATTTACGAATTTTCCGTTTACTTAGTCGTGTTTTCCCCATTCCTCCACTTCGTTAGAAAGAGCAAACAGAGATGCCACGACAAGTCCTGTTGGTGTTGCGAATAAAGTTGTAGCCAGCAAATTACAATCTCAATTCTGAATAACCGGCGGCGGGAACAACAAAACAAGTGATAGTGAAGCGACAAAACCACAATGGCAAGCTTCTTTGCCCACTTTCTCGTTCTCCAACAGATTTTGTTTTTCCCAGCGCGCGTCGAAGGTATCCTGCTCGGGGGCACGGAGCTTTACCCCGATATTTTGCCGGAGTCCGTGCTCGAACTGGAAGAAACGGAAAACCAGACTCCCTTCTATTGTCCAGCGAAGAATGCCCGCGGAAACTACCTGCGTGAAGACGACGATAGCATTAATTCGCCGACGGGACTAATCGGAAAGATGAAGACATACGGACGTAAGATAAAAAACGTCTCCCGCAACTGGTATATTAAGCGGATTTGCGAAGCAAGGGATGGGAGCACGCTGCAAAAGCAATGTCTTGACTTCAAGAAGGCCATGGACTCGATTCCACAAGATGGGGACGATGATGTCCAGAATGCCATCAAGCTAGTCCAGAATCTTGCCAAGATATTCGAACAGGCAAAGACGGTGCTTGCGGAGGCCGACGAGCAACGCGAAGTCGTCCCCTATGAATGCGAGTTTCTTGTGAAGAAAACGATAGACGAAGTGGAGGCGAGTCCCGCTTGGGAGAAAGCATTGGAAAATATCGGGATTGGGAAACAGATGTAAGGAAAATTTTGTCTCTATTTCTTTTGATCTCTCTTGCTCTTCGGAGAATGCTGTGCCTGTATTACTCGGCGAGGTTACGACACAACAATCAAATAAAGTTAACTTTTACATCTTTTGAAAAATGTAAATGAAGATCGAAAAGGTATGCATAAATAAAGGTAAACCTTTTTGGTTTTTTCTAACGCTGAGTGACCTACGTGTAGGTTTTCCGTTTTCTCCTTTTGAACACTCACGGTCTTCTTTCGCGGCAAACGCTGGAAGTCGAAAAGTAAGTAGCTCGCAGCGAATATTTGTAGGGATGTAGGATAAGTAAAAGTAGAAGAGCCGCAGATCAAGAACAGCGTGAAGACCAAGACCCAGAAAGATCGTCGGAGAAGATCTGAACGAGTGCGCAATTTTGTCGTGTACGATTGATGAAGATGATGATGGTGGATTGAGGGCGAGGCTCCTGTTGTAGCCGTTGGTGTTCATCGAGTCAAATCGAAGTTTGAATTGCTTATGTCCTGGTTGCGATCAACACTCGTACTCGATTTTTCCTCTACTTTGTTGGTTGTTCCTCTGTGTCTAAGGGTCATTCTTTTGGTCCTGGTATCTATTCTGTTTTCGCTTTCTGTCATTGAATTTACTTATCGTCTTCGATTTTACTTATCCCATGTTCTGTCTTCTTGACGTGAAGATGCTGTAGCTTTCTGACGGCGTCTTCTGGATCTGGGGCTGGCGGCCCCAGGCGGAGGTTTGTGTTGTCTCGTCACGGAGTGTCGTTTTCATATATATCGGCTTCTTATGCTTTCACCTTCACCTCCACGAGTCAGCACGACCGCAAAGTCAAAATGTGGAAGCAGTATTTGATATCTTTTTGTGGGTGGTGCTCGTTCTCCTCCCATTGCGCATTCGTTTCTGGGGTAGTCCGCGGGCGGTCACTCCTCCGATCTACAGAAGTACTGCACACGAATGGAGACCCGACGAAGAACGCAAGCACATCATCCGCAGTTCCGCCTTTTCTCTACTATGTGTACGACACAGCTGATTTCAACTGGCGGCGCGACGGATGCGTTTGGGGGCCGGAAAAGCGGTCTCTGGCGCTGGATGTTGAGTCCGGAAAAAGCCCCCGCCCCAGCTTGTTTTACACCCTGCAGGAGAAGTTTATGGGAAAGCATATGTCGGACATTTTGTTTTCCGACCGGGCACTGGAAAAGAACCATCCCTGGCGGACGGAAGACCCCGAAAAAGCGCAAGTGTTCGTCGTCCCCGCGCTCCTGAATCTCCTGTCGCAGGCACAGAGCTCTTTTGCAAAAGATCTCGGGCCGATTTGCTGCCCATCAGGAGAAGACAAGCTGGTTTGCGACTCGGACCTCGCCGCGAATCTGGATGCAGCTTTAGGGAAGAGCGAGTACTTCCGACGCAAACACGGTGCGGACCACGTGATCGTAGCATCCCACTGGCAGTCGCACTTGCTGTTTGAGCACACGCTGCCGAATGTGAATCGCTTGAACGTGATATCGTTCGAAGGCGAACTGTGGTGGAAGTCGCCCGGCGTGTTCGCGGCCGGCGAGAAGCCGCGTAAGCGCATTCCGGATCTCTACGTTCCTGTGGTGTGTCCTTCTGAAACGGAAAGCACAGCAACACCAGCTGCTGAAAATGAAAATCAGTTTCTGAAGAAAAAAATTACAAGAAATGCGAAAGAACAAGACGTTCCGGTGCGAGCAAGATCTTCTTCTAGTTCTATGCAAGCACTGCACAGTACACGCCATGATGAGCAGTCGTTTCCCCCTGCCGGTTACTTTTCGATGATCGGACAAGTGGACAAGCGGCCGGCGTACCAATTCAGAAAATGCATCTGCGAAGCGGTCGACGCCATTGCAGATGCAGAAGTCAGAGACCATTCGATCTGCGCCAGCACTAGCAATGCGACGTCGACTGTCTTTCCCAATCGGTGTCCGGGAGAGCCAGACGTGTGGCCGAGCAGACGAACACTGGACAGCAGCACGACACCTCCAGAGAAGAACAACAAGCTCTCCGCTACAACTTCTGAAATCGCCTGTACCATGGGCCGCTCGACGAAAAAGTACTGTGATGCGTTGACGAAAACGCGGTTCACGCTCTACGCCTCGGGTGACACGCCCTCCAGCAACCGGCTGGCTGATGCCATCGAGTACGGATCGGTGCCCGTTTTTTTGCAGAAGAACCAAACCACCCTTCTCCCCTTCCGCTCAAGAATACCCTGGGACAAGCTTGCGGTGGTGTTCCCAACGCTAGAGGAAGACGAGGAGAGCTGCGACCGGGAGCACCTAGCGGCTGTTCTCGCGCGAGTGGCGCACACCGTGAGGGGCCCACTGTTGGCGGCGTATGAGAAAAAGATTGAAGAATATCGACCCTATCTCTCGTGGACGGCTCCAAAAAGTAAGGTTTTCGAAATGCTCCTGATGGAGGTAGTAGGGCCGGGAAAAAGTGAAAAGGTTGACGACCACAATGAGATTTTCACTTGGTGAAACTGCCCAATTTGAATTTCTTTTCCAGATGTAGTGAGGTAAAGCTGCTAAAGCAATCTTCGAACTTGACCTAAACCCTAAACGCGCCGTTGGTTACTTACCACAGACTGATGCAACTGGCATCGTATCTGTTCTACCTCATTTTGAGTGTTCGAGCTGCAGCCGCAGCTGCTCCTCACGACGGAATGGGTCGTCGTGATTAGCAAGCAGAAATGGAAGTCGTATGGTGAGGAGAATTTGAAGAAGTAGGAGGTGGCAATGGTAAGAAGGGAGGTGTCTTGACGCAAATTTCCATCGCGGTTGTCTACTTGGTGGAGCTCCCGCGGGTGCAGTTTAGCATATTAGCTTCGACACTGAATTGTGATATAGTAGCAGTAGAGCAGCAGGACGAGAAGCCCACGACAGGAATCAAAAACAAAATACGTCGTCCACCCGGTGTCCTAAGCCGACGTGTCATACAGTGTTCAGTGTGCGTTTCTCTACTCGCACGCAGGAGAATTCGCAACTGGTGCCACGTGATCGCTTTGCAGAGTGAGCACATTTACCCAGATCGGGTGAGCGAAAAAATACTGAAGATTGTCGCCGCCATCGCTACACCAGTATAACAAGCGTGACCGTGTGCCGCAGTTATGACCACCAGCACCGAGGAGGAGTTTGCCCGGCTGAAGGCCCTGGTCTTCCGCACGCTTGAGAATAATGGGGTCTTACGGGATATCCGCACGCAAATCCGGCACAACGTTTACAAGACGATCGAGCAGGACGAGGTCTCTTTGTTGAAGCCGACACTGCACGAACCCTCCTTGGCAGCGACTCTCGTATTCGATTGGCTGGAACGGAGCGGGTAAGTGGAATCAATATACAACTCTTGTTTGAGTTTGAAATAAGTTGAAGAAAGAGCTTAAACACTTTTTCTTTTTGCACTTTGTATGGCATTCACTCACACTCTCGGCGGGTGTTCTCACTACAATAAGCCACGCCCAGCGGTGTAGATTACACGAAAACTCTTGCGCTTTACTCAGGTACGCACGGACAGCCAACCTGCTGCAGCACGAAGCCAATCTGAGACAACCGGACGAGGAGAATTTGAGCTCGGCGCGAAAAGACCTTGATCTGGCACCATCAGACAATCGTTGTATCCTGGAGGCGGTTCTGCAAGAAAAATCATCTGGGACACGGCATGAAATCACGCCGACGATTCCTTTGTGAGATAGTTTGCCGATTTTCATTTAACTGCTTTATCATCATGCTGCTTGTTCTTTTTAGACTGAACGACCATCATCAACTCATGGACATAAACTAACAGAGCGCACAGTACTATGAACGTCACAGTTAGACGTCATTGAGGTACAACCACCTTGCTGCCGTTCCCATTCATATTCAATGGATTGACTACATGTGGCTTTGCAACTTCACAGCAACCCACCTGTTCGCGAACGCGAGAACCTAGATGCAGCAGAATCTCGAGGCGCTGGTGGTGCAGCGACTACAACGAAGGACGATCTCCAGCCGAAAGTGGAAGCAAAGCCAACTTCGCTTGAGCCGCTGCCAAGTAAGTACATTTCCAAGCCTTTTGCAGGGCCAATTTTTTGGATTCTTGTGAGCTCTGTGACTACAGTGCGTGTAGTAGAAAGATCGTTTTGAGAACAAGTTCTTGTTCCTGTACCATTAGGCACACATCAACGCAAGGAAAAGCATAAAGGAAAACGAAAAACAGAACCCGCCAGCAAATTTCTTTCCGACCTTCCACCAATCGGCGGCAGAACAGCGAGCGGCTCCACCAGCGAAGACAATGGCATACTCAATGAGATCGACAGCAAAATCGCAAATCTCAGGCTGGGCAAGACTGGAGCAAGCTCTATTGGACCAGAGGTATTTACGCTGGTGTTGTAGTCCTTCGCAGCTCATTTGGTTTCGCCCGTTCGCTGCAATCTGAGACACACAGACCGGCACGACTCGCAAATTGTTCGTACTTGATAAAATTTTCAAATCTGTTCTTACCCAGCTCGGCTCCGCGACCTCCGCGTCCTCGTCCAAGAACCCGTCTTCGGACGCTGCTGCCCCGCCTGGAAATTCATCTACGGCCATCAACAAACCGGCGGAACCAACACCAAGCGCCAGTCCAGGTGTTTCTGCAGCGACAAGCAACGCGGCTGCGAAGTTTTCCACGTTCAACACGAAACCCGCGGAAGAGGACGAAGAGGAAATCATGAGCGAGATCGAGGAGAGCATATCCGCGGGCGGTCTGAGCGAGGAATACGAAGAAGATTTCGTACAGGAGACAAAGACGCACGAATCCCTACCCCAGGTAGCGGATTTTTCCGTCGACAGCACCGAGCTGGAAAAGTACGATCACATGGAGGAAATTGGGAGCTGAAACGACGAAGGCTTTGCGGTAGCTGCCAAGGTGGAAAAAGACAAACAGTTCTTGATGCATCATGTAGGTCGTGATCTTCCTCTGTTCTTGGGAAGACCCAGTGAATGTTGTTGCCATCGTACAACACTATTCGCAGATCTGGTTCATATATAAAACCGAGGACAGTAGCCTGCACTCGTCTCTCAAGCGGTTGTTGAGAGAGTGATATACATCGCTCGCGGCTACTAGACGCATCGCCGAATACAACCAAGTCCACGCCCGCTGTAATTATTTCCGGTGAGTCAAAATGACTGCAAGCAGAGCGTGAAGTGCCAATGTGTGACAACTACGCATCCCATACTAGCTCTTCCAGTGAGCAAGGCGTCCTGGTCTTGCCATTGGATCCTTCGGCACGATGGCAGTGCGTTGTTTGATCATCGTGATACAAATTTACTTCCTGTCACAAGAAAGAGGGCGAAGTACAGTTGCGGATCAATTTCGAGCTATCTTGTTTCTGCTTTATTGATGTGCTGGGGTGCGAATCATGCGATCTCGTTCTCGGAGATCATTTTCATTCAAAGGATCATCTCAACATGAACAGGATCAGGATCATATTGCCATCTCCAAGAGGAAGGACAGGCTTGAGGTGTGTGGGCACTTTTCGATGTCGGAAGAAAGATATTCGTAAAGATAAATGGGTTTCTTCGAGACGGTAATGGTTTGAGTTTGTGCAAGCGCTGCAGCATGAAGATTTGTTCGTGTTTATAGTGGGTGAAAGTCGTCACAATTCTCGATCTAAAACAAAGTAACAAATCCAGTCCGAGACGATGAGCTGCTTAGGGTTAGGTTGCAGCGAACTAGCCAAAAAATAGAATCTTGATGTTCTGATGCGACGGCCTAGTTACGGGAACAAGAAGGCCGCTCGTGGAGAACTAGTACTGGCATATAGTCTTTATTCTGTTTTTTATTTCGTTTTCCTGAACTTTGACTTTCCAACCACAGAAGTGAAGAAAGAGGATTTTTTCACACGAAAATGGAATACGATTTTACGGAGACGCGTGAGAAGGTCCTGCAGTCCAAGCAGGCGGTTGTGGATGAGAGAGTCGCTGAAATTCGATTTCTTTGTCGCCGATGGGAGGCTGTAATTCGTGGCTTTTACGAGAACCTAGCTTCAGGGACGGGCAACATGGCGGAAGAAGGCTGGGGGGACAAAGCTTACTGCAGATCGGCCCTCAGGGAGGATCGCAGGGAGCGTCTAAGCGAATTCTTCTCATCGTACAACGAGAAGGATCCACTTACAAACAAGACCCGCGTACCAGAGGAGGGATCCGTGGAACAGTTCTTTGTCGATGAAATATGTGCGGCTGCGAAGTGCCGCCCCTGTAAAGGTCTAGGGAACAGAGTTGACGAAATTCTTTTTGCCTCCGAAAGCGATATCCACACAGATGATGAAGGTGGAGGAGGCGTGCTGCCGCTGCGCGCGTTAGAAGGCCCGGGCGCGGCGACGTACCCAATAGCCACTGACTTTAGCGTAACTACGAGCTCTTTGCTTGACTTTGTCACGGATTCAGACATGCGGGGAATGAAGGACTTGCGGCGGCAGCTCCGTGCGGCAATTACGGAAAAGGACCGCGCAGAGAAGAACATCGAAGAAATAGAAAACGGCGACTTCGAGGGCGCGGTCTGCATGAGCAGTTCCAAAGAGGAAAACTTTCCTGTCCTTGTCATGCTCAGCTGTTGTCACGTGTTCTGCTTCGACTGCGCGAGCAAGGTCATAAATAGCGGTCCCGTCGGTGTGGCTCAGGCAGACGATGAGCAGGAGAGTGTTACCAGATGGAAATGCCCAACTTGTAGGAAAGACATCGACGAGGAATCTACTGCGCGCATTCCGGCTATGCTCTTCGCTGGAAAGCGGCGGAAAATGGCGGTCGCAAAGGAACGACAAGATTTAGATCATTAAAACACCAGTCTTGTCAACAGCAGCTGCAGCACCAAAATGCAGTGCTGTGACCGCCAGTGCTACTGCCGCATTTTGTTTTTTCATCAGCATGAGCAGTAACTTGCCTCGTCACACCGAAAATACAAAATAAAAATATCCGTTGAGGATTGATATGACTGCAACCGAAACCTAAAATGGCAATGTGTTGCAGCGCATCTCGTTGCTCTTGCAGCTCTTGCACTACCTTTTTTTTGATTCTTTGGCATTGCCATTGTGGCAGCGCGTCGGTTGATTGTCGTGATCTGGTAACCAAAGCGTGAATTAATTGCTTGTCACGAAGAGGGCGAAGGACCAATTACGAGCCACCTTGTTTGTGTTTCATTGATGTGTTGGGGTGACGACAACTACGATATCGGAGATAATGCACATTCATAGTTTTTTTTTTTTTTGTGGGCTAATATAGTGCCGAAGAAGCTTGCTTCGCATTGTTTTTTTTGGGGGAACATTCATTCGTATTTTTTCTTCTATCGGAAGGCCAAGAGCAAGATAGAGATCGTGACTCCTGCGTAACCGTAGCTAGACCCTGGAACCAGAAGAGCCAGTCTCTCACTCTAACGCCTGCAGTACGCGAATAGTTCTCATTCTCTTCGGGCCTTATTCTTATTGATATTTTAGCTCTTGAGGAAAACAAAATAAACATCACAGGAGACAAGGGAGAGGTTTGCGTTTCCCGAAATACCGTCGTGAACAGGTGGTGGATCGAAGATTTGTATATTCGTGCTACAATAAGAGTAACAATTTTGTACATTTTCTACTTTTTTACTTCGAAAGTAAGAACCGGAAAGGGTCAGTTTAGGTTTCAGGGTTTAGGCCACTTTTATATTCGAAAGAAAAAACTCATCAAATTATGGTGGAATACGATTTTGCGGAGACGGAGAAAGTTCTGAAAGCAAAGCAGGCTGCTGTGGATGAGCGAATCGCTGAAGTGCGATTTCTGTGCCGCAGAGCGGAAGCGGGAGATCGCGGGTTTTACAAGAATCTGTTGGCGGGGAGAGTAGTAGCCGCACCAGGAGAGGATCAAAAAAGCTACAGTGCAGAATACTGCAAGTTCGGTATTAAGCTTGGTCGTCGAACGCGATTAAAAGAAGTCTTCCCATTGTTCGGGGTGAAGAATCCCCTTACAAACCAAAACCACCTCCCGTTGCCGGGAACACTGGAACAGTACGTCGCGGACGAAATAGTTGCTGCTGCCAAGTGCCGCCCCTACGGAGGGACAGGATTTGACGCCGACCCTTCCTCTGATTCTGAAGGAACCGACCACAAAGATGACGAAAATAGAGGTGGCGCACCATCGAGGGTTATAAAACCGGGAGCGGCGACAAATCCAATAGCCTATGACTTCAGTATAAATACGCATTCGCTGTTCAATTTTGTCAAGGAGGCAGATAAGAAGCAAATGGACGACGCGAAACTCAAGCTCAGCGCAGCACTCACGGAAAAAGACCGCGTAGCGAAGAACATCAAGGACATACAAGACAACAACTTCGAATGCGCGGTCTGCATCAGTAGTTCCCGGGAGGAACGCTTCCCTGTTCTCGTCATGCTGGGCTGTTGTCACGTGTTCTGCTTCGATTGTGCGGACAAGTTCATCAATGGTGTTGACGGTGGTCAGAATCAAAACGCCAATAACGACGACCACGTGAGAAAATGCCCGACCTGCCGTGCAGCGATAGACGAGGAGTCAACAGCGCGAATTCCACCACAGCTCTTCTGCAAACGGCGCCGCGTTCTTGCAGTTGGTGGATCTGGAGAAGGGGAGGGAGGCTGATGCGAAACGTCGGGCGGCTGTGATTTGTCTCGGATTCATCAACTACACTACTGCTCCATGAACTGACAGGACCACGAGGTGGAGATGGTTTCAACAAAGACAAAGACAAAGACAAAAATGACACTGTAAATTGTATGTTAACTTTGAAAGGAGGATTTCCATTTCGTTTTCGATTTCACTCTGACGCAGAGCTTCGTTCAGGCACTGTATCTTGGCTGCAATCGGCCGCGGAACCTGGCACGCTTATGCCAGAATAGTACTGCTACTGTCCCAACGCGACCTTGAATCTACTTCGTCACGTGTTCCCATGGACAATGTCGAGTGGATGCGTCCTTCTCGTAATCGTTTCAATTTGAAATAGCGAGATGAACGGAGCAATTTCAAGTATGAGTTGTAACGTGAGTGTGGTGGGGGTGGGGGATGGAAAAACAAAAAGTGCCTGTAGGCTTGGCAAGAAGTTCATTGAGAGTTCTTACCAGACATCATGGCGCGAAGCGCGATGTTCGTGCCAACACACAGTTTGACTGGTGCAAGTTGAAAATCGAAAGGAAAAAGTTGCAGTCGCCTGAAAATGCAGTACACCTACGAACCGGGTGAGGCGAGCAAGCACTCCTTGAAGGAGCACCACGCACTCGCGAAAGCTGCTACAGATGGCGAGGTCTACGCGGAGTCAGATTTGCGGTTTATCGCAGATGAGGTAGCTTTTATTCCATTTGAATTTGTTTGTTATCATGCACTTCAAGTTTCGGCATCGGGATCGGCAAGCAAAGCCAAGCAGGGCTACAGGCATTGGAGCTCGCCTTTCTTCATATCTGTCCGTCTCCTCCAATCATCAGGTTATTCCGGGTCTCTTTCGACACACGAGACAGGCACGGTTTCTCCGACGCGGTTGGGTGGTAGAACTAGGCTTGATTCTCTTCAGCCTGATGGCAGCTGGGCTCGAGATAACGCACCAGTGCGCTTTCAGCGATATACTGGCACTAGCGCCTCCACGATGCGAGATGTGCTACTCCAACGTGTTTCTCTTTCTTCTCGTGATTTTGGCGGCAATATGGTTCTTGAACCTGTACCTCTTCGCACTGCTGAAGTCCCGGGGATTTCACTTCAACCGAACAACGCTACACGAGGGATTGTACCTGAGCCACCCGGACATCCCGCCGATGGCGATAACCATGTACTTGTACCTCACCGCGATTCTGGTGCTGCTTTGGGGGGCAGGTGCTGATATTTGATTCGATTTTTTTTTATCTCATTTTTCAATTTCATGCCTGAAGATGGAGAAGAAATGCGTGCTTCTGTGCGTGTAGTTTGTCTAGAAAATCCATCCTAATGAACACAATAAATCATGTTATTGGAAGTATACTGCTGTCATCGCGATGAACTGGACATTCGCATTCGCACAACTTTTCAGGTATTTACATTTTCTTCAAAAGCACAACGCAATGCATGCGCGGCGGCGCCAGATTCGCGAGACCAAGGAGTATGCCCTTGATGATCGTGCTTGGATTATCAGAGGTCTTTGTACCTGTGTCGCTACTCTTGTTGAGGAGATGAAAAAAAAAACACTAACGAGGAGGTGATGCTTGCCTCCTCTGAAAATTATCTTTTCCTTGCACACACGCACGCTACGGTCGCGAATAAGGACCTGCACAACGGGGATGCGACCGCATATTAGCGCACAGACTCCACCGGTTCAAAGCCTGAGCATAATCGTGAGGCTGATCATCCTTGTGTGTAGTAAATCGAAATCTTCATCGGTACGAAATGCTTCTGTTGATAAAAAGCTGGTTCGTGATAATAATTCCGTGACTTTTTTTAGGTTCCGCAAGATCAGCAACAAGCGAAAGGATCCTCAAAGGTGAATGCTCGACATGGATCTGTAGTTGTTGTTTTTCCCCGCGCAGTTCGCTAGAATGAAAATGAAATTCAGATCCGAAATATGGAGGCACTGGACTTCTCCTCCAGATGGATCCTTTGGAACGCACAAATTTGTCAGGATCATGTCGATCAAAGTTCAAGATCAGCCACTGTTAGCACCACAAGAGAAAAATGGTCCTTCGCCTTTGTCGAAGCATTCATCGTGACTTGTAACTCAACAGTGACGCATTTTGGTGCTAGAAAGAACTTAGAACATCATTTAGCTCCCGTAAGAAGCTATGGTAATGATGAGCAGCCAGCTTTATTACGAGGAAAGACATGTGCATTCTTTAAGCAAAGAGACCGAGATATCAGGTACGGTATTTTAAGTTGAACGACTTCATCTGTTTTTTCTTTTGTCAAAAGTTCTTTGTGGACCGGCGACACGAGAAGTTCATACTCAAATAACAAGTAGAGCTTCCGCGACATCAGCTACACGGCCATGGGAAAGCTAACTTCGGGCAACGCGACGTCTTCGACGTCTAAGTTGGGTGGCTCTTCCTCGTCCTCCACCAGTAAGAAGAACAAAACGAAAGACGCTACGCTCGACGTCAACATGCAGCTGCAGAAAGTTCATAAGCCGATGCGGCTGCGACCGAAGGTGCCGGTGAATTCAAAATCCAAGTATGAAACCATTGGCCAGCTGAACTACGCCGAGAGCCACTACACGGAGTTTCTGAAGGAATCCGTCGAAAACCACGTTGGCAGTTTCAACATGATGTTGGATCACATCCTACCGGAGATGGCCAACGAAATCATTCCGATCGAGGTGCCAGTCAACAATGACTCCGAAACGTCAAAACCCGGTAGCGCCTCAGCGTCGAGCAAAATAAAGATCACAAACAAAACGAACACCGCCGTGGGATTACGAATCGGAGTGGAGAAAATCACGATCGACAAGCCCATGAAGAAAGACCACAACATGCTACCAAGCAACGGAAAAAGTATTGACTTTTTGAATACTGGACTCACTGTGACTCGCGTACGATGATTTTCTATCACTGTATTGTACCTGTACGTAGATGCACCGGTTTATTTAGTTGCCTTTTGTCTCTTGTTTATGCTTTTTCACCACCACCTTGACCTTCCTTGCCTACCAAAACCACAGGTACGAAAAACGTGCTTCCAAGTGATTGCCGTGAGGGGCATTTCACCTACTCGGGAAAGTGCACGGTCACTTTCTACACGCAGCGCGTCGGGGATGACAGCACGTCCAGGCAGTGCTTCAACGTCGAATGCGGAAATGTCCCAATCATGGTCGGTAGTAAGGTCTGCCACCTGCACAACCTGTCTCCGGCGGAAATGGTGAAGGCACGAGAGGATGAGACGGAAAGAGGAGGGTAATAAACGATTTCTGACGTACAATATGACTGGCTTGGAAAAGAAAATATTTTCAAAGCAATTTCAATTAGAATTATGATGCGTATATGCCAAAATCAAAAACAACAAATTGAAAATTCCCAGGTATTTCGTAATGAACGGCAACGAGCGCGTAATTCGTCTGCTGATCATGCCGAAAGCTAACCAGCTGCTGGCCATCGAGCGTGGCAGCTTCACCAACCGCGGTGACTTGTACACAAAGCACGCGGTCCAGATCCGTTGCATGCGGAAGGACTTAACCACGCTGACCAACACGCTCCATTATTGCCGTGACGGTACCTGCTTCTTCCGGTTTTCGCACAGCAAAAACGAGTTCCTGATCCCCATGCTGGTGATTGCGTACGCCATTGCGCCGGGGTACATGACGGATTTCCAGATGGCGCGAACCCTTTGTGGCGGGAACGAAAATGACAACTTCAGTTCCGAACGGGTCCAGGTGATGTTCCAAACTTTGCTCGCGGCGGACTACAAGATCCACAGTCGGGTGGACGCGTTGCAGTTTCTCGGCGACCAATTTCGAAGCACGATGAAGGAGCCGGCGTATTTGTCCGATATCGAGTGCGGTTTGCGCATGGTTCGGTCCTTCATTTTCGTCAACTCCACGGAGATGGAGGACAAATTTTCCCTGCTGTGCCTGATGTTCCAGAAGTTGATGCGACTCGCGGAGGGAACGATCAAGCCGGAGAACTGTGATGCCCTGAGTACGCAGGAAGCCTTGCTCCCGGGGCAGCTGTACGGTGCGGTTTTGAAGGAAGCGGTGGAAACGACGATGGAGAAGGCCAAGCAGGAACTGCTGAAGAAGATCCGCTACGGCGACGACATATTCGACATTGAAACCGTCGAGTCAGTGTTCTGGCGGGTGAAAGAGATCGACCATGCGGTGAACTACTTCCTTTCCACGGGTACGATCAAATCCCGATCTGGTTTGGATTTGATGCAGGTCACCGGTTTTACCATCGTTGCGGACAAGCTCAACGCCGTCCGTTACCTGTCCCACTTCCGCGCCATCCACCGTGGTCAGTTTTTCATGGAAATGAAAACCACGGCGGTCCGAAAATTGCTCCCCGACAGTTGGGGCTTCCTCTGCCCCGTCCACACTCCCGATGGTGGGCCGTGTGGGCTGTTGAACCACTTGGGACAGAACTGTCAGGTCGCGTTGACACCGCCGGCGCTGATCGAAAAAACGGTGAACAGCGTGCGCAATTTCCTCCTCTCCCTCGGGGTGCTCAAAGCGGCAAACGATCCCGCGGGCCTGAACGAGGCGCACCTGCGCGCATCGCTTTCCCTCGCTGATCACTACCCGGTCGTGCTGGAGGGGCGCACTCTCGGCTACGTCCGGGACGAAGACGCTGCACTCGTGGTCGCGATGCTCCGCCGCGCGAAAACCATGAGCACGGAGAACGTGTCGGTCACGAAAAAGTTATGGAAGAAAATCATGTCGGCACAGGTGAAGGAATCCGACTTCGAACACGCATCCGCACAGTACGCAAGCGGGGATATCGCTGATTTAGGACCTAGTGCATCTTCAGGTAGTGGTTCGAAGAAGACCTCCAAATCTTCTGCTCTGTCTGAAAACACGAAGAAGCGATCAAGGAGACACGGGAATAATGACAGCAGCGACAGTGAAGCCGACGTGGATGATCATGGAAGCGAAGATTCGCACAGCACTTGCGCCGATTCGCAAGACCTCAACGACAAAAATCTGACGATCGCTTTATCTTCCGTCGTGTCCGGTCCGCAGCTGAGGGACGAGGCCGAGATGGAGAACGAGCAGTGCATCAAGGACTACGAGGACATGTTCCGGCAAATCCCTTTCAACTTGGAGATCGGCTTCGTGGAACGGTCCTGGGACCGGATTTTCCCGGGAATTTTCCTCTTCGTCGGTCCGTGCCGGTTCACCCGGCCAATCAAGTGCCTCCGATCCCACCAACTCGAGCACGTCGGACCGTTCGAACAGGTCTTCATGAAGATTGCGGTCACGGAGTCCGAGTTGATCTGGACGAGAAAGGTTTTGCGGGCCGACATCGAGGAGTACACGAAGTCTTTGGTGGTTGCGGAGAAGGCGCAAGACGAGGATATCGTGATGAAATCTTCGGAGGAGTACGATAACGGTTTGAGATACCGCCCGACCGGGCAGATGGAGCCGCTGGTTTATACCCATCGAGAAATCGACCCGATCAAAATGCTGTCCATCGTAGCGTCTCTGACCCCGTTCCAAAATCACAACCAGTCGCCGCGGTGCATGTACCAGTGTCAGATGTTGAAACAGACCATGGGGACGCCCTACCAGAACCACAGTAGACGGACGGACAACAAGGTGTACCGCATCCAGTTCCCGCAGCGCCCGATGGTGCGCGCGCAGATGTACGCGGACGCGAAGTTCGACACGCACCCCACCGGAATGAACGCGATTGTTGCCGTTTGCGCGTACACGGGGTACGACATGGAGGACGCGATGATTATCAATAAGGGCAGTTACGACCGCGGCTTCATGGCCGGGAACGTTTACAAGCAAAAGATCATCAAAGCCTGCCCGGAGAAGGACGAGCGGTCGAGACAGCACTCGCGGAACTGGATCTTTTCGAACTACAACAAAGCAAAGGGTGAGTACTGTAGCATGGAAAAGCACATCCAACCCGACGGTACGCCGAAGGTGGGGACGCTAATGACGCAGGGGATGACCCTGGTCGCAGCAGTGAACAAAGCGACAGGAGAGGTGAACATAACCAAGCACAAAGACAGCGATCCGTGCTGGGTGGAAGCGATTTCATTGATTTCGGGCGGGTCGTTTCAAGGTAATAGTTTGAATTTTTGATCTCCAGCTTTTTCTACCATACATCCAGACTTACTTACAAACATAGATTCCTACCGTTCTTGTGCCATATGCACCGGAAAATACCTGATCTGTACTTCAATCAAACTCTCTAGGTGGCGGAGTCGAGGACGGGCAGGTGAAGCTGAGTATCAAGCTTCGTTTCAACCGGCGACCGATGGTGGGAGACAAATTCGCGACCCGGCACGGGCAGAAGGGTGTGATGGCCACATTATGGAAGTCGGAGGACATGCCCTTTTCCGCCCGGGGCATGGTGCCGGACATTCTGTTCAACCCCCACGGTTTCCCGAGTCGGATGACGATCGGACAGCTGATCGAGTCCATGGCGGGAAAAGCGGCCGCTCTGACCGGAACCAAGCACGTGAACGCGACGGCCTTCCGGAAGTACCGGGGGCACTTCAACTACCCGGACAACAACGAGGACGACCCATTCCTGGAGAAAGATCCCATTACCGCCTGCGACCCCGAGAAGCAGCCCATGCCGGCCGAGTACTTCGGAAAAGTCCTGAAAGACTACGGGTAAGTAGTTCTTTTTGAAGATCTTGATGTTGATGTTTTGATCCCGGTTTTTCAAGTGGCTTATGCTGAGCTTCAATCTTTTTCTTTGCTCGTGCAGCGCCCTTCAACGTTATTCTGCTTTGTGTTTGCATCCACCCAACGAACACTCTAGTTACCTGCGACATCCGCAAAATGCGAAGTCAAAACCTCAACTTTTCAGGTACGACTACTATGGCACCGAGGAGCTGTACGACGGAATCCACGGTGAGCCAATGAAGACGCACATTTTCATGGGCTGCGTCTACTACCAGCGCTTGAGGCACATGGTGGCCGACAAGGCCCAGGTGCGCGCAATGGGACCGATCGACCCGCAGACGCGTCAGCCGGTCAAGGGCCGACAGCGACACGGTGGTATTCGACTGGGTGAGATGGAACGCGACGCCCTGGTCGCGCACGGAGCCGCCTTCCTGGTCCACGATCGGTTGATGCGGTGCTCCGACTATTCGGTAGGCTTTTGCTGTCCCAAGTGCGGTAGCATCATTACCCCAGTGCCGCAGCAGTACGAAACCAGGAAGAAACAGCAGGGGAACGGCGGCTTTGCGTTTGAGAAGACAACGCGGTCCTTGGCGAACGCCGTGTGTCCGCCGTGTACCAGAAAAGCGAAAAAGGAAGATCCGAACGCGGAAGACGTGATCTGCGAGCCCAAGGACATCCCGTTCTCCTACCGATTACTGACCGTAGAATTCGCAGCCATGGGTATCAACCTGGAGATGCGCCTGAACAACGGAACAACGGATGCGTATGCACAGGAACCGGAGGAAGCAGCGAACGAGGTCGCGAGCAGAAGAAGACCAATCACGGTTCCATCTTTGAGAACATACGACCTGGAGAAAATACAGGAGGAAAAAGATATGCTCTCAGGAGACTGTAATAGGATAGATTGTCGCTTGGAAGGCGCAGCCGGAGTTGATGTGGAAATGATTGATGAAGAAGATGAAGGGGGACCTTGAAAAATTCTAACGGAGACCGACAATCTTGAGATTGATCCTAACGAAGTCCAAGTCGTTTTTCTTGGATACGCGGTATGCAGAGAGCCAAGAAAAAAATCACTCATCACCAATTTTGGTGGGTAGTCTGCTTCTTGTGCGTGCTTGAATATCCAGCAACGAACATCACGAATACAGCTGCAACATCCGATGAGCAAACGCTTTACGCCGGAATAGGAAAAGATTAAGTATGCTGGAGAAGAATCTTCCTCCTGAGAGGCACGAGCCGTTTATTGAAAAATACACGCTACACTCTGGCCACTGATGGCGTTCCGATGATGAACTTCGTGCCCGTGCTGTGTTCTTCAATTTCGAAAGCTGAGACAAATTTGCCGTCGATGCGGTTTGGTTCTGCTTGATGACGTGTTTTTCCTCTTTTCTTTTGTCCTTATTGGCGAAAGAGGCCAAGAAGCGCCGGGCCAAGGACGGCAGCGCAAGGCGGTGCCTAGGTCGGGCAACCCGCTGAGTTCCCCTATGTTGTGTGGCCGACGAAAGGGGAAAAAGACACGGAGTCCCTGAGCCTCAACGAATTGCGCCCGGTTTGTGCTTCCTTCGCGGGGGGGCCATGGCGTCCACCCTGGCAGAGGCGGAGAGGTGCGCGGGCCAGTTGCGTAGCGAGTGCGACGCGGTGGCTTTCGGGATGCTGAAGGGATTGGCGCAGCCGGGGCAGCAAAAGTCCAAGCCAGCAGCGCCCTGCTGGTTGGATAAAGGCGGCGCGCTGCGAGCCAGCGACGCGGTTCACGGTGGCGCTGCATTGTGGGCGTCCGGGCGTCGACAAGTGCGGCAGCTGGCAAAGCTGCGCGCTGTGGATCCGGGGCGCGGCCGAAAGGCGCGCAGAGCCGGCGGGCGGCGCCGAAAGTCAGCGGCGGGAAAGAAGCGGCCGCGTGGCCCGCGCGCCCGCCGGCCGGCCGGCAACGCCGGGCGCAGAAAGTGCCGCGGGGGGCCGCAGGAGTACATCGGCCGGCGCCCATAGAGGGGCGGGGGCCGTGTGTTTCGGGTCATTCATTGCAGCGGGGCCTCTCAGATTTGAAATAGCGAGAAGCCAGGCGATATCGGGGGGGCCGGCCCAGAGGCATAGGCGCCGCAAGGGGGCCCGCCCGCTGTGGTTGCTCGGGCCGGGGATGCATGGCGCGGGTGTAGATGAGGCAGCCGCCGCGCTTTGGCTGAGCGATCGAGGCTGCAATGCTTGACGTGGTGCCTCCTGCGCTTCGGGGCGTGCTCTCGTGCCGGCCGGGGGCCTTGGAAGGCCGACGGATTGCGCGCCTTGGAGGCAGTTGGAGCAGCCCTGCGCCATCTCCGCGAAAAAGCAGCGCGGTGAAGCAGTAGAAGCACAATGCCCGGCTGCGCAGGCGCGGTTTTTTTGGCGTTCCCGCGCCTTGGCCACTCATGGAAGGAAGTGTTTCAGCCTCTCCAGGTTGGTGGCGGGCCCCCGCCCCCGACCGTTCTCGAATGTCGTGGTAGCCCGCGCGCCGCTCGGAACCGGGGCGCGCGTGCTTGGTGCCCTCGGGGATCGCGCACTTTGTGAGAAACCCGGGAGGAACAAAGATCACGGGCCTGGAGAAATTATAGGGGGGGCTGGTGATCGTTCATTTTTACCCAGCGCAAGCATGCCCCGCGCCCGGGCTATCTTCAGGCCTGCCCTGTATTGTTTGAGCCGAGGCAGAGGGCTGCTGCTTCTGCCTGTGCAGTGGGCAGGGCGGGGGGGGCGCGCCCGTGTTTGGCCGCCCCCCGTTCTTCCACGCACTGGCCCATCCCGGGTGGTGATGGAAGGGAGGGCCCCCCGATTCTAGGCCGACTGTTGGCGAGCCCATTTTGTATTTGTGGTGGAGAGGCTGAGGCGGCGTCGGTATCCTCTCGGGCTCGAGGGCCAGCAAGCGGCCCCAATAAATAAAAAAGCGGCGCGCAGGGCCGGTCTCATTCACAGGCCCGCTCGGGTGAGCTGTTCGAAGAACCCCACGCCGGCGCGGTGGGGGGGGCTTCCATATTGCGAAAATCCCGCTGCTGGCCGTGTGTATCGCCGTGCAGGCACTCCGCGTCCCCTGTGGCGTTTGCAACGGGTTGCGGAGAGGGGCCCGCTGCGATCGATAATTAACGCGCTGCGGCAGGCAGCATCCAGCTGGACGAATGTCGCCCGTCCCCCGAGTCGCGTAGTTTGGTAGCGGCGAGCCGTCCGACGGCATTCCGGTCGAAGATCTTCACTGACGGGGTCCGCGGCGAACCGGGGCCCGCCGGGCGCGGCGCCATTGGCGATCTAGATCTTCTTCGGGCTTTTCCTGGCAGGCATGGATGTGGCCCGGTTGTCCTGCGGGGGGCTGCGTTGGTTGTTGTTGTTGGGGCGAGGGCGCCCGCTGCGATGGGGCGACCGGGGACCCCCGCGCGGAGTGCCAAGCACGGGGCGCGGGTCGGTTCTTGGGGACTTTCCTGTTCGCCGTTGCCCCTTTGGTCGGTCGGTCCGCCGGTCGCGGCCGTATTTCTAAACCGAAAGCAGAGCTCCGGACTATTCGGGGTCGGGGTGGCTTTCTGTCCACGGACACCCGATATTTTTTCCTGCGCTATGTATCTGCAGTCGAATAGTGTTGCCGTCCAATAACCAAGATCATTGATTCCGGCAGCAACATGACGAGCGCTCTTCCGGTTGCGTCGTATTTATCCGGGTGTGTGTTGTGTTCCCCGCCAGGAATTGCAGTGACTTGCGTGGCCGAAGGTGGCTCTGGCACCCACGCATGATTTGCTGCCATGAATTTACTGACTGCTGCTAATCAATGGTCTGCAGAGCATTACTCTGACGGTCTCGTTTTTATTTTTTTTTTTCAAGACGCGCTCGAGCCCACAGAAGCTGAAGTGTTCGTGTCCTCGACGCCGTGCTCGTTGTCGTGCGGTGGACTCGACTGTCTACCGGAATTTAGAATGCTTCTGCTTGCTGCAAGCGCGAAATTGCGACCAGTTTTAGAAAGGCGTATGTATGAAGATCTATCGGCCCGCCACCTGCTCCACATGAATGATAAACCAAACGCTTAGGCGTACACGGGATTGCACGAGTTTCAATTTGCATTCGATCCCGGTGTGTGTAATCAGAAGCGTGTCAACATGTTTTCAAAATAGGATACTCAGTTATTCTTCGTGTACTGATGTGAATGTAGCGTGTCGGTGTCGCAGCTTGCGCTTCTAAGAACTGCGAGAAGCAGATAATAGGCACAGAAGGCATTACCATTTATTTACCTCGACGTCGACGATTATAAATTGAATTACGTCTAGAGCTACCAGAGTACAGATAGTACAGACCTTTCACGCTAATTCTATAGTTTTCTTGCACCACCCCGAGCCCGATCCCCGCCGCAAAAACGAACAGTAATCATGCCGCCTCCGATCCCCGCCCGCCCCATGGGCTTTCCGTTGGGTTTTTCCAACGGAAAACAGCCAAAGCTAAAAGTGGAGCTTTTCCAGGATCTGTGTTGTCCGTTTTCCTTTAAGATGATGCAAACTTTGCAGACGGGCGTGCTTCCCGTCCTTAAGGAAAAAGCAAATTCCGATCCCGCAAAGTATGCGGACGCGATCGAGTTCGTTATCCATCCGCTCGCGCAGCCCTGGCACATGCAGAGCTGTGTGCAGCACGAAACCGCGCACGCGGTCGTGCACCTTCTCGGCAAAGAGAAGTACTGGCCGTTTGCTACCACCATCATGAGCCAGCGCTACGAGAAGTTCAGTGACCACCAGACCTGCCACATGACCCGACGCCAGCTGCATGCGTTGTGCTTGCAGCTCGGGGTAGAGGCCGGCGTCTTCACGGAAGCGGAGAGTGAGACGGTAAATGAATTTCTGAAGCAATTTGAGTCCGAGGTGACGGGGTCGGAGCCGATCATGGTCGTGTACAAGGCGATGATGGCCATGAGCCGCTTTCACCGCGTGCGCGGCGTGCACATGACCCCGACGGTGTTTTTGAACGATATCGAAGCGCCGGATATTGCTTCGGGCTGGACCGCCGAGCAATGGCTGGAAAAGATTGATCAAGTTCTCGTAGCGTGACAGATGTAGATGAGGAGCGGCTTCTCTTGATGTTGATGCAGTAAGAAGTCACGCGACGCAATTTTTTAAGGACATGTCATAGAGCAGCGTCCCCATCTTGACTAAGCGACCATACTGTAGCTACCTTGTGTACCCCTGCTCGCTGGTCGCAGGTTTGTGACGCCATTCACGTTAATACGCCTATCTGTGGCACTGCCGTCAGCAACGTGTTCGGGTTTGCTTGAACAAGATAAACAACTGTGATGTGAATCCATTTCTGCTGCCGTTTGCTTTTGTAGCACTTCCAGATTATTTTTTTTCGCTTGTTCGGAGTGCAAAGCCGGAAAAGAGGACGAGTTACGATTCCAAATTCGATTTTTTGCTTTACGCGGCATCCTTCGAGTCGTGAAAAAAAAGAACTGCTGAGCAACCAAGGTGACAAATACTAGCAAACACCATAGCTGCAATCTGAAGCTCGCCTCTCATGACAAGCTGAAAAGATACGCCAGAGCTTAAACTTACGTATATTTATCAGATTTTTGCGTGCGTGGAATTTCCTCTGACAACAAAAAAGTAGTGAATAAGCATGTGCATGTCATCTTCCGACAAGAACAACCTGTGAAGAAAATAGAGAAACCATGCTCAACTATCGTATCAAGAAGAAAAAGAACGTGGCAGCGCCGCCGCCCGGGCCAGCAGGACAGCCACCGGCTCCTCCTTCAGCGGCGCACCCTCCGTCAGATATATTTCAAGTTGAATACCTTCAACCTGAGCCTGCTATATCTGGGCCTGCGCAACAGACGAGTTCGAGCTCCGCTGCATCAGTGGCATCAAGAAGTGCAGCCGGCGTGAAGCACCAGGATCGCCCAGCACCGCAGCCCACAGCTGCTGACGCGCCAACGCCGTCACGCGGTCGAAAAAATAACGATGCCTCGGCACTGCTTGTTCCAGCGGCGGAAGACAAGAAAAGTGCCAGAAACAACGACGAAGATTACTCTGTCTTGAGAGGTAAAGCTGCAGAAATTGCGATCAAAAATGCGGCAGCGACTGCATCAGCAGCTGTTCCACCGACTGACACATCGGCACTTCCGTCGGCATTTGCCAAGATGGTAGCAACTGCCCATGATAAGGGTGGTGCTGTCAGCAGCGGTGCGCCGCAAGAGTCAATCTCCGCCTTCTCCGCGAGCGCGAAAGCAAAAGTCGCTAGTGCGTGCGAGGATCCACCAGACCAGGACGATCCGTACAACAACGTCGACTTCGACGACGACCGCGCTATCGAGGACGAGGAAGAACAGCAAGCTCTCGACGCGCTCGACGAGGCAGACGCACTCGCCCCTCCGCCGCCGGCCTTCGTGCAGGGAATCGGCGGAATGATGGTTGCGCCACGACCTCCGGGGCCAGCGGGAACAGGAGCTGGTAAAGGGCCGCTACCGCGGGATCAGCAAGACAGTGCGAACATGTTTGCCTGCATGTATCTCGTTTCCGGCAACGCAGCGACGGCCCTGCCCCGACGACCAAAGGTTTTCAGCCTGGAGCAAAAGGTGAAGGCTGGAGACTGGGTCAAAAACAGTTTTCTCGAAGCGTCGAAGAAGGGTCCCGGCGCGGCGAAGAGCTCTTACCTAGATGATGGAGAGCAGGCAGGGCCGCCGACGAAGAAGCGTCGAACTGCGGCGAAAACGGGTGGAAGAGCGAAGGCGAGTACAGCAGCGGCAGTTTTAGGGGGCGCTGTAGGTCAGCAACAAGCTGCAAAGAGACAAGCGCGCCCAAAAGCAAAAACGCGAGCGAAGGCGAAAGCAAAAAACAAGACTCTTCTGATGGACGTACTTTTGAGCGACGAGGACGATGACATGGGAATAAAGCAAGGCGCTCGTCGTGATGCTGATCATGCAAGTGCAACAAAAGATGACGAGAAGCCGCCTGCTGAAAACTACAAGAGGCCCGAGTTCTACGAGACGGTTGACCCGAAAAGCATACATTTGCCAACAGATAGCACCGTGGACGACATCAAGAACCTGGTCGATGACCCCGAGGCGGGAGAAGAAACGCGGCCCGAACCGAAGGCGAAGATGCCGAAGAACACAGTCAACCGAAATCTGATTCACGAGCTCAACCAGCGAGTGCTGCAGGCGAAGCGGATTGCGGCTAGGCGTGAAGAAACCCGAAAGGGACGGAAGAAAAACGACTTGGGGTTTTCTCTGAACGATGCGCAGTTTGGCAGCGGCCTTTTGAAGTCCTCGTCGGCCCAGCCTGCCTCATCTTCCAGTGTGACGACGAGTGCACCCTATGCGGTGCCTGCATCTAGTAGTTCTACTGTGAGGACCAATAGCACCACCAAAGAGTCGTTTGCAACTGTTGCAGGAGCCGCCGCCAAATCGACGAAGACGCCGAAGAACGCTCGCGGCGAGAAGTCGAGGAAAAAAGATGGAGCTTCCGCTAGATCTTCTCGTAACAAGAAATCTGGAGGAAAGACGAGTCGGGTGAGCCCGGAGGAACGAGACATCTTAGGGTTATCGTCCTCGTCTGACGAATCAAGTGGCGAATACACTTCCGATAGTGCGGTGGAAGATGCGAAGCCGCAAGCCAAAGCAAAAGCAGCGGCAGATAGTCACCCCGGCGCCGGCAAGCGCGTCCGCCAGAGCAGCAGCAAGAAGAATAGCGGCTCGTCGAGTTGCACCAGCAGCAGTAGCGATTCCGATAACGAGGGGTCGACGTCCCTCGTTCCAACAGAAGTGGATAGCCGCCCGAGCAGCAGCAAGAAGCGCAGCTCATCGCGAAAGAAAAACAAGTCATCTGAGAGTAAAGCTAGCGCGATGGCGGGCACAGGGGCTCGACCAGGAAAGCATTTCTCTGACAAGAAAGCGCTGCTGTCGCCTATTGTCGAGTCTCCGGACGATAAGGACAACAAAGCTCCTACTGCTGTCTCCAGTCGGCCTGGTCCCGTAGTTCCGCCAAAGATTGGAGGTCAGCCGGTGACACTTCGCACCGACGTGTTGGACAATGACAATGCGGCGCCTGCTGTGGCTCCGCCGACTGCGACCTGGCAGCGTTTTACTAGTGGATCCGCGGCTAGCAGAGAAGCAGAACTCGCCGAGGCCGGGTCCAGCACGCTGCTGTTTTCTTCGGTCACTTCTAGTTCCGCGGCGCCTTTTGGCGCTGGCGCGCACGAGCCTTCCGCGGCTGGATTCTCGAGAACCGAAGACACTTCTTTGCAAGAAGACCTGAAAATACAGCAGAAAATTATTGAAGCAGCGAAGAACACAAACCTTGATCATGAACAAAATCTCGCAGGAGCTACGTCTGCGAACTTCAACTTCGCAACCAAACTCAAGCCTGCCGCGCCACGCGCCAAGAAGCCAGCCGCGAGAAAGAAGACCACAGTGCCCGTCGTTTCCGCGGCGCTCAACGCCCACCTCGACCGCCTGGCGTCGCAGTCGCAGAAACCGGTGAAGAAGCAGGGAGCCAAAAACGCTGTGAACGGGTTCACCAACTACATTCCGCAATCGAAGGGCTACGAACGGCGCATGCGGGCCGCGCCGAACCGCAGCGTCGCGATGAACAAACGGCTGATGAAGGGGAGACGGGGCGGCAAGGGCATGAATTTTTCCGCGAACAACAACGTGGGGCAGATGGACGGCCGCGCGTTGCAAAGCCACTACTTGTCCAAACGCGCCCAGCTGGCGAAGGAGAACTTCGCGCAGAATTTCTTCGTGGACAACCCGGGTTGGGAAGTTCCCTTGTGGAGCCGGGGCTTTGGAAAGGAGCGAACCGTCGTGAATAGTCCTGAGGAAGCTTTGGAAAAGTTGAACTTCAAATCCTTCCGTCGGGGGCAACGCGAGGCGATCAAATCAGTGGTGGACGACCGTCTCCGCACTTTGCTCCTACTTCCGACGGGAATGGGAAAGTCGCTCGTGTACCAAATCTGTGCGTTGTTGCTCCGCAGTGAGGGCCTGACCTTGGTCGTCACACCGTTGGTCGCACTGATGGCGGATCAGCTGCGGAATTTACCGGTTTCCATTCGGGGCGCAGCAATCAACTCGCACCAGACGCCGGAACAAAGTCGGCGCATCATGAACGCAGTGCGGAACAACGAGGTGGACTTGCTTTTTGTCACACCAGAAAGACTCGCGATGTGGGCGCTATCTAGCCGAGATTTTCCCATCGCGTTAGTGTGCGTGGACGAGGCCCACTGCGTGTCCGTTTGGTCCCACAACTTCCGCCCGACCTACATGCGGCTGAACTACTTTTTCGGGCAGCTAAACATCCCGCGAGTGCTTGCTTTAACCGCAACGGCAACCGCGCGCGCTATCGACGGCATCCAGGGTTTGCTAAACATTGACATCGTTCTGCGTCAGAACCTCGATTGCGACATTGTGCGGGAAAAGGTGGGCGGAGGGAAGGATGTAGAGAAAAAGGTGGAAGTGCTGGCTCGGGAAGGAGAGACGGAGCAAAAAACAGAAGTCAGCGTGATGAGCATCATGAAGGACCAGAACAAGAAAGTAGACAAAGAAAACGAGAGTGGTGGTAGCGCTGAACAAACAGGACCACAAGCTGCGATAAAACCGGAGAGTGAAGAAGGCACCATCAACACCAAGACCCCGGCTACTGACGGAAAATCCACGGTGCTCTCCCAGTCCATCCTCCGGCGCAACCTCACCTGCACGGTGTCGCAGGTGAACGAAAAGGAAAAGGGCCACGACCTGGTGAAGATGCTGCAGCAAGACGACCGGTTCCGCCGCGGCAGCGTTCTAGTGTACGTGTGGCGCCGGAAGACGGTTACTGCCCTCGCGAAGCTTCTCGGGGGCAGAGGCGTGCAAGCGGTCGGATATCATTCCGCCCTTTCTGCCGAAGATCGCGACCGATTCCAGAAAGAATTTACGGTGAACCGGATCCGCGTGATGGTCACCACAATCGCATTCGGGATGGGAATCGACAAACCGGACATCCAGGGCGTGATCCACTACGACATGCCAAAGTCGCTCGAGAACTTCGTGCAGGAGAGCGGTCGGTGTGCTCGGGACTTGACCCGTCGAGGTCACTGCCACATCTACGTGAACGAGGAGGATTTCGCGTTTCAGCGGAAATACATCCACGGGAGCATCGGCGCGCACGGATCGGCGGTGGATAAGCTTCTGGAGCTGATCTTCAACAAGAAGAGGCGACACGCCATGCTGAAGACGGAGGATAGTGACAACGACGTCGAGAGCAACGCGTGCAGCAGCGTGGTGCTGAATGAAAAGGAAACAGCGAGAATCCTGGGTTGCGAGACCGACGAAGTCCATTCCTTGCTTGCGAATATGGAGCGGCTCTCAGGCGACGCATTCCGGCTGTACTCTTCTTTTCCGGCGAAAGTGAAATTACGGTTTTTCGGCAAAACCGAGGACGAGAAGAGCCCGGAGCAGTTGATGGAGCGAGATTTGTTTCTCGCGCAGCTTTTGCCTCTGTGTCGTGTGAACGCAGGAGTGTACTCCTTCGACACGTTGAAAGCGATCAAGCAACTGCAGCCGGAGAAGGGCTCGAAGAGCTCCTTTAGTGTAGCGTCGACACCGGGGGAGTTCTTGACGAATTTGCACGTGTGCGCCGGTTTGCATAGGATCGCGGTGGACCGGGATAACTACGGCTATTTGATCGAAGTGCTTCGCGAGCCATCGCAGCAGGACTTGAAGACCTGGTGCTGCAGTCTGAAAGCGCATGTGCGGCAAGTCGAAACTGTTGCTGCTGAGCAGATCGACTCCTGTTACTGCGCGTTTTACCGCGTCGCGCAGATGATGTCCGGAAGCGGGAGCGGAAATGCGAAGACCGAGGCGAACACGGCATTGGCGGCCGCAGCGAATAACTGCACGGCGTTACTCGCCAGCGACCCGGCGCTTCTACTAGCAGCTGAGGGGGAGTCAAAAGCAAAGGATGCTCCGGACGAAGATGACGACGACAATGACAACGACACCGCTGGTGCGGCACAAGAACAGCTGCGGATCCGCAAAAGCACGGCGTTTATGTCAACGTTAATCGACATGTACTTCTACAGCCCGGAGGGTCAAGACGTCGTGGCGAAGATCTGCGGCGGGAAGGAGAAAAAGCTGCAGATTTTGTCCGACGCCCTCGGTGTGGCACCCGGGTTGATGGAAAAACTTGCAGACGTCGATCAGCAAACCGAAGACGACTTGTGGAAGACGCACCCGTCGTACGCGAAGCTGAGAAAGGACGTCGCGATGCACTGCCGCACGCCGACCATCCGCGCGGCCATGAAGAAGGCGAAAGAGCCGTCGCTGCTGATCACCAACGTGCTTCTGGGGCGTTTCTGCACGATGCTGGGGCCGGACTTGGAGGCGCGGTGGCGCTGGATGAAGAATCCCCTGTGGAACACGCAGGCAGACTATCCGTTCGGCTTGGTGTATCTTTGTGTGAAAGAAGTCAACGACGAACTCATCGCGGAGGATCTGGCGAAAATTTTGAAATGATGTGGAAGTAAGACGATACTGTGAATGTGAAAGAATTGAGATGCATTGCAATAAAGCGTAAACGTCGAAAATCGGCACAGCCAGGTGAAAAATGACAAACGGCGGACGTTGGGGTCGGGAACTGCAGCTGCTGAATTTGCGACTGTTCCACTTTTATTTGAATGCGTGAGAAGATATCTCAAGAAAATTTTTAATATTTCAAGCATTGATTGCGAACAAGCAGGAGCGGTCGTAAAAGGCGGTTTTGCTTTTTTCCTTTGTCTTTCGTCTGTCGCAGCTAAAAGGTCAAAAACAAGCAGAGGTATTGGAGGAGTGAACAAAAAGGAGCGTCACGAAAGCGAAAGACCAAAGTGGTCGCGAAAAAGTGGACAAATGCAAAGTTGCTTTTGTTCCAGCATGTTAGTTTCGACATGTTCTGAGAATGCAGCAGCTTCCACTTCATCTGCATTCTGCAATCTTTGCTAGCGTACTATGTATCACCACATCTCTGCTAGTAGAACTACAAGTTCTTGTTTTGCTTTTGTAGTCTGCGCGGCTCTGCACTTTGTACAGTAGAAATTAATAAAACCGACGCAATTTTTTCATCATGTTTTTCTTTCGAGGCCCCCATTAATCAATCTCCTCACGACCACATCAATATGCGTGCGAGCCCGTCCGATAGTTCGGCGTCGGAGCGCGATCCTCCAGCGACATCGCAAAAGAGTATCACGCTAATTGACCAAGGGCTGGCCTCGCTTCGGGATGTGCGCTGCCCAGGTACGTCGTCAAGCTCTTCCTGCACGAGCTTGAACTTACACTGTAACCGCATCCGCGCTTTGGATTTGCGCGATGTCCACGAAGTCTTTCCTAACGTGAAGGAACTGATTTTATCCAGCAACGAGATCGACGTCGGGGTATCAGTATCTGCGCCTCGTTCCTCAGCCTCCTCGTCGAGCCGTGTAGCTCCGAGTGCTAGCGACAGTGGGGCCGCTCCTGCGTCGAATGTTGGAACACCAAGTGATACTGATTTTGAGGATGGTTCGACGCCCAGTTCATCTTCGAGCAGTTGTTCCTGTAGAATAGAGACACTCGACCTTGGTTGCAACCGCATCGGTCCGACGCTGACGAATCTGCACTTGATGAAAAGCAGTTTGCTTCACCTCATAGTTCCCTACAACCAACTCCGCTCGTTGGACGGTTTGAAGCCGCTTTGGGGCGGACCGCTGCAGTCAGTGGACGTCCGGTGCAACCTCCTGGACCGCCTCGACCAGCTGTTTTTCCTGTCCGGCTTGCGGAACTTGACAAGAGCCGCGCTCGAGCCAAACCCGATGTGTAACAACGCGCTGACGCAGACCTCGGGCGACCTGAACACGGGCCGGAGTCGACACATGCCAATGCACCGGCTCGGGATACTGCAATTGGTCCCGAGCATCGAGGCGATCGACAACGTCGCCGTCGGAGACGATGAGCGCGTGATCGCCAATGGCAGCCCGTTTGTACTAATCGGCGAGCCGATGGAACTTGCGCTGGCACAGCAACACCACCCGCAGTCATCAAGCTCAAGAGCAGGTCCGAAAGTAGTGCGCACTCCCACCTCTTCATCGAGCCGGCGAATGAGCGCGGTAGAAGAAGAACAGGTAGATCATGGGAGTATTGTTGCCGTAGCGTTGCCAAACTCCGCCACACCCACTCCATCGAGCCGTGCAAAAAGAAGTGCGAAGTCAAATCCTTGGGCGGCAAAAAATGGACCCACAGAGGCGGGGCGGCAGAAACTTGTACCCGGCGATAGCCCCGAAGATGTTGCTGCACCTGATGACGCGATGGAGGTGGAAGGCGAGGGTGACGACCTGATGGAGCAAGGTCAAGGTTTTCCTCAGCAAGACGAGGTGCAGACGCAAGCGAAAGAAAGCGCTATGGAGAAGAAGCTCCGCCTGGATCTGATCAAGATCGACGCCGAGTTTCAGAGACGGGAGAAGAAGCGATTCGAACTGGAGGGCCGACTGCGCGAAAACACGAAAGTTGTAGAGCATCTGCTAAAGGAGAACTTGGATTTGCGTGGGAAGTGCGACGCCCTGAACAAGACTCTGCATGCGAAGGAGGAGGAGGAGGAGAAGAAAAAACTGGAAAGGGACTCACAGGAAGAAAAAGCCACTGAGACACAGCTGACGGTCGCGGAAGCAACAGCAAAGTTTCAAAAGGAAGTTGCAGAGCTACGCGAGGCGAAAGATCTCGCGGAGAAGGCGCAACTGCGACAGCGCGAGGACCAAGAGCAGGCGTTTCTTGCGTGGCGGAATGAGAAGCAGACTCTGGAACAGAAGCTACAGAAGGAACGAGGGGAATACGACGAATTGAAAGCGCAGTCGGAAAGGACGCTCCGTGACCTCCAAACTTCTGTTGCGGACATCAGCGCTCGCATGCACGAACAGGACCGGTTTTTCCAGGAAAGCCTGGCGACGGAGCGCGACAAATTTGCCGCCGACAGAAAACGCTTGGAGAGTGAGCGCGCCACGCTGCGCGATGAGGTCGCGCGACTCGCGACCGCCCGCGAGACTGCGCAGGCCGATTTCGACACTGCGCTGACGCGGGACCGCGATGCGGCGAGGATCGACTTCGAACACAAGCTCAGCAGCCAAAGGGTTGAGCTCGATTCGGCCTGGTCGGCGAAACTCCGCGAACTGGAATCGACACTGAGGCGGGACCAAGACGACGCCAAACGGGAATCGGAGCTGAAACTCCAGCGGCAGAACGACGAGCTGACGGCTTTTTATGCGGAAAAACTGAGTCGTGAACTGGAAGAGGCGCGCACGGAAGACCGTCGGCGACTGTCACGCAACGAACGCGAGTGGAGTGACGAGTACCAGCGGAAAATCCAGCAAATGGAACAGAGACACAAGGACGCTGTGAATGACGAGCGTGCGAAGGTCGAGCGCGATTGGAAGCAGATGCTGCGGGAGTGCCTCGCCCAGGCAAAAACCGCCTTGGAGGAAAAGGAACGGCTTTGGGTGACGGAGAAGAGCGAGCTCGAAGGTGCGCACCACAAGCAACTTGCCGAGTTGAAGCTCACCGTCGAGAAACTCACCGTGGAGAAAGCGCAAGCACAACTTCTCTTAGAAGACGAACAGCGCAGCAGCGCTCGCCTGTTGGCGGAAGCCGTCGCACGATGTGAGGAGCAGAAGGAAAACCTACGGAAGGAACACGAAATCGCGGACAAGACAAGCCGAAAAGTGCAAGACCAGCTGATATCCGACTACGAGCAGAAACTGTCCGAATTGCAAACAAAACTGCGGTCGGGAAAGGAAGAGCAGACGTCCGCACTGCTGGCGCTCGAAGCGCAGCACGAGAAGAAACTCTTGGCGCGGCTGCATGCTCAGCGGGCGGACTTCGAGAATGTTGAATTGAAGCTGAAGCAAGTGCAAGTAGAGGACCTCACGAAACAGGTATGGTTTACTGTAGATGGATCATGTCTTTTCTATCTTGTTGATGGCCATGGCGGTGAGGACGGCATTGAAGATGTCTACGTCTTGGGTTTCGGCACTTGATGAAAACTTGAAGCAATAAATTCCACCTAAGTACACTATCAGCTTGCTGACGCCGTCGCGCAGGCCTCGCGCTTCAAGGAGGAGCAGATGGAATCGCGGAAAAAGCGAGACCGCGACTGGCAGACGCGCGTTGATGAGGAGGTGGCGTTGCAAAAAGCGCTGCAGGCCGAAGTCGAGTCCTGGAAAGCAGAAAAGCAGGAACAGATCGAGCGACTGGAGCTCGACAAAACGCAGCTAGAGGAACAGCTACTGGAAAGCCGCACGGAAAACTTCCAAGCCGCTGAATCCGCACAGAAAGACCTGCAGGACCTCAGAGCGGCTTTAGAAAGCGAGTACGAGGCGACAAAGGTATTTATTTTGCACGAAGAACAAAATAGAAGTTGTGACTTCGGATGCTTATGGTTTTCCACATGCGCCGCGTGCAATGAATTCAAGGTAGATCTAGATTGCATTTTTTGTTTTTGAATAGTTCTAGTTGATCTTTGAACAAGAACAAGCATAGCCTGCCTTTCTTGTCCAGCGGTTCTGACACCATGAACAAACTGAAATAAGAACGGCACCATTGCAATTCAGGTGCAGCACGAGCTTGACTGGAAGAAGCGGCTACAGCTCGCGGAAGGCCGTGCACAACAGGAAACCTCAGCACTGCGGCAACAAAACTTGGCTTTACAAGAAGCGGTGGGGAAGCAACATGCCGAAGTCAGGAGTCGCGACAAGGAAGTAGCGGTGCTTTTGCAGGAGCTTCAGAAGCAGAAGAGCACCGTGAAAGATCGCGTCAAGGCGCTGTTGCAAAATCTGGACGAATGATTCTACTTACTGACTTCCGTCAGACGACGAGATCATGGTTCTTGATGTTGATTCCACATTCAAATAAATTCGCTCAGGCTTACATGGTGATGTTGGGGTCCATTGTTCAATCACAGAAAGCAAGAGCTGCAACTGCAGCATCAACACATGACGCCGCCTCTCTACAGTCGAACGGTGGTAGGATGAGCGACTGGTGTTCGTTCAAGTCCTCGGTGGGTCCTTGACAATTTTTTTTGCCGTCGCTTTCAGGCGTTTTAGATGTCTCGATCTCGATGACCAGTTCACTTTTGCTCAGAGTCTGTGGTCAGAGCAGGCACGAAGCAGTTATCTAGTCGCTTTGCTGCAGGAGTCAACATGGCCGCCTTGTCGGTGGAGGAGGACGGTGAACGTGCACAGCCGAAGCTGGGGCGCATGGGTTGCCTTCTGCCACTCTCCGTGTTTCTGAATGTCGTGCAGTTCTACATGATGTTGCAGCTGTCGGCAAGATTCCGACTTTCATCGCCTGGTGTGCAACAAGGCCAAGGCGAGAACGGCATCAGTCGTCCGGCTTTGCTAGCACAACCACCGTCAAGCAGCATACTTCCGATCATCCGTTACATGCAAGGACAAAATAACGCGGACACTTCGGAGAAAACGCCCCACAGCCGCGAGGTCAGGCAGGCGTCAACCACTCCAGCTGCTACTGCAGATGAAAAGCCCTCCCACGACGCCGACAGTCATAATGAGGTGGACCAGTCGCTTAATGATCGTCGAAAAGTATTTCGATTTCCCCTCCAGCCCATGGTGGTCCTTGGAGAAAAAACTGCAACCAGTGCGTCTGGCGAACCGGCTAAACCCGTCGTGGGTAAAATCATGAAGCTCGAAAGCTTTTTTGGGTTTCGTGACGAACACATATCCGAGAAAAGAACACCATCAATTCCATGACTTTTCTTGCTGTCCCTGTAAATGGCATGTCTGCGTCGACATCATGAGAAAAAGAATTCGGAATGTCAATGCTCATAGGCTTCCTGCAGCTGCAAATCATCCAACACAAAAAATAACCGCCATGCTGGGCAAGGGCAGTCGCAGTTGCGCATTTTGCAACATTAAGAGAAGCAAGAAGTGTAGTACGCTTGTATGGGGCGTGATCCCGGTGTTTTTTCCGGCATAGTACGAGCAGGTGCGGCAGAACAACGGGGCGAGTAGCCATGCTTTCTCGGCTCTGCTGTCGCAGAACCGACAGCCAAAACCTCAAGTTGACGAGTGCGCAGCTCCGGGCAGGTCGTGCAAGCTGCCCATTCTGGTCTCCGATTGGGAATCGTTTTACACTGCCGGGCGTTTGATGAGTGGTTACGAAAGTTTGGTTCCCCTTGGCGACGGCCAAACGCCCGTTGGGCGCAAGCAAAAGTTCCAGGCCATTCCCTGGATCGCAACCTACTTCGAGAAAGAAGCGTTTAAATTTGAAGCCATGTGGAATCACTTTGCGGAGACGGGGTGTTTTGAGGACACGACAACTCCTGGTACAACTCCTGCGGCGCCAGCCGACGGCCAACAAGAACCTCCTGTGTCGCCGTCGGAAAAGACGGCTGTGTTGACCAAGATGTACGGGCATTGGTACGGCTTGGACAAAATTTTCCTGTACTGCTTCCTCAAGACCGTTCACCAGCCGGGTTTGTTTCTGGAGGTCGGATCCGGCCACAGCACCGAGGTTGCCAGGCTTGCGCTGCGGGAGGCCGCGGAGAAATCCGGAAAGAAAACGCAACACATCGCGATAGAACCCTACCGCACGGACCAGGTGCCAGCCTCGGTCGACGTGATCGTGTCGGAAGTGCAAGATTTGGATCCGAACATGATAGTCGCGAACTTGCACGCGGGCGACGTGTTTTTCATCGATTCGTCCCACATAACCAAGGCCTACGGGGACACCTTGTACGAGCTGCTGACAATTCTGCCGCAGCTCCGTCCGGGAGTTATCGTGCATGTGCACGACGTTTTCCTGCCGGATGACTACCCGGTCGAGCACGCCGCGAATGTGCGATGGACGGAGCAGTGGTTGCTGGCGTTGTTGCTCTACGGGAACGTTAACGGTGCTGGGAAGGACAATAATGGCGGTAAAACAAACCTTGACCACGAGGAGGCGCGCGAAGATCTGTCCGCGAGGTGGGAGATCTTGTGGGGGTCGCACTACGCCTGGACCCGGTTCGGGAGGTCCGTCCCCAGCTTCTCCGGTGATCCATGGCTGTCAAAAGTCAAAAACAATCCGCAACAAGCTATGCCGGCAGGCTGGTTCAAAATGCAGGCGAGCTTGTGGCTGCGCAAGTTGGTGTAGATAAGTACTTAACTAATAAATTCTTTTTTTGGTCGTGGCTTATGATTTTGCGCCCCGAGCGCCGGCCTTTCTCACAACTTGAACATCTGCAGAGCTTTTCTTTGATGAGCCATGAATTTGGACAAGTCTATCTATCACAAGTTTTTTAAGTGCTCGCGATTCAAATCCTTGTCCTCCATGTAAATGACAAGTTCATCCGTATAGTTCCTGACGCTGTCACGGTGACAGCGAACCAACGATCTTCGTTTCTCTAGCGCGATCTTTACGATCGTTTCCGAGATCAATGCGCAATATGATCTTCGAGCCATATGATCCGTAAAATGCCCGAAGTGGTATAATAGTCATTGTAGTCAGTTGCCATGTGTAAGTCTAACTGCATCTAACGACGCACGAAAAAAGTGAAAGTAAGTGCATTTTTATGGGGCAGCCAAAGTGCAAATCCGAACCGCGAACGAAATTTCCCTGCGTTTGAAGCTGGATCAGAATTAGAAGAACTAGAACCATTACAATCTTCGAAACATTAACACGTCCACTGAACCACAGTTGTCACCTTCAAGAATTAGATCTAGATCTAGATAAAGATCTACATCTCGAGATAGATCTAGAACTAGATTGTCGAGATAGTACACCGTGTATCGACCGTATCAAAAATCTGGCGACTGCGACATTATGTTGTTTCTGTCCAAGAACTGAGCTAGTACCACGCAGTACGACCTAGTAGTACCTAACAAGCACTAGCGACATTCCCAGCTGCCCCTCATGTCCCTCACCTGCTCCCTTTCGGGTCGGATTCCCTTCGATCCGTTCGTCGCGCGACCATGCGGGTACCTCTTCGACAAGCAAGCTCTAGAGGAAAAGCTCAAAGAAACCGGCGATCGCTGCCCGATAACCGGGTGTGAGATCGAGGCGTTACTTCCGGTCAAAACCGACCACGCGCAGACTCTGCGAACAATACCGGCGGCGAACCTGCCAGGGTTGTTGACCATCATGCAAGGCACTTATGAGGAATTGTTGCAGGCAAGCTTCTCGCAGAAACGCGACTTGGACCAGTCCAAGGAACAGTTGGCGCATGTCCTGTATTGCCTAATTTGATGATTCTCTGTTGCGCCCGTGACATAAGTGAAATAATTTTTTTTGTTCCTCATAGAGGCGTTTCTCAATGCCGACCATAATTTGCGCTGGTGCTTCTAAACAAGCCACAACTCACATTTACAAAGCATGCCTTCACGCTGACAAAACAGGACTCAACACGACGCCGCGACGCGAACGATTAAGAGAATACTTGGCGAGCGCGATTTGGCCCGGGAAACTGTGAAATCTCTAGAGGATGCGCTGAAGAATCAACGCAGAAATCTTAGCTCCATCGTTGGCGCCGAGCCAACCGTCGCAGCCGCGTTCTCACAGCCACTGCCGGAGGAGATCGGTACTGCGAATTATAATACTTACGTACCATGGAAATGACGAAATGACATTACCGACTGCAATTGATATGCATATGGACTTCGCTTTCGCTGCGACTGCGAGTCTCAAACGGGCCCATGTTTGTACGAGTACGGATTATTTGTCATGCGATTTGTGACGATATTTACATCAGTTGCATGCAAAACTTTATCTTTTCTATACCAGGTTTCTCTGACGCCTGGAAGGAGCGTGTTGCCGAACATGACACCGCTTTTTCGAAGAAGAGAAAAGAGGGTGCTTACAAGGAAGTCCACAAGACGCTCACGCCGTTCGCAACCAACAAGGAGATGCAGAAGTTGTTCTCCTTTTCCGACCGCCACCAGAGCACGGCGCCGGGGATATCGGTGTGCGCGCTGAATCCGGCGGACAACAACGAGGTACTCACTGGTGGAGTGGACGGAAATCTGGAAAAATTCAACCTCCAACAAGCGAGGGACACACAGAAGCCAGAAACGCTGAAGATCGCCGCCCACGAGGCGGCAATAACGTGCTGCGGATTTCACCCCGCGAAAAGCAGCATTTTGGTGTCCGCCGCAGAGGATTCCGTGGTGAAAATCTGGGGGAAAGATGGTATAGAGTAATTGAAGAATTGAGGGCCACGATCTTCTATGCACCTCCTGCAATTCGAAAAAACTTACAGTGCTGTATGAAACTTGTTCTCAAACTTGCCAATACCAAATCCGAACGCAACTCAAAACAGCCAACGGGCGATACGGCGAGCATTTCGCGTCTTCCGCGCGGTTGCACGATGGCGCTGCGATCGCCGATGTGCTGGTCCACCCACTGAACGACCTGATGATTGCCGCTGGCGGCAGAGCAATCTCCTACTTCGACATGCACACCGGGCAGTTGCTGCGATGGATAAAAGGGCTCGACGAGGTCGTCGCACAATTCAAAGTGCACCCGAACGGTATTGATTGTTATACGCGCTAGTTTGATATTTTTTCGTTTTCCTTGGAGTAGTATGCGTCCAAAAATTCATGAAAATCAAAATTGAAAATTGCAATTGCAAACCTGCTCTGAGCTTGCTGCTTCATGTGTCTACTTCTACTAGATGGACAAGTACAACCGCGCAGAATCTGACAACAACTATGATCACCAGGCAAAGCCGGTATTGCCGCGGTGGGGCGTCAAATTCAGCTTTGGGATATCGCCCAGGGGACGTACACAAGATCCATGGCGACAAAGGACGACGGCAGTTGCGACGCACACCAAGCGCCAATAACGTCCGTCGCGGTGAGTCACAATGCCCTTAACATAGTCACCGGTAGCGCCGACGGGGTGGTGCAGTTGTGGGATTTGCGAAAGCAGGAGCACAGCGTCCAAACACACAACTTCTCAGGGGCGATCAACAAGCTCAGGTATCTTGGCTGTTGCGCTTACAATTTTTTTTTTACCGATTGCGCTTGCACTTTGCATTGATAATTACTTCGCATGCAGATCGTTTTACATACTACTTACTGCAACATGGGATCCGATCATGATTCTATTCAAAACTCTAACCCCAGGTTCGATCCTGCGGGTCAGTACCTGGGCGTCGCGCACGGCGAAGGCGACCTGGACATCTACCACTTCGAATCGAAAACCTCCTTGGGCAGCATCGTCGGCTTCCAGCAGGCGCACGCGAGCACGTGTACGGACATCCTGTTCGCCGACCGAGCGAAATTCGCCGTATCCGTCGGCATGGACCGGTGCGTTAACTTCTACCAGGCACCGGAACTCGCCGGTTACTTCGAAGAACCGGACGCAAAACGTCAGCGTGTCTAGATGGGTACTAAGGCAGTGTCAGGAAGGCGGGTGCGTGGAGGTGCTGCTTGTTCTAGAAGACGTCGAAGTCGGCCGCGTCCGTAAAGTAGACTCCACGACCACGACTTTGTTTCGGCGACGTTAATTCGAAAATGTATCATAAGCAATCTGGAGAAGTACCAGGCAGCTTTCCTAGATTGCTTTGGATATGTTTTCAACAGCTGGTTCTGCTTCTGTATACTGATTATGCTCAAAGTGGAAAACACTCATGAATATTTATGAATTTTCGACGACTTGAGTATCATGGTGTCACAGTGACCGAGGCACCACTGGGAGAACTTTGTGTCACTGTGGAACTTGTTGCGAGCTGGTGGCCTTCGTGCTTCTAGTGCGCATTTTTCCAAGAACGGCAGCCGAAAGCAAAATTTACTACAGTGGAAGAAGATACAAAGTATGAGCTGCAGACTTACGGGGGAATAAAAACGACTCTACTGGCCGCGGGCTCGTAGTCTGTTTCTGCTCGTCTTTGGTAAGTATAGCTTTTTTGCGCGTGGTGTTCCTGCAGTCGATCTGGTGATCTGAGTATGAGGTATAACCAAACGAACCTTGACTGAGGAAGGAAGGCATAGGGGCACGAGCTCGAGCAGAAAGCATTCGATGTGAGACATCCTGGGTGATGAGAGTGAGAAGCTTGTCCAAAGTTGAAAAGCGAAACGCCGCGAATTTTAGTTGCTGCGGGACCTGGCTACAGCCCAAAATTGTTTCTCGAAACTAGTAGATGTAGATGGGAAAACATCCACTGGAACTCGACCTAGCATTTGGTATACCACTACCACATCAAGAGCAGCTTTATGTACGAGATACGTAGTTAGAGATCGATAAGGAGTAGAAAATATGGCGTCCTTTTCGGAAGATGACGATTTTTCTGTGGGCGATGGCGAAGAGACGCCATTCACGTTCACAGCAGCCGGCGCGAGGCCCAGTGCTACATTCCGCTCGTTGGCGTCCCTTGACGGGACTTCGGGAAACACGAGCGCACTGCATTGTGCTGCAAGCGCGGACGCGTTACCTGCGAATCCTGGCAACCTCATCTCTGCTTCAGTTTTTTCTGCCGCGGTTCCGGGAGCAGGAATTGAACAACGAGAGCAAGCTGTGGATTCTTCATTGGTGCCGCGACTGCTGCCGCCCCGACCTGTGACCATTGCGCCGATTACCGCCCCCGCGATTGGTACATCACAGCAGTTGAGACCGCCGGTTGTACGTCTGGCATCCTCGCCGGCCGGAGGAGTACTTGGGCACTCGTCGGGATACCGCAACAATTTCGCAGCCTCGTCTCCGGGTCCCGGTTTTCCGCCAGACACTTTGGAATTCAGTGTGTCTCCTGGGCCAAATAACGAAGTCTCGCAGTCACATGTCGTGCCGCCGTCCTCCAGTGCGGGTTCGACCCCTTTGCAAGAGATGGAGATCCAAGTGCAGCAGTCGAAAACGTCGTCTGAAAATTCGGCGAAGCCCCCGAAACTTCTGCTTGCCTCACCCATGGTGTTCCGGAGTGTGGACAAGCAGAGTCCGCCGAGCGCCATGAGCAGCAGTGTGGCGGTGTCGTCCGCTGGAAAAATGAAGAAACCCGCCTACACGACAACCGGAAAGCTGGTCGTGGAAATGCCGCCACTGCACGTAGCGCTGGGTGGGATGCCTCCTGTGAACGCTGCAGCAACCAGCTCCTCTTCGAGAAGCAAAAGCACGCCGTCGCCAGGCGTAGGTGGTGCTGCTTTTTTACCGGTGTTTGGAGCTGTTCCTTCGCCAGGTGTTGAAGGGGCAAATCCAAATGTGCTTCACTCCGACCTCATGTCGTCGATCCACCCGAGCCCGGGCCCATCACCAGCGAAACCAGTCGGTGCCGGCCACCCGTTAGAGCATCAGTCGCATCAAATAATGCCGCCCCCGAGCCCCCCGGTTTTCGTCACGCGGTCCAAGCCCACCTCCACGTCGTCAAGGCTTGGGACGCCCCTGGAACTGAGCACATCCGGAAATAGAAACCCAATGGTGCGAGGGTCGCCGCTCTGGAATACTAACGCAGGCGGGTTGCTGCAGCGTCCACCGTTGCAGGCACTCTCTTCCCCAATTGCTGCATCACCCTTGCTTTTCATGCCCGAGCCACCGGAGTTGCTGGGAACTTCTGCGGCCGAGAATTCCTCCGCATCTCCTCGGGGTGAAACTGCAAAGCCTTCAGCACCGCCAATGTCGGGAGCGACATCTTCTTCATCACCTCCCATGGTCGTTGATCTCGAAGATGCACATCATGCGGTAGCGAAAATCAAACCGAAAAGGCCGTCCGCGGCAAGCAAAGGTGGAAATCAAGCTGCGAACGCCCCATCAAACAACTCCGCAACTGTGTCTACGACAGCGGAACAAGCGCAACAAGGGCAAGCGAAAACTGGCGATGCTTCCAGCTCGCCGTCTGCAGTTGAACCAGCGCTAGGAGAAAGGGAGAATTCTGCCGCAGCGCCGCGCGCAAAAAGCCTGAACGTCGTTGCCATCGGAGGTTTTACGCTGGGCACCGCAAATTTCTCAGCCGGCCAACAAGAAAAAAAACCGATCACATCAGATCGACCTTCGGATCGTGTTTCACTCGCCTCCGGCTCCCCACCCGCACCGAGTGGCATCGCTCCAGCTGCTGTTGATGCTAGTGGAATAGAAAACAAAAAAGGCACCGCTGGCTCGCCCAATGTTCTCACGCCCGTAAACTTGAACAATGCTTTTGTGACATCCGCACTGGCACTAAACACTGGCGGGTCCACTTCTGCCACGGGAGCTCAGCACCGCGCCATGCTCTCTGCGTCGCCAGCTTTACCGCCAGAGAGACGATTGAACGAGGCCAGCAGCACCTATGCCACCAACGCCAAGTACCTCATCGACTACATCGGGGATCGGTCGCCGCAAAACCAAAATCGGAGCGCTAGTATCACGGCACCGGTGAACATCTTCAGTTCCGGGGGCCTAAAAAAACCGGCCGGTATCGTGTTTCCCGAGTATCACACCGCGGCAAATGCGTCGAAGCTGCAAGCCTACCCGTTTCACTCCTCCACCGCAGTTGTGCCTGGCACCGTCGCACTGCCAGGAGAGGAAGTGTTGCAGCAGGTGGCTGCGGCGTCGGCCGAGCGACGTGGGCAGGGTGGTCTTAACATCAAGAATACCGTGATGAAAATGCCGTCGCCGGTGCTCGGAGGGAACGTCATGGCGGATGGAATCACCACAGGACACGGTTCGCACCAGCACCCGCATGTGCAGTACGACCTGGCGCTTTCACGGACTAAACCGGACCAGTTTATTTCTCGAAGTTCAGGGAGCGCGGGCGCGGCGCAGCAGAATTCCGTGGGCAGCAGATCTAGTGTGCGATCAGGCGGGGTGAGGAATTCGGTTTCCTCGTGGACAGCGAACGAGAAAGCGAAATACCGAGACACGCTTCTGGAGCGCATCGACAAGTTGAGAAGTTCGGCCCAGAGTGTAGCAAAACACCAAAACCAGATGATAAGGAAGGAAGAGCGACGGGCGCTGGTAAACACGAAAGTTTGTGACTTCTTGTTCACGAGGACCCATTGTGTGACACCGTGCGTAGTTTTATCTGAAAGAAAGTGAAGCCTTCAAGTGTCACAGCATTGAGTAGTTCAGTTGACAGGAAGAGGAACGCGTGCGTTTTAGTTTCTGCTTCTTCTACATGCGCTTGCGCTAAGGGTTGTGAGCATTTGTTTTGTATCTTTCAGGTCACCACGAAGACCGGGAAGCAGCAGCTGCAGGAGCAATACAATGCAACGCTTCGATCCATCGAGCTGCGGCGCGAGGCACTTCTGCAGAAGATTTCGTAAGGGGTCGGCGATACGCTGGCACAACGAGAAGATATCGCTGCTTCTAATCATGGATTGGTGAACCTATCATGACGCTTGCTGGGTTTTTTTTCTAATGTCTTAGGGACAAAGAGGTAGCGCTGTCTTGTCCTCCGCACCGGGATCGGCTACAGAAGAAGATGAAGACCAGTTTCTTGATGCATACTGTAAACACAACATGCAGAACGGACTCGTATTTTGATTTTTCGAGATGAAGTACGAACTGATGGTGATGTTCAGTGAGTAGCACTGACATTGCATCAATTGATTTTTGTTGCTCTTGTTCAATGAGTTTGGCTTTAGGGCAGGGGCGGTGGCACAAAAAATGGCGGGATCTTTTCAGCGAATGGGGGTGGAGATTGTATTTATGATACGTAAGTACTTCTGCCGAGCTCCTCGAGGGGAGCGCGCACCATCCTTGACACCCACACACGCACATAAAGTAGAACTCCAGAAAAAACAAGTTGTAAAGATTTTCTGAAATGGAAATGCTGCTGGAGCAAGCAAGTGAGAGTTGCGCAGTGATGAGGGCCACGCGACAAGATACCAATAGAGAATACATACCAACATGACGAAAAAAGGCACTTTAGTCACCGCTGAGAAATCACCTTCCAAGGCGCTGGCTGTTGGCGCTAGTTTGTGAATCAAGCTTCACTAGAAGTACTTCTTCTTTTACCCGATGAGACTGAGAGGACGTGCTGTTGCGCTTAAGGTCGACAGACACAAAGGGAACAAAAAGCATCTCCTGTTTGATTGTCGTCTTTAGCCTATATCCAAAAACAGTATAGGGATCAACATCATGATAGGCGAGGTTACGGCGCAAATGAAAGAAGAACTTTAGTTGTAGACACCCTGCTGCGTGTGCTTCTCCCATGTGCCCGATACGGAGTGGGGTCCTTCTTCAATTTCGATCGCCCCCACGGCGCGCGGTGCCGGTAGTGCGATTGAGCAGAACTCTGGTCTGAGTCACACGTGAACTGGACGAATCGCAGCCTCATTTTGATCCTCCACCTCCCGCCAGGCCATGGTGAGCTCCTCTCCGGATCATGCCTTGCTCCTCCCGAGGGGAGTGCCGCCCCCGTCGGGGGTGAAAGGGAAAAACGGATCATCTTCGCTGCCCGAGTTTAAGTTCTCGCCCGAGGCGCGCACCGCGTTTTACACCATCGCGAGTTTCGTCGTCAGCATGGCACTGGTCCACATCACGAAGTGGATTTACGTGGAGCACCACTTCAAATACCCGCTCTGGCTGACGGTGTCACACATGGTGACCAGTTACATCATGGCGGTCGTGCTCATTTTCGGCTTCGACTGGGTTCCGAACCGCCGGCGCGTCAGCTTTTACGACCAGCTGTTTCTAATCGCGCCGTTCTCCTTTCTCGGCGCGGCCTCGATCGGGTGCGGCAACATTTCACTCGTGCACCTGTACCCGAGCTTCCACCAGATGCTGCAAAACACGTCGCCGCTGTGGACGTTCGCCTGCTCCGTGCTGTTCTTCGGGAAACAGTACAATGGCGCTGCGTACTGGTCGCTGATACCTGTCTGTCTCGGCGGAGCACTTACGGCCTGGGGAGAGGCGTCCGCATTTGCTTGGGTATAGTGCAGCTGGTCTAGAGCGAGTTTTCTTTACCCTAGTACGCTTTTTGTTTACCGAGTTTCTCGACGGAGGTTCACTATGAGCATGTCTCTACGTCTTCATCAATATTTCGTCTCAGTGACTAATCATGCGGCTCGCGCTATTAAAATCCTGATACCGAACCCGATCTCAAAAAAATATAAAACTGCTCATTCTGCATCTTATCTTTATCAGCTCGGGGTGATCATGTCGCTGAGTGCCAGCCTGCTGCGCGCTCTCCGCGGTTGCGTCCAGTCTACCCTGATGAACGGAAAAGCGCCCATTGATTCCATCACTCTGATTTTCTACGCCACGCCTTTCAACATGGTGATTTTTCTGCTCGGGTCTGCGATTTTCGAGGGCGAAGCACCGTGGCGGGAGATCCGCGACGTGTCCTCCGAGGGCGTGCTGTGGATTTTCACCGCGAGCATGTTTGCCGCGCTTTTCAACTTGTTCGGGTTTCTGCTAGTGGGACAGCTCGGCGCGGTCGGCAGCATGGTGATCGGGAATTTAAAAACACCGACCACGATCGTCACCTGCTACCTGATTTTTGGCAACCAGATCAGCTCGATTCAGGTGTTGGGGTTTTCCGTCGCGGCAATCGGGGCTTACATCTACACCGTACACGGTAAGGAGGAGGACAAAGAGCTACAAATCTACATGCCCGTGGAAAAGCTGCAACTTGACGATAATCAGCGGGATTTGGAAGCAGGAGGACATAACGTATTGATAAACAACCAGCACGGTGCTTGTTCGCCATCACCAAGCGATGAGGTAACCGTGTTTCACGCTGGTAATGTCGGAGGTCCGACACCGAAGAAATTTGCTTCCCGGAACGCCGCGAGGATTTCGAACACGACCACTACAGCTGGGGGAAATACAAGCACATCATCTAGTTCCTCGTCCAGCGATGAGGGTGGACTCGGGGCGAGTAGTGATAAAGGTTCCATCGACGAGGAGTCTGTGCCCGCAACAGAGCATGAAGACGAAGATGGCCGTGCTGAGGAGTCTGCGCCTTTGAACGGAAATCGTGATATTAACGGGGATCAGAGGAATACGAATACTAACGGGCCAACCAACTACCACGCCACCGGAAGCACGTGGATGGTTGTGTAACTTTGCACTAGTTGTGCATGTGGAGAGATTTTTATGCCCTCATGATCTCAGCAACTTGTTATGGACACGGTTCGTTTTTCATTCTGTCCACCTCGTTTTCATGAAACAGAGGGTGGAATAATGAGTCACGGCACGATGTCATTGTCAATGATTTTGTGATTTTTTCCACGATAAGGATATAGCAATTTTTATTTCAAAAAAGAAGCAGCAAATCTGCAGGTTGTCGTGCGACGGGCTATCCGTGACCAGTGCAGCCGAAAAAAAAGCAAGTACTTAAAAGCTCGCGCTCTGGTTGTGTTTCTTTCTGAATAGGAAAAGAAAGCCGATCTGTGCTTCTCCAATATAATCGGACACTGAAGAACACACCAATTCGGTTCGACCTTAATATTTGTTGCATTTCATCTACAACGTGATGCTTGACAAAGGACGACACACGATTTACACAACGAGCACATCGGTTGAAAATGTTGACCTACGTCAAACTACATCGTCGGTCTCCCTTTCAGGAGCCTAGGCTCCACGACTGAATATCTCGGTTGTTACGCAGTTGTAGACAGAACAAGGAACATGACCTGACAACTTTCGGTATTCCTCCTTCGGCTTGTCCTTGTGCGCAATTAGTTTCTCTTCGTGCAAGAAAAAGTCCCGCATTCGTAATCCGAGTCACATACTACACATTTTGACAGGCTCCTCATTCAACACACTCTTTTATCATTTTGACATACAATTACAAATAGTTTTTCAATGAATTTCAATTATACCAACATGATCGACATGTTTTTCTTAGCTCCGCCGGACCAAATTGAGGCGGTTGGTATTGGCGTGGTTGCGATTGTGTGAGTAGCAACATAATTTAAATTTTTGAAAAATTGCTGTTTGCCATTTTCATTTTGGTCTTTATTCCAATTTCAATTTTATTTCCCCGTCCTGCGCAGCTCTACTACTACTAGACCTTTCTGAATCTTCCTGCTTGTTCCTCTTGAAACCACCACCACGCTACCAGCAGCATGGCGACGACGGGTCGGTTGAAGAAGCACATCCACTACGGGGACATTCCCGAGATGGAGTTTGATGTGATCCAGGAGTACGAAAACGAGTACGACGAGCTTCTTCTGAAGCTCGGGTCCCGGATCTCCCGGCTCTGCATGGGCGGGGTCCACAGCTCCCACCGCCGCAAGGGGTTGATGGACAAGGTGAACAAGGTGATCGGCGAAATCGGGCACCTGCTCTCCAAGTGGCTCCGCCGCGACAAGTCGCACAACGGCCTCGTGCGGAGTATGGTGGCCGACAACTTTTACCGCCTAGCCCGGCTCTTCGCCGTGCTGGAGCAGCACTACTCGCTGGCGCGCCTGGCGGCGTCCCGGATCGCCCGCGACGTCTACATAAACGACCCCGTCGTGTTGGACTGCCGCATTTACGCACAGGAAGTCTTGAAGGCAGTGGAGTGGAAACACAAGGACGACTTGAATTTCAGGGATGCGGTCAAGGGCCAACTGAAAGTACTGTTTTACGCGTCTCGAGTTTCTAAAATTTAAATTTACCCTCGCGATTAAAAGTTTTTTGTACATTTCTCCGTTTTGCCTGTGATGTAAGTTGGTTCAAGAACAACTCCTGCCACTAGCAGATGTGCAAGTCGTAATTTCATCAACATCAACTACACTCGACTACAAACAAAATTCAGATTCTGAAGAAGGAGCAAGTTGATGGCCCGGGCTCCTACGTGGAGCCGGAGAAGGTGCTAAAGAGGACCACGATCAAGGAAATGTCGCTTTTTCGAACGCGCGAGGAGCGGAAGAAGTCGATTTACGTTTCGGAACGTGACAAGAAGACCAAAAGAAGCGGGGATCCCTCGTCTAACGGGGATTTTACGGGTGGTTCCGGGATCGAGACGGAGGGCGCCGCACTATTTCGGGATCAGCACAACGCGGAGAAGGAAAAGAGAAGAAGGGAGCGCGAGAGGCTGGAGGCGGCCGCGCGGGAGGCGCAGGAGGAGCTTGACCGGGAAAAGGCGGCGGCGGAAGCGCGATACGAGATGCAGCTGAAGGCAGAGCAGCAAGAGATGGACATTTTGAACCGCGCTTCCCAGGCGCAAAAGGAGAGGTCGAGCAGGCCGTCGGCTGCAGCCGCGGCCGGTCGTAAAACCGCGGAGGACGCGCCGAAGGGGCGCAACTTCGAAGTCACGGGGGAGGGTTATTTTTTGACGGGCCCGTCGGAGCAGAAGAAACGGAAAACGGATATATCGCCCACGGCCCACAAAGGCTTTGACCCCGGGAGGCTGATCCAGGGCGCCGAGAAGCTCCAGGGTCGCGAGGGCCGGTTGCAGCAGTTACACAACGAGCACCTGTACGGGGCACAGATCCCGCTTTCACCCATGGGGTTCCAGATGCAGCAGCAGGGCGGCAACCTGGGCCTGGTCCACCGGATGTCCCAGCTGCCGCCGCGGGTGTCCTGCCAGGCCATGGCGCGGTTGTCCCAGCGGGAAGCCGGCGCGCAGCGCGGTGCTGGTGCAGCCACGGGCGCTGTGGAATTTGAACCGACGGTGCGTCCCTCGGCGATGGGTGTCCGCCCTTCCCAGGCTCCGCGGCCGTCCGCGGTTGCCGCCATCCCGCCCATTACCATGATGGCCGAGAACGGCGCGATGGGGTGCACCACCAGTGACGGTGTGGGCATCGGAATCAGCGCCAAAGCGCAGGAAGTCGCAATCGTGGACGCCGACGGGGACACGGTCCACGACCCCGAGCAGCGGGTGGACTGCCTGCAACAGGCCCTGGAAGAGACCAATCAGCACGCCGCAGCCGTGGAGGAGCAAGCAGCCGCGGCTGCCGGCGCGCAGGGCGGACCTGCAAGTGCGAACGCCTCGGCCGCTGGAAATGTCGCCTCGGCCGCTGGCGATGCGTCAGGCACCTCGAGTGGTCCGGTACCCTCTCCGATAGACGGTGCGCTGGCCTCAGCCTCCGCGTCCGCGGGGGCTTACAATACCAGTTCCGGCGGACGGGCAGCGTACAACAACAGTTCTGCGGGAAAGGCCGCCTACACGACCAATTCTCCCGCTCCTGGTTCCCCGAACGCCACGCCCGCGCCGACAGGCGGGGAGTGGACCAAGAACGGATACGATCCGGGTGCGGATTTCAAGAACGAGAAAACGGTGCAGAAACCCGTCGCCGGGAGGCTCGACCCGTCGAGGAAACCCGGGGAGACGGGGGAGCTACTGACCCCACAGGACTGGAAAAACCAGAACAAGAAGAATCTCGGCGGTGGGGGTAACGTCGTCAGCGCCGGCGATGCCCCGGCAAACATCGCGGCTGGAGCGTTTTACAAGGACGCAAATGGCAAGTGGGTCCGAAAGCAGGCCCCGAAGCCGCAGAAAGCGGACTTCCGGGCGTTCGTACCGGGTGCAGACAATGCGGAACCAGAGGAAAGCACTCCGGCCGCCGCCGAGGAAACGCCGGCAGCACCGGCAGAGGAAGCTGCTGCCCCACCGGCAGAAGAAGCTGCTGCTCCACCGGCAGAAGAAGCTGCAGAAGCGAGTTAGGGGAAGGTCTGCTGGAACAGGCTCGGTTCGCAAGCGCAATTATTGTACCTTTGTATACTAAAATTCCATGTCGAAAACGAATACCACTGCTGGCCTAGTTTACACCTTTTTTCATCATAATACATCGCATGTGGAGCTAGATGCTGTGGTCCCTTCGGACGTCCGCAGGTTCTACTGCATTTTTTTGTGTAGTGTTTTTTACTTGTGTTGAGCTTCAGCTCTCTGTAACTGGAAGCTAATCGTATATTTGTTTTGAATTCTTTATCACTTACATCATGTTCTGGAGCGATACTCGCTCCTGCTATGCTTATTCAGAGTAGTGAAGGAAACGTTAGCGTTCAAGTTTGTGACTTTTTCGTGACTGCAGCAACATCTACGTCGTGGTGGTATCGTATTCATGTATTGTTTAAGTATTTCATTTCAACTACCTTCATCATGGGGCAGTGCAGATGGTAACTAGGGAAGCCACTGGTTGGTTTCAGCGTGTCGTAGAACTGGCCGAGGCGGCCGTGCTTTTACAACGATACATGTAGATACTGTATGTGCTCTCTTGCTGGTAGTTGAATCTGTGGTTCTGCTGCAAGTTCAGGTTTATTCGCATCCTCTTTGGCGCTCTACCACAACCACTGAGCATTTTGAGCGAGAGCTGTCTTCCACCCTTGATATGGTTCCGCTTAATTTCATTTCTCATTGCCGCGAATTTCAATGGCCGTGGTCCGTGTCGGTCAACTATCGCCTCACACACTAGAATCTCCTCGGTCAGTGGTCTGCTCGACCCATCTTCACTGCGCTTCTGCTCGGTCGTAACCACAGTAATTTTCCATTCGCATTCGCGGTGGCACAACTTATCGGTTTATTTCCATCTGTGTGACAACTACCACATCGACTGCCACATTGATTCGTAGTTTCCAACTACTGTTTTCCTTTCGGTCGTACAAACATGATATCTGCTGCTCGTTCTTGTCGCGGCGCTTTCTGTCTTCGTGCATCAACTGCTGATTCAAACTGAATCCGTATCAAGCTCGTTCGAAATTACCTTGAAATAATGACTGAACTAAAAGTACGTGCAACAATGGTGCAAGCAGCACCACCGTCTTAAGAAATATCACCGGACGTCGTCCAGCCGGATACGATACGGTAGGACTAGATGAAGTTGTTGTCTGTGTGATTGTCCAGGACCTCCTCGCGCTAATATACACGAACACAAACACAATATCAATAAGCATGAATTTCGCAATGCTTTACTAACCGTAACCGTAACCACCCGCAGCCCCCCCCATAAGAAAATTGTATTGCTACTGATCTCTCATAAAGGAAACGTCATTGTTGCCCACTTTCTGAACGTTGACCGAAAGGATGAAATACTTTTCCTTCTTCAACCTCGCAGCTGGGCGGTGAGCATATTCAACGGTGGAAAATAACATCCACAGAGATGGACGATTTCGACGCTGCTGTCAGCGACTTTTCAGAGGAAATTGTGGAGGACTTCGATTTCGAAAAAGAATTTTTTGAAGCAGCTGCCACGCAGCCGAGCAACAGCAAAACCACCAGCGACAAAAACTACAAGCCGTCGCACCACAGCGATAATCGGGTGACCGCTAGCGACGGGGGTCTGGAATTCGATGCACGCGGACGCCCCACCTCTCCAGGGAACGAACTCGTCGATGAGAATCGGCCGCGTGGTCCATCAGCGGAGGATATCGCCCTGGCAACGCGATTTAGTGAGGAGATTGCGGAACATCGCGGGCCCTCGCAGAAAGACATTGACTTGGCTTTGCAAATGGCGGAGCAAATTCGCTTGTCTGCGGCGGAGGCAGGAGGGGAATTCGAGAACGAGGATCTCGAGTACGACTATGATGCCACTTCCCCTGAACACATCTTGAGCAAGGTGGAGGACGCCCGGCAGAAGAAGCTGAGCCTCGCGAAGGCAAATTTGGAGCACGCGAAGACGCGGGGCGCGAGCATGCGCAGCGGCTTCACCAGCAACACAAGCATGCGCAGTGGCATCACCAGCATGACTAACGACGGGATGAACATGCGGGAATTCCCGGCGTCGCAGTTGCAAGGACCACCAATGATCTCGGGAACCATCGCGGAGGAGGAGAGTGCGGCGTTGACGCGGTCGATTCGGGAAGTGATCGCAGAGGGCACGCTGGAGCGCAACAGCCGCGACAACGTCCTGGTTGAAGATGTCGCGGAAAACGCCGACGACCTGTCAACCCTGAATTCCCGCCGCTCCTCGGCTGGCCGGAAGAAGCTGAACGCGCGCAAGTCCTTCCACGACGACCACTTCCAGGAGCACGAGGCCGGCTGGCACGCTGTGGGTTCGGGCAGCGCCATCTTGCCGCCGTCCGCGAACGCGAGCGCCGGCGTGGTGGTGACGTTGCAGGGCCGCCAGTCGAACACGCTGAAGCCCGTCAGCGGCGACTTCGGCGATTTCGGAGACGACTTGGAGACGCCACCGGGCGAGAGTGACAGTGCACGGACTGGCGAGCAGTTCGCGGCTGCTCCCATCGCCGTTCGGGTCAGCCAGCAATTGATGGCGGAACAAATGGTGGCGGCGCAAACTCTTGCGAATGAGAGAGCTGCTGCGATGAAGGCGGGAGGGGCGAAGACCAATGAGCAGCCACAGCAGGTGCTGACGCCAAAGACCGCCACCATGGAGGCGGCCGCGACCGCTGCGCAGCCAGTGCCCGCGGACGTGCTGTCACGGCTGTACGCGGCGGAAAAGCGGGCGCAGCGCCTGGAGACCGACTTGGTAGTGGAGCGCGCGCGTCGGAGTACCTTGGAGCGAGAGCGCGACCAGGCCGATTTCGTCAAGCAGATGACCAGTCTGAAGAAGGACGTGGCGTCCTACCAGCAGGAAGTGCGTGCCTACCGGCGGGAGAACCGGTACGCCGAGAAGCTCGACGCCCGCGCCAACCGCGAACTTCGGATACCTGCCGGCAAACTTGTGGACGAGCTGGTAGCCGGCGCCACCACGGTACAGTACAACAACGCCGTGGCCGCGTACCGCCAGCGCCTCGGGCAAACCGCGGACGACATGTTCGGGGGCGAGGATCTGCAGGCTGGATCCGACGGGAACTACATGTTGAGGCTGCAGCCGTCGGCCGGCGTTGCCGGGAGGTTGGACGCGCGCAACCGCGTCCATATGCGCCCGTACCGCGCCGGCGCGCCCCTGGGGAAGAAGGGAAATCCGCGAGGAGCCGGGAAGTCCCCGGACTTCTACGGAGGCTTGTTTGACCCCATCAAATCGGAGCAAGAAATTCGGGACCAGTTGATGCTCGGACCGAAAGACGCACCTCCGCTCGAGATTCCAACGTAAGAGCTTAATACACTTGGCGCTCTACTTTCTCCTTCAACAGTGTCATTGATTATGGAATTTACTTTTTGATTTGTAATCAGTTGTGAAATGATTATGATAATGATGATCAGCACTTTTATTCCCACAAACTGCAAAATAACAGGGAGCCATACGTTGTTCCTCCAGAAGCTCGCGACCATGAACTCACTCGACCTCCGCAACACGCTCCTACGCTAGAAGAAATACAACTCAACCCGAACAACTACACTGTACCGACGTACCTGCAGAACTATGCGAAAGCAGCAGCACAGACATCATCTTCCGCTGCAACGCCGGCGAAGCCGCCTCCCGGTAAAATCTTCAAGGACAGTGCGCCCGCAGGGTATAAGATGAAAGCGAAAATGCCAATAAATCAAGGGGCGGCTGCTAATAGTGTCCCGGGCGATAGTAATCAGACGCAGTGGGCCGTAGTGAACGGCAAGTACCAAAAGTTGGGATCTGCGTTGCCAGTGCGTTCGCGTTCGGGTGACATGAACTTTCCGGTGCCGATGCCGCAGAGTCAAGGTGGTGCAGACGAGGACCAAATGTCCTCAATGATCGCCGCAGTTGATATTCCTCCCGCCGTTCCCGGGGGCGGGAGATCATCAAATATTAGAAACATGATTGACAACGAAGACACAACTGCTCCCGAAACTGCCGGTGGTGATGAGGACGTGGCCGTGACGCCCGCGATGATCGCGCTCGACAACGCAAGGCGAACCTTGTCGGAGCAAACTGGGCTACCCGAGTACGCCGTGGAAGCAGCTGCTGTAGAGGTTGCCGTCAGGGGTGGATCGCTGCTTGTCACAGACGATGCGCAACCTTCGACTCCCGAGAGCAGTAGCCCGCGCGTCGTGGATTTGGCATTCCTTTCGCAGAAGAAGGAAGTGCAAAAAGCCTACAGCGGGCGTCCCACAGGGTTCGAAGAACAACCTGGAAGCGGCGCAGCTGGTGGACGAGCACCGGCAGTGAGCAACAGGGCCGCCTTTCTCAGTCAGAAAAAAGAGGTCCAAAAGGCCTACACCGGCCGACCCAGCGCATTTGAGTACACTGGTGATGCTGCAGGCGGACCAGCAGGCCCGTTGTCGAGCGGTGGTCCTGTGTCATCCGCCCGACTCGCGTTTCTGGAGGATAAGAAGCCCGTGCAAAAAGCGTACGGTGGGCGACCAACGCACTACGAAACCACCGGTAAACCACCGGCAAAACTGGGCGGGTTTCAAGTACCACAAGAGAATAAAAAGCAAATCCAGAAGGCCTACAGCGGGCGCCCTACGGGAATGGAAGGCGCACAGCCACAGAGTTTCGGGCAGACACCTGGTCGCTTAGCCTTTCTTGAGGAAAAAAAACCGGTGCAAAGAGCTTACAGTGGACGCCCGACACCTGTCGACGCAACCGGTACTAACATGGTAAGTCTACCAAAGGAACCGGACTACACGCCAAGTCCGCCGATCCAGTCTCGCGGTGAGCCAGCTGTGCCGGCGGTTATCGCCCTGGGAAGTCGCAAGCAAGCCTACGAGCAGCAGGCGCGGACCATGGCAAAGCGCCAGGACACCGTCGAAGCGGTGAACGAGCAAGCTCCGCCTGCGCCAGTCGCGCCAATGTCTTTGAAAGAGCGAATGCGGCTGCTCGAGGAGAGCAAGAGCGGGAAGAAAGCACCAGCTCCGGAGCCCGTTGCGGAACCCACTGTCTCGCCCATGCAGAGCGCACGCGAACGATTTGAGCATCCGCGCAGCTACGAAGCTCCACCCGAGCCTCCGCACGCGCCCGAGGTCCGCAGCCTGCGCGACGCTTTCGAGCGTCCAGCCCCGCCGTCACCCAAGCAGGAGCCGAAAGAAGTGACGGCTGTGATGAGCATGAAAGCGATGTTCGATAAGCCAGAGCAGAAGCCCAAGCCGAAACCAGCGGTGCTGAGCATGGCACAGCAATTCGAAAAGCCACAGCCCAAGGCAAAGCAGAAGGTTGAACCGCGGCACGAGTTTGTCACCGCGCAGAAGCACTACGAGGTGAGCGAGCCAACGGCAGTGCAGAAAATGGCCATGGGCATGGAGGCACCAAAGGCGCAGCCGAAGCGCAAGACGCAAACGGCCGAGGCTATTGCCAGCAAGAAGAGCGTTTTCGAGGACAAGGCAGCGGCTGCGAGGAAGACGAGAAAAACCGCGGAGACCGAAGCGATCACCAGTATGAAAGAGATGTTCAACAAGTCCCCGGCGACGTCTCCAGCGCAGAGCCCCCGGGAGGCGTTGAAAAACAAAGGGGCCAACAAGGGAGGTGCTTCCGCGAGTAGAACCCCGCCAGCCGGGTTCAACCTTTCTCCGGGGGGCAAAGGTACTGCAACTCCAACGGATGTTGCATACGAGTACGACCCATCAACAACTTCGCTGCCGTTCCCAAGAACGGATAGTGTGATCTCTCCCATCTTAAGGTCGGTCCAGTCCGGGCTCTACAAGGACCAGGTTCCACAGCCACAGGAAGTAGAAGAGGCCCGCGAGCCGTCGCTCTTGGACGGCAACTTTATTGTCCCACCGCCGAACAATACAGCTGCTCCCGCTCCTGGAACGACTGGCCAAAATCGAAATGAATACACCGAGCGTGAAGTCCGAGAAACCGCTGCGGGCAATGTATCTTCCGACAACAAGTCAGATGAGTTTTTTGACACAGACGAGGAACGATTGAAGATCCTGAATCAAAGTCTTGAGGCGGCTGGAAACAACCGCAGTGTGGAGCGTAAGTCTACTGGTTTGAAGGTAAAGCGGGCATCATCTACGTCCGGGGCGCAACCTGCTGCTGCCCGGGGTCAGGACCCTGCTCCGGGCGCGATGCTGAGTGCCGTGCTGGATGAGTACCCACCAAATCCAAATGCTGCTGTTCCGCCCGCACAGCCCCCGCCGGACTCTACTCTGTTCTGGTTGGGCGTGGATCAGACAACGCCGGACGGGCGCCCGCCCCCGAACACGGTGCCGCAAATATTACCAAGTAATCCGCAAATGCAACCGGGGAGTCAAGGCTCGAAGGGAGCGCCAGTGTCCTCCAAGGGCCCACCGGTTCCGACTTCCACCTCTGGCAAATTCTCTATGAAAGGTGGATCTGCGAAGATTATACCCAGTGTGAATATGATTTCGGTTTCTGGGAAAGGAAGCAGCAAGGGTCCGCCGGTGCCTCCTGTGGGTACGACAAGTATGAAAAGTAGCAAGGGTAAAGGAAAAAAATCTGGCTTCACTCCAGTCTCCACGCCTCCAGACAGCGACGCAGAACGTACTGCAGAAGTTGTCACAAACTCAATGCCATTCTCAAAGGGAGAGCGACCAAGAAGGAGCCGAGCCTCGCAAGGCGGTCCAACGGGCCCACCCAAGGTCGTGTCGGCATCCGGGGACGTACCAGCATGGGCTACTCCTGCGAACACGAGCAATATTCCGTTTGCGAAGGGGGAGCGCGTCCGAACCAGCGGCGCGAAAATCCGAAGTTCGCAGGCAACTAACGCTAGCGACGGCAAGCCATTTGCAGCTCCAGACTTTGTGTCCCAGCTCGGCAGCGTGCAACTGAAGTCGGCCAAGGTCGCAAATCCCGCAAGCAAGCCGAAACCAATGGACGTCGGGTCAGAACTTGCAAACTCCATGCGAATGATCCGGGAGAAACGCGCGCCCGAGGTGGTGTTCGAAGCCCAAGGAACGAATCGAATATAATAGCAGCTTGCTTTTTTTTTGAAACATCCACATTTTCATGACCACATCTCTACATTACGAACAAACTGTATATGACGAAGTATCAGGATGATGCTTCGCTTCAAAACTGCAGGCGCTTTAGTTTTTGACAGTTTCCGTATTTCTAGCACTAGCTACGGGAGCTTTTCACTCCACCAATTTTTGTACGCAACAGGCTGAGCAGAGCTTTTTATCTGAAGATACTGATTTCCTCTGAATATCTCCAACTTCATCAATGCTCTTCTCGTATTGCTCCCGTCATTTGATGTTGGCATGATCGAGGGCAAAACCGTAGATGATGTTGATGTAGCTCGCCGTAGGTCTATTATCGGTTTCAATTAAGTAAGTCAGTGTGTTAAAAACTCTGATACATGATTGGAACATGTTGATTCTGGTCTCATGTCGTCCCAGAATCGTTCTGGGGCACTAGGCCACGAAAGATGTTCCTTGGTTTCCGATAAACATGAAACAGTGCGCCTGTGTGTCTGTAATTGATCTTGGCCAGTGACGACCAGGAATATCAACAGTACATGAGGATTTACATCAACGGTCATCGTCCCCGCAGAACATCGGTTTGCGCTCCTGAATGAATATCAGTATAGAAAAGACAAGCCAGAAATTAAGGCTACGCTAGTACGCAACCTTATCTGAAGATTCGGTATTATTTTCCAGGTTGTAATCACCACCACCTGTATCTATTCAACTACCATCGGTAGATCATGTGATCAGTCTTTTTGTCGGTTGCCATCAAGCTAGTTGATTTCAGTGTACTTAGATGGCCTCGGTAAAATTGCGCTCGGTTGGATTGCGGTGATCCCTACACCATGAACTCTGTCCGAAGTGTAGAATAGCCATGCCAAGCTGTACTTGAACGAACACGGATTGCCGAAGACGTTGTTTGAAGTTGAACCACGTATCACCTAATGCTGCTGAAGCGGAATATATGTGGTCGGCATCATCTTCATACAGGACGGCGGATAGGAGAATAACATCGCATACCACCGAAATTTTTTTTTGGTACTTCTAGCTCTGAGCATCACCATACCGAAGAGCAGCAAGGTAAGTACCTGCCCGAAGTTTACTTTTTTCATCGCTTTTACATGACTAGCTTCGTTCACAACTTTGACTTCCTTTAGATTTTCATACTCGTTCTAGAATAATTTTTGTGCTCTCTAATCCGCCCTCGTCTTTTTCATCGCCTTCGCTTCCCATCCCCGCCCGTCCGCACCAGCCAAGATGACGGTTTCCAAGAACCAGCGTCAGGACGACTTCGATCGTTCGATGAAATCTCTCGACGATGGGCTCCTTTCCCTGTGTAAACAAACTTCGGTGATTAAGAAGAAGGCCATTGTGCTGCGCATGCAGGAGCAGTTCGGGAAGCTCCGCGATTTGATGCTTAAGTGGCTCCAGGACAAGGACCGCACGGACCTGCGGGACACTTTCGAACCCAACAACTTCTACCGGTTGGTCCGTCTGGCCGCCCTGTTAGAGGAAAACGCGGATATGGACGCGCTGTGCGGCGCCAAAATGCCCCCGGACGTGCGGTGGCACCAGTGTAACGAGGCGGTGAAGACCGTGCGGGCGGTGCTGGAGGACTACACGGGGAAGCGGAAGGAAATCGAGGCCGCCCTGCTGAAGGAGGAGGAACGGCTGAAGGCGCAGATGGCCCGGGCCACGGTGATGCCCGTGCCGGAGGAGAAGAAGATCAAGGAGGACTCCGTGCAGACGCCCCAGCAGATCAAGCAAAACAAGTCGGATGTGGAGGTCAACTTGATCATGTCCCAAATGGAAGAAATCGACGCCATGATGTCCATCGTGCAAGATCCATCCAGTACAACTTTCTTTTTGAATCATCATATAACATAATCCTGCAATAGCAATGAGTGCTGGAATGCGGCTTGTTGTCAAGTTTCTACGGAGGCGTTTGTGTTACTTACAAAACGAAAGCCGCACTGATGTTCTACTTTTATGACTTTGAATGGTCGGGAAAGTCAAGGAAAGTTACCGGTTTGCAAATTCACTCGCATGATCTTCGTGAAAAAAAACATAAACTCACCACAAAGGTATGACGGGTCTGGACAAGATTGTGGTGGTCGACTCCCCGACGATTGAGCCCATGGTAGGGCCGCCGGTGAAGGCGCAGAAGACCATTCCCCCAGTGAACAACACGCCGGTGATTCCGACCGCGGTGTCCACCCGCGACACGGTGGTGCCGGACACGGTCCCGGAAAACAAGAGGAAGAACTGGCAGCGGGCCAACAGCGCGCGGCCGGTGCCGAAGGCGGGGAAAGCGTACGTGGAGGAGGATACCGTTATGGACACCATCTCGGACGACTTCCGCAAGCAGATTGACAACGTGAAGGACCTGAAGGGCCTGATGGCGAACGTGGACCCACCGGACGCGGGCTTCCAGCCGGGCAACTGGCTGATCTGGATGTGCTATGCAGTGCAAAAGCATCGTACTCGTATAAATGCATTACAAATTTCCTCAGCATTAGAAATTCAATTTGTAATGCGGATCTGACTTACCAAAAAGATTTCTAATGCATGATTGCAAGACGAGTGCGATACTTTTGCACAGGATATGTGCGCCCGGGTGTTTTGGAACGACCCCACTTTGGATGACGTCAACTTCACCAACATCTACCTCCCGCCGCCGGAGAAGGAAAAACGGATTATTCCGAAGTTCATGGACGGGCTGGCCCAGAAAAACGAATACGTGAAAACACTGTCGCTCAGCAACGTCAACTTCGATGCCAAATCGGCAAAGTATCATTTTTTTTCATAATTTTGTTTCAATTCATGAACGACTTGACATTTTTGACGCAGACGGTACGATCATGTCTTTATCGTTCACTTGTCTCCGTGCTAAATTTGATTACCGCGCTACTTTTTCCACCAAACTAATTGCAGGCGATGGCACGAGGTCTTTGCAAACAACAAGACAGTGAAGGTCCTGGACTTGAGCAGCAACCCGTGGAACGCCGAGCTTATGATGGGTTGGGTTGACGGCATCTCGAAAACCACAACACTGGATATGGCGCTCTCAACTGTTACATTCTCAACTGTTACATGATTTGTCATGCAAAATTACCTTGACTATCAACGCCATCAAGCTGGCTCGCATGACAAATTCTCAGACGGCCAAACAGGCTGAGAATCTGTGCCAAATCTGTCATGCAAGAAGCGCAATGTCTTTCCTTTCACTTTTGCCATTCTTGCATCACAAATCCATGTAACAGTTGAGAGTGTAACAGTTGAGAACGCCATACTGGAGGAGCTCCGCATAAACAACATGAACTTTGGCAACACCGGACACTCCGTCGGCGTGGAAAAATGTTATCAGATGCAAAAATGTGTGGGTCTGGAAGACTGCAACTTGTGATGCTGTCTCTGCATTCTAAAAAAATCTGTATTGCATGACCAGCAAGAGGAGTCCGCTTTGTGCTACATGGAGACGGTATTTCTCATGCGGAATAGGCATTAGGAAGCCCTCTAAAAATCTGTGATGCTAGGCGATGCATTACACGCGTCATGAGCAGTCATGTAACATTTGCATGACAAGTCTTGCATTCTTCCAGACCCAGACATTTTTGCATTTCATAAATGTCTGGCGGACGCAATTTTGAAGAACCAAAGCATTGTCAAGCTCGGTTTGGAATTGAAGGATCCGACTTGGCGAAACAAGATTGATCGACAGATCATGCAAAACAAGGACCTGGCCAGACAAAGAAGGGTGGCTGCGGCCAAGGCTGGAAAGTGAGTACTTAACTAGGTTGAACAAGTATATAACATTTTCATAGAAGAAGCGCAGACAGCATTTTTCTGTATGGTAGTACCAATACGCTGCCTTGAGGAGCTCATTTTTTTCTCTTACTTTATGAGGCAAACTAAATAATAGTCAATTTATTTTTTTCATCTCGACGTGCTGCATGTGCGCTTTTTTTCGTAAAGTTAGTCTCGTATGTTTTTGACCGCCTGGTTGCGGTAAACTTTTTTCTAGCATGTTTTTGACGCGCACTCTACATACAGACTAACAAATTTTTTAGGCTAGTGACGTTGCTGCTCCACTGTTGTTTACTGTGCTTCTTGGTAGCAAAGGATGTGATGTTGAGCCAGGGCCTCACGCTACGATTTGCATAGCGAGCCAGAGCCTCACGCTGGATCATCATTTCCTGTAAGATTCAGTATCGCTGCGAAACGGTAACGGTAAGCAGAGCTTGATCTCTCTCTCGTCATCGCAAACCATACGAGAGGATAGTTGGAAAAAGACATGAAGATCTAGTCGAGGTGGAGCTTTTTGGCGCTCTCTGCGAAACAACCCGGGTCAACATACAGAAAGCCCGACCCTTTCTTGCTACACCAGAATGAGATTTCTCACGAAACAAAGAAAAGGCCGCGTGTTCTTTCTTCCAAGAATGATGATGATCAGAAGGCATTCTCATACCCATTCTTCTACCGTTCAGATCCCGGAGACAAATGCACTTCTGAAGTACGTGGTAGACGGAACGAACCTAATAGCATTTATACAAACAACGACAACGAGCTCAGACGCAGGTACCAGCACAGGAAAAAGCTTTCTTGCTTTCAGCAATGTCCTCGTCCTCTTTCTTTTGATGCAGACATCAACCATCGAACACGATTGTAGTGCGGGTGCGCAACGAGCTAGTACAGTTCTTGTAACAGCATCTTCAATAAAGCTACAAGGTAGAATAACAGCAACAGATTATATTCGTACTAGAAAGGCAAATAATAATAAATCTATCAGACCAACCCGCCGACATCATCAAACCCGCCTGTTCAATTGCAGTATACAAGGTGACCTAGACCTTGTGGCGTCATTTTTTTTTGGTTTCATCGTCGTAGCTCAGGAGGTGCACACTGTGTCCGTGTGGTTTTCTGAAAAGATCCCGTGTAATAGTGCGTGGTCAGCGACTTCGGGCTGCGAAGCAAAAATTGCAAATTTAAGGATCTTTTTGAAGATCCACAGCACGGCGCGAAGCGGACGTATCTCTACTACGCCTGCGGCACGAAGATCTGCTGCTAACGTTCCATCAACTTTCTTCGTGAAGGAAGATGGTTCGATTTGGCCCAGGACCTCAAGTACTGCCGGTCGGACTCAAATTTGGTGGACCGAGATCCTCTTTTGCAGCTGTAACTGTTGTACAACCGCCGTCGTCGTCAGTCAACATTAAATTGAGAGCGCCCAGTGCTCGTGCTGGTAGGTGGAACAAGAATTGCGCGCTACAGACAGGAAGTGGCTTTTGTACGGCTTCTAGACAGCTCTCACATTACTGCGCGCCCTGGACGAGGTCCTCAACTGCAAAGCACGTGAACTCAAGAAGTGATGTGAACCCCAGCAACATTCATCCGGTGGTGATTCGTCCGCGTGCTTTTCGCAGCAGCAAAATATCTTCTGGATTCCAGCTGGTTCCCCCGAGTACTTCTATTTCCGCCCGACAAGGACTGGTAAGTGATTCGTATTTGTTTTTGTTTGAGACTCCATTAAGACGGAAAATGAAGTGAAAACCCTGTCCGCTCGTGTCAGAGATTCCCAGATGGCTAAAATCGGTTTCTTCTTTAGAAGTACACTTCCACTGATTTCGGAATTGATTATCGTATCGGTCTTGGTAGTGTCAGTGCTTGTATGTTCCTCTTTGATCGACGTGATAGCAAAATTGCTTCACGACCCACTTGTCTAGCTTTTTCTTGTTTCTTTATGCGCACCAAATCTTTGCCGTCTCCGATGGATAACATGTTGTACGTTGAATACGTACCTACAGGACTCACTCCCACTCTGGTTGAGGACAGTAGGATAGTAGTTCCGCTCGTCTTCACATTTTTTTGATTTTATTGTTTTTGTCATATCATCAATTTCAGAAATTGTTCGCATAAAGGTTTATTCATCGTGGGCCTAATGAAGAAAAAGAAATGTGAACAAATTCCGCACAGAACTCCAACCTCTGTTTCTTCAGCCCTGATCGGAAATTTTCGTCCAGTGCCACAGCACCTTCCCCCGAGACAAGAATGCAAGAGGACGGTAAAGTCGACGTGTATGTGGTGGGGTTTGGCGTTCCGGGTCGCAGCATGGCCTGGTTCCACTGTGAGCAGCTTCGACGCGGCTTGATTCCCAACGCCCGGCTCGCTGGAATCATCGAACCGGGTCTGGGACTGGCGAAAAACGCGAAGGACGTGCCCGTGACCACGTGGCAGTTTGGCGATTTGTCGGCGAAAGAGAAGAACGAAATCCAGATCGTAAAGTCGGTTGCGGATCTGGTCCCGCGGCCCGGCTGCAGTGACCTGTCGCCGGTTGTACGAGGAAAAAGTGCGAATGAAGTGGAACAACAAGAATTTTCCTCGTGCGCAGTCGTGGCCTGCCGCACAGTCGATATGTGCGACCAACTGCGCCAACTCGTCGATCACGGGATCCGGTGCATTTACTTGGAAAAACCCGGCGCGTTTTCCGCGAAGGAGCTCGAGCAGGCGAAAGAGTACGCCGATCGGTTTGGCGCGAAAGTTTATCTCGGCTACAACCGCAACGTGGCGCCCTACTTGCAAAAGAGCGTCAGCTACTTGTCCGATTTCGCGCAACGAACTGGTGTCACTCCGAAAAATGTGAAAGATCAGCAGGAGCTTGTTTTCCACTGCGAGCACTTCAACACGTACCAGCCAAAAGACCTCTTCGAGCTGTGTTTTGCCCGGAACCCGGAAGGAATTTTGAAGAACATGGCGATTCACGAACTCATGATCGCCGTGGCATTTTTTGGTTTCAAAGTCGATGATTTGAAGGACGTGCGCATTCTGAACAGTAAGTTTCACTCGTTCGCGGGTAATACGACGGGACAAACGAATTCTCTGTCGGACCACGCGAACAGCGTGCTGGCGAAGCTGGACGGGGATTTTTCCTTCCTCGATTTTCAGCTGGTGCACAAGGACCCAGACGTTCCGGTATTCCAAATCACCGCGGATCGCTGCGGGGGCGACGTGGTGCGCGCGACCGTCGCTTCGTGTTGCAACCGACAGAAAACGTACAAGATTTTGTACCAGTCAAGTCTGGATAGCGGGAAGCCGGTAGGACCAGCTTTGGGTGCTGTGAGTAGCGCCGCCGGTTCCCCGTGCTGGATGACGCAGTATCCGGACATGATGCCGTACTTGCGCTTGCAGGCGGACACGTACCGAACGTTGAAAGAAAAGGTGTGTTTCTACTCCACCTCTTCTGGGGCTGACTTTCGAGCTGCAACCAGTGCTGCACCATCCAGAAGTGCCATCGCATCTTCGTCGGGCGGCGGGGGAAAAGTGGCGACGATCGAGGATGGCGTCGAAGCGCTGCGGTTAGCGGAGCACCTGGAAAGTCTATTTAAGCACGCGGCGAATTCCGACACTGCCGAATTCGACGTGGAGCCCGCGACGAGGGTCGTGCACGCGAGGCTCTAGATCATCACGCGAGGCTCAGTTTTCATCGTCGGTCGTCGTGTTTCTCAAAGAGCAAATAAAGAGCGTGATGTTGGAGCTCTACCTTTCACATGCCAAGCATCAACGTACGGTACTTACGCATCGACGTGTACTACTAGTATAATAAAGACTCGTACACTAGATAATGATAAAGATTAGACACAGGGCGCTCCATGCGACAGCCACGGTCGATACGCGAAGAGCTACGTGTACAAAAACAATACAAAAGATGAATTTTTTCGTCATCTACAAAGCAACACAAAGACCACCGACTTCCGGAATCGCATCCGCACCCGAAGCGTCTTCTTGCATGCAAGTGAAGACAGACCAGGTACCTTCAAAATCAACTGTAGAGAGCAAACCGGGCGTGCCAAGTTCGGGTGTGTTCACTGGCGAGCGCAAGAGCGGCAACGTAGCAAAGGCGCAGGCGTAGAAGAACTTCTTCTTCTGCTCTGCAGTTCCTCGTGCAATGTGTTTTTCTGAACGTGTTTCGCTTTCTGTCTTCATGTTATTTCCGGCCGCGCAGTAGAAGACCCGCCAAATGACACACTCCGTCTGTCGTGATCCTGTAGGTCTAGGTTCTGATACCAGCTGGAGGTCGGACGCACGAGCAAGTCTGTTCTTCCTTGTGCTAGTTCAAATTTAGAAGCAGAAGTATGAAACTTCTAACGTCGGTCCTGAAGAGAAAAGCGATCCATTTAGAGAAGATCCGTTACTTAGCCGACTGCAGATCATGCTGAGTGGGATTTATCTTGTTGGAAACGGCGAGGACGAGAAGACGACGGTGCCTCTTTGATTCTTTCACACGCTGATAGATTTTTTCCCTCAAGAACATGTCTCAGAACTACATAGCACTGACACTGAAGCTGGAAGATGTATGGGAAAGTAAGTAAACTCAAGCTTACTACTACTTAAGTTTTTTTTAGTTTTGTGTACTTCTTGGTACGTGTCTTCACTAAGTTTCAGCTTTTTAGTTTTCCCCCTGTGCCCCCTTTGTCATCCCCCAAACGCAAGTTTAATACGAATATGGCTGCAGCAGTCGCGAGACAAGCCCCATATCGCTGGGGAATATGTTCTACCGGAAACATTTGCAATGACTTTGTGACCTGCTTGCAGTACTTGAAGCAGAAAAAGGGGCGAGTGGAAGTAGCGGCCGTTGCCGCCCGGTCTTTGGAAAAGGCACAGCAATTTGCGGACAAGTTTTCCATTCCGTCTGCATACGCCTCCTACACGGATATGTTTAAGGACCCGAACATCGACGTGATATATGTTGGTGCGATTCATCCTATGCACAAGCAAATCGTTTTGGAAGCACTTCGGAACAAGAAGCATGTCTTGTGCGAAAAACCGATGGGAATGAACTTGCAAGAGGTATACACACTGTTCTTGCAGAAGCCAGAGAAGATTTCATCTGGTGATGTATCGTAGTAGCCGCACGTATAAACATTTTAATTTTTCATTTCAATATGAAGAGAAGAAGCTGAAGCCTGAGGTGAGCTGAGGTCTACATGAACAACCACGACGAACAGGTCCTGAGTATGCAAAGTGCGGCTTTGGAGAGCAACTGCCTGCTGCAGGAGGCCATGTGGACTCGATTCACCCCTCTGACAAAGAAGGTGCGAGAATTGGTGCAGGAGCAGCGCGTCCTCGGGGACTTGAAATTTATCCAGGGGGATTTTGGCGTGCAGTTCCCGAGGAGCGTAAAGAGAATATGGGACCGAGATATGGGTGGAGGAGCGCTGCTAGATATTGGTATAGAAGTGCTTCGTGATCATTCTCCTTCTCGTCCATCTCTACTACTTGATGATGAAGTCATGGATGTCCTCGATGTCCGACAAGATCGATGGTGACTCAAATTGACTTCCATTGCTTTGTCGCATGTAGTACTGCCTAGTTGTATCCGCACTCAAACGCAGCTGGCCTGCGGCAAAAGACCTACTTGAGCGACACAACTAGTACACCTTCGAATCTCCAGGTATCTACCCGCTCCAGTTTCTTTCCGGTCTCCTCTACCCTCGCCCACCGTCCCCGGAGCAGCCACGACAGCCGCCGGACCCTGCTGACCTTCCCCAGCCAAAAAGCTGCAAGGTTGAGGGTTCCATCGACGCAGAAACGGGTGTGGACACCGCGGGCGTGTTCTCCGCCACGTATGAGAACGATATAACTGCTGTGGTAAGTTGGAACGCGCTGTGCCAAACCCCGGAGGAGCTGATGATCGCGGGCACGAAGGGGTGCTTGAGAATCCACAGCCCCGCACACTGTGCCACCAAGGCAACGTTGTCCATACAGGAAAACCGAGAGAGCCAGAAGGAAGAGAAGATCGATATGACCTGCTCAGGTGTTACAATCTCAAACGTTACAATAGAGTCTGGAATTTGTCTTGCATGACCAGCATGAGTACCATACAGAGACTTGGGCTTTTCGCAATACAAATTTGGTCAGATTCTCATGGGGTTTGGGGCTCCGAAACTTGTCACGCATGCTCCTTTGGGAGTAGGCCAGATGTTGCGGATTTTGCAACACAAATTCCAAATTCTATTGTAACGTTTGAGATTGTAACACCTGAGCGGGTTATAATCGAAATCCCGCTGCCGCCGGACATGGACCTATCCTGTGCAAAAGTATCGTACTCGTATAAATGCAAGTCTTGCATTACAAATCTTGTTCCCAAGGCAAATCCGCATTACAAGTCTTTATATCTCATGCTGAGAAAATTTGTAATGCATTTATACGAGTGCGATAGGATACTTTTGCAATTCATAGGACCGCTCGAAGTTCAATTTCCCCAACAGCGAACTGATCATGTTTGAGGCAGAAGCGGTGTGCGACGCGCTGGACAAGGGAAGGCTGGAATGTGCAGACTACGGCTGGGCCGAGACGCGTCACGTCACCGGGCTGATGGATATGATACGGAAAGAGCTCGGGGTGGTGTACCCGTCAGACAAGGAAGTCAAGTGATGCTGTGAAGAATGTTTCACGCTTGCGTCAAAGCGAAGTTCAAGTTGAAGTTGTGCTACCAAGTAGAAAATAGATGGACAACTACCGCCAAAATGAAAATTGAAATTAGCGACCTTCGTTCTACCGTGTGTGCATTCAGTGGCAGTCCGGGGCAGGAGAATGCACTAAGATGAAAATCCAAAAGTCTTTCTTCCAATCAAAAACCGCGCAAGTGGATTTTCATTTTTTGATATACCTATCGCAACAACCTACTCTTCGGCTTGAAGCAAACTAAGCCAAGAAATCAGAATCTTCACCGAGAAGGAGATAAAAGCCGCGTGGTTGCTCTGTCATTTGCGTTGCAGCTGCCGCACATCGAAACGGTGCCGCATTTGTTTCAAAAATCGATATCTTTTCTTGAACGACACTTCAAACTTTTCGACTGGAGGAGAGTGCTTGTGCGTGCGAAACTTGTTTACAATTTATCGCTCTCGCAATTTATCTTTTTCTTCACTATCCTTCCTCGGTTTCCGTTTTTTTGTGTTTGCGTCGAGAGCGGTGTCAGAGTTGAAATGTTGTCACCTCTTCTACTTTCGCTCGTCAGAAGTGCAGGAATAGGCCGTCGAAAAATAAAGATAAAAACCTCTTTCTAGACATAGAAAATGGCTCCGTGGTTGGCTGCCTGGGTGACAGGTAGCTTGAATCAGTTGCGTGATTCCTACTGGCCCCAGTTCGCAGCGCAGCCGTCGTCTGATGCGGTGCGAAGGAGTGCGGACGGTGAGGATACCGGGGACGCGGCCAAGGTGCAGTGCAAATCCAGTCTGATCCCCGGTGGAAAGTATACCACCTACGACAACAGTGAGCTGGTCTGCCGGCATGGGAACTACATGAGTTCGATCGACTTAGAGCTGAAAGCGCCTAACTGGTCCGCCTACTACATTACCCCAGACGAGTCACTGGATGAGAAAGGCGGGCGGAGGAAATTCAAGTACAACTACAGGCTGCTTTTCTGATGTTTCCAATATGATCATGTGCTGGTTTCATGAGGTCTTTCCTCCCGAAAAGTTCTTCCAGCAGTGCCCCTCAACACCATCGTACATCAGGGCTGATCCCGCGGTGCCGGAGGAGAAGCAGGAGCCGCTGCGGTCAAAGTGCTGGGGGCAAAAGTGGAACCGCGGCCACCTGTGTCCGTCGTACATCATGTCGTACAACAAGGACCCGAATGGTCCCTGGGATGACACCTACTTCATCACGAACACCGCGATGCAGTACGGCCCCTTCAATCAGCAGACCTGGCAGCACCTGGAAAAACACACGGTCGAGTGGATCTCGAAGAACAAAAAACCGATCTACATCGTCACGGGCACCTTCTTCAAGCGCGACGCCTTGACCAAGTGCAATCTGGACACCGGGGACATTACCGGACCATCGTCCTCGTCGTCCAGCGGAGTTGTGAGCAGTGATGCGAAGAAATCGGAAACAAGTGGCCCAATGGACGAGGGTATCAGAGTCTTCTTTTCTACTTTGAGCAGGACTTTATTGTCATTCAGGAGCGGAAGGTAGCCGTAGCCGTAGCAATCAATGGCAATACAGACCATGAAAGAGAAAATCTACGTGTTTTCTTTCATTTCGACACTGTAGGCTTGAATAAGTTCAAGTGCAGGATCAGTTATCCCTAGTGCAGGAGAAATGATGATGATGAAGTTTTCAATTTTTCGTTTCTAAAATAATTTCGCAGGTCGCTACATGGGAGTTCCGGACTTCTACTACAAGATCATGTGCGACCCGAGCGCGAAAAAGTCGATCGCGCACATCGGCCACAATCGGGCGGACGACAAGGTGAAGGAGATGTCCGTCGGGGATTTGCACAAAATGATCGGACTGGAGTTGTTCCCCGAGGAAGGTTGTGGCACCGCGGAAATGGACTCCGACTACTGGTGGACAGAGAGTCTAGGGAAGCTGCAGTTTTTGGAAGATCAGAATATTAACGCGAAAGCAGTGCAGAACCAGAAGCAGGAGTTGGAAGAGAACAAAAAGAGCGCCGTCGCTTCTTCTGTGCCCTTGCTAGCGCAAGGCAAGCGGGAAAATGGCACGCCAACATCGCCACGAACTTCGTCCTCGTCAACAAAGCCGACCGCGGACGATTCTGATGCCACACTCTACAATTTTTGAAAAAACAACACAAAACTCGGAAACGCATTTGCTTTTGGTTCTGTCTTGGGAATCATCTCCTCTAGTACCAAATAAAACACAATAAATACTCGTTGATGAACTACTTCTACAACCTAGAGCTTTTGCCATCTTCTACTTTTTTGTTTCAATGGTTTTATTAAGGACAGAGTGGTTCCTGGTTTTACTTTTATTCAACACGATGAAAGAGGAAGAGCTGACTATAACGGAAGTAGTGCGGCCACACTTAGCGATAGCTCGTTCTTGTGCACAAAGTTCAATAAGTACTGCTAGAAAATAACGGACACCGACACGATGGGTCGTGATATTTTTGTTCTTTGTGACTGAGGTGGATTACGATACTGCGGTCTTGCGATGGGCCGGACGAGCCCGCTACCGCCCGGCCCCAAAGGCTTCGGGGGAGTCCGGGGACGCGGACGGGGTTCACGCCGTTCGTCAACTTCGAGGATACGCGTATGGACTTTTCCGCTGTTCCGACCGATCTCGGGACAAGGACCCATCAAGTAGTAGAAGAAGTCTGTGACACTCTCAGCCCAAGCGTGGTAGCAGAGCCAAGAACAATGACGTGTTCCGAACGCGTCCCATCCATAAGGCAACCGAGGAACTGCGTCTGGTAAAAATCGTGCTGCGTGCTCTTCGTCCGCCTGCTGCCTTTCGTAAGTTTATTTGTTTGTTTCGTTCTACTTCTAGCCATTCATCGTGATCGTCCACCACCGCATCCTTGTTTGATGTCGTAGTTGTCGTCAAAAGACCTCGCTCGTGCACCGCCTTCGTTCTCCTCTTGCTGCTTCTCCTTTCGTGCTCTTGAGGAAGTGTCATACGTGGAGATGTTGCTTTTGGTATGAAGAAGATGATTATAAACTTATACTTCAAATCATCACAGATGACCCGGATGCCTCGATGATAAAACCATAACCCAAGAATCCCAAATAAACCGAAGATTTCAACAGCACAACCTTTCCTGTACATTCTAACCTCCGTTTTTACCGGAGTCTACCCCTTCTGCCTCTCCTTCAGAGGAGATCAATTATCATGATGTTGGATCTTACCATGCATAGTATCAATACCTTCAGAAGATACTTTCATCGTGTTTTCGTCTTCTTAGTTTGGGCATTGTGTGTTGAAAAAAAGATCCTCCTCGACGTTCTCGCTCTCAGAATCGTGCAAACTGCTCAAAGTAACCCGGAACAGTCAGCACACAGTGGATCGACCCACGGCCACGACAGCAACACGACGGAGGCTGTCGACAATGCGTCGGTGAAATTACCAGAAGAGAGGGTTGGTCTTGAACAAGAAGACCGAGGAGCCAGCAAAACGAAAACCGCAAGGATTTTTTTGCAAATCGAGAAAGTAAAACCTGCTCTCACCGCAGTTGCTGGTGGACCTTCCAGCTGTGGAGGCGGGGGCGATGACGCAGCGGTAGGAGAAGCGAAAAACCTGGGTGCAGGATCATCTACAATTGGTCTGAATGCCGTCTCCACACAAGGACAAGGAGTTTACGCGGAAGGTTCTGGCTCATATTTGCGTGCCCCGGCGGCACCAGGAGGGCAAATTGCACCAGAGACGGCTCAGGTCGTGGGAGGTGGGCAGCCGTACCCGATGCAGGTTACGATCCCTTTGAAAACAAAGCCTTTCGTGGGAAAGAAGGCCGTGCCGCTTTTCCGAGCATCATCTTCAAGCGGGGACGCAGGAGCAAAAGGAGATATGCTCACGATGGAAAGCACCCCACTGGAGGTCACTGGCACAGCGGACGCAATGCAGGATCTTTCGACGGATTCCGCCTCGCGCGTCTTTACCCTCCGTCCACGGTTGGACTTTTCTTTGGGCCCAAAAGATCAGCCTAGTACCCTGGAATCGCAAGAGATCCAGGGGGCGCGGGCGCCCACACCGCAGAAGTCACAGGTCGTCGCAGGGGCTGAGCAAGTAGTTGCCGATACGGTGGAAATCATCACCGACTCGCTCGCAGTCCCTCCATTGGGGGGTGCTAGTGCGACCGCGGGTTCAGGAATACGGGACGACCACCTCAAGGGCGATGCGCACCGGCGAGTCCTCTGGGTTTCACAACCCGGCCCAAGTAAACTGTGGGTGGCAAATCGGTCCGGATGCGACTTTCTCCTTCAAATCAAATGTGCTGCTGACCGACGCAGAAAAGTGCCGCGCCTGGGTCGGGTTCGTAAAGTCAGTTGCGGATACGGCCAGCGCAACAAGTACTTGCACGAACGATTATTTCATTATATTTGGCTTAGGCTTAGTCATACTCATAGCCTCAGACTTAGTGCACTAATGTAGTAGCGTTTGGGTTTGCTTGGTTCTTAAACTTAATATTCTTCCATTCTATTTATCTATGATGAATCGGTGAGTTCTGGATCTGGTGCCACTTGAATTAACGCAAACAGATCCGACTTCTGCTGACCTTTTTTGCCCCCGTGTCGACGGAGCTGGGAAAGGCTTCGAAACAAGGAGGAGGTGTTATTCGCTTGCGTGGTTCGACAAGGACTTCAATGGTAATGCCAACCTGGGTGGGGCGGGGATGGTGAAGCACAGCACATGTGCGGGCACTTGGGGGTCCAAACTGTCCCTTTCGCAGAAAATCACGCCTCTCAGCAGCAACCTCTCTGAGCTCGCTGCCCGGGATGCCGAGGAGCCGCTAGTGGACAAAGACGGCACGAACCTGCTGACAGACTTCAAAAGCGAGGCGGGCGGCTTCCGGATGCAGCTACCAAAGGCGGCCTTGAGCATACCGCCCTCGTCGGGGGATGAGCAGGCAAGTTTCTCCTGCGGCAGGGAGACCGAGGACCGCGACGCGCGCCTGTGGCTTCGTGACGAATTCTGGGGCGGAAAAGCGAGCAGCAGCGACTCGAACAGCAACGATAATCTCCACAACGACGCTGTGTCCGGTGTGCGGCTGCAGATCGAGGTGAGCGCCGATTGTCCGGAGGAGGTTTGGTTTTCGGACTTCGAGGTCCGTGACGGCACAGTCTGCCCCGCGGCCGAGCGCGCGAGGAATTTGGATGCCTCCGCGCCCTGGATCCCGGCGGGAAAGAGCGCACGACTGCTCTACATGGAAATCGCCGCGAAAGTGAACAGCGCAGATGAGGGCACGACACAGGCAGATTACGTTGTGCTGCGGGGCAACAGGGCCGCCCGCGAAGACTTTGTGGATAGAGACCGCAAAGGGTTTCTTGAGGAAGAAATCACGGACGCGAACGGTTTTATGCTGTTGGGCCACCCCTGGGAGCCGTGCCCGTCGCCCGAAGATCCGCTTTTTGACGACCCGGCGCGCCGGCGGACGTTGCTCGTGACCTCCCCCGCGAACCCGCGCGGGCTTTGGGGCTTGGGCGAAGACTCGATTTTCGAGTTCCGGTCCGATCTGCTGACGAAAGATGAGAAGTGCAAGGCCTGGATCGGCTGGGTAGCGTATGACGAAAGCTGGATGACGGACATTACCGACCTGGCCACCTGCACGCCGATGACCAGGCCGTACAGCACCTCGGCTGGTTGGACCTACAAGGGGAGGGAGGTCACGAATCCCTGCATTGCCCTCCCCTGGCTCGACAGGCGCGCCGGGAACGAAGTTCGCTTCAACTACTGCGAATTGGTCCCGGGTGGTTTCGAGGGGGAAGGCATGCGGTTCGACTCGTGGACGCTGCCGCCGGACGCAGACAAGGTCCTCGCCGCAGCGGAATTCGACAAGTTTACTAATTGGAAAGGTGGGCTCCTTACAGCGTTGCCGATCCGTGGAGGCGTGCGGTGCGAGGACGCGCAAGCTATGAAATGGATCCAGGGCGCGAGTGGGTTATGGGGACGACCTAGTAGTACTATTAGGGGTGCCTCTACTGCTTCACGAGATCCCATGGTGGCCTTGAGAATTGAACTCAGCTCCGACTGCCCCGACGACATCACGTTCTCGGATTTTAGAATGCAAGACAGCTCGACTACTATGCACGGAGGGCAAATAAGCACGGATCAGTCCTTCGCGCAAAAGAACGCAGATTCTTCTGGCGCAAATGCAGCAGCAGCAGCAGCAGCAGCAAAGAAGTCGCCTCGTCGTCCGAGCGGGGTTGGTGGTATTGTGTTTGTGTGAGTAGTTTCTTCGTGCTGTAGTCGGAGATGCTGTTGCTCTCGCCCATCTGATGTTTCTTTCTGTTTTCGTTTTGTCTTTTTGATTTTGTTTCAATTTCATACATATGACGATGACCACGACGTTATCATCTAAAGGTAAAGGTAAAGGGTCTGTATAAAAAAGTTTGAGTTTTTTAAAATCGTTGTTGTAGAAGCGTGTGAGTTTGTTTTTCATTCTTAACGCATGGCATTACTGAGTCAACCCTTTGTTTCATTTTGATACCCACCCGCCCCGAAAAATTTCGACTTGTCTAAAGACGTAGCTGTCTAGAGGTCACCGCTGATCACCACCCCCGACCGATCGACGGAATAACAATAATCCCCGAGACTTCATTGCGATTAGGATTACAATTGCGTTTGAAATTGAATTGCTTCACCAAGAAAACTTCTTAAGTGATACAGCGTGAGCTTCGTTTTTCAGGGCGCAAAGTGAATGAGCGCGTGTCCCTCTGAATGTTCTTGTTTTCGTCTTCTGTTGCCTTCAAATTCGAAAATATGAGAACGAAAAGAGACGAAGAGCGACGAGAAGAGAGAAGATCAAGATACGATGTTTGTCGTCGTGACCAACCACGCAAAAGAAGTGGTGACGAGCAACTCGGGGCTCCTTCTTTACGTGTTCGCGTCTGGGGCTTGGCGGCACGCAAGAAGTGGAATTGAGAGCAAAAGCGCATCGTACTTGAACTATTGAAAACAGCAACAAGCAAATTACCTTGCTTTCATCTGAATGAATGGACATGGAGATAGAGGACGATTCTACTTGTACTTCACAAGACAACTCTTAGCAATCTTCATCTATGCTGGTCAAACTGTGCTTTGGCGGGCGTACAAGTCGTAGGTGAACTTCGACAAGACCGAGAATTTTCCTTCCTTCAGAAACAAAACGAAATAAAAGTACACCTCCTCGTCCCGTCGAAACAAAAGAAAAATAGAGCGGAGAATGCTGTTCAAGATCTTCGCCGGGCTCTACTTGCGGAAATAGGTCTGCTCATGGGTTTCAGTAGCCCGCCCAATACGGCTCCTTACACCGCACAGGGTCCAGAAACTACTTACCTGAGCCAGCAGCAGTCTGCGCACCAGCAGCAGTCCTATCAGGAAGGGTCGCGTCCGCGTTCTTATTCCATGAGCTGGATCGACGAGATCGTGCCTCCCAATGAGGAGGAGGACGACCAGGAGAACTTTGAGTATCAATAGTTTGGTACAAAAGAAAATTGAATATCTTGATCAAAATAAAGCCGTAAATCTTCAATCATTGCACCACGCTTTGCTGCAGCTGCACTTCTACCAGGCACGTTTTATTCATTCATCAAGATCAAAGTTGAGGTTCAAGTAGGTGTGTTGAGACGAGCTCCTCTTCTCATGTAGCGGTTCGATTGCGACAACACAATTCTCATACATTTGCAGCTTGTCGCCGACAAAATTGGGTGAGTTCCTGACCCGGCCGGGGACGACACCGGTTCCCGTGCGTCCACACGCCGTCGATGGCATCATTGAAGCTGCTCGGGCGAAACCCTCCGGACTCAGTCGTCGGATGAAGTACCGCGCGCGTCCACAAAAACCGGGATGTAAGAATATGATGAGCTCCTGCATTTTCCACCCTAATTTCACGTTTGTGTGAAACTGTAAGTGTATGTTGATGTTGTCTGTTCGCACGCAAACAAATACATTGCGTTGCAATCTCAAATGAACAGCTTCCAATGTTTTCTTCGACGCGTTGGATTACTCGGCGGGCGAGAAAGTGTCACCACGAAAAAAGCAGCTCGCTCTGTTCCACTTGCAGAATCCAAAGAAAAAATTCCGGCAAGCAGGTAAGACACGACAATAAAGAGTAGTAAGTACTTTGTTGTGCGTTCAACGTGTTGCACAACTTGCATGCATCCATATGTTTCAAGTCCGCTTGCAGCTCTGTCTTAGCATTGATTCTGGGATCTCGAGCGATCTCGTTCGTCCAGACACATTGACAGTTGTTCCACTTTATTTTCAGGTGCCTCTTCCTCGGCAACTTCAATAGATCCGAACCGCGTCCTGTTTTCCTCGCACGTCGATCGGCGCAGCCTCGCGACACGACAGGGCATGGGGCGTCGAGCGCGCAGCAGCACCGCACCGGCCGGCGATCTGGTTCGCGACGTGGAGTTTTCGCTGCACCAGGAACTGCACCTAAACGGCCAGCCAGAAATCGTTGACGAATTTCATTCCAGAGGATTAACGTTTCTGTTGAACCATCGGCGACCGAAGGAGATGAAAGCAGTGGAGCCGGACGGCCACATCGATCTGTCCGCCGGGCCCTCGCAGGAACTATCGCAGGAACTTTCACAGGAACTGCCGACGAGCAACGAGGTGTCGCAGGAGCTCGCCGCCCCGGGAGCGGAGTTGGCGAGCAACAGCAGCAAAGGCAAAAGAGGCACGAAACAAGCAGGAGGAGACCCGCTGAAAGACGCCACAGGCTCGATTTCCACGAATGAGCGCAGTACGGTGTTTACGGAAAACAGCACAACTCTGACGGAAGGCGCGACGACTACCATCACGGCCACGATCACGGAGGATGACGTGACCGGCGGCGCTGCTAGTTCGATCGCCGGTGGTGCGGGAGCTGCTACATCACACGGTCCGCGCAGTATGACCGCGGCCTCGAACGCGACGCGATCGACTTCACGCGGCGGCGTAGGAACGCGAGGCAGTAGTCGTGGGTTCTTGTCTTCCAGTCAAACGGTCAGAACGAACAAGAGCATGTCCAGTACGGCGACCAGTAGTGATCAAAACGCGATGAACGCCAAACGGGCCTCCACGGCGGGCAGTTCTTTGACGGCCACGACGGGGCTGCCGAGCACGGCCTCCAGCACCACTCGGCGTGGGCCCGCGGTGGGTTACTACCACTCGGAAATCTACAAGCAGAAACCAAGCACCACGGCGGGGACCGTTGGCGCGAAGCTCACGGAGGAAAGACGAAAAAACGAACACCACCTGCACCACCAGGGCCGGTTGCGCAGCGAAATGCTGGGCATGATGCTGATGGGCGGGAGTGGGTATGACCACGGCCGCGTGTTGCACTCGTCCCAGTCGAGCACGACCGCGTCGGAGAGACGGTCCCTATTCCCGCCGTCGAGTCCCTTCGAAAACGCCCCCATGACCATCACCTATCACGACGTGGGCAGTCCCAGTCCGGATATGAAGAAAAAAATGGCGCAAACGCAGCCGGTACAGCAAGAACCTGGTTCTTCATCCCAAAATCCCTTTTTGAGCCCTCCTGGCACAGCCAACAGCAAAAGCAGGTCTTTCGCCTCTCCGCAGAGTCAGTTCGTCGCGGAGCGGCTCGGGCTGCCGTCCACTGCTTCGCCGGGCACTTTGGCGCTGGAGCAGCTCACCTCCGAGCACCAGCAGATGGCGCAGCAGCAGCAGCTGCCTTACAGCTGGAATTTGATGACTGACGCGCAACTACAGAAGGACGGGAATGCCCTGTACAACAGTTTGATTCGTCCTTCGTCCAAGCAGGCTGTGGTGCGCCCGTCCGACCTGCAAGTGCACAACTCCCGAGGCGGCTCTGGTCGAGGCGTGTTAAACAATTCCGCGCTGCAGGACCCTCGCGTCTCGAAGGTGACCACGCTGGGCAAGTTTGCCACCCCGCCCGGCACCCAGGAAAAAACTTTGTTTCGCAAGCGCGCAATCCGCAATCTCGACGAAGCGATCGATTTTACCGAAGCAGCAGATTACTTGAATGAAGAGGATGAAGGAGCGGCTCTTCCTCACTCCGCGTCGAAAAAGAACCCAGAAATAAATACCGCGGCGAACAAGCGAAGCTACGTTTCATCTCCGCCGAAGAAAGGACAGCAAAATGTTTTTGTCTCCCCCTCCAAGGCCTTTCCGGGCGCCCCCCGCACTTCCGGGACGGCAAGCCGCCCGTCGACGCGACAGAGTCTAGGCAGTAAGCGGGCGAAACTGGTGCAACAGTTGCAGAACCAGCACACTGCTGCTGAAACCAAGGAGGAAGAACACGACGATGTCGCCGACGTGGAGGCGTTGTTAGGCGAGCTGGACGAGGAACAGCACAATAAGATGTTGATGAAGCCAGGGACTGCGCCGGGGAAAATGCTACGGGGTGGCAGGAACAAGGAAAATCAAGGAGCGACTGGCAGTTCTGGAAATAACGCCGCGAAGCAGGGCGGAAAAGGTAGTGCTGTTGGCGGGCCAGCGACTTCCAACAAGAGCAATCCCTTCAGCGAGTTCAAATCTGGCTCGTACTACCAAGACTGGCAAAGTTTGGAGAACTCTTCGTTGTACAGCGTGAGTCGGAACGGACCGCGACGCGGAGAAGACATGCAGCAAGGCATCTCAAAGTTGCGGACCAGGCACCGGACCGCGCTGGAAGGGATTTCCAACAACTTCAATGTCGTCTTCTAAGATAGACTGTGTGTGTCTACTGCTCGAACCAAAAACACAAACTGGAACTGCTGCACTTATCGAGCTGCTGTTGCTCCGCTGTCCTCTCTTTTGGTTTGTTGATAATAATCGCGCGACCATCAGCAGCTACAGCTTTAAATTTTGTCAGAGTTAGTTTCTTTGAGTTGAGAAGCACGCTTAAGCGTAGCGTTGCTACCTGCCTAGACAATTGTTGCCTATCATTTTCGAATTGAGCACGAACAACGCCACTATCTAGCGAGAATTACTAAAAATGCGCACGTTTCAGATTTTTACGAAAACTGTGAACAATGTCACATCGCAAAGAAGCAGTTACGAGTTAACTTTTTTTGTCTTGTTTCAGGAATAATCAGAAACTGGATTTTACGATCAACAGAACAAATTGATGAGTCAGTCGTGCTGTTCAGACAGCATCATTTTTAGCCAGAAATGCAAATGTTGTAGTGACAGACAGAATTTATACTCGAACAAGAGGAGAAGATTCCGAGAAAATGAATTGTTTGATTGACCAACAAATGCTTTGTGCACTCTTTTTTATCATTTGATCCCCCTCCTTTTTTTGGGTCCAGAAAAAAAAAATAAAATATCACGCAAGGAGAAAAGTCAAAGCTGTTAAGGAGAAAAGTCCTGCCAAGGAGAAAAGTCCAGCCAAAAGAAAAAAGTCCGAGCGTGCAACAGCTCGCGCGGTGTGGGGACTGGTCCCGCTCTTTTTCGTGAGAAGTGGCATCGGAGAAAGTCACCGTGACAAATTTCGCCCCTAGCGTTCAAACTTTCTGTAGCGTGTCCCAACCTCCGCACTTGTTAGTCGGGATGATTATGTTGGGGGCGCACGAAGTAGGGCAGTTTTTGCGCCCCCGCACCAGTGCAAGGGTTTCCAACCAGGTATGAAAGTAATGGCGCACGGGTGCGCGTTTCGTCGATTTCTTGCGACGATACTTTTCAGGCCGCAGGATGTTTGGATCTATTTTCACCAAGAATCTGCGCGATTCATCGGCCCCCTTCTCAATTCCGAGAAGGGGGCGGATGGCGGATTCTGGCTGACGTTGCTCCCGGTCCCGCATCCCGAAGTCAAGGGGCTGGCTATCGGAAGCTTTGCTCGGAATGAAGATAGGCCTGGTGGTGGGTTTTGCGTTGTGTTTGGTTTTGCGCTTTTGCACCGACGCGGGCGGCGATGCCTCGTTGAAGTAAGAAAGGCGCAAACCCAGACCCGGCGCCCGCAAAAAGCGGAAGCCAGGGAGGGCCGCGAAAAAAATCTCCGCGCGCGCTGCGCGCGCGGAGAGAAGTTCTTGCAGCCGAGCCGCAGGCCGTGCGGGCTTCGAAATGAGCGAAGGGGGTTCGGCAAACTCAACTCCCCGAATTTGCCACGCGCGCAGCGCCTTCCTTGTGGGGCAACTTCTTCTCCGTGCGGCGCACGCGCGGCCCGGCCCCTCCCATTCATATGGAACGCCTAAAATTTTTCTCGCGCGCTGCGCGCGCTGGCTGCCCGTCCCCTCTTTGTTTCTCTTGGCCCGTTTTTTGCTCACGCGGGGGCCTCCTTGCTGCAGGGGACGACAAAAAAGTTGTCGCGCGCAACGCACACAGCCTTGGGCTTCCTTCTTTGGGGGGCAAGCCCGTGCAGAATCCGCTTTGCGCAAGCGGCCTTTGATGTCCGTGCTTGTGTGGTTGGAGGGCGCCTGGTATTTTTTCCGCGTACCAGGCACGCAGCCTAGCCTCGTCGCCTTGGGGGGGGGAGGGTCTGAAAGATCTCTTTCGCACACCGTGCACGCGGAAGCGCACCGAGCTGGCGCAATTTCCCCGGTGCGTCTATTTTCTCTGCGTGTGGGGGGAGCCTGCTCTGATTTGCTGCTAGCCCGGCGGAGATGGGGCAGCATGGCGTGCGCGCGGTGGTGCTGACTCTGCTTGCGCGGCACGGCAAAGGCGACGCGCGCGCGGCCCGGAATTTTCTCCGGACCCGCGGCCCTGTTCCCAAAACCGCAAAAAAAAACTTCTTCGCGCGCTGCCGCGCGCGCGTGCGAATTCCATTGGCCCGCTTGCCTGCGCCGCCGGCGAAGGCCACAAGCCGTACGCCCCCCCTGCTGTCCTAGGCCGTGTGGGCGTTGCTGAGCGATTTCGTTGTGGGGCCTTTGCCGGGCTGCAGCGCGTGGCACATGGGGTACCGGCTACCCGAGGGAGGCGCCGTGTGTTGCCCTAGGGTGGTACTGGGGGCGTGCCGCGAGTCCTTGGCGCGGCGCTTTTTTTTCGCTTTCTTACTGTCTTTTTTCCCGCAGTGCTGTGTTTAGCATAGTGTATTCTGGCTAAGGATACCCTGGGAACAGCTCACGCGGTGCCAACATAAGTCCCAGGCTGGCTGTGGAGGTGTTTTTGGTCTCGCGCAGAGAATGGCTTGGTGCAGGACGCTGGGCGTTTTTCCCGTCGCGCAGTGTTTAGCATAGGGTATTCTGGCTACCCTGGGCGCGGCTTGCCCAGGATAGGTGCGGGTCTGTAGGTCGATTTTTGCCTCTGAATGTAGCGGGAGGTCGCTGAGTGTAGCGTAGGGAGAGGCCCCGTAGCAGGGGCCTGTGCCCGGAGACCGTTTTTTTTGTGCCCTGAACGCATTCGCCCCTCGTTTTCTCTTTAAGAAGTCCGTTTTCCCATCATCTTCTTCACGATGTCGGGGCTTCTCGAGATTTCCTTCAGAAGGGGACATTTGGGAAATCCTTTCTCCTGGGCTTTTCGCATGATTTCCTTTGGGAAATCCCTTCTCCTGGGCTTTCCGCATGATTTCCTTTGGGAAATCCCTTCTCCTGGGCTTTCCGCGTGATTTCCTTTGGGAAATCCCTTCTCCTGGGTTTTCCGCGTGATTTCCTTTGGGAAATGCCTTCTCCTGGGCTTTCCGCATAATTTCTTTTAGGAAATCGCTCGCCCCTGGGCTTTCCGCGTTATAGGAAATCTCTTCCTTAGGAGCCGGCCGCTGATCTCCGCGTCAACACGTACTGGAAGCAAGCTCCTTCTGATCTCCACTGCGAAACAGAGCGGAGACGAGCTCGGTGGCTAGGGTCTGGGTGGGATAGGGCCTGTCATAAGTATCGCGGTTTCTCCTTTGATATGGATCAGAGGGTCCGCGATGTCGGACTTTTCTCCTTTGATATGGATCAGACGACTTTTCTCCTTTGATATGGATCAAAGGAGAAAAGTCCGGACTTTTCTCCTTGCAAAGGAGAAAAGTCCGCTGGATTGATACCAGAGCGAGCAGCTCCTGGTCCAAATCCTTCTGTTTTTGCTTCAAATCTTTCCGTTTTAGCATCAAATCCTTCTGCTTTGGCATCAAATCCTTCTGCTTTAGCATCAAATCCTTCAGCTTTAGCATCAATTCCTTCTGTTTTAGCGTCAATTCCTTCTGTTTTAGCATCGATTCCTTCTGTTTTTGCTTTTTTCTAAATATCACACATGTTGTGATATCAGCAGCGCAATCGACTTTTCTCCTTTGGTCCTGTGATATCACGTGATATCACGTGATATCAAAGGAGAAAAGTCTTTTTTCAAAGTTTAAAGACCCTTTTTTAAAATGAAACAACCGAGTTGCAAGAGTTAATTCCCGCGGCTTGCGCATTGAATTGTGCCGGTGCTTTCTACACGCACTTCGGTTTGTTACTTGATGTTCGTGTTCCGGACTGTTGAGCAAGAGGCTCAGTAGGCAAGCGGAACAAAAGACATGGCTCTTCCAGCATGTCGGCATTGATGAGCTTGTAACACATGGAGGGCTCCGGTGCTTGATCGGCCACACTCGAATTCATATCAAGCGGTAAACACCACGAGAGTCGAGCCGTAGCCTTGCTCAGGTTCAGGAAAGACAAAGAGATGTAAGATGGGGTGGTGAAGGCGAGGGGCTGTGGTGGACGGGACTGCGGTCATCTCAGATAAAAACGGTTTCAATTCCTCCCGTCCTCGCCCGCCCGTCATGTTGCGCTTGGATGTTGTTTTGTCTGCCTTGCTAGCGGCCGCGCCATATGCTTGCCGCGCACGGCAGCTCGTCGACGTCGCCGGTGGAAATAAAACACCCAAGCTGCAGCTGCACCAGGCGGCGGCAAGTGCGAGCGCCCATCCCCTCGAGCATGCGGTGGCGATGTTGGCAAAGATGAAGGAGGAAGCCAGCGCGGATATGCAGAGCGAGGCAGTTATGTATGCGACATATAGCCAATACGTGACCGACGAAACCATTCGGCTGAACAGTACAATCAATGATCTAGGGGTGCAAATCGAGGCCGCAAACGCCGAGGCGGCGAAGCTCCGCGCGCAAGCGGAGTCGCTGGATCTGCAAGTACTTCTAAATCAGTGCCAGTGCAGTGTTTGCCTTTGTGCATACAAGTAGGAGCTGCTTCACCAGGTTTTTTGAGAAACTTGTTTGTATGGCAGTAAAGTAGTGGTTAAAAGACGACGAAATTCTCTGTGAAGAGGTCGTGAACTTTCGCAATAACACCTCGCCATCAAGGTAAACGAGACCACGACTGACCTGGAAAAGACCAAGACGGAAAAACACGATATCGATGAGGAGAACAATGCGAGAATCACCCAGTTTCTTGAGGCGGAAACGGATTACCGCAACGCGATCTACATGATTGAAAAGGCCATCGCGCACCTGAAAGCACGGGAAATTACGGATAAGAACGAAATGGACATCAAGTACGCAGAGCCGCCGGGGGTTGTCGGCGCCGCGCTGCTGCAGCAAAAGGCAAACATTTTAGCGAAGATGAAATCCTCAAGCAGTTCCTTTTTGTCCAACCTCGCGAACCGGCTAAAAGACCTCGTGTTCGGGCCGTTGAAGCAAACGAGCTGGATCGAGAACCAGCTGCAGCTACTGCAAGAGAAAGTCAGCTTGCACGCGAAAAATTTCACCGACACCGCTTCCGTGCTCGTTACTCTACGTGATCTCCGGGCGAGCTTCGCGGACGAAGTCGATGCGTTGGTCAAACAGGAATCGGCGGACAAACTCGCGTGGCAGCAGACCAGCCTCGCCCTGGGATTCGAGATCGAGAAACTGGAGCGCGCCATCAAGGACGCCACGGAGGGGGCCGCGAGCATGCGCGCAACAGCAGGGGAAAAAGCCGCGGGCGCGATCGAGGACGCGCAGACGCAGGGCGATTTGATCACGACCTTAGACGAGCTCGTGGCGCAGGGAAAGTCAAAGGCCGCACAGTTCACGGAGCGGCAAGCGACCAGGCAGAACGAAATCGCGGCGCTGACAGACGCGGTGTCTATCTTGTCCAAGCCGATCTCCTTGATAAGTACGAAAAGCGGACAAGAAGAACATGGTGTTCGTATCGCCAAAGAAACGAAAAAAGTGGTTTCCTTGCTGCAAGTTTCAACATCGAGCACGAAGAAAACAGCGGCAAAAGAATCCGTGCAAGAAGCGGAAAGCCGTGCCACTAGCATTGCGTTTCTGAAGGAGAAGAACTCGAAGTCAAATTCCGTGCTAGCCCTGGTGCAGAAGAGTCTAGCCGCCCAGGACCCGCTCGCCAAGGTGAAGGCGATGATCACGGACCTGATTACGCAGATGGAGAAGGAGGCCGCGGAGGAGGCCACGCACCACTCCTGGTGCGACACCGAAGTGAAAAAGACCGAGGCGGACAAGGAAAAGGCGGGAGAGGAGGTGGAGCAGTACTCCCAAAAAATCGCAGAAGTGTCCGCCACACTGGAGCGACTGCAGGCCCGCGTCCCGAAAATCAAGGCCAAGATCAACGAAACGATGACGGACATCGCGGAACAGGGCAAAATTTTCACGGACTCGCAAAACCAGATCAACAAGGAGCTCCACGAGGTGATGGAGGCGGAGAACGCATTGCAGGACGCCCTGGCGGTGCTGCAACAGGTCTACGGTGCTACGACAGCGGGAGCCGCGCCGCCGCCAAATTTCTTGCAGATGAGGAAAGTTGCTGTAGGGTCCATTCGTTCCCAAAACAAGAACGCGAGGGATGCGCCGGAAATCTTTGACGACAGCCCCTACACCGGGCAGGCAAGCGGTGGCGGCGCCGTGGACTTTCTGCAGTTTCTCCTTGGAGAGTTCCAAAAACAGAATTCGGAACTAGTCGCGCAGCGCTCCGACGAGCAGATGGAGCACACGCGGATCGTGAGTGAAATGCAGGCGTTGCAGCAAAAATACCAGTCGGATTTGGGGGAAAATCAAGCGACGCAATTGACCAAGCATGGCGAGCTGACGGGCGCGCAATCGGCCAAGCAAACCAGTGCCGCCGCGTTAGCCGCGGCAAACGCGTACTACGCAGAACTGACGCCGAGCTGCATTGCGGTCACTGATTTTGACGAACGAACGAAACAGCGGCAAGACACGATCCAGTCACTGCAAGAAGCCATGGAGATTCTGCAATCGCAATAGATAATTTGATAATAAATTGTAATTCTTTTTTCCATTTTCAAGCGATGGGGATTCATTTCTTCGCATTACTTGTTCGGCCGTACGGCAGTGACACATGGCGTACTACGCTGGCAGCTCTCCAGAACATTAAGTTGTAAAATGGAGAAAAATTATTATCAAAACCAATACCAACCGAAGTTGCACATCGGTATCGGTTTTTCTGCCTGATGTTGCAGCACTGCTTGTTCGCCCACAACATAACCACAATCCTGTGGACTTACTTTGGAAGTATACATTTACATTCACATTAGAATAAGAAGGAGCTTGCTCGTTCAGCGAAAGTCGTCGGCAATAGATACGCTGGTAGTTTGTGTTTGGCTTTGGCTTTCATCTTGGTTTTTCTTGTTGTGCTCGTTTTTTCTTCTCCGTCAAGACGGCGCCTGCTTGTTGAGCGGAAAAATAGGAAAGGAAGTCCAAAATTGCCTTGAAGGCACCCCACGGTCTGTGTGTGGCTCTCGTACTGTGTGCTTTTTCAATTTAATCTGCATCCCGTGCTGCAGCCCGATGTGCTGCCCCTCCCGTGGTATGCGTCTCTCTTTCAAGTGTGAAGTTTTTAGTGAGCTGGAACTTCGCTGGTTAATGATAGGGCTTGTCTTTATCGAGTAAAACAACTCGAATTCTGGTCCCAGGGTCCCTATCCGTTTCGTAGTGCCGTCGGCTCTGCCAACGCATCTCACTCATGTGGAAGGCCATGTTGGTTATCGAGCTGCAGTAGGCAGATTCACGACGAGGAGCAACTACTAGAAGTAAGTGGATTTTTTCTGCACAGTCAGCTGGTGAAGCACGGCGTGATTTGTTTTCGTCAACGACGAACTTTCTGTCTCGCTCTCCAGCGGGCAGCGGCAGCGGGACCAGCAGAAACAACGCATAATTTTGCAGTGTCGGTCGCTCAAAGACCAGGCACGCAAGAACGAATCGACTCCTGCGCTTTTGGAAGCAACATTTGAAGACTGCCCCCCGTTCTCGATTTTGTGGCTCTATCTTGATAGCCAGCGATACGCAGAGCACCAGCACTATGTTCCAGCAACCCGGGACGACCTCAAGGTCGTTGTCTCGGCCGCCGTTGCAGACGGGACATCTTGTGGCACCGCAGCTGCAGGTGAGACAAAAAGCATGTTTGTCGTTCTTGTTCCCGTCGGACGAAAAGAAAATGAAAATCAAAATGTTTGTTTCTTCTAAGTCGCCACGAGAGAACAAAAAACAAAAACTCCAGGTGCCCCAGATGGGTTTCAACATGCAACCGCTTTTCGGTGGCGGGTACCCGACCCTCGGTTCTGCTCAGAATAGCCGGGTTGCAACGCCTTTGCAGTACGCAGCAAAGCCCTCGCAATGTTTGTCGGCGTCGCAGAGGAGCGTCCACATGGTGCAGCACCAGCAACCCGCGCAATTACAGCACAGTGGGCCGGGCGTGCCTGTCGTCGGTCAGCACCACGCGGCCGCGGTGCAACAAACCAGTGCAGCGTCGACGCGCCAGCCTCCGCTGCCACCCTCTTCTTCGCAGAGAGCGGGTAAGATATTTTTAACGAAGATCAAGATTTTTTACTCATTGAGGTTTCATCTGTTACAACTACATGAGGGACTCATAATTGTCGAGTCCTAGGTAAAAATGTTGGATGCCTTAGCATATCACCAGAAAGTAGATGGTGTGGCTGAACAAAACAAAATAGGCTCCGCAGCTCCAATACCGACGTCGGCAGCAGCTGCTGCGTCCAGCGCTCAACCGCAGCACGGTATGCGGCCGCCTAGTGGCACTGGCACCGTGCAGCAGCGCGCCGGTGGGTCGTCTTCATCAACCAAGCCAGCAGGGTATACGTCGAGTAGCAGCACGCCTGGAGCCACCACATCGCAACAACACCAGCGCCCTGCTACTGCTGGGTCAACGATAGCAGCAAGTGCCGCTAGTACGCAGCACTACCAGCACCAGCAGACGATGATGCACAAACCGAGGACACCTGGGATGGCGAGCAGCAGCACGATAATACACCAGTCGCGCGGCGGCGGTGGCGGAGCACCACCACCAACATCCGGCAGCACAAAACCCACCACCGGGCCACCAAAAGTGCACTCGTTCACGAGCAAAGACGCCTCCTGCCAGCCGCGGTTGCAGACGCTAAACTTCAACCAGCGCCACCCACCGGTGCCGCCGCCACAAAAGCTGACCGCGAAAGCCAAGGTCGAAGCGACAATTGCGAAAATGAAGCGCGAAGGGCCGTTGCCACCAGATAAGATACCGGGCGGGCAGCGCGCGGCCATAACTGTTTTAGACGGAAAGTACGTCATTCGTGGGCCAAAAGCAGTGCTAGACTCGTTGCGGAAACACCCTGTTTTGGCGGAGATGAGCGAGAAAGATGCCGTCGCGTATTTTGCTAGTTTGACATCTTGATCGTGCAGCACCACTTTCGTGACTACAACTAACGTGCAGTTTTCTGACTTTTGATGCTGTATCTGCGGTTTTTTCTGGAAACCCCAAAGGCTATGGATCTGAATATTGAAAGGTGGTGCGAGGACGGCGCGCCTCCGAGCAACACGCTGATCGCGCTAGATTTCGATAAGACCTTGGTAAAAAACTTCCTCTGGGCGGAGCTAGGCGGCCTTCAAGGAGTTCAGGTAGTTTTTGGGTGCACTTGCATTTACTATTACTTTTTGTTTGTAAGAACCTAAACCTGTCGTGCCTGGTGCATGATCTGGATCAGTCGGCAAGAATGGCTATGACATCTTGCTGCGGGGGCATTATCAATGAATTCCGTTTCCGAAATGACCAGCTACACCAAATAAACCACAGATCCAGAAGGCCAACCTCGCAAACTGGGTTCGAGAGGGAAAACTGCTCGGCCAAGCGTTCGGAGGAGAGGACCGAATAGCCAAGCTGCGAAGAGTCATTGAAGCCAGGCATGCCAGGGGAGACTTCGTCTGCATCTTGAGCTCAGGTATTGATTGTTCAAGCAGTCAAAACGAATCGAGCCTCCACCTGTATACCCGCTACTCTCCGAGTCCGAGCTTTGATGAACTAAATGCATATTGATCTCAAGCTTGTGAAAGAGAGTGATACTCCTGCAAGATCAAGAAACACACACTCAGGTTTCGCGCAAGTGATTAAGATCGCTTTGCAGCACGTTGGCTTGTCCGATGTGTTGCCACAGGACCTGATCTTCGGATGCGACACGCAGCCGTATGGAATCAGTAAGAGCTCGCGTTTGGCGAAGCTGAAGGAAAAGCACCAGAGGGCGAAAGCTGTTTTAGTGGACGACGACCTAAAGTACTCGACATTCAATGCAATGCTGATCTCGTTGTAAGTATGTATCAGCACGAAGTCACAACTGTTTTCCACCACACTCATGGCTATATTGCACTCGCTAGGTTGCAGAAAAGTAGCGTTCATATTTCGTAAATCCTTCTTCCCAAAAAAATTTGCAGCTACTGCCGGCAGGCCGTGCAGCAGGGTCACAGCGCAATCTGGGTAAAGGACGGACAGGGTATCGAGGACGTGGAAATGCAGAAGCTTTTGACAGACTCCTTTGATGTGAATTTTTGAGACATCACTAACTAACTATAACTTCCACGTCTGAGCAGTTGTCAAGCTCAAGAAGAGCTCCCGAACTCCCGACTTAATTTGCGGCGACCTCGTCAGCGTCAGGGGGGGGAAGCTTTAGTGTGCAGCAGCACTTTTTTGAAGTTCACAGCCTTCTTCACCTTTGACATTTATCTTATCAGCACGAACGTTTGTTTACTTTGGCGATTGCAGCCATCACCATGCCAATAAAAGTCTCAGTGCTCATATGCTTTGCTGCAGCCGCCTCCACAACAGATCTGACGCAGTTTTGGCAGGTGAAGCATTAGTTAAAGGTAGTTGCGCGTCGTCGTGTATGTGACGCACATGGAAGGCGAATTTAGCAGATTAAAACGGAAATTCCATCGACGACCAGACCACCAAGAAATCGATCAGGGCAGGAAGCCAAGACATTTGTGTTCGGAATTGATTTACGCGACGAATTTACGGCATGGCAGCCACAGTGCGCTTCGTTTGAGCCTGACGGCGAGGCGGCGCCATGGGCATTTGTTAGGCATTTTGCACCGTTCTCGTCCAAGAGAACGCCACGGGCCGCAGTGTTCGCGGCAGGCCTCCGAGCTTCTGCGCTTGCCTGCCCAGACTTAGCCGGGAGCGCGTCCTCCCTCGCCCCCCGCCTTGGCGCCCCCAAGTACGCGGGGGCGGCCGCCTGCAAATGCGCAACCAGGGCCGACCGTGCGGCGCAAACGAAGACGGGCAGGGCCAAGACTTGCGCGCACCGGCGCGGGAGCTACGGCCCAGCAGGGTGGCGATTTGGACCTGGGCGGGTGTGTTGCTTGTTATTTGGCCGGCCCACCTGCGGGACCGACGCGCCTTGGAAGGGTTTCAGCCTCGACGGCGCCCCTTATGCGTGGCCTGCGAACTTGGACGACCCCAGGCGCTACAGCGCGGGCGGATTTTTTGTTTTACAACGAAGAGCGAGGCCGGCCGGGCCGGCGAGCTAGCAGTGGCGCGCCAGCGCCGCAGCTGATAGCCCCAATGTAATTGGCGGCGCCATTGGTGGCGCAGGCGGAAGCCATGGCGCCCAACTTCGCCGCGGCCGGGCGGACCGGGGCGAAAGGGGCCGCCGCATTGCAGAACGCCGGCGGCATTGCGGCGGGGGGGGGCCGGCAGCCCGCGGGGGGGCTTTGGTTTGTTCTTTGGCGGCGCGCGCCCAGCGCCGGAGGAGTTTGGCCGCCCGCCGGCCCCCCATTGCCCGCTTCCTTTCGGAGAAGTCCTTGGCGGCGTTATGGCGTGGAAGCAGGGCGGCCCAGCCAAGGGGGCGAGCGCGACCTGTATGGACGGTTTCGAAGTGGAGCAGGGCCCGGCCGAGGGCAGTGAAGCGGATGGATCGCAGCGATCGCCAATGCCGCCCGCGTTTCGAAAGCGCCGCAGGGAGATTGAGGGCGGTCGGCCCTGCCGGCCCAAGCATGCAGGGCCGGCCCGGGGGCCCAACAAGCGGCCCGGCGGTTTTGGCGGACGCCCGGCCCCCCTTTCATTCGCGCCGGCCGGCGCTATGGCCCGCCCCCGGCCCGCCCCCCGCCGGCACCCTGGTTGTTTCTCTTCTCCTTCCGCCGGCCCCTATTCTATTGCGCCCGCCTTTGGCGCGGCAGGCACGCAAGCACCCACAGCACACCGCCCTGCGGGCTGAACAGAACCGGCCCCGGCGCGCCGGCCGGCTTGGGATCGGGCGCAGCAGTCTGTGGGCGCAGCTGGAAGGCCGCCGCGCCGCTGCCCCTTGTTCTTGCTACCGGGCTGCTAGTGCCGGGGGCTGGTGCTGTCTAGTAACGTAGTGCCGCCTTGCCGTAGCTGGGCCGGTAGCCTGCAAGGCCAGTTGCATTTTCAAGATTCGGCGCGAAAGAGCCGGCTCGGCTCGATTTGATTGCGTGTCAGCATGTCTGGGGCCTGGCCTCCCTGATCCCTGCACGTAGGATTGATTTTCGCCAAGCACGTCGTGTGTGTTCTTCTTAGTATTTTGAAGATGATGAGCATGAAATCGCCGGAGACGCTTGGCGGCCCATCCCGTAAATAGTGAAAAGCTTCTCCTTATTGGGCCAGCGCCGCACCTACTTCTTCACTTTTCTTTTTCTTGCCTCCGCTGTCATACACGGAAACTTCAAACACTATTCCGCGCACGTATCAATTTGATTGTGTGTCGTGTCTTTTGACATTGACAATCGTGACTCAGAGGAGGAGAACCAACGACCCAGCACAAGTATCCTGTCGCACTTCAGAGTCTGAGTCTACGTCTACATCTGTTGCTTAGCATAAACACCGACTAAAAATATAATCATCATGGCGTACGGTCGACGGGGTTTGACGCTGCTGTTACTGCTGGCACTTCTGCTGGTGGTGTACGCAGCGACGAACAGTGTGTATTGGATCCATTGGATGGTGCTCGCGATCTTCATCGGCATGCTCTACATCTGCGACTTGGTCTTTCTCGGTGATGGCGCGTTCGACTTTGATCCGTTCTACGCGTCATACGCCAAGAAGACCGAGCCCGACTACTTCTCCCAGAAAGTCGGTTAAGCAGTTATTTGTTGTGCCGAGGAAAGATATTCGAATTTTTACACGACTTTTTTACGCCATGCTGTTCAGGGGTGTTGGGCATCAACAGGTTGGTGACTGCTTTCTTCGCCGCTGGCGGTTTCTGCGTCTGCAACCACGTTTCCGCCTTGTACCTCCTCCAGCGACGAAGCGCATTGCTGGACATAATTCGGAGGTACAGTAGTTAAAATCCCCATCTACTTAGTTGTGAGTTGTTTCCACTAGTTTACTGTGAACGTGAAGGTTAAAGAAGCGAAACCCGAAGTCGTGTTTTTCTTTGAAACACAAGCACGAAACTGACTCTTACCACAGGTACAACATGCGCAGTTGTAGGGACTGCACCAGCACCAGAGCAGGAACCGTATCAGGCGGCAGAAGTAACCGACCATGTTGGACGCCCTTCGGCGTGGTTCATCACTCCGTTCATCGTTCTTTCGAATTATCCTTGCCAAGCTGCATCTTCGGGATTCGTACTCGAAAATAGACCGAATGAAGATGTGTGTGGCAATTTTTCGTTGATTTCTTGTGCTGTTTTAGAAGTAAAAAAGTTTACCCTGAGCTGGTTGCGTTACATAGCAGCTTGCTGTTGCAAGTCAACATTCCTCCAGCCAAGCGTCGTGGCAGATCATGAATATGTTCCTTTTGTTGACAAGAGTTCCATCTACACCTTTCTCGGTCGGCAGTTTATCTCACGAGTCTACTCTTTCTGCATTGCTGCTGGGCGCGTCTTCCTCGTCCACTTTCAAATCGGTTGCAATCTTCAATACCACGGACGGTCTCTTTCGTTTTTCACTTTTCACGAGCGACCACTTGACCCTGCACGGGGAGGTCGTCAAGCGTATAAAGATGCAAACATTCTGTATCTAGTACAAACATGGGCGCATTTTTCGTGTGATCCATCTACTCGCTCCTCTCGTGATTTGATAGAGTCTCAATGCCTTAGGCTTTCCTTTTCCAATGTTTTAGTCAGTGTCTCTGTCTTTCCGCAAGGGTCGGCATTCGTGGATGTAGCTGCAAGTGCAAGTATTCGTCGAAACGTTTTTTTCTGCTGTCACACTCGTGGTCGTCATGGCGAAGATCTCATGCCAAAGCCAAACTGGTTAGAATTCACCGTGTAATACAAACTGCGGCAAAAGCATAGGCAAAAGCTGCAGTTGCCTCCTACTTACGTTTTTGAAGATCGTAGCAGAGCTTTTCGTTTCACTATCGTCGATCTTCATGTCCTCATCTTTGTTTGTGCATCATATTCCATTTTTCTTTTTGATTCGTGGAAACAGCTTTTTTTTGAGATACCTCTCGCGGGACGGGGTTCCCGGGTGAGGTAGGAAGGGGCGGTCGTTAAGAGTAGGACACCTTAGTTAGTACATTAGAAGTTGGGCTTTAGGATTGTTTTCCGCCTAGGTTTTCTTGTAGTCTCGAGTCTCATCGCATTATTTTTCCGTTCTCATTACACTTAGACTTACCCAGCACCTTTGGAAACGCAAACATGAACGTGCTTCAGAACATGCGTATGTGGTCCGATGCGGGCTTCACGGAGGACCAGAAGCGGAAGCAAAACGACCTGCTGGAAAAGTCGAAAGCGCAGCTTCCGAAGCTCGGCCGGGCGTTCGACTTGAAGCACGAGGAGGGTCTGAAGAACGCGTACATTTTGAAATCCCGAGCCAGCGAGGCTTCCACCCGCACTCCCTCCGCGCGCAGTGAGATCAGCTCCCGCTATCCCACGAAAAAAGTGTTACAGTTACACATTTGTAGTCAATTCAGCAACACAAATTTCTCTGCATGAGCGAGAAAACTTGTAATGCAGAAATCCTACGGGAAAACGCCTATGATACGAGGCTTCTATGAGTATCCGGCATGACAGAGCTTGTCTGTCTTGCTTGGCCTGCAACGCAATGTGTAACTGTCACACTTTTTTCTTGCGATACCCGCCCGGCAACCTCCTCCGGTGTGATGAGCACGCGCGCAACGACCCCCGCCGGCGTCTCGATGAGTATGAGCCGCGCGTCTTCTTCGAGTCCGACGAAAATGGGAACGAGGAATAGTGGGGCGTTCGCCAGGTCGGGCTCCAGTTCGAGAATGCAAAGCGGAATCAAACGAAGCACCACTGTCCAGGCTGTCGCAGTGGAGCACGAACAGTATGTGGAGCAAATGCAGGCCTTGGGAGTGAACACCGACACGGATGTAAGTCGGCCCGGAACTGCGCCCGCCGGCAGTATATTTGGCTCTCTCAGCATGAACGCTAACCCATCTTCAGGAACAACTTCTTCAATGCGCCCGGGGTCCAGCATGAACTACAGTAGGTCCTCTAGAATAAACAATTACAGCACCAGTATGACCGCGAGCCGGTCTCAGTCCGCTTCAACTCGCGGAGGCGCGTCCAGCAGTGCCGCGTCCATGAGGTACAATTTTGACGCAGAAACCTTGGAAAAAGCGGCGGCACGCCACGACCAGAAGCGGAAGCTGCGACTAGGCGGGCCACGGAACCCGCTTTTCGAGGGGCACTGGCAGGTGTTTAAGAAGCAGTCGGTGGTTTCTTTGGAGCGAGAATACAAGATCGCCAGTAAGAAAAAAGTGGAGGAACGGAAGATCGTGCGGGATGCGCATTACGCGTTGGAGAGCCGCGAAAAGGGGCTGAACATGCCTCCGGAGATGCCGAGCACCGCCCGAGAGATGGCGATCGTGCGCGCGCGTCGGTGGCGCGATGAGGTTATGCGGCGGCGGATCCGGGACGACGTTGCGTCATTGTTCAACATGAATGATTTGATGCGCGACTTCGAGAAACGGGTCAAGAAGGTTCGGGAGAAACTTCTGAAGGCCCAGCTCGACCCGCAGATAATGAAAATTGCGGAGGCGCTCGCCGCCGCGGTGCCCACCGCAAATACTGCGAGTACACCAACCGCCAGCAGTGGGAATCTCCTTCGGTTGCTCCAGGGAGACGACGACGGCAGGAACGCAGAGTTCTTGGATTCCATCGCTCGGCAGTGGCCGTACGGGTACAAAACGGAGCTGTTCAAGTGGCTCGGGCGGTTGTTCAAGGGCGTGATCGCCGTGGAAACCGGCAGGAGTACTAGCCAGGACGAAAACAACAAAGCGGTCGTAAAGCAGACGAAATCGGTCCTCAGTCTTTTGAAAGCGAATCCGAAGCACGCGGGGCAAATTCAGAAGCTGTTCGCGATCATCGACCGGCATTTCTTGCCGAAAGAGGAGGAATACATCGAAGATATCGACGAAGAGGCGGAACTGCTGAAGAAAAAGGACTTCAATCTCGAAGCACGGTTAGATGTGAAGGAGAAGCAGCGCATCGACGACATGCTGGCGCTGAAGCTGGGCGTGCATGCACCGAGGTGGAAGGGTTTCGGCGAGCCGATCTACGGCAGTCCGCAGTTTTACGGCCTAGCGCCCGAGCCGGAGCCGCCGGAAGCGACGCCGGTGGTGTTGTCCGACACGAAAGAGTTCGAAAAGCGGGGCTTGGAACTATTCCGCAGCAGACTTACCAGCTTCGGCACGGCGCAGGACGAGCGCAGAAACAACCAAGAGAAGGCGCGCGACGTGTACACGCAACTGCAGGAGGAGTCCGATTTCTACCGAAACAGGAAAGTGCCGCCCTGCGCGTGGAACGCGAACGAGACGCTGCTGGGTTCCGTGTGGTACGTGGATTTTCTCTGGGAGGTGCTGGAGAAAAAGTCGTTGCAACTAGAGCAAAAGAAGGAGTTCGTCCGCTTGATTGCGCAGCAGCGTGCCATCGCGCGACGCGACCGGGACGTAAAATCTACGGTGGAAAACGTGGAGCTGTTCCCCGCCCGGCAAACGATGTTGGAACCGCTCGCGAAGGGGAAAGAGGAGACGCACGAGGAGGCGCTGGAGCGGATCCAGGTCAACGTGGACCTGCAGCGGGCGCGGACGAAAAAGCAGCTGTACCTGCAGCGGAGGCGGTGCCAGACCTCGCTGGGCCTGCTTTTCAACCGAAAGATCGACATGCAGGCGCTCCAGGGGTACCTGGCCCGGAACAAGTTTGGGGACGTGGACCAGTTCCTCAAGAACTTCCGCGAGTCCCACCCGAACTACCACCGTCCAGAATCGGCGGGCGGAAGTCTCCCCGGCGCCGAGGAGTCGGTGTCGTACACGATGGGCAAAAACATCTACCGCAAGTTGCACGAGGGCATGGATCAGCTGAAAAAGTCGAAGGCCATCCGGAAAGGAGCCGCGGGGGTATTGCAGCGGGCGCGGAAGCGCTCCAGCAGTCGCGACGAGGAAACGACCGGGGACGAGGCAGCGGGTGAGGACGCCGCGGATGTCGGTCCGATCGCAAAGAAAAAGTACATCAAATCAAAATTTTTTTATTCGTGACTTTTTTCACGTGCCTTCAGGTTCAGGTTGCTATGATTGTATTTGTGTCACAGGCGACGGGGCTCTGCGCTCCGTAGTTTTGTAAAATTTCATTGAGCCGGCGAAGGACTAACTGGCAGCGTTTTCACTACTTTCAGGCGTAGCCAGGACAAGGCTGGTGCACGGTACCTGCAGAAGTCAAGTCTCGTCGTGCCACGCGGGATTGTGAAAGCCTTGGTGGAGAGCAAGCACTCTGTAATGGCGATGATGGATAGCGGCGAAGAGACACATGACATGAAGGACCACCGGCAGAAGCGGCTGCTGGCCATGCCGAAGAGTGACCCGGTTCTGAAACAGCACCTGGAACGCGTTTTCATGAAGGTCTTCGCGCAGGAGATGAAGGCACGATCGATCGTCTTGACCGAAAAGCAAAAGTCGGGGTCTCCGTCAAGCACCGCTGAGGTACGAAGAGGAAGAAAGCGCTTATTGTTATTTCAACAAGATATGAAATTTGATTGGTCTCGTCTCTACTTGTTAGTTTTGCTGGCACCACGCAATGTCTACTTCTCAACTAAAATCAAAATGCAAATCAGATCTCCACCTCCAGCATCACTTCGATGTTGCACCAGCTGCGGCACCTGGACGTGTCCGAGAAGCGCATCCAGCAGTGCCAGCAGATGGGCCTCTGCAACAGCGACTCCATGACGTACGACGAGTGGACGCAGTTTTACAACATGTACTGCCACTTGGAAATTGAGGACCTGGCAGTTTTGTTCCACCAGGCTGTCCGCGCGCGCCGACTGCACTCCGCGGCCATGCGGGCCTTGATGGATGACAAGCCCGACCTCGAACCGGTTCTGGACGTTAAGGGGTTCTTGGCGTTGTTGATGCGCGGAAACAGCTGGAGCTTGCTCGGGGAGTCGTATTTGAACGACCTTGTGGAGGCGATTCGCGGGATCTTCGACGATTGCGCTCCAACTACGCACAAAGTACACGTGCTCCGCGAGGAGGAGGAGGACGAGGAGGACATGTTGGGCGCGAACGTGAAGCTGCCGACCAGTCCGTCTTCGCCCGGTGGAGCTAGTGGTAACGTTATGTCGTCTACATCCCCGGCGAGCAGCACCAGGAAGACGAATTTGCGTCTCGGTGGAGGCGCAGGGGAGGTTGATGCCACTGATGAGGACAACGAAGACGGCGAGGAACAACCGGATGGTGCGTCGAAGCAACCGACCACCGGTGCGGAGTACGCAATCTCTTCCACGATGAACCGACCACCGGTGCTGAGCAAGCGACGAGACAGCAAAACCTTCGTGGACGAAAACACGGGCGAAGTGTTCGAGATCGTGGAGCTGCGGACGATCAACTTCGGGCAGTTCGCGCGCATGTACTACTACGCGGTGAAATCGCACGGGTTCAGTAGGGACGAAATGTCGGAAATCGAAGACGCTTTTGAGAAATTCCATGCGAAATTCCAGCTCGAGGCAGCGGAAATCTCGGACAAGGTGCGGAAGCAGAAAGAGAAAATCAGGTTGCAACGCCGGTTCCAGATGCAGAGCCAGATCGGGCTGGAGTTCGACCCGAACGCGACCGCCTCGGAAACGGAGGCGGAGTTGGAGATGCGCATGCTGACGCAAGAGGAGAAGCTGGAGCGCTGGGCGGTCGAGAGCAGCGAGCGTGCGGTGCTGATCAACGTGAAAAAGAGCATAAGGCCCATGCTGAATTGGCTCGGGTTTGCGGCAGAGGAGCTCCCCGAAAAAGAGATTGACAAGCGGTTGGCGCAGGTTGTCACGCACGTGGGTGCGCAAAACAAATTCGGTACCGTAGACCTGGATGGACCGATTGACTTGATGCGCAAGATGCTCGCGGAGGGAACGGTAGTACCCCTTCCGAAGAAGGAAAGCGAAGCCCTGGCGACAGTTGCGGAAGAGCAAGAAGTTGAGGACAAGGCGGACGCAGGTTCGTTCTCGCTATTTTGCTTTTGGTTTTGACTGCGTAGTTGCTCTTCGCCGCATAAGATTATCTCGTGGTTATGTGTACAACTAGGGTAAGTCTAAGTGTCGAAGTAGAAAAGCTGAAGGGAAAATATCTGCATCCTCATGATTACAGTCTACGGTCGTCGCCCCCAATCGGGGAACAAGCCTTCCAAGATCCAGGAAGCCAAATATCTGCCACCGGAGGGCTTCTGCTGGTTCACTTTCCCGCAGACGGTTTACGCTTTGTCCTTGTTCCGGGAGTACTTCGCGCAGTCCGTTTGCGACCGGTTTATGCAGGCGGACGTGGACGGATCGGGCGGGGTGGACAGCGAGGAGTTGGCGAACATATTGTCGGTGGTAAACCAGAGCAGCGTGACGCAGGAGTTCCTGCAGGATTTGTACACGGACATCGGGAAGGACCTCGACGACGAGTTAACGTTAGAGGAATTCAACGAGGTGTACAAGTTGTACCGCACGCGGGCGGGATTTTCCAACAACGAGATTGTCGAGTTCCACGCGGCCTTCGACAAGTTTGCCGAGCCATTGAGTAAGTTAAAGCGAATCGAGGAAACAAAGAAGACAAAGCTGCTGTCACTCGTCAACAAAACCGCACCGCCCGAGGGGTCTGGAATGGCGAACGGACATACGAACGGTGCCGGTGCTGCTTCTAACGGCGCGGCCAACGGAACCACCGCGGCAGCCGCCAGCGCGGCAAGCAGCCCCGGAGAACAAGAAGCGGCGTCAGCAAGTCCAACCTCTCCGCAACAGCCAGCTGCCGCAGTTGAGCAGACAAAGAGCCGCAGGACGACTGCCAGCTCCGGTCACCAGCAACAGCAGCAGAACAAAAAAACACCGGGCGCACGCGGCGCTGATTCAGCGACTTCGAGCGAAGATGACGAGCAGGTTCTGGCTGACATGCAACAGGACCCGAATCTTCGCGGATCGAGAAGGAGCAGTCTGGCGACGAGCATCAGCGCAGGCGGCGGCGAGTTTGGTGGGTCCAGACCAGGATCGCCCTCCGGCAGGCACGTGAGCATTATGGACGTTCCCGGGAGTCCTCGATCGAGAATGAGTGGCAAAGGGGTGACCACCAGCCAAATTTTTGGCAGCGCGTCGGGTGCGGCCTTGCTGGATGATGAACAGGACCAGGCCTGGATTGACGACATGCTGTTCGATCCGGAGACCATGCGCACGGTGAAGGACAACAAAAGCACAAAGCACATGATGAAAATGGGCTTCATGAAGCTCAAATTCGCGCGCCACTTGCGGAAAGCGCTCCAGGCAATCCGGCAAAGACCCGCACACCTGCAGCACGGCGGGTTGCAGCAGGCGCGGCACGATGAGCGCGACCGGGGGAACATTCAAAATAAGCAGGTGCTGTTTCTTGCGGTTTCGCAACTCGACAAGGTGTTCCGGTGGCTGGGCTACGACGCGATGCCGGACTATTTGATCCGAAAATCGGCGGAACTGGGGATCGACTTCGCGGTGGACCGGTATGACTTCCTGAAAATCGCAAAAGCGGTGAAGGACGTGATGCACATGTCCTTCTCCTTCCGCTGGGCCCAAATATCCCACCTGAACCCCTTGGACAACCAACGGTATTGCACCTTCGCCAGCTTGACGTCGATGTTGAAGGGGTTGGGTTACGCGACGTCAGTGGCCATGGCCAATCGGGCGGCGCTGGAAACATGTACAAGCAACGAACAGACTTTCATATTCCAGATTTTCTTTGTTGAAATTGAATTTTCATCATCTCAAGTTTTGTTTATGATTTTCAAAATAAAAATGAAACGCAAAAAATAAAACGAGGTCCCGCTCTGGATTGGATTCTGAACCGCGAGAACATCGACCCCGGCACCCTTGCCATGATGACGGTGAGCGAACCCATCGCGTGGCCCACTGACTTGAGCATGGTCCAAAATGAGGAGACGCGAAAGATGCTAAAGACGAGGCAGCGCGTTACCCAGCAACGCGCGCAACTATTGAAGAACCGCCGGAGCAGCAGCAGTAGTGCCAGTTTGGGCTCGCATGACTCTATGCCAGTCGCAGCAGCCGCAGCTGTTCCGGTAGAGTTAGCAGACCGAGTAGACGGTGAAGATTCATTTGACGTCGATCGGCAAGTCACCGAGGAGGTGGATGACGAAAACGAAATTCCAGCCCATCTGCCGGTCTTTGACCCGCGCGCGACCGCAACGTCTGTGAACTTCGATCCGGTGAGCACGAAGCAGGATTTGTTCGAGACGGTGTTGAAAGACAAGTGGATGTCGGAAAAGCAGTGCCGAGACGCGTGCAGCGCCGCACGAAGAATGGCGAAAGAGAACTACCAAAAGTACAGCGGGTTCTCGGACGTGGAAGTACTGGAATTCAAGCAGCAGTTCATGCGGCACGCGGTGCGGGTGAGCGACTTGACCGAGGACCGGGCGCTCTTCGGGTTCGGCCTCCGGAAGGTGCTGCTGGACCTGTTCCCGGATGCCACGCGAGACCCCGCGGTACACGCACTCATGGCGGATGTGCTCGATGCGGTGGACCGGGACCGGTCGGGAACCATCGACTTCGCTGAGTACCTGCAAATCATGCGGGTACACACGGACGCGAAACAGAATCTGTTGTAGGAGGATGTGGATGAAATCATGTTGCGTTCGTGATGGTGATGGAATCGGGAAAAAAACTCACGTTGAGCATGAGGCACAGAAGTAAATGAAATCGCTACCGAGGTGTACTAAGTTTTTCATGCAAGAAGATGAATAGATGATAGAACATACAAGGAGTACATGTGGAAGTACCGATGTTAATCGATGTGATTTCAGAATTTCAGTTTCGACTAAAGTTTCATTTATCAAAAGTCAAGCGTTCTCTGTATGCGAGTTTCATCTTAGATTCAGTTTCCTGTAATGTAGTTTTACGAAAATATGCACAATGCGATCGAAATACACGTAATCGTAATACTAGTTGTGTCAAGAACTGTATAAAATTTTTGTGATGTTTGGTCATATTCATAAACTGTTTTGTTGTCGTTTGTGGTGCTTGTTGTACTTAGGTTTGTGTATCATACTGCTTTCCCTGGGACTTCTGTAGATCGTCGCACTTTTTTCTGTACACTAGAGCGATTTGCACGCTCCGCGTTAGCGCGTAATATCATTTGTAAAATTCAAAATACAACGAGGAGGAGGAGGACGCAGATGAGATCCATTTGAAGGATCAGTAAAGCCTCAAATAAGCCAAACTTGCAGTTGCGCTTTGGCAGTTCTATCGGATGTCAACATAGAGATACTAGTGCGACGAGGAGCGAATGCGAAACGGGAGCACTTCACGGAGTGAATAGGTACAGACGCACTTGGATCTTGGAGTGCGTGGGGGGAGGCTTTAACAGGTTGTCCAGGTGTAAAACAAGACATATGTGGGACGAGCGCAGTTCAGTTTCTATTTCATCTCCTGTCATCAAAGTTGCAAGCTCCGGCCGTGCATCAAAGACAAAGAAAAGGAAGGTGACAATTATGCGGAATGAAGAAAAAATAAAAAAGTAAATGACCACGGCAAGAGCGACAAAGATCCAACTACTTTCCTTTTTAGTTCATGAGTAGAGGTAGCAACATCATCAAGGAAGTGTATGTTTGATGTGACACTGACATGATGGCGCCGACGAAATCTTAGTGGTTCAGTGGACAAGCTCCTGTACCGCGACTCCTTCTTGGTTGATCCTCGAAGGCTTCCGAGGACAAGATGGCGGACGATTCGGCACAACACCCCGCCTATCCAACTAAGCCTTGCCTCGCCCCCGCACTCGACTTCTATAACCACGGCTCGAAAATCAAGATGCAGATGAAAAAAAGCAGAATGTCAAGATGCCATTGAACAATCAATGGCCGCACCACAGTTAGAGGTACTGTTAGTGGCATGATCGGCTGTCAGCTGCATGCCCGAATAAAATAGCCACAAGTGGGTGCGAGGGTAGGGGTTTTGATTGACTTGGATACCGCCGGGAGCACGATGCTCAATAAGATGACAGCGGAAAAGGTGCCCGCTCGGCAAAATGCGGAGCGGAAAATGGAGGATGGCAGCGAGGTGAGCTCGAGTTTTTACATGGGGGAGTTTGAGGTGTACGGCACCATGGATGAACCTTTGTCGAAATACGGTCCCCACACGCACTTCAACTACAACCCGATAGCCTTAGCCAGTCCCTTTGTCATATGGGAGTGTCAGGATTGAAATCGTCAAAGTTGAAATGATTTGTCATGCATAATTTATGCAGAGGACGCATTTTTCTTATTAAAATGCGATGCAAAAAGTGACTCTATTGCAGAGGACGCACGGAAGGCAGATTATAGTCCTGGCAAGGGTCAAAAGGTGGACTGCTGACTTGCATGACAGAAGGCAGCTCTTTTGCCCTAAACCGCGTGACAGACTCGCTTCCAGGACCGCGAAAATTTGTCATGCGCCGACTACAAACTGTAGGTCTAACTGGTATCGATTTTATGCATGACAAACTATTTCAACTTTGACGATTTCAATCCTGACACTCCCATATGTCATCGGACGGGTCGCACACACCATGTTTGCCAGCTGGGAAGTCTGGAAAAACGTCTTGATCGTGTGGACGTACTAAGATGATTTTTTCTGTTTTTATTAAATTCTCGGCCCGGGGCCGGCGCCGGGCACGAATATGATCAAGAACCATCTTCAACATAAGAAAATAGTTGATATGGACGAGACGGATTCCCAGCATGCATAGTACGGTTGTGATTTTGTTTTTGATAAAACTAACTAAAAAGATTGATCAGGGAAATGAAAAGAGAAAAAAAAACCGCAGTATCATGGTTTTTGCCGCGGTCACAACTGCCATTTTGACGAAGGACCCGAAGCTATCAAATGCAAATATGTCTGGGTCCTCTGGGACATTGCAAGATTTGTCATGCTATAGTCTGGCGTGACTCTGAGCTCTGCATTGCATGGCCGCGGAGAGCTCCTCCTCCCTGTCATGCAAAAACGCAGTTGCTCATGCAGAACACGCAACTCAGAACCATGAAAAAAACTTGTCATGCTTGGCAGCGCATTATAGTGAGCTCACTTCTCCCTTCCTTGCGTCACAAGTTTCCACACCCAGACATATTTGCAATGCATAGAAGCACGCACAGGATCACGAGATCTTGGACAAGATAATTGCGTTTTTCCGAGCTTTCATTGCGTTTATGTTGGGTTTATGCAATACAAATTTCCCGTACATGTACAACATGCATCAGAAATTTCACAACCTTAGGAGTAGAAGCAATTTGTCATGCTGCTGAGAATTTAAGGAAAAGTTTGTCATGCAGAGACCGCATCTCTATGTGTACGGGAAATTTCCTGTGGATAGGGTTTGTACGTGTCCCACGCCGCTGGGAGGTTCCACACCATCGTGAACGAAATCATCAACTTATTCGACCACATTCGACAGCTGCAAACGGACTTAATCATGTACGGTGTCCCGGAAAAGGAGCTGCATATCGTGAGTGATGTTGTTCAACATTTTCAGCTTATTTAGAAGCTTTTTATCACGAACACGATGGCGCTTGTTGAATTGCATCGTGCTGCTCCCAACTGAAGATTGATGGTCAGTTATAAACTAACTCAAACATCAATACAATATCAATCTACAACAGATCGAGCGGTACGGGGTCCTCTCCATGCGCATCTTCCACCAAGAGCTGAAGGAAATCCACAATGACCCGCGTATGCGGAAGCAGGAGTGGAGCTATTTTTTCGACGATCTGGAGGAAAAGGGGTACCTGCAAGAGAAGGCGGAGAGAACGAGCCTCGAGAACAATCTAGTTGAGTCCAACGCGGACTGCTCCACGCTGTGCTACCTGTGGATCCAGAACCTCCTCATGCGGCTTGCAGTGGATGGCTACGTGCCGCCGCCACCATCGCCATCATTCAACCAGCTAGTAACCGAGGGGAAGCGCCAACCGCTGGCAAGTATCCAGCTGTGCAAACAGCTCACCGCGTTTCAGATGCCGTTCGGGTACTACATAAGATGACTTCTGCGTAGATATCGTTTGATTCATCTTCGAGTTCAGCGAATTACATCCAAGAGCTCGTGGTTTAGTTAGAAAAAGACCTGCTGGAGAAATGTGTTCATGCTAGTACACCAGCGTTGGCATGGAGTTTCAGTTACAGGATGCTGCACCCGCTCCTGACCAAGAATAAATTGAAAATCATTTCAGCTACGCCCACATGCTAGCAGTGTTGATCCACTTGAACAACTGGCTGATGGGTCTTTCCGCCGGAGTGGCCATGGGCCTATGCATTTTGCAAAACAGCCGCATCGCTTACACGCATCTTGACATGCTCATGCAGGCGTATCAATACATAAAATTGAGTGCTGGGATGACGATGAACATGAACTCAAGTAGCGAATAAACGCTGGAGAAAGGAACAAGGGCATGCAGCCTTGTTCATCATGGGATGCCATAAGAAAATCTTAGGGAGGAAAAACAAGGAAGCAGTTTTCTTGAAAATAAAATTATCATGTCCACGAAGAATAAATGCGGCAGTTTTGCAAAGGATAAGGCTTTAACGTGAGCAACTTTGCGCGACAACTGTTCAAGGAACATCGTTTTCCGATGACTCCGATAACGAATATCTCGGCCAAGTTCCTGTACGGGGGTCTCTTCCCCTTCTTCTTCCAGGGCTTCTTGCTTTCGGCGCTGATGATGTCGTCGCCGTCCCTATCATGAGGAAAAAGAACCCCGTGCCAGCCCCGTGCCCGTACTTCTAAAATACATTGACGCTTATCATGCTGGATTAACGATTAGCAAGCTTTAGCAAGAAAACAAATGCAGCAGCAGATGCATAAGCATCTGGATTGGTTGTTCTGGCTGCGTCGGGACTGCCGCGGGTTTTTCCTTTTGATAGTCCCACCATTTACCGATCGCCCAGATGATCCGCACTCTGGAGCACGACCTGCTCGCGCAAGAGCACATCGCGAAGCACCCGCACCTGTGGGATCGCCCCTACCTGAAGCCGCCCCCGGAAGACAAGAAGAAAAAAAAGAAGGATGACTCGGAAAAAAAGTAGGCGACACGGACTGTCGCGCAAATCACTTGCTTAAAAATACAAGTGACCATCGGGCGGGTGGGAATCAAGAACGAAGGACGAGAATTTCGCCGTCCGCAAGAGGAGCCTACATGGATATCTGTGGTTGAGTAAGACTGATGATCTTTCACTTTAACTAAAGTGCCGCCAAGAAAAGAACAAAGAAATCAAAGATTCTTTGACGTCGTGTCAGAAAAGCTCACAGCAGGTTCAAGAATCGAAGTTGCGCCAGGCTTTGAAGGTGATGTAGCAGTGTTAATACAGATGCACATGTAACAAGAAAATCGCACTCGTCTCGCTTTTAGATAGTCTTCCTAGAAGATACGCATGGGAATTGTAATCGAATGAAACACACGAGAAATAATTGACAGACGCTGGTATCGTGGCATGATCATGATGAATATGTACTCTGTCTTCAACATCAAGTACACACACAAAACTTTAACTTTAACTTTGTCAACAAGCCTACAAGGCAAAAAGTAGTCGTAGTCCTTCTTTTCTTCAACAATTTGAGAATACAGCAAAGCAAAGTTTTTCGGTGTTACGTGTAGGTTTTTAAAGGTCTGCTCAGTCGCAGCTCTACCAAATGCAAATGACGTTTCGTTTTTTATCACCAAATGAGCCTGTAAAATTCTTCACTCCAACTTCATAACGAACGCTTCTAAGAGATTAAGGTAAATGTGAACAGCTGACGAGAAGGAAACGCCTCGAGGTTCGTCTTGGTATTTTGTGTTCCCTCTCGTGGAATTGCTAATCGTAGCCTCGCAACGTCGACGAGGAGTCTAACAGGACACACTAAGGACCACTGTCGGTCGTGTATGTTGGAAGCAGATTCAACAGATCGCATGCTGTGTAAGTATGGACCACGCGGACCAAGATATATAGTGCGTGGAAACGAAGGAATGCGAATGTGACGAGGAAGAAGTACTAGAACCTCAAACAACGCCCGACCTTCTTCAGATGCTTCAACTAGGCGAGGCTCCACGTTTCTACTTCGGTCTTGACTAAACACTCCCCGCAGCCCGCGGCCACCAGTGCACCTCCTTCCTCGTATTCGTTTACCGCAGTACTACGAGTGTACAACTTGAGGTTAGTTTATACAGGTGACAAGATTTATTTTAGACATGATTTGTCTCCAATGAATTGTCAATCCCAGTTTAAGTCTAGCCCAGCGCAAGAAAGATCTTTCCTGTCAGGCTTTTTATCCAAGAAGAAAAGGAACAACGCGGGCAAGCGCAAGAACGAAAATGGCAGCAACGTTCTCTACGAGTAAACAGGTGATAATTCCTGAGGGCCGCGGCCGGGTGCGAAATTTTGTTGGTACCGATGCGGGCCAAGTGACGCTGTCTTCGAAACACGACCTGGGTCGCGTCGAGCAGGACTGGTCAGAGTTTGACCAAACGCGAACGCTTGTCAAGGGCGCAATAACGCAGGCGGTGCGCGATTTCCAACAGAACTCTGCACACGAAAGTTCAGGCAGCGTGCCGGTGCTAGTCCGCCAGGACGATTCCCTAGATTCCACCGCTGCTGCAGCGGGCGCAGGCGGGGGAACAAATGTCAAGCCGGGAGGTATGCTCCGAAGACCTTAGAAACAGGAGTTTGTAATGGTTTGATCTTGCTCGAAGTGCCAGTGTCGTGTCTCTTTGGAAACTTCTTGATGACTTCATCAAGTTCCTGCACAACAGAGCAGCTGCACTCTCTCATAGTTATCTTTGTCCATGATTCACTCAGGCCCTCATGCTGCCGTTGGCCGCAAGCCTAAGACCGGCGAAAAGTTTGACCCCGACGCGTCCTACAGTTACAGCGAGAAGTTTTACCAACCGGGAAAAGGCGGTGGCTCCCGGTCACACAACGTTAGCCAGGAACTTTCTCGCAGCAGCTGCAGCACGCAGTACGTCGGGCAGGGCTCCGCGAGGAGGCCGCACAAGGCCGGTCCCGCTCCGGGACAGTATCAGTGGAAGGACGAAGTACACTTGACAAGACCCGGGCAGTTCAGCATTGTCGTGCCGGACCGTAGCAAGCTAGATCCCAATGTAAGTTAAAGTCTTCATGAGCTGCATTTACAACTTGATCTTGATTTCCATACTCCTTGCATTGCTGCTTTCCCTTTCCCTGAAGATTCTAATCGCGGTGCTGGATGTGAATCCCGAATTCAGATGAAAATCTATGTCGAAATATCCCTTGTCGCAGGTTGCTGCCTGGGTATCTGCAAGCACAAGCGAGACGTTGAAGCCACCGCCGGGTGCATACGGTGATCTTTCGAAAATAAAGCCGCAGGGTGGGGCTGTGAAACTCCGCACAGTGTCTCTCGGCGCGTCCAAGGCAGAACGAACGGCGCCCATATGAAAGTGGAGAACTGCAGCTCTCCTCCCCATCCGCTCTCGAAGGGCATTGACATATTGAAGAAGATCAAGGTATTGAACTACAAAAAAGCAACAACTCGCGACGCAATCACTGCCCAGGTCAAAGCTCTTTGATGCAAGCCAGGGGGACGAGGGGGAGTCCGAGTTGTGCACTTTCATATCCGAAGGCTTTCAGTAACGACCTGATGTACAGACTACCGCCGCTGTTTGGAACTTGGAGGCATCCCACAATTCACGTCGCACAGGGTTTCTCCGTCCAGAGCTGCGAGCGGAAATTCCTATCGTATTCATTTTCCTAAGCACTATTTACTTAATAAGATTTGTTAGATCATGATGTTCCCTTTCGAAATCGAAGCGTTGGTGGTATGCAAATTATGTCAATGAAACTTTGATTGCCTGCTAAAGATTTTCCCAATCCTTCTAAATACTTATGCGTGGCACCTTTCCCAACTGTATCTGTTGACAGTGAAGCATACAAGTCCAAATAAAGTAGAAACCAACGCAAGCTCAAAATCTTTCCAGCGCACGCGAGGACAGTTGGTTGCCGCTGCAGACCAGTAACCAGACGCCGGGCCCTGGAGAGTACGCGAATCCACGGTGGCTGGAAGGAAAGAAAAAGAGCACGCTGCTCGGCCACTTTCACAACCCGAAGAAGGGCCCGGCGTTCGGGCGTCGTATCGACAACTTGTCGACGCTGCGACCGTCCTGGATTCCAGACACCTTCTCGGTACGGCACTTCCGGAGTATCACGTAGGAACTCGAACTCGTCGATTGGCCCGCATAATTCTCGCTGCTTGCGCCTTAGCAGCGTTTAATTATGTTTGTTTCCATTTCCTCCAAGTCCAACATGGGCATTGTAATTGTATGATGATAGGCGCCGGCTTTCTTCTGTCACCAGCAGAGCCAACTTACAGCAAATGAACCTGCTGCTCGCGGAACAGTTTCTGCCCCTGTGACTGTGTGTAAGATTCGCATTATCGTTGAGTAAAGCAAAACAGAAAACAGAGAGTCGAATCATGCGACACCGCATGCGAGAACAAGAAGGACGAAAAGGAAGATCATTTGATGTTCTACACCTGGAAAAAGCCTCCAATATTGGCCGTTTTTTTGTCATCAACGCTTCCGACATCAAAAACAAGTCAAAGTTTGGGCTAAGAAAAAGAAAACCGGATATTAGTATGGGTGTGCTTGTTTCAGGTGCGCATTGATTGGTCGTCAGTCGGTGTAGTTTTTCGTCCGCCGTTGATCTGCTAATTTTCCGCGGCTCCTCCAAGAACTTTCCGTTCATCAACTACATCTTTTGCTGGTCAGAGAATCACTATTATGCCATGATGGTGCTATTTTTGCTAGTCCTAGTGGTTTCGCCCCGTGGTGTCGTGGCCTTTGTTTTTTCGCTTTCGCATTCGTAGGTGTCGTGATGGTGATGATGCATAAACAAAAACGAAGGGTCATAGTATGAACAGTCGTTTTTTTTTGTTCAGGTGTCTCCTGGTCGTAAATTGAATCGGTGGGTTTTTTGTTTTGATTGATTGCACACCTATTGTTGCTGACGCCGTCGACAGAAACATCTCTTGAATGTCAGATGTGTCTTTTGGTTTTGCGAGTAGAGTACCCACCCAGCACTTCTAATCAAAGACAAGGAAACAGAAAGCGCCTAAAAACCGCCGCAGACAGCGCAATGGAATCCCAGCAAAACATATAACAGATACAGAAAACACGCGTCAAACTGAAATTTTGCAAAAGGAAAAATAAGAATAACAGCAACGGCTTCATCTACTTGGCCTTACGTTACAACTGTGCTCACGGTTACCACGCTTAGTCGTTTTATTCAACATTCGGTCTACGTCTCCGTCAACATATCTGCACTTCAATAGCTCGTCGTGATCGTGACAGGCCAAAATAAAGCTATCGACTCTAATAAAAGATACTGCTCATCGATCCTCGAGATTGAAAACAGATTTAGAAAATGACAGCGGCAACATCTTCTTCCGCACGTGGAGGGAGCAAGGGCGTTTCCCCGCGGCGGGGCGGCGGCACGCCGCGATCCCAGGGCGCCGGAGGTGGAGCGGCGAAAGGAACCGCTGACGACAAGAAGGCAAGCAAAGCAGCCGCAGGTCAGGCCTTAACAACGCCAACCTCCACTCCGCGTAGTCCCACGGCGAACAATCGTGGAAGCGGCTGGGACCGACTCACTAGTGACAGTTCAACTGCCACTTCTCCGCTGGAATCCGCCCTGGAGATGCTGAAGCACCCGGCCGTGCTGATTGTTCTGGTCGTGGTTCTGGTTGTCTTCGGCCCGTCCCAGCCGCTCACGCCCGAAGCGCAGGACCGGATGGTGAAGGCCATTGTGGAAGAGCAGAACAGCGGGAAGTTCGCTTCCACGGAGGACGTGCAGATCCTGGAAAAAAACCTCCACTCTGAGATGGACAAACGCGCCACGACGGAGGAAGTGCAAACTCTGAAAGACAACCTGCAGGACGACCTGCGCGCGGTGTTGGATACACGAGTGGCAGAGGTTACCGCTGCAAGTACCGAGACTTTCACCCAGTTTTCCGATACCTGGGGCTCCTCTCTGTCGAATGTCACGGTAAGCTGCGCTGGTGGTGGTGCTCCTGCTGTTCGTTTGATTATTGCATGCTCTCGATATTAATGACATTTTTATCATAATCAAAATCATGTGATATATACTAATACTACACACCCACGATCATGTTTTCATCGACGATCCACCACAGGAGAATGTCGAGAGCTTGACTTCCCGGGTGACCTCGCAACAAGAGAGCAGCGCGAAGCAAAGCGGGCTCTTGACAGAGCTGCAGGATACCATCACGAACTTGCAAACCGAAGTGCAGCAGTTGCGCGAAAAGCTAGCGGAGGTGCCAGCGCTGGTCACAACTTCTCACGAAGGGGCTGGTGCCAAGACCTCTCGTCCTGCTGTTGGCGAACACTCGGAACCCTCCCCAGCAACATGCGGTGTGATTTCATCCAACACGGCAGTCGCGCGCCTGAACTGGGCCTCGAGGAGCCTCGGCGCCGCGATCAAGAATGCCAGCCCGGCCCGGGGCGTCGGCACGTGGCACAAACCCCTGAACCTGGTCGGGCAATTCGTGCTCCCGCAGGAAACCCTCGCTAAGATGACCCTGCGAACCAGCAAGACGGCGGACGAACTGTTGCTGCCGACGCCACCCATTCCCGGCGAGGCGTTCTCAACCAAGCTGCCAGGTAGTGTTATTGCAAGGCAGGATGAACGTCTTCTTGGTTCTTGTATGTCATGTGCGACACTTGCTTCTTGAAGCTATGCGTTACAATTACAACTTCTACAGCTGTTGTAGCCCCCCGTGTCACCGCTAAGTCACTAACTACCAGTTTACCAGCATTGAAAATGATGAACCGTCACTTGAGTCCAACATCAAACTTCCAGGCTTCGTGCATGTGAGTCTCGGCCTACCCCTGTCTCGCGTGACCAAGGTGGGCCTGCGCCACCTGATCCCTGCCCTCACGCCCAACCCGAAGTCGGCGCCGCGGGAGTTTTCCGTGCAGGCAGTTTCGCAGAACAAGACGGAGAATGAGCTGGAGACACATCAGAAGAAATTTAACTTCGTGTTCCAGGAGACGCTCGGGCTGCAGGTGTTTGACGTGCAGTTTCCCTCTCCGGTAAAGGAGTTGCGATTCGACTTTCACTCCTCCTGGGGGACCGACTACGTCACCCTGTTTCGACTCGAAGTTTACGGGGAGGTGTAGGTCGAGCAAGGACCTAGCTTTCTTGCACTCGAAAGCGAAAAGAGGATCGCAAAACTTGTACAAAATCCATCTAACAACATGATGTAAAGTTTTTTTCGAAGCGAGCCCGAACCTGTGTCGCTGAAGGGCTTTTTTGCAACACCCTGCTGACCTGTTTCTGTGCTGCTGGTTGTATGATTTATTGTTTGTGCAGCAACATGATGAAGTATCAAGTCGAGCGTCTGGTTGCGCTAGCTCGCATTTGTCACACCGCGCACACCTGCCGAATTTTGTTTTTTGTGTGTAGCTGTTCGCCGTCGAAGTTTTCTTCTAGTTCATTGTCCAGTCGTCAACGTCATCCTGCCCCTGCATGCTATGTATTTTTCGGTGTCTACTGCTTGTGGTGTTTCTATCGGGAGATAAGGAAGAGTAAGTTTTTTTGGAACAGGTCGAGCGTTCTTCGTGGATCCAATTTGATGTCTTGCAAAGAAACTGAGTGGATTCTGAACTCCGCCCATCAATTTGTCCAGGATGCGAAGGAAAACGCCTCGTGGCGTTTTGTTCCCCAGTTACTTGTGGTTGCTTCTGCTCAATTACGGTTCGACACTCTACTTCGGGGCGAAGGCAGCAAGAACACCGCCTCAAGGGGCGATAAGTATCTCATCCGGCAGCACGACAAAGGATAAGGAGCAGGAAAATGATGTCGGCGTCATCAGCGAAAATGCAATCGCCTCATCTTCACGACCGCGACAGACGTCCGAGACACTCTTCAAGTCGATCCCCCTGAAAGACGTGCAGGATGTCCAGTTGCAAGTCGAGGTTGGAATAGGCCAGCCAGCACAGAAGTTTAGTCTGGTACTGGACACCGGCTCCTCCGATGCTTGGGTGTTCGCGAAAAATTTCACCGTTCCGGCCAGCGTGGAGAGCACCGCGCTTGCCGTCGAACCGAGGACCTTCGACATTGCCACTTCAAAAACTGCCAAGCCGTGGTGGCATGATATACGGACAGTAGAAGAAAATCATGGAGCTGTATCTTCTACTGAAGGAACGGATGCGCACGCCTCGAGAAAAGCCGCGTTCACCAGAACGCCCACCCGTGTGGAGTTTCGCTATGGCGACGGTAGTCGTGTGGAAGCTTTCGCTTTCACGGACACGCTGGCGTTGGAAACGACGGACGTACTTTCCGCTGCTACGAGCCTGGTCGTCCCGAACCAATTTCTCCTTGCGGCGGATAAAATGACGAACCGAAACATAGGCCACGCGATGCACGCCGACGGGGTTCTGGGGCTCGCGCACTACTTCGAGGACGTGATCGGGCCCCGACCGCGCTCGGCCAAAACGTTCATTCACGCGCTGTTTGACCAATACCCAGACCTGGATCGGCAGTTCAGCCTCTACCTGCAGCCAGACGCCAGTCTGGACGAGAAGGTGAGTAGTACTAGTGTCCTTGCAGATGAGGCAGAGACCGACGAAAGAAGCACAGGGAGGTCGTTGTCTTTGACATCAGCTACAGCTTCAAAAGCAACGGTCAAGACCACGACCACGAGCAAGAAATCCCAGCTCTTCTTCGGAAAAGTCCCACTTGCGGAAGTGTTCCAAGCCGAGGCGAAGGGCCACGACGTGGAAAAACTGATGCGATTCGGGCGGAAGTACTACATGGACCGCACGGACCTGTGGATTACCTCCATCTGGTCGCTGGGGTGGAATGCGCAACCGGCGTACACGTTCACAGGAGGTGGGGAGGTCGGCGCGCCCGCCCTGATCGATTCAGGTTCGAGCTTTCTCGTCGTCTCCAGCACGGTGTTCGACTCGTTGTTCGCGAGTAAACTCGACGGAGCACCTTTTGCGTTAACCTCGACGTCGGGGACAACTTCTTCCGACAACACGCCGACCCTCCAACACGCAACACCAATAGCAGGAAAAAACCACCACCACCAGCCTCCCCCGCTTAACCTGCATTGTGAGCCCTACCCCGGGAAGGACAGTCTCCGGATTTGCGACTGCCCGGCAGACGACGCCGAGAAAAAGCAGCTCCCCGCCCTCGTCGCGAACCTCGTCGACCACGAGGACCAGCTGCTACCGCTCTGCCTCGCGCCCGACGAGTACTTGGTGAAGACAAACCACCCCGTCACGGGCGAGCCGAAGTGCGTGCCGGCGGTGGAGCGCGGCTCCTCGACGCAAGCGGTGCCGGTCATCATCGGCTTGGTGTTTCTGCGCACTTTCTTCACGCGTTTCGACTTGGATCGGCACCAAATAGGTTTCACGCGCATCCGGAATCACGATCTGGCCGCGCCGTGGTGCGGTCCAATACCCGCGGAGGGCGTAGCGGAAAGTTGGGTCGATTATTTCCTCTCCGCGTACTTCTCCGAGCAGGTTGTCTACTTAACCGCAGGGGTTTTATGCGGCGGAGCGATGTTTGCAGTCGCGAATCTCGTGCACAAAAAGTGGTGGCGGGCCAGGCAAGGAGGGGCCGCTGCGTCCTCACCGGCATTGCTGTTGGAGTGAGACGTAGACGTTGGGCGGTGAGCTTGACGGGATGAACTTGCTGCAGATTCATTTTTAATCGTTTCATCATGCTGCAAAGACTTTTACCACCAGAATCAAGCTTGCTTCTTACGCATCAACGATGTGTCAACATGTTGAAGATCCAAAGTAGCTGCGACAGAGGTGGCGAACCGGACTGGCCTCCTGGTAGCGGAAAAAAATGTTCCGGTCTGGGGCCATGAAGAAAAACGGCAACCACCAGATTTCGGTTTGCAGCAAGAACATTATTTCACTCATCATCTACTTCATCTGCTATGCAGCAGCACTTTCACGGTGTGTACATTCTGTTCGGTTGTTGGTGTGTATAGTCATCAAGATGTCGTGAGATTCATTTTTTGGTCACCGCCTAGAAGAGGGTCTAGGGCTACCTAGTTGAAATCCGTGGTCGTCCTCCTCCAGTGAAAAGAAAAGAAGATGGCGCGGCCTTTCTGGCGTATGTTGCTTTATCATGCTCTTGCTCTCTGCATCTATTTCTCCGCCGGTGGAGATGCAGGTGAGACTCATAGTGTTACGGAAGAGAGAACACCGGCGCAATTCACGTCAACGTTTCGACCGCAGGCCACCGCTAGGGTGCCGGCGTCCTCTGCTGCAGCACCAAGAACAGTTCCGAGCAGTCGAAAGGCTGAGGACTCATCGACGACGAAAGAAGCCATCGCTCGAGCGCAAGAGCCACTAGGTGTAGATGTAAATGAAGAAGAAGCTCCTGCGCAAGAACACCAACAGCGACAGCACCTTCGAGCGCCGCCGTCCAGCACCAGCACTTCTTCGCCTGCTGGTACTACACCATCATCAGCTCCCCCACCACCTCCCAACAAGAACATCCGCTTAAAAAGTTTTGCCGGTCTGCACCCGCACATGCACGAGTTCATGGATTTTTCGGACGAGTACGGGCGACAACGCATTTTTCGCGGCACGAACTTGGTGATCAAAGGTCCGCCCTACCTTCCCTACCGCGAAGGGTTCGACCGAGAGGTTTCCTTGGTCAAAAGAGACTACGAATTGATGAAGAAATCCGGCTTGAACCTCATCCGCCTCGGCGTGATGTGGGTGGGCGCCCAGCCAATCGACCGAAGTAGCTGGAACGAGACCTACTTTTCTCAAACGGCGGAACTGATCGACGAAGCGAAGGAACACGGCATTTTCGTCCTCGCCGATATGCATCAGGACTGCTACGCCGAGGCTTTTTGCGGCGAGGGCATGCCGGCCTGGGCTTCGAAAACAAACCACTACGAGTTGGAAGATACTGTTGCAAAAAATCGCAATAGTGGAAATATCATCGAAAAGACACTCTCCAGCGTCGAGAACCAAGTCAATAAAAACATCTTCACGGATTACCTCGACAAGTTTCCCCGTCCCGTCTACCCCGAATTCACGGAGTTTCAGAATTTCACCAATCCCTTCTACTTCAACGGAGTGATTCCCTACCGCAAGGACTGCGGCGCCCTGGACAACCATTTGGGGAATGTGCAGGCCTCGTACGCCGCGGAGGCGACCGGACAGGCCTTTCAAAACCTGTACCAAAACGGAGACGGATTGACGGACGCGTGGGCGGCATTCTTCAAAAAAGTGACGGAAATCACGAAGCCACGAGACAACGTGCTAGGTACTTCTTCAGCTTTCTCGATCCGCCCGAAAACGAAGAGAATGAAATTCCAAGTCCAACCCTAGTAATGTGGCTTTCCGTTTCCTCGTGTTTTTTTCCTGGTGCTCTGGAACACTTATCTCTTTTCTTTTTTGTTCTGGGTTTTGCCTACACCCTCCCTCTTCTATTCATCCAGGTCTTGAGCTTCTGAACGAGCCGTTCGCGGGGAACATTTACACGAATCCGATGCTCGCCATCCCCCGGTTCGCCGACGCCTGGAACCTGCAGCCGGCGTACGACGTCGTCGCGAAAGCGATCCGGGAGGTGGACGAGGAGGAGCTGATTTTTTTTGCCGGCGTCACCTGGGCCGACATGGGAGACCACGTAACCTACAACGGGTTCAGCCATCCACCGGGAGGGCATGGCTACAAGGTATGATCACGAATTCCCGTCGATCCCACATAATTGCTTCTTCGCATAAAGGTAGAGCCGTAGCCTCGCACAGGGTGAGCTTTCCCAGCATGTCAAAAGCGAATGCATCATGTTCATTCGCAACTTTATCACTATCAGGATCGCAGTGTAATGGCGTACCACTACTACATGCCTCCGCAAGAGACGAACTCCAGCGCCAACTACTACCACAACTGGGTGGTGCCCAACGCGGAGCGGCTCGGCACGGCGCAGATGATGACGGAGTTCGACCGGGGCACTCCAGAACAGGACTTCCAGCAGTTCGAGCGGGTGGGCGTCAGCTGGGCGTGGTGGGAATGGAAAAGCTACTGCAAGAACACGGAAAGCTCCAAAGACGATCCCTCGCAGTTTGCCGCCTGGGGAAGCTGCAAAACCGGGTACGGGGGCGTGTTTCCGGTACTATAATTGGCTCATGTATAAAAAAAAAATGCCGCGTCCAGAGCGGTTCCAAGTAGTAGTTATGGCGCAGCCCCCTTCAGTTTTTTCTACTCCTACAGCAGATAGACAATCACCCACATTCGAATGGTCGATGTTGTCATGACAAAACCCAACCCAAAAACAAATATCACCAACAGCCCGACAACGACAAGCCGGTCCTCGGGCTGTACAGCAAGCTGGTTCGGATGTACCCGCAGGCGATTCAGGGCGTCTTCATCCAGAGTTTTTACAACGTCACCAATTTTCAGCTGGATTTCGAGTTCACGCTGGATCCGGAGATCTGCGCGCCGACGGAGCTGTACATCGGTTCCGTGTACGACACGGGTGAGTACAGTGCGGTGGAGGTGAAAAAGACTCTCCCGCATGTCTACGACAGTGCCTTTTTCCACCGAAAAACCGATAAACGGGAAGAAAATAAGGACAGACAGATCGAGGAAAGGCTAGTGGACGCGATCTTCGAGAACGAGGATGTGTTCCGCATGCCGTTGGATGTAGTTCACGAGAACCTCGTCAACTCAGAGGCAGGACAACGACCCGATGCATCACAACGAGAAACAGGAAGTACAGAAACTGAAACGAGCCGACCGAAAGCATCAACAACCACGGCAGGCGAGCTGGTGGTGCATGTTTCACCGCAGGGGGCGTTGAAAAACGAGGGCGTGAAGGATTTGATCCTTTCCCTGCGTGCAGCAGACGGCGTTCCGAAGAACACAATCGTGAAAATGAGAATTCAAAGACGGTTTTTCGTGGATAAGAAGGAAATCGACGAAAGTACAGCGGCGCAGGAGTTGATGCAAGATGCAGTGCTCTTGTCGACTGCACCTGGACCGAGCTCGTCTTTCATGAAAGCAACGTCATCGAGGGCTCGACACCACGACGACCAAGGAAACTCTTTAACGAGTCGAGCTCCGCAACGGGAACAGGTGCTATCGCCAGACTTCTTCAAACCGTCTAGGCCGACTGCATTGGACCGGCAGAAACTGCGCGACGTTCTCACGGATGAAGCCTGGCGATTCTTTCGTCAAGCAGCGCGAGACGAGAGGTTTCCCCCGGTGCTAAGAGAAAACCATGATATGCCCACCACGGCGAGTGAGCGCCTGTGGGACGCTACTAATATTCTGGGTACTAAAGGGACGACACCGCCGTCGGCGGAATACGAGCTTGAGGTTTACAATTAGGATTAGCGGAAGACGTTGAGGTCTAGCAGAAGGGGGAGCAGGAGCATACATGAACATAAACCGCAGCTCCACGTGCATTCGACGTCGTGGTGCTCATCCTTGTACGGTATTTTTGCAATTTAGCATGCAATTTGTAGCTGTTTCCTAACAAACGAAAAAGAGAAATTCCAAAACGAAATCGTGAACAAGGAGAAAATGAAATTGAAAATACTTAAGTAGTCTACGTAGCTCGACGTGGTCGTGGTCGATGCCTTTCTTTTGTATCATACGTTAGTGAAAGTTGAATGAAACAATTTGAAAATAAGAACTAGGTAGAACACATTTTTAGAAGTTGTATGGTTCTTGTTTAGCACAAGTGCCGTCCGGATTCTAGTCCTACCACTGCTGTTATCGATGTGTGAAAATACGCAGTCGCAGAGAAAACGACAAATGAACCCCGCACGTGCAGAAAATTGGAATTGGTGCACTTGCAATCAAATAATGAATAGAAATACAGCATACCATAATACCTTCGATGTTGAAGCTGTGTAATCAAAGACAAAGACATTTTGGTTTTCTAACTTTTTCCCCATCAACGCAAAAGGGTCTTCTCTTTCTCTTGTGTGGTCGAACGTTAACGCACCGCAGCGCCAAGGAGCACAGTCAAATACAGTCGTATGCGTACTACTAAATGAGCCTTACGCGGAAAATTATCCTTTTCGTTGTGAAGTTGTTGTTGTTCGCACTGGCCAGCCGCACTTTCTTCAGCAAGATCAGCAGCAAATCATTTCTATGGTTCCTCGTGTGTGGACGTCTTGACTACAGAGGGAACATATTCGATGTAGTTCGAGCAGCACCAGGAGCTCTACCAGATTGCTGTGAGCGTGGCAGGTGGTGAAAAAACGCCAACAGATGTTTACTTATGTCATAAGTAAACATATTTTAAATTTGTTTCTAAAAATGGCAGCAGAAGTAGATGAATTCGACGTGATGGTGACTGATCGTAAACTAACTTAATAAATCATTACTTTGTTCATAGCAGTAATCCACCGCCAGGGCCGGGGCATCGGTCTTTCTTGAACTGATTACAATACGAATCGAAGTTTCAACATGGCTGCAGTACAGGAGCCATCTTTCGCGGACGCAACTGCTGACACCGTAGCTGCATCCCCGGCCTCACTAGATTTCAGAACAGACGAAGAAGTCCCTTCTCTCGCCTTTGGTAGATGGGTCGAGAAGCGTGTGGGACACTTCGCAGCGGATTTAGAGTCGCGAGTGCGCGAAGCCGCTGAACAAAACAGAACAGCGATCGCGCAAGAACCATCAAGAACTGCCGAGATTTTGAACAGAGGAACGATGCTGGTGGAAGAGATTGCACCAATCGTTGATGACATCAAATTTCACTCCATCTGTGTAGAACGTGCACGACTTGGACATTTTTGCAGCGTGAGCGATATCCATGCGCTAGACGCTAACGTCAGCGATTGCGAATTCTTCGCATGGATACAGCCTGTCAAAGCCGAGGATGCAGACACGACGGGCGGCAGCGTGGTCAGACCTGACGCAGACCCGGACAGATGGATCTGCGGCGACGCACTCGAAGTCTGGGAACGCACCGAGGAGCCCGACCAGGGTCCCCCGGGGCTTACCTATCGAGGTGTTCGCGACGGCGACCTCGGCGTACGAGGATTTGACTCGTCGATAAGCTTGTCCATTGCACAGGACCAGTTGCGAATGTGGATGGCCGTGGTGCGACGGCGCTGGGGAGCAGCCACGCCAGTTCCCAACCTGCCCGCGGAGATTTTTCGCAAGATCAAGATGTATCTCCGACCCGTCAGTAGTGTCCTGCTGCAGCCGATGTACCTCGCTAGTGTCGCGGTGGCCAAGCGCCAGCACGATTTGGAACTCCTGCTCGCCGTTGGGCTCGCTCACTACCTCGACTCCGCGCACAATCTTGCTTCGAAAAGCTACGAAGTGAAGGGGGAGTGGTTTACGTCCAGTGCTCACAGCGATGTTCGCGTGCCGGGAAACACCGTCTTTACGGTGATGCTATCTGGAAAGTTCTTCTCAGTGGAGGGGGCGGACATCTGGCCGAGCGCTAGCGAGCAGCAGTTGACAAGTTCTAGTGCGTGGAACACGAAGCGACAAGAGGAAGTAGAGCAAGGCGATCCGTTTGTCCGACCATCCGAAAGTGAGGCGACGTATGAATCCATCACGAAAATTCTGCGTACATTTTTCGAAGCAAAAGGCTTGAAGTTCACTCATGACGAGGAGGAGCGGCAAAAATTCACCATCTCGTGGGCGTGAAGCAACTTAATCTGCTGCGTTGCTTCTTCGAGATCGAGGTAAAGGCTCTGCAAAGAAAAAACTGGAACTGCAGCTTCAGCTTTAATCGACGTTGATGTCATCTTTTACTCCCTGGCTTTTGCGAACGAGAGAAGCGAAGGTCTACCTCCAGTACTCGCGTGGTTGGTTCGCGTGACCGTAGGTGGAAATTGCGACACACCGTGACCGTGTGCAGCCACAGCTGGTGCTTCCTTGCAAACTGACTTCGTGTTGCGAACTACTCGACGAGGAAGAACGATAAAAATTAATATACCCTTTCAAAATGCAGATCAAGAAAGCGGCACTTTTCATTCTATTGAAGGGTCGTTGTTGACAAAACTCTTCCTGCTCGCGTACTTAAGTACATGGCCAGTGGAATTTAGATTATATTCGGATCCTCGGCACTTGCAGTGTTCGTCTGAATTTTTGGTACATCGCGATCATTCATCTCCGCAACGCAAACGAACCAGACAAACTGCTCCTGCACTCATCGCGCGGCTGCTCCGCGGTCTACTTCTTTCGCGGTTTATTGATAGTGTTAGTCGTTTTTGTCGTCCAGCTCCAGGACTAAACGCTGAATTACCTCAATTCTCGCTTTCCTATCCTTGCGATTTCAAAAGGCTAAGCGCCTGGATGGAAATTTAGAACCTCTACTACCAGCTATTGTTCCAAGATGGCAGCCCAGGTTCCGGGGACGGAGGAGAAGGAGCAAAGACCTGTATTGAGGAAGCGGATAGTGCGCACAGACATACAAGTTCCTTCTTTGGTTTACGGGCGGTGGGTCGAGAAACGCTTCGAAGAATTCTCTGCTGGACTTAAGAAGTATCTGCAAGATGCAGCGGAGCAAAACAGGAGAGCAATAGCTGAAGACCCATCCAAAACTGCCGAAATTCTGCAGAAGGGCGCAACGCTAGCAGAAGATGTCGGTACTGTTGCGGACGACTTTTACCACCACACCTCTTGTGTCAGGAGCGCTAGACGAGGAAAGCTTTGCTGCGTGGAAGACCTCCTAGATGAAGATGATGGAGCGGAAAGCGACGCTTTTCATTGGATTCCGCCCAAGCGGCACCCCGCCTGTCCGCCCACGCACTTGGTTGCGTATGACAGCAAAACGCTAAAAGAAACCAGCCGGGCCATATCCGGCGAGGTCCTCGAAATCTGGGAGCGTAAGGTAGATGAAGATCATAATGACAACGCGGGCCAAGAAGCAGGTCGAAGGCAAGAGAGCCCCCGTCTCGTACTTGAGGGTAAGAGGCAAATAAGTACTACTGTAGTGTCCCGTCTAAACTCATCCATTGTGCAGGACCAGATGCGGATGTGGATGGCGGTGGTGCGTAGGCGCTGGGATACAAAGGCGCAGGTTCCAAACCTTCCGTCAGAACTCTTCAGCAACATCGCAACTTACCTGCGACCCATCGCGAGTGTCATCTTGAATCCCATGTACCTCGCTAGCGTCGCGCAGGAGAAGCGCGCGCGCGATTTGGAAAAGCTGCTGGAAGCTGGACTCGCTCACTGCTTCGAAGCTGCTCACAATCTTTTTGACAACACATTTGAAGCGGACGGCGAAGTGTCTTGGTCGAAAAACGAGAACGATGTGCGCGAAGAAGGAAACACCATTTTCACGATAAAGCTGGCGGGGAAGTATTTTTCCGTCGAAGGCGAAGACATGTGGCCCAGCAAAAGCGAAGAGCAGCTAGTGAGTAGTCAAGTCTGGGAGGAAAAACGGCAGACGGAGATGAAAAGCAGCGACCCGTTCGTAAGGCCATCCGCAACTGAGGCGAAGTATGACAATATCGTCTCCGTCTTGCGCACGTTCTTCGAAGCAAAAGGGTTGCAGTTCACTCAAGACGAAGACGAACGGCAAAAATTCACGATCTCTTGGGCCCCCTGAAGAAGATATTAGTGACTATCACGTAATCGCTTTGGCTTTCCCGACGCCGACGAGAGTACTCCAAGTATGTGCTGATCAATCGGCCGGCTTTTCTACAGCGAGTGACTCACATCGTTCTTCAACTTGACATTAGAGACAAGTGCAAGTCGAGAGAATGAAATAAAAAGATATTTATAAGAATATAAAAACGCTCGGTCCGCCTCCGCCCGGCTCGTGTTCGGACACCGACATCACCATCAGCGGCAGTTGCTTTCTTGTCTGTGGAATGCCAACGAAACCGAAGCTCAAAATCGTGAGCAGAAATATGAATCACCGAAGCTCGTCGAGATCGAAGTCGAACGTGAGCAGAAATGTGGTGAAGAGAAATATGAATGCGTACAGATTTCAGATTCGTTCTAGTAGACGAGGAGTCGAGGTGTGCAGGTTCAATCTTTCTAATATAGTATAGAGTCTCGTGGCCCAATCTATCTTTCTCAGGTCATTCGATGTGTCGTCCTACTTCGAGTTTCATTTTGCGCCATGGCTGTTCCTTCTTTCGGTAAAACTTCGGTTTGGATTTTCATTTCTAGTCACGCTAACGTTAATGTTAGAACTTGTGCGTTTCAACTTACCTAGACTTAGTTCATGAGCTACAACATCGTTCTGAATAGAAGTAACAAACAAATTCGTTGATAGTCGTTGAACTGTGTCCACCGGGTTTGCAGAGAAATATTGTGCTATTCTTTTAGAGCAAAGCAAAGATTAGAATTTTGATCGTATGGGGAGGGCTAGCTGAGCAGGATAGAGAATCTCGATTTCGATATCTGTTTGCGTATCGCGGTTTTACAGCGTTAGCGCTCGTTGTTCGATTGGCTAAAGCAACACACAAAACCAAACAGATTCCACAGTTGGGGCAAAGGATGGGGTAGTGGAGTAGGTAGCTTAGATGTCCACTGCGCCCTGATGCCCCAACAGACTCAACGACGTTCTCTATCTGTTACTAGCTTGGTTCTTTTTTGGCGGGGTTTTAAATAAGAAGGGCAACGATAAAGATGTCGCTAGTGCGTGACTCCTAATGTTCAAGAAGGCCTTTTTACGTTGTGAAGTACTTCTTTACAAATGGACCCAAAATAGGAGACCTAAGGTTCGGGCGTGAATTTCTTCACCCAGCTTCTGCTCCCTTCCTTGAGTTGCTGCGGTGTTGAAGTTTATGCCTATGCTCGACTGCGCGGGAGGGTTTTTGCCTTACCCCTCTAAGGTCTCGGGGATCACGCTGCCACACTGTCACCAAACCCACGCCGACACTGCCAAACAGACTTTTTGATATAGAATAAAAGAGCCACAAAGAAGCATACTGCAGGGGGAAGGGAAAAGGCTTGCAGCTACCCAAAAAGCGCGGCCAAACATATCAGAGGGCTTGCCTGGGGGTAGTTTCTGCACAAGTGCCGCGCTTGTGTATTTATATCGCAGTAATGAAGTAGAAGAGCATGGGCACGATGGTCAGCAATTGCCCCCTTCTCTGCCTTCCTCCTGTAGCAATACTTCCAAAAAGAGCCGACGCACAGCCAACATTCCGACGCGCCCAGCCATGCATGTCGTGGCACTTGGAGGCCCCAAAGATTGCTTCTTCAAAACTCACAAGTGTGAGTTGAGATTTCCCGACCTTTAGGCTTAGCGTTTTAGGCGTGTGGGGCGGGTCAGTGGGCCACTAGGAGGAACAGGCACAGAAACACCACCAAAAAATGGAAGAGCAGCGTAGCGCAAGCGATGTTGCACTACTATGGTCGTCGCCTCATTTGCGCAGCATACGAGCAGGCAACCTGGTGGTGTGACTCACTGCCTACTGACCGATGTGAACAACTGTAACATCGTCGCGAGGAGAAGGGACGAGCAGTCTGGAGCCGCAAGGCAAAGGGGTCAGATGGCATTTACGAACCACGAATACGATGCCGCGATAGAACAAGGACGACGAGCCTGGATCATCTCTTTTTCCGATCTGAAGTTGTCTATGTGATATTTCGCTGCGTTATCTTTGTGATTTGTATTTAAAAAAAAAAAAAAATCTTTCTAACATTTTTTCGCCTCGACTTTGTTTGTGGGCAGTTCTGTTCACTGGTGATTGGCACTGAAAATAGATTCGTCACACCATGATCTGCAGCTAGTACACTGATTGGTTTTTGTGGACCGTGACCCCGCGCCAATGCCATTGTTGATGAGTAAAGATACAGGATGCGCCCGCGTCATCGTACAAGAGTCGCTATGTATGGGCCTCAGCAGGTGGTGCAGTTCGTTGGGAAGTTGTGCTCTCGTTTAAGTTTCTGGCTCTACCAAATAATGGTGAGCTGACACAAATAACTAGGTGCTGTGATAGATAAAAGACACCACTACACTCCGCAATATCTCACTCCTACCAAGCTACGCTTGTTTTACGATTTTGATCGAGCAACATGGCCGGAACCGTACCACCGACACGAATTATACTAACGGAAGAAGAGGTCCCGTCGTTCGCCTACGCTGAATGGGTCGAGAAACGAGTCGGAGATGTTGCCGCAGGACTGGAGAGGCGGGTGCGAGAAACAGCAGAGCAAAACAGGCTAGCAATTTTGCGAGAACCCGCAAAAACCGCTGAAATTATGAAGAAAGGAACCGCGCTAGTCGAAAATAGCACCTTCCTCGTGGACGATTACCGGCACCACTGCACTTGTCTTCGTAGTGCGCGAGAAGGAAAATTCTGCCACATCGACGACATACAACGCGACAAAACGACCCACGAGACCTTTGTCTGGCTGCCACTAAAGGCGAGAAAAAGCGCCGCCGCGGCAGACGAGGCCGACGCTGGTGATGTTGCAGCCGCTGCCGGAGTTGATGCAGAAGGTGCTGTAGGAGAAACAGCGGGAGCGGATGAACGAGAAAGATGGCTAAGCGGCGAGGCACTAGAAAATTGGCACCGCAATGACGAGAACAGAAACCGCGCACTACCCAGACACGACCCGGACGTACTTGTTCGCGACGGCTTTCGCTGGTTGGGACCGGGCTATGCCCACCTAAGTGGCTCCATTGCGCAAGACCAGTTGCGAATGTGGATGGCGGTGGTGCGACGGCGTTGGGAAACAGAAGCGCAGCTTCCGAACTTTCCCAAGGAGCTCTTTCTCATCGTTCGAAGGTTTCTTCGACCTGTCGGCAGTGTCATACTGAACCCCATGTACTTGGCCGTTGTAACGGAGCGCAAGCGGACGAGTGATCTGGAGCACCTGCTTACTGCTGGGCTCGCTCACTGCTTGCAGGCGGCGCATTCTCTGGGCACGACCAACGAGAAAGAAGTGGCCGGAGCGGTATCGTGGTCTAAGGATGCGACGGAGGTTCGAGCACTGGGAAACACAATAGTCACTGTGATGCTAGCAAACAAGTTTTTTTCCGTGGAGGGCCCGAATATGTGGCCGACAAGGACCGAAGAACAGATTACAAGTAGTCGCGCGTGGAACGAACTGCGGCAACAGGAAATAACGGCACGGGACCCCTTCGTGAGGCTATCCAAGAACGAGGCGAAGTATGATAACATCATGTCCGTCCTGCGCACATTCTTCGAAGCGAAAGGGTTGAACTTTACTCAGAACGAAGAGGAACGTGAAAAATTCACAATCTCGTGGGCCTGAACATACCTCCTGATCAGCTTGCGTATCCTACGTATTTGTTTCCCGACACGACTTCGACTTTTGTAAGTGCTAAGTGCTAGGCATACAACTGTGACTTACCGTTTATTTCGCCTGCTTGAAATGAGAAAGACAAAGAGAAATATGAAGATGAGAAACTACTATTGACGCTGTGACGGCCGCAAGGATTGCACCGTGTAGCGCCTTTTTTTTTTGGTGTTCGGACACCGAGGAGGAGGACTGCTATTGCTTCCCAGTAATTGTAATGGCAGTGAAACGGAAACCGAGGCTCGATCTCGAATGTGCCGCACATTCAGGTGAAGAGGAATATGTGCAGCTATTTCGGGTGCAATTTGAATCCACTACGTAAAGGTAAACTAAAAAACGCGTTGATGCCTCGTCTTAACAACTTGAAGTAAGTGAACTTCATCGAAGTGAAAGTGGGCGTTGAAGACTTGTATCGACATATTAATTTCTGCAACTGCACGTCGTGCCTGTGCCAAATTCAAATTGATTTTGATGATTCGTTCTTGGAGCGCGCGGATAGAACAGGAGTCGGTCTGCGTGCAGCTGCATATTGTGCAGCCGCACCATGACGACCATCCTTGCTTCAGTTTCTGTTTCGTTGGAACGGTACGTAGTCGAAGAAGGCTTGGTACACAGTGACTTTCGTTTTGATAGAAGTGTGTTTTGTCATCCTCGTCCAACTCTTAATTGGAAGGTAATATCACTAGAAGTAGGTGGTCTACCAATATGATGAACGTCGATCGCATCATTAAGCATCGCGCATCCATCGCGAGCGATCTGCAGAAGGCGCGCGACACATTATCTGCCTCACTTCACCCGACTGGCGACCCCTCGGCCGCGGGCGGGAGCGGGTGCGCAACCGCAGAAGCAAGAGAAAACGAAATTGGAAATCCTGATCGGGTCTCCAGCACCTCCACGTGTGACACGACAGTAGATGATCAACTAGACGCTGGATCGTCGCTTGCGTCTTCCTCAAACGCGTTGAATTCCGCTAGCAGTCCAGACGGCTCTACTTCGTCGCGGTCAGTCAGTGCTTATGTGGCGCTTTTTTCGATCTTCCTCCTATTCTACAGCAACCTGTTTTGTACAGGAGCTGGTATTGGTGGAGCGCCCGCGACGGTGGTGACAGAAGGACCTCATCTTCGCGATTTACAGACAACCGAACTTCTTGTAGACGATGAAGACGGTTTCTTTGCCAGCGCGTTCAAGCACGTCCTGCGGCGGTTGAACTTGTACTCCGACCCGGTGCTCTGCTCCACCATCCCGGCGCCGGACGGAGTAGCCGTTGATCCTCCTGACTGCATTCCCTGTCCGGACCAAGGCACTTGTCGGAACGGAACGCTTGTCGCATGCGAGGCGCCTTTCGTGGTGGTGAAAGCTCGGACGTGCGTCAAGGACGAAGGCATCGTCAACAGAGCCGCACATTATGCGAGCCTGCTGGAAACGGAGCTCGCTTGGATGAAAGGCCGGAGGGAATGTCTGCCGGAGGGGAAAGAGGTACGAATTACAAATGATCGTTTGAGGGTTAAGACCATCGATCAAGATCATCATGCAGTATTTCTTATAGTGATTATGTCGTGTATCATGCAGGCATTCATCCCAGAAATATTGACTTCGCCCTCCAAATAAACTTCACAGACCGTTGACCGCAGCGAAGCTTCGGAGTATCTGCGCGAGAAAATCTCAGACGATGTTTGGGACGACGCCGCGTTTGCACTGCTTTACGCGCCGCCGAACAACAAAACTGATCTCGCCAGGATAATACCACCAACCCTTCGGCGAGACGACATCCGTGCCGGTACTACCGTGTTCGTTTCCACCCGAGCCACAGTGCCGCTTCTGTGTCGGGCCAAGCTGCTTTTCTGGCACTACGTTCCAACACTGCTGCTGGGTTTGTCCTTACTTGCGCTCTTCCTCCTTTTCCTCAAGCGGGAGGCGCGAAAGCGGTGGATCAGGGAAACTCTGATTCGGGAGGTGGAGAAAAATACAAAAGTGGAGCCGGTGTTGCAGGGACTTAGTCTGGAGGATCTGCAGCTTCTCACCGGGGAGCCTGACGCGGAAAAGATGCTTGTGATCGTCGAGGAAGCAGAGAGAAGGGGAAAAATCTCCCGCGATGTTGCAAACGGGGCGCTTTTCTTCTACTGTCAGCGGATTGCGGACGAACTCGCACCTGCGAAAGAAGTGAAAGTGGCACACGGAATAGGTGCTCGGAAAGTGCAATTGTGCTGACACGGCTGGAAGGCCACGCAGGTGCGACGTGACCGCCGCATCTCTATTGATGAAATTTCGATGAAGATTTGAATTAGGTTCTTATGCTTACGCAAGAATGCACGACAGCACGGACACTCTGTATGATTACGACCGAAAATCGTGGGCAGGGAGGTCGAAAGGAGCTGCGCGCCTACAGCGTTTCCAGTCGAAAGGAGCTGCGCGAGTAGCTAGGTCGCGGTCGTGCTGCAAACCCGTGATTGGTTACCCGGCGCAAGGTTTTCTTTAAAGACGTCGTACCCGGCACGGAAGTACGACGAGAGCAGTGTTCGCAAAGTTCCCTACGTATTTTGTCGAGGATCATCGTGCACGTGCTTTTTGCAAATCTTCAAGACGTGTGTCAACTGCTGCCAGGAGCTCCTTGTTCATAATTCATAAGATGATCAAGATCTTTCTGTGTTTGTTTTGAGGAAGATCAAGCACGAGATCAGACACGGCGAAACTGACTGGACGAGTTGATCAGCAGACGTAAGAATGCAGTGGCCTCCTGCTTTACTTGAGGGCATTTGCTATATCTATGTGTGAGATGAGTCACAGGCTGCGGCTCCAGATTTAGGTACTAAAAAAGCGTAGCTTAACAAGCGCTACGTGTGGAGATCTTGTTGCGCAAAGCAAGTGCTGCATGTCGGGGGAAGAACAAAATTCGAATTTGTTTCTGTTCTCGTCGTTCCAGCCCATTTGAAATAGGCGTAAAAGCATGGCCCAACAGATGAGCAGCACCTCGAGCATGGACTGTGTCCTAAACCTGCGGCCTCCGCTCGTCGCGGGCCCAGATTTCGTTTCCGTCATACAGGAGCTCTACGGTGCAGACGAGTACGGCAGTTTGGTCTTCGAAAAGTGTCTGCCCTCCGAACGCGACCGCAATTACCTGTATCGCAAAAGGGACCACTCGAGCGGAGCAAGTGGCAGTCGTGTGGTGTTCAAGATTTCCAACCAGGGGGACTCCTTACAGTTGCTGTCGGCGCAAACGCAAGTAATTTTGCATTGCGGGAATGCAGGAGCGCCGGTGCAGCGTGTGCTTTCGAAAATAAAGGCACAAGAAAGCGATATGGCTGCGACTTCGACCACAAAAGCGGCCCACGCTTGTTTTCCCCACCAGGACTACCTGACTCCACTGTTGCTTGAAAAAGACACTGTGGCGATTGCAACGAAAGAGAACAATGCAACTCGTTCTGATTCATCAGCACCGCCAGCCGGTACCGCAAGAAATACGTTCTGGGCCCGGCTCTTGACTTTCGTAGAAGGAGACGTTTTGTCCGCGGTACCGCCGACGACAGAGATCTGGAAGGAGGCAGGCCGTGCCGTGGCTCGCGTATCGGATAGCCTCTGCGATTTCTACCAGAAGTGCAAAGATATGAATGATGTTGCAGCGGAGCTGCATGATGGAGGCAAAAACACGACCTTTCAGTGGTGGAGCAGGCTGAATGAGGACTTCGAGTGGAACTTGCTCACCTACGAGAGGACGATAACGAAGTACCTCCCCTCCATCACAGATGAGGCAAAGCGTAAATTTGTCGAGAACCTAGTACAACAGCACGGTAAAAGATGGCGACAACGACCTGAACTAGTCCTCGCGCACGGGGACCCCAATGACAACAACCTTGTCGTCACACGCGAGGGCGAGGTGGTTGTTCTCGATTTCGGGGATTTGTGCGCTTCGTTTCCCTTCGCGGACGCGTCTGTAGGGGCTGCGTACGCACCAAGCGAGGAGTGTGCAAAAGCGTTTGTCAACGGGTGTATGGAAAAATCTACGTCGTTGACAAAAGAGAATGATCCAGATATGATCGAGGAGAGGATCCACGCTTGGGCCAAAATACGACGTGCGACCAGTGTGTGTATTAGCAGCTACCAAGCACAGCAGCATCCGGACGACGAATATCTGCAGTGTTCCGCAGATCAAATGTGGAGGACACTCGGGTTTCAGAGCGAAGGAAAATGATTTGTTGATTTATTTTACATCCACGGAAGCACAACTACGATGATATGGAAACACGAAACAAGCAAACAAGCTCACGTGTTAAGCGAAAACACAAAAAACTGCCCTCTGACTCCTGTGTAGGAATGGCTCACTTTGATAACGCCAAGAGATGTAAAAAACGTACGAAGACGAGGGCTCGAGGCGGCGATTCTTGCTCCGCGAATTACACAGGCTCGACTTGGCCGCGATCAAAGACTGAGCCGAGCCGCTCTCTTTGCTCGTCGTACTTTTTCAACCCGCCACAGGCTGGGCCTGTGTTTCTTGTAGTGGCTATGGTTGAGAAACCAGGAGAGTGGTGGATCCATTCGCGTGAAACTTCTATGTCGAGAAACTACAATGAGCGCGAAACGAACATGGTTCCGGAGTTTTTTGAGAAGTAAGGATCGCCTCAGAAATATGACCGCGATCGGTAATATTCAGTCGTTGCGTTCCTCGTACATCTACATGAGTTTTATCGTCAAAGAGATTGACTCAGCAACTTGTTGCAGTCTCTGCGAGCAGTTTTGCTTTGACTGCGACCATTAGAAGATGCCTGCAAAAAAAAATTTAGCAAGTAGTGCTAAAAGTAAAAAGGGCGATCATAAAAGTAAAACAAAGAACAACAATAAGAAAAAGAATAATCTTAATCCCGACGTGCTATTGCTAAGAGGAAACAACGCCAAAAGAAATGAAGGAGCTCAGCGAGGCCTGCCAAAGAGCGGCTTAGAGCAATGCATACGCAAAGATTATTCCAGCAACTGACTTGAACAATTACAATTTATTCTGCTTTTCGTCTGTGACGGTGTTATTTTTTCAAATTTAATGTCCATGAATACGTCTATCCGTATCTTTTCGTTTTCTCATTGAGATTTTTTTCAAAATAAAAGCTGAGCTCGAAGTTTGAGTTTCCTATTTTCCGATACGGGCCGGGCGTCTTCTGTTTTTCCTACAGGTGGATACTTGTGTAGAGTAGCTGCCTTGTACTTGTTCACCACGGACCGCTCGTTTCTGTGATTGACCCCGCCGATCCCCCCGAACCGCTTCCGCGATGCCGGAGTTGTTGAAAAGCGAGGTTGGTGTCGAAACCACTGCACAACCAGCAAAACCAAAGGAGCCGGCAGCTGAAGAAATCCAGAAGTCCTCGCCCCCAGCTGCAGTCACGACAAAAGCAGAGGCTGCTGCCGAAGCACTTGCTGGCGAAGCTACCACTGCAGTCGAGGCGGAGCTGCAGAATAAGCCGTCGTCGTCGTCAACATCCGGCAATGTTGTGGAGGCCCACGCAGAGGTTCTGGATCAGAAGCAGGAGTTGTTGCAGAAGAATCAAAAAGAGGACATCGCATCAGGAGCTGCGCGAGAAGATGATCATCCAACGAAACAAGTGAAAATGGACGGGGACACCAAGGACAACGGAAATGGTCAAGAACAAGCTCCACCCGCGAAGCGACCAAGAGGCAGACCAAAGAAATCTGCTCTGCCGCAACACCAGGAAGGAGGAAATAAGGCAGGAGCACCGGACAAAGCAGCCGCGGCTCCCAAAAAGCCTTCCAAAATGAAACAAGCTAAAAGTAGCGCAGGATCAAAAAACAAATCCGGCGACGCAGCAGCTGATCCTGACATCGAGATGAAGGGCGAGGTAAATGAAAATCAAGACAACGATGAACAGGCGGACGTCACGAACAAAGACAACAAAAATCGGGAGGTTTTCATGAAGCCCGCCGGCGATGGCGACTCATCCTCGGACGACGACGAGAAGCGTGTGGTGAACGGCGGAGAGGAGGCTGGTCGGCTCTCTCGAGTGGAGGAACGACCGCCCGCCAAGGCACTCCCGAGAAACGAAGACAAGTGGAACACGTTGAAGAGTGTGGCGGAGAAAGCGCAGGACTGCCTCGACCGAGAGAACTACAAAGACTTGGAGGCGTATTTTCTGGAATTGTGGAAACAGGGCAAGCAGGACGAGATGTGGGGTTTCTGCGAAACACTGCTGGAAAAGCACAAACACACCTTCCCCGTTTCCGCAGCGAGAAACAATGTCTATGAAAGCTCCAAGAAGGAAACGGAAAAGTCAAAAGCGCGGACCTTCTACAACTTAGGGCTAGTCAATCACCGGCCGGTGGGGAAATTAGCGGCCGAGATGGAAAATAAACCGGCGAAGGAACTGGTATAAATGCAAGCAGGTTGCTGCTTCTGTTGATGTTGATCAAAGTTTTTTTTTGTTGTTGACGTGTCGCAATCTTCATTGAGACCACAACCACCTCGTTCTATGATGCCCCTGCGCTCTTGGTCATTTCATCTTGTTCCCATTCTCATCTTCAGGCGATCGCCCTCAACGCTGCAATGACGGTCTGCAGACTCGCGGGCGACGAGAAAGAAAGCGGTGAAAAGCTGTTTTGGCACAGCGGAATAACGTTGAATCTCAATGGCACCACCCGCGTGCATTGTGACAAAGGCAATCTCGGAAGAAGCCGGGCGGCCGCGTTTGGGACTTTTATCGGTGGCGAGACGCTGATATACGATCCAGAGGGCACCCAATGGATGAACGTAAAAGACCGCCGAAGCCTGGCCTGCGTCCGAGAACGGGGATGGAACGCGTGGAAGCACGGGCTGGAGCCACTAGTGCTGCGGATCAAAGGTATTAAATTTGTAACGGGTTGGTCTTTTGCTTTTTCGTGGTCAGCCCGCGTGGAGCGGCCCTTGCTCTTCATACATTCGTGAATGCGCGCACTGCTGGGCGTGCCGGCGCAAGGCGCAGAAGTGTCGTTGCTTGGTGTTCTCATGCAAGTTGTGCTCCAATGTGGATGTCAATCTAATGGAGTCGAAAACTTTTCATGACAGGAACCGAAGAAGTGATAACCGCGGACCGCGAATGGTTGTCAACAGACGCGGGAAATTCCCTCTACAAATCTGAAATACAAATGCCGTTTCGGCGTGCCGTCGTATTTCATAATGCCCCGGATTTCGAAGGACCGCTGCCGCATTGTACTGCGCCCGCGTTTCCTCCGTGCTGGGCAGAGGACGGCGAAAACCGCCCGGAGGCGTTGCGGGGGCTGAAGCTGTTCGGCGAAGACATGGACGCGGATGACCTCGACCGAGTCATCAAGTTCTGCGCCGACAACCAGGACGAAATGGTCAAACTCGGCTACACCAGATACGTAGCAGTGTCCTACCCACACCAATGCGCGACCACGTTCCGCATCGCAAAGGGCTCCCCCGAGGCCGCGGCTACCTACGGCTTCGCGCGGCTGTGCGACCCGCGCTACGAGGCTAGCAGGGTGAAGCTGGAAAGTCTCTTTCGCGAAGAGATTACGAGGGACGGCGCGGGCAAAATTTCGCTGAAAGAGCTGGGAATCGCGGGGCTTGCTGGCGAGTGGAAGGGCGGCAAGGAAAATTTGAAACCGGACTCAGTGAAAGACAAGGAGAAGGAGATACGGGAAACCACGGAAAAGAAGATCGCGGAGGAATTGAAATTGGAGCCGGAGGCGGTGCGGAAACTGTTAGCAGACACTACCAAAGATTACACGTGGAAGTACGTGGAGAACCGCAGTGACACGTGCCCCGTACTGCTGCTCGACGACCTGCTGATCGAGTGGGGTATCGAAGACGCAATCAAGGAAGAACGAAGGGAGCGGATTAAAAAGCGGGAGGAAAAGTTGAAGGAAAAGGAGGAAAACAAGGACCCGAAAGCGAAAGTCACCGTGCCAGCGGCACCAAAGGACGAGCTCGCGTACGTGGTCGGCGTAAAAAGAACGCTCAGGGAAATGCTGAGAACGTTTGAGGGCAGGGTATAAAAGTTTCGCTTTTCATGGGGTTTTTACATATCGGAATTGGTGTTGCAGTAAAGGTTTTGTATATTGCTTCTCCAAAAAGAAAAGAAATGCTTTTGGGTTTGTGCCATAGCCTGCAACCCCAGCTACAGAAGCAGAAGCCTTTGAAATCTTCTAACAGTGCTTCTCGCTACCACCACAAGTAGAAGAGTGAGTCACTGCGACTGGTGGCTCACTGTCAATAGCGACGCCTTTACGACCGGTGGCTCATTGTCAATATTGACCGGTCGTGGTGCACTGTCAATGCGGTGGCTCACTGTCAACAGCGGATCCTGCGCAAATGAGTGATAGTTGGTTCTTCGTTCTCAACATACAAATAATACAATGCTAAATTACAATAACTACAGACCATCCCCGAGTTTGCTTCTGGGAACAACCCCGGCTACATTCCGTGGCGCGATTACCCACCCAAGTGGTGGTGGCGAAAAGGGACGGACTTGAGCGCGGTCAAGGCCATGTATGTGAACCACTACAACAAGACGCAAGTCGTCACGGCTGGCGCAGCACCAAACCCCACCATCGTCGGCCGGCTGCGGGACTGCAGTGCCTGGAACGCCACGGAGAAAGGGCAGACGGGCGCGCGACTGCAGATCGAACAAAAATTCAACGAAAATGTCGAATCGAAGGAGACGGCGGCGGAAATCAAATTGCGCGAAGAACTGCAGAAACTCAAACGAGAACGGCGTGGGAAGCCCGAAGCAAATAACGCAGAGGAGACGAAGAAACTGCAGGAGGGCGGCGAGCTTGCCGACGGAGAAGCGGAGCAAGCTAATCCACCAGCCAAGAAAGCCAGAAAAATGGCAACTGCTTCCATGAAGAAGGTGAAGGCGACAGTTGCGGGGGGAGAGAGCAAAAAGGATGCTGCTGAGCAAGACGTCGAGATGCGCGATGTAGTTGCACAGCAGGACGGTATGGGCGAGCAGAATCCAGACGAGAGCGCGAATAACGTTGGGGCCGCTGACCGAAAGGATGTTGAAGCTCCTACTGGCGGTTCGTCAGCATCATCCTCTTCGTCAAGTTCATCTTCATCATCCAGCAATACAAAGCAAGCCACATCCTCGAAGGATTCGTCTGTGTGTGGAGTGGGCGACGCGGAAAGAAAAGGCAAAAATTCTGAAAAAGACGCCGCGAAGCCGAAAAAAAAAGCAAAGAAGAACCAGGATCCACCGGAAGGGTGGTACCAGCCGACCCTGTTCGAGTGCTTTGCGAAATCGAAACCCAATCCTTCATCTGTCGATCCCAGTCACAAATCTGAAGAGAAAAACAATCCGTCCGACGCCGATCACCACAACAAGAAGGCCGATGCTTCTCTACTCGAGTCCTAGGTAGGATTTTGCGCAGCTTCTCTCCGGAGCCGCATGCTTACTGCGGTCAACGAGCGGGAACGTGAGGCCTGAAAGTCCCATTGCTATAGTGAAATTGTATATTGAGTTTTTTTTTCTATGTTTTGCTTTCAAGAACCAACTAATTCAACTCTCAAAATCACCATGTAGTTCTTGACGTCAACATCTAGCACGCAGTTCTTGATGTGCAAATTCCGCACATCGACCGCAGCTCAACATCATTTCTGTCGCGCTGGCGAACCAACGCAGAATTTCCCTTGCGCAAAAAACTGTAGAGTCACGATTATTTGACTGCTTGAGCAGGTTGAATCTGAAAGGTGGCGCTGAACGCCAATACTGCAGCACATGCCAGAGCGCCGGTCCCGCAGTACTTTTGGAAGGTGGAAAATGACTTTTTGCTTCTGGCCACCGATTCCCCTGTTCCTATCGTATCTGCGTCTGAGTAATAAAACAAAGAATGACCCGCAAGGTTTACGATATTTTGACCGGCTAGCTAGTTCTAGCTGCTAGTGTGCGAAGAATGTTGACGAGGAGTGAAGGCAGAATCACATGAAGTCGGAAAGACGAGTGATGATCATGAGTGAGGCTGCAGTGTAGCGAAAACAAAAGACAAGAGCGAACACCTGCTGCGTCGAATAGGCGTTTCCTGTATGGAGTGCTCTATTCAGTTCTCTCCATGATTCCTGCCCTTCGACCCACCTTCAATTGAGGCTACCCGTAAGAAACAAGGGCAGTGAGGATTATGATTATCGGTAGTACGGATAAGTAATTATCCGAGCCTGTGACGGTTGCGTCACCTTGCTTCTTCATCTTCATTTCGTTGTAACCTCGCTACGTCGACATTTATCATGTCGGGTTGTTGCGCGGGGCAGATCAACAAAGAGACGCAGGACCTGTGCGACTTTTCCGGGTGGACGGCCAGAAGCCAGAATGAGTTCTACGATGTGTGGCGCTTGCGGCTGAAGCCGATGCAGGGAAAGACCGCCTTGATTACCGGCGCCACCACCGGCATCGGCCGGAAGCTGGCGGAGGAGTTCTCCCGGTTGGGAGCTACCGTGATTATGTTGAACCGGCCCTCGGAGCGCGCGGACACAGCCCTCGCGGAAGTTTCCAAAATCGCTGCGCTTGCCGGAGAAACCTCTGGCTCGAAAATGGCCGCTGGAGTGCATCATGTCGACTGCGACCTGCAAGAGTTGGAGTCCGTTCGGGCAGCCGCTGAACGAGTGGTGCAGCAATTGGCTGGGTCAGGGTCAGAATTGAAGGGCATTGACTATTTGATGCTCAACGCGGGTTTGATGCTCACGGAGGATAGAGCCACACCGGACGGGTTCGATATACAAATGCAGGTACTTACGGGCGTATTTCTTCATCAATTTTCGCAGCCAGATTTTCAATAGAAGCAGACATCTGCTTTCTATTTGTTCGTGAGGATTCAGACTAGAAGGAGAGAGTCCTTTTTCTGAGGCGGGGTCGCGGTCGTGCTATTGGTGGGGCCTTGATGTTGATGGAAACTTGCAATCACAGTGATAATTTTACCATTTTACAACTATCACCATAAAAAAATCGAGCAGCTACCCATTCAGGCGATAATGAGACTGAGAGGTCGTAAAAGGGAATTCTAAGCAGGCGAAAACGCCGAACAGAATAAATTCATGATCACCATAAAAAAATGCAGGTGAACCACCTTTCTCAGTTCCTGTTGACCAAGTTGGTTTGGAATCTGGTGGAACTTGCGGCCACGACGCGCGGCGACTGCCGTGTCATCACAAATACTTCCACTGCCTACCTGTGGTCGTCCTGCAAAATTTTGAGCCCCTGGCCCTGCTTTAGCAAGACCATTCGTCCCAAGTACATGCAGAAAAATGGCGGGAAGCTAGGCGGGAACTTCGGTTTGCCGCTGGCCCCGTTGGGACCGCGGATGTACCGCTATGCGCAATCCAAGCTGGCCAACATCGTTTTTACTGCGGCGCTGGACGACCGCGTGCGCAAAAGCGCGGTGGTTGGAGCTGGTGTTGGAGTGGACGGCGCAGACAAGAAAGCAGAGGGAGGCCCGAATCCGAAAATTCGCTGCATCACAGTGATGCCGGGAGTCTGCATGGAGACGGAGTTGCTTGCCGCGTCGAAAAGGGGTAAGGGGGGCGGGATGCGGGAGCACTCCAAGTTTCTGTTCAACCTCGGCGGGCACGGAATCAAGACTGCCACTATATGCATGTTGATGGCGGTTGTGCATCCGGATATCGAGAGTGGCAGTCTCGTTGAACCGAAATACTGGCACAAGCTGCTTATGATGGGTTTCGGCCGCAACCATACCCACGGGCCGCCCATGGTGCCGGCGCGGAAGGCGGAGGCGCCGCATTTCATGACGGCGGAAAAAAACAAGGAACTGCTTTGGAGCTGCAGTTTGGAAGCCGTCGGCGAAAAAGAATTTGACATTGCATAGTACGTATGGCGACGACGTTTCGACCTTTTTATCTCGTCTCTGGATCGCGGTTATTTTGCGTCCGTTGTTTCAACAAGTCAGGATCTAGCATTGTGCAAATTTTTCTATAAATTGTCCTGACATCGTTTCTACTGGTGTTCTTGCACTGGTGAACCAACAACTTAAAAGGCTTACCCTTTACTGTAAAGCAAAAGCAAAAAAACGCGAGATATTTGTTTCTCACTGTAACAGCAACGTCGAATTGAAATCAGTCGGTACTAGGGACGAGGAGTGTTGAAGTAGTAAGCTGTCGGTGCTTCGTGGTGATCAGCCCTCTTCCGTCTCACGACCTAGTGTCAGTCGTTCTCTCGGTCAGCTAGTACAACATGGTAAGGATCAAGACATCGGTGTACCCCAATTTTGTCCGTTGATAATTTTGCCAGAACGGAGATGTCACTCGTCCTTTCTCTGCTGATGGTGCTTCTACACTCATTTCTTGTACCAGCATGTAGACGTACAAATACGACTCGGTTTCACCAAATAGCGCCAGCGTCAGAGATGTGTCGGTGCCTCTGCAACACAGTTTTCCCAACTTCCATGTCGTCCATCGGTTGTGCTCGTCAGAATCGCGATAATATGTCGGTTACGGTTTCTTCAACATGGCTGACAAACAAGTACCGTCGGTTTTCGACGCGGTTCTGTCATTGAGCCTGACAAAAATCAATATTCTTCACCCACACAACTAAAACTCCACAGTACGTATCCTATCGCTAAACTACACTTTCACAATCTGAATCTTCACTTATCACGTCAGACCCCCATTTATTTCTTTCGCTTTCTGCTTTTGACACACAATGAATTCCTGGCGCCGCGGAGGCGTGTAGTACAACCATCGTTTTAATCCGATTTTTTTCTTGAGTCGCCCCCTGTTGCTTGTGCGTTTGCCTCCCCCTTCCAAAACCAAAACCAAAATGTCGCATATCCGGGCCAAGCCTCCGAGGCGGCCCACCGGGGGACCGTCAATCGTAATCCCGCGGGGGGCACGGACTTCCTACCTGCAGCCAGCTCGTGTAAGCGGACCCGATAATTATCCTGACCCACAAGAACGTAAGGCCAGCACAGGAGAATCTGTAGTCCTGCACACTTCCCCCGGCGCGCAGCCGGAGGTGGATGGGATTGCTAGTATTGCAGGTCGTACGACGGCGGCGACGCCGCTCCTTTACCCAAACGACAACGAGGTCGACGAGCAGAACCGGCGCGCCAGTGTTTTCGACAAGGTCGAGCGGCGGTTCTCCTCGGTTTCCGGCAGCAAGCGCGAGGCCTACAATTCCCTGCTGCACATGTGTTCCGATGACGTGATCCGGGCGCACGGGTACGACCCCAACCGCTGGTCCTACCAAATCTACGAGTCGCAGTGGATGACGGGGTTGCTGGTGGCCGTGGTGGCCGTGAACGTGGTGCTGATCGGGTTTGAAGCCGCTGAGCCGAGTGCGGAGGACGACGTGTTCATGTTTTCCACGTGGTGGTACGTGGAGCTGGTGTTCTTCGCGATCTACCTGAGCGAGCTCTGCCTCCGCCTGCACGCCTACGAGAGACGGCGCCTCTTCTTCGTACGCGGCGACTGGTTCAACAACACGCTCGACTCGTTCCTCATCGTGCTGCAGATCTTCGAGCTGGTCGCCTCTGGGGCGATTCAGGTGGACCTCGGCTTCCTCAAGATGATCCGCCTCGCGCGGCTCACCAAGCTGAAGTGCAGCGAGTCGATCATGCTCAACTTCGCCGTGTTGGTATCCAAGTGCACAAGAACTCCCCCACGACCTCCGCCGCGTCATTTGTCATTTGCAATAATCCAAATTGCTTCAAAGAAATCCTAATATTTAAGCTAAAGGTAAATGTAAATGCTAGTCGTGATCAACCCGTTGTCCTTGTGATCTCGCGACATTGCATGCGTGACCGATTGTGGAAGCGGCCGAGTCCGAGAGGACACGATCACGAACAAGAACAGGAGCACCACACACTAGAACCTCCTTGAATGTATGTGATCACTTTGTCATGCAAGAGCCGCATGCGCACGCGACCGCGACGCGCACCAGCATCGCTTCCAGCGGCAGCGCTTCTTTTGCAACTGTGCATGCAGCTACCATCCAAATGAATCAGCTCCTGCGGTGGAACGAGTGGGCTCTTGTGCACTCGGATAGCTGGCGCAGTCCACCTACGAGTCCGTTTTTCTCTTCTTCCTGTTGTTCCTCCTGATCGCCGTGAACTCGACCATCGTCATGGTCTACCGCAAGTCTTTCGGCTCGTTCGATGACGACCACCTGGAAACCACCTTCTTCAAGGACTACCAAAACACGGTGTTGTCGTTCGCACAGATGACCATGGTGGACTCGACCTTCGGCAACGTGCGCAACATGTTCTCGGAGGCGCCGGCCCTGGGGGTGCTCTCCCTGTTGCACGTCATCTTCGGTTCGATCATGATCATGAACATGGTGATCGGTCTGGTCACCGACATCCAGTTTCGCACGCAGAAGGCCATCAGGTTGCAAACCAAGCTGGACAACGCCGTGGCGCTGGCCAATTGGCTGGTTGTGAATGTTGGGGAAATCGATTTCAAGCTCAACTCTTTAATCTTGGCCAAGGAAAAGAAAAAGAACGCGGCCGGGGCCGCTGCGGCGCACCAGCACTCGAAAAAGAAACATTATGACCTAGCCCGTCGCCCTTCGCAGCTCGACTCGTCGGATGCGCGCGATCTTGTCGAAGAGGCCATGACGGTTGGAGCTCACAACATCAAGAGTGACGCCGTGCAGTACTTCCATAGTACTGACACGTCGCCGCACCACAATAGTGTTTTGCGGCACGGGGGCCGGGGAGAACACGACACCATCGAAGAGGCCATGAAACAGCAGTCCAAGCACACGAGGCCGGAAAACGCGATCCCGACGCGGGACGAGCAGGACATGCACCTCAGCAAGGACAGCACGCAGCTCCGTGCGACGCAGGGGCTAACGATTCCCATCAGCGTGTTCTATGACCCCTCGGTGCAAGCAAAAATGCACGAAATCGGAGACATCGGCGAGGACAGCCTCCCCTCCGTCGTGATCTCCGCCATGCAGGAAACTGCGCGCGCGGCCGGCATCCTGGACGATGCCGAGTTGCGGTCTGTGACCGCGTTGTCCGTCGCTGAGGCCGTGTACATGCGCGAATTGGACCTCGGCCGGGACGATGTTATCAACGCCAGTCAGGAAACCAAACGTGTGAGGAGCTTCGTCCACTGGAATACCCGGTTGCAGTTTCTTGGCATGGAGGTCCAGCGCATGGTCCTGTACGCCCTTGGAGACGTGGCAGGTGGTTCCAACAAGAACAACGGCAAGAAACAAACAAACCCAACTCGAAAAGCAGCGCCCGGGTCCAGCAGCAAAAACACCTTCAAGGGGAAGCGATTTCCGGAGCGTGAAGGTGTCATGTTTTAAGTAGTTTTTTTTTACAGAAGATAGCAAAGATATTACTACGCTGCATAGGACCTCCTTCTGTTCCAACACGCACTTTAGTGATTGCTTTTACAGATGAGCATGAGACGTTAAGAATGTCCTTGTGCTTATTTCTCGCTACTGTAAATAGAGATCATGTCCACACTTCATGTACCTGATAGCGGAGCATGTTCCTGTTTAGTCATACCAATAGTCGTCCTCAAAAATGTATTTGAAGTTGAATCTTCCTTTCATCCCTTTATGTTTCCGACCTCAAATTTTCTAGGCTCTACTTCCCCGCATGCGCCAGAGGACATGGATCACGAAGAGCTGGATGACACAATAAGTGCCTATGGAACAACCGCGGAAGGCGGGGCCAACATCGAAGGACCTGAACAAGGGGGCAGTGTGGGTGCCCCGCTGGACGTGGATGATGTTTTGCTGCGCCACTCGCAGCTGGAGCTGCAACGGACGGCGTCAGACGCAACAACTCCTAAAGAGCGGCCCCATGGTCGGGAAGTTGCCGAGGGGTCAATTGTCGACGAGTCTGTGGATCCGAGGGTGAATGTGCGTCAGGGGTTGTTTACCAGTGCCATGCACCAGCGGATAGAACAAGAACACAAAAATGCAGGCACCGCGACAGACAGGGGCCCAAGAGGTGCTAAAGATCTGACCTCTGTTAATGTTTCGAGCGGGCAAGATCTAGACAGTGTCGATCCATCGCAGGACATGCTCGAAGAATTGAATGTGATACGCAAGCAACAAAACGCCATCCATGGTTTATCAAAAACGGACGACCTGCCGGCCGAGGTGTACAAGCGGCTCATTCTGGAGCGCTGTGCCGTCGTGAGGAACACGGCGGGAGCTGGTTCGTCCAAGAAAATCGGTGAAGAAGCCCGCCAGTCAGCTGCATTCGCGGAACCACTCAGCACCGAAGATCCAACGAGACGAGAGCTGGCCTCAACTTCAACTACCTACCTGACCCTAGCCGACCCACGCGACTCCAGTACTACATCAGAGGCTGACGTCATGTACAAGTTTCTGCACCAATTGTACAGCAAGTGCGATGCTGTTATGCTGCCGTGCACAACTCGCTTCTTACTCACATTTGTCTATTCCACCCTGGCCGGCGGCCGCGGCCCATCGAAGTTGCGAAGATATTTGCGTTTATCCTTTATTCTGGTTCGTGATTTGTGGAACCACGCGAATTGAACTTCGCCAAGTTTATCTGTGGATCGAGCGGATCATAAAAAAACGGACTTGCTAACAGCTTTCGCTTTCGTGCATGAGTGTAGTAAGCTATGTGTCCGGATCAACAGAATGTAATCGTATCTATGAACATGAGTAGCAGCCTCATCTTTGAAAAATGTTGGCGGGCTCGAATTTATTTGTTGAGGGTGAAGCGATTTGCGCATCTCATAGCGGAAGACCTGTTTCCCTGTGCCGGAACGATGGCCTCCCGAACTGTCGAGATCATCGAGGACGTTGTGCGGGAACGGCCGTCCAGTTCTGTCGCCCAAGTTCCGCTTATGAAAAGGACAATCACAATTTTTTATTCGTCTCTGGTCCTCTCAAAAGCCGTCTGGTCACGACATTGCATGGTATTGTTTACGAGGATGAGTTTGAAGAACAGATATTTGTATCTGTTCCTCGTAAGGCTAAAGTTGTCTTATCTAAAGATGCGCTCCTGCATTTCGCCTTTCATCTGCATATAATCGACTCGGGGGTGTGGATCAGAAAGCATTCTTAAAGAACATTTGTACCGTTGGTAGACGCCAATTCCAAATCGTAGATGTACTGTAAAAATAGCCAAGAAGACTTGGTTTTTTCATCTTCCTCCTGCTTATTAGTGTTATGCTTGTGGTCAGCGTGGACCGGCGTTTGTACCGTAGAGGCGCTTGCATTTTGTCCTTTCCATACCGGTATCGGAAGTACTGCAGGAGACGATCCAAGACTCCCTGCGGAAGGAGTTGCTGCAGCACGGTCTCACGGTGGACACACAAATCCTACGAACCAAGATCGGACAAAACATTTCGTGAAAGCAGTGAAATTGAGTTGTTTCTGGTCTTCTCGATCATTACAAGAGTAGCACTTTGATGTTTTCGCTCAAGCCATTCCAACCAAAAAATTTTGCTTTTTCTTTTTCTTTGCACAACATTCAATGTTTATTGCACTACCACTTTCTTTTACTATCGATCCTCATAGCACGGGAGAGTGCACATGAGCATGTGTACTTCATTTTTCTTTCTGGTTTACCCTCATATTTCGCATTCAGTTGCTTGTATATCCTGCTTATGCACCAGCAGCTTATTGCTTTGCTGCAGGTGCAGAGTCGTGTTTTGCTTTTCGGGCATAATACGATTCTCCTTCGCCTTCTAACTACAGTATGTTGAAAATGATAGTGGATCCATCTACTTAAGTAAAATTTCATGCTGGGCATGATACGCACGGTCGTGGTTGAATGGAGCTGCCTCCTCTTTCGAGGACTATGAGTGCTTCTCTCCGACGGAGATGGAGAATTGAGTCGACACGAATGATTACTTTCACTGCCCGACCTATCGAGTAACAACTGAAGGTACGACCGCTGCTCTGATGTGTACGTATCTATCAAGATCAATTCATCTTTCTTGATTTCATCGGTCTGGTGCCCTTCCATGCCCTGTGTTCCAAATAGTTCAGGAGAGGCCACCGCCGACCATCACCCTCCGAAAGTGGAAATAATTGTATGTTGTACCGGTGATAGTGTAGGCGTAACGGGAAGATAGTTATTTCACAAGCTAAGAACTACGTCGTCTACGACGTCGACAGACCAATAACATTGATGAAGACCACTCCATAGAGGTTAAGAAAGTAGCGTCTACAACAAAGGTAAAGAATTCATTCAAAAATGGTAGCTGTCCACAAGGAGCGCGCGCGTGGGGGAAAACACGCGCTGAAGGATGCTGCCGTTGATATGGTCGGAAACTGGTTGAGGAATCAAGCAAAAACGGATGCTCCGAAAGCTGAAGCACCCGAGTATTCTCCCGAGGGCTTGAAAACTCAGACGGTTCAGCGCCTTTGGGAGGGTTACGGTGCTATTGTCCGGGTGTCGCTTCCTCCGGCAATTACGGCATTCTTGCATACAGGCGGAGCTTTAGAAAATGTATCCACAGTCGTGCTAAAGTGCATTCAGCCACCGGTACTAGGCAACTCGACATCGGATGTTCTTAACCCGCCGTCCCTGTCACACCAGCGCAAACTGAAGTCGTATCAGGTCGAGGCTAATTTTTACGAACACTTCCTACCGAAGCTAGACCTACGCCGCGTCCGCGTTCCGCGCCTTTTGCACCGCGACTGTTCAACATCCGACAGCACGTCCTTGGGTTTCATCCTGGAAGACCTAGATGCTGCCGGCTTTCCTGAGAGAAAGCACTCCCTTTCTGCTCGCACCGTTCGCCCGGTTCTCACTTGGTTGGCACGGTTTCACAAAACCTTCCTGTACTGTGACACTGACCAGCGGAGCACTGGCAGCAGGACAAATAGCAATGTGGTAAGTAGCAACTCAGTGGCGCAAGCTTTGATATGGCCCGAGGGTTGCTACTGGCACCTAGACACCCGTCCGGACGAGTTCCAGCGGATCTCGCCGAAAGACAGCCCGTTGCGCCGGTACGCGGGAAGCTTCGACGAAAAGTTGAAGGCTGCAAAATGGAAAACGGTGGTGCATGGGGATGCAAAAATCGAGAATTTTTGCTTTCCGCCAACAAACGGAGCCGCCCCGGCTGAGACAGACGTGGCTGCAGTGGACTTTCAGTACACGGGATTCGGTGTGGGAGTCCGAGACGTCGCGTACTGCCTGGGCGGTTGGGGATTGTCGGAAAGTGAGATGGAAAAGAGCGCGGAGGAGCTGCTTGATTTCTACTTTGCAGAACTCAAAACCTACCAGCCACGGACGATGACAGTACTACGCGAAACATGCGAGGAGAATGGGGGAGAAGTAGCTGGAGATTCTCGTGCGAAAAAAGACACCATTGATCATCACGATCAAGATTTTCTCGCAGAAGTGGAAGCTGAGTGGCGCGAGTTGTGGCCAGTGTGCTTCGCCGATTTCGAGCGGTTTTTGGCGGGCTGGGCTTCAGGCCATGATTGGAAAAGAAGTGGCCGCTACACGGTTCGTATGGTTGAGAAAGCGATCCAAATGGTTCAAGGAAATAGCTTGAATGCGAACTCTTGCTCTTCATGAAATTTACTGAGCTGCGAACTCAACACTTTCATCATCTGGTTCAAAACGACGAATGAGCGTAGCGAGCGGCGCACGACTTCTCGTGCAGCATAGCGAGAGTCCGGCGACATCCGCCAACTACAGCGACAGGAAAGTATGATCAGCGGTGTCGTGCTGTAGTTTTTTCTTTCCTAATTTCTTGTGGAGGGCAGCGTCCTCGAGTTGCAGTCGTGGACTTCGTTTGCAACCGCGCGAAGCCACCTCTTCTTGAGACCGAGTGACATTTACTTCATTTTTACGCTGCAATGCATTGCTACCTCTGTAGTTGTGTGATGGCTGCGATGAGGTGGAGCATTTTTACGGACCCAAAAACGATGAAAGTTTTCTTGAAAGTGTACAGAATAATGGCAAGAAGGAGAGCGAGTGAGTCGTTTACTTGTTGATAGAGACCACGAGATGACGGCAGTGAGTCCTCTCCGTGGTTTACTATTTTTTATTTTTGACAAGCCAATGTAAAAGAATCTGAATCGACTACACTTCGCATCGTAGTAGTTTCCGGTATTTGTACTTGCAGCACTACAAAAAACGTCGTGACACGAAACAAGTTCCACGGGAGCAGCTCCACCACCGGCACCGCGCGATGTCCACTACTGGTAGCAAAAAGAGTCGCGCGGGTACTCCGGTGCACCGTGCGAAAAAGTGGTCGGCGAAGCAGAGCCTGGTGGAGGAGTACGTGCAGAAGTACCAACTGGAGAAGGTTTTGAACGAGATGTTCCACAAACTCCTGGAAACCAAGCCGGATCACCCGGTGGATGTGATGTTGCAGCACCTTATCTTCACAAGAAAAAGTGCTAACGTTAACGGAATTTGTGATGCAGTAACGCATCAGAAAAGATGCCCAAATTTGTATTGCGTTGCATGCATGGAAGGCAAAATTTGTAATGCATAGCTGCCATCTGTGAAAACCGAAACCGTTAACGTTAACACTTTTTTGTTTGATACACCTGTTTGACAAACTCCCGGACGACTGCAACGAGGAGACCATCGCGGAGTGCTGGGACATGCTGGCCAGAACGCGCACCAACTCCACCTTGATGCCGCGGGACATGGCCTCCTGGGCGGCGCGGGACCCGCTCCAATACGCGACCTCCAACTCGGGCAGCGGCAAGCCGGTCAACAGTGCGTCAAGCAGCTCCGCGGGCAACGGCGGTGCTGCTGAGGACGAGGACAAGACGCTGCCCCCCGGCGGTCTCGTTTGCGAGGAAGCACCACCGGCGAGTCCAACCGAGGCGGATGCGAGTGTGGGCGCAGGAGGAGCATCAGAAGTCGCGGCTCCTGTGGAGACAAATAATGGTGAGGCGGGTGGCGGGAGTGAAGAACCTGCTGCGGCACCGGAAGCGGACGAACAGGGTGGTGCTGAATGATGCGTCGTTTTTAGAAAGTCGAAGATGCAAATGGTATAGTCCTTGTCGTTGTCATAGAAATTCTTGGCGCAGCAACTGCTCGTTGTGTCACTTTCGTCGAAGCAATCATTGGAGCCGACTCGCGTGACGTGGGAGTAAGTATCAAATAACTGGCCAGTAAGAAACTTGTTCAATATGTTGAAGACTGATATTGATTCCAGCGCACGCGGGTTAGACTCAGACGATGCACTGTGTGTGGAGTGAAAGAGTGTTCTCTGGAACGGTGTTGCATGCCTCGTTCTCGTGCCGAATTTGCAGCTTGATTTTGGAGGAGGCCCTCGTATTTATGTCACAAGTGGTTCCCCCTCTGCAAGGAATGCCCGCAAAAGACCAACGTGTTGTAAGATCAATCAGTATTGAGCACGACGCACGAGGAAAACGAAAAGCATCTGCTTTAGAAGTTTACGCTGCAGGCACGATCTTCCCTTCATCCCAGATCCTCGCGCATTTTACCAGGTCCTCACGCTCACTTCCACCCCATCATGTGATGTCGAAGGTCCTCAGTGTTGACAGATTCATTCAGAGAATTTGCGTTTTAGATTTAGACTATGACTTCTAAGAAAGCTTTTTAGAGAGACACCGGCATGGTGGACCCAGGTGCCGCGCTTTTGGTGAACGGCGGTGTGCCTAGTGGCACCTTCGACCAGATCCAGGTAAAGACAAAGGCCGAGGCCGACAAGATTATGTGTCCGAAGGCGAACGGGACGACGGACGCGCCCCCGCCCTACGTCGGCCAACTGCGGTGGAACTGCGACCAGGCTGAGGCGAATCAGATCTGTTGCTTCAACCGCCACTACGCGGAGCACAGCGGCTACTGGGAGCGAAAAACGAAGTTCTTCGCGGAAGAAGACGCGAAAATCAGGACGGAGCTGAAGCTCTCGGGGGAGGGAAATCTCCCCGAGCAGCATCAAGTCACGTTCTACGACACCATCACTTCGAAGCCGTTGTTTAGGGCGCCGCGCGGTCGCTCGTGGAACGCGTTCATTCTCGAATCCAGGCAGCACGGCTGGCCCAGTTTCCGCGACGAAGAAGTGCTGACGGGGCACGTGAGAATCCTGCCGGGGGGAGAAGCTGTGTCCACGGCAGGGACACACCTGGGGCACAACATTCCAGACAAGAAGGGCAACCGATACTGCATTAATCTGGTCAGTGTGTGCGGCCACGGACCGGCGCGGCGGAGGTCGAGAGCGTCTGAAGATGGTCAAGATGGTGGAGACAATGGTCCAGGTGGTGGTGGCGGAGGTAGTCGTATTAACTCATCGAAGGCCTTGGGCTTGGGCGCGGATCTCAAGGGAGCGCTGGGAAAGAACAAGCAGACTTGAGCATGATGAAGGGCCCATTTTTCCGGTCGATGATGAACGTGTAAAGCTTCCTGCTGATCTGCAGCTGATGAACGTGTAAAGCTTTCTGCCAGTCTGGTTCTGGTGTAGAGATTCAACACCTACCTCTACCTGCGACAGCGACTACGTACGACTGGGGTTCGTACTTCTACTATTTGTATTTGTATAATTCCCTCCGCTGTCATAACCATATCGAAGGCGAAGGCTACGGTGGCATTTGCTCCAGTCACGCCAGGTCTTAGACTGAGTCGAACAAGCGCAAACTAACGTCGATGCGCCGGCAACATAAACTCTATCTATCCCAATGAGCAGGAAACGAGAACGACGCACAGTGTGAGTGCATGCATCACTTCTCCTCATACTTAGTGCCGGTAGAGAAATAAAAAAACATCGACATGAAGGTGCTTTTACCTTCATGGTGAAAATTTCGCGGTAATTCGCCGATCTTCGTTTAGATGACGAGAAGTGGAAATTCCAACAGTCGCTTGCAATTTGGAGAAATGGAGACGGACACGGAGAGCAACGCTCTACTTTTACGCGGCGTCTACGTAATAGCTCGTTGTTCATCTTCGCGTTGGTCTATCATGAGCAGATAAAAAAGGTGATGAACATGAAAATCGTGCCAAGTAAAGGAAGTGGAAAGTATTTTCGGGGCATTAAACTATCATAATCATTCCACACATTTCACGATCAGTATCTATACGCTTTTGTTTTTCCCGCATCGAGAGCGAACAGAAAGTCTTTTATCTGAGAAAGAAATATACTAGGAGAGTGCCTATTCTCTAGGAAGCAGCAGCAGAGTGCCTCGATTCACTTCCTGTGGTAATTATACTGGTCTAAGTAACGACTCTGACATTCATCGGAATACTTCCTTGTTGACTCATTACCTTTACAGCACGACAACTTACGCCACAATTGTCATGCTTAAACATCAACCAGCACAGAGAGTCACACTAATTTGCCCACCCTTCATGTTCATCGCTTTCGATTGTCCTAACGTGCGGTTTACCAGCTACACCTACAACAGTAGAGATGATTGAGTACGATTTCGCATCAGTAATAGTAGTTTAGTTCTGTTACTAAAACTACCTCGTTGCTCAACATTACTTAGCCGGGTCACAAATCACTATAAAAAAATGTCATATTTTTGGATGGGGGATGGCACCCACAAGGTGCCCTTCTCCATGCACCGGCGGCATCGGGAGGAGGTCGCGCGCAAAATTCGTGAAGAGCATCCGGCAGTTAAGGGTACCAGAACGTTCCTGCTGATGAAGGGTGGTGGCGAGCAGTCACTATACGACACCGATACGACGTGGGACTTCCGGCAAGAGGCTAACTTCCAGTATCTCTTCGGCGCCAAGGAGCCGGGACTCTGGGGCGGCATTGACATCGACAGCGGAAAAGGCTACCTCTTCATCCCCAAACTCGACGAAATCTACGCGACCTGGCTAGGGCCCATTCGAACGAAGGAGCACTTCAAAAATTACTACGAGGTGGAGGACGTTTTGTATCTGGACTCGGAGGAACTGAAAGCGTTTATGCACAAGCACACCCGGGGCATTGTGACTCCTATTGGAACGAATCTCGACTCCGGATCTCGCTCATTCAACGAGCACTCAAAAGCAACGTTCATGAAGGAGAATTCCCTTTCGCCGCTAACGACCGCAAGCGAGCACTTCTCCAGCATCGTCTGGACGGTGCTGAACGAATCCCGTGCAGTAAAAGACGCCGACGAGATCCGCATCCTGGAGTTCGCGTGCAAGGTGAGCGCGCAGGCTCACATCGCGGTGATGAAGAAGGTGTACCAAACGCACACGAACGAGGTGCTCTGCGCACCCTCCACCTCGCCCACGCACCGGCCGTGGCCGGCCATGCAGATGGTCAAGAGCAAGGAGTACTTGTCCGAAGCGGAATTTAAGTACCAGTCCTTCCTCCGCGGCTGCGCCCGGGTGGGCTACACCTGCATTTGCCCCTCGGGCGAGAACAACGCCGTGCTGCACTACGGACACGCGGCGGAGCCGAACATGGAGGACGTGCAGTCCGGCGAGATGAAGCTGCACGACATGGGGGCCGAGTACCACTGCTACACCTCGGACATCACGGTGAGTTTCCCCGTCACGGGGAAGTTCACGGACGCGCAGCGACGCATCTACTCCGCCGTGTGGAGCGCTGTGCAGGCGGTGGAGCGGCGGCTGCGGCCGGGCGTGCGGTACGGCGACATGCACAAACTCGCGCAGCGCACGCTGCTGCACAGTCTGAAGGGCTTCGTGTTTCTCGAAACCGCCGACGTGGAGGAAATGATGAAATATGACCTGGCGGGGTTCTTCATGCCCCACGGCCTGGGCCACATGCTGGGGCTGGCGGTGCACGACGTGGGCGGGTACGTGCCGGGGGAGAGCCGGAAAAACTACCCCGACATAAAGCAGAACCTGCGACTAAACCGGGAGCTGAAGGAAAACATGGTGCTCACCGTGGAGCCCGGGTTCTACTTCATTCCGCACTGCATCCGCCAGGTATTTCAGGACGAGGGGAAGAAAAAGTTCATGAAAATGTCGGAGGCGACACTCCTGCAACAGATGACCAAGGAGGTTGGAGGCGTACGCATCGAGGACAATGTGCAGATAACAAAAACGGGCTGCCGCGTGCTGCACACCACGCCGCGCGAAATCGAGGAAATTGAAGGGGTCATGCAGGGTAAGTTCGAGTGGGACTTTGAAGTCGAGTGCCTGCGGGAATACAACGGAGCCGCGGGTGGCGGCAGCCCCATGGCGAACGGTGGGGATCACGGTGGGACGCCCTCCAAGAAACAGAAGACTTCCAGTGCGTAGTGGAAGACCGACGTGGATTGCTCTTTGAACCCCCACGAACATAAAAATCACTTTGACTTCTCCTGCTTTCGCCTGTCTTTCTATGGCATCGGTTGTATGCGCGTTCCGATGCTAGCGATGCATAACAAGATTTGTTGAAGACAAGGAACACTTTTTCAACGACGAGAAAGAAGTTGCAAGAAAACGGTGTCTCCACCGAAGACAGAAACAGCGTTTGAGCAATATTATCGAGTCACCATATGGCAGAATGGCTGTGTAAAATATGGACAGCGGGACTTTGTTCGCAGAAAAATCCTGTTGCAATGCATCAAATGCGCCCAAATGTAAATAATGCGCGAGCCTGTGGTAGATGGTTCGTGGTTCAGATACAAAGCAAGGTTCACAGAGAGATGTGGTTGTTTCTTGAAATCTTGTTCTAGAAGAAAAGCAGCAATAAAAGAACTACAATCTTCCCTGAACGAAAAAGTCACTGTGAGTGCTTTGACTGCGTTCCATTTTGTTCTTCTGCTTGCGCCGACGTTCAGCGCAGCTGCGGTCTGTCGACCACATGCACATGCAGGACGGCGGTAGCTCTTTTCAAAAGACCAAGACGCATGAAGCTGCGGCGCAATGGAGTCCACCAAGAAACTACGGTAAGATGAAGGAGGAGCAGATCCAGAACCGAGATCGGGGTGTCTTGTGTTCAGGCACGATAGGATCAACTTCAGCTCTGAAATCGCGAGTTAAGCGATGCGGTGTCTTCATTGCCGTTGCGTTCACGAGCCCACCAGTAACCGGCCTGCTTCTTCTGAGTCTTAGTCTCTCTGCCATTGGAGCCAAGTGCTTGTGGAGGGAATCTCATCCCGAGCACTGGTTTCCCTACTTCCTCCTTCTCGGCGGTTTTTGTGGGGTGTGGCTCTGGTACCATGGAGTGCAAAGCCTGCTTCAGCTACAGCGGAATGAGCAGCTGGAACAGCGGCGACGAATCGTTAGGTCGCAAGCAGAAGCGGGAGCGAAAAGATCTCTCGCAGCAAGACGCTCCTCGGAACGGGTGGAACGAGGCCAAATGCTGCAGCAGGCACAAAATAACGATCGTGCTCCAGCTAAACATTCCGATAGCTACGGACCGTCGCAAGTACCATGTCCATTCGAGCAGGAGCTTTCGACAATCGAGAGTTCAGTGCCGTCTATGACTAATATGTCTGCTCCGTCACTGAGAAAGAGTCCTTCTGCAACGAATAAAGGCACCCACCACCTTGGGAACAAGACGCTGCTGAAAAGCACCTCTCCGAATGCTCTGGATCATGGTGTTGGTGTAGGTCATCTCGGCCAGCAGCTGTCCTTCGATCGCGACTACAAAAAAGACTTCAAGTAGCGAGTGCTACGCTCATTGGTTCGTCTACTTCGCAAGCAGATGAATGACAGTCCGAACGTACGTACTAAGTACTTTACACTTTGACGTTATTAACTTGCAAATCCAAACCCAAATCGACGCCTTTTTCTGCTCGCATTGCGCCGTTCTCCATAGAACGCACTGCAGCAAACGCAAAGTCATGCTCCTGAAGGTAGAAGCGCTTTTTCGTTTTGCAACACCCAGCAAAACCTGTCGAGTAGATCAAGTTGAACTTGAAGGCAAATTATAACAGTTTCTTTGGATCCTCTTCAATTACCTTATTCGTGCGCATTCGCTAGAGCTTGAAGATTTTTCCTGTTTGTGGATCTTCGAGTGTAGTACGCAATGCCAAAGAAAACCGGTTTTGTCCAAGCTCTATTCCCACCGTGCGCCTTTCTCCATGGTCACGGTGGACGCCCATGCATGGATACATATCAACAACATGCCTCGTCTGCTCTCTACTGCGATCAGTGAATGAAAAGAATCTGGATGTTGCCGCTCCTCCTTCTAGCTTCCGAGAAATTTGCTGAAACATTTCCACTAGCTTCAAGCGGGTGGCTTTCGTGTAAGTCCACTGGTGGCCTGTTCGCTGTCGAGCTCACATCATTTGGCCACTTTCCTCCATGATTTAGTTTGAAACGTTACCTGAGTATAAGGTGCGGTAGAAGTGTTGCGTTAACACCATGATGCGTGCGGTAGTTGTTGAAAATGCCAAGGCCCCCGTGAGGGAGGCTATGCGCGTGGTCGCCAACTATCCTCGCCCAGAATTGACTCCGAGCCATAATGTGCTGGTAAAAGTGCACTACACCGCGGTCAACCGCGCAGACCTGATGCAACGACAGGGCAAGTACCCACCACCACCGGGTGCTTCGAGTGTCTTGGGTCTCGAATGCAGCGGTGAAATCGTGGAAGTCGGCACACAGAGCTCAGGTACGTACGACCACTCAGTCGCACAGGTGGCGTTTTTGCTAGAAGAACTCAGAATAACGTGCAGATAGTGTGGTCGCAGCTGAAGGTCATTTTTCAAAAAATCCCCTCAAACACTCATCGATCTTACCACAACAGCGCCGTCCCGCAGCTCCAAATGGAAGCCTGGCGACCGGGTGATGGGCCTGCTCGAAGGCGGCGGCTATGCGGAGTACGCCGCCTGCGCCCCGGGCAGCTTGATGCGGGTCCCGGACAAGTGGTCCCTCGAGCAGGCCGCGTGCGTGCCCGAAGTGTGGCTGACCGCGTACCAGTTGCTCCGCAAAGTCGCCAAAACACAGCCGGGGGACAACGTGTTGCTCCACGCTGGCGCCTCGGCGGTGTCGCTCGCCGCAATCCAACTGGCGAGGCACGTGCTGCAGGCCAAACACGTCACGGCCCTTACGCGGTCAGCGCGAAAGCTGGACCAGTGCAAGCAAATGGGTGCGGACGAGGCGTTGCTGCGCGAGGACTTCTTCGCCAACTTCCGCACCGAAGACGCGGAGGCGAAAAATGCGCTGACGAAGTTTGACGTCGTTTTGGACCCTGTTGTGGGCGAGGACTTTTTCACGTGCCTGTCGGAAGCGACGAACCGGGACGCGCGGTACGTCGTGTACGCCGCGATGGGGGGGCCGAAAGTGCCGGATTTCAACTTCGGTCCGGTATTCCGCAAGTCGTTGTCCATTTTGACCTCGACCCTGCGCGCCCGGTCGGTCGACTACAAGGCGGATTTGATCGAGATGTTTGAGGAGGAGGTGCTGCAACCCTTTTTGGTGGATGCGGGGAGCAAGGCGGAACTGAATTTGGACACGGTCCTGGCACTGGACCAAGTCGCGGAAGCGCACGAAAGACTTGAAAGCAACGACACGGGCGGAAAAATTGTTTTGAAGGTTGCGGCGGAAGAGTGATCACATTATACTTAGCTATGAGTCGTGGTTAGACGCCAAACAACTCAAATTGGAGAATGCATTCGGAATGCATTTCGCTGGACTCGGTGTGTTGAAATGGAGCAGGTGATCCCAGCACGCAAATCAATACGCTGCGCCCCTCTGACCTTTCTAATGTCCGTAATGCAGATCTTCGGAGGTCGAGGTGTAGCGTCGCTCACTTTGCTAGAACACTACTCATGGTAGAAGAAGAACTGGACCTGCACCTGACTCAGAGCATTACTAGGCAAGGAGTGAGTTGGCCTTGCCACACACGCAAAAATGACAATCGTTCGAAGTGCGAGTGAGGAGCCAGACTCTTGTTTCTCGAGTGAGCGAGTTACTGGTCTAAAAAATGAGTGTAGTTCCTTTTCCTTCTCCTTGCCTCTGCTTTAATAGTGTATCTGTCGGAGCCGGAAGTTAACGACTTCAACAAGCTATGCGATTGGCCGTTATCGTTAGACGAGGAAGTCTACTCATGATCGGAGTTTTGTAACGCCTTTCTTGATTTGCCTCAGCGGCTACGCCTTTACCCCTTTTTACTTTTTTGAAGATCGGCTAAAGAATACAAGCTGAAGCAAGATGCAGCCTACACGTCGTCGTTCGGGGGGTGTGGAGGCTTTGTTGCAAAGCGGGTCGCAGAGTCTAGATGCGCGCGACTTGGGGGACCAGCAGAGTTCGCGACGCGGCGCAGGAGCGCGCGGTAGCATTCGAAAGGAGTCTTATGCACCCGCCAAGGGAGCGGCTGGAAGTGGAACAAGCTCAAGCTCCAAACCAACGAAATCGAACGGAGGCACCTCGAGTGGAGTTGCAGCTGGACCCACGGCAGGTGGGGCATCTAGCACAAGTAGTACGAAAAGCAGCTACAAAACAAGCACCAGCGGAACTTCCGGTACAGCAGCGGCCGTGCCTAGTACTGGGAGCCATGGCGGTGCCTCGACGACAGCATCCACCTCGTCGCAAAGAAACAAGCAGGGCAGTGCGATGTCTGCTTCCACACAGAAGATCCTTAGCAACGGGAGGACGAAATTCACCGCGGAAGATTTTCGTGTTGGTGCAGATTGGTGGGACCCGCTTGCGGACCTGCACAACAAGAGCATGCTGAACGCGATGCAGACCCGGCATTTGGAGTGGGAACGCCTGCGCCAGATGTCCAAACAGGAAGAACAGCGGGAAGCAGGCGGCACAGCAACTGGTGCCTCGTCGCGCAAACCCGGCGGTGTCAGAAGCAAATTGCAGCAGGCGGTTGACGAAGCCTCGTCGTATCGCGAAGACGATGTAGAGACGGGAGATGTTGACGTGACGACCTCTACGGAGATTGGCGGAGGTGCTTCCTCATCCGCTTCCTCAACTGTCGGGGCAGCAGAACCGCAGCAAAAACCGGATGCTGCGACGAAAACTTCGCAGCAGAAGAATTTGAACCACCTGCGCATGGGAATGGACGGGCCGAGACTTCCACCGTCGCAGCAGCACGGAAGCGACGTTCCCACGGCGAATTTCGCTGCAACGACTTCATCTACGGCTTTCACGCAAGGAGCAAACGGTGGCAGAGCTGCACCAAATCTCGTCTCGTCGACAGGATCAACAGCAGCGCCCTCTTCGTCACTTGAAGTGGGTCGCTACACGAGCAATCAAAGTGGTGGATTTGGTTCGTTGCAACCCGAGGGGGGGCACATGATCGTAGAGCGCTGGCGCAACCGCGTTGCTCCGGATTCCGCAACGAGCAGCGTCGCCTACTTCGGACGGAGCGGTGGCGGCAGCATGAGTGCGGGCGGCGGCGGGATTGGAAGCAGCCTGCCGGTGGGCGAAAATACCGCGGCACTGCAGCGCTTGAAGACCGTGTACGGAGGCGGTGGTGCCTCCGCGAGCAGCTCCTCCACGGCCGGCGCTGCTACCACGAGCAACGAGGAAGATCAATGGCACCAATTACCGCGCGAAGCCGTGGACGCGATCGCGCGCTGGAAGGTGGGCGGCTTGCCAGGGCGCGTTTGCCTGTTGCAGGTGCTTGACAGCGTTTTTGGACAAGAAGCGGACGATGCCCAAATGCTGTCCACCGATCAAGAGAACAGCCGCAACCAGGCCCAGGAGGACCAACAAATTGACCCGGAGGAAAGTGAAGCACGGGCGCGCTTGTTCGATGAGTTCTTTTACAAAAGAAACAGCCACAATGCGGAATCTGCGAGTGCTTCAAACAAAGATCCGTCCCCACTACTCCGCGCACTTTCGACCAGCACGGGACTCGGAACAAACGCCGTGTCGGCACAAAAATTTGTGTACGATCGCGTCTTCGCGCACCCACCAATGGAAGCTTTGGAGTTTGCCCTGTCGCTGGTGAAGAAAGCCGCTTTGCACGCCGACGCGCTGTGTCTTGCATTCCGCCAACTGCAGCTGCAATTGCAAGCAAGGCCGTTTCGAGAGCGACTGTTGGTGCAGATCCTGGCAGAACTGGTCCGGCTCCACCTCTCATCAAGTGGCCCACCAACAATGGGCAGCTTCACCAGTGGCGGGGCCACGTCGAGCGGTGCCGGCCCCCGTTCCACCGAGTGGACCGACCATGCGGTATGCGATCTGCTGTCTGCGGAGCTCGGGCTGTCGCAATACACCGTCGATCCCGGTGCCCGTGGCGCACTGAACAACCCCGGCGCACGGACGACGACCCAGAACCGCTTCCGCTTCAGTTCGTCCGGCGATATGCAACATCTAGGCACAACTACCGGCACAACGAACGGCCTGGGCGGAACATCAACGGCCGCAAACGCGTCGTCCTCCATGCAGCGCACGGTGCGCGGAGGTACGTTTAACACCCCGGGCGTTGCGGACAACAACCCGACGACTAACCGGGCTGCCCGCACGCTGAGCAACGCCTCGGATCACCTGCTGGATAGCGCGGTTTCGCTGGAAAAGCTCCGGGTGCAGAACGCCCATCTGGAGTCCTACGTGATCAAGGCCGCCCGGATCCGCGACGATCTGAAATCCACGTTGGAAACGCTGGAGAACGTGGACGCCTACGCGCTTCTCGGTTTACAGAAGGAAACAGCGACTCTGGAGGACGCGAAGAAGGCCTTTCACAAGCTGGCGCGGACCGCGCACCCGGACAAGGGCGGTGATCCCAAGGCGTTCCAGGCCATTCAACACGCCTACAGCACGATACAACGGAGCAAAGCGGCGTCCGGGGCGGACCACAAAATCGAGCTTTCGAAGGAGGACGGCGCGTGTCTGGAGCCCGAAGAACTCGAACACAAGCTGGGGCAGGTGCGGATCCTGGAAGGTAAGTATGGGCAGTGCAACGGCAGCGAGCACATAAAAAATATTTTTTGTTTTTCTTTTTGCAGCGTTTGATCGCGGCGAGGGCCGGTTTTGGTTCGAGCGGAAGTGGTTTTGGTTTTCCTTATTTTTCTAGCATATCTTTCATTCTGTGTTTTATGTTTATCGACTTTTCATCGTTTCCATCTGATGTCCGTATGGGGACACCATCTCCGCACGACAAACCTTTTCGCAGAGCAGTTAAAGGCCGCGAGGACTTACTGCACGGAAGCTTCCGAGCGTGCCGACATCTGTGCGGACATTGCGCACCGGATACGAAACATATCTGGTTCTCGGTCCAAGAATTTTCGGCAGTTGCGTGCGGAGCTGGTCAACGAGCTGGAGCTTTGCGCACGGCTGCGGACCTTCTTCTCCCAAACAGCCAGATCGGCGCAATTCGTGGCGAGGCTCGCTTCACAGGCCATGACGCATTTGGGAAAGGCCACCGCTGGGGAGGATACCGATGGTGCGACAGGGGGGCCAGAAAAAATCGACCAGGATAATGCCGTGCTTTGCGAATTCGTACATTTCTGTTTTCCTTCTCCTCTTTACATTTTCAGTGTTTTTCCGATGCGCGAGATGGTTTCCTCAGCGACAGGGCGGTGCTCTTGTTATCGTTCCTGTACTTGCGTATAAGAGGTACGTGGCTGACCCTGATAGTGGTGCTCCTGCGATTCAACAGGTGAACGCCGCCGCACTGAGCGATCGCATCCGCATCTGCCGTGACGCGGCCTCCAGCTGCTTGGTCATGTCCGATAGCCTGGAGAAGATCCGCAGCGCCGTGGTGGCGACGGTCGACAAGGTCGAAAAGATATCGGACCCGAGTGGCAGCGGCAAAACGCAAAGTGACCGCATGGGCAAAAAGTTGCTGGTGTCAAGTTCTGAGCGGGTAGAGCAAACGGGCCGACGGGCAGCGGACGAAGCAATCTCCTGTGCGATGAAAGCCTCCGATGTCGTTAAGGGCATGGTATCTGCCCCCTTTTGAATGGAGCGCATGTGTGTAACACGCATCAGGTTTTTTTAATTTTTGCGGGCGAGTCAGCACGACTCTTTGTTTGAAAGCGAACATCAAGGTCTTCAATATCAATTTGAACGCAAAAAAAGTTGTGCGGCTGCTATGCTGCAAGTCGTCGTTTCACTTTTTGATGATTTTGAATTTGATCGTATACCACATCAATGCCTCGGCAGAGCGCCCTGCTTCTTGAGATGCGGGACCGGTTGAAGCGCGCAAACAAGCCCAGCGAGCCCACGGCGCCGGACGAGGGGAGCAGCGCAGAAGACGATCCCGACCGGTCGAAGTCGAAAAAGAGCGGTGACGAAAATAACGACTCCAGCTCGAACGAAAAGAAACTGGAGGCCACCACCAACCGACTGCGGGAACGGCACCTCGTGTTGCGCGGCAAGAACCTCAGCTTTCTTTCCCAGATCAACGACGAAGCCCGGGACTGGCAGGGAACTCTGTTCAGCCTGGCCAGCGGGCGCATGGAGATCCTGGAGAAAGAGGAACTCGTGTGCCAACTCGTGGAAATCTTCGACGTCGCCCTCTTCGATCTTGCGCACGAGCGCGGCGAAATCACGCAAGCAAAGTACTTATGTCTTTTAATGTTCTACTGGCATGTCGGCAACAGCTCCAGAATGACGTTCAGCGGAATTCCGAAAAAATACATAGAGATTTCTATGGCCTGATGAATGTTCGAGAGTGCCAAGAAACTGTAAAACCACTTCGTTTACGTCCTACTTAAACACCTGGTCAGAGAAGCGTCTCCCTCTCCTGTGATCAGTTTGCTCGCGGCAGCAACATCATATTTTTCCTCTTTAAGTTTAATTTCTTGAAAAATTTAGGTTGGAGAAGCATCTGACTTTCTTGTTGCAGCTGGACTCGCGACTGGCGGTGCCGACGGATGTGCGCTCGAAGATTTGTCTGATGGTGGCCTATGCCGATCGGGCGCTCTTCGTGCAGCTGCTGGAAGTCCTTCGTCGGAAGCTGATGCAGATTCTAGTAACCAAACGCAAAGCGGCCGTCACCTCCGCTTCCAGTCAGAGCAACAAAACGCAAATCCGGGATTGGCTAGCTACTGCGTTCCAGCGGGTACATGCGAATCTCCGTGGATTTCTCACCGTCGCAGGGTGCAACTTGGAAGAGGAGGAACAAGTAGCAACATTCCCGACGACCAGCATGGCAGCTGGGGCTGCTACCATGGATATGACAAACCACCACTCCTCAGGACAAGAAATTTACCTCTGATGAGAGAAGTACTCGGTGTTCCGATCCTCTCTACATTCCGCAGCTTCTCCTTTGAATTTTTGAAAACAGAAAAGCGTGGGTATACGTAGATACTAGGCTCATGTGGGACAACTGCAATCCGACGTTCATGATGGGCGCGATGAACGTCAACGTTCGTTCGTAAGTACAACTAGCTTCACGAGGAATTGTTGACTCAACCCTGCTACACGCATTTGGACGAGTCAAGAGTGGAATGTTCGGGTAGTCGCGCAGACAGAATTGGATAGAGCCAAACTTTCGTGCTTGTTCGGAATTGCACAAGCGCCTTTTTCAGAAGCACTCGCGTTTCATCTGTTCTTCCAATAGTGCCACGAGCTGAAGAAGCGAAGCTTTACGACGGCTTGGCTTTCTATTGTACTGTGCAGATGAAGCACCAGACGTCAACATCCCTTCTATTGCGGCAGTGCGCTTTTCCAAGAAGTAGAACGTCGGGCTTGCAACCGGTGGTCTGGCTACATCGAATCGGTGCTGTTGGTTCATCATCGATTTTGTTTGCGAACACTTAGTCGAGGCATCGGGAGTTCCACCTTTGCCTACTTTTTTTGGCACGTCGGTAAGGTGCACACGACGAATGAATATTGACACAACGACCAATAGCATCCTTCTGTTTCTACGTTGGTGTTGCATTCTGGGAATCGGTTGTTTGGTGCTGCTGCCGCTGGTGCTTCGGTCCTACCTTGTTTCTTTGGGAAGATTTGTCGACATCGGTTGCGATGTGGATGAAGATCGAGAAGCGCGATCATTTTAAACGTGGAGATATAGCCGAAACATATGTAGTAGAAATTGTTGATGTATGAAAACATCCCAGGCTTATGCTTACGCTTACCCGGATTTTTGATAGAAGTTAAATATAAGACAAATACAACCATTCTTCAGAATCAAAACGACTTAGCCATCCTCGTCGCCCGCACCCAGTCCCGACGCTCCTAGTTCCTGAGTTTGCAGTGATTGCGCACCTCGCGTTCTTGCCAGCACGAAAAGCGTCCTAGAATTGTTTCCTCCAGGCGACATTTTCGTTCGATCGTTATCACCACGAGGTCTGGAGGCTGTCGACCCTGGTTTGCCGTTTCAACAGACATAAATTACTGCTGATAGATCCAACAATCGTAAATTTAGACGACCAAGTACAAGCATAGCGAAGATCATGTCAGAAGTCGCTCCCCAGGCTTCGGGTTCTTCGCCCGCCACCTGCGTGGATTTGTTGGAGAACGAGGGCACTGCGTACATTTACCTCGATGGCGTGACGACCGTTACCTTCTTCGACGGTCCGGCGCCACTTGAACAGCTGAAAAGCCGGCTTGTCCAGATTGTGAAGGCGTCACCTTGGGTGGCAGGGAAGCTGGTGACGTCGAAGGGGAGACCGGGGGAGAGCAAGAAGGGCACCGTGCAGATGGCGTTCGACCCAGCGCCGAGCGAAGACCTGATCCTGAGCACGCTCCTGCAGGAAACTGACGCTCTCGAGCTTTCCCCCACCCTGCCCTACGAGCACCTGACAAAGGCACTGTCGAAGAGCCCCGTTAAACCGCACGTCACCACGGGTTGGGACATCCTGAAGAAAGGTCTCTCGTACACCAAGGTCACCGTCGCGCGCGGCAAAAGCGGCACCAGCTGGGCACTGATTTTCTCGGTCTCGCACGTGGTTGCGGATGGCTATACCTACTACAAACTGCTTGGTATGTTTTCCGGATCCGCCCCCATTATTTCGTTGAACCCCGTGCGGAAACCCGCCTTCCTGCCGGCGGTGAAGCGCGCCGTCGGCGAGGCGGAGTACAAAACCGTGATGGGTGCACCTTCGCTGATCGTGAACTATTTGAGCAACATGCTCTTCGGCAAAACGCCCCGGGTCTACGCCTTTTACGTGGACGCGGAGAAAATTGAAGCGGCGAAGAAACAGCACAAGCTCAAGAACGCCGGCGCCGATGGAACCGATTTCGTTTCCACGAACGACATTCTGACGACGTGGTGGGGCCGGCTGACGCGGGCGCGGCTCCTCGAGATGGCCTTGAACTTCCGGGGGCGGATGACGTCCGACCCGAATCTTGTGTCCGAGGACGCCGGCAACTACGAGTTCTGCATTTTGTTCTCCCCGCAGGACTTCCAAGACCCGTCCCTGATTCGTAAATCTTTGCAGCGGAAGGACGGCCGGTTCTGCAGCGTCCTGGACCCGCCACGACCGCTGCCGGGATGCTGGAGCACGATGCGGTGTCGGTACCGCATCATCTCGAACTGGGCCAGCTTTTTCACGGACATCGAGCTCGAGGGCTGCACGCAAACCCTACACATTCCCTACCTGAACCCGAGCGAGATGCCGACCGATATTTGCGTCATTTTTCGCCCGACGCGGGACACACTCGGAGTCTACGTCGTCACACGAAAACTCAAGGACGAAGTGTTCGTGACCGGAGCCAACGGCGCAGAAGCGCTGCTGGGAAAACAGATCATGCAGTCGGCGGGAGCTAAGTGATGTCAAAGGAAATAGTATACGTTAAGTTACTTACAAACAAAATAAAAAATGAGCGTTGCAATAGTAGTCCTAGTACTGCTTTACGCTTCTGTATTGTCGTGGACATGGTGAGCTGCATGACGATGACCCGCTATCGTAGTAAAATTCTGCTGCACGACATGAAGCAGGAGCCTGCTGTGAGCGTGAGGTAGAACAAATCCAGGCATGAACGTGATCATCAAGAAAGAACAAGGACGAAGATGTAGTGTCCCTGCTCGTCGTCCTCTGGGCACTTCCTTGTGGTACACGCTCGCTCGCCATCAACGTTCGCATGGCGCTGCGCGACAGATGATGGCAATAACGGTGTTTACGATGCAGGGTGGGTACTACAGCTAAGGCTCGTTCGTGTTCTCGAAGAATGACTTGAGTAATATTATTTTCAGATGAGGTGAAGCGCCTGTTGCAGCGATCGTCTTTTAGGTGCAATACGGGCTTTTCCGGATGCTGCATTCGAGATTGATGCGTTGATACACATGGAGAGAGAGAGAGAGAGATGAAAGAGGGGAGTGCGTTTTTTAAGAGTGAGATCGTGTTGAAATAGAAATATATGCTTATGTTTGTGATAGATGCTGAATAAAAGTACGTCGCGCCTGCATTATCTGCGACTTGGTTTAATAATGGCCACGCCGTGTAAGGCTCGCCCGGCTTCGCGCCCTCCCCGTCGCAACGAGGTGCGCCGAGAATTACTGTCGCGGAGTTGTAGCGTAGCAAAGGAGACGCAGCCGGTCGCCCAGGATTGCCGGCCTTTTTTTTTCAGGAGGCGGCGCGGCCACTGATCTGGTTGGCGCGCCGCCTGCCCTGCTCTTTTTCGTTGCGCGGCCGCCCGCCTCGTGCGCGCGGTATGTTGGCGCGCGCTTCTCAGCCCAGCCCTCGCCCGTGGGCCCTCCGGCGTCGCGCGCGCGCCCCTGCCTCCCTCTTCTCGGCGCGTGGGCGCCGGCCCACTGTTTGATGGGGGCAGCGGCCTTCTCGTCGGCCGCCCGTCCGTCTCCGTGTTTGTGGCTCTGAACGTACGTCAGGGGGCATCATGGTCGTTGGCTTGTCGGCGCGCGCCTGCTTCTTGGTTTTGGCCGAAGGAATTACGCGGGCGGGGCGCCAACAACATCAAGAAAAGTTGGCTGTGGTCGCCATTCGTTGGGGTTGGAGGGCGCGCGCACGCACATGGTTGCTACAGCTAAACAACAAGCGCAAGCACAATCTTCCGACGCTGGATGCATGGCCACGACGCGCTTTCGATGCGTGGTCAGCTACTAAATCTTCCGACATCTCCTCGCTGTGAAACTGCCTGTCGTGTTCGGGAGCAATCGTAGTTCAGATTGATTCAGAGCGCACAACGTATCATTCAGACGCGCAGAACCGCTGCTGGGAAAACAGATCATGCAGTCGGCGGGAGCTAAATGAAAGGGATATAGTACTGGTGTATACGTCTAGTCAGCACCACAATTGAGGGGTTTAGTATTGGTCGTCGTAGTACTTCTGCTTAAGCTTATGTATCGCCACGGGCATTGTGACCTGCATGACCCGCTATCGTAGTACAAATCTGCTGCGGAAGATGAACCAGGTGTAACACTAACAGGAGCGGAGCCTGCTGTGAGTGTGAGGTAGAAATCGCGGCATGATCATGAAAGAACAAGGATGTAGTGTCCCTGCTCCTCTGGACCTCTATTGTACACGCTCGCTCGGTCGTCAACGTTCGAAGGAATGGTGCCGCACGACAGATGGCAATATATAATGTTGATGAAGATAGTACAGGGCGGATAATACAGCTAAGGCTCAGTCGTGTTCTTGCAGAATGACTTGAAGAGTATTGATGTTCAGATGTTGAGGTGAACCCGTTGCAGCGAGCGTCTTTTAGCGGTAGTTCGGGCTTTTGCGGACGCCGCATTCGAGATTGATGCGTCGACATTCGTGGAGAGAGAGAGAGAGATCAGAGAGGAAGTGTCTTATTTTTTGAGGGTGATGACCTCGTGAAATTGTTATGATGGATGCATGCAAAAGTAAAAGTCGCAAGTACAGTATCTGCGACTTGTTGGTTTAATACCCAAAGAAACAGAAATGGCGCCACGGGGAAGAGCGCGAGCACATCGAGGTGGAAATGAAAAGCAAGAGCGACAGGATGTTGAAGCGCAACAACTCCACTACTGGCGCAGGTTTTTTAGCAAGTTTCCACGAGCCACCCAGGCCAGCACCCTACGCGCGCGCTGCAGTTCGAGTTCCGCCGCAAGCCAGTCGCCCGGCGTCTCAGTGAGTTTTCTCTCTGGAGGAGCGCACCCATCGAGTTCGAGCGGGCAGAACTGCGCGCCGCTTTCGAATGGAAGCGCAGCCCCGCCGGCCCGCGGCCTGCTCTTTCGTCGCGCCGCGCCCGCGTCGCGTCTTTGCTGAGGAAGTTGCGCGCGGGCGCCCGCCTCTGGCCTGGCGCGCGGCAGATTGGCGCGCGCGCTCCCCGGCCCATTCTTTGGACAACGTGAACAAGATCAGGACTTGTACGATGACGATACGCACGAAGACGATATCTACGACTACGGCGACGATTTTGAACAAGTTCAAGGGGTCGTGAAAAATTCTGTTCCGGCACAGTGCAAAAGGCAGAAACAGGGCCCCGGTGGAGGTCGGAATGGAGCTGCGCGCGGGCCTCCCGGCGCTACGCGCGCCGGCCCCCTGCTTGAGGCCGCGGGCCTGTCGTCGGCCTGCCGCCCGTGCTTGCAGCACTGATCGCCGGGTGCGCCCGTCGAGTCAATTCCAATTGTCGGCCCGCCCCGGCCCGCCATTTGGGTGTTGCCGAAGTTTGTTCGGTCGCGCCGTGGTCTGTTTGACTTTGGGCGATCGAATTACGTGGGGCGCCGGCAGGGGGAGGGGCAAGAACATACAAACAAAAGTTGGCCGCGGCCGCCGTTCGACGATGGAGCGCGCGCACGCACAAGCATGGTTGTTAAAGCGAAATAACAAGCGCAAGCCCAGTCGCGAGCTAGTCAATGCATAGCCGCGCGCTTCCGATGCATGGTCAGCAGCATCGACTAGGGCTTCTGACATCCCGCAGTGAAATTGCCAGTCCTCGTGTTCGGGAGCAATCGTTCAGATTCAGAGCGCACTAAGTATGGAGATGAGGCCCCTAACAAACATGAGCCGCGTGAGTGGATGTATGTTCCGTCGATGTATGTTTGTAGAAGGAAGAGGATGGTTGAAGATCATCTGAAACAGGATTTCTAAATCTTCTTTTTCAAAAGTAAGAGCTTAGCTTCTTTTCGGGACGAGGAGTAGACTTTCCGTACGTGTTCAACGAATTAGAAAGTAATCAGAAGGTGAGGGTGGGACGACGAAGTACTACGAGTAAAAAAGAGGAGCCATAGAACAATGAGCACCGCTTCGAGCAATAATTGTAGAGTGGAAGAGCAGCAAGAGCAAGAGGTGCTCTCGCCTCAGTGGCTGCGATCTTTACCGAGAAGTGGGACCATTTTGCTCCGCGCCACGACTAGAAGCGCCAGAGCAGGAACGCAGAGGGCAAAACAAAATGAAGAGACAAGCCTCCGCCGTCGCGTTTTGGCAAAGCCAAAGCAACAACGTCGCCGCCGCGCAGCTGCGCCAGAACGTGAGCAACCAGAGCGGAGGCGCCAAGCTGCAGGGCCCTCCGAGCAGTATGGACATGATGGGCATGGAGATCGATCCCTAGCGCCGCGGCGGGAGGGATGAGCGACGTCTCGGCGCTGGAGATAGCGGGCGCGACATCTTCGCTTGGGCGCCAGCCCCTTGCTTGCTCGCGGAATGTTGGTGCGCGCGCGCCCCGGCCTATCGCGCGCCCGCGCGGGGGCCTCCCGGCGCCGCGCGCGCGCCCCTGCGTCTCCCTTCTTGGCATGGGCGCCGGCCACCTGTTTGAGGCAGGGGGGCAGCGAGCTTCTCGCCGGCCGCCCGTCCGTCTTCGTCGTGTTTGTAGCACTGAGCGCCGGGGGGCGCGGCCGCTCGGTCGCTGACTAAGACTTGTCGGCCCGCCCCAGCCCGCCTGTCTTGTTTTGCTCTATGGCTTTTGATCAATCGCGCCGGCCCACCTGCGTCCTCTTTCCTTTGTGACCGAATTACGTCGGTAGCCAGCAACATTGTCAAGAAAAGTTGGCTGTCGCCAACAAGCTTACGCGCAAGAACAGTCTTCCGTCGCTGGATGCATGGCTACGACGCGCCTTCGATGCGTAGCCAGCTAATAGAGCGCCCGACATCTCCCAGTGAAATTGCTCGGCTTCGGGAGCAATTGTCCAGATTCAGAGCTCACTATAGTATTTGCAGTGGGATGAAACCACTAACGCAAGCCACTTGAGTGAGTGCAGTAATTGATTTAGATTTTGTTGATTTGATGTGGTGGAAGATGAAGCTGAAGTTTGTAAATGTCAACATAAGGCAGAGTTGTTATCAATGGCATTCATGATCAACTTGATGATGCATATTGTCGCTTGCTCTCTGGCACGCGTCACATCATTCTGAGTACGCACCGCACCGAGGAAGTAAGCGAAGACCAGCACTTTCTCTTTCTGATTTTGTAATCCGTTTGATATTCTAACAAGTATTTGCTTCTCGTCGGTTTAGATTGTCGTCCGTTAATATTATGGATCGATGCGTTAATATGGGTCGTCAATGAGAGAGGTTTCGTGTGGCCACGTCGCTGAAAAAAAGTAATTTTGTTCGTTTATCACATCAGACGAATTCAAATTCAAGTAGCAGTGGATCAGCCTCAGTTCGTGGTCCTCCTCCTTCTCGCTCTCAAAGATAGAAGGGTCTGACTTCTAATATTGGTCTAGCTATGGGAATGGGATATAATATGGAATCTTAGTATGTTACTACTGGCTTTTGCCTTTGAGCATAGACATAGTCGTGTTCGTGTCGGGAGTTCGAGTTGATAGCATCTGTGTATCACTACATCAAAACAACGTGATGAATTCGAGGGAAATCGTACCAGGATAGTTGTTTCCCTTGGTCGTGGTAAAAGAAAAAGTGTATTTTCAAACCGTGAAGACAGACACATCTTCAAAAAGAATTGACTTCGTTCGTTGGCTTTTGGTTGGGTGTCACTCATTTTGAGTATCGCTATTCTAAAAGGAAAATCATACTCAACCTCCACAATCAATAGCATCGGCACGACAAGACCAAGATACTTTTTCTTTGAAAAAGGTAAAGCTAAAGCAGAAGCGAAAAAAATAATTAAAAAAGCAGAGTCTGAGTCATTAATATTCTTCCACGCCGAAACAATTGGACAAGGAGATGAACGCTGCGCGCCAACAATTTTTCCAGGAAAAGGACAAGCGTGTCCAGAACAACGGAGGAGGTGGATCCAACGCCAGCATGACCATGATGAACAACAATCCCAACAACAACCCCGATTTTCGGCACCAGACGCGGCAGAACCGCATCACGCACACCCAGGTATTGGATTCGATCCTAGTTAGTGGTAGCAACAAAAATCGGCCACGGCATAATAGAAATAGACGAATGCGACTGGATTCTAGATGAAATTTATCAACATCCACCATTTCGATTTCTTTCGTTATTTTTATTTATTCACACACAGTTTCTTCTTCTTGTGTACATAAACGAGCAAATCACTCGCTGTAACCCCAAAACAGGACCTGGACGATTTCGCCATGCAGAATTCGAGTTCCAGTCCGGAAGATGAGCATCAAGGGCTGCAACTGAAAGAGAAACTGGGGCTGACTCCGCAAAAAATGGCGGACGCACGGCAAAAGCGAGCAGTCGCACTGAACAGCAAAATTTTCGTCCAGGGGTTGCAGTCCGAGATCGACTCGAAAATCTTGCAGGCGGAGCAAGAGAAGCGCGAATCAGAGAGTTTCCACAACGCAAAGCTGAATAAGCTCCGGGCTGACAAGCGGCGGGCGACGGAACTCGAGGGGGCGACGGACTTCCTGACGCACATGTGCAACGACAAGTTAGACGCGGGAGATGTGATCGACCACGGTATGTGTGTTAATGTTTGATGATGTGCTGTTTGTTTATTTTCATAGATGGCGAATGCACATGCAGCTACATCGTACATTCACATGGTAACGAGGATGCAGATCATGCAGGAACGAAGTAAAAGTAATCACTTTAGCTTCCAGTTTTGTCATTCGGGTCAGCAGCACCTGCACTACAAGGACGAGGATGTTGTTGATGAGGTGCTTTCAATGTTGTGTCTCGGCCAACATTAGACATCATGAGCATGACCATGAGACGAGCAGCTTATCGTCTGCATTGTCTGCAACTGCATTGACGTCCTTGTTCGTCTTATTAGTTACATTGTTTACTTTACCGCCTTTCTGTACTGATACAAACAGTGCGCCTCTCCGGTAAAAAGCGCAGGAGCAGCAGCATCAACCCCCATGCGCATGGTGCGGATCAGAGCGCCACCCCCGGGGGGACGACCACGACCGCGGGGGCTAGCAACAACTTATCAAATGTGCCCCAGCGAGGTGGTTTCGAGTTTAGCAAGCATTTGTTCTATTTCCAGAGTAGCGTCCTCGGAAATGATATAAGTAGATATAACGATGAAATACTTGATAGTAATGGCGATAGCGATGTAAGTACATAGATATAGGTCTTGGAGATGCATGTGGTTATTGCTGCATAGGCTAGCAGATAAAACGTCAATTCGCATATAGGCAGAACTTAGCAAATTGATGTATGTAGGGATCTGAAATACATACAACTGCGAGAAAAAATGTCCCCTCCCCATATCGAAAAGGACATTTGTGACGCTAGATTTGCGTACACGCTGGATTTGCAGTCGTGAAGCTTAAGCTTCGGGATGAAGCCCTGTCTTCTATAATTAGCTGCTCCCTGGTAGGACGATTGGAGTGAGGGTTTTTCGCATTTTTGTGTCAAGACAATGTTGCACGACATCAAGTACTCTCGTCATCGTCTTGATATACTTGCACTTGGTCCAATACTTTCTTACTCTCGAAGCCAGACTCGAAACTACAACATCGCTGCATTTTTATTCACAATACCAGGGCGGGCCCAACGGAGCCTTTGGCGGCGGGGGCCTATTCGGCAACAACGTGACCGTGCCGTTTGCCGGAGCCGTCCATCCGCAGGTGCTCTTGCAGCCCAAAAACCACGTCTTTGGCACCTGGAAGTATGCAGTTTGTCCGGAGTCCACAACTTCTTCGACTCACCTCTGTGGTCTATCTACTTATACTTTGCAGTTATCATGGCGAGCATCATACATTGTTGCTATCTACAGAAAGAAAATGAAAAAGAAACAGCTTGAGCTAGTATCTTTCACACTTGAAGATAAAGTGCAAAGAGCGGCAGCGTTGGCATTGCAGAATCCAACTACGTGGTCGACCACTTGCACTCCTTTGCGAAATAGAAACGCTTGCTGCATGATTACCAGCGCTAGCTGCATCTGTATTAGTTTCGCGGCGGCTCTCTTCCTCCTTATCAAGAGACCAAGCCGAAACTTGGCGCGCGCTGATGTTGCGCTAAATTGAATCTCATAGTGATAGTTTTAATTTTCCCCAGTACAATTTCAGTTTGATACCACAATGGAGTGGGCCCAGGTGCTACACTGGAGTGGTGTACACTGCAAAAATCTCTATCTTGACTCACAGGAGACGAAACTGAAAGGGTATTGGTGCCACTCCAGTGTAGCGCCGGCACTCCAGCAGTGTAGCATCGGCAAGGGTGCTAGACTGCTGGGGTTGGCACAGGTGTGGGCGACATCACTATCACGGAATCAACGTACGACAGTGCGACTGCGAGTGTGTCAGGCTTGCCCTTGCGAATGAGCGAATTGTAAGTATAGCACAGCACGCAATTAGCACAACCGCAAGGACTGCACCTTCGTTTCCTCGTCTACGTCTGTGCCTGTTTTCGACGTTGTAATCAGGAGACGTCTACCTCCCCGCCGCTTTCTGCACCACCGTGCACCACACCCTTGGCTTTGGTTCAGCCTAGGTCTAGGACGAAACAAAATGTTGTCCGAGCAGGTGTGTGTGGGTACGGCATGACGAACGGAGGTAGCGCGTGCGTCTTTGCAAGATGGCCTCTTGCTTACTATTTTCATCCCCTGGGCTTTTGTTTTATCCTCCTCCTACTTCACGCGTTCGGGTTCCCCTTGGTCTTGCTTCATCCTCTTTTGGTCGAGATTGTTGCAGTGTGCGAAGACTAAGATCTGCATGTTCTGCTCAGCCACGATGTGCAGCTGTTTTTTGTGGGTTTACTACATAGGCTTGCGCTCATCGACGGACTCGCTTTTATGTATCTTGTGCTGCCTCAGCCTCCGTGTCCAAGTCAGACTCAGAACAGACCTTTCTATTTCTTCATCAGCAGCCGCGGGCCGCAGCCTTTCTTGTTTTCTCTCCACTTTATTTTGTTTTATATGCATCCCAGAAAGGTGAGGGGTGAAAAATCCGCCCCTCCCGATGAAGCTGAAGGTCAGCGAAGCAGTTTTTACTTTTGGCCTCTTGTTTTTTTTCCTTTCTCCCCACCTAGAGGCGAGCACACATGTTGTTTTTTTTCTTTTCTCTTCAAGTAAAACTAAAATGCAAAAGGTCCTCGGACTTTTTTCGGAAGGTAAGAATGTTCATCTGAAGCTTCAAAAACTCTGGGAAAGTTTGCACTCAAAAAAAAGTTGCGCTCTAATAATTGCGCTCGAAAAAAGCCCCGCGGCGCAGCAAGCCTCCTGCTCTGCGCTGCGCTCAAAAAGTTGCGCTCTTGCTGGGCGCAGCCTGCGTCCAGCAAGAGTTTTGGTCTTCCATTCTTCTGAAGGTTCAAGTGTTGATTTTTTTTGACCTGTGTTCGAAGACCTTCGAAAGACACCAAAATAACCTCAGAAGACCTTCCGAAGAAGAAGTTTCTGCAGGATGGTAGGAACTTTTTGAAGTCGTGTGGTCATTTCCCTATGCGTACGGTAGGCTTGTTTTTCCCACACGATGTGGATGTCGCTCCCTTGTTTTTGGCAATCTCGAAGCGCATCAACGATGAACACATGAGGAGAATGAGAAAGAAGAAGAAGTTGAAGTTTAGCAATGCCATAAATTTCAAATGACCGGTAACGGCTCGTCGGGTTTTGGACAATACCAGAAAAGGACGCCAGGAGCGGCGCCGTTCACCTCGAGCAGCAACATTTTTGCCGGGCCCGGCGACGAGGACCAGGACGCGGCTATGATGGCAGATCACTAGGCAGCATGATAATGAAAGTGAAACTAATTATATCTAAATCTAGGTATATCGGGAAAGGTGGGTTCCTCGAGTTACTTCTAGAGCTAGACCTACAGTTTCTGGATTTATCAGCCACAAGTTCGTCCAACACCAAGATGTGCTGCAGCCGCAGATCCAATCTTAGTTATTTGCTTTTAATGACCAGACTCGTGCTTTCTAATGTCTATCTCAATAGATACGCTTCAGCAAAAATGCAGTTTCAGAAAATCTTTCTATAAATCTACACCACAAAATCAGGCACAGATAGATCACAGAATAGTTCGCCACACAGAACCTACCAGCAAAATTTGTATGATCTCTTATCAAGTGAAAAAGAAAATGCCTACCGAGGTGATGGTTTGTCAGAGGCAGAAATTGTTAGCAATTTAATTCACATTTTCAATCCGAGATTTCGCTCCGAAGGTTTCACTCTTGTATTCAGATTCGTCCTACAAGAAATCTAATGTCCTTTATGTTAGCAATTTAATTCACATTTTCAATCCGAGATTTCGCTCCGAAGGTTTCACTCTTGTATTCAGATTCGTCCTACAAGAAATGTAATGTCCTTTATTGTTTGAGATCGTTGTTTTCAAAGTCACTCTTCCGACACGAGTTGTGCTGTATTGAGTGTCGTAGTCGCTTCTCCTTCTGTGTACATTAATATTAGATCAGAAATATATTCCTTCGACTAGGATGTGCAGTTTGTTGCAGGAGCAGACAACGAAGCACTCTGCGATCTCGAAGTGGAAGTTTGGGAAAAAAGGAGGTGCATCATTAGCCTAGTGAGGTGTTGTGGCCGATTTATGCTGGTGGTTGATTCGCAAGAAGAGTGTTGCACTAAGCAAGCTAGAAGAGCAGAAGTGTCTCTTGGAAGACCGCTCTCAGCGGCGACTGCAGATCTCGTTCATCTTCATGGTGGGAGTGGAAGATGAACGTGAAACCGTTTGTCGGAATGTTTTCTGGAGTTGAAGATTTCGATTTGGGATACAATTTACAAATTATGCAAATATGTATTGACGCCGGCCTGCAGAAAAACTACTAACTTCAATTTCTAGCGTGAAGAAAGTAGTAGTTGTTTGCTGAAATAACAAACCATGGGCGCCTGAGTGGTGCGACCCTGTTCTGTGCAGTAGGATGAAGCCGAACCCGAAGTCGAAGTGTGTCCCGGAATATTATCTGTGTTTGTTTATTGTAGTAGCACTCCCGCTCGAGCAAGAAATGAAAAAATGTGCGAACGTTTGCATTTTCTCGATCATAGATACAGGGAAGTGGGCGTGATGGTGATCTATTTGTCGTGATGCTCCAGTGTAAAACGAACATCGAACATGTGTCACTAGGACACATCGTCCATGCCGGAAGTGGAGGTGGATGATTGTGTTGAGTAACGAGCAGTGGTTCTTTGTCCTCGCGGGTGCGTCAATTTGAAAGCGAGAGCGAGAGGTTCGCGGCCGAGAGGATGATTTGTGTGAGCCGCATGCCACTTTGTTCGCCTTACATGAGCGCTCGGACGCCTCTGGTATCGACAGGGATAGCGGAACATCTGCACCAGGAGAAGCAAAACGCCTGCTCGTGATAAGATAATTTTCTGAAGACACGAACTACAATTATAACTAACATGATAAACATGAAGAACAAGAAGGAGAAGCTGGGTTCTTGTGGTTGTCACATCCCTGTACCGTGACCATCCACTGAAAGTTATTTCTTAATATTCGCGTCCGACAAGGTGTGTCGCTGTTTTCCTTTTCTATAGCTCTGCTGCCTGAAGGATTGTCGTTGGAGAACTTGAAACCCTAGTCGTCAGCTTCACGAGACGCCCTTCTGATATTTTGTTTTTTGATTTCGAACGAAACAAGGAACATGACGACCTTTTCAAATGCAACTAGAGATGCTGCCGGTCCAGGAGGACGAGGCGACGATCATCAGCCGCCCGCCTCTCTTCATGTTAGGCACGCCTCGTCACAACCTCGCGATGTGGTTCCTGGTCAACAGCAGCAGCTACCAGATGAAGATCTTGTTCACATACATGATCCGCATCATCGCCTGAACAACCACAGCTCCCTCGTCTACACCGCGGCACCCTCGTTCGAGCGTGGTCAACCTCATCCCGAGTTTCGCGGTCCTTCTATTAATGCAGTCGATGTAGGCAGGCCCCGAGGACCACCTGGTTCCCTCGCCTGTGGTCCTCCACCCCACCAGTTTCAGAATGACGAGGACGAGCAGCGTTGCTACGATGATGATACGGGGCGCCGGATTTACTTGTCCACGCAAGAAAGCGTGCTCCTACAACGGCACCACCAATCACCAGAAGCTGGTAGGGAGAGACGAACATCAACATTACCGGGTGCCTACGGTAGCCATTTGCATTTCGGTCAGCAGCTGCAAACCGGACAGCGGCCGCACATCGAAATACCTTCAAGAAGCCGAACATTAACAGACCACCTGTATTCCGGCCGAGGAGGTGGCGAAATCCAAGAAGAGCATTACGGGACGAGCTGCAGTGCTGGTCTCGCGCTGGGGTACGCCAGTTCGAGAAACCACTTAGTTCCCCCCTGCAGAACTGCCCACGTCGGGATGGATTGCGCGTCTGCGCGGCACCGTGACAATACCGATTTTGTGAGCGCAGGGCATGAAGACTGCAGCCGGTTGCTGCGTGGCCAGCAGGAGGAACACCGTCTGCTACTCAGTAGTAATCCAACACCGAACACACAGACAGCAACCCGATCGTCTCATGATCTTGTTCGTTCGCGCAACCAGGTGGCGCCAGATCATGAGCAGCATTATCGCTACCTGCGAAGACGGGATGGCCGGAGAGCTGAGTTAGAGCTTGCGAGGGAGCAATTATTTCATCCGACGCAGCTGCTTATTCCATCAGTGTCCGGGACCAGGTCGTCAAGAGTAAGAGCCATCGACGACGATCATGTTCATGTATTAAAAAGCCCTCCCCAGCAGCAGCACTGCCGTCACTCTACTGACTATCGTTGCGGGCGTAGGAGCTTCTCACCCACGTTCAGCGCTGCACACGGACTCGGCCTTGGTGCTCGTGATTGCAGTAATTTCCCCAGTCGTTTAGTACGCCCGGGCCCGCCACAAATAACGGCATCATCTACTTCCCGTCCGCACCGCTACAATTATCAGTCATCGCACGGAGCTTCGAGCACGTCCGCACTCGCAAGCGGGCCCAGACAAGATCAGGCGTTGCCTCGTGAATCACATAGCACACCATACCAGGCATCAAACGCATCGAATAGCACGCCATACCAGTCCTCCTCACTGTTATCACGGCGTCAAAATCCAAGGCCTGCTCCTCTTGTCGGCCACAATATTGAAAGAGTACTTGTTGATGAAATTGGTGAAGATGAGAGATACCTCATGTTGCCTCGTCGGCTCGGACACGAAGTTCTGGAAGGCAACGTGTCTCGTTCGTTGTACGCAGAAAAAGCAGAAGTGGTGCAGCCGCAGGTGCAGTCTCGGTGGGAGGATCTCCAGGAAGCGGCGTCCGCGAGATGGCATATCAACGGTAACGGACAGCCTTTTCAGTACGGCACTCACGGTCGCCGCTCGCACTCTTTGCAGCCGGACCAGCTTGCAGCTCAAGTCCCTCCTGCACCAGCTGAGCGTAACCATGGGCGACGTAATCTTGTTGCTGAGGAGGGCCCACGCTTCGTGCATGTTGACGATTTTCATGAAGGTGACCGCTTCCATGTTTTTCTTCAACAAGAAGATAAGCAAATTTCTGCGCCCGACCAGGTTGTACCAGTAGGAAGGAATAGCAGTGCCCTGCCTGTTTTCGCCGGGACCCGGGGTGGATGTCGCGGAGCAGTATGGGAACCTCCACAGCAACCTCCTCCGTTCGTACATAATAATCTCGCCCACAGCGGTACTGCTATTGCCCAGCCCAGTTTAACATCGCGGCACCAACCATTCGGATACGAACCGCAGGCGGTGCCGGGCGCAGTCGACAATCGTAAGAACGAGACTACCGGAGAAAATGCGCAAAGGCAACGACAAAGCGAACGAGTAGGCAGTGTTGAATTCGCTCACGCTCGTGTTGAAGAAGATGAAGATGCGGAGTGCCCAGACGAGTGTAGGTTCATACACATCAAGCAGCGCGAAGCCACCGATGGAATCGATTCGGGAGTGATTGTGTCCGTAGGAAGGAGAAAGACAGACAAGTTCCTCCTTCATCCACGGTTCATGAACTTTTTGGAGGAAAAAAGTTTTGCGCCATACAATATTCTCCCTAACCCACCGACTCGTCAAGGATTCAGGCGATTGCTCCGCAATGAGGCAGCAGAATTCGAAGAAAAGGAGAACGAGAACCGAGGATGTGAGAAACACAATAAAAGGCTTCTTGATAATCTGAATCTCGAGAAGCCCGACCACGACTCCACGGAAACGATCAATAACAGCAACAGGAAAGAGCAGGGAGCGAGGGCGGTTCCAGAAGCTGGTGAAGCTGAAATGAACAAGGAATCGAACGACCCTAATAACTTGCGAGGAAACATCAACTCCATTGGCATTGACCAGCTGCCGCAGCCACTGGAGGGGCAGCAGAAGGAACAGTTCCAACGGCGGGAGGGAGCAGAACTACAAGAACAGCAAGTAGAACTAGAAGAACAGCAAGTAGAATTGAGAACAAGGAAGGACCAGGACCTGCAATATGAAGTGGGAGCGAAGATGGAGTTCGCTATGACGAAGAAGCTTGCTGCAAAAACCGAGGGGAACGCCTTCCTTCTGAAGTATCACTATTTCGATTGGAACCCCGTCTACGCGACCATGACTATGGACTCCTTCGATGAGACCGTTCTCGCCTGGTTGTTGCAGTGGCGAGCGTCCATTGAGGGTGGACAAGACTCGGGTGAGGAGACCGTCGGTACGGCGAAGCTAATTCTGAGCGAAGTGGAAAAGTCCCTAGCCGCGCTGCATGCACTCGACGTAGTTCATGGTGATGCTTACGTCAGAAATTTCGGTATAGTTTTGCTGCCGTTGCTTCGTGTCGTCGTGTACGACTTTGGGTGTTCTGAGCATCAGCGCCGAGCCAAAAAAGTTGGAAACGCTCTTCAAAGCAGTCGCTTAAGTTTAGGAATGATCGACGAGATTGAAAGGCGGAGACACGACGACAAGAACTCATCTGAAGACGCCGCTGGTGCTCCCTCGACGGATTTATTCCGCATCTGGAAAGATGCAGATTTGGCAGTTGCGCGTCAAGACTTCGAGAACTACTTCAGTCTTGCACTTGCTGCTGCTCAATCTCGGACTGTGGCAAACAAGAGCGACACGCATCCGTCGTTACCGCCTTCCATCCCTCCACTAGCCGATGCTGGGGGCGGGAATGGCAAGAATGGTGAGGCCGCCGCTGCTGGTAGCAGAAGCAGTGACCCGTCGCCACACGACCCAGACCTTCAGAAGGGCCCTTGTCCAGCAGGACGCGAGCAAGCACAAAGAGTCAGGGAGGATCAAACTCGGGGTGTGCGGGCTGCCCTGCTAGGTGCTGGCGCAAGCAGCAATGGGGCGACGGCACACTCGCACAGTTCGCCAGTTCGCGTGACAACTCCTCGAAATTTGAAGACCACCCTAAGTGAGCGCACCAAAAGCCGATCGCCGCGACGACGAAGCAAGCGGGAATCCCACCACGAAGACGAAGCTGTGCCTCTTTCTCCAAAGCGATCACGGAACGAGAATCACTGCTCTGGCCCCATAATTGTTCAGGGTCAAAAACCTTTGGCGGCCCCTTCTTCACCAGAAGAACTTCAACAACGTTACGACGATGATGATGAGGAGAAGGCCGGTCCAGGCACGAGGAGGAACTACGAGCGCGGCATTGCCAAGGCAAGAGCAAAAGCAGCAGCTGAGAAACAGAGACGCGAACGGAACCTCCTGCGCGGTAAGCAGAAAAGCAACAAGGACGAAGGGAGAAAAACGTCGTCGCAGCAACACCAACACGCTGGACCACCTGCCGCGGATGTTGCGAGCACCAATGCATGACGTCATTAGTTATGTTGCAGATGCAGAACCATTAGCGTGCCATAGAGCAATCAGGGCCAGCGTCACAACCTCGGAGCTTCTACGTGATGCGTCTGCAGCCAGAAGGTGTAAGCGCGTTCTTAAACTACTGTTAGTTATTGTTAGTCTTATGACTAAGTCGTGCCACTGGCACTGCCACTCGAAGTGGTATGAAAATGAACGGCTAGAAGTGGGGCTGCAGTGCACTCGCTCTTCTACACGAGAAGTATGAACAAGATGAAGATGAGGGATATTAGCACGGTCGAGCACAGCTATTTGGGTTTAGAAGCGAAAGCTGAAGTTAGAAACGAATCGACGCGCGGTTTACTTTTATAAAGATAACAAAAAGTCTAAGTCTTGACTAAGACTCCCATTGGATTTGGAAATGAACATCTACCTATGCAAGGATACCTACATCAGCTTGCACTAGATTCGTTGGCAAAAAAAAAAGACTAACACTAAGATTGTACTTATTTGCTTTGAGTAAGCTGTCTCTCTCTCCAGCTCCACCCGCACCGTAAGCCCTGCCGAGAATAAGAACGAGAAGGACAATCTTAAATGAGTGAATTATGACTGAGGCGAGAAAACAGGAACAATTGATGATGACAAGGCGGGTACGGAAAAGGATATGGGTGTCAAACTCACACGATGCTGATAGACAGATGCATTGTGCGATCACTCGGACTCGGCATTGGCATTGGAAGCATCAATGTTGCTGACTCAGACACGAAGGATGCTTCGAGATCTCGTGCGTTGGCTTCAGGATTTGAACTCTTCGAACGAAAGTATATAACGACCTCGTTGGAGAATAGGAATACAGGAGGTGTTGACACGCGCGTGTCTTTGCAAGATATCGCGCACCATTCAGTGTTCGTTTCTCGAATTGACGCACCTACTTGCTGTCGTAGTAAGAATAGTGTGGCCCCCGTCCTTTTCTGCATAATAAATTCGAAAGTAAATAAGGACATCCTCGTCTTTCGAGTTTATGCAACAGAACTCGGCGCCCACGGACTTTTTCGCGTCAGGCGGACTCGATAAAAATAAAATTTTGAAATTTCGCGGATTTGAAAACTTTTTGGCGTTTTTCCCGAGGTTGTGCTGGTTTTTTGCACGTCCGCCACCGTCTGCTGCATGATCTCGAAAGGAAAGGACATCCTCTTTCGAGTTTATGCAACAGAACTCGGCGCCCGCGGACTTTTTCGCGTCGGGCGGACGCGATAAAAATAAAATTTTGAAATTTCGCGGATTTTGAAATCGCCGAGGCGCAGGAGCGGCCGGCGGAGGGGCGAGCTCTCGTTTCGTTTCGTGTTGTCTTCGGCGGGTCGGCCTCACGAGTGCCCGTTTGAGCGACATTATTTTCAGTTCTTTTTCTTTGACTTTTACCCGCAGCACGATGTCAGAGGGGAAACAGGTTCCATTATGGCGTGAAACGAATAACGACATTAGAGTTCAAAAGAATCGCGACCGGCAATGAGTACTTATCATCCAGATTATCCTGGCTCCCAGAAAGAATTCAAGATAAATTCCTGGAGGAAAGAGTGGAGATGTTTTTGAGGGATGAGAGTGGACTTCTTAAGCAACTTGACGTGGGAGAGCGCAGAAAATTGCCACGAGTACTTGCGAAAATGAAATCGATGTAGACGTTGCTCTGCCTCTCGCACTACGAGAACGAATTCGATTTGAGTGCCGTGCTTGCAACAATGACGATGGACGCACGGCGCGGCGGCCGTGGCGTGGTTCCAAAACCGCGCAAGTTCGGAGAAGGGAAATGGTGTCGACAGTGTTCGCATTGCTGAGAAGGCAGATACCTACGGGGCGAAGAGGGAGGGTTGGTCGCGCGCCGCAGTGCGCGCCCCGGAATGAAATTAATAGCGCATGGCGCTGCAACATACTGCCGCAATTTCGCCACTTTGTTCGAGCCGATGCGCCGGCGCGTTGTCGTTTACGACTTCGGTTGCTCGCCCCAGCGCCGCGCGCCGCCTTCCTACTACTGCCCTCCCCGCCTTTGCCGGCGGGCGCCGCCAGGCAATGAATACCCGCGGCCGCCGGTCCGCCGCGCCTTCGCAGCGGGCCGCGGGCCCTCCGCCCTGCCCGGCGGCCGGCGCCCCCCGCGGCCGCCCCGTTCCCGCGCGTCCCGCCCCGTGGCCCCGCCGCCTGGCCCCTTCGGTCCGACCGGCGCTGGCAGGCAGGCTCAGCGGGTCGCAGTGGGCTCCTCCGCACGTTCCCCCGGCGGGTTTATCGCGAGATGCGTTGCCGGCGCGCGGGCGAGCTAGCTTCGGCCAGCCGGGGGGCCCCTCGGTGAGTTTGTCCCGCTCGCGGCCGGGTGAGGCTTTGCTTGGCAGGCGCCGGAATTGTCTGGGCGGCCCTTCTTTGGGTAGCGCGCCCAGAATTCGGGGTTGTCTGGGAATTTTGGCTTCCATTCTTGCTGTCGTGATGAAAGGCCGCGATAAAAGACACGGGCTACGCTCGGAGTTCGTTGTGTTCTGGTTGCAGAAGCAAGCGGAAAAAACCAAGGATCAGGATACCCAATCAGCGAAGTTGCGCCAAGTGTTGGCGTTGAGAGAGTGGCTCCGGAGTCGCGTCAAGCGTTGCTCGGCTCGTCTAACAAGAACCTTATATCGACCAAGGAGCGGCGTTACGTGCGCAGTCTGATTTTGGTTTTTGACTTTGTGGTGCTTTGCCGCTCTTCGTCTCTTTTGTGTCTGTTTGAGTGGCATTCCCGTTTCGTGTTTTCGGCTGGTCGGCCACTTGAGTGCCAGTATGTCAGAGGGACAGAAGTGAGCTTCAGAAGTTTATTTTCGTTTGCCCGCAGCGTGATGTCGCTGCACCTGTTCCGAGGAGATGAAAATCATTGATTGTAACCGTTCTCCGCGTGGAGATCAAGTAGAATCTGACCAGCGTCCCGATGTTGAAGCATCTGCCCCTGGCGCACAGGCAACGCAGGAAGAAAATATGATAATGACCGGCGTCGAACAGGGGCAGCGTGAAGAGGGAGAGGGGGACCGTTCCCCCGCGCGGGCGCCCTTATCCCCGCTTCGCCGAGTTGCAAAGCAGGGCAACAAGCAGACGCGGCTTATAATCGGGGCCGGTGATGGAGATGGCGAGGCCCGCACACCCGGAGCGCGCGGGCCCGCCTCGGAGGCAGGCGAGCGCTGAAACCAGACGAGCGCTGCTAGTGGGCCGCGGGCGGGCCCGCAGCCGGCAGCCTGCTCCGTGGCGGGGCGCCTATTGCAGGAGAGCCGGCCCCCCCGTGTGGCCGCCCCGCTCGCGCCCCCCCCCCGCCGCGTGCGGGCTAGCACAGTGGGCGCAGGCGCCGTTGGGGGACGCAGTGCATGCGCTCTTTTTTTCCGCCCACTGGCCTCATTCCATACGCGCCGTTTTTGGGCGAATTTCTTTCCATCCTCGCTCGGCCCGCCAACGGGGGCCGCATGCGGGCTCCGCTGGCTTGCGGCCAGCGAGGCTTTGGCGCCGGCAGTGCCTCGGCGGCCGGCCCTTCCATGGGTAGCGCGCCCGGAATAGGAGGCTGGTCGAAAGTTATAGCCTATAATGTATATTCATGTTGTCGTGGAATGCCGCAACCAAACGCACAGGCAACGCTAGAAGTTGCGCTCTGTTGGCCGGAGAGAAATCAAGGAACGGGATTGCCAATGAACTAAGCTGCGACAAGTCGACGTGGTGGCGCCGGGCGCTTGACTCCGGAGTCTGGTGCCGTGTTCGGCTCTAGCGAAGAGCCCCATGTCCATGTCTACCGAGGAGCGGCGCCACGTGTGGAGCCTGTTAGTTTGTGGCCTTTGTCGCACATCATCAGGGTTGATTTAGTTGCATGCCCCTCCCTTCGTTCCTTTTGTGTTCGGGCAGCTTATTCTTTATTCAGTTTTGCACTTCTGGTTGGTCGGCCACTTGGGTGCCAGTATGCATGGATGAGCGTCGACAGAAGCAAGTGAGCTCCGCTTCGTTTTCGTTTACCCGCAGCGCGATGTCGCTGCACCTGTTCCGTCCGCGGAAGCGGGCATCACCATGGCCGAGCAAGCATGTCTCTCTGCTTCGTCTCTTCTTGCTTCCGGTGTCATGGTTGCCTGCCAGCCTGCTCCCGGTCGGGACCCGTGCGAAGCTCGCAACTCGCGCTGAAGGCAAGCAGCGAGCGATCACTAAGATCGTGAAGTTGTTGGAAAAGATGGAGGACCAACTGGAGAAGGACCAAGACGCCGACGACGACGCGAAGACGAAGATGGACTGCTGGTGCAAGAACAACGCGCTGGAGAAGACCGACGCGGTGAAGCAGAAGGAGGCGGAGATTCGGCAGTTGAACAGCGAGATCGCGGCGCAGGGAGCGGAGGCGGCCCGGCTCAAGCTATCTTTGGAGCAACTGGAGAAGGATCTCGCCGAGAACGCGCAGGAAATCGTCGAGGCGGAGGAGCGGCGGGAGCGCGAACACGAGGAAAACCAGAAGGCCATCCTGGAGCTGACCGAGTCCGTCGGCCAAATTAACTCCGCAATCGTCGTGCTGCGTAAAAACACCGACTCGGCCCGCGCGGGCGCGGTGCTGATGAAGTTGAAGAGCAAGGTGCAGGCTGGCGGTCAGGCCAGCTTGCTATCCGCGGCTCTACGCGAGAAATTGTTCGGGCTAAACCAACTTTCAGCTACAGCTTCTACATCCGAACAGAAGATTTCTGCGAATTACAAAGCAACCGCCACTTCTCCTCCTTCGAAGGGGGCCAGTTTTCTGCAGGCAGACCAGACGGAGCAGCAGACGCCACTAGACACCACCTCCGTGGTAAGCATGCTGACGGAGATGCAGGTGACGTTCCAGGCTAACCTGCAAGAGACCGAGCAGCGAGAGGAACAGGCAGTGACCGCGTACCTGCAGTTACGCGAGGATCGGAGCCAGCAGGCGGAGCGCATGCGCGAGCAGCGCACGACCAAGCACGAGGCGCTTGCGCGGGCGGTCGAGGCGGAAGCGGACGCGAAGGTCGCCCTGTCCGAGGCCGAAGAGATGCTGGACTCACTGGACGGCTGGATCAGCGAGGCACGGAAAATTTGCGCGGAAGCCGAAGACATGTACGCAGTCCGAACGAAAGAGCGCTCGGAGGAACGGAAAGCACTCGGGGAAGCTGTTGGGGTACAGAAATTCTGTTTGTTTCAGACGAGGCACTTCTCTTTTTTTTGTTTGTGCATGATCAGCCAGCGTCTCCGTCTTGTTCATCACATTCACTACAAGTTCACGCACAGCTCCTCCAGAAAGTTGACTGGAACATGCGCGCCAGCAACAAGGTTTTTGTTTCTGAAATCTACTTCATCTACTGACAAAGATCACCCTTGTTTTGCATTCGCTTTACATGCCATGGAATACGTTTATGTTATCGTTAGTATGAAACTACTTCAACATGATATACCACCAGATCCTCGCATCCGATGAAGCCCGGGACGCGTTCAAGAAGGTGCAGCCACTGGAAGGAACCTCCGGCGCGGCAACGAGCTTTTTGCAGTTGGGTGTTTGGCGGTCGCCGGCCATGTCGTTGATTACCTCCGCGTCGGTGCAGATGGAGCGCTTGTTCCGCCCGATTTTCGAGCTGGACACCAACGGGCGCAGAAAGCAACTGGCGGTGGAACTGCTTCAGGCGGCCAAAATCAAGAAGGAACAACTGCGGCAGACTCCGAGCGGCGAGCGCACCGGAAAAGCGCTGGACAGTGTGGTGGAGCGGATTCTCGGCTTGATTGCCGACCTCAAATCCGAGAACCGCGAGGAGCAAATCGAGAAGGCGCGGTGCCAGAAGAGCATGCACGACCACAGTCTGGAGGACCAGCGACTGAGCAACGAGGTCCAGAAGACCGAGACCGAGGAGGGGCTGTTGCAGGGCAAGTTGGAAGGGCTCGAAAAAGACGAGGAGCAGGCGAAGGAGGAGAAGAAGGACCTGGAAAAGCAGATGGCCAAGGCCGAGAAAAACCACGAAGCGGAAAAAGCGGATCTGGAAACGCAGATTGGCGACCAGATCGCTGTGCAAAAACTGCTGATCCGCGCTTTGCGGGCTCTTCAAGCCTTCTACGACAAGAAAGCCAGCGCCGACGAACTGGAGGAAACGATGGGAGACGATAGTAGTGCCGCGACCACCACCGTTCCTGCGACTTTGTTCGTCCAGAAAACATCAAGCGGCGTCAGTGCCGCGACTGCCCTCCGGCGCTTTAGGCAGGACCCACCCCCGCCACAATTCCAGGCGTATGAAGCACACGACTACCGCCACGGGGTCTTGCAGATGCTCGAAAACGTCAAAAACGAGGCTGTTGTATCAAAATGAAATGTGTTTGTTGATGTCGATGTAGAATTTTATTTTACAACAGTGGTGCCTTTCGGCAGATAGAGCAAGGGCGTAGCAAAAATGAGGATGAAGTTGTACTTAGGCCGTCTAGGCAGCATTTCGAGAACAATTAAGGTACTACATAGTTTTCTCGGTCCAAAGGGTATCAGCAAAGCCACCAGAGCGAAACGAACTGAAGATCAAAGATCTTTCAAAACATGATCTCCGAACTCATTAGACGTCCCAAATCAACGTCAACCTGATGTTCTTGTGTCAGCACAAAAGATCCTACAGCATCAAGAACCCCTTTCCTTTGCATAGCACAGTGCCCAGCAGCAGTTGGAGCGGTCTATGTCGGAAGCGATCGCGAACTACGGCGCATTGGTGTCGGAGAACACCAAAACGATGGAGGCACTGCAAACGAAGCTGGCCGACCTGGACGCGGAGCAGGCAGCGACCACGAAAGACCTGTCGGCAACACAGGAGGAGCTGAAGAACTTGAAGGCCGAACACTACACACTGACGGAAGCCATGGCAGGGGAGCGGAAACTGTGTCTGCCCGTCCTCGAGAAGTTCGCGCAAAACCAGGAGGCGCGCACGCGCGAAGCAGAGGCGCTGAACGAAGCCATCGCTATCCTCAAGGGTGCCGACATCGACTCAGGTGAATTCGCGGAAAAAACTCTCGGGAACCCGTGATTGAAAAGCGGAGGATTAATGTTTCATCCAGCATTGTGACGGACGAACACAGGTCGACACAGTTCTAGTTGCGCTTTTTTTTCCTGAAACTTCTTCATTCGTCGACGCAAAATGAAGGGGGAAACACAGTCAGATTCCATCTAATTGCAGGGAAAACTTTTGTGTCCGTACTGGCGCCGGTGAAGCGAGGACAATAGCGAGGTATTTTATGTATGATGCTGGCGAGCAAAATGCCCATGCCACGGGCGACGTTTACTAAACCTCGTTCAAGAACATTGTACCCAGTGACAGGAGCTGGATCTGCACGTAGAAAATGCTGACCCTGCCTGAAGCTTTTTTTCTTTTCTATCACTTTGCATCTGAGTGAAGGTGAACAGCACAGCAAAACCAAATTGAAATTCTTTCGACTTTCGCTAATATGTTGGAAGCGGCGAAAGATAACGACCAAGTGACGCGGAGTGTTCAACATGCAATCATCCCCGTTTTCTCTTTCGAGAACATTTTTCTAAGTAATTGACTCTGGTGACTACAAATAAACAGCGTCTTTTGAAGTAGCGAAGCGACGCGGTCGTAAAACTCAAAGTCGTGCTTATGTTGAGAGGATAGAACAGAACTACTGGACAGAAGCAGAACTACCATCGTGCAGAACCGCACGCGCAATTGCAATTGCATCAAATGCTGTATGGCAAGTCATCAGTCGGGCAACCACCAACACGAACGTCTCCTCACGGCGGGGCTCGTGCTTCTATCTTCGGAATATCACAAGCTGAATTGCGAAAAATCAATACTTCCTTCTACAACAGTCTTGGTTGAAGAATACTAGAACATCATGCCCACAATCAATAAGGCTCTGCTCCTGATGTGCGGCTAGGTGGGTAGAGGAAAAACAGACAGTTTAGCTACGCCATGACGACGACGAGAGACCTAGTAAAGCTAAACTAAATAAAACTCTAATTTTGTACAGCAACTGTAACTGACACGAATTCTCAAAATCATTCAAAATGCCGCACTATCCGGACGAAATCGAGTACAGTGAAAAGTATCAAGACGACACCTACGATTACCAATTGGGATTCGTTTTCAGCAATAAAGTCAAAATGAAACTTTGTCATGTGCTGGTCGTGCAATTTCAGTAAAAATAAGAAGTATCCGCACCACGACCATTCGTACGAGTAAATTCATACATTTCATTGCTGAAACGAATTTCGTTTGGATGACCAGTACCGACACGTGATATTGCCGAAGCACATAGCAAAGAAGATGTACGCGAGCTATGGGTAAGTACGATGCTAATCTTTGAACTGGTTCTTGTTGAAGCGGTTGAAGAGTCGCGTCAGAAGTAAGACGACAGCACTGGCATGTTTTTCTTTCTGATGCCGTCGTAGTAACGTTGCGACAGCGCGTACGCGTTTCATAATAATTGTTTTTCTACTTCGGGAAAAGGTAAAACATACCCGTCTTCAATTACAACAGCCGCAATCTTTTGTCGGAAGACCAATGGCGGGGACTCGGCGTGCAGCAGAGTCGCGGGTGGATGCATTACGAGTGTCATAGACCCGAACCACACATCCTGTTGTTTCGCCGCCCGCTCGGTACAAACCCGCTCACCGGTATGGTCGAGGATCCGAATCTAGCCGCGCAGCAAGCCGTCGTGGCCTGATGATGTTGATTCTCTGTGAGCTGGGTCGTGAAATCAATCAAGCGACTCTGGATCATGATGTGGTCGTGTGCAGCAGCTGTACTTTTTGTTGAAGCAGGATTGAAGACTGCGGATACTTTCGCGTGTGAAAGAACTTGTCTCGGACGGAGCAGGTCCACACGACAATGATCGCAAATGCGATTCGAGAGGTGCAGTTGAACTCCATCAACTCGGACAAACCAGTTGCAGAGAAGCAATCCAAGAGACGCCCCAAAAGAAATTGTCGCGGACACGTTTTGCGTCTATTCGGGCCCCTGGGTAGAAGTAGGAACATGCTGCTGCATTCTTTCAGAGCCGTCCGTGTTCTCGCTTTCCTGTTCCATTCCTGGTAGGTGGCGCGACCACGAGTTTTCTTTGGCCACAATCTCGGTCGTCCCCCTCCCCCCACCTAATAGTGATAAATCTAGCTACTACATGGAAGATATCAATAGCGACGGCGAAACTCTGATCAATTTAAATTTCTATACCAGCCAACGCATGATGAAATACAAATATGAATTTAAAGAACCACTGCTAAGGTAGTAGTAGAAGAGGGTAGAAGGTTCGTATTTGATAGACGCCTCCGTCCCCCCCGCTGAGTGAGCAGACAGCACATGCTGTAAGTAGCAAATCACGTGAAGAACTATGTGCGTCCCGTTGCTTAAGCTTATCAAACGAGGAAGATTTCAGTCGCGGCACATAAAGAATGCTCCACTCGTTTCGTCGCGGTTGTTTGTGTTGCACAAAAGCTTCCGAGATATGCTGGCGTTGTTTTCCATCATCGTCGTTCTCGTCACCTCTTTGCTACCTGCTCCAGCGGTCGCGCTTGCGCTCGGTTTTGGAAAGGCAGGGCTAGCGGGAACGAGAAGCGCGGAGGCGGAGGCGCATCAACAGCACCAAGAGTCCGTGACTAATTTCTACCGAAATTTCCCTAGTCATGGTTCAACAAATGATGCTCAATTCATTCCTAGTACCACTGCGGGGGGACGAGGACCCGAAGCAGCTGCAGCAGTCGCTCCGTATGACTGCCCAGCGAATGGGATTTATTTTGCGATCGAACACGACGGCCAGGACGCGAACAATAGTCCAAAAGCCCGTGGATCAGCCTCTTCTGCTAGCCCAGGAACCAACATCAACTCTGTTGGTGCTTACCTCCCACCTCTCCGACTCGCCAAATCTGCTTTTGTCTACTCGCCCTCCGCGGGCCTGCAACACGGCGAAAGCTGGTCGGAAGATGCGGAGCAGGCTCGCGTCGCGGCAAAGCTGACACAGAAGCGCGAAGAGCTGACCGAGGTTGGAGAGCGGATCTGGGAATTGGTGCGAGCCTTTTCCTCTTCGCCTGCCGCAACACCGAATCCTCATGATGGTGTAGTTGTACCAGCAGTCTCGCCCCCCGCGCAGAAGGATCCGGTGCGGTTTTTGCGCGACAAGCTGCGCAACTGGAACGCCGTTTCCGCGCAGGAACGCCATCGGCTTGCGACGTCACTTGCTGGAGTATTGGACGTCGAAGGGGGCGAGACCGTTTTTGAGTACACGACAAAGCTGCTCGAGACGAAATTGCTGCTGGTTCGCGAGATCGCACAAATGCAAACGGAAGCCACGGAACTATCAAGAGTTGCGCGAAAAGGTTCCAAAAATAGATCGTCGGTCCGACCGCGCCCGCGGATCCGCGACCTGGGCACGCCAGTTGACCTCGAAGCGGGGTTGGGGGATGGCGGGGGCGAGGGGATCATGGGGCCGACTGATAACGCGGTAGAAGATACGAACCTGGGTGGAACAAGGCGAGCAGATATCAGCACACTCTTTGAAGTTATCGATCCTTCTTCGACCTCTCGATCGCGTGAAGCGCGAGCTACGCCTGCTACGACAAGTGATATGAATGAGCCACGTCGAGCTGTTTTTTCGATGCAGGAATGCCTTGCTGAAGGCATGAACGCGGCGCCCTTAGGAACAACGGCGAATGATCTTCGCGCGCACAATGCCACAACTCGAGAAATTTCCGCACTCGTAACACTACCGCACCAACTTCGTTCTTGCGATTCGGGCAGAAAGCTGCGGTTAGTCGCTTCTCCAGTTTTGTGCGACAACGGTATCATCTACGCCGGGGGCGTTCCGCTTTACGCACTGCAGACCGGGCAGCTCTGGAACCGGAGCGGGGCTTTCGCGTTTGACCCCGCGCAGCCCTGGCCAGGTGGGCAAGGGGGCCGTGGTGGCGGGGCCTTCGAGCAATTTTCTGTGTACCTCGAGGAGAACTACAAAGGGCATCGGAAAAGAGTCCTGTACATCGTGCCCTTCGGGACCGCCGCGACGGTGCGAGACACAACTTCACCTCTTGCAGCTGCGTCTCCCGTAATTACCAACTGCCCGCGCGGAGAGTATTTGGCACCTGCTGCGCACAAGTCGAAGACGGTGCGCTTCGTCAGCTCCCATGACTATGCACTGGGTGAGAAAATATTTGCTGCCGGGGACTACCGGGAGCTAACCGAGCTCAATTTGCAGCGGAGTCTGAGAGACATGCACTGGGAGCCGCACGTCGACCTCATGCAGATGGAAAGAACGCAGCGTCCGCTACAGGCAGTTGATGTGGAGACAGGACATCTTCAGCAACACAAACACTCAGCGACCGCCGAGTCCACCGTGACGCACAGCCTTTTTTGTCTCAGCCCCGGACTCATCGGCAGTTCGTTGGATCCAAATTATGTGCTGCAGCTCTTCGACAAATCTCACGCAAAGAAGTTTTTTTTCGAACAGGATGACCGCGTTACCGCAACACGAGCTGGTGAAGAGCTACAACTTGAATCGTCATCCTCTGCCCGTCAGATGAATTTTCGAGAGAAGTTCGAAGGTGGTGCTACTGCAGCTTCGACAGCAAAAGCCGGTAAAGACCGGCCGTCAGCATCTCTGATTCAAGCCGGCATGCAGCTTATTGGAGGTTTGATAGGAACGCCGCGCGATGGTGTCGAGCATGGAGGAACGACAGCAAACCATACCGGGCGGGCTGCCAGTCATGAAGCAAAAGTTCTTCACAGCACGACTTTCGCTGCATTTGCTGAGCCTTGGACCACCAGTACAGAGTTCTTCGGGGACCACCAGAGCGGAACAGGGCAGACTCCGACGGTACTAGGCCTGTCAAGTAGTATCAACTCTTTTGAAGACGATATTTCCAAACTTGTCGAGGAGGGAACACCAGCACCCGCATCTGCCCAGCAGCATTTGGAGGTACCGCCCGGCGGCGAGGGGGGACGAAGCTTGGTCTTCAGCTCCATACCATCAAGCGGGGCCGCTGCTGCTGCAACTTCCAGCGGACTGCAAAGTGAAGTGCCGAGTCTTCAGCTTGCACCGAATCTGCAGACGTACTCGCCGTCAAAACTTGCGGAAGTTCCATTCCACAGGCTGAAGTTTGTCTCGACCGCCATTGACCGCACCGGCCGCGGACACTTCTTTCACTACCTGTCTTGCGGTCAAGATGTTCTTGCCCCGGAGCTTGCTGCGGCCTCGGCACGTTCCCTCGAATGGGACGGACGAGCAGAAGACCACGACGGGGCTGTGCGACTGCAGATTTTGCAGTATTGTGGCCCTTCTACCGCAGGTGAACATATCGAGGAAGACGAAGACCTGGATGAAAATAAATCCGTGAGCGCTGGTATCGAAAAAAAGAAGGATTTCGGCACCAGTAGCAGCCTGATGGACCACCTCGAAAAGGGCTTGCTTCCGCGGAGCGAGTCTACCGAGAATCTCGGGATGCAGCAACCACGTCAGGATTATACTAGCATTTCCGCGACGGAACGAGCAAACCCGGCGGGGCTGGGGCACGAACCATTGCTGCCGCTAGAAAGAAGAAACAAGAAAGGCACGGCTCAACATTCTCGAACATCAGAAACTAACCAACAAAACGACGACCCGCTGGTGTTTCACTCTTCCCGGTCCTCCCCGGCCTCTCCTCGCGTGAGCCGAGGACTCGCGCTCGAAGCGCGCGAAGTGCCCCGCGCTCTGAGCGTCGGCGACCTACCCGCGCTGCGGGATCGCGAGGCCGAGCTTGAAGCTCTGGAACTGGAGCTGGAAGCGAACGCGACCAAGCGGGAGGCACTCGCAGTGTTGGCCAAGCTGAAGAGTGTGGTCGCTGAGCATCGGTCGCGCGCTCCCACTGAGCACTCCGACGAGTCAGATACCGACGGGGCGGCCGTGAGTCGAACCAATTCGGCGGGACAGCGACCGCTGCGGAAAGCGAAAAACCTCAGTCGGGACAATTTCACTCCCTTTTCGTGGGACCGAACCACCAGTCCGGGCAGCAACAGCGCAACCTCGTCTGGCCTGACGGGACCACCCCCGCGTGCTACCCAGGGCGGTGTCGGGGTAGCACACCAGCCGCCGACGCTAGGGAGCAGCACCGGCCAGAGCAGCGTGCGGGGCTCGAGTTCCGCCGGGTCGACCCCCAGCTCCAACGCCGGCGGGGCAAATGCTGCGCAAATGAGCACCACCGGCGGAATGACAGTAATTGTTTCGCGATTCATGCAGACCGCTGCTACCGTGCACGGCCTGTGCTTGATCTTGCTGGCGGTCCTGTTCCTTTCGGTCGCGATGGCGCTACTGTGTGCGTTCGTGCTACAAGACCGCCGGGCGGGGCACAACACGCGAAATATCGCGATCGTCAAGAAAGAACAGAACTACGGCCGCAGCAAACGTCACTCCTCTTCAAGTAGTAGCTCCAGCAGTTCTAGCGGTTCCGAAGAGGAAAGGGCGCGGACCAGGGCAAGTATACAGCGGAAATTGCTGAAGGCGGCGGCAGCCAACAGAAGGAACGCAAACACTAGATCTGGTGCGACGACCGCCGGTGGAGGCGGGCCGTCGACATTGAACAACAGCAAGAAGCACGGCAGTCACGAGGGACTACAGCACCACGCCGGGAGCAGCACCGGCAAACAGCGCATGAACAACAACACTTCCACGTCCCACGGGCCGCGAAGTAACCGACCTCTTAGCTCCGGAAACAAGAAGCACGAGCGTTTCTTGTCCTCCTCGAGCAGGAAAAATAAGAACGCGCTGTTGATGTCGTCTCCCGTTTTCGCACCCCGTCCTGGCGCCTCCTGGTCGGCCGGGGCGCAACACAACTTCCGCAAGCAGTCGCTAACCTCTGGGCGTGATTCGCGGGCTTCTCCTTGCACCGACGGCGGCGTCAGTGTCACCATCGAGGAGGAACGAACAGAGAAACTACTTCAGCCCAGTCTCAGTCAGAGTAGGCATGTAGATGTACAACTACCTGCTGTTGAGCAGCAAATGCGATCCCTGGGCCGACCGGGGCACCGGGTCTCGCGGAAGGTAGTTCGCGTTTTCGGGGAAAAGCGGAATTCCATCGACGGGGCAAACGGCTCTTCTCTGCCGGGTGGAGCGACAACTTCGAGTATGCGGTCATCTCCGACCCAGATCTTGGAGGAGTAGGTAAAAACAGCGGGTCGTGTGCAAGAACTGGCACGAGGACCTGACTCGCCTTTACCTGTGTCAGATCTACTGGTGGTGGGATATGCCCTCCGGATAGTGGAATTCTTCCAATGCGTATGTTGATGTATGCATGTGTAGTCATACAAGTCAAAAAAGTTGTAGTCTGAAAAAACGTAAACAAATCCATATGATTTTTGTTTCATCACTTCTTTTTGGTCTGCTAAAACTCAAAAACACTAAAATTGATAGGTTGTCTTCATAGAATACAGTTTCAGTTGAGGACAGGTTGTGGATGACTGATCGTGATGAATGAAGCAAGCTACCGATGAAAATTCGATGACTCAGCAGTAAGTAGCCTGGTGTTGTCGTGCTGTAAGATGATTCATCTGCCTCGGGGCCGGCAACCGACTGCCATAGCGCGTGGTTGTCGAGTTGGATTTTGATCACATGTGTCCATTGAATCTAAATCTATTGCAAGCTGCAGAAGGCCTTCAACCTCCTCTGCGAATCTGCTTCGACGTCCGATCTTTTTGTCATGATATGTCAAGAAAAAAGCAAGATGGAATTCAGACCGTTGTCGTTGTAGCACTAGCAGTAGCTGCAGCTATAAATGCCTCTCCGATTCTTTCAGCCCTATTGGTTCTCCTTGAAGAAAGATAATTAATTTTATCGTGTTTATTCTCCATTTTGGCATCTCTGTAGTGTTTTCAACCCTTTCTTTCTTCATTCTGTCAGTCCACCCTAAGGTTTAATTTTGCTCTACCAGAAGGGATGCTGTTTCTACCAGGTATCTTGTTGCCTATCAATTTTCAAGTCGAGATGAAATAATTTGGAAGATGAGTATGTGTATGTTCAATGTTCTTGGTCTTGGCCCTATCTCTTCAGTATGTACAGCTTTTCGCAATGAACTTGAACCAACTCTACACGTGAGTATGATTATTGTCGGCCTGTGATCGTGATGTTGCGCCTGCGAGTGTGAAGAGATGAAGACGCAGTGTATAATCGTGGGGTGTGTGCTGCAAGGCAAGTAAACTCGGGTTTGAGTAAATTCATCAGGGAAACAAGCAGAGAAGCAGAAGCGTCCTCGCAGACCACATGGCGTCCTCGCTGAAGAAGATCCAACTCTCCTTAATCGGAGTGGAGGAGGCTGCAACCGGGAGTTCCGCTCCCCCTTCTACCGCAGCCTCCTCGATCCGAAACTTACCGGCGAAGCCGTTGAAGGAGGTCAGCGTGAAGAAAACTTTCGACGTCGTGGGACAGGCATACGGAGCCCTCTGCAAGGACCGCAAAAGTACTTTTCGGGTTTCGCCCATCATCTCCTGCGGCTTCTTCTTCGCGCCCCACGTCGCGATACAGGATTGCCCGCCAGTTTTGGAGGATGCGCAGCGCACGTCGGCGGAGGTGCGACTGTTTTTGAGGAAGGTCAACAGTCAACCCGCAGCGGAAGAGTCCCTGATTCGCGTGCGCCTTTTCTTGGACCTTGTTCCAGGGGACGAAAAGATGGCAGCTGCGAGCCCCCGACGCTTTCTGGAGGTCGACGCGCGGCCAGGAACGCAATTGAGGGAGCTGCTGCAGTATTGCAAATTGGGGGTCGGCGCCGGGAAGGAGGAGCCGCGGGGGGTTTGCTTTGCTGCGTCGGCCGGCGCAACCGCAACGACTAGCGCGCTGTCACCAACAAGTAAATCGATCGCCGACGTTCAGAAAGCTTGGCAAGAACAGCGAACGGGTGACCAGAAGAACATGAACGATCCGTCTGCGGTGATCGAGCTATCTGTTTGTGACACGAAAGCTGCCAAAACGCCTGTTCCCCCGTCGATCGGTTCCACTTCCAGCAAAAGACCTGCCGGCCAAGGGAAAGATGCGGAACCTGCAAAAAAGCAGCGGAAGATGGAGGAGCCGAAAGCGCCACGCGTCGTGACGGCGAAAAAGGAAGATGCAAACAAGTCTGCAAGCAACCAAAAGCCAGGCTTCGGCACAGCAAACAAGGTGCAGCCCTCCTCTTCTTCCTCCTCTGAAGTGGCGCCGTCATCCGCACGCAGAGATGGAGCTTCAGCACACGGTGGGACACACACTGGAACCGTTAAAAGCGACGATGATCCGACAGCAACATCCTCCTCCTCGTCTTCAGGGGCATCTGCGTTCGCCGATTTGGAAGCTCTCCGCGAGGCACAGCGGAAGAGGCACATGCTACCTGACACTAAATCGGCTGCGCAGCTGAATCTGAATTATAGTCGACGAGGCGGCGGCGCACTAAATCCAAGCCCAACGTCGGAAGCCACTGTCAAGAAACAGTCGGTGGTCCTTGTAGGAACGGATGGGCAACGAGTTGAATCTCACGCCGGGAGAGCTGCAACCTCGAGTACCGCCAATCTGCCCACCGGAATGGGCGGGCCTGCATATGGATTTCTGGAACAGAAGGAGATGAAGGCAGCAGGAGCGGGAACACCGCGCTCCACTCCGCCAGGCAGCAAAAACAGCGGAAGAGCAGATCTAGGACCCGCCTCGTCCGGAGCTTCTGCAATACGCGGAACTGCAACTGCTATGTCGATGCTTGGGACCTCAACATCATCTGCAAAACCCGTTGTAGCGCCGGTTTTTCAGAACGGTTCTGTTGGGAATCATCGTCTTCATGCCAATCCTACGAATAGGAACACGAACACAATGACGAATTCCATGGCGGCCTTGTCGGCGAGAAGCAGACTGCAAGCTGCGTCTGCGGGTATTTTTAAGTCTGCAAGCGCAGTTCCTGCTGCACTGGCTGTAAATAACAGAAGTGTACTAGTTAACACGACAGCTTTGGCTCTGGCCGTTCCAGGCGCTGCAGCCGCTTCCGCGACAACTGCACAGAATTCCGACCCCGCTTTCGTCGCACGGATTCAGGGTATCGCGAAGCGGCTGGATTTTAAGGACAAAAAAGCTGAGGTCACGGACTTCTCCAACGTGAGCCAAGACCTGAAACAGGTGGGCGCGTTCAAGTCGGAGATTACCAAAGAAGTTTTGAGGCAGAGCGGTTTAGGGAAGATCCTCAGCGAGCTGTCCAAGAACAGCGATCTTCCGGCCCGGCTGCGGGATCAGGCGAAGGAGCTCGTGAATTTTCTCAAAGGCGCCGTGTTGACCAATAAAGCAGGAGACAACAATGCAGGCGCGATTGTGCCGCTGAATAGCACCAACAGCGGCCGCACTACGCCCGGCGGTCCGCGGGCGGCCGCACCGAAAGTAGACGCGTCCATGATACGACCGTCGGCTTTTCAAAGCGGTAATGTCAGCGCAGCTTCTGCTTCCTCAAATACTAGTCGCGCCCTCGCACTACAGGCCAGGAACGTAAAAACCTCGTCCTCCACCGCAATGGTCCTTCCGCAGCCGAAAATTACCGGCGATTACGCACTTTCCACGACGGACCACAATGCAAAGTCCAGCGGTATCACGAGCCAGCACCGCGACGAGTGCACCGCTTTGTTCGAGAAATCAGGGCTCGGGAGCAAGGACGCAATCGACCTAGAGAACGCGATTTTTCACTACGTGGCGCATAAGCAGGAGCGCCGCAAGTACGATTTCTACGTGCGCGAGGCCCGGTCGCGGATCCGCACCAAGCCCCGCGTGATGGAAATGGTCAACCGCGGAGAGCTGTTGATTTACCACCTTTTCCTTGTTCCCGTGGAATTCTTGCAAACGGCGGAGCAGCAGGACGAGCTGCTGGCGGAGCGTGCCAAGCTGCAGAGCAACGCGAACTTCGGCGACGATATGAAGGGCACCAAGGTGCTGGACGGCACGAGATGCCCGCGCTGTGGCAACGTGGACCGGATCTACTCCAAAACAGTGCAGCGCGGGTGGCACAACGACCACGGCGATCCCGTGACGAGCTACCGCTGCGACGCGTGTGATCACCGATGGCGAGAGGGGGCGGATTAGCTGTACAAAATGAAAATTGTAATTGAGAATGTTAGCAATAGCATGGGGCTGATCCTGATAAGCAGGAAAAGGGTCTCATCGCTCAAGATACCGAGCGACAGCAAAGTGTACTCGAATGAATAAACGATTTTTTACGAACGTGAACGTGTCCAATTTTTTCACTGAATCTAGCACATGCGAGACGCATTATCTTCAAAAAGGTCAGCAGGTGGCGGTCCTCGTGGCGGATCCGCAAAAAGAAGTTACTCCGGTCGAACTCGAACAATTACAATAACAAGTGTTCTACTTCGTGCAGAAGGTGATCCGACTGGCTCACTTCGACTCGGAGTTAAAGAGTTGCAACTGATCTCCTTGCTGCGCGAGACTGATGGTGATGTCTGTGGCATTTGATGGATAAATAAAGATCTCATATGTGTATTTGTATTTCTTTTTCCAGCTCACGGCGCCTGTGCCAGGATCATCTATTGTTCGGGTCCACCATCGTCGTGATCTCAATCTTGCTCACCGAGAGCGGTGTTTCTTTATTCGTGCGGATTCTTTTGTGCACTTTGTGCTTATGATGGTCTTTGCCTTGGTAGAAGTTTAGGTTTCACGGTAGTTTTTCTCTTCGATAATCCTTGCTTGTTGTATTCTTTGTCTTTTTTCATGGTCCTCCGTTGTTGCTTAGGTTCAGCTACGTTTTTTGTCGTTAATAATACTTTTTCTCATCCTGGCCGCGCCTATCTACCGTCGCACGTTCTGTCGTTCCTTTCATGCTGCAAACTTGACAAGGAAAAGCTAAAGCAGATGCACGTAATGTGATGTGAAAAGCTAACAAACTTCGAAGTTGTATCGAGGTCGCCTTGGCTATTTCCGGCGCATCAAGATAGAAGGGAGAGAAACAAAAATACCGAAGATGATGAACACGTCGATGACCACGTCGATGACCACGACAGTTTCTAGCAGTATGACGCAGCTTGTCAGCCGCGGTGCGCTTTTTCTCCTCTACTTGGCATTGTTCCTATCCGCCGCCCCACACAGCTTTATTCTCCCCGCAAATGGAGACGCTGCGTCTGTCGCCGAGTTTTTCCACATGGTCGACGAATATGTGGACCACGTTCCGCCACACATGACCATCTGTCAATTCGGTCTGGTGCCCTTTCACGAGCTGCTCACGCACCAGATTTTCGCGCGCCTCACGCCGCCGAAATTCCAGAACACGTATGTGCACTTCTTGCAAGTGGACGGTTTAGTGGATGACGGCCTCGAAACTGTCGATGAAAAAGGCGAGAAAGACAGCAGCTCAACATCATCAACTGCTGGCGAGCAACAACAAACAGAGAGCACATACGCCTTGGATACATTAAAACTTTTGAAGGACACCTACGGGGACAAGCGGGTGAACGGATTTGGGTCAGTCAACACGTTCGACAGCTACTGCAGCATGATTATCGTCACACTGCACTACCCACACGTCAGCTTCGAGGACGTGTCGGTCGTCGCCCGCAAGATCGATTCCATCTTCCTCGCCTACATCAAGTCCGAGGACAGCTGCCACACGCAACAGCTCGAGTGCCGGTGGATGAGTCGCAGTTGGGAGGCGGTGCTGGGCGAGGGCTCATTTTGCGGTGAGAACGTGTGCCTCGGCATGGTGCCATCGGACCAGGTGTTCGACGAGGTAATGGCGCAGAGCCCCATGGTGGAGTGCAGCGAGTTTATCGAAAACAGCGATCGACCAGCCTCCTGGACCACGCAATGGCAGCAGGACTGGTTCATTTACCACAACTTCTTCTCCAAGGAAGCGCTGCAGCGGGAGAAGAATAGCCTGACGGAACTCGGGGAACAAACCGCCGCGGGGGTGACAGAGGCGAAGGAGCGACTGAACTTACCCGAGACGACGAATAAAAAGCTGTATTTCGCCGAGGTGGGCGCCTACCACCCGTTCAAGTACAGCAACACGCTGTTTTTCGAGAAGTGCCTCGAGTGGGACGGGATTTGCGTGGAGCCCAACCCCTACCACGCGCACCTGTTCAAAACGTACCGGCGCTGCGCCTTGGTGCCCCACTGCGTCTGGAGCAGTACGAAAACGGTGACGATGAGCTTCGCCAAGGACATGATAGAGGCGGCGGTGCCGGACGACGCCACCGGCGACATCCCGGACATCAACACCTACGACCCCTCGCAGCAGAACAACTCCAAGAAGCCCGCGCACCAGTTCGATGCGGTCTGCCTCTCGCTGGACAGCATACTGCAGGACTTCTTCGAATTTCCGAAAAATGAGTTCGGGCAGACGCTGGTGCATTACATCTCCCTCGACGCGGAGCACGCGGAGGTCGAGATTCTGAAGGCGTTCCCCTTCTGGAAGTACGACATCAAGTATGAGAGTGTACAACTACAACTCTCCCTCCCCCTCATTTGCATGGCATGAGCAGCAATACAAACACCAACACACGCGGAGCCTGTGCATGACAAGTTGAAGCTCACGGACCGAGTGTCGTACTCTTTGGGCTTCCGAAATTTGTCATGCAAACTATGCCACAAGGAGAAGGACAAGTGACCAAATCAATTGGGGACTTTGCATCAGTGATGCAAATTGCACAAATTCCAAATTCACAAAATGTTAAGGAGGGGGAGTTGTGCACTGTTATATCAAGGTCTGGTTGATCGAGGTGCAGCCGGACAACTTCTACGCCGTCGACGCGATACTGTTGACGAACGGTTACGGAAAAGTTGCAGTTTTGGGCGGGGACCACGTCTACGTGAAGTTGGGCAACATTTTTACGGAGTTGGACTATCCGAGCAGTGCGAAGGCGGAGCAGGAGGCAATAATGGGGAACAAGACACACGGATTTCATGAGCATAAACAACCGAAAATTGATTATTCGACAAATAGACCGAGGAGCGCGATGAAAAAGAAGAGGGACGACGAGGATGGGGAAGAAGGGAAGGATGAGGATGGTGGGGAAAGAGAAGATCATTGAAATCTTTGTGAAAGATGTCTTAGATCTAGGTGCAAGACAGCTGCAGTATTCGGGATCTTGATAGATGACTTTCAACGACAACAGCGAAGAGGCCATCTGTGTAATCTTTCTCAGCGTTTCCTCCACGCAAAAGGATCAAAACATACTTATACTACGATTGGGATCTCAGACTTGTTTTTACTCCATCTAGACACGGGCTATTTCTCCATTTTTCTGGTACTTTACCAGAGGAAGATAGCGAGCTTTCTCTTAAGAACCATGAAAAGGACAGTCGCATTTTTCTGGATCTTTGTAGCAGACTGCCTTACCATGCCCAGCGTTCTTGTGAATGAGCGCATTACAGATTCTCGAAAGGGTAAAGGTGCGTACTACGGGGCCCAGGTCTAGTAGAAGCAAGACCAGTAAGTAGCTTTCGACTTTTGCGGGTCTTGTTTCAAAGCCATTCGTAAAGCCTAGCGACAAAGGTGACAGCTTCTAAGAGAGCATTCGACCCCCCTAGGGCTCAAATCAAAAGAAAGAAGTCGCAGAGAAAAAAAAAAAAAGAAAGTGCGAGAGAAGCGACAGATAAAGAGGGCAGGTCGCACACAAAAAGAAAGAAAGTTTGAAGTGCCCCAAGATACAGAGCGCAAAAAAAAAAAAAGAAAGAGCCAGCGCGACAAAAGAGAAAAAAAAAGAGGACGAAGTAAGAGGCTCACATCGAAAAGAAAGTAAGAACGTCCCACCTAAGGTTGACCGCAGCAAAGTGTGTATAACTCCGTGTTGATCACTAAGCTCGGTGGCGCTTTTCGTTCTGGCCGGCTTTGCTGCTCTTGCAAAGAAGCTAGCTACCGGGCTTCGCTTGGGGTCTGTTTTTCCTGTTCGACTGACACATCACCCAGAGGCGGTGGGTGTAGTGTCAGGTTTGTCGGGTGGCTGAGGATCTGACCCAGCGCTTAGGATTGGATCTTCTGGACATTGGGTGTGGAGGTGGTAGCACACAATGGACCCCAATTGAACTTCCCTTCACTGCTAAAATGGGCGGTGTTGCGTCGTTCAAGATGCCTGGCTCTCAATGCAATCCAGTGCAGACAATTTACCTTCAGGAAACTTAGACAGTTCGTTAGCAGTTCCTGGCTCGCCTTGGCAGCTACTACAGTGCCGAAGAAGCTTGCTCCACATTGTTTTTTCCGGTCGTGAACTCAGCTCTACTAGACACTCCACCAATGATGAAGGTTGTGCGAATCGATTGCAAATGATGTGAAGAAATGAAAAACACTGCTGGCATGCCTCGTGCCCCTGGCGCTCGGTGTTACCGCGCAACTTGCTTGTTTGTTCGCGCGGACCCCAACATTCGTTTTTGTCATGGTGGCAAGAACTCGTGATAAGAACAGATACAGATCATTATCGTTGCTCAAATTCAACGCCACAGGTTTACCCGGAAGCCGAGAAGATGGGGAAGAAGGGAAGGATGAGGATGGTGGGGAAAGAGAAGATTATCGAGACGCAAACAGAGGGGAGCTGTAGCTGAGCAGGCTCTTTCCAAAAATCTCATGTCGATCGTCATGTTGTAGCTCTGGATAACGATAATTATTTCTGAAAATCGAAATCCGCATGCACCGGTGACCACTCTGCATTTCCGCTGCAACTTCTGCTGCGTGCGACTGCGGTCACCTCGCCCGCCTACAATGACGTCGGCGAATATTGAACATCAACATCATGAGATTCAAATTCATGGTGTGCGATATCTGTGGTCGCTGAAGATTGTCCTTCCATGATGTCGACTGCCAAAAATTCTGTTCCTCGAGATCCACCAACGTCGGTCACACCTCTGAGAGAGCTGCAAAAAAAATATCAACGATCATACATTTTCATATTTTCTGCCGCAAATGGAACGTGCAAGTGGATGTTTGGAACAAATCGCAACGAAATAATCGCTCGCCAGAAAATTCCCCCAACTTTCGACACCTCGACGTGCTCCACTTACTTTTCCGATTTATTCAGGAACAGCTGTTCTACGACTGCTGCACTTACTAGCAAACTGCTTTACAACATCAAAGCGCAATAGAAATAACTGTTTTAGTTACGTTTACAACGATAGATCAATCCAAAGCATAACTGCTTTACGCTAAGTAAAGTACAACGATATCATTTCTGGCTTTACCTATAAAGGGTAAGGTGAAGGATAAAATAAAACAAACTATTTAACACGACTCTCACTTATTGATCCACAACAAACGACAAAAAATGGCGGCCGACGCACCCGCAAAGGATGCTAAGGTGTCCCTGAAGAAGAATGTCAGCCAGGAATCGTACGGAGGACCCGCACGGGCAAAGTCGGCATATATGTACTTGTTGTTGTTTATGTTTTCATTTCCCATTCAAGCACGACTTTCAGTAACAAAACGTCCTCTCTTCGTGTACGTGTTCGTCTTGTTTGCCCTTTGTATTAGGTAAAAGTAAAACCAACTCGAACGCTAAATAAAAAACGCCCAGGCTCTTCTGCGACGTGCATCGTCCGGAGGTGATTAAGAAAGGGAAGGCCGAGTCTGCGGAATTCAAGCTGGTGGACTCAGCGAAAAAGCTCGGCGAGCTGTGGAAGGCGGCTTCTGCGGAAGACAAAGCCAAATTTGAAGCCGGTGCCGCGGAACAAAAGAAGTCGTACGACGCGAAAATGGAGGAGTGGCTCAAGACGAAGGAATACAAGGAATTCCAGAAGGTATCTTCTACCGTACTATGTAGTCTCATGTACTATCTAGTAGTTGTAGTGCATCAGCGTCGAGTTATCATTCTGGTGGTATGGTCGTGCACATGGAGGACTTGTTCTTCATTTTCATCGCGTGCGTGTCGTTCTCTTTTCCCTCGGATGTAACGCTGACAATCAACGCTTTTGTTGTGGATGATGTGGGTCAACTTCAATTTCAGTCACGATCTAATTAGACGTCGGAATTAACAAACTACAAGTACAAGCCCACTGATCTTCACGCCGCGATGGGCAAGAAGCACTAACAACCTCAAACGTCTTATAAATATCTCCCCAAAACCTCCTCCAGGCCGACGGCGCCCACAAGAAGAAGAAGAAGGGTGCGGCTGCTAAGAAGGAAGCTCAGGAGGGTGGTATGCCGAAAGCCCCGGCTTCCAGCTACATGCAGTTTTCTGGGTCCATCATACGAGAGGTCATGGAAGAAATGACCAAAAACGGGCAAGCCGCAAATGACATGAAAGCCCGGGCGGGGATTATCAAAACGAGGTGGGATGCCTTAGGAGCGGCCGAAAAGGAGGCGCTGGAGAAGAAATACGTGGCGCAAAAGGAACAGTACGCGAAGGATTTGGCGGCATGGAATGAGACCGAGGCGGGAAAGAAGTACTTACTACTTTAATCTTGGTTGTGCGATTTCATCTCGCTCTATTATACGGTTCTTTTATTTGTGCTTGTAAGTGGTGGGCGTTGATTTCCTCGCCACAAATATGCTCTACAACTAGATTTATTCTCGATTGATGTAATAAAGAAGTAGCCCCCTGAATCATCATGATCTCGATCAATTTTTATTTTCCCAGGTACGCCGCGGCTCAGCTGGAGCTCGACCCGAAGAAGGCTCTGAAGGCGAGTGGGCAGCCGACCAAACCCGGAAGTCCCTACATGCTGTACTCGGCTGAGGTTACGGCGGCTGTGATCGAAGAGCTGAAGGGACAGGGAAAGCCGGCCGATCTGAAAACAAGATCAGCAATCATCAAATGTACTTTACTTTCCACGTCCTCTTTCATCTCTTACTCTTTGCAGGAGCAGCTTCTTTCGGTTTTACTTTTGTTTGCATTTGTTCCCTTTCCAGTTGCATTCACATCATTGACATGGTCGTCGTGTTGATATGATCTGAGAAGGAAAATGATGCTCGAAATCACAATCAGCCCGGTTCGACGCCCTCTCTGCCGAGGACAAGCAGAAGTACGAGGCGAAGCACAAGGAGCTGTCGGCCAAATATGAAGCGGACATGAAGGAGTTTAAGAAAACGCCCGAGTACAAGAAGTTCAACGCGCTTATCCAGAAGGACAAAAAAAAGCGAGCATCCAGCGGCAAGCCGAAGGCGGAGAAGGGGACGAAGAAGCGCAAAGTGGAAGGGGGTACTTATTTGGAACTTCTTTCTTGTTTTTTGATGGTCATCTGGATCTGGTGGATTTGCATTTCGTTCGTTATTTTTGATTCGTTGCCTTTGCCGCGCGAATTGTTTAGCTCTGCTACAGATCATGAGAGCCGTCTTTTAGAAGACTTTTTCAGGATCATAGCGAAGTAGATCTAGATTTGTGGATCAAGAGGATTTTTTAGGGCCTTGAACCTTTGACGCCTTGCCCAGGCACGAACAGAAAGAAAGAAAGAAAGATCTAGATTTTGATTTCGATACTTTGTCTTTGAAATATTAAAACACATGCATCTATCAAAATCAATTAGGTGAGCCGCAGCCGGAGGAGAGTCCAGCTGACGAAGATGCGGAGGAGGTTTCGGAGGAGGCCGAAGCCGAAGTCGACGACGAGGAGGAGTCCCCGGAAGAGGAGGAAGAGGCCGCCGAAGAGTAAATGTAAATCTGGTGAAGTACTAGCAGTATTCGGAATTGTCGTGCAGCCAGCCGAATTCTTGTAACTTTATTTGATGCAGCAGCAAATGATGGATATGGAATGTCGTGCAGCCAGCCGCAGCTACATCAGGAAGCGCCGAGGAGGACCAAAATCTTCACCCTTTAGAAATTTGCCCCTTGATTGAAGTCGGAAGGATCCAAGACGGCTGTAGCTCGGGCCGTGGCGCGCGAGGATTTCATTGCTTATTATTCGACAATGCTAATGAGTCAAACTACACTTTTTGAATCAAGTCCGGTTCTTGAATGACGATGATGTAATTTCTTGAAACTATGCAAGAGGTGACTCTTCGTTTGTAAAGTCTTTTAGCAGAGAATACAGCAAGCTCCACAAGTTGTAAGAGGGTGCAACAGCGCCGGACGACACCAAATCATGCGTTGTGATGGTTATCGAAGTTGAGGTTGACGACAGAATTGATGCTGAGCAACAAATGATTGAAGATATCGCACACACGCAGGAGGCGAATGTCGTGAAGTTCGCCTTTCCTTGAAAGCAGAACTAATCACGTTGTTGTAGCCGTGTTGCGACTTTTCCAATTTATGAAACCTTCAACATCAACTAAAGTGTGTATCCATTACTTGACGCCAATTCGCCCATTCACATGATTTCGATTCACAAATGGCCCAGCTGCGCTGGTACTCACCTGTCCTCCTGTAAGTGGATGGCAGTCGTGTCGCCCCGGAGTGAAAAACGACCGCATGTGTTCTGCAAGCAGAGACAGAGATATTCTTAAGGAACACGACCCTTCTAATCCGATAAGCATAAGCTGGGGCTGCATCTCCTTCATTAGTCAGGCTTATCTGGGCAGCGTTTGTTAGTACCAAAGGAAAAGGAAGCTGATCTTAGTTTGTTATAGAGGACGTAGGAAAACCAAGACGGTTTTTCAAGATCAAAAAATGGCGTTACTCGTACTTTATTATTTCACTTTTGCTTTCTTTTCCTTTTTTTCTAATATTTCAGCTTTTTGCATATGCATCCATTCGTTCAGTCGCTCGGCTACAGAGCATGGCCGTCGATAGCGAGATCATACCGTTTTGATCCTAAAGATATGAAAGAAGGTAGCCCTAGTCTAATCGGGATGTTGCCTGGCAGCGATAACATTAGAAACAGCGCCTTGAGGGCGACCAAAAAGGGACATGAATTTGAGTAAGATCAAGCTGGTGCGAGTTTGAATTTGATGTTGATCATCATGAACATTTTTCACATTTTTAGTTACCACCAGGCATTTTTTCTTTGAAGCGACGTTTCTTTGTTTTTCCTTGCATCTCGTCCCTCACTATATCTATAGAATGCTCATCGTTCCGTGAAAGAATCATGAAGACTGCGTTGATAAAGTGATGAAAGTCGAACAACTCATAGTTCCAAGAACGAATACAGTAAGAGGTGGACGAGGTGGTGGGGCATTCGTCGAGCGCCTTGTGGTACAGAGGTGCTACGTACGCCAAAGAATATGCAAATGGCGTGGGTATTAGTAGGCTAAACTGAATTCAATTTCCTCTCCTGCGGCCGGTGATGTGATCGTAAGATGTCGATGCGCGTAATCAGGATGAAAGCGAGTCCAGAAGTAACCGCTAACCCCCGACCGCGCCGGTGCTGGAGGGAGTTGTTTACGCTAAGCGGCACCAGCCTGGCATCTTCACCGACAGCAGCACCAGAACCAAGTAGCATCTCGCATAAGCGCCGACACAAGCTTCGTTTTTGGATGTTCGCTGATGCTGTTACAGCCAGGAAATCGAAATGCGCCGGGCGGCGCTTGTTGCGCTGCGCACATAGGGGAGTGCTGATTTTCTGTGCGCAGCTTTGCCTGGTTTTACTTGGAGTGTCTTGGGCGACGCTGGTCGCCGCAGCTTCATCAGTCTCGGCTTCATCGAGTTCAGTTGGCGGTGGAGCTTTTTCCACTGAGGAACGTTCTGAACAAGATCATCATATAGCCAAGCCAAGCCATGACCATCAACAGGACGAAGGTCTTCAAGGTACTCAAATAAAAATGCACATGAAGTCGTCTAGAAATAAGTGGTGGAGTTCCGGCAGCGCGGCCCCTAGTAACAAGTCGAAGTCTACATCATCAGCAGAGTATGGGTGGTGCGGACGAACTGAGCGACATGCACATGGGCGAGCATATGGCTTTGATGCCGAGCGGGACCCCAGCAGAAAAGACAGCGCGCAAAATAAGCATTGTGCCGGCCGTGGTGGAGCTAGCGGGGGACCACGATGGTCTCGGGGGGGTCGACGGGGAGGCGGAAAGCCGAAGTCAGGGACCACTTCTGAGCAGCACTATTGTCGCGCCGCGGAATCATGGCAGGAGCATGAGCAGACATATGAGGACTCACCGCAGGGAGAAGGCTGCTTTGTTCCATATGTAACAAACATGTTCTTTGACTTTGGCCAATGCTGTGTTGCTCCTCCGCTTCAGTTCGGCCCAGTCTGTGGCCTGCAGTGGCTGCCGTCCGCAGAAGTAGCATTTTTGGGTGCAGCTGCAGCTGCAGGGACGTCAGAAGGTGGAACGGGACCATGTTATCAAGGAAAAATGGTAGGCGACGATATAATGTGTGGATCGCACTCGCAACAAGCGCAAGCCCAAGGGCGTGATGGCGATGCTTGCCATGTAGAGGGACATCCGGTTGAACAAAAGCAGCCCCGCCAGACCCCACTTCTTACGCCAATGGCAATGCAAGGGGAAGCGACGTATCATTGTCCGTATTATAATTTTCCGGTTCCCTGGGGCAACCCTTCGGCATTGGCGCAAATAGAGGCCTACTCGTCCACCTATCACGGTTCAGCTCCAGCCGCAGCGAGTGCCTATTCGGTCGGCAATGGTGATCAAAACCTTTTTCCGTCTTGCGCAAATAATGTGCAGCCGCTGTCTTTTGATGCTGCTCCCACGACGAACAACTCGGAGCCGGAGGAATCTCTGGAAGGGCCAATTTTTAGTGCGGTCGCAAATATGCCGATTTTTCGTGTTGGTGAAGCAGACCATGACCAGAAAGCGAGGGATCATAGAAGCGCGCGCGCGGACTCTAGTACCAGTAAAACGGCGAACCTGCTTTCTCGTTCTACTGGCCGAGCTCCACCTCTGGCGGATTTGAATCTTCTTGAGCATTGCAGTGACCCTGGCGTGCAACTTGATTTCATACATGCGGACGGCGATAGTCTGATGCTCGATGACAATTATGACGAGCACGATCGCATCAACCGGGGCGAGCTGGAGTCATCCGTCGTAAGGTTGCCTTTCTGGTGGGGCCGTCGGGTACAGGATGTCACCGCGGTTGAGCAGGCCGACAGTGCTCCTGCAGAAGGATCCTTTGTGGCGTCTGAGAGTACTACCAACGGGAACTGCGGAAAACAAGAGGAACTGCCGCTGCTGGGACAGCGCTTGTGTTTTGCGTCTCAGAAGATGACGAGAGAGAATTGGCTCCTGTTTGCACTCTATCTAGACCTAGACGATGTTGCTCCTGAAAAACAGAAAAGAGATGCTGATTTTTCTGGTGCGGGTGAGCAGGCGGGCGGGTCCTTGTCCCCAGATGTACCACCCCAAGGCACCGGAATTCTTTCCGTCTTTGATCCAGGCACCCAACATCTGGCTCCGCTAACCCTCGACTTGAGAACGCCGGACCAAGTGTTGTGTTTTGATCAAGTGCGTCGTGCGCCGTGTCCACCGGCGGAGCGAGCAGTCCCTAATTCGTCCGAAAGCGGAGGTAGTAATCAACCTTCCCCTGCTGTCGCCGGTTCTGCCAACCCAAAAATCGCAGAAGTTGCTGCAACAGCGCCGCTTCGCTCCGCTTCAACATCGACGTCGTCAGGCAGTGCGGGTGTGGCGAGCAACACTTGGGAACAGGATGCGGCCCAGGCAACAGGGGCACACAGTGATAATCCTCCTGGTGTTGATGTTGTGCCTTCCCCCGTGCAGACGGAGGACACAAGCAAGAAGCCTTCGCGTGCGCATAAAATTCTCGCCAGTAGTGAAGTCGCATCAAACCCGGACGATGATTTTGAGCCGCCCTCTGCTTCCGAGAAGATCGACACAATGCAGGCCTTTTACAAAATGACAACAACTGACGAAGTAGAAGACCTCGTAATTGCCAGCACCGGCTGCCCTTCAGCATCTCTCGACGGTGTCGAGAACAGCGGTTGTGCAAGCGGTTCTTGTGGATCGGACGGGGCAGCGCCTGAGGACGGTGTTGAGCAGGACGCAGCAGTGCCAGATGGTGCCGATCAAACCGGTGCGCGTGCACCAGTTGACGAACATCATAGCCCGTTTCTCAGAAGTGCGAATGAAGGGCACAGGACGTCTGCTGAAATAGTGCATCAGCATCATCGGGGTGATGAAGTCAATGCCACTGATCCTGATCCTCGGAGTGATCCTAACAGTGATGGTCGGACCTTCGGAAACTATCATCCTGATTCCCCAACTGATGTTTTGACATCATCAGGAGCCGCCTGGGAACCACGAATAGTCGGAGCCGTGCGAGTTGACACCACCGGGATGTTGGTAGAGGCGAGCACGGTGGTTGCCCCAGATCTTGGCGCTCATTGGAACGGAACAGAATGTCATCAATCGGATGCTGCGTTGGCTGTTGTACATGTTTCAGCACGCCCAGAGCAGCAACACGAGACTTCTAGGAAATGTGCTGCAGAGCAGGAGGAGTTGCAGCTCCCATTGCTGCAGACGAATGCAAACAAGATGCGAGATCCTCGCCGAGAAGTTCGATCGGGGAACTTTTTTCAAAAGAAACCTCGCGCGGTGACAACGGTTGATGCCAAGGCAGCTGCATTCAATCCTTGGAAGGGTGGCGTGGCTCCACCTGCTTTTCGGGGGTCCTCATCAAGACAGGTAGTTGATGATTTGCAGTCCGACACCAGAAAACCATTCGCGCCAGAACATCTGCAGAACACTCCCTCCACGAACTACAGCTTGCACCCCTCGACCTTCAGCTCCGCAGCTGCTTCCACAGTAGATTCGTCTGAGTTGTCGCCCATAGAAGCCGTCGGGAGCAGCCTCGCCGACCTTCATCTGGATAACTTCGCTCTTCCAGAAGCGGCCCTTACTAGACAAGAATGTTCCGGACCAGATGGCGAAAAAAACGCTGATAATGGTGTTTCTGAGGGCCCTAATTTCGAGTCCGCTGCAGAGCCATTGAAGCCAGAGTCACAGCTTTCGCTTACCACGAAAGGATGTGAAGATAGGTATGGCGTCGATGGTCGTCGACGTGTAGATGAAGGCGTCGCCGGCGGAGAGGAGCTTCCAGTTGGATGCGAATCGCTGACGAATACAGAGACCTCCAGTAGTGGACGCGCTTCTAGTCACAATCATTCGGAGGTTGCAGGACTGCAGCAAGTTCGGCCGTTGAAGTCAGCGCTACGGGGAAAGTCGGGTCGTCAAGTCGAAGTGCCCAGCCGCGCGGATGGTCACGATGTTGATGATCCAGCAAAGTTTAATTCCCGACTGAACAAAATGAAAAAGGCTCTGTTAATGTCCATCATCCGTCCGTGCTTGCAGCGTTTTCGAGGACTAAATAGGATTCGGCGCTGTTGTGTACGACGCAGAAGGCAGTTTGAAACGATCGCGCAAGCGCTCTTCGATGAAACGCGCGGCATCACGCGTCCGGGGGACGCGCGTATTGTGTCGCATCCATCTCGTAGTTCTCAGCAAAGTGGCTTGCCGTCGGTTGCTTCTTCGAAGCAGAAAAAATCAGCGGGAGGAACAGCTGCACCAGTTCATCCGCGTCGAAGTAAATCCTCGTCGGCCGTTTCTGAACACATTAAGTTCACGACAGCGTGCACCGGCGCCACCACATCGGCTGGGCGGGTGAGGTTTGCGCGCAGGACTCCGGAAGAAGCAGTTGTGGCGCGAACCGTGCGGAATTTCAAAAAGCAACACAATATCATCTCATCCGCATTTTACCGTAGGGAAGGGAAAAACAAAAGCCGCGCCAGAAGAGAAGAGCAGCGTGGCGATTGTTTTGATTCCGATTTTTCTACGTCCAACTCAGAAGCCGCAGGCTCGGATGAAGGTGACGCGGACGGTGCACCAGATGCTGAAGCGTTTTCAAACGCCTCAATAGGTCGTAGTTCACGAGGACAGGACCGCGACTTTGAAAGCCCATTGCTGGCCCTGGAGCTTAGCCGCATTGCTAATGAACATCAAAAGCAGACAGAATTGGATCAGCAGCGGCGCGCGCGGCGACGGCAGCAGCAGCTTGAGCTTGAAAGGCGGGAGGAGGCGATACGTGAGCAAAGGCGCGCCCTGGAGCAGGAGCAAAAAGATGAGGAAGGTGGAAATAAAGCAAAGGTGAATAACTCGTCGGCTTGGGCTTCTAGTACCGTCCCGAGCAGGACGAGAAGGCCAATTGTGGCTTCAACCACCCCGTGTCCGCAACAGCAAGTGAAGCTCACGGGCAGGCGAGCTTGGCTGGCACGCTTTCTCAGACCGAGCGCTACCCCTTCCACCGCCGAGTCTGATGTGCCACGACCTGGTGAAAGAAGCGCGAGGTCGCAAGATGAAAGCCAAGAGTTGAAGTCCAAGGGCTTACTCGTTGCGAGACAATCACCAACTTCGCCGGGTGCGACGAGGCAAAACGACCCCGGGTCGGGGCCACCGTCGCCGGCTAGTGCTCCCACGAAATCGGGGGGCACCAAGAGCAGCGGCAGTCCGGCTCTTGCTAAGAAACAGGCAACCACGTCGCCTGGGAGCTGTAGTATGAGCAGCAAAGGAAAGCCAAAGGCCAATGCTGCAGGCGGAAAAACTGCCGACCAAGACCGGCGGGATCGGAAGCTGGCGCATCAAGCTTGGGAAGAGTCGCGTGGACTGACACCGTTGCAGCAAGAGGACGTGCAGGAGAGACATGCTGCATGGGTAGAGAGGACAGCGAAGAAACACGAGACGAAACGCGAGCAAGGCCTCTTCGAGACACAAATTGAAACGTTGAAAGCGCAGGACCGGCACAAAAACGGACTTCGGGAACTTGCCGAGCATGTGCGCGAAGCCTGCGAGACTACATCAAAGAGAGGGCGGGAGGACCAGAGAGCAAACCTTGAGAAGGAGGACAAGAGTTCTGATGAAGTGGGGGACAAGTTCATGTCAATAGAGAAGGAACGCTCATCAGCGGCAGCAAGGGCAGCCGCGACGAAAAACGAAGGCAAAAAGGACCAAGCGTCCCCGTCGGGTCCTGACGCGGCAGCTACCACAGCGCCGAAAAAACAAGCGAGCGCTAAACCAAAAGCGAAGGCGCGAAGGTGGTTGCCGCTAGAGTGCGTTATGAAGGCAGAAGCCGAAGCGGCCGCAGAACCGCACCTGCTGGTTGCGGAGCAAGACGTGTTTCCTCCCGATGAGCCCAATCAGCAACTTCCTGCGAGGAAGGCGAGGCTCCACCCGAGGAGCTCGCATAATTCTCCATCCTGTTCCTGGTGGTCTTCGCGGGCGGCGACTCACTCAGCAGTGCAGCCATCAGATGAAAACGCAGATGCTTCTCAGGATCATGATGTCGCAGGTGTTCTTCAGAGGAGCTTAGGGTATTCGATTCCGACTAGCGAAGTGCATGACAGCTCCGCATCGGCAGTGCACATGATCGACAGAAGTGATGATCTTCATGGCGAGCAGTCGACGTTGCCGCCAAAGCGTACATCAACTTTTCCAGCGGACAAGCAGCCGTTCTTACAGAGAAGCCCTGAGGGCGCCACGGCTGCACACACAAGGCCGGATTACGATTTTTTAGAACCGAGTCAACATGTTGCCATTCCCCCGGAATCTGACCATGCGCCGGCGATGACTGCACGAGCTCAAGCCATTGCTGCAGCAAGAATGTACCCTCTGAATGGCGCAAATTCTCACAAACCAGACGAGATGAGCCTTGCGAGAAGAGAAGCTGCGGCCTACGTCATGCGAAAATCGCTGGAACTGCTGATCCCCGCTGTTTTGAGGCACAGAATGGAAATTGCCGCAGATGACGATCTTGACAGCGAGTCAGTAGCAGCGAGCAAGAAAATTGTATCTCACATGCAGCACCAGCAAGGTCTCTTAATAATTCTGCTGAAATACTGGGCGGAGCTCCGACCCGACCTATTCGAGCCTGTTCCGAATCAGATTGATGTTTATCGTGTACGCATTCCAATGGTTCGACTTGCCCAAACCAGTGGACAACAGGAGGGACAACCTTCTGGCCTCGAGCAAGACCTCGCGAGGCACATCTACCACCACAGGCCCTCCGCTGCCGGAAAACGTTTCCTGACGCTACTTGGAAGCTTGCGTCTTTTTATTCCTTACTTCAAAGATGACGCGGCAGGATGCGATTACGAAATAGCTGGTGATGGCGATGCTCAGAATTTTTCGACGAACGAGCTTCATGCGAAAATGCAGTGCCTGTCCGAAAATCTCGAGAGGTTCTTGGAGGCGGATCTCATCGAGAGTAACGAACGAGCCCTTCAGCAGGGGATTGAAAAAAATACTGATGAGCAACATCACGTAGAACGGGAGCCCGCTAGTTTCGAATTGGAATCTGACCCCGGGCGCGACCGCAACTACAGTCCACATTCCGCACAGGAGCTTTCTTCCGTGTCCATGGCCGCATTTAGCAAACAAGCGATGGCGAGGTTCAAGCGTCAAGTACAAGATACTTTTTTGAGCATGGATGTTGACGAATTAGCTTACGCAGTGTTGGGCGTACAACATGGTCAAGGCTTCGGCTCGCAGGAGTGGGCGACACCACCTCCTGCCGGTGATGACGTCAAACGAAGTGATGACTACTTGCCAGCTACGAAAACCGAATACGATGTCGAGGGAGACCACGAACGGACACTGCCATTCGACGCAGGTACTGGCAGCAAAGCTGCAGGAGCAGAGCCTGACTCCAACAGCAATTGCAATAGTCTGGTCATCGACGGGCCCGGTGCCATGGACTGCTCTTCTGCAAATCCGGGCACATCACCTCCGTCGCTTTTCGATCTGCTGATGCCTGGCAATAGTCGAGGGACAACACCGCAGCACCTGCCATCCATCGCGGAAGAGCAAGACGAAGAGGCCGGTCTTTGTTCACCTCCGTCCTTAGCGGCTTTCTACAGCTCCACCACACCAACTACCAAGTTGGACACTTCGCTCGATTACTTAGTGTCGGTTCCGGTAGAGGTCCAGATAAACATTGTTCTCGAGCAGGAGCGCGTTGTGGTTGACCGAAACATCATTTCCCGACGTAGCGAGGATCACAAAGCGGTAGCTGGCGCCTCTCCTGGTGTTCTCGAGCGACGTCAGTTCCACGTCGTGAAAACGACGTTTCCCTATTACACTGCGTTGGCCGAAATATCTGACTGGGCGTTATCCAGCAGTGACGAATCGATACAACAAGAAATTCACAGGCTCGACGAGGAATTGGACGAGCACGTCGAAAGAAGCGAAACGAGTTCAAAAGTAGAATTCGTCTGGCTGAAGCGACGGTGCAGCAAGCCTCGGAAGCGGTGGGTCGCACTACCAGCGGACGTGCCGCGACCTGACCAGAATCTCGGGGATCTGACCACCGACCTCTCACAAACGCTCTACTTCGAGATGGACGTGTATGTGTAATGATAGTTGTGAAGTTCATGATGAAAAGAAGTGGAACGACGTACATAAGTAAGTTTTTTCGAACCTTAGATAGGTTCGTTCGCAGCTGTGTGCTTGCCTCTACCAACATGAGCATTTTTTTTTTGTCCACGTCGACCTGCCGTGCGTGTACCAAAATTACCCGGATCTTTTTTCCTTGTCAATCAATCTTTGACCATTGGCATTGCAGGTAGTTAGTGGTTGTGGTCGAAGTCGAGACATTTCAAAACATGAAAACATTTTATCAGTTTTATCTCGGCACGGCAACATCCCTGCAGAAATATAGTTTCTTCGAAAATCATATCTTGGCACCCCTATAATTGCATACAGAAGAAGATAGGTTACAGCATAAATCTGCACGCCCGGCATAACCTCAATCGCATACCACGGAGATAGACCAGTGACTAAGGAAATATTCGTCCCGCTCCCATCTGGAGTATCAGTGTCATGCATACCGTACTGGTTTGCACTTCGCCGGAAGAAGTCCCATAGAAGCTCGATACTCTCCAAAGAAAAGCATGCAACGATCGATCAATTAATCATAGCGACGAGCAACAACCATATAATTTGTGATGTTGGGCGCTTGGTTTTGCTTTTGGCTTTCAACGTCTCTCAGGGTCGAGCAGTTTGCCCACAACTTTGCAGCTACAGCACAAACAACAAACGAGACGACCATTGCCGTAAAACAGTCATGGAGTGGTCGTTCTCGTTTTGCGTCACACCAAGAACGACCCCGTCGTTAATCCCCGAGGTTGTGCTTGATTCCACCGCAGCCGAGTATCTACACAACTTCAACTTGCCTGTGGATCTCTCATGCATGTAGCTTTTTATTTTGTGTGCTCGTCGTGCTGGTCCTCCTCGTGCTCGCGTTTCGCAGTGCCTCCATCACGATGATGAATTTGTGACTTTGTTCGTTGAGGGTGAGCGATAGGAATTGCGGTGCGCTTGTAGAACCTGGTGGCACGACGTGGAGTTGGAGAGTTGAAGCTGCACGAGCTGAGAAGACGTGATAAAAGCAGGATAGGAGCGAGCACATGTTGTTGAGTGAACATCGTGCATTTGTCTGAATTCGAGCAATCTTCTATCCTCTTGGCGCGCAAATTTGGATTGACAGCGGTTCTCCACGCTTATGTCGCCCCAGAGTTGCTCATGCTCACAACTCGAGCTCATGGTCGTGGCTGCATGGAAATATCAATGTCGTCGCGGGGCGGTCGCACACACGACACACAGGAACGGCGCACGTGAAAAATCGTTCGTTTTTGCGCCCATGAGAAAGAGAAACTTTATCTTGAGGACTTCTCTGCTAGCTGAAACTATTCGCCGTGTACACTTGCTGTACTAGTAGCTTTACCTTGTTCTTGTCGGCCCATAGGTATTTTTCTCGAATTCGCCTTGTTTTCTTTATCTTTTGCTTTTTTATTGTTTCTTCATCTTCTATCTTGCATTCAGCCTGCTAGCTGCTATTTCTGCTCGTGCACACGTTTTCACGTAGTTTTCCCCATGTAAGTACCTACTGAGCATTTTTGAGATACAAACTAGGACGAAAATGCCGAGAGGTGAAGATCACTATCAGTCTCCGCCCGTTCCAGGCTATCATGCGCAGGTCGTCGATGAGGAGGCCTCGTGGGGCCGCGAGGACGTTCACTTTGAAAAGGCACAGCGGCAGTCGCGGGACATGGGGAAGCTGCGGCACTTTCTGAAGGAACGGACGGAGCAGGTGCGGCAGCTGCAGGACCACGCCAAAGGGGACGAAAAGGAGTTTTATCGGAGTGCGATGGCGGCTGCCCATGTCTACATTACCGATCAAGAAATCGACACCGCCAAACGACAGCTCGATCAAGTGCTGGCGAGTATGGAATCGTCCAGCGGTGCAGCTTCTAGTAACCGCAACGCGGCGGAACCCAGCCCTGGTCACCTAAGTGGGCAAGGGTCTGCTCAAGCCCGCGGCTCTGCTGCCTCAGCAGGGTCGGAAGGCGTGCATCGAACGACACTGCATAACAACTTGCGGCGTGGAGCGAAAGAGCCTGAAGGGGAAGGAGCGCCGTCGGCGTCCTCGTCGCGAGTGTCACATGGAACAAGTGACCTTTCTTCAAGTGCAGCCGTAAGAGGAGCATCAGCCGCGGTATCACCACCAGGGCAACAAGAACTACGATCTTCAGACACCGCCGAAGCCGACTTGCAATCTGCGCGAGCGTTTGCACCACCGAACCCAGCAAATAGTGCAGCACGGGCTGGGATGATGAACTATGGAAATCGAAATGCGCAGAGACTGCTGTTTCAAGACGGAGGGTCATCGTCGTCTTCTTCATCAAACTCCCAGCGGAATCTGGCGCAAAAGCAGTATGGCGACCTGGCCTCGTGGCAGCAGTACACAAACGAAGCGCTGCTCCAGCGTCACAATAGTGCGGAAGATCATGTGCTGGGCGACGCGCTGCCAAGAAAACAAGCGAAGCCGATGACAGTCAATCGGCAGCTGACTTCTCATGAAGCGGCACCAGAACAGCACACAAGTGGAGCCAGAGCATCGTCTTCGACGAATCCATCAGGTGCAATAGCCGGAGGAGCCGGTGTCGATAGCGCTGCGGCGCCCCCGCCCAGCAATTTTGACAACCACTACACCGCCTTGCACCGCTCCGACAATTCTGAAACTCTCGACTGGGAGCAAATCTCCGGAAATGCCCACGAGGCGGCCTACGGGTCTCTGAAAGCCACGACTGCAGGAGTGCCTTCATCCACACATCAGAGTGACCACCTCCACCGAGTGTTGCAGCCCGTGTTGCAGCAGGCGGTCCCCGCCACCCAGAACGACCCCAACGGCCCCACGTCTACCACAACCACGACAACCACGCGCGAGACCACGACGACGACGACCATCCCCGTTTTCGATTTGTCGACGCCGGAGCCCACCACCCCCCAGCCCCTCCACTTTTCCAACATAATTTACCCGAACCGCTTCGAGTGCCGCTCCGTGTCCTGCTCGCTGTACGACCGCTACGTGGTGTACGACAACAAGACGGAGCCGGACAAAACGAAGCACTGCCGCGACATCCTGACCGACGAGCTGCGCCGGTTCTGGCTGGAGATGTCGCCGGACGAGGTCTACCGCGCCTTTCCCAGCACGCCCAGCGTGGCCAAGGTGAAGGTCGCGGTCTGCAGCATGTACGAAAACATCTTCAACCGCATCCGCCCCTTCGGGGACAACCGGGTCTACAAAAACTGCGAGCAGTGGACCTACTTCAATTCCACCCTGTGCATGGAGGAGTACCGGGACGTGCGCTCCTTTACGGAGTGCTTCTGGAAGGGCAAGGTCTTCTGGCCCGAAAGCGAGAGCATCCAGTCCTACATCGACTTGCGAGGCAGTCCGCAGGGAAGAAACGTCTTTGATTGGTATCGAAATCTTAAAAGAATGCGCGGTGTGGTGATGAATTGTTTGTCGTAAGTAGAACCCCTCCCTTTGCTTTAGTTCCGTCTCGTCTGAAAACACTCGTATGCATGTGAACTTCATCGGATTAGGTGAATTTGTTGCGGCGTTTATCTATCGTTCTTCTACTTCTATACAACCTTCACAGGTTGACAGTGTGGAAGCGGCACATGTTGAGCACGGACATGAAGCGGGCCGTCCGCTTTGACTCCCTGCAAACGTTCCGGGTGCTCTGCAACTGGATGTACGAGCTGGGAGACCCGATCCGCAAGGGATTCTGGATCAACAGCGCCGACGCGCTGTACGTGCCCCCGGACGCCTGCTATGACGATGGGGAATTCCCGACGAATATCGACCAGTGCCAGATCCTGCTTGCCAGCAATCCCTACGACGTCTGCCCCTGGCGAGAGGCCACGGACGGCCAGGACAAGGTGAAGTGCTTCGATGACAGCGTTGGCTACATCGACACGGATGGGCACGGATTCTGCTTCGGCAGAAGATACGGCAAAATGAAGTGCGAGGCACGGGTATAATGGGAGACATTCGTCCTCGTTCATCTCTTCTACTTCTAGAAAGATCTCTGCATGAAGCTCTACCTTGTCATCTCTCACTTGCTTCTAGTACTTTTTTTCCGCAAATTTGAAGTTCAGAGCAGTAGAAGACAGACACTCCCAAAATAAAAGTAGTTACGCCTCGTCCTCTGTGCTGTCTGTCCATTGTCTGGTGTGCAAACTTTGTCTTGAAACTCTCAGGCGCCCGTTATGTGCCGCAAGGCTTACGACTGCGACGGGCAGACTGACCACTGCTGCGTGTCGCAGATGGAGCAATGTGATCCGGACCGGCTTCCGCGACTCTGTTGCCCGAGCATCGACGACCTTCTGCAGGAGCACATCGGCGAGATTCCGCTGCGCCGGCGTCCAAGCTATTACGAGGAGCGCATCGCGGGGCAATTGACCACCATGCCGGGCAGTGCCGACACCACGAGGGTTACCACCACCACACCCGCGACCGCCATCGACGCCATGCAGCACCTGCCCAACATGGTTCTGGTCGGCAGCATCTTGGCGATTCTCGGGATGGCCATGCTGGTCCGGGTCGGGTGGCGGAATAACTGGGGCACTTATTTGAAAGTGAACTTCGCATTGTCGGACAAAGTGGCGAACCGCATTCACGTGATGAAGAACAACGAGAAAACCATCCACGCCAGCGGGCAACTCGGCCGCCACTACGAGCAGTACGACAAAATTGACGAGGGCGAGGCGAGGAAGCACAAGCCCATGACCTACCGCGCCGGGGGCGGTTCCACGGCGCGTGGCGGGGCGACGAGCGCCAAGGGCGGCGGCGGCGGGGCGGGCGCAGCCGCCGGAAGCATGTTTGATGCCTTCAACGCACAGACGGACCTCGACCGGGAACGCATCGCCGAGGTAGAAAGCCGCCTCCGCGTGGAGGAAGACGCGGACGCGCTCGCGGAAGCCGTGCAGGAAGCGAAAAAACTGAAGGCAGACCTGCAGGTCATTCGCCTGGGAGAGGACCGCTTGACCAAAATGCAAATGACCGAGGTATTACTACAACCTAAGCTTCTATCTAAATGATCACGTTCACGGATTTTATTGTAAGTCTGAGTGCAGAATTAGAATTGCCGATCAACACGGCTGAGAGGTCCACGTACAAAAAATTACTGGACGTCGTCACGACGTCCCTTCCTCACACTACTTGATACCATGCATTACAGCTTTTAAACGAGCTGGAGGAGGCGGAGAGAGCGGTGAAGCTGGATTATCCGAGCGAGCGGCGGCTGCAGATCGCGGAGAACCTGTACCGGCAGACCATTATGCGCACGGACCTGTCCATCGCGATCCAGGACCGCGCGGCCAAACTCCGGCAGGAACTGCTGACCAACATCAACCTGCCCGCGGACCGCATCATGTTGGACGAAAAGGCGGGGATGATGCGCGTGCTGGCGCCCGGCACGCACCGCCTGCCCCACGAGCGTGCGGAGGTGTACGCCAGCGCGGTCGGAGAGCCGGCAGAGGTGCTGATGAACCTCCAGGGCACCAGTGGGCCGTGTTGTGCGTTCTTCGTGCAGAAGGGCGAGTGTCCGTTCGGGAAAGACTGCGCATTTCGTCACGTCATGCCCGGACCAAGAGACACCATCCGCGAGCCCTGTGACACGCGAGCGGTGAAAGAATCGCAAAAGTCGCTCATCCGGCAGGGGAGATTCGGGAAGGGAACTACATGATTATAGCGGAAAGGAAGGTGCTGCGAGTAGTACAGCACCGGCGAAGCAATTGCTTTCACCTTATTTTCAAAATCGCTCAAGCTTTGAAAACGAAAACAAACTTCAGCTGCAGTTTTTCGCAGCTTTGTAGTTTACCTGTTCGCCGTATTGATGTTCTTTTTTCGTACAACACGGATTTTCCATGCAGCATTAGATGTTGATGAACAGACTTCTACTTGGACGTAAACGAAAGACCGCTTCGCTGTTGCCCCCAGTAGCGGCCGCTTCTCGTCACCATGCTTTATCTATGTTCAGCTTCGCCAACTTGGCCCTGTTAGAGGTGGTCTTTTATTGCCAGCACGCCGAGTGGTTTAAACAAGATTCAAACTACTACGCGCGGAACGAGACCGATGAATGAGCGACAGTTACAACATGATGTTCGTTTCCAATTTAGAATCAAAACGGAAGCTGCAAACGATGAAAAATGAAGATGAGCTCTTACTTTGGAAGAAGTTCCCGCTGGCGCCATCAGCATCAAGCCGTCGTGCTGTTCAATGACAGTTATACTAAGTTTACAATGTTCGTCCTGCAGCTGCAGAATTCTCTCTGTCATATCTTCGGTCAATATTGCTGTCTGAAATAGAAATTACTATCGGAAAGGAGCCGCTGCTGGTGTATCCTTACATTGTATGAATTTTCTTTCAGTTGTCGTTCGTCGGTCTTTCTGTTTGCGTACTGGTGCTGCTGGTTTCGGTTTTTGCACTGTATGTCAATTCGTTCACCGGAAGCCGAAGCGGTGACTATCTTTAATTTTCCTAGGTCGTCGTGTAGTCGGTGGCGTTGCTTGAACGCTAGATGATCGTAGTCGTGCACCATCATGTTCGTTAGACTTAGACCGTTCACTCTATGTCCACAGCCGTAGTCTCGTACACAAGATTAATTTCATTCGGCTGGTAGTTGTTGCTTCTCCACAGGACGACGACTTGAACGTTTAGAAAAACTCACTGCAGGCTCCACAAGAAACCCACCCTGGTTTCTTCGTCGTGACTTCCCGTTCCGTTTCTGTTGGTCTGTAAAGAACGCATGAAGAAAGAAACTTAGAATGAGCTCCTATTACTAATCTATTTTACATCATTTTTTATTTTTCCTCATTGCGGGAACAGCAACACCCCGCTTGCGCCATAGATGTGATTCTGATTGTCCCAGCTTTTGCTTTTTTTGTGTATCTTTTAAGTACTTCTACTTCTTCATCACTTTGAACTTGTTATCAGCAGTATATGCGGTAGAACATCGACTCTTCTAGAGTGATGTGCCGGTTTGTAATCACCACGAGAGCTGTCGCGGTTTTGGCGGTCGCGAGGACCGCCGCCGGTGTCCACGAGGAGGAAAAGAAGAAGACTGAGTACCATCGGCCGAAGAAGTTTATGCAGCGGGTGGACGACGCCGAGCGGGATGCGTTCGAAGGGATTTGGACATTCTCAAACAACTTATTCTCAGCACTCAGCACCAGCGGGTCGGGTTCCTCTCCCCCAGAAGCCGTCAAAGACAAAAGGGCTCTCGATTCCTCGGCTCCTGTTTCTCATGTTGACCATGACGATGACAAAAGGACAAATAGCGGGGGCAGGAGCACGAACTCTGAGAAAAGAGATGACGCAGATAAGCAGTCTCCCCTGTTCCTGAAGGAAGACGTTGACCTGAGCGAGCACAGTGCTGCTGGCTCAAGTTCGAGCTCCGTTGACGTCGACGACAGCACGAGATCGTCATGGCTTCAGCACCAGCATGAGAACGAGAAAGTTCCCGCGAAAAAGAATGCGGCAACTGAAGAGGAACGCAAGATGAACAGTACACACGATCGGACCTCCGAGGAGAATGGAAAACAACAGCACGAAAATGATCGTATTCGCAACCAAGTGGAATCTCCGGAATCGGCGTCACAACGCTGGTCATCCTCTTCGGAAGAAACCGAGAACAGTAGCAACCACACGGGTCCTCCTGCTTGGGATCAGCAGTTGTTACCGCACCGTGCTGCACCCGACATCATCCTCGTCAGGCCGGGATCGCATCAAAATGAATCTTCCAGTACGTTCGTGCAGAGGCAAGAAGATGAAACTCAGACCAAACTACAAGCTACGCCCCGGACTGCTGATCGTATGGAGAATGCCAACGGTCATGGTGGCCAGTTACTTGTTCAAGGAGTTGAATCAGAAGTGCATAGCACTTCCAGCGCCAAGCTCCTGTTAGCACCTGGATCCTCTGAAGATACAACAATTAACAACAAGAATGACAAGAAACAATTTTCGGAACAAAACGCAGACGGACAGTTGTGGGCCGCGAACAAGGCGAGGGTTGATCAAGGCGATCCTGATCTTCATGCTAGTTCGCTTGTAGAAGAACATGCGATCAACATGTGGCCGTGGGGCGCTCCTGACTCGGAGGACTCCGACGAGGACGACGATGATGACGACGAAGATGGTCATGATGATGACAGCTCAGAATATGGTCATGGGGAACAGACCAACGAGGATTCGTCGCCGTCAGCATCTGACGAGGAAGATTCGGAAGACCATGGTCAAAAGATGAGTAGGAAAAAGGCCAGTGAGAGCCTGATGACGATGCTTCAGGAAAGTGCACAGGCCGCGGCCAGTCTCGGATTGATTTCAAAATCAAAGAAAGTAATGATGGCCGGCCCCGGTTTCGTCAAGTTCGTTGGGTATGACCTCATAATGGCGAGGGCTTTTGGCCTGAATCGATACGGGTCAAACGAGCGAGTGCTGGCGGGGTACTACAAATTATGATTATCGTGGTGATTGACAATTTTTAGAGCTCTAACTCTATTTTATTGAGGTGGATCAATTCCGAGCCCCAACTATGTATTTCGTACCTAGCGAAGCTCCTTTTTTTTTTGTTTTGTCTTCGCAAAGAGCGAAGAGCACTAAATAATTAAAGGCACGGGCGTCGTGAAGCTGCGCCTTGCAGTTTCAAGTTACACATTAAATTTAAGAAAAAAAACTAACAACTTTCAGCGAATGCGCACAAGGGAACGCCGTCGAGAAACTAACGGGAGTTGCTATGTTATTCCCCGTATGCAATGAAGAATATATTTCTGGGTCAGTGGAGGGAGGGTACCGATACTGTACAGCATTAGCAACGCTCTAAGTACAAGTTCGTCTTGGTCCCTTTGCACGACTTCATCAAAGGCGCTTCTTGGCAGTTGTGGCGCTGTATCGTGAAGTGTCATGGAAGACAAATTACTCAGACCAACAAGAACCCCTCCCCATGATGATCAAAGCTTTCTTACATCTTCAACACCCTCGACTGACCCAGACGTACTATTTCGATTTGATATTCTGGCATGGCGGACGACGATGCGAATTTTCAATTGGGCACCTGGATGGAGATATCATGCAGAAAAGTCTAGCATATTTCAATTATTTCTATCACTGCCATGCTGAGAAATGTTTGAAGTCAGACTCAAAAAATAAAAAGATGAACATATATAAATTTGAATTTGTATTTCGTCCCCACGGCAGGGGCAGCTTCGCAGCACCAGAGCCCCGCGCTACGTAGGTAGGCATGACCATGCATGTCCATGACCTTGACCGCACTCACATCAAGGGCAGATGGTCGGCGTCCACTTTGATGTAGTTGATTTTTTTAGTTTTATCAAAGAGCTAGTAGGTACATAATTCCAGGCAGCCAAAGCCAATGCCATCATTTTTTATTTTCCATTGGAGTGATACCCGAATCTGATAAGCATAAGCTAGCTCTTTTCTAATTGAGACGACCACCTGGTGAATGGGGGAGAGTATGATCCGACGAAAGAAGCACCGAAGTTGCACTTTGTGGAGCACTCGCTAAATGCAATAAAGCGGCATGATTCTGACCTTCAGACACGGCCAGGCGCTCCTGCGGTTGCGGAAGGTTACTTCTATTATGTGGAGCAGCAATGGATCCAGGTCGTGGCTAAGCCAATTGAAAAAACAAGGAGGGAGGTCCTCGACGATTATTTTTTTTCGCCCAACGGCATACCACAAAAAATTAAAATACGAGCGCCCGATAAGACCGAGGAACTCGAGCTGATCCTGAAAAAACAGACCTACCGGAAAAGAGTTGGTCATACGGTAAACAACATCAAGGCAGTGGCGGGGTTTGTCGAGCGTACCTTTTTCCCCATCTTACCGAATGGGGCGAGTTTGCTGCACATCGTGGAGGATCAAGAGCCGCAGGGAACCGGAGCTGCATTACGCGGAGAACGCCAGAAATTTCAACCAACCACCGACGCCTCCACGTGTATGGCGAAGGTTGAGAGTCTTGGTAGCGAGCGCGATTCGCCAACTCAGCAGTCTGATTCCGTGCGCAAACTCCTGCTGGATTTCGTCGTTGACCGGCTGGTATTTCTCTTCTATGCTTTCTTTTCTTGTTCCGCGACCGCGAGTCAACGCGAAGCGCAACCAGGCAGACTTTGCATTTAAGTAAGTACTTCATTCTTATTGTATATGTTGGTCATGGTAATGCATTGACAACTTCTAGTTCCACTTGATTTCTTTATACCTTTATTATGAGTGCGAGCAGGAGCAGCTAATATGGCGGATTCATTTGGTAACTTACGTTTTTGGGAGCGCAGGGGACCGAAGGCCCACCCGGCTGGGTGGGTCATAGTTCCTATGAGCACCACCTAGTAGGCGAAATTGTAGAAGTGACCCTCTTCTTCTGACTCTAACTCAAATAGAAATTATCTCGAACATTACTTGCATTACAACATTCACAGTTGGTATTGCTTTTGGTAGATGAATTTCGAACGCACTGTGCAGGTAATTGGGTTGGACGACGACGAGGACGTGGTCAGGTCGTCGCATCTGGTGATGGTGGATGGTGTACGAGAGTACTTTTTTGGCCCACTAGCGCGGGTGCGTGAAGGGATCTTGGCGCGGTCGACACATCACGACAATACAGTAGAAAATGACATTGCGCAGGTTCGCAATTATCTTGAAGAGCACACAGGAATTGAGGACTTCTGGAGATTCACCAAAGAGAATAAACACCTGCACCTCATCGACCCCCGTTTCGATTCCATTGACATTGGAGAACTCAATGGGCTGCTCGATAAGGCCGTTCTAGAGCTTCAGGCGGAGAAAGGGATACTACTCGCTGCGAGGAACAAAAATCAAAATGGTCTCATCTCGTCAACAACACCACAAGTACTAGAACTAGAAGTGAAGGATTTTGCGGCCCTAATCGTTCATCCAATTCCCATCTTTCAAGAAGCTGTCGCTCTCAAGCCGAGACTGGAACGTAAAATACTTCTCGAGAAGAGGTGGCGGGAAGATGGGTGGGAAGAACTCGAGAAGGCACGTAAAATACTCGAGAAGAAAAATAAAAGACTCGAGAAGAAGTTGGAAGAACAAAATAAGCGTCATCTTCTTGCGAACAAACACGAACAGGACAGCGAAAACGACGACGAACACGATGAAGAGGAGGATGTCGAGGATAGCCCAGAGTACCTGAAAGCCAGAAAGGAGTACGTAGAGGCAGTCAACGAGTTGAGACAGGCAGAGAAGGAGGCGAGGCACGAATACTTCTTGCGTGAACAGCACATGTCGCCTCTGCGGTACGCATTGTTGACCGACTTCAGGAAGAAAACTAGAGCCCGCACTATATCCTTCCTCCAGGAAGATGCACGACTCCCAATAGTGACGGACGTGTGTGGATTGGCGGTCCGCGAAGTCGATCCGACTGATGAAGCTGCGGGGCCGCATAAAGAAGGTGAGCAAGCAGAAGATGAAGATGATGCCGCAGCTGCTGGAGCTAACACCAATCCTGAAGATGGAGAACAGTCCACTTCGACATCCGACCGCAACGACAAGAACCCGAAGAAAGCTATGAAGATGTCTCCTACTTTACGTCGATTCCTGCAGCATTTTGCTCTTGTACATGACTACGCGAGCAACCCACGGGCTTCGCCGTGCTATTTTGAGAACATACCAGACCAAAAGCAGCTCGAGGGCTGCAGAAAAGCGCTAGATGACAAGCTCGTGTACGATGTCACGCAGCATTTCGACACGAACCGCGACGCAACATTCCAGCCAGTGCTCAGAAAGCGGAAAGGAGAAGAGCAGCAGCTGTGGGCGAGTGGAGCGCATCTCCCTCCCCGCGCCTCGCGCTACGTAAAAATGATGGTCCGGGGGTTGCCACTGGCCGATGACTCTGGTCAAAGATATGATGCTGTCGCGTGGCATCACTTCCTGACAGTGACATTTCTCAAACCTGACGTGGAAAGGGGAAGCTTGACGGGGAAGGAAACAGTACAGCATTGGAATTTCAACCAACGATATGAACAAAATAGGAATCTGCCGTAGTTCTTTCCGCGCCCTGCTCGGCTCAGACCAGCGTAGTGCCGCTGCGCTGCAGCTGCTTGCATGGCTAGTATAATTGTGTTTATTAGCACAATTGTGGTGCCGCTGCTTTAGAACATACAAGGTACAAGGTTGTAGCTCTCGTAGATCTACTAGTACCATAAAGTGTACGTAGATGATGAAGAATTAAACTACACCTACAACAAAGAAAAATATTAATTACGGCCATGCAGTAGAAGAATTGGTAGCAGGGTCATGCGTACTTATTGGTCTGCAATAAGCTTTAGTAGGCGCGCAGAGAGATGCACGATTTGCTTTTCCAATTTCATAGAACTACGGGTGTTGGGATGAACGACATGTGGGGAGATTATTTCGGTGAAGAAGCGGAGCGGGCCGAGGACGAGAAGACGAGAGAGCACTTGGAAGGCTGGCATCCGTACGAGTTTGGTGACGAATTAATAGAGGCTGCCAAACCAGGAAGTGGGTCATTGATTGTCCCGATGACGCAAGGGGAATGGTATGCGCTCATGTTCGCCCTGATGCTGACGCCGTTTGGGGACGGCAAAATGTATCAGTGCTTCCCCTTTACAGGGCATCAGCACATTAATTGCCAGAGCTTTGCGCATCTGCTGCCGGAGTTGCTGCGTGTACCTGTTGTACCTGCAAAAAGCTCTTGGCTTTCGGGTTCTGGTGCTGCACCGCACCCCGTCGACTACAGAAGTAGCGGTTTACGTTTGTTCTCAGAATGGTACGAGGAGCAGACCAAGCAGAAAAAGTTTGTTGGCGCGATTAAAACTGTGTCGGAGGTAGTGGTGCAGTTGATGATGAAGATTCCGACATATGGCAAGAACATTTCAAAGCGGATACGCGGATTCATGACAGAACAACTCGGCCCTCTGCTGCATTCCGCACACGAAAGAGTGATGGAGTACATGAGCGCTTCCGCCCTGGAGGCCGCTAAGAAAACGTGGTCAGAGCGGTTGTCTATGTTATTATTGGCGATCCGGACGACAGTTACGACGGTAGCGGCTGCGGTGGCCTCCATGACCAACGCCGCAGTGGAGCACCTTCGACGCCTTCCTTTCGCATCGACAGCGCAGATTACAAACGACCTCAGCGGTTGGGCACGTCGCGTTGTTCGAGATGCAAAAGCCGCAGCCGTGACTCTGACGGCCGGCTCAGCGGATGCAGGCTCGGGTAGCACAGACCGGCATCAAGGAATACCAGACTCGTATGTCTCCGTTGGGCTGGAAAAAATGCTCCGGGAGGAAGTAAACTCTGATATACAACCTGGTGATCCTCATGAGGAAGAGGATAATCTGCCTGGTGCCTTGCGGTCCGACCGCGAGGAGCAAAATCCAATGCAACGGGAACACCATTTTGCTAATCCAGATCCTTATGGTTTTTCCACCGCTGCTCCGTATGATCCTCACGGCGCCGAGAGCCAGCAGAACAGTGGTCACGGTAGCGGTGATATCTTTGGGGGAGCTGTGACTCCGAAGCAGGAGAGTACGAATGCACGTGAACACGCACACCCTCCTATCTATGATGAAAATAAATATGGAACAAGTGGACGAGAAAATGAAATGAAAGCCAGCACTTCTACTCACTGGAACACAATTCGGAAGGAGGTGGCACGCGGGGGCGGGTCGCGGTTGCAAGACAACATAGCAAGGGAACTCTGGGCAGGTCTAGTAGCAGAGAAGGATCAACAACAGCACGAAGACACAAACCGCGAAATTTCTGCTAGTCAACAAGGGTTGAAAGAACACCCAGTTGTTGCACCTGTTGCACCAGAACATCAAGCACAACCTGATGCCGAGGCGCGTGGCCGTCCACCGCCTGCCGGGGTTGGCCCAGCGAGAGCGAGTTCTGTCCCTAGCCTTCCTCATCAACATCTTCATCAGACGCCACGGGGTCGCTCGCCACGGGGTCGCGCGGTGTCGCAGGGTAGCCGTCTCGGTGTTGGACACGAACAACGGTTGGAGTCGGGGATGAGATCTCGGCCAGCCCGAGATCGCGCTCCTTCTCCAACTACTCGTGGCTCCCGACGTGCAGAACAACGACCACCGGGGTCGTCCACCAGCAGTAAGAGTCTCCAAGGCGTTGGCGCGCCCTCGTCGCTCGGGGATGAAAATCATCCCCGGGGGGAACGCCAAGCGGAATCGCGAGCCGGAGATCGAGCGCGAGCGTCCTCGCCTCCTGCTGGTACGCCCCGCCCCCGGGCCGGCGAACGCAGCGGTGAAGGTCCGATCTTCACGTCTGCGCCGTCTCGTCAGGCGGCCAGGGAACGAGACGAATTAGGAGGTGGAAGATCAGCAGGACCAACTTCAACATCAGCACACGCCGGCCATCCGCTAGTACACGGAGGACGACTTGGTGGTCGACCTGGCGCGTCTCATCGTGCGTCTTCTGTTCCACCTCGAGGAGCCTCGGTTCCTTCCGCCGCGGGGAGGACAAAACCGACCGTGTCGAGTGAAAGAAGTCAAAGTAGTCCTGTCGAATCGGCAGCGATGCCGAAGACTGCGGCGCCAAAAGCACCAGCTCAAGGAGCGGCGCAACGCGCAACATCTCCTATGAAAGCGGATATTGATGGGGGAGCACCACGACCAGCACCATCAGGACGCGAAGAAAGAAGTTCAGTTGGAGGCTTTCATGATCCCGGAGGACGCTCAGGCTCCAGTGGTCAACCACAACCAAAAGGCCCCAGTAATATATCTGGACCCGTTGCCAGTGAAAGAGGCAGATCTGCGAGGCCGAACCCACTCCCACAAGGATCTCCATATGCTGCAGCTGCTCCACGGGAAGGATCTCCAGATGCCTCTTCACCTGCTCGTGTCGTACAGTCCCAGCCAAGGAGCCGATCCCAATCAAGGTCCCCTTCCCCTGCACGTGCAGCAGCTGCAGGACCTGCTACGAGCCAAAAGGCACCTGCAGTGCCTGCTGTTGCTGCAGGACTACCGAGAACCGCCATGAAGACTACTAGCCCGCCGCAGTCTTCTCGGGCGGGACCGAAAACACCCTCCACCAGCGCGGCTTCAATCGCAACTGCAGCAGCGAGCCCGGCATCCGCATCCCCCGCCACGGCAAAGGCTCTACCGGGACCGAAGCGAGCAACTTCAGCCGGGCGTGCTGCACCCACAGCACCTGCACCAAGGGCAGCATCCGCATCCCCCGTCGGCAGGGGTCCACCGAGACCTGAAGCTCGTCCACCCGCAACAGCAAGAGCAGCGTCCGCTGCACCACCCGTGAAAGCGAACGCACCCCCAGCCGGGGCTCCAGTACTCACAGCAGCAAGACGAGCAGCATCCGCTGCGCCCCCCGTCAAAGTAGTGAAAGCACACCCGGCAGGGGCTCCAGGACCCGCAGCAGCAAGAGGACGACCAGGATCCGCTACACCACCGCTCGTCGCCAAAGCGAAAGCACAAGCCGCCAAGGCTCCACCGGCAGCAACAAGGGGAGCATCCGCTGCACCCCGCCCTGCTAGCAAAACGACTCCTCCAACCGCAGCACCAAAAAGCGCAGCACCTCAGCGTGGTCCAGGCGCCGACCGCCCCCGGACGCCTCCTCCACAGCAGGGCAAGCCCCAATCGCAATCGTCCCCCATCAAGAGGACTATGGCGCCTCCCGGACCGGCGACCGCAGCACCCCCATCTCAAGCCCCCAGCCAAAAGCAATTTTCCGGGCCCAGCGGGAACGCAGCGAGGGCGGCCGCTAGTGTTTCTGCGCACGACAGCTCTCGTCAGCGAACGGGAACTTCTAGTGGTGTTTCTCCGGCACCGGCACGAGCACGACCTCCGGCTGCAGCTGCGCCTCCACCGGTACGACACGTTGCTGCAGCGCCACCACGTGGAGGCTCCGTCGCTGGTCGCAGTTCATCTCAAGGTCCTGCCGAGCCGCGCCCGCCAGCGCAAAAATCGCAACAAGGCCGAAGTAACGTTCCTGCGACGGCGGCGAGAGGACGAAGATACAGGCAGGGTGGTGGGTCTGCTTCGTCTTTCACGGAGAAGTCCTCCCCTGGGTTAACAAGAGAAGACGAAGACGTTGTGGCAGGAGCGACGCAAAGGCAAACCTAATTCAGGTTCGTCCGGAAAAGCAATGCGACACATTGGGTGAAGGGCGAGGACCCGACTTTTGGTCACGCGAACCGGAAATGCGACAAATTGAGCTAAATGTCAGTATGTCGAAACTTAAATTGGATTGAAGTATAATTGTATCGGATTTGGAAAAAAAAAAAAAACTCCCTCTCTCAAGTGATTCTTCTTCTTCCCCCTTGGTACACGTACAAGTGCATGCATTCCCCTCCTTTGTCCGTACGTTTTTCTTTCTGCAACTGAAAGTCGAAACATAATATCGCAAACATAAGCATTTTCATCTAGTAGAAGTATGATTGCATAGAAGTAGGCACACCGAAACGGGTATGCATATGGTTTTCGTTTCGGGCATTGGCATTCGTTTTCGTACACGAACCTCACAAATAACGACGTATTTCTTATTTGTTTCATCTTTTTCAGCGCAGACCCCGCTGCGGATCTACTTCATTCAGCGTTTATAGGTTATTTTTCAGGGTTCGCTTGACGCTAACGGTAAGGACGTGTCGTATTTTGTGAGTTTGAGTTTCAATTTGTTTCCGTTCTCGAAATTGATCACCAGGTCTCGACGCTTCTGCGCGGGTCTTGCGTATGAAGCGGTATGGAAGAAGATAATCGGTTTAGTATCTATCTGTTATGATTATCAGACTCTGCCTGCAACTGGTGTTCCCTGGCCGCTTGAAATGTATGTGAAAACAATATATTAAGTTCGTATAATACATGACTGTAGCACCCGTTGTCGGTTCGTTGTGTAAGCCACGGTGTTGGGTGCCATCTGAATCTTCTCAGCCTCCTTCACATCACACGATGACTTTCGAGAAGATTTGATCTCCATTTATCGAATACCTCTTTATGCTGCAGGTACTATCGCTATCGGTCCTGGCTGTCTGGAAACCAAAAAAAAAAAATATCTGCAAAAACTAGCAGTAATACCCTGTGCTGCAAGTAGTTACACTTTGATCATCATGACGTGTGGTCGTGTTGGGTCGCCCGGAAGCTCAGCCTTCTCGTCTGTTTCTATGCCAATCGTTCTCGTAGGGGAAGGGGAGTAGATCTTCGGGAGGTAGAAGACAAACAATAAACAATTTCGAAAACAATGAAACGCAAATCGGATACATTTTGTTTTTGAAAAATCGGGGGTATGTTACCTTGCCTTCAATCATCCGGACGGTTTTGTATCTTTTTGTTGCTTGTGTTATGATGTTTCAGCATTTTTCTGACATTGCACAGTTCCAACATGATCGATGTATCGAATCTCATAAAATGACATGCAACGCCTAACTATCGAACCGCTCAGCTCTTCCTGAAAAAGAATTTCGTCATATTTCCAATTCGTGATTTTCTGCTCCGGAGGCACCCGCCGTCTATAAATTCTTTGTGTAATTGTGCGAGTCAACTACAGGTTTTTTTTTTGTTTCGGGAAATACAAAAAGCACGCAAACGTTTGAAAAAAGAAAGAAAAACAAGGACACCATGGCAGAAGATGAGTTCAATCCGGCCTTGAAGGCCTTGAAGAGGCCTTTGTGGGAGATGCACAAGAAGGGTGAAATCATGCCGGAAGCCGACTTCTACTCAAAGTACTACCACTTTTCGCACAAACCGGTCCGAGATTCCTACCCAACGGCCGTCATTGGAAAGTATTTTCGTTTTTTGTTCCGAAAAGTTGTGCTGTGGCGCAGCCTTGTCATTGTTGTGCTGCTGCAACAGATTTTGATTGCTATCACTAACTACGTCATACGAGTGAAGCTGGAAACGACAGTGAAAGAAAAGCCAACACGACACTACAGAGTAAAGTACTTCCAGAAGATGGAAGAAATCCGAGCAGTGGAAAATGACGAGCCACGAGTCAAGGATATGGCTGGACTTCATTTGCGTACGGTCAAGCTAAAAGTAATTGCGCCGTGCCTCTTTATTTTATTCATGAAGAAGATGTGTATGTGCATGAAGATAGAAGGCCAATGTTCCCATTAATCTCAACGATGAATGCGACAGTTGCACAAGCCTCATGATGTTTGCTTCGTTATGTGATCGGTTTCCTAGTGTTGATCTTGCTGCATGATTGACAAAAAATGTGTAAATCTGATGCTCTTGACCGCACCAAATGTTTCCGGGTCACAAACCATCCGGATGAGTGGTCGGACACGAGCAGCCATCAGTCCATGTTTAACAGCAGTAAAGTGAAGCAGCAACGCGGCCTGAACATGGGGCCGGCAAAACGGGAGGAGCCTCCGGCTATCACTGCAGCCTGCGCACAAATCGGAAAGCTGATTGAAACGGACGCTGTGCAGAAAGCATGTAAACTGTTTCTTCTACACTGCTGCTTGTACTTTTTCGGTTTTTTCTCACAGCTCGTAGGCCTACGCGTGCGCATAAGTACCAATTTCATACATGCTACTACTAGCAAGACCTCCGATGCACTGGACTCTCACTCCATTTTGAGTATAGTAGTGCCGGCGATCTTAATCAACAAGAACAATTCAAAAGAAAATTAAAACAACAGGCACCTACAAACCAATTGCGGGATCAAAATACCTGTTTTTCGGTGGTGGTACACCTGCAGGCGGGTTTAAGCGTCATTCCCGCGAGGACCCGTGGAACTTCCCCACGCCGGCGGATTACCACAAGAAATAGGCAGCGCTGCGCGAGTACGACGTCACCTGAAAGTGAAATAAGAAGAAGATGAAGACGAGCGTGACAGAGTAAGTGTTAAAACAACATACCTACTCTCAGAGGCGAGCTGCGGCGCGCCGAGGTGTGTTTCCGTGGCTGTCAACGAAAAAGTGCTGTTGAGGATTTCTTTCGTAGTCCCATTGATTCGTGGTTATAGAAACCAAGAATGCTGTAGAACTTCGATGAAGCATGTAAATTTACGTTTTTTGACAAATGTTTGTGCATTCTCTAGCTTTGGCTAGTATCATGTTTGATCATCAACATTCAACATCATCAACGCTTTTCGTTTTTCAGGAACCATTTAACTACCATAGCTTAACCTTGTAAATGAAAGTTTGTGACATTTCTCTTGGGCTTCTGGTTGCGCACTTCTGATGTCGGTGTAGCCCAAGCGAGATCGACGAGACCGAAATCAATGTACAATATGCTGGACCACGAAAACAAAATCAATAAAGATGATGTGGCAGTAGAAACAAAAGTAAGGTGTTGGTCCGTCTACCTTTTGTTCTTTATCGAAACGAATCGGAATCAAAAAGATCACAATAACAACGAAGAGGAGCCTCGGCATTCTGAGTAGACGCTAGAGCGAAGCTACTGGGTGCGCCATGTGCCTGATTATACTCGGGTGTTGCAGTAGCTTTTCCGGTTCTACTCCCTCTTTCTCATGAGGATGCAGGCAGAAGATGGTGCTGGTACAGAAATAAGGAAGCACCTCGAGACGAGGATGACAATCTGAGCGGTCAAGTTGATGTTGATCTTGTTCAGAAATTAAAGTTGAGATGATCATATGAGCAAAACCTAAACCAAAACTGGATCCATGTTCAGATCTTGCAATGAAATGATCCTGGTGATTCAAACATGGAAAATACCGTTGTCTTGATCAACTTCAAATGAGCCTACATATTATTGGGCGTGCTACACCCACTGACGTCTTTCAAAGTTTGAAAGATCATGCTCCCACAATACTATACATTTACATAGTCCATTGGCGCTTTGAATACTCTCACAGGTGAAATAAAGTTACGGTCAATTGTCGAGTAGATGAGCAAGTAGAATGCGAATTCACTATCAGATTCATTGACCGACTTGCTTTTTATTTGGCGAAAACTCGGACGAGCAGGAGCATGCCGCCAATGCCATTTGTTACACTACTTACAGCTCGTGTATTCACCTGCGTTAAAAGTGTAAGTCTAACTTGAACTGCGACCTTGATCGGAAAATCTGCTTGTAGTTACTAGACAAAAAGAAAAACTAATTTCACCAAAAATGAGGAAGCCCGAAGATCTTCGCGTAGGAAACGACGTGAAACTAACGACGCCACCTCAAGAACATACTTCTGGGCGTCACTGTTTAAAGTCGAGTTTGAGGCTCTTGGAAGAATACGGCCGGCGAAAGTATGGCGCGCAGAATTTGCAAGGAGCTGGCGACGGAGCTCCCACTTGTACGGATTCTTCGGACACGACAAATCGCGGAGATCAGGACCAGGACGCAGCTTCCACAAGTACTGCTGCATCGTCCAGCACCGATGCAAGTAGCTCCTTAGCTTGTCGCGTTCGAGGTTTTTTGAAAAACGGCGCGTCGCCAGCATGGGTGCTGACAATAGTGGCGAAGCAGAGCAGGGAGAGCCTTTGCGACAGGTTAGAAGCGATCAAACTGGTTTTGCAGGATCACGTTCTTCGGCGAAAAAACAATTCAAGAACTACCGCAGCGAACTTCCACGTAAGCGATGACGAGACGGTGCTGCGACAGCCACTGATGTCTTGCATAAGAAGTCTTGCCACGACAAACTCTAACTCGAGTGCTGGCATCAATCATGCAACTACGCGAAACGGCAGCGCATTGAAAATAGCGCTGGAGATATTACAGATTATCAAGAAGAAAAACGCAGCCCCAGCGGATGAGCATCAAGATGCGAACGAGGACGAGCAGTCCGCGGACTACAGCGATGAAGAGGATGCTACGGAGCACGCTAGCGGTCGGGAAGTAGTAGAAGGTGATTGCCTACCCCTACCAGAAGACGAACTTGATTTCACACACCAGAACCAGCATCTGATTACCCTCGAGATGGCCGAAGAAATCATCCGCTTCTGCTCGAAACTGCAGGACATGGACGTTAGAGAAAGGCCGCCAAGAGGAGCACAGGTGGGCACGCTGGACGAGAATGGACTTCCGGATGAGGAAGACACGGATGAACGCTTGCCCAAATCGCGATTGCAGGAACACATCGCTTTAGTTCAGGCCCTCTCTGCGCAGGCGATCCAGCTGTACAGCGAGGCAGTGGCCCAGGTTGCGTGGCGTCGGCGTCAGTGCTTCCTTTCGATCAGCTCCGTCCTGATTCCTTTTCTGTGTCGTCCGCATGTGCAACCTCTTTCACTGCACCAACTGAAACGCAGCAGGGAAGATGATCTAGACAACACAACAAGCAACTGTCGGGCTACCCTCCGTGCGGTCTTCGCAGAGCTTTTTCACCACGAGCACCTCCACGTGGGGTTTGGCTTTTTGCGCAGTGCCAAACGGGCAAAGCTCGAGGGAAAAACCACCCGACAGGAGTACAAATGTTATCAGCGAACGCTTTTCGAGAAAATTCGGGAGCATTGCGCAGCATCGGCAATGGCGCGGAAAGACGAGCGGCCCCATAAAGCGACAACAAATGTTTTTACTCTGCTGCCCTTTCTCTACCATGTCTGCTGCGACGCTGCAGATCGCGTTGTCGATAACTCCGCTGGCCCATCATCAACCGTTGCAACTGAGAATGGCACCGCGGGAGAACAACATTCTGGCTCCTCACTTCCTTCGGAGACGGTTGCGGGATCTTCTCTGACCGCGCAATCGAACAAGCGCAGCCGCGGGCAACACAGCAGCTCTTCGGAACAGGGGTCCCATAATCCCAAATTTGTCGTCTTGGAGGAACTGCACGAGGTTCTGGTTGACGCGATTAAACAAACCCGAGATGCGGACAAAATCGAGCAGGTTCTTCACTGTCTCGGGGACTTGTGGCATTTGGCCCACACGCGCGGTGGATATCGCATGTCGCAGGAAGAAGCCGAGCCGCTGAGCCAACTCCGCGACCTCGCGCTCGATCACTTGCGCACGGCGCCGGCTGCCGCCTGGCGTGCGCTTTCCGTCGTCCTGTCGATCGACAGTACCGCTGTGGATGTGGCGAAATACGACCTGTGGGAAAAGCTGTTTGCCTCCCCCGAACATGATCAGGACTGTGCCCTCCGCTTCGCCGGGGTTTTGTTCGCAACCAATCGGGACCTGTCAGAGACAAAGGACCTGCTCAAATCTTTGGTGGACTTTCTTATGCGGAAAGCAACTGAGGAGGTCCCGGACGAGAGAAACCAGCAAGGAACTGCAACCCTGCTTGAAATGCTGCAGCTGGCCAGCCGCCGTCCTTTTTCTCAAAAGGATGCTCGTCACGGCGATTTCGTGCGAAAGTTTTCTCTCTTGTTGCAGCAGTCAGTCACCTCGCTGTCCACAGCGCAGCTGCAGCCTTTTTTCCAAGCGGTGCTTGTCGACTCAACCTTGGCGACGTCCGCACCCTCGGAGTTGTCTTCAGCAGTAGCAGGCAAGGTGGTCGAAGATCCGAAAGCAAGTAGTTCCTTTGGTTCCGCTATAATTGCAGTTGTGCTGCAAGCCATCCTGAGTGCTCGTTTGAATTTGACGGAGCAGAGTGCGGCCCCGTGCCTGAAGTTGTTGAAACCAATTCTTCAAAGATTCGTAACCGGCGAGGAGAACAGTGGGAGCAAGCGCAAAAAAGAAAAGAAGAGCAAAAAGAAACAGAAAAACCACGAAGAAGACACGGACATAAAGGCTTTTGACAAAGTTTTTTCGAATTATCCGTGCGTGCTGGAGGCGTTTTGCAATTTGCTGCGTGCCTGTGGGAAGTGGGGTCCGGTAGACGAAAGCCTGGATGAACTGATTGCCGCAGCGGAAAAGAAAGTAGACAGCGCCAAAAGATCTCCTGAGATGCTGGGGAATTCCACCGAACTACTTGCAGGGGGAGAGCAGACGAGCAAAATAACGGGCGAAGATCTTCATCTCGCCGTCGGAGTAACCTCAAGACCTGAAGACATACTCTTCCTGAACAACATCGAAGCTGGCAAAGACGTTGGACCGGAAGACCTGGCTCGACTTCTGTCAAAGATTCCCGAATGGCAATATCCAGACCTTTCAGAGACACTGTATCCGCACATCGGTGCAGCCATTCTCGGGAAGGATAAACAAGTCTCAGACGGGATCGAAATCTTTTCCGAGAAGAACAGCAGTTTACCTGCGAAGATTTCGTCCGGAGAACAACAGCCACGTTCCTCGCCGGAGATTCCGAAGGCTTGGGAGGCGATTTTGCTTCAACTAAAACGCCGCGCCGACCTTGCACCGCTTGCAGCGAAATTTCTTCCGAAAGCGGGCGGCGCTTTGGTCGTAGACTTGGACTTTCAGCGGTTCGGTTTTAGCGCGATCCTGGAACTTGTTGTGGCCGTCCTTCAGCGGAGCACGGACCATGGATGTGGTCTGCTAGCAACCTATTCGGAGTACCGGCTCAGCCCAGCTGTCTTCGACGCTGCGAAAACAGACAACGCAATGTATGCATTCTTGGAGCTCCTTGCGCCTGTGCTTCTTCAGGAGGACGAAACGAGAGAGGGAGTAGCGGCAACACGGACCGACGCTGCTGCAGGAAATGCGCAAGATGAAGTTGAAGAAATGGGTTCGCAAGAAACGAGGAAAATCCAGATCCAGATTCTGGGAAACAAAAGCGGCACTGACGGCGCAACACCCAAGCAACAAACTACAGAACCAGGCGAGAGTCGGCTGGAGCTGCGCAGGCTATACCACACCCTCCCCCCGTCTCTGAAGTTGCTGAAGACGCTCGGCGTTCTCGACCGGTGTCAGATCGAACGCCTCAGCACTGCGGAGCTGTTGGAAATACGTTCCAAGTACTCTCTGGACACCATCGAGGAGTTCTACCAGGTTCCGCTCGTACAAGATGTCGCATGGCTGTGGGCACAGCTGTTTTCCACAAATCTCGACGCTGTCCGTGACTACACGCGCAGTGAAGTTGTCAGGAGAAACATAGGCGAGGAGCTGAACTCTGAGGCCCCCGAGGAGGAAGCCCTGATCGCGAAGTGGCTGCATCTCGCCCTCACTTTCCGGATCTGCCGCGCTCGCAAGCTTCCCTTTCAGCTGATCGACCGAGCCGTTAGCTTTGTGGACCGATGCGTCTGCGAGGAAGTTGAGGACAAAAGAAGCAGCACGACCTCGTCTATTCCAGCAACGACTACGCACGGCAGGGAAAGAAGACTCGAAGTCTTAGTGCAACTTCTTCTCGCAATACTGCCGTCGGTGCGCGGCAGCCACGATAACTCGCTGGTGCTCAGTGCCGCGATGTTGCGACTGGCCATCCAGAAACCGCAGGTTGCGCCGCCGCTTCTGAACGCATTATTTTCGCACGGCTGCGGTGTGGACGCGCAGCCGGTCTGGCTCTCGCACGTCCACATCTTGACGCAGGCACTCTTCTCGTTCCTCCACCACACCGCCGTGAAATCCGCAGACCCCCTGCGCGACGCCCGCTCCCTGGTGCGGCTGTTCGAAATCTTCGCACGCGGAGGGCCGAAATTGAGTGCAGCGAGGTATTTTTTTCTTCACGTGATTTAAATTTTTTTTTTGTACGACTACGTCGATAAAAAATCAAAAATGAATTAAGCAATAGTCAACAAAGATCATTTGACATGTGCCTCCAATGGCGACGAAAGCGATCATATTCTTTAAAACTCTACGGTCGTCCGGTTGAAACTTGTCTGTCACATCGATACACGTCATCAAAACAGTTCCCAAAAGCGGCTGCCGATGGGGAAGTACACGGGCTGCGTTGTTTCTCACTTTTTGAAAGCCGAGAGCAAATGGGCGCCGACGAACGATGCGGATCGGTTGGAGGCACGGCGCCTCTTGCGGCAGCAGGGCCTGCACGCCCTGCTCGACGTTATGGAGGAACAGCACCGCCAGCAGTTGTACGCCGTCCTCGACCACAAGCTGCGACCAAGGTTCAAGGAAACCTACGAAATGTTCCGCAAGCGCTACCGTTACACGGGGAAGGTGTAAGTAGAAGAGAGCTTTGACTGCGTCCTGGGAGACGAGCCGCACGACAGACAGGAGCTTGAAGCTACTACGACCTTAGATGTTTTTATCATTGCAACCAGCGAACAAAGAAATAACAGGCGAGCGCGAAAGTTCTGAACACCGAGCTTGAAATTGAAAACTGCATCCGCGGGCATTAAGCGACCAGAAGCTGCTCGTGCGACGGCGCTCGTGTTGTTCATCACTGTCGCGATGATGTGTCGTGTGCAGCGCTTTACTTTTTTCGTTCTTCACTTTGACTTTGGTGTTGCGCTTGATGCCATCCCGCGAGGCTTTCCATACCACTATCGCATGTCGTTCTGTCGCTGAGTCATATGTTGAATTTTCGTGGTGGCTTCCGGTTTTGGAAACCACGGTAGCGCGGTAAAAAGAGTAAGGAGCAGGCTCTCGTGGCCCCCCTTGTCCGCTGAGTGAGACATGAAGTTTGAATTTCGCTTTTCAGAACGAAATCATGAACAATGAATCGCTGCTGTGCATTTTCGTTCGTGCTAGTACCGATCTTCGAAATTAACCTCTACCTCAACTCCACGACCAAAGCCAAATCTACTTAACCCTGGTTCTTCAAAGAGAGCATTCAAGATTTTTGAATCGTGGGAACGGTTTGTCCCCAATCTATCTCTTATCTCGAGGTTTGGGTGCAGCTTCTTCGAGAAATACAAATACCGCCTGACCTTTCATTCGACGAGATTCAGATTTCGGCGCAGCCCAGAAGTTTAACAAAATGACAACTTTGCCAAGCTCCTCCAGTAAGGTTCCGATACGAGGTGATCGTGACCCGGTGCCGGGCAGTAATGCTAATGGCGACGAAATGGCAGATCTGAGTCTGACGCAGTTGTGGCACCACATTCAAGATTTGAATGCAAATAAACTGCTGGAGGTCATCCCTGCTTCCCCCGGAGCTGAAGGCGAGGCTGGCAGTGCGCCACCTGTGTCATTGTCTGGAAAAAATGGCGGTGGAAGCAGTGCGAGTTCCAGTACGAGCCCCACTCGTCTGCGTGTCGTCAACGGGACCACCTCCTCTCCGGTGCCAACCGCTGCCGCTGTTGCTGCGCAATCAGGTAGTTCTACTACGAGCAGCCACCTTGCCGCGCCAGGACACGTGAGTGAGATGATGCATAAGCGGAACGAGTCTGATTTCGATTTGCGGGAGAGGCTCAGTGCGACAATCGACATCGATGAAGGACTCCTGCGGGGGACACCAGGGACAGAGAAGAACAATGGAGCCGGCGCTGGACAACTACGAGCAAACCAGTTAGACCCGCCCGCAAAGCAGGAGCAAGTGTTCGCGTTTAGTCGAAAGCCACTCACCGACGGAAGTACGGCAGCTGAAATCGCGAGGAAGCGCATGAGCGAGCGGCTGTCTGCAAACGTGCGCGAGAGTAGCAGGACATCGAGGACCGCTTCCAGCATGATCTATGCTTCAAGTCACGTGGTACCAAAGCAATACATCAACCAGCGAAATAAACGTGGCGAAGCCGAAGGGGAGGCATCTGCAATGGTGCGAGGACTGATGTTTGGTTTGTAGCGATAGCAAACAAGAAATGGATTGAGCAGATTTTCAAAAATGCTGTGACACAGACACCGTTGGGAACTTTACTAACTTTTGTTTACGTGTCACGCAGTGATCGCGTGGGAGCAGCTGCAGATGCAGTGAAGAACTTCAACTTTTTAACTGCATAAATAACATACCCTGGACATCAGTCCTTCCACTTTCAGGTAGAGGGAGATCTCAACGTCGAAGCAGGTGGTGAAGAAGCCGCCGAAACCGGGGAGCCGGGTCGTGCCCCCACCGTTGCAATAAGAACATCAGCTGCTTTACCGGTTGTTCCGCAAGGTGCAAGCTCTGCCGCCGGTTCTCGACTTTCAGAACTCTTTGACGGACGAGACACACTTGCCTTCAATCCGCAGATTCCGCGGTGCGACAGCCGGATGTTTGACACTACCCAGCGCGACAGCACCCTGTCCCTGAACAGTCGCGAGAGCATCGCCAGTCGCATGAGCAGCATTCGGAACTCCGTGCAGATGCAGTTTCCGATGGTCGCGCCGACGTTAGCTGCTGCGCCAGAAGCTACAGCAGCTTCTGGTGGCGGCGCTATGAACTCCACAAATACAGCAGGCGGATCTTCTGCTTCTTCCAGTAGGGCGGCAAGTGTGCGCTTGTCTCTGCGGTCCGGCGTCGGTCTGCCGAACGCCCGCGGGCTTGTGTCCGGCCGTCTCTCCTCGACGTACAACAGTCGCCCCTTTTCCGTGATGAGTGGGGGCTTCGAGTACGGCGATTTTCCGACGCTGTCCGGTTACGCCGGGGAGGACTGGCGGCTCAAAGCAACAGTTTACGCGTCCATGAGCTCTGGGGGGTTTCGGAATTCGGACAGCGGCACGCTGTACGAAAATCTGCGGTACTTGTCAGTCGGTGACGCAACACCAGGCGGTGGTGCGAACGACAACGAGCGGCAAAAACTCTTTTCGCAAACCCGAACCGCTTCGAGACTGAGCGGCCGGGCGACCGAGAATCTTGGTGGAGATGAAGGCGCGCTTGCTTCTGCTGCAGGACAAGACGACACGTCGAACAACGCCCGGGCGACGGTAACGGAAAGAACGGGTATCGAGCATAAAAAGGAGGAAGTGGATCGCGAGGAAGCTGCGCAAAATGCGAACGCACCAATTGCGGCTGCCGCACCTCCCGCAAATAGCAGTATGAGTAGCAGAGCTTTGACAAGCGCCAAACTTTTGCAGAAAGCAAAACAGATTGCGAATCCCCTACCGTCTGCTGCGATGCGATCGAGCCTTTCGCCCCCGTCTGGGGTAGCTGCACAGTACGAAAGCGAAGTGTCGTCACTGCTCGAACAACAGCAAGCGCTTGAGCATGAGGCAGCGCGTAAAACAACGGGAGGTACTACCGCCAAGGTGGATCAACAAGCCGCTTCTCGGCCCTCTGTGGAGGCGTCTGAACCACCAGCGTCGTTGATGCAGGTACGAGAACTGCATGATCTGAATGTTGAAGCTTCTACTCGATTCATCAATCTGCACTTTATTGTCTTTGTGTTTGCGACCAGGTCTTCCGCCACCTCGACACAACTAGTGGGATAATTAGTTCTTGTTTAGGAAGGGAGGTGCAGATGATCATGATATAACTCTTCGGCATGAGAAACTCACACAAACAACACTCAAACAGGAGGGACCTACCGCTGCACTGGAAGTAGACAAAAAAACAAACGAAGAGCCCGCTCCACAGAATTCGTCAGGCCCAGGAGCAGCATCAGCACAGGTGCAACCCAAAAAGCGCGTTGCTTTGCCAAAAGCAAAGCGGAAGAACAATCCAGACAACCCCATGCTGTTTTACGGGCAAGGTGGAAGTAAAAGGAGCTCGAGCAAGAGCATTGATTTTTGCAGTCCGATGATTAGATCGTCCAGAACTCCGCTGCTGACGCAATCTCAGAAAGCTTCCCTGTTTCCTCGACCAGACACCCGTGGGCCGCCACTCCTGCTCACCGGGTTTAAACTTCCGAACTTCTCGCAAATCAAGAAAGCAACCGACGCCGGTCCGTCTGTTCCACGCGTGATGACACGAATCCGAGACGAGAACGCTGCAGGAGCCCCAGCACGTCCGTTGAAGGTTCGCCAAAGCAATCGGGAGAGCCCGGAGGACGATTCCGCGGATGAACAAAGAGCTGCTAGTGGATGAACTGCGGAACGCTAAATTATAAAAGTGTGCAGGTTTCTGCGACCGAACATCACGATCACCACCTGTAGAATGATCTAACTGCTAGAGTGTCCTTCTTAAGACCAATCTTCAGCTTGTTTCAGTTTCAGAATGATTTTTCCCAACGAGTTTGCTTCTCTTATTTCAAAATCCCCGCGCGTCTATTTTAACGTGGTCCCGTCCTCGCTGGCACGGAAGAAATTTGGAATCGTCAAAGCGAGGCGGAAGATATGAAAGCGGCTTGTTTCCAAGAAAGGACAAAGGAAAAATGTTGGAGAAAAAGTATTTATGTACTTACTTAATCTATTTCTATGTTGTAGTCAGCGTGCTGCATAAAAATTGGAGTTCGAGACAAAAATAAATGTTCCCTGCACCGTCCTTCTGCTACTTGCGCCACCGATCATCCGCAGACAAATTGGGAATCAGAGTCTCTGTCCGCGGAATCGTTTCCAAGGCACTAGGGAAACCAGAACGCGAATGACCTTATATCAATCTCTATATTTTTTTGCGATCGTGAATGTGGCAGTTGCGATCAGTCCGAAGAAGTAGATGTAATGTCATTCAGTCGTTAATATCCTGAAGAACGTGAAGTAGACACATTGACATTTTTGTTGAGATTTTTGGTATGGCTTACGTAGATCAGTAGACGCCGTTGCACTATCACTTGCAGCTTTATTGTCCCGCGAATATCGTAACTCCCAATTTTCAAGCAGAATGGATTCCGTTCTTGGGCGCCTGAAAGAGAAGTTTCGCACCGAAGAGCGCTGTTCGGAGCAAAGTTGCTCAGACGACATTCCGGCCGGTGTCGATGTAGCGAAGGCGTATCCGCCAACCCGAGCACAAATTGGAAGATGCGCCTGGAGGTACCTGCACACCATGGCAGCAAACTCGGACTTGGACGGCCCTGCAGCAACTACTTCGGGCACGAGCGCGGCATCTTCTAGCTCCTCATCGTCATCGTACTTCGGAAGTACGACGGCGGCCGGCCGCGCGGCAAAATCCGTTACGTTTCCCGAAAAGAAGCAGGAATCAATGCGCGACTGGCTCGTGTCGTTTGTGCAGTTCTATCCGTGCAGCCACTGCGCAGAGTCGTTCATCGACATCATTGCGGAGAAAGCGCCGGACTTCTCATCCCGGGACGCCTACGCACGGTGGTGGGGCTGGGCACACAATCGCGTCCGGGACGATCTCAGTCAGCCAAATTTCGTGGATCCAGACAAGGATCTGCAGAAATTGATAGCTATCACAAAAACTGGCGAACAATGGCCACCGCCGAAGTGAAAAGGATCATTTGGGCTTTGGTGCCGTGTCACTGCTTCGTTATTGGTCATGAAGAACGAAGTTCCATACTCGTGACGCTTTCGCCGTAAATAAAAAGATATATGACCACTAGGACGAGCAAGGAAGCAGTTTTGGTAACAGTTCTCCCCCTCTCCGTGTCGCTGTTGTAGCACGCAGCTGGTGTTCAATCGCGATCGGCTTGCCCTTCGTTTCGAGCTGCTCCGTCTTCATTCGCGTAAAAAGATGAAAGCTTAAACTTCTTCGTCTTCTATCTTCTTTCAGTAGCGAGTTGTTAGAGCAACGCCCACGACCACGAGAGATCGTGCCGGCGCTCCCCGAGTAACAGTGTGTGTCAGTGAGCGGAAGTTCAAGTTCTTCCTAAATATATGAGTGCTGATCGAGTTCGAGGAGCTTTTTCGATGACATGATCGAACAAGGAGATACTACAATCTAAAAGGTTCTATCTGCTAGTCCTCGCCAGGAAATAGGATTCGAGTGCAACTTCAACTCGCGACCGCATCCCGTGCCTCCATCAGTAAAGATTTAGAAACGATGCCGTCAGGCTCGGGTGGCACGAACAGTGGCTCCCGGCCGGGGACCACGTCCGGGGCTGGAACGACCCGTCGCGTCAGCAACCCCGAAGAGGAGCTGCAGACCCAGCTACAGCATCTCCTCATCAGTCCAGATGCGGACATCGACCACTTTTTCGAGAATGGGCCGACGTTTCTCGAAACCTTCCTTGGTCTGCTCCAGGACCGGCTGCACTTCAGGCCCAACGTGATCCACATCCGCGGCGACCGTATTCCCAGCGTGGACAAGTCCAACCGAGACCTCGCCAAGGACCTCTTCGAGGCCGCAAAAGTAGAGGGGTTTGCGGGGGAAAAAGACACGCTACGGATCATCGAAAAGTATTTCGACGAAAAAGTCGCCGTGGACCGCAGTCGCGTGCGTATGGAGGGCGCCCAGTCCTTGCATCCGCAGGACATCCCGGGGACCTACCCGGTCGGGTGGACCAATGAGAACGAGGAGGAGGAGGACTCGGATGAGTTCGATGTCGACGACATGCCCGGGTTCGTGCACCCGAACACGCGGAAGGCGCTCGCGCGCCTGGGTGCGAAAGACAAGGCGGACGCAAAACTGAAGATGCAGGAGAACACGAAGAAGGTATCGATGCTAAAATCCGCCCCAATCGCGGGGAAAGCCAAAGAGTCCTTTTCGGACGACGAACTCGACTTCAAGGACCTCCTCGCCAAGGTCGGGCAAAACAACCCCTCTTTGACAATGAAGTACGTCTTACCCTTTTTCCAGCATTTGAACTTCGACAACATGCCGAAACTGACGTTCTTACGAATCCCGAGCAGCTTCGAGCGGTTATCTAGAGTCTCCCTCAACCGGTGCTCTTTAACCTCATTGGCCCCCGACTTGCTGGCCGCGCCGCAGCTCGAACAGCTCTCGCTGTACAACAACTCCATTTCACGCGTGAAACCTTTCGACCCGTCGCAACACAAGCGAAACAAACAACTGAAGTTTCTCGGGCTGGGCTCCAACTTCCTCGAAGGCCCGCAGGTAGAGGAAATTTGCGAGTGGTTTTCCGCTTTACTGGTCCTCGACGTGAGCTTCAACTTCGTTGTCGACCTGGACGCGTTTAACGAAAGTTTGATGAGAATCGACCTGACCGGAAACCCGTTATCGTTCGCACCGGATTTGAAATACCTGCTCGCCGACATGTTTCCGCGCGCGACGCCACCGGAAACGATTCGGGAATTGGAATCGGGAAAGTTCGCCCAGTCGCTGCTGGGGAAAACGACGGCAACAATGACGCAAACTTTGAAAGCAGCGGAAGATGACGAACCACAAACAATTCAGCTGGACAGCATTGCGCACAAGGTACAACTGGAGACTAAGCTTCCTGATATGGCTGTGCTTGTTTTTCTCATTCTTCGCTCTTGATGAACGTGCCTTATGCACATCTTTTACTGCGCCTTACTTGAACTTTATCATGAAGCTTCAGCTTCTTGACGTTGACCTTGACTACATGATTCATTGGCAATAAAAACTACCACAACGTCAGCCCGTTCCAGTGAAGATGACGGTTGTCTCCGGGTCGAACTTGCACCTGCTTTCCACCGACACTGAAGTGCTTTCCGCGGGGAACCTCCACTTGAAAATAGACGTACCCGATTCCACCTCCCCACCAGTCTACATCCCGCTCACCACTACGGGCGACGTTCCCGACCTCGCGGCTCTCTCCGCCGCGGTCCAAGACCCGGAGCAAGATAATCCAGAAAGTTCCCAACTTGCATTCGACACGAATACGACGGAATGGACCGACGTCTATTCCCCGGCGCAAATCTGCAGCTGGATTGTCGGCGTGCCCTACATCGAAATTGGTTATTCCCGCTCGCCAAGTGAGGAGGAAGTGGCAGCAGTTGAGGCGGAGCAGGCGGAAAACCCCGACGCACCGGCGCCAAACCGCATCGCGAAGTACTTCACGCCGTTCGCCGGCGCTAGCATCGACGTGCAGCGGTGGCTGTGGGATCCCAGAAAGCCGCTGAACAATTTGTGCACTCCGCTGGTATTGTGCCCGGACTGCAACTTGCCGAAAAACCGAATGCCGCATTTGAGGGCGGTGCAGGGACCGCCGGGTATGCAGTTGCATTTGAAGATGTTGCTCGACTACAGTGCGTGCTGAGGGATTATTTTGTGCCTGTCAGGAAGGAGCTGCAAGCTGTGACGAGCTGCTTGGCGGCTTTTGGCACCTGACGAGCACCAGGCCGAGTCAATTCGAAACTAATGACAGTCGAGGTATGATAGAATATGAAGCAATGTTGTAGCAATCCAATCGCAATCGATGTGGATGTTGCACCAGAGTAAACACACTTATAATTTTGTAGATGCAATTTTCGTCTACGCGGCCAGTTTTTTCAGATCTTTCGCCTATGATGCCTGCATCGGCTCGCTTTGAAAAGCGAAAGTGTGCAGCTGGCAACAGCAATGGTGATAGTGCTGTTCTGGCGAATGAAGATCAAGTACATCTTTATTTTGCTTGCGCTGACTCATTGGTGTCCGTACTTCTGTAGCGGCCGTATCCTATCATCAAGATCTCTTTATTTTAACGTTGAGATACAGATCCAATTTTTCCTTTTTGGATCAACGGCGGTTGCACTACTTAGCGCTGTGAATATTTCCTTCAATGATCGTCCGCCGCAAGATGATGAAGATCGCAGCATTTCTGATCATCACCTTCTCTGCACAATTACTAGAACTAAAATTGCAACTAGTTTCTGGGACTTCCAATTCGCCAGCAGCTTATTACGAACTACTTCTCAATCACGATCACCTAAGATTACCTTCCACCTTTGTAGAACTTCGACTTCGCAGCGACAACTCCAATTTCTACATCCGATTTTTTCGAATCAACTATCGAGTCAGTACATGGGGCGAAACATGGTATAGATGGTACAAGTACTCAAATTTAAGTTGTGCTGATGAAGAGCCCCAGGCCCAGCCAGTACTGATTGGCACTAATTAAGTACCGAATTAGTCCTCGTTGTAGATGAAGGACGAGTAGAGCGTCAACATGTCTCACTACTATGGTGGCGGCTACGGCCGCGGCGGCGGGGGAGGGCGATATGAGGGAAACCAAAGTTCCGAGAACACCGTCACGCTGCCCAGTCTTTCGGACCCCTTTATTCGGCAGGCCATCGCTGCTCCCGTCGCGCCCTCCGTGAACTTTGCGCCAAACCAGCACATCAAGCTCGGTGTCATGAAATACAAAGTCATCTTTGGTACGTCATGAAAAGACTGTTTATCCTCTTTTTACGGTTAAGCAGCGCTGTAGCATATCCGAATTTTTCCTCGCACAGAATTCCACTTGTTTTTCTGCACGACATAGACGCATGTATGAAATGCCATTCTACTACATTAAAAACGACCACTCAGATTTCGTTTCTAGTGCCCACGATATGTGGCGAACCGAGTACAGTGCGAAGGAGCAGGGTCGGGGTTCCGAACAGAACGTGGCCGAGCGGCACGTCCGGGATTTCCGCAGCGCGATAAAAGGCTGCAGCCGGAAGAAGGTGAAAAGTATCGACTGGAACCCTGATGGGACGCAGCTTCTATACGGGTTTAACGACGGAACCATACGGATTTACGACGCGGAAAAGCTCGAGCTTGTCGCGACATATGGGGATTCCAGTACACGACTTTGAGTCTTGATATTTCACGTAGTTCTGGCACTCTTCTTACTTTTTCTTTTTGAGTCCATTCGCGACCTCACCTCGTCGTCGTCTTGTCAACTGCTATCCTTCCCACGTCGCATCACAGGTAGCCGTAGAGCCGCGAACAACGATTTCTGCTCCGGTTGCTTCGATCCAGTGTTCGGCACCGTTACGTGCGTGAGCGAAACCGGCCGGCTGGTCATCTACGACCCCCGCACGCCGCCGTCGAAGTCCGCGAGCAGCTCCGAGCCGATAACCAGTCTGCACGACGCGGATCTGACGAAGACAAACTCCCACATGACCAACTTTTCGGAGGTCCAGGCCAGTCCTTGTGGCGGCGAATACGCGATCCACACCGCGGGACACCGCATCCACTTTCTCACCCGAGATTTCGACCCGGAAATCCAGAAGCAAAACAAGTTTGTCCTCCGGCTTCCCTACCAAGCGATGGACTTCAGCCACGCAGTCTCGAAAGTGGACAAAGCGGAGCGGGAAGCGGAAAACGCGGGCGGTGACGGCAGCTCAGCGAAAATTGACGTCGGGGAAGGCGAGATGGACGGTTCCGCACTAAACTCGTTCACGTTCAGTACAGACGGAGCAAACATCTACACAGCGCACCAAAGCGGAAACATACAGATGCACAAGGTATTTCTCCCTTACAGCTCGACAACGCGTCTAGTTTTTCGCATGAAAAGCGCAATCTGTGTTTGCGATAGCTTTCAGTTTCAGAAGATGAAAGCGACAATAGGTACGAGTATCAATATTCGAATGGCGAAGGTTTCGGCATTTTTTTCGATTTTTATGCGACTGCATACTGCAAAGAATAAGAAACCTTGCAGCTTACCTTCTTGCTTTCATATTTTATTCCTACACTCTGGCTACAACAGCTCGCCAACCCGCGCGGTCCCCGACAGGGCGGGTGGCACTCGCGCACCAAGACCTGGCAAGCGCACCGCGGCCCGGTGTCATGTGTCACGACGGGCGGCGACTTGCTCGCGACGGCCGGTTTTGACAACGAAGTACGCATCTGGGACGCAACCAACCCGACACAGTGTCTGAACAGCTGCATCCAGGGCGTGCAGCCCGTGTCCAACATGAGTTTCAACTACGATTGCAACGTCCTCGCCCTCGGTTTCGGTCCCCCGACCGGCCAGGAGCGCATCCGGCAGCACCACCTGAAGTTAATCGGCGCCGCGAACGCGGGCTCGTCGGCCCAGCGCCAGGCCGAGATGCTCTACGAGAAGAACATCGTGTTTCTGCACCCGCGGACCGGCGAGCCGTACTTCCACGGCGACGCCGCGAACAGCGACAACCCCCTGTCCCTCCCCGGGGCGACGACCTGTATGAAATGGAACCCCGTGAAGAATGTGCTGGCCTTTTCGATGCTCGAAAGCCAGTTCTCCGACTCCCTCCCGGATGAGTCCACGGGATCACGGGGAAACTCCGCCTACAACAGTCGACTAACGCCCGTCACACTGAAAAACTCTATGTGCCAGGTGTTGCGCTTACCAGAAGTAAAAACACAAGATCCAGAAGACGACGTCTTTTGAGATTTTTTTGGAACGACAATGAACTGCTGCTAAAAATACGCACCTCCTCCTGTGTCATTCACTTCTCAGCGAGCAAACAGTGTCGACAATGGCCACGAAGTCGAAAGTACAAGTAGTGCCACGAAGAACTTAAAACTTCCTCTGCCTTTCGGCATCAGCATGACCTGGATAAAAGCCCTCTTCGTACTATTAGCCGGCAAGAAAGCCGCTCGATCGTGTTCGTGTTGAGGCCGCATATCCTCCTATTTCATTCGTACTTCTCTCGTCGTGGTGGCGGTGCGCATCGCCGTGCATGTTCAGTCTAAATGTTTGTTTACTTAATAGTGAGTCTTGGTCAATCACGTCAAGAACTACGTTCCCGCTCTTCGTCTATTTCGTCATTCTTTTTTATCGTACTATGCTTGCAGAAAGACCTAGTTTTTGATCTTCCTTGTCATCGACATCGTCCGCCTCTCGTTCTTTCAAGATCGTACAAATCTCCACGGCCTTCATTTGTCGTCCATCGCCAGCTCTTTCTCTTTCACACGCTTACGCCCAGAGCCGAGCATTTGCGCAATCATGACGTGAAGAACGTACTACACATAGAAATCGTACGATGAAAGAACAAGTTGAAGTTAGTTGTACATAGATATAGCGGGTGCTGCTGCTGCAGTCTTTAAGCGTGCTTTTCCTTATGGTTATGCTGACAATAGAAATGGAAACACTACTTACTTCTTCACAGGACCCTCATCAAGAAAATAAGTACCATATCCTGATTACTTTAACTTTACCCTATCCCTATATTTTCGCTTGACATTTATCAGCCCTAATAGCGTCCCCTGCCATTTCAACTACCCAGTCTGCTTTTAGTTTTACTGCTCTTCAACATGATGCTCTGTAACCCCTCCACAATGCTTTCTGCGCAATTCATCTTGAGTTGTTGTGCTTGTGATTTCTCATTCTAGTGACTCTATATTCTTTCCTATTGTGTTGAGCAAGATGGTTTGACCCAGGCTCTCTTCTTCCTTGACCTTGTTCTTTGTCAAGACCAAGGCATTTGCGCCTGCGTAGCAATACCCTGCTCTGACCGCGACTCGGAGAAGTTGCCAGAATAGCCCAGGCTTGAAGAACCTATACACGACCACCGCGAACAAATACAAACCAGCAACGATGGCGGTGGTGAACTCCGTCTCCGCGGCGGACTACGCCAAGCAGCAGCAGCAGACCGAGCAGCAGCTCATCAAGAAGCTCGCTGCGAAGCAGGGCGATTTCAACTCCGTGTCTCTGAATCCCGCCGACACGATGTACCTTTTTACCAACGAAAACGATTGGCCCTTCGGGATCCCCCACGTCACCTGCTTCCGCGACGCGAAGGTCGACGTGGGCGCGTACTTTGGTTTAAAGGCTGCGTGCGCGAGGACCGCCGAACACATCATTACCGGCTATTCAGCAGCGTCCAAGCTGGAGAATTTGTCGGCCAGTGCGCTCGTGAAGGCCGGGGACATTGTCGAGGACGACGTCAAGGCACCCACGGTGTTGGGAAGAGGTACTGATAGCGAAATCAATCATTTTGAAGTCGCTTGCATCTGCTTCTCCTTCTGCATTTTTGCTATGGTCGTTTCTTTTTATTTCTGACTCTCAAAGAACTCGTCAAATAATATCATGCTCGTTCGTCGACATAATTCTTCAATGCGTCTGCTCAAACGTACGAACTCGGCGAATTCAAAAATCAACCACATCCACAACCACAGGAAAATCCCACGGCGCCGGTATGAAGAGGATGGGCACGACGCCCGACCTGCTCCAATCTCACGACAAGCTTGCAATGGACTTGGCCGGCGATAAGAAGAGCACTGCTTTCGCGATGCCCAACACGACCCCGGCGGCCAAGGCAATCGCGCGGAAAGAGAACGAGGAAAAGCGGCTTCGAGAGCGGGAGAGAACGCTGATTGGCACGCTCGAGAGCACGAAAGGCGAGAACGTTGAGAAGAAACAAGCCTCGGCGTCTGCCGTCGTGGGGCTTCTAGGCGAGAAGAAATCCCCTTTGGCTAGGAAACCCCAGAAGGAGCAGACGCTGGCACAGAGACAGAAAACCGCGTTGCTAAAACTGAACATGCGGGGTATGGCCATGCGCGGCCAGGAGATGGGCGAGGTGGCGATGCACGCGAAGCAGTTTGCCCGTGAAGTGATGCAGTTCGCTCTGAAGGCCGAGACGCAGCGGAACCAGGCCAAGGAAGGCACCGCGGACTTTTTTAGTATGGAAAACAAGGATACGCTGAACCTGTCAGTTGATGGGTCCACCGGAGTGAAGGAAGCAGCTGAGGAACGCAACCCGCTGGCAGCGTCGTCCCGTGCCCCGCTGGAAAAGGCCTTTTGGGAAGGGTACCGACTCTCGAATGCGCACGCGGATTTCTGTCTCCTCGAGGAGTCCAACACAAAAGCGAGCACCTACGGCGAGATCCAGTCGGAGCGAATCCTCGAGGACACGAACATTCGTGGCATGGAATTCTCGCGGAAAGACCCGCGCGCTGCGCGCATCGACACCATCACCTTCGCCGCGCAGAAGGACATGGCCCGACGCGAGGGGATTTCCGAGGCGGTGGCGGCCATGGCCGACAAAATGGCGTCCGGGGGCGGCTTGTTGACGAAAGAAACGGTCTCCGGGGACGGAACCAATGTCACCGTGCAGAGAACCAAAAAGAGGTGGCGCGAGGAGGACCAGGTTGCTTCGAAGCGCATGCACCGGAGTGCGACTCTAGGCACCGAGGGTTTGTTTGGAGACTTGAAGATGGCCGGTAGCGACTTCCCGCGCGGGTTCGCCACCAGTTCGAGCCACTGCCCGAAGAAAAAGGGCAATCTGGACCTAAAGAGCGTCAAGAAGGATATCCACGAATATGGTTTAGCCGAGCAGTTCGCGACAAACCAGGCGTCTCAAGAGAAGGTGCAAGTGTACCGTGGTGGGGAACGCAAATCACTGTTCAAGAGCCGGGTCAAAGCAGAGCAGTTTATCGTACCGTTAGTGAGCAAGGACAAAACGCTGCGAAAATTCCTGACCGATACCTCTTTGACCGAGGGCGTGGCGTCCAAAGTTGCCGCGCAGGTTCGCTACAAAGAGATGCTGCGGGAGCATGATGTGGAGAAGGAGCTCGATACGCTGTTGGAAGTAGGCTCCGAAGCCATCGCGGAGGACCCGGCGGCCGCCGAACAGAGGCTAGATTTGGAGAAGCGACAAGTGGAGCTGTGTCCGGTCCCCGCCGAGCGAACAAGGCCGGTGGACCACGAGTCGTTCGAAAAGTCTATGGCGGAGAAAGCAGAGGCGAACGAGGCCGCCGAGTTGGAGGCGAAAGCCGCGGCCGACAAGAAGGCTGCGGAAGAGGCACAGAGTACCATGTCAGACGCGATGCGGAAGAAAATGGAGGCCAAATTTGCCGCGGCAATGGCGGAACAGCAAACCCAGGAGTTTCTCGAGGAAAACGAGGCGGAGCGGGAGGCCCGGCTCGCCAAGCAGAAAAAGTTTCTGGCCGACGAGGAGATGCGGCTCAGCCACCGCCGGTTCTTCCCGCACTACGAGGAACTGAAGAAGGCGGACCGGGTGAAGTTTCACATCTCGCAGAGGAGTCTGGCAGAGCGGATGGCCGTCGGCGACCCAAAGAAGACGAGGCAGATTCAGTTCTCCTACGGCCGCAACATGCCCTGCTTAGCTCCGAGCAACGAGGAAGTCGCGATCAGCTATTTGAACCGCAAAGTGCGCCAGCAAAAGAACATCGAGCGCAAGCAGGGCGACCCTTTTGCGGGCGAAGTGCACCTCGAGAACGGGGAGGAAGCGGAAATGCTGCGCGGCTTTGGCGACGGGTTTCTGGGCGGGAATTTCGACCCGACGCCGGACAATTTGGGTGAGGTTTATCCAAACCCGAAAGATGCGGATAAAATGAGCGCCCGGCAGAAAATGATGTACAATCACGATAAATTTTCGGGGAAGAAATTTGGCTTCGACCCGCTCCCGCATGATCCGAAAAAGGGTTCGAAACTTCCGCCAAATCAGGTCGTGAAAATGGGCAGGACGAATTCCCGTAGTTTAGCGCCGAAGCAGATAGAAAGTGACAAGTCAGGCGAAGAGACGCCCCTCCCGCCGATCATTCGCCTGGCCCGCAGCGGGCTCGCGCAGCCCGGGGAGACGACGGACTACGAACTTGGACAGCGCATTTCGAACGAGACCAAAGACCACTGGCAGACGCACGAGCGGCAGACAGATTTGGATAAACAGCAGGAGCAGATCAAGCGCGACAACCTGGTCGCAAAGTGCAACAAGATTTTGGCTGCTATCGCGCCGGAGCTCGTCCGGTCGGAAGCCGGCGAGAAGATTGCGAAACTGAAAAACAACCCGCAGAACCGGATCGCACAGCTCGACAAGTTCGTCGCCGCCGCGGCCGCCGGCTATCTCGACATGCACACGATCCGCACCATGCCGGGCGACTACTGGCGCACGCACAACCACCACCCAGACATGATCGGCTTCATGCATCAGCGAAAAGAGATCACCTTAGAGGACGTCACGCAGCACCTGTCCGAGTACATCAAGACCCGGGCGGCGATCGAGCATAGGGAAGCGGTGCTTCTCTACGGGAGAAAGAACGTGGTCGTCAACACGCAGAAGAAAATCATGGACCTGCTCCTCGGTTTAGGCAGCGGCGCCGCCTCCGTGCAGGAACGCAACCGCCGTTCACAGGAGGACACGAGCGAAACTCTGGTCGAGCAAATGAAAATCGACGCGGAAGTCTACAATCGCACGCGGTCGATACAGGGCATCGGGGACTACCGCACGGACCGGGCCGCCCGGCTGCGGCGACACTTCAACAGCACACTCGGAGCGCCCCGGAAAAGTGACGTGGAGCGGGACTTCATGGAGCAACCGACCAAAAGTCGAGTCGCCGTTTTGGCCAGTTTGTCCGAGCAAGCGATCAAGCGCCCACTGTTCCTGCCGCCGGCGAAAACCTTCCGGACGGTTGGAAATCGGGTGGACGAGAACACCAAGGCAAAGCTGAATCCGAAGGGAACGCAGTTGTACGCCGAGGTGTGCCAATTGTCCGAGCTGGTGCCCCGGTTGCGGGAGGTCCACCACCCGGACGAGGGGAAGTTTGACATCTCCGGCACGTACACGACGGACAACGAGTTGCTCGCGATGAGCTTCATGCTCACGAAACGGGCTTTGCTTGAGGTGAACTTCTCGGAGAACACAGAACTCAGTGACGAGGCAGTCGTTACCTTTCTCCGGCGCGTCATCCAGGAAGGCCCGACGCTCTTCACCCTGAAGAGTTTCAAGATCGCCGGGTGCACGTCGGTCGGGGACTACGGGCTGCAGGTGTTCATCGATCTGATCCCCAGTTTGAAATCCTTGCGCGAACTGGATTTCAGCGGCATTCGCGCCATGGCCCCGGGGACGCTGCTCCGCCTTGCGGACGAAGCGGGCGCGCGGCCGTTGCACAAGGTCGTGATGTCAGATATCGAGATGCCGGGGACTTTGGCGACGCGGGTTCTCGAGTCCGTTCTCGCCAACGACTACTTGAAGGAGCTCGACGTGGGCTGGAATGCATTTGGGGAAAATGTGTTTGTCGATCTGCGGACCATGATCGCGCAGCACAAGACCTTAGAGGTGCTCCGGATGCCGAACTGCGCGGAGGTCACGCCCGAGCCCGAGCACAACCCCATCCACATCTTCCTCGAGGGTTTCGGGGACTACAAGCTGAAATACATCGACTTGTCGATCAACCGCTGCACCATGAAATCCTGCTGCATCTTGGAAGCGGCCTTGTACCAAAATCGATGGTGTCTCGAGATCGACATGAACAACAACCCTATTGGCGCCGAGGGCTGCCGCTCCTTATTCCGCGCGTTCTCCTGCCACCCGACCATGCAGTTTCTCGGCGTGAGTCTGATGCACGCGGCCGTTATGTACGAGGCCGCGGCGCCGCCGCATGTTTTGCAGCTGCTCGCGGAGGCCGCCGAGGGAAACAAAAAGCAGGAGCCGACCCGGCCGACCCAGAAGGTGGACGAGAAGAATCCCTGGGATTTACCAGAAAGGGTCGCGATCGACCCCAGCACCTCGGCTGGAACGGTTGGTGTGAATTACAGCTTGTATTCCTTTCTCCAGTGTAACCCCCAAAGATCCTACCTGCTCAACATGGACGACCCAGGGCACCGCGCGATTCTGCGGTTATTGTTCCGGATTAAAGACCGCGTGCCCGGGTGCGCCTTTATAGGTCTCGACGACTACTTCATGAACAATGTGGCGCAACAGGCGAACGGCGGCTGGAACATCGTGCCGCCCGAGCCGGGCTCCGCGGAGGCGAAGCGATTTCAGCCCTGGCAGAGCTTCCGCTTCGAGCTTGACTCGGCCGCAGACATGAGCAGCGCCAGCAACACGAACTTGGTTACCACTTCGCCGGCGGGCAGTCCGAAAGCAGGAGCTACGAAAGACAAGGGCCTCGTTCCCGCGGGGCAAACGGGCGGCGAGAAAGAGGTGGACGCGGCGGTCAAAATGCTCGCGCAGTTCGGAACGGCGACCAAGAGTGTTTTCACCCGGCAACGGGAAGTTTTTCTTGGAAATATTTGGCTGGATTTGCAAACTTCCGCCGCGGATCAAAAAATCTTCCTCGACGCTCTCTCCTTCGATTTCGAAATTAGCAACGAGCTGATCGCCTTCCTGATCGCCCGGACGCCGCACATGCGCCACCAAATCCTCTGCAGCCTGTTCGGCGCGCTGCGGGGTGGAAAAGCGGCGCAGCGGGTGTTGTTCCTCTTCCAGGCCCCCACGGACACGGACATGAGCCGCATCTACCTGCACGCGATGCAGCTTTTGAATTTTGTGCCGGAGAACCCGATGGGGCACTACAAACTTTCGCTCGATTCCGTCGCGGATTGGGGCGTCGCTGATATGATGATGAAGATCGATGCGTGGGAATTCAATCTGGTCATGACCAACGCCAGAGGGTGCAAAGCGGGGCCGCCGAAATATGTGGTTTCTCAGCACGGGAACAAATCGAACTTTCGCAACGAGCAACTGAACGGCCATTACTTCGAGATGCACCCGAACTTCCAGCTGCCCATGGCCAATAGCCTAACGTTCGACTACAGCAGCCCACGGCGGCCGCCGGTCGGCGCAGTTCCCATCGCAGACCCGCAGGTGGAACTTTTGATGCGGGCCATGACGGTCAGTAACTGCTGCTTGCGCGACTGCCGGGATATTCTCCTGCAGATCTCCCCCAAAGTGTACCTGACGTGCCGGCAGCTGCGCAGGCTGCTAAACGTGTTCCAGGGGAGCCAGCCGCTCCTGCTCGACGTCATTGTCATCCTCATGAACCGAACTGTCGACTGGTATCTCAACGAGAAAATCGTCCGCGCCGCCGTGTGGAGCAGCGTGTGGAAAACGGAGTTGCACAGGAGGGTCGGGAGCTACTACCTGATGCCCTGGGTGCAGCCGGAAAATTGGACGTTTGAGTTGGATTTCCGGTACTACGAAGACAGGCTCGTGCTGCAGGGCATATTGGCTTTCGAAGCGGCGGAGGACGGCGAGAACATTTTGGACGTTGAGTGGGACAAAGACCACGACGGCACGCCCGATTTGCTCGTGTCCGGTATCCCCCGCTCTTGGGAGACGGAGGTGCCAAAAGCGGGGTTGCTCCGACTCACCTACGCGTGCGCGCCGGAATTTGTGCAATTGAAATTTCGCCTGAAGATGGCTTCGCAGTACGGATTTTGGAACATTGCCGACGACATTTCGCTGGACCAAAAGCGCATCGAGTGGTGGATGAGCATCGAGGAAACCCCGGAGTACATTCTGGACATAGCGTTAGTCCTAATGCACAAGTTTCCAAACTTGAAAGCGGCGTTCAAGTACCTCGACCGGTACAAGCGACGACAGATCAACTTACAGGACATAAAGGCCCAGTTCTCCCGCATGCGGGTGAACAAAAGAACGCAGGCGAGGCTCCAAGACGTCTTCCGCTTCCTCGATCGCGGCGGCGAGGGGCAGGTCAGTTACGACGAGTTTAAGGTTTTTTCCTATCTCTGGAGCGAGATGTTCGTCGGGCTGGAGGAGTTCATATACCATTTAAGGTTCAAGATGGCGGTGGAAAAGCGCGCCTTGGAAACCACGACGTACCGCGACCCACGAAGGCGGCGAAAAGAGGACGTCACGAAAATGAAAGGCGTGAAGATGGTCACGGACGCGGAAAAACAGCCCGGCGCGGCCGAGGACTCGCCGGAGGACGACGGAAGCGGTCAGGGGAAGAAGATGGAGAAGAAAAAATCTAAGAGCAAAAAAGCCGAAAAGAAAGAAGACACCGAGGCGGATAAGAAGCGCAAGATGCAGGAGGAGCGCAAGCGGCTGATGGAGCGCGTGCAGCCCGGGCCGGTGCTGGGTTTCCTCGACCAGGATTTCGAGCCCCTGTCGCTCGCCGAAGCCTGGGATATCATGGACACGGACGGCGGAGGATCTTTATCCCAGAAGGAGTTTATCAGCGTCATCGGGAAGTACCAATACAGACGGCAAAACGTGGGGATCATCTACAACTTCCTCGACGCCGACGGGGACGAGATTGAGCGGCACGAGTGGATGTCGGGCTTGGAGAAGATGATGAAGAAGATGCGGGACAACGAGTCGCCCGCGAGTTCCATGGGCTTCACCGCCTTACACCGCGACTTCCGCGACACGCAGGATTTAACGAATTTATTGGAGGAAGACGTGGACGACGAGGCCTTCAACATCGACGGGGATCTGCTCGACGGCGAGGAAGAGGAGGAGGAGGAAGACTTCCTGGACGATGAGGAGGGAGGTGGTGGGCCCCGGAGAAGCTACCGAACTGCCTCGTCGCTGGAGGAAAACACGGTGTTTGACCCCAACGCTTTGAAAGATATCGACTACGGCATGGAAGACGAAATCGATGAGGACATCGACGAAGACGCGCTGATCGCCTAGGAGACAAGTTCTTGTAGTTGCGCTCCTCGTCTGCGATGCTGATCTTTTATTGCCTAGTGTTGTTCTTCGATTCACTTTCGCTCCTGTTTTTAGTACCCCTAGTTGTAGTTCTGCTGCCCGTAACATTTTGCAGTACAACCCCCCAAAACCTTTCAGCCTCAGCAAATCAACACAGTACTTCTTACTGACTCTCTGTGCCCCAGATTGGAAGTAGTCCCCGCCCCGGCCATCAACCCCGAGTAAAGGCACGCCATCCGTGATGGTGTTGCTTTAGCATGTATGATTCTGCTTTTCACTTGACTTCTGTCATTCACTCTTTACGTTTACATAATAACAAAACATAACATAACATAAACATATGCACCTCATATACAACTCGTTTTTTTTCACATTAACATAACTTCAGCTTCTCGTATTCTACTTTTTGTTTCTAATCATAACATTTTTGGCGATGATGAATTGCGCGTCGATTCTCATCTATCTTCTTATTTTGGCAAAACATTCCAGTCTCACGACACATGCAAGATTTTGTGATATGCGCAGAACAAGGACCACGCTGTACGTAGACCCGGCCTCGTTCTTTTCACTCATCTTGATCTTCTTATTTTGGAAAACCAACGACCCGAATGCAAACTATGCTCCTCGAAATTGAGCTGCGTCAAAATCCGCCCCACATCTTCTTTTCGAAGTAATCTGTAGTATCTCGAGCAGCGTCCGAAAGGCATAGGCACAGTGCCGCTTGATGCAGTGTCAAGCGAGACGAAAAGCTAAGGTGTTCCTTCGCCATCAAGTGAACTCGGTCTTCAACAAACTCCGCTCAAACTAGATCAATCATTTTGCGAATTTTGCAAACACTAAACAATAGCATTAGCAAGACGGGATCAACTTCAACATCATATCACCCTCTTCACCGAGATGAAAACGCAAGGGAAAATCTAATAGCCTAGTTACAACTCACCCGGATGCTATTATCCTTCGTCCATGTAGTCATCGACTCCCGGCGCCGTACACTTTTCAGCGACCGAAACAACAACTGTCTGATTTATTGACTTGAGACGAGGAGCCTCCTAATTAACCTAAAGTTTAAGTTTCCAATTGATCCTAACGCAACCACATTCGAAGTTCAAGCCCTGTTTTTGTTTTGCCTACCGTTTCACAACCGGCGCAAAGAATCTTCAGAAAGAAAGTTACATTTTTTAGCAACGACAAGTGCAAATAGGACCTCGATCATCTGAAAGCGTCACCATGTTGAAGCCCACGCCGTATAAAAATAACGAGTGATATTTTTATCATGGGCGAACCAGGAGGTAGCGTGGGAAAAATTTCGTAGTTTTTTTGCTCAGACTTGGCTTTACGGGCCCACGACGCACGCCTCGGAATCCGTGACGAGCGCGTGCCGCCGTCGTACCGCCGGAGGGACGAGGACGCTTTCTGAACCCACTTGCTGTGGAGGTTCGCGGTTTTTGGCATTCCGCAGAGGTGTGGAACAAGTCTGACGCGCCGACGACAAAAGTACCTGCAGAACAATGTGGGTCGAAGTACTGGTAGCGATTGTGATCGTGGTGATCACGGCCACAGTAGTAAACTGGTACCTACGAACCTCGGAAGCCAAGCGAACTTCATGGCTTTCAAAGGAACTCGGCGTGCCAGACATATACAAATGGGACGGTAAGTAATTATGCAACAGCTCCTGTAGTGTACAGCTTGCTACAGTTGCAAACTTGTTACCCTGGCTGGCGTGACGCCCTTATGTTCGTTGCAGTATCGCACTCATCGATTATCTGTGAATTACTTGGACAAAAGTGAATTTTGTTGTAAATTGAAAAATATTCACAGAAGCACTAATTGACCGAGTCGAGGATGCGTATTTCGACGCCCTGGAGGAGGCAGAAAAGCACTACTGCGAGGTCAACAAAATAGGGGCCGAAGACGAGTTGGAGAAAGTCTGGCCGTCCAAGCTTGACAAGGAATGGCGACATCGAATCAAGTACTCTTTTCTTTGAAAAGCAATTTTTTTCTCGAGCTTGGTAGATGATCATCATGTTGGTAATTGTTCTTGTATATATCACACCACTCTGCTGGCTTAGCAAGATTAAGATAAGTATCGTCCTCCACCACGATCGAAATCGATGAAATAATTCGTCGTTCTACATAATACTTCAAAAAAAAACTTTTAACAGGATGAAACTGATGGAGCGGACGATGGCTTGGGTGCACCTGTATCGGCTGATGGAAGCAGAATTGAAGCGATCACAGCCCCTCTGGCGACAAAACATCATTTCTCCGAGCTACTGGCAGTCCCTGAAACGAGCAGAAGAAAAACTGGAAAAGCAGTTTTCCCTCATAAAAAAAGAAGTCGCAATCGTATTGAATTCAACTTGGTTACTTGCCGTGATTCTTCGTCCTCCTTTTTTCTGTTTCTTGCGACTGCGACATAATTTTTTGCATACTTTGTTTTGAATATGAGTGTGCTTTTCTTCGAACCTGACAGATTGACCCCGGCTCAACCAACCAGACGGAGATTTTTCGCGAAAGTTGCAAGATAATAGATGCGTACGGCTATCCACCAAAAGTGCCAGAGGAAAAGCCGAAAGCAGAACCGCCTGGCATACGAAACGGAAAGATCATCGAGAAGTGCAGCGACAAGAAAACGTAGACATATTAACTTTTGTTTGTGTTATATAGTTTTTCCGTTTTGATCGCTGACAAGATGTAGGCAGAACAAGTGAAGTGGGAGCGAGTTCTGTGATTTGTAGCATAAAAGTGCAACTACATCTGGCACTTTAGGCAAAAACATTTTTGATGAAATCATCCAAACGCAAAGAAACATAAACAGCTACGAGCTCGTTCAAGGCCCGTCTGACGCGGAGCTCGTGGTTTACATGCCGAAGGGCACATTAGCAAAGGAGGTGCGTGTCCGCGTGCAGAGGAAAAGCATCCAAATTTGGCGAAAGGGTGAAACCATCTTCCACAAAGAACTCCCGGACACTGCCACGGTGCGACCAGATCCCACATGGCAACTCGCAAAAAAAGTAGGGACATTTTCATTCTTCATCGTTGGGTGTCATGCAACTTGTTACGGGGGCCTGCGAGGATAACGATAAGTGTGATAGCGATTTTTAGAAGTTTTACCAGTTCTTCTTCCTCGTCCCTGCGATGATTCCATGCTTTGAATTGAACATATTGAACAATCTTCCTCAGGGTGACTTCGAAGCTGGCGATGTGGTGCTTCTCAGCGGACTTTCAAAAGACGACCTAAACGGCCAGAAAGGAAAGTACTTACTCTCTCAGTCAGATTGTGGTTTTGCTTGTTGACTTCTTCAGTTAAGAAGTCATGTTCTTGTCCTTCGGAAGGCTTCGTTCTGAACCTATTTCATTTGTCTAGTGTTATCGAACATGAAAAACTGCCTGAATTAGCCTATAGAAGATCTGATTCTAGATCGCAAAAAATAATACAAATACACCGCAAATCCAGGGTCCTGAAGAACAACAAAGAAACCCTGGCGAAGGGACGCATTCGCGTGGACCTGGGCACGGGCAACCCTCTGTCGATAAAGCCTGCCAACCTGACCAACGAGGAGGAGTTCCGGAAAACGGGTCTTGTCATGAGTCTGGAAAAGGAAAAGCAAAATACCGTGTGGCCAATGCCCCCATGGAACGATGGCGCAGACGAGGAGTCGGCGTTGCCACAGTAAACAAAGCATAAGCAACGAGTAATAGAGCTGCACTACGACATCTTCGGAAGGACGATAGCGAAGCAAACCGATCGTACATCACACTCGTGCGAATCGATCGAGGCGATTCATGTTTACCAAACTCAACAGTTTAACAAGTCAAACAAGTTTGCGTTTTTTTACTAGTATCACACCCCGACGCGATATCCTCGTGTCTCTCCATAGAGGTCTACTTAGCGTATGGATGTACTTTATCATTGTCAAAGATTTTTTCAATCGCTACTGCGTGTACAACAATGACGCGAACGTGATGAAGATTTTGCTGTCGCTTCATTTTCAGGGTTATTCCAAATGAAACGGACGGTGGCGCCTTTTTTTTGCTGCCACACGATCCACATCGCGTATAATTTGTTGAACGAATGAACCCGCGACCCTAGCTGTGTGCGATTTCCGTCCCAGTGGTTATCGTGTGCATTCATGATCGACGAAAATCAGAATTTTGAAAATTTCGAAGAAACAGAGCGGCAATGAAATTATGCATTCGTGGAAGCGACGAGAGAACTCGATCAATTGCAAGCAGCTTGTCTTTGATGTAGTTGCGCAAACATCAACGGACGGTGTGGCCGCAGTTGGCACCTTTTTCGCAAAGACCATCATTTGATTTCAACAGCGTTCACGACCCTTTTCAGCAGGAAATCGTGCGGTGCTTGCCAGTTACATTTCTGGATCGGCACACTCAGACTTCTGAGTACACATGTACCTCCTGCTGCTATGAATATATCAGGAGGCTCTGGTGAGGCCCTTTCCTTTTGGTTCACATCACAGTCGGTAGAAATTTGATCCACGGATTTTTAGAAAATAGAGTTGCACATGAACGAAGAAGATGGTGATGGACCCATGGCCATGTGCTGCACGACAGAGAAACGAAACGGTTTTTCTTGCACTTTTACAAGCATGGAGTAGAAGGAGAATTAGTCCCAAAAGAAAAGATAAAGAAAACAAAGAGCAAGACCGGTCGCAAAGCCCCGCCACTGCCTTTCATAGCAAGATCTTCATCGACGCTCCTCTTCTAGTTCTACGACGTAGTTGTGGCATCAACAATGGTGCCATCAACAGTAGCAGTAGCACCCCGTTCTCGATGGCTCCTTTGGTTCCACTTCAGCTACCCACCACAAAAAGTACTTCTTTTCCCGATCTTCTTTTCGAATTACTTATAAGGAGAGTCGTCCACTAGCGCTATCATTATTATCCTCAATTCTGCAGCGCGGTGCTTTTTTCCACTTTTTCAAAGACGATCTTCCTTGTATTAGTATTTGTTTTAGATCGATTTCGCGGTAGTTCTGATATTGGTGCAGAAACTCCTTTCACGCTTCCCTTGGCGCTTATTCGTATTCCTACTTTAGACCATAACCATTTTTTTCAAAAGGAAGACAGAGATAAAAAACGCTCTTTTCGAAAAATACTTTACATTCTTGTTGTTTTTGCGATCGAAGTGTGACAACTTTCGAGGTCACGAAAAATGAGTGCTCCGAAGCTCCAAATTTCTGGGGACGTGGCCGTCCGCGACCATCTGCATGAAGCTCAGGGTTTGGTTGATGGTACCCCATCCCACAGCCAGCAGCTTCAAGCTCGCACAAGCTCTCGAGTGCTCGCGCCGTGGGAAGAAACATCCAGTCCAAGCAGCAAACGCACCGCGACGCAGCTGAGTGCGCAACGATTGACACGACTAAAAGGTGTGGACGTGCTGCGCGATCCGTACTTGAACAAAGGAACAGCCTTCACGGAGCGGGAAAGGGACATGCGTATCGGGATTTTTTCAGAACTTGCCTTGCTTTTCTTGTAGTTACATCGAGCTGATGAAGCATGTAGATGCGAATCTGGATGATCGTAACGAGGATTTTCATAATTTAGTCGAACCCGTTTCGAAGCCCAAGTGCAAGTTGCTTGTCTTTATTATCTTCAGCGAATTGTAAACACGATGAAAATGAATACAACAGTGGGTCTTCGCGGTCTGCTCGCGCCGAAGGTAAGTACGATCGAGGAGCAGTTGAAGCGTCAGTATACCAAATTTAACGAATGCCCGTCCAGTATTGCGAAATACCACTTTCTTGCCTCCATTCACAACCGCAACGAAACGCTGTACTACCGCTTTCTGCTTTCCTACGTCACCGAGACAATGCCGATCGTGTACACCCCGACGGTGGGCCAGGCCTGCTTGGAGTTTTCGGACAGCTATCGTGCCAGAGCGCGAGGTCTCTTTTTCTCCAAGAACGACGTGCCCCACTTCCGCGAGATGTGCCGCAACTGGCCCCAGCACGACGTCGAGATTATCGTCATCACGGACGGGAGCCGCATTCTGGGCCTGGGAGATCTCGGTATCAACGGAATGGGCATCCCCATCGGAAAGCTCGCACTGTACGTTGCGGCCGCCGGCTTTCTCCCCTGGCGCACGCTGCCCATCACGGTTGATTTGGGGACGAACAACCAGAAGTTCCTGGATTCCGAGACCTACATTGGCCTGAAATCCCAGCGTCCAAACGACGAGGAATTTTACTCCATCATGGACGACCTGATCCAAGCCATCAAGTGGCGGTGGCCGGATGTGCTCATCCAGTTTGAGGACTTCTCGAACGAGCACGCGTTTGGCTTGCTGGACAAGTACCGTGACCAGACTCTGTCCTTCAACGATGACATCCAAGGCACGGCGGCAACCGTGCTCGCCGGAATCATTGCCGGTATGAAGTCAGATCGGGTTGCTGATCATTTGAAAACTTTAGAAATAGAAATATCATTTGTGAGGAAGGCAACATGCGTATGAAATCATTTTAGTTTACGAATAAAGATAGAACAATATCATGTAGTGGAAATTTGTCCTCTTCATACTAACAGCCTTGCGTATCCAACCCGCCTCCGTCTTAACCGAGGGCGTTCCGGAGGACCGCAACAAGACCACCCTGCTTCGCGACCAGCGGATCGTGTTTCTCGGCGCTGGTTCTGCGGGCGCTGGCGTCGCTGATTTGATCGCCGCCGGCATGGAAGTGGAGGGCAAGCGGGCCGGGGACAACAAAACCATCGAGTACTACCGAAAAAACAACTTTTGGATGATCGACTCCAAGGGGTTGGTGACAACCACCCGGGGCGACAAATTGCAGGACCACAAGGTCCCCTTCGCACGTGACGACCCGCCAGTGGGCACGTTGTTGGAAGTGATCCAGCAGGCAAAGCCAACGATTTTGCTGGGTCTGGCAGGGCTGCCGGGAGGCGCCTTCACCGAACAAATGATCAAAACCATGGACAAGGACTGTATAATTTCTCTATCATTCTTGTCTTCTGATTTTTTCCTTTTCGTCAAAGGCCCCTTGGTTGTGGTGTTAATTTTTTCGAACTAGTTGAAAAAGCTGGCGCCACTATGAAAATGAAATCTTCCAACAGGCACTGCTGCTGGTCTTCGGCCGATCGTCATGGCGTTGTCGAATCCGACAAGCAAGGCCGAGTGTACTGCCGAGCAGTGTTACACCTGGACCGAGGGCAAGGCTATTTTCGCTTCTGGAAGTCCGTTCGATCCGGTCACGCTGCCGAACGGAAAGACCTACCACACGGGACAGGGGAACAACATGTATTACTAATAAGTATACTCAATCACGTACACAAAATTTGAAGTCGAAAATCACCAGCCAAGTTGCAGCAGCAGTTGGTAGCTCGACGTCCACCTTCTTAAAGATACTTCATATGCATGCGAAAGAGTAGCAGTAAGACTAATGATTTGCAATTCCCAATCCCTACGAACCTCGTTCACAGGTACATTTTCCCAGGCGTTGGTTACGGTGCAGTGCAGTGCAAGGCGGAAAAGATCACAAACACCATGTTTTACGAGGCAGCACGCAAGCTCGCCCTGCAGACAAAGGTGGAAGATTTGAAAAAAGGGTCCGTCTACCCGGAACTGGGTCGCATTCGCGAGATCACCGCGAACGTAGCCGCCGGCGTGTGCGAAGTGGCGGAGCAGGAGGGTCTGACCGCCGTCGCACGACCACCGAATGGTTGGCTGATGCATTTGAAGCAAGCAATGTGGTGGCCGCAATACGAGTCATACTTGTAGGGGAGATAGTGCGTATTTTTCCTGCATCTGTGCCAGCTACTATCCGCTGACGACGACCTTCATTGGTTCCACGACCTGGAGACCACTCGACGAAGTTCGACGTCTTCAGCTTTTAGTTTGTGTAGAAGTAGTGATTTTTTTTGTATTGCGCAATGAAAAGCAAAATTCTGCGCCGTCAGAATTCAACATCGATTTTCATCCGCGCAGACTGCGCGGATGAAAATCAAATGATACGCCATCGAATCAGATCTGTCGAGTGGTTGATGCAAAAAGTCGTGCAGTCGCAAAGCAAACGCAAACAGCTTCAATTTTAAAACATGAAATTATGTGTGTATTCAAAACTCGTGTGTGTAAATAGTATAGTGGATGAGTCATCCTGCTTATCGATATCGTTTATTTTTTGCTACTAGTACTACACATCTGAGGATGACCCCAATGAACCAATATCGCGCATACCCCCCGCACCCGTAGGATTCTACTTCATGATTAAGTATTTTCATTATGATGACGAGAGAACCCATGAGTATTGAAAACGATCGTGCTGGTTGGCACTGATCATGGAAAAAGTTCAAGATTAAGATTTCCTTGTCCTCTCCTTCTGAATCTTGCAGGAGAAGGTTGTAAACCATGGGTGTGAAGATGGTATACACAACTTCTTTCACGCTGCAGAGTTCTGATGTTCATCAATCGTTTCTGCAGTTTTAGTGAGCGCCAGAAGATGAAGAACAAGAAGATCAAGCTCAAGAAGAACGCGCACCGCAGCCATTCCGCCGTCGTTCACGTTCTCTGTGAGGAGCAGAAGATAAGAAGCTTACCAGAGTAAGCTAGCCGCAGAAGTACGTTGGTTATGGTTCCCAATCCAAAATGTTGTAGATGTGGTTCAAGAAGTCTCGCTGACGTGGAGATGAGGTGTAATACGAGGTCGAAAGCGAAATTCCAAAACGACACACAAAATGATGTATGTAAAGAATAGGTCACATACGGAACAGAAGCCAGGGTAGGAAGTTAACGTTTGAAAAAATAGAAGGACGACTTCACACTTCTTCATCAGGCGAACTATAGGAATACTTTATATGCGCCGTTAGCAATTCTTTACATTTTTCCAAAATCAAATTTAGGTCGTACATCGCAATGCAAGAACGCACTTCATCTCGGTCTCATTTTATTCACTTCTTTGTCTAGCGACCATGATCACAAATCCGGTCGATAACTCAGAGTATTGGCATTCGACATGTTAGATTCTCATTGAGAATTAGAAAACGCGACACGAGTACCACAACTTGAGTAGTGTATTATACACCTCAAAAGTATAAGTATATCGACCAGCACCAATCATGTCTGGCGCGGGTGGTAGCAGCTCAAGCAACCCCGCGGGAAGTGCGGGAGCAGGCGGCCCAGTCTGCATGGATGTAGATTCGGGTCCAGCGCTCACCGGGCCGCGATTCGAAGTGAAAAAGTGGAACGCCGTGGGCTTGTGGGCCTGGGACATCATCGTGGACAACTGTGCCATCTGCAGGAATCACATAATGGACCTCTGCATCGAGTACTTATACTATGATTTTACAAATACAAGAGGAAGAATGCTTTGATTTGCATGTTGGACGTGATGGTTGCCCATGATGAACTTCTTCACTCTCTGTTAGTTTCTTTACTGTAGGTGTAGCTAGTCGTAGTCCTGGCGGAACACGTACGCAACATCTTTCGATGTTGGTAGCAAAGACTTGCTTGCTATACCCTTTCAGGTGCCAAGCAAACCAGCACGCGAATCCGGAGGAGTGCACGGTAGCGTGGGGTGTCTGCAACCACGCGTTTCATCTGCACTGCATCTCAAGGTGGCTGAAGACACGAAACGTGTGCCCGCTAGACAACGGAGAGTGGGAGTTCCAGAAGTATGGACGGTGAAGCAGCCGCATCATCAAGTTCAAGCGGGATGGTTGATTTGCGGGAGCCGCAGACCGACACAAAGCACTTTCTCCTAAGCGACCAAGAAACGACCCCGCCCCACAGTTTTTTCTCCGACGACTTATTACAAAGCGACACCCGCGACCAGCACAGGCACCCTGACCACCTTCCTGATTTTTTCTCGCTGAACATGTCGAAATTCAAATCGAACCGGAATGACGAGAAGGCCTTCTTGATGTGGGCCTCTATTGAGAATATCGCGGATGATCGTGACTCTGGACGATAATGCTTGCTGTTGATCGCAACTTTTTCTAGCTGCGTCTGGTTGCCTCCATTAGGCAAATGAACTTCAGAAGGAGCAGGGTGCTGATCATGATGCCTTCAAGAGCTTACACGTTGTCGCTACGCCCCAACTACGAGGCACAACGAAAGCGAAACTCCTACTGAAGACTCTTTATCGTTATCCAGCGGGTGCTGCTCGTCAATTTATTTTTTTTGAAGAAGCTAACAAATCAAATGCAAGCGAGCCTGAGAATTGCAAGCGCGACCCATCTCGTCGTGGTCCAGGAGGCTTCTCCGATCTAATGCCAACTCCCCCACTTCAGGGCCTAAGGTGTTCACATATTGCAGCACTATGCCGCTTCCTGCAGCTCGCTGTTGCAGCTGCTATTTTTCATTCGCTGTTGATAAACATCATAAACGGTAGTTGCGTCTTGAGTATATTGCAACAACTGCACCCGCCGGCGTGCGGGGCCCGTCGCCGCGGGGGAAGGGGCGACTGAGCCGAAAAATGGCGCGGCCCCTGTGCCGGCATGCCGCGCACAATGCAGGGCGGGAAGTCGCAAAACGCAATAAGAGGCAGGCGACGCTATCCCGCGCCGCCCGAGCCTCATTGACGGAGAAGAAGGCCCGCGCGTAAAATGTAAGCCGCGCGCCCTCCTCTAGCGACGCAGTTTCCCCCCGGAGAGTGGGGCGGGCCGAGGCAAAGCAACCGCCCCCGTGCGTTGATATTTAGCGACCGGGAGCAGTTTGGGGCGCGTTGCAATTCGGTCGCCCCGATTCCGTCGCGGCAAGGCGCGGCCGCAAGCGAAGGGCCCACGTGCCGCGGCCAAGCCGCGCATTGAACGCATACAGACAGACTCAATCTCGACGGACCCGCAGCGCGCTTCGCGGCGGCGCCGGCCCCCAATCATTGCGCAGCCTCTTCTGATGCGCGTCCGACCCGAGCGAAAGAAACCGCAGGGCCGATTTCTTGCATCTCCGCCAATTGCTGGAGCATAAACAGACCGCGACCCGACACGTCCCGGGTAAGGTGATGCCTGCGGTTGGGCTAACAAAATCACCACCGCAACAAAATGCGGGGCGTCGGAAAAGACGGAAACGCCGACGATGGCGCCAAGGTTGGCAAGAGAGGCGATTTCGACAAAGGCGGTAAGGCGGGCACTTTCGCCAGGCGCGTCAGCAGTGTGGGGCAGCCAGCCGCGAAGGGCGCCGCTGCGGCAACTCAATGAGGTCAGGCCCGCCGCCCGGGGGGGAGGCTGCCCGGCGGGCTACGGCATTGCCAGAGCGCTGCAGATGTATGAAGGGGTGGGAGAAAGTTCCAAGGCGGTGCCTAGGTGCGCAGACCTATTCCTTCCCGATAAGAGGATGGGCGGCGCCGGGATTGGGGCGCCGTGCGGCCGCGTCTGCCTGGATCGACAGGGGCGGGCGGGGCCGCTTCACATTGCGGCGCCGCGCAACGGGGTGGATGGGTGCATGGGTTGCGCAGGGCGCGTTGGCTGATTTCACGAAGCAGCGCCCCGGGCCGGAGGTTCGCAATCAATCTCGCCGAGAAAGAAGCGCGCGCGCAGCGCGCAAATCCGGGCGGCTGCGCGGCATGTGCCCAAGTTGGAGGACCGGACGAGAAAAATCAGCGACGCGCCGGCGCCCCTAACCCCGAGCAGAATCATGGCGCTATGCCCGTGCTGGTCCCGTGTGTGTTTCTGGGGAGGGCATTCAAGCCGGGGCGTCGTTCTGTTGGAGAACTCGCTCTGCTGAAGAACTCGCATCACTTTCGTCCGTGCATCGCACTCGGCTGCGAAGTTGTTCGGGGCCTGAACGTCGCCGGCCACCGTTCTGAAACCAACGAAGGAGGTGGGCAGGCGCCGGCGCTTGGCCCGGGCTCGCTTAGCTTCTCCCGCTTTTTCTCGACAGCCCGACCCTTCCAAGCAGTTGTGGCCCCCTTGCCCTTGCCGGTGCGTGGAACGAGGGCCGCGCGCCCCGCTAGCAGACGCTACCTGGAGCGGGGTGGCACTCCGGTGCCACGCATTGGCCCGGTGTGTGTAGTTCCGCCAGCCCGGGACTGTGTCGGGCCCGGCGCCCGGGTGACACGTTCAAGCGCGGCCGCGAAGCCAAAGCGCTGCCGTCTTCGCACGCACGAGCCCAAACAAGCGCGCCGCCAGGAACAAAGTAAAGAATGCAGAGAAGGCCGGGGCCGAATTTGGGCGGGCCAAGACAGAGGCAGGCGGGGGCTCCGAGTGGGCCCGGGAAATGGCGGAGGGGAGCGGCGCCCGCGACGAGGGAGGTAGGCGGCGCAACGCACCCGGCTGGAATCGGGCCGCGCCTTCGTGCTCTTGGTTGGGCCAGCCCGGCCCCGAGCGCGCCCGGGGATTGGCTGCGCGGGCGTCCGGCGCTTCAGCAGCTTCGCCGAAGAGGCGGCTCGGTTCGTTGGTGGCCCGGGCAGATTGTCAGCACACACACAGCGAGGCGTGATCGACAGCACGCACCCAGGTTGGCGCGCTGATCAGCCGGGCAGGGTCGCCTGTGCCGCTTGGGCGTCGGATTGCCGCGCGCGGGGGGCCGACCGAGGTAGAGCCTACCTTGCGGCAGTTTTCTTTTTGGGCCCTGCAACGGGAACGGCTTTGTGCCGTGCTTCCGCAAATGATTCAAGGAGGCGCGTGGGGTCGACGTCATTTTCGTATGCCGTTATGTATTGCTGGTTTTGGCAAAGAAATGGCTATGGCCTCGGTATCCATGCCTCGGGCTGCCAACCTCGGCATGCGCCGCCTTGAGGTTTCCCTGGTGGTTCTAGCCGAAGAAGGGGGCGGGCGGAACGTCCTTCGCGTTTGAGATCGCAGTGCAGCATTGCTGGCGTTGCATGAGGAGGGCCTTCCTTGCTTTTCGAGAGTGGTGTATCGTGGCTATCATGCTTCTCTCGTTGGCGCATGTTGAGTTGTTCTGGCACGAGTGTCAAGCCAGATTCTCCCGCATCGACGGAGGACCGCGAGTGCGGGCTGCAAACCGCGAATGCCTGCACCGTGTGGTGTCGAGTGACAATAGGAATAGGAGTAGCTGCTGCTTTGAGAATTTATGTAACAAGTCAGTGGGATCGTCGCGTCTTTCGATGCCGCGATTGATCTCCATACTCAAATTCATTTTCAATGACTACCGTGTGGTAGGTGGTCGTCGTGTTGTAGTATCTTTCTCCGCTCCGTGGACGTGGTTGTCGTCCGTCTTGATGAAGATGGTCTATTTGTTGTGTCGGTCTCGGTTCATTGCCTCAACATTTTTGGTTGTGGCTTCAGTAACATGTGCGCGGGACGACAAGGGCTTCGTGGTACCGGCTTCAGAAATTTCGCCAGAAAACTTCTCCGGTCAACATTTGCGCCGCAGCACACAAGATGATGGCGGTCCGAATGAAGCATTTAGCTCAACAAGCCACCAGCACGGCAGCAAAGTTGTAGCTCTCTCTCCGTCCGCAGAAGTGGATGAACGACACATCCGGCATACCGATGTTCCTGACGATTCGCAGTTATTGGCGCTTCCACGACGTCGAGATAATCGCCTAGATGTTGGGCAAGCACAGCATAGACCACCAACAGGAATATCCAGCTCACTCGCAGTTGCGTCCACCTCTGAAAAATTCACACAAACCCCCCCAGTAAAGCTATTACGCGGCGCAGCACCAGGACCAGCGGATAATGACAAAGTGCACACCCAACGAAGTCACCAGATGCGCGGAATCATCAGCGGCATACATCGCGAAGGCATGCAAGAATCGCAGAAAGGCCGTCCGCAGGCTCCTGGCGCAGGTCATTCTCAATCATTTGTTGAAGAAGAACCTGTGGGGCTAGAGCAGCGACGAGCCCAAAACCGAACAAGTCTGTCGCAATTGTCAGACACTTCCTCATCTTGGTCCTCCGGCTTTGCCTTGCCTCTCTTGGTAATCGGCGGCACAGTGACAAGTTGCTTTTGCGTCGGCTACTACTACATGCGATGTCCCAAAGATACTGCGATGACGGACGACGAGGAGGAGCACGAGGTGATAGTGGACGGGGAATTTGTCGACAAGGCTCAGAAGAGTAGAGCTCGTGCTTGATTGTTCCAACGGAGAAATAACAGTGAGATTGCTGTTGACGCTGAACAAGTACAGCCGCTGTTCCAATTTCCGTGTTGATTGTTGTCCAACGTTTCTCCAGTTGTTTCGGTTTCAATAATGATAGGGCTGCTTTGCTATTGCGGGTGCATTATAATCAATCACCACGCCTAACAGTAACAACGCGGAAGCGGAAGATCGGGACTCTCAGGGAGTGACTGTGGTGTTCTCCAACCGCTAAAAAGCTGCAGTTTAACTTTGACAGTGGCTTCTGATGTGTATCCAAGAATAGAAAGCCCAGGGAAACAACAAACGAAGACGAACAACAACGCATGGAGATCCCGACTGAGTGAGCAAAGCATGACTTGAATAATATTCATGTGCAGTCGTATTGGTCGTCCCTAAGCCTACTTAACCCTACATGATCATCAAATCATCTCCATCTTCAATGCGCTGCAGTCGAATATTCTCCCTCATTACGAGCGAATAATTGCGGCAGGCACAAAGCGATATCAAGATGGTGGAAGGAGCTGCACTACCGTTCCAGCAGCAAGACCCTTCGCTGGTGGATCCGGAGTCAGGCACGATCTCCCCTGCTTTGACACACAATTTCGATGACCTCGTCCGTTTGATTGAGCTCGCAAACAAAAACTACAAGGTTCGCACCCAATCGCTGGATGCGCAGGCCGCCCGGGACTACCAGCTCGATTTGGACCAAAGGGGATGGAAGGTTCTGACTGTAGTGTTAGTGTACGATTTCGCGAAGAGTTCTGTAGTATCTGAAAAGCAAGTGCCATTGGTCATCATCACGAAACAATCTTCTGCTTCTTTTGTGTCTCGATGCAATGCAACAAGTACTTACGTGGCTATGGGTATGGCTACTCGCATGATCTTCGTTGCTTCGTCTTCACACCAGGTCCTCATACCCATTGGCACAGACGAGTATGGCTTAGTTGCTCATAGCCCGAACAAAAGTCTCATCGTTCTTGCGTTCGCCGGATCCTGTGGGCAGACCGATTGGGAGACGAATCTGCACTGCCGTGCGACCTACTCTGAGCGGCACCGCGGAGACGTTCACACTGGGTATCTAGCACGGTACGACGCACTACGAGATCAGCTGCTTCAAGTGCTCGCCTCGCTGCAAGGAGCTGTCACGCAAGCCACGAAAATTTTGGTCACCGGTCACTCCTGTGGCGGAGCGGTCGCGCAGCTGGCACTGGGCGAAGTCGTAAGAAAGACGATACATAGCTATGTCTATTGCAGCAGCAGAATGAATTTGTGCATCCCTTAATGCGAAAAGCAAAGGTAGACATGGAAACTGCAGGGCCTTGTGGTGAGTGCTTGTTTTTGTACACCTGGAATAAATGATGTAACTAAAATACTGCAGGTGTCTCTCTGCGCCAGCTCGTGGTTTGGTCGAGAATGGAGCAACGTGCTGCAGCCGAAAGTTTTTGGCTACTTTCTGTCATCTCCAATGGCGGTGACCTTCGCTACTGGTGCCTACGAATACCTGAACGCGATCGTCGGCGAGAAGAACATGGCGTCACAATTTCCGGAGGGAGACCTGGTGAAATGTTTTTTGTTTGTGTTTCAAGAGCCACGAAGATATCGAAGATTATATGGAACAGATTCAGATACAGATGTAGGAAAATAATTTGGCTTTGGTTTTGGAGGTGAGCGTGTGTGTGTCTTTGACTTTGACAGTGAAATTGTACGAAGGAAAGTAGCGAAAAATCTCTTCAGGTCGCCGCCACGGGCTGGGACGCAACGATTCAGGGCCTGCTTCGTAAACTTTCTCAGACGAAGGAAACCGACGCGGCGGCCATGGATCTCTTTGAGCAGTTGCAGGGGATCACGTGGGTGCAGGAGCTGCAGTATTACCGCCCCCTGGGCCGGTTTCTCGTCCAAACCGTCTCCGGCGGGATGGTCTTGCAAAAAGACTTCGGTAATGGGGCAAGTGCGTCAATGATGTCCGCAACGCCGCCAAGTTCTAGCGTCGCTGCAGCAGGGATGGGCAACGAAGACAGCAATAAAGCTGCTACGGAGCAGCCACTTGATCCGGATGACCTCTACGTGTGGGACACGTTTCGGCAGGCTCTTGCCGACTGCGGACTAGCTGCGCATCTTGGCGGCCGCAACAGCGAGCGCGAGTTTGTCCGGTGGATCACCGAACCGCCTTCGGTCAGTATCGTGAGAAAAATGTGTTACAGTTACACAGTCTCATGCAAAACAAGCAAGACAGACAACCTCTGTCATGCAGAAAACGCTTGCCAGCGTCATTTCATTCGTGTTTTCCCTTCTAGTCTGCGCATTACAAGTTGTCTCTCTCATGCAGAGAAATTTGTGTTGCTGAATTCACTACAAATGTGTAACTGTAACACTTTTTTCTTGTGATAGTCAGTCTGCTGGAGAAGGGGAACCGGTTGTGGAGTGACTGGAACGCGAAAACGGAAGAACGTGCGGAAAAATTACCGCCGATGCCAGCAACGGTCTTCGCCGAAGCGGGTGCATCTTCATCGACTTCCACGCCGTCCCGAGTGGAAGTTGGCGGAGGTCCTCGCCGTCTTCTCGCGTTTCAAAGTCCGATGTTGCAGGTGCCGCCAGTTGTAGCGCCAGTAGTAGGTGCTGCTGCCGCTGCTGTGGCACCCTCTCCCCTGCGCAGCATGATGTTCGTGCCTCAACAGGCACAACTGCCCGCAGCGGCATCGCCTTGGAACGGCGCAACAGCAGCTCAACAGCTACAGCAACTACAATACCAGCAGCCTGCCGCACCTGCGATCCCAATATCGGCGGGATCGCTTGGCAATACAATCAGACCAGTTGGAGTTAGTGCCCTAGTAGGGTCTCAAGTTCCCGGAGCTGCCTCCACATCAGCATCAGCCTCAGAATCTGCGCCAAATCAACATGTTGCACAACACCAGCAGCCGCATCCGATAGCCGCTCCCGGACCACCTGCAGGAGCGCAGCCCGTAGCTCCTACCCCGTTTCAGCAGAGCGGACCTGCTCCTCAAGCTCACCCGTCATTTATGACGACCAGGCCGCACGCCATGGGACGAGTCGAGCTCGCAGCTCCTACTTTGCACATGCCCTCGCAGCTACATGAATCACTCCCACAACCACAGGCACAGAACCAACCTCAAGCAGTCGCATTCCCGCAGCACCCCGGGCTGACGAAACCGCAGATACAACCCCCGGAGGTGAAAAAGGCGAAACTTCGCAAGTTCGTCTTCGTGGATCCAGCGACGGCGAACGAGGACACGAAGGGAACCACCGTCACGACAACCAGCGAAGAAAGAAACGGAATAAACGGAACAACAGTACCGCAAGACCCCGACGCTGGCCTCGTCGAGCAACCGGCTGCTCTCGCACCGGAGCCACACGCTCCGCCTGTTTTGTTTGCGCCCGAAGCTGGTGGGACTGCTGGTATGTCTGCAACAACAGGGCCTTCTTCCGCATTATCAGCCGCGGAGGCTTACCGCCAGCAACTAGCAGCGGTAGTTGCAGCGCCCGCACGATCACCTGGGGGAGGTCCTCCGAACGTCGGAGCAGTGTCATCAAGTCCCGCTGAAGCCGCGGCCAGTATTAAGCAGGCCTTTCTTGCGTCGTTCGCGAAGCCTGCCTACGTACCACCACTACAAGGACTGCAGGTAGTTCGAGCTTTTTCTTTTCGTTTCTTCTTTGCGTTTTCGGATTTGTTGAGTCGGTATGCGCCGTTCCCGCCGCTCTAGGATGTAGATGTCCGGACTTGATGCGCTTGCATCTTCCCGATCCCTGACCAGTATTGCGCAATTTGTTGTATATTATGTTGCCCACTTTTCATCTACTACTGCGCTTCTCAGTTGCCGTCTACGATCGCGCCGAATGTTGGAAAGGTGCAAGCGATGCTTCCTACATTTCGCGAGAAATTGCAGGCAAACCAGCGCTACTTCGCTTCGCCAACGTAGCAATCCAATTCGGCGGTAGAGAAGATTTCTTGTAGGATGCTTTCTTCTAACAACGATGGATGACGGATGACGCTGAATGAAACCTGAAGAAAGACAAAAAGAAAAACACGGTAAGCATTTAGAGAAAAAGAAATTCGCCAAAAACGAGGACACTTGCTTCGTGCTCTTCTTGCACCGTTAGCGAAAAACACGTTTCCAGTTTCTCGCCCGTTTCTGGCGATTCGAGAATTGAAGTATGAAATACAAAAAAATCGCATCTCCACGATGGTTCAGTATCGAGTTCGTTGCACATGCGCCACTTCGTTCCTCCGCATGGATTTTCTGGCTTGCACTGCTAAGTTAGATAGTACTAGTTTCTAGATGCCGTTTGTGATCGTGAAAATGTTGTGTGATCCTGCATTCAGACATCATCCAGGTGAGGCTGTGTCTTCGTTTCGTTCACGCTTTCGTTCGCAAATTTGTCAACAAAAACCGAGCTGCCCATGTTTTATTCGTCCATCCGTTCCTGATGATGTTGTCTTGAAGAAAACGTTCCGGCAGTCCTCGGTCATCCGTCGTTCGTCCTCTCCAGTAGGATCGCATTGTATTTTTTGTAGATGATCCTACGAAGAAACCTGACCTCAACACACTTGAGCAAGTATCGACACGTTCTTGTTCAACATTTTGACAAAAAAACGAAAAAGCTGACATACGCGCTCTATTTTCGCCCTGGAACAAACGAGAGATTCAATATTTTGTACGCGCACACATTATCTCCAACCTCTTTCTTTTCATCCATTTTCACAACAGCTCCTGTTCTGCCTGTGTTTCGAATAAGTAGCGATCTGTACTAAGAAAACTACATTAAAGCAAACCAGTAGTACCAACGCCAACCTCGTCGGAACAAGTAGTTTTCATTTCATTTCAACCTTGGTCGATTACGGGACTTCCCCCTTACCTATAAGCGTTGATGTTCCTCAACTAGTTAGCCATGCTCTGGTCAGTGTGGAGAACACGAGCCACTCCTCCCCTTGTTGGGGATGGGGACACCGACACCTCCAACTCTACTTCTTGACTCATCCTTTTCCTTTCACCCCCGAGCCCGACCCCCTCTATTTGAATAAAGTTTCCCACACTCCACGTCAACATGTTCGAGTCGGTGGTCGACGGGCTGCTCCAGACGTACCTGGCCCCGTACGTGGAGGGGCTGAACTCCGAGACGCTGCGGATCGGAATTTTCAGTGGGCAGATCGAGCTCAAGGCCTTGAAGGTCCGCAAGAACTTTTTTCAGCTGATCGGGGTGGACAGCCTGCGCGTCATCAATGGCGAGATCTCCAGCATTCGGATCGAGCTCCCCAGCTGGCGCGAGCTCACGTCCGGACAGATCAAGATTTTGGTCAGCGGCGTCAAGGTGGCGCTCCGGGCGCTGCACGGGTCCACCGAAACCACCCTGGAGGAGGACGTCGAGGCGCTCCGGCAGTCGCGGAAGCAAACCATTGAGGCCCGGGAGCAAATGCTTCTGAAAGAGTACGAGCAGCGGCAGCTGCGGGGGCAGGACGGGGAGAACACCGGGGAGAGCCTGTCGTTCTTCGCGAAGGTTGGGCGACGCCTGTTGGATAATCTGTTGATCGAGGTCACCGACCTGAGCTTCACGTTCATCGACACAGTGCGGCGCGTGGACATCGGCGCGGATCTCCCGAGTCTCCTCGTCCGCTCCACGAACGAAAAATTCGAAGTGTTAGAGCCTGGGGCGGGAGGTATGTCTACTTGGTTGATGAATGGTTCATCTCAGTCTTCTTTTTCGAATGCTGAGTGAGATGCTTTGTTTTCTTAGTACTTCATGATCTTTGCGTCTACTCATGTCCGCCTGAAAATAAAAAACAAAGTGAATCAACTTTCTGAAAAAAAACAAAATTTCACCAGGCGACGATGCTGCCGAAGCCACGACCACAAGTCCGCTGTTCAAACTTCTGGAAGTCAATGGCCTTGCCCTGTGGTTTACGGATGCCTCGCAGCGCTCTAGCGAAAAAATCAACGAACTGCGCGACGAATTGGAGAAGCCCGAGGAAAAACAGTACATGCTGAAGCCCTGCCGCTTAGCCCTGAAGCTTGCCCACGAGCCCGCCAAGGGCATGCTCCGGCTGCTCATCGACTTCACGGGCGCAAGAAAACACAATCCAGAAGCGGAGAGGAATAAGAAGGCGGGGCTGATGGGAAAGCTGATGGCAAAGGCTGGCAATGCTCTAGGTACAACTATTGCGACAGGGTCTCAGGGGGAGAAAATTTTTGGCGACCATGCGGACGACGACGAGGAGGATAGCGATCTGTATCAGGAAAACGGTCTGTCGATGACGCGATCCCAATTCGTGGCGATCATGCGTATGGTGACAAAAAACACCCGAGATGCGGCGAAGGTGCAGGACGCTCTGACACCCCCGGAGGTGCTGGAGAAATTCCCGCTTGCGCACCACAGGTACGCGCAGGAGTACATGTTCTTGTATGGCACGAAGCTCATGCGGGAGTACAAACTTCCCCCGAATTTGCGACGAGTCATCACCAGAAACGCGCATCGGTCGCTGAGAAAGGAAGACGCTACTTCGACGGCCCCGACCGACGCCGGACTGAACGAAGCCGCCGCCGCCGCGCAGGACAACGCCGCGTTTCAAGATGCTCTGTCTTCCTCGGAAAATGAAGAAGAGGAAGACGTCAACGAGCTGGACGATAGCGCCGCGATTGAGGAAAAACTAGCCTTGTTCGAGGATGTGATGAGCGCTTACCACATCGCAAAATGGCGAGCTGCGATCAGGCAAGCTGTGATCAAAACGAAGCAGATCGTCGAGAAATCGTCATCCGCCGCCGCGTCTGCCCGAGAAAAGGAAGAGCAGAAGAATCAGAGCTGGTGGGGGTGGTTTACGGGAAAGACGAAAGAGCGCGGCTCGCAGGCCGGGGTTGCACTCGAAACAGAAGAGCAGTGGCGGAAGCGGATCGCCGAGCAGGATAAATTAGCGGAGGAAGTGTTGCAAAACTTGCACAAGGAAGTGGAAACCGTGGCCGAAGTGGAGCTGCCGAGCCGGATTGTGGTCGGTTTCCAGTGCGCACAGTTTAGCGCGGTCCTGACGGAAGATTTGCCGAGCAAGCTGCTACAGCGGAACAAGCATTTGTCGACCAAGTCGCGCGATCTGCTCCGCGGCAACTTCACCGGGGCGTCTTTCATGCTCGGGCTGAACACGAAGCTGGACTGCCGCGGCAACGATGGGACGGAGCTGATCATCATGGTCGGTGGCGAAGCCATAGACGCCACGCACTACGGGAGGCCGGTGATTCGCACCAGAAGAAAAAAACAGACCAAGCGCCATCACGGGGGCGGCCTGCGGACGCAGAAAGCGCGGGACTTCTCCACCCAAAAGTTGTCGCAAAAGCTGTCCGGGTACTCCAGCCCACAACTTCAGGGCCCTCCGTCGGCGACAGCTCCACACCAGAACAATTTGGCGTCTCAGGACACAGCCTTCTCTGACGACGAATACGACGTCTGGGGCGACCACGACCTGCAGACCCCGGGGCGCTCTACCCCCGAAGAAATCCCGTCCCCACGCACGGGGCAGCTGAAACCGATGGTCATGAAAAAGCGGGCGAACAAGTACATCCTGGATGATTTGGAGGCCGCCATGATCACCGCCTTTGCGACGCAGGAGAGCGACATGCAGTCGCTTCGGGAGGACTTGAAGCAGCGGGGCAGGGAAGCGGGTACGTTCATCCTGTTCAACAAACTCGGCACCGACCGCAACGTCATGGGCCTGTCCTACGAAGCCGTCCCGGTGGGCTTCTTTCTTCGCCCGCTGATAGTGCCAAGCATCGTTTCTTTTTTCGACGTCAATGACGAAATCGTTCAGGTGCTGGGCCCGGATCCAGCACACTTGGCGGAACAGCAGCAGCATAAGGAACAACAGGATAACGACCTTACGGACCACGTCAATTCCGGAACCACTTCTGCTGGAGTAGCATCAAGCTCGACTCCTCTACTGCCCTCAGGTGCGCTGAAGAAAACTTCTCCGCTCGGGGCGGCTGCAATTTCTATGTCCGAAAGCGGTGCTGCTGCCTCGTCCAGCAGCACGAGGCAAACCCGAAACGAGCACGCAGAGCTGATGGAGCAACGGCTCGACACGATCGATTACTACCTGAATTACGCCACCCAGGCGTACGCGAACAACAAGGAGGAGGTGTTGAAGCGCATTCCGGACGCGATGGACTTGTACTTCTCACTGAAATCCCCAACCGTTGAGTTCGCGACCGAAAATCGTGCGACCGCGTCCTTCAAACTGGGCAACATGCTGTTCTTCAGCCCCGTCCCTTTTGCCATGGACAAGGCGCAGTTCCAGGTGTTCATGAACGACACCAGCTTGAAAGTGACCACGCCCCGGAAGGAACGGCTCTACGTGCTGAAGCCCGTCCCGATTTCGGCGACCATCCAGACCGACATGAGCGTCAACACTTTGGTCAACGTCAGCGTCGGCCGGTGCGAGCTCCACGCGGCGCCGCAGGCCGTATTGATCTTGATGGCCCTCCCGAACATGATCACGTCTGCGGTTTTAGACTATTCCGCCCCGGTGGCGGCTTCGGCCGGAGCAGTAAAGCCGAACAGCAGACCGCTTGCGATCGAATCCTCCGCGGTCTCCTCTGGGATGGGTTCCAACGCCACGACCGCAGCCGCAGTTGCGCGGGGCGAGAAGCTGGGGACGATTGATGAAGGTGGGAGAACAAAAGCTGCTCCGCGGCGCGCGACAGCTGCGGCACCCGCGCTCGCCGGCTTAGTTTACAACAAGGTACGGGAGCGCTTCACCGAGAATATCAGAAATGAAGATAGGGACGCTGCTGGTAACAAGCGACTCCGCGTGCACCGGGCAGTCTCCACCGCAACGCCGGACGAGCTGGAGGGCAGAGCCAGTGACGTTGTGGATCAGCTGGACGAGTTCGATCGCATGCCCTCGGAGGCTACGGAGATGGTTGCCGACCAGGAGGGTCTGGTGGAAGAACCCGATGCCGCTCCAGAGATGAACACGATGGTTACGGTCGGTGTGGAGAGGATCCTCGTTACGCTGGGCGACACTGTGATCCCCGTGTTGCAGACCCAAATCCGCCTTCCGGACCTCTTATACCACGCAAAGGGACTCTCCTATTCGGTTTTGACGGAGAAGGGATTGTTTATGGACGTCAGTATGTACAACACGCGAAACGGGTGCTGGGAGCCCTTGCTGGAACCCTTCTGCTTCAACGAACTGAGTTTGAAAGTGGAAAACAAGATGGTTCTCACCTTATCCGGCACACACCGACCCTTCTACTTGAACTTCTCACCTACGTCGGTCGCAAAGCTTTCCTGGTTCGCACCCTGGTTCCTCGGGGAGGTCTTCGGCACGTCTCCTGCAGCCACCGAGGAGGCCCGCCTGCAAAAGTTGCGCTCGCAGTTGTCCGGGCTGGGACCATCGAAAGGGTCCATGTTCCAGGACGTTCTGATGCTTGAGCAGCCCAGTGCCGCCTTGGAGGCCAAGAAGTCGATGGGCCTGGGCTCTATCCATTCGGATAACTCCTCCCGGGACACGCGAGATGGCGATAGCAGAATGACCGGCGGTTTTGATTCGGTGATTTCAAACGGAGACGAGAGTGACGGGCTCGGAAGTAGTCGCTTCCAGTCGCTTTCCTCTAACACAACGTCAAATGCAGCAGCTAGCCTCGAGCCCGGCTCGACCGTGCCCGCTTCGTCGACAACCGGTGTTGATTCGATCCTCGCCTCTGTTGCCGGCGGCAACAACGCCGCACAGCACGTCCGCTTCGATGTGAAGGCTTTAGAGGACCACGACGAACTCACGAGCGAGGAGGAACAGCAGCAGAAAACCCCGATGCACTTGTATCAGTCCCTGATCTTGTCCTTGCACCCAACCTCCTACCCGGCGTTGGTCCGCTCGCCCTACCAGGACATCGAGGACGCCTCCCTGCTGAGCTGGAACACGACCCGATTTCGCTGCATCAACGTGCTGCCCTTCACCGTCGCTGTGCGCTTCTTCCCCGCGGCTGACACCGCCGTGTCCACCGATCGGTCGGATCAAGACAGGTCCAGCTCGCGGCCGAGCGGATATTCGGGCTCAAGAACATCGAAGAAGCACGATCGCAATCAGACCATGTACAAGACGCAGTTTGGCCAGATGTCTACGCGTCGGGGAGGCGAGACCACGCCCGGAGTTGGTGGCCAGACCACGGTGCGTGGCGGGGCTTTTGACCTGGACATAGATGCGCTGATTGAACTCCTGCCGCCGCGGATGCCGGGAGAGGCAGAAACCCTGCTGATTTCCCCGGTTCGCGGGCCTCGGGACTGGGCCGCACTGGACCCGGGTATTTTGCCGACGTTGGCGGAGAGCCTGGACTGTCGGTTGGTGAAAGCTGCCGAGAATACCGTGAAGGTTCAGCACTGGCGAAACCACATGGACCACGCCGCGACGGCGTTGCTGACGCCCACCGGCGCAGTGACACCGGGGACAAAAGAGGTAGACGGCAGCGAGCCCGGCACTCCGAAACCCGGTGCCGTTGCACCCACCGGAAGCGACGAAACAAGCGGCACGGAGGGCGGTCTTTCCGCACGCCACCAGCTCAAAGCGCAGCGCGCGGCAGGCGTGTCGCCCGAGGCGCTCGGCAAAGCCATCGAGGCCGCTAGGAGGCAGCAAGACACAGCTCCCGACGGAAATAAAGTAGAACAAAACAAAAACAAACGCGTAGGGGGTGTTATGGCGCGCCGTCATCGTTTGTCCGTCTACCAGCAGGGTGGCATGGAATTTGGCAACAGCGTCGAGCTGAAAAACATTTGCTTCGTTGCCCGCATGCTCGCACCAAAAGCGTCCCACAAGGTGATGGTGCTCTCCAGTTCCGTAACGCTGCACAACCATTTGTCGGTGCCCTGCCGCATGAAAATGAACGGGGAGAACGCACAGCTGAACAGTTTAGTCAGTAAATGCTGCTTCCTGGACGAAGCGGCGGCGCTCGAGCGCAACACGTACCCGCGGAAGAGCTTCTACGAAAAGCACGTGCAGATGGACCTGCAGAAGCAGGAGAAGGACTGCCCCGTGAAAAAGTACCTCAACCCCGAGGAATACCTGTCCGTGTGTTCCAACGAAGTCCAGTTTCGCATTTTCGACTTCGCCTGGTCCCCGATCGTCGACCTGGCCCGCAAGCCGCAACAGAACGAAAGCCGCTGGTGCGTCGGCGTTTTCAACCTGCCCAAATCCAGCAAGGACGCGAAACTGAACGCCGAGAGCCCGAGTTTCAACTTTCTGCTCGCCCGCGAAGAAATTTTGTCCGGCCCGCCAATGAACAAGCCGATCCGTGAGATCCACATGCTCCCGGCGCTGGTCTTCGAGAACGCGCTGCCCTGCCGCCTGGCGATCGTGATCGAGGAGGTCCGGATTCGCGGCGGCAAGGACCGATATAAACCGGAGGACCTGGACGAGGACGGAAATCCAATAAAGCAGAAGCGGGTGCGGGTGGAGACGTTTGTGGACCCTTTGTCCGTCTGGCACTGTTACGAAATCGATCCGCGCTGCTACGTGCAGCTGCATGTGCGCGTGTATGAGGGCGAGAATGCGAAGCAGAAGAACCCGAAGATAAAGCTCCCCCCGTTTTCCCCCTACGTCGAAGAGTCGCGCCGCCGTCAGCACTTGGCCGCACAGAAGCGCGCCAAGGCGGAAGCATCCGCGGGGAACGAGCGGGCGAAAGCGGGCGTGTATGGCGCAGACCAACAGGCGTCGGAGGACGCGAAAAAGACGGAAGAGAGCATCAACCGACACGTCGAGGTCGCGTTCGAGCACGCCGGCATGAGCCCCTTCCAGGCCGTCGCGAGGCTGGGGCTGCGGACGAAAGTTTTCTGCCCGATTTGGATGGTCAACCGGACGGATCTGAAACTTCCGATAGACGCCTTTCCGTCCTTTGGCGGGAACACGTTGCTGGGAAACGTTATATTGGGTGAGGACGAGAAAGCAGAAGACGACCATGAGAAGCAGCTCCTGCACACGCTCGACATCGCGGGCCGCTCGGTCGAGCTCCCGGCGGAATACTGTGTGCTGGACCGGGGGGTGAATCTCTGCGTGCAGGCACACACCTTCACCGTCATGGGCACGCTCTGCCAGATGTTTCACCTTCTCCCCCGCCTGATCTTCCATAACAAGAGCGAGCAGGCGACCTTTGAAATCCTCCAAGTGCCAACAAAAGAGCTGCCTCAGATGCTCCGGGTGAAGGAAGAGAAGCGCGCAGAGGAGCTCGTGGCCCAGATGGAGAACAAGCTGGCAAAGCGATCCGTGTTAGTCAACGAGCGCAACACTTTCACCCTGGCCCCCGGCGGCATTTACGTCCCGGCCCAAGACCTTGTGGCCGTGCGCTTTCGGGTCCAGGGAATGAAGCACTGGAGCAGTTTGGTCGTCCTGGGCGACGACCAGGCCGGGGATTTTCCGTTTGTGCTCGAGGGTTCCACGATCGCGACGGTCGAAATTTGCCCTGACCGCGGGCGGTTGGGGGTGAATTTTTCCACCAATAGCAGTTATCTCGTCGAGAATTACACGTATGACTACTACATGGTGATCAACAAGTGCGTGAAGGCCGAGCCACGGAAGGAGGTGGACGCCTTTTCCGACGAGGACCAGCTGTACTTCGCCGAGTTTCTCCCGGGCGAGCAGGAACAACTCGACCAGGAGCAGCCACCTGCTATCACGAACTACGGCTGGACCGATCCGTTTTTCGAGGAAAATTTGCAGCTTCCAGAAGACGAGTTCAACGCCACCATGTCGGATCGGCAGCGACCACCGAGCTCGGTGCTGCTCAACACCGACGACGCGCAGCACACGCCGGGCCCGGTTGACCAGCGCTGGCTGGTGGACATCGAAATTCGGGCGCGCGAACGGAACGTGCTGATCGACCGCATGCAGATCTACGCGTACGAGGCAGCCACCTATCACATGAAGCCAGTGAGTCTGGAAAAACCGGAGGTGGTTGTTGCGAATAACAAGGCTGGCAAAAAGAACATAAAAGACAATATCCTCAAGGCCAAAAAAGGCTCGAAGCAGGCTCCTAAAGTGGAACGCAAGTCCGACCCGCTGATGCTTACAGTGACGAGAATAGGAGCCTCCAACGTGCTCCGGCTAGATCGCGACGAGGCGCACCACTTCGGCAGCCTCGCCTCGCGCAAACAGGAGGCCCAGAAATTTGAAGCGCGGGTGAATTTGAACCGCGTTGGGCTCAGCTTCATCTCCGAGGAGCGGAAAGAAGAATTTTTGTACATGCAGCTGGATTTGCTGCGCGCGGTGTACCTGCAGGAGACGGACAAGATGACCACGCAACTGATCATCTCCGACATTCAGTGCGACTGCCAGTTTCAGAGCCGCAAACGGGGGACCCTGTTCGATCCGAAGAGCAACGTGGCGCCGAACACGCGGACGCTACTCTGGGACTCCATCGACACGAAGCTCCCCGTGGTCTTCGGAAACCGCGGGAGCAGCACGGGCACCGTGCCCTTCCTCGAAGTTTTGATCACCCGGACCGCGATTGCGAGCCGCGATTTGGTCATCCCCGTGCTGGAGATCAATGTGGACGACATGGAAATCTCCATCGACGACGAAATTCTGCTCGGCTTCCAAGAGTACATGAACATCGACTTCTACGGCGAGCAAATGGGCGGCGACCTGACCGCAACAGGAGCCTCCTCAACGGAGCTGAGTCGAAGCCGCGGCGACGACGAATCTGGGGGTGGCTTCACCAGTGTCAGTGGGGGCGTCACGCCACTGCAGCAGCGAAGCATGTTGACGCGCGGCGACGCGAGCAGAAGCGGGGTCACTATGATGTACACGGAGAAGCACAGCGCAGACACGATCTTGGCACCCGTAAAAAAGTTGCCCCCACAGTTTCAAAAGTTCATTACTCTTCAGAGTGCTGAGCATGATAAAGACGAGAATTCTAGTACCGTTGACCTCGCAGCCGCAGGGCTCACGAAGCAAAAGCGCAAGACCAACCGCCAGCTGGTGTCCGCAGCGACGCACAAGCTTTTGCTCGCGAGGACGCCGCAGATGTGCTCCTGGGCCGAGTTGCAAGCATTCGCGAGCACGCCGATGGTTTTGGATCCGGGCTACAAGTTCCCGGAAGTCCCAGCGGTGTTGCAGATTGACCAACTGCGTATCTCCAGTATCCGCCTGCTAATCTGGGTGGAGCTCTTACTAGACAATATGGACTTCCTACCCGAGTCCGCCAAGACCGTGATTCGCGTCCTCTCTTTCGGCAACAGCTTCACAGTCGAGCGCGGCGAGCTGATTTTCGACGCCATTGGCGGGCCGCCTCAGCACCTGTCCACCAGCAACGTGTACGCGACCGCCGATGCCGCTGCCGCGGTGAAGGGCAAGGGTAAAAAGGGCAAAAATCTTGGCTTGCTCGGTCCGGTGCAGGAGGAAATCGCCATCGAGTCCGACCACAGTGCGGCCGAGTCGGAGAAGCCGGAGTACGTGGTGATTACGCCGTTCCGCGGTTCCATGCCAGTGTTTCTGCAGGGCCTGCTCTGCGAGTACACGCGCAACCTTCTGATCAACGTGATGAAAATCCTGGGCAAGTCCGGCACGCTCACCCTCGCGCGGTCGCCGTTGCAGGCCACTTCGAAGACCTTCGTGTTTTTCTCCGATTCGCTGGGAGGACTGTTCGCCGACGGCGCGCACATTTTCAACCACTTGACCTTTGATCCGGAGTACATCAGGAATCAGAAGAAAGTCCGGGCCATGAAGAAGGCCGAAATCGACGGTCTCATGGCAGGAGCAGGCGAAGCGCTGAAATCGCTGGGCGATGGCGCCGTAGGTTTGTTCGACATCGTCACCAAGCCGATCGAGGGTGCGCAAGAAGACGGCGTCGCGGGCTTCTTCACCGGCCTGGGGCAAGGGGCCATGGGCACGCTTGTGAAGCCCTGGACAGCTCTGGGAGGGGCAATTGCCGACGTTGGTACGGGCATTTCCGCAGCGATTGCCACCGAGAAGACAGCCCAGAATAGGAAAGGGGTAAATCTAAATACATTCATAAATCATATTATAATAGTACTCAGCATTTTGTTTTCATTTCACCAGGTCCAGTTCGTTGTCGTTGCTTGTGTTTGCATGGTTTTTTCTTTTCCTAGCTTGAGAATGTAGCTGCCACGCCATGAACATCCTTCAACAGCGGGAAGCAATGATTTCAAAAAATCAAATACGAAAACAGATGGCCTTCGCACGCACCCTGATCGAGCCAAAGCGCCTTCCCCGGTTCCTGAGCGGCAACATGGGCGTGATCGAGTGGTACGACCCCATTGCCGCCCGTGTGCTCCACCATTGCCACCTGTTTGTCAGGCACGCGGAGCTGATGGTGCCCTTCGGACTGGTTCCCACGGCCGAAGCAGGCGCGCTTGGCGACGACGCGGCCGACGTGGACTACGGCCCGGCGATGTACGTTCTCTTCGCGCACCCAGACCACATTTCCTTCGCGCGCGTTCCGATGCGGGTGGAGTACAAGAAAAACGCGATATCGCCGCTGGACGATGAAGAGGAAGAGGTCAACGTCCTCACCGCGATTGGCGAGGCCGGCGCGAACGTTTTGTCCGCGGCGTTGGTCTATCAACTGTAAAAATGTCTGGGTGTGGAAGATTTCGAAACTTGTGATGCACGTCTTGCATGAGCCATGATGTCTGTGATGCGCGCCCTAGCATCACATATTTTCGGAGGGCATCTTGATGCCTATTCCGCATGACAAATGCCCTATGTATCCTTGTAGCAAAACTTATACTCCTTTTGCTACTCATGCAGTACAGATTTTTTTGGAATCCAAATGCAGCATCACAAGTTGCATTCTTCCAGACCCAGACACTTTTGCAATCCATATGGTCCCTGCCGCGACGGCGGGAGCGCTGATGCAGAAGACCGCCGACATGATTTTTGAGGAAGACGTATCCTGTGTAAAAACGTCCCCGCCACCCCAGAGTTGTCATGCAGATTTGCCATGACAGGAACATTTGTGATGCGCAACCCAATGACAGGCATTTTCAATCGTGTTTGGGAACTTGTAATGCCGTAAACAGGATCAGAAGGTCGATTTGTGATGCGGCTTTCCTTGCTAACTTGCACTACCTTACGGACTGAAACTCGTCATGCGTGACTCGTAAAACTCCTGGGTTTGTGTTGCAAAATCCCCATCCTGACTCTGGTGTGGGTACGTTTTTACTCAGGATAAGACGACGATGTCTACAGCCTGGCTAACGTGGCGCCCGCCGTGCGAAACCGCATCAAGTGGCAGTGCTACCTCAACAACGTGCAGAAGGTCACAACTCAGAAGGGCGCGATCACGATGCGGGTGGGTGGAAAAAACCAAGACTCGAAAAAGCTGCCGCCCTTGAACTTCCTCCGCGCGGAATGGCTCCGAATGAAGCAACTGGTGGCGAATCAGGGCGAGACATTGTTGTTCTTCTGGCAGGAGTCAGCAGTGGAGCAGGAGCTGAAGTATTCCAACTATCAGCGGTACCGCCGAGCGAGGGAGCGCGAACTAGCGGCGCTGAACGAGGGTTGGGAGACGATCTCCATCGCCACAAGATACACGGACGACGTTCCCGCGGGTTCGCCCCCTGCGAACAGGTTCGCCCCCGCATTGCCAACGATTCCGGATATTGAGGAAGATGAGGCAGCTAGCGGGAAGGCACAGAAAAAACGGGGAATAAAGGGTGAAGCCGAAGGCGGACCTCCGGAGCGAATGATGAGCATGGAAGATTTTCTGTCTCCGGACCGAGAGGGCGAAGACGGACAAAATTCGGAAACAACGCTGACCACGACCGCCGCGACCGCTTCAAGTACTAGCAAACAGATGCAACAAGGCCGCGAGGGCAGTGCGTACTTACCAGAACAAGCCGAGGGAAGTGCGTATGACATCTTTCCCGAGTTTCGTCAAACTACGGGGACATCGTCGCAACAGAGCGACGACGAGAGATCATCTGCAGCAAGCTCTTCCAGTGTCAACAGCGGCACTAGCGATAGTTTTTTCCCCCAGAAACTGCAGGTCATTTCAAAGAACCCTGTCCGGGAATCCGCAGCAGAGGCGACGCTCACCGGCAGAGGGCCCTTCATGCTGCACCCAGGCACTGGCACGTCGTCCTCCAGCGCCACTTCGTCTGCTGCCACAAATAAGAAGAAAAAGAGCCCGCACTTCGACTTTGCACCCAATGCAAGGATAAACGACCAGGATGAGGTTGGCGGTGTGCGCGACATCGAGGACGGTGGTGCAACTACATCTAGCAGCTCCAGTCGCGCCGGTCAGCAACCACCTCCGAAGGGTTCTCCCCGTGCTGGCGGAAATAATAACGGTCACCAGCAGATAGTCGCGACGAGCAACAAGACGATCGAGCCACCGGACCACACGGTTCTGCGAGAAATGCTGAAAGTGCTCCGCGGCGAGACGCAGGAGTGGAAGCGGGTTAAAGATTCCCTAGCCATGTTTCATCGGGCGCAGCTGTATCTGGAGCTCCTCCTCCCTCACAGCAGGTCTTTGACCACCGAAGACAGCGGCAGCGTGATGACCAGCAGAATCGTGGAGTGCTACGAGGTCGAGCGGAACAAAGTGTTCGAGTGGGGCCCGGCGTTCCTGCCCACCGACGGCGACAGCCGGTGGAAGTGGATGTCGCTACAGATGGAAAAGCACCCTTTTCTCGACCCCACTCTAACCAGGTCGCAGTGCATCCGAGCGCGCAGGCCTCCCTTCGTCTTTTCCAAACTGTGGAAGCCCAAGGGACCGTGGCGAATCGTAAAAGATCCCAAGTTGACGGACCCGGAGGGCTGGACGTACGCAGTAAACTGGGGCAATAAGGTCTGGACCAAGGACGAAGGTATCGTCGACTACGTGCGGAGGAGAAAGTGGATACGTGAATTTCTGTAAAGAGAAGCCGCTCGTACCACCTCAACTGCTGCAGTTCCAAGAAACAGATGAAATACTTAATTTAGCGGGCGCCCTTGGAGGTTTTCCAGTGTGTAATAGTACAAGCAAAACACTAATTACAGCGACACAGCGACACCAATCTACTATCATTTCTACTTTTGTGTACCAAGATAGAAGAAGAAAAAAAAAGATAAGTTTCGCGATGCAAAAAGATGTTTTTGGAATCGTGTTCGTTTTTGTCATTACGGTTGACGCCAAAGGTGAATGTCGTTGATGTGGTCGATCGAACATTGAATACATTACCAAGCCTTAGCCTCTGATCGTCATCAACAATAACATCGTCAGTGCTGCAAAATAATCGTAGCGTCGTCTTCATAATGCGAAGTTCAATAAAATGAAATTTGTGCTGGCTCAACGAATCTGAATCATGATTGTCGTCATGATTTTTATCGTCAGTTGTGAACGAATCTCGTTTTGGGGCGGTACGTAAGTAGTCGTAAACCAGTCGTAGATGAACATGATCACCATCACACCTCCTTTATTTTCACGTCAGACGCGACAAGATCTTCGTCTTTTTGCTTCTCCTCTCTCTGATCCGGAAGATCGCCAATTTGTCTGTGGTCGTTGAGGTGTCGCATTTTTGAACGAACGGTACGCGCCTAAGAACGCAGTTTTCGTTTTCAATGTTTCTCTTGCGATCCCGAAAGATGAAGTGAAATTGCAGTCGTGTCCTTTTTTTTGTTTGAATTTTTTGTGGTTTTTCTGTTTTGTGTGTACTTGAGAACGTATCTGTATCCTAGTTTGTTTCAAGCTTTGAGCATCTTATTTACTTTGGAAAACAACAATGCCGGATTTCGGGTCTAGTTCTGCCAAGGCACACGGTGCCAACTACATGGACGACAGTGTCATGGTAAGATTTTCATTTTGTTTCTCGTCTCTCTTTTGTTTTTTGTATTAGTATCGTCTTACAAGAAAATTTAAATTAGACACGATGCAAAGGAATCGCTCCTATGTTGGTTAGGTTAATATTATGCAAAAACACACATGCATCAACAACAACAACATACAGCAAACAACCGCCCGGGAGCGAAAACTGCGGGAAAACGACATCGAGCGATGCCCGTTTTTGTACTCCACGGCGTCTTTTTCGCAGACCTACAGTATGGAGGCCGACGACGATCCGGGTCCGGGCACGTACGACGTGACGGACGCGTCCGCCGCACTGGGGCCCCAGTTTTCGTCCATGAAGCACACCGCCCCACGGGTGCCCATCCTCGAGAAGCACGAGTCCTCCTGGGCGAAGGTCTTTATCAGTCGGGCCGCCTCCGATGCCGCCGGGCGAGCGAAGGAAACCCCGGGACCGGGCACCTACGCAGTGCAGGTGGAATCCATTCCGGCCACAACAGGGGTACGATTTGGTCACGCGGCGCGACCAGAGCCGGGTTACACGAGCGACGGTCCCGGACCTATCTACGATGTGCGCGGAAACCCAAGAGAGCAGGGCGTCTCGGCGTTTTCTGCATCGGATCGGTACTACAGCAGATTTGCATTTGGATTCCGTTGCTCTTGTGCCGCATAAAGGTAGTGCTTGAAGATCATGATGCTCCTTCGTCTAAGTGCTGCTTTTTGCACCATTGACGTCGAATTAAGATCTCTTGTTTCTAACTTGTTATCAATAAATACCAGATGGGCGAGCGGCCCGTCGGACAGGAGCTATCTCGGACCCGGTGAGTACGGTGCGGGCGAGAGTTTCACGGGTCGAATGCGAAAAGCAAAATCTTTCGCGGAGGGTCGCGACAAGTGGGAGAAGGTGGTCTTTCCGGGCTGCGAAAAAGTCTTCCTCGGCCGTGCCAGTCTCGGACCCGGAAAATGCCATGCATTTCAAAGTATACAAATTTACGGTTGAGGATGTCTTCACGCAATCATGTCAAGTTCGCTTCGCTTCCTTCTTCTTGTCCTACTTGTGTTTTTTCTTCTAAAATCGAGATCCAATTCGCAAACTCCTAAACAGCCGGCGGCAAGACGGCTCCGTTCTGCAAGGCGGGGCGCGAAGGTCCGGGTGGCATGTGGGAGGGGCTCAAGCGGAAGGGCGAGATCCCAGGACCCGGGGCGTACAAGGTCGGTGGGCCGAAGCACAGCATTTTCAACAGCAAATCCGCCTTCAACTTCGGAAAGCCGCCACCTGCTGCGCGGTTGAACTGGAAGCGCCAAGTTTACGAGACCGCCTCCTGGTCGAGACTGGCCATGTCGAAAAACGAAAAATCGCAAGCACGCGGATGAGGTGACAGCGAGGAGAAGAAAATAAAGCGAGCTTGATTATCGAAGTTTTTTGTTATTGTTTGCATCCAAAGTTACAGGAGTTTGCTCATCCTATTACTAATTGTTCTGTTTGATTGACACTGAAAAATGTAAAATGTTTGCACAAGTTTGACGATTTTCGTTTGTTTTGTTTTGATTGACAATTTGCACACTATTTGATTGACAACTCTTTGATCAGCCAGATTCACATCCACTGTAATGTTTCACTTTGAATAAATTTGACGGTACTTGAACCTAGTTTCACAACAGTCGAATATCGGTGTACAAAATTTCAAAATTGAGAAGTTTCGAAACTTGTAGATTTAGGTGTTGACCTCCACGACGGCAGATGCAGTAGAAAATGTACAGCTTTGTGGCGTGCCTGCGTGGCTGGTGGAGAAAGTGGGTTCATAAAAGGTTGTGGCCCTCGTCCAGGTCGAGCCACCAGTCTCCGCGATCTCGTTGACTTACTTTTCATCTTCTACTGCCCTTTTGTTTGATTCCAATTGATCACATTTCACACACCACTCATTCCTGTAGTTCTTGTTTGATTGTGACGAACATCCTGTACACCAGTTTTTTAGTGCCTAGCAAGAAGAGGAACGATCAGCGTGATGATGTTACTCTGCTTTCAAAACTTTTGAAGAAATATAGAGCAGCGAATTTGAGCTGCATCACCAATAACCTGTACACTACAAAGCCAAAGAAAGTATCGCAACTACGAAAACCCTTACTGCGCTGGTGGCACACGCACAGCCAGTGCAAAAGTAGCAGTGTCACTGCTACAAGTTGTTTTGCTGGTTCTTGGCGATTCCACCTTTATGGTTGTTGGCGTCATGGTCATCATCACGAAGAAGAATAGGTGGAAACAAAGATGACTTAAAGATCAGAAAGTCAAACTACGAGGAAGTAATAGTTCTTGAACAAGTTGATGTTGAACAAATTCAAATAGAAATACAAAAGTGACGCCCCAGTATCAAAACTCAAGGAGGAGCGAGCAGTGAGCAGACGTTGACTTTTATTCCACTTCTGGAAGGACGACGTATGCGTAACTAACTAAGAGAGAAATTAGAATAAGATCCGTTCTTGCAAGCTGCCAGTCAGCACATGACCGCCCCAATTTCTGCTCGTCGTTCCAGCAACATGTTGCTACGCACTTTCGTGAGTGTAGCAGCAACTCAGCTGCTCACCATTGCTCCGACACCCAGCGCCGCGACGAAATATCACAGGAAAAAGTGTTAACGTTTGCGGAATTTGTGATGCGGCAATGCATTACAAAACGTGCCCAAATTTGTCATGCATAGCATGCATACTAGGCTAGATTTGTAATACATGGCTGCAATCTGTGAAAACCGTAAACGTTGACATTTTTTCTTGTGATACGAAAATGATTCCGATCATGCTTCCTGCAAAGAAGGTGACCTGCCCCGAAATCGAAGTCGGGAATTTTTGCGGTGGGACGAGTCGGGAGCAAACTCCGACCTATGCCGCTTACCAGAGCGACCAAAGTACAGCCGCATCTCCTTATGGAGGACACAGCCCAGGAGGAAGTTTTGGATTCAATGTCGGCAACATGTCGCCCAACGGCGCAGGAGCTGCAGGAAGTCCGTCGAACTTTCAGTTTACGGCTGGCGGCGCAGTCAGTCCTTCCTGGCAGATCGGCGTCAAGTCAATGCTCGCGCGCGGCGGCAGCGCGCCTCCCGTAGTGCAGCGCGGCAGATCGGCGGGCGAGGTCGCGTTTACTGGCGCAAACAGTCAGCAGCAAGGAAGTGCTGCGGCGCGCTCTGGTTCGGTGCCGTTGCTGAATTGCTGTGGAGGCGGGGGGAACAACAGGGTGTATAAACGCCCGGCTGTGCCAAGTGTTGAACCCACGGCGAGGGCGCAGAGCATGTCAGACATGCCAAAGCAGATGCTGCACTACATGAAAGATCAGTACTACAAGACCTCGTTCGGACGCGAGAACCCCATCACAGATTACGTCGATTTTACCAACAGCGTCTTCCTCGGCCGCGGCACGTCCGCGGTGGTGGTATCCGGCACCCTGAAACGGACCGGCGCACCGGTCGCCGTGAAGCGGTTTCCGAAGCGCAAGGACAAGAACAGTTTTGTCACGTGGACCGACTACTTGCAGGGAGAGCGCAGGTTCGAGATCGACCGGGCCCGGGACGAGTGCGAGTGGGCGCAAAAGATACAGGAGGTCGCCGGAAAAACCAGGTTGTACAAGGGTATTACCTTCACGATTTTTCTGTTTCGTTAATAACAGGTCTTCCAATTGTAAGTACGTCTACTACTTCTCCATGTACTGACCTTTACAACCTGTACAGCACAAGCTCAAGCATGCACTTACAGATGCGTGCCAGATCTGTGCCCCCTTTGCTTCTAAATGTGATAGAGATAGTGATTATACCATGCAGGGTGAAGTTTTGCAGGACGGTGCACTGGTTTGTATCTTTCTTGTTTTCGCTTTCGGTGATTCATAAAAAAATCTATAACCGCGCAAACGATCTTCAGTTTCAACCTGAAAAGATCCAAAAATCATTTTCCGGGGGCGTCACCCCGGGAAATAAATTTTAGATTTTTTTATGTAAGAATGTAGTGAAAAATCAATTTGATATGGTGGGACAAACCTTCACCCTTTCCTCATTTTATAAGTGAACCACTACCCTTTGCATTACTATTAATTTTTATAATTATGATAATTGCAATTCTGCATTCGGTCTGGTGGCAGCTCCATTTCTTCCGCTTTCGTCCTCGTTTTTATCCGTTCACCTTCGTCGATCTCGATAGCAAGAGAAGAAATTGCTATTCATTTTGCATCGTTGTGTTCTCGTTTCGTCATCGGTTTTTTTTCGTCACAGCCATCGAATCGTTGAACGGGACGGAGATGGCGCGAAACGGATTGGATGAAGGCGATGATGGGCAACCGCACCTGAAAGATGCTTGAGGTTTTGTTTTTGATGAGAAAGCACTTATTTTCATTTTGACCGCAAGGCGAATCGAGCCGAAAGACACGCACTGAAATCAAATTGAAGCTGAAGACGAAAAGTGAAAAAGAAAATGAAAAACAAAAAGCAAAATGAAAAATAGTACGATGCCGAACAGACGCAAGGCAGTCACAGGCTGGCCGTATCTGTCGAGCGTGTCGAAAACCTTCACCGCTCCGCCCACATCCGCCGTGTTCTCCATCGTTGTTCATTTTGCTGTGGAAGCTGCCTGTTGGATTTTTGTAGTCAGCCTTGCTGCACTTGGCCAAAGTGTCGGCTTTTGTTTTGGGTCGGAACTAAGAACCAGCTAGCACCTGTGGTTCACATCTTCGGAGTCTTACTCTTAATCGTTTTTGTTTTTCCACCTTCGTGCTCAGCTCCAAAGTAAAAGTTTAAGGCATTGTCGAGTTTCAATTTTAGCACAGAGAAAATCTAGAAAGTAGAAGCAGTTTTTTTGTCATCGTCTTATCGAAAGTCAAAGTCTAAGTCGAGAGTTATTCTGGTTTACCTCGTGCTCGTGGGTCGTGGTCGGAGTGTCGTCAGTTCGTTGTGGGAAAGTAGATCATGAGTTGCTCGCAGGATATCGGGATGGGGTCGCGGCCGTGAGTTGTAGAGTTGTATCGTGGTCGTGCTTTTTGTTTTCGGTCTTATTTGCTCGCTCGCGTTAGGACCTTGACCTTGAGCTTGACCTTCACCTTGACCTTCGGCCTCGACATCGAACAGCGCGCACTAGTACGGGCCCAGAATTAGAAATAGCACTACAGTACTAGCAGCAGTCTATCTTTTCTGTTTTTCATTTTCTTCTTCTCACCCTGACAACTGAGGATGAGTTTCATACATCCGCGAGTCTAGCTCTAGACTTTTAGTTCGATCACAGATTTTGATTTACGTTTACGTTTAGACCTGCAAAAGCGTTTACAGTTTTAACCCAAGAAAAAGCAAAGTAAAAACATCATGCCGCCCTCTCCGCAGTATGGCGAGGATGTGCTGTCAACTTCTGGGGCGAGGTTTGCGCATCTCCAGAAGCTGCTTGTTTTCTATCATCCTACTGCTCCGCAATCCGCCGTCGAAGTTGGGATCGAAGTTGGGTCGAAGGTCGGGAAGGGACAACCTGGAAAACCAAAAACGAAAACGAGCAGAGACGGTGACAAGGCTGCAGGATCAGAAAGCGAAGATGCGGCAGTTCCGAAGAAGGACGCGTTGCGAAAACGGTACGACGTGTGGATCAACGAAAGTCCCGCGTTGCGGTGGGAGGACTTCGCTCGGATTCAGTGCAAAAAATTTGGAGCACCGTATTCCCGCGAAGAAGAAAACCAAAGCCAGGGCGAAGGCCTACTCTCTCAGCGCGTAGGCCCGGATGCGGAACAACAACAATCACAGCAACAAAAACAAGCACCTACTGGCACTGCTGCAAATGTTTCTTCTTTTGGCGCAGCGATGAGCCCGTCGGTGCAGATCGCCGCCCAATCATCGCGAGACAACTATCTGCGAAAGCTGCAAGACGACCGGCCCAAGGAGCACCTGTGGTACACTTTGGGAAAAAGCGGCGGCACGGCGCGAGCGCGGAACAAGACGGTGCAAATCACCCGCGACGCGAGCGCGCACAGTCGCCACACGAAGACGACCCAAGGTGCCAAACTGCGGGTCGTGCATGGAAAAGCAAAGCCATCTTCTTCAAATACGCGAGCACTGTGTCCGCGACGGAAGAAGCAGGTCGTGGCTCAGCGGCGACGTGGAGATCTCGGGCCACTGGATGAGGAAGACGACCTGTTGGAAGACGACAACCCGAATCCGCCACCACGAAAAGATCCGGACGAGATGACGGACTGTTTGACCGAAATTTCTGAAACGGACACGTCGTGCATCGAGTCCAGCAGTGACGAAGGCGAGGACAACAGCATTCAGACTGATGGGGATACAAGGCTGCACAACAAGCGGAGCGCTTTGTTTTCCGATGGTGTTCGGATCGCGGCGGGTGGATGGTCGGAAGACAAAGCGAAGAAAACCGCCATCAAAGAAGAAAAAGCAAAGGTGACCGAGGATGGGAACGATCGCAAAGAGGCTTCGAGAGCGGAGTTGCGGTTTTTCGACATCGCGCGGATCTCCGGCCGTGCCCGCATGATGTCGCTTCTCGTCTCTACCGGCGTGGTTGCTGATGATCGAGAACCGCGTCCATCCAAAAAAAAAAATGATACAAACGAGTCGCAGGAAACAACAGGCTCCGGGAAGACAGCAACTTCTTCAACATCTTCATCCGCAAGAGCGAAGCTCGGCTTCGCAGGGCGGGCAGCTGCAATGAAGCTGGATCTGGTGAGCAGTGGGTCTGACGTCGATGATGAACCTGTGTCGCAGATGGACTTGGACATCGGCGGTTCGCTCGCAGTTATTCCCGAAGATGAGGAGGGCGTCTTTCTCGACCCGAGTACCGGGTTGGAGAAAAATGCAGACGGGTTTCGCAGCGTGACGAAGGACCGGATCGCGAAAATGAAAACCAAAGGAGCCAACAACAAGCAGGGCAGCTCGAGTTCCTCCGGATCCGGTCCACTGAAGCTGGACCCTGTCACGGGGTTGCCGCTGTCTTCCACGGGAAAACGGCCGCGAAGCAACACTATTGAAACGTTGCTACCGCCATTAGGTACTTGTGCTTCTATCTTCAGCCTCTTCCTGTTTTTGGATTTGCATTTGATCTACCACTAAGTCGAACTCTAGCAAGCAACGCGCGCAAGTATCGTCTAAGATCGACGCTGACACTTTTGCGCATGACAGATTGGGTTTTCAACTTTATGCTTTTCGAAAGCGACTTGCTTTCGGTTTTGAATTTGATTTTGAAATACATAAAGTTGAATCAAACCCATCGAGCTTTAGATTTTGTTTTTTGAAAAGCAAAAATGTGAAGATGAAAACGACATCGGTTTCGACTTTGACGCTGCAACGGCTTTTCAAAAACAAAACAAAAACAGAAGAAGACGAACACGAACCCACTAGCAGCCTGTTTGCTGGAAAGAGCGGAGCTGCATCTGCGGGGCAGGTGCAGACCCGCAGCGTGTTCATGTTGAATCCGGAGAATCTCGCGCGGGCGGATGCAGCGTCGGGCTTAGGCGGTAGCTTCGGGTCTTCTTCATCCTCGCGAGCTGCGGGGGAAGATCTGCAGGCGACTATGAGCGACATGTTCCGCAATGCCCGGGAAACAACTAGCATCTTCGGCGACGCGGTGACGATGGACGACACGGCGTTGAAGTCTGCGGGCCCGACCGGAGAACTGACAAAAAGCGGGTACCAGTATGGGCCGGGGGTCAAAGAAGATCTCGGACAAAAGGAAAAAAGACCAAGAATCGCGATCAGGTGCAGTCCCGATGCGACTCCATACGACGAGATCAAAGCCATGAATTGTTTCGCGACTTTGTTCAAGAGCGACTTCCGCGACCCGATGATCGTGTACAGCCACGACGTCGCTCTGCCGACAATCTCCACGGCATCGGGCGCGGAAAGTTTTCTGCAGGACCTGTACGAGGCTGCTTTCTCGGTGGGTTTTCCGTTGCCGGGAATGTGGTCGAAACTTTGCAGGCTGGGAGGGAAAATTTTGAAGTTTCGCCCGTCGTTAGTAGTTACTAGTGACAGTGGGTCGGACGTGAAGAAGGGGGTGAAGATGATGATGCAGTGGTGCGAGGCGCAGCGGAAGTACGACGCGGAGGAAAAAGATGGCGAGCCGCATTGGACAGTGTCGTGGTTGCAGTGTCAGCTCCACTTGGCGCACATCATAGGCGGAACAATCACCAGCGTAGCGTCGAAGTTGTTCAGTCTGGACTATCGCAAAAGCGTTGCCGCGGTTTCCAAAACTGTGAACTTGTGGACTGCACCGAGGAGAACAGGGAACGACCGCGGAGGGAGAGGAAAGAAAACAATTGAGGAGCTGAAGAAGGAGTTGTACGCCGTCGATGCAGAGCAGCAAAAACTCCTGGACGGGATGACAGCGATTGACCGAGAAATCTGGCACAGCGAGCGGATTCAGAGCGACCCGGTCTTGCAAGAAAAGCAGGCGAAGCTGGAAGAAAAAGTGGAGAAAAAGAAAAACCCGGTGAAACGAGTGAAGTCCTTCGTCCGCACCCGGTGGCTGAGTATCGGAAAGTGCATCAAAGGTCTTTGGACACAGCAGGAGGAAATCACAGCACGCATCCTGGACCGGACTGATAAGGATTTGCAGGATAAGAACCGAAAATTTTTGCAGCGGGCGAAGAAGGCGATGCTGGCGCCGCTGTGGTGGTCGGGTCTGCGGATTCTCCACCTGCTGCTCACCGAAATTGACCGGGTTGCTGGTGTTGTCATGCATTCGACCAGCAAGGAGATGGACGGCGCCTCGGTGGAAGCGTTCGCCAAACATCTTCCCAGATGCCACTCCGTCGACTTGTGCCAGCGTGTCGGGGAGTTTTTGGTTACGCTCGGTGGGCTGGTCTATCGCGGCCTCGAAACAGTCGGTCTTGCGGGTCCTTTAGTCATTTTGTTTTATACATTGGCTAAAGAGCTCGACATCCGCCACCGCCCGCTCCGCTCGTGGCCGTACCGACTTGCGTTTTTATTTTCTGCGGACCAGAGCGAACGGCTGAAGACCATTCAGGACCTGTTGAAGGATTGCGAGAGCGAAGCTGGTAGGAAGGACCTGCCGCTGGAGGTTCGGGATTTGTATCGGCTTTTCCATCTGGAGCTGAAAATGGTTGCGGAATCGCTCAAGAAGAAGAAGAACATCGGGCGGAGCCGGGCCTTCGTTCGAAACTTAGCGCCGATTATTCGGGCGTTTTTGGCTTCGAGCCAAATCGCCGAATCCCTGAGCTCCACTACCAGCTGGATCAAGCGAGAAGCTGGCGGTTTAATCGGAATGCTTCTTGCTTCTGCGCGTTTGTTTACGCGCCGCGGAGCAGGGCGGGACGTCGACTTCGAACAGTATCTCTTCGTTGAGGACAACGCCCGATGCCAGAAAGCAACGATGCAAATCCGAAAGGAGTTGCTAACCCACGGGATACACGGCGCGCCGCAGATCAGTGATAGGTCGGATCACTTTCTGCGGAACCCAATAAACCCGCAACTCACGCCGGAAGCGATTGTTGCGGATTTTTTTGAAGTTTTGAACCGGCCGGACTGCCCGGAGGCGCCGAAGTTGGCCACAGGCGACAAAGCAAAAGGGAAAACTAGGGAAAGGCAGCAGTACGGCGCAGCGCCGCTGAGCATGAAACTCTTTCAGTTTTCGGTTATGGACATCATCGGCATCCCCAAGTACGACAAAAACAACAACGCGAGAAAAGGAGCGGGCGCATCAAACTACTTCGTGTTGGAGAAATTGAAGAAAGACGCGGTGCTGTGCGAGGTGAACATCGTGCAAGGCGGGATGAAGGAGAAGGGTCACGAGGTGAGAATGGAAATTGACCTCGACGCCCAGTGCTGGTTCTCGGACGCTATTGGCGCGCGGAAAGAAGACCATCCCTCCAAGGCAGCAAAAAAAAACTTCAAAAACAAAAACCCGGAACTGCGCCCGGTGGTACTTGATGGCCAAAACGTGCTGAAGTACTTTCACATCGACACCAAGCAGCGGCGGAAGTACTTCCAGGTTCGACAGACGGAGGAATCTTATGTGGAGTTTTATTTTCAGCACCGGGTGCGGGCCGATGGAACACCGGATCCAAATCCGACGGCCTATCCGGGAAACGAAGCAGACCAGATTTGGGCTCGGGGTGAGCTGGTCCGCATGGAGTGGAATGACGCTTGTTTGTCGAAGGAAGTCGAAGAAACCAACATCGAGGAGAAAAAGTTGAAGAAAGCGTTGAAGCAGGACCGGCTGGATTCTCCCACGCGGCGAACGCGAGAATCAAAGTGGAACCTCGTACCGCTGCGGACCCGCGTCCCCGAGCTTGCAGTGAGTGGTCTAATCGGTCGCGGATACGCGATCTACCAAATCGAGTCGAAGACGTGGTGGGGCCGGTTGAAGAATGCAGTTCCTTTTTCTCGGGGTAGTGTGCCAGCTGCTAGCGCCGCAGCTGTTGCTCCGCCGCAGGTTGCGCCGGACAACAATCCGAAACCCCAAGCGAAGCAAACCAAAAAACAAAAGAAAGCAGCTGCAGCAGGCGACAGTAAATCTGCAGGCGCGAGTGCGCGCGCGGGCGCACAGGTGGGCGCGGGCGTGCGCGCGCACACGCACACGGGCGTGCAGGCGCACGCAGGTACAGGCGCGGGCGCGCAGGCAGGCGCGGGTGCACGTGCAGGCGCGGGCGCGCAGGTGGGCGCGCAGGCGGGCGCGCAGGCGCACGTGCACGCGGACCCGCACGTGCACGTGCACGCGCAGGCGGGTGCGCAGGCGCATGTGCACGCGCGGGCGAGTGCGCGTGCGGACGCGGGCGCGCGCGCGCACGAGGCGGGTGCGAAAATAGTCGGACATGCTGGTGCGGAATTGCAAGCGGAAGTAGTTTCGGAGAATAAAAGTGGTGGCGACGGAAAAGTGAAGAAAACGCCAAACGGTGGCGTTTATCGGGATCGGTACTTCGGGGGGAAGACCAGAGAGGCGCTGGTGAAAAACATGATCGAGTACGAAAAGGGGTCGAGCGAGTCGTACATCGCTCCGGCGGGTGAGGATGTGCTAGTTGCTTCCACGACGCTAACGGCGTACCTGAAGGACAACAAGCTATTTGCAAAAAAACAAAAACGCAATGACAACATCGAAATGAATTCCGACGACGAAAGTACCTACGAGTCGTCGGGAACCGACTCGGATTTCGACGAGTCTGACAGTTCTGACGAAGACTAAATGATGGCAGGGTGAGACGCTGAAGGCAGTGCTAGCGCTGCGCTTCTGATGTAAAACCCGCATGCGCTAGTAGGTCGAGCACTGCTGCAGCGTAGTAGTAAATTTTGTTTGAGCACTCACCTCCTTCTCTTTGTTTTGAAATTAGTTTCATTTTTCTACCTCGCGTTAAGATCCAGCATGAAGCGAATCTGTCATGCAAAATAAACGAAAACCAAAATTAAAGCGTGTACATTTTTACTTAATGTTGCTTGAAATAGGTGGACAGAAGCTCCATGCAATAAGCTATCCACCGAGCAAAAGACGAGAGCTTCTTATTATTTATCAACGAGGCGCAACTAGGCGAATTTGCATCGCAAACCAATAAAATTATGCACAATAAATCGCCGAACTCGAGATGCAAAAGTTGACTGCAGTACTGCTAATTGCATCTGTTTTATATGTACGTGTATGATTTTTGGCTCTAGAGTTTTGATCTTTTGATAGTTTTAGAATAGGAAAAAGCTAAAAAGTGCATCGAGATTTGTCATGCTAGAGCTAGAATCTTGAAACAAAATTCCTACCTGTGCGAAGATTTCTGGCGTCGTTTGGAGGTGTTTGAGCTCCGTTTCGCCGCTTTCTCGTCCTGCAGATCGAGGCAGATTCGTGTGTTCCAAAGGGCAAAATAGATGAGATCGAGGCTGTCCAAGACTGCAGCGAACCGCTTCTGTTGTTGTTTTTTGATGAATGTGGGTCCTTTACCGAGCTGAAAACTGATGACGTTCGACGCCAATCGAAGGCGATTTTGTATGATGAAACGACAACCAAAAAACAATGATTCAAAAACTAAATTGTACGCAAAGGGAGGTCGATCACTTCCAAAGGGACAGCCAACACATCACGAAGTGGCCAGGATCGCTTTGGAAGTGAAGGGCCTCCCTTTGCGTACAATTTAATTTTTGAATCATCATTTTTGGGATCGTTTTCCAACGTCCAACTTCGACTCATTTTAAGTTGTAAAGCCATCTCGTTTTGATTTTTTTCATTCTCATTCACCACCAAAAATATCATAGTAGGAGAAGAAAACCAGGTAGAAAATAAGCTAAGACCAAGTAAGTTGCGACCTATTTTCCATCTCTGTCAACCGGAGTTTCGTGTAAAAAAAGTTGCGCATCGACGTGCTTTTTGTGTAAAAAAATACTTATTTTCCATTGAATCCACCTCGAAAATGCCGCTTCCGACCGCAGCGGAAGTGAGCGACTTTGTCTCGTTACTGGATGCGGGAGAGGCTGGAAAGCCCGAGGCCGAGGCCTTTATGGCTCGGCTCTCGAAGCTTCCGTTCGACAGCAAAAATCCGAAATCCGTCGAAATTCCTCTGACCGAAGTGCACGTGTTGCGGAGCGGGCGCCACCCGCAAAACCGCGTTACAAACCCCGACAACCTGAAAACGTTGAAACACGCGATGAAAAACAAGGGCAAAAAAGGAGGATATGAAGGAATGAAAGTCGGTACGTGCAAAATGTTTTTTCGTTTCACATACATTTTTCGTTCAAAAATATTAGCGCTCACTGTCATCCTATCGCGCAAATGTCTCGTTCAAAACTAGAGCTGCGTTGAGAATTTGTATTGCGCGTTTTGTTTTCTTTGCATCATTTAGATCGATAGTCTCTATGTCAGTCCTCATGTAGATGTACTTGCACATGCACAGGATAACTGAAACCACACCCGCACGCAAACAAGAATAAAACTAAAACCCAATCCTAATACCAGTTCTCTTTGCTGTCGATTACGGCAACACCGGAAAGTGCGAGTACGTGTGCGCCTTCCTGCACGGCGGACATACGATCCTCGCCCTGTACGAAGAGGGGTGGTTCGATTTCGGGATCAGTGTGATTTTACTCGACCCGGAAGTGGACCAGTACGAGGCTACCAGAGAAACACGCGCTACTGCAAAAAAAAATGGAAATGCAGCAAGATCAGGAGCACTTCCTTATAGTTTGACTTCGTTATCGTTTTGCACAAAATCAAAATTAAAACTTGTTATGCAAAAAGTGAAAAGGAAATCTGTAATGCAAAAGATTTGCCACGCAGAAAATTTGTAATGCAGAAAAAATGAAACGCCATGCAAAGCGTCTTGCTCTTGTGCCATTTCTTTTTGCAGTAGCAGCTGTTTCATTCCATAGCAGAATTAATCTCGCAGTTCGTGCTCCTGAAAAACGACGAACCCGTCGGAGTGGCTCCGTCCTGGCTGGAAGTCATCAAGCGCACCGCGCGGGTGCGTTTCCTTCTTTCATTTTAGATGAAGCTCTTAGTCGTTGCAGCTCCAACTCCATTCGTTCCTGCGTCTCCAGCTTCAGCTCGATCTTCAAAAGTTATCCTTTCTGATTTCCATTCTGCAATGCAAGTTGTAATGCTCCTTCATGTTTGAGTGTGGTTTTCGTTTTTCATTTACTTTTTCGCGATCTAATTTTCGAATGAAAAAATGAAAATCAAAATATCAGAACGACGAAGCCTATGCGGAACACGAGGAAAACCAAAAAGCCAAGGGCAGAGAGCCCCGCCCCATGGAGGAATGGACCGAGGGCCAGGTGGGAAAAGAGTGGAAGGGGCAGGTGAAGACTTACAAGCAAACGGCGTGCGCAATGGTGAAGAAGGGTTTGTTATGCATCGAAAGCGAAAATATAGCACCAGCAGGTGGGGACAAAAGCAAAACCAAAAGTGAAGGGCATGTCTTTTTTTCATCCGCATGACACAAAAATAAAAAAACCAAGAAAGCAGATGCTTGTCATACTGAGAAATTTTTTGATCTTGGTTGGAGCCTGTCATGCAACTGCAACTGCTAGTGGTGCAATATTTTTGAAAATGCATGACCGTGCCACGAATGGACCATGTTCGGAATCGCGATCAGCACCCAAGTGCCGCGGCCGCGGGAGAAGGACGAGCACATGACGCTGTTCAGCTTCGCGCACGTATTTTTTTACTTCGTTATCGTTTCAAAATCAAAAATCAAATTCAAAAGCAAAAGTAGAGCTACGCTGTGGATTAGCATTACAAAATGAAAACATTTTTCAAAAAATTTTTTCGCTCAGAGTCAGACTTTCGCCTCCCGATCCGAATCCATTTCGAAAAAAATAAAAACTAAAAACAGAACAAGCTGATGCGCGTGGTCATCTACGACGAAGAAACTCCGGTGCGGAGTTTGCGGCTCGATATGCACTTTGCGATTTGGACCACATTGACCTACGCTTGCGGGAAGCCGGAGGACCAGGTCAATCTGCAGGAGGATGATTTGAAGCGGCTGCGGAGTCTGATCACATCCAACGTGTCGGCGTTGAAGTTTGACGACTTGAGCGAGCAGGCGAAGACGAAACGGGACCCCGCGGCGATGGAACAACTGACTCCGATCTCGCGGAAGGAAACCAGAAACAAAATCATCCAGTTGTTCCGCGCAATGAAGACGTTGAAAAACTTCTACGGTAGTTTGAAGTCTTTGACTTTGGGATGGACAAGGCCGATCCGAAATCGTACGAGTTGAAGTACAACGGAAACTGGATCATCCCGCGGGACTACACCAAAACGCAGCAAGAAGTTGCGGACGAAAAGTTTCTGCTGAACGAGTTGCCGAAGCTGATGACCCAGATCCACATGTTCACCGCCAACCGCTGCTCCGCGTTGACCCTCGCCGTGTGTCTGGCGGACAAGGATTTCGACGAAACGCCCAGCCTCGCGAAGTTCATGTACGTCTGCGACCGCGAGGAGAACAGCTACTACGTCGAGAAGCTGACCGGTGCGGAACCGAAAGACGCGAAGGACCGGATCCAGAAAGCCGTGGACCAGGACCTGCTCTTGTTGCCGCTGTACGCGAAGCATGACTGCTACGCTTTGGACGAAACCGTGGATGTGCGATCCAACTGGGGGTCGAAGCCCGGTAAGAAGACTTCCAACAAAAAGGGAAAGAAGGACGCGGAAGCGGAGGTGAAAGTGCAGGTACTACTCCTAACTTAGTTGTTTTCTTTTCAGTTCGAATCTGACGGAACATATTTAGTTTTTCACTTTTTTGCTCGCATAGCAAAATGCTTCTTGATTTGAAAATGAAAATGAGTTCACGTGTGCGCGCGCGCACGTGCGCGTGCGTGCACGTGGGTGCGCGTGCACATGCGTGCGTGCGTACACGTGCGCGCGCGCCCACCTGCGTGCGTGCGTACACACGCATGCATGCGCGCGCGCGCCCACGTGCGCGTGCATGTGTGCGCGCGCACGTGTGCACACGCGCGTACATGCGTGCGCGCGCACACATGCACACGTGCGTGTGCACGCGCGCCCGTGCGTGCACGCGCGCGTGCGTGTGCGCGCCCGTGTATGCGCGCGCACGTGCGCATGCGCGTGTTGGTGTTCGTTTTCATTTTCAAGTCACAAAGAACTGCGCTATGCGAAAAAGAAAAAGTGAAAACCAGAATTGTTCTGCTTTTGTCTGACTCGTTAATAGTTTTTTAGTTTTAGTTTTACTTTTACACACATTTTTATTTGCAAACTTGTGATGCAAAAAAACAGAACTGAACTTACGACGTTGCCATGTGACTACGCATGACAAACATCGAAAAAAAAACCAGGTCAAAGAAGGCCAGGGTGCCGAAGAGGAGGAAACCGAGGATCAGAAAAAGTCCCGCGAAAAACGTGAGAACGTGCTGAAGAGCGATCCGAAGAAGGCCAGCCAGGAGTTCTTGAAGCAGAAGCCCTTCCGATCCCCGCTGTGGTGCTCCGCCGTGCCCAGTGAGTTCGCGTCGCAGACGGAGGGGGAGATGCAGAGGAACGCCGAACGTGTCCCCCGCCTGCGTATCCTCGTGAAACCCGACGCAAACATGTACAAACCCCCGACCAACGACGGAGAGGAGTTTCAGCTGGACACGCTGTTTTACTATCCCCAGAAGAAGAAGCTCGGCGGTGACTGGGACTTTCAGGACGACCTCACCCACACGTTGTCGCTCTCGTAAGATTTGACTTTTTGAAAAAAATTGACATTGACTTTTTTCACAGCATCACAAACGCATAAAAAGCACAAACAGATCTGAAATGGCACCGCGTGACAGATGCAACATGACACCAACACTCTTTTCAATCCATTTCGATGCGAGCACTATTAGCATCTTCATTGCCGCTCCACCGCATGACAAACGAGAATCACAAACAATGCATCACAGCAGGCGCGTGAACTATTTTTGGAAACCGGCCGACAACAATAAAGTCGACCGGTTGACCATGATCTCGTGGAAGACCTGCGAAGTCCCCTTCTGGGGAAAGGATGGGAAGAAGACGTCGATTAAGTTTCAAGTCCCGGTGGAGGCGTCGGTGAAAAGCAGTGGAAACCCAAAGAAGGCGAAGCAGAGCAACATCTTGTGCTGAACCCCAAGAGACTACGGGTATGGAGTCGGAGACGGACGGATACGAAAATCAAAATTAATAAACAGGTAAGCGCGCCTACTCATACACCTACCTCTACTTTAGATTTAGTTTAAGTCTTTGGCTTCTTGTTCTTTTAGTTTTAGAAACCACGCGAAGCTTTGAAACATCTTGCGCGCGACTTCTCGTCGCGTTCAAAAATTTTTGGTTTTGTAGCGGCTTCTTTTCGGTCGTGAAGTAGACACTTAGACTCAAGCCCCGTTGTTAGTCAAATCCCAATCCCAAAAGCAGCACCTACTCCCACTGACTCCCAGTCCCACACCATCACAAATTGAAAAAAATACGCAGGTAGTCGCAACAGCACTACGGCCATGAAGGTACACAGCAACGGTCTTGCTCTTCGTGGTTTCAAGACTCTTCTTCTCGACATGAGCATCAAGAAAAGCTACCACAAAAACGAACTGCTCTTCCACGACGAATGCAAGTGATCGACTATTTTTCCTACCTGCTGCGGCTGCGCGGTGTTGGTCAAGTTCTTCTTTTTGGAAGCAAAGGCGCGGAGGGGCGATGGCGGTTGATCGGTGGGAAATGCCACGCAACCTAGGAGGAGAAGTTTCCAACTTTCACAAAGCTGCAGCCTACCGGTTTACTTTCGATCTAGATCTAGAAGCAAAAAAAAACATGAAGTTCTTTTGTCTTGCACAGTGACAATTCAGATTGCGTTTCGATTTTTTACGTTCGCGTTAGATTTCAGTTTAAAGCTTGAATCTCAGGAAGCAAAGCCTTCAAAGTAAAAACTACTTACGACTGGTCGAGCCCCAGATCGCCGACCTAGATTGTGACTTACGTTTACGCTTACCGCTACTGTCAGTGTAGCTCGACTTCATCATTAGTTTTAACTTTTAAGTTTGTGTCTGTCACCGACTCAGTAATAGTCTTCAGCTACAGTTTAAATTTCAAAATCTAAATCATCATCCTCATCAACAAACAGCTTGTTTGTCAGCAGCGGCATGCTTGGCCTTTTGGTCAAAGCGTGGCCGTGTGCTTTTTCGCTTTATTGAAAAAACAAAAAACAAAGCTACAACCTAATCTTCGTTTCCACCTCCGGGTGTAGTCATGCGACGGCTGCTACTTGCCAATCATCAGGCCCTCGGGTCGTACTAGTACAAGTACTAGATCTAGAACTAATTCTAAGACAGGCAAAACCAAAATTAAAATTTTCAGGAAGGCGCTAATTTTACCCCAAGCGGAAGAGGAAAGGTTGAACAAAATCAAAAAGCGAGCGCGAGAAAGAAATCCGCTGCACCTCTTCCAGTATCTTCCACTACTAGAACTAGGAGTTTCGAACTCGATGCAACTTGTCGACTTTCGCTTTCATTCTTTGCGACGGCAAGATTGAAGTAGAGGCGCATCTTCACCAATTGCGATGCGGATGCTTTTTTCTTCGACGAGGTGGAGGCTCGAAGATTTTGACTATGAGACTCTCCTTCTCAACCTTTAAATTTTGAATGTCGACCTGTACCTGTAGACTCTCGAAACCGAAAAAACAAGAGCCAAAAAATGGGCCGCGTTCTCACGATGCAATGAGAACGACGCGAAGATGTTCGCGCTCGTGATCGCCTGGCAGTTTCTGAAAAAAGCTGAAACTTAGAGGGAGATGGATGGATGAAGAATGTGAAATCGCAAAGGAGATCAGACCGTGTCTAGATCCAAAAAAAAGAAAGCCGAAGTTCCGCCAAAGACTGGAAGTTGATCGCCTGGATCCAAAGCAGGCGACCGCTCAGCTCCGAGGGGTCTAGAAGATCAAGCGAAAAAAAAAAAACGTGGATCGCCTGCTTCCACCTACAAGCTTGGAGTTTTTGGATCTCCTTGCACTGTGCGTTTTGAATTTTTCCTCATAGTTTTTTCTTTTTCATTTCAAACTGTCAGGGACCAATGTACTTCTACTTGTGCCTGTAGGTCGTTATCGCTTTCGTCTGAGTTTACTCTAGCTTCTCGCTTCCCTCCACAGCAAAGAAAGTAGTTGCCCTTCCGTCTGAGTTTACTTTTTTTCTTTTCCCTCGAACCTGATCTCGGGTAGCGTAACTTCGATTCCGATCTCTACGTTTACTTTCTTTTTTTGCAAAAGCAAAAAAACAACATCAAAATGTCGGACCAGAAAGCGAAGCTGGTGAAGCTGGGCCCGAAGTGTGCCGTCGATGATGACGAGGATGGTCCGCCGCCGGGAGGGGTGCGATTTAGAACCATACACGGGGCAACACGGGCGGAAGTGGAAGAATTACACAAAGACGAAATCAACAAATGGGTCCCCGCGAAGAACGGACACATGAAGTGCATTATGTTCTTGGATGATGTTGACGAAGATGTCCCCGGATGCACCCAGGCGGAGATGTGGGTACTAATGCTGGCGCTTTTGTTTTTTTGTTTTGCATTGAGAGGGATTTTGCGTTTTCGAGTCGAAGTCTAAATTTCAAACCTAGCAGTGGGATCAAACCGACAAGGAGGAGAACTTCGTGGACAACCTTTTTGGGATGTTACGGGGCCAGACCAAGCGGAGAACCGGGCCAGAACAAGTGGAAGTGGATGCGTCCGAGATGACGAAACAGGAGCAGCCGGAAATCATCAACCTGATTTTCAACATGGCGGAATCTGATGATAACGCGGCCTGGGCGAAGGCTTTTTTGGTGGACGAGGCGACCGGTGGTGCTTACGGATCAGCTTCTTCTTCTTCTTCGACTGGTTCCGGAATTACTCCTGGTGGAGCTTCTTCTTCTTCGCGCCCGAACAACGAACAGATGGAAGAAAAGACGAACGACGACGATGCGAGCGAGGAGATGGAGGTGGAGGCGGAGAGCACCCCGACCACCAAGGCCGGGAAAAAGAAGAAGAAGCAAAAGACCAAGAAGTAGACATCTTTCACCTGTTCAGCGCGTCGAGCTCGAACGGAAAAGCGTCGGAATCGGCACAACAAGTGCTTCTTCTACATCTTCAGCTTCTAACTCTACTGCTAAAACAAGAAGCTCAGACTTTTGATGACGCGAATGGCAACGAGAAACAAGCACAAGTAGATGAAAAAAAAACGACAACGAAATGCAGCCGGAGCTGTGAAATTTTTTATGGGTGTGTTCGGCGCTCCCTTCGGTGTCTTTCTCCTTCGTTGATGGGTGTCATTGGTCTGACGATGGTTCATCGCGTCCTACGACATTGCCCCGACCACTCTGACCTTCCACTGAAGCCGGCGCAAAAATGGAATGCAACAGTCGTCAGGACCGACGTCGTTATATAAATTCAGGGGCGTGGGCATCCTTCTAAACACCCACTTTTCGCATGCCAAAGCTCAACATCAAGATCAAAATCGTATTGAGAAAAAGTGGCAAATCGGTTCAAAAAAAATAGAAGTGAAGACGTTCACGAACAAAGATAATCATGCCAATTTTCATAGTTATAAAAATTGATAGTATTTCAAAGGGTAGTGGTTCACTTATAAAATGAGGAAAGCTGAAGGTTTGTCCCACCATACAATTTGACCTATTCCAGTAGGACATTCGTACAAATTTAAATTATGTGTGTGTGTGTGTGTGTGTGTGTGGTCGTCGATGCGCATATTCCAATAACCGCCAGCGTGCTGTATAATGTTATGCTCGACGCTAGTACGGAGGATCGATGCTTAAACCAAAATTTCACTGGCTGCGCCCATCACGCACGACTGCACTTTTCAAAGCACCACTGGACTCATCTTCCTCACAAGGTATTGGACGGAACTTCGCGCATTGTTTGCGAATGAACATCGGCGAGGTGGAGATGCGACCGCACACCGATCCGGACACCGGTTTGCTGAATCCGCAGTGGCGGGAACTGGGCCATTTCGAGATGCACGCTTTGTCCCCCCTTCCGAAAAACGTCGACGACGAGCTGTATCTGATCTACCAGTTGGCGGGTACCCCCGTGGTCGACTACCTCCGCCAGCAAACGTACCAGAGCAATAGCAGCGGGCTCGGGTTGGTGCGCGAGCCGGAGATCTATGCATTGGAAATTTTCCGTATGTGTACAAAATGCATGACAAATTTCCCTAACATGGAGTGTCCAACTTGTCATGCTGAGGACCAAGATTGAAGAGAAGGAAAGTTTTGTCATACATAGCATTTGTACGTCGTGTACGGGAAATTTACTGTGGATAAGACCATCCCGATGATGCTGCAACAGCTGGTCTTCGCGGTATCGTTCCTTCGCGAGGAGGTAAAAGCGGTGCATCATGACTTGAAAGCCGAAAACGTTCTGTGGGACGATATGCATTGCAAAAGCATCGCACTAGTTTGATTTGCATGACAAACCTTTGGGAGAACGAAAACGGAATTTCTCATGCAGATTCAATTAAGAGCCTGGTGATCTGTCATGCAAGATTGCGAGTACTACAAGTGCAATACTTTTGCCCAGGATAGAAAAGACCGAGAAGCGAATCGTCCTGATCGACTTCGGCTCCATGTCCGCACTTCTGTCCGAGGACGAAGTCCGCGAACACCAGCAAGCCTGCTCGATCCGCATGGTGCCGCGCACCGCGGAGGACGACGCGTTGGACGAGGATTTGATGAACGCCGGGGGCTTTGGCGACGGGGGGATCATGTCCAGTTGCGATTGCTGCACATCAACCAGCGGAGTTGGTGGTGCTTCTTCTAAACGCGAAGGACAGCATGGATTTCGCAACATGGAGATGGACCTCGACGAGGTGCGGTCCATCAGCTACCAGCAACAGCAAGAACAGTCCTCCCTCTTCTGCTGCCCCACGACCGGCAGCTCTTGCTGCGGCCCCTCGGCGAAAGATAGGTTTATCATCGATGGGCAGGATGTGGGGAGAACACACAAGTCGGCCATGGTTGTGAGGGACCACGGACGGCGGCTCGATCGAACCGACGGCGACAGAAAACGGCAAATTATCCGTGGCCTCGGGCACACCCCGCACTCGATTCAGCAGTGGACCCCCGGATTCGCGCCGATAGAAAAGGAGGAAGGAACCAGTTTGCAGGCGATGCAGACCGCGAGCTCCGTGGACATTTTCGCGTTGGCGACACTGATGGGGCAAATTTTACTGGACGGAACGAACCTGATCATGGCACACTACATGCAATTCGACGGGTTGACCAGGAGCGCGACGGCAAGGTTAGCTGCTGGCGGGGAGAACGCGCCTGCCCGATCCTCTACCTCCGCGTCTACTTTTTCCGGCGCGCGGGTGACGCCACAGGGTCAGCCGGTACAACGGGGCCAGCCACGCGAACTTATCATTCAGGACCAACAGCAGCAGCCGGAGGTGCAAGTCATCAACTTGACACCCTGCTGCCCGAAAGACAGCCAAGGATTTTGCAGTCCATTGTGCTGCATGACGCCAACCATGACGATCGACTGCACGGAGTGCTGTGGAATGTCTGCAGAGAAGCAGCTCGAGCTGTACGGAAACGGCAACAAACCGGTGGGGTCGCGGTTCCTGGCGGACGGACACAAGACCAAAAAACCGTACAAAATCTTCTGGGCCGAACTGTTCGAAGATATCGCGGACTCGGATATAGGTCTCAAGAAGCTGTACATCACGCCGCGCGTGAAGACTCGACAGGGCGCCGGTCCGCACATCCCGCCGGGAAAAAGCAACGCCGTACTGCAGGCATTGGTGGGGACGCTGCCGTCACAGTGGACGGATGCCTTCTTCATCTTTTGGCCGCGGTTGTTTTTGAGTCACGAAACGCGCGTGAACGCGTTCACGATCATGGCGATGTCGGTCTTCCAGGAGATCGATCCAAATACCGGACGCTGGCGAGCAGTAGCACAGGGCGCCGCGGGAAGTTCTTCAACACCCGCCGGTGGTGCTGCTGCTGGGCAGTTGTTCACAAAAGTTGTTGGGGACCGACGCAGCGGCCCCATGGGCGGTGCAAGTGGACCTGTGCAGCAGGGTTTTCTCGGCGCAGCGGCCGCGGCTGGTGGAATGAACAGTCGTGGCGCTGTTCAGGTACAAGAAATCGATCCGCGGGACCCGAACCGCGGGGCGAAGTACCAGCAATTTATCATGACCATGGAAAACGATCCCAATGGTCCCGTAGGAAACTGCAACTGGCTAACGCGCTTGCTCTACAGCTGTTGTTACTCAACCGAAGCAACAGGAAACACGCAGGTGCAGTGGCAACAGAATCAGTGAAGGTGGGGAAAGAGATACCGATACCATCTGAGAGGTGGAGGTGGTGGGCGGCTAGGATGGAATAAAGACCAAGCTACAGCTAGCTCCTCCTACTTAATGAATATGTATTTCAACGACCAATTTTTGTATTCATGTTCTTACTTGTTTTGGTCTACCAAATAAATGTTGAAGAAGTCTGGTTTATTTTCAGTCTGCAATCTGAATCAGTTGTTTCTCTTTCTGACGTTCACGTTGCGTCTGGTGACTTGTTTTTCACGACCTGGCGACGTTTCTCTTGAGAAAATATATGCACCGTGCGCAGTGCATGTGCAGTGTCAATGAGAGCGGAGCGCGCAGAAATTTTCCTAATGATTAGTGTGTGTTTTTACACTCGCCAAACTTCCTACTTGCTATAGTCTTTTCTTTTTGCGAAAACTCAAACCTATGCCGGTGAACGAGAATAAAGTTGTCTGTGTTGAAGTTGTCTAGAGGTAAAAAGAAGAAATTGAAATTGGCCTAGTTGACGAGGTCCCCTACCGCACATGAACAAAGTAGTTTCGGCTTTTCGGTCAAAAATAAATTGCCGCAGATTGGTGCTACTCCGATGCACATGCAGCCTTGTGTCTCCCTGCTCTCCACAAGGCGTCATTGGAATTCGGTAGTTTTTGTCGGGCGGCCTCTCATCTAACTACGAACCGACTAGCAGGAAAGTAAGGATCTTGATCTTGCAGGAGATTATGATGGCGAAAGAAGTAGCTGATAATTGAAACTGCAGCTTCTCGCATGCGTAGGCTTCGAGCGAAACATCATCATGAGAGCGAAGGTTATACCTCTGTCTTCATAGCAGACGAGTGAGCATTATGAGCATCTCCTTTACTGCTTATGGATAGATGAGTATGGCACCCATCAGGTCCTCTATTGGAACGAAGTCGCTGGCCAACGCAGCATTGTGTTGGTTGATGCGGCCGCAATCTCCCGTAACTAGAACAATACCAAGCCACTGAACTACCACATTGACATTCTACCTTCAGACACGAGTCGTAAACAGTGATAGGAACGCAAAAAGCACACATACCCTACACCATCATGCTGCTCCAGTCGGGCGCCTCTAAAGAGGCACTGCGCACGCTGATCGTGGGAGGCCGGGGTGGTATCGGGACGGCGTATGGAAAGTTCTTCAACCCTGCGAACACGGTTGTCACCGCGTCAACACCGAAAAAAGTCGAGGAGCTGAAGGCCAAAAAGTTTGCCAACGCGCTTCAGTTGGACTTCAACCAAGAAGCACACTTCAAGAACTTGTCAACGGAGCTGAAAAACATGGATTTCGTTCCCGACCTTGTCATCAACTGCACGGGCGTACTCGGCCTGCCACACACGGACCCAGCGAAAGCGGAAAAAGGCGAGATCGTTCGGCCAGAATCTTCCGTGAAAAAGATAACGCCCGACATTCTGCAGAGGACGTTTCTCACCAACGTCTTTGCCAACGCATTGTTGCTGCGGGAACTCGCCTCGGGCATTTGGAGCAAAGCGCCGAAGGACCACCCGCTTCTTTTCGCGTCCTACTCCGCCCGGGTGGGCAGTATTGCGGCAAACGAATTGGGTGGGTGGTACAGTTACCGGGCCTCTATCAAATGCAAATATGTCTGGGTCTGGAAGAATGCGCGATTTGTCATGCTGCTTTTCCATGACCCATGGCATGGGGTTTGGAATGCAGGACCTAGCATGACAGTTTCTGTGCGATCTCTCTCATGCCTATCCTGCATGAGAAAGTCCCTCCCGGCTTGGTCAAAACTGAACGACTTTTGGTAATCATGCAACACAGATTTTTGCATGCTGCAGATTTAGCATGAAAAGTTGCAATGTTCCAGACCCAGACATTTTTACATTTGATAGCCTCGAAAGCGGCGCAAAACCAGTTGATCAAGACATCCAGCTTAGAGTTCAAGCGGTCACACCCGAAAGCGTGCTTGCTTGTCGTGCACCCGGGGACCGTGGAGACGACTTTGAGCACGCCTTTTGTTGGAAACGCGAAGAAGCAAACGCTCCAGTCAGAGGTCCTGGATGACGTGGAGAAGCTGTCGGGCTACTTTACACCCGACGTCGCCGTGCAACTGATGTGGAATAATGTTTTGAGCAAGGTCGGGCCGGAAGACACAGGGAAATTTCTCGACTACGCGGGCCAAGAAATTCCGTGGTAGGTAGTCGGTTTTACTGCTCGACGCGATGCTTTATGTGTGGTGATGTGATGAAAAATTCTGATATATCCACTTCTAGAGATGAATGCCGCTTCTGGCATCTCGACATACTAGCCGTGCTGAAGTATGCAGCAGTAACTGGTTTCAGTGTCGAATATGTGTGCAGATCGAGATCCTCGCTTTGTTGAAAGAACAAACACCTTTCAATTCATTTTTTTGTACGGACGGCCCGCGCGTCGGCGTGGGCGTCGATTGCCGGCCTCCATAATTTGCTGAACTGAGATTCTTTTCCAAGTTTCACCGCGCGAATCAAGTTTTCCATTTTCGCCCTTTCGCAGTCGCAGATCGATTCTGTCACGCCGACGCATTTGCAGAAAAAGGAGAAACGCATGCTCCACAAAGGTATCGTCGAAATCGTATAATTTCGAGGTGCATCATTGTCGATGTTCGGATACTGTTCGAAGAATTTGAATTTCACGAGAGTTGTAAAGTGGAGAGGAGGAAGGCGAGCGTTTGGCACGCCCGCCTATGTGGCGAGGCATTTCCTTAACGTAACCTGCGCGTGGAGGGAAGGAAATAAGGTGTACGACCCGTAGTTCTACGTTGCTCTCGTTTCCATTTGTTGATCCGCCTTTATTCTTTACCAGCTGCTGTTTTTAGAAGTTTTGCGCCAGCGTATTGTGCCAGCAAAAGGTGACTGGACTTGTTGTGCCTACCTTCCCTCTGAGTTATCGTCCGACGATGTTTCAGCCGACGTGCTAGAAGAACAATTGTTGCTACCTTTATTCTGTTCCGTTGCTACGTCTACCACGCAAGTGCAACACGACATGGCTTCGAGACCGAGCACGATGTCACCTCCCGGCAAGCCGGGCGACCGCCCGACTTCTTCCTCGTCTCTACCGCCGGCAGAGGACGAACCCGCACCGCTGTCCAACTTTGCGCAATGGGTGCAGCGTGTCATTCTCGCGCTCGGGGTAACCGTTGGTGAAAAGGAGTTGCAGTTGGCCGGCATGGTGGAAGAAGCGACCACAGATACGGTTTTTGGATCGCTTTCCCTCGTTTTCATGATTCTGCAGCAAAACATTACAGCCTGGACAGACGTTAGAAAAGAGGCGGGTGATTTTAAAGTGATTTTATAGAGAGGGGGCGCGTTAGGTCTTTGATTTTCCAAGCTCGCCGGCCTTGCCTGCACTAGGCGCGTGGTGGGTATTTGCCTGAGTAGGCTAAGGAATTGCGGCGGGCACTGCATTGTGTCGGCGCTGTTTGTCCGGTGGATTTCGAAAAAAAACACGTCGCAAAAACATCGCGAGCAACACGAAAAGAACGCGCTTTCAACACCACTGCGCTTTTCTTCTTTCGCTTATGAATTTGCTTCGTCGTTTTTGTGCGTGGATGTTGCAAAAGGCCAGCCAAAAAAAAACACCGAGCGCCATCGTGAATAATTTTAAACCGCATGCTACGGCGTCATCTTAAAAAAGCCGCTGTTTTGCGGGTCCAAAAAGTTGCACAAAAGTTGCTGGTGACTTTACAACAAAAAAAGATGCTTTGGCTCTCCATTTTGGAGCCAAAATATCGACCATAGCGTGCGGGTTGCCGGGACGCAGCCCGTAAAGTCACCGCAAAGTCACCCTAAAGTCACCGCTAAAGTCACCAACATCCGGACGGCAAAAATTCCAAACCCAATCCGCATTGCAAATTGCCGACTTGGCCGAGTAGAATTCGCATCGAAAAAGTGCCAATCTCGGTGGTAGTAGGGACATCGGCAAGACTTAGCGGCGTCAGTTTTGGTCTCGTGTGCCGAAAAAAGCAGCGCAAAAATTGAGAGCGCTCGCCGCGTTGCAAATTGCGCATTTTGCCTTCAGAATTTTTAAAAATTATGCCTCAAATGCCGATGGTATGGTGCTTGTTTTTTGGCCCTCCTTTGTCTCCTCTTGTTGGTATCTTCTCCTTTGCTCTCAGGGACAAAAGTAGAGAAATCTTCTGAAGGCCATGAGGCGTCTTTTTTTCGGCACCATGCTTGAGAGTATAGCCCTAAAATCACTGGAAAATCACCTATAGAGAGTCTAACGGGTGTCCAAGCTCTAAGCAAAACAGCGACACGCGCGGCAGTCTCTGTCTGTACTACCTGGAAAATGTCCTGTACGCGCACCCAAATGCGTTGGCTTTATACTTCACGCCCGACATGGTCCCTATTCTGTTTTCCACCAGTGGCGACGGCGGTGGAGATGACCTGCGTGCAGGGGTGCTACTCTGGCGGCTGCTGAAGTACAAGTACGAGTCCTCCGGGCAGACCTACCCGTGCGAATTGGAGGCGTACAAGCTTCTGCGCATTTTGGAAAAGAGGAACAGCACGAAAGTGGTTCGAAAATTTTCGCCCTCCTGCATCCGGTACATTCTGGTGAAAATTTGGGCCGACATTGAGCCATCCCGGCGCGTCGTGGAAAAATTATCGGACCGCCAGCGGCGGGAAGACGAGATGAATGGGAAGTTCAATAGCCCGGTAAACACCAAATCTAAGCCTCAGCTCGCTGACGACCACCCGGCGGACGACTTGTCGTTCGTGAGGCCAAAGAAACAAAACACGACGGCGGTCACGAACCCCACGACCGTCATGCTGGACGTCTGCATGCACTGGTTGGCGGAGACGGAGGAGCCGCCGGAGAGCAAAGCGCCGCTGCTGGAGCTGCTTCGATCGGTCGTCAAGGGCCAGAGCGCGGTGGAAATGACGTCCCAGCTCCTGACCCGGTTCTTCGCGCTGCTTTCCTCAACCGCGGTCACGGGGTCTTTGTCGGACGACCTGCAGTTTTCGCTCGCATTGGTCGACTGGGCGGAGATCGGGGCGATTTTACCCGCTCTGTTGCAGCCGTTTGGGGAGGACAAACTGGTCGCGATTTGGACGTTCCTCTGCACCATGCACCCCGTGAAACTCCCCGAGCCACTGCAGATCAACCCGTCCTGGCACTTCTTCAAGGCGGAACAGCCATTAATTCGCTTCCAGAAGCTGCTCGCGCAGCACTTCTTCCAGCGGAGCTACCGTTTAGGTGGGTCAGCCTTGGCGGTGCTGCTGTCGTTAGCCACGACGGAACAAACCGGTGTCGTCGCCGTGCGTTTGTTGGACGAGCTTGGCGTCGCAGGAAACTACGAAACGTTTCTCCGGGCGTTGCGCGAGAAAGCGGCAATCCATTTGGAGGTTTTGGATGACGACGACGAGGAGGAGAAGGAGGAAGGGGGAAATTTTTATGCAGGTGGCTCGTCCATGTTTAAGAAAGGACCCGCCGCACTGATCCAGCAGATTGACGTCGCCTTGGGTGAAGAACAACCAGCACCGCCAGCAGCAAACACATCAAGCTTTAGACCGCGAAGCGAAAGCGAGCTGAATTTGCTCGGGCGAAAAATTCATCCATCCGATATAATCGCCGGTGGGGGCGCCGCAACATCATCTTCAGCCGTTTTTGGAAATCATGAGCACCGGCCAAACAAGCTTTCGGCACTTTTCAGCGAGTGCTTTCAGTCCGTGCCGAACGCGGCGAGAAACACGTTCTTGCTGCAGAAACAGAATCAACACCTGCTCGCCGAAAAGCTGCGGTCTGCGAACCAGAACAAACTGAAGCAGTTGAACCAGCACGCGGTCGACCGCGGCACGCTGGAATTGAACGAGCTTTTTCGGGAAAATCTAGCGTTGACGCAGCAGATTTCCTGGAAACAGATGGAGATCGCAAATGAAAACTTGAAGTCTTGGGAGAAACTGCAGAAGGGCATCGAGGAGGAGGAGAGGCAGAACGCCGCCTCGCCGAAAAAGCGGAAGCCCGCACCTCTGCCCGCCCAGTACCGCTTCATTTCGCCCGCCGAGGCCGGGCCGCAGATTCGGATGGGGCTGCCAGACGATTCCGCGAGCGTGCAGTTTGGGCAGTCACGGTCGGGGATACGGAACAGCAACAATACCTGCTTTGTGAATACGGTTTTGCAAGCGTTATTCCACACCGACGCGTTCGTCTCGACCTTGTTTCGTTTCCGGCTCCGTCAGCCGGACCGGTCCGTCGACGAGGCGCAGTACCAGCTCGGGGCAGAACTCCTGCGGCAGTTGCAATTTTTGTTCGGCATGTTGCTGATCACGGCGAGGCCGCACGTCGACATCGAGAGCCTGCTCAGCGTTTTACCCTCCGTCGAGTTTCCCAAGGGAGAGCAGCAGGACGCGGGCGAATTTCTGCGGTTCCTGTTCGACAAGCTCGGCGGGTTTCAGCAGGGCCTGATCCGGCAAAGTTTCGCGGGGGAGTTGAGCGAAGTCACGAAGTGCGCGGACTGCGGCTACGAGAAACGACGCCCGGAAACCTTCACGGAGATCATTCTGCCGGTGCCGGACGTTCCGGGGAAGAGCGTCCAGCAATTACTCGGGGAAAAGTTAGACCGAAAGCGGATGCAGGACGCGCTCACCTGCAGCCAGTGCGGCAGCAAAAACTGCCCTGAGACGTGGAGCGAGATCCGCAGCCCGCCCCGGCAACTGGTGATCGCCTTGATCCGCTTCGATTTCCGCATGGACCAGGGGGGCTTGGTGAAACTGAAGACGCCGGTGCAGATCTCGCAGACGCTGCAATTGGGCCAGTTTGCGTACGAGTTTTACTTCAGTATCCAGCACTGCGGCGCCACCGCGGACTCGGGACACTACACGGCGTTTGGGAAGCGCAGCGACGTCAGCGCGAATGCCGGAGGTGGGACGACCTACTGGAAATTCGACGATTCGCAAGTGAAACCCTCGTCCTGGGCGGAGCTCCAACAGATGGCGTCAGGGTCTTCGGACGACACGCCTTACTTGCTGTTTTACCGCTGCGCGTCCGCACCCGTGGAACCGGACCCCTTGCTGCCGGCAATGTACCTTGACATGTTGCAACAGGAAGACAGAAGGCAGATTCAAATGACCAGCTGATTGTGGAAGTGCGAAGGCAAACTCGTTGTGCTACGAGTTTGGCCTCTGAAGGAATATCAATATGAATATTTCAATCGATAAGTTGTACAGCGCTATAATAAAATATGTTGACAGTTCCAGGTTGACAGTCGCTGGAACATGACGAAAACCTTAGAGCGAGGTAACAAATGTGCCGTTAACTCGCGCCCGCGAGTTAAGCCTCCGGCCGGCCGGCCGGGCGGTTAGCTCGCAGTTTGAGCCGGTCTCAACTTCTTAACCGACCCAATTCTCTCGGTTTGAGACCGAAGACTCTGAACCGGTCTCAACTTCTCTCGGTTTGAGACCGGCTCAAACCGCGAGCTAACCGCCCGGCCGGCCGGCCGGAGGCTTAACTCGCGGGCGCGAGTTAACGGCACATTTGTTACCTCACTCTTACAATAAAGGGCATTTCAATTCAAGTATGCGGGCCTCGCGATTGCAAGGCAGCGTGGTGACCCTGAGCGTCGATAGTGTTTTCTCAAAGACATTCGTGTCAAAGCACGCCGCTTTCTTCACAATGTAACTAAACGCGTAAGTACGAAAGTTCTTTCTCTTTGAAAAAAGTCTTTTTTAGTCTTTTTCTCGGTGACGGTGTTTCTCAGCTGCACAAAAGATCGAGACCATCGGTATTCCCGCAGAACAGTTCGTGAAAGTCAAAGCTTTTCGTCCCCCCGTCTGCGGTACGAGCGACGGTAAATCAGTTATCGCTCAGCGCTCCATTGCTGTCGGTCCTCCACTACTCGTTTCTATTCGGTTTTCTGTACGCTTCGACAAGATGTCAAAAATCGGCTGTATTTACGCGTCACTGAAATCGGAATGTACTAGATGAAGATGATTAGGAATAACAGGTGCAGGTCGGTTAGCATGGACTTGGACATGACTTTCGGTTAATACGTTTCGCATACTTGTTGTTCATTCTGCGTGTGCTCCGGACCCGGAAGATGATATTGATAGTGATACAACGCATAACATTAACAACTGCCATCCGTCCTCCACAACCACTCAGGATTCTTTCATTTTTTGTAGTCCTCCGTCTTAATCATTCGCAACATACGTTTATTTTTGCAAGTTTCTTTTTTCAATTGAATTTCAAGCAACTCCGCACCGAACTCCAAGACCAAGTCGAATTCATTTCACACATTATTACTTTCCTTCTGACTCGTTAAAATTTCGCGGCTTCGGATTCTTTTTGCATGGGGGGCACAGCCTCTTCCCCGGCTGACCAGCCGCGTTTGAAGAGTTCTACTGGCACGAAGAATCAGCACCCGGGCTATTCTGGCCTGGAAGCGGTCTCCGGCGACTACAGCGAGGAGTTTCTCAAGCGACCCAAGGGGAGAAACGAGCAACTCTTCACAAAGTCGATTTCTTCATTTGCGCAAGAGGAAAGGTACGACCCAAACATCGGCGCCGGGAAAGTCGCCAGCTTTCAGGACGAACGAAACCCGGCATCCGACAACCTCGACGCCTTTCCGTACGAGCCGGAGGAGCGTTTTGACTCGGAGTACGAGGCTTCACAGTTTCTAGCGCCCGCGTCGTGGTCGTACAGCACCAAGCAACAAAGCACAAAGGGAGGACAGAGTCAGCGATCCGGCAGCGCACCGGCCTCGGGGCGCCAGGCCGCTGCAACAGGGTTCGTGCCCTCTGCTCCACGGCAGCCCTCGGAGCGCACGCGGTCTAAAGGAACCACTCTCGCTTCATCCGCTTCGCAGCCACCTGTTTCTTCGCAGCAGCAGAGCAGCACGCGCAGTGGCATTCCTAGTGGAACTACAGAGCAGCCAGCGTCGACTTCTTTCTCACACAGTGTTGGGATAGCTGCAGTACCAGTTGTTGTATCTGTTCCTTTCCAGCAGCCTCTAGGTGGATCTGTACATCAGCAGCAACCACTAGCGAGTGGAAAGCCAGCCGCGGCTCCGGCGTCCTTCCGGAGCCGTTCTAGCGAAGTTAAGCGCGTCGAGCAGGCTTCATCTTACACCTCCGAACAGAAGAACGCGAAACTCTCGGTGACTGAGAGCAGTGAGAAGGCCGGCACTCCTGCTCCAAGAAGTCGATCGAGCGGGACCACAAGCTCAACACCAGCACCGGCGATTGTTCCATCCGCGCAGCCGCAGCGGTCTGTCGTCCAAGTAGCAGGAGAGCCAGCAGGCCCGTCCAGCGCGAAGCCCGCTGCTCCGGCGTCGTTTCGCACGAGTTTGATTGCAGGGGGAGGTACTAGTACTACCGCGGCACAGGTGGAGCAACAGGACAACAAGATGAATTCCGACGGGGCATTCCTCACCGACGAGGACGCGTATGCTAGGATGCTAAATGCGCGTCAGTCGAATCCGGATGCGCCCCAGTCTCTCGTCCGCGCTCCGTCCGCCCGAAGCCGGGGTAGCAAAAGCAAAACATCCGTCGGAATGAACAACGTCGGCTTCGCCCAAGATCAGTTGAGCATGTCCCAAATGGAAGCTTTTAATGAAGAAGACGCGTACGCACTGATGTTGAATTCCCGCCAGTCTGATCCCGGTGAGGCTCCGCAGTCCGCTGTCCATAGCGTCCAAAATGTTGGCGCGCCACAGTCAAACGCTGGGCGGGCAAGCAAAAACAAGGCATCGAAAAAACAAGCAACCATAGCGTCAGAGTTTGCACCACAAGACCCGAGCTCTGCAGGAGCTGTTCCGCCGAGTGCTGCTTTTCCGTTGTCCAACAAGACGAATAAGCAGTCAGTGTTTTTTTCGGCTAAAAACGAGGCGACGCTATCCATGTGGGCGGACAACCCTCCGTCGCTCAACCAGCTTGGCCCGGGCGGTCAGGCCGTAGCGCTCACGAGCGAGGAGGTGGATGCGATGATGCAAAGTGCTCGGGAAGAAAACTCGAAAAGCATGTTCTACAGCAGAGTGCCAGCGCCGGTGTCTATGAAAGGCAAAAATCAGGACCAGCCAGGCAGTGCCGACTACAATGCAGCAGCTGCCGTACCGGTACCAATGAGCAAGAATTCAGTCGGGCTCGGCGGACCTGGGTCGGTGACCTCGCAGATCAAGGGTGCCGCCGCAATGCCTTCCTCTGGCGGCTTTCGCGGCGTCAGCACGAAGCCAACCAGTCAAGCGCCGACGAGCGGGAAAGGGACAAAGAGCTTGCGAAGCGGCAATAAAATGCCAAACTTGATCCCCGATGACGCCACAAATCTGCAGAATATGGGCTTCGACGAGGCCTCCAAGCACGATTCCTTCGACCAGAATTCGTATCTCAGCATGCAGGGAGCTTTTGCGAGGGCAGACTCGAAGCAAAGCAACAAAGGAGGCAAAAACATGGCCACGAAAGCCGGCCCGTCGAGCACGAAGTCCAACGTTTCCAATCCCGCCTACACTACGCAGAAGCAGACGCGGTTCATGAGCGACTCCAGTCTGGAATCAGCCCGACTAATCCCCGCAGGAGCCGTATCCCACGGAAAAACTGTCTCAGTCTCAACCTTTTGCAGACTCAGAAAGAACACGTCTGTCATGCGTCATATAGCAAACAACAGGAACAGAATAGAAAACACATGTAACATCAAAGACTAAGACTCCCTTTCTTGCATGTCCAGGGGGACCACAAAAAAAACTATCTCAATATCAATTAGGAAATGGCACAGCACATTCTGAGACTCGTGAGACAGCTTTGTCATCTTTCGATAAGTCGCCACTGGAGGGCTGAGCAGTGGCGGTCCTGGGAGCGTTATCGGGGCTCCGATCATGTCCTCGTACGGCTATCTCGGTATGCCGGTCAACCGTAATTCCAGGGGGATGCCGACGCTCACGCCGGGAGGTGGCTATCCCGGGGGCATGATGACGTACAGCTACCAAGGACAGCGAAGGATTGGTGCCCGGGACGACGAGGTGCCGGAGCTGTGCTGTGACTGCTGTGCCTTTTTCTGCGAAACCCGGGCAGATAGACGGGAGGTCCGCAGGCTACAGAGGCACGGAACGATGGAATCAGCTTACGTAAACCTCTCTCAGCTTTCATTTTTGTTTCCCTGTTCTTCTCGTTAGAATCTTATTAGGAAGTAGATTCTTGTTGCCTTTTCGAACTCGAGGTTTGGTTTCACTCACTTGAGAAGAAGTAGATTAAGGTGTGTGAAGATGCTCCAGACAAGTAGAAGTACGAGCTGAAACATAAATCATAATCATGTGATATTTTTTCTCAAACTCCTGCGACAAATCGAAATCACTATCACAGGCCGAGCCGACGAGCGAGCACACGGGTATGTGGCACTCGCAGTTTTTCAACGCACAGGCGGCGGATTTGAAGGAGTTGCGGCGGCTCGAGGAGTATGGTGTCATGATGTCACGCGTGTACGAGGGCGAGGACTATAACGAATTCAACCGGTACCACAATTCCTGCTACCGGTGCATCCTGGTGGCTCCCTGGCCAATGATCGTCCAGCTCATTTGTTGTTTCGTGGTCGCTATCGCGGTGCAGATAAGAATGGGACAGATGGGCAAACCAGACTACGGGTTTTGCGGTTGGGATTTTGCCGAATACAATTGAGTGGCTACTACTTCTTGCGCTCCATTGTCATGATCACTTTCGTCCGGAGCCTTCTGATAATTTGGCGAGTGAAGATTGATCTTCTTGTTGTAAAAAATGCGTCGCGTTTGACTTATTTCGGTGTAACGGTACAAAGCAAAAAATGTCGAGTACTTGCTCGTCATATTGTACAATCACGACATCAGTTTGAGACTGCCTAGGATTCATTATTTTCCAATAGATTTATAGCTGAGTGAGTTTTCCATTTGTGGTTTTTTTCTTACAGTAGAAGCAGATCCCCGCTGATCTTTTCATGCTTGTTGTTTTCGTTCATTACACATTTATTTCCATTTGCAACGCTGACTCAGGAGAAAGCGCACAGCTGTGCCTTTCAACGTGGTATTTATTCACTTTCTTACACCCACTTGTACTAGCTACGCGTTTATTTTTTCTCACAATTTTGCACATGTACTTGCACACGAGTTACTGACGCTTGCATATCAGTTGTAGTGCCTAGAATTAGTGAACAAGTTACATTTCATCCGCAAGTCCACCAAGAGGTTGTGATTTCCGTTGACGAGGAATCCATGAAAAGTACTTGGGACGAGAATGAGGAGTAGACTTGCCCCGGATTCAGCGCGCGGGTGGACCTGCTGAATCTTCTTAACTCTAATTTTATTGCGGGAGTGAAACTGAACGACGTCTACACACGACCACCAAACCTTCTGGTTGAGGAGTCAGTGTTCAGAAGGAGAGGCAGAGTTGCAGGCGGCCAGGTGTGGTGGTATTGGCTCATCTTGCGCCAAATTTCTGAGAGACTCAGGTGATGTTGTAGTGTAGGAGCGACGATGTACATGTAGTTCTAGTTGCGGAATAATGGCTTGGAAGATGCGCCACCACCCTAGCGAAATTTTCACACAGACGAGGAGCGTGCGCGTTTTCGTGTTAGCTGTTGACTCTTGTCCTTCGATTGCCAATATAATTATGCATGCGCCGCCGCCAATACAATGCATGCGGTCTCGACATTTCATCGCGAGCGCGACCAAGGCCGCAGCGGAAAACGAGGGCTTCGCTGAGGCATCACCACACCCATCGGGTAGATAAGATACAGAGATAAAGACGTCACAAGGTCTTGGAGGCGGATTCCCCTGCGAACACGATGCCGCCACTTCCTGCGCCGGTGCTCGGCTTCATGGTTCAAGACCGATCGGACGCACTGGATATTCGGAAGCTTTGGTAAGTTCGCAAAACAATAAATACTTAGAACATAATAGAAAGGGCTTGTCGCTGTAGCTGCTTTGATTGAGTTCCTTTTGGCGTCGAGCAGCCATTTTGACTACAACGGATCATGGTGATCATGGTCACGCTCTAGATGTGATCTACATGAAGCCGCAAAAACAGCTTCACAAAAATGCAGCTTGGATCATACAAAATTACAGGCATGTGACCTTGATTCTTGGTCTTCTCGTACTTTTGTACGAGCTGTGGCTGAACACCTTCGCCGGGACGATCGCAAGAGGATGGCTCCTCGGTCTCACTGCCGCAGGGTTGGGAATCCTCGTGAACTACTTTACGCTGACGCGTTTGGTCCTGTTCAGCTTCGGCGAAAGGGTGGACCGTTCGATCGATTCCGTCGGCGATTTCATGTCTCCCGTGGTGTCTGACCAGGAGTACGAAAAGCGCTTATCGCTAGAGGATGAGCAGACGGCACTGAACTTCAGCGCTTCGGGTAGCGGGGGCGGTGGAGGATTCGGTGCGAGAGCTTCGACCCCACCGCTCAGCGGAGCAGGTCGCACGGGAACAACTACGGGATCGTCTGTAGCAGGAGCTACGATGACCGGAAACAAAACCTCACCGACGACGGAAAATACCGGCGTGTTTTCATCCGTCGGTGCTGCTGAGCCGCCCCAGCTGATTGGCGGGCAAGAGGACCAAGTGGGCGGTGAAACTAGCTTCATCGACTACAATAGCGGTACGGAACAGGAGTCCGACCACGCGTTGCGTGCCCGGCAGCAAAGGGCGAAGACCAGACGGAACTACCGGAAAACGAGGGACCCACGGCTGGTTCTGTTCCCCAAGCTGCCGACCGGCAGAGTGCCCCTGTACCCAGTGTGCGGCGAGAACCTGATCGGTATGTGTCCCTTCACTGGCGGCCGGATCACGCTGTACATCTACCGGGACTGCTGGCGCGTTTGGATGTGGTTGTCGGTGTTCTACGGATTCTGGACGTTTTTCCAAACGGTGAAAATAATTCCGCTCTTGTCCATCCACGGCGGGGGGAACGAGCGGGAAGACGCGATTCGAAACGCGCACTCCTACCACGAAGTGACGTTTTTCCTCGTCTTTCTGATTCTGTTTCACATCAACTTTTTCTGGTGCGCGTACTTCGTCATCTACAAACAGACAGCGTTGTTGCAAAGGGTGATAGAAAATGGCAGCTTGTACCAGGCGGAGGTGATCGCCTTACGCAATACGCCGAATTATCACACGAGCTTGCTGTACGGTTTGCCCACCGGCGGGGAAAACACGCCGACATCGAGCACCCCGGGGGCGAGCAGGATACCCAGTCGCGAAAGACCGGCTGCTTTTTCGCAGCCAGTGCCTGCTTGGAATTATCCGTCAACAAACCCGCCGCCTTCTTCAACGAGCACCACGGACACCCGCATTGCCAATGCGGCACCTGGATTCGCGCTGCCGGGAAGCGATCTGAAGGAGCAGGAACAAAGCAACGGGCCGCAACATCAAGGCAGTGCTACGCAAATCGTCGGGATCCCGCTTGGTAACAACAACACAAGTACCGGTGGCGCGCAGACCAACAACGTCACCAACGGGGGCCGCGTCGTCGGTGTCCCTGTCGGGAGGAGTCCAAACGATGAGCAAGCGCTTGTGCTGCCACCGAATCAACTAGGAACATTTGACGGAGGCCCACTACAGCAGAGGTAGCGATGAAAGGTTGCTGCGAGGCGCAACTTAGTTCTTGCTCACGTGCTGAGAAAAAGTACATTTTCACGACGCACATCGAGGAACCGATACCAAACCCAATGAAACGGGGGTCTGCACTGCTTTTGTCCTTGAACGCAGCATCAGTCGGGCGGATGTTACAATCACGCAGTAGAAGGAGCGCGCAGCTGTTGTCTTATGATGAACACACAGCGACAGCCCATACTACCGCAGTTCGAATCAGGGTGTTTTTTTACTGGTTGTTCTTCTATTCAAACAAGTCATCACTTACTTTCCTTCGCCTTTCGGGACGAGGAACAGAAACCAAAGAGGCGACACAAGTGTCACCGTCCATGATAAAGAGCCTTGCTTGCACCTGTGACTTGTGCTTGCAGTTTTTCTATGGCATGATCGCCGGCTGCATCCACGATAGTGACAGATGTTAGGTAGTATCTAACAGATGTTACTAAGTAGTACCTACTAGCTTTCCCTTCTGCCACTTGAACGGGATGTTCTTGAACGCATCAACATACTAAGGATGGCTTCGTCATCGTCGTCATCCACTGCTCCCCCGCCGGCTGCGCCGGTGGTTGCAGATGCAAAGTCGATTGCCGCCGCGATGACCACCGGAGCCAAGGACTTTGACGATGCGGGCAGCGTGCCGCTCGTGAAGGATTTTCACCGGGAGCAAATCTTGCTTGCCATGTGCAAAGCCGAGATCTTGCAGATGAAAGAGCTGCTGAAAGACGATGACGAAAAGGGGCTTTCAACATCCTCTACTGCAGCGCTGGACAAACATGTGAAGCAGCTGGCCTTAGCGTGTGTGCGCACCAGAAAGTACGACGACGCCCGCATTCCGAAGTTGATGCGCGAGTTCACAGACTTGTTGCAGGAAATGAAACAGTGGAAAAAGGAGGACGTGATTGCGAGCATCAGCAAAAATCGCGTCAAGGAGGGATTTCGCTTGTTGCCCCGTCGCGACAAGCACGGGCGGGCGGTGATGAACACGCGGCTACGGTACCACGAACCGCGAGAAGTATCGACGCAGACCACAATTCGAGCGCTAACGCTGATGCTCTACAACGCATTGCTGGGGGCGCCATTTGACGAAGACAAGCGAGAAGCCGAGGCGGAGAAAACGCAGCTAAACGGAGTGTGTGTCTTCCACGACTTCCGAAATTTGACTTTGAGCAACGTCGACCCGGGGGTAGGGAGGGGATTGATTAAGCTGTTTTCTGGTATAGAACTTCTACGTTTGTGAAGAAATAACTTTTGCCACCTCGATCAGAGTCTGATGTTGAAAGGAAGTCATACATGAAGGAGCGCATAGAGTAGAGCTAGAGGGAGGGCTTTCCTGTAGTTGCATTAAATATGATTGATGTCATTTGGTCAATTTATCGTTTCCAGGCCGCTTTCCTCTCCGGCTCGGCGCAGTCTACATGCTGGAGCCGCCTTTCTTCATTCGTTACATTGTACTTCCGATGATGCGGCTGCTTCTGCCTAAGAAGTTGTCCTCTCGAATCACCACCGTGTCGAAGCTAGCTGACTTGAAGCAGTATTTCGACGAGGCAGAACTTCCGACAGAGTATGGCGGTGGCTGCGAAGATATGGATGTCGACAAGATGTGGAAAGGCTTCACGGATGTTTACCACCCAGGCTACATCTACACCCCCTCACCGAGAAACACGAATGACGCAGTAGCTGGCGCCGGAAGCTTACCTGACTCGGCAGCTGCACCGGCAAAAGTGCAAAAAGGTGTGAGTGACTACTACAAGAAGGGAGTTGCTGTGGATGGCACACGAGTCTAGCCGTGCCGTTGAAGCTGATGAAGGAAACTTTGTTTGAACAACTGCACTGCGCGCCAGAGGTCGTCTCTTTGTTTGGTTGTTGCTTCGCATGTGTTGCCTGCAACTGTGTTGCGACCAGGTAGAGCAGCAAGGCTGCTTTGATTCTCGTCTTCGTGTTTTATTTTTGCATTTATTCGTTGACCACGAGTTCTGGCGTTTCTTTACTGTCTACGTGTTTGCTCAGCAAGAAAATTTGAATTGCTTGGATGCATTGTTAGCTAAGCGTTGAAGAACGAAGAAAAAAGAAATTGAAATTCAAGATCATAACACGGTAAAAAATCAAAAGTCGATGAAATGTAAAACATAAATCAGATCCGCATCATAGAATCGGTACGAAGTTTTTTTGCCTGTCTCTGCTGCTTCGCAAAAATGAACAACAATGAACACGCGCAACTTCTTTCAAGAAAAAAAAAAAACAGTGCTAGAAGTGAACGGAAATGGCAGGTAGCACAAGATAAAGAAGTCTTTTATTTGAACGTAAGTGGCGACTTCGTAAAACAAAAACTGGTGCGACGGTTCTGTTTATTTCGGTTTTGGTTTTGAGAACGCAAGAAGACGAAGATTGAGACGATTTGACAATCACATTAAGTTGTTCTAGAAAGGCGACAGAGAGTTCTGCTAGCTTGTCTGTGGTTCTTTCGCAGACCTAAGTAGCAACTATGGGTCCTTCCTGAGGATCGCTCCGTCGTTCACGATAGCTCGCCTGTCGATTGAGCTAGCCACCATGTCCCCTGGCGAAGAGAAGATCCTTGACCTGGAGGCCGGGTCGGATGCTGCCCTCAGCAGCAGCGAGAGCCACGATCTGGCAGAGGGTAGTACCATCCTCGCGCGCGTCGAGCAGTCGCCCGGTGTGCAGCGGGGCGTCGGGCGCTTCCAGTTCGAAGCCCAGGGCGCGTTTGGAGCGCGGCCGTACAACCGAAGGAAACGGAAGGACCGAACTAATGGTGGGGGAGAACAAGGAGAACCCGAGCCCCATCTGTTATGGACGGGAGATGGAGGCGATCTGGGCTACATCTCAGATGAATGTGAGGACGGAGGTGGTGGAACAAATAGCCTTGTATCAACACCAAATTGCCGGGCGCTCACCCCTGCGTCCACCTCTCGTGTGCGAACTCCGTCAACTCTGCCGCAGCCGGCGACGCACGTCATCAATGCGCGCGGACAGGCCTTCGAAGCTGGAGGGGGCGGCTCGTGTCAGCCTAGTCCGCGGAATAAAGAGCGACTGCCGACGCCGCACCTCACGGTGGAAGGCGAATGCGAGAAGATTGCCAACGTGCTTGCGCACCACTGTGCGCGTGACCGCCCTTTGGTGATGGATGTGTGGACAGAGGTGATGCTGCGCCTCGGGATCGAATCTTGTCACGAGTACTGCAAACACCGCGTGCGGGTTCTCTGCAAATTCAGGTACTATTGAAGGAACGTGATTCTCATTCTACTGATTCCGATTCGTTCCGTGATGTGGTCTTTTTCACCTCGACGACCATGATTTCATTTCTTGATACTGTTGTGTGTACAATTTTGATTTCCTGAAGCGGAGTACCAGCACTTCTGTATCTGTTCAACAAACTCTTTCAGATTTCTCGTACCGGAAGAAGTTCCAAGCACCCAGGGTGGCCCCTATTGCTGTAAGCGGAAAGAAGAGGCCTTCCAGTTGAACGTAAACAAGATTCGTCTGGTGGACTGGCAAGAAGAGCTGGATCTTCTGCGGAGGCACTTTGCGCGCCAGATGCGTGCACGCTCGCACATTCGGTCCTCGGCGACGCATCAGCAATCTACAGGAGGTTCGCAGCGTGGCCTGCAAACCGAGTCACCCAGCCTTGCTGTAGTCGTACCCGCCGCCGCGGTAGATAAAAATCATATGCACGACCCCCGGCCGAGGAGCAACAACAGCATTATCAAGGTCGCGACGACGCCTCTTCTGGACAAAGACATCAATACCGACGAGCAAAACACGACCGAAATAGCGGCGACGACGGGATCCTCGAGTGTGAATCGCATGCATGACTCCTCGCTGGATTTCGCAGCCGCGTATCAAACGCAGCCGGGGGAAATCATGCGCCTCGGCGAGACGTTCGCTTTGCGGGCCCACGGGTCGCGCGTCGCCTGCTTCCGTGCTCGGTTCAATCCGTTTTACCGGACCATGGGCGACTCCGGGAAGGTACGGGTGGGCGGCTGCTGCTTCCTGTGGATCCTCGCCTGGTTTGCGTGGCAGTTGAGCGTGCTGCTGATCGGCGTCTTAGTTTTTTTCACGGGCATTTTCGCGGGTTCCGTCCCCATCCTAACTTTGGGTGATACAGATGAAGAGGGCTGCGAGTTCCAGCTCGACGAACTAGACGAAGACGTGGAGGTTGGCGAGTATGAACACGATGAGCCGGCGGAGGAGGATCCGCATTTGCGGGCTGCGGAGAAACTTTCCGTCGCAAAACGGAAGCTGCACAAGGGCAACAGAAGGCGTGAGCAAAGTACTTATCCTGCTCAGGAAGAAGAGCTGCAGGAAGTTTCCAGTGACAACCCGTGCAGCAGCAGCAGCAGCAGCAGCTTTGACGAGCGGGAGGCACTGAAGCGCTCATCGGGTGATTTTTTGCCTTCTTCGCGCTGTCGCAGAAGAAACAGCAACACTTCTTCGACCTTCAGCAGAAATAACCTCGTGTCAACATGCAGCAGACACTTCTCGTCGCGTGGGATGAACAAAAGTTCATCGTCGAAGAAGATGACCAGTAAGGACCACGAAACCTACGAAGAGATTCTCGAAGAACGACACTACTCCGCGACCACAAACACGGTCACCTCATCAACAAAGCGGATCAGAGTCGCGCTGAACGCACTGCCTGATTTGGAAAACCCCAACGCCCCGGCAGACTGCTCGGGAGACGAGCTGGACTACAGTACAGGTGGCAACTCGAAGATGCAGAAGCACCACTTGGACAAAAATGGGCAGCACGACAGCCCGTCTAGAAGTTGTATTGCGAAAGAGCACGACGAAAACAAGGTTACAAAACTTGGAAGACCGGTTCTCTACGGGCACGTGTACCAGATGCGGATTCGGGCGAACGTGCAAGACATTTTTCGCCAAGACCTGTTGCTCGTGATCTTCACATCCGCGGTACACAAGAGCGGCCCGGTCCGCTTTGGCGACGACATTCATGTGCTTTCCACGCCGGTGCAGGGCCTCTGCCGGTGCTGCGCCTCGGGCCCGCGGCGCATTATGCTGCCGGACGAGGAGGAGTGCGCGATTGCGGGGGAGCAATACCGGTTGCGCCCCTCCTACGGAGTTACCTCGTACTATGGGGCGGGCGAGAAAAGCGACAACGTTGTTCTGTCACTCAAAAACTCGCCGCACGATATTGCGGCATTAAGTGCCGTGAAGCGGGGGGTGTCCTCTACGCCAGGCAGTGCTTACAAGGACCCAGTTTTGCTGACAGCGACACCGAGAAACATCAGTACTGCAACGAATAGTGCCAACAAAGCCGCGAATCCGCAGAGCGTGGATATTCTTCCGGGCAGCACGACATCTTCTGGTGCAGGTGCGATATCTACCACTACGACAAGCAACGGCGAAGTACATCCTGCGGCAGTTTCTGTCTCTGCTATGAAACCTTCATCAACTTCGACGGTCGACGGCCAGACCGATGATCGACAACGGTTCACGTCCTGCTCTACCAGGCCGAGCGCCGACTGGCGCTCTTCGCCCCAAAGCTCGTCTTTCTCCGCCAGCGGGTACAAAAGGATCAACAGCTTCAACAACGACGCCTTGCGCGAAACACCGGATTTCGTGCCTGACAACAGCAGCATCGCAGCGAACTCGGGTCGTGGAGTGCCCTTCTACTCCCAGTTGCCAGGCCAAGATATTAGCCATCGTGAAACGTCCGGCGAAAAGAACAAGATTACGAACAATCACGAAGAATCTACTTCCGTACAAAACCTACAAACCCGTCCACACACGAACTCCACCCGGTACACCAATCGCGAACTGGATCACCCCACGCACGACACCAGCGAAACTGAGTCGGAGCAGCCGCTCCCGGAGCTCCCGCGTCTCGTCCCGCACCAGCGGCTCCTCCACGGTGATGCGTTCATGCCCTGGACTGCCGCGAAACGGCAGATGCACCTAATCGACACCCGAACGTTTCTGGCCGCGGTCAATTCCGCGCACCATGTGAAGAGCATTTTCACGATTGAGCACGCCGATCTGGAGAAGCACGCTCTGATTCAGCTCGGACAAAACTCCAGCTTTCCCACCATGTCCACGTATGAAGCGGAGGACCGATTCAGCAATAGTCCCCCGTCGTTCCGGGCAGTCACTGATACAGCAAATGTCGGCGCGGAAGAGAATAGTACGATGCGTGTTGAACAAGGCCCAAAAATGAACGCAGAGCCACTACCAGCAGCACTTGGGACGACGCCGGACCTTGTGTTGATCGCTGAAGTAGATGGTTTTACTTCCGGTGCGCCCTCTAACTGTGGTCCCGCAGGACCAAAGAACAACGTGTATGAGGATATCGACTTTCTACACGAACACGAGGACAAAGCGCCAGCAAATAGTGGCGAAGGTGATCAAATTATTCCAGACTTGAACAACGTATCCGACAACTCTGTTCTTTCCGGCATTCTGGAGAGGAACGCCCGCAGCCTGTCGACGCCGACGGCGACGCACCTAAATCTCGCCCTGAATGGCAGCGGTCGAGATCTGTCACCTGTGTCTTCCCTCGGTTCTCCGCCTGAGAAGAACGGGACGAAGAACAACAAGTGCGTCAGACTTACCGAAGGGTCCCCGTCCTCACAGGTGGGCCATGTGAAGAAAACTACCGGTTTGCAAGAGAACGATGCGGCTGGTGGAACGACAAAATCTTCGAAGTTCCTGAGAAAAAGCAACACCATGGCGACCCTTCTACCTTCCAGGAATTGTGATCTCGCCGAGCAGCACACCCGGCTCGCCGACCCAAACGACGGCCGCTTATTGGCTATGAAGAACAAAAAGGACCCATCTGTCGTGCCGTTTCAGCTTCTGGCTTACAACATTTGGATGATGCCCTCACTGATCACTGACGTGGCGCCGAAATCGTGGAACTTGTCCCCCGTGAAGCCGGACCGGGCGATCCGCATCCCCGAGGCGATTTTCAGCTGCAAAAAGCTCCAACGGCTCGACGTGATCGTGTTCTGCGAGGCCTTTTGCGAAGAGACCATGCCGCTGATCTCGAGCCGCCTGCGGGAACGGGGGTTTCTCTACGACACCATTCCGCCCGTGCTGGGCCGGAGGTTCATTAGTTCGGGGATTAAGGTCTATTCCCGCCACAGAATCGAGGAAACTGCCTCGGAAATCTACGACAAGTGCAGCGGCGACGAGCGGTTGGCCGCCAAGGGCTGCACCTACGTGATGGTCCGGAAAAACGGGCTGCGCATCCACATTTTCGCGACGCATCTGCAAGCGTGGGACGGCGAGCAGGCGCAAAGAGACCGGCGGTCGCAATTGCGGCAGATTAGGAGTTTCGTTGCTAAGCGGAACATTCCCCCGAATGAGCCCGTTATCCTCACCGGCGACTTCAACATCGAGGCCGACAGCCAGTCAGCCGAGTACCAAACCATGCTGCGAATCCTCTCCGCGGAAAACTACGACATCGAGCTGAAGGACCCGTCGGTTTTGGCGTCCAACCAGTGGTGCGAGTTCGGCTCCGTTTCGAGCTCCCCGGCCGAAAGTCTATTGCTGGACTACGTGTTCGTTGAAAACAACCACCTGCTGCCAAAGTCCGCAAAAGTTACGACCGAATACCTTCAAAGCTTCAAACCCTTCATCTACCGCGACCGCCACTTTAACGACCTCTCTGATCATTACCCCGTCTTCGGCGACTTCATATTCGAACGAAAAATGCTACGACCTGCCCCATTAGTAGTACCCAAAAATCTTCATCTTCAGGATACAAATAGCCCCCGGCATAATTCTCAATTTCGACGACCCAACGGAGATGACCAGACGCCGAAAGGAGCGACAGGTGCGAGTCCTTGTCTGAGTCCGACATCAACTGTTACGTAAGTAAGTAAAGGGTGCGCAGCTCATTTGTGTTGCTTGGCGCCCACGAAAAGAATTTTTTTTCGGCGATGCGACACACATGGACTTCGACATGCAGAATCAACGAGAGCAAAAAATGGAAAGTAGCCTTTTTAGCACCGCAGCATGTTCTTGAAAGATCACAGTGAATAGCTTGGATTCTGTCGATGAAGCCGAGCAAACACATTCTTGCGATGTCTCCGTCCCATCCGCTTCGTGGTCGAACCATGGAAGACTTGGACTTGCGATTCATGATAACGTGACTTCTGTTACGCCGGACTGTAAAATCGCCTCGTCTCGCTCTCGGCAACTCCACCTCCATGAATTTTTCAACGACGGAGAAGAACAACAAAAAGTGACACGATTCAACATCAACAAAAGTGTTGGACGTATCTTCACGTAGCAACGTGAAGAACAAGTGTGGTCAGTGAGTGTTCCAAGTAGTGAGAGTGGTCGGATCATATGGATTTTTGTGAGTTTTTGTGGATGGTTTTCTATCGGTTTCGGTCCAGAGTTCCAGTTGTAAGTCAGCCTGAGCAATAAAACGGAAAACGTGCGTGTCCGTCGTACTCCGATGGATCATCAGGAGAGATGTGAGCGTCGATCTCCACTGGAAGAGGTAGAGGATGAGTGCTTTCACAGCGATAAGGATCATTCTGTATTGGCTAACGCTAGGCAGGACGCTGCTGCATCTGCATTTCTATACGAAAGATCGCGCAAGTCTCCTAAAGTGACGAAGTACAGCCACAGCAGCTGTTACATGTTGTACTTCTTAAAAAAGAAAAACCTGCAGATTGATCATCTTCCCTTCTGTGGCTTTTTCCCAGCGCTCCCGCTTTTTTTCATGAGCTAGCGCGCCCACTCTTTTCATATATTTTGATTTTCGATGTAAGGAGCACTCGCTACCTACTATGATCCATACGCATATCGTACCCGAGTTTGTGGTCTGACATTGTTTTGCACAGCCATTTCTCGGTCCTCCATTTCTTGATCCTTGTATGATGATTCTGAATAAGAATTGCGTTCGATTGGTGCTCCGTCCTGGTGGCATTCGCGTTTTTCGATCCCTTCCTCTTGGACGGCTTCAGCAGGAGCATTCGGGCGTAGAATGTTCCGTATCGTCGTCCACAACTTCCGGACGAGGATCAAGATTATTCTCTACCGCAACACAGGATGCAGGAGCGCCGTCCAAGACTTTATTGGCAAGCTGGGAGACAACACTGACACCCGCTTCTTCCTCTTCGTCCTCCCCTCCAAGAACCGGGACCAATGGAAGAGATTCTGGAAAATTTAGCGTTGAAATCCACGCGGCGCCGTGTATGTTCGACCACACATTTCTTACTTCCGTCATAGCAAGGGGCACAACATCTTCAAGCCGATCCGGATCATCACGAGAGCCCAGCGACGGTCGAAACGCAAAGCTCTTCCTCCTGAATCCGGCGAACGAGGGACTTTGTGGCATTCAGTACCCAACCTTTCCGCGGAACGGGTACGGAAGTCCAGTGCCCTTCCGCATTCCTGAAATTAGCTTCAATTGGTGTCGCGCGGAGGGGCAAATACAGGATTATCAGACACTGGTGGCAACGATGCACGGAGGAGGTGGTGACCGCGCGAATGGAAGTGCTGGGGAAGTTTCTGCAAACGCATCGGAAAGTGGAAAGCGCCATACCGCGATGTCGCCACCCGCCACCTACAAGCCTGCTGAGTGCGTGGATGGGATGGTACATCGTTTATGCGGGCCAGATCTTTTGACCTACCTGACGACAGAGTATCATCGAAGGAAGGACTTCTCAGTTTTGCTGAACACACAACGCGAGCCCACTCCAGCTATTCGGTGCCCACCTGGCGAAAGCCGGTGGTCTCCGGCCTTCGGGGCATTAAAGCCGTATTTTCCAGACGGAATCCTTCATGCGGTGTCGCCTTTTCGCAACTTCGATTACAGTGAGCTTAATGAATCGAGCTCATCTGAAACTGCGCCGCTCACGGCTGCGAAGCTTTTACGCCAAACCTATCTCGACGCCTTGAGGCAAGCACTTTCACGCGCAAGCGGAAATGAAATTTTCGGCCACAAAGTAGCGACCGTATCACGACCTGCAGGCGATAGTACGGAGGCAACAATCGCTTCCCCCCTACTCGGAACCGGTGTACGCGGCTTCGCGATCGCTGAAGGTGCAAGGATCGCAGCGCGTGCATGCGTCGAGTTTTCGAAGGAAATGACGGACGCGAAAGATTTTGCCACGACCTCCACTTCAGAAGACAACAACTTTGTCGACCCCCAAACGGACACGATCAAGAACGCGGACTATTTGCAGAAGAAAGATGGAGCGGGCACGTTGGACTACGACAGAGACGACTGGTTTTCGACAACAACGAGGGTGCCAGGATTTTCCTACTTGTCTTCCAGACACGACGAGCCAGACTTGTACCAAAAAATTTTAGCATCGAAGAAGGTGGGGCAGCAACAGGCACCGGGTGCTGGGCGGAATCATGATTCGAGTGGAAGGAAAGCGAAAGGCCAAACGGATGAGGCAAAGAACGCACCAGGAGGAGTTTCGGAGTTCAAAGTTGTCTTTGTCTTGCAAGAGTCTCTATCGCCCGCGGATCAGGCGCACGTCGTAGCCGCGTTCGAAGAAGCTCGACAGAATGATGGCGGGACAGACGTCTCAAGGCTGAGAAGAACTTTCTGACTCTGTCGTACGTAAGTAAGTACGATGCGGATGCTTTATGTTTCTTGAAAAATTGCTACCATGTAAACTTTGTAAAGCGAAGGGAAATGTAACTACATAGTCCTATTCCTTGATGTTTCGACTAAAAGAGAGTACACGGACACGTCGAATTGCACCAGAACTCCGATGATTATATAAGGAAATAACTGGAGCTGTTCACTTTCCGAACCCGATACAGACTTCGAGGTGTTGCAACGAAAAGAGGTTATCGTAGAAGTAGTTGACGAGTCAAAAGCACCCACTGCAGGGAGCATACTTACTTAAGAGGACGATAGAAGAGCGATTCCGATTTCAGTCTTTTATCTCTCGTTGTCTTGTTGTTTAGAGCAGATGAACAGGCTGCTCTTAGGATCATCTATCAGGCGATGAGAGTGCGCAGGGACGGGTGGGAGAACAAAATGATACTGAAGTTGCTAGCGTTTTCGTTTCGTCTCTTTTTAGAGGTTGGATGAGGCTGGTACATACGTGAGATTGAGGTGGAGAAGGCCACTGTTGACGCCACACTTGCACCAGCTGAGCGACACTCATACATTGTACTTGTAGGATCCCCATGATCGAATTTGTTTAAGTATAAGTTTTTATGATGTAGTGACTTTCCTGAAATGGAATATCCGCGACTACCGTTTTCCGAGGCTTACACCTCTTGGATCGAGACCCGCGTCAAACGCCACATCGAAGACCGCGAGACGCAGGATGCTGTCAAGACTGCGGCGGACCGTCTGGAAATGCAACAGAACGCCAACAGGGCTCCCGAAGTCCTCACCCGCATAACGAAGCGCTCCGGGGAACTGCAAAGTCTGCGAAATAATCTAAATCAACATCTTCAATGCGTGGAGTCTGCCAAACAGGGAAAGCTGTGTGACGTGGACGTTCTGACTGTCGACGAAACTGCCGAAGCAACGCACGATGAGGAAGCGTACGTCTGGATTCCACAAGGATCAAATGCGATCATCCAGCAAGGATCAGATACGGACGGAGTTGCCGACGCAGGGCCAACCCCGTCAACTGCTTCATCTGTGACCGCCGGTGCGTGCGGAAGCACGCCACTCGGTGAAGTTCGTCTTGAAGTGTGGTGTGAGGAATGGGTCGAAATTCCCAATGAAGCAGGCGGCGCCGTCGACGTCGAGAACGAGCGCGAAAAGGTGATCAGCTTAAAACACCCATCGCGGGGATGGGCCGACCTGAATGTGCTGGACTGTGTCAAACAAAGCCTTGTGCAGGATCAGGTGCGCATGTGGATGGCGCACATTCGTCGCGGGCGCGGCCTGCTCAACAATGCAAGCACGACAAATCTTCCGCCCGAGTTGTTTCGCCTGATTTCCGTCTTTTTGGATCCGTTTGCAGACGTCCTGAAGGCGCCCACGTACTACGCAGCGCTAGCCATTCGGCGCCGGTACCGAGACCTGGAGAAGTTGTTGGATACCGGGCTGCAGTATACCCTCGACCGATTGGCAGAGGATCCGGACGACAATATTGAAGGCAACATCTTGTGGAGGATCGTTAAGAACGACCCCAGCGAAGTATTAGTTGGAATTCGATTCGGGTCAGTACGCTTCAGTATGTCGGGAGAACTTCCATGGCCGAATCTGTGCGAAAAGGACATCGTGAATTGTCGTGCATGGAATGCGAGGCGCAGCGTCGAACTTGCTTCGACGGAAAAACCCAAGTTCGTCCGACTTCCTTCGAAGCAGGTTTATTTTTCTAGCATCGCGCTAGTGCTGGCGGAATTCTTCCGGCGGAAAGGCCTAAAATTTTCGCAGTCTGACGACAATCGTCAGGATTTTACTATTTCTTGGGGCGCGAGCATCACTCCAGCAGCAGCTTCATGACTGAGGACGATAATTTGAAATGGGGAGAAAAAGTATGAAACGATGCACGGGCTTTTTTTCATCTGTGCGATGCGGTTACTGTTTCTTACAGCCCGCAACAAGCTAAATCACATTTACAAGTAGAGACTGACACCTATTTCAAACGATAAGTCAAAGAAGACGCGAAGCAAAAGATGCACCGGGGCACCAACAGCAGCACACTACTGCTAGGGCGCGACATGCTGTACTGCTTGAGTTTTTTGCGGGTCACCGATGTGCGCATTGCCATCTGGAGAGAGCAAATCTATTTTTTTAGCGCCATGCGTTTTCGTTAGACAAGGAAAATCGAGGAAGTTCATCAAAAATCGAGCACTCCCCTCCCGCGGGGTGGCAGGGGGGCGAGATGATTTGTCTGCGTTTCGGCTAGTAGCGGCCCGCCCCATTTCTGCAAGCCTTTCGGCCCGGACCAGCCGCGACTCCTTCCCGGGTAGAAAGACCAAGCGCTCATCTGCCGCGCAAGTATTTCGCCTTTGGCGCAACGGGCTCGGGGGCTCGTTTACAAACAAGGCCGGCCAAACCTGTACAAAGGCGACAGGCGGCGCCCAGGGGCCCCCCTCCAGGGGGGTGCCTGAGGGGGGTACTTTTTTTGGATTCCGAAATCGGCCATTTTAGGTCGGGGAAAGGAACGCCAAGGGGGGTGCTTTTTGGGGGTGCTTTTTTTTGGGCAAAAGGGGGGGCCCTTGGATTGCCCCCGTGGCGCGACTTTCCAAGAGACGGCCATTGCTCATTGGATCCGGAAAGACCTGGCCGCAGAATGCTTAAAGTATTGTCGTAGTGCTTCTCTGCGTGGTGACGGAAGACGAACGCCGAAGCCGGCGGCGCTTCCGGTTGTGTGGGACCCACTGAGCAAAGCCGCCCCATAGATGAAGCCTACCCGAGCCAACCGCCTGTCCCGTGAGCCCACGGGAGGGGGTGCTCGATTTTTGATGAACTTCCTCGATTTTCCTTGTCTAATTTCGTGCTCCATCTAACTACCCGATGCTGTCGATCATGAGCTCTGTTTCTGGTTGATCACCTACGCCCTTCCAAATTAACTTACTACTGAAGAAGATGAAAGAAAAAACCGGCGCAAATGAACAGCGAAACTTTACCGATTGCGGTTGCCATTTCATTTTTGCACCCTACATGATCAATTCAAACTCGTTAAGTAAAGAACGGCTCTTGGTGCAACAAGAAGCATATACCTATATGCACGACGAGGAACAAGCGAAAAAAGTGAACGAGCTTCAGCTTGGTGAACAACGACACCACCAGGAGGCCTTTTCCTTTTGATTTTCATGTTGATAGAGAGCAGACAATAAAGATAAACGCGGAGCGGATCAAGCACTGTACATTAGCTGCTGCAATCCATTTCTTTTTATTTCAGTTGCACTTCTTTTGTTCTGCTTCTGGTTCTGATTCTGATATTGTATCCAACATGGCACCTTCTCCTCCCCCCGCTTTCCCACAATTGCCGTTCTCCGATGCGTACGCCTCGTGGATCGAGAATCGGGTCAAGCGGCACGTTGACGAACGCCGGACGCAGGACGAAATCAAAACAGCAGCCGACAAACTCGAGATGGAGAACCGGCCCGAAGCTTTACCGGAAGCCATGTCTCGCATAACGAAGCGCGCTGCTGAGCTTGAAGAACTACAAATGAATTTAGACGATCACCTGGAGTGCGTGCAGTTTGCAAAATTAGGAAAGTTCTGCGACGTGGATGTCCTGGACGTTGATGCAGAAAACAGCAACACGGCGTACGTTTGGATTCCGCAGGGCGTGGTAAAGGCGCCGCCGGACAACAGCGCCGTTTCTGATGTTCCAGTTACCAGCCCTACACCACCGAGCTTGTCGTGGCAGACACAGGAACAGCTAGAAGTTTGGCAGGAGTGTCGGCAAATTGAGACGGACGTTGACGACGATGGGTTAGAGATTGAGGGTGCCGAATTGAGGGAAGAAAAGCGCATTCGCTTGCTTCCTCGTGGAAAGTTTCGCGCAAAGTTGCCAGGCCTGCAGAACCTCAATGGGGTTCGCCAGAGCATTGCGCAAGACCAATTGCGCATGTGGATGGCTAGCCTCTCGCGGCGAACCGGGCTATTGCCGGCATCTTCGAGGAATCTTGATCTTCCACCTGAGCTGTTTCGCGTGATTGCGTCCTTTTTGCATCCCTTCGCGGACGTCCTGAAATCGCCCACCTACTATGCCGCCATCGCGCTGCGGCGCCGTTTCCGTGACCTCGAAAAACTGCTCGATGCTGGCTTGCGTCACCAACTTGACCGCATTGCTGAAGACCCCTCGTCGCAGAGCGCCGCAAATGGTATGATCAGGGGGCGCTTCACTTGGGAATTCAACCCGGACGACCAAATCGAGAAACGGGTATCAATCAAGCTCGGACCCGTGGCTTTCATGATGCAGGGATCACTGCCGTGGCCGAATCGATGCGAGGCGCAAATCGTCAATAGTCCCGCATGGACCGAGACGCGCAATGAGGAACTCGAGTCCACGAATGGAGCGGAATCCCGCCAGCGCTTAGTACGGCTTTCTGCCGAGCACGCCAAGTATTCAAGCTTCGTCATCGTGTTACGGGAGTTTTTCCGCCGGAGGGGCCTGAAATTTTTGCAGCATTCTTCACAACCCCGGGAATTTAGATTATCTTGGTACAGTGCCGCCCCAACCGCGTCAGCAGCCTGACGAGGTGATGATGAAAAGCGGCGACACACAAAAACTGGTTGTTAGCATGAATGTCTCGTCTGCTTCCAGATTGCAAAATTTGCGTCGACCCCGAGCAAAGAAACTGCAAAGAAACCACTCCTGATCAGAGAGCCCGGACGTTGTAGGTGGGTATAGATACGAACGCTAGCGGTTCAGATTTGGAAGCGAGACTGATGCTCCAAAATGAGGACGATAAGCAGTGAGCTTGAAGATATTTTTTTGCGCTCAACAATGACAAAGCAAAAACATGTATCGACATGTCTGTGCCGTGCACTGATGTGACGGATAAGTGCAGCTTTCTGTCTCTGGAGGTTGTTGTTCGGTATATTACATACTGTGATCAAAGTGTAACGCAGGCACGATAAACAGAGCCTGCAGCTGATGCTGATGTTGTCAGCACAGACGGAGAGATAAATTTTCACGTTCACAAAGATGGTCAGCAGCGACAGTACTTTTTTGTGATTTGGGGAGACTGCGCAGGATTCCAATGTAGCAGTCTCACACGACAGGGTGTGCCATTTCCTCGCGGTGCTCTCTGTCTTCCTCCCCCTAGCGCTATCTGCGAAGTCGCGCTTGTTGCGATCCGGCATTGCTGCGGGTTGAAAATGCAAATCCAACGACGGGCTGATCATCGTGATCTAGATCCTCGTCATCTTGCTCTTTTCACAAGCCCGAGTACCAGATGTGCAACTAGTTGTAGTTTGCCACGGTTCATCTCCATCGTCGTGGCGAAATATGAAAACGCCATTTTGATGTCTTCCAGTTCCAGTTGTTTTAGTTTTGTCACAGTGCTGTTTAATGATGTCGCAACATTTCAACATCTCATTGATTTTGAATGGTGTTTACGTACAACGATCGCAAGTCAATTTCAAAAAGACCTGGACCTCGAGCTCAAATCCAAATCATAATCAAGAGAATGGCATCGTTTCCTGAGATCAATTTCTCTGATGCTTACGCATCGTGGATCGACCTGCGAATGAAGCATTTCATTGCCACGCGCGAACGGGATTTGGCGCTCCAGAACGAAGCAGATGGAGCAAGAATCCGAGGGGAAACGGATGAGCGAGCCGCTGAATTAGCGGCCAAGATTTCTTCGCGCACCCAGACGTTCAATAATCTGAAAAGTCATTTCGAGCAACACCTTCATTGTCTGACTTGCGCAAAGGAAGGTAAGTTGTGCGATGTCAAGCAACTTGACGCAGAAATAAGTGAGAATGGAAATGACGCATCTGCCTATGTCTGGATACCACAAGCAGCAATTATGCAAGACAGCAACACTCCGAACCCAGTGTCCGTCTTTGGTCATGTAAAACTAGAAGTCTGGGAGGAGCGACGGCGAGAAGATGAAGATCAAGGAGAAAATGAAGACCACGAGGACCTTCCGGAACATGTTGTTAAAATATTATACGAATCTGCACAAATGCGTGGATTGGAGGAAGCGAAGGATCTCCGTGAGAGTATAGTGCAAGATCAATTGCGGCCTTGGATGGCTAGAGTATCCCGGCCGAGTGCAGAATTGTTTGCAGCTGCCGCAAGCACACAGATACCACCAGCGAAACCGTCCTTGCCGCCCGAGTTATTCCGAATTGTGTCTTCCTTTCTCGATCCGTTCGCTGAAGTTCTCAAGGCGCCAGCCTATTACGCATCACTCGCTCTGCGTCGGCGCTTCCGCGACTTGGAGAAATTTCTGGATGGTGGCTTTCAATACTCCCTTGACTCCCTCATTGAAAAACATCCGGAGACGACAGAAATTCAGGGAAGCATTACTCTCGCGTACAAGAAGGACGAAATACTGGGAACCAGGTCTACCGCGTTACGCATCACGCTTGGAGAGTTTCATTTCTCGATATCAGGACCAGTTCACTGGCCCAGTTATGGCGAGGAGCAGATCGTCAAAAGTGCAGACTGGGAAGCTGTGCAAAGAAAGGAACGGACTTCGGCTGCGTCTGACCCGCTCACGCTAGTGAGGTCATCTCCGAGTGCGGCTAAATATGGCAACGTCGCTATTGTTCTGCGCGAGTTCTTCCGACGAAAGGGCTTCCGCTTCCTGCAGGAGCCCGACTGGCCACACATTTTTACAATTTCTTGGGGTGATGCCAAGGAGCCGGAGGACGTGAGCTAGTAGTAGCAGAAGAGGAGACGAGGGGGTGCGTTGCCTTATTCTCGTTGTTTTCGTCAGAAAGAATAGTTATGTATTTTTGCAACGAACCGCAATTGTGGTGCTGAAGCTGAAGAAAACAAACGCAAATAAAGGACGCGTGTTGGCGCAAAGCCGCTTGTGGTCGCTAATCTTACGCAACTACTCTGGAGGGGAGCGACGTTCTGGAATGTCTCTGCCGTTGTTCGCTTCCATTTTCATATATAACAGGTCAAGCATTTCAACTCTCGCAGTTCAATCCGGCTACAGCGATCTACCTAAACTTCTATAGTTTTGATTTTACATTGCAACATATATACAATTGGACTCGCACCAACCGAAAGAACCTCCTAAGGCACCATGACTTTGACGAATTCCCTTCATTACACAGCAGAATGCCGGCCATGATGTTGATGTGTATTTAAGTAGATTTATCGTTATGTTTTTCAATGAATTCGTTGCAGCGGAACCAACAGCTCGACTTCGAAAAATGACTTGCTCGAAAAAAAGCATGAAAACTGCCGCGGCGTATGATCATCATGTTCTTGCCATGTGCATTGGAATGCAGAGGAACGCCACAGCTTAATCCTGAGCAAGCGTATGGGTATGCGTATCAACGTAGCAGGAGACGTAGTTAGATAGAACGAAAAGCACTATAGTGTACTTGTAGCTCTTCATCGCACTAACCGTCGTAAAGCAAGCAGACACACCCACTCAACCACTCCTGAAGCAAAATTATGGCTTTCGTCAAGTTGGAGCCATCGATCGCGTACGCGAACTGGCTAGAGACCCGGATCGCGCACTACGTGAACGAACGAAAAAGGCAGGATGCGGTGGAAATCGCTGCGGAACGTCTCAAGTTGGAGCAGCATCCGGAGCAAGGCTGCGAGCTGCTTACGCGAATTGCAAAGCGGAAAGAAGCAACGGACGAGATGGCAACGTTGCTCAAGCATCACGTGCAGTGTCTGGGGAGCGCCAAGCTCGGGAGCTTTTGCGACGAAGATGCGCTAGACGAAGCAGGGGTCCGTGTCCGAACATGGTTCCCCGGAAGAAACTACATAACACACAAAAAATGCCGCACCGACTCACCTGCGCCGTCTGCTCAGAGCATGTTCTCCGCCGTGTCCCACTTCGTGCGGATGGAAGAGTTTTCCAACGAGGGAGGAGACTACGAGGGAGGAGACTTGGCCGACGATCGAATCCTTGTAAGAAGCTTCTCTGTGAAACTCGAAAAGAAATGGCCCGGTTTCCTGCATGGCACGACCCCGCTGCGTCAAAGCCTTGCACAGGATCAATTGTGTGCGTGGCTGGTAGGCGTCCAAGCGCAAGCGAGATCACGTTCACGTCCTCCCATAGGCCAAGCGACAAGGAGCAGGAGCGGCGCGCCGGGTGGTCGCATCTACTTACCGACGGAGCTCTTCAGGCACGTGGCGTCTTTTTTGGAACCTTTTCGGTCTGTGATCATGTCGCCAGCTTACTACGTTGCGGCTGCGTTGAGCCGACGGTTTCGAGACCTGGCAACCACGCTCGAAGCTGCCTACCGCGTCTACCTCGACCGACTTGCTGACGGCAGGCGCGCAGTGAGCGGATCCGCTGCGAACAAAGTACGCGGCAAGGTCTGGTGGGAGCGGGAGACAAAAACTACCAAAGAGCAGAAAAATAAGGCGCGGGTCCGCCTCCTGGTGAAGTTCGACGGAGTTGAGTTTTCTACGCTCGGCGCACAACACTGGCCTACCCCAAGCGAGCTTGAGATAACCAGTAGTTTAGAATGGCGCGACATTTACGATTCCGAGCAGGAAATGGCTAAACAGCAGAAAATGAGAAGCAACTTTTGTTTTCGGCTCGATTCAGCAGCGGCGCAGCGTGACAATGTGCTGCTCGCCGTGCAGGATTTTTTTGAACGCAAAGGGTTTGCTTTCTCCTATGAGAAAAAAATCAAGAAACGCAACCGACGGGGGCGGCGATTTTTGGTGTCGTGGGGAAAAGATCAGGATGAGGAGGAATCTTCCTCCTCTTCATCCTCCGATGATGATGACGAGTCTGTGGTGATGTCAGAGAATGACGACAATGATGAAAATGATGCGTGACGAATTGCATTGTCTATTTTCTTCCCCAGATCATGTTATGAATTCGCCTTTATATTCTTATTGTTTTATGAAAACCAAAACTCCGAAAGTAGAAGTACGGGTTGGTGGTTATCTGCTTCACAGAAAGTGAAAGTTAGAGGTGCGTACAGCTGAAAAAAGAATCAATTTCGCCAGAACAGTGCTTGACGTTCGTAATTTTTTTTCTTCGCCACTTGTTTTTGTGATCCTGAAAAAGCAGGAAGGTCTTCAGCAGTTTAGACACGACGTAGGGTTCCCGTCTTGGTAATGTCATTGTGAGGCGCCGCCGATGGGATGATCATGACCTGGTAAATCTAAATTATCGTCGAAGCGTCAGCTTTCTTATTCTCATCGGTTGGAGTGGCGCGAATGCGTTACTTTTTTTTTCTGTTTCTCGATAAGAGGGAGATACAATGGTAGAGCTGCGCATTCCTGACTACAACACGAGAGAAAAAGGTCAAGCGCTAACCGAAAAAAAAATACTGCGTAAAATCTAAACGAACTGAGGGCAACATTTTCGTCCTCGATTCTACTTTCTCTTTGTTTACAACTTACTAGTACGGCAATATCGGGAAGCTCGTTGTCAATCAATTGCGCAACCTCTTTGTGCGTCCTCTTGCTCTTCCAAATACACGACTCGTTGAACCGGAAAAATAAAGGTCACCTTCAACATGACGGCTTTCGAATTGGAGGTATCGCACGCGTACGCATCTTGGTTGGAAACGCGAATCGGGCACTACCTCGATGAAAGAGAAAGAAAGGAAGCTGTTTTAATCGAAGCAGATAGGCTTCAGCTGGAAAAAAAACCGGCACAAAGCAGCGAAATCCTCACGCGCATAACGAAACGGAAGCACATGACGCAGCAGATCCGCAGCCTCTTGACGCAACACACCCAGTGCCTGAAATTTGCCAAGCTCGGAAAGTTGTGCGATGAGGACGCGCTCACAGTCGGCGAGGACGACGCGTATACATGGACCTGCGGGAGATTAAAAGACGAAAACGCACCAAGATCATCCGCGAAAGACATTTACGCTGCGTTGCCCAAGATTGTTGGTCGCGAAAGATGGGAGCGACAAGCGCTTCCAGTCGACGACCCCGATTTTGAAGAGGACCGCGTGGAGAGTCGCCTCCATCGTGTCGACCCGCCCCGCCGCTGCGATTTAGAAGAGTACTGGCGGGACCAATTGGATGCCATGGAGCCCTTGCGTCGCAGTTTGACGCAGGACCAACTCCGTTCCTGGATGGGCGTCATCCGCCGGAAACTTTACAGCGAGGACGCCCGGGAGAAAGGCGAAGGCTTCGCCCTCTTTCTGCCGGTGGAGCTGTTTCAGCACGTGAGTGCTTTCCTGGAACCATTTGGCCTCGTGCTCCTCTCTGCGACGTACTACGCGCGGACTGCGTTGCATCGGCGGTTCCGGGACGTTGAGAAGACCCTGGACGCGGCCTGGCGTAACTACTTGGGCGAATTTATGGACAACCACGGGCCGGGAAGCGAGAGTGCCTCACAGTTACTTATTCCCTGCCACGACAGCCAACAAAGTCAGTGGCTCCATTGGATGGAAACGCGTCGGCGTGAATAAAAACAGAATCAAGCTGGACATCAAGTTTTCTGGCGCTTCGTTCATCACGATCGGTGCCCAGCACTGGCCGTCTAAACTCGAGGAGGAGATAGTCGCCAGCCGGGACTGGACTTTAATCCGCAACCGAGAGGCGAGAAACGCGGAGAAGCAATCAGTTCGATTGTCCGCAAAAGCCGCGAGATTCGACAACGTTTTGCTCGTTGTGCAAGAATTTTTTGAGCAGAAGGGGTTCACCTTTTCCTACGGAAAGCTCCTTGCGAAAAGCGACCGAAAAACCTTCTGGATTTCCTGGGGTGAGGGGCATCAGTCTTCATCGTCAGAGGAAGATGATGACGAAGAGGATGATCAGGATAGTGCGTAGAATCCCTTCACGTTCTTCAACTTCGAGCACAGATCGAAATCCACCTGATCTTGTGCTTGATCATAACAGGCACACAGCGAAAAAAAGGGAAACAAACTAGAACTTCATATCCAGCACGTGCAGTTCTTTTATCTTCGCTCCGATGTATAACTATCTCGCATCGTTCAAGATGCAGGTGGAGCTTCAGGAAGCGAAACGACTACGCACCTCAAGCGACACAACTTTTTTGATTTTCCTGATGGCCCAGCACGTGTTCGACTTTAATATTGCCTTATTTTTTACGTAGAGTGATACTGATATGTGATAACCGGCTACGGTGAGAACGTGAACAGCTGCTCGACAGAACTACTACAACCCCAAGGATTGATGGCTCTGCATTTTTCAGTTGAGCGGTGTGAGAATGGTACGAAGGCTGGGCGGCCCGCGTTGATGGAGAGGTCAGAAAGCCGCATCAAGAAACTGAAAAGAAACAAAAAGAGTATCTTCCTATATATTTGCAAAGATAGTACATTTACATAATCATAACTTGTTCGGAAGATCAAAATGCCCTTCCCGGTGTTGGAAGTTTCTGAGGCGTATGCGTCTTGGATCGAGAGTAGGGTAAAGCAGTTTCTGGATGACATGGCAAGGAAGCACGAAGTCCTTGACGCCGCAGACCGTCGTATTGCGGAACAGGAGCCGAAAAAGGCTGCGGAAACACTGGCCCGAATCACCAAGCGCGCAGCCCTGTTAGACTCACTCCGGGGTGATTTACGCGAACACTTAGAGTGCAAAACAAGCGCAAAACTCGGGAAGCTGTGTGACGTAGACTGGTTGGACGCTGATTCAGCAGACGATCATGAGGCATTCGTCTGGATTCCGCCTTCGCAAGAACAAGACGACACGTCATCCTCTCAGCAACAGCATGCCCTCGAGTTCTGGCAAGCGGAGTCCGTTGAAATTGATGAGGATGACGATGAGGACGACGACGCAGAACAGGAATTAGTGTTTAACAACAACACAATCCCCTCCTTCGAAAAGGTGCGTGCATTTGAGAGCACCCTGAGACAAAGCGTCGCCCAGGACCAAGTGCGGATGTGGATGGCAGCGCTGATTCGTAGACAGAGAAACCACATCAATGAAGCAGAAGCACCAGCGCAGCAGAGCATTAATCTTCCACCAGAACTTTTTCGACACATTTCGTCGTTTCTCGACCCGTTTTCGCCCGTCTTCAAGTGTGCGAACTTCTACTCTGCGCTCGCTCTCAGGAGGCGTTTTCGTGATACGGAGCTGATTCTGGAAGCTGCTTATCGCTCTCTGTTAGACAAGGCTTCAGCTTCCGGAGCTTCAGAGAACTACCAGGTAGTCACAACCGCAAAAGGAAGGGTGAGATGCACCGTCGAATATGAGGAAAACAGCGACGAGGAGGACGAGGGCGAATCCGAATGCTTCGTCTCATTCAACGTAGGAATAGTTTTCGACGACGACAGCGAGGAAAACTTTACAAGAGAGGGATACAGTCTTCCCTGGCCGACGCGGTCAGAGGAGCAGATCACATCTAGTCCAGCCTGGGAGCGGCAGCGTATCATTGAAAATCGAGATGCGACGCTGCCAATCCGTCTGCCGGGGGAAGTGGCACGGTACGATAGTGTGATGAGTGTGGTGCGGGAGTTTTTTGAAAGGAAAGGCTTTCAGTTTTCTACCTCGGAAGAGCCGATCGAGCCGGACGCAGACGACTGTTACCCGTTTGAGATCTCGTGGGGAGAATCAGGAACAGCACCTGACACAACATCAGCAACGGAGTGAGAGTGGCTTCGGCGCATGGCGGAATTTCTTCGACATCTGGGCGAGAACTAAGATCATCACAATTTCAATTTATTTTGGTATCAGGACGAGTCAAGGAGAATGAAAAACATCCAGAATGATACGGCTCAACATTTACATTTTCTTCATTCTACCACATCATCTGATGAAACTCAAACAAAGACAGTGCTTTGTGTTGAAGTTGATCGTGACCATGTTACGAAAGTAGATGAACATGAAGATCAAAGTGTTCTTCGACTTCAAACCTCATGTGAAACGATCATCAAGAGAGGACGAGGAGGTGGACGTGGAGGACATCATGATATAATGAGAGTGTCGCATTTACCGACAGCGTCGTGAATCTCCATGCATTGAAGAGATGTTGGACAACTACATGAGTAAGATTTCGTTCTGCCACTATTGCAAGAGTCGCTACTTCGTATATGTTACACTTCAGTCTCGTCTTTGTTTTTCGTTTTTTCGTTGTCGTGGGTTGTCGCCGTAGTACTAACTTGGAATGTGGATGAAGAATTTCCCACATCGCAGACAACAGTGTCAAGCACAAGGAGCGATCCGAGGATTTTCGTTTCTGTTTTGGAGTTTGACCACGAACCAGTCGCGGGAAATCTTGAGCCCCGCTCAACAAAGGCAAAAGAAATAGGTACAAGTGGTTGCAGCGTCGTCCTTGTGGTCGGGACGACGTAGGGATGGAAAATGTAGAAAAGTTTCATACCTATAAAGTACTAGCTAGCACGGCCGGGCACTGTCATGAGCACGATTTCGGTCATTCTTCGCAATTTGTGGCGTCCCCACTAGCACTGTCGGACCGTGCTAGAAAAGCAGCCAGCCGCGTGCTAGTAGTGCCTATTTTTTGGATATATATTCACTTTTTCGCCCACATAGGCACTACTAGCACGCGGCTGGCTGCTTTTCTAGCACGGTCCGACCGTGCTAGTGGGGACGCCCAAAAATGCCAAGAATGATCGCCATGGTGCTCATAACAGTGCCCGACCGTGCTAGCTAGTACTTTATAGGTATGAAACATTTTGCAGTTTTCCATCCATAGGACGACGCCTTCTAGTCAGACTCTTCAGTATCTGCACGTCAACTAAAAAAGACCACAAGACACTAACCTCCCAAGATGAACTCCCGACCTGGCGTATCTGCCTGGGATTCGCTCGATGACATCGAGCACAAGCTCGAGACGCTAGACGAGCACCAATTAGGGCACAGCACGCGACGGTTGGTAAGAATACCCCAGCAGTCGGTATGGGAGCAGCGACGAACCAAGGGCATGCAGCTCCGCGTGCAAATGACGCAGGGCGCGCGAACCATGGGGGTTGCCAGGCTCAAAGACAAAAGCAGTGCGTCATGCGTACAACTTCAACTTGTTGCTCTCTTTATCGTATATTGACTAAGGTACTTTGTTTGATCTAGCTTATACTTCCTTGCACGGCCGCTTAATCAACACTGCTACGTAAAAGTCGTAAAAACTCATTAGGAAGAGCTAGACGTAGACTTTTTGAAAGCGTATATGAAGTGGAAGTTGTAGCACTAGCATTCCCATCCCCCAACAGGTCCTCGAAAACACGCAAACTGCGGATGAGATTCTAGGGAATCAGATTCGCAAGCCCCGGCAACCACCAATAATAGCCAAAGTCACCAACCACTGCGTGGAGTTACGGGCGAAGACGGCAGAACTGAAAAAAGCCATCTACAAGCGAAAACGACAGCTGGATAGCCAGGAATACATCGAGAAATACCTGCAAAGACACCCGGGGAAACCACCACCACCAGAGATGTACGACAAGAACATCATGCCGAAAGTCACAAAGTACTTCTTTTTCTTTCGTATTGCTAAATTTTCGATTCAGTTTCAGCCTTGAAATAGCGGCATGAGCCCACAGCCACAAATGTATCTATCGAATTTCAAACCACGACGGCGCTTCATGCTGCCGCTGCGAACATGACCAGCATAAAGTAAGTTTCTCACATCAGGACCTCGGCGATGCTTGCAGGGTTGAACTTTCGTGACTTGGCAGTACCGCTTGCAACACTAAAGTGGGCCGTCCCGCCAGAAAGAATGGACATTCCAAGCAGGGAGCCATACACGAGGGTGAGATACATACATACGATTTGATTGATTCCTGCTTGCCTGCGCTTTGAGCTGCGGCCTTTTGGATGTATGATTATCTCAGCCACTGAACTTCTGACTATGCACTCAGTAAGTATGAGCTTCTGACTATGCACTCAGTATGATTATCTCAGCCACTCAGTATGAGCTTCTGACGATGCACCGTTAATTCGTCTTCATTTCAGGTCTCAATGAAAGCAGACTCGAAATTTGGTAACCTGTTGATGATGGGGGTCGGTCAGCGTTTCAAGTATCCGGCCACCTTTACCGGGTCACCGATTGGGCCAAATTTGGATCCCCCAGATCTGCTCGACCACCAGGCTTTCAAGCACTACTTTATCGTGCCCAAGAGAAAACAGAAAGCACAGCTCAGTACTTACTTTGACGAAATACTACTTGCGTTCTTTCTACTGTTTGACTGATTTTCAAAGTGAAACACATGAATAACCTGAACGATAAATACACGCGGGACATTTCCTCATCGTCAAAGACCGCAACACAACGATGAAGCTGGTACTCTCGTCACACTAACTTTGCAAGTGCAACTTCACTGGTCGTAGATTGAATCCCAATCTTCTTTCAAAACAGCGAGCACTGGCGACAACTTGGGTCCGGGCAGTTACCAGTTGGACTCCGCATTTGCGAAGAAGGAGCTAAAGGACGACTTTGTGATGCGACTCAAGGACGCGCTGATGTGTCGCCCGGTCGAGCGAAGAGCGGGTACCATGGGTCGGCAGCCGAGGTTCACGAACCCGAACCAATACCAAGGCTGCCCAAGCGGTCCCAACTTCGATCCGCCAGGGTTGCTGGACAAGAAACCCTACAAGAAATATCGCATCACCGGCCGGCCAAAGAACGCAAAACCTCTGCTGAGTATGGAACTAGTTCCTGCTGTTTTAGTTTTAGTCTGTTGTTACCGTTATTCTTATTTTTACGGTTGCCTGTCATCGTAGCAGCGATCCAATGCTAGTAGCGTATTCGTATTCGTTTTACGGACTCGCAGTCGTGCGCTACTGTGGTGAAACTGGACAAAGAGTCCCTGTCCCTCTCAACTAAGGAAGAAATAGAAATGGAGCAAAATAAGTAATTCGAACCGCACAACAGCTGGCACAACCGAGGACGTGGGTCCAGGGAAATACGAGCTGCCGCCGGTGTTTGGTGTCATCTACCGACCACGCAGCGCGAAGAGCTCGCCAAATTCACCCCGCAGCCCACCCCGGACGAGGCCGTCCAGTGCGCACTAGGCAGTATCCTGTTCTTTTTCTTCGGAATGGTGCGAGTATGGGTCGTTCAAAACGTTAATGTAATTAGCAGAAACGTGGTAAATCTGTTTCTGACGTAATATGAGTTTGGTTTTCCTTCGATCACAGTAATGTCATTGTCAAAACGGGTCTTCCGGATCCATAGACTGCTATCGTTTTACCTTAAGATTGACGCAAAGTTTGTTATTGTTTCAAAAGTTCAGATGGACGTGGCCACCGCTACGAGCTGCAAGGAATCTCGAAAGCTCACAAGTTCAGTTGTACTTGGAGCATAAGAGGTCACTAAAAAGTAGCGGTAGCTCCACCGTCAAGATCTGCAACGAACAAAAACCTGATGTAATAAATGCGATTGACGAATGTTTTCGTTTCGAATTCGGCCAGAACTGCAGAACTTTTTCTTGCTAAAAACTGTATAAAAAGCTGTAGTGGCTGTGCGTTGGACCAAACTTTTGCTGGTGACCGCTTGTACAATACGAAGGCAAGAAACGAACTTGTACTCCTTTAGATGGAAAGAAACGTCGAAAACACGTATCAATCAAGACGGAGACTGATTTATGAGCCAGAACGCTTAGCAGTAGCGAAGATGAACGAACTAGAGCAGCTTGGGCGATGATGTTCGCAACCGCGTGCTGGTGCTTGCGTTGTTGTGAAAAGAAACAGACGAGAGGAGTGGGGAAAGATTTGTGCGGAATAACTTTCAATGTCTCCTGTTGGGAGCGAAGTATATCAGACGAGAGAGGGCGCAGATGAAGAGACGCTAACTTCTGGAGTAACCGTGCGGCAGAGGCGGTTTATCTTTGCGTTGTAGTTTCACCGAATCTGGCAAACTCACCGAGATTGATGTCTTGATCTTTCCGGTGCTACGGGCTCGGAACGGGAACCATGTCCACGCTACTCGGCGGGGCGCTTGTTGCTCCGGTCTCCACACATGAATTGTGAGTGAAAAGCAACTGTTGTCAGGACGTAGCAGCCGTCGTGTCGTGCCCGTTGCGGCACGGCTACGACGGGAGCAGCGGCATGCGGGGATTAGCGAGAGGCGGTAGTTCCTCCTCCTGGTTCGCCCCGTCGTGGGTGCGAGTTGTCTTTTCTGCGGGGATTTTCCTTGAAAAACCTACCTACTCCGGAGCCGTGTTGCAGTTGGATTCAAGGAGCAAAAGTGAACCGAGTGCGACCCCGAGCACCACACCGCTGAAACTTCTCGCGAAAATAAAGGCTTCACCTCCAGCGGCAATTGTGCCACCTGTAACGGATGTGGATGCCACTGCGTCAGTAGAAGTGTCCGGCGGAAAAGAGATCCACGCGGCGGCCGCTGATCGTGAAGATCTCCATGATGAAGTAGGACAGGATACAGATGCAATAGCAGTTGCAGACGACTCGAGTGCAGCTGGCGCCACTGCACCAGGGAAAAATGCGAGAACTGTTATCACCAAGGAAGACCTAGCTTCTACCCCTGGTGAGACCAACGCCCTCGTCGCGGTTGCTGACGCAGGCGAAACCAGTTCCCGTGACACGACGAAGCAGCTCTGGCCCCCGTGGAAGCGGAAAAACTGTCCGCAGCCGAAGTGTCCCCAGCCGAAATGTCCCCAGCCGCGCTGCCCGAAGCCGCACTGCCCGCATTGCCCAAAGCCTTTGTGTCCGAAACCGGTGTGCCCGGTGCCGATCTACTGTCCGGAACCAAAGCGGCAGCTGCCGCCCCTGCCCCCGCAGCCCAAGAAGATTGACGGTACCAATGGGCACGTTACCGTCTGGGTGCCGAATTGTCCCGATGGCTGGACGCCGGTGACGGTTCCGAACGCGGCGAGACGGACGACGACGGATACGATCTACTACCTGGTTCGGTATTTCCGCGACACGCCGAAGCCGCGCAAGGCCGTCGACCGGTTCTGCCGTGTGCGCTACGTGCCGCACAACCGCATGCGCTTGCGGTTCGGAAATCGAATTTTGCCGGACTTCCCGACGAACGTGCAGGGCCCGACGTTGCAGATGTACGGGGCCGGCGGCGTTGGGACCTTTGACGGCGTGGATGTGGCACAGAAAGCGACGTTTTTGCCGCAGTTGGAGCGTGTGACGAAGGGGAAAAACAGGGAAAGAAAATTCATCAAACTAGTGTGGTTCGGGGATTAGGGTGTTTTGGTTTGTGTTGTTCGTCCGTCGACATGCCTACATGATCTTGAGCTCGTGCGCTGATTTCAGCAATTTCTATTTCTTGCGCTAAACGCGCTTTACTTGGCATAACGGGCAAAACTTTTTTCTTTTCAGAAACGTCGAGTCAGTGTCTCCTTGTAGGTCGACCTGTTTATTGATTCTTTTTTCCAGCGGCAGCATGCAAAAGATGATCGGAAACTGTTTCACCGTTTACGTTGCTGTTTGAGTGCCTTCTCCAGGGATGTTCTTGTTCACACTTTTTACAGAATCTTGACAGTAGCTCAATTGAACATCACAGAGCATTGACAGCAGCACCAGACAGCATGTGGACAGATGAAGTCAGGCAACAGATTGTGCTACGCCACCGTAAATCAAGCAAAGGTGGACCTGCGATGGGCTGAAAAATTACATGCGATGAAACGCAATAAATTCAAACACGCGACACACTTCTCACCTACACCTTGACCTTTTCAGCAGTCAAATTTTCGATTCAAAAATCAGAGTTGATGTTCGTGTTACGATCTGCATCCGTGTGGCCCGAAAGGTCATAATGTTTCGGTCAGTGGTCACCAGCTCACATGACTCACTCTAATTGCAACATCAGGAACTCTTTTGTCAATCCATGCATGGTCCTCGTCGGTCCTCTCTCCTCTAGATCATATACCATTTACTTTACTGATTTTCAGGCCATTGCTGGGACACATTCACAACTTCTTGCTCCTTCTGGTACATCCTTGCCATACCCCTTCAAGTAAACCTACCCGTAAAGGACTAGACATCACGATCACGACGCTGTCGTGCCTTCCACCAAACAAAGCAGGAGGCCACAATCTAAATCTATTCCATTGAAGAAAAACAGGGACCCTCTGCAGTTGACGGAATCTTCACAGCTGCGCCTTAGCAAAGATGCCGCCTGCTGCCTCAATCTTTGAGACGGTGGAACTGGCTCCGCCAGATCCCATTTTGAACACTGCCGCGATGTACAAGGCAGACACGCATCCGCAGAAGGTACTTGCTTTCAATCATGTTGATGTTATAAGTATGTTTTCGGTGGTCACGTTCGGTACTAGTACTAGAGTCGAGCTTTTCTTACGTGGTGTCTGTCCCATTACAGCAGATGCAGTGTGCTTCTTCTTGTTTCATATTGAGGATTTCGATTTTCATTGTTTCGATTCCGCAAACAAACAGGTAAATCTCGGCATCGGTGCGTACCGCACGGAGGAGGGCGTGCCATGGGTGCTGCCTGTCGTCCGGAAAGCCGAAGGAGAGCTGCTCCAGGAGCTCGGAACGGAGAACGACAAGGAATACGCTCCGATTGATGGCCTTCCCGGGATGAAGAAGGCCACGCAAAACCTGATCTTCGGCAAGTCGGACCCGCGCATCGCCTCGACGCAGGCACTGTCGGGAACTGGGGCGTTGCGAATCGTTGGGGAATTTATGGCCAGGTTCCTTGGCTACAAGAAGGTCTACTACAGCGACCCAACCTGGGGGAACCACCCAACGATTTTCGAGAAATCCGGCATGGTAGTCGAAAAATACCCATATTGGAACGCCGAGAAAAAAAGCATCCGGGTGAAGGAGTGGTATTGTTGAGTGGAGCTCTTCGTTGTTGACAACTCCCGTGCTGCTTTGAGCGTGCATGCTTGAAAATGAAACACGGAGAAGATTTTCCACACAGTGTACTTATGCGCTTCGATGATGATCATGATTCTGATTCAGAGCGTGTCATCAATGATGATCACAAATATTTCAGGATCGCACACATCAACGCGGCAGAGCCCGGCGCACTCTACATCATCCACCCCTGTGCACACAATCCCACGGGGATGGACCCATCATTGGACGAGTGGAAGCAGATCATGGAGGCGCTGATAGCAAAGAAATGCGTCTCCATCCTGGATTCCGCATATCAGGGCTACGCGACCGGGAGTTTGGAAACAGACAGAAAGGTAAATAGAGATAGACACCTTAGCCTTCATGCGCAGGTGCCATTCGGTTCTTGTTGAAGCAACGTTCTGAGTAGAGAGCTACATGCGGACTCGTCCAAACCATATTTCAAATCACCACCAGGTCATTGAGATGTTTCTGAACCACCCGGCCAACCTCGAGTTTTTCGTTTGCCAGAGCTTTGCCAAGAACCTTGGTCTTTACGGCGAGCGCATTGGCATGGTACACGCGGTCTGTTCGAGCGAGGAGCGAGCGAACGCTGTGCTGAGTCAGATGAAGATGGTCATTCGGCCGATGTACAGCTCGCCGCCCATTCACGGAGCCCAGATCGTCACGAAGATTTTGAGCTCCGAGGCCCTGTACAAGCAGTGGTGCGCAGAGCTGAAGCTGATGGCCGACAGGATTTTGGAAGTCAGAACAGGCTTAAGAAAAGGATTGGAGGAAAAAGGAACACCGGGAACGTGGAACCATATCACGGACCAAATTGGCATGTTCAGTTTCACAGGTATAATGTACCGACAGCACCAGAACAAATTGAAATCTGCGTTTCGATACCGAAAAACCGACGACTGCGAATTGTTTGCATTGTGTACTAGTTTGTGACTGCAATGGAAATTGCAAATAGAACACATGAAGTTCAAAAAAAACAACTCTCCTCAGGTCTTAGTCCAGAAATGTGCGAGAAGTTGATTAAGGACCATCACATCTACCTGCTGAAGTCGGGCCGAATTTCCCTCGCGGGACTGAATCAGGCGAACCTGCAGTACGTCATCGACAGCATTGACCAGGTCGTCCGCTCGGAGTCGACGTAGAATGTAATTTTGCGATATTCCATTGCGGGTGATACAACATATGAACTTCATCAATTTTTCGCAAATGAGTCCACTCATGATTCGCATCACCCGGCCGCAAATAATCTGCTGTAAGCGTATTGCACTCTGCTACATGCACAGAAATAATAAAGCGCTAACGCACTAGAATGACGTCATGACTATCGTCTCATCTCTGTTTCAGGTCTGCGAATCCCAAGGGATGTGTCCCCTGCTTGCCTGGAAGCGGGAGGTCGAGCCGCAAGAGTAGTGGAGACGGTGCCGCCGCAAGAATGTAAGTAAGAAGTTTTCACCTCCGGCGCAATGAAGGCGACCAAGTAGAAGTAAGCAGTAGTCACCCTCCACTCTTCGTCTTCACCGCAGCCAAGGCGAAGTTTCTCCGTCACCATGTTCGTGGTGTGGCTGGCGTGTGGTCTCACTTATCACCTACAAGCAACATCACCTGATGCTAATAATTCCAAATCCGGAATTACCGACACCACGATTCATCAATTTCCGCCTGAGAAAGATCTTCTTGCGTGTATCACCCGTAGTTCTTCATATCAAAAAACCGACAAGATAGACATAGACTTGCGGTTGAAGTCGAACAATTTTTCATACAGCAATAAAAACGGCACAGCAATACTGGTCACAAGAGGCAGGAAGGACCGCGCATCAGACAAAGAAACTTGTTGTTCTAGTCCTTGGGCGCCGGCGGATGTTGGACAGAGAAACATACTCAAGTTACAACGCCTCAAGCGTAGTGAAGACGTGATGCGGCCTGGCCGTGTCACTCGATAGAGCAGCTGGCTCCTCCCACGTCCTACGAGGAGAGACGCGCGATTCATTTTTCGTGTCATTGATTGAGAGAAGGTGTTATTCTCGGGAGCGACTAATGTAATTTTTCACCACGAGGAAAGACAACGCCGGGCGGTTACATTTTTTCCAGGCAGACGAGGAGGCTGCTTTTTTCAGCAGCGTCGCGGGGACGGGTGTCCCCATACCCTGGGTTCTCGGGGGTAGAGTGCGTCTCCTGTTTGAGCGTAAGTGAGGGCTTCGTAACGCTCTCCCGTGCTTTCAGGGGCCGGCTCCTCGCTGTTCTCGTTTTCGTTGGTTTATTTCGTAGATACAGCAGGGCCTGCTGTTGTGCCGAGGTCTAAAGGTTCGTTGGTTGCGGCAAAATAAACATGCCGACGCTCCCGACCTTCAACTTGCCTCAGCTGCCGAATAAGCTGTTTGGCGTGCGCATCGACACCCTGCTTGCCTACGAGACGCCAAAGATAGTTTTACTCCGCAACCCGCAACTGGGCGCTTGCTATTTCTTCCTCGCCGTTGCCGCTTTTTGCTACATTGTCCTGTACCAGATCCTGTATCACAACGAGCACTTCCAGCTCTTTGACGTGGAGGGGAAAGTGCGCGCGACGCTACAGGAGCCGACGAAAAACGGCTGCAACCCAAATGACCCTGATTGTGCCGACAGTTTTGCACACTTGAAGGATTTACCGTATTGCAAGGCAAGTTCGTCCTCACCGAACGAGGATGCAAAAGAGGATGAACAAACGGGTAGCGCACCGGGGGTTCCGCCGGCGGTGCAGATGTTGTCGCGAAGATCACGGCTATCATTCGGGCAGGCAGCCGCCGCAGCAGTGCCAGCGAAAAATATCACGCAGCAGGAGTGCATCTACCGTGACCAGCGCGAGATGGTCCCGTCGTACGCGACGGGTGATACCCTCTTCATCCCCACCTGGATCGAGTTTCGCACCGAAGAGGCCAGCTGCAAGCACACGGCTGACGCAGGGGACTGCACTAAGCTGCACACACTGACAAAGAAGCCGGAGGAGAAGTACGTGGCGGACGTCGAGGATTTTACCGTGTTAGTCGCGCACACCTACTACCGAGAAAACCCAGCGAACCCGGCGGAGCACCTCGCGGGGAACAACGAAAGACACCAGGGGCTAGTCGAAATGTGTGTGGACGAGCGGTCCGTGAGCGCCGATCCAACCCTGGAGGCGGTCGAGGAAATCAGCAAAATGTCGAAAAAGATGCTGGAAACCATGATCGCGCCCTTCAACGTCGCGCACGAATGTCCCCCGCCGCTTGTGAAAAAGGTGAGTGTTACTTTCCCATGAATGTTTTGGTTGCACTTCAAACTACGAACCTAGCGAGTAGAAGTTTGAGCAAATGTCACAACCTTCTACCTCTGTCTTCATATTCCTAGTATCCCGACTAAAAACACTGCAGCGCGTCCCCCTCCCCTGCATTCGTCCCGGTGCCTGTCGGTTCCGCGACGCCTACGCGGGCCAGTATGAAGAGCACTCCGCGATTGGAGACAACAAGCCGCGGGAAGTCGTCACGCAAGTTCCCACACCGGAAAAATCGATTTACAAATCCAGTGCCGAATTTTTGCAACTTTTGAGACAGCGGGTACGACGATGGGTAAGTTTCATCCAGCACGGTGTGGATTTCAGTGATCCCTGGACACGCAGGTACATGGAGGTGCTGCAGCAAGAGCACGAGGAAAGGGTGATACGACAGAAGGCGGAGACTGCGGAAAAAGATGTCGCCGTGAGCTTTCTGCAAATCGAATCTTCTGGAGGAGGTTCTGAGCCACGTACCAAAAATGCTGCGGCTTTGCAACTACATAATTCCGATCATCAGGGTGAAACACAAAGCAAAGAACCGCAAAGCCAAGGGCTCGGATCTGCAGCATCGGCATTTCAGCGTGCGCGTCGCAGGCATTTTTTGAGCCATGTATTGGGGAAAGCAAAAACCGTACAAGCGAAGCTTGCAGCGCCGCGACAAAAAAGCACAAGAAACGCAAAGACAAAGAGGGTCAGGGGGATGGTTAAGCAGCACGAAGACCACGAAACACGCGACCACCTCCACCAGGGCGAGACATTCACAAAGGCGGTAGCTTCTTCGGTTGAGTCACCCGTCGAGAACAGCAAGGTAAGTGGAGTCATAACTCCCACGACGACTTCTACAGAGAAACAGAGAGCAGCAAGGAAGCAGAAGAGAATGCGTGGTCACCGCCACGGTCGTCGGGTTCGAAGATGGATCCTTCCTGCAGTCCGAGGGCGACATAAAGGCATAAGTCCGGCGACTACATCCCCGGCGAGTAGCAGGAAAAGGAAATGGGAAGGCAGTAAAGACAACAAGAAAAACAAACAGCCGAACATTTTTGATCCGGAAAATAAGGGAGTTGCGTCGACACACACGTCGGCGCTGGCACCTTTTGGTCAGACGGTCTCTCCTCTTCAAAGTGCTACGCCGCAGACGCCAGCAGCCAAACACAACAAAAGTAAAGCGTCTCAAGGAAAAATAACGCATCAAGCAACCGCAGAGCGCCACAGAAGTGTCCGACCGCCTTCAAAGAAGAACCCGAACTACGTCGAAATCAACTTGCAAAACTACGACAAGGCGGCTGTCCTCGGTGCTGCCACAAAACAAGACCCCACGTCCTCCACAATCTCCACACCTATGGTATCTGAACCAAAAACAAAAAGTCCAAATTCACTTGATGCAGATGATGAGAAATCGTTGAAGCCAAAGCGGGATATGTACGCTTTGAAGAACGGGGACGTGTTCAGTGTGAGCAGACTTCTCGCAATCGCCGGCGTGCAGCTCGACCGCCAGAAAAACGCGGATGACGAGGTGAAGCGACGAGCGGGGACCTTACTCGAAGTCGTTGTCGAGTACAGGAATCTGTACCCGTTCTACTCCACCTTTCACCCAAAGCCAGAAGATAGCGCCATCGAGTACTGCTACAGAATAGTAGAACGGCCGGTGTCCGAATTTAAGGCGGAGATCTACTCCGAGAAGCAACCGGACGACTTTCCGAAAACTAGGCTGATCGAGAACCAGCACGGCATCTACTTGGTGTTCCGCGTCGGGGGGTCGTTTGGCTTTCTCAACTTCATCTACGTTCTAGTGATGCTGACGACTTCGTTTCTGCTGCTCGCAGGGGCGCGCGCGGCGTTGGATATACTCGCGATCTATTTTCTGCCGGAGAGAGAAATGTACAAAGCGGCAAAGTACGAGACAGCGGAAGTTCCGTCATTGCACAAGTACCAGGAAAGAGACGGTGAGGCAGCTGCAGGTGTAGCAGGAGCTGTGCAGGAAGGTGGTGGGAGTGCTGTTGGCACAAGAGGAAGATGACGCGAAGATAGCATACAAAAAAATCAAGACACAAAGCCTTTGCGGGCAGAAGATCAAAGCCAGAGGAAGCACCACCGAGCAACCCGGAGGAAATACGTCCCTGACGTGCGAACAAAACCTGATGAAGACTGATGGGTCCTCGTAGTCCGGCACCGAAGAAGTGGGGAAGATCGGAGTAAATGGAAATACCTCCCGCCACCTGTCGATTGCTGTGCTAATCAAGCGAAGTTTCGTTGACAGCGATAACAAAAGGTTGACGTAGAGGTGACGAATGAACGATGAATGTCGTAGCGACTCACTTGTTCAGTTTTTTTTTTTCCGCAACGATGCAGCCACTTCTTTTTTCACGACTAAAAAAACGCCTCCCAAATAAAAAGTCACAGCTTACGAAGAAAAATCAGCTAGATCATTTCTAGCGACATGGCAGCATTCTCTAAAACCGCACGACTATGTGTGTTCAAGTTCTGTAATACGATGGAGGGCTTCGTCTGAGAGCTCGCAGTCGGTCGCGCGAAGGAGGATGCCAGTCACCTCCTTGCGCTACTTTTTTGAAGTTGTGCTCTCACGTTTTTATTCTCACGAGTGTCCTCTTCCTGTTCCGGTTTAGCCCGAAGCCGAAACAAATTTGGCCCGAGAAGATAAAACTTTTGCTCTGAGCGATAGATGGGAAAAGAAGGGACAAAAACAGGACCTGAGTGACAGGGTCAGTCTGCTGGGCTTACTTCTCTGAGTACTACTTTCTCTTTCCCGGCATTGTTGCTCTTTTTCATTCCAGATCATATCTCTGAAATTCGTTTACAGGTCCAGACAAGTATCTATGCTGGTCGTTTTGATGCCATACAGGAACGATCTACATTGGTTCGTATTGTTCGAAGTCGTGTATGATATTCCACTTTTAGACACTTACTTTAGTTTTATTCCTAGTGGAAGTTAGTAGCTGCAAAGAAATGCGCAGCGTACAGGGCTTTTCAAGAAGCGTCAGCTTCATTCTTTTATAACCCTGAGTAGTATCCGTTTACGTTGACCATTACACACCCTATCCTTACCCGTCCCGCAGAAGCCCCGCTTCGTTTGAGTTTTCCTTCAATTGTTTCAAAATGCAGGACTTTCGCGAGTTCAAAGACGTGAAGGATTTCCTGAAAGGAGACAAGTCACTGATCCCGGACGACGTGACGACCGTGCTGCTCGGCGAGTGTACGCACGGGACGCAGGAATTCTACGAGCTGCGAGCGGAAATCACCAAGTATCTGATTGAGTTCCGGAAGTTCACCTGTGTGCTATGCGAGTCGGACTGGACGTTTATGTGGCACGTGAACGGGTATGTGCACCGAAAAAAGGCCAATATGTACCCGGACAAGATGCGGTTTCCCGACTGGATGTGGAAAAACGCGCCCTTTCACGACCTGGTAGAGTGGATGCGGCAGCGGGCCAGCAGCGACGGGCCGCATCTGTTTGGGTTGGACTGCTACTGCCGAGAGGAGAGCAAAGACGAGTGCGTAAAATTTTTCGACTTCCACGACCGGGACGGGCTGGGAAAGGATTTCCGCAAAACGTTGTATCCCCGAGAGAGGCCGGAGCTGTGGCCAGAGATTCTGTCAAAACTGCAGTGGGAAATTACAGAAGACGACAAGAAGAACAAGATTTTGCAGTCCAGCCTGTCTAGGAAAGGAAGCAAAAGTAGTATCCTTGTTTTGATGCTGAGGTCGCGAACGCGATCGCGTTTGCGAAACTTTCGTCTGCAGCGATTTAGATTTTTTCAGATTCTTGTTTGTTCCATAGCAAGGACGCTCATCAGTTGTGTGTGTGTCTGTGTGCTGCTAAGAATAAGTACTTTTCAAACGTCATACTTAAACACTTTCAGTGTTCGGTGAGCGCACCACGGCAGATGGGTCACGTGGCGGCGTTCTGCTTTCCAGCTCAAAATTCCGCGGGTGTTCGAAACTCGATCAGTTCAATGCCGAGCAAAATCTCGAGTGCATGATTGCCGCCGACGAATACTACTCGAAGCAGCGACTGGAGCCGCCCGGCAGCCGGGCAAGCTGGAACGCACGAGATCAGCACATGATGACCACGATTATGCGACTAAAGGCGAATAGCAAGGAGCTCTTTGGCATTGAAGAGAAGGACCTGAAGATCATCATCTGGGCGCATAATTCGCACGTGGGCGATGCGACGGCCACGCCGATGGGCGGCGAGGACTTTCTCAGAAACGAAAAGTGGAACTTAGGGCAGATGTGCAGGAGCACCTTGGATAAGGTGTTCATTACCGGGTTCTACTCACACCACGGCACCGTTCGCGCGGCTGAGCGCTGGGGCGGGAAGGGCCAGGTGATGCAGTTGCAGAACGCCCTGCCGGCCAGTCTCGAAGCCTGCCTGCATAGCCGCTTCCCGAACAAAAGCGCGTGCTTCGCAGTGGGGAAGTACTTCACGAAGAAAGCGGACCACGCAAATAAAGCGAAAAAGGACACCGGCAAGAAGGGCTTGCTTGGCGGCCTGTTCGGACGCTCGCGGACCAGCAGGTCGCTCGGAGACTTGGAGGAAGACAATGCCGAAGAACTTCTACAGGGTGCGGATTATGCGCCAGGAGAGCTGCAGGTCCCGTATCGGTGCCTACACACGGAAGTGTACGCCACGCCGGACGTAAATCCACCGATGCGAGGCGAGGACAGCAGCGCCGGCACGAAAAGAAGAAAACTTGACCCAAGCGTGCCATTCGTCGGCGTGCAAAGGTATTTCTATTTTTTAAGCAGCGGGCGTTGTGCTCATAAACTCTAACTCTCATTGGCGATTGTTGCTTTTGATTTTTTCACTCACTTCGGGTTCGGATTGAAATTGATAAACTCGAATCTTCTTTGAATTTGAAAGCCCTCCGCGGACGCGTAATAAATTCAATCAAAGCTTTATTTCTCTTCAGGCAAACCGTTGAGCAGCGCACCCTCGCGCAAGTCCGGTTACAGATCGAAAACTACAAGACGGACCCGACTTTGAACGGCTGGTGGGTCACCGAGGCCTACGATTCCTCGGTAACCGGTGTGAAGAACCAGGTGCAGTGCCTGCCGGTTTCCACACTCGAGAAATTGGAGGGGAAGAGTGTAGACGTACAGTCCGCGATGCTGCTCGCCAACCACCCGATTTTGCAGCGGTGGGTGGGCGTGCAGTACCACCCCGAGACCGAGTACCAGTCCCACTACGGGGAGATGCGCGTCGGCAAGTGCTACGACCTGATCGTGTTTTGCGACAAGAGCCAAGCGCTGTCGATCGACATCAGCGCACGGCCCAAGGTCGCGGATCAGCTGGTCGTGGAGGAGATGCAACAGGAGACTTCTAAAACGTCTGGTGGACGAGAAGTACAACAAGTACCGCAGCCCCAGCAGACACAAGAAGGCAAGATGGAAAAAGCAACTTCCGCCCTCAGCAACAGCTCGACCTCGACCGCCGCATCCTCGTCCTCCTCTAGCACAAAAAATAACGCGAACCAGAACCCGGAGCTGGCGAAAATTCAAACGAAGGTCGCGGGTGCAGCCGGGGAAGTGTCTAAAAACGTCGCCGCCCAGCCTGTCAACAAGCGGCTGCTGACGGAATTCCGGCGCATCCTGAGGACCCCGATCGAGTTCATCGAGGCAAGGCCCCTGGAGACAAATCTGCTCGAGTGGCATTTCGTCATAACCGGGACGCAGGACCCGTACGTTGGCGGGAAATACCACGGAATTTTGGAGTTTCCGGACGATTTCCCGATGAAGCCCCCGTCGATCAAGATGCTGACGCCCAGTGGCCGGTTTGAAATCAACAAGCGCATCTGCCTCTCCATGTCTGACTTCCACAAGGAAAGCTGGAACCCGGCGTGGACGATCGAGAAAATTCTGATCGGCCTGATGAGCTACATGTACGAAGAAAACAACGAGTCCGTCGGATCTTTATTAGAGTCGAAGGAGGACCGGCGGAAGTACGCGCAAGCGTCCAGCTACTTCAACGCGCAAAATGAGATTTACGTGGAACTATTTCACTCCGTGGAGGAGGAAGAGCAGCAACAGGCGGTCGCGGATTTGAAGAAGCGGTGGCGGTGCGGCTCGGACGAGAAGGACCACGATGAGCCGGAAAAGGTGTGCCGGTACTGCCTGGTGGACACGGGCGAACTGGTAAACCCCTGCTCCTGTCGCGGCAGCTCCCAGTGGGTCCACAAGCAGTGCCTGCGGCAGTGGCAGCGGTCGGTCCTGGTCACGCAGAGCACGCACCCTCGGTACCAGACCCGGATCGACGAAATCTGCAACATCTGCGACAAGCCGTTCAAGCCGGAGTTCAAGGCGCCGTCGCGGCGGGACACGATCTTGGAATACACGGGGGAGGACATTCCGCAGCTGATTCAGAAGGGGAACCTGCTGGTGTCCAGCCGGCCCAAGTCCGAGAAGAACTGGGAGATCATTTCGAAGCACAAGGACATCGCGGACAAGCTGCTGCATTTCACGGAGTCCGTTTACTTCATCAGCCTCTGCGAGCCCTACAACCCGAACAAGCGCGGCGGCGGCGCGCTACTCGCGGTGAACACGGCGAACAACCGCATCGTTAAGGAACCCCCAGATTCCGTCAGTCGTGCGCTGCCCGGCGACCGGTACGAGTTCTTCGTGTCGCCGAAGCGGACCTGGAACGAATCCTTTGCGGCGCTTGTGAAAACAATGCAGGACGCCGGGGTGTTGCAAGCAGGGAAAAATGGCGTCGAACACCGGATCGGCGGCCCCGTGGAGCCCGCCGAGGCGTTTGCGCTCGTCGATCTGCCGATGCTGAACGCGCCGGACAAGCTGTCGGGCAAGTCCGCCACTTCTTTGGAAGAGCAGAAGAAGAAGAACCGAACCATCCTGCAGCTCGCCAGCACCGACCCGGTGACGTGGCAGCAGGCCCAGAAGCTGCGGATAAAGAATTCTGTGTTCTTCGGAAATTTGGAAACCATTCTGGCGGTGATCGCGTCGCTTTACAGCTGTGCGGAGACCGCGAACAGTGTCGCGAATATTCCGGTAAAGGTGTTCTGGGGCTACGCCAGCTGGAACGCCACACAGCTGCTCGGGGAAATAGCCAGGCGCAGCTGGGGACTGGTGGTCAGTGACAGCGACCTGTCCTTTGACAAGTACGGCAAATGCCTTGGCGAGTGGGAAGATCTCGTCGATAACTCCGTGGTTGCCAAGGAAAGCGAGTACGCCGCGTTCTGAGCGAGGACCCGCGCCAGCCGATTTTCATTGTAGCGAGCTGGACAATGTTTGTTTGACAGTCTCGCGCACTAAAGAAGCTACCCAAGATTTTGCGCGCGAGTAGGAACACTGGTTGCAGGCACCTGCTCGAGCTGAAAGTCCTCATTTAGTGTCTTTTCCCTAGCTCCTGGCACTGCTATCTACCCGCAATTTCATTTTTGCCCCTTCTGTCACATACACAACACATCTGAGTGCTTTGTGTCGCCCCACCTGCTCTGCATTTCACTGCGTCATCGTCAATTGCGGCGTCTATTATTAACAGGAAGCTGCTATAATGTGTCGTGTGACAATTGTTTTGTTTGTTCCACAATTGTGTTACTCCTGCTTCACTACGACGACCGGTTTAAAAATACTACCTCGACCGTCGCATTTGTCCCGCCCCCGCCCGCCACAACACCCACCAACTGCTACGCAGGTAGTACTTCGTTGCTGCTACAGACGCACACAGAGACTGAGGAAGAATAAGAAACCCTCCACCTTCTACTTCTAGATATTATTGACAAGGATCCCACTTGTTTTTGCAGTCTGATTGCAGCTAGAGCTACGGAAGTGAGTACACATCCGGACAAAGACGCTCACTGTCACTTGAGAACGAGATCAAATGATTGAAAAAACATAAACAATATTGAAGATCTACCACTAGCACCCGCAGACAGAGTCAGAGGCATCTCCTTCTGCCCTGCTCCTCCGCTGCATTGCCAGGCGCTCCGCATGAGCCTACTGACTATCCACTTCACGGTGCTCTTTTCTTCACGCGATTGTTTACCGCCAGGAGATGATCATGTTCCGACACCGGCTTGAATCTCTGTATATCTGACCTAATGCTAATCGTGCTTAAGAGCCACGACCTGGTGTGTAATTTCTTCCTCTTCGTTATGTGCAGGTTACGTTTTTCTTTTTTTTTTCCTCAGGTTGGTGTCATGATGGCAGACCCAGAAGCTACACGTCAACAATTTCTCACAAGCGTTTCGTGTAGTTGTGTCGTCCCGTGTTAAAGTAAGGATTTCACGTATCTGATTTTCGATGTAAGGGAACGGGAAGTAGAGCTAGAGTAACGTTAAAGTTGTAGAAAAAGCAAAGCAAACAAATTTTCACTGCATGGCGAAACATCGATCTTGAAAATGAATTTCACCTTTACCAAAGAGGATGACCCGGTGTGTTTCGCCGCCGAGGGGACCTGTCCCATCTGCTTCGATATGATTCAGGGAGACGCGATCGAAACGATCTGTTGCGGGAAGCTTCTCTGTACCGGGTGTAGTGAGAAATGCGGGCAAAGGGCCACTTGCTTCAATTGCCGGGCTCCTGTGGCGACGACGGCGGGCGAATTTGAGCTGTCGGGGTTCTTTGGGTTCCAGAAGAATCATTTCGCGACGCGCATGTTGCAACAGGAAGAAGTGAAATGCACCTGGTGCGGACATAGGGGCACCCTGCAAAAGATGTCCTGCAGCGGGCACATCAGCGAAAAACACTACCGGTTCTGCCAGGCTCCCTGTCCGAAGATGATTCGAAAGTGTCCCCACGCCGGTTGCGAGTATGAGGGTGAGCTTTCGGCACTGAAACAGCACCTCGCCTGCGACTGCGAGAAAGGCTACCGAATGCTGGACCAGGAGGCGCTGGACATGTGCGGCGGAATCGAGGGCTTGGAGCGGCAAGTGAAACAGATACACACGCTGCTGGTCACCTTAAAGCCCCCGGTTCCGCCGGATGCCTTCGCCCTCACGTTGAGTCACTACGACACGAAAATCACGTCGAGCACGTTTGCCCGGATGTTTCAGGGCCGGAATTTCTTCAAAAAGCCGGCGACGAACTACTTTGTAGAGCTCGACGAGCAACATACCAGTAGTTCAGCGCAGAGCTGTTTCGTGCCTTCGTGTAAAGAGCTGGTCGACCTCAATCGCCTGCTCGATCCCGTCTTCATGTATGCTCCCCTCGGCGACGATCGACCCGACGGTCCCCGGTTGCCGAAACTTTTGCGACAAGGGTACGAGCAGGTCGTGCGGTTGTTTGTGGTGGACGACTACAATTGTGACATTCCCCTGCATATGCATTGCAAATATGTCTGGGTCTGGAGAAGTGCAACTTGTCATGCGAAGTCTCGATCGCAAAAAAATTTGTGTTGCATGAACGCCAAAAGTTGCCCACTTGTTTCTAAGCAAAAGGCGAATTTCTCATGCGGAGCAGGCATCAAGAAAGTCGCGCAAAATTTGTGATGCTTCTGTGTGCATTCCAGACCATCTGCCTGGTCCGTGAGATGCATGACAAATCTTGCATTCTTCCAGACCCAGACACATTTGCAATGCATACTGCACGAGGAGGCATTCTTTCAGCCGACCGAGAAGCGGCCATCCCCGGAGACTGCCCAGTTGCTCTACAAGCCCGGGGAGCCGGGACCCTCGCAAGCCATCGCGGATCTTCTCGGACACGGTCGCAAACGGAAGCAATCCGGAGAAATGGGTCTCACGCTGGCAATCGCGGCCTGGCACGAGGTGTTTGCGCCACAACCAGTTGCGTCGCTGGCACTGGCGGATGATGACACGGATGAGAAACGTAGTCGGCTCCGGGCACGTAGCTGTCGAAGGTCCCGGCAGCGAAGAAGCCGGACGCCTCCGGTCAGAAACAGAGGCGCCGACTGAACCACAATGATAAACACCCGAAGCCGTCGGAGTTGAAATTAATACGTAGAAATACTTCGTTCCTCTGTTGAGTAGCTGAAATAGGTTTTCTCCTAATTTTATTTCTACTCTGCCGAATGCAAGAAAGATCAGACAAAAGCAAAAGGAAAAGACATACTGGCGGTCTTCCTCTTATATGAATACAGAAACTTCCGAAGTAGAAGGAAGATGAGAAGCGCGCAGCATGCTGGACGACAGCCCAATGTACAGTTTCTACGGAAACCTAGACTTTTCTGAACATGAGCAGTTCAATTTCAGGCTGTGTCTTACGTCACAGGAGAGCGAGGGTACGAACGGATGTGATGACGAGTGTGTGTGTGTGTGAGATCAAGTTCATGTGAGATCAATCTGATAACTTCTCTACGCCGGTGATGTGGTGTGTAGTGAATGGATTGAACGAAAGAAAAAGTAAATGATTTCGCTCTCAAGCTGAAAAGGCAAAGCAAGAAAGCTCACGCCGCGATTTTTTACACAGGACCCCCCGTGGACGAAGTTGTTGGCTTTCATTTTGATTTTCCCACCAACAGATTTTTTGAAAGATTACGTTCAGCTTTTTTTGGAAAGATCTGCTATTTCCGCGCACCGATCTTTCGTGCGCGACGTTCGCAGGTGCCTTCTTTAGCCGGTCGCTCGCAGCTTCCGCTTCATTGCATGCCACTGTCGATAGATCAAGTTGAAGTTTATTTTGAACTGCAAAATACCATTGCGATAAGAACAGATACAGAGTCACGATCACCATGATCTCCACAAGCAGCTTCTTTACAAGATCACTGTTTCCGATTTTCTAGTTTCTTTCTCTTTATTTTCTTTATTTGAACGTAGATGTCAATGAAAATAGAATCACTCTCTTTCGGCGTTTTTCCATTGTTACGTCTGGGAGCATCGTGTTGATAAAAGTTCGGGCCAACTTCTAGTATTGCAAATTCTATTCTACTCAAACGAACGATTTTTTTCGTTTGCCCGTACTAGTTGATAGTTCTCACTCGTACTCGTGTGTTGTGTTGAATACGCCAACATAACTTGTGTGTCGCTTGTCGCCGTTTTCAAAACTTCTTCGCGCTCTTCTTTTTTTTTTCTTTAGTCAGAACCCCATTGCGCACGAAAATGCAAGTTCTTCGTTGGTCGTTTTTCACTGCTTCCCTTGCCGCGGTGGCACAGGAGATGGCTCACGAAGGCGATCCGGTATGTTGGGAAGACGGGATTCCACCAGAATATTGCTGCGGTGACGACTATGGAGACGCAGGTATGGTCTGCTGTGTGGTTGTATTTTCTCATCTTGTTGTACGATGTTCATCTGCAAAGTTTGACGAGTTTATAAAAAAAAGGCTGCCTCGTCATCGTGTTTCTTCGGTTTCTTTCGATATGGAAGGAAGGTATTGGCGGGTATTCGTATTTCTTTTTCTTCCTTCAGGTACACCGTCCTGCTGGGTAATGGGTTTCCGGTACACGCGGTGCTGCGGCGTGAAGAAGAAGAAGGCATACACCCCGAGCGCGCGGCGCAGCATCAAGCTGTCCAACCCGTGCGACTACATCGTGGTCGGCGCGGGCTCCGGGGGCGCCACCGTGGCCTCGCGGCTGGAAACCGCGTACCGGGTTTGCCTGGTCGAGCAGAACAACGAGCCAGACAAGTACTGGAGCGAGGGCCACCCGGTGGGCCCGAAGGAGAAGGACTGGCAGTACAAGTTCGGGCGCGGCGTCGGCGGCAGCACGCTGATCAACAGCGGTGTGTACACGCGCGGGAATTTGGAGGACTACGCGGAGTGGGGCGGCGAGGAGTACTGGGGCGTGAACCGCACACTGGAGCTGTTCAAGACGCTGGAGCACCCGGCCAGCATCCCTGGCTACGAGGTGGACTACGACTACCACCCGTACCGGAAAAACCCCGCGGAAAAGCCGGCACACGCGACACTGGTCTCCTCGGAGAGGCACGAACTGCCGCCGATCTTCCGGGCGATCGCGGACGCGTGGGAGGAAAACGGCCTGGGCAAGTACCGCGTGGACCCGCACAGCTCGACCGAGATGACGGGGCTCGGCGGCGTGTGGCGGTGGATGGGCTGCGGCGACGACATGGACGCGGCCTGCACGCCGCAGCGGGTCTCCCGGTGGCGGTACGTGGGCCACGAGCGCAACCATGAGAGCGTGGACGTCACACTGACCAAGTATCGTTTTGAAAATTTACCATCTACTCCACCATCCAATAATTTCAATTTGCTGTCATGCGCAACATGTACGTACGGTAACGTAAGTTCTGTGTTAGTCATGCAAATGGTGGATGAGAATGCGGATGGATGCTAAATTTTCAGACAATACGAAGCCGAAGCTCTACATCGGAAAAGTGACGAAGGTCCTGATTCAGGACAACGTCGCGCGCGGGGTCGAGTTCATCGACGACCGCGGGCAGAAGCTGCAGCTTATGGCCAAGCGCGAGGTCATTCTGGCTGCCGGCGTGGCGTACACGTATCAAACAAAAAAGTGTTAACGTTAACGGTTTTCACAAATAGCAGTCACGCATTACAAATTTTGCCTTCCATGCATGCTGCGCAATACAAATTTGGGCACTTTTTCTGATGCGTTACTGCATTACAAATTCCGTTAACGTTAACACTTTTTCTTGTGATAACACGCCCAAGATTTTGATGCTCAGCGGCGTCGGGGACCCGCTCGAGCTGTCGGCGCTGGGGGTCGAGGTGGTCCAGGAGGCGCCGCACGTGGGCCTGCACCTGCAGGACCATTATGGGTTCTCTTCCACCGTAGAAACGAATCTGAAGTGTCCGAAGGACGCGCACCGCGATGAGCACGGGGTTCCGCGGGGGGGCACGCACCTGGGCTTTTTGAACGACTTTCTGGCCCAGTTTTACGGGTTCTACAAGCTGCCCGACACCAACGTCTTCTTCGAGATGTTCCTCATCGAGGGCTGCCAGGAGGAAAAATACACGCTCACGTTCACCGTGCTGTTACTCTCCCCCTCCAACGAAGGACGAATCGTGCTCGACTCCGCGGACCCGGAGGAAAAACCGCGGCTGGCTATCTACCCTCACGTCCACGAAGAGGACCTAAACTATCTAAACTACGTATGCCATGAAGAAAGGAGTATGCTTGTCCTGTGAGTTTATTGCTTAGACGCTTAAGAAAAAATGCATGATCGATGAACGACCTCAAGTTACAAGGAAGAGGAAGCTCATACATGTGTTACGTCCTTTGCTTGTATCATCATCTGCACGATTGGCACCACGGAGATGTTGCGCACTTTCGCTTCCTCAATGTTAATGCTTCTGCTAGAAAAAGAAAGTAGAGCGGGCAAGCAGAGTTCGTTTTTTTCTTTGGCATACTGTGCTTTGCGCATCTTGTACGTGAAAATATTCCCCGCGTTGCGCCAGTGGGACGCCCGTATTAGCCCCGACGTGAGTGTGATGTCAGACGAGACAAAGGCCAAAGCGTAAGCTTTCTTTCTCACCTTTTCACTGAGACGACGCACTGAGTTTGTAAGTGTGTACGAATGAAGACCACGAAGAGCTCCAGTACTTAACTTGAAAACATTGAATCTCAAACACACTCGCACCCACAGGTGGATCAAGGAGAATCTGTACTATTATTCGCACCCAACCGGCACGGTGAAACTGCACGCCCAGGATCCTGATGGCAGCGTGCTGAACCCGGATCTGACCGTGAAGGGCGTGCAGAACCTGCGCGTCTGCGACGCGTCGGTGTTTGGAAAAGCGCCGATCGGGCATTCCGACGGTCCCACGCGGATGATCGGGGCCAATTGCGCGAAAATCATCATGGACAAAGACAGAGCAAACATGCCGGTCATCGGGTACTTATCGCGTTTTTCTCGTAGCTGCTGCTGCGTCGGACGTTTTTGCTGGCACACCGGCTGCACTTTGATAGCCAACTACGCAGTCAAATTTCTCTGCAGATACGAGTAGAAAGAGAGACACAGCCCCGTACTACACTTCTTGTTCTTACATAAATTTTCACTAAATAAACCCAGGTATGGTACGAACAACGAGCTGAAAGCTTTTCACATTTCGTATTTCCTCACTGCTGGCGGGCGGCTGATCGACACCGCGATTACCTATAACAACCAGGAGATCGTCGCCGCCGGGATCGGTCAGAGCAAAGTACCGAGAGAAGAAGTTTTTCTGGTGACCAAGGTCGGCCCGGACATGTTTGACGACACCTACCAGGCCATTAAGGACGACCTCGCGAAGTGGAAGGGCAAAACCAAGCACGGCGACATTGCGCGCGTGACCTATTTCGACCTCGTCCTCCTGCACTGGCCCAACCTGTACTCGACCGACCTGAAGGCCCCTAAGTGCGCGTCGGAGCCGGAGGGGTGGGTGGGGTGCCGCAAGCTGGCGTGGCAGGGGCTGGAGAAGTTGGTGGCCGAGGGGATCACGCGCTTCATCGGCGTGTCCAACTTTGACGTGAAGCACCTGGAACCGTTGCTGGACTGGGACCAGCGGAAGTACCCGATCTACGCGAACCAAATCGAGTTCGGCATGTTCCGGACCCACGCTTGGGACACGGTCAAGACCTACTGCGACCAGAAGGGGATCCGGGTTATGGCCTACGGCGTCATCGGCGGCTTAAAACGAGAAATGCTGATCGACCACGACCTCGTCAAGGCCGCAGCAGAGAACCGCACCGCAGAAAGCGCCATGTTCCAGTGGGCGTTAAATGAGGGCGTCACGGTGCTCCAGGGCAGCAAGAAGAAAAAGCACATGGATCAGTTCCTGGCACTGGCACCCACCCAAGAGAAGGTGATAAAAACTGACATTCCAATGGACGAGCGGACCAAGTGCTACGAACCCGACGTATCAACGAAAAAATCTTCTGCATCACTGTGACCCTGCACAAAACAGACACGTTGGTTGTGCATTTGTATCGATGTGAAAGAATGTTGTCCAAGAAGAGCAAGATGTGCCATGTTTTGTTAAGCTGTACTTCTACTTTTTTGCATTGCAACGCCTGATATAATTTGTCATGCTACACTGCTCGACGAAAGAATGCGACCGCGAGCGTCACAGGGATACAGTTTTTTTCATGCGATAACGGGCCGTAAACTACGAATGAGACCGGTCGTCTCAGCATAACTTTGACGTCCAGCTTTCATCGTGCTGGTCTCATCTTCATCTCATTTCTTCTTCTTGTTTTCACACACAGAAGTCAGCGGGCCACATCATGCCAAAGCTTTGCATTCCAACGTGGCAAGAACAAATTTTCGCGATTATGTCAGTATGATTTGAGAAACGCCGTAGGATAACGCGTTTGCTATTTTCCTCGCCCATGCATTTGATGGCGATCTTCCCACGTTCTTGATCATTGATTGGTAGAGATTGTCACCCTAAAACTGAACGACCACAATATACAAAAATTACAGCAAGCTGTAGCTGTCAAAACAAGGTTTATCCGCGAGAATACAGAATGTTGAGAATCTGTTTGGCATGCCAGCGCTTCAGCGTCGAAATAAGAATGGAGCAGCAGCATTGCCGTGATAGAAAGGAGTACTATCAATTGCAACTAACATACCAACACTCACCCACGCAGTGATGGGGAGGGGGAACTGTGTGACGTTGCGTTCGATATCAATTTTATGTATCATTGTTAATGTTGCAGATGATGGGAGCGCTTTGTTCTTCGCTCTCCAGCAGCACCAGGAGCTTAGCCGCGTCGATACAGTGAGTATACGAGAGGAAAAAATAGTGGGTCTTGATGAGCGAAATGTCAGAGTACTTGATATGGAGAGCGGTTCTGTACTAGTCGGAGCTCTTTTGAGATACATGTTGAAAGATAAGTATCGGCTCTTTAGATTCATAGATATCCAAAAGGGCAAGGTACTACCTTCGTGTCTTTTCGATCTTGGTTTCTGAGTCTTATCGGCGAGCGAATCGTCATTAGGAAAGCCGGCCAAGAATGTAGCGTCGTATTCGTCGTTTCGTTTTGCTCATGACGGGCCAAGCATCTTTTATTTACATGACAAATCGCCGAGGACGAGAGAGACACGAGATAAAACTTCTCTTGCCTGTTCATGAATTAGCGGTTCATCTTCTGTGGCTCGATCAAGTCGTTTGAGTACCTCGTCGTATTTCAACTTGTCTGCGTTTTGGCATTGTTTGACCATAACAGAAGCTAGACCGAGCAGATCATGGATGTGTGAAAGCTTACTTAAACCTAAAAGCTGCGCATGTTGCGCAGATGAAGATGATTGAGAAAGCATATCCTGGTATCGCTGATCTCGACCCACCGCTACGCGGCCGGTAGAAGGTTTCTACAAATTAAAGATTTTCTTCTGGGGCGTTCGTGACTGTGAATCAATTCTGAAGACGAACAAGATGCGGGAACACCACGAGCAGGAAGTTTCCGAGGTCGAGACGGCGACGCGGGGAAGCAGAAAGGAGGAGTTTGCCGGGTGCAAACCGGGGAACGGTAAATTTCTGACCGACTGCCTGCCAAAGATCGCCGCGTACTGGGGCAACGAAAATAACACGTTTGTGCAGCTCTTGTGCAATGGTCAACGGTCAGAGGAAGGAAGCCGATTATCGCGCGATGAAGAGACCGAAGAACTAAAGCAAAGGATGAAGGAAGAGGGAAGCTGGTTTAAGGGATTGCGGAAGAAGTATAGCAGCTCAAATGCGTGCCTATGTTGTGCGAAAGTATTATCGTACTGCTTCTGGTTGCTGTAACGCTAACGCATGACCACTTTGACGGCTTATCATTGTGCATTTTGACAGTATTAGCTTTAGCATTTCAGTATAGTGTTCCTCTTCGTCTTTCTTAGCAAGTCAGTGCAAGGAAGAGAGAAGTGAAAAGTGTCCAAGGGTGAGCATCTACGCGCGATGTTTTTCGCCGTTCTGACCCTAGATTTCTGCGTCCGACGCTGCTTGCGATGGCGGTCGACGTGCAAGGGTTTTTAATGTGAGTGACCCAGTCGTGTATGGATGAGACGAAAAACTTGATTTCTGATTCTGATTCTATTGATGCTGGAATGAAGAATAAACTTACAGTTCTTATGTTTATGCATTACTAGTGCTAAGTGCGCGAATGCTTTTGCAATGCATAGTGCCAGCACAAGGAATATTGGGTGGAGGCCGAGACTCAGCAGGATTCCAAGCGTCTAGGAAACAACATACTCTGGTCCGCGGAGGGCGGGCTACCCCAGTTTATCAACGTCGTCCAGACCGAGTATGGCGCTTTCTTGCGCGAAGGCGTCACCGCCAGTGGTAGCAGTTTCAAGTGGGGGGGCGGCGACGCTGTTGGTGACGATGACGATGCAGCAGCGTCCTCCTCGTTCCTGCAGCTATGCATCGCAAATATGTCTGGATCAGGAAGACAGCAAGATTTGCCATGCTTGTCTGACATGACTCGAGAATCTGTCATGCGTTCTTGGAGGTTCAAAAAGATCATCTTCTTATCTGTGAATGTGATGCAAAAGCTATAGTCAGTCTGCCAAGGCAAGCGAAATACGCAAGACAAAGCAGCTCAAAAGATAAAGATTGTCACGCTTGGCCACGTAATTATATTACAGTGCGCCCAATTTTCTTGCCCGGTTTGCGTTACAAGTTTTCAGACCCAGACGTATTTGCACTGCTGGATAGCAGCAGCTGGAGAGCGGGAACGACCTCGACCTGTACGCTGCTTCTCGGCAGGCCCTGTTGCTCGGGACGACCGTCGACGACCTCACCGCGACCCGGGACGCGGCGACGGCGGAAACCACTTGGGAGAGCTGCAACAATCAGGACCTGCGCATGGCGTTCGGCGTCCCCGACTTCTTCGGAACGGGCTCCGATTTGAAGATTTGGGTAATCGCGCCAATGGGCAAGGCCGACTACAAAGGAGAAGGGAGCAACGCGGTCGTGATGTCCTGCGACCGGACGACAGAGTACTACTTCTACCGCACGGACGTGCCCAAAGAAAAGCTGCGCGACGGATACGACGAGTCACGATTCCGGGACGGCCTCGCCAGGGCGAATTTGCGAAGCGGCTGGTACAACACGAACACGCTCGGGCATCTCACCATTAAAGAGAGTCACGCCGACGGAGGACGCCGTCGCGATGTCGGGGACGCTAGCGAAGAATACCACGTGTATTCCTTCGACGAGAACGCAAAAAAAGAAACAACTGTCCGTGGCAAAACGATCGACCTGCACGCTGGGTACCTGAAAGTCGAGAATGATTTTTGGGAGGAAATCTGGCTCGACCCGAATAAGCTCGGTAAACAGCAGCGCACCATGCTCGGGGACCTGAAGTTAATCTTCCAGGATGAAAAGAGTTCGGGCATAAAATACACAATCGGAGATGATGAAGGAAAGAAACATAAACAATCTTCCAAGAAAAAGAAAAATAAAATAGAGTCAGATTGGTCTTCTACTTCCAGTTCCGCCAGCGCATCCGCATTCTTGCAGGTATCTTTCTAGTAACAACTTCTACTCGGTGTCATTGTCCTCGCCGCTCTGCAAGTGCAAGGTCGGTCCTCCGGACCTTGTGCCTACTGAAGCCGTGTCTCTGTGATTGACGTGCTAACAAATTTAACGAACATGATGAGTCAATGAACAAGTTAGAGAGTCGCGAAAATTGTAGAAATAAAAGGCGCAAGCGCAGCGTCATTCTTTTGGTCGCCGTCATTGAAGATGCCTAGTGTAAAAATTGACTTCTTTTTTAGAATTGAACCGACTGGACCTGCCAGGAATCGTCTTTGCGGGAGCCAGTACCATCTGGTGCGACGTTCTCGCAAGAAGGAAGCCGTTCGGCACACGAGCTGCAACAGGGTAATATCAACCAGGAGAATAATTCGGGGCTGATTCTTAAACAGAAAAAGTCGACTGTCCGGACGTCTCTGCGTGGCGCAAGCAAGCAAGCGGTCGAGATCTCCACGTCCTCCGACACTGCCTTTTCTGCTCTCGACGACTTAGCAGCGTCGAGCACTGGTGGTGCAAGTGGCACTCGTGACCGACAAGAACCCTCCTTTTTCTCGTCTTTTGCACCAGAACGCGGCGGATCCGCGGACGTGAGTGGCGATCAAGATCAACCATCCTCGTTTCTCGAGAGCATTGGAGTGCAGCAGTACTACGCAGGAGCTCCCGAAGCCGATGCAAGCGAGACAGCGAAACGAACATCCACCGAAGAAACGCGTGTGAAGATGCACGGACTTCTACCGACCAGCAGCCTCTTGTCGACCACCTCGTCCGCGGAGGAATGGCTTCCCGCGCTCGCATTTCTCCTGATTCTGCCTTTTGCCATGCGGCTCGTCGTGTACCGTCTCTACATACGCATGAGGGAACGTGGCGCGGAGGAAAAAGGAGACACCGAGCAGTCAGCGCTGAGCACCACGACAAGCACAAACACTAATCCAGCGGGTAGTACCGGCTTTGCGAATGAACTACCCGATCTGGAGCTGGACAACAACGAAGCAGAAAGTCAAGAACACAACGTCGACAACCCGCTTGTTACTTGCTCTCCACCCGCCGGTCATGAAATTATGCAGACGTCATCCCTTGTGGCCTCCAGCTCCACCGAAAATAAATGCTGCGAAGAGAACCAGGAATTACAGGGGGAACTCGCTGCGATTGAGAGCATCATCTAGTTGTCGAAGAAAATCATTTTCGACACACGACAGAATACAGTCTCCACAAAGCTTGTCGCACACACGACAGAATACAGTCTCCAAGCTTGTCGCACAAGAAAGACGTGTTACGCAGCCAAGCAAAACCAAGTTTCTTCAAAGTAATTTCAAACTCAAAATGAAACTCAGTCCTCAGTGAACAGATTGATATGATATTTATCGGTGAAAAGTCAAGAACTTCCGACCCACCTCTGCACCTGCAGCTTATTATTGATATATAGGAGGCCGACTACGACTACCTTCACTGTGTTAGTTTGTACCCAGCGCGTTCCCACTGGTTTACGTGTATCACCTCAGTTAACGTCTGCCCCGAAGTAGAGAAACAATCAACAGATGAAATTAAGTAAACGAATTTGTATGTATCGTATAGTGAATGCATCTAGCGCAATTAGAAAAGTCAAAATCCAAACTTTACAATGTATACATTTCGACTTGAGATTGAAGAATTTGAATTGCGCGGGCTTTTTAACAAACGCGAATCACGCCCTCGCTGCCTTCGGACGTCCTGTTGTCAACCTTGTTCTTCATGCACTGCTCTGGTCTTCCCATGCAAGAGCGAGATTCATTTTCAACTATCTACGGGAAGCAGAGGCTCGCTTCTTCTTAAAAGTGGTGGGCACAGCCACAGGGAGAGGGACAGGAGTAGGACTCATGCGACAAAGAGGGAGCCAGCGCTTGACGAATCGAGCGTAACAAGACAAAGACTTGAGGGATTGTGTGAAGCCAAGGCATCATGTCATCTTCTTGGTCTTGCCTTGATCTTGTACTTCTACTTGTACGGGCATTTCTAATATTTTGCGAGAAGCGACAAACCTTGAATTGATGCCGCTTGTCGCGCCCTTGTCAGTGGGATTATTTGCTATTTCGGATGATGCCAAGGATACGGACGAGAAAGTAAAAGAGATACTAGCACATTCTAGTGGTATACTTAGTTTTCCTTGGAAGATCTACTAAGCGGTATTGAAGATGGTGTCGTGTTGCGCGAAGCCGCCACCGAGTCCGGTCGCCAAGCCGGACATTATGAGCCCCGGAGCGGAATTAACAAATTGGAACGCGAACCTTTTTTTCCGCGACGGGAGATGATTCCTGGTTCTACAGCATGCATGATCTTCTCCAGAAATCAACTGTCGTTCGTGGCAAGAACATGTGATGTCACAGCAAGCAAAATTTTGCCCGTGGAAGATCAGGTTTCAAGTTGCAATTTGATAAGGGACAAAGCCACTAGAACTCGGAGAAGTGGTGGTCGAGACCAAAAAGCCCACGCTAGTCGAGGAAAAGGTGGCGGAGAAACCGGCAAAGGTAGAGGATGCTCCGGCGGTCGCACCAACTGCAGAAGGTACAACCTACGGTGTCGTGTAAAGTGTGCCTTCTACATGTTAAAAGGTGAACGCCGTAAGATTAAGAAGTAGAAGTTGCAACGGTACTATAACAGCACGCCATACAACAACATCATACTACAATGAATGATAGAGAAACGACGGGACCAAGAAACAAAATCATCTCACCGTACACCTTTCTTTACCTTTGCGATTTTACACAACAGAGCCCGCAGCACCGGAGCCAGAAAGCAGCGCGCCAGCAGTGGACGAGCCAGAACACGAGGAAACCGCAAAAGTTGGAGAGGAAAACTACTTCTCATCATCTTTTATGGTATCATGTTGAAGCATGGTTGTGATCAAGAACCTGCTGCTGCAGTTTGATCTTCTACTTGTTTACCAGATCTTCGATTCTTAAGATGGTATTTTCTAGGAAAAGCTCCCACCTGCTGCATCTCCATTCTTGTCTACTAGTACTTCTTGCTCTTCTACAAGCGAATTGCAATTGTGTGTACAAATTTCAATCTGCCATCAAAATCCACACCCAACAACCAGACATTCGACGAGAAGAAGGCTGTTTTTGAACCAGAAAACGTGGGTGAAGCGGAGGCCGACGAAGGCAATGGCGTGCCGTGCAACTTCCAAATCGATGGTCTCACAAGCAACATCGCCGCACTGCACATAGCACAGAAGGTAGGAAAAAGAAAAAGAGAAACCTGCTTCCTGATTACTGCAATTTGCGTGTGCTAACTCTAGAGTGTCATTCTTCTGCGGCCGGGTACTCGCCACTTGATGACCAGTATAACAAATATGTATCAAAAATCCTCGAACCAAGAGCAAGAGCATCAACATCAAAAATTCCAGAGTTTCTACGCAAGCATGGCGCCAGCACCCCCTGGCATGAGCATTTTGCGACCCCCGGCGCCCCTGCAGACACCAAACTTGACAACGGAATGGTCGTGGGGCCAGCAAAGCACGCCGACAACAAGTAGTAAACATCGATTTCATGCTGCTTCCGACGCTCTTGCATGCATGCAACTCTCATTCTGCTCGGTTTGCAATGGTACAAAGAAAACAATGAAAATTGGCCTAGCAGTCGTCCAGGAGATTCAACAGCCTTTTCAACCTGAAAAAACAAAATCGAACGAAGGTGTGATGCGCACGCCGTCGATCGGTATGCCCTCCCTGTTTCTGCAGGGTTCGTTTCAGCCGAGCGTGCAGACAAGTGCCGTGGTATTCTGAGGAAAATAAATCCCCCCTCCCCATATCGAAAAGGTATGTTTCCGAAAATTTGCGTTGCTGATTTGAGGTCACAAATCACGCCTGTCTTGCAAGAAGTCACGCGGAGAGGCTTCCGCACCATTATGGAAGCGATTTGGCATGCTGTTGCGCCTGGGGGGCACCCATTTGCAATGCTAAGCAACTAGACCTATACGCCCCTACCTAGGCCGAGGATCTGGCTGTGATGCCTTACTGCAAGACAAATCCGATTGGTGTACCCAAATCCTGCATCACAGATTTCCACTTCGATATGGGGAGGGGGGATTTTTCCTTTTGATACGTGGTGCGGGCCGAGACGACAGCAACGGTCGACGACGAGGTCGTGGTCAACGCGGACGAAGTGGACGTACCCGAACCGGCAGAGGTTATGGCGTTCTCAACTGTTACATTCTCAACTGTTGCATGGTTTGTAATGCAAAACGAACATCAACACTCACCAGGTGAAGCTACTTCGCATGACAAATTTTAGAGAGGCTAAACAGCACCCAAATATGTGCGGAATTTGTAATGCTACAGGTGCAACCTCCCTGCTTTGCCTTTGACTTTTGCCATTCTTGCATCACAAATCCATGTGACTTTTGCCATTCTTGCATCACATCTTCGTTTGTGGTTTCGGTCGGTTTAGCATCACAAATCCATGTAACATTTGAGAATGTAACAGTTGAGAACGTCATAGAGGTCGAAGTAGAGGTCGAGGTGGCGGAAGCAGAGGCGGACGAGCCGCTCGAAGAGGCGGAAGAAGTTGCCGCATGCGCAGCGAAGTAAACCTATTTACTTTATACATGACGCCTTGTTTTGATCATTTGGGATTTGGTGAGTGTTTTCGTCAAGGAGAGGAATCAGACATAAGAAATAGAAAAATGCTTGTGCTTCACCGTCAGAACCACGACTTTCAGTAGACTTTTTTCAACTCTTCTGATCATCGTCTCAGATTGAGATCACGATGAAAGGAATCACTTACTCTACCCCGTACAAGAACCCAGCGCACAACCCGAACGAACGTTGTACTTGTAGCTAATCAAAAAACACGCAAACCTCGTTTTTACGTTTCGCATTTCCCTTTCTCCTCCGTGAACAAGGCACGATGACGGCGCTGATGCAGTCGCAACAGTGCTGGTGTGGCCGTGTCAGCGAGATTTTTATGTGGTAAAGTCGAAAATGACGAGAGACAGAATTTGCAAAGAGTTTTAATAGCAACAAAGCGTTGATAATTGACTCGTCCTGCACCAATTTTTACTACTCTACACTACAATTCGACAATAAAGTGGAAACACAAAGATGAACAACCTATGTGACAAGTAAATTAGGCCTTACCTAAATGCCGTGGGCTCCAGGTTCGTGCGAAAATGCTCCCATATTTTTCAAATTGAAACCAAGCTAGCGAAGCCGCAGCAGCAGGACCAGACTAACGTCCTAGTACGAAAAAGGCGTTGTCTGTGTGCAGCAGGACGACGAACAAAGTGTCTGATCGCTATGAGGTTTCCAGGTTGTTCGACATGTAGTTTTTGTGATAGATTTTTGCCCCCTGAGGAGTAGCGATGGCAGAGCACGAGTAGATAAAAACAAAAAGTTACTTCGGTTCATTGCTGCATGAAATTCGGTCTTTGTCGCTCCGGGCAGTCTGTCAAGATGAACAACCACATCATAAATCGGTATCGTGCTCCTCTTTCATTTTCGTCTAAGTTTCCATTCGTAATGTCGTGCAACAGCAATTCATTGGAGTCGTTGTCGTTCCCCCCATGTCTTCAAGGTTTCGTTCTTGCGATGAGGCCCGCATTCTGATTTTTCTCGGCAATGAACGAATGTTGCACAGGATATTTTTCCACCCCAAAGCCAAACCCAAGATTTTGTCCTTGGCATAACCATAATTCCCCTGCTGCATTTACTGCTAATTTGTTTATTTTCTTTTCTATTTCTACGATGAACACCTTGACCTTCGAGGGCCTGTAATTACCACCGTTCCACTTCCGCGACGAGTCCATCGGTTTCAAACCTGGTTGTGAGCATTAGTCGTAAGTCAAACTCGTCATGTTCAGCTTCATTTTCGGCGACGATGACAAGAAGAAGGCTCCCAAGCCCGAGGGAGACGCAGCACCTGCCAAGGGGAACAAGGGTGGGGCTCCGGGGAACAAGCAAAATAAGCGGTCCTCCGGCGATGACCGCGACAGTCGTGGGAGCAACAAGGGGTCCGGCAACTCGACCCCGACCGCGACCTTCCAAATCGGCGACCACGTGCGGACGCAGAACCTCGAGAAGTTGCCGCATTTTGACGGAAAGCTGGCGGTCATCCTCACCCTGCTGGATGCCGAGGGCAAGCACAAGGTGCAAATCCGCCCCAAGGGCCAAAACTTGAAGCTGTACCCCACCCGCCTGCGCGCCGTGTCGGAGAGGGAGTACCTTCAGGAAAACCCCGAGGGTGACAAGCCCATCCAGAACCTGATCGACCAAGCCCGGCAGTCCTTTGGGGTCGCAGCTGCGCCCACGGGCGCAAACGCAAATAACGTCGCGCGCGACAACAACTCGTCCACATCCGGTGCAGCGAACAAAGACAATAAACAGGGGAATGCGGCGAACAACGCTCGTGGGAGTGCGGGAACTGTGCAGAATGCAGCTCCACCTGCTGGTGAAGCACAAGATAACACGACGAAGCAAGGATCGGTGCAATCGCCAGAACCAGCTCCGAAGACTTCTTCAACCGGCGCAACTACATCTGCAGCTGCTAACGCAAACGCCGCAAGTGGTACCCGATCCAGCGACTCTGTGCAGCAAGTCCAGCAACAACAAATGGCAGCAGCGAGAAAAGCGGATACCCAGTATTCCATAGCGGAAGTGTACGAAAATGCTACCCCCGCACAGGCGGATCAACAAACTCGTTTTAGTAGCACCCCTGCAATCAGCGTCAGCACTGGTACGAAGCAGCCCCAGAAATCCGTAGCGGTGGTGGAGCCTCAGAAGTCGTCGACACCACAGTTGTCCCAGTCTGGAACGACAAGTGGAAATGCCAACCTCCCAGCAGCAGGAACTACATCAACATCCGTTCCCGTGAGCGGTCGCGCGTCCTCGGCAGCGGCGTCACTAACCCCGGAAGAGGTGGAAAAATTCGGCCGTCGGCGGTCGGCGTTTTTCACCGCACGTCACGGGGATGCAATCGCGGAGCAGGAGCGCACGAGGGCCGAGTTCGTGCAGGAACTCGTGGAAGAATCCGATCTTCGGGTGGACGCGTTTCTCAAAAGCTACGCATTAGAGCAGAAAATGATGCAGAAGAAGGCCGGAGCGGTTGGAGCAGTTGTAGGTGATGCGCCACAGAGGGACACCATCAACGGCAGAGGAGCTGTACCAGCCCCGTCATCATTGAAAGGAAAAGGAAAAAAAGCTTAGAGAGTCGTTGCGCCACTGCTTCGTTTATCTGCTTATTATGACCCCGTTCCACTTGCCCCGTTTTCTAGATCCCCATGCCCATCCCATTCCCAATAAGATTTTTTTCTCTGCTTCACATAGATAAATGAAAGGAAAGCGAAACCAAACCTGGAAGATCAACTTCTACACTAATCCCGTCTCTAACAGCACACGAATCCCGTTCGTTGTGGCACGATGATGAGGAACACGAAGAAACTGTCTCGCGACGGCCCCATCAAGGCGCCGAGGCCCCAACTGGCCGCAACAGATGAAGAAGATGGCTCAATATGTTCTATATCGAATCGGTCCTCCATCTTTGGAACAGTCGCAGCTATCGCAAGGTTTATTATGTTCCTCCGAGGGGCACTTTCGACTTCCACAACATACATCCAAAAGTAAAGCGTTCGGCTCATTTTTTCCGTACTAGAAGTCCGACGTTAGAAGTACGCATTTCATTTGGATCTAAAATTTTTGTTTCAATTTAATAAAGGATCTCTCTCTCGCAGTCAGTCGCACGTCCTCTGCCCGATCTCGACACTTCATGACTACAAAGACGCATTCATTGTTTTCCCAAAGTGTTGCCCGTTGTCGTGGTCTTCGTTCTTTCTCTGAGCGGCCGCAGTTCACCTTGCTCGAACAGCGGGCTGGTCTTTTTCGACGTGCAACTCCCGGCTTTGTGAAGCCAGACGACACTCCCATTCCGTGGATAATTTCTGGCTTCTCATCGTCGATTAAACTCATGAAGCGTTCTGCGTCTTCCGCCGCCGGCGGGGAACGACGCGGTGAAGACGGTAGTAAGAAACCGCGGCCCAATGAGAAGAATGCGGAAGGCTCCTCAAAGACTGAACATTCGACCTCGGATAAGAGAACGGACAAAGTGGAAAAAGTCTTGCCCCGGAAATTAACTGGAAAGCTTTCCGTCGTGCTTCTCCAGTTGCCCGTTGAGTCCACCGGGGCAGATTACAAGGCGGTTAACGTGCGGAATGCCTTGAAGGAGGTTCGTGAAGTCGTGGTTCAGAAGAGACTGGTAGAAAAAGCGCAGGAAGTTCTCATCATGCTGCCCGAAATCTGGAATGGTCCCTATGCGGCAGACGCGTTCCCAAACTTTTGCGAGCCGATTCCCGAGGTTGGCGAGGAAATCACCGAGGCAACGAGGAGCCTGCACGAGTTGGCCTCTGTTTGCAGAACATTCGCATCGGAAGGTTCCATTACACTGATGGCCGGCTCTATTCCGGAAATCGACAAGCGCGGGCGCATTTACAATACCTCCGTGACTGTGTGCAACAACAGAATCATCTGCAAACACCGCAAAGTGCACCTTTTCGATATCGACATTCCGGGGAAGATTACTTTCAAAGAGTCCGAAACTCTCACAGCAGGTGACAGAGTGTCGATCTTTGATCGCATCGTCGCGGCAGCTCCAGGCCCGAAAGATATGATGGGTGTTGAGCGTATCCGGTCTGACAAGATCCGCTTCGGCGTCGGTATATGCTACGACATCCGTTTCCCGGAGCTGTCCCTTTTGATGCGCGCGGAACATGGGGCGCACATTCTGTGCTTCCCAGCGGCCTTCAATACTACGACTGGGCCGAAGCACTGGAGCCTCTGTATGCGAGCGCGCGCAATCGACACGCAATGCTTCGTTTTGGCCTGCAGCCCGGCACGAAATACAACCGGTCAGGGATACCAGGCGTACGGCCACTCAATTGTGGTATCACCATGGGGGGAGATCCTTGCCGAGCTCGACGAGAAGCCCGGGAAAATTGAGCTGGAGCTTGATCTGTCCGAAATTTCAGAGGCGCGCGCCGGTATTCCAATCGGTATGCAGCGACGGAAAGAAGTGTATCGTCTTGTGGGAGCGCAGAGCCCCACACCGGATGTGCCGCAACTTCCGGGGAATTAGACACAGAAAATGGCACAGATACTACAGAAGTAGTTAATGTACCTATTTCCAGAAGGAAGCGTCCATGAGCGTGAGTTAACAAGCACAAGCATCCGAATTCGAGAACAACATAGAAAAAAAAACTCATATTTCGCATACGCATTGACTGTGCCTCTAGAAAAAGGAAGAAACTCTCAAAAAACGGCCTGACTTTGTGTTCTCTTTTTCAGTTTTCGCAATAAACTACCGAAAACCAGAAGGTGGACACTGATTTATCAACGCTGCAAATCCACCCCGTGCACGTGGGTTCCCCCTCCTGCCCTCAGGGCAGAAATACCATGATCGATCGTGATCTAGATCGTGATTGTCCTTTTTTGAGTTTATATGTGCGATCTTCTTCACAAGAAGTTTCGATTTTTGGCTCACATATCGAAATTCCAACATTTCCTTTTTGATCCATAGCAGCCCAACCCCGTTCTGTCTCGGTCTTCGCCTCTTACTTGTATTGCACATACGTCAAACTCCTTGTCCTTCTCACATCGGTATTGTGCTCGCAATTGCGACGGAGTGACATGTGTGCACGTGGTCTTTGCTCTAATGGTATTGCCCTAACGTAACAAAGATACGCAGTGGTATTCTGTTGACTCAAAAGTTGATCTGATGTCTGTCATAATATTGACATTGAGGCAATGGTTATCGTTGCATTCATGTAGGAAATCTGAATTGGAAAAAATTGCAAGGATATACCCAACATTAGAACCACTTAGCCTCATTGTCACGACATCGTGAAGTGCAAAGTAGAGTTGGGATTTACAACCAGCATGCAGATCCAGCCAGTGCCTTTGCCTATTGCAATATGTACCAGACCAAGGTCACCCTCACCGAACGTGTGGCTCTATGCTACACAGGTGCGCGGCTCTACCTTTACCACATGTAGCAGTACATGCAGATGACCACGAAGTGGAAGTGCATCGCGACGGACTGCGACTAAAATGCTCACAGTGCGGAAGCCGACGCCGCTTCCGCTACTTGCAGCGCGCGCACTCCTGCACCAGTGTGGTGTTACAATTTCCCTCTTTGTCCTCGCCGCCTTCGCTATTCCTATTGCCACTCCGCCCACTACAAAGAATGTCGCGTTCGCGACCGTACCTCCACGCCGAACAAGCGGCAGTGCAACAAAAACAAAAAATTGGTGCGAGGCGTTGGACGGGAGTGGCCAGCGTATGTCACCGGTGGATGTGTCGTCCACAAAGTTCACGACCGAGGCTACCGGGGCCAAAAGCTTCAGCTTCAAGGCGTTGCGCGACAAAAACTTGTCTGTTATCCTCACACCACTCTCGCCGCTGGCGGACCCGGATGTGAGTTTATACGGTGCGAACACTGGGAAGGGCGCCTGCAAGTTTGTGCAGCGGGCCGTGGACTACGGACAGGATGTGCTGCGACTCCCGCAAGCGCTCACGGTGGAAAATGATTACGACACGTACTTCATTCATGTGCAGTGCCGCGGCATTTTTGCCGCGTTCAGCAGCGGTGCTGGTGCCAGGGGCTCGACCAGAAAACGAACAACGACGTCGGTATCTTCCAAGGCTACAGAGGACAAGCGTCGCCCGGGCGGCAGGAGAAGACGAGGCCTCATGGACTACTTCTTTTCTTCAAGAGAGACAGAAGAAGACTTCATGGCAGCTCCTGCCGTGCGCGTCCCTCTTCAAGAAAGCGGCGACGACAAACGTAGAAGTCTTTCAGCCGCCTCCAAATCCTCACCCGCCTGCAAATACCATCTCTCCGTCACTGTGCAGACGTTCGCCGACGAGCTGCAAGGCACTAAAACCGGCGTCGCGTACCTGGGCGTGAGCCAAAACTTCCTCTGGAACAAGCCAAAAGGCACCTCCGCCTCGTCGCAACTGACGCTGAGCGTCTTTCCGCGCGACGCGATCGCGGTGCAGCACGGGGGGCTGAAATTACTCGTCAACGACCAGGAGACCGCCTCCACCAAGGCCCGGGGCAGCTTCCGTGCCCAGCACGGGTGGTTCGGCGGCGAGGTCGTCAAGGTGTCGCTCGTGAACACACTGGAGCGGCTGTACATCTCCGTGTTGAAACGGCAAAAGACCGCGCCAGTGCCCTTCGTTCTCACCGCGAAACTGAACGACGGCACCCCCGTGAAACTCATTCCGCACGCCCCGGTTTGGGCGCTGGTGCAGCGGAGGCAGACGGACTACTACACGTTTGAGGTCACGCAGCCGAAGGTGGACATCGGGCTGTACGTCACGCCGGTGTCCGGCGACCCCGGGCTGATGTGCGAGCCGGGGGTAGACGCGCGTCCGCTGCCGGGTCACGCACTGTGGGAGGAGCACCACCCGGGCGGGGAGAGCTTGTTCATCGTCAGCAACGACCCGAAGCGGAAGCAAGCCAACATCCCGGCGACGGGCAACTTCACCGTGGGTGTTTACGGCGCGGAAACGGCGGTGTACTCCCTGATGGTGATCCTTGACCCACACGTGGAGGAGGGCAGCGAGCTGGGCAAACTCGACGTCGCGCTCGGGCCGCAGCCCTTGTGGGGCGAGCTGTACTTCGGTTTCCAGCAACGGCTCAGCGTCAAGAAGCAGCACACGGGTCACTTGCTCTTCTTCAACGCCCTGGAGCGGAGCCACTTGGATTTCCAAGTCACCACGACGAAGCAAGTGGACGTGTGCGTCACAAAGTGCGGTCCCGACCCGCACAACTGCGCTGAGCGAAGCCCTTTGGCGAAGGAACACAACCCGGATAGGCAGTTTGGGAGTGGCGAGAGCGAGGAGGCAGATGAAGATACCACAAAAACAACGCCGCCGCGTTTGCACCAATTGGCCGAGACACCAAGCTCCGCTGGAGCAATCAGCAACCCCGAATACGCAAAGTACTACTCCGGCGAGGAGTTGACCCCGACCGGGCGAAATGTCAGCTTGGCGCTCTGCGCGACCACGATCCGCCGTGACGATGACAGTGGCGCGGGCAGCTTGACGAGACACGGGCTGCTGCGCAACCCCTGCCCGCAGTGCTGGTACGCGGTCCTGGTGAGCAGCAAAGACACGCAAAGCCCGTCGGTCGACTTCACGATGACGCTTTCCGCAAGCGGGAGCGAATGGCACCCGCTGACGCTGCAGGAACCGTTTTGGGGCCATGTGGACGTGGGCGGCGCCGACGTGAAACTCAGCCTAGAAATCACGAAAGAGGAGCTGGCGGAAAGCTCGGATCGCACCCTCCAATTCGAGCTGGTACCGCTGTACGGTAACGCCGAGATGAAGATTTCGGAACTGGACACCGCAAGTCTAGATGCGATCGACGAGGACGAGAACGAAGACAGCGAATCTTCAGCCTCTTCGTCTACAACTTCCGCGAAAAAGCCGGAGAAGGTGCTTGTAGAGCGAACCGACGCAAATTTCGAAACAACACCACCGACCGACGTGAACAAGCTGCAGTATCGCTTGCGTGTGAAAGCCAAAGGCCGCGAACACGCACAGTTCCGGGTGGCGGTGCGCAGAAAAGCAACATCTTCTTCATCTGCCAGTTCTGGCGACTCCGAGAGCAGGGCCTTTTCGTGGGCGGACGTGCCGCTGGTCAGCGTCGGGGAGCAGAAGCCGGGGTTTGTGCGGGACGGCGCGCCGGAGTACTTCGCGTTTGTGTTGGACGGCGCGAAAAGCGACAGCGTCGCCGTCACCACGGAGCCGCCATTGCCCATGGCCATCGAGCCCGTGGCGGATTTTACAGCGTTGAAGGAGAGCGCGTCATCCACCGGCTCAACCGTGACAGAGGGCAAGCACAAGCGCCCGGATCTGACCTCCAGCCCGTGGAGAACCACAAAATCCACTTCTGGTACAACAACTGAAGACTCCGTCGACCTGTTTTCCGGCGGATTGGCGATAAAGCCCGAGGACGAAAAATACAACAAGAGTGGCGAGATGTACTATGTCGTCGGCGTCTTTCCCCCCGCGAACACAGAAACAAGTGACAGCGGAACAACAAAGACGAACCGGGGTTACCGGTTTCAACTGCAGATCCGGTCCTTCAAAGAGATGGCGCTGAACGAGTTACTGCCCGACCAGCCGCCCGTCCGCGGGAGTCTCCAAAAGGACCACACCGTCCGGTACGCGCTGAAGATTGGGCCGCCGGCCGCCGGGGCGAAGCACCGGAGACACATTGTGCTCAGCCTGGTGGTGTTTTCCGGGGACGCGGATCTGTATGCGGGGTTCACCAAATCGGTGTCGAAATCGCACCACACGTTCGGGTCCTCGCGGTTCGGGTCCGACGCGATCTTCATCACCGGATTCTCGGACCAGAACAAGTGCGCGGAGAAGTTCAAAAACGGCAATCCCTGCACGGTCTACATCATTGTCTACGGGTACAGCAAAGACACCAGGTACGCGTTGTCCGCGACCACGCCGGACGGGAAACCCACGGAAATTCTCCCCGATTCCCAGCTCGAGGGCAGTTTACAGAAAGGACTCCGGCAATTCTACTACACGCACTTCATGGCAGAGAATAGCGCAGCAGCAAGTAGTACCGTTGGCCGAATCACGATCGTGCCGCAGAAGGGCGACCCGGACTTGTACTGTGTAGTGAGTGACTTGGAAACGGCAAAGAATCCGCCCAGTGAGTTCGCGGATCTGAAGCACTTAAGGCGGGGCGGCGGACACAAAAAGTTCGCCAGTTACAAAGCAAGTGGGACTGAGATGATACGTATTCCGTTCACAGAATGCAGCAAAAAGCTCACCGGGGGCAGCGCATCGCCACGAATTTTGGGTGGTGGTGAAGATGCAAATGGACTCGTAGTCTCCTCCGCTCTTGATCCTCGTCCTAAGTCGGCATGGTGGGACTGGAGGATGACTCCTGCTATGGCGGGTACCACGTCAGGCATGCTAAGCAGGCGTGCTAGCGCTTCAGACAACTCCGGTGGTGCTGATTCCGACTGTGCAATTTTCTGTGCAGTGTATGCCTTCAGCAACACGACCTTTCAGGTAAGTTTCTCCACGGAACAGGGCAGCGGAAGCTCATCGTCAAGTAGCTCCTCCTCCTCATCGCAGGGAGCCACTTCAAGCACCGGGAATAAACACCATCCTACCAACGGACCGCGGGGAACCGTGATCACTCCCAACAGCCCGTCTGTTGGCATGCTGATTAAGCGTGCGCACGAGTTGGAAGTCTTTTACTTCAACGCCGCAGAGTCGAACGCGTTGTTGCGCATAACCCCCTTCATGGACTGTCATCTGGTCACCACCGTCAAGGAGCGCGAATACAACGGCAAACAGATCGCGTTAACCGGGTTGAACAGTGGAGAGACCGTCCGTATCGAGGTCCGCCGCGCCCCGAACTACGAGGCCGAGTCCATCTGCATGTTTGAGGTGGACCTGGCATTTGGCACGCCCACAGCGCCGTCTTCGGGGGGCAGCTCCGGCACTACTTCTGGTAGTAGTTCCAGAGACTCTTCACTAGAGACAAAAAACAGTCCCGGATCCGCCGCGTCTTCGCCCAAGGCAGCGGCAAAAGCCAACGCAGCCCTGTTCCCGACGATCTACACCGAGAACGACACCTACAAAAAGGCAAAGCTGAGTCGCTTGACCAACGGCATTCCCTTCATCGGCTCCACGGCAGTTGGCCGCGGGTTCGAGGAGCAGCGCTTCGTCTACTCGCCCCAGGATTGTGAGGCCACCGAGGTGCGCATCACACCGTTCTCCGGAGACCTACTCGTGTTTCGCAAGAAACCCGGCTCGTACAACCCAACGGACAGAACAGAGGTAAGATGAGCTACATATTTTTCTGGGTTTTCATATCATCGCAGCAGTGTCATGTAGAGCAGCTGGGAAGGGGAACTGGTGCATCGATACTCTACAATTTCAGTCGGAATGCGATGCCACCCTACTTCGTCCTGCTCCTGTTTCAGGTTTGGTATAATGTGCCACGCGGGAGGATCGATGATGGCACCGCCCCATCAAGGACAGAAGGAGCACACGACAACGCGAGCCACACAAAAACAACTGAACAAGAAGACACGAACAACGCCGGCGCTTCTGGCGGTGACGCGGTCACTGCCAATATCGCGGCAAGCAAAAATCAGTTGCTCGAGTACTACATCTTGAAACCGGGACCCGCGGGCTGCTCTGAGGAGATGAAGTTTCTGGTGAGACGGATCCACGGCGTGATGGCGTCGGATTACTCGGTCACCGCTTTTGAAGACGGCAGAGACCGGCCTAGGTTCGAAACCTTACCGACCGACGTGCCGGCCTACATGCAGTTCCCTGGGAAGACAAGAAGATTCTCTCTCTTCGTGAACTCCGCCGTCACAAAGCAAACGCTGCGGCTCCAGTGCCGCCCCAGCTGCATCGGCATGGAGGTCTCCGCAGGCATGAGTCCAGATGATGGAGCCGAGAGGGTTTGGAAAGCAAACGCGGTCGCGACAAGCTCTGCCGACGGAAGTGGATCTTCCTCTTCCTCAGCTACCACTGGTGACAAGAGTGCCGACGCCGCACAGCAGGTGGACTTGATTGAGCTCTCTCTCAAAGACCCGGAGAAAGCTAAGAACTACGGCTTCTACCCCCGAGTCGTGTACGCCTGGGTGACGCAAAAAGGCGACGACTCGCACGGGATTCTGGTGCACGCATCCCTGGTTGCAACCTCGGATTCCGATTTTGGCCTGTTGCTGGATGGCGGCGAGGCTCAGATCGCGGTGGTGCGCAGCCAGCAACCGGCCTACTTCGCGTTTGACAGTCGCAGGGCTAGTCCGTTGTTGACGATAATAGCGAAGTTGCCGTATGACGAGAAGAATGACTTGTACAACACACGAAACAGGCTGTGGGTACAGAACTGCTTAAGCCAGGACACCCACGAGAGTGCGCCGCTACCCTCGGCGGAACACCACGACACCGAGGGGAAGTTGAATACCCACGAAAAAACACCCATCCCCATCCAATTTGTCATGCAAAACCTGCATAAAATCCACTATTTGTCATGCAAAAAATGGATGGGGATGGGTGTTTTCTCCTGGATATTGAACTCCAGGAATCAACTCGTCGCGTTTGTGGACAACAGGTAACTTTTTTCTAGATAGTAACATTCATACAACTACACATGGCTGTCATTCGGGCTGTCCTGTGCTTCTGCAGTGAGTAGAATAGAAAACACCCGTGTTTCTTGTTCTTTAGATCCTTCAGATCGATCTCCCGATCCGGAAAAAAACTTTTCAACTGCAGTCGCCTACCCACGACTAGCAACGGCAAGCAGCTGACGGGCAAGCATTGCATCTACCGAATCGCGGTGGAAACGAGCCGTCCGACACCAGTTCGCGTTTCCATTCGGGGCGGGACGACTCGCAAAAACGCCCCTCTCCGCGTGAACGGCCCGAGCCAAATCGGTATCGTGCGCGAGGGCTTTCCCGAGAGTTACATCCTGAGTAACCACGTCACCATCGCGGAGCTGGAGAAGAAAATCCTAGTCCACTACGAGCCCTGCATTGGGAAGCTGAAACCCGCCAGACCTCCGATCCACGAGGTGCCCGGCGACTCAGACACGCCCATTACCGTTGCCTGCGAGGGAAAGGAGTGCCACGGGCGGTTCCTGTTGCGCGCCACGAGTTTCGACAACAGCTGGGAGTACAGGCCCGGCAAGTTGGAGACGCCAACGAAGGGCTGGCGGCACGGAACGTACACCCTTTCGTGGACGTCGCCGCGAAAAAGACACTACCAAAGCAAAGAAGCGGACACGGAAGCCTTCGCGAATCTAGTGGGAGACGACGTCTGGTACTACTTTCTTTGTTTCTTTTCAGAAGTTTTTGCTGCTCTCGAAGAACTGAAACTGGTGCTACTTGAAATTGAATGGAATAATTTCACAGCTTAGCATTGAGCGGAGCGAGTTCAAACTGCGTTGAATCTTCCTCTTGTTTTATCCATCAGGTATGAGCTGTTCATCATTCCCGTTTCAGACAAAGCGCAGGTCTTCGATCTGTTCCATGCAACCCCCTGCGGGGTGTACAACATGCTGGGGAAACTCGCGGGCGTGCAGCGCAAGATGTTCAGACAGGACGAGCTTACCAAGACAAAAATACAGGGCGACAACGGTGACGAGGAAAAAATCACGGCCACCGTCACCGCGCACTACGCCCCCACCCGCGGCGAGCACTTCGAGTTTGTCTTGCTCGCGCGCGACGGGCAGACCGACGAAAAATTCGCGTACACAAAAACCTCGCTCTCCGACGCGGACAGCGAAGGTACAGGCGACTACACCGGCGACCCGTCGGTGTCCACAGCCGGCGATTCCATGTTTGGCGCCAGCACGGGAGCGCTGGTGCAGCAGTACTCGTTTTTCTCCCGTCTCTCGTGGGTGCTGTTCGTGGGATTTGTGATCATCTCCAGTCTCGTCGGTCTCGCCAAGTACGGCCCGAAGATCGCCGGCTACTTTGGTTTTGGGCCAAATGTGCAGTATGGACGGACGACGGCGTTCGAACTGCGACCCCATTCATCCCCGGTGGACGCCCACAGCTACTACGAACCGCCAAACGCGATCGGTGTTGGGTACAACCGCATCGAGTAGATGAAACGACAGACGAAACAACCACTCTTCGGTCGTATGGTGGTTGTTGTACTTCGGTGGTGCAGGTATGCAACGGACATGCAAGTAGATACAGGTAAGGATACACCCGGAAACAGGTTCCGAACAAATTATCATCAGGTACGTATACAGGAAAAGGTGAAAAATTGTTCCATTTAATGGAACAATTTTTCAAGCAAGTCGCGAAGCGCAGGCGCGACTGAGTCTGACGCATTTCACAGGACTTTTTTTGGTTGTGATAGGAACACAAGAAGTATTTCCGGTGCCTCTATTGAAATTACATGCGCAGCGAAGATGTCGCCGCGAGGCCGCTTGCATCTATGGTGCTTCTAAGTGGTGAAATTTCGACGAAGCCGGAAGTGTTCGGTGGGTTCTGATGAAGTTGGAAATTCCCATGATCTTACACTCGACGATGATCAACGCTGTATGCCTGCTCCATCTTCTTCGTTTTCATTTTGTCGTGGCGTTCCGGTCTACAAGGAAAAAGTTGCACTTCGGCGTTTTTTCTGTCTTGGACGATCTTGCTGGAGATCAAAAGCTGAAACGAGAATCCTGGATCTGGATGAATTAAAGCCGCGTGTTCATATTGATTGGCCGGCTACTGTTTTGACTTTTGAGTTTCATTGCTCGTCAATTTGTAGGATTGTTCCGATCTCATCTCAAGTGCAGGCGAGAAGAACGTGAAGAATATCGTAAAGAAGCAAGAAAAAACCGCTACCTTCAACTGAAAAATTTCGCTCCAAATGCAAACGAGCCCCAAGGAGGCACGGCGTCCAAGAAGGACGAGCCCGGCGATTTTTTCGGCTCATCTTCTCGCTTGGTTTTATTCCGCAGTACCATTCGCAGAGGTCTTTTTCAAAGTATACGCTCCGGCACCATTTCTCGTGGCAGCGGATCCAATCTCAGCCGAGTGGGACGCGTGCAAACAGTGCACACGAAATGAGCGCATCTTCTGCTACACGACCATGCGGTGCATGAACAATCTGCACATTGACATGTCGACCACGAAGATCTTCGCGAAATGCCCCAACCCTCTGATGGTCCCGGAATCCTGCCGATCCAAGGGAATCTACCCTCCGACAGAAGAGCAGAAAGAACAGTACCGCCAAGAGCACGCGTACGAAGAAGAATTGCGCGCACAGCGACGAGCCGGTGGGATCGGCGGTGTTAGTGGTCACGGAGAGGAATTGTAGTTGCGTTTACTTCCCTAGCCATCGGCTGCAACACGGGACGCATTTCTATGTGTGTTTGATTTGTGCTCCAGCATTACGGCCTTTCGTTTTACGATCCTACGGGAAAAACGAGAAAGGCATGCTTGATGAAGATGAGGCATCATCCGTCCTTCGCCACCTGTGGCTTGTTCATCATGTGTCTCTGGTCTAATCTAGAGAGCGAGTGGGGATCTTGAATGGGCACTGAAGCAGCAAAGTTGGCGTTGGTTCAGCAACCACGAGACGAACCAATAGAAAGCACAGCGATGCAGCAAAGAAAAAGACGTCGAGCAACGTAGATCGTGTTGAGAGAAACGAGATGAAGGTGAGTGCAGCGCAAATGGTACAGATGAGAATCCACTACTATGATTTCGTCTCGGACGACGAGATCATGCATCGATGTCAATCTTATCCAATCCTCACGGAAAGAGAAAATAGGGCGGGACTGATCCTCGCCGCTTTTGTAGCGAAACAATAACGAACTAAAAATATGAGGATGCATTGGTACTTTTAGCCACGACGAGATTGGCAGGTTTAGCAAAAACCAGGGAAAACCAGTCCCAGAGACAAGATGGCGCCCCATTACAAGGAGACGGACGAGGCGGAGCTCGGGAAGTGTTGCATTTGTTTCAGCCTGCGGCGCGGCGTCCTGTATTTCGTGTTCCTCGACCTGATCTTTTCTTTCATCGCATTTCTGAGCTTCATTACGGACGACATGCGTCCGGTCGCCGGCGGATACAGTGTCTACGGACGGATCGCGGCTGCGTCGCTGGGTCTGCTCGGACTCATGATCGGGTTCTCCCACGGGAAGATGGGCGTGTTTGACGCGAACGCCGAGCGTCTGTCCGTTTGGCTCACGTTCGTGTACTTCAAGGTCATTGCGTTGCTTTGCATCTACGGAAGCGACCTCGGAGCCCTGCTCAAGTGCCCCGAGGGCGGCGAGGGCGACAGCGAGGCGTCACCGACGATTCGCACACTGGCCCTGAACAACGCGTGCCCCAAGGCGTTGATTGGGTCCAGCATCGTCTTTGGCTTGAAGCTGGTGTTTCTGCTCTGCACCGTCTACGTCACGCGACGACTCATCGAAAAATGGAGCGTGGGAATCCGCTACAAGATCAACTTCAACCGGGACCCGTGGTTCATAAACGACAAGAGTTTCGAAGACACGACCTCCTACATGACCCTAGATCGGAGAGGTGGAGCTGTGGATGTTTGAAATAAGCGGGATTCTACTTTTTGCACGGACGCGCTGCCAGCACAAGTCCATTTGCTTCAGCTTCAACTTCATCGCGAAGTAGTACAAAGACGGGACGAGTGGAAAAGTACTGATGCAGATGCTGCACGAACACACTCCGAAACTGCAGGGTTTTCGTTTTGAGACATAGGAGGGTCGTCGTTGAGTTTTTATTTTTTCATTGGCTATGTCGCGTTCGTCTTCGTCCTAGACCTCGACGTGACATGGTCAAATATCGATTTTGAAAGTACTCAAATTCGTACGAAAGGTCAACACCGAAAGTTTCGTCGAAACATGCACAGAACAAAGAGATACGTCGAACATTTTCACTTTCAGAATAGCTCGCGTAACACTAACAGCTGCTGCTGCGCCACTGTTTCTGTTGAAATTAATAGCATCTCGTGCCGGTATGCCCTTACGCTTTCAATGTCACACACATCCAGAGAGAGTCGTGGGGTTCAAAATGAGAGAAACAAGAATGAATGAACCGTAGTTTGACATGCACCAAGAACATCATCATCAACCCCTTTACTCGTATAGAGATTGCTCGTCGACGTAAAACTCCGCCGTATTTTTGGGTCGTCAAAGTTGTTTGGTTGACGTCATCTCGTCTCAGACTCCGTCTCCTGAAGAACCAAAAATACCGAAAAACTTTGACTTTCAATTTTGATTCTCGTTCTCCACCTTGCTTGTACCTTCTCACTCGTAGATTTTTTTCGTTGGGCTTCTCGAGAATTGGGATAGCTCGGGGAAAAATCACGCAAAGATGCTGTCCATTCCGATGTCGATGTCGGACCTCTCGGTCCACCCGGTCACACAGGTACTTATTGCTTGATTTTCGAACTTTCTCAAAGAAAAAAGCATGAAGATGGCACTTATTCTTATGCAGAATCAGCAACAGCATCTCTTGGTGGAGGTGGTGCCCGATGATAATGAAGAAGGTTTTTTACAAATTTGAAAAATCAACAAAAACAGCTCATCTCCATGGAGTACCCAAGTATGCTGTACAAGGAGGCTGTGCTTTTCCTGTACTGCTCAGCAATTACCGTCGAGCTGATGACAAACAAGAAGATGGTAAGATTTTTTTCGTTCTGTGTTTTCCTGTGTTTCTTTTAGTTCCACACCTATCTTTCCTGCAACACGCACCAGCACGGTGGATGAGACAGCTTGATCCGCTTCATGAACGCTTTATTTAGATGATCATGATAACTTACAAAAAAACACCACAACCCAGTTCACGTTCGCACACTCGTTTGTGCTCTCCCTGATCCGGGCATTTGGTAGTTACGGATTCGTGCTCCCCCTGGTGTTGGGTCAACTCCCGAACCGAGCCTTCGAAAGTTGCGACACCTACCTGTGGACCCTGGCGGGCTCCATGCTCTACGCAGGGTTTTTCCTGGCACACATGGTTCCGGAGCGATTCCACAAGTACCCCTGCGTGCTGCACCGAGTGGCCTACTCCGTCATCCGCGGAAACAGTCTCGGGCACGGGTTCAGCATGACGGTATAGTGTGTGATGAATATCGTTAACTACAGTTGAAGATGCTGCTTGGCAAGATAGTCCGCTTTACTTAGCAGATGCAAAATAAATGCTGGAGCTTTTAGACACGATCAGAATCGCATACAAAAAACTTTCGTCCATGAAAACTCACACCAGGTCAACCTGATCCCGAACAGCGCTCTGGCTCCGTTCTTCGGTGGTTTCATTGCGGTTAACGGGCACCGGTTTCTGGAGTACGGCGTTGCCATCCTCGCCAAGGACACCGTCGACACCGACGTTGTCTTCGGCGTGTTCGGCTCCTGCATCTACTTCGTCGGCGTGCAGTACTTGAAATGCCCAGCCTCCGTCGCACGCGCCGTTCTCGTGCTCTTCCACGTATATATGGAGCTTGCTACTGCTTTAAGCATGTGCATAGACCTCGACGAGTTTGGATCATGCAAGCATGAATGAAAAATTTTTTGCCGTTCGCTGGCATACTTTCCTGAAAAAGAAAATGTAGTACAATTTCAAAATCACTACTATCTATCACAGTTCTTCCTGGAGTGCGGCTATGGTGACAAGCTGTCGGAGTACGTGAGCGAAAAGGCTACCGCCCTGAAGGAGAAGGTCACCGAGAAGTTCGGCAAGGTGTACGCCAAGCTCTTCAAGAAGGCGGCTGCCAAGTACCCGGCGGCCAAGGCTCCGGCCTCCAAGAGCATGAAGCGTGGCCGCTCCAAGACCCCGGCCAAGAAGAAGTAAGCGACTTTCTTCTATTTGGGGTGTGGAATAGAAAATGTGAGGAAAAATTCGTCACAAGGGGAGGTGACACAAAACAAATCTGGCGATTCGTTTCTGACGCAAAAACTAAATCTACCATGAAGTTTCAAATACAGTATCCTATGACTAAATCAGACAAACCTATTTTCGTTGATGTACCAGTTTGCCGTTACACTTAGTCTTGACAGCCGTTGAAAGTATACAGAACCGAAGCTGCCGTTGCCGATAGTTTCACCAATCAAAGCTAGCGTGACTCGATGCTGTACCGCAGCTAGCCTCTACAGTATACGCTGATTTTCCTAAACCTTGCCGTCACCACTCTATTCCTCTTGACCAGAAACAAGTTCTCTAGAAGTAACCAGGTAACCAGTTGTAACAAACACATAGCAAATATCAGACAGGAAATCATTTCTATTTCAGATTCAGATTCTAGCACGCTCTTGCACAGAGCTACAAAACCAGGTGATACAGTGATACTAGCCAAATCGTTATTCTAAGCTACCCGCGCTTCCGATGCGCAGGTGATGACCGAGGTGTATCAATATGCTTATCCAAGAATATGAAATGCAAATGCACTGTACACCAGATAGTAGCTTGCACAGAAAGTAAATTCGATCGTCTCTCAGTTTCGATTTTAAATAAGAAAAACACTTTAATACCGCAGCAAGGTCCTTTCTCCAGCCAGCTCCGGATCTGGGTCGAGGCTGCCGAGCCTGTTTTCGTTTTCGTTCCTTCTTTTTGCACACGGTAATTCGCAAACACAACAAACGACTAAATTGAACGTCATCAAGTGGATGTGTTTCGAGAGCATCATCGCAGAGTGCCTCAAACGTGCAACCAAAAATAGAGCGGAAGGCGACAGCGCAAATTCAGCGTTTATTCGAATTCGTCGAGAGACTGAAGAGGTGCAGGTGCTCAAATCTGGCTTCGCCTGCGTTCCAAAACCAAAACGGTAAATCATGCTAGCTAAGTAGACTAGCATTCTCAAGGTGCATTCAATGGCTACAGCTTTAGACACATTCGTAGTGAATTGTGTAGATGTAGTGTCACATTGCCATCATATCGCTGCACTAGGCACTCAACATGGTGAAGCTCGGCTGCCTCCGCTCCTGGTTGCGCGGGAAGCGTGGCAACAAGGTCATCGAGGACAGCCTTGTCGACGATGAAGCGTACTTCGCCCTTGCACAACAAAGGCTGTCGAAAAAAGTTGCCTTGTCTAAGCGGGAAGTCGACGGGGAATGGACGGAGCTGAAGAAAAGCATCATCTCTCAAATCATGATGATCTGCACCGACGACACCGACTTAGATACCGACAGCATCTCCCGATTGCAGGACCAGGTACTTACCCCGCTATCTACGGCCGTCGACGGTCGGAAAATCACACAGGTTCTTCAACTGGTCACCGAACTGCAAACCAATGCGCATTTGAACCGGAAGTGGGTCGTGCAGCCGAAAAAGCTCGAGAGGGTCAAGACGCGGGCGGCTGGGTTACAGCTGGCGGAAGTGCGGTTGTCTGTTTGGAAGCGGTTGGAATCCAGCGTGAAGACCATTCAGGAAGCCTGTAGCGACGGGCCTTTCGACGCCTGGCCGACGCTGGAGCCGTGGATTCGATTTGCAGAGGAGAAGCTGAAGCTCGGAACATCCAGCGCGGCTTCGTCGGCAATAAGTTCGGGTGCGAAGAGTAGTACCTCGAAAAGCTCTTCTTCGCTAAGCAGCAATCACTCGCAACTACAGGCGCGGTTCGATCGAATTCTAGACTTGGATGACATTCACGCCTGCGCGCGACCCCGGTCCAAGAGTGTTGGTGGTGGAAGCAATTCGGTGCAAATGAGCAGCACGGGCAAAACACTGCTCGCGGCGTCGGCTGAAATGGCTTCCGATCAGTCAGAGCAGAACAAGAGATCATCCTCAAGTGCATCGAATGCCGGCTCGCGCCCGGGCTCTCGCGGCACCACCAGCAGGATGGGGGACGGAGCCGACTTGATGCAGCGCTCGGGGAGAAGTAACGGCAATGCCGGCACAGATGTTGACCAATCAGATTCTCGTCGAGCACCAAAAGTTCCTGGATTACAGCAGTTGAGGACCTCCAACATAAAGCAGCTCCAGTCGTCGCCCGACGAAAAAAACATCACGGGAAAGTCGAAAACAAGCTCGTTGTCCCGGCGAAGCACGCCGTCGAAGAACGCAGTCTCTCCTGAGGTGCTGATTGATGAGGACGATGATGATGCGGACTTTGCGTTTGACGTTCCCTACACGGCGAGAAGCAATCGCAGTAACATCTACGAGGTCTTGGAACAGGAGCGAAAAACGAAATTTGACCCGAACATCCTGAAACAGCACGATATCGATCGGATCAGAAGAAGTCGACAGCAGGGAGAGACCGCAAGCACGCCGCGGGCGAGAAGCAGCAGGCACGCGAGCTCTGGTATTCCTATTCGTATTGAAGAGCGATGATGTTTTGAGCGATGAAACCAGCTGCAGGCTGAGCATTCTTTGATGTTGTGATAGATTCATTCTGTTTCAGCTGCAAAAAGCTTCCATGCATCTACTTCTGCAATCGCAATCCTTCTCCAATGCCCATTCCCATTCTTTCAGAACGCGATGCCGGCAGCAGTCCGCCGTTGCCACGTATTCCGACTCCTCGGCGAAGTACTTCCTCTAACTCCGGGCCCCCGCAACAGCCAAGTGAATGTAAACCACCGCGGCCAGGAGCAGGACCAGAAAAAAAGGATGGTTCTCAACCGGTTAAGCCGCCGATTAATCCAGTGCCATTGCGACCCTTCTCGGCAAGGAGTACCTTTTCTTTTGATGCTCACACTTTCATCTGTTGCAGTTGCTGGCCTGCTATCCGTAATTGCTATATTCCAAGATGAGGATATGGGTTGCGACAAAAACATAAACAATCTAATACTGATTCTCCAGGTATTCGCATCGCGGAGGCGCTTTCCGCGAACCCAAATCCCAATGCAGATTCGCAAAAATCGAAACGCCCGATGAGCGCTGGCATGTTTGCGTTCCGGCGTTTCGTCAATGGGTCCGCTCCGAGTTCCGAGGCTGGCACGCGCGCGGCTGCAGAACAGGAGCTGGGACCTGGGCAGCACTTTCCCGGCCAAGGTTCCAGCAGTAGCAGCTCATCTGGACCCGGAACTACTTCTACCGAATCGAAATCCAACCATGATCCCGCAGACAGCGCGTCGGGGATTTTCTCGGGCTACAAACCGCCACCGGCGAATGCAAACAGTGAACGACCACGAAAAAGCTCGCCGATTGCGTCCCCGGACAGACCACCAAGGCCGGAGCAAAGCAGCAAAGCCCGAACAGCGGACCAAGTCGGCGGAAGAGGCAGTGGAGCGACGCCAGCTTCGCCGGATGATTTGAATTCCCCACCACAAAACAACTCGAGCGAGGAGCCCCCTGCGTACTCGCGGCGCCGCAGCAAGAGCGCAGCAGCGGCCGCGGCCGGGAAGGAGTTTTACTTTCACCGAGAGTACTACACGTCGCGCGCTCCCGAGGCAGAGAGTCAGGACGCAGCAGGGCGCGGTGGTGCTGCCACGCCAAGCACCACGGCGACTCCCGATGACAGAGAACCAGAGCGACCGAAAGAGCGAGTGATCAAAGTGAACGTCACGCGCGCCTCTAACATCGTCGAGGAGCAGCAGCAAGCGAGTGGCGAGCACGCAGCTGGTGGACTGCTGCCTCCGCGCGGCAGCACAAGGCCGCCGATCTACAAGAATCCAGGAACCACGGCCGCGTCGTCGAGTGCAAAGCCACCTCCTGCTCCGCCCGAGCAAGGCAGTGCTCAACAGTCGTCTTCTGACGCAGGAGCATCTTCGTCTTCCTCCGCCTACAATAAACCGCAACCGCATGCCAGTCGACCTGCGAGTTCGAGCGTATACCAAAACTCGACCCCGCGCATGTCGACGACGCCCGGAACCGGTGGGCCGTCGCCGCACACGCCATCGTCTTCCTACGAAGGAAGTTCGCCGCCGCCGTACAACGTAGAAACCCCGCGGGCTATGCAAACTCCACGCGAGCACCCACGGGAAGTTGCGGCAAGGTAGAGACGATCGATGTTCAGAATCAAAGTGACTTCAACTCTGTGCTTCTGTGTAGGTGCATTGGTTTTGTGATGTCAGTTCAGAAAGATTCCAAATTCGTATCCCTTCCGTCGTACAGGATGTTCGCAGCGGCGCGAGAAGCGGGGGTGCGGATGAATCGACCACAAAGTGCGCGCCCACCAACAGCGGCACCACCGTCGCAGCAGCATGCGCAGCCGCCGAGTGCTTCGAGACCAGACGAGTCCTCGTCGAGCTCATCTCGACCCGGTATGTTCGCCTCATTTTTTTTTGAATCTTGCACTACTAGAATTTGTGGTCTACTTTCAAGTTTAGGATTAGAGCCCAGCGTACAAATCATTTCAACAAAACCACACAAAGGCCCGAGCCAGCAATCGTATCGTCACTCCGGACGTGAATATGTCACCTCGTCTTCCTCGAGTAGTTCTACTACGCACGCTCAACAACAAGAACCCCGCACTGAATACGACCAGTACTACCACCAGCGGAGTTCGTACTACCAAAAGATGCACGAGGAACACGCCGCGCGCCGATCCGCTTCGGCGGGCCGAACGCGAGGAGTGCGTGTCGAATACAGCGACGGCAGTCAAAGAACCCGGTCCGGACACGGTCACGGGCACTTACCCGGAGGGGGTTCTCGCACACCAGCAGCTGCTTCCGGCAGTGACAAAGAAAACAACCAGCACATCCCGAGGTTCGCGCAACATCAGATGCCGCCCCGCGCGCCGGACTCCGGGCGCAGCGACGGCTCCAACATGGACTCGGCCCGCAGTGCGGGCGGCGGCTTTTTTCCCCATTCGGATTGGTTCCGCAGGAGCGAGCGGGAGCGCGAGGAGCAGCGCTACGCGGACCGACGCGACCAGGAGGAAAAAGACCTGCGCGAGAAACTCCGACAGCAAAAGGAGTACGAGCGGCAGCGACAAGCGCAGGCGGAGGCGGCGCGGAAAGCCCGCGAGCAGTATTTTAACAACCAGCAAGAGCAGCGACGGCACTCCTCTGGCAGTGCCTCGGGATCCTCGTCTTCTCGCAGTAGCAAGCGGATGTCGGGCGCCGAGCGGCAGGACGCGCTTCGCTGTCTCGGGCTGGACGGATCGAAGATTCCAACCGCAGAAGACTTGAAACAGGCGTACAGGTACGATCCTGGACCTGGTCGAAGTGTAGTTACAGTTAGTTTACTTTCAGATTTCTTTTTTTTGTCATCACACGTCGGCGCGCGCACGAGGCTAGAAGTTAGTTTGCATCACTGTGTCGCAACAATCTATCCCAAAAATCAACACAGGCGTAAGGCGATGGAATGGCACCCGGATCGGGCACAGAACCACGATAAGCAGGAGTACGCGAGTGACATGTTCAAAAAAGTGAAGTCCTGCTACGACCGCTTGTTGGACGAAAACGGCAGCGGGAAAGAAAACCAGACTCCCACCGCGCCGACGCAACACCGGAGTTACAGTATGAATCCGAACCGCGGACACGGTGGATTCCGCATCTAGCGAGTGTGTGCTTCAGCTCATCTTGCTTTCGAGAATGAATCGTTGAAAGTCTCAATAAGAATGATTCGTGTTTTCACGACGACCAGTATAGTCCTTACAACTTGAACTTACGAAAACCAATAACCCTGAACTTTTCAAATCAAAATAACACTTTAGACAAATGTCGTTGGTAGGTGTCGGTGTGTGAACACTCGAATAGATTACTTTCAAATGTAGGATTTTGAGTATGCTATGACAATGAAAAACTTGAAGTTTTGAAAGCTTCGCGTTTCTACACGCTACTCGCGGCCACGAAATGAACTTTACCCAGATAGTACAAGCACTTCACGAACGACACCACTCTCGATCAAGCCTTCGCCAGTCTTTTCTTTTTCTCACCAACTAGGAAACAATGTCAACGATATACCACACTACCACTAGAACTTCTCGTATAGGTATTCAAATGTAAAATCAAAATCTAGCAAATCTATCAGAATGTTGAATAACTACGATGACGACAACACAAAGAGGAATGCGAACGTCCCGTGGAACATCAAGAAGATACTTCCACTCTTTCTTTGAAATGAACTGGAGCTTTTTTTTGTTGAAACTCAAAAAAAGTTGAATGATGAACTAGAAAGAACCGAGCCTATTTCAGAAGATTGAACCGAAGATTATCTGACTTTTTCAGGAAGAGCTAAAACCTCCAGAACGATCGATATCGAAGACTTGATTCGGGATCGGGATTGCGTCCTTCATCTACAGTTCGTCAGTGACCGTGGTGCGCTGTGGAATGAACCGAGCATTGGCTCACCTTGATGTTACCGCCAGCGCTACCTGCTGAAGCAGTCGATGCCGATCTTCTTTTCATCTCCGACGAGTGCGAGTCGCATCCATAGCCGCGTGACCCGAAAACAAAAGCAAACGGCTAACGAATGAGAACGAGAAGTAGATATACGAATACCCTCCAACTAAGATCAATCAGAGGCGGGAAGAGGAAGTCCAACACAACAACTACTTTTCGGAGCCTCTGTTCCAGATCTTTCGTCTTGCGCTTTTACAAAGTTTCACTTTCAAGTCCATGCATATGATCATTTAAAACAGACCAAAAGGCACCAAGATGGGCAACGCAATTGGACTTGAGGAGGACCTCAACCTTGCTTCGGTCCTCGAAATCCCGCAGTGCTTCTGTGTCTCCGAGAGACGGGGTCGCAATAACTGCACCCCGGTCAACCCGATAAGTTGCGATGTCCATTGCGAGGACCCCGAGGATCGGCGGCAGCGGGAGCGGTTTCTGCTCCAAAACACGCTTCCGCAGCAGCTTCCAGATTTCCACACGCGGCTGGCACGCGCCAAAGGCGCGCAACTGCATGACCAACTGCCGCGGGTGATGGTGTGGCGCGAAAACGTGAACCCAGCCGCGACTAATCGAAGACCATACCCTCCGCATGCAAGCGGTGTACACGCGAACAGCGGCGACCAATCGCAGCTGCCAGCTTGGGCGGAGGAAACCGATGACGAAGAGGAGGAGGTGGAAGTATCAACGCAAGACAGCATGCTGAATTTTTCCGCGCGAGGAGCGAACTGCGCTTTGACAGTCTTGTACAACCAGAAGACCATGGTCGGAAAAAGTGTGAAACTTGGGCCAGCATCAAATGTGAGTCAAGGAGGAGCTACATCTTCATCATCTGGAGCAGTCTCGGCGTCTGCTACTAACAATTCAGCCGATAATTTTCAGTTCTTCAACTTTGTGATTCCATCCGGCAATCCGAAAAGTGTGCACTTCAAACTCGATCGGTTGGATCACGATTACCCAATGCAGTTCCAGCTCGACACCGATTTTGGGGTGCAAATCGGTGGCCTCGACATTCTCCCGCTTTTGACGCTGGAAAGAGCGTTCTACGAGGAGGACCTGCGCTTCCTGGCCACCAATAGAAACTCCGCCAGGAAGCAAAGCTCCTCCGCTTCTTCTCCACAGAAATTTTCGCCCGACGCTGCCAACGCAGACGCCATGGCGCGCCGCAATCTCCGCGACCAACAGCAGGGCAGCAGCCCAATAACCGGGAGAGCGGTTGCATCTGCGTCCATGCCAAACTGCAACTCCCCGACGAGTCGCTTGAACGCCGGCGAAGGAGTGACAGATGACGCCCTAGGCGCAGCAGCAGGACTGCCGGCAACAGCATCTTCGCCAGTAACCTCACCAACGCGTGGACCTGCTGCCACCGCGGCGTTCTCGCCTGATCAGACGCGCCGACGCTCCATGTCCCCGCAGCGCCAGCAGGAAAAGCTTAGCGTGGAAGTCAGAGACGGGGGAGTCTGTGTGATTCCGGGCCTCTACACGATGAAAAATGAGGTGGAGCTCGAGGTGCGCGGAATGGCGGGGACGGAAGAGGTTTCGCTGTATTTGAACGGCGGCGAAGCAGTGCTCGACACGCAGGTCCGGCTGACGCCGCAATTTCGGACGCTCAAGTATAGTGCACTTTGAGTCTTATGATCTTTCCGTGTGAAGAAGACTATCTGCTTGCGGCTCGCACATTCTTTTTCTTGCAGCTTGTGCAGGAGCTGCTTATACTTACATCAAAAATCAAGTGACCTCGAGCGTGTGGCACAAGCAACAACGAGTGAAAATCGCAAACACAGGTACTACATCACCCCCTTGGCCTACCACGTGCACAGTCTCGATTTTCTCTTTCGCTTTCGGGAGGACGCCCGCCCCTCGCTCGATTTACAGCCCTGTGTCGTCGTCAGCCGTCGGATCGGGGTGCTGTGCCGGGGAAAGCAAAACATCCTTCCCAGCACTATCCTGTGCAGAAGTATCGCACTCGTACTAATTGCATATATGCATGACAAATATCTTTCCTAGTGCAAAACAGCGTTACAAATTCCACTTTTCTTCTTGCCAAAATTTGTCATGCAATTTATACTAGTGCGATACTTCTGCAATGCATAGCCGCCGTGTATTACCCACTGGATCCGGAGAATCGCAGCGGTGGAGGCGACCCGCAGGACGAGGAGGACCTGCAGGTGGTGCGCAACGGCATTTTTCGCCGCCCGGGGATTTACCGCATGATGCCGTACGGGAAGGCTTTGAAAACTTTAATCGACTCGGCGGGAGCGGCGGTAGCGACAAATCCGGGAGGAGTTTTACAACCCTCGCGCCAGCTTCTGCCGGGACAAAACAGGAACGCACGGAGTTCCTCGAGCGGCTCCTCTGCAAGTGGCACGACCGACGGCGGACGCGACGCGGGTTCAGCAGCTGCCTCAAATCGGTCGGCGTACGGATTCGTCTCGAATAGTACCGGGTCTGGCGGAGGGGGGCCTCTTCACGCTACACCTACGCTGCAAGCTTTTGCTGGGCGAAGGATTTGAGATTGGCGTCTCGAGTAGCAGGGGCAGATTTCTCACACCCTTGCTTTTCCGTGCTCATCACGCCCAAAAATACGACGACCTTGCTTTGATAGCGCGGCTGCGACAGATGACCACGCATCGTCGAGGATGGCAGTAGATGCAGCTGCTTTCTTCGGTTCGGCTTCGGCTTGGAAATGGGAAGCGCGAGACGAAGGGCCAAGTAATTTGATCAACGCATGTAAAACGGCGCAACCACGGTAAAGCTAAAAATCTTCAAGTTGCCATTGCATTTCTATGTTGTGCAAAACATTCGTGTTCCGGGTTCGACCACGATGGAAACTTTGTAAGGTCAAAGATCAATCTGGCTAGCTCCACGGTGCTCATTTTTGAGATCTCACGTTTCACTTTGAGTTTTACGACGTGACAAAGTTCTCCATCGAGGAACATGCTTACTGCACAGGGCCAGTATTGCGTGTAGTGAACTACTTTATTTTGTGAACCGAGAATCATTTTCATTTCTCTTCTCTCGCTTCGTATGGTATTGGCATCAGACATTCACACTCATCAGTGCGGTCGCAGTAAGAATTTGTTGCCATCCACCACATCAAGGCCACAAAATGTCGAATAGCGATGGCAAATCGAACGCGACGGCGAAGAAACGGGGGCGGTGGAACAAGCAAGACAGGCCACCCGGCGACGAACCCGCTCCAGCGCGCGCTGCTGGGGAGGGCAAACCAGGACTAAGTGGCACAGCACGAGGAGGCTGGCAAGCCTTGGAGGCACGAGCCGTAGGAACTGAGCGGTTTGCTACAGAGCCTGAGCCTGACGAAGCGGGGAAAAACAAGCAAACAACCGAAACGCCAGATTTGCAGCCTGCCCGGAAAAATTCTGACGATATGAGCGACATGGACATCCCACCAGAAACAGAATGTCATGACGAACCGGTGTCTTCGTCATGGTCCTCGCGAGCTGCTGCTGCATCTCAGTTGCCTGATGGACCAAAGCCACCACCCGACGCGCACTACGGATTTATGGGCATGGCGATGACAGGCGCAGGCCTGCAAAATACCGCGTCGACGTCCTCCTCAGGGTCGCAGTTGCTCCGAGAGGCTGTTGTTCTACCACAAGTGGCGTCGGGAGCTTCCAAAGCACAGCAAGCCGATGATGGCGGAGGGACGACACACAGTCCTTTGGAAGCGGACGGTGGGAGGATTCTGACCGATTTTGAGTTGCACCGGCTCACTGCCGCGAAACGACACAAACGAATATTTGACGAGAACAAGGGATCTAATTCTGTGTCTGGATCAAAAGCTCCAGTTCGACCACCTAAGCAAGAAAACTTCTACAACACGTATTCGAACCCTGGTTTTGCTTTTACCGACAATCAAACCTCCTGAAAGGGGCAGCGACAAACCCGCACACCAATATGAGCTACTTCCTCCAAAGCCCGTCTGCGTGACTTATTCTCAACTGTAACTATTCCTGTTCAGGTCTCCGCTTGGCGACATGCAAGAAGCACGCGAAGGTGAGACAGCAGGAGGCGCCGCCAGCACTACAGCAGGACACCAGCAAACCGGCCACGGTGCGGGCACTGTGGAAGCACATCGGGAGCACGAAGAAGTCGCGGGGGCCTTCAACGGCTCCGATGGGTTGGTCGAAGCACTACGTAGAGAAGGTCGTCGCGAAGCAGCAGCCGTGCTCGACCTTCAACGCCTCGGAGTTCGTCGGCCGTGTCTCAGACTCGAGTGTTGCGGCGCTAGATGCGCCGATAGCTTTGGAGGAGTGGAAGGCGGCGGTTAAGGAGGTTCGCGCGGGTTCCGATTCCCAGTCCTGGAGCAAAGAAATTTTTACCGCCCTCGACGACGACCTGACCCAGTTGCTTCTGGACTTGCTCGCGCAGGAGCTGCGGGCGGGGAACGGCCTTCGGGGCATCGACGAGAAGTTTAGGCGCGCGAGGGTCTCGCTTTTACACAAACGGGGGCGACGGGACTCGTTGGACAACTACCGGGGAATCAGTGTGGTTCCGTCACTCTGCAAAGTTTTGGCACACATCATGACGCGGCGGCTGCAGAAATTAATCTTCGACGAGGATTTGGCGGACATTGAAAACTACGGATTCGCTTCCGGGCGCAACAGCTCCGACGCTATCGTCCTCCTGAGGCGATTGAAAGAAGACGCCGCCGAGTTCGCCGATTTGGAGCAGTTTTGTACGGTCTGGGCCTCGTGCCTGGACTTACGCAAAGCTTTCCCCTCGCTTTGCTGGTCTGTGACGCAGGATACGGTGACCGCCTTAGGGATCTCCGGCACCCTGGCGTGGTCCGCTCTAGCTTCGTGCCATCGGGATGTCGTCTGTAGGGAGGTGCGGGAAGGGGTAGATTTCGGCCTACCCCTTGGCCTGCAAGAGGGGTGTCCGTCCTCACCGTCCTGTTTTAGTTTGGTATACGCGGTGGTCTCGACCGCAGTCCGCCGCGCCCGTAGTAAACTCCCCCCCGCTGCGCCGAATCTGGATAGTTCTGGCGTTCTCCTCAAGTACCCCACTGGGGATTTTTTCGCGGCCAACGAGAAGGAGAAGCTGGAGTTCCTCCTGCGACCGTCCCAGCAGTCGTCGTGCGGACAGACCCGGCTGGGGACCGTGAAGTTCGCCGATGATACCAACTCGTTTGGTGAATCGGTCTCCGGGGTGGTGGACCGCTCGGTGGTGGATTCCTGTTTGAACGTGTTAGCCTCTGCCCGCATGGAGGAAAATGTGGACAAGCGCATCGAGGGGCAGTTGGACCAGCTGGACTGCGGGTTTTTGGGCGTTTCGCTCGACGACACCAAAGACACACGGAATCGCATCAGCAGATCATGGAAAGCTTTCTACGGTGCTCAGCGGCACTTGGTCGGGTTTGGGGAATTGAATAAATGGCACAGGCGAGCGGTGGTAGTTGCTCTGGTCCGCGGTGCAATGTTGTATGGGGCGAACGGCCGGTCTTTTTCGGCGCAGGAGCTCAGCGACCTCACTGCTGCTGACAACGCGATCCTTCGGCGGTTGTTCAATCTGTCCCTGCCCCAGATGGAGGTCATGAAAGTTTCACACGGCGACCTGCGGGAGCACATCGGCGTTGCGCCGATCTCCGCGGAGATAGGTTATTCTAGGCTGTCACACGGGGGGCATCTGTTGCGGCGCGACCGGGACTATTTGCCGCGCAAGGCGTTTTTCGGCCGTTTTATTATCAGTGCTGTGGACCCCAACGCGACCCCGGATCGCAATCCCGAGATGTTCCTCCTGCCACGACGCCCATCGCGACTACCATCTGTGTACGAGTCTTTCATTGAGGCGTGCGCGGCCGCACGAATTCCAGTCCAGGAGCGTGCCGGGTTTGCAGTTTCGGAGACTCGCAGGGATTGGCTCCTGCGTACGAGGTCGTGGTATATCGATGCCACGATGCAGCATTGGTTTTTCGCGTCCTGGCGTGACGCACTTTCGCAGCCGCGCGTTTTAGTTGCATATGAGCGGCTTTTGAAGAAAAACGGAATTTCGCGTGAGGAGTTTGATGCGGCGTACGGCGATCGGGCACGGGTCGGCAGCAAGCGGGCGACCCTCAAAGTGACTCCGAGCTTGGCGGAGCTGCGTGCGAAACAGACGGTACTGAAGGGCGAAATTTCGGAGCGGCAGACGGGCGAGCTTGTGCGGAACTCGGGCGGAATCTACACTGCTTGCAAGGACGGAATAGGCGCCCTGTGGTGCAACCAGTGCGCGGCGGCGCTTGGTGGATCTTTGCGGGCCCTGTGTGCCCACCTCAAGTTGCACCAGGAAGACGACTTCGTCCGCATCGTCGCGGAACGCGATGGGTCCTACACACCGGCCGAGGAATTCGCGTATGGGAGGTCGGGCCAGTGTATTCTGTCGAAATACAAGCCATCGCAGCGCTTTGTGCTTCCTCCGCAGCGGTTTCTCAACGGGGCAGAGGCGTCGAAGTTTAGCGCCCGACAGCTGATTTGTCCGCACTGCTCGACGCACTCGATATCTTGGCCGCGCGATTTCCAGAAGAAAGTTGGTGCGTCCCGACGCATGAAGACGCACGAAAAGAAGTGCTGCGCGCAAAGAAAGCTCGATTTGAAATGCGATCCGATTCTTGAAGATGAAGATGAGAACGACACTAGTGACGTTGCGGAGAGTTGAGGAGTTCGATAAATTGGTAGTCTTAGTACACGACGAGCCACGATGTGCGAAGCTGCAGTGACAAAACCCCGAGATGCAGCTTGAAACGAACTCGAACCCCAACCCCTCCGCACGTCCCCCCCTAGTGCAGGATAAATGATGATGATGAACAAGACTAATCGGAAAGGTTGTAAGGATGTACAAGCGTCGAGGAAAAAGATCTCCAAAAACCTGACATGTTTATGTTATCGCGTCGTGTGTGGTTGAGTAGAACATCGAGGAGTAGAATGACGTCGATCACAAAAATTGACCACTCCGCTGCATGTTCATCTTTTCTTGATTTTTTTCGCATGTTCTTTGCATTGCTTTCTTTTACTTTTTTGATCACGTTCGCGTATTTGATCTTATTGGTCAACACAAACTGAATTTTCATTTGCAAAAATATGAGAATGTGTACATGTGCTTCTAGTTCTACTAGTAGCGAAACAAGTACAAGAGCCAACAAATAAAGCGTCCTGGTCGCACCACGTGAAGCTGAAATACAAATCGCGCTCTTTTTTTGAACAATCTGTGTGCGTAGTAAACGTGTCTTACAGGCATAGGCAAGTTAGCCGCGCAGTAATATCGAACAATGTCGCGTCCGCCCGGCGCTGCTCCCGGCCACGAGCTCAGCATGGAGCTGGAGCTTCTCGACCGTGAAGACGAGAATCGAGGTGACGTAGACATGTCGGACGTCGAAATGAAAACACCGGCGTCCCGAATGTCTGACGAGGTTTATCACAGTGACGAAGGCGATGAAAACGCGAAAAACGCTACGAGCGGTAGCTTCCGTGGATCGAGCAGAAGGACTAGCAAGAAGAGCAGTCGTCGATGCAGTGAACAAAGTCAAAGTGAAAGTGTAGGTGGAAGTCTGCTGGACAAAGTGGACCCAGATGAAGCGAGTGCAGCTGTCGCACCTGTGCGGAAAAAACCGCGGCTCTCCGATGTCGTTGCAGACATGTTCAGCAACCCCGCAGGAACGAGTGCGAGCACCGGCGCTGGAGAAGCCGAAGATGATACACACGCAAAGAAAGATGATCCTCACGCAGGACGAGACACCACGGATCAGCAATTGCATCCAGTAAACAAGATGACAGGTCTCGAGAACGACACCGAAATCAACCGTGCGAAGTCAGCGTGCCCACTCGCTGGAATTCTCGACAGCGCGATTCCGGATGACTTGCTTGATGACGTCGATGAGGCTTCCGGCATCAGAATTAGTGATGACGCGGAACATCTTAAAGTACAACAAGAACAGGCTGCTACAACATCTTCTTCTTTAAAGCGCCGCTCAACCGCCGATATCGAAGTAGAACAAGAGCAAGAGGTGCCCCGAACAAAAGATCCCAAAACGCAGGTGGTGCGCAGCAGCGAAGAAGAAGAGAACGCAAACGCAACGGCAGCAGAGGGGCAGAAGAAGCTCAAAGTCAACAGCAACACAAATACTCTGGATCAACATTCGACCAAAAAGATGTTCCACTCAGCCATTATAGCCGGATCGAAAGAAGAAGAGCTTTCTGCCAAACCTGATGATGGCGAACTTCAATCTTCTGCTACTTCTCCAGACAGTATCACCTTCGCGAAGGAAAGAGAGTGCAAGGATTGCACGCCTATCTTCGACAAAGCCGGCATGATGGACAGCACCCCGAAGACGGCTGAACCTAAATCTGCTACTGGGACGCTAACGACTACAGACGTGTGGAAGAGCTTGGAAGCTTTACAGAACGGACCTGCACTTGCGACGGAACTGCGGGAGTTGTTGGAAGAAGCTGTCGACGATCCGGCAGATGCGTTGCCACCGCTGCAAGACTTTCTGCTGCAAAAACGCCAATCGCTCCAGTCGCACTTTGACGACCTTGCGAAAGAGTACAGTGACTCTCTGCCGGCACTCGGACTGTTTTGTGGAAGCCCACAAACATGGACCGCGAAGATTCAGCATACAGCGGACGCAAAGCAGCAGAAGCGATTGATACGCAAATTCCAAGACTACGCGCAAAATTTTCCGGACAAAGCAGCAACGGTCGTGCGGGAGCTGGGCGAGTCGCCGACCTGGCTTCCGATTCCAGAGTGCTGTCACTACGATTCCGCTTTCTTCCAAGATCCAGAGGTAAAGCAGCTTTTCGCGGACCTGGAAAAAGCAAAAATTGCACAAGGGAGTGCACAGCAAGCAAAGGTCAACACCAAATTGCTTCCGGAGCTCCGGAAAGCCAATCGCGCATTTGCTCGCGCGTGGGTGGGACGAAACAAGCCTACACTCCAGTGGATCGAGGAAGGTCCGCCTGATCTCGAAGATCCGGCTTTTCGGACTGTGCGTTTGTCGCAGATCTCCGAGCTTTTTCGCTCCATGCCACTTTTCACCCTCCACGACTACAACCGTGTCTTCATGCGGAAAGAACCGGAGGAGTTGAAAGAGGTATTTGTTGCATCCCGCACTTTTATTCCACAGAATAGGATGAAGCAAGGACAAGGAGATTGAGCACGCAGTCCGGAATGTTTTCATCAAAGATTTTGCAAAGTTCTCTGTCCTCGTGTTTTTAGTTTTTGCTCGCACCTTTTTTTTTCACGCGTCGTAGCTCTTTAATAGTCGAGGAAAGGCGACGTCCACTCTACTCTTGTTCTGAAAACCTGAACCTTCAGGTCGTCAAAGCCTGGGTGGAAAACCCTGACTCGCCAGACCGTGCCCGTAGCCTGTTGTTTCTGGTGTTGAACCTGCTCCGTCGACGGGAATCCTGGGATGCTTTCCTGGAGGTCCTGCAAGCGCAGGTATTACACAGCGATCGACTGCGTGATTTCTTCCTCGACGTCGTCACCTGTAAAGGACTCTTCTACATCACCTCGCAGCACGCTGACGAAGAGTTGCGAGCGAAACTGTTAATTGACTTCGCAAGTACCAATCCGGTCCCGCTGGTGTACCCGACGGGCGAAGTGAACCCCTTTGTCTACCACGTCTTGCGGGAATCTGTTGGTGTGTTCTCTTTCGCTGTTGGATCCGAGGCTGCGCAGCCGGCAACCGGAAAGACGCAATTAGTGAATGATCTTCTGGGTACGGAATTCAATGTTTCGAGACGCCCCAGTGTGATCTCCTTCGGTACCGTCGACGTCGATACCGGAGCGTCCTTTCAACCTGATCGAAATCTGACCGTGTTCGACGCCCACGGCTTGCTAGACCCGAGGTTCTTCCCCATGCTAAAAGCAGCAGCGCATATCGTGTTGGTTCACATCAATGCGCAAGAACTACAGCACCAGCCTGCGGCTTTCGTGTCCTCGATGGAGGCGCTAGCGAACGCGCGAGCCGAGTGGCCGGAACCAAAGCAAGTCTTTCTTCTCATTCGTGATGCCGTGAGCGAAGACCTGTCCGAGCATGACGCGAAGGAGCTGTGCGGCCGCTTCTTTGGGCAGGCCGATGTTGTCATGACAGGCAGCGGCGGCGATCGCGCTTCCCCGAGCGCTGCGGCGCGTCGTGACAGCGGCGCCTTCAGGTCCTCAACGCTGGAGATCGTACTCATTCCCGACCTCCGCGACGCCGAAAGTAGACTGGACCTCCGCAACTTCAAATGGTACAACCTGCGGCCTCGGATTTTGGCCGCAGTTACTCGGGAAATCGACCTTTTGCGCTCCGTGTCCGGAGATGAGCGCAAGAAGCTGATGCGGAGGCATCTCACACAGAAAAAGTTTGTTGATTCTGTTTTGGAACCTTTTTCCCCGGCACCCGTGCATCGCAGCTATGCCCTGATGAATCAATTGATCGGTGACTTTGCGACCGAGCTCAAGCGCCATGCGAATGATTTCTACGGACGTGAAGTTGTGCCAGTGCGGTACATGCTGCGCGAGCTGCGAGACGTGGAGCGAACTCTGTACAAAAACTTTGATTCCGGCATGGAGGATGAGCTGACCGCTGCAAAGCAAGCACGCGAACGACTGTGTGGAGAACTGAAGCGTGCCACGCTTTCTCCGTTGTTGCAACTCTTTCTGCGTCTCCTTTCCCAGCCGAACGCGGTGACTATCGTTTCCGAAGTTGCCTGGCAGCTGAAGTTGTTTGTGGAGCGGAATACCAAAGCGGAACTGTCTGAACGCGAAGCACTGCGCCGAAATGCCAACCGTGCAGGCGGAGAAAACGCTGGCGCAGGAAAAGCACTGGAAGATCTCTCCAATTCGATCGACCGAAAAACGTGCAGTATCGAGGTACTGTTTCGCGAGCTCAGCTTCCTCTGCGAGTACACCGAGAGGTTCCTGTTCGATCTGGAGCCGTCGGTTGCAAAAATGACCGACGAGTCTGCTGGCGAACGTAGCCATTCGTCTGGGAAAGCTTCAAACGGCAGTAACTCCGCTCAAAAGCGAAACAATAAACGACTCCTTGACTCTCCAACCGCCAGTGGTGCTTCAGCCTCATCTGCTTCGCCGTCGACCAGCTTTGTCTCGCGTGAACGCGCAAACCCGATCGAGGCACTGCAATCTTTTGTGGGCGTGGGCGAGCCCTTTGAAATGATCGATGGTGACAACTTGAAATTTGCGATGAAAACACTGGAGCAAGTGTTCCACAAATTCGATGGTAGACGCGTGTTTGTTTTGTCGGTGCTCGGCCCGCAGTCATCGGGAAAATCCACGCTCCTCAACTTTCTCTTCGGTTCGAAGTTCGGCACGGGCACAGGCCGGTGCACCAAGGGCATTTACGCAAATCTGATCAACATCGAGCACGAGCACTACGACGCCATCTTAGTACTGGATACCGAGGGGTTGCAGAGTGTGGAAAAGGACGACGAAGAGTTCGATCGGAAAATCACTCTGTTTTGCCTAGCCGTCTCTCACCTGGTAGTAGTGAACATCAAGGGCGATATGCACAGCAGTATGAAAAAGCTCCTCGAGATTTGTGTGCTCGCCCTCGATCAACTGCGCAAGGCGCGCATGGGAACTCCCCACGTGCAGTTTGTTTTCAATCAGAATTCCAATGCAAAGAAAAACCCGTTTGCGAAGCAAATCGAGGACATCACGAGCGAAATCCTGAATGCGCGCCCGGACGCGCACGACGTTGCGCGAATCATGCAGGTCAGCGACCCCGACCTCTTTGTCTTGTCCTTCGCCTGGAACCTGCGGTCGGTCGAAAAAAACGCGGACCAGGGTCAGATGGAGGACTGGTGCCAGAGCAAGCCGGTCAGCCAGTTTGCTGTTGAGGTCAACCAAATTGCGCGTCGGATGACACAAATCATGTCGGAGAAGGAAGATGCTCTCAAAAAGTCCGAGCACCAGACAAAACACTTTAAGCATCTGCTGCCCTGGTTGGAGATGGCGTCGAACATCTGGTGCGCCATCGAGGCCAATCCCGAGCTGGTTTCGTTCGCGGACTTAAAGCATATGAAGGACGACCGGGACCTGAAGCAGAAAGCAACAGAGTGGGAGCGCGAATTTCTCAAAGACAAGCAAGCAGAACAAGAGCAGCTCGTCCACAGACTGGTGGACTCGCAGATCGACAAAGGCAAGATCTATGTGCGCAATTATGTCGAGAGCCAGCTTGCAACAGTGCAGCAGCGCATCCGAGAATATTTCGACGGCGTCTATGCCAGCATCGAAAAGCGCCTCGGGCGTGTAGCGCTCGAGAAGGACTACCGAAAACAGCTCGTCGACGTCTACAAGCGAAATTTGCGGGGCCGCGTTGACCAATACCAGTGCGAGGTCCTCAACAAATGCTACACGACAGTGCAGGGGCTGAAAGCAGAAGTCGGCCGTTCCACTGGCCACTTCGAAATTGAACAAGCCATGCGAAAAATGCTCCAGGTACGCCTGTTTGTATACCTCCCGCCATACTAATTTAGCTTTCAGATGTTGCACTTGCAGCTCTTTTTGGTTGTTATGCGGTGATGTACGAGTATGCAGCTTTTACTAACTCCTCGAAGTTTTTTGTCTGTGTCGTATGATAAACCGCGCCATTAATTTCGTTTCAGGCCGCCGATCCGACCGAAGCCGGTGCCGAGAACGAGTTTGACCGAGTCTGGGATGACATGATTACCAAACGCGAACAGGAGTTGAACGTCGAAGAGATGGAGGGCCAGCTCTTCGATCACATGAAGACCCTGTATCGACAAGAGCAGCAATTGCCCGCGAAGTTCACTACGAATCTCGAATTTCAAGACAAACTTCGCCGCCTCGCAGGGTCAGAAGCCTCTATGCGCGACGTTTCCTTCGAGCTGAACGCAGAATTTTTCAGCAAATTCACCGACGTTCTGAAACCCCGGATTGTGTCGCAACACTACAACAAAATGACGCCGCAATCGCTTCAGGTCTTGCACACTGAAAGTACCTACCTTCGTGTCCTGGACTATTTCGAGCCTGTGAAAGCAGTTTACGCATTTGAGGTGGATCCGGACGCTGTTAGTCAGCAGGTGCAGTGGGATCAGTTTTTACAGAGGATCGATACCATCTTCAACAGCTTCGATGCCTTCGTAGAAAGTTCCTACGAGCGCGCCAAGCAGCGACTTGCGCAACTAAACGACTGCTTTGACGACTTGTGCGTCTGCTTCGAAACGGATTTCTTCAGTAAGTTGAATGGCCTTATGGCGGCCTGTCGCTATTGGGAGAAACCGAAGATCACATACCATTTGAGAAATATCATCGGCAAGTACACCTGCCTCGCCAACGTGTGTCCTGGAATTGACGTTTTTCCCATCCGGAAACTCAGCGCTCCCGAATACAGGAAAGTTCTGCAGGACAAAGATCATCCCGAACGGCAGCGCTCTGCTGGAAGATGGACCTTCATTACCGGAAGTGTCAGACCCTTTGGCGAGATTGTTTCGCACTGCCTCGCTGATAAACACGTTGACTGGGCTGCCTTCAAAGGCGACATCGAACGAATTGCTCGCGCGGCGAAACTTGATAAAAAGAGGGAAGCTATCGATGACCTCCAGTGCTTGTCCCGGTATTTTCAAGCACACGGCTGGTTTTTCTGTGACGATTTTTGGACGAAGATGGTTGCGATTCTCGACCAGGAAGTTCATACGTGGCCATGGGCAACTCGCAACACGCATATCGACAAGGCGAAAACGTTGGTGCAGGGATATGTTGGAACCAAACACGAAAGAAAGTCACATCCACTTGTTCCGTACGGACGCGGAACAAACATTCGGTTCCAGCGCTCTGACGTTCCAAAGCTGCCGTGTGCGCAGTTCCTTCGTAATCCGGCCGCCATGTTTCAAGAATTTCGAAAGTCGCTTAGCCCGCCTTCGTTTGATGACGATGTGTGCTGTCCGCGGGGTCTTGCTGCAGTCAGCGGTTCCGAAATCCATATGCAAATCAAGCCGCAGCACGTGGAGGCTTACGGGCATGGATTGCAGTACTTGCTGAATCCGGCTGCTTTTCCGTCGCACATGCAGAAAGAGGCGCTGACTCAATTGGCCCGCCTCGTCACCGACAACCTGAACGGCGGCTGGCCGCTCGTGCTGAAGGATCTCGGAGAAGCCATCAGGAAAGAAGTGAGCCTGGAAGACTGTAGCGGACAGGTCTCCGTGTCTTCTTTTTCTGCTGCCCTCGTGAAGCTGATCCACACCAAAGTGTCTGTGTTTGTACGGGACCGCATTAACGAGCCCCTGGCGAAATTTGGACTGGAATTGGATATGGACGGAGCTGCAGCCGTGCATACTTTTGCGCTACTGCAGAGCTGGCGACTTCTCGCTGACGGGCAGCGGCACAAGAGCATGCAGAACATTCGCGAAATGCAGCGCGATCGCGACAATTGGAAGAAGTACTTCGTCAGCAACGTCTGTGCCAAACCGATCGAGCAAAGCAAGGCCGTCGCAGAGTACTTTGTGTCTGGAATAGTGAAAAACTTCCTGCACTTTGCACGCAGCAATGGTGCGGAAAGCATCAAGGCACGGCTTGAGGAAGACGAAGAAGAATTTAACGCGAAGACGATTCAAGCGAAGCTAGACGACGACTTGCTCTTCAGCGGTCGCGGTGAAGAGCACCTGGCCGTGGAGTACATCACCAATCAGACGGAGTACGTCACGAACGTCTTCGAGGAACAGTTTGGCACTCTCTTCAACAGCCTGAAAGACGGGGTGGTTCTGGACACCAAGCGCACGCTGCAGAAAGGACTGGCTGAATTACGGGACGCCTTCGAGACCCTGCGTCAGTTTCTAGAAAAAAACAATCTCCAGGAGGCGCAGAGCGAATTGCTTTTCAGTGCGGGCGTCGAGGCGATTTTCGAGCTAGAGAAGGAAGAGACGAACGTTTCTGCGTACAACTTCATTGTAAGCTTCTGCTTAGCTGGTGATTTGGGCACCTACGGTCGCTTTAAGGACCTCAAGGACACTGCGTGCTACGTGGACATCGTGACGCACCGAGATACCACGGGATCTACCAAGGGGATTCCCATGCTGTATTTCCATTTTGATTTTCAAAATTTTCTTCCATTTTCTATTGTTTTAAGCTCGTTACATCAGCATCACTTGAATTTGAGATGGTACACAGCACGAGTTCCCCTTCATGATTCTCCTTTTCACGTGACAGGTACCATTTCTGCACGGAGGCGCTGGACAAAATTGCCGAACAGATGATCAAGCTAAACGAGTTCACCTGGAGCATTGTTGACATGGGACTGGACGATCTGCGCGCGTCTTTCAAAAATAGATCCATTGGATGCCCGAACGCGTGCCCGACGTGCGGTCGCAAGTGTGACCAGGATGTGAATGACGTTGCCCACAAATGCGGCTGCTCTCTCGGGCATCAAATTCGTGGTATGTCCGGCATTCGCTTGGAGAACGACTTCGCGTCGACGGAGACCTGCGACGAGATCAGCGACGACCGCCGGATCCTTCAGGAGGACAGCGACATGTCCTGGAAAGAATCAACCTGGTACGAGATTAAGCAACAGTTTCCGAACTGGGAGTACTTCTCGTTGGACGAAAAAGATGCCCGGTATGAGCGAATCGTCAAGTTTCGGAAGGCGTGGGATATCTACGGTTGCGCCTTGTGTAAACACTACAACTCCACCGGAAATCCGATCAAGTTTCGCGAATACCAGAAATACAAGGAGGGCGCCGGCGGAGCCACCCACTTCATCATCATCCTGGATGAGTCCGGCTCCATGTGTGGTGAGCGATTCGAAAACGCCAAAAGTGGTGCCCGAACCTTCATCCAAAAGCTGTTCGAAAAGGGGGCGGGACCTTCGCGCGTCAGCCTGGTCTTCTTCGTCGACGACTACCGCGTTTTGTGCCAAGAGGGCGGCAGTGAAGCTGCATGCCTGCTCGACAGCAGCGGGTTCCGGAGCGGGGGTACAGTGAAGGAGATTGAAGCCGCGCTGCGCGGAGCGATTCACTGTATCGAAAACTCGTCGAAGAAGTGGGGACGCACAGTCATCGTGCACTATACCGACGGTGGCGGCTACTACCCGGAACCGGAAGTAACCAAGCTCAAAGAAATGAAGGAAACGCACGGGATCTCTTACCAGTACTATGCGATCTGTGAGCAGACTTACCATAGCGTGTTGCAACAGGTGTGCACACAGTTTCATCCAGAGGACCCTGATAGCCATCTTCGGACCGGGATTACGCCAGACGGATTCGGATCCGCACTTGCAGAAATCATGCGCAGCTAAATGAAAATGTAAATGAAACAAGACCGCGGACGTCTCCAACTTCTACATCGAGAAAAAATTGCAGCGTTTTCATGATTTCTGTTGACAACTCGTGTGCTGTGTCGTGCGTCCTGCTCCGTTTTTCGAAATGCGATTCAGGAGTGTATCATTCCGTTTGCAACCGAGTGCGACGAAAATTTTCTTGCATTTTTTCCATTTCGAACGAACTTTTTTTTGTGCAGCAGATGAAACAAATCATCCGCTCTCCCGCTCTCATTCATTCTCATTCATCTGGTGGAAGCAGCTGTAGGTGTAGCTTATTGTGTGAAGGTGTAAAGATGCTCCTCCACAAGTAGAGAGTTAACCTTGTTAGTTCTACATGCATGGGCCGAATTTTCCGCGTTGCAACTACAGGCCGTTTATGTTTCATCTCATATGTTGGCGTTGCGGCCCTTGGTCACATTATTCCAAGTTATCTGACGCTTTCCGACTGTCAATGCGTTCACACTTGTACTAAGCGGAAATTTTCCGGAAGCTGGAAAATTGAAAAAAGTCCCTCCCTTTCGCAGTGGCTCCCATCATGGAAGCGAATTCTGGCGCGCATTTTCTAGGCAGCCAAGCAAAACCGGCGCTTTCCCCAGAAATTTGGGGGCCGGACTTGGGGCCCTTTGGGATGACTCGCGCCCAGCTGTATCCGGCGTTTTTTGAGCGCAAAACCAAGAAGGCGAAAAAAGCGCGGCCAAGCATGGGCGCGGCTTATGGTGCGCCCCCCGCCCCTATTTCAGTTCATTTTGGAGCGCAAAGCCGAAGGCTTCCCGGTGTGCTTAAAAGCTGCACAAAATCGGGGGCGTGCCGTGGTGTTTCGAGCCGCGAAAGGCGCCAGGGGGCAAAAAGTCGCATCTTTTTGGCCCCGAGTGGCCGGGTCCGGGGCCGCCCCTCCCCCCCTCCCCGGGGGCCCGGGCCGGCGTTTTCCGAAAAAATTCAATCAGCATGCTATGGACCCGATTTTTGCCCTTTTCCGGGGCCCCCCGGAAAGCCCCTCCGGACCCCCTCTGGCCCGGGTCCTTTCCGGCTTTTCCGAAAAAATTCAAGACGATGGGTATCCGTTGATTTTCCGTCCAATCACGGTGGGAGTACGAAGAAGGTGCGTGAATTGAACCCCCAGGCAATATCTTTGTCCTCACGCTCCCACAATAGTTGGGCGAAATATGAGGGACTTCGGGTCGTTGTGGGCCTTGTTCAACAGCCGCACGCGGACCCTCCTCGATTCGCGACAGCTCTGATATTGTGGCACGCTGAGCATCTGTGAGTGAGGATCTTTGAAGGGACCCGATTGCGCGTTTGATTGAGCAGGAGCAGGAACATTCGCGCAGCGACCCGCCGAGCAGCCGCCTCTTCTCGACGTCGTGCTCGCCACGTCGTCTTCAAAAGGGCAGAACTTTTTTCAATTTTCCGGCTTCCGGGAAATTTCCACTTAGTAACTTGCGCATCTCATTCACTGAAAATTTTTCTGGCAGGACGACAACTCATTCCAATTTGAAAATATGATGTTTCCGCGGACTAAAAACTCACTCTTATCGATTTTCATTGATTTGCTGACTGAGTCTTGTATGTGTTCAAACAAATGGAAACTCATGTTTATTGTTGTGGCACAGGAACGAACGGGGTGGTCGATCCCGGTGTGGGACGATTACAACATTGGCAATTTGTGTCTTCGTCGCTTTTACCTGACACGTTGCTTTGGGATCGGAGACAGCGTGAGGTACCACAAGCTCATGTAGCTCGGTTGTTTTGACATTGTTGTGCAGCGTAAAAGCAAATAAATGGATCGAAATTGATGTCTTCCATCTTGATCTTCGATCCGCATTCTGGCCAGATCCTGCAGCAGTCTTTTGGTTTTGCATATATGTCCGTGTCGATCTGCATCTATCGCCCTAGCATGTTTGGCCGATCCAGCACGTTCGTCGTTCGTTCATCTTTGTCTTTTTTTGTGGCCTGTTGTATGTTGGCTTGCAAGTTGACCTGTTCTTCTTTCATCTTCTACGTAAAAAGAAAACTCTTTATACCTAATGTGCAATGTTGGAGAAATGACATATTCGTTTTAGGTCATCGGTGGTGCAGGTTCCGAGTCTATTTTATCAGGCAAAGATAGTAGTGTAGAACATGGCAATTTCAACAGACACCGAAAATGGGGCTCGTCTCTCCGACAGGGGACGAGAGTCAAGTGAAGTTGTTTCACCCACAGCTGCACATACATCGGGCATGGGACGTCCCTCGGAGGACAAAACGAAACGAAAAATTGGTGGAGAGAGATCTCCGGAACGCGAGCATGAGCGCCACGATGTCGGCACAAGCGCCGCCGCTAACCACGATAGAGACTATGACTTCGCTTTGAAATACATTTTAACAGAGCATCCGCGTTCGCAGGAAATATTCGAAGCAACGCAGCAACGTGACCCTGCGCAATTCGAGGCGGCGGTCACGCGTCTAGGTGATCAATGTGCGCTCGAGAAGGAGCTTCCAGCACCCAAGGGCTGGACTCTGCTGCAGATGGCTATGCTGGTTGGTAAAGCTGACATTGTTCGCAAGTTGGCAGAGGCTGGAGCAGACTTGAACTACCGCTCGACAACGAATGGCTGCACTGCCCTTGCATTCTGCGTGTCTCCGCCGGCTCGCAATAGCGTGCGGCCACCATCATCTGCCTTGGACACACTCGTGGACGCCGCCCTCCAAATCGACCTGCGGGAAAACCTTGTCGCTTTGCTTTTGGGGCTTGGCGCCAATCCCGATGTCGAATTTGATGGAAAGAAACTGGATGAGTTTGACGCCGCCACTCACGGTTTCCGCTAGAGCTTTACTTCTTTGATTTTAATGATGCCTGTAGATTTTTATTTGCCCTTGTCGAGAAGAAATGTGTTGAGTATCGATATTGTTTCATGTATTCGCGCACCGACGTTTCGTTTTCTTGGAGCAAAGATGGTTTCGCATTTTGATCGGTGTGTCAGTCAAGGGTAATGGTGAACATACCTCCAACTCAAAATACAAGCCAAACGCAAACCCAAATCCGTTTCCGTCTACCGCGCGAACATGATTTTGATTTTTAGGTATGAAATACAATTTCGAGCGGGCGCGTCTTCCCGCTGTGCGGAAGTGGTTTGACGTTGACGCGGAGAAACGGATGAAGAAGATGGCAGCGCTGATCAAGCTGCCGAATCTCCCGAACATTCGCGAACTTCCATTTTCTCTCATCGGCCAAAGCTGGGCGGTCACTACTCTGAACACCGCTATTCGCGATTGGGCCTTTCAGTTACCGAGCAATCCAGGCGGAGCGTGCCTCGCGCTAGTGTTCGCTGGCCCTTCTGGTCATGGAAAAACTGAGCTTGCGAAGAAGCTCTCGGAAGTTTTGTGCCGTAGCCCGGACGATTTTCACAAAGTCGATTGCGCAAGCCTGCGTACTAAATATTTGTTTTGGGACTTTACACACATGATCATGCAACATTACGCTGCGCTGCAGTATCGCGACGTTTTTTCTTTTTTACCTTGACCCGTACTGGCCGCATTCATCAAATATGACAGGTACCGCTAGTGAGATTTTTGGAATGGGAGGTGCCTACCAAGGAGCGAAACAAGGTTCATCTCTGAACAACTGGATGAAAGCACACGACGACAAAATTGGCGTCGTCATCTTTGATGAGCTGGAGAAGGCGGAACACGACGTGCGCACCCAGCTTCTGAATATTCTCGACAAAGGCGAGTTTCAGGATAAGCAGTTGACATCCAGCAGTCAATCCAAGCGGGTCAACTGCCGCAAGATTGTTTGGATTTTCACCACAAACGCCTTTGATCCATTGATCATGGAGGAAACGAAAGATTGGCAGGTGCACAGCGGCAGCGCAAAAATCATGGACCGTTCGAAGCGGGCTCTGGAAAACCGCCTCCGAAAAAAGATGCAACAGACCTTCGAAGTGTGTTTCGCCGGGCGTATCAACCGCCTCGTCACATTTGTCCCGTTCTGCGCACCGGATAAGCCTTCCGATTGCATCCTCGATGACGAAACAAGAGTTTTGCTGGACGCGGGCGTGTCCCGCGACTTCGCGTGGTTTCAAGACAAGAAGCGAAACCATCACGACGACATCCCGGTTGATTTTGCCCGTCCGGAGGATCGACAAGATTTTCTCGATCTTCTCCGTGAAAACTACCACCGGGACGAAGGCGCGCGCTGCGTCAACCGTTTGCTTGAGCAGTTCCTGCGTGGCCCAGTGATCGGAAAATGGCATCTGGACAAGATGCAAACCGCGAAACAGAAAGCAGAAATCCGAGTTAACGCGACGGAAGCCGAGGTGGAAATCGACATCATTCCGAACGATTGCGATTCTTGATATCTTCATTGAGACAAACCAGAAACGACGAACTTGATCAATAAATACATCAGAAGCAACAATATTCTCATTCACACAGTAATCACGACCAATCAGAAAAATTAGCTCGCGACTTCATTCCAAAAAATATCGTTGTAACAACCATGCCTCAATTCGAGGCATCTCCCCTCCGGCCCTACCATAGGCACGCTCGGTCTGCCCCACCATAGGCGGACTGTGCAACGGAGTGACATCGGCTACGGCGTGGATGTCCGCAAGACGGTGCCTCATCACAGGGCGCGCGTCTTGCACGAGTGCACTGCCAGCACTCACACGAACAAGCCGCCCAACCAGTAGCGACCAGGACCGACGCCCCACACCCGTCCGTCCCGCCTCCGCTTTTCCTCGGTATTGCGCTCGGGTTCGCGCTGAGACTAATGCCGGAGCACTATAAGCCCTGGCCAATCATCCACGGAGCGACCGCATACATACCAAGCCCCCGGGGCCCATACCACGGGCGGGGCTCGCGGCGGATGTTTTGGCCTCGCCGTGTTGGGTGGTTACTGCCCCGCGTTTTTCTCACACGGGCCCGCAGTGAAATACCGGGGGAAGCATCCCTGCAGGACTCGCCAACACCCACGTAGGTAGCTGCCGCCCCTGCCTACCAGAGCGGGGGCCATGGATGGAAATGACAGCGAGCCGCCACACTGCACGACCATCCATCGCCCGCGAGAAGGCGACCCCCTGGCCGTTGCGCGAGCAGCACCACACGGAAGACCACAATCGGGCTCCGACCCGCTGCGCGACGGTTGCCCGCTACCACACGGGTGGCCGTCCATCTCATTCGTTCACTTTGTATGTATATGTAATGTGATTCAAGAATTGATGTGTCTGATGAAAAAATTTGCAGTGTCTGATTTTGCAGTGTCACAGGGACATGCTCAATCATCACTCCAATAATCGATCAATCTAATATTTGTGTGATGCAAAAATTTTTGCAATGCAACAGGATCATATTCAACTATTACTCCAAAAATAATCGAATAAACATTTGATTTTTTTTTTAAGATATTCTATTCGATCATCATATTATATGATTTGGTTTTTCATCGGGATCGCTCGAATTTTCATATGGATTAATATTTTCAGAATTTTTTTATTTTTGATTCCTAGAAGATGAAGACATCGATTCTTTCTCAAAATCATATCCCTTCATACAAATAATTTCATTTTCATATCTGGATGTATTTCATCATTGAAAAATTTTGATGAGATATTGATGGATCATATGATTCAGATTTTGCAAAATTTATTATATAAAAAAATATTTTCTGATTGATTCCATAGATCCATCGGATTTCCATCATGAATCATATTCTTATGAATTCTTCGGATTTCCATTAGGGATTTCGATTTCCAATATGAATCATATCCGAATCATATTCTTATGAATCGAAATCCCTCGGATTTCCATATATTGAAATCGAAGATCGGGATTATTGTCGGAAGATCAATGTTTTTTTTAAAATTTTTCCCGGGTATGATTTTAATTTTTATAGAGAGAATGAATTTGCATTCCATTTCCGATATCAATCCAGATCATGGAGGATTCCAATCCATCTCATAATGATGGACACAAAATATTTGTTCTTTCTGAAGATATTAATCTGATATTTCAAAATTGATGCAGTCAGAGAAGATCTTTCCTCCTTCTCAAATGCCATTGAATATATATATAATCAGAATCCATGACAAAAATTGAATCATGATTTCTTGCAAACTTAAATCATAAATCAATGCCGAAAACATTCCGCGAATCAAAAGAAATGATTGAAGAAATCGAGAACAATTTTTCTATTCAAACGAACCCCATCGAATCCAAATTGCGAAAAATATGTTTAAGTTTATGTCAGAAAGAAAATTGGGATGAAAACAAATTGATCTTTGATTTGACCCAAATGAAGCAGAAGATTTGAGTCCCCTCCCATCAGGAGGTGTTCCCGTTCTTTTCATCTCCTGGTTGTAGAAAAATGCAGAAATTGGCGTAAGTGTAGTCGGAACACGGGGGACACGCGGGGGCGCTGCTTTGTGCGCGTGGAGGCCAAGCTTCTGCTTCCCTGGCAACCTCTATTTCGCAGAAGAATGCAGAAATTGAAGCGCGATGTTAGTCATTTGTGTCGGAATCGCGTTTCCATCCCCTCCGTGTTCCACAGATGCGATGGCTTCATACCAAAGTTCCAGGCTGCGATGAAGAAAATCACGAGCGCAGGCGCCAGATGGAATTTCAACCTCGTCCCCCATTCGACGATCTCCTGTGCCCCCGTTACATCCCCATCATTGTGCATTCCGGCCGAAAACGCCAGTACGACGTATACTACAGGAATCGCGACGAGCACCACAAGCAGGGCTGACGCGATGTAGACCGACCTTGGAGCAGCAGAACTTCCCGACATCATTAAGTCGCTCGGCCGTGTTCCGGCTTTGGACGCATCGAAGAGCAAGACCTTCATTCCCCAAGCCATGCCCAGAACGTAGCTGAAACTAAACACCGCTTCGTTCTGAATCCGCGCCTGCGCCTCGTGTTCCGTTTCCGCCGTGGCCGCATTCCAAACGCAGAAGGCCGTAATAGCGGCCATGATAAGTAACGCGACACTGTATACGCGCAGGCACTTGTCGCTCAGGGCGGTGAGCGATTCTTCCGCTTCAGAGGCGGAGCCTGTTGCCTGAAGACCTCCACCTTGTTGCTCATGCTCGTCCGACTCAGGAGCGATTTTGTTGGCTTCAGAAAGAGCCGACGTCTCTGCCGTGCCCTGTTTCCCGTTGGCTGTCCGTGCCGTCCACTTTTCGCACAATTTAGTCCGTCCCACAATCAGCGCTTGGATGCCGACCCACGCCGACACGCCGAAGACCGCGGCCCAGATGCAAGCGTCCACGGTGGCGAGCAAACTGCTTTCGTCGGTGACTTTCTCCGCTAAGGCCTCCTCTTCGGACCGTGGTCGGTCGACGGTCAGGAAGTGCAACAGCCAACAGCCGCCGTTGACCAGAAAGGCGAGTCGGCAGACGACGTTGAGCTTCGAAAAATCCAGAAGCCCGTAGTGCAGCGTGCCGAGGTACATCATTTGGCACAACGCCACGTCGAACGTGAGGGTCGAGGTCCTCACTGCGTAGCCGGCCGGGCCGATGGCGTCGAGCACTTCGAGGATGGCGAATACCCATTTCACCGCTTGCAGAGACACGAAGGCGAGCAGGAGTTTCGGGTAGTGGGAAACAAAGTCGGGAGAAAAAGCCGCACTCTGTGTGGTGTTGTCCTGTTGTCCAGCAATTTCTGTCATTCTGCAACAAAACGAGGCTCCTTCGCATTCGCTATGATCAAGCTGCGGAAAAACAACAGTATGAAAAAATTCCTGTTGGTCTATCGCTGCATACCGCCATTTGCATTTGGAAAGACAACGCATACGGAAAGCGAAACTGCATGGAGTACGCTGTCTCACTCAGTGGTACTCTTTCGATGGTACGTACTGACGTCTAGCAAGTAGCACTCCTGCCGAAAAACCCACACGCGGTCACACACTCAACGTCAACGTCGCGTCTCAGCCAAAAGCAAGGCAAAACTGCGTGTCACTCTTGACAGACGAAGACGATCATGAACCAGTCAGCTTGCTTTCACGTCGAGGTCGCAGGTTCTTGGCATGATGATGAGGAAAGCAACATCATGTTTGTAGCAATTGGAGATGCTGCGGCCCGTTGTTTGTCGGGCATCGTAATACTATGTGTGATTCGTCGCTTTACTACTTAGTATTACGTCAACAAGGCAGCTGACCGCGTTGTAGATGAAGATTCTGGGATCGGCTTCTCGGGTTCAATGAATGAGAGTGAGTAGAGTTGTATATGGACATTAGGAAGGTGAGCGATTCCGATTGCGCGACCTCTATGTTGTTACATGTATGTATGCGTATTGTAATACTCGACTGCTGTAAGACAGTGGCTACGTTGGACTATGACTATGACACTATGCGCATGCCTATGCCCCTGCATTTCCAGCAGAATGATCTTCGCGGAGGTTAGGCTCCATATCACGCGACAACTGCCCCTCAAATTGGCGAGAAAGAATTTGCACGATTTCCCGGGGGACATCGAGACAGTTATCGTAATGCGCGACGCGGCGAAGTAGCGGGAGTGTCGTGGTGCAAAGGGCGAAATATTCGGCGCTTTTGTCTCCTCTCGAGACAGCGTAATATGGAATAAGCGACATCACCTCAGCACCTTTTTGGGTTCGACCGGCACGCCCACACCGATCTGAGAAATCGTCCGCGCTTCGCGGAAAGTCGAAGTTGAAGACAATGTCCACATTGGTGAAGTTGAGGCCCGATTTCCCAATATCGGTGGTCACGAGCACGCTGGTTTCTCCGCGGTTCAATCTACCCACAGCCATCTCCTGCGCTATGTTGTCCATGTCGCCTGACAGGCTCTCGGCAGACCCAGACTCGTCGCCCTTCACCTTCGAGCCTGACCAGTACTCCCTGCTTCTCTGTAGGTTCTGTGCTACCTCGTGGGCGCGGACTCGTTCGTTGACAAAAACTAAGGAGCGGAAACTGGGTTTCTTGTTGTGCCTGTTGTGACGATATTTTGGGCTTCTCGGTACGGTTCTTGCTTTTGAATTTGAAACAAACACCGTCACACTCAAAAGTAGTCCTTACACGCCGACAAACTACTAAAACACATCTTCGCTCAGAAACCGGCGAAAGATTGAAACTATACCACTTCCTCAACTCGTCCAGCAGCTTGTGGGTCATTTGCTTCATTTGCGGGCTGTCTACGCTGTAGCCTCCTTCGGGAGAGATGGCGCTGCCACTCGGCGCGGGAACCTCAACTGCAGCCAAGTGATGCTCTGCGATCCTGCCACCGGATGGCTCGCAGGTCTCCGAGGCTGTGGCCACTTTCGCCACAAGGAGCGGCGCGCCGAGGTTCTTGCTCATCCCGTTGCCGAACTGCATCCACGATTTCACGCGGGGCTCGACTTGCTGCCTCATGTCGTCCCCAATTCCCAGCCAGAGAAATCGGGGCTTGAAGGGATTCTTTGCGGTGTACCCGATTCGTCGCCCAAGGATATGCTTCTGCACTATTTCCTCGAGATCTGGGAAAAAGTCCTTACTATTGAGATCTTTTCCCTCCACCACCACCAGCTCGACTTTGTCTAAACATATGATGCTGCTGCTGCTTTCTGGTTGCGACGCTGATTTATTGCAGTTTGAAGCTTATCATGGCTCCATTGAGATTGATTTTTAGATAGAGATAGTCTTTAACATGTCGTCTTGTCTACTTCCTTGTTGGCGCGAAGCCAATTTCAAGCGACTGTGCGTGCACAGCCCCTACAGCTCGACTTCGACTTCTAGAGGGGGCTGGAGAGCCTTTAAGCTGATAAAACATTGACATTAAGTAGACACCACACTGCCGAACTTGTACCTGTAGGCTGTGCATTCGCCTCGGACAGCTCGCCCTGCCGGCGCTGCTCTTCTACCACTTGCAGCTGCTCCATGTCTGCCTGGAGAAAGGTCCTGAGCTTTCCCGGAGTAGCTACCAAGATATCTGCACCACAACGCGCTAGCGTAGTAAGCGTATCCTCGGCTTCGTCGGTGCCTCTTTCTTCGTCGCCCGTGACTAGCTGCACACTTGCAGGGATACCGTGGCAGAAGGCTCTGATCATGGCCCGCGTTTGTTCGGCGAGAATCCGGGTGGATGCAATTACGAGCACACGTGGCGTCGCTGGTCCTTCGAATACGTTCTTGAAGTGGTCCGTGTTCTGCTGTGCCCCCTCCCTCCCGATAAGCCGTCCGCCGTGCGGTTTGGATTCGCTGACTTGTAACGCTCGAGCTATCGCGAAAACGCTTCCAATAGATTTTCCACTCCCCGCGGGTGACTCTAAACAAACGGATGCCCTGTGTTATTTTGATGGGAGTGAAGATCAACATATCCTCTAGAAAGGACATGACGGTTGTAGAATCAGAACGAACGCTGACGCTCTGCGCGACACACAAGTAAAAGCAACTTTACCACGTGCACGGTGGGCGCAGCGCGGAACAAACGTAGTAAATGCTGATCTTGATACTAGCCATGGCAATCAACTTCAACATGAAGTTTCTTTAAGTACAAAACAAAGTGAAAGACCCGAGTACCAATTCCGGGTCTCTTCGCGTGCTTGTTTGAGTAACCACCTCTGGCATTGCGTCAGGTACTTTGCTCCCCAGTAGGTCTCGAAGTTGGAAAGTACTGTCTGCAGGAAAGAGTCTTCGCTGTCGCCAGCTGCAGAATTCATGAGCGAATCTGCTTGCGCGTTCAAGCTTTTGCAGGAAGTGACTTTGCACTCTTGGAGGGTAAATGCCTCCTCGCCGTCGTCTATTTTTTCTCCGAGGGCGTTAGTCCCGCGCACATGTGTTTCTTCCATCCTGGATGCAGCGGAGTCCTCCATGTCAGAATCCGTGCGCGGGCGCTTCCCCTCGTTTCCTGCGGGGGGATCTTTCAGATCGTCTTTTCGAGCGCGCTGCTCTCCTTTTGTAATGCTCGGACTGGCGCGGCCCAGGTGTGTCTTGTTGTCTCGTTGCGCTTGCTGATAAATCTCCAGGTAGCGTAGGAGCTTCTGCCTGTCCACTGCAGGTGCCTCCACCTTTGGCTTTTTGGCGATCGGTTCACCATGAACATCGTCTAGCTCTAGTCCACGTTTCTGCCACGACATTTCTTTGAAGTCAGTGCGGACAACACGTTCTCAGGTGTCTTAGTTGCACCGGCGAGATGCCACAAGCGAGAAATACAAATAGGTAGTGCGTTATAAGAATTAAATCGACAAATGGAAAAGGGAAAACTCACAAGTAGTTGAGCACTTTGAAGAATTGAGTAATAAAGTATATAAAAGTGACGTCGCTGTTGATCGATATGGATATCCTGAGATCAACACAATTTTTCCGTCACGAAGACGATCATGCCAGCAGCAGGAGCTATGCATTCATTGCAATACCAAACCAAAAAATGAAGTTCAGGCTTTTGTAGATCACTAAAGCCGTAACGAACTGCAACGAAACCAATCTTTATCTTTCTCCTTGCCTTTAGACTGCTTGACTTCCTGGTGCGCTAAGGGCAGTAGGACGTCATAGGAAAAAATGAAAACTTTCGTCCTTCTACCAAGTAGTTCATTACCTGAATCAGGATCGACGCGTTACGTTCATCTTTGTTTTTCTCCTGGTTCAGCTACCAAATAACAAATTCTCATCATGTGGCACGTCATGGCAATGACGCTTCTTCTTCTCGTACCATTGGTGGGGATAACATGAATAAATGCTTTTTGTACTTGGTGGGGACGATATGAATGAAAGGCGATATTTATGCATATGTATATGATGAAAAAGAAAAATGAGTAAATGTTGCTAAATTGGTTTCTACTTCTAGCGGTTAGTCTTGGACCTGGTGCTAGCACCTGCACCACCAAGAGTAGCATAGTATCTGCCATTTGCAAGGTCGACCTTTGACTCGTTCATCTTCGTACGTGCAGTTGGGTCCAGCAACAGTCGACAGCCCTCGTTTCATCGAGCGTCCCGAGTTGGATTTTTTAGAAGCTCGCTTTCTATTTTCCCCACCTCTTTGCCACCAGACAAATACTCTTCCGGAATTCGCACTTGTCCGGCGCTGGGTGCTGTGTCGATGGTCCCTACCCAAGCATCGTCCTCTTCGTCATCCGGTCGCTTGGCATTCAATACCAGCGAGAAGGGGCGAATTTCCGTCTGGTGCTTTTGATTCGGCAGCACCAACGTAAACGGCTTGTTGAGAATCTTGACGCGAAGCGACTGGTCGCGCGAGCCGTGTTGCCGCATCTTGTTGATCCAGTCCAGCTTCTTCTGCACGGCCCTGAATACGAAAATGCATAACGTAGGAATACAGAATCTGTATCTGAGCAAATAGGCAAAAAAGAAAATAAATTGCAGAAGCAGATGCAGAACCAGAAGAAAAAAAATAAATACTCTTCGAGCGTCGTCGAACCGACGAGAGCCTGAGTCTCAGGGTCCTTGGTAGCACCAGCGTCCTTTTCAATTTCGTGTGCATCGTCTGGGTGCGCGGTGTACCGAGTCATCAGCTTTGCGCTTTCTTGTTTTTCGTCTCCGTTAGCTGCGAACGCGAAGTAGTATAGCAGATCGGAGTGGGAGAAATTCGCTCGGTTTGTGTTGATCCACACATGCCAAGATTGCCACGTGGCGAGGGCTTCCTCCCCGCCGACAACCTTAGCGCTTTCGCCGCTTCGTTTTCCCCGAAGCACCTGCCCCGATCCGACCACAATCAGGCCACGCTTGGCACGTGTCAGTGCAACGTTGGTGCGCTCCCGCGAATCCTGAAAGCCTTGTGAGGAGGTGCGGACGAAGCTGAAGATCACAAGGTCGGCCTCACGGCCTTGGTAGCCGTCAACGGTTCTGACGTCCAAGTCCAGCGAGTCGTGGAGAAGTGCTTTATCTCTACTGTTCGCAAGGGTGCGGCGAATATGTTCCACTTGCCCGGTGTAGGAGGAGAGTACACAAACGCTGAGCTTGGCATGCTTTCCGGTGCCAGCCACGGGAGGCACCGGTAAAAAGGTAGAAGATGATGAGGTGCTGGACGAGGACGGTGTAGCTGCAGCGTTGCAAGGAGCGTGCTTCTTGGCTAGGTGTACCAGCAGCGAATTGCAAATCCAGTCTGCTTCGGTATTGTTTTTCCAGCTGGAGGTTTTCTGGTGTCGAGTCTCGCCTGTGCTGGTTCCACTGACAAAGAGCTTATCCAAATCGACGAAAGCCGCCCGAAAGTGATCATCGCGACACCCCTGGTACCGGACCCACGGAAACCCTGCAACTACCGGAAAACAGTCGTCGCTTCTGCCATTGAGCACCTGACCCTGGTAGAAAGAGCTGCTCCACCAAGCAGACAGGGATGAATGCATGCGGTGCTGCTGCTCAAATTGAATTGGCTGCACGACTTTCCGGTCAATCAGCTTTTCAAACAACGAAACATCGAAGCCGCGTCGTTTTGCTTCGTCGGTAGTGACATGTGGGCGGCCTTGCTTGTGGTCTCCCATCATGATGAGATGGTCCGCCGATTTGTACTGCGACAACACGAAGGCCGGAATCAGTTCCGTGCTTTTTGCTGCTTCATCAAAAATCAGAGTAAGCACACTCTCGGCGCTACGATCCCGCGCCGGCACTTTGAACTCGTCGCGGTAGCAGCGCGCAGCGGTAACAAGCACTGGCGCACCAAGTTTACAGACCGCGTCGACGAAGTCAATGAGGCATTTTCTCAATTCTTCCTCTACGCGTTCCAATTGGCTGATGCCCATTTTGGCGGTAGCCGGGGAACCTTCTCCATCGTTCTTGGTCGTATTCTCATTCTGCTGAAAGGTCGCGGCCCGGAAAGCCTCGTACTTGCTGACAATTTTCGACAAGCAGTCCACGGCGTCATTAACCCATGGACTGTATTGGAAAGAGGCTTGGTGCTGCACAAAGCCGAGCGGATGGTTGGGATCCGTTAGGAAGTTCCTCCACAACTTTTGCTGGTCGAATACATGTTTCAGCGGATCTTCCTGTTTTAATTTTTCTTGGTATGAGCTTTTTTTATTTGACTACATGAAGGCAGTTGGTAGTCGTAGTTTTTTTGCAAACCTCTTCTCAATCTACAGGAGAATGAGGTCGTAGAATTGAACTGAAAAGATAGAAAAAGCGAAGAAGAAAAGATAGAAAAAGCGAATAGTATACCGAACTCCCGACCCGGTATCCAGCAAAGCGAACGTGTGCGATCTCACGGCGCCTTAGGGCGCTTGAGAAGGAACTGACGGCGTCGTTGGTCTCCGCAACCACCCTAATAATGTGAGGCTGGCGCTTGATCTTGGCTTCGCGAAGGAGATACTCAATACAGGCAGAAGCCCAAAAGGTTTTGCCAGTTCCCGGGGGTCCCACCACTGCAACGACCGCGCTTCGCTTTTTCGCAACTTCTTCAAATGCTGCAGCTTGTGTCTTGCTGGAGGCTAACAGATGCAACATCTTTTCATACTGTAAGTGACATTCAGCATCCTCGTTGCTCTGCAGCAGGACATGCTCCCCACGTTCATCTTTACTTTGACCTTGCCCTGGTGCAGGAGGCTGAGGCTGAGCAAAACCATCAGCATCTGCTCGAAGATTTTTCTGTTGTGTCTGGAGGTCGGAAACGGAATCCGAGCAAGCGCGATCTTCTGCAGAAAGCTTTTCCGCTTCCGAAACGTCGACGGGCCTGGAGGCACCTGGTGGCACGGAATGTGCTTGTTCCACTTGGCTGCGCACGGGCGATTGCTGAGAATCTAGCGATGGAGCTGAGAGTGCTGCTTCAGCTCCCGCGGACTTATTTTCTTCGGCGCGGGTGTCTTTTTGTGTCGACGAACAGAAAGCCCTGCACAAGACTGGCGACGAGTTAAAGTCGGGACCGCTGGTGGCCCCACAGAAGAGTTCTCCAACGCCGTCCAGCTGCTTTTGCACAACGTGCCACACACAGTCTTGCATTATCACGATATCGGCTTCATGTTGATGTCCTCTAGCGCAATGAAAACGCGAGGCGCAATGCTCATGCAGGACCGGCTTCAGTGTCACCTTCAGAATCTTCGCAGCAGCAGCGTAAGCACTGCCAAAATCGTTATTATCTTCGCCAAAACTCGAAGGGCGCGCCTTGATCGTGCGCAACACGATAGCAAACAGAAAAGTTGAACTTGCCCGTCCCGCTGCAGGATTCGCATTGAGACTGAAATACACAAGATCTTGGGCTTTTGCTTTTGGCAGGGCCGTGGAGTTCAGGTCGCATTCTATCACGATTTCGTCGATGCAGTTCGGCTCTGCTGGCGCTATCTTTAGCTTATCTGCGATGACATCGCACCGCTGACACTGCGCCTGGTCGGTTCTGCCCTGCTGTCCCGCACGCTCCATTTCCTCTGCAAACTCGACCAAGAGGCACTCTGCCAGGTTGCGGCCCACATCGGGTGGCAGGGACACCTTCGGAACGATACCGAGCATGCCACGCAGCGGGCTGACTTTCACACCGGTGACGCCCATCGTGTTTATTCCGCCAGTGGGCCCCAGGGGATTCAGGTTGCTCTGGATGATCTTCCTTAGGTGCGGCCGGTTTACCCGGTCTACGGCAGAGAAAGTCAGCCGCTTCAAGATGTCGTAGTACGTTAATAACGGAATAGCTTCCTTTGTTTCGGACAGTACTCGCGACATCTCGACCAGCACGTCCTCTGCCTCTTTTCCTGTCGTCAGCGAGTTGAAGAGCAGCGGTAGCAACTTTTTCCAGAATATCGTTGGGATTCTGCCCAGCTTACTCAGACAGTCTGACCGGGAGCTCTGCAAGGTGAAACTAAAAAGCTCAACGAGCTCACTTGGCGTCTTGTGCTTGTCGAAGTGTTTCTCAAAGTGATACGGAAGCAGGAGCCGGGAACGGGCGATCCACCGAGCATCTTCATCCGACTCGGAGTAGGCGCTGGCTTCTCGCTGGAACATATAATGATCCGGATTTTTCAACTTCACATCTACTGCATCTCCTGCAGTAGCAGGTGATTCAGATTCTGCAAGATCCTCAGAGAGGACCAGCCGCACGACCGCGAAGAACATTGGTCCAGATTTCCACTTCATTCCCTCCTCCGATGGCAATGGAGTGTGCTGCTCCTGTTTGGCGGGGCACTCCAGTGCGGTAGAAGAGGACAACAAGCCCGGATCGTTTTGTATTGCAGCAGACTGCTGGTGCTCGTCTGTTCCTGCCACGAGCGGTTTGCTCCCGCTGCAGGAGTTGTTCAATATTTGCGCTCCAGCAGTAGAAACAGTGGATGGAGGTTGTTCACCAGGCTCTGCGGGGATAGCAGTCCGTGCTTGCACAGAGACAGCAAAGATCTCCTCGGAAATTTTCTGCCGGCTTGTTGCACAACACGAGGGGGAGGCAGCGGCTAGCCAGGCATTTTTGACCGTGTCAAGAAAAGGAATCACACGTGAACCACGATCCCCCGATGGTTGCGCCTCGCTCTGCGCCCGAAGCAATTCCCGGATGCCATGATCTCGATCGAAGATCTGGCAATCAAATGTGTTTGTCGTCTTAAGCTCCGTCGTCATTGCGGACTCGCTTTTCCCGTCCTCCAAATCATTGCTCACTGTCTTCTTCGTTGTACAAGTACAGATACTCGTGCTAGTGCTGCTGCTGGAACTATTCTTTGAAATTTTTTTGAAGTTCGCTCGTTTACTTGCGATTGATTCGCGCCTTCCCGGAGTCTCTTTTTCCAGTTCGCCACCGACACATGACCCAGCACCAAGTCCATTACTACTTCCCGCTTCTTCTTCTGAGTCCGTCGCGTCATCCTTCTCCAGCATGTGCTTGTTGCTTTGATCGACACACATTTTGCACTTTCCCTCGGGCACGAGCCATTGTTTGTCTGTGTACTTTTCGCGCTTCTTGTAGCGCCCGCTCATTGTGCGACCACACCGCCCGGCGCATTTCTTGCGCATGTCGCCGTTCCGCGATCTGCGTCTATACGGCTCCGGAATCGTGCTGCGTCCCGTCCGCTGACGGTCGTCGTCGACGTCCTCTTCAACATCTGTCAGATCGTAATACCACCGGACCTGAGATCCGCTCCTCGCGCGCCATTCGCATACTTGGCACCTCGAGCGGGATGTGTCGTCGGAAAGACCATGTCTCGACTTTTTCACTTCTGCATCGGTGAACAGTGTTTCGCACAGCACCTTGACACCTTGTTTGTCTCGCCCGAACCGAAAGCCACTCCCTCTCGTTTCCGATCCATTTCCATCGGGCAGTTTGACGCGCTTCCACTGCTGACATTCGCAACACTGCAGTCTTGCGATCCTAATCTCTTTTCCAGTCTCGGGCTCAAGTTTCTTGTAGCATTTAAAACCCTTCGGCGCAGTGCGTGTCGAAGCGCCAGACTCCTCCTCGTCATCCGTCGGCGAATGAAAGTAGTGCATCTGGTTCAGCCTCAGCTTTGCGCAATCGTTGCACACTTCCTTGTTCTTCTTTTTCGGAAATTCGATAGGTTGTTTGAAGCGCCCACACGGCCCGCTGCATTTTCGCTTGCCCGGATGATGTTCATGGTGTTGAGCTGTACTCCTGTGTTCAAGTCGCTGCCGCTTGAGACCCGGACTCGTCGACTTTTCGTCTTCATCATGATGGCCCGAGTCCTTGTGTCGTTTCAGAAATTGAAATGAAGGAGCAGAGCAATCGGCGTAATCGCTATCGGGCGGCCGAGCAGACCCCATGGTTGATGTTTTTCTGTACTTACGTTACTAACATGCACGATGTGAAAGATAACACACCAAGAGAAGCGCACTTCTGAAGATGCTCGACATCAAGACTGTTCCTGTTGCCTTTGACTTTTTCGAAATGGTAAATATGCCAGGAATAAAATGCGGATCGCTGTTTGCAGCTCGTAGAAAGAAGAAGAGCATAGAGTGTCAATATCCATGCTAGTACTGCTAGTATCAACAAATGAGAAGAGCAGGCGATCCTGCTAACTTCACTCCGGCTCGTCAGAGCAAAAAAAGTCTCTCATCCATGCCAGGCATAGAAGAGCACGCCTACTCGCAAACGAAGGCGAGCTTACTTCTGGATCTTGTTGACGAGCATGCATGATCACCATCAACGGAGTACTTTGTTCCTCTCTTACACTTACTCTCGGGAAGAGTTGTTCTCGATTATCATGATGGATCTTCATCCTGTTTTGGATCGCTGACTGACATGATGGTCGTGATACTATGTAAGCACTATTACGAAGAACAACATGAAAACCTGCCGCCTTCATCACAATGACCTGGGTGCAGGCTCGCGGGGCACCACGGTGAAACTTTTCACAGAGTTTTTCCTTTCCTTTCTCCAACTGACCACGTACTCCACAGGCCCATGTCAGCAAATCAGATGCAATTTTCAGCGAGTGACCCGGGCTCCTTTTGCTTCTGTATAGTGTTTTCCGGAGAAGAAATCTACCTCGTCCATCGGGTACAACGGAACAACAGATAGAGAGTCGCAGCTCGTTCTGGGCGCCAGCCATGCGGGAAAGCGAAACGTCTTCTGCGCTTCCGCCACGTCAAACGGTTCCACATAGTCGTCGTCGTCCGTCCTCGTTTTCTCGAACCAAAACCCGAGCTGGAACCTTTTTCCGGAGTCGAACGGTATCCCGACATCAATTGTCATGTGGAGCTCATATGCGTCGACGCGGGTGTAAACGCTGCACGGGATGTCTTTCTTGTCCCCGACCTGGAGCGAAATCTGACGAGTCAACTCGCCGTCATTTGTTTCCCTCCTGCGCTTCACCCCCCACCGTAGCAGACTGGTTCCCCGTTCTTCTGGCGGCACCTTCTTGGGGGGGTACAAACCGACAACCCAGGGCGTTTTGGACAGCTCCGCCTTCCCGTCGCTTTCGTCCAACAACTGGGTGAACGCCTGCAAAATCCAGCTTCGAACGACGTCGACAGGCCGGTCTAATTCTGGTTCTTGTAGCCACCCGCTCCCGTAGGCGTTCTCTGCCTTGACGCACGGCGCGCTGCATCGATTCAGCGGAAAAAGCAACTGCGGGACGTCCAAGACAGCAGGCTCTTCATCCATCTCGTCGCCACTGCTAAGGCTCGCCACGTCTTCTTCACTGCTGCTATTGTGTGCAGAAGTAGAATCCGCTTCAGTCGTCAGCTCGATTTTGTAAATCGCATCCCGCCGTTTGAGTTTCCGCAGTACGTGCAAGAATAAATTGAGCCGCGTACGATCGCAAAAATACATGAGCTGCTTCGCCGCACCAGGGTCGCTTATCGCCTGGAAAAATACCGAGCGGCAGCTTTTCGACGCAATGGCGAAGCTCTTGGAAAGGTCGTGGTAGGGGTCTAAAAACTCGAACACCTTTCCGAGCACGTCCGTTGGCATATCGTGCAGGAGAGACAAGTCTTTGCGATCTCCGTCGATCGCCCTGGCGTCTCGAAGCTCCTGCAGCTGCGCTGTGCTGACTCGTTGCATTTTCCTTTCTTTTCGCGCGTCTTGCTCAACTTCAAGATTGATTCTTCATTCAATTATCATCTATTAATTACTTTCACTTTGCAAAAAAGTGCGTATCCACCAGCAGTGCTGTACAAGTTTTTTTCTGCTTCTAATGCCACGATAAGACGTGGTAATGACGAGTTTAGGTTTACGACAAGGACAACGAGGACAAGAAGTAGAAGTTGCGTTGTTGCACACCAGGACTTCTTTCGGTATATTACGACTAAGACTATATGAGAACCGAATAAGACTACGAAGCACCGAATTCAACCGATTTTGAGAATGGAAGTCGGAAGAAAGCAAGCCCTTACATTGTTATCCCGATTTTTTGCGTTGTTTTTTCATCTTTCGGTTTTGCCACAGCGAAACGAAAATCTAATCCCGAGAACGACAGCACTGCAAAATGAAAACTATCGATTCCCTGACTGAACCCCAAAACCGAGCCCATCGTAGACCCCCTTGACAATGACGGATGCTCGTCTCCCATGTCGACACGATGCTTTACAACAAGGAAAGTACGCTAACAAGCCAGCCAAGCGATAGTATTTTTGTAAGCACACATGGAGTGTACTTGTCGAACACTTCCGCGATAAGGGACTGCACCTGTGGGCGTCCTCCACAGCATGTGGTATTCTTTTTTTTACTTTTATTTAAGTTCTTGTCGTGCTTGTGACACGATTTTGTTTTTGGTAATGCTAATGTCGCTGGTATTGGTCATAATGACCACATTTATGTTGCGCTTTCGGGACGAACTGGGTTGCAGCTCAGCATTATGTTTATGATCATGGTCGCGGTAAGGAGAAGCATTCAAAAACTGTTCATGGAACGTAGTTGGCCACACTGTTGTGTAGATGATCAAGCTTCTTTATCAGCGCATGCTCGGGATTCACTTTCCGCAGGGTTTCTATGTGCTTCTTCGCTTCTTCTTCATTGCCCAGGTGGATGCTTGTAGCGCAGAGGTTCACCTGTTTTGATTTAATTTATGCCGCGATGGAAATTCACCTCACGAATGCAAAAGGTGAAGAACGGATCGACTAGTATCTGCTTCTCAAAAATCGTCGACCGCACTGACTTAGCTACAAGTGCCACTGTAGGTCGGGCTGCAAGCAAGGAGCAATTCATAGTACCAGCGTATCCTGATCTCCCGGTGCTACTTCCTGCATCTTGGAAAGCTCCTCAGGAGCCTCGGAAAAGTTACCTCGCTGAAGGTTTGCGCACGCCTTGCCGTTGCAGATCGCAGACGATGGTATTGTGGCTACCTCGTCACCATACCTGGATATAAGGAAACGCATTGTAGCATTGCAACAAATCCTGTGTCAGTCCATTGGTTTCCAGTAGCAAGAACTACGAGAAGGCTTTGGCTGTTCCTGCGGTGAGGTATTAAAAACCGCCGCGCCGTCATGATTGGCCGAGACCACCTGTGTGACAAGTGGCGCAGTACCATTGTGGTGGTTGGAGTATTTTAGGTGTGGCGTATGAAGCGGCTCCGTCCGCGGCAGTCGCCCCGGCGGTAAGCTGAGGGCGAAGGCTGCCGATTTTGCGCCGAGGCAAGGCAAGCCGAGGCAAGGCAAGCCGAGGCAAGGCAAGCCGAGGCAAGGCAAGCCGAGGCAAGGCAAGCCGCCGAGGCAAGGCAAGCCGCCGAGGCAAGGCAAGCCGCCGAGGCAAGGCAAGCCGCCGAGGCAAGACAAGCCGCCGAGGCAAGGCAAGCCGCCGAGGCAAGGCAAGCCGCCGAGGCAAGGCAAGCTGTATTGTCTATAGGTGAAGTACGAGCAGCATAGGCAAGTGTAGTCTGTATGTAAATCTAGTAAGTACTGTGCCTCCACGTCGCAATAGAGCAGAAAAGCCTCTTGGTAGTTGCCGTTGGCGAGGTTAACCAGGGCGGAAACCATTTTCGCGATGACGTGGTCGTCGGAAACCTGGTTTACCTGCCGCATTTGCTTCGTTGCAAGGTCCACACGGTACATCGCCAGGAAGAGCTGCGCAAGTAGCCCTTGCATCTCCGGGGTCGTGAACCCTGTTGAGCGTAGATGTAAATCGTCGAAAAATGCCAAACAGCTTGGTAGCAGCTTCGTCATTCATGTTTTCGGTTCAATATTCTTTTTCTCCTTCCAGTAGTTCTACTTCTATTTTGCATTATAAAAACACAGCAAAAGTACCACTCGCTTGCACGAGATTGACTGCTTCCAATGCATCTCCTTGTAGTGCGTAAGCACATGCTGCGAGGTAGGTGGCTGTCTGGTCTCGTGAGCTCTTTGCTAACTCCACCAGATCGCCGAATGCCTTGTCCTTGTGAGCCTGCTCTTTTGCCTTCGTGAACATCGCGAACAAGGCACAACATCTCTGTGAGGCCTCCGGACTGTTCCGTAAATCCTTGAGCTGCGAAAACTTCCCGAGGGCGAGATAACTGTAGATGAAAAAAGAGTTAGAATTATCACGAATCTTGATGGATACGCATGCGCGTCGACAGTAGATGTAGAAGTGTAGTGAATGTGAAAAGATACCACAAAACCCGGCAGAGCAGAGTTAGCGGGTTCTTTTTTCAAAGTAAAAAATCGGGGAACGAAATGAACTAGCATGTGATTCGCTTCATACCATCTCCCCATGATGCCTTTCTTCTCGGATTCTGCGATATCGTTTCTTGTCGCTGCCTTTTCGCCGGTTGCTAGAGCGGCTGTATAGGCGCCCATGTAGAAGCGCTCCCGTGTCGGGTGCAATTCGTCTTCCAACATGGTTGCGAGTCACGCTTTGGCGTCGTTTCCAACAAGAAAATGTCCAAAAGCTGCTCCCGGTGCTAGTATCCTCTTGGCAACGTTCTTCTCGCTGAGCGAGTACTACGGCGCAGTTCCGGCTACCAAACCAAGAGCAAAGTGCTGTATCAAACCAACGTCATCATTTCTCTGACAGAAAATCAGCTTTCCGATTTTTTTTTCTCCTGATGAAAAAGTGTATACCACTAAGTCTAAGACATTTAATTCTAGATGATTCAAATAAAACGTAAAAGAAGGCATAGAGAAACTGCTTCTGTTCTGTGGGTCAATGATTAGGCTGTTGCTCATGTCGCCAGTCACTTTATGTAGCATACGAAGTCGATTTAAGATAGCAAAATATGATGAGTGATCGTCGCAGGCGTAAAACTGCGTACGCCTGAGGGGCGCAAGAGAATCGTGAAATTTCAGAACACAGACTGCAATCGGATGGCGCATTCATCTAGCGAAAGCGACTGCGACTTTCTTGGTTGGCTTCTACATAGAAATTGTGACGTCGCAAACATTTTTCCGTGTCGGGTAGTGTAGCTCTATTCGCTCCTCGTCTTCGGCGGTTGTTCGTTTTTTCGAATTCATTGTTCTCGTTTGCTTGGCAAGGCACGGACAGAAACGAAACGCAATTTATGCATTGCACCACTCTCCTCGCGGTCTTTCAAGATCGATCTTCGATCTTGTCCTACGAGCGTTTCTATCCCGGCACCCCAGCGGCGGTGAGAATCCGCTTTGCGGCGGGAGACTGGGTTCGATAGCGCTGCAGGAAGGACACGAGGCGTTCGGGAAGCTGCTCAGCGACGAGTCGGGGGATGCGGATACTGGCCCGGTCGTTGACTCCCGCCTCGCGGCGCAGCAGCAGGTCCGCGGCCCGCACGATCTTGTCGGCACTGTCCTTCAAAAATTGCAGTTCGTCGCTGGGAGGCAGGCCGTCGCTCGTTGTGGCAGACACGATAAACCTAGCGATTTTCTGAAACTGACGGCTCAGTTCGGGCACGGAGGGTGGCAGGGCATCTACGGAATCCATTTGCTGCTTCTGCGCGAGCCGAAGCAGTGTGGGCGAGAGGATGCGGCTCAGAAAAAAGGCTCCGGTCACGGAAACTGGGTCCAGGTCGAAGTGTTCCGTACTGGCCTGAACGTATTGATAGTTTTCATAGCCTTGTAAAATCTAAATCGCATTCTTTCAGCTGCTTCAGGTCTCGTTCTAATGATTCAATACACAGAAAAGGTTTTTCTTCTCGAGGCTGCAGAGAAAGGCAACTCTTTATCTTTGTACCTGAAAGATTCTTTGCAGTAGGATTACGAACGGCGCCGGGAGGTCAAGCGGCCGAGAAAGTATCGAGTCCAAGTATTCGCTGAGCGCCGCAAACATACCCCCTGACCCGCCATCCAATCCTTCGGCACGCTGCAAAAGCAATATCAGGTCGGGCTCCAACGCCATTAGTTCCGACCTGAGAGATTTCAAATTGGGATGAGCTCCTAGAGACGTAGACAATCGCTGCACACAAAGAAAAAAAAACAAAAGTGCTACAGCTACTGCAACAACGATACTTAGGAAAGGAAATACCCAGCCAGCTTCACCATAGCGGACGTGAGGGCTGCGAGAACGCTTCGGGTGCTGAACAGCGTTGCCACAGACCCCTGTGCCTGCTTCATGTCGTCATTGAGTGCGGCCTGCAGAAAGCCCGTGGCAGATCCGTCCTCTCGGGCGTTCAAGAGCTGCAGTACCGCAATGTCCACACCGGTGCGTTCGCGCGCCGGAAGTTCTCGCAGGAACTGCAGAGTGTCGGAGTACTGCGAAGATCTTCCCCCAGCCGACCTTAGCGAATCCACCAGTTTGGCCGCGTCGACCTCAGCTGCGGTGCTGACAGGAACCCGATCGGCGGTTCGCTGCCTCGCAGCGCGACCACTGGCCGAAGCCAAATCAGGATCGTGGCGTGAGGAGGATGCGCCGGATTGACCCGTCAATAACGGACCACCTTCCTCACGATCGACACTGCCGTCGGGCGAAAAACCAGGGGTTCCGCGCCCAGTCGGGGACGGCCGGTTGCGAAACGACGAATCGCCGCCCAGGGTCGCCGCGCCCCGCTGCGCCGCCTGCACGATCGGCCCGAAGGCACTGCGAGCGCTGCCGAGGTCGCTGCGGCTGCGCGGACTCGTGGTATCCAAAAGTGCGGGTTGCTGTTCATCGTCCCGCGGGTAGTATTGCGACGTGGTTTCCTCGTCTTGAAGATAATTCGCTTGCACAAGCGGGCTTGCGCGCGTCGGCGGACTTCGGTCGCGCTCCTGCTCGGTAGTAGGCTGGCGCACTGAGAACTGGTACTGTTCTGCGGTTTTGGAGACGCTGCCACCCCCGTCGCGCACCGGCAGATCCTGCCAGCCATCCGCCCCAGTGCGCTCGGACATTGGCGGGATGCTGCGGGGCGACACGGAGCGACCGCTCCGGTTCGTCGGCGTCGGAGAAAGCGGTCCCGGGGGCGTCGCGCTCGTCCCCACAGCTGTCGTCACCACGTCAAGATTTCCCTCGATGATGATGTCATCGTACAAAAAGCTCGGGAACCGCGCCGCGTCCATTTTCGTGTGCTGCGTGGAGAGTGCGAGAAACTGATTCATCAGCAGTTTGTGCCTCCGTGTCGCCTTCAAAAACTCGACCGGCGGGAGTGCCATCCGGGCGTGCGCGTAAAACGCGTCTCCCCATTCTTAGCACGGGGCCACCTCGTACTTTTAGAGTTTTCAAAAAGACCGGAGCACGAGTTCAAAACCGAGTTCATTACGAGTTTAATCCGAGTTCAATAATTTGCCCATTGTCAGTTGACCTAAAAAAGGGCGCAGGTCAATTGACTTTTGACGATTTCCAGGCAAAGTCAATTGACTCTTCATTTTCGTTTTATGAGAAGCCAGTTGACTTCTGAGAGCTTTTGCCAGAAAAGTCAACTGGCTTCTGCAAAAAAATTGGGCACATCCTTCAAATTTTTGCTGTCTGTTTGCGAAATGAGCCGAATTCAGGAAAAGACATTTGACTTTTTTTGAAATTAGCATAAAGTCAATTGACTTTTTTTGATGCAAATTCCGCACAAAGTCATTTGAGTTATTGCAAACCACGCAAAGCCAGCTGACTTTCGACAGAAACGCTGGCTCTTTGCGATTTTGCAACAGGTCAAATGACTTTGCGAGAAATATAGGATTTTGTGTGCGTTCGTTTTGAACTCGCACTGAACTCATCTTTGAAGTCTTTTTGAAGTTTTTTCGAAGTACGAGGTGGCCGGATGCTAACCATTCGAACAGTAGCAGCTGCGCGAGCAGCTCCCGCCGCAGACTCTGTAGGTACTGCAACTTCTTTTCCTGAATGTTGTGGATGGTCTGGACGCTCTGCCTCAACACGGACTCCACACGGCGCTGGATTCCGTCGTAACTGAGGTGGATCTTCGTCAATTGGTCGTGCCGAATTTGCAACCTCTCGTAAAGAATTTTGCGGCTCTCCGCCGCGTTCGCTCCCGGCCCGGCAAGAACGTCGGAGTTGTTGATCAGCAGATTGGTGTTGCTGGACGTCGAAACTGCGGATGCAGTTCCAGCTGTTTTGTTTGTCATGAGCCCTTGCATCGCCATTTTGAACGCGTCCAGTGTGCTGACCAGCGGGTTGTCGGCCATTTCGGGGCTGGAGTGGGAACCGATGAGGATGCAGTGGGAGCACAGAAGTTGCGAGGTCTTCAGACACACCGCCTCGTAACGCTCCCGCGGGTGTATTGTGCACATACCGAATTGGTAGGGGGAGTGTTCGATCCCCACCCGTCGATGCTTTTGCAACAACGGGTCTTGCCGGTGGTGCGCGTCGTCACAGGTTTCGCAGAAATGCGCCCGATCATTCAGACAATACACCGTCGCTAATTCTTCATCGCACACTTCGCAGATGAAGGGCGGCGTTCGTACTGGAATGCCGGTAAATTCCACCTCCAGTAACGCGATCGGATACACCTGCTGCGTCGCCTGCACGGTGTAGCGAAAGCCAAATTCATCCGCTGCAGCGACATTCTTGCCGCCATCACTCCCGCCCGGAGACGCGCTTCTAGACCACGCAGCACGTCTTGCAGAAGTAGCTTTGCTGCGGTAGCCACCGAGAATGGTTTCGTCCTCGTCCTCGATGGTTCGACCTAAAGCCCCGAGCGCCCCGCCGGATTTCTCCGTGTTTCTTTCACACACTGAATCGTATCCGGGCGGGCACGGAGTCGCGTTCTGTGTCAGAAGTCCTCCACCGGCATGATCATCTTGCAGTCTATTTGTAATCGGTGATCCGGATAGTACACCACTTCGGTTCTTTGACCCCACTGCAGCTGCTGTTGAAAACAATCGCTTTTCCTCGTCGTTAATTCCGGGCGAGTATGTTCTCCCCAATGCCACATGCACCAGCACGAACGCATGCCGTTTCGCTGCGGACCTGTCTTTCAGGTCCACGCTTCCAAAACTGAACTGGACCGCGTCGGGGTCGAAGCGAAAGTGTGCGGTGTCGGCGAAGTCCTGCGCGGTGGGCATGTCGGGCCGCAGCTCCTGTAGCGGCACCCAACACCCCACGACGGGCCCAGCGAAGAATTCCCGCGCGTACCGGTGAAAGACGGTCTGCTGAGCGGGCCCGCCGAGGCTCCATGCGCGCGCCGCGTGCAGCTCGCCGGTGCCTAGACACACCTGCAGCCAGTACTCCCACGCCTGCGCCGTTGGGTCGCCAACGGCAATTTCTCTGGCGTCCAACCGGTATCCCTCCAGCAACTCGCGGCGCCGGGACGAGGTTGCGCCTCCAGCTTTGCTCGCGACTTGTTGGGTAGAGACATCCTCGTCGTTTTTCTGATTGTTCCCGAAACCCCTTTGTGCTGCGCCGCGCGCGCTAGCTTTGCCCTCGGCTGCGCGTGCGGGGGGAGAATTAAGCATCTTGATCTTCGTCGTATCGTCGTCGATGCGACCATGCAATGACACACAAGGCGGTCCTCCCCGATTTCAACATAGTGATCGAGTTCGAGAGGGATTCCGTTATACGTGACGAAACGGCATGCGCAGCTCAACAACACTTTCACATGTAGAATGAACCACGATCAAACAGAAACGAAGGCGCAGAAGGTACAGATTTGTAAAATGTTCTAGTTCTTTTGAAAAAACCGGGCTGAAGAAGATTGGCTGTAGCGGCAAGATGTATCGATGAATCGACTGCAACCATCAAAGTCAGCAGTGAAGCTGTTAGTGCTGGAAGAAAGACAAACGACTTTAGCGATTGTACGACCTCACCTGGAAATTGTTCAAAAGAATTAATTCGAGGCACAAAATTTTCGATATGAGATTTCGCGAAAAGTTACGATGACGATTACGACCTGACCTGCCTGTGAAGCAACGCCAAGATGAAGATCGCGATGCAAAACCGAATAATAATTTATAAAGCGAAACCGGCACGACGAATTACAACGATAAAGCGAGGTGCGACTTCGATCTCATGTTCCTCGATAAACCACGACAATCTCCAGGTCTACGTACATTCCGTTTCCGTTTCCGAGTTGTATTACGTTACATCACATAAGTAAAACTGATAATGACTACGGAATTGCATTCAAATTGTGCTGTGATAGTGATCAGTTCGTGCAACAGAACGCGACAGCCATGGTCGAAATGTCCATCATGTGTTTCTAGTTTCTTTTCTTGAATGGCTACCGCTGGCCTCCGGTTGTTCGAAAGCAAATTCAATTTGAAGAGGAGTCTTCGTTCGTTCGCGCTCCTCCAAAAAGATACTGTCCTCTTAATCGAGGAGTTCGTCATATTGAGGCACAAGTAAGGAAGTGCCATACTTAAACTAAAAGTGCCTGGATCGCTTCGGGCTCACGAGCTTTCAGAAGCAATCGGGACACCTCGGTGACAATGTCAATGGCACTGCTATTGCATTTACTTCAACTTCTCCTCAACTACTGAATACGATGGTGCCGCGAAATTTGCAGTACGCCGCAGCGCCGCAGCTGTTTCTGGGCCGTAGCTATCTAACATGTAATTCAAATGAGAGTCGCTGTTTTTTATCAACTCCCAAGGTGCGCCGTCCTCGGCCACTCTTCCGTCGGACATAACCAATATCCGATCGAAGTCGATGATAGTCTGCAGTCGATGCGCCACCGTGATCAGAGTGCAATCGTGAAACTTCCGGCGCACCAGACCCTGTACAAGCCGATCGGTGTGGTTGTCAATGTTAGCCGTGGGCTCGTCCATAACGACGATCGGCCGCTTTTTCAGAAGCGCGCGGGCAATCGCGAGCAACTGCTGCTGTCCGGCTGATAGACCCAGTCGGTTCGTGTTTGCGCGAGGCTGCTGACGATTGGTTGGGGACGTCGGGGGCGATGCAGATGCTGATGCTTGCACAGGAGACTGTTCTTTTCCGTTCGTCGACGCAGCTGGAGAGGCGGGAGGTAGGCTGGGCGAGTCCGACCCTGCTTTCAACCTGGACTTTGACGAGGTGGCACCCTTTTCAACACCTCCGAGATCTTTACTCACCCCGTCCTTCGAGCTGACGCGCATGTGCAGCAGCTCCGGCACTTGGTCGGATCCAAAACTCAAACTTTCGTGCAGACCGACTTCCTCCAGGATCCGAATCAGTTCCTCTTCTTCGTGCTCCCCGAAAGGGTCGAGATTGTTCGCGAGCGTACCCTCCAGTAACAGCGTCTGCTGAGGAATCACGGTGATTTGCCGCCGCAATTGCTGCAGCCCCATGGAATACGTGTCAATGCCGTCGATTTTGATGTACCCAGAAGGGGAGGATTTTTCATCACCAACACCTGCCGAGCATTCTATTTCCACCAAACGGAACAAGGCAACGAGCAAGCTGCTCTTCCCCGCCCCTGTGCGTCCGATGATGCCAGTCTTTGTCCCTTTTAGAAATTTCACGTTGACGCCCTGCAAGCTAAGCGGCAGGTGGGGACGGTAGCGGAGGCAAACGTCGGAAAACTCGATGTGAACTTGCCGGACACCTCCAGTGGGCGCTGCTGCGACAAGCTGGTTCATATCTGCGACCGGAGCAGGATTTTTTCCGGCCACCACAACACCTGCGCCTGTGTACCAAGGCGGATCTTGGGGCACGAACTCCTTATCCTGCAGCTCCAGCACCCGTTCGAGACTCACCATCATGTTCAGCGTGTAGCAGATGATGAGTACCAGCAGCGAGAAGAAGTAGGGGAGCACAAAGGAGTAGGACAGCGCGATGCCCACCTCGCCCGGCTCGAAGTCGTTGCGCAGACTCAGCATCAGGATGGCCGCCGCAATGCTGATGGCGTAGGCGGCCAAGCTAGCCCAGAGGAATCCCGCGTGGGTGACGGTCTCCGCAAAATAGCGGTAGCGAAGGTATTCCGACAAAAATTCTGCCATGCGGGTTTGAAAAAACTTTTGCAACTGCATCGAATGGATGACTTCCCGGCCGGTATTGCCGGACTCCTCCAACATCGTCATCACTGGGCCGAAGGACTGGTTGGTTAGGCGCTTCGACTCCATAGAGAGTAACGCCACCCGCTTTATGATCAAGTAGAAAGTCGCCAGCGAGACGACCAAGACCGGGATCACAATCGGCACCACGATGGCGATGACAACGACTAGTGCCGTGACCGCAAAGAAGAAATGGGCGGAGTCGTCCAAAAAAAGCAGTAGAAAATGGTCCACGGCACTGAGATCAGCGCCGAAACGGGAGAGAATGCGGCCGGACGGGGTCTGCTCGAACCAAGTCCACCGTGCGTGCATGACTGTGGTCGCGGCGTCGTTGTGCAACTGTTTGCAGGCGCGGTTCATGGCTACCGCGTTGAACAGAGACAAGGCGAATAGGCCGCACAAGTGGGTTAGGGTTAGGCCTACGTAAACCAAAATACGCTCTGTTTGGGAGTACTTGGAATTATCGTTTTCGTTCTCGCTGGACGTGACCCAGTCGGCCAGCCACAGGTCGGTCAATGCCATGGCTGTGTAGCAACACAGTGCGATCGAGACCACCTTCGTCAGGTACGTGTACCGCCCGAGGCTGTTGAAAAACGGCCGCAATGTCTGCGCCGTGGAAATGCGGCCCGTCTGCGCCATCTCCTTTGCAAAAACGTCGCTTTTAGTCGACCTTGTCACTGTCAGATCTTGTTTGGACGATGGGGGGTCGCCATCTTTAGAGGAGCAATCCGCAGCTTTTTTCTTTGCTGCAGAAGCATCTGCTGGGTCTTGCTTTTGCGTTGCCTTTATCTCAAAGTCAATCTCCTCTGCAACCAGCGCAGCGTCCGTTTCCGCGGGTCCTGAAGATGAGCACAGGCCAATTTCGGGATTCGCATCCTTTTCATCTTCTGCTGTGTTTTCGGAGTAAAAGCGCCTGAGTCCGGCGCTACCCCCTTCGTCCTTTCGCAGCAACTCCGCTAGCGTTCCTTGTGCACTGATCTGCCCCTTCTCAACAAACAACACATAGTCACACCTGGGGAGAAAGTGCAGCTGATTCAGGGCGATTATCACGGTCTGCCCAGAAAGACGTTTTGCGAAGACGTTGTCGAAGATCGCATTTGCGACGTGCCCGTCGACAGCTGATAGGGCGTCGTCGATGACCAACAAATCTGGGTCACCATAGACAGCTCGCGCGAGCGCCAACCTTTGCTGCTGGCCTCCCGATAGCGTGGTACCTCTTTCCCCAATTTCCGTCTCCCAATTCCACGCACCACGCTCCATATCATCAACCAGTTGGCTTTTCCGAACGGCCTCGTTGAGAAGGGCGCTCGCTTGCTCTCCTTGCTCATCCGGGTCACACCGACCCATCGAAATGTTGTCGCGAATGGTACCGGATAAAACAAAGGGCTTTTGAGGCACGTAGCCAATGTGTGAACTCAGTGGCTGTGCGTTTGCTGTTGCTTGCACTTCGTCCTCCTTCCTTTTCCATTTGTACTGAACTTTTCCTTTTCTCTTCACCATGCTACCGAGGAGGGACAGCAGCAAACTCGTTTTTCCGCAGCCAATGCTACCAACGACCGCAACCAGGTCACCTCTTCTCACTGCGAAATTCAGATTGCGAAGCAGAAACGCAGAATGGTTGCTGGCTCCGTTTTCTCCTCCTGCAACAGGCGTTTCCACCAGAGTCGAGTTCAATTGTTTTCCAGGGCTGCTCTCCTCTTCGAGTTTGGCTGCATCCTCGGGCCTTTCTGGAGTCCAGGCAAAGGACGCATCGACAACTTGCAGAAGTAGGTCCTCGCTGGCAGCGTCAGCGAGGTGCGCTCTAGTCGAATCTTGAACTTCACTTTGCGTTCCTTGGGATCGCTTCTTCATCCCCTGCTGCTCCGCCGTACCATCATCCGCAGCGAACACCGCTTCGTACTTTTGAAAGTTTTCCTGGTCAGGACTTTGGTGCAGATAGCTTTCCAGCCGCTGGATCACAACTTTCCACGTGAAAATCGCGTTGACGCAAATGGGCAAGGTGATCATAGGCAGCCGCAAACTCAAGAACGTCGTGATCGTGGCAAAGACGTTGGCCGCCGTCAACCGGTCTCCGCGCAGGGCCATGAAGACGAACGTGGCGCACGCCGCCATGGCAGGCGAATTCCGGCCCAGACTGATGCACATGATTTGGTAGGCCCGGTGCCGGAGAATCTCCCGCAGTTCGCGCTTCCGTTTGTCGAACAGGAGCTGCAAGTAGTTTTCCTCCCAGGTAAGGTATTTGACCTGCTGGATCCCCGACACCATCTCGCGCATCGTTCCCAGCCGCCCGTCCGCGATCGCAGTTTCTTTCTTGATGATCGGCGCCATGACTTCGCGCGAAACGAAAGTAGAGAACACGATGTACCCCGCCATGAACCCGACGCCAACCAGCGCGGGCGCGCCCACGAAGTAGACTAAGCCAACCAGTCCACTGGCGATTCCCACCAGACTGGCGGCAAAGCCGTAAACACCGATCCGCAAGTCGTCGCACACACGCAGGAGGTCGTTGCCGATCAGTGTCAGCTCGTTGGTGCCCGTTGCAGTCGTGTTGGGCTTCGGTTTTTTTGCGGTTGATGTAGGACTAGGACTTTTATTTATTTTTCCGCTGTTACGGGTCCTTCGCATCACTTTCAAGTGCACAACCGGAATGATCCAAGCAAGCAAACCACGAACGAAATCCGCGCAAACCAGCTGCCGCAAACGGATGATCAGAATCCCCTCGGCGACCAGAATGAAGGCGAAAACAAACAGAAGGATGACCAACTCGCTTGTCTCCGTCGCTTCATCCATGGAGGCATCCACAACAAGCTTCAGAAGAACCGGGCGCGCTAGGTTGGTGAGTACCCCCTGTACGAAGGACAACGCGAGCACGACTAGGAGTGTCTTCCTGCCTTGGAACCATATTTCGTTCCACAGACCCCAGGGTTTGGCTGTCGCAGCTGGAGCGGTGGTCATCTTCTCGCCGACCTGCGAGCTGCTTCTTTCGAGCTTGGCCAAAATCTCATCCGCAAGGAAAGGCGCAGGTGGTGCAGTAGGTGATTTAGAGCCCGGGCTAGCGCCAGAATGAGAAGATCCGGGTCCATTCACAATCGAATCCGCGGAAAACTGTCGGAACTTCGGAATATCCGTTACCAGCCGCTCCGGGTCATTCGTCAGTGATAGAAAAGGCAGGATCCAAGCGAACGTCAGACTAGAGAAAAAACCTGGCTCGGGGACCTCGGTGGTGCGCGAGGAAGCGCCCGGCTTGCCGGCGTCTTCGCTCATTTTTTTTTTTGCTGTGGTATGGCTTCACCACTTACATATTTCGTCTTGGTCGACGTTTTCTTTAAATGCTAGATTTACTACATGCTGTACTGTCAATATCGCCAACACGTCCCGTACACAGACACGTATGACTACGCAGCCGGTGGGAGAAAAATTGCAACACCGATGAGAAATTACCATCTCTTCAGACTTCCAAAGCGAAACCAACACCACGACTACATTTGAGATTTTCGTATGTAGGTTCCATGATCTTTCAAGACCATGAGTACGATTTTTGGCTTAGGCTTTGGGTTACGATAGCGATAGCGGAGAAAGAGCGGAACAAACAGCGATAACGGGAAAGAACAAAACGAACCAATACCAGAAGCATCGAAGTGAATACTTGGCGGCAAGGGCGTTTGAGATGAACAGCCACTACCAGAGAACAAAGCCGAAACAGCACCGGGAGGCATCGGCTACGGAGAAAACATCAACTCAACCTGTGCGATCCTGGAGAAATCGTTTTCACTTTCGTATTAATTTTGAAGAGGAACTTCTGATTTCCTCCAAAGTAAAGTGCAATCGTTTTCGTCCGCAGTAAGTTCATTCGTCACCCGGAGAAACAGATCTTGCAGGTGTATCAAACTGTACAAGTTTTCAACCCGACGGAGCTGCCGAATTCGCGGTACGCCGCAGCGCCGCAGCTGTGTCTGGACCGTAGCTGTCCAACATGTAGTTCAGATGAGAGTCGCTGTTTTTTATCAGTTCCCAAGGCGCACCATCCTCGGCCACTTTTCCGTCGGACATGACGAGAATGCGGTCAAAATCGAGAATGGTCTGCAGTCGATGCGCAACCGTGATCAAGGTGCAATCGTGAAATTTCTTTCGTACCAAAGTCTGCACAAGCCGATCGGTGTGGTTGTCTATGTTAGCCGTGGGCTCGTCCATAACGACGATCGGCCGCTTTTTCAACAACGCGCGGGCAATCGCCAATAATTGCTGCTGTCCGGCTGACAAGCCAAGACGGGAGGTGGTTGCTTTTTGCTGTTCGTCCTTGCCACCTTGCTCTTCGTTTTTGTCCTGCGGGCTCTTCGAAGAGACCGCCGCGGCTGTTGGCGTTGGAGGATTTTCGTCCGCATTGTCCTCAGATTTTTTCTTCACCGTCACATCACCGGGTGAAACTGCCGATGAAGTCGGCGAACGGGGGCCCGTCTTCACAGGACTGCTTCCGACGACAGCGGACTTCGCCGGCGATGCGGTCTTCTTCTCATCACCAGGGTCCACTTTGCTCGCGGCTTCTTTCGAACTGAGTCTCATTTGCAACAGGTCATGTGCTTGACCAGATCCGAAACTTAAACTCTCGCGGAGTCCAACTTCCTCGAGAATACGAATCAGCTCTTCTTCCTCGTGTTCGCCAAAAGGGTCCAGGTTGTTAGCTAGCGTTCCCTCGAGCAGAAGCGTTTGCTGCGGAATCACGGTGATCTGCCGCCGCAACTGCTGCAGGCCCATGAAATGAGTGTCGACGCCGTCGATTTGAATAAACGATCCAGCGAAAGTCCCGTCGCGTTCGATCTCCACCAGACGAAACAAGGCCACCAGCAAACTGCTTTTCCCCGCTCCCGTGCGGCCGATGATGCCATTTTTGCTCCCTTTCGGAAATGTGATATTTACACTCTCCAGGCTGAGCGGTAGATGCGGGCGGTAGCGTAGACAAACTTGCGAGAACTCGATGTGAATGTTCGGGGTTACCGGCGCGGGTGGTGATACCGATACGATAGCGATTCTTTCGTCTAGGGTGGAATTATCTGCACTTGGTTTCATCGTTCCACCTCCAGTGCTGCTGACAACTTCAATACTGGTGTCTGTGTACCAAGGGGGGTCTTGCGGCACGAAGTCTGTATTCTGCAGCTCCAACACCCGTTCCAGACTCACCATCATGTTGACCGTGTAGCACGCAATCAGGATTAGCAGCGAGAAGAAATACGGAAGGATGAACGAGTAGGCGAGCGCCAAGCCCACCTCCCCAGGCTCGAAATCCTTCCGCAGACTCAGCATCACAATGGCCGCGGCGATGCTGATCGCGTAGGCGGCTAAGCTGGCCCAGAGGAAGCCCGCGTGTGTGACGGTCTCGGTGAAATAGCGATACCGCAGAAACTCAGACAGGTGTTCCGCCATGCGGGTTTGGAAAAATTTCTGCAGCTGCATCGCGTGGATCACCTCCCGACCTGCGTTCCCGGACTCGCCGAGCAAGGTCATCACTGGGGCGAACGCCTGGTTCGTCAGGCGTTTCGACTCCATGGAAAGTAACGCCACGCGCTTGATCACCACGTAGAGGATGGCGAGAGAAATCACCAGTACCGGAATGACAATCGGCACCACAAAAGCGATTACTAGCGCAAGGGCGACGACCGCGAAAAACATGTGACACACGTCGTCGGAGAAAGATAGCAGGAAGTGGTCCACCGCGCTGAGATCCGCGCCAAACCGGGAGAGAATCCGCCCCGACGGGGTTTGCTCAAACCAGGTCCACTGTGCGTGCATCACCGTCGTTGCGGCTTTGTTGTGGATCTCCTTGCAGGCCCGGTTCATCGCCATTGCGTTGAAGAGCGAAAGTGCGAACAAGCCAACAAGGTGCGTCATCGTGAGGCCAATGTACACCAAGATGCGCTCCCTCTCCGAGTACTCTTCGCGATTTTTCTCCGTAGACGTCACCCAGTCGGAAAGCCACAGGTCGGTCGACGTCATCGCAGCATAGCAGATGATTGCGATGACAAGCATCTTTGCTGTGTAAGTGTACCCGCCAAGACTTTGAAAGAACGGTCGCAACGTCTGCACCGTCGAAATCCGTCCTGTTTGTGTGATCTCCTTCGCGAAAACACCGTTTGTTCTCGAAGGTGCGCCATCTTCCGTGGGAGTTCGTGCCGCGGCAGCTGGTTTTTTCTCATTTGTGGTCGTATCATCGGAAATAACGACTGTCGTAGCTGCTTTTGTCGAAGCTTCTGGAAATGAGTTTTTCTGCTTCTGAGCTTCCTCGTTCGGACTAATGCCATCTTGATCTTGTTTGTCGACGTCAGCCTCGTCTGCTCCTGTGTTGTCGGAGTAGAAGCGGTTGAAGGCCGCAGAAACACTAGTACCAGCATCAGCCTCAGCGATGGGAGTCCTGCCACTACTTCCGAGAAGTTCTTCAAGCGTTCCCTGTGCGGCAATGCGGCCCTTCTCCACAAACAGAATGTAGTCACAGCGGGGCAGAAAATGAAGCTGATTTAGGGCGATCACCACGGTCTGGCCGGATCGGCGGCGCGTGCACACACTGTCAAAAATGGCGTTCGCTACATGGCCGTCCACCGCAGAGAGAGCGTCGTCGATAACCAAGAAATCGGGGTCGCCGTATACTGCGCGCGCGAGCGCCAATCGCTGCTGCTGGCCGCCGGACAGGGTGGTGCCCCGCTCCCCAATCTCTGTCTCCCAAGTCCACGCACCGCGATCCATGTCGTCGGCGAGCTGGCTTCCGCGGACGGCTTCGTTGAGAAGCGCGCTCGTCCTCGCAGCTGTTTCATCTTCTTCGCCGGCAGCGCCGCGACCCATCAAAATGTTGTCACGAATCGTCCCGGAAAGGACGAAAGGCTTCTGTGGCACGTAACCCACGCTCGAAAATGCTGAATCGCGACCGCCTTTCTTCCAGTTGTACCGAACTTTCCCCTTTCTCCTCACCATGCTCCCTAGGAGCGACAGAAGCAAACTTGTTTTGCCACACCCAGTACTCCCAACCACGGCGACCAGATTGCCTCTGCGAACGTCAAAGCTCAGGTTGCGGAGCAGGAACTCCGTAGTCCCTGATCCAGATGTTGATGCTGTCACAGCAACTTCAGGGCTTGACGGAGCGCCTTTGTTGTCTTTATCATCTTCGGCAGGATGCCAGGAAAAAGAAGCGTCGACAACTTTTACCAAAACAGCTTCGTCAGCCGACAGAATTTCTGCAGTGCCTGCTGAACTCGGTTCCTGGTACCGCTGAAAATCCTCCTGGTCCGGACTTTGTCGCAAGTAGGAATCCAACCGTTGCATGATCACCTTCCAGGTGAAGATCGAGTTCACACAGTTCGGTAAGCTTCCGATCGGTAACCGCAAGCTCATGAACGCCGTGATCGTTGCAAATACGTTCGCTGCCGTCAACCGGTCCCCGCGCAGGGCCATCAGGACGAACGTCGCGCAAGCAGCCATCGCCGGCGCGTTGCGCCCGAAAGCCATGCAGGCGACCTGCCAGAACCGAAAGCGGAGAATTTCCCGAAGCTCCTGTTTCCGCTTGTTGAACAAAAGCTGCAGGTAATTTTCCTCCCAGGTCAAGTACTTCACTTGCTGAATCCCCGCTACCATCTCCCGCATGGTTGTCAGCCTGGAATCCGCGATGGCAGTTTCCTTTCTCACAATCGGCGCCATAATGCTGCGAGAAACTTTTGTGGAAAACACAACGTACCCGAACATGAACAGCATGCCGACTAGTGCGGGAAAGCCGACGAGGTAGAGAAGCCCGGCAATTCCGCCAACGATGCCGACGAGACTGGCGACGAAACTGAAGAGGCCCATCCGCAAATCATCACACACACGCAGAAGGTCGTTGCCAACGAGAGTCAGTTCGTTAGTACTCGACGCCGCAGGTGGTGAACCTGCGCCTGCCGGTGCTTTTGCAGTTGTCCCTGGTGAAGTAGTGGAAGTAGGCTGATTCACAAGCTGCTTCGTTGCCGCGCAGCGCGTGTGGCGCATGACTTTCAAGTGCACGACCGGAATGACCCAGGCGAGAAAGGCGCGGACAAAATGCGCCTGCAACAGCTGTCTCACCTGCACGATCAGGACACCCTCGGAGATCAGCACGACGGTGAAAATGCACAAGAGGATGATCAGCTCAGTGGTCTTGGTCGCTGGGTTATCGAAAGAAAAAAGTGTTACAGTTACACATTGTGTTGCAGGCCAAGCAAGACAGAGCAGCTCTGTCATGCCGGATATGCATAAGAAGCTTCGTTTCATAGGTGTGTTCCCTTAGGATTTCTGCATTGCAAGTTTTCTCCCTCCTGCAGAAAAATTTGTGTTGCTGAATTGACAACACGTGTGTAACTGTAACACTTTTTTCGTGGGATATGGGTCCATGGACGCATCCACGACGAGCTTCAGCAGCACCGGACGGGCTATATCAAATGTAAAAATGTTTGGGCCTGGAAGGTTGGAGCTTGTGATGCTAACTCTGGACTCCAAAAAAATCTGTAATGCATGATCAGCAAGAGGAGTCTAGTTTGTGCTACGCGGGGAGGGCATTTGTCATGCGGATTAGGCATCCAGAAGCCCTCGAAAAATCTGTGATGCTAGGTCATGCATTATAGACATTCTGGGCCATGCAAAATCTGCATGTCAAACCCAGCAACATTCCAGACTGACCCAGACATTTTTACATTTGATATGCCAGATTCGTAAGCAACCCCTGGATCACCGACAGGATGAACCAGGTGACTAGATGTCTGCGTCCCCGGAGCCATACTTCGTTCCAGAGCGCCGATTGTTTACCGTCGGTTTGTCCTCCTGCTGGCGCTTCGAGTTTCGCCAGAATTTCGTCTGCAAGAAACGGAGCGGCTCGCTTTGACGTGGTAGTAGATGACGTTGCATCTTCTTCCGCTGTCGCAGTGCCAATTGTGATTGCCTCGGCGGAGTACCGTCTGAACTTCGGTATTTCGGTGACCAACCGCTCGGGGTTCGTTGTTAAACGCAGAAAAGGCACAATCCATGCGAGCGTCAGGCCGGAGAAAAATCCCGGCCCACCTCCTAGTGCAGGAGTGACTGATGAAGGGATAGCACCCTTGATCTGCAAGTCCGGTTTCGCGTTCGTCATCGTTGAAATGAAGGTTTTCAATAGGCTGGAAGACACTACTTACGCAAGACAGCTAGATTTTTTTCAAATGCATGCAGCTGTGACACAAGCTGCACTTGGCCGCCACATGGCTTCTTCAATAACTCTCGCATTCAAGATCAAGACCCCACTCGTTCTTGTTCCCTCGTCACCCGTTTTACTTTTACTTAAGTTTACCATGCCCCGGGGAAGACTGCCGTCCTCTTTCGCACACCGGCGCTGCGGGCTGCGGACCGCCAGAGCAGAGTTACAACTTCCACGAAACATGATAAACGCAAGTGGATGCTGTTAAAAACTCAGACTCATTTCTGCAGAAAGTTAATTTCATATCATGTTCTTGAAACAATAACAAACCATCAGAAACTTACCTTGCCCGGCTCCAGCTTGCTGCTCCTTAATTCTTGATTGCTTTCTTTGTGTTTTTCAGAGTGGATGTATCAACCTCTTGTGCGCCATCTTCTTGTCCTCGATTGACGACTCTTTAGTGCATGTGCGACGGAACTCAGATCAAAGCCAACAAGGAGAAGAGCTCTGGCTTCATTGATTTCGTGAAAAGCCACGCCGTTCAAGCTTCGTAGTTGCAAGAAGGTTGATTTTTGTCAAAAGCAAACAATGCGACTATCCTTTCGTCGTCGTCTTGCGAAGAAAGACACGACTTCGTCGAAAACATCCGAACGACTTACCGGTGAGACCGCAGCTCCGGTTGAATCTTTGCTGGAGAAGTGGGTGTGGGCCGGTGGTGCCTGCTTTTCGTACGAGGGTTTCTCCGCACCTCCTTCGAGCGCCGTTTGCGCCCTCATCTCCTTCATGTACTCGGCACACGCTTTGAACATGTCCTCGTCACTGCGATCATTCCCAATGCACAAACAGAAGCAGAACTTCAGCGACTCCGGAATCTTGTTGCCATTCGCATCGAAGGCGACGCTGCTTCGGGGGCCGGAAATGCGGAATGCGTCTTGGTCTACTCCTGCCGCGGTTCTACTAGAGGATCCTGCGGAGGTGGTTTTCGCGAGAGAAGCTTGGTCGCTTTCTGCAGACGGCTGCACGATTGGTGTGCTGAAAAAGAACTTCGTCAGAGCCGCGCCTTTACTCACGCCCTTCAACCCCACCTGCACGTACGTGTTGCCGTTTTCGATGGAGACCCCGGTGTATTGTCCGAGATAGTCCTCGAGCTGCTTCACCAGATTCTGAGCCTGCTGCTTCCCGAACATGGGTTCGCACCCGCCGAAGTGCCAGTAGATGCAGCTCCCGCTCTCCTCCACAAACGCACCCTGGGTGCGTTTCGCGAACGTGCTCATCAAGACCTTGGCGATCCGTTGCCACCTTTGATTGTTCTCGATAAGAAGGTTGTTGTTGATGCAAGCCCACCGCAGATCGATGTTGACGTCCTCGACCTGGGCGTACCAATAGCCGTCTTCCGCGATAATGTGCAACCCCTGCACCTTGTGGAAAAAGCTCTCCAGCTGCTCGCGACTGCGCCCGCTGCAGACGATCACGGTGTTCTCCTTCTGGGCGCACATCTTCTGCAAGCATCGGACCAGGCCCTGGTGGATCGGGTCCAACCTGATTAATGTATAGTACAGTGAGTCGGAAAAATGAAAATCAGCATAGCCATTAACAGGTCGAGTTCGAAATGAATAGACAAAGAGAAAGAGCAAGCAGCAATGCTAAAAAACATCGAAGAAGAACAAAATACGCCGTCCTAAATTCCTCCGTAAACTGGTAGTTCGTTTCCATGAGACTGTAGCTCAATCCACGAAACACCAGCGCTGCGTCCATATCGAATATCAGCAGCCTTCCATGCCGTCTCCTGTGCCATTCCTTCGCGCAACTGTGGTACCGTTCCTGCACCACCTTTGGGTTCAAAATCGACGTCCACGACTGCAGCAACACCTCCTGATACGGTTGCTCCTGCGAGCGCGCGAACCGCGCCGGCATCGGCAGGGGCGCAGTTGTCTCGCTACCGTGCTGCTCCTCGAAGCAAAGCTCGGTTAAGAAGTCGGACAGCCACTGGGATAAGGAAAGGGAAGAGACGTAGTTGAAGTCCTGCGCAAACCGTTCGTACCGATCCGCGTCCAACATGTTCATGGCAGAATCCATCTGCTGACAAATGTTCGGCGTGGACCAGGGATTCACACGCAAAGCACCGATCAGCGCCCGACTCGCGCCGCTGAACTCGGACAAAATTACCGCACAGTTCTCGTAGTTGCTGCGCTGTTGACCAGACGGGTTGTTCAAGTTCGTCTTGCTCGACTGCCCACTCCCACCGCCCCCGTACTGGTCCCTTTCATTCGACACAGCGGTACCCCCGGCCGACCCGCCAGCCGGTTTCTCCTTCGAGTTTTGATTTGACGACTGGTGCGGGTCGGTCTGCTGCTGCATCAGTGCCGCGGAGTTCTGCCCGTGAATCATGATGAACTTGAATGCGGCGATGTTCAAGCCATTTTTCGTACACGTGTCGATGTAGATGTTTGCGGTCTGCAAAACCTGAAACGCCGTGGTGTCGTTGATCTGTCCAATTTGCAAATGGATGTGGTACCCAAATCGCTCGTTGATTTCCCGCGCACATTGACAAACCTCGTGCTCGAGCCGCGGCGTGTCGTCGAAAGTGACACTTGGCGGGTAATAGCAGTACTGCACTAGGAGGAACTTGTTGTGGTGCTGCGGGTAATTTTCCAGGAAATACCGGAACGCCTGCATTTTGTTCGTCAACCCAGCGAAGCGCTCGATGCAGTCCACGCTTCCGAAGATGATCTTCGATTTGTGGTCGGCGGGTAAATCTGCGACGATCGAAGTTCCCGCCAACCGCGAGGGCGACATGGGACTCATGGGAACGGCGCCCGCCGCTGCGCTTCCAGTTCCCGCACTGCCCCTAGCGCTGCTGACGGTGCCGTGGTAGTGCGTGGACATGACGTGCGAGCCTTGGGGCTGCTGCTGGGCCGTGACGGCGCTGCTGCGGTATCCTGAGCAAAAACGTACCCACACCAGAGTCAAGATGGTAAATCTGCTAGACAAATCAACCAGCTTTGGCTGTTTCGCATGACAAGTTTGTCCTTGTAATGTAATCCTGTTTAGGTAGTTCAGCAGCATCACAGGTCTAGCATATCATGCTGATTATAGCATCACAAATCCCAAAACACGATTAGAAAATGCCTTTCATGGGGCTCAGCGTGAGAAACTTTTTTGGCGTGCAGATTTGTATTACAACTCTGGTGTGGGTACGTTTTTACTCAGGATATGCGGCCGCCCTGCATCACGTTGCGGAACGTGTTGGGGAAGTGTTCCATATGGCGTTCTCAAACGTTACATTCTCAACTGTTACATGAAATTTGTCATGCAAGAATGGTAAAGTGTAAGTGAAAGGGAAAATGTTGCGCCTTTTGCATTACAGGTTTGGAGTAGATTGTAATGCTATGTAGCGCGTCAAGAAGTTGTCATGCGGAGAAGGCTTGATCGTGTTAAGAGCGATAGTGATTTTGCACCTAGAATACCAAGACGCCACAAAAACCTCGAGGAACCATCCACAACCAAGAACCTTGGAAAAGTGGGGTCCCCGAAGTCCTGGAGGTGAGATGCGAGGGGGACGCCTATTAGCTAAAGCACTAAAAATAGCACTAAAGCAGAGGCACAAGGAAGCGGAGTAGTCAGAAATTAACTTGGAGCCGTCCTTACGGAGGACTCCAGCAACCTCAGTCCACCACTGCCCTCGCATTCACAAAAGCAACAACACAAGAGTGTCGAAGCAACACCGGACGTCCATCCCACCGAAAGCACCACGGCAACTAAGAGCTGTCACACAATAGCACCAACGATGAGGCAATGCCCTGGGGGGACCAGAAAAGAGGAATCCTCCCCATAATGTCTAAGAGCAGACCGCACACGTCAAGTAGTTTCAGCTCTTAGAAACAGGCTGACGCCGTGAAAACAAGTGATTTTGCATGACAAATCATGTAACAGTTGAGAATGTAACAATTGAGAATCCCATATTCCATCACCGCGCCTTTGGTGCCCGGCGGTCCGGGCTGGGTCAAGCCACCCACACCGACCTCCGGGTCTGTGTCACTACGGCGGTATTTGTCCCGGGCCTGGCGCCCGCGCTCGCCCGGCTGGAGCAGCTGTCCGTCGGCACCGCTGACTTGCCGCTCGATCGCAAATTCCCGGTCGGGGAACATACTGTCAAAAGCGGAGTTGTTGTTGCCGCTCTCGTTGTAGCTGGAGCCCCAGGCCGCCATCAAATCGTTCTCGCGGTAGTCCATAATATCCGCCGGGTCGGATAAACTTGCCGTTGAGGACTCCGGCTGGTTCTGCTGGCTCGCACGGTACAAGTGGTCCGGCCGACCAACGACGACGGTCAATGAGCCGGGGTCATTCGACTTCCCGTAATTCGCGGGTAAGCACAAGTGTTTTGACGACAGCTGCGTCGATTTGCCGTTGTGCTCGAGGGTGAGAAAACCGCCCATTTTGAACACGTGCTGTACGCCGAGCAGGCGGGTGCAGGCGGTGAGAAAGTGTCTCGAGTAGTCGAAGATCTGGAAGCCGACGAGGTCAAACGCCAGCATGCCGCGAAGCAAGTCGTTCCGGACTGGTAAGCACTTGAGCAAATCCGAGCTCGGCCAAGGGACGTGCACGTACAGCCCCGTCTTCACCTGCAGCGGGGCCGTTTGACCGCCGCCGGCACGCCGCGATGCGGATAATTTCCCTGATTCCATCTGCGGCGAGCCGCTGCCCCGCGCGCTCACGCCCGCTTTCGGCGACGCCAGGCTTTCGTTGTCCCCTGCGGTATGCGTCCGATCGCGGGTCCGGGCAATGAAGGCGTGCTGGTGCACGTACTTACCCAACATCAGCAACTGCCAGTCCTGCGCCCACACAATGTCGCCGGACCGCACCTTCTTGCTGCGCATCAACGTTTCCGCCCACTTCTCGTTGGCCTTTTTGTACGCATCCCAGTCCTCCTTGGCGAAATCTTTAACCTGCTGCCCCATGTGCGTGGCGGATTGGGGCATGAAGATACTGAAGTTGTGCGTGATCGGCCACAAGTAGCTGTAGCAGAAGGACTGGAACTTCTTCCAAATCTCCTTCTCCACAAACACCGGAATGCAGTCCTGCTCGAGGAACAGACCAGTCAGATTCTCCTTCTGCGCACCGGTCAAAGGGAGGTTGTTAGAAAAGATTTTTGGCGACCCGACGAAGTACAGCCGGTACTGTTTCGCCAATTCGTGTCTCGTTTTGTACAATGCGAAGATCATGCTGTCGTTTTCCTCTGGCAAAGGAACTAGCAGTGGCGTATCCGCCTCGTAGTGGACGCACAGCGTATCATGAGGAAAAATGCCCCCTCCCCATATCGAAACGAAGTTTCTGATGCTGGATTTCCATACACAAATCAGATTTGTCTTGCAGTAGAGGAGTGCACGCATGCGGCAAGCCTCAGCCGAGAGGTTTGACGTAGGCGCCTAGCATGACAAACGTGTATGCTCTGAGCCAAACAGCATCACAAACCGCCTGAAAAATGCGGAACGCTTTCTGGACTTGCCCTCTTGCAAGACAGGCAGGATTTGAGGTCACAAATGCGCATCACAAATTTTCAGACGGATACGTTTTCGATATGGGGAGGGGGGATTTTTCTTTTTGATATAGCGGAAGACAGTGCGCGCAGATGAAAACGTTGTGGATTTTTCCATTCGGCGTGCGCGAGTTATCAAATGCAAAAATGTCTGGGTCTGGAAGAATACAAACTTGTGATGCGCATTTCAGAACACAGAAAAATCTCTCATGCATAGGTAGCAAAAGCTGCCCACTTTCTGTCACCAAAATGGGGGATTTGTAATGCGGATTCGGCATTGCGGAAGCTTCTCGAGACCTGTGATGCTAGAGCTTCCATGCCAGGCCTTATGTGTCATGCAAAAACAGCATGACTCTTCCAGACCCAGACACTTTTACATTTGATACGAGTTGTTCGGGTGCAGTTTTGCGAGCTGCGAAAGCAGCGCGGACTCCTTTTGCACGATGTTGTATTTCGGCTCGTTCTGCGCGACCATGCTGTCGAGTAGAACTTCATTATTCCGCTGCTCCCCCGCCTGCAGAAAGCCGCGCGTCTGTCCGCCGTCGTCCTCCTGCACCATTTCCAAACCGGTGGGAACTAGGTAGTAATTCTGCTCCCGAAGCCACCGCAGATTTTTCAAATTGCTCGCTGCTGCACCTGCGGAAACGCCCAGTCCGGAGGGGTTCGCGTTGTGTCCCGATGTTGGGGTCATCATCCCGGTGAGACTATCAGCCACCTCCTGTAAAACCGGCGAGATCAGAGACGTCAATGCGCTGGTCAAGGGCTCTTGTGGGTTTTGCAGTTGTGCGTTCATCGCGAGCAGCGTTGGCGGCGAATTATTCGCCCTTGGATTCTGCAAATTGTTCCCCTCTGGCGATGACGGCAACGAATGTTGTACCACATCCGCCCGATCGGAGACTTGCACATGATGCTGAGTCGTGGGAGACGTAGCGCTTTGTCCAACGGCAGAAGACTTGGAGGAGGATTTCGTACTCCTCCCGCCGCCGCCACTCCTGCCCGACCCACTCACGAACGCCGGCGCACCCTCCGTTGTCGTCGTGTCCGCGCGCGTGCTGCTCGGGGGATGGAGGGTGCCTCCAGCTCCCGCGCGCTGCTTCAAGAGCGAAGCCGAGCTGGACCCCATGCCGATCACCGGCGGCCCTGCGCCCGTCGCGCCCTGCACGACCGGCTGCTGCGCCGCGGCGGAACTGGTTGATGGGCTGGCGGCGACCTGCTGTTCGCGGGAGTGGACGAGTTGCCTTCGAAGAGTCTCTGCATTGCTTAAACTGAGCGTGTTTCCTAGACTGTCCGGGCCGTCGATCTCCTTCACCAAATAGTTGTATTCCACGCGCTGTTTCAGCGGAAGGCTGATACTCCCTTCTTCCGTGCTCCAAAGCAACGGATTTTGCTCATTGGCAAACAACCGCACCGCGTTCCCCGCCTCCCAACTGCCGAGAGCAGAGTGAGACCCGCAGACAAATACCGCTTGGTCCAAAGGCAACGCGGCTTCCACGGCAACGCGGAAGGTGATTTTCGTCGTTAGTGCTTGCTGCTGCTCCATTTTGATTTTGTTCTAGTGACTAGTGTTGATTGATTATAGAGGCGAGTGCCCGTGAAGAAACGAATAGAAGACCAAGACGTAGTGAAAAGCAAGGCATAATATATAGTCCTGGGCACCAATAACTCAAGCGAAGACAAACAAAGCAGGTGCACCGAAATTGAAGTCACATCGTACGTAGCTAAGCATTGCTTCAAAAGACCTTCAACGACGATTCTAGGCCTAGAGCTACGTAGTGGTAGTGGTGGAGCTTGGAAGAAATCGAAGCGAAAAGTGTCTAGTCTATCAACAATGCAGCTCGAACTTGTATAACGACATGCAATAGCACGAAGCAGATGTCGAGACGAAGCTGCAAAAAAAAATGGACCGCTTGTTAATGATCAGACTCTATGGGATTCGGATTACTCCCAAAATCTTTATAGAAGCACACGACAAACGAATCCTGTTCTTCGGTTGCATCGGACCCGAAAAACACATGAAGGAGGATGAGGTACTCTCTCTGTCTCCTTTGGGTGGGTGTGCACGAAAAGAGAGCGCACTCGCACCCAGGGAGCAGCGGCCACGCCTTGGGCCACGCTGTAGCTGATGCGCGCCTTTCGTTCATTGTAGTGCGGATTCGGTACAGCTGTCGGGCGTGTCGAGGGTGTCATAGCCTTGCAGTTCGCTTGTCACGCCTAAAATGATTTGGAAAGGCTTGAACCCAAAATCATGCACGGAGTTCTTGAAGTAGTGCGAGTGGCTTGGGAACTAATACACCGCTCGGAATCTGTCATGTACATTTTGTTTCATCTGAATGAGTAGAAAGATGAAAAAAGAATACCGCATCACCGAAATATCCTGTTTCTCTTTCCTCTAAGTAAAATCCGATCTAAAATCCAGGCCACAAATCAAGTCCGCAATCTCTTTCATCTTCCTCTATTCCGTGCGGGTTCGGGTTTCCTCAAAGTAGAAGTTAACTTTTATATTTCCTTTGGTTTTCCAAAATTGTACATGTCCTCTCCTGTATTAGTGCTGTTTTCTGCGATTTCCATGGATCCCGATCGGTAGATCGACAACAGGAAAATACGCAGAGCTACAGATTCAAAATAGTACTACTACTTTGAAAACAAAAACTTGTAAGTATGTACTGTAAAACCAAGAAAATGAATTGCGTGTGCGCTCCTGAAGGTGAGCGGAAAAAGCCTTGGCCTTCTGCATACTGAAAAGAGATTATCATCATCATCATCATCATCATCATTCTCGTGCTTGTCCATTGACATTCGTGTAAATTATCTTTTCTTATTCCTCTTCAGAGTGGACGTGCACGCGATCACCGTCTTTTGACAATCAAGACGTCGCTATTCCGCCACCCAGGTACCGTCCCGGTGGCGTTAGAAAAGAAATTAATTTACATAATACAAACGTTCCTGCTAGGTCAACAAAGATGTTTTTCTTTTAACCGTTGTTGTACTTAATAGTAGGGAGTCGCGACTTAGGGAGTCGTAGGGAGCGCATCGACCTAGGGAGTCGCGACTTAGCCTCATGCCACACCCACATGCCACGGCCAGCCCGGTATGCATAAAAAGGTCTTGCTTTTTCACTGTCGTAGTTACATTCATACATTATCATACATTTGCTCAATCAACAATTTCAATTTCAACATGGTACGCCCGGGCGCGCAAGTTCCGCACTTCTGATGGTGCAGCACGAGCACTCCCCCCGCCAGTTCCGCGCTTCTGATGGTGCGCGTCTGGTGTAGCTGCACAGCGCAGCAAAGACTTATGCTCTTAGTTCTTATACTCCTAACGGTGATTGCAGCACCAGGAGCCCAGACCAGCTGAAAGAGCTGACGCCCAGTAAAAGTTTCTCTCACTCGGGGAGAGACGCGAATCGTCTCGCGAAAGCCACAAACCTGCTTGGAATCAGTGCATTCTAGTCCCCGTTGATTCTCGTAGTCGTGGGACTAGGAGTGGGACACTCACATTAAGGAAACCTATGAAACTAAGACAAAAGGAGAAGCGACGTGTGGGCTCCTCGTTGCTGTTGATTTTGCAACTCATTGATTTCAATCAGATCGACCGGTTTGTGCACGCTCTAACTGCTCTTGAAAAGGTACCGAAGCCGCTTTTTACCTGTATGTTGACGCAATGTTGAGAAGTGAAAGAATCATTTTTTATACCTTATCGAAACGCTTCTCGCGTCATCAGCGTGTCGTCACTTCGAGCCTCGCGGCTCTCGATCAAGAACCAACTGGGGGTAAAAAAATGCAGAGGGAAATTCTACGCTAAGACCAAGCAAACGGCAGCCTAGAAGATAGAATACTTCTTCCCTTTCCGCTCCTTACGCCACATGCGAAATTCATGTTCCAGATCCTTCTCTGCGATGAACTTCAGCGCCAGCTCCCGCTTGTCAGTTTTCGGCAGTTTCAAGCTCGGCCCGGCAACCTCTTCGGACTCCTCATCCTCGTCTTCGGCATCGGAGCGCTCCTCTACGCCACTTACTGTTACCACGTACTCCCCACTGCCCCAATCAAACCGATGCACTTCCTCCTCGCCGCTGTCGACGGCGCCCTGGATCTCGTCCTCAATGTCGGAGAAGTGGATCTCCTGTCCGTACTTCGAATTCAGCTCGTCGACCACCTCTTCAGCGGTGTCGGCCTTGAACTCATGCTCGGACTCACTGCTTTCCTCGTCCGACGCCTCGCCACCGCGTTCCCACTTCACCTGGACCGAGAACTCTTTCCACTCCATGGGAGCGTCGGAAATCACTTTGCGCTTGAGGGTGGGCATGTTTGAAGCGTCTTATTGCTATTATTCCGGAAGATTGTTGAAGCGTCTTATTGCTATTATTCCGGAAGATTGTGAATAAAATAAAACTTCACACTCTCTACTTTTTCGATCGCTGGACCATGTCCATGCAAGAAATTGCGATTGCAATGTGGATGTCAGCTCTGCAGCGTACACGTTGCAAGCAAGGCCAGACATAAATCGTGAACTGCGGGGCTGGGGTACTCTCAACACGACGACGAGTGCCATTCCATTATAACGAGAAGAATCTACTCCAACAATGAATTACTCAATTTGATTGATGATAGCTTTTCACCCCCTGCTCAATTATCAACCACACAATAGATTTCAATTTTTCCCGGTCCATAACCAAAGGAATGCTGTGACGAAAACGAGCATGACAGATCAAATTCAACCCTTTGCTCGCATCTCATGAAACTGAAAGATCAAATTCAAAAAAAAGCGTTCACAAACGCAGTGGTGTCGCTGGATTTAGATTGTTTGATCTACCTCAAAGAATACTTTATGAAGAGACACAAAACGCGCACCAATTTTCCAGCGTCAAACACCATCGAGACAGGGAGAAGCTGCGGATGGAGCTTGAAGAGTCGACGAGACTTATCTGTGTTGTGGCTTTGTCGTCTTTCGTCTTTCTAAATCTTTCATTTGTTTCCGACACAAGAGCAAATTAATCTTGGAGCGGTGTTCATGATGTTCATCGGAACCTCTTACAGAGCGGATGATGTTCATCGGAACCTCTTACAAAGCATTGCTTTTATCGTCCACGCACCACCCACGGACCCAGCTAGGTCCACAGCAAGAATCCCCGCTACCCGGTGGCGCAAATCCTCGTCTGGGATCGGGTAAAGTCCGAGCAGCCAATCTACTCCAGGGAGAACCTCGAAAATCAAGAGCAACAGCACGAAGAGGTACAAAACCCACGTGTTGCGCAAGGGTTTGTTCTCCGTAAATGCCACGAGAAAGGGGCGGCCACTGTAATTCGCCAAGAAGTTTGCCAACTGATTCACCTGGATGCAGAAGAACAGCACGGTGCCGCGCAACGTCGGCACGAATTCTGCATTTACTGGTATACCGTACGCAGTCCGGAGCTTCGGAAAGTTAAAAAGCTGCGAACTTGGTGAAGAAACTTGTTCAGGTACTATCTCTGCGTTCTCAACAGCTGCAGCTTTTCGGAGAGTAGAATTTGCGCTATTATACGCATCTACTTCCGCCAGTGCCCAGAAGATGCAGCTCAAGTGGCACACAGTCTGCAGTCCCATGCTCGCCCAGGACGCCGGATGGGATAAATTTGCGACCGGTCGCTGACGCGTGAGCGGCCCAACGCTGCTCCGGCTGATCAGGAAGAACAAGGAGGAAATGAATAAACTCTCGAGCAGTGCCTGTGCTTCACTGGTTCGCGTCCCGTCCAGCGTGACGAGGCTCAATCCACAGGCCAGAACGACACTGTTGACACCCATAATCTGGTACATTTGCAGAGTCACGCAACAGGCACCGCGGCCGGCCTGCAGCAACTTCGTGACGCACTGGATCGTTTCTCCACGGTAGGTGAAAGGGCTTGCGATTGACGCCTCGCCGAGCTGGGCAGTGGCAGAGCCGCCGGGTTTGTTTGATGAGCTCGAGCCTGCACCGCCACCTGCCATCAAATCTTGTTCGTCGATAGGCAAGAAGTCCTCCGCAGCAATACCCAGCGGATTCATATCACCAGCGTCGTCCGCCTCGGAAGCGGAAGGGGACGAGGCGGGTGGTTGACTTTTCCCTTTCTTGGAGCCCGCTGGTACCTTTTTCGAACGGGACCTCGGGAAAAATTCACCCTTTTCCGTTGAAGTGGATAGCAGCGAAATTCCCACGTGTGCGCGCTTCAACGCGCCGACATCATTCAAACCGTCGCCGTATCAAATGCAAAGTGTCTGGGTCTGGAAAAGTGTGATGCTGTTTGTGCATGACACAGAAGGTCTAGCATGCAAGTTCTAGCAGCACAGGTTTTGAGCAGGTTAGGCGATGCCTAATCCGCATGACAAGTTCCCTCTTTTGGTGGCAAGAAGTGAGCAACTTATGCGGTCCATGCATGACAGATTTTTTTCTGGTCTCAAATACGCATAAGAAGTTTACATGTTTCCAGACCCAGACACTTTTGCATTTGATACGCCGATCATCAGGGTGATCTCGCCAGATGCGGAAAAATCATCCAGCAAGGCTTTTTTGCAGTCTGGCGTTGCGCGGGCGAAAACGGAGACATGCGGAAAGACTTTCCTCCTCCAGCTAGAGAAGTTGAAGGTACCAGTACTGCTCGCATGTAACGTTCGAAACCGGCCCAAGTCCGCGAACGAAACGCAAAGTGCCATCGATCCGGCCTTTAGGTTCTTCAGCACTCGTTTCTCGTCCAGAGATTCACCATCAGCAGAAGAAGAATCAATTTTCCCCGCGGCCGAGCCGCCTTCGAGTCGTCGCCAGCGAACTTTGAGGCTTTTGCTCTCAACAGCGTTTGCTTGTTTATTTCCGTCCACGGTCGTGGTTTGATCAACGTGATCCGCACTATTTGAAGGATAGATGGGCGTCACGAAATCCGCATCCTGCGGCACCATCCCGCATTCTTGCGCCACATGGCAGGCAGTGGCCAGCGCGTCTCCAGTGATCATGACACACTTGTGGTCGCAGTTCTGCAACTCTCGAATGGTCTTCTTCGTGTGAGGCTTCAGGTTCGACCGCAGGGCCAGGAAGCCGGCAAACTGCAGGTTCGAATCTTCGACATCCGCGCGCTCAAAAAGACTGTCAACATTCGAGCCATTTGGTTTATTTTTCTCAACTAACAAATTTGCAACTTTTGGATTCTTCTTTACTTCGGCACTCATATCCTTCCACGCGAGGGCCAACACTCGCAACCCGTGGTGCGTCAGTCTCGTCGCTTCGCGCTCGTACGCACTTGCTTCGGATGAGTTTTTGAAGCAGATGCGAGACCGCAGCATTTCTGGCGAGCCTTTGACAAACGCGTAGACAAAAGGGGGGGATTGTCCAGCTCCTGCGCGAGATTTGCTTGTGGTGACTGGCATTTTTGCGGCGACAACGGACATGCGCTGTAATTCCGATTGAAACGGAAACCGCTCAAGAATTTTCAACCGATTCGTGCTTGGACCAGCAGCGCTATCCTCGGCTTGCTCTTGCACAACTGTTGGAAGCCAACCGGATGTTGAGGATGCGCCTGCGCCTGCAGGTGCTCCCTCATCGAACTTCCAGCCCGCGTACTCAAAAGCCGCCTGCTCTGCGGGGTCTCCTATGATCTCGCTTGCGCATTCGTCCACTGGCTCGCTGTCTTCTCCTGGTTGCAACATGCGCCCAATGAGTCCTGGGATCTGCCGCGACTGCTGCAGCAACTTCTTCGCAAGGCCTTGAGTGCTTGATTTTGACTGTTGCTTTTTTCCTCGTTTCAGCAACAAGGAGTGACAGGCGCCCAAGACAAAATCTGCGTGCAGCTCACTTCCCATGGAGGGGGTACCTTTCATTTGCTTCGAGTCCTTTGCTGACACCCCAGGTCCATTCACCTCCTCGTCCTTTACAGGAACTTCAGTTACCACCGAATCGACAGTGTACTTGCTACTTGTCAAAGTGCCGGTCTTGTCGAAGCAGCAAGTTGTTACGCGTCCGGCGTACTGGAAACGATGTGGCTCGGTGCAGAAGATGCGCAGCTTGTGCAGCGCGAACAGAAACAGCGAGGTGACAAAGGACAGAGTCGTTGGAAACTCGGGGGGCACCGCGGCGGTAAGAATGTGCGACACGGAGAGAAAAACTTTCCAACGGGAGCGCGGACGTGTGGAAAGGAGTGTGTCAAGAGCGGTGGTTAACCACGATGACATCTCGCCTTCGAGCAGTGACATGCCGGTAAGGTCACCGAGTGATGCTCCCTCTTCTGGCGCCACGCCCTCTGCGGCACAGGATGAGAGCGTAGATCCGAGAACCTCATCTGTGAACAGACGGCGGCGAAAATCGTGGGCCGCAGAGGAAGGCGCGGCTCCTGCGACAGAACTGACGTTTGTAGCAGGATCTGCTGAAGCTGTCGAAGTCGTTGTGCTAGTGCCAATTTTGTCCGATGTCACGCTCGTGGAAGACAACAGCAACCGGTGAAAAGTTTCCCGGGCGCGAAGTTCTGCTGTCGCGAGCAGTGACGCGGAATCCGTGGTCTCATCTACTTCTCCTGCAAGTCCTTGTATTGCACCAGCGCATCTTGCTTCCAGTTCTCGCCAAAATCTCCCAAACACTCGCTCTCTGGCTTCCCTATGCTCCTCGGGATACCATACGAGACCGTCGTAGAGCAGGTACAGGCAAGACAGAATTCCGAAGAGCAGCAAGATAACCAGAAACCAGTAAATTTCGGTCTGCGCGTTTTCCAGCGTCGCTCGTTCCGCGTTCGACACGATTGTGCGAATCAAGCTGCCCTGCTTCGTGTCGTAGCTGGTGTTTAGAACTTTCCCGATCACGAAGGACCCGTCACCCTCATCAATTTCGTTTTGTTCGGCCTGGTGATTCTGTCCTCGTCCTCGCGACTGCGTTTTCTGAAGGAGGTGTAATTGCTTCTTGTTCTTTTGCGCAACGATGCGGAGACCGACCGACCGCATTTCGGACAAAGCTTCTTTGACCAGTGCGTCGGGAGGCAGGGAGGGACACGACGACGACGCGCTGCTGCTAACTGCAGGCGTTCCTAGCGCGTGTACGACTTTCGTGCCGGAAAACACTGTATGAGCTTTCAGAGTATTGTCCTCCGCAGCTGAAGATCCGCTGTTGTCATCGTCTTCCCGGACGAAGTGGGTGGCTAGGAAAGTCGTTGCAGTCGTTTTGTCATCTGCGGCCTCGACACCAGCGACTGCAGCTCCTTGTCTTCCTTTTCTATTGCGCAACGACATCTGTAGTTCTCCGCCTCGCACAGAACTGGAAATCTCCTTTTCTGCTCTCGTAGTGTTACTACTACCGTCGGCATCCACAGTTCCATCGCGAATCGCAATTTTCGTTTGCGGCAGTGTCTCTCCAGTCAGCATGCTCTCGTCAGCCAGGCAACAGGACCCATGCTGCAGCACCACATCGGCAGTTTGCGGCAACGTTTCTGAGGGAAAAACCGCAACCGTGTCGCCCGGAAGGAGATCCCGGCTCCCAACGAGCTTCCAGCGCTGCGAACTTGCTTTTCCGGACGCGTCATCGGATGTCAGTAGAAGTGTCGGCACGTTTGGGAAAACCATTTGCCGCCGTAGGAGCTGCATGTCGCTCACGCGCCGAGCTGCAAATTGCACCTCCAACGCGACCAGCATGATTAGAGTGAAGAGTGAGTAGTACCAGTAGCTGTCCAGCATCCACAACAACGTGCAGGAGATTTGAAAAATGAAAAACGGGGACGTGAAATTCTCCAGTGCTGCCGTCGCCAGATCCGGAGCGGCGATGTCAAACTGATTCGTACCGTGGAGCAAGTGGAACCGTGAGCGAAACTGGCTTCTAACCTGGCGCGCATCGGTGGCGTCTTTTTCAACTTCTTCATCCACACATACGTCCGGTGCCAATCGCAACTTACGGAAGTAAGAGGACGCGCTGTTTTTTTCTCCGTCCCGATTCTCGAGAATCATCCTCCCCTTATTCGGATCGTCGATGAGAAAGAGAGAGACGCAGGCTTGTTTCGTGCTTCTTGCTTCATCGTTTTCCTCGCAAACCACTGGTCGCAGACTGTACTGCCGCCTCGCCAAAATCCTAAAAAGTAAGCTGCTGATGCCGACTTTCCTTTTCCGCAACTCTTCGAATATCGTTGGGTGCCACACGCCGCCAAAAAGTTTTTCGACAAGGTTGCGTGGCTGGGTCAGAAGTCGAAAGAGTCCGACCTTGGCGTTGGGTTCTTCGGGCTGGACGAGACAAAGACCACCTTCCGTCCTGTCGAATGCGGAATCTGCAAAAGCATCGGCCTTCGCTCCACGCTCATCCGCCTCCTCACCCAGAAACATGATTTCAAGTGCCTTCAAGAGAATGCTCTGCTTCTTCCTGTCCGCACGGACAGTACCCTTTGACTTTCCGCCCGCAGTTGCGTCTTGTGTGGTGCGTGAAGCTGTGCTCGTTTTCCGTCCTAAATTACTCGGTGCGATCAGCGTTGCGCTACTTGTGGTTTTGGCTGCAACATTTGTTTTCGAATGCGACAGCTTTTGCAAACCAAACACGTATCTCGACGGCGATTTACCAGCAACTTCTCCAAACTCCGGATATCGGACCTCCAGCAAAGGAAGAAGCTGGTGACTTGGGCGCCCTGTCGTTTTGTTTCCTTTGTCGCTTCTAGGGGCGACGTCAAGCGTGTCGTTGCTAGCTACTGATTCCGAGGATAGCAAGACATGAGTGGCGTCCTCGACATTTTTGACGCGCCGGAAGCGCAGGAAGAGGCGGAGGCGCAGGTTCCACCGCGTGGCAAGCACGAGGAGCAGGTGCAGGTAGAGTGGAAGAAATATGAGGATTTTCAGCATCGCAAAATGCTCTTCGTCCGCACTTTGTTTTTCCGGCGGCAGCTCGTCGCAAAACAGTCCGGGAAAATCGTAGGTGCACGGATCGTCCCAGGAAATACGAGCGGTAAACAGCGCGTAGGTACTAGTCCAGACATGGAGCGGCACCAGGGGAAATCCGTCGTACCCCCAAAACTGTGCACGCTCCTGGTAAAACGTCAACATTCTCGCGACAGTCGATACAAAAAAGTACCTTTTAGGTGGAAGTCAAGCGAACACTACTACATCAAATTCGCATTTTGTAGTTCCAAATGTACTACTTCTGCGTTCTTGAGAACAAGACGATACATTCCTGACAGGAATTTCATGTCTTGATCGTACTGTACTAGTATCATCTTCTACACACCATCTTTACTTTTCGACTGACAGACAAAGAAACTGAAGGTACCGTGAAGATCTTTCAAAAATGAAATCACAACCCGCTTGCAAGGGGTGATACCACAAGGCGATCGATGCACTACTTACGCTAGAACTCATGTTTTGTCCTTCTATCTTAAACGAGATTTTTGTGGATCATTAAAGTCGAGTATCACGACGATCAAGACTTTCGCTTTCCACCTTGGTAAATGAAATACAACGTCGATCCCTTTGTCTCGGACACGTTTTCAAATGCATCCTGCTCCTCAAGATCGTGAGACAGATACTATGAAAAAAAAACGCACAACGAACGCAAAGATGAAAGTTCCGTCAAAGTGGAACTGGAACTGCAATCATGAATCACAGAATAGTTTTTCTCATCTGCGTTTTCTGCTATTTCTTTGTACAGTGACTGAGACATGGAAAGCCTTCGTAACTTGGCATCGCGTAAAACACGTTTCGAGAGTCCTGAATTCGCTGAAACGAAAAAACTTCTGCGGCCTGAAAATCGCTGACATGGAAATTCGTAGTGAAATTGATTCTCACCCAAGTGAAGCTGTGAAATTCAAATTTTAGGTTTGAGTTAGTGTGAAACTTCAAAATTCAATTTCTGATTCCGATCGTAAAGTAGAAGTACAAGATAAAATAGTTTGTACATTTCCAAAACAAATTGGATACAGCGCCACACAACATACGACGGCTGCTTGTTAGTTTATGCAAACAAGACGCAATGATTTAGAAGTAATCCTTGTAGTGAACCGGATTGAGATGCAGATGCGGCCAGTTTCCGATGAACTGTTTTCGGAAGGAAGTCACGATCCCCGAGGAGCCTGGCGCGCCAAATCGCGAACCGGTCCCTTTTCCCTCGTAGATCGCGTCTGACTGTCGCATAATGTGACGCCGCCACTGTCTGGGGTCGAATTCCGCAGGAGCGTCAGTCGGTAGCGGAGAAGCCTCTTCCTTGAGATTGCCGTTTTCACCTTGCCTATCGCCGGCCCACCCGCTGGAAGAAGATCCTGGTGTGGCTAGCGACGTCATCCCTAGCCATTTCGTCAAGTCGACGGAGGCAGATGGTGTACTACTTCTGGCTTGCAGGGACATCAATTGCTGGCTCTCGAGACCCCCACCAGCCGCACCGGGTGGCCGCCACATGTAAGCGACACTCGCTGCGCTTTGTTGTGTGCCTCCGTCCGCATGTGGAGCGACGTCTCTCCTGTACAAGACCCCGAGTTTATTTTGCGCGCAGAGACCCGCCTTCTGCTTTTCATCTTCCGAAGCCGTTGTCGTTTCGTTGTCCGTTGCTCCTGCAAGGCGAAAAGAAAACTTCTGCTTTTCCACATCAGTGGATGAGTCCAGATGCGCCTGAAACGTTTTTTCGAGATACTCAACAGCAGTCTGATGCGTTTGTGATCGCCTTGCAGAACTGAGTTCATCAACATCGTCATCACTCGTATTTCCGTCCACGTCTGTTGTTTCGATTTCCGTCGCAGTCACTTCAGCGGAAGTCGTCGTGTAGTTGACATCGCGTGTCATGTTCAACTTCTCGCTCTTCCGCTTTTTGTTCTTCGGATCTGCTGTTGCGCAGCCAGCAAATGCGACCCTGGTGCAAAAATCGCCCTTCCCTGCATCAGAGGTGTGGGGAGCCGACGCCAGGGCTGGATAATTCACTATGCGTTTTCTCGCTAGATCCTGTTTGCACTGCGCCAGGTAGGCTAACGACTGCAAAACCGTGATCGCCTCGGTTTTTCTCTGCGAGAACTGCGCTGCGGCAATCGCCCGCTCGATGTGCGCACGGATCAGCAGATTGGCAGATTCCAGAAAGACACCGATGCAAATGTATCGACGTTCCCGCCAACGACGTAGACCACCGGCGGAACGAAGATGCAACTTCGGGCCTACGAAATGAAATTTGGCAGTACGCGATTCGAATTCATATCAGTGAGCATGAAAAACTAGAGTTCAAGAAGCTGCTAATAATCCAGAAAAACAGACTGCAGATCGATGGATAATCAACCCCAGCAGTAGAAGAAAAAACTATAGAAAGTACTTTACCCTTTGGTTTTGGTGTGATTGCCATCGGGGTCATCGCGCGGGCCGCAGTCATCATCAAACCAATAGCCTTCCTCGGGCTTGTGCTTCTTTGGCTTTGCACCTCCAGCTGCACATTCTTTGCTGGCGTTGACGCGCCGACGCCTGTCGCTGCGCGCACGGGACTGTGCTCACGGCTTTCTGCCGCGGTGTTGAAGAAACGACTCACCGTTTCCTCCTCACTCGTCGTTGCTAGAGCGCCCAGCTTCGCCAACCGGTGCAGAAACAACCAGGCCCGCGTGTCCATCGCGTAAATTTGCGATGGCGGAGCTGCAGACCGGGCAGAAATTCTTGCTGGTGGTCGAGAAGCACTCGCACTACTGCTGCTGGCCAGCGCTTGCTGATCCACATTTGCAATCCCGATTCCCAACGCCTGCTGATGGACGGTCTCGTGGTGCACGCTGCGTCGCTTCTGGGGGGAGACCGAGTTGGAAGCGGAGTTCCTTCGCTGATGTTGAGCAGCCTTCCTCACTTCGTTGCGACCACGGGGTGAGGGTGAGCACCGGTCGTCTGCAACAGCAGCAGCAGCGCTAGCGCGTCCAACATTGTTAACCCCCGCCGCCACGACAGCCCCGTCTTCCGGTAAAGAGTTACCACAGGCGTTGGCGACAGGGAGATAGTACTTGTCGTAGTAGGTGGTAACCACGTCCAACTCGTCGCCCATGTCCACTTCGCCATCCCCGACAAGCGAGCCGCCGAGCAGCGTCGTAGCCCGGGTCTTCACCATGCGGTCCTTCACGACGCTTTCGTACCGGGAGGGCTTCGTGTCCGTGGCCTCAATCGCGACCGTGTGCACCCGCCGCACACAATCTTCCAACACCACACGGTCCAAAATTTCCACGGGGTTCAGGTTTTGTTTCGGAACACCAGATGTTGTGCTGGAGGAGGAAGAGCCACCGCGCTGCATTCGGTCGTACAAACCTTGGAGCCAATCGGTCAAGATCAGTCCGTTCCCCCCTCGGCCCTGCAGCGACGCGGACTCCTCGATTTTAACCGACCTTCGCGTGGGAACAACCTGGTACCCATGATCCGAGGAGCGGCCACCAGCCGCACTTTTGTGCGTCAGCGTTTCGACGTCGGTTTGATTCAAGTCCGTCTCTGAATCTTCGCCGCTGCCAGACTTCAACGTCACCGCCGTCGCTGTGAGGGAATCCAGATCGCCAGGGGCCACGGTACTTTGCAAAGTATCCCCAGCAGTGCCGCTGAAGCCGTTCTTGGCAAACTCCACCGCTCGACGCAGATTCTCCTCCTTTTCTCGGACACTGGGGAGCGGGTTGTTAGTATCGAAAAACAGCCCCTTTACCGGCGATTCCATGGCAACCTGCATACGCTTCTCCTGCAGTGGCGTTTGCTCCATCATCGCGATGATGCGTGCCTGCCGATCTTTTGGCGAACTTCTCGGTGGTGTCATCTTCGGCACGGGAGGTTCTGGACTTTTTGCGGTGGCGACCACTAGTTCTGGAGAAGGCGATAATGTTGATGCAGGTTGAACACCAACTGGAACTGGCGAACGAACGGTTTCTTGTAGTGCTGCCCGCTCTTGAGACTGATGCACTTGCGTTGGCTTTTCTTGCAGCAGGTGAAACCCAGTTCCCGAAAATTCTTCTGCGGCTGCATTTTCCATACTGGCTGCGTCCATTTTCTGTCTAGCCGCTGTGATTTCTGAAAGTTCAGACTCGCTTCTACCCGAAAGACGTTTGACCAACGGCACTCCCTCTAGACAAGCCTCGTGCTCGTAAATGTCTTCCTTGGGGGACAGCGGCTGGGCCTTCTTTCGAACCTGCGAGAAGGAACTGCGCTTGGATCCGCGGCTGGACCCTCGTTCGGATGACTGTGGTTTCTTGCTGTGCGAGGAAGTGAGACCGTCGCGTGCGGGGTGGTGATCGTTGAAGACAGGCGGCAGAACCAATCCGTCACGGCTTTTCGGCGGGGCGGTGAAATTTGTGGTCTCGCCCTCGTCCGGAGCAAAGTGACGATACTCAATTGCACTCTCCACCTTCGCTCCACCACGACTCTGGCTGCGACTGCCCGTAGCTACTTTCACAGGACTTGGAGATTTCTTCCGTAAGGAAGCAGAAGTCAACGCGTGTTGGTCATCTTCCATCGCAGCTACAGCTTGTGGAGACGTGGCACGCAGCAAGTCGGTCCGCCACTGCTCAACCTGCGCAAAGCGCGTTAGGTGGTCATCCGCCAAGGCGATTCCCTCGCGTTCGCGCGAGCTTAGCTGATTTCGATAAGCGGTGCGCAGATCTTCGGTCCGAAGAACGTCGATACAGCCGGCGGCTGGCATCGGAAAGTGGTCCTCGATGACACTAGCGTCCGCCGAACCAGACACGTCTGCGAGGGATGCATCCTGGTCGCCAGAAAGTGCAGCTCCGCGCTTTCCACGGGGCCGGGGGGCATGTGTCGCGCGTGCCGGAAGGAACACGCTCGATGTTTCGTCTATGCTTTTCGACGGGGAGCGACTCGTTTCCGTGGTGGTTCTCGGGCGCTGCTGCCAGGCCAGGCTCATAGATTGGGAAACCGGGCGCGCAGACTGCTCGTGGCTCGTTCCCGGTCTTAGAACCTCGCCAAATGCAGTCAACGTATGCCGTGGAATTTTTCTGTCAAACCCAGCGCGGATGTTGGTTGGGCTGCGCGGCATGCTCCGCGACAGGACTGTTCTTGCGTCGGGAACGGACGTGGCACTGGAAGAGCTGGAGGGCGCTCGAGAAAGGTTGAATCCGCCCGCCGTCGTCGGTGTTTGCGCAGAACCCAGCCCCAAGCGCTCCCGACTGAACACCTTGCCCGCGTCCCGGAACGTGGTGACTTTGGTCGTGTGGTTCGCGGGGGAAAGCGTATCGGGCTCGAACTTCCGTATGTCGTCGTCCTGCATCGACGGAGACGCCAGCGCCAGGCTTGAGTTTTCAATGCTTTGACTTTCCTTCACCAGTGATTGGAGATGCGGCTGTATATCCGGTTGATCCGAGTTGAATCCAAGCGCATGGGAGGAGGACAGCTGCGTCGCATTGATGTGCCTTTTCGCTCCTCTTCGTCCGGCCCCTCCACTTGTGCCTGCTTGCAGCCTCGGTAGGGTTCGGGCATTGTTCTGCCTGCTTCGCACGTTACGCAAAGATCCGCCGGTGCGCGCGCGCGATGGGGGGCCTCTTTGCGGCGAAAACGAACGCCCGCCCCAAATCTTTGCCTGCTGCTGGCTGTGCGGGCGATGACGGCTTTTCGTGGCGTGTGCATGGGCTAGGTGATGTGCTTGTTGACGCGATCTCAGAGCACCAGCATGACGGGAGGCGCTGCTCTGGCCAGCATACACGTTTTGCTTCATCGGATTAGAACCTGCTGCATGTGCGTCCACTACAGGTCCTGGTTGCTGCTCAACTACAGACACGACCTTCATCATTTCCTTCTGTTCCTGCCCAGATTCCATGACCATTTCTGGGCCATGCGGTCCTTTACTGCTGCTTCGGAACTCGCCCTCCTCCAGGAAGAGGCTGTTGTCCTCCTGGTCCTGAAATTGTAACATACTAGCGCTGACATTTTCCCGTTGCAGCTCACCCGGTAGTTCTCGCATTTCCAGGCTGTTCTCGTGGATGCTCAGCATGGAAGACTCATTCAACATGGAGGAGAGCTCTGGAAGCGTCGACTCGTTATTCAACACTTTCGAGTTCGATAACAGCATGCTCGTCGTGTTCCCCAGCAATGAGGACCCACCGGCCTCTTCTTCCGGGAGCAGGGGGTGATCTTCTTGATCTTTGCTTCCACCAAGTGATGACTTGTTCTGCAACAATTTCGATTGAGAATCCACGTCAAGTAAGCTTTGGCTCAAACTTCCTTCGCCATTGTTCAACATCGCTCTTTGCGATGTTAAATGTGACTGCGACAACATCAGGGACTGGTCCGTCACAACCGTCGCCATTGTGGCCCCCGCGTCCAACAACGACGAGGATAGCATCGTCGACAAAGAAGGACCGCCGGCGGCCTGCGTGGAGACGATCGACGACCCGTGGAGCTGCGACTTCGAAAACGCAGAGAGCGGGGGCGGCTGCAACTCCTGCAGTAATCGAAATTTTCGCGACGTGGCCGCACTGTTCTCCTGTTCGATCTTCGTTCGTTTCGAAAACGCTCCGCTCGCAGTAACGCGTTTCTTGTCCGGGGAGTCGCGAAAGATTGGAAAATCGACGTCAAATTGGTCCCGGTCCACCCGATCCATCGTAAGTTCTTCGCTCACGGAATTCAAGCCATATTTGTCCCTACCGTAATCCGGCCCCAGGCGAAAGCGGTCGGCCAACACGGAACGGGAAAAGGACGCGTCGTACTGCTCGAGTAGGGAGGTTGACTCGTTTTCGTTCGAGTTTGTTGTGCTCGTTTGGTGCAGCTGTCCAGCTGTTCCACTCCGGGAGCGGTTCGCGAACTGGCTAGCACCTCGGGTATGCTTGTTTTTAGCACCACCGCGGCTGCTTCCTGCGCTTCTTCGGCTACCCCCGCCGGACAGTGTCTTCGAGTTGTTTCGATGGTCAGAAAGTTGCTTGCTGGGCTCGTTATCCGTGAAAATTGTCGAAGAAAACTGCGAACTGTAATTACTCTGCAGATAATTATCTCCCTGCTGCTCCCGGGTTAGTGCTCTCCTCTGTTGCTGATGCTGCGCGATGATGGCCTCGGCCTGCATATCCACTCGGTCCAGTGCTGCATGGAGCGAGGCGTGCGCGGAGACCCTTGTGGTTGTAAATGTAGTTGTGTGATCCTCGTCGTTAAAATCGCCATCGTCATCAACAGGCGAAAACGGGCGGCCGCGAACGTCTGCCGGCACGATAGAAATCGACTCCTCCTCCAAGTCGTCCCTAGTGTCCAAAAACAAGAGGCTGCTCAACGAGCTGGTGGTCGTAGTTTTGCTTTTCTTTTTCGGAGCTCGTCCTCGATTTTGTCCGCCTCCTGGCATTGAAGGTAATTTCGAAGATGATACCGGTTTCCTTGAGGATGCCACGCCCTGCTTACGAGATCCACCCGCAGACGCATTGGTTGCTGCTGCCGTGCCAGCTTTGTTGTTTCCCTGGTGCGAAGATGCCATCGCCCTGGCATGATCGCCCGAGTCTTTGCTATCAGCGGCTGACGAGAAACCAAGATCTCTATCGTGGTATTGTTCAGCGCTTGACGCGAAAAGAAAGCTGCTATTTTGTCCTGCGAAGCCACAGCCGGACGCATTGGCATTGTTCTGGGCACTATCACCTCCCACGAAGTCTTCAGAAAGCCCATCTTGCGAAGACGCTACGCTCCGAAACTGTGAGAGAGAGTTCTTGGTCTGCTGGCTGCTGTTGTTCGAAAAATGATAGCCAGCGGGGCCATTGTGCAGTGAGACGCTCGAAAAGTGATTTACGTTGGTCCGGGGGCTGCGACTGGTAGACCAGTGAGGCGGGAAACCATCGGAGTCAACCGAGCCCGCATTAGGGCCTGCAAGTCTCCGCCGCTTCGTTTGCTGGTTAGAATCCGGTCTGGGGATTCTTCCGCCACCTAGAGCCGACATCTTCACGACGGTGTGTATCGAATCAACATGGCCATATCGTAACGTTCATCTCCTGTAGTTGCAACCTCCGTGCTGGCCCTACCTATTTGCGCATCGGTTTCTTGGATTGCACTCATCTACTCTATCATGATCGGGCTGCTGCATCTTTGTCACTTCTGTTTGGGCCTGGTGGTCAGAATGGACGTACGAGGACTCACATGCTGCTCAAGCATTTCTCCTACATTCTGTTTCACCGTCCTTTATTCCAAAAAAGCGACCCCGATCCTTCGATTTGCCAATGGGTTTTGGAAGTTCGAGTTGAACGCGACGCCCGTCCCTTCACGACAACGGAACAAAGATCCGAACCAAATACCGACACCCAGCCGACACAACGATCGCGCTCGAGAAGTCACCGACTTCTGAAAAAACAAACATACTTTCTGAGGTGAGCCCTTTTACAGAACGGTTTTGTTCTTGAACTTGAAGAACTTCGCACGAAGTAGACGACCGATAAAGTTTTGGATCTCTTGCGATTGATGTAGGAACCTTGACCACTTTTTTCCCATACCGAATATCTTCTGTCTCACCCCTAACGCCGTACCTCCATCATCGTTCAATACGGGAAAGCTCCGAGACGCCATCACATTCCCACGAGGTCGACAAACCACACGTCTTGCTTTTGTGCTTTTCGTTTTCCGTAGCAATTATATCTTCGGTGTTGACCTTAAAAATCCAGGCTGAAAATCTTCGAGTCAATATCAAGCTTTTTGTACAATGAAAACAATACTCGAGAAAGTCATTTTAGGAATATCCATCAAAGAGCGACGAAAATTTCCTCCATCCTTATTGATATGGCACAGACTCACTGCTGATGAAACTATCATACACGGTGACGGCAAACGCAAATGAATTCTCAACCATATAGTCGCGATACGGATACCGTACTGAAACGCCTCCTACTCCTTATCTTTTTTCTAGAAACCAGATTCGAATCGATACCATTCCTACAACCATCTCAAATTTTCAGAAGAGTACGCAATTTCTTCCGGATACGAATGAATGAAAACTTCCACATGATCGGTAAATCTCCGCAAGACCGAGGTCTCTACTCCCCTACAACTGCGCGTCGGCGACGAGTTTCTTCATGACGTTAGCCGCCATAGCCATACTGCCGGTGAACTCCTGCAGCTTTCCCGGTCGCACTTTTCCGCCCTCCTTCCGGCACTCCTTCAGGTACAGCACCAACGGGGGCGTGCCGCCGCCCTGCAAGATGGAGTGGACAGTGCGAACCTCGGTCTTCTGCCCGGGACCCATCATGTACTTCCCGGTTCTTCCGTCCACTTTGACGATGAAGCAGATCTTGAACTTTCCGTTCTTGCCCGCACAGTACTCCAAGGACACCTTGTAGGGCAGCATCCAGCGCTTCAGCGGGTGGGTCTTGTCGATCACCTCCTGCAGCAGCGCCTCCTTCTTCATGCGCTTCGCGATGGTCCACAGGTAGCTGGTTTTGTCGTCCAAATTTCCGTTGATCACCTGCAAATTTGAAACCGAATTCGGGTCCAGCGCCCGGTAGTACGTGTCGCCCCGCATTTTTTCGATTTCGGCCACCGTGGCGGTCGCGATGTCGCGGCCGGCCTCGTCGGGGTAATCGAAATGAAAAAAGGTCGAAATCGGGAACCGCTCAATCGCCATGGTTTCCCCCATGAAGCTGAAGCTCTTGCCGTTGTCGGTCATCTGCTGGGAGATAAAACCGCGGGCTTTGTCCCCGATCCCCTTGCCCTGCGTCATGTAGTCCCAGGCCTCGTCGTCGTACGAGCGCAACCGCGGGCCGGGCACCCAGTCGACGGGCGGCGGGATGTAGGTGGACGGGGAAATTCCCGGCGCCGTCACGCCGGCGGAGCTGCCTTTCGACCCGGACTTCTTGCTCACCGTCATGCTGGGCGAGTCCCTCCACCCGGAACTCGGGGGAATGGATTGGCCTTTCGACTGCAGCTGGTTGGTCAAAAACTTGGCGCCGTCGATCTGCGTGGCGATCCACCACCCGGTGTAATTGGGCTCGCCAGCCTTCTCGTAGTAGTACAGGTACTACGACCCGTTGGTGTACGCCGGACACCCGTGGTGGGTGGAGTGAAACTTGTAGGTCCCGTCGGCAGCAGCGTCCTTGGAGTTTTTCACCTGAAATGAAGCAACATGCACATAATTATCGATCCGGATTCGAAACTCCGCCACGAGGAGTTTCATTGTGTGAAACAACTGTCGACAACAAAGATGGAAAACTTCTATCTAATTCACCGGAGTGCCCCGGATGCGGCTGCAAATTCAATCGTTATACCGTACACATGTCCGCGCCGCCGCCACCTCCGCCGGCGCACACTGCCTGGGTCTTCTTCACGCATTCGAAGGCGTCGCAGTTGTTCCCGACCTTCCAGCCCGCCTTCGGGGGCTGCGCGGCGTGGTTTTGCCCGACCGCGGGGTTGAACGCGCTGTAAGTGTTGCCCCCGATCTTCTGCGCGATCCACCAGCCGCGGTTGTTGAAGTGCTGTTCGTTGGCGATGATCGGGTCCCAGAAGTACATGTAGTACCCGCGGTCGGACTTGTAGGCCCCCTTCTCGTGGAACTGGGAATGGTACTTGTACACGCCGTTCAGCTCCGGCTTGTCCCGGCAGCTCTGCACCTCGAACGATGCCATGATCTTGTTGTGGATAATTTGTCTAGAAAGTTGCTACCAACTACAGACGAGTTCTTGATGCAGACGGAGACGATAAGACCCGCTACATGAAAAATGACAACGCGCGATTTCTTTTGTACCTCCCCCACGGCAGTTTTTTGCACGGTACTCCTGTTCACCCAAGCACGCTCACCCACTATTACCGTTCCGATTCGCCCTTATCTAGTATCAGAATGCTCAAGGCAACACCTCCTAGCGCAACACACTTGACCTCGCCCCAGAACCGGAGTTTGCAGAATGATGTTGATGTTGTATGAGAATGTCAATGTACAACATGAAGATGAACATTATATGGTGTTTCCCGAGGAACGTAGCTAGATGTACTTTTAGCTTTTCGTTTTCACATGATGGCCGCGAGTCGGCCATTACTCTTCGCTTACCTTCGCTGCGAAACTGAATATATTAAAGTACTTTCCCCTCCCCCTGTCGTCTGTCTTCCCTCTTTGCTTTTTGTCATCATCACCATTTACATTTTCATTCTCCTCCTTCTAATTATTCTTCTTTTTGGAAAGAAACTGGCGAAGCGAAACAATCATACAAAAAACGTCACAAACTGTAGCTGCTCGAAGCAGCATATATAATCTTCATCAACTACTACGGTGTCAGTATTTTCCATCATGCGGCTGTCCTCACATCACGAAAATTCGTGAAAATGGATTGCAGCACGAACTACACCGACTTCTTTCCGGCGCCAGTTGATCCCACGACAGGTCCGCTGATCCTTGATGCCGCACCATCTTCTTCTGCTTCAACACGTTGTGCTTATGCGCCTTTCGGGGCGCCCGAAGCTGCAAAAACTTGTAGAAAACAAACAGCGTGATCAAGATGCTCAAAACGATGTCCGCCCCATTGGTGTACATGCGTGCGAGCTTTTCCGGCCAGATTTGCAGCCGGATCAAGTACGCGAGAAGTCCCGATTCCAGTACCATCATGACCAGAATGTGCACGCTGGCGTTCAGCTGGTCCTGTGCGAGCGTGTTGTAGTCGAGCTTGGGCAGGAGCGAATCCACAACGAAGCGCAACCCGACGGAGCCAAACATCACCGCGAGGAGGTGGCTGCTGCGACTGCCGAAGTCCTGCGGCTCAAACACGAACACCATCAAACCCATCACCAGCATGGCAGCGTTAAGTTGGATGATGTTGGTCTCGTAGTACTGGTATTTACGACAGAGCTTGATTGCGGCGACAAAAGTAAAAGAGCCAGTGAACTTGTCGTCTGGCGTTTTATTTCCCCCGCGGATCTGGCAGTCCAGGTAGTTCGGCAGAAAGAATTCCGTCAGCAGCATGCTCTCCTCGATGTTGCCGTGGGGCGGCACGCCCCGCTTATGCAAATTATCCTCGTTCACAGCGAGCTTCAGTGGGACGTGCTTGAACGCGCCGAACCGCACGGAGACGCCAATCTCCAGCACGTGCGAGTCGTAGGGGAAGTTCTGCAGCGCCTCACTGGTGATCAGGGACGGCTGCGTGAACACGGCCGAGTACTCGCAGGTCCAGCGGAGTAAAACCCGATTGGGCTCGGGTTCAATCGCGTGCACTTCGACGCCCGAGCGCCCGACCTCGAAGGAGGAGGCGTGGGTTAAGGCGAAAGCCGGAACGTCCTCACGGATTATATCGTTTACCACAGCCCGTTCCCGCCCCTCTAGCTCCCATTTGGCGGACGTGCGCAACTTGTTGGCAGTCAGTGCCTGGATCGCTTCCAGATTTGCGTGGCTGGGGGTCCAGAAAGCCGTCAGACGAAACTTCGCGCTGAAGGTACCGTTGATCAGATTCAGGTCGGAAATGTTCCAAACAACCAGCTTGCAACGCACTTCTTGCTTTTCGGGAGGAAGAACTTGTAGGGGAGCAGGAAGTTCTGCTGGTTCTGGACCTTTGTGCATTTGTGGCGGTACGACGCTTTTAGCTGAGGCCGTGGCTGTCGGTACCTCGTCAAACCCGAAGCTTATTTTCTTCTCCGAGTACTTGAGACGACGCGCCAGGGAGACCGCGGAATCGCTCACCGACGGGAGTTCGGACTCGCACAAGGTGGTGCTCGATTCATTCTCACTGGTCGTGTTGCTGTTCGAACGCACCCACGACATCCTTTGTGATGTCCACGCAACAGCTTGAGGACGAAACTGCAATTGCTTTACGCTAAAATTGAAGCCGTTTACGTTCCTGAGCCCGCATAACCACATTGGGGTTGGTGCGTGAATTTGTATACGCGCCACGTTGCACAGAATCAATGAGAATGTGTGTCCAGATTCACTCTGTCAACTCTGCAGTTCTTCCCTAGTCACGTCACAGCGCAACATTCAGCCTCGTTCTTTTTCACGCCCGTTCTCGTCGCTCAGTGTCACTCATAAATATGAAAACGCTTGCAGTACAGATTGGAGAACAGCTGAGTCCGCCGTCTGAAGTTCTCCTCGATTAGAGGACATGCTCACACAAATCTTCCGTTCAATCATATGTCGTTCATTCGTGTTTGACTCCGTGGTACGTTTTTATCTTTTGGATGAGATCGGTCTTCTTCCCGTCCACCCGAAGGCCTACTGACTTGAGAAATTGCTTCAGGAACGTGACTTTCATAAACTCTAGCTGGTTTTGCTGCACGGCCCGGGCCATTTGCTCCGCAGTAATCACCGGCTCCGCTGGAGACGCTGCGGCCGTCCCCGAGTCGAGCTTTTGGCGCTTGCTGCCCGCACCGCTGCTCGCTTTCGCTGCCTTCGAAGCAGCAACAGGCGCGGGCTGGTCGCAAATGGCCAGCAGTTCCGCGGCGGGTTTGCTTTTCTCCAGCGTGTCGAGTAGCATCAGCATTCCCGCGTCCGCAAAACAGTCGGGATCGGGTCGCAGCTCGTCGACCACTGGCTCGACCTCTGCCTCGCCGAGCGCGAGTGCCTGCAACGCCGCGTAGTGCTTCTGGATGGATACATTTGCCACGTCCGCCGTGTGGAAGGAGTCCAGGCAAATGCGGTTCAGCAAATGCCGCATCGCCATGCACGTGTTGGGAGCGTCTAATTCCGGTTCGCGCTTCGTATCTAACACCGGCACTGCCGTCTCCTTACGGTAGTCCTCCTTGTGCGGGAGTGGAATCAGGTTGAAAACGTCCTGATCCTCCGAAGCTATCAATGCAGACAACCGCGGCTCGGCGTTCGCCCGGGCCCGAAACCAGACCAGCATCATCACGTTGCGCTTGCGCAGCGACGTGAGCAACGACTTGAAGAGTGCGGTGCTTCCAATAATCCGCTTCTCGTTGGGATAAACGAGGTAGGAGTGGGTGTAGTGGTGGTACGGCTTCAACTCTTTCCTGTCCAAAAACCCGATCAGCTCCATACAGGGTTCCTCGCCGAAATTCCGCAGCTTCTTGATCTCCTCGTCGGTGAAGGGAATTTTCTCACCCGCGAACTCCACATACGAAGCGAGCTCCGCGTCCCGCACGTGGTGGGTTACGGGTTGGTGATCCCCTGTTAGGTTCAATTTTCCTCCTGGTGACTGCTGGTGGACGAGGCTGCTAGCATTCGGGTCTACTTTCGAAGAGGAGCTCGAGCTGCCGCCCGTCCCGACGATCGGGAAGTTGGTTTGCCCGGCCATGTCTTTGGTAACGGAGCCGACCGTGAAGGGCGCGCTCATCCCGTCGTCGTTCATGTCGGTCTTCAAGTAGTCAATGCGCTCCACGAGCTTCTGCTCGGCGATGACGCGGCCGTTGTCCACCGCGTGAAGCCAAACGGGAGGAGGGAGCTTCGCTTCCAGGATGTTAATGTACACAGAAACGCCCAGCGCCACGTCCGGATCCCGTTTCAGGTACAAGATCGTCCGTGTCAACGCCCGCTTCTTGAACAACCGCTTGCGGATGCGCGACTCGAGGCTCCGGAAGTTGCGCTGACCTGTTGTGTGTAGGTTTGGGACAAGCATGATGCTGTAGGTGTACGTCATGAAGAAAAGTTCTGGAAACACAGTAACAGTTTTAACAGTCGCGCTTTCGGATATTGAAGCATGTTGAAATTCACCTACTTATACCATCCTCACTCTCCGCAGTCACAATGTCCATGTTGCTACTTTTCGCCGCGTTTGGGCTGGTATCTATCCGCGCCAGCGCGAGTTCGTCTGCCTCATCGATGTTTTCCGGCGATATCACCTTGTTCCAGAACAAGTCCAGCGAAAAAGGCCTATTGGCGCGCACCACCGGGTAAAACTCGATTTCGAGCCCCAGGTCCTGGCAGTCGCTGACCCGCGTCAATGTGATGTCCAGTGTGGTCTGCAGGTCGCGGAGCCGAGCGGCGTCCGTCTCGCCCCGCTGACCCAGCGGATCGTCGTTGCCACTGAAGACCATCACACGACGCTTGAACGTCAGCGTTTCCCCGATTTGCAACTTGAACATCTGTGATGCGTTCCAGAACACCTCGGCCATGACCGCGCCGGACGTGCGCCCACCCCGCTCCAATCGCCCATACCGCGTGTACTTGTCGTCGCGGATCTGCTTCACCAGCTCCGTGCCCGGCTCCTCGAAGTCGTGCAGTGTGAGGATTCCCGGGAAATTGCTGTAGTTCTTCGCGTTCTTCGTGTTGTATTTCACAATCGCGATGCGGTCATCCTTACTGGCGATAATTTTGTGGCGGACGAAACTTTCGAGGGAGCAAAACACCTCTTCGTGAAGCATATTGTCAAACTCCAGGTCCGCGTCGACCAGGAGCAGCGTGGCCTCCTTCGAAGGCTCATACCGATCTTCAAGGATGGCTTGCTCCTCGTCGACCGTAGTGTTGGGCTTGTCATCGTCGAAAAGGCCGTCGGCGTCGAAGATATCCTGGTCGTCATCTATCTCGTTGAAGAAATCCATTTTGCCTTTGCTTGGGAATTTACTACAATCTAATCAAGTTATCCTTATCGATGATCATGAAGATTGATACACAAGATGGTACTTCAAGAAATAAGAAGCGGAGCTGGTTTGCTTTCAGTGTCGGAAGAAGATTTTGTAACCGCCATATCCCGCCGACTGTCTGACTCTCGAAAGCGAATAAAGAAAAGAGAAAATGCTTCAAAAAGGCAAACACTTGCGGTGTGTGATCCAACAACGACCAACGCCCTGAAGATGGAAAAAATAGCCTTTTTAATGTCATCAGATTCAGACCACAAACATCTCCATCATGATGATAGACACATGGTACTACTTTTTTCCACCTTTTCTTGACCATCTCCGTCTTCAATGAAGGTGATATATGCAGCTGCAGCCTTCGCTGGAAAAGTAAACCGAAAAAGGCAGGATCTCCTACATCATCTTCATCATGATCTTGCTCGGATGAAGCTCCGGCATCGTGAGTGACCACTACGAACAGACTGCGGAAGCGCACAACAAGTGAATTTATCTCCCGTCAAACTCCCACGTAAGTTCACTACGCATACAGCTGCAAAGCCAATCGGTTTTTGATTCATCTCATCAAAGTTGTACAAAGAACGGAATATTGATTCGATTTGGGTTTTGCAACTAAAACTGTGCGAAAGAGTCTTTGATACATTAGGACTAGGGTTCTGCTACTGGTAGGTTCTGCGTCTGCATGTGAAGTTGAGGATGACGTAGTTGAGCTTGAGTGTTGGAAAATAGAAGCTCGATGAAATTATTCGAAATGGAGATCGCAGAAAAAAGCGCCATCGCCTCTAGCTCTACCACTGCGTGTGGTGGCTTACTTCTTGATTTATGTCTATCATCCTTCTGTTTTTTGCTGTGCCTGTGCCTGTGGTAGGAAGGGGTAGCATGAGCATAAAATTGAAATTATTGACCATGATCACAACCTGGATACATCTTCTTACCTTCTGCACTGTCGCTTTGGATCAACGTCTTGGTCTTCACACTCAACTTGCTCCTGTTCGTCCACGACATAATGATCGCCCCCAACCATCTCAACCTCCATTGGCTGCTCATGCTCATGCTCATGCGCATCCGCATCATGCTGTTCTTCTTCCTCCTCTTCGTTCCCGTTGGCGAGAGCGCCATGCAGTTGCCCGTTTCCCGCTTCCGCATTCTCGTGCGGTTGGCTTTCAGACGATTCTGCCTCCCCGTCGTAGAACACTGATTCGATCTGCAGCTGACAGTTGGTTAGTCTCTCTTCCTGTTGCTTCAATTCTTCCCGCTTCTTCACGATCTTCGGATCTTCTTTTGCAGCTGATTTGATGATGGGGTTGTTGTGCAGGGTGTTTTGAATCCAAGATGTTCGAGAATGGAGGACGCCGTTTCTCGTGTGCTTCAAAATGCTGTCGACAAAAGTTTTCGCCTCGCAGTTGAAATTGGCCTTCACGGCTTTGTGGATCTTCTGCTTGCAGTTCTCGTCCATTTCGGCGCTGCTTTGCTTGAAGGCGTACTCTTTCTTCGCAGCGCCGATAGTCTGCATCACATCATCCACGTTCTTCAAATCGTTCCATTTTCCCGTGAGGCTCTGGCTGATCATTTTCTCCAGTGCTTCTGGAATTGCTTCCATCGCTCCAAAAGACGCGTCGAAATAACTGTTCGCCGTACCGAACTCCGCCTCCAGGTCAAGTGCGTCGGTGCAGCTCTTGTTAAAGCGGACAGAGGTCACATCGACATTTTTGCCGGCCTCGGTAATTACTGCGCTGATCAAGCGGCCCGGTAGGGGAGTTACCGTTGGACAGGTCAGCAGTTTCTTCGTAGAAGTTGTTGCGATTTGCTTCACATCTTTCATGTACTCCTGGAGGATGGGTCGCCATTCATCCCGGATGCGCCGAAGGCAGTCTTCAAAAACTTCTCGACCTTGGAAGACGGGACACTCGAAAGCGTTCGTGCCGAAACTCTCCGTCGTCCATTCGAACGTCAAAAGCTCCTCCTTCGCGTGCGCGCCCTCTTTGAATTTCGCAAATGCTGCTGTACTCAACTTTTGCTGGACGTTTGTCGAACCGCTCAGCAGTATCGTCTTGACTGCCATGATCAGCTCTTGGTCGCTTTGCGGTTCTCGCCCGATTTTTTCCAGTGCTCTTTTGCACTCAGCTAACCGCAGACGAATGCTCGTCGCCAGTGCGGGGATGTGTGTCGCGATGAGGTTTGCGAACAACGGCTGGACACGTTCGCGGAAACGGATGACCCCAACGCGCTCCTTGGGCAGATTCAACCCAACAAGCATCTCCTCCTCGCGGGTTTCCTCCATCGGCCCTTCCCCACCTTTCACGAAATTGATCACGGCGTGCCGCCCCAGGTCGTTCCCGTTGTCCCAATCTTCACAAATCTGTATTGTTGCATCTATTTGTTTCCCCGACCATGCTGGTCCTGCATCGAAGGGAGAAAAAAAAAGCAGAGCATCAGCATAGTTAAAGATTTAGATTTTTACAATGAATCAGCAGCAACATGAACATGATCTGTTGCTGTTCTATACCCAATCCCGGGCACGTCTCTCCGCGTCGATGGAATCGAACAAATCAAACTTGCTCAGTACATGGAGCGTTCGCGCTCCATGCTTATCGAACTCGCGAGCGACTTGGAGCGCTTCGATGTTATCCTCGGTCTCCTTGGCTTCGGAAACGATGCAGATTAGCGTCTCCTTCTTCTGCACATGCTTCTTCACCAAGGCTTCGACTTGGCTCTTCAGCCCTTCACTCTTTCCCTCGTTTTGCACGAACCCGGGTAAATCCACCAGAGTCAGGTCGCAGACTCCTGGTCCTTCTACCAGAACTTTTATCTCACCGCTGACGATCTGCTTCACGGAGGAAACGTCGTCAGGTGCTAAATGCGGAAACTCGTCCATCAGCAGCTCGTTCTGCCTTTCGGAGATTTTTTCTGCAATCTCGTCCGCACCACATTCTACGTATTTCTTGTTTCGGTCACTGATGTAGAATTTCAGCGCATTTGCTTGCTTCGAGGAACCTGATGAACACGCTGTCGCCGGCTCTGCTTCCGTACAAGAACTTGCGTCGTCCCGTCGTGTACAGTTCACGACAATGGCAGCCTTCGTGCACATTTCCGCGTCCTGCGGAAATGGCACCCCTGGAATGAGGTTTTGTTTCCCCTTTGCTCCAAATCCAACATGCCAAACATACTACTGCAAGAATAAAGCTTCGGGCTGTCATGACTTCGCGCACAATCAGGGCGCACTTCGGATTGGTGAATCTGATGGAGAACATCAACAACAACATGGAAAAAACTATAGCAAAATACTGCACGCACAAAATGACGCAGCAACAACATAGATAGCGCTATGTCTGTACCGGTCAACCTCGACAGAAAGGACGATTTTCCGGCGCTCGTAGCTCCGATTACGCAAATCTGCGGCAACTGGAGCTCGTCCTTGGCCAGGGCGTCATCGCGAATTTGGCGAACGACCCGCAGGTGCTCGACATATTGTCCGTTCGCCTCCACAGCACCAGCGAACGTTGTCATTGCCGCGAATTGCCTGCTCGGGATGCTTCTTGAAGTTGTTCCGTCGGGTGCAACAGGTTCAGCTCAGCTTGTTCTTACCTTCGTCCCTTGGACAATTTACAGGGATACTGCACTCGTTGTACTGCACACGTCGCAATCGCAATCCTATCCGCTAGGAATGGCTTCTGGTTGTAATTATGTCTGTAACTGTCACTGCATAAGTCAATCACACAACATGAAAAAATCTTTGAACATTGTACATGGGGTAGTAAGTAATCGATATGTTTCGTATCTCTCTTTTATCTGATCGGTAATCATGGAGCTCTTCTTGCATCTACCTGACTTTTGGTGAAGACGCAGATAGGAGCGCGATTGGATCCTAGTGGGAAGAAAATAGCAGAAAACTCTTCGAGTTTAGAAACAAGAGAATGATTTGTGTCGCAGCAAAACGAATTACCCCACGATGTAACCGCCGTCGGTCACCCCAGGCCATCAGTAGGAAAAAAACCTGACGATAGCTGGTCAACAGCTCGCGAGGAAAAAAATGAAACCCAGCTCTCAAAAAAAAGCGACTAGTAAGGATCGCACTCGTCAGAACCACACCGACTGTATTTTGTACATCGGCATGGATATCCCGGACCCTCATCGATTTCATCCTCTAGCACAACGATGACGGTATTCTACGCAGCATGAACTTAAAGCACGACTTCGGGACGAATACGAAACTAAAAGCGATGTCGTCTTGCTTTTACTGCCGATCCTCCAGAACTCGGTCTTTTAGTTATAACCTGAAGAACACTTTTTCGCCCTCACATAAGATAGAACTCGAACCGCACAGGATTTGCGTTGGTTGATGATCGTTGTGCGTGTAACACGTGTCGTCTTAAATATGAAGCCAAAAATATCCTACTTTCAGCAATGAATATGGTGTCGCTTGTATGAAAATTGTCTATAGACATGACAAATGGCGAACATTGCGATCCAACTTGGTTGCTTTGCCAGGCGCGAACAAGCAGAAACCGCATGTGAGAAGTCTAAATTCCTCTTCTTGATTCGCCGTGTTGAGACCTAATTCGATTTCGAATGAAAATCACATCGCTATCGGTTCCTTCCTACAGCAAGACCAGGCCGACTTCTTCGGATTTCAATTTCGGCATGCGGTAGTTGAACAGGTAATACTGCAGGTAGCCGTCGCCGCGACCGAATTTCAGTTCGGTTAAAAACTCGCTGTTGTCCATGACGTCGAGGGCGTTAAAGACGTCGAAGTCGTTCAGTCGCGCCTGGATCAGGGCCTCTGTCATTAACTGCGGCCACGTACACGTTGTTGCAACATTCAGGTAGGAATACGCCGCGTTTAGGGTTTTGTGCCTGTGGGAAGGGTTTCAGTTTGACAAAGTACTTATTTGCTTGGTTCGCGCGGCCGTATCTCAATCTGATAATGACAACGAAACGGTTTAGTTTCTGATTGGATGATTCTGTTCAGCATTGCAACACATCAAAAGAAAAATTTACTTTTCGTGTCCCAACACCGATGATGGCAGGTTGTAGAAGGAGAAGACGTCGGTAACTTTTCCCTGCTTTTGCTCGCGCACATACGCGTAAATCACCTTGTCCCTGGGCAAGATCCAGTGTCCGACCTCGGACTTGTCGAGGCAGGGGTAGAGCTTGAACTTTGCGAGGTATTCCGCCAGCAATTTCTGCACCTGCGGAATGTCGCGCTCCTCCATTTTTCGGAAGCCGTCCAGTTGATGCTGACCCGGGAGCGCCATCAACTTGATGTAGCGAGACATGGTCATGCGCTGCGGCAAGTGCGAAAACTGGCACTCGATCAGCTTCTTCGGGTTCAGGTTACGGTGGTGGTACCTGATATGATTTTGCGGCTCAAGTCTCATGCCTGGTGTCGTGCCGTAGATATGCAACGAGTACTTTTGAAACACCAGAGAAAAAATCCAACAAACAATGAACAAAATGAAATAAGCAATTCGTGCTTTCGATATGATCCCAGGATGTCGCTCACCTGCAGGACGCGACAGGCTTTGGTAGCACTACTCCGGCGGTATAAGCCGCCTGCCAAACGCCCTCCAAATTCACTCGCCTTGTGACCTCCTTGATCAATACAGGGGCCATGCGTTTCGATCGCAGCTTCTTGTGGACACACAAAAAGTTGATTTCCGCGACCTGTTGAGTTCAGTTAGATGGATCTTAAAAATCTTTAGCTTTACATGACATTCGCATTTCTGTTTTGGTAAAGCAAGACACGCAACTACATCAAAGAACTTCAACTTGTGGTAAAATTTTAATGCAATTTGCACAATACCTCAACTGGCTTCCCACAGACCTGCATTTTCGCAGGGATTCCAGAAATGAACGCGACGAACTTCTTCGTGGCCTTCACCCGGCAGGCAATGTGCCAGTGCTTTCGGTAGTGCGGGGGTGTGGTCGCCCATCTCAGAAACTCACGACTGTAGTCGAAACGGAAAGTGCCTGGTGTTGAGATAGGTTTTGTTCTTCAATCGCCACGCTACTTACGCCCTGGTTTTTACAGGCAAGGTCAGGGAGGAAGGTCCCACATAGAGCGTGAGCCACATAAACTTTCATGTTCATCTTCAAAAACTTAAGGTAAAAACAACTTCAAAACTTTTTTTACTGTCGTCGTCCTCCACGTAATTCTGGGACAGCAGCGTATACACTTCGTCAGCCTGTTTTGTCATGCCGAATTTGCTTCCTCCCTACTTCTCAAGTATTTCTTGTTCTATTTTGTTACCAATACCAGGTGCATGGTACATGATATAGAAAAAGACCCGCTGCCGTTGCAAAGTAAAGATAAAGACTGAAACTGCGAGAGATGATTCAAATGCAGCATGAGGAACGCAAAGTACGTCAGCTTCGTCCATGATGTCCACCGTGTACCACTCGAAGGATTCGGGTAGAGGCAGTGGCGTTTTTCGCACGTCGCTCACGTTCTGCTCCTGCAGCGGCCCAGTTTCGCCATCCGCTGCGAGGTCTTCCTCGGCTAGCTTCGGAACCTGGAAAAATGATGGAACAGCTTGGCGGGTGGAAAACTATTGTACTAGTAGAGCGACAAGGCAAGAAACCATCCTGGTACCGTGCAAGTAACCGAACCCGAAGACCTTTGCAAACAAAAACAACATTCTATACTGGTTGCGTATCCCAAAATGCGTGCGGCTTGTCTTTTGGTGCCTCTCGAGACTCCGCGCAGACCCTCCTTTTTGGCTGTTGCTGCAGGGAAAGCATCTGGAGCATTTTTGCCGCCGCGTCGGGCCCCATTTCCTCCTGCGCTTTCGCCAAGAGGTTCAGCACCTCAGCGCTGGCCCCTGGTGGAGCCGCAACGGCCGGTGCATTTTCCTTCGAGTCGGTTACGGCGCTCTCGGGCGTGTCTTTCGACGCGGCACCGGCGGTCGCATTTTGATCAAGGGTGTCGCTGGCGGGAGGCATGGTTTGGTACTTGTTTCGGGCACTGGGGCTAGCTACACACTATCCGAACAGGCAACAAAACTGAAAGTATGTTCCAAACTCTCAGCGTTGAAAAGTTCCTTAAGCCGAGGCCGCAAACTCAAAAAGTCAAATGGCTATGTTGATATCAAAGTAAGTAAATGTCGAATTATATGTCGCTGAATCTTTGTCGTTGACCTTGTTGCTGTGCAGGAAGATTTGGCCTTTCTTTACAGGGGCAATGCCATGGACTTTTTCCTTGGCCTTCAAGCAATAGGTCGTTTCGTTGCTGAATCGCGCGATCATCCTGCTGATCACGTGTTGTCAGTGTTGGGCCACGTCGAGTGATCTTGGTGAGCAACACTAGACTGATCTTTTTTTCGAACAATGAGAAAAATTGTAGCTGCTTACGAAAGCTCACGAGGACAACGGCCTACATCTTAAATTTGAAAACGGCAGTACAGATTCATTAAGGACCAGGCAAGTGCAGCAACAAGCCGCTTTGCATCAGTCTCTACCGGTCGATTGATTTCTTTTTGCACAGAGACTCCAGGAACCACAAATTAGTTCAGCAACGAAAAGGTTGAGGGTAGTCCGGGTAGAGGAGAAACATTTTTGGTGAAAAGTAGTGCTGCTCGTGGTAGGTTGGTGAAAGGTGCGACGTTGCGGCAGGCAGGTGTAAAAGTAGTTTCTATTTGTAGTTGTAGCCCTGAGCTGCATCAGAACTGTGTAATGTACAAGTCTAAGCTCCTGAAGCATTCCGTTCCGCTTCGCGCGCGGTTCTTCTTTGTCTTTTAAAAAAACCGACAGGCCATAACACTTTATGGTCCTTTGCAATTGCAGCCAGGTGGATTAGAAGCCAAGCTTAACTAGCATCACCGTCTGATCTTTGCCCAACACAGGACATGAGTCAGAAGATGAAGGTCAAGGTGGATGATCGAATATTGCAAAATGAGTCAAGTTTGCGTGTGAGTAGTACTTCACCAAAAGAAATGGGCACTACACTCTGATGATTGTTTTTTAGATATTTGGTTTTGGTCTATCTGTCAGTATGCGAGCAAGTACTTTGATGCTCAGAACCTACTTACCCCAGGCTCTCTGCTCTTCCTCGTTGCGCTAGCTCCTGCTAGAAGCTGCACCATCGCCTTCGTCAGTCCTCTTCCTTCTTGTCAGCCACATTTGCTGCGTCTACGGCCGCCTCTATCTCCGCAACTGCCGCAGCTTCGGCGTCCACGGGGGATGGAGCGGCGATAGCGGGCAGGGACGCACTGGCCTCCCCTTGTTGTTCCCCTAGTGAGCCGTCCGCGATGGCCTCGGGAATGCCCGCCAGCTGCTGTTTTCTCCTCTTTTCTAGAATGGCCTCCCGGGCTGGCGCGTCCATGAGTTTGACCAACATTGGTTTGTCGGCCGTGACCTCGTCTGTGTCCTTGTTGTGGTACAGGATATTGCCGCTCATACCTGGAGTAGCGTGGCGAGAAGCCGTTTGGGTTTGTGAAGACACATGACGAGGACATATCACTACACTACAATGTGCTTCTTGTTGTGCAAACTATAAAGTTGCTGAAAAAGAAGAAGTGAAAAAGAAGAACTGAATGCACCTGGAACGAAAGTCCACTCTTCGTCGAGGAAAGGCTCCAGATCCCGCACGTTGTCTTTCACGGTGGTGTTGACTTCTCGTAGTCTATCCTGCTTCCCCATGACGTGCTCTTGGAGCGTGTAGAGCATTCGTCGGATCTGATGTGAAATTGCTGGATTAAATTGCATCTGCGTTCATGATACGTACACGTAGTCATGGAAGATTAGTACAAACAAGAACAACTAAATGCTGGCTGCACTCAATTATTCTCATTTTTGGTACGGCCAAAACAACAACAAGCGTCTGAATCAATCAGCAAAAGCAAACGAGGCGCAAACAATTTTCATCATCTTGATCTTCAGTACTTCTTGCAATTGCTCCGTCAAGTCTGCGAACTCGAACTTCATGGTGTACTTGAGAAACTGCTCGGGTTCCAGGTTTTTTGCGTCGTCGAGGGACTGCTGAATGCACTTGGCCATCAGGTACAGGGCCTGCGGGCCGTCCAGCCCGCAGCGATCAATCAAGAAATCGCGCTCGATCATCCCGTATGGATTGGAAAAATGTCTGGGTCTGGAAGGTTGGAACTTGTAATGCTAACTTTCCATACCTAGAAAATCTGTATTGCGTAACCAACAAAAGTCGCAGCCTCTTTTGTCATGCAAAAACGCAGTTTCTCATGCGGATTTCCTATGAGAAAGCGTTTTGGGAAGTTATCATGCCGGACTGCATTCGGAAGTGTTTTTATCATGCACATTTTAGCATCACAAGTTTCCAGACCCAGTCATTTTTACATTTGATATCCCGTTCGCGAAATCCCCCTGGAAGCTGGTTTCTAAATTCGTCACCGCCCAGGGGATATCAAATGTAAAAATGTGTGGGTCTGGAAACTTGTGATGCTGGGTGGCGTCTCATGATGAGGCTACAAATGATGGCTCAGCATGAGAAGTTTCTGAGCTCCTAGGTGTTGCCTATTCTGCATGACAAACTGCGCTTCTGCATCACACAAAAACGCAGCTCTTGGGTAACGTGCATGACAGATTTAAGAGTCATGCCAGACAAGCATGACAAACATGAATTCTTCCAGACCCAGACATTTTTACAGTTGATAGGAGGTCTCGGCGCTGTCCGACCGCGCCCGGGCCATCTTGAGGCGGACCTGACGCACGTCATTTGGGATGGGGTCCAGCCCCTGCTCCTCGAGCGCTTCGTTTTCTTCCCGTATCTTCTGCTCCTCCGAATAAAACTCGTCGCGGTCCACGAACTCTTTCAAACGGTCGTAGATCACTTCGTAGTTGATCTGCCGTCGCTTGCCCGACATCGCGTTATGACTGTGCACAACTCCCCCACCCCTCATTTGTCATGTAAAATCCCAAACCCAGTCGCTGCCCCGTGGCACTGTTTGCATGACAAATTTCGAAAGCCCAAACAGTACTACAGCAAGTGCATAAATTTGCCATGCACAGGCTCCAGGGTCGCTGGCGTTCGTATTGCTGTCCATGCAATACAAATGAGGGGGAGGGGGAGCTTTGCACTGTCATACGCGTCCGTGGACTGCGACTGGGACATCAGCGTGTCGGTGAATATGTCCTTATCCAGGAAAAAACACCCATCCCCATCCATTTTTTGCATGACAAACAGTGGACTTTACGCATGTTTTGCATGACAAATTGGATCGGGATGGGTGTTTTTTCCTGGATAGTCCTTCACCTGCTGGAAGATGGTGTGCGCGCCGCGGAAGTTGGTGTGGTGCAGCACCCCCATGTATTTGTCGTACACGAGGGCAGTGAGTAAATTCAGCACGAGGAAAACCAAAATGATGATGAAGGAGAAGAACCACAGACTCGCGATCAGTGGAGTGATCCGGTAAATCTTGTCGTAGTCGAAATCCCCGTACACGATCTTCAAAGTCACGCCCATGGCCTTCAGCAGCGTGTTCCACTCCTCCAGCTGGGAGCCAAAGAGGATCCAACCGCCCATGCTGTAGTTCACGTACACGAGGAAAAAGACGATCAGGAAATGCAGCATGTCGTAACTGGCGTTCACCAAACTGAGCCCCATAATCGCAATGCGCGGCTGGCCGCGGAATCCCTTGAAAAAACGCATTATGATCAGCATGGAGTAGATATCCCACAGAAAAAACAAAAAGCAGGCAGGGCATATTTGTAATGCAAAAATAGATACACAGAGAAATCTGCCATGCCTGGCCCCATAGCATGCTGTTTAGGATATGCAGTACACATTTTTTTATGTATTTATTTTTGCAATACAAATATGACGTGCCAGCTTTTTTCTGTGTGATAGTAGAAAAACCCCAAAAGCTGCACCATTTTGCGCCGGGCCTCGATATCGTCGCTCAAAGCGAAAAGCTCCAGGTTGCTGTCGTAATACGGCGTCAAACCCGTTCCGACGCTTCCAAATTGTCCGGTACCGACAGCGCGCTGAATAGCTTGCGGCCCTGAAAAGTCGAAGTTTGCAAGAAATCGATCTTTCCTGCTTGCTATAATTTTTCATTCGCGCTGAGAACAACTAAGCAGCGCCAACATCGTTAGTGAGATAAATGCAGTCATGCGTGATGCCTACACAAAACCAATCTTTTTCATTCTGTGCATGTTGCCTACAGATGACAAAAATTCAAAAACTTTGTAAGTACTGTACATATACATTCTGAAAAATCACAAACCATAGAAACATATAAATACCTATCTCGCTGAACATCCCTGCTAAATCCTTTAGGTTACTTTGCAGAGCCATGATTTCAAACACGAATGCGAAACCCATCCCGACAGAAAGCCAATCGATGAAATTCCAGAAGTCGCTCCAGTATTCGCGCAAATAGCTCCAGTAGCCCCAAGAAAACGCCTTGCCCCCGAGGAGATCTATGGTGGCTTGCACAAGCTTCATCTGCTTTATCTCCACGTACATGAGCGTGCACACCAGCACCACCTGTTTTCGTTTTGTTGTAAGTATGATCAAAAAATTAAAATGGCATCGAGCAAGATTCTTGCAATTTCTAACAAAAACTGCACCCGGATTGCATCATATCAAAACCTAGACAGGTGGCAGAAAGAAGTAGACCACGGAACAAGAGCGAGCAAAATGAAATGAATCCAATTCAGATGAGTGTCAGTACCCAGATGACGTCGTAGACGATAGCGAGACCATTCTCATACAGATCGCTGGTCTCGGCGTGTACGGACAAGGTGGTTTCTACCCAGCCTCCGCGGTGAAATTCGAACTCGATCTTGGTGTTCAAGTACACTTTGGTTTCCGGGTTGAAGGCAAGAAATCTTATCATCAAGTCGATGCTCGCGGAGTCGATCCATTCGCGCTGGACCAGAGTTGTCAAGTACGCGTGCTGTTGCAGTCGTACTTTCTCGGCGGAAACCGTGTTCGGCAGCGACATCACACTGGGATTGTTCTGGTCCCAAAAATTCAGGAAGGCGTAGTACCTTGATGTTGATGTTGCAGAAGTAGTGCCCGGAATAAAAGATTTTTGTGCTTTTGGTGTAGTTTCTCTCGTGTTGCTGTAAATCTACTGTGCTTTCCCTGTTGTTTCAAAAAGCAAACGATATTAAGGTTAAGGCTAACGAAAAGCATAAGCTGAAGCTGAAGCTATACAACCTTGATCTTCATCTTCATCAGACACCCAGTCGTCTGCAAACTAGTGGAGTAACAAGTAACAAAACTATCTCTGGCACTCCTAGCTAGCCTAGTCTTGCTCTTAAGGAGGTAGAACCAGAAATATTAAGCTCCCACTGGAAAAAGCGTGCTTATAGGGGTACTTCTCACTTACCTGAATTCCTCGGCGTTCGCGAGCCCCCCAGCCTTGTGTACGAATTCCGGGCCGAGTCCGGGGAAGGACGTGTCCAGCGGCTGGTCCGGCGGGAAGCAGTGGGCGTCGTAGAATTTTCGCAGCCCCGCATCCACGTCGCAGCTGGTTTTCTTCGCGCGACTCTGGCTCAAGACCACGGAGCCGGCGATCCGGTTGTACACCTTCACCACGGACCCGTTTATTCTGGGCAGAAACCCGTCCTGCAGCCAGTCGTTGACGTCCTCCCGAGTCTCCAAGTCGTGGATCGTCAAGGGACTGGCCGTCTCGTTGGGACTGCGGATCACCTCGATCCGCTCCAAGTCGTCCACCACACCGCGGCGCGTCAAGTACACCGCCTGAATGTTGCTGTGCACGATGACGACGAGCAGAAAGGTGATCCACAAAAACAGCGTGAAGGGCAGCGTGAGGCAGTCCTCGCGCAAAATCACCTGCTTGCGGCAGTACTCCATAAACACCTGGTTGGTCACCTTCTCCTTTTGTTTCCTCGCGATGTCCTTCCGGTGCTCCTCCACCTGCTCCTGGGTGGGCGCGCTGGAGATCGTGGCCGCCGATTTTTGGTATTTCACGCCGCCATCCGCGTCTACGGACATGGCATTTTCGAGTTGCTGCTTCCGAAACCCCTCGATGGTGGTAAGGTATTTCAGCTGCGCGGTCTTGTTCGCGTTCCTCAGGCCCGTCACGGCCCGGCTCCACATGCTTGGGCCCTTCATCTGCGACTCCATGCGCGCCATCCGCGCGCGGTTGGCGGCTTTTATCTTCTCTCGCGGATCCATTGTCAGGCTGCGGGAGTTGTCTGTTCAGGCAGGGCAGTGACAACGAAAACAAGAGAGGACACGGAAACGAGTCTTCTAGCACGAGGCAACGCAAGTCGACGTTGCTATTTCAAAGACGCTTTTTCGTCCAACTTTAACGAGGTGATACAGGCCGCTCCTCCATCAGCCATTCTTCCCTCGTCGCCGCCGCATCTTCGGAACAGACAAGGAAAAGACCCTTGGCCTTGCCCCTAGCATCGAAATAGTCGAACGCGGAAAAAAAGGGTCTTTACGACATTTTGGTATAACAAACAGCACCAATACAAGCTAATTAATCTCGGGATGAATTACGTCTCCTCTACTTCTCTTCTTGAATTCGAATTCCATGTGGTCCTGGCGAAATGACAAGTTTGACAAGCTGTCCACGATAAAGTTTCGAGACGTCTTCAAGAATGCTACAACTTTCGTCGTCTCTCATAGCGTTGCGCTTTCTCAACGCCTGCTGCTGAGCTCCTGCACTCGATGTCGCGCTCCCTGATTGATGCTCGTGTTAATATCAAGAACTACTCTTGCACGATTTCGATTCCCTCAGTAAACCCGCTCGCGAATCTGTATATCTCTACTTGTTGGCCAGTGTACTGTGATTCTCTTGTTGAAAGTTCAGTATCGAGATCGAGCAACCGAGATATCTATGCTAGGGCTCGCTGAAAGAATAAATGCTTGCTCCAAGCGCATGACCATGAGGATATGCGTTGAGTCTTGCTTGGTCATTAAACACATTTGGCCTGGGAATGTGACATTCCCCGGCCGATCTCGATTGACCTTCCTTCCTTCCACTCAGTGGTCGCTGTTCATCATCCGATGACATCACATCATGGTTATCGTTATGCACGGCGCGCCGCGGGATGTTGACATAGATAGTACACAGAAAAGTCCACAACTACAAAACGCCCTATTTTCGCGGCGTGCAAGTCGGAAGAAAAGCGCTGCGATATGATGCACATCAGCTTCCGATAAAATAATTGATTCCGTGAAGAAAATTTGTAGACTTGTTTCGAAGGAATGTTCCCTTGATGTAGGTCCGGCGGTCTTAAGCCGTTTCCAAATATTCATTTTTTTTTTCCGATACTGATTGTCCTCTTGACGTCCTCCAGCGCTTCTCGGCCCCTTTTGTTTCCCGCGGCGATATTTCGCAGAGCGGCGACGAGGAAAAGGAAGTGGGCGAAGAAGGGATCGTACCTGGTCGTCGAGAAAAAGATCGGTGAGAGACGTTGCAGCGCGCTGCAGAGAACAAACCCGAGTCCCGCACCCACCACAACATCGAGAACGTGGTGGACCTGCCAGTGCACCCGCCCAAACGCCGCCAGGAAAACTAGCGACAGACAGCACACAGTGGTTGTCAGACTCCTGCTTGAGCTTGAAGACTCGATGCTGGAGGTCGACTGTTGTTCCTCGAAGAGCTCCAGAAAAGAGTAGTACACTGCGACCGCGACGCCGGTTGCACCCGCTGTGTCGCCGGAGGGAAAGCTCGCGTCCGGGTCCAGAGCGATGAACTTCGAGAAAAATTGCACCCGGTATTCCCTCCGTTGGTCTTCGGGCACGAGGAGAAGTGGTCTTCTTCTTTTCGTCACGTCTTTCACCACCATCACCGCCGCCAGACTGACGCTCCAGTACACGAGGACTCGGCGCGCGGCACTGATCGCGAGTGGCGGCGTGGAAGAAAAGGTGGAGCCTCCTGGGGAGAACAGCAAATCCACGACACCACTAAAAACGATTCCCTCCTCCTGCCAGCAGGCCTCCAGGACCAACAACAGTATGGAAACGGCGACCGGCCCGAGCACGTACCCCCACTTGCCCCAGAAAAATTCGAAACGCCCGGCCACCTGCAGGGCCGCCGCCGGTGTTTTCACTTCTTCCTTGGAAGTGCGTGCGAGCAAAACATACATGAAGAACGTCACCAGCCAACCCGCAAGTAGGAAAAGTGCCACTGTGAGACACACCAAGTTTACCTCCTGGGCTGTTCTCGCAGCTGCCAGTGGTCCGCCAGCGTTCTTTGGATTATTTGCTTGTTGTATGATCGTGGTCGTGAGTAGACCCGGGGACCAAATTTTCGGCCGACTATTCCACGCGTCGAGCACTAGTACCAGTGTCAGCGGACACATAACCAGGCACGGAGTCGTCGAGAAAAACATTCCCGGGAACGCAAAAGCGTACTCGAGAACGCCCAAGTTGATGCGATCCGAAATGATGCGCGATACCCATTTGTCAGCCCGATCGAGCTTCCCGCCGGCAGGAGGCCACACTTGTTGGGAATTTGTTGTACTGGTACTAGAGGATGAGGATATTTCATAACTTTTGTTGCGCGTTGAATTGTCACGACTGCGTTCCACCTTTTTCGCACTCGTAGTCGACGATGACGCGGCCACACTTGTTCTGCGCCCGGACGTAAATGATGAAGACGCTTTCCTTCCCGTTGACGTTGCCGGTGTAGCTCCTCTCAGACGAGCTTTGGAGGATTTATCCCCGGTGGAAGTTGTCTTCATGGTATTCATATTTCAACTTTGTCGTACCGATGCTTATGTAGATTCTTGCATTTCCATATTCACTTCTGATTCTTCGTTCGGATCCTGATCTCTTTTGCTTTTGTCTAGCAACAGTGTTTATGATCATGTAACTCAACTTAGTCCGTTATGCTTGACTCAGCAGTCGCCTGAAAATCAATTGTGTGCTCGCTTCTTGAGGCAAGCGAGTGACTGTTTACCATAGTGAGTGAGGGACTCTGAGTCACCTAAAAATCTAAGCGAAAAAAAAATCCATATTGCATCTCAATCTGTAGATCTTCAGCACCGAAATGGATGCAAGACCTCTATGACGAGCATCAGAGGTAGTGCCTTCAGTCACCTCGAGATCCCGGTTCCAACTAACGAAAAAAGAGAACAACACGACAGCTGGGAAGAAGTCTTTTCACTTCGCGCTGCATCATCATACGAAGGACGCGTACTCGTTCACCGCCAGCAGCGGCACTAGCTCCGCCTCGAATTAGCAAAAATGAAGCAGAGAGTTATGGCGTGGATGATTCCGTGAGCATGGTTATCAGGGCACGAAGAAAAACCGAATATCATCGGGAAAAAAAGAGCTCATATGCCTTTGGAGAACGTATGTCTGTGCAAAATCGTGGGAGGTAGAGGCAAACGTCACGACCGGATAAACTACCACTTGACCAAAACACCTTTACTGAAGTGGGGGTAGACGAAAGAAAAAACACAAAGTGGGTCATGTGGTGATTCTTGTGATACTGATTGATAATTAATGATATCGCTTTCACTTTCTTGCTTATCGTAACAAAAAGCGACACTACTTTTATGTGGCAGTGACGTCCGTGACGTTGAGCCCCAAGGCCTTCAGCGACTTCACAAGCTTTTTCTGGTCCCGCCGCTCCTTCTTAATCGCCTTTGCCTTTTTCTTCTTCTCAAACTCGAGTTTGTCGGCAAAGCTCTGTTTGATGTCCTCGAGTTTTTGCGTGAGCCCTTGGTCATACACCACGCGCATTTCGTACCCCGAATTGTTCTTTCGCCGGACGTATTCCTCACGGAAAAGCCGCGCCCCAGTCGTGCTCATCCGATTCAGCTCCTGCTCCGCCGTACGTCGGGTTGTGTCTGTGTGATGTCGTAATTTCAAATTTCAAATGATAATGAATAATAAATTCAATTCGCATTTTGATTCTTTTAGGAATCAATGTATTGAACCGACATGAAAATCTATTGCAACTATATTTATTGAGAATCGTATGTTTTCGCACCAGACAGAGCAATTCAGATGAAGTAACAAGAAGTACCTCTCGCCTGGTCCGCTGTTTTCTCGCCTGGCCGTGCGAGCGGGCGGCACCAGCGCACGATGTCGCGCGGGTCCCGCGTGTCGGTGACGTAGACCGGGTGCCACAAGGTGCTGGGCATCACGCCCTTGCGGTATTCCTTCATCAGGCGCTCGCCGTGCGACCCCTTGCCCCAGTGGTCCCGTTCCCCCTCACGTGGCAAGTTTCTGGCTTTTTCGTTCGGGTCCGATGTGTTCAGCTTCGCATTCACCACGACTGGCAACGCGGTGCCGCCACTTGGGATCTCCGGCTTCTTCAGGACGCTCACGTACCCATTGGAAGCGTGTATGGACGTCGCACCAGTGGCCGAAGAACTCCGTGTAGCTTTTGGCGCCGCCGCGGAAGGGACGCTGATACCGTTTGGGAATGTGAAATTCGCCTGCCTTTTCTTTTGCGCGAGGACTTCGGGAGGCTCCTCATCATCCAGATCTGCGGGCGAAGCCTCACCGAACGACACACTGTGCCGGTTTGGCGCACGGTACTTTCGGCCGATCACCTCATCCCAGCTCGTGGGCGTCCGCCCCGTGTCCGCGTGCAACGCAGAATTCGCACCGATGCGATACATGTTGGCTTTGCCTCTGAGAATTTAAGTACAACACAGGTGTAAATGGTTACTTTTGTCCTAAGGGAGTAAATGATGATGAGGGAGTTGAAAAGAGTTTATACATGCACCTGATGTAGTTTGATGTACTGTGTGACCGCGATAATTATAATAATAGTGAAACGGGTTTTGCCTCCCCCTTTGCTATAATCTATAGGAGGCGCTTAGAAAAATAATTCTAAACAAATGTGCTTAGAAGGTTCCGTCTAGAGGCGATGTGTAACAGATTGGGCCTTTCCATTTTTCCTGTTCGCCATACCATCGCGCAGAATATTACTCCGCATGGTATGGCGCACAGAGTAGATGCCACGCATTTCATGGCATCGCGGGGACCAAAAACCCTGCCGCGAACTCCTGGGCCATTACTATCCGGTCGGGTTAGGCTAAAATGATGGCCAAGAGCTCGCTGGCCATCACTTTCCGGCCCGTCGGGCCAAAGTGATGGCCAAGAGCTTCTCCTGACCCGTCTATCACTTTCCAGTCGGGCAAACAAGGAAATACTTAGTGGCCCAGTGCTCCTTGGCCATCCCCATCTCTTCGACTTCCCGGCCGGGCAAAAGTGATGGCCGAGATTTTCTAGGCCATCGCTTTTGGCCATCATTTTTCCGGCCGCCCGGGCAAAAGTGATGGCCGTGAGCTCCCTCTGGGCCATCACACACTTTCCGGTCGGGCAAAAGTGATGGCCAAAAGATCCTGCTTGGCCATCACTTTCCGGCCGGCTTCCCGGTCGAGAAAAAATGATGGCCAGGCTTCCATGGCCATCCCCATCGCTTTTCGCTCCCTCGGGCAAAAGCAATGGCCAAGAAGAGCTTCTTGGCCGTCGCTTATTTGCTTTTGGCCATCACTTCCATCCCGGCGGGCCGGGCAAAAGTGACGGCAGAGAGCCCCTTGGCCATCGCTTTCCGGTCGGGCAAAAGCGATGGCCCGGAGCTCCGCGGCCATCACACACTTCTCGCTCGGGCAAAAATGATGGCCGCGAGCTCCTTGGCCATCAATTCTCGCCTAGGCAAGCAAAGCGATGGCCACGAGCGCCCTTGGTGGCCATCATCTTTTCGGTCGGGCGAAGGTGATGGGCGAAAGCCCCCTGGCCATCACTTTCCGATCGGGCAAAAGTGATGGCCGAGAGCTCCTTGGCCATCAGTCTTGGCTGGCCATCGGGCAAACGTGACGGCCAAGATTTCCCTGGCTCTCACTTTTGCCCGTCAGCCACTTTCCGGTCGGGCAAAACTGATGGCCAAGAGCTCCCCGGCCATTATTTCTGGCCATCAGCCACGCACTTCCCGGCCGGACAAAAGTGGTGCCCGAGGGCTCCTTGGCCATCACTTTTATTTGGCCATTGGTTCCCGGTCCGCCGGGCGAAAGTGATGGCCAAGAACTCCTTGGCCAGCAATCACTTTTTGCCTTCGCTTTCTGGTCGGGCGGCAAAAGTGGTAGATGGCCAAGAACTCCTTGGCCAGCCGCGATCACTTTTCGCCATCGCTTTCCGGCCCGGCGGCAAAAGTGATGGCCAAAAGCACAAGCCCCTTGGCCATCACTTTTGGCCATCAGTCATTTTCCGGCCGGGCAAAGCTGGCGGCCAAGAATTCCTTGGCGATATTTATCTTCTTGCCATCGCTTTCCGGCCACGGCCGGGCAAATAAAAGCAAAAGGGATGGCCAGGAGTTCCCTGGCCACCGCTTTTCGCTCGGGCAAATGTAATGGCCGAGAGCTCCCTGCCCTGTCTGGCCATCACTTTTGGCCGGGAGCTCCTTCCTTGGCCATGGAGCTCCTTGGCCATAACTTTTGGCCATCACTTCCCGGTCGGGCAAAAGTGATGGCAGAGAGCCTCTTGGCCATCACTTCCCGGGCGGGCGAAAGCGGCGGCCAGGGCCTGCTTGGCCATGCGTCGCTTTTCGCCCGGGCAAAAGTGTTTCCGGTCCGTCGGGCGAAAGTGATGGCCAAGAGCCCCTTGGACATCACTCTGCTCGGGCAAAAGTGATTGATGGCCAATGGCTCCCCGGCCATCGCTTTTCGCTCGGACGGGCCGACGGGCAACCAACCAAGCAAAGTGATGGCCAGGAGCTCCTTGGCCACCACTTTCGGCGGCCATCAGTTATTTCCGGTCGGGCAAAAGTGGTTGGCAAAAGCTCCTCGGCCATCACTTTCCGATCGGTTCGGGCAAAAGTGGTGGCCGCGAGCTCCTTGGCCATCACTTTTGGCCATCGCCTTTCGTTCGGGCAAAACATCACTCTCCGGCCGAGGCACGCAAAAGCGATGGCCAGGAGCTCCTCGGCCATCGTTTTCCGGCCGGGCGAAAGTGGTGGCCAAGAGCTCCGGGGCCATCGCTTTCGCTGGCTCGCTCGGGCAAAAGTAATGGCCGAGAACTCCCTGGCCATGCGTCATTTTTCGCTCGCCTCGGGCAAAAGTGACGGCCAAGAGCTCGCAGGCCATCACTTTAATTTCGGCCCGTCGGGCAAAAGTGATGGCCACGAGCTTCGTGGGCATCGCTTTTCGCTCGGGCAAAAGTGATGGCCCGAAACTCCTTGGCCATCACTTTTGGCAACCACTTTCCGGGCGGGCAAAAGTGATGGCCAGCCGGCCGCCAAAGCCGCCGCCAACAATCAAAATAGACTTTGCGGCTGGCCCCCCTCTGCTTTGCTTGCCGGGCGCGCAAAAGGGGCTGACGCCGGGCCGGCGTCCTGGATGCCGGACCGCAAAAGCGCTAAAGCGGCGAGGCCGCTAGGGCAAGCGCAGGCCGGCCCAGGCGCACCAACCTCCCTCGGGGCCCGCCGCCCTCCCATGCACAAAGCAAAACCGCACCAGTCCGAGTCCCGCGGCCCTGCTGGACGGTCGTGCCTGGCTCCGTGTAGTCTGTCCGCGCTATGCTTTTGCTTTCTCTTCCTCTTGCGGTGCCGCCTCCCCCTTTTTCTGAGGCGAATTCCGGGGCCTTTTGTGCCTATTTCTGTCTGTGCCATGCCTTCACCTTCTAACCAACCAAAATGGCGTGAGCGGTGCGCGCTCCTATCGCACGAAAAAAATATATCATACTCATATTCACGCGAATTCAACCATGAAAAATTGTCATTTTTTTGGAAAAAGCGCAACATTTTTGTCGAAAAACTCAAGTATTTCATCAGCGATTTTTTTTTCCGGCGACGAATTTGCGGGGTTTGGAGGTAAGACCTGGCGTATTTTTTTTGGATGAGAAATATGCTACGCTATGAGTTGGCTGCTTGTAGTAGTTTCACTAGCTAGAAGGAGGCGGCTGGCACGGATACTCCCGCTGCTCTTGTCCAGACCTTGCTCTTCGTCATGATGCTCCTCGGCCCCACCTGGGGCCGAAGGCGACGATTCCGACGGAGTGGATGTGGCCAGCAGCGTTCCCGGATATGCGGCACCTAACCGCCTCTTAATAGCTAGTTAAACTACTACAGGCAGCCAAAATAGATAGATGCAAGATCCATGCCATTCCATCATCAAAACAAAACAAGGTACCTGACTCTGCCGGACACCGCGAAGATTTTTGAAAAGTCAAAAATTGAAAAAAATGCGCTTTTTGGACTTTTTTCGGTCCGGTATGAGTATGATATATTTTTTTGGTGCGATAGCTCCATGTGTAGAATTATTTTTCAAGCTACTAGCCCAGCGGGCGTCCGAGACGCCCGCGTCAAAGGGCTAGTATGTATATGAAAATGAAAATCTAAATTGATGAAGATAACGACATGTGAACGATCGGAGCACCACGCCAATGCTTGTTTGGACGAGTACAGACGACGACACGTGCGCGCATGTGAACGAAAGAGAGAGAGAGGCTTGGTTCTTCTTGCTGGCTATTTATCAACCACCACGAGCACGAACGGAAAGGACAAAACGCACGTAAACTACCGGCAGCACCATTTGTTCCCGCACGGAGTACCAGAACGTGAGTGAGACGCCGAATATTCATCACTGCAGCGAGAAGAAACTGAAACACGCAAGGGACACGACAAGACATCGACAGACGACCAAAACTATGATCACACCTGGGACGACCGATCAGCAAGTTGTAACGCAACCTCTGATGTGATCGTGCCTTCGGATTTTACAACGTGCACCACAGAAGTAAATGGAGTTTTGAATTTCTCTTCTCATCTAAATCTGTGCTCCGAAACCTACTAAATTGAAAATCGAGATGTTTCCTCAACAACTACAAGAACTGCCAGGGAGCAAAAAATTATCAGGTGGAACCAGTGACGAAACAGATTACAGGTACTTATTTGCCTGGGGAAGTCCAACGAACTGCTCCTGCTCGACCGTATCGAATCGGAATCGTGCAGCTCAAAAAATTTGTAAAAGCGAGGGAGGGGGGATCTAGAAACGCTAGAGGACAAGATCTGAGTTGACTACAGGGTTTGGTGTATCTTCAAAACTGGGCTGGCTCCAGGTCCCGCTCATACAACGGCGTGGTCGGCGAAAAAGTTGTACTACTTGATGTTGATGAGCGCGCCTCGGGACCTCCAAAAAAATCTTTCTCTGTTGCAATTCGCTTGAATGAAACACTCCATACGTAGACCATGAGTGCGAGCGCGTAACAGGAGTAGAGTAGCTGCGCAATGATATCCCAATCCACGCTATCGTAGATTTTCTCGGGGAGTTCCCATTTTTTCTGCTCAATTTCTCCGTCTTCGTCTACGCTAGTGACGGCTGAATTCCGAGCCTGTGCACTAGCGGAGAAGGCTCCCTCGATAAAGTCGTCCTCGTCATCCGTTTCGGCGAGGTCCACCGGAACGTTCTGGTTCACGAGCAATGGTGCCATTTCGGCTCCTTCGGCAGTTATTTCTTTTTTAGTTTCTGCCTCCTCGGTCGGGCGGTGCTCGAACTTCTTAAACATGGCAAACCTTGTCGTCATCAGCATGAGTCCCATAAACGCGGAGAAGAAGCCCGTGGCCATGAAAGTGAGGTAGTGGGCGTGGCCGCCACGCAGCAGCCCGTCTTGAAAGAGAATCATGAGCACGCAGGTGAGCAGCGGGAACACCACGCCGAGCATGAATCCCATCAGCTTCGGGATCCACAGTCCGTACTGCTCCCATTGGTCGCGCCGGTTTTGGAAAAAGCCCGCGCGCCGGCGCGCCGCGTGCAATTCCGAGTATCGTTTCTGCCAGTCCTTTTTCACGGTGGCGTGGTCCTCCGGGAGCCCCATCTGGTACAGCACGTCGTACGTAATGCCCTTCTTCTGCAGTTCGGGGTCCAATTTTTGCCGCACCTTTATGGCGTTCTCAACTGTTACATTCTCCAGTGTTACATGGATTTGTCATGCAAGAATGGGAAAAGTGAAAGGGGGGAGGTTGCATCTGTAGCATTACAAATTCCGAACAGATTTGGGTGCTGTTTAGCCATTCGCAAATTTGTCATGCGAAGCAGCTTGATCGTGTGGATCTTGTTGATGATCATTTTGCATGACAAATCATGTAACAGTTGAGAATGTAACGTTTGAGAACGCCATAACCTTCGCGTCCGCCTTCGCATCGAGGTCCTCCTCCGATACATTGTAGTCGTAGACCAGGTATGGATTGTAAAAGTGTCTGGGTCTGGAAGGTTGCAACTTGTCATGCTATTTCTGGATTATGCAAAAATCTGTGTTGCATAAGTGCCAAAAGCTGTCCACTTTCGACCAAGTTGGCAGGGAGTTTCTCATGCAGGATAGGCATGGTAGGGATCTCACAGAATCTGTCATGCTGGGTCTCGCATTCCAGACCTCATGGCTCATGGAAAATATGCATGACAAATGTAGAAATTTTCCAGACCCAGACATTTTTGCATTTGATACCAGGTCCCCGAGCTCCTTCCAGCAGACAAAGAGTATCAGTGGCTGCAGCATGGTCGGGAAGCCGCCCGACAGCGAGTCCCGGTTGTGGACCCGCACGAAAAACGTCAGCAAAAAACCTATCACCTTGAACAGCAGTAGCAGCATGCCCAAGACTTTGCTCCGGTACCGCATCTCGACGAAGGTGGCGCAGACAATGAAGAGCGGCATTTCGATGCAGTAGGCGACAGGGTTGGGAATTACGAAGGAATGCGTCAGGGAATTATGGTACAACTCGAAGGCGAGGTCCCGGCACCCTCCAGCACCCCCCAGATATCGCTGAATAAAGGCATTCGCCGGCGCGGCCCCTATCTTTTCGTACTGCCTTTCCTTGATCCGGTCCGTCAGCATGCAGAGACTCCACATGAAGGTGCAAAACATGGTGTGCATGAGTGTGATCACCGGAAAATAATGTGAATCGTTCTGGCCTTTCGGACCGCAGATTATCTCGCGGAGGGGCGGCCCGTCCTTTTCACTTGTATTATTCAGACGCTTGTTGGCTATCTGCCTGTTATCCTGGTGCTGGAACTTGTTCCGTTCCGCATCCTCGGTGTCCACAATGTGCCGGACGATACTCAGTATGATGCCCTGTCCTGCGTGCTTCATCTTTTCTCTGCGCTTCTTCCTGGCTTCAGCCTCCACCGAAGGCCGCTCTTTATTACTTACTCTTTTCTCAGCCTTTCCCTGCGCCTTGCTTTTTCGGCTGGAGCGATCTTCCACTTGGCCAGGAGTTGTTCCTTCATCAGGCACAGCAGCAGCGGCTCCGTCGTCTCCTCCAAGAATGTGCGTTGGTGTTGCCTCGTTGTCCTCTGGCTGTTCTTCCGTTGCCGGCGGAGTAACAAGGGCGCCGGCTTCTGACATTTTGATTCTCAGACCCACGCTCTTCTTCCTAGTGGTCTGGTGAATTAGCCGCGCCGATCAGGTGATTGTGATTCAATTACGATGGATCTGGTGGAGGTGCAATTAGAATTAATGAAACAAGCAGTAGAGTCGTCGAGACGCCTTCCGGAGGCGTCTGGTGGAACTCTGAAAGATATTGCGCTGAAGAAGTTCTACTTCCAGGTGAAACACTACGCAGTAGTGATTTTGGCGTACTGGTTGCGCGGGTGCGCGTTTTAAATTATTGGGAGGGGAAACAAACAGCCCTGACGATTGAAGAATAACGAAAAGACGAAATAAATGCCATCCTCGGTCGTGTTGCAGAAATTGTGAAACAAATTCAAATAACTCCCTGTACTTGTTACACTAGCCAACAGGAGGAGTTTGAGTTTTTCTCCATAAACGATGCACGACGACGATCAGTACGATGAAACACATGTTGAAACCTACCAAAAATCTACACGGACGGACGCAGTGAACGAAAACCTCAATATTTATGTGCAACACCACAGCTGCTGCATGCACCGCAAATAAAACTGGAACGATTGAAATAACTTCGCACTAAGGTGCATTCGTGTGGCCAAGCGACCAGGCCAGCACAAAGGGTCTACGCGTCCATATTATGTGGCTGAAACGACACGCCTGACGAGAACGATGAGACGACTAGGGAACAGTTCCTGATCCTGCGGCAAAAACTCTATTGCTACATGGATCCGGTTATTTATTCTTGCCTTGTGCAGCAAAGTGCTGCCGAAAAGCATCTGAAAACAGCCTGGCCATCGTGATTCAGATTCTGTACCGCTTGAGTTCAAAATATCTACCTGCTCCGTTTGAGTAACTGACACTGTTGAAGCGATGCGCAGCGCTGCGAGCTCATTCAGAATCAAAATGCAACTCCAATTTTCTAATTTTCGAAACTCCTAAAAGTCAAGTTATCTTCTTGTCGTCTTCGACTTGCTGCTCATACTTCGCGCGATGCTCAAACTTCGTCACCCGTTCTGAACTCCCTTCCGCGTCGTGCTTGACTGATGGCGTCACGGGCGTCCTTCAAGCTCTCGAGTTCTCGACCGAGCCTTTGTTTTCCGCTTTCTTTGTCCCACCAGGGTGCTGCACCTGCACGTCTTGATGTGGTTGCGGGTGAGGAAACAAGCGCCATGTCTCGGAAGAAAAGAAAGGAATCAGGGGCAGTTAGTGAACGGCCGCCGCGGAGGTGTCTTTCACTTTCTTCGGGAATCGGTATGACAACGTCGCAATTCGGGGACGTTCTAATTTTTCCTTGGCGTGGCGCAACAGGTGACAAGTCGCTCTGGTTTCTCCACATGTCAATGTCTCTGCTTCCGTTACCGTTTTGGAGTCGACACAAGCGAATCAAGGCCTGAGACTCCGCTACCCAGTGTCTGAAGCCATTGTCATTGAACAGAGCCTCATAGTCATCGCGCTGTTCGCGGGAGTCTGTAGTATACAACTGACTACGGTTATCACCCGCGACGCGTCCTCGCGTACCTTGCTGATTTTCGCTTTCCCGGACCCGTATTGCTTCTTCGCTATCTCGTCCTATCGTGCTTTCTCTCTCCTCGCTCTCGGGGGACGAGGGAATCACTGAAAGGGGTATCATTTCCACCTCTAAACTTGACGAAGAAGCGGAGCTTTCGTCGTCACCTGGAACCGGCGCACGGTGTGCAGCCTCGGAGCTTCTTTTCGTCGACGATCCGGAGACCGAGGGTGCGATGCGGTCCCGGCGCTTCATCCCTGAAGAGGCGCCGCCACTCCTGCCACTCCTGCTTGAAGGTCTCGGCCCACCGTCTGCGACGCGACCCAGCACCGATGGTGTTATCGACCGCACAGGATCGGCGGCTCGCTTGGGTTTAGACTTGTTCAGCAGGGCCGCGGCCTTCACCGCCCCACCTGCGGAGGAGGCATTTTTGCTGAGCGAGGCGCGCTCCGCGATGTTTTTGAAAAAAGGCTCGCCCTTGTAAAGGTAGTCTGTAAAGTGTCTTCTCGCGATCTCCCGCTTCGCGTCCTCGACGAGACGGTCGTGATCGACTGGAACCTCTCCTGCAGGAGCACCGTCAGCCTTATCCGTTTCGTCAGCACCCAGCACCGGACTGTCGTCATCGGCCAACTGCGTTTGGTAAGAAGTTGGAAGAACCCCTATCACATCGGCAGGGCGGTCTTCAGGGTGCAGCAGCAGCGGCGCGGCCGCGATTGCCTCCTGCTTCGAGGCAAAGCGCAAGCCCCAGAAATCGTTGTCGTCTTCGTCTTTCCTTGCTCCGTCCGTATCTGGCTGGTCTTGCTCTACTATGTCAACCGGTTCGTCTTGCTTTTCAGCGACGGCCTCTTCGGTCGGCTCCTCGACCTCTTCCGGGTTTTCCTCCACGTGTTTTTCCGCCCCGCTCTCGACGTCTTTTTCGTCCTGCTCCCCTTCTTCTACAACGACGAGTTTACTTTCCTCTTCCACTGGTGGTTCCTCAGCCTCGTCCTCCTTTTTCTCTTCTTCAACGGGCGCCTGCTCCTCGTCCTTTTTCTCAGTGTCGTCCACGACTTCTTCGGGGGGTTTCTCTTCCTTCTCTTCGTCGGTGCTATCGCAGCAACCGCAGCAGAACCCCTTCATCGGGTGGCCATCGTCTGGATGCTCGCCGTGCTCCTTGTCGGCTTTGGTAGCATCTGCCTCTGCTCCGTTGGGAGTTGTAGCGGCATCGCCTTCGGCGTTCTCGCTCGCCTTGGCCTTTGCACAACAATTACCCATGCTACGGGTCGTGCGGAAAGAAGGAGTGTGCACAACGAGAGCTTTTTTACTTTTTTCGAAGTAGAGGGTGTGATACCAAAATGCAACCAGGCATCTTGGTAAACGTTAATGATATCCTAAACGGACAATATAATGGGATTTCTAGTGGGCATGCAGCTGGTGAGGTACAGGTAGCTAAAGTACTGAGAGAAGACATGGGTGGAACTGTAAATCACGCATTCGCACTAACTAGGCTGTCTAAGTAATCGATACGTTCTATTCATCTCGTAGAAAATACCATACCACAATCACTTGTTTGTCCAACCTGACTTAGCTAAGGGCTAAACAATGACATCCACGACAACGAACGAAGACAGAGAAAGGGACGTGGATAATACGAACGACAACGAGCAGCACGAAAAGAATTGTAGTTGTACGAAGAACGAAGAAACGAATTCAAACCAACACGATATAGGCCAGGATGAGGCCAGAAAGTTCATTTGTCGAATGGAGACGGAATACTGGCAGTGCGTTCGTCGACAGTCAGTAGGCTACCCCTAACAATTGGGAATTTCGAAAAGTGCATACTTAGCTCACTGCGGAAACACTTGGACAGGGTGAAGAGAGAAACCAAGCCCCCCTGGTCGCGATAAACGACTGCCATATTGCAGGAACGCGACGGCAAGAAGCTCTGACGCAGACGCATTTCAATTTGACATTCAATTTCTGTCTCCTCCAGCTGAATGGATCTTGCATTTATTTCATTTCTCGACGAAGCTCTCGGTGATCCTGCTTTCGCCCCTATCATTTGTTGCACGAAGATGTGCTGAGGCTGACAGTTCGTCACAGGCGCCTTCTTCAAGATGCATTTCAGATGGGTGCTGATGAAACAGTGGTAGTCGTGACTTAGATTTAGTTCATACAAATTGACACAGTGTCCGCACACGATCTGATGGGTCAACACCATTTTTCGTGGTCTTCATTCACAAATTGCACATGCGGCCCAGACGACCGTCATATCGTCTTCCCGGCTGCGGCGGACCCGGCCCCTTTTCCACCCTCGTCGGAAACAAAGACGTGCTGTTCGGTTTTCGAGTTGGTTTTTTTTGTCATGCTCGCTGATACTCAAGAAAGATACAACCGCGCGAATTACTAGTTCGTTGTAGATTATGACTGATCAATCTCCATGGTGTGAACAAGAAGAGAACAACAACAGTAGTACGTCCTGCATGTGCTTTTGGTAGTTCTTTTTGAAATTCTCGAAGCGATCCGTCATCTCCTTATCCGGATTCCAGTGGGGCATTTTGGTCTTCGTGGGCATACTCCTTGGTGTTGGCGGTACGCGCAACTGGATGTCGCGACGATAGCGGTTTCTGTAGATGAAGTGTTGACGTGAAATGTTAGTTTACTCACTGCAACTACTTACGCCGGATTCTGATTTTCAATCTTCTCTTTCATCGTTTTCTAGAACTCGCTGTGTGAAAGGCGAAAGTGGCTTCACTATTACTGAAACTAAGTGAAAGCATACCGGAAAGCAAAAGAATGGTATAGTACGAATTGGCCCCCATTTTCGTGAGCAGCGTTTGTCTCTTCGCCTCCTGCCTGCCCATGGCGTTGGGATCGCCCAAGGTGCCCTTGCACTGCTCGAGTCGCTTCAGAAGAAGCCTGTTTTCTCGCGTTATCCTATCTGACTCTCGGGTATGCAGCTGCGCGTGCAAACTCTTCTCCGCTTTCACTGGGTGCAGGAGATCGATTTTCCTGAGTTGATTTGCGTTTCCTTTAAACCAAAAGCAACAAGATGAACTACAACAGGACTGCAATTTCAAAAAGTCGTTTTGTTTCGCGTGGTACAGAGAATGTGGCTCCCCTAATTCGAAAAATATATCGCAGCATCAACACCGCTGGAAAAGTGCAGTTTTGATTTTCAAAACGTAGTTTACCTTGTGTCTATCTCGAGCATTTTCTGCAGCAATATCCTGTTCTCCAACTGAATCTCGTTTGCTCGATTTCTCTGCAGCTCTCGTGTATTGGTTTTGTACTTGAGGTGTACGTATCTGGTCGGCTCTGTCGTGTCCACGCAGGGCTGTTGTTGAGGCGGTTTCATTTGATCATGTTGTATCATGACCGACAACATTGATTGGTACCTACATCGCAGTTAACTTTTCGTTTTCATTCATTCAAACTAAAGTCATGCTATGATGGTACCTTGACAGTGGCTAGATGCCGCAGATGAGACTCGTGCTTGGCTTGATCTTCCTTTTTCTGGAGGATGCGATTGCATACCTTCACGTTCCAGATGTTGGCGTTCTTCATGGTTTCAGGATCAACTGCGACGTCGCAATGAACCTGATGCTCGTGAAACTTGAAAGACCGCCTTCGCACACGGGCCGACTGTCTGGTTTGTTCTACTTCTGCTCCTGTCGGGTACAGCCGCGTCTTCTTGCAGATTGTGTTTCGTTTTTGCACTGGAAACAACAGGCGAGCGGCTCTTCTTTGCGTGGTCGAAACTTGTTCTCTGAAGATCGTTGCTCGGTGGTTGTTCCCGTCGTCGATTTCCAAGAAATCCGGGGCTTCTTAATATGCGATGTGGCTTCGTGTTTTGGCAACAAATCGTTTGTCGAAAATGTGTCGGAGATGTGCAAATCGACCCGAGCGTCACTTCACAGGAAAAGAAGTCCTCACGAAAGCCGCCAGCTGTTGAAATGCTGCGGTTTTGCGATCTCGACCTAAGATGAAGAGATGAAGTTGGTCCTCGCTGCGGACAGTCCGTTGAACGTGCGTATTTTAGCTTTTGCTTCCCTCGTTGACGTGAGCGTTCAGCAAGAAATAAAGCTGCTCGTGCGAAACGTCGGCTCTGCCGGTGCCTTCTACTTGGATAGCTTTCCTTGTACTCCCCAATGTTTTGCTCAACACCTGGTTTCCCTACGGCTGTAGAAAGACGGCAGGAGAGGAGGACGCACCCACTGCTGGCACACCCAAAAGTCAGAAAACAAGGCGCTTCTGCCACTACTGCTTCCCCTTCCCGGTGACCGGAATCGGAGACTATTGCGAGACAGGTTGTCGTTACGTGCTTCAGGGGTTGGAATTTGCTACCGGAGTTTCTTCTGGTTCGTTGGTTGATGCGTCCCCCGTTCAGACAAAAGACTTTCTTGCGTCCCCCGTTCAGGCAGAAGGACGATCCAAGCCTGCAACCAGTTCAAGACGTCGGGTCGAGACGGCTAAACACTTGATGAAAACTCCAATGAGTCTTCAAAATATCGTAGGTCTAAGCACGCGGCGTCTCGTTTGAAGATGCTCTACTTGTTCCCGACGATAACGCTCGTCTCTGGAACAAATCCTTATCCTATCGTCCTCCGGCGCCCAGGACGATGGTGTTTCAGTTACTACAGATACTGTCCTGCAGATATAGTCACGTTTCGTTCAGACAGGACCTGCTCTTGCTGCAACGTCAAACTGGTTGTGGTCGTCTTGTTCAACGTCCAGATTGCTCGTGGTAGCCACGACGAAAAACGAGCCGGTAGCAAATGACCGTGCGTGTCCAGGGGTGGTTCACTTGAAGATGAAAGGGACTGGGACCAGGAGCAGGTAGGGTTATATTCTGCGTAGAGATTTTACAATTCGATCTCAAAACTCGCACCGGTTGTCAGTGCGTCGCAACAAATTCTTTTTCCAAGAACCCAAAAAATCTACATTCAGAAGAGCGCAAAAACCTGAAACCACTACTGCATTGGATAAAATCGCAGAAGTCGTCGTGGTGGCAAGAGAGATCGTCTTTTCACATACCTGAGCTTCACACCTACGATCACCAAAAACACAGTATTCACGACCACTCAGTAGAAACAACATACTTAGAGACATGTTTACAATGAAAGATTACGCGATTGATTCCGATTGGACACCAAAAGAAACACCAGGCACTCGTCGCACGCTCCCGGTCAAACACACTAGCGATAACCCTCAGCCTCTCCCCGAAACAAGTCGAAAACAGAAAGATGATGACATCAAACAGGAACGAAAACCAGGCGTGCGCAAGCACACACAGTCACGAGTTTCGATGCTGGCCTCACGAGTCGTACGCCTCACGAGTTTCGATGCTGCCTCACGAGTTTCGATGCTCGCAATGCAGCTAGCATGGAAACTCGTGCGGCGTGCCACTATCCTACTACTGCGAGGAGCGAACATGACGACAATTCTTCTTCGGCAAGAAAGTGTTGCCGCATGAGTTGAAGTGGCGGTCCTTTGTTTCCGCAGTCAATGATTTTTTTTGTCACCATGGTCACTAAATTTCAACCCTGTCATCTTTCGCTGTTCTTTGCGTTTGCTAGATACACTTACACATGTAAGTATGCTTCTATGATAAGAAATGATTGAAGTAGAAGCAAATAATTGAAGAACTTTCTGAATCGATCGGGATCGATCCTGTTTTGGAATGGGAACTTCTTGCCTGGTCCATTCACGACCGGGACTGCAGTTTATCTGACCGGTAGCCCAGTGAAGATCAGAATCCCGCCGGCACTACAGCTCTCAGCAGATGGAAAAATCCTCGCTCGTACGCCACTAGTACGGTTAAAAGGCATAAAATGCATGCGTAGGTCCTGAAAAACGAACTTGAAGAACTGGTTGGTGCAAAACTATTATTAGCATCACCCTCGTCGGCCAAGAACCCGATGAAGAAGCCTGACACGGTGTTTCTGTCGTAGCTGTAATTATATCCGGCGGCGTGCCCAACCCTCCGTCTCCTGAAGAAGGCACGAGACAGCGCCAACCACAGGGTACACAACAGAAAAACGATTGCAGAGTAAGCCAATCGTTTCCGCTCGGCTCGCTCCATCATGGGCATAGAGCGCAGCTGCGCTGACAAAGGCTAGTAGTTTCCGGGAACTTGTGCGCGCATAAGAAAGGGAATCACACCAACACAAGATTTTCAAACAAATGCATTGAAAGAGGAAAGAGTACTTACCTTTAGTTCTATCGCAATATCATTTTTTTGGTCGCGGGAATCTACGCAAAAAGAAACTGCATCCAGTGATGATTTTCATTCACATTTGGCAAATTGTTTGCAAGGGTGATAAACACTATGCAGCATATTACGGGCACATGCAGAACTCCCTGCTCCGCTACTGATTTCCAAAAAATTTGCAAACAAAAGCAGAACCGAAAACATTTATGCTGCACCATCAGACCGATGCCGATCTAGCCCTAGGGATGATTGATGGCGCGTGTCCGATCACCAATCGGGTTCTTATCGAAAACCTTAGACTTACCGAAAGCGTCACTTTTTTTACCATACCGATTCTGTTGCATGGGAGAGACAAAAGAAGAAGTGTGACCGAAAAATAAAATTGAATATCTACTTCTTGCCGCGCTGAAATAAAGCTGTTTGATGAGTCTGACCGATGAGGAAAAGCCGATACTTCTGCTTGATCTTTGGCCTCTTGCTCTTAGATAGTCTGTTCTTTTTGTAGAAGTCAAATTATTGACCAAAAATATGTGAGCAGTTGCGACACCGACGTTGCCGGATCTCTGTGGCTATGTGAAGACAATGCTTTCATCGCAGGTGAAAAAGAACACCGAACTACTTAACACAAAGCGGTAGTAAGCGCACGCGGCGAAATCGATTTAACTTTAAGTGAGAACCTTTCGGTATACCATTCCATTCGTAGTTGACCTGTTGCGCATTGACCAAGATGAATCCGCAGAGCGACGACGCAAGCTGCAAAATCAAGGGGGTACGTACAACGGCTGGGATAGCAGAGCTCTCGATTTTTACCTGAGGAGGTCCAGATCGCTGCTAGGCTCCGGAGTTGTAGCTACGGGCGGCCCATACATCCCACGCTGCTGCATATGGAAATCAAAATCGAGTCGACCTTCGTAACTCTTCGAAAGCGCTGGCATGCTAGTGACCGCGGGGGTGCAGTCGATCGGCAATATCGGTGATACTTCCTATGAGTACTACGGGGCTCGGTGGAAATACAACTGGGTACAACCAAAAACGCTGTCAGAGGCTTTGTTGGAAAATTTGCATTGCAACTCGATTACGATTAGTACAGCTACAACAGGGGAAAAAAGTTCTTCTTCAGTAGAGTTTCAATTTGGTAAATTAATAATGACTCGAGGGCACAGATCTAGTATAGTAAGTTCTGGGAACTCGAACGTGATTGGATATCTACGTTGGAAATGGAAACTTTAAAGATTTCGTAGGTGTATAGTTCTCCGAGGTGTAGGACTTCTGCAGGAAGATACGAAGCGGCTGCAGCGATGAAAATCCTTTGTTACAGTTTCTCACGTCGCGGACGAATTACTTTTTCTTGGAAACACCAGTCCATCCAGCACGAAAGGACGACGAAGATTCCCCTTCACCACTCACGCAGCCACGGTTGTAGCTGCCGAGTTGAGGAACTCGTTGACGTGGTCTAGCTCGCGGCCTAGTTTCTGCTGAAAGAATTCGAACAAGTTCTCTTGGCCAAACGCAGCCGGCGTGAGGATGCGCTCCGTGCGGCTGAGTTTCGGCAGCGTATCAAGGTAGTTCACGAACACCGGACAGTGCTTGCGAAACGGCGTCGGCGAGGGAAATTTCCGCTCCTCGGCGTCCACGAAGGCGAGGATGTTGCCCAGGGAATGCAACAGACTGCCCACGCCGCCCTTGTTCAGCAGAAGTTGCTGCGTCTGCTTCTCCGGATTGTCGGCGCAAAGTCGCGCCAGGCGCTTGGTCAGACCAAGGATCCGCTTCAGCAATGGGGAGCTGAGAAGTGGTGGCTCTGCACCGGACATCTTCGACGACGAAGAGGAGCCGCCAGAAAACGCGTCGACCTGACAAGCATATTGACGGAACGTAAAGAAAATTTTGCATCTTAATATGGTTTTGCGTACCGACACCGAGCGAGGAGCTGCATCTTTCTACGCCATCAATCCATGATTCCGGATCGCGATGGATGCAGCACCGATGCATCATTATGCCTGAGCCACCTATTTCCAATACGAGTATCATTTATACCTTCGACCCCTGATGCGAGGACGAAGAGGCTGAGTGTATCGTCGACTTTCCGAGCTCATCCGTGGGCGTAGAGGCAGTGGTGGATGCGTTACTGGATGCCGAGTGATCGATGGTAATCAGTGGTATACGTCGGTTGTGTATCTTCTTCTCGAAGCTGTTCAAGTCTGCAAACGCGGACTGCAGGTTGCGATACCTTTATTTGGTTTTGATGTGTCTTGCTCCTCATCCATATCGCAGTCGATCTTGCATAGCAAATACACGAATTTGATTTTCTCATCACACGCGACGCGCGGCGCGCTGTGGCTGCACTATGGATGTGCACAGACCAATGAAGTTAGATAGGCAAAAAGTTGCTATCGTCGTGTACTTCTTAGGTGGTGGCACGTAGTTGCGAATCTTGAGGTGCTGCATCTGCATCTTTTCATCCACAAAATTGAACAGCTTTTGCTGCTTCTGCTGCTGCTTACGGACTCGCTCTGCGACCACGCCGTGGCCATCCAAATCCACGTCGTCCAGCGGCGATGTAGGTGTTCCGACCTTTGTCGATAGAAAATTCACTACATTTTCGAACCACACGATACGAAAGCGAAACCAGCATGATTAACGTCAATCTGTGCAATCCAAGAACTGGTAGAACATAAGATAGAAGTAAGTAGGCAGAACTTCAAGCTGAATTTTCCTCTTGCACACACACGAAGTACCTTTTCCAGGTCACTCATCTCGCGCGCCACTGATACTCTGGCGGGCAGGGAAAGACTGCTCGGCTGCGCCCAGAACGATCGTCTTCGCGCCGCGACTTGCTCCCCGTACTTCTGTTTCCTCGCGACATGGAGCAATTTCCGCTTGGACTCGACGGTGTCGATCTCGGCCTTATTTGGCGCCACGTAGTTGCCATTGCCATCAAGAAAAAGACCTTGCACCGACGTGGGGCGCAGTGTCCCACCTGTTTTCGTTGTGCGCGCCTTCTGTGAGCCGTCCCGGCCATCCTCGTCTTCTGCCGCAGACTGAGCTGTTGACGCAACCGCGTAGTTGTATGTTGCGAGTGCGCCGCCCAGCGCGACAGCGGCACGCCTGCGCGTTCGTGGCACGCCAGTGCTACTCTTCGGTCGTACGGTCAGGGTTGTGCCTAAGAAACTCGAGGAGGAGCTGGAGCTCGTGCCCGTTTCCGCTAGCACACCTCCCGTCTTTGGACCCCACAAATTACCCATCAGGACACCGCCGGCCTGTTATGGAAATGAATCATGTCGTACCTTGAATTCAACATTCATGATTATGAAATCGGGAAAAACTCTTATGCTTGTGGTCAGTGGAACAGAACAAGACGAGTTCTGTAGTACTGTTGCCGGTCGGCTTCTGGATGGCTGGACCGCTCTTCGGGAAAGGTACTGCACATCTTCAAGGGCGAGCTGCATCAACGGGACAGCTGCAGTGGTCATCAGCGTGGGAGTGGGCGCCCGCCCCGCGCTGCTGGCGCTCGGCGGTCGATACTTTTCCAAAAACGGACTCTTCTTTCGTCTGCGCGCCCGGAACCGTTGCTCTTCACTGGCCTCGTCGTCTGGCCCGTCCTGCTCCCATGGCGCCTTGCCGTACTCCCCGACGAGACGAACTTTCCGGCCATTCGCTTCCGCGACCCCGCCACTCGCTGTTAGAAATTGCGACCCCGGTTTTGACGACGACGAGTTCTCACCGAGCGTTTCGGTCTCCGAAGCCGACGCCGAGGACGGGTAGGCCGTGCTCGCAGCGCTCGGCCGTGCAGCAGAACCCTGCTTCATGCTTTTGATTCTGCCTTCGGTTGCTGATCACAAGCACACGAAAAAACCTGAAATAACCACTGGATCTTTTTCTAAAAGAGTCAGAAGCTCAGCTCGCTCTATGAATCTGTTGTTCGGGGGCCTCTTTGTGGACAACCGCGTCCTACTCTCTCCTCCGATCGAAAAATAATTGATATTGAGTTTCGAACGATACTGTGCGACGAAGCAGGTAAGAATCACTCGTTTTTCCACTCACACATCAGTTCTCACGTGCGGTCACGATCCTGCCAGCCCAACCTGACCCCACGTTTGACCAAAGGATCGCACGAAAAAGAACGAAAAGTGATCCTCAAAAAGTATGCGACATCCAGCGGAAAAACAACGACAAAACCCCCGATGCTGATGTAATTAATTCCTTCTCGTATTGAGACGAAGTTGCATAAATCGTACAGTAGCAGACGACGATTCTGATCGTTGTTGTCGTTGAGCAGTCTTTGCATACACTGAAAACGATGTCGACCTCATGATCTAATAATGCAAAACATCATTGCACGCAAATCATGGGAACGCCGGATCATCAGTTCTCTGCTTCTGCGTGTCGGTATGTGGAAAGCCTTCCTGCGATACACTCGTCGAGGTCAGTCGCATCTATCACCAACCGCGCAATGTCTGCTGGTCCCTCGCTTTTCAGCATTCACTGGACAGATGTTCAAAGTGGCTTTGCAAGTGTACACAAATTTCCAAAACTTCTCACATACTACCTGAGTGAGGCTTTTTCTTTTACTTTTTCTGTATGGAGGTCTACATAAGATTGCAATTCTGCTGGTTTGCTTCCGGTACTTTCGCAATGTATGATTTCAGAATCTCTTTTCGACATTTTTTGTGACAGCGACGTCAGAGACGAATCTCAGATATCCCTATCTACAAATTTCACAGATGTTCATCATGCTGGCTGCAGACACTTTTTAGTGATCGGATCACGCTCAACGAACTATTCGTGTTATTGCTCTTTGTGTAGTTGCTCCTTTGAAGCCGCGTGAGAGATCTTTCCGGCATCGAATTTCGCCGCGCAATCGCATGCCGCCTCCGCCAAGCTCTTTCGGCGCATGCCACCCAGGAAGTCCCCAGGGGACGGATCGTCCCTTGCGATGGTGCGCTTTGAGCAGTCGGGTCGTTACAAGGAATGCAGGTCGCAGCAAGAATGCACCTGGTCGCACTGTGGTCGGCGGACACAACGGCACCTCCCGACAGGCCCCTACAAGTAGTTGCAATAGTCGCACCACGAGTCCGCGACGCTCAGTAGAGTTTGCGACGTATTCCGCTTGCGCTGAATCACGAGCGTCCCTAGCCCGAAACCAATGAAGTAGGTGAAGCGTCTCCACCGACCACCATCCGCCTCACTAGCACTCGCTCTTTAAAAATGTTCGGCCCGGGCCAGCTCTTCATGTACATGTCAGGAGAGGCGGCTGACACGGTGTGCTGTTGGGTCTTCCTCGAGGGGCGCTGTGCCACCTGCTGCAGCTCATGTAAGATCGTAGTAATGGGCGTGCGGCACCACGGACCCATCCGCGTTTTCCGAGCCGAAGCCGTAGATTTTGACGGTGCGGCAGGCCTGCAAAGCCAGGAAAACCCCGTTGACGCCCTGCTTTGGCATGGTCCCCCGGTCCAGGTTGCGTACATGGTCAAGCGCAACACTTTCCAACCAGGCGGGACTGAGAAAGCGCACGTCCTTGAATTTGACCTTGTCCCGCGTGGGGTGCGCTACGTTGGAATAGGCACAGCACGGGTTCGGCGTCTTGATGAAGAATTTCTTGGGCCGGTGCAGGTGCGACAGCCACCAGTTTACGTCCGGCTCCTTGTAGAGCGTCACTAAGACGATGGTGGCCTCCAGGTCTTGCTTCGGGATGATCCCGCCACAAATTTTGGACCAGTCCGTCGCGCCGCCCATGGCCTCGGGGTACAGAAACCGGAAAGTAGTTTTGCTCCCGACGTCATCCTCGAACCCAACCTGTGTTGCAGCTGCAAAAAAAGTGACGCAGCGGTATGTCACGAAGGCGCGAATGTTACTTCATCTGTAAAAAGGAGAAGCACTGTTTGTGGCGCTCGAGACCGGATTTTCCAAGGGACAGCAGGGTCGGAAAGCCCGGAATATGTGAGCGAATTCACAGTCACTTTTCGATCATACAGGTCAACTGACGCAGCACAAAAGGCTAAGTGCGCCCGAAGGTTTTTTTGATCGCGAAGAAGTAAAGGGAACAGAAGGCAAAACATTGTCAAGAGATGAAGCGCGGTGCGCAGAATGATTGTGCGGTCGGTCAGGTCAACAGGCACAGCTTGGAGCGCAATCAATGCCCGTTGGTTTTACCGACCACATAAGCTTGTTGTAGCAGCTGTTATCAGTTCACTCGCTTATGCGAAAAAAAGCTGAGCGAATAGTTCACAGTGCGAAGGGGAAGGCAGAATCCAGAAGCGGAAAAAGAACGGCGATTTTGTATGATCAGACAGGTCAACAGATGCAACTGCGAGTTATGAAGAACTCCCAGTTATACCGCACCCGTTGGTTTTTCTGATCTTGTTGCTTTAGCAAGTCCGATATCAATTCAGAGGTCTATGAAGGAAGACGGACCAAACAGTTCTCGGTGCGGACAATCAAATTTTCGGTCGAGGAAAACACAAATTGATAAATTGCATTTATACCGTTGGAGCACATGAAAAGCGAAACACCGCTTCCTGTGAGTCTATTTCGGGCCCGAGTGCACTGCCCTCGAGGTTGCCGGAGCTGCCGACCACGGCACATGATTCGTAAAGGTACTTGGTAGACGGCGCCGAATGTTTTTCGATTACGCATCCCTCCCCCGGGGTATCGCCGATGAGACCGACTATGCTAGTCGACGGTGCGTCTTTACCGAACCACTTCTCGAGGATATGGTTGCGCGGGGTCGTCCACCCCTGATGCACATTGGATTTCGTTAAGAAAGGACACACGTCTGTTTCGAACGGCTTGTCTTTGTCCGTGTGCGGCGACCCCGACGAATTCTGATCTTCACCACCGGATCCAGGCTCGCAGGACTTGAAGGGCTTCCCCGTCCGTTTTTGGGCGCGGTCCGGGCCAGCGAGGCAAAACCACCGCTCGAGGGCGTCTCGGTCCACAGTTACCTGCCTTTGGAATACGAAATGCAATTCGCCTCAAGAGTGGTTTTCGAGGAACAGGAATTGCAAAATTTAAATTTAAATTTAGCATATAGGAGCTTTAAGGTTAGTCAAGGGAGCTCAGGATCGTTTGCATCTACAACCATCTGGTTTCAAACCATACAAGGATCTCATTCTGGGACATGATAGACATGAATTGAACGTAGCCTCCGACGCCAGTCTGGTCGATAGGCGAAGTGGCACCTAAAGACTAGGCGCCACCTGCACGGCGACACAAACAGCTTTAATGGCGACGATTTTCTTTTTGGAAGTTCTACGGAGCGACCCTACGCATGTAGGGCGTAGCGCGCTGATGCGAATGCGATTCTTCCGAGATGAAAGAATTTGCGTGCTTGGTGCCAATTGGAGACTTTCTTGCTCTTCATTTTAGCTGCTGGCGACAAAGAATCAGAAAGAACAACTCAACCGATCGCTGTCGATAAGCATAACATTCTGACTTCATGAGGTTGACACTATCGCTAAAGCAAAGCGCCGCGATCAGCAAGTGAAGGCAAATTAAGGGGCTTGAAAACAGTATCTATTGAATACAAGATGAACAGCCTGACACTGCTTACCTTCGAATGTTCCTTGTGATGGTACTTCTCTTCGTAGACCAATCCGTAGTTATTCTTCAGCTCTTTGTTGTATGTTTCGAGCTCCTGTGGGGTGTATAGGGCTTCTGCAACTTCCCTCCGTCGTTTCATCTTTCTCTCGTGCAGCAGCTGTGCCTCTGTTGGAGCGGCGGATGTAGTCATTCCCTCCGATGATGCTTCAGGAACACCTCCTGGCACGAGGACGCCAGCTCCTGGGAGGTGTTCATCAGATGATACCCTACTGTGCGCATATTGCGTGGCCCCCGCCGGTGACAAAGTAGAAGTGCTTGTTGTGGCTGTCAAGGACTCGCGAGGCAAGACGTCGTCCTGCTCCTGCGTAGTAGAAGCACGCACGCTCCCTTCGTCCGTCGTTGGTTTACTCGTCGCACCTCCACCTCCTCCGCGTAAGCGCTTTGTATCCACTGCAAAAGCATCGCACTCGTATGAATTGCAGGTATGCATGACAAATGCAAATCTGGCTTCCTACCCAAATCTGCATTACAAATTCCAATTTTCTTCCTGATAAAATTTGTGATGCGATTTAAATTTATACTAGTACGATGGCGATACTTTTGCAATGCATACTTTGCTAGGGGTAGCGATAGCAGCACGATGCCACCCTCATCCACCTCGCCCTGCAACGAAGGTGGATCCCCCACCGGCGACAAGGCAGAGAGCAGATCAGTCGGAAGCAAGATGCCGTGCACAATGACCAGCCACACAAGCGCAAACAGCCCCGAAAACAATGCCCCGCACGCGACCCATAGCGCAACCCGCTTCGTCAGGGCCTGGCAGAGCGAAGGAGCACTCGCAGCAGTGGGCGAATTTTTGTCGTCCTCTTGGTCTACTTCTCCGAGAGCTCGGCGAACTGGTATACCACGGGTCGCGCCATCGGTTGGCAGTATGACACCGCCTGACGAGGGAGAGTTCCAGCGCATCACCGATCGCAATAAGCAAACCACACTAGCAAAGCGAATTGAATTACGCGAACTGAGTTGCGACGAGGAAACCCAAAGACACTGCAGACCAACTTGTACTTACTATGGCTGTGCCGCACACGAGCAAAATCCCAGAACAATGCCTCGGGCGAATAATGTCGCAACCGGAACTGCGATGCTCTTGCATGAACCTTCATGCTTTAGATTTCTTCGAACTTCTTGTCAGTATATTTCATTCTGGTATGGGATGGGGTATAAGATTCTCTAACGCTACCAAAAGGATGAAAAAGTATGTGAGGACGACTACGTGAAAATCGAAGACCAATATCTAAGTGGTCTTCTTTCCCGAAGTCATCCTATTTTGTCTCTCACGCAAGCGAAAGCGCCACATGTGAGAACGTCTGTTGTCGTTTGAAAATACTTAATAACGTATTTCGTCTACTCTCGTGTCAGTCGTGCAACGAGTAGCGGGAGACTAAAGTAAAGTCTTGACGACGGATGATCGTTAATAGTGATGTTCAATTTCTAAATTCTTGGTTTTAGCCTGCTGAACTGCTAATTGCCTGATTATCGTGAATATCCTTCAACGAATGCGGACGGTTCGGAATTCTCTTCAAGGAACGCGAACTTTCATGAGAAAGAGAATGTCTGTTAAACATAACATCTTCATCGATGTCTAATTTAGATAAAGGTTGATACCAATCTGAATCATCCACCTTGAGCTCAAGCCCGGCCTTCCAGCCCTCGCTGTTATCCGACGTCGCATGAAAGGCCGAACGCGGCGGCGTTGATCCGGGGGTAACATAACCGGGATTGCATTCCGTGCTGCCTTCTCGGCTTGGTAGAGTGTCCCCCGGAATGGGGTGTCCCGTCGTCGTTAGGGCCAGCTTTGCTTTTTCCCCGCGGTTGAGCCGGGTCAAAACGTGCTTCTCCCAGACGGAATCTACCGCTTTCTGGGCCTTTGCGACCTCCGCAAGTGCCGGCTTGAGTGTATTTTCGATGTCGCTCTCCCCTGTCAGGTCGCGTTCCGCCATGAATTGGCTGATCTTATACGCCCCTTGCAGCATCCGCGCCGCCTGATCGCGCTCCTGCTGTTGCTCCATTGGAAAAATTTGCGAAAGGACGCAGTACAAAGGTATCATGTACGTCTCGAGTTCCACAATCTTCTCATTCAGTCGCGAAACCAAGGCATTTGCTTCCTGTTGTCGCACGTCCGTCACATCCCGCTTGTCCTCTTCCACCTGCTCATTGCATGATTCATCGTCCGATCCTAGGATTTCGAGCGGTGCAAGATCGCCGAATTGTTCTTTGCCCGTCTTACTGCTCCTCGAAGACCCGAAACTTCTCTCGGACCGCTGAGGTGACACGGGCGAGATTGGAAGAGATACGCCCCTCTTCGCCGGAGAAGCTGGAGAGAGCGACAACTCGTCGTCTGTGAGCAATGCCGACTCGGTGGCCGGAACGACGGTCGACACTGTCGCAGATGAAGAGTGTCGGCATAGGCTGGGCTGCTTGAGCGGGGATCCTGTTCCGTCCAGCGGCTCCTCTTCGGGCTGAAATTCATCCTGCAGCACCACCGCACCCGGTTCGGCACCTGGCTCTTCGCTCAGCACCGAGCTCGCAGGCGAAACATGGCGAGAAAACGACGAACTTCTGCTCTCAAACGGTCCTGAAAGTCCCACTTCTGCAGCTTTGACTTCTTCACTAGCAGGAGGTGTGATCACAACATTTTCTTCGTTAATACAGGAAAGCTGTTGAACCCCTGCGCGCGCCGCACGGCTCTTGGAGGGAGATCTACTTGAAGAAGAGGCGGACCCGCAAGAGGACCCGCGTCCTCGACCTCGTCCTCGTGCAGACGCAGTAGAACGCCGTCGAGGCGAAGTACTAGAGCGCTTCGGCTTCGAGGACTGGACTGTCGTGTGTGGTGCATGTGGATGTGCCTCTGGGGAACGCGAACGACTTCTTCGGCCCCTGATTTTATTCTGTGAACCGGCTGCGTGCGTTCTGTCTTGCTTGAGCTGCGGCGGGGAAGTTTTATTTCCAACGCCGGCAACGGGATTCGCATTCGTCCAACCCGCTGGCATACTGACTTCTTGCTTCTCCGGCGACTGAACCGCAGTTCCGGTGGTGCCGAACATTTCCGCCACCAGCGATTGTGCCGCCCTCGCCAGCAACTTGCGGCGAATCTCTACTATGGGACCGCGGTTGTAGTACCTTTCTTCCTGGCGCCTCCGTTGCCGGTCAAGGTTGTTGTAGTCGCTACTCCACAGGCGGTTTGCAGCACGTAATCCTCTCTTCTTCGGACCCGGAGACGGCGCAAGAAGAAACTCGTCCAGAGTCTCCAGCTTGAGCTTCCCCTGCTGTGTCCTTGAATTCTCTCGTACGGGAGCAGCCTTCTTGGTGCTTTTTTTATTCTTCATGTCACCCGGTCGCAGGGTTGATTTTCCCCATTTTGCCATGCCAGATGTTTTGCGGAGTTGCTGTTCCTTTTCAACCACGTCAGCTACTTGCTTCGCCCACGCCTCACGATCTTCCAGTCCCGCGCGTGGCGGGGGTAGTTCGTTCTCCGCACGATCGAATTCCGCTTGCAATTCCATGAGATCAATGAGCGGGCATCTCCCAGCTTCTTTCTGACGACCCGTTGCCGTTCCAGCGGGCTGGGCGAAAAGATCCTCCACGCCCTGCATCTGTGCAACTTTCACAAGGGAGTCCGTCTTTTTTTGTAAAAACGGGCCAAGAACTTTGCGCCAGCACGGTTCTGCAACGTTTCCGTTTTGATTTTCCTTGTCGTCGGCATTCTCCAGGGCCAGGCAGCTGGACGCTACATTTTTGTGATTCAACAAGCCGGAGGGCGTCCTCGGAATGGCAACAGCAAAGCTACGGGATACGCTGTAGAGAAGAATGAGAATGACATTTTTCATTGCCGCAGCAGTAGAAAAATACATGTATGAATGTTAGTTGTAACTAGTCCAACTTCTAGGTTCTTGGTAGTGCTAGTCGTGAGTCGTTTCGACGTAGAAATTGAAATTGAAATAACAAGGGTTAAAATGAAGATGAACTGTGTTTCGACCAATACTTGGAAAACGAAAACAACAACAGCTCCTAAATTAGCGGTGCTCGCTTTTTTGATGTGATGGACAATCAATGTCGTCCTAATCCTACGGCACTACTGAAATTTCTGATGGTAGTGGTAGTCGAAGTGCGGAGATTTACTAGAAGAATAGCAATAGTTGCTGTGCGCTATTTTTGTTCTTAATGTCTGTCACAACCGATGATATGAGAAATTGAAATAATCGCAAAAAAATTCTAAAACGCGCGACCGAGTCGGTGTATAACTGACACGGAGGCTATTCTAATCAATTCTTTCCGGATCGTAGTTGAATACCGATACAAGAAGCGAAGAGATTGAAATCGAAATGTACTTATTCCTGTTTGACAAGTTGTTGAACAAATTTGAAATTCAATGCTAGACAAATACGAAGATTCAGTCGGAGGCTAACGTCACGTTTTGCACTTCGGATAAGACGACAATATAGAATTTCCAAATTGGTAAAACAAGTCAGTAAGGTGGATCATCTTGATTTTCTAAGATGAGGGAATCTTTAAAACTACGAGGGTTGTCGATAGATTCGGTCAAGGGCGATCGCTGCTGGTTATGGTTTGGTGTAAAAGTTGAATGAATTTCAGGTCACAGGCGTCATCACCGAGTGGCTATTGGTTCTCCTCCTATAGATCGCAATCACACGTTTGAATTTTTTCAATTTTGGATCTATGTATTGCATAGAATGGTTTGGTGTAAAAGCTGAATGAATTTCAGGTCACGGGCGTCAACACCGAGTGGCTATTGCTTCTCCTCGTCCTATAGATCGCAGTCACACGTTTGAACGTTTTTCAATTTATGTGTCTAGTATGATCAAATTTCCGCGCATGCAAGGTAGCAACCGACCCGAGACAAAACCGCTTGAAAATGAAAAAACGCATACTCTACTAACCTTCGTCGAATCTCATCGCTCAGTTGGCAGTAGGCTGTAAATTCACTAGACCGAATGAGTACTTTAGCAATCGCGCCTTTGCGGATACGACAGGTTGCGACTCTTAACTAAGCACAGTAATTGCGAGCTTAGCACATCTAGAGCAGAGTCTGCCTGAGGTTCGCCTTCGCTCAAATTTCACTCGTAGAACGCGATAAACGTCGTCTCCAATCCACTTCATCTTCACAGGCGGTGGCTGATTCTTCGCTAATGCTACATAATTTCATTTGATTTCTGTCGCTATTCATTTCCAATTTGTCGCTTACGCAGGATCCACATTGAGCGGAAGTGAAAAAACGCATGTTCACTTTTTCTTCCTTCTTTTTCCGCCAGGACCAGCACCTGATGCTTTCCGAGCCTCCATGGCTAGTTCCAATGGAGTCTTCTTCCGTGCGGCGGAAGCGGCTGCTGCGGAGGGTGATATCGCCGTACTAGACTCTCCTGTAACAACGACTGGCACAACTGCCCACGGCAAACCGTCATTCTGTGTGCTTGTTGCACCACTGTCTTCTAGCTGATTGATTTGCGCGTCTCCCTTCCGGCTAGCTCTGGCAGTTTCATTTCCCCCGGAGGTAGATGCACGCTCCATATCAACATCCACATTCAAGTTGTTCGTCGCGTTTGAAGCAGAGGCTGGACGACTGCCGATTTTCACGGACGAGCCGAGCAATCTGCCTCCGGCAACCCCCCCTCTTCCTCGCTGTAGTAGCGACGACGACGAGGAGGGTGAAGCTGAACCATCCAGATGATTGTTGTCGCCGAAAAACTCCTCGTCCTCTCGCCTCCGTTTTGCTATTCTCTTCAACTTTTTCTTCAGTGCCCCGGCCGCGTTTTCAAGGACCGGCTCCTCCTGTTTCTTCTTTTCCTGTTGCTCCTCGGCACGACGTCCCACTCCTTTCGTCTCGCCGCCGCCCGGTCGCGACGCGAGCTCCCGGACCTGCTCTAGTACCGCCTGGTCCGGTTCCGGACTGTCCGCAAAAAGCCCGTAGACCGCATCGGCCTCGGGATCATCACAAAGCTCGAACTGGATCATGAGGGGTGGGTGTTTCTGCCGTTAATATTGGAGAAGCAGGAGGTAAAATTGTAATTCTAATTGTTCCACTCTTGTGCTACTTACTCTGAGTCTCAGCAAACATGTACATGAAGATACATAAAAAGCACAGTGACTGCTCACATCCGCGATTCTTCCTCGACGGCTGTCTTACACATGTGGCTTCATCAGGCCAGAAATCTGTTCTGTTTCGTTTCTTTGTGAAGACCATCATCGACATTGACCTTGACGAGGAAAGGAATACATTGATTGGATCGTACTAGTCATGATGGAACCTCTAGCAAATTTACGTTGTTTTGTCCGGCCTTCGCCTTTACTATCGCCTGTCCTCATTTACATTTGCTCCAGCATGATCCGTACTCAGTCGATTTCAGTAGTTAGTTTGACAATTTCGAGATCCAGTCAAGATCATGATATTTTCGATTTCGTTTCAAGCACTGGTCGAGATGATAAAGCCACTCACATCACGATAGACATCTTTGCATCCACACGACAGGACTTCATTTCAGTTTGTGCTTGTTCTTCGTTCATTTTTGTTTCCTGATCGGCTCATCTAACGGATCGATTTTTTTTCCTGCTCTTGTCTTCAGCAGCGTACGAGAAAGTGAAAGAACATCATTACCATTAGTGCAGCGGCCACCGCATAAGTCATCAAGTCTGCATGTCGACCCTGAAAGAGAGGAAGACACGAGAAGTTTCCGTAAGTTTCATTTTCTTTCATGGGGGTAGGAAAATCTTCGCCTCGAAGTCCAATAGATCCAATCAAGTTGTTGCGGCTTAAACTCTGGGAGGTAAAAGTTACGGTGCCAGGCAGTAAAAATTCCTTCGAACGGCACAAGCAGTCTCTAGAAAAAACCACACAGCAGCTCGTCCTTGCTGTATTCTCATTTTTCGTGTGATTTTGCCGACCCCTCCGTCCGAGGTTTCGTTCGTCAACAACACGATGCGCTTCTTCGAAGATGTTTTTGTCCTCAGTGAAACAGGCAAGGGAAGGTCGTGGTTTTTGTAACGGAGGCGCCAGTGATTGATCATGATCTCAGCGATGGTTCGTCTAGAACCGAAGCGGCACTCGCACCATGGTGTTTATGTCGAAGAGCGCGTAGACCTCTATGCCGGTCTCGTCGAGCTTGATTCTGTAGGGAAAGCTTCTTGCTTGCCCGGTTTCCTTGTCAATCTGCGAGTCCCACATTTTTATCACCTTCCCGGGGCGCCAGATCCCGCGCACCTTGGCCTCCACAGCGCTGCCGAGCCCAAACCGCAGCTTTTTCGGTACCACGCAGTCGCGCAACCCCTTCATGAGCAGTTCCCGTGGGGGCAGGTTTTTCCCGATCAGGACCATTTTGCTGACCCGCTCCTTCTCCGGCTCCCGCCACGTGGAGGAGGTGAGAAAATTTGCATCCAACAGCATGTGCACGCCCTGGAAAACGAACTTCTCGTGGAATCCCTTGACGGCAAAAACGCCCTTGTAGCGGTACAGTCGGCTCCCGCACGTTTGGATGAGACGCGCCACCCACTCCTCCAATTTGCCGAGGAAAAACACGTCTCCGGGCTTCATCTGGATCCCCATCGTGGCCACGCGGGTTGGGTCTTCCGGCTCCATGTTCTGGACCATGTTTCGGTACAAGATCGCCTCCTCATCCCGCTCTTCATCCTCGACTTCCTCGTCCTCGATCTCCTGGTCCTTTTCCTCCGTGTCATTTTGTTTCTTATCTGCCGCTAGGTTGGCCGCACTGTCGTCCTGCTCAACCTTCTGCCGCTTCGCAGATGGCTCGTCCTCCTTCGCTTCCTCTTCGGCTCCTACTTCGGCACTCGCAGGAGCGGCTTTGCTCTTCGGAGAACGAGCGGGCGACTTGCTGATGTCTTTCTTCGCTTCTTCTGGTTTCTTGTTCTCTACTGCACTGCTGTTCTCCTGTTCACCACCAGTCGCCGCTTCATTCGAATCGCCTTCCTTGCCCCCAGCACCGACTTTGACCTTCTCGACCGTGACGAACTGCAATTTCTTTCGCGAGACCGGCGCTGCAGCAGCGGCACTTGCAGGCTTCTTGAGCAATCCCTGGTTAGTACCCGCCGCGCCACTCGCGGCGTTGTTCACGTCGGGCTGCTTTCCGCCGAACAAACCCAACGGGTCCTCGATCTTGGCCCCCTTGTAGTCGAACATCTTCGCGAAGCCGGCCGCCAGCGGGTTGCGCCGCGCCTTTTTGAAGTACTGGTCCGCGGCCCCGGCGAGGTCCGCATGCGCGGTGGGGTCGTTGGGTCCGCCCCCGTTCGGCGCGTTGGCCCAGAACTCCGCGATGCTGCTGTACTGGTCCGCAGCTTCCTTGGCGAGTTTCGAAAGTGAGAATTGCTCTAAATTAATCAGCAGTTGCGGGTCCACCTTGCCGTACCGACACTCCACGATGTCGGCGACGGAGTTCACCTCCCGCAGCTGCGCCGTGATGTCCAACACGTCGTCGCCTGGGGGCAGCATGTCCGTCTTGTTCAGCAGAATGCGGTCCGCAAACGCCAGCTGCCGCGCCACCGGGTTCACCTCGTCCGGGTTGATTTTTTTCTTCTTCTTTTTTCCGTCCTCATCCTCGTCCGCGTCCCCGTCGGCCAGCATCAGCATCGCCGGTTTGTCCTCCAGCGCCAATGCGTTCTTCTTCACGGTGGCGGCTAAATCATCGTCGTCGTCCTCCGGGTCCGTGCTGGTGGGCGCTTCCTCCAACAGCGTGCGCACGCGGGTGGCGTCGGTCACGACCAGCACCGAGTCCACGCGGCAGCGGCGCCGCAGGTCCTCGGAGTGGTAAAAGGTCTGCACGATGGCCGACGGGTCGGCCGTGCCGGAGGCCTCGATCAAGATGCCGTCCAGTTTCTCCGCTTGCACGATCACCTGCGTCACGGTGGAAACCAGGTCTTCGCGGTAGGTGCAGCACAGGCAGTTGCTCTCCAAGCTCGTGACCTCCTCCGCGCTCTCCATCTTCTTCACCACCAGGTCCGTCTGCAGCGTCGCCTCCCCGAACTCGGATTCGATCACGGCGAATCGGCCGCGGTGGACCGACTGCAGAATGTGGTTCAACAAAGTGGTCTTCCCGCTCCCCAGCGGCCCGCAGACGATGGTCACGGGCAACTTCAGCTTCTCCGGAACCTCGTACATCGCGAGCTTGCTCTTCGGCCCGGCATCCTGGTCCATCTGGTCCCGGATGTCTGCGGCCTGCATCTGCTGCTGCCGCAGCTGCTGTCCTGCCGTCCCCTGCATGGTTGCGAAGTTTTGATGTCTTAGATAGCTGTTTAGTAGATTACCGATTGGTATTGCTGTTGTCAACGAACAAATGATTGTGTCGGAAGTAGTCCGGCGAGCTACTTACTTTCCAGGAGGATCAAAAAACAAACGCGGTACTTCAAAAGTCTACGAACCAAATTGGCTAAAAAGGAGTTGTTTGTCTTTCGTTGGAAATTCTAGAATAATGGTCCCACATCATGCGCATATTGCTTTGCCCTTCTACTGTGGACATGCATGGAGAACGAGTTTCGCTGCAGAGAATATGTCTTCATGGGATGGGTGATCCTTTAGCTTTACTGACGAGCTTGCGATCCTGGGTGAAAAATAAGCGGAATCAAAAAGTTTTACATGCTTACGTCGATTTTATTTTGAAGCATCAAGAAAGGCAAATTAAGATCGGCTGCTCATCGAATAGAAGCCGTGAACAGGAAGAGCTTGTTACGTTGCATAGATCTTTATCTTTTTCGTTTCATGGCTTTTCTGTATTTCGGGCCCACCCTTTTGTGATACGTACTGCTCCATTTGCTGCTGTACGAAGTGTAGTACTCAGAAGGGATTACTACACTTGACTTTGTGATCCTGAAAAACGAACATACATCAGCTAGTAGTGCTATTGACATGTCAACATCAGTTGGTGCGTATAAGAAGCTCAAGGTGCTGACCGCGCTTGCGGCAGCATGATCTTGTACTTCTTGTCTTTTTCCAATTTGAATTTTAATGGTTTCGCGCAAAAATCCGAGAAGATCTTTTCAGAGCAGGTCTAAACCTGAATTTGACAAACAATTTAAAAGACTTTCCCTTTTTCCGATTTGGATTTATTCTCCTATAAAATTCGAAACATGCCGCGTATTGATGCGCTTTATTTTCGATGTTTATTCATTACATGCCGCTTATTGATGCGCTTTTTCATCTTTTTGTTTTTTCGCTTCTACGAGAATAAGATATAGTCGTCCGGTTTCGTGTACTAATGGCTCCAACACCACACGCAGGTGCGTACGGATCCCTGTTGGATCTTCATGATTGATACTCATCATGTGAAGAGAAGTATTCAACGGAAGATGAAAATCACAATAGAAGTGTTAAATTTTGGCTTTCGCTATTGCCTTATTGTTGACTAGAGCTTTATGCACACAGCATGCAATGCGTGTTCAAGCTCCCCTGCGTGGTTCCATCGATCTTGATCTTCAGCACAGTAACGATCCTAACCGTTTAGCTTAGTCGTCTCGTCGTCTTTGTGGTCTGGTTGACCAAACCAAACGAATCAATCCATCTTGAAACACCACCTGTATACAGATGTGAGTCAGTACTCCGCTCTGAATCATTCCAAACAGAAAGATGCGAACTCGACCGCTATTCGTATGCTGTGAATGTGTTCAGAATTCCTAACATTCTGATTCACACTTGGTGCCGCCGGTGAGACCGGTAATCGCGAGCCAACGAACAACTTCGCCATCCACAAGTCCAAATTTTTCCGTCGGAACACCATCGGCATCTACACGCAAAAATCTCTCTTTGGAATAGATTGATTTACGAATCCCGACGGTATGCCGACGGTAGATCGGAAGATCATCTGCCCGGAGATAAAGAACTCCGAGGGCTGGACGATGTGGAAGCATAAAATCAAATCGATGATGAGCATGGTATTGGAATTGGACGCACAATGGCAGGCAATTTTGAACGACAACACCCAGCAGACGAACTTTCAAAATGTTCAGCCTGGTTTGACAGCACAGCAAAAGCAAGATGTGTTTTCCCTCGAGTCCACATTTTTGAATGCATTGCAAGACGACGCAGCAAAATTGATCACGAACAGCCAGACAGTGGGTTTTGTAAAATGTTACTTCCTTCTGTCATCGCACTGGGATCAGAAAGCATCTTCAATTGACAGTGACACAACCAACAACGAATTGATTACTGTCTGCTACGACATGGAGAAGGATGGAGATTTTTCTATTTGGATCTACGCAGAAAAGTACAGCAAAATCCTCCTTCTGAAAGACAGATACCCAGATGCGGCTGCGATCAATCGTCAGATGTGGGATGTCCTCAAATTCCGACTTGACCCGACTTGCATGAAGACAATCATGGCGGAGATCAGAAACTTGAACAGTACTACTGCGACTTGGGAGAAAGAAGGACTGGCAATGGTGATGGATTTCATCAAATCAGGCAGAATGAATATTGAAAAGGAACAGCAAGCGACTTTGCATTTAGCACGATCGAACGTCGCCCCCGCGAACGCAAACCCCAATGCGTTTCTTGCTGGTGCATCGTCATCATCTGCTTCTTCTTCTTCCAACAAAAATTCCAACTTCATCGTCGCACCGGAAGGCGCGACCTTCGAACAGCAATTGATGTGTCAATCCATCAATAACCAAACCGCTTTAGTTATGATGAATAAGGGTCACAAAGGACAGGGAAAACACAACAACAAAAACTACAATTCCAATACCTATGCGAATCGAAATCAGCCCTATGGTAACAACGCGCAGAATCAAGGAGGCCTCTGGTGTACGTATTGCCAACGTCCAGGACATGACGTTCACTACTGCTATCGCAAGAAACGCCAACAGGAGAAGAACACTGCCCCACCACCCGCGAACAACTACGGCAACAACCACAAGAAGGGCGGTGGTGGTGGCAAGGGCGGTGGCAAACACGGCGTGAAGAAAGGTGGCTACAAGTCTCACCAGAAGGGTCGCAAGTGGTGACATAAGGACCACGATTCTGCTGATGATGTCGATGATAAATCGATGCTGATGGATTCAAATCACGATGTAAAAATCGATGTTGAGTTGGAATCAAATTTCGTTGATGTGTCGAAGAACACTGATGAAAAGAGCGATGTATTTGATGACGACGACAACTACTATTCGTGCTTTTACACAAGTCACGATGCTACTAGTTACAATCAAAAATCGTTACTGTGCAAGATCGATCAATCAATGCCGATTATAGAGTGCAAGATCAACAAATCCATTTTGGATGAAGGTTCGGCAGAGGAAAGAAAACAGAGGACAAACAGGGATATCCTCGACAGTGGCACTACTCATTACGTGTCGAGTGTGCTTAGCGATTTTGTGTCCTTTCGCTCCAATCCTGTGAAAATCAATGGAGTCGGAGGCACTTTGCAAGCGAAAAATCCTCCAAGGATAGGTAGGCTGAAGACGAATCGACTTGGTTACTCAGTAGGTATTTTTCACAGCGCTTTGCCCGTGCGCCGCCTTTTACCTACAACCACCCTGAACGCAATGGGTTGGTCAGTAAAGCTAGAACCAAAAGCAGTAGCCAAGTCTGAGATAGTTTCAAGATTCGCAGATGTCGCAGTGCCATTAGAAAATAACCCGCCTGACTTACCATTTTTGCCTGATGGTGAGCTTTTCGGCACGGGTGTGGCTTTATACTGCAGAGAATTTGAAGAGGTTTTGTCAGAGGAAGACGCTTTGTCTGCGTCGCGTTTTGGTTGCAATCTTTTCACACCTGATTGCTTATCCAACTGCTGCAAAAAGCGCCGCGTAGGACAGCTCGATGAGTCTGCTTCTATTTTCACTGGAGATGCCTTGGCCGACTGCGTAGAGGATTTTGAGCATTTATGCTACTTGTCCAAGTTAGACCGACACCGAAGACGTGGCCACATCCATGTCCCAGGTGAAGAGGTGTTTTGCCCTGAATGCGCCCTCGCAAAGGGTGGCAGGTCAGGTGCTAGGAAAGAACGACCACAGAAGTACTCTGATCCAACACCGCTAAAGCAACTTGATGCTGACTTTTGGGGTCCAGTCAAACCCGTCAGCTTGACAGGCAATTCATGGCTATTGATTTTCATTTGCCCTGCTGTTGCGCGTGTGTTTGAGTTCAAGTTGAAGCACAAAGATCAGGCCTACGCAGTCGTAGAACGGCTAATCAAGCAACTTCGCGCATCGGACAGCATCGACTTGACAGATAAGGTCGTATGGTTTGTCCGCAGTGACAACGACCCCACGTTCAGAGCAAAGAAGTGGGAGGATACGCTCCAAGCGCTCTCCGTTTTTCGGCAGCACTCAGTCCCATACGTACCACAGAAGAATGGTGTGTGCGAACGCTTCATGGGTACTCTGGGTCCCGGTTTAAGGGCTAATCTAGTGGGTGTCGACTTGAGACTTTGGGATTATGCCGCTTCTTACTTTGTATACACGTGGAATCGCTTACAGCGGAAATTCTACAAGCGCGCCCCTCAGTTCAATGGTCTCTCACCTTTGGAAGCTTGTCGACAGAGGAAGTCACTGCAAAATGACCGGAAAGTTTCTCGCACAGAACCCCAAGAGCCCGATGAGATATTGAAGACTTCGAATTTTGACTCCAGGATGCGTCGCTTCGGTTGCCTCGCTTATTTCCTGAGACAACCAGTAGAAGGGGTCAAGAAACTTGTAGAGAAGTACACGAAAGGAGTCTTTCTTGGGTATTGCGATCAGTCCTCATGCTATCTAGTTGGAACTTACGTTAAGGATGATCGATACTCCAAGGCCGGCGCTTTGCGCTGGGCAGTTTACGAAACAAACGCCGTGAAGTTTGTCGAGTCAGTTTTGATCGACAATGTTGACTCTCTACGCCCAGGGTACCGCGGTGGCGTCGTAGTTTCAGACGACCAGCTCCTGCAGACTATCTGTGGCTCGAAGGACAATGCCCGGGTGGTTGGTTCTGATCGGGATTGTGCTCCTGTGCGCAAAAATCCGGGTGGTTCAGAGGTCTCAGGTTCTGGGGGGGTTGGCGGGTCCAACTCCCTGCCACTTTTAGAAGTCGAGAAAGCAGCTTCACAAGAACACGCTCATAACGCATCCTCTGCCTCGTTCAAAGACATCAATCTTCAGTCAAATCAGCATGCCAGTGGTGACAATTCGCAAGTACAAAATCCGCATTCCGCACCTGATTCAGTTTCATCGCGCGCGCCCGCCCGGAACACGGTTGAACACCATGAGCCAGACCCTGAAGTGGTCTTTGGTCGCGAAAAGACCAAGCGCCCGCGCGGTAGGCCCAAAGGGGCAAAGGACAAAACGCAACGCACGCGAAGAACAAAGCAGCAATTGTCCGAAGCCGAGAACTCAGATGCGTTTTATGCCGACTTTGCAGAAGTGATCAATGATTGTTATGTATGTGACAGCGTCGTAGACGATTTCGAAGAGGGTGAAGAGTTAGTCGAAGCACTTCCACAGTTCGCGAACGTTGCCGCGATGAGCTCGCCAGATGCGCCGCACTGGTTAGAAGCCAAATCCCTCGAGAAGTGCAAGCTTGAGGCGTTTCAGACGTGGAGAGTGCCTACTCCAGAAGAGTTAGAACGCGCTAAGACCACAGGCGTGGTCCCGATAGCATTGGTGCTTAGCCGCAAGCGCTGTGGCAAGTTCAAGTGCCGTGCTGTCGTCCTAGGTAATCTCTACAAGCCCGGCGGTGAGTTAGAAGTTTACGCGCCCGTAATCAGCTTTGGAGCCTCGCGCTACCTGCTGATCGATGCCGCCGCGCATGGTGATGCCATAATTTTGTTTGACATTGACAACGCATTCGTACAGAGCTTGATCGATTCGGAAATTTTCATTCGTCTGCCAAAGGAATGGCGTGAGCAAAACGACGATGGTATTCGGAAGCTAGTTCGTGCCCTTTATGGGTTACCACAATCCCCGAGGCTGTGGGCAAAGCACTACGAAAAGAAGTTAGTCAGTCTCGGTTGGACACAGTCAACAGAAAAAGGGTTGTGGAGAAAGCTCTCCAAGGCCACAGGCAACAACTTCCAGAGTTACAAGAAGTTCAGTAAGTATATGAAGATGGGAGTTTATGTAGATGACAACACCGCAACAGGCCCGGACGAGCACGAGCTTAGGCATGAAGTCAGTTTGATTTTGAAAGAGTTTCCTGGCAAGATCATTGAGCCCGAACACCAACCAAATGGCGATCTTTTGTATGATCAGCTCGGTGCAGATGTCCACTACAACCCGAACAAGTACAAAGTACGTATTTGCATGCAGAGTTACATCCGAACAAAACTAGCTCCGAAGTTTGGCATGGTTGGTTGTAAGAAAGTTGACAATCCATGCTTCACCGAATCAGCTCTGTACGATACCGCCTCGCCCGAAGTGAAATTCCCGTTGCGGGAAGCTGTAGGTGCCCTGCAATGGTGTGTAACGATTTGTAGGCCCGACATCGCGCAGCCCGTTAACTGCCTCGCAAAGGTAGCAAGCAAGCCCTGCACCAAAGCAATAGTCGCATGCGTAAAGAAAGTTTTGCGCTATGTCATTCACACCGAAGACGTAGGCATCGACTACTCACCCGAGAACGAACAAAAGTTCAAGCAGGTATACGGATCACTTCTGCAAAAGGGAGAAAAGTTGAAAGACTGGAATCTCTTCACCGACGCAAGTTTTGCATCTTGTTTTGTAACGTTGAAAAGCACGTCTGGCGCTCTGCTGTACTACAGAGGCGCCCCCATCGTGTGGAAGACCGCGCGCCAATCGGTCAGAACGCATTCCACATTCGAAGCAGAGTTTGTAGCTGGCTCTGATGGACTGATCATGTCCGAGACATGCACCTTCAAGGGTTTTCTTGAAGATCGCGATGCTAGCGAAGACCTTTGGATGGACAATCAGACCGCCATCACGGTCGCCAAGACGCCAGGCGATGCACAGCGCCCGCGTAGCCGCCACGTTGCCCTGCGCTACCACAAAGTTGCGGATGAATGCGAAAAGATTAAGTTCTGTCCCACTGAGCACATGAAAGCTGATTGCCTCACAAAGAACAACGTGCCTCGTGACGTTCGAGATCACGTCTTCCACCACAATCCGCACATGACGAACAAGAGGAAAGTGAAAGTGTCTGAAGACCCTGAGGAGGTCGACGCTTGTTTCACAGTGGTAGGCGTGCCCGGTCTCTTCTTTTCACTTGAAGACCTTTGGGCTTAGAAAGGAACTTATATACGCCGGAGCCCCTTGCGCTTTTTCATGCCGTAGCCATCCTGATCGCTTTTGAAAGAAAAATTTGTGATCCACCATTCTGCTTTGCTTTTTCATTGCAAGCTTCTGGTGGTGATTTTGTCGTACAGCTTTTACTTGCTGCGATTTTCGAAAAACGGCTTGCGCTTGGGGGGGGGAATGTTGACTAGAGCTTTATGCACACAGCATGCAATGCGTGTTCAAGCTCCCCTGCGTGGTTCCATCGATCTTGATCTTCAGCACAGTAACGATCCTAACCGTTTAGCTTAGTCGTCTCGTCGTCTTTGTGGTCTGGTTGACCAAACCAAACGAATCAATCCATCTTGAAACACCACCTGTATACAGATGTGAATCAGTACTCCGTTCTGAATCATTCCAAACAGAAAGACGCGAACTCGACCGCTATTCGTATGCTGTGAATGTGTTCAGAATTCCTAACACTTATACATAGTAATTTTTCGCGCCGTGTGCTTTTGCCTCTGTCGTGTTCAATAGCGGCCTGAAAGTGCAAGTGGCCAGCTCGTCCAGCTCAGCAATGATATCAGCTCAGCGGTATTTTTTTCATTGTGTATCAATCTATATTTTTTTCATCGTTGACGGTATAATCTAGGGTATCCAGCACTGCAAAACTAGTGCGATACGTTTGCACCATTATAGAGTAACAGCAAGGTGTGGGCAATGCTCAGCTCATTTGTTCTACCGGGACGCTTGTATTAAAGGAGCAAGTATTTGTTCGCAATCCAGAATAGTAAAGTGATCGTAGTAGTAAAGCGATTATATATAATTTTAGCAACTGCGAGAAGATCTAATCTCCTAGAAGGAGTTCGTCGCTCTTTCAGCGAGAGTGCAGATAAGTATTGCATTCGACCAAGCAGTCAAGTTAGCACTAGGCTGGGACCATCGTGCGGAAAATTTAGAAGAAACTCCTACCTTACAACCTTCACCTTCGTGGACAAAAAAATTTTAGTTTTAGAGCGTTCATATATGATGCCGGCGCGCTTGAAGATTTTACTGCCTGGTTGGTCGTACAAAAAGGAGAACGCGCGACAGGCTTCTTCTAGCAGGTGAGGACGCCACGCAGTTCTTGACGTATGTAGTGAACCATACGAATGTTTTTGACATTTTATCGCCAGCATTGTTCTTTCGTAGATGCAGAATGCAGTAGTGGGGCTGCTACTATAGCTCATTCTGGTCGTTGTAGTTAAAAATACCAAACTGGTGCACCCTTTGGGGATGATCGTCTTTGGAGACTTCTCCTCCGGTAGTGCGAGGTATCGGCGCTCGCGAACCCATGGAGAGCCATACCCCAATCCGGAAGACGTAGTGCGGGTCTCTGTCACACCCCGAAATCAGAGTGGCGCGAGACCTCAGGATCCATCCGGTGAAGAAGGAAAACAGCACAGGGTGGGTGGGTGGGAAAAGCGCGAAATGGCGCCCCCCCCGATCATCTTCATGTCGAACTTCTCAGGTTTTGGTTACCGTAAATACTGGACGCGTTGTCCACGCCCATAAAATATCGACCGACCAGCGGTCGGCCTTGACTCACAGGCTCGCAAGACCACAGCTGCCCGGTCATACATTTTATGCACTGATCCAACCACGGACGGATCACCCTTTGGGGATGATCGTCTTTGGAGACTTCTCCTCCGGTAGTGCGAGGTATCGGCGCTCGCGAACCCATGGAGAGCCATACCCCACCGGCGGAGACGCAACGCACCAAAGCAACCCCGAAGAACCCTACAGACCCCACGCTGGAGATGAATTTGGGGAACCACAAGCGCCCCCATAGCGAGAGCGGTGCGGCGATACCGAATGCTACCGAAGCCCGCAAAAGCAGAAACAATAGATACTGATACCGGAAAGACAAATACAAAAGAAGAAGAGATGGTGGTAGAACACACGGATAAATCAAAATACATGCCCACTCAGGCGGGCGGGGCCCACCGACAAAAGAAATTGCGTAGATCCATCGATAGCTTCACATCAGCATAAAAATCCTAGAACTAGCCATGATCCACATAGACGTAAACTAATACCCAAGTTCTAGAAAAGGACCGAGCGGAACGAAAGAGGAGCCCAGGGAAAGCCAAGACGGCCCCGGAGCAATAAAGCCGAACCCGAAAGAATAGCCGCGACGGCTCTACTTCTTCTGCTTAGCCTCGTGGATCTTCCACGACTCTGACGGGTTGAATCCCGTCCATCCCATCCGCTCCACGGTCTGGCGAATAAATTCCTCCGACTCCGGGGGGTCATGGCTGAAACGGCAACCGCTGCCGAATTTGCAAACGCCATTCTTGAGAAAGTTCGCGCAAACCCCGGGGGAACCCGATCCGCGGGCCCGCTTCGCAGCGGGACCATCCTCCTCCACGCTTTTGTTCTTCTTGGACGCCGCACGGCTGCGGCGGATCGCATCAATCTGGATAAACAGCAGCGAAGTCATAAAAGTCCAAACCCGGAAGGCGTACTCTTCCAAAGTCTCCACCTTGGGGGGTTCCTGCGCAATATTCTGCGCCGCGGGGGCATCGCCATACTCGTCTTCGACGATCAGCTCACTCATATCCCCGAAGACCTCATTGATGTCTGACACCGCGAACGGGTCCGCGGAATATTTAACATAAAGATTGAGACCCCAACGATTCGCGTGCTCCACCGGTTTCCCGCAGAGGATTAGGCAGGCGGCAGCGAACTGCACTACTTCTTTCAGGTCTTTGAACTTAATAGTTCCCGCCTCCCGATTCTTCAGGGCCCGCATCCACTTCGCAAAAACCACCACAGTCGCGACCACCAGCGACGCAAGGCCCTTCTGCTTCACAACTGCTTCGACCACCTGCTCTTCGTCAGCAGCTGTCTTCAACGCCTTATGCAGCATGCCCCCAAAACTCGCCAAAAGAGCAACATCCTGCTTCCCATTCTCCCCCGCAGGGCCCGCCTGCTGCGCCTGCTGGTCAAGAAGTTCTTCATCCCCCGCCATTTTTGAGAGTGAAATGAAAACTGAAACTACTGCTGACGTGAAAATACCAGTACGCTATCGACGAATGTCAAGCTGTCGAGGTCGGATAGGACGCTCGTGTTCCCTGTAAGCAAATTCGAAAAGACCGGGGGAGAAAAATCCCACAAGCGCGTAGCTTTCAAAATTCCAATTTATCGAGGACCCAATGGCGCATTTAGGATAAGCCCTGCCCTCGGGAAGCAAGTAAAATAGCACAACCCTATGAGAAGGATCCCAGATTTGTAACGCTCAGAAGGACCCCAAATTTCTAAAGACAGAGCAAGGAGAGCATTGATTTCGCGAAAAGAATATGCGAGAGGAGATTTACTCACGCTGATCTTGGTCTTTCTTATCTCGGAAAATTCTCGGCCCATGGCGCTGGACACTCGCAAGCCAAAAGCGGCCACGCTATAAAACTTCACAACAGGAACCGCCCGAAGAATGCCCAGCCTTTCCACCTCACGCCTTCCCTCTTTTAGGTTTAACGGGTTCAAACCGCCAGTGCCACAAAGCCGAGAAAGTTTGAGATGAAGAAAAACCAAGACCATCGCGAAAGAAATCCAAACTCGCAAAAAAAAACTCCAAGGTCATCCTCATACCGAGGATAAATATATAAGCCTCTCGAATAAAGAGCCTACTCGGTCGCGCTCGCCGCGAACCCAAAAATAGAAAGCGCTCCGGCCAGGCTGACCTCATGTCAGCCTGTCGCACCGGCAAAGAAAGCGAAAATCTGGCCAGGCCGACCTCCCGCCGGCCTGTCTCACCAGAAATAGAAATCTCAGCCCAGCCAGGCTGACCTCGTGTCAACCTGTCTCACCGGGGAAAGCGAATACTCAGCAAAACTCGATCAGATCTATGCTACCATCGGCAGGGGCGCAACACCCTGAAAACCCAGTAGGACACAGACGAAATAACAGGAGAAAAAGCGCGAAATGGCGCCCCCCCCGATCATCTTCATGTCGAACTTCTCAGGTTTTGGTTACCGTAAATACTGGACGCGTTGTCCACGCCCATAAAATATCGACCGACCAGCGGTCGGCCTTGACTCACAGGCTCGCAAGGCCACAGCTGCCCGGTCATACATTTATTCTTTTTTTACATACTTACATTGTAATCAAAAGACCAATCGCGTGCTGGCAGCTTCTTTATTAGGCGGGCGAGTGACTGTTGTACGTGCTAATTGACGAGTCCCTGAGAGTAAGTCGTGGCTGGCAAGCTCGTGTCAAAAAACCAGTCCGCCTCGTGATCGGCCATGATCGTTTCGACCATGGGCTCCGTCAGATACACCAAGGGGTTCGAGCCGTCGCGATTCTCGGCCAGCAGCACCGACAACATGGTACTGCAGGTCTTACCCTCCCCCGGAATGTGATAGGTTCTGCTGTGCGCCTCCCGAAAGGCGGCGGCCGGTAAGACGTTTTGCCCAACAAAGAGGCAGCGCGTGGCCTCGTTCACCGAGTTCATGTCCCATTGCAGCGCCCCGTTGCTCGTGCTTATCTTCGGGCGCTTGAAAAAGAACAGCAGCTCGTCGGTGTCCTCGCACCACACCTCTTCGCCGACCCATTCGTGCTTGCTGGTCGGGTTCTTCAGAAAGGAGGAGAGCCCGTTCTCTTTGAAGACACTGTTGTGGTACTTGTTGCGCTGGGTGACCTCTTTCACCTTCTTCCCCCTAGGGTCCTCCTTGCACAGGTAGAGTTTCTGCCACTTTTTCGTGACAGCGATGATTCGCTCGGTTTTTGCATCCTCGCAGCACGCGTAGGGGTGGGTTTTCAGCGTATTGGCCAGAAAGCCGTCGACGAATTGCTTGGTCGCGTTTTCCAGCGAAATCTTCTTGGCCGTCGGGTCAGGAGAAGTGCCGCACAGCTTCTGGACCTTTTCCTCGCTCGACATTTTCTGGTCGACGCCCCCCATCTTCTTGCTCTTGCTTGGGGTGACAGCTTGATAGAAGTCACTCCTCTCAGTCCTCGTGGTTGTACAACCGCCATGGTCGTGGGACGAAAAAGTTCTTGTCGGGGAGATTCTTTCCGTCGTCAAGAAGGTCGCCGTGGTGATGGAATCGATAGCACAAGGTGGTTATAGTCCTCTACAGCTCCAGATCGACGAGCAGATGAATCAGAATTCGGAAACGATGGAGCCGGCAAGTCAATTGTTTGAATATCAGCTGGACAAAGAAAAGGGATCAACTGAAAATGTACGTAAAACTTCTTCTCGAGGAGGTAGAGGAGCCCAGTAAAGAGTTGCACTTGTGAAAACCTAATGCACAACTTCGAGAGGGATCCCAACTGTGTAAGCTTCGCCTTCGCGAACAAACATGCACAGATTGACGCGAACACGACTAGTGATGTTGACACGCATGGTGAAAAAGCTATACCCCGCAGGGGCAGGAGTTGTCCGAATGGTGAAGAAGAAGATGTTGTTCTTTTGCAGGACTATGCAAACAACATGCAGTGAAGCGAAAGAATTCTTCGAGATCACATGTTTGAATGAAGATATGAGCATCAAGCTCTCTGGACGGGAACGGGATGCGCTTAGTCATGATCATTCCGACGCGGTCGGAAGGTCCAACTTTTATTGTACAGAAAAACTAAAAAGAGGTGCGAAAGTAATACACTCGGAATTTACGCACCACACAAGAACGCCTCGACTTCATATTCATCTTCTTTTTCATCCCATCAGGGTGGGTATAAGATGAGAAAGATACTTGGTAGGTGAGCATTGATTCCGCTGTGTGCGTCGACTGAATGAAGAAAATAAGGAGCCGTGGGTGGCGGGTAGCATTAGCAGTATGCAAGTATATGAGTAGAAAAAAAAACATGTTGAAGAGTGAAACAACTACAACGGTTACCACGGTAGCTTTGCTTAGCATTAACATTATGTTGACAGATAAACCCGAAAAAAGAACTAAACCCAGCCCTTTACGTCTGCGATGAGAGCACCTCGTGCGCAAACTCCTCGAACTCGATCTCTCCGGAGCCGTCCGCGTCGGCGATCTCGAGCATCTCCTCCGCCTCGTCAGCGGTCATTGCGTTTCCCACCCCCTTCATCAGCAAGCGCAACTCGTTGGCGGAAATGGACCCGCCGCCGTCTCTGTCCATCAGGTCGAACGTTTCCCGGAGCTCCACCTCGGTGAGTGGCGGTTTTCGGAACAGAGCCATCATGTCCAGAAAGCGCTGGAAATCCCAGAGGCCCACGCCCTCGGGATCCGACTGGTTCACCGCCCACTCCATCTCCTCGGCGTCTTGGCCTGTGATTATTTCCATTTTGGCAGAAATTGATATGTGTCTGTGTATGTGTTCGCTCAAGCAACATACACCTTACTTTAATCATGCCCATGATCATCTCTTCGTTCGCCGCAGTTTGACATCAACAGCACAGATTTATGTCCAAATCGTGAGGAGCAGGAACATAGTTAAGCTTAGGCTCTCTGTTGAGACTGAGACAGCACGAGGATCGGGATCTGCATAACATCTATATTGCAGCACTCCAAAATTTCTACCTTGTCCAATATGTTCCATGGCTCTGGCGACCTGTGGTGGGGTGAGCAGCCCCTCGCCGAGCGTATCGACCAGGTGAAAACCGCGGGCAAAGTCGGAAAGTTCGAAGGGTGCGAAGGTGTACTTGTTTCGGATTTCGTACTTGTAGAAGTGGTAGAGCTCGGTATGGAGCTGTCAGGTTTGAAATCGTCAAAGTTGAAATAGTTTGTCATGCATAAAATGCAACACAGAAAGTGCCTGTCTTGCAGAGTAGGCAAGGGAAGCAGATTGTCAGCCTGTTTCGGGGTAGAAATAGAGCTGCTAAAGTAGCACGACAAAAGGCGTCTTCCTTACCCAAACAGCATGACAAATTGGATTCCGGTGCTCCGAAAATTTGTCATGCGCTGCTTGAAAATTGGTCTTCCAACTGGTATCCATTTTATGCATGACAAATCATTTCAACTTTGTCGATTTCGATCCTGACACTCCCATACTCGGCTCGGTCGTCGTAGTCCGCGAAGGGATCGTAGTCGAGTTCCGCCAGGGGTGCCTTCAGTCGCACGCTATCCGGTACGGGGGCATCGTACTCCTCTCCGTCGCTACCGACCAAAATGTCGAGCGGACCCGGAAGCTTCATACTCGACAGGCTGCGCAGGCTGCGTGCGCTGCCCCCCAGCGGCGACTTGGGAGAAGGCTTTGGTTGCACCGCCGCCTCGTCTTCGCCCGCAGCGTTGTTTTCGGGTGTCGGTGGTTTTGAAGATGCGGCGGGTGCGGTCTCATCGCCAGCGGGGACGCCTTCGGTTGCTCCTTCCGTGGCATCGGCAGCTCCGGTCGTTTCCTCGGCGGGTGCTGCTGCCTCTTGTGCTGCTGGTTCCCCCTCAGCCCCACCCTCGGGTGACGCCTCCACAGCTGCTTCCTCTGCGCCCGCAGCCTCGCCGTCAGCCCCGGCGTCGTCGGCTGTTGATTTGGAGGAGAAAATTTCAAATGAAACGTGTCGCACTTGAATATCATTTCAATCTTCTGGCAGGGTTTTGACCTAAAACGAGCCTCTTGGACTATGTCTGATCTCACACTGTGGTGGGCCTACCGTATCCTCTCAACATCTCACTTAGGTCGCCGGGCTTTCGCTTTGGCGTGTAATGCTACTAAAACTACTTATATGCAAAAACCAAATAAAAAACCACTAGCAAATCATCAATCTCAATACCCTGCTTCTCAGCAGCATCCGCTGCTTCTGCTTCCTTCGCTCCCTCTTCCAGCAAGGTGGGAGCAGGCTGCTCCGCCGTAGCTTCTGGATCTGACATGCCTTCTGCCGCGGTGATTCAAAAAAAAAAGACTTGGTGATAGTAAATGAAAACAAAGTGGAAAAGCGGGTGTGATTGCAACGATGAGTGGGTACCTGCCAGATGTTTTTGTTGAGATCAGCGTCTCCTTGAGCTTGAGCTTTGCGAGGTCTTTGCACGAGAGGCTTCTACTGAAGATCAGTCTGCACGATGCGGAGACACGACACGATTGCTGAAAAGTGGACGTTCTAGATCAATGTTTTCACTACTTATGCTCCGTTTTAATATCACGATGAGAGTGCGTTGCACGGTTGAGTTCACGACTAGAGGTTGAGCTGTACGATGACCGAAGAGCAATACTAGCCTGCGATACTAGTAGTAGAACGACTACTTTGATGTGCGCACGTTTTTTGTTTCACAAGACTAAGTGGCACGCTTCAACAGCTGTTTTCGTCTGTTAAGCGCACCACGTACGAACAGCTTTGCACTTTTACTTTTATCGGCGTCCCTTAGCTAGTGGATCGCTCTTTTTTTTTGGTGATTTCTCCCGTCTGCGCCGTTCATAGAAGTTGTACAGCCGTTTTGAAACTTTAACTTTTTGTTTTCAGCAGTCTCTCGCAGTATTATTCTGTTCTCTAGCTCTACCTTTTGCAGGCATAACGAAATTTTGTGCAGATTCTTGTTTTCACCATAACTCTCAATCATAATCATGCTCATTGAACAAGCAAACATACCCATTTTGTATACTTACTGCAGCAAACGCAAAGACAGAAATGCAGAGAAAGGCGTGCGGGGCCACCACGATATACCTAAGATGAACACCCGACGACCCCATGTTGTCCACCCGCACCGGCCGACCCCGTCGCGGCCCTATCCTTCCGTTCGAGAGCGACACATTCGCGGATCAAGGCCTCCCGCTCGCGCAGCTTCGCGCGGTAGGTGCTCAGTGCCTCGAACTCCTCGCGTTTGGCCTTCAAATTACGAAAATGGTTCTCGTAATCCTCCCCCACCTGGTCCACCGTGTCGTACACGGACTCGAGCAGTTTCCGCTTCTCCGCGATCAGAATAGCGTGCTCCCGGTCCCACAGGTGACTGTGCGGCTCCCAGTTGGTCATGTCCTCCCGCAGGAGTTCGTCCTGTTCCGGTCGTTCCCCAGCAGTCCGATTGAAATAAAAGTCCGTAGTGCTGTTTTGGAGTTGCCTGCAAAACAGTTCCTCGAGCTCCAAGAGGAGCTGCTCTTCGATGCATGCATACAGCTCGTCTCGCTGCAGCCGATCTGCCTGAAAAGCTGCCTCTGCTTCAGTGAAGCGATCGGTGCAGTTTGCAATCTGCACTGTGGTTTCGTGAATTTTCTCTTCCCACTCCTCTAGCTCTAGCAGAAGCCCGCGCACAACCGTGTACCAATCCTGTTTCCGCTTTTGGCTCTGCTTCTGCGCTTTACTTCGAAGAGAGGATGTTGATCTCGACAAAGAATCATTCTTCTTGTTGCTGGAGCTATTTGGTGCGCATTCAACCGTTGTCGCAACATCTTCTTCAGGCAGCGGCTCAGCCTCGGCCGTTTCCAGGCGGCTTTTGCAGTCTACGCACCGTGCGTTTTCGTAGGTGAGTCTCTCGCGCAAGGCTTGCAGCTTCCGCCACTCGGTAGAACTCAAGTCCGGATTGCATTTTAGAATCCGCTCCTGGCGCACACGATCGAACTCTGTCTGCACAAACAGAATGCGCCCGCCAAGCTCCTCCTGTGCATGCTTTGCGACCTGGAACTTGTCCACGTGGCCGACCTGCACGTGCGCCTGCTGCGTTATTTCAGGGAATACACATGGCTCGTCCTCTATTTTCGGGTACAGATCATACTGACACTGAGGTGCGGGATTGCGGTCCATTTTTGTATCACCTAGTTGTACACAGTCCTTCAACGGGAGGCTCCGCAGGTTTGCCAGATGCCAGAAGTAGAAGGCGGAGTCGCTGGGAAACGTACTGTCGTCTGTCGATGCGTTCGCGTCGAACTGGAAACGGTCCCGCAGCGCGCGCTCCGGCGACCCGGACCAGGCCCGATACGGTCCGTCAAAAATGGGCTGCAAGCGCCGCACCAACCGGACCGTGAGAGGACACCGACTTGCGCGCGCTTGCAATTGGAAGAGAGCGGTGTCCAGGATCCGGTGCTCGCTCAAAGCGGTTGTACTATTGGCGTTCCCTGTGGCTCCAGCGGTAGTTGTTCCAGACGCGTTAGACGAGGAATTTTTACCGCTCTCCGAAACCTGCTGCACCGCAGCCGGTACCGCTCCTGGAGTATGACTGTGCCCAAGAACGGCACGCGCATTCACCCACGGCATCCCGAAGAGGGCAGCTTCGCGGCGCTCCTTCCGCATCAGATCGAAGTTGATGGAAGTGGTTGGGGCACGGGAGGACGTGCAAGTTTTGTTGATCAACGAGTCGCCCTCGGCAAACCCAGCCCCTGCCCTCGCCGAAACTCCTGCCGTCCTTTGCTCAGACGGCAATTTGTTCATCTTTCTCGTAGAGGCCATGGACGACATTGTCGAAGGTTCTCGTTCCAAATTGCGCTCGGACGAGTGCGCGCCACCAGCTGTCCGCGTCGACGAGGAAGAACCACTTCCAGCGCCGATAACCTTTTCTGTGTCCCTTTGCACAATCCCTGCGGCCCGGAGCGCGAACAGCATTCGTACGGACGCGCTGTTAGAGAATCGAACTAGTGTACCCTCGCCGGTTGCCATCTTCCTCGTCGGTTGTAGCGCGTCCGCGGTGCAGGGTGCTGTATCTTCCTCGTCATCGTCGCCGGGGAAAATGTTGAACCGGTAACGATCCGGATCAGAAGATGTTGACGCACTGGAGTCAATAGGTCTACTTGCAGATCCGCCATTCATCGATTTGCTCGTGGTACCTCCAGGAACGAAGCTACCGCTCGTACTAGGTTCTTGGCCTTTCCTCTCTGAACTCGATAAGGATGAAGACCCATTTCCGCCACCTTCCGGCGACGTCGCTGTGGTGCTCACCACCAATTCGAGCTTGAATGGCGAAAAGATCTGCGAGTCAGCAATTGCAGGGGCAGAAAAGCCACAAGCATCGCGAACCTCCGATAGCCCGTTGGCGCCTAGGCAGAGCAATAGAAGCAAGCACTGTCGTTGTTGCAAACTTTCCGCGAGTTCGCTGGTCTCACCATCACCTTGAAAATGTTCCGCCAGTGACAACAACCACGCAAGCAGAGCTACCGGCTCGTCGCTTTCAGGTTTTCTGATGCTGGATGCGGGCAACATCGTGACATCATGTTCTTTTTCCCCGACGAGCAAGCTAGCATCGCGTAGCGCTTCGCCGCTTTCGTCCGGAAGCGGTTGTAGTTCCGTCTCGCATTTCTTATCATCTGCAAGCTTTCCCATCGCGGAACGAATGGCTGTTCCCGCGGCTGCAGTCGAGGCCTGCAGCAGCCTTGCCGTGCCTGACAGCAGAATCATTGAAGAAGAATCGTCGTCATCTCCTTGCGCTTTTAAATCAGCAAAAATTCCCTCGGTCGCTATGTCGTGCAAGGTGTTGCCTGAGGCAAGCGGGTCGGTAGATGTCCCGCTAACGGTCGGTTCAAACTTGCGTATTCGCTGGGTACGGAGAGACCTAGCGCGGCACTGAAAATTATCTTGCAGCAGTTCGCTTCCATTTTCATCGGCATGGCCGTACTTTTCACCGAAATGAGAAAACTCAGTGAGACAGGCTTCCAGCAAGTTCCAATGGGCGTATAAGCTCCGGAGTAGATGCTGGCGGAATCGTGTCGGTTTTTCAAGTTGCTGCGGGTGTACCATAGAGCATGGGTCGCCGTCTTGACTACTAAGATCATTTTTTGAAGAAGCCGCGCCGGACAGCGCCATCGAAGATTGTTCCCAGGTGAGTAGCTCCAAGACGAAAACGATCATGTTGAGCGCATCGAAGGCCAGCAACACATGCGCTGAAAATTCGTCGCTGCTCGCCTCCTCTGACAAAACTTCGCTTTTCCTGGGGTTGCCTGACAGGGAGCGGGAAGCACACCTTTTCAAATCGACACGCAGATTGATCGCCTCTTGCCAATCAATCGCGAGGCGCGTCGGCAAGACACCTTCATGCGTGAGGCGGTCGAGTAGGGTCGAACTCTGGCACAGGAGCTCGTTTGAAGCGGCAATTGCGGAAGAACTGCAGCTTCCTGGATCGTCTAAACTGGTGCCGTTTTGCCCGCGGCCTTGCAGGTGCAGGTGTTCTCGATTTTGCCGGGCTGCCATCGTTGCAATGAAACCAAATAGAATAATCTGGCGCTGCACTAGTATTTGGATTTGGTTTGCAGCCTCTAGTTCTCCGCCTGTCGCACGGACTGGTGATCTTCTCGCTTTCTCTACATTTTGGATTGGTTTTTCCGTGGTGCGCCTGCAGCTGCACCACACTGAAGACGAACCTGAAATAAACGGCAGCGGCGATCTATTAGGTTACCAATTAGAGCTGCATACACTGCATGTCGATATATTTACTGCTTAACGACACATAGACGAACCTGCGCCGCAAACAGGCTTTATAACATTGTCAATCAAGCCCACGCCGCCAGCGGGCAGACGTGAAAAGGCAAGCGAAAGGGATTCAAAAGACCTTGACGACACCAATCACTAGTTACTCACTGAACAACGAACCAGGCCGGCCGCGCGGCCACCAAGGTAAGTGGTTGGACGCCAACCATGGAAAGGGCGGCAGGAGCCGCGACAATCTGAAGATGAAGACGAACCACGCGGGGGCGCAGGCAGCTGCTGAAGCTTGGCGCGGGCTGCGTCGCGACGCTGCATGCACCGCCCTCGCGCGCCGGGCCATGCGTAGCGGGAGAAGACTACGAATGCAGTAGAGGCAGGCGGCCACCGCCAAACAAAACTGCGATCGAACGGGGCGGGGGACGCCGGCTAAAGGCCGCCACCGACCACGGAAGGAAGCGCCGGCAGTGCACATGCCGAAGAGCCGGCGCGTGGTTGCCGTGTCGGTCCGCTGGGTGCGTGGACCGGTTGCGGGCGGCCGCTCGCTACTTGGATCTATCAGACAGCGAGGCCGGCCGGCGGCCCGGGACAGGGGCTGAAGGCCTTCCCTTGCTGCGCCCCGGCCACCACATTTACCACCGCCGGGCCCGCCGCACGCCGCCGGCTCGGCCGCGCAGGAAACAAGTAGGGGCCGCGCCGTTGCCCCCGCGGGCGGCCGACTGGCACCGGCCTGGCCGGACGCGCCACGGACTCGCCTGGGCGCGCTGCCGAGGAGCGCCCATCGCCCGCGCGCGGCTCAATATGCTGGGCCTGCGTCCCCCGCGTCAGACAGGAACCACTTCCGGGGGCGGCCGGCGAGGTTAAGGGCGCCCCGCTTCTTACCGCCCGCGCCCGGGAGCGTGATCGCATTGCGCCATGCCTACGGGCAGCCCCTTGCCGGGCAGCAAAGGGGCGGCCCAAACCAAGCCCAACCCCGCCAGGGGCCTCCGCCGGCTCCGCTGCGGCCGGCGCTTTCGGAACGGCGCCCCGCGGCGGGATTCAACTGCTTTCAACGCTCGGGCCGCCGATGAAAACCGCCTGGCAACCACCGAACCACACGCCGGCCCCGCGAACTTGCCGCAGATACGCTGCCGCGTCTTCAGTCGCTTCCCGCCGAAGGCTGTACGCTTCGCCGATCGCGATCAAGCGCACAACGCGAAGAAGTTCCAAAACGCTGTCGCCGCCAATCTCGAAAACCGGATGGCTATGCGCAAGCCCTCGCGGCGCAGGCTTGCACCGGAGCGCCTTGGCTGTGCAAGGTGATGCCGGTGGTCAGCAGGGCTGCCGCGGCGCCAATCGCCGCCCCGACAAATTAACGCCAGGACGCCTTGGCCCCAATACGGCCGCGAGATAGCCTCAACAGCCATGGGGGGTCTTCCGCAACCGAACGGGCTTGGCTGGAAGCGCAGCGCTTCGCTTTCCCCGTCCGTGTCCTGTTACAATATCGAGGAGCGCACGCTGGTCCAGGTTTGGGCAAACGCGGCGGCGCAGGGCCCCCCAAGCGCACCCGTGGGGCCGCTGCCCCTCCATGCCAGTCGCAGTTCACAGCGTCTCGAAAATTGCATCACGGAGCCAAAGCGTCGCATTAATATTCACCCGCAGCCCAGGCACTGGACCGCTGCCGCCGGTCTGCCTCTGTCTTCGCCCGTGCTGCTGTCGTTAGACGGAGACAGATCATCCCGCCAGCTGCGCAAAAGTTCGAGAGCGACGGGCCCGACACGGCTCGCCACATCCTTGGCAAAATCCTGCGCGTACTGACTGGCTGAATTTTCCAGATACGTCATGGCCTCACATATCCCTCGCGCCTCGCCGCTAGCCTTAAGATCGTGCGCGCCCCGGCTCTTCGCCAAAACACACCAGGGTCGGGCCTTCGCCAAAATGCCCCTCCAGGTCGCGGCGCGCAGTGTCTTCGCAATCGCGAACAGGCTGCATCGTCGCGCCCTCCTTGCCACCAGCTCAAAAAATGAGCCCGCGCGGCTCCTCCGTCGCCTTTGGACGCGCTGCGATAGATGTATTAGGGCATACGCAGACTAGACAAAAATGGTCGAGCCAGCGTTATGCTGAACACAGGTGACGCGTCAATCTTTCCGCGATAGATTCCTCTTTCAGTGCGGGCACGTGGAAGTGTGAAGGTGAACGTAGAACATCAAGCCGGAGTTCTTGTTTCTTGATTTCATCGCGCACTGACATCATAAATCGTACCAAAATTCTCTTCGTAGAAGTGCCTCTTCCTTCAGAAACATTGAAGCCGTGATCATTTGGTAATGTTGGATCATAGCTCTTTGAATATTGACGGTATTGGGCACAAACCCAGCTCCATCTTCGGAGGACAAAATGTACTGATCTGCGGTCTTGCCTCTTGGCAAAGTTAGTCCCTACAAGGTAGAACTTGATGAAACAAACTCACTGGGCAGCAGACCTCAGTGATATTGGTAACAAGAAACCTTTAACATTTATGTCTGGAGGCGGCTTGCCTATCCTACTGCTCCTTCTCCTCCTGAGCGATTCCCTCCCCCTCTCCTTTTTCACCAAAGCGTTTCTTCCAGGCTCGTCTTCCTTTCAGGTTCAGTATCATGTTGGGATAGGACACGGGCACCACGAAGGGAAAATCGCGGTCCTTTGCGCGGAAGGTGTAGATGAAGGTGTTGGCCACGTAGTTCTCCCCGCTGCGGAAGTCGTGAACGTTGGCCTTGACGAAAACCTGGGCATACTTCCCCTTAGTATACACCACATGGCTGCTGTAGTTGAGAGACGCCCCGATGGGCACCGGTTTCTTGAAAACCGTGTCCTCAATCACAAGCCCTTGAAAAGACACCCGCGCCTCACCCTCTGCCACATGCGAGTTCGCGAAAGCGCGCACATTTTGCACCCTGTGTGAAAATTTGATTTTGTTTTCGAGAGCAGGGCAGTACAAATCGTAAATCATCAACGAAGAAGAACAGCACCACGTCGGAGGAAAAAGCAAACAGCACCACAAACAAGCAATCAAAACTTCTCTCTGTTGTAGTACGCGAGTTCATAGGCCTGTCGCATGAGCATGCCGCCAAAGATTTTTCCGCCCGCGTTTTGCCCCTGGGGCTGCGTTTGGTAGGTGGACCGCAGGTTGGTTTCGGCAATGGGCACGGTCGCGGGTGCGGTCGACGCTGGTGTTCCCTCTTCGAGGACGTATTCCGCTTTGCGCGCGACCGAGTCCAGCTCCGCCTTCTGCTTGTACATGTAATCAAAAATGTCCCCCACCGGCATCACCTGCCGCATCCAGCCTCGCGTGTACATGCGGTGCAAAAATTTTGCTTCTTCCGCGGACGGCTCAAACTTGTCCAGCGTGGTTTTGCTTGTCGAGGCCCGATGCTCCTTCTTCCGCAGACCCTCGGCGAAAAGCGCGTGGTCTTCTTCCGTTTCACACTTCAACGGGTTTATTTTCACCCCCTTTCGCTCGGGCGACAACGCGACAAACACAAAGTCGCCCTGTAGCATCAGCGTTCGTTCGGATTCCGGAGGAAGGAGCGCCTCGACGGCCTGCGTTGTGTTGTTTTCGTGTGGCAGCTTTTGTAGCGGTTATTGCGAGCATCAACATGTCAGTGATATTATATTTTAGCATACTTAAACGTGCAGAAAGCCAACCATTTCATCTACCCCTTCCGTTCCTAGTCCCGTGTACTCGAAGCCGAACCGGTCCGGCGTCGGATTGCGCTCTGCGATTTGGTACAGCCGTCGCATTGCGATGCTGGTCGTGGTTTTCAGCCGCGAAACGGGCACCGTCTCGTCTGGCTCGCTGGGGCCCAGCTCGTGCGGCTGGACAGGGCTCTCCCACCCTCCGTCGGCCGTCCACACTTTGAGCCGGATGATCATGGAGCTGTTGCCCACCCAGATCAGTCGTCCCTCCAGCCAAAAATCCCTGTTGCAGCCCTCGATGTTGGTGAGGTGGTCGTTGATCAGAATGCCGTCGACGCACGCGGTCACGTTGTCGGGAGAACTCACGCGCCGCTTTCCCAGATAGCAGTGGCGCGACGCCACGTCGCCGGCGCCACTGTCCATGTCCTCGAGTAACTTTCCAATCCGTACCCCGCCGTCAAACCGCATGTACTCTCGACGGACCACCTCGTCGCTGCTAATCCGGTACCGTACCAAAGCGCTGGACTGCCGGGGCGTTTTCTCGTGGATCAGAGTCGGGTCGTAGGGCAGCATCGTATTCACCTCTCCAGCATCCAAAATCGAAAACGCGGAAAAGGAACGCTTCTTCGGGTTGACGTTGAGCGACGAAAGTTGATGGTGTTGCTGTGTTGTACAACCATTGCGTGTGGTGACAGAAACGTTTCCATTCGCTACCGGCGTCCCGAAGCCAAATGATCTTCTCGTCCTGGAGGCGGAAGGCACGGTTGACGAGGAGGACGTTGCGGGGCACCACCCGAGTGGCTGGGACGAGGACAACGATTGCGTTAATTTCGCGTTGGATCGAGCGAGGGCAAGACGGAATGAGGGATGGTGCATGCGTTGCTGTGCAAATCGCTGCATCGTGGCTGCGCAGGAACGAGCGGACATTGTCATTGTCTGTGTGATGTGAAATGCTTTGTCTGTTTTCGTTCCAAAATTGAACAAGTACGGCCGATGCTTGAGGATGTTTGACTTCGATAAGTTAGTCTTAGTGCTAGTAGAGTTTCTTTGGTTCATACGACCGCTGAGCTACGTAGAAAACAAAGACCGGCTCCCGCTACCAGCACGACTAGGGCTCGAATATATCACCAGGCAGCTTCGCAGACAATGAAAAGCATTAACATACTGCACTTATCCGTATCATCTGTGGTTTACCGATTTTTTTTTCTCAGTGCCGCCTCGCGCGGCTGCAGGATTGATCTTCATTTTTGTGTGTACGATGCCGATCTTTCTGTAGTAAGCAGAATAAATCTGAACTGGTCCTTCGTGTCTGCCTCTGTAGGGCGGAACAACAAAAAACCGTCAATCTCAATCGTGTGGTTGGTGCTCTACCAACCAGCAGGCGAAGCGTGCACATTTCCGATTTCAGATTTTCTTGGGTGCGGGTGCGCAATGTGAAACGTATGGTCAAAGGTGGTGGCATCGGGGACAAAACGTGATGGTGCAGTTGATGTGTGTTTGCAATCTGTGTCTGAGACTAGATCACAGGTGCGTGGAGTGCGATTTGCTTTTCGGAGGCGGGATACGTAAACCGAATGAAGCAGATTCAGATAGTGTGGTACTGTGGGTACAGAACCTGAAAAATGTATACGTTTGGCTGATACTTAGTGGGACCAGTGAGCGAAAAACTCGCTCTCGATAATGGGGACAATCTACTGGCTCAGCAGATGCGACGAGGGCAAGGGGAAAGATACTGGGAAATGAAAAAATGCGTAAAAGAAGGGCCTTGATCGCGGAGGATGGTTAAGGCACGGAATGGGGAAACCAAGAAACGCCAAATCAAATGCTTATACTTGCGAATAAGTTTAGTAAAATCAAAATCTCTTTCAAAAAAGGAAAAGCTTAGCGTCGTACTTAGATGGGATTGGTGGAACTTGAACTCGAAAAGAAGTACGTAGAAATGGCATAAGATTGAAGAAAACAAAAAAAAATTGAATAATGCGCGTTACAAGAATGAACTGACGCTAGTGCCGCACGACGAAGGCTAATAGTCGCAGCTGCTGCAGTCTCAAATTTACTTCCTTTCTTTGTCTTCCCGCTTCGTTTTGCTTCTATCCAGCGAAGTTCATGAAATCTTTACTGGAAAGCCCACCGAGCGATGCCTGTTTACCAGCAGTACCATTCGATGACCTTGGTGCGAAGCTGCCTTCCTCGGGGTTGGGGTAGAAGTCGTTTGCGCTGCTGGGTGGCCGCACTGGGACGCCCCCTTCCGATCTCAGTACGTCCGAGCGCTTCCGCGAAGGTGGCGATTGCGCGGCGGAACTTCGGCTTTTCTTCTTGGAAGACCGGCGCGCTACCTCCGCAGCTACTTGCTCCGGCGCGGCATCCGGGTACGTGTCAACGATGTCATCCGCCTCATCGACCGCGGCGGCCAGGGCCGCCACCGAAGGCCGCTTCTCCTGCGTGAGCCTTTGCACGGCCGCTTTGTCCGCGGGATCGGCCGGGAGGGGGAGTTCCTTTTCGAGTTCCGTGGTGTGAAGGATATCGGCGTAGGCAGCGGCCACTGGCTCCTGCAACCCGAGCTGCTGCAACGTTGCTACCGTGCCCTCCCGCTCCTCAGCGGTGGACCCGGGCACGTGGAGCGCCTCATCTGCTTCCGTCATACCCATGGGATGGAGCTGCGGTGTGGCCGCCATCCCGAGCAAACTCGGCCGCGCTTGCGACTTCGCACTCGCACGAGCACCAGTGGTAGGACCATCTTCGCCCCCCAAGTTGGGAATTTGCGACGCCCGCTTTTGTTGTACTGGCACAACACCCGAGGGCATCGCCCGGAGGGTGCTGCCGCGGAGCTGCATGTGGTCGCTTAACCGGAAGTCTCCACCGGCGTTCATGTCCTCCAGCTGGCTTGGGAGAAACAGGTTAGCGCCGGTGGGGTCCTCTGCGAGGTCGTCTGGGTGGGCAGCGGCGAGCTCTTCCGCGATTCTCTGCGTGAGGAACCCCCGCATTTGCGCGTACGTGACGCCTTCGTAAGTGCCAAAGTGGAGCGTCAGCAAGTTTCGGTCGCCCTCGTCTGGCGGTACTCCAATTACGTCGTCGTCCGACAACCCCATGAAATCCATCTCGTTGTCGCCTTCACTTATCGAAGTGACGTCTTCATCTGCTGCAGCTTCGCCTTCCGGAGCCACGGGCGGCCGCACGCCTGCCACGGACGGTATTCGCGGTGCTGCGCCGGACGGCGCTCGTGCTGCGACAGACGGAGGCCGTACTGTAGCGGACGACGCTCGTTCTGCGGCAGACGGAGGCCGTACTGTAGTGGATGGCGCTCGTTCTGTGGCAGACGGAGGCCGTACTGCGCCGGACGGCGCTCGTGCTGCGATAGACGGAGGCCGCACCACTGCGGCGGACGGTAGCCTGCCGGATGTACTAGTAGTTGCAGCAGCAAGTTCCGCCGCAGCAGTAGCCCCCACGCCCGGCAGTTGTCCGGCCTGCAACGCCTGCTCCGTTTTTCGTTTGGTCAGGTTTTGTTGCACGTCCCCTTTTGCGATGTGGGACTCCGCGGCGGTGGCCGCGGCGAGTCGCATGCCCACGGAGACGGCGAAGTCCTCGGTGTAGCCGAGTTTCTTCAGCATCGTTTCGAATTGCTCCGCGGTGTACACGTGCTGCATGGCCTCCATCACCTGCAGCAGGTCTTTCACAGAAATCGCCATTTTCTCCTCCCTCTCCGCGTTGTTCGCCTGCCCGGCACTGCTTCGCGCTGCGGCAGACACGGGGATGAGGATTTCCAACTTCTTCTGATCGTCCTCGAACAGGATCTTCAGCGGCTCGTGCACTTTCTCCGGGTTCGCGGCGGCTTCCTCGATCTGCACCATGGTCTGCTGTACCTGCTGCTGCGAAAGCCCGGTTTTCTCCAGCAGTTCCCGCTGCCGTTGTCGCTCTTTCTCTTCCGCCTCCCGGCGTTTCTGGTCCTTCATGCATTCTACGACGAAGAAGCTGCCGATGATGCCCGCCAGAATCAAAACCACGCAGATCACGATGCACACGATGGCCCCCGTGGAGCAGGGGCACTCCGGGTCGCCCAGGGTCGGCGTCTGGCCTTCTTTTACTTCAGGCAACTGCGGAGGGGCGGGGAACCGGTCGCACTCACCGTACTCCCAGTCGCTGAAGTCCCGCTGCAGGGCCTGCTCCACCGGATTTGCGGGCGCTGCGACCTCGCTTTGCTTTTTTAGAGGGTCCGGAGAAAATTCGCCGCCGTAGCCTTCCTGCAGCACAATGTCGCCCTTCTCCGCGGCAAGAAGGCACAGCAACGAGGCCCGCTCCTCCAGCCGGTGCAAGTTCATGGCGGTGTGCAGCTCGTGCAGTCCGTGGCTACTGGGACTTCCAATTGCGGGAGACTGCTCCATCGTCGGATTTGTAGGCCTGCGGTTGCCACGCGAAGGATCTTTTGTCGTAGGACCCGGTGGTGCTGCTGTCACAAGAGGAGCTTTAGTGGTTCCCATTTCCGGGCTGCCAATCGGGGGCTGCGCAGTTGTATCCGCTGTGCTTGTGGGGGAATCTGTCGTGGTCAGTTCTTCTGGTCGACGCGCCGGCCCCTGGGTCTGATGGTCTCCTTGCTCGTGAACGCTTTCAGCCTCGCTTCGGATAGGAGGGGCGTTGGTCGTCGGCTGGTGCGGTTTAACAGTGTTGACGCCCACTGCATCATTCGCTAGCCCAGTTGCCCTTCCAAGCTGCTCGTCCGCGACAGAGAGGCCCTGGCTTTGCAGCGCGTCTCCGGTCGATTCCCACCAGTTCGAACTGCTGCGAGTCGTTGCGGCGTTCTGCGAGTTGTCGTTCCACCAGTCGCCGCTCTTCCTCGCACGAGTTCTTTGCAAAACCCGGGACAGCAGGGATTTAGACGAGGTCTTCTTGTTGAGGAAAGAAGAAGAAGAAGAACTACCAGTCTCGTCGTCTGCCGCATCTTCTTCTAGCACGACTTCCTCGCCCCCAACTGGTTCCTCGGGTTCGACAGCAGCATCGTCCTCGACGCTACCCTCTGGCTCGGTCGGTGCGGGACCCTCGAGTTCTTTCAATTCGGGAGAGAATGCGAGGTCCCAGGCGATACCGGCGGACCAGTACATGCATTCGGGGTCCTCGGCACAGGCCAGCTCGCAACTCCGCGGGGAGAAATTCCGTACCTTCACGCCGTACCGCGCCGCCCGCGGGTTCATCTCCTCCTTGGTGTACCGCATCCGGCCCGTGCTCTTGTGCTCCCCGCAGCGGCTGCTGGGCAGAGGGGCATCCTGCAGATCTTGGAAGTAGACCGGCTGCTTTGCCGGCGGCATGAAGTAGTTCTCCATCGTCTCGTTGCGGACACAGGTACCCACCTGGAAGTTGTCGGTAGTGGTCTGGAGGAAGGATCCTGGAGACAGCGCCAGCGGATCTTTCTTTGCGTCGTACGGATCCGACTTTTGTTCATGATCCTGTTTATTTCCCTTGCCTTGTGCTCCTTTCGCCGGCTCGCCGCCAGCAATGGAGGCGGCCTTGTCTTCCTTGTCACCCGCCTTCTGTGCGGACATGTCTTCCGTCCGTTCGTCGTCCTCGTCGAGCTCAGTTTCCGCGCTGTGCCGACCGGTCTCTCCGCCCCAAGTGTCCGTTACCGTTTGGGTGCTGGTGAGGGCTCGGATTCCGTCCACCGGCTGCGCAATCACGTCCGACGATGCGCTGTGCACAGCTCCTGCGTCGCGGCATCCGTCTCCACTGTCACTCAGCACCTGCCATGAAACGGGTGCGGAAGCGTGTACGAATTTGGGACGCTGCATCCACCCCATCAAGTTCGTCATGTCCAAACTCGGATTGTCGCTTTCCGATTTCCTTGGTGATGCCTGGTGTAATGAAGAATTGAAATTTTCTCATTCTTTCAACTCGGACGTGCAGTAGTAATCGTCCACAGTGAACAAAGCGATTGAAAGTACTTAAATCGTAAATTGAAGAACTCGTGAACGAAGCGATAGCAATGAATCTGCAGCTGCATCTGGCACTGACTCCACCAACTACATTCAGTCATGAAAAGATGAGAAAGAAAAGTTGCATTGTACCATCTCGAGCATGCTTGCAGCGGCTCGGTCGTCGAGAAACCGTCGTTCCGGCAGCGTGAAGAGCAGTAACTCCATAACAGCCCCCAGCGCATCGGGAATGGTGCCGTATTGCATTGCGACGTTGGCAATGCCGGGTCCGTGATACTGCACCCTCGTGCGGCCCCCGCGGAGCGCCAGACTGCCAGCGCGCGACGGGATCTCTTGCCAGTGCCCGTCCCAGGGCAGCTCGTCCATCCACGCCCGAATCGCAGCCACGTTTTGCGCTGACAGCGCTCGATCATCGTCCTCCTCGTCCTCTGCATCTTCCTTCCCCGCGTTCTTGATTTCCTCCCGCAAGCCGTGCAGCGTCAAGAAGACTTCGGAGAACCGCGGACTCAACAATTGCAAGCCGGGCAAGACGGAGCGCGTGTAGGTCGTGTACTTGACTTTCTGGATTCCGGCAGGGGTTTCGATCGTGTTTGGAAGCGGCATCCTCTCGGTTTTCTGGCAGAACCCACACCTATAAGCGATCTGCGGCCGCGGCGTCGTGGTAGCGGTGTTCTTGCGAGATTTTCCCGCATCTTCGTCGCAGCAGCCTTTCATCTGCAGAAAACTCTCCGCCTGTTCCGAGGGAAAGAGTTCCTCCAGCGTGAACGCCGCGCAGGCCGGTTGCACGGCATGCGGATAGCTATCCACCTGTGTGCTGTTTCCGATCGCAGCGCTGTTGAGCGCGTCGCAGCGCGCAGCGCAGAAGCTGTGCGCCTCGTCGTGTGTGAAGTCGTGGCCGGCCAGATCCACCATCGAGTCCTGCGGATCGTTCAGGCCGCCCAGTACGGGCCGGCAGTGCTCCTGTTCGAGCACGGACGGCTGGTACACGAGCGGATCCGCGCCGTACCGCGCCGGCGCCCCCATGTCCACCAGCCCGACCGCGGACACGTTGTGGGCCAGCTTGGCCTCGGTCAGGTACTCGCCGGCCGGCAGCCGGTTGCCACTGCGCGTCGCGTCCAAGTCGATAATCATCTCCACTTGCTGCTCCTTGTCCTCGGTTTTGCTCGTGATCACGTAGGTCGCGTACTCGCCCCGCGCCACGTCCAGCAGCATCTTTTCCAGCACGGCGCGCACGATTGTCAAATGCCGGGCGTTCACCCCCTCCCCGAAGGACCGCTCCTCCTCGGGTACAACTAAGGCGGGATCATTTTCTTCCAACACGCCGGGACAGAAGGACTGGCTGTGCAGCGGAATGTGCACGACATTCCACTCCTGCCGCACCTCCTCGAGGTACTGGATAACCTTCGGCTTCTGCGACTCCAGCAACTTGCGCAACTTTTTGTAGTCCCCTTCCTCGTGCGAGTTCGCCGCGCGAATCATGGCGAGCTGCACGGGGCAGAAGTGCGATACCGCTTCTTGGGACAGCCACACCAGGTCGGTTTCCCGCACCTGCTTCGTCTGCGCCGACAGTTGGGTCCGGCTCTGGGCCAACCGCGCCGGGTCCCGCGCGGCGCCGTCGATGGCCGCGACGTACTCGTCCAGCGTTTGCTTGCCCCGCAGGAAATCGTCCCGGTCGCGGAGCACCTGGTCCAGGAACTCGGCGATCGCCAAGTTCTTCGCGTCCACGGCAATCAGAACCGCGTCCAGCAGGTCCTCCTTCTTGATGGCCAGCGAGCTCATGCCGCTCACCAGCAAGGCCACCACCTCCAGATCCCCGATTTTCGCCGCGTAGGCCAGCCACAATTCCGGTTGGTCGCACACCTCCTCGACGGCGGTGGCACCACCTGCACTGGCCTGCTCGGTCATGGCTTCCAGATCCGCCTTTCCCACCACCTGTGCGAGAGTCGCTCCCGTCTCCCGCGCGGCGGGGCGCTCCCGCAGCAGGTTCAGAACGCGCTCGGGTGTTCGGGACGAGGTCGCGTCGTACCAAACACTCGGCGTCAACGCGTTCGCACCACGGTCCCGTTTTCGCCGCTCGCGGTGCCGCACCCGCTGGATCTCCGCGGCCAGCGCGAGTTTCAGGATGCCGTTCTGATTTTCGTTCTCCATGAGGTGGTCCACAAACTCGCTGCTACTCGCCTGCTCAATCAGCTCCTCGATGGTCTGCGGGTTGTGGAACATGTCCTCGAAGTCCACACTGAGGGTCGTGGCGGGTGTTGAGGAGGACGAGCTGTGAGGCAACACATCCCACAGAGCTCGCCCAGAATCGGCTTTTTTGGAGTTCTTGGCCTGGGCAACATCACCGGACAACTCTTTGCGTAGTTTTCGCACCTGCAGTTGCGCAAGAGAAGTACTAGATGCGGTCGAAGGCGGGAGCTCTTCTTCCAGCACTTCAAGTTGTGATCCCTCCGCTATCGGAGGTGGCACGGTTTCGACCCTGATTTTTTGCTCCGTGCGAGGACTCGTTGTTTTTCCCGATGTTTTACGTTGACGCAGCGACTTCTTCCCTTCTCCAGAATGGTTCTCATTTTTATTCCTCCTGTCGGCGATGTAGAGGTCACCGCCATTCTCGCTAGAGGGCCCACTCAAAGCGTTTTTGCGTACTATGTCACTGCTGCCGACCACATTCGCCTCCGTCTGAAGAAGCCCGAAACTGCTACTGGCGATCAGGACCAGAACTGGGGCAAATGGCCAAAAATCTCTCAACATCTTGATCTTTGTGGCTTAGTAAAACCTGTAAGCTCTATTTCTTTCAGACGGTCACCAGGCTCGAGCTTCTGTGAAGGTCAAGATAATGAGGAATACATTGCTGGAAACACTAAAAAATAGAAAAGTCAAAGTTTATGCTTGGAAATTTGGGTTAGTACAGCAATGAAGAACTCCTGGAAGTTATGATTAATATCCACGACGCAATAACGAATTCATCTTTCGTAGGTTGGTTCGTAGGGACGAGGACAATGGAAACAAAAGCCATCCAGCGATGGAATGGAAAAAGCACGAAAAGAACTGAACGTCAAAAATCACGATGAAAAGTGAGAACGACTGGGACTGTTGGACGACTTGATAGAAAAACGAACAGAGAATCTGGAAAACGAAAACCTAGCAACGCGCGGACGAAAATTGGCAAATAGTTTAGAAGCTCATATCGAGCTTAACTTGTGTGCGTCATGCAAATCTATTTGCGAGGTCGGGGTCGGGCACAGATGAGCAACGAACATGATAAGAATTTTCGGAACAGCGACAATGAAAGAATGAAACCTCGATTTGTTTCGGCTGCAAAACTCCTGGCAGGCCAGCACTTAATACTGTTTCTTCCTCTTGCAACGAGAGGGACAGCTTATTCTGCGGCAACAGCAAAACAAAACTCGTGTACAGGTGCGAATCTATGCTTTTCAATGGTAATCAGTAGTTGCATTCGCCTCCGGCACATACGGTGCTTAACTTTGTCTACTCCATGACTCTTTTCCTCGAATATTTCTCCAGTTGCAACCTTCCTGCTTTCCCCATCAAAGGAGTAGAGGGATGATTTTCTACGAAATTTTTTATGTACCTGCATGCCGATGCCATTCGGATGGAACTTGCGGAGACTTTTCAATTTTCTATGGTAGTCATGGTTCTTGTGTAGAGGCGACTTTCCGAGGTTGAGATAGTTTCACCAGACCGAGCGCGCGATCATGCTGCATCGGTTAATTTCAAAAATGCTCCACTTCTCCTCACAGTCACAAGAAAAAGAAGCGAAAAATACTATGCATAGTATAGGGGTTAACGTTGAAGTCCAAACAAAACAGGACTCAATTTCAACTTCTATTTTATCCACCAAATACGAAACATATACAAACGCCTCGATTGGAACGGAATGCGCTTCAAGCAAATCGCAGCACGGCGCAGCCGTTAACAAAGTAAGTTGCGGATAGCGCGCATTGGGAAGATCATTGCAGGCATTGCTAATTTTCGTTTTCAATTTCTGTTTATATGTGCCATCCAATTGTTCTTCGAATGAATTCTGGCCAGTTGAAAGCCACTACATTTGCATTGTCTAAATTTTCAAAGCAGATTTTCGGTCCTTGTCGAATATACGTGCAAATTCGTCTGGCTTGTAGCCTCGTCTTGGTGCGTCTCCTCTCACACTGCAACCGCTACAGCAGAATGCGCACCCCCAGAAGACCAAAACGATGAAATGCATAACCGCGACAGCCAGAAAGTACAGGAAAACGTACCAGTCTGCCCACAGTACGGCTCCGAGAAAGGCCCACCCGGTGGACTGCAGCAACACGAGAAAAGTGGGTCCCAACGTCGGCCCAAACGTACGCGTGTCGCAGGATTGACAGGTTCGGATGATAAGGAACAGCGGCGAAACCAGCACGGGCAGTAACAGAACGATCATGAAAACGCTGTTATACGCAATGTATTTTTTCGTTGTCAACATCTTGGATAAAAGTTCGCTTGTTCGCTTCATCAAAGACGCACTGATAAAGATACCAGCTAAATCTCTGCCAACATGGAGATAGAAAGCATCAGCATGAGCACTCTTCGATTTTCGTCACCAACACAAAAAAAAGTACTTAAACTGATACTGTACATACCCTGATGTGTTTTGCAGCTGCGTGCCGAAGAAGATCAGCTGCAAGCAGAGGAGGAAGGTGACGAGGCCGAGCTGACACTGAAACTGTGCTTTGTAGAGACTCGGGATCATGACGCGGCAGCCGTAGTAGACAATGTAGCACAAGGACAGTACAAAGCCGACGGCCATGGTAATCATTGGGGCTATGTCTGCACGTACACCGTTCTTCCATAGTAGCAGCCCGAAATACAGCGTCCAGCCCGCGCTCTGCTGCAACATCAAAGTCAGGCCGATTGGAGGGAGGTCGTTCTGTCAAAACGATGTTAGTTTGAAATGAATCTGAGCGGGGTCGTAACAACAAAAAAAAGAGGTATCTAATATATGAAAAAAAAACAAATGAATGCTGAAACTGGATCAAAAGGAAAAGCTGCAACTTTCTTGTTTGTGAATACAGGAAACAGGGTCCTTTTGAGGGTGATTTTAAAGACTACCTGTACTGATCCAGCGATCGCCCCAGTCTCCTCCTCGTCTGTTGACTCGTCATCGTCCTGGTCTTGTCGGGCCTTGCCCAGCACCCGGGCGTTCCATTCGATCAGTGTCACGGACCACTGCCGGTTGCACAAGGAGAACAGCGGGAGCAAAAAAAGCAGGATTTGCAGAAGGCAAATGAGAGCCTCTACGCCGCTCTCTTGTTGCTGCCCCCCGTCGCCGATTATGTGCTGCGTGCCCTCCTTGTTCCAAACGGAAAAACAGCTGCCCATCTTGACAAGGTCACGCCGCGCTTCTAAGAAGATAGAATCTACTAAAATACGGTCGCAAAAATTCTACTGCAGAAAAAACGACCCCCGCGTGGTCTTTTCTGTTGTCAAATTCTTTGAATTAGACTTCTACACGGATAAAATGTAACTTTGCCCTTCATTCTCTTCTTTCGAAAACAAAGGCTATGGTGGCAGTCGTGACAACATCATCCTTCTTTGCGATTTGACAAGAGCAAATGCAAATTTCACGATGACCACAATACTTTAACTTTATTGGAAACCCCTGCATTTATGGAAAAAAGGCACGACGCGGTGAATCTGAATGTTTATCGTCAGCGAGAGTAATACGATCACGATCAGGACTCAATGTGTACGGCCCTAGTGCGGTATACCACCATGTATGGACGTACGCACACTGGCGCTTTGCCCTGCTAATAAAGGAGCCGCACAGCCAGAGCCGAATCGGCAACATGTTGAAGTAAGTTGATGTTTACCGTCAGCCTTGTTTCGTTTCTTCCGAACGGTGCTCAGGAGCATCACCTCCTCGCAACAGATATAATTGAGACCCGAGTCTGTGATCCAATGTGAGATCGAAAAGCGGCTTCACCGTCGCAGTACCGATGTTGACCAGCTAGCAGCTGACAAAAGCCGATCACGATGTCTTATCCGAGTATAGCCAAGAGCTTTGTCTTTGCTTGAGACCGAACGGCAATTTGTTCCTGCGAAGTAAAGTCAATACCGACTACTCAGAGGCCAGGTGTCGGCAGTTGACAGAAGTCAAAGACATCTTCTACAGGGTTGTTTTTTACACTTAAGGATCAGGCGGGTCAGGCTCCTCCCTCGCCTCGTCATCAACATTCGAAATTAAGTAAAGTAATACGAATTGGATCTATCTTGGTCACAACTTGCACAAAATGGAACACGCCCCGCGTGGGGTAAGTTGTCTTGCCAGGCTTCTTTCAGGACGCAGAGGCTTTTCTTTATTCCTAATCGTACTTTTCATTCATACCGATTCCTGATCTGTACCTAGCGCTCAAAGCTTCAATCTATCTCAGAACTTTGGGATTAGAATTACGACTCGGAAGATCGAGTAATATCTTCTAATGCATGGCGTACCGATTCCGCCACTTGAGCAACAGTCCTGCTAGTATTCTGTACGCAACGAAGCTGGTGAACAACACCGCTATTTCAAACACGGCCGAGTTGTATAAATTATCTGGTGCGGCTTCCCGCAGGATTCCTTTCGCTTCCGCCACAACGTCCGTGACGCGCACGTCGCGTTTCAGCGAACACGCTGTGGCCTCCAACAGGTTCAGTCCGTCGGTCTCGTCGAACGCTGTCAACGCGCGGTACATGCCTTGCAGCTGGTTTCGGTACATGCCTTTCACCGCCCAGTACACCCCCATCAAGTACTGCAGCCCGCTGACGAACCCGGGCGCCAGCCGGTCGCTGTCGTCCGTTGCAAAACTGTCGCCCTGGCCGCTGAGCACCAGTTGAATCCCGATCACCACACTGGCCAGACTCATGGCCTGCAGCGTGTCCGCCGTCATGCCGATGCACAGCACCATCTGGGATACGCCCTGGAAGCACAGCAGGACAGAGAGCAGAAAAAACATCCACCAATCTCCGTACAAGCCGAAGAAGAGGTACACCATCGCCGTGTGCACGGCGCACCGGAAGCAAATGAGGAAAAACTCCACGAACAGCTTGGCGATCAAGTAGCTGGGCAAGTGGTACATTTTGCTGGTGTACTCGCGCGTGAACACGTTTTGCTCGCCGGCGTACTGTGTGAATTCCGCCAGTGCGTTGATCAGCATGGGGGACACGAGAAACATGCAGGTGCAAGTTTTCAAACCCATCACGATCCTCATGTAGTTCGCCGCCAGCATGAACCCGGTGCCGCCCTCCGCGACAATACGCTCCGCGGTCTTCTCGCGGCAGGCCCAGAAAATCATGAAGGACAGCAGGTTGCTGGTGATGATGCCCTGCACCTGAAACAGCTCGCCAACCCACCCGCGTACCACTCGGGTCCGCCACTCGCGAGCGATCAAATGCCCCACCTGGGAGCCGATGTGCACGGGGAAAAGCACGGACTCTTCGGCGGTCACCGCGTTCTGAATCGCGGCCAACCGCGCGGCCGTGTTGTTGCCTCTGTTGTTGTCCTGGCCGGCCGTAGAGATGTTCGCGTTCTTCGTCAACATTCTTCGCATTTCGTCGTCGTACCCTTGTTCTCGTGTGATTTCGACCACTTCTGCCATCCTTTCCGCGGACAGGGTTTGCGTGAGCATCAGACACGTCTCCGCAAGGTTTTCGCCATCCTTCGTCGGGAAGCCGCATGCCTGCAAATTTTCGCGCAATGTCCACCGGACCGGGTCGCTCTTCACGGCGGTCCGGGCGGCTCTCTGCGTCGTAGCCGCGTTTCCCCCAATACCAGCAAGCCCCTGAGGTGGTGGTGGGGCCTGCGCAGAAGATGCTGCACCCGCTCCTCCCGTGCCGCCGATGTGCGTTCTTGCAGCAACTGTGTTTATTGTTTCCTGGTCCTCGTCGGACGACCCTGCCGCTGCTAGTCCCACCTGCTTTTTCATGCTGCGGATTATAGCGTCAAACATTGCCTCGCCTTCTGCCTGCGGAAGCGCCTCGCCTTCTGCCTGCGGAAATTTCCCGATCCCTTCCAGCCTCTGCTGTCGTTTGCGCTGGTGGCGCCCGCCGCGTGGCGTCGTCTGCGGTGTGCTGGTGCCCTGCGGGGACGACGTCCCCTCCGGTACGGTTGCACCACCTCCCCCTGCTGCTGCCCGGGGAGTCGTGACAACTGGAACTGCCACGGCAGGGCCTGGCATCTTGGGCGTCTTGTGTCCGTGGAACATGAGTTCGCCCTGTTTGAAGATGAGCGTCCGGTCAAACTCCTCGAAGGTCTCGAGTGAGGGCTGGTGAATCGTGCAGACCACGATTGTGTTCAGCGACTTTGCGATGTGCTTCAACAGCTTGACAAAGAGCACGGACGTGTACGAGTCCAGCCCGCTGGTCGGCTCGTCCAAAAGCAGAATCAGAGGCTGTGCCACGATTTCCAACGCAGCCGAAGTTCGCCGCTTCTGCCCGCCGGAGATCCCCTTCGTGTGCGCGTCGCCGATGCGCACGTCCTGGCAAATGGTCAGCCCCAATTCGTTCAGTAATTTCGTCACGCGGTCCCTCCGCTCCTCGGGGGAGAGATGGGACGCGCGCAGGGACGCGCACAGCTCCACCGCCTCGGCGACGGTTTCCGTGGCCACGAGCTGGTCGTCCTGGAACACGTAGCCCGCGATTTTCTGCAGCACCTTGTCGTTCACCTCGTCGTTATTCAAATACACCTTCCCCGACAACCCCCTCCCGCCGCCCAAGTTCCACTCCGTCCGCCCGGAAATCGCGTTGAGCAACGTGGTTTTCCCGCACCCGCTCGGCCCGAGAATTGCGGCCACCTCCCCGGTTATGCATTGCAAAAGTGTCTGGGTCTGGAAGATTGCAACTTGTCATGGTAAATCTGAAGCATGCAAAAATCTGTGTTGCATGAGTGCCAAAAGCGGCACACTTTTGACCCAGTTGGAAGGGAGTTTCTCATGCAGGATAGGCATGGCAAAGACCTCGCAGAGTCTGTCATGCTAAGTCTCGCATTCCAGACCTCACGCGTCATGGAAAATCTGCATGACACATCTACACTTTTGCAGACCCAGACACTTTTATACTTGATACCGGTTCGAAAGCAGCAACTGACGTCCTTCATCAACTTCAACCCGCCACCGCCTTCGCGGTTGTCCACCTCATACGTTACGTTTTCCAGTACCAACCAGTTCTGCCGGGGCAGATCGCTCGTGTGCGGAGCCTCCAGCGTGATGCAGCAGCAGCAGCATATCAGAAAGATCGTGATTAGAAGGATAAAACCGCCAACCGAGGAGAGCAGCAGCATCGGCACGGGGAGGTTGAGGGTGGCGCCCGTGACGTTCGTGTTGTTGGAGATCATGGCCGCTGTGCAGGCTTCGATGGAAAAGTTGGTTTCCGACATCTGGGACAATAATTTCAAGTTGTTCGGGTCTTTGGCCAGGTCCATCATCTGCTCCATGGTTTCCTCGTCCTGGAGGACTCTCCCGAGCGCGTCCTGCGCCTCGGGATCCAGCTCCTGGTAGCGCGCGAGCATCACCTGCGGATCGATACCCTTCGCCTTCATTTCCTGCAGCGCGGAGAGGTAGTCGGCGGCACCAGTGGTCCCGTTGCCGTCGATTGGAGCCGACGAAAGCAGCTGCAGGTCCTCTGCAGTCATAGGCGAGAGTATCTGCAGAGCTGTGTCTTGTTCCTGCGCTGTCATGTTACTCCACTTGTTCAGTGCCTGCTTTCCCTCCGCGGACGTCAGTGATTCAATGGTCCTTGCGTCTACAGCTGATAACATCTCCATTGCGTCGCTCTGCTGGCCTGCTGTAAGGTTGCCCCACTTTTGCAGTGCGCTTTTTCCCTCGGGAGAGGCCAGCGACTCTATCGTTGCGGTATCGATCGCGGACACCATCTCCATTGCATTACTCTGCTGGCTTGCCGTGAGGTTGCCCCACTTTTCTAGTGCGCTTTTTCCCTCGGGAGAGGCCAGCGACTCTATCGTCGCGGCATCGATCGTGGATATCATCTCGATTGCGTCGCTCTGCTGGCCTGGCGTGAGGTTGCTCCACTTTTCCAGTGCGCTTTTTCCCTCGGGCGAGCCCAGCGACTCTATCGTTGCAGCATCGATCGCGGACACCATCTCCATGGCATCACTCTGCTGCGTCTCGGTCATGCTGCTCCATTTCGCAAGCGCCTCCTGCCCTTGTTCCGATGTCAACGTCGCTATGGTCGCATCGTCAAGCGCGCCAAGCATTTTCATCGCCTCGTCCCGCTCTGTTTCACTCAGGCCTTGAAACTTCGCTAGTGCCTCCTTGCCCTCGGAGGAAGTCAGAAACTGCAACGTTGAGTCGTCCACCGTGGACACGGCGTCCAGCATCTCCTCTTGCTGTTCGGACGTAAAACTCTGCCACTTTTTCAGGGCTTCCTGTGCGTTCGGGTCCTTGAGCATCGTCATGTCCAACCCTGACATCATTTCGGCGAGGTCGTCTTGCTCTTCGGCACTCATCTGGTTAAGTTCGGTTTCGAGCTGCTTCGCCTTCGCGGTCATGTCGCCATTTTTGTCCAAAAGCCCCATCTGTGCCCCGATTTGGTACATCTTATCAGGCACATAGTAGCAGCAATCGTACCACTTTTCGTTCGCCTTAACCCACAGATCAGATCCCGGGCAAGTCTCCGTGGTGAGTCGCGAGCTGCACAAGCCCGCCTTGGAAGCGCATTTGTTCTGAATAACAATTGAATTCGGCCACTCCTTCGGACGACATATCATTTCATCGGTCAGGCCCGCAAGACGTCGACCAGTCTCCATTCTCCTAGTACTTCTCCGTAGGGAAACGGAGGACTTAGAGGATTGTTGCAGCATTTCCGCTTCTCTTTCCGATTCGGATTCCGTGAGAGTTTCGGTCTGGGCATGTTTCCTTCGATGCTCCTGGCGCCGCACTACTTCGAGTGCTGAGTCACTGTTTACCTTCTGGTCCGAATTCAGCAGTTGTGCCTGTTCACCGAAGAACTGCTCCGGAGACCGATTTACTTTCGCTTTTTTACGCCGTTCGGATAACACGTCTAGGACGATGCTTTTTCTGTTGACCACACGGGCCTTCGCAGAGAAGGAAAAAGCATGCGCTGAGTCGAAATTCCGGAGGAGCGAAATGTGCCCACAACAGGCGACAACGCCCAACAAGCGACGCATGTGCTTGTGTTTGAGAACTTGCGTTGGCAAAGCTGATTCCCGCCGAAGGGGAAACGCCATTTGGAACTAAGTAAATGGCGAGATGGAGCTCAAGTACTTTACCTACTTCACCTACTCAACAGATAATGCCAAAGGGAAAGGTTAATAATCTGCCTGACTGGAACTGGATAACGATGACATCATAGATTGATAGGAAACAACTGCAAAAGCCAGCTCGATAACCTGGCTCTATCGATATGCGCAGGAAAGAAGTTTCCTTACTTCTAATACACAAGCCGATGAAGCCGGCAACGGCAATTTTCTAGTAGTATACAACGAAACAAACCAAACTAGCGCCTCGACGTTTGCACGGTATCGGGCGACAGGAGACGAGTAGCGGACGATTCGACGGAGAAGCTTGCTTCTTGTGAACGTGGTGTGACTATGAAAACGACGTAACGAATGAAGCAACACAACCAGGAACCGCACGATGCACGAAGAGCGTAGACAACAAGAGAATAGAGCTGCAAGTCTAAGTTCTACTAGGGCGATCAGAGTGCGAAACTGAAATCCACACAGTGCACGACAGATATAGAAAATCAGTCTGTGTTAAGACACACACAAATTTTACAGCCTCGGAGTCTACTTACACGACACAGGGACCACTGCACCATATCCTGTGCGTCGCCGGAACACGCAAAACTGCTATAGACTTTCTCCTGTCTTGTTTTCACTACGTTCCAGCTCTTTCTGTTCGTTCTGCGCATGATCATCATGGACGAATCCGAATTACTCTTCTTACGAAAAGGAAAAAGCCTCCGCAAGGTCTGCGAAGACCGATGCGTGTTCTACGTCGTGTTCGTCGTCTGTGTTGTCTAGATACCTGAATCTGAGCCGAACCTCGCCCATTGGCACTAGGTTTAACGTCCGCCAGCTCCCTGCTTCCAGGTCGAACCTGGTCGAGTGCAGCGCGTCGCCCGCGAGCGGTACGTCCTCCTCGTTTTCCAGTAGCATGTCGTTTATCATCATAGTGGAAAGCTCCACCCGCGCGATCTCGTCGCCGAAGGCGCTTGCGGCGCTCATGCCGAACCCGGCACCCGCCACCGCGCCGGTGACGGGGTAGAGCGCGCCCCCAAAGACGCCGCCCGCAACCGCACCGGCAGCGGGCATCAGCGCTTGGGCTGCGTCTTGCCCGACGATCTCCTGCCGCTGCACGGTGAGGGTGAGTTTAAACTTGTGCAAGTCTTCCCTGTCGTAGTTCAGTTGCATCTTCTCTTTGACATTGTAGTCCTCACCGTAGCCAACCTCCTTCACCCGGGTTGCGCGCGGCTCGTTGTATTTGCCCGCCTGGACGTGGCAAAACCTAGATCGAATTGGCATTTCATACAACGTAGACGACGATCGAGCTGTCCAGCGAAATTGACAAGCAACTTGGATAAACCACAAAAAAGTGAACCATTTGGATTTTCGCTTCACGGGATGGTCTTGTGGATGGAAAGATCATCATCATGATACATGCATCGCATCTGCGTCATCTGAATCAACAACTACTAGATACAGTGGTCTTGTCTTCGCCTGAAACACCGTCTGGGTCTTCGGCAACCCGGTCACCTGGGCAATCGAAAGCTCTATCGGCCGGAACCGGTGCATGGAGAAACACGTGAGCATATCGCGACAGTCAGCGTTTATCACGGGATGGTTCTCCAGGCCGAGCAGTTTTATCACGTTGCTCCGGTAGCTGAGCAGCAATAGTACGCCTATTATTGCGCCGCAACTCTGCAATAATCGCTCCACATTGGACAGCACGTTTTCTACGGTGTGCACGAACAGGAAAAACAACCCGTTCACAGACACGTTTTCCAGCTGGCTCATCACGTACCCGAAGAAAAATAAATTCACGAGCGACAGCAAGAGAAAAACCATCCTCATCCGTTTTCCCAAGCAGTAGCCAAACAGTCGGTTCCGCATCAGAAACTTCGGCAACAGGTAAAGAACCACCATCATGGAGATGGTCGCGACCAGGAGGATGTGCTGTCGCGCGTGCAGCTTCCTGACACTGTCGAGCAGGTCGAAATGTGGGGTTGCCGCGGTAGCGGTTGTTGCACCGGTGGCTCCGGGTGCGGCCGTGGAACTAAAATACGAAACCGGGAAGGGGACCAAGGTCGTCGCCTCCCCTGGAGCAATGGGGGGAGGGAAAACGTCCGAAGTGGACATGATGAAGAAGTTTCTACTTACTTACGTCTAACTATTTCTAGATCAGAAAGTTTCAAAAAATGCGCGAACGCATTTTTTCCAGTAGCGGTAGCGCAGCTCAAACTCTCCTTCTGAACGAAAGTCCTTTACTTTGAACTGGAAGGCAGCTGACATGCACGTGACTGCAAGGCGCAGTGCGGGCAGATCGCATCGTTGTTCACTCTGTGGTCTCGCAGGTCGACACATTCCGCTCGAGAGCTTGTAAAGACTTCAGCAGGACAGCGGCACGAGCTGCCCACAGTGAACCAGGAATACAAGCAACAATCAATAGCACCATTGGTGGAACCTTGTTTGATCATCGTACAATCAACGTGACTTTCCTTCTTGTCTTGACCGTCCTAGTTAAAGTAGTTGTAAACGTAAACCCACTTCAATGAGTCGATATGAATCGGTTCTGATTCTCTTTGTCATCGTCCTTCTTTGCGTTTTCTGCCTGGTGTTTGACTGTGAGTGAGATCTGCTAGTATTACTGTACCTGTACGTGACAACAATGCCTTACCCGCATTAGAAAGGCTTAAGCTTTTGCTCCTTGCATATAGTTTATTTTCGTATTTTCTTGTACGCTTTTTGTTTTTACTTTTTTTGTAATCCATTGATAAACGTTTTCCATTTTGTTCACACCTAAGTATAACCGCGAAAATGACCATTCTACTGGTAACGACTGAGGAGACTGGCGCCGGAAGACGCCGCCGCTCCCCCGCCTGTACCAGGGTTCTTACTCGATTTTCGCCGTCGCAGGAGACTTTCTGGCCTCTCGAGAGCGCCGAGCAGCGAGCGGCCCGGCGTGCGGGAAGAAGACGGAGGAGGCACACTGAGAGACCCGATCTGCTCTAGGTTACGCGCCAAGCTACCCGAATTGACTTGGTCTGGAGATTTTAATTTACACATCATACTAGCGCGGGAGCATATTTGACAGATGACACAACTTCGTACTTCTGAACAAAATTGCGCTTCATTCCTATGAGAACAGGGACAGGCATGAAAAAAGCCCATTTTATACCGGCAAACCGCAGTCTTTCCTTTTCGGCAGATTCGAGATCTTGCTCCATTTTTTGCACACGCTGCTCCAAGACCCGGTTACGCCGGGCAAGTTCCTGGTCCTTCATCGAACTTAACTTGGCCTCCAACCGCTTCTCGGCCGTCTGCAGATTTTGGATGTTTTCCTGCTGCTGCGCAATCTGGGTTTCCATGTGCGTCACCTTCTCGGACTGCTCCGTTTTCTCCGCCAGGAGGGCGTCGGAGAGGTTCGTTTTTTGGTCCAGCTCCTCCTGCAACTTCTTCTTGCTTTTCAGCAGACTCCGCAGCTGGTCGCCCACGTCGTCGTGCTGCGCGGTCTCGTGCATCCGCTGCCTGCGCAACGCCTGCAGCTCCTTCTCCAGTGCCGCCTTCTCTTGTTCTAGCGTTACCTCCCGTGGCGACTTGTTGGCGCTGTGGTACGGTAGTTCTTTGGCGGAAGAAGATGCGGGATCCTTGTCCGTTCGCCCGCCTGCATTGGGCGTGCGCCAGGAGGAGGAGGATGAACTAGCAGAGGACGACGAGGCTTCTGCATCACCAGCAGGACCATGCTTTTGCTTTGTTGCCCCTTCCTGCTCTTGCCCCGGTGACGAGGAAGCCGATGCGGAGGAAGCCGCTTCTGCTTCGACAAATGATTCTTTTGATTTACACTTGGACTCGACACTGGCGTAGGAACGCTGGATCGATTCGCCCCGCGACACAAGGGACTCCCTACTCTTTTTCGGTGATACGCGGACGCTGGCGCACGGGGGTGTCACCGTGGTCAAAACACGCCGACGCTTTGTGGAAAGTTCACTTTGACAGCTTCCCTGCGGCGACCCCTGTTCATCGTGCGGGGAGAATTCTGCCTCTTCTTCTTTGCCTGCATCTGCCTCGTTTGAAGATGCATCTCCATCTTTTCTCTCAACCAGCGAACCGCCCAGACGCAAATCGGGTACAATTACCTTCTTCTCAGCAGGAAAAATGTTCACAACAGCGGAAGGCGGGGAATCCACTCCCAAGGAGGCTACGCGTCGGGATGCGGCAGAAGGAGAGGATTTGGAGCTGCTGCGGCTCGCATCACCTACTACCTGCTGGTTGTTCGCTACAACTTCTCCAAGTAGGCTCTTTACGTGCTTCGAAGTCTCCGCGTCTGCTTCATTTCCCTCCTGCTCAATGCGTCTTCGCTTGAGCACGGGCGGGACCCATTCCTGCTCGTCCGCCGGAGCGTCCGCTGCGGAAAGAAGTTTTTTGGAAGAATGCCTCTCTTTTTTTACACTTGCAACACTCTCCTGCTCCTGTTGGGGCGTCTCTTCACTCACGCTGCTCAGACCGTCAATCATCTCCTCCAAGTCCTCTCGCGTCCGCTTGCGGGACTGACTGCGGATTGGAGACGGCGCCATCCGGGAAGTAGACCGTGGAGTGTTACTTGCAGCATGTTGTGCTCCTGCTGGGGACACCGCACGATCTTCGCAAACGGCTCCGGCGGGCACGACGTCTGGATCTTCTACTTGTACTTCCAGTTCCGGTAGTGAAGCTGGGGGTTCCTCCACTGAGCCTGCAACATTTACCTCTGCTTCCTCTTTGCAATTCTCTAGTAGAGGAGGGGCAGCTTCGAGTTGTTCCGCGACGGCGGCTTCACCATCTGGAACCTCTTTACTGCCCAAATTTGCAACGAACTCCCCGCTTTCCGGGCAACCTTGCACCGGCGCGAGAAAGAACGTCAGCTGCTCACAGGGGATTTCCGCCGGTGGCGCTTGGTTCATGAAGCCGGGTTGTTGAAATGCGGGCGGCGGCAGCATGTTGGGCGGCGGGGGCATCATGCGCGGCAGGGACGGGGACGAGCAGTTCCACCACGCGTTGGCGTCGTCGTCTTCTTCGCTGCACTCATTATTGTACTGAAAGTGCTGCTGCTGTTGCGGCTGATATTGAAACGCGTCCAGGTCGTCCTGGTCTGCTGCCGCTCCTACCTCGCTCGACTGACCAAAGTCGTGCCTCTCGTAGTTGTAGTAGACGTAATCTCCTCCACCCAGATACGTATGCCGCTCCGGGCTCGATTCCCACCCGGAAACCGAGGACGAATTGTAATCGTACGGCGATTCCTCGTAGCTGCTCTCGCTGTTTCCGTTCTGTTGTTCCTGCTGGTCCTCAACATTTGCAGCGGGACGAGAAGAAGATGATGCGGGAGAGCCCGATTGTTGAGCGTTCTTCGAATCAATCACTTTTTGAGAAGATACTTCGTTCTGTGCCGCATTCCCTCCCTCATGCGCTTCTTCCCATGCAGGAGCAGAAGTGTGTTGTTGAAGATAGAACTCTTCGAGCCCGGCGCTTTCCGCTCCGACTTCATGATCAAGATCAGCACGCGGGGTTTTACTTTTCGCCCCGACATCTTCGACTCCGTCATCTTCAAGAAAGCCAACATCGGGGTAAGATGCAGATGCTTCTGTTTTTTGTGGTTCGACAGCGGGAATGTCCTTGTGCTCGTCCTCCTCGTCGTCCCCTTTTCCCGGCAAAGAGCGACTGGCGTGCAGGGTCGCAACCTGAGCAGTTCCCTCTGCGTCTGCCCCGGCCCCGCCGTTCGATGCCTCCTGGAGCATGGAAAACCGCAGACGCCGGGGGCTCTTGCAGCTGTGGAAGTCCACGTACTGGTCCGACTGTTCCTCCTGGCTGGTCCGGAAAAGCCCTGACGTTGGCAAGAGATCCACAGATTCCTCGGGTGGAATTGCGTCGCCACCCGCGGAAACCGAGAGATACGGAGTCGGATCCTCTTGCTTCTCACTTTCTTCGGCTAGATTTGAAGACATTACGCTCCTGCTGTAGACACTCGTGCCATTGTCACCGCCGGGGCCCGCGTTGAGCTCCTGATTGGAGGATCCGAAGTTCGACGGGGGCACGAGCCGCGCTGGATTTCCTGGAATCACGGCTGGAATCCGCCGCCCGTCCTCGGCTTGCAGATAGAGGTTCAGTGGTGGCGCCTCCTCGTCGCTGAAGAGCCCTTGTGCTGGAAGGGCAAACAGAGACGAAGAGGTCGGGTAGGACACGCCGAAAAACTCGGGTCGTTGTGCGGTAGTGGAGGACGAGGATGCCGCTCCGCCCGCTCCGCCGAACCACGAAGCGGCCGAGGAACTGGAGAATTCCTTGCAGTCTGTACTTCCGAGAGCATCGTCCGCAAACTCGTTTTTCGCGCCGTCGTGGTTTTGTTTCTTCGCTGACCGGCTCGCGGAGGCGTTCATGTTGTCCAGAAAGCGGAACACCGCATCGACCGCTGCGTCGTCAGCTTTCTTCTTCTTGGCACTCTGCGACAGCTCTTCCTTGTGCGCGCTCGATGGCTGCGCCACGCTTTCCCTTTCCGACTTATTCGACTTTGAGGCGGAAGAGAATTCATGTCTTCTTGACAAAGGAGTTTTGGATTTTCTCTGCGACGTGTTCCTTATTTCCGCATAATCTACCGCATTTGGGGCGACTGCAGCTTCTGCTTCACCTTGTTTCTGCTCGGAGGCAGGGGTAGAAGCTTTGTTCTCTGATTGTTCCTTGCTGTGGTCATCCCCCTGCTCAACCACACTGTCATCTTCGGCGCTGACACCGAAAGTAGGCGTTTTGCCTCCGGCTTCTTCTACCAGTGTCGTGACCGGCTCGCCTGTCTCCGCTGGTAGATCTTCACCCGCGCGCTGACCGTCATGATGGCTCTTTTCGACCCTTTCCTCTCCTGCGCTTGAAGAGTACGGACTTTCGCTGTCTTGAAAAAGGTCAAGCGCAGATAGCGGTTCCTCTTCACCTTCGACCTCGGCTGCACCAGCATGTAACGCAGTGGTCTGCAACTGGCGTTCTTGCTGATCTTGCTGACGCTCGTCTGCAGCGTTCACGTTCTCCTCCCCCCCTGACATCGACTCTTCGAAAGAATCGATCGCATTCAGGTTCTTCCGCGTCAAGGCTAGTAGGGGACGCGCCTTCTCTTGCCCTTCGGGTAGTAGTTTCTCGACGTTTTCTTCTGCACCATCCTCGTCTTCCTCGTCGAAATCCATGCGAAAAAAGCCACTGTCTGCTTCCGGGGCTTCGCCTAGATCTTCGTCCTCCATGCAATCCTCTTCTTCGACAAGCTGTTCACCTCTCGGCTGCTCGTCTCTCAACATCTGTGCACCCAACGCAGATCCTTCGTCGACGTCGTTTTCAGCACCACGGTCCTCGCCGTCTTCGATGCTCCGGTGACTTTCGATGTCGTCGTCGTTTTTTTCCTCTAGTAACTCTGTACCATGCGGCGGGGTCCCATCTTCTTGCTCTCCATCTCCTTGGACTTGGTCCTGCTGCAACGCCGCGTTATTTTCGTCGGACCACTCTTTTCGGATCTCGTGAATCTCCGACTCATCCAGGTCGTTCTCCTCAACTTCCGTGATGGGAGACAAGTATGTCCCGCGAAACACCATGGGCTGATCCCCCCTCTGATCGAAGCTCCCGTGATCGAACCTCGGTCCTCTCGGCGTATGCAGCATTGGCATATTCCTCTCGATGTCGTCTTGGTACGAGTCAAAATAACCTCTTCCAGCGAACGAATCTTGATAATGATGGTGATGATGATGGCCGTGGAGGGGAAGATGAACACGATCCTGCTCATCTTCTTGCACCCCTACGCTTCCTTCGCCAGAATGAAAGGAACCTTCTTCTTCCATGTGCGAGGAAAAATCTTCCTGCTCCAGCGGCGACAGGTCGCGCGCATCGTCGGCGTCTTCTTCTACTTCGTTGGCTGGAAAAAAACCGTCGCCTCCTTCTTGTTCACGCGACACAGCACTGAACTCCTCGTCCCCGTCCTCCAGATCGCCTTCGGCATGCTCGACTATTTCTTGCGCAAGAACTCCTGCCGCTGTGACAGCAGGGGCCTCCTCCTCGTGCTCCGCTATTTCATCAGGCACCACCGCGCTCTCGCTCTCGCTCATCTGTGGTGCTACAACTTCTCGCTCCGACGAAGATGATGATGAAGTGCCTCTGTCTGCTTGTTCCTCTTCAATGTGCAAAACAGGTTCGCTTTCATCGCTCGGTTCGTCGGGCGCAACGGAATCATCGTCCGCAGGGTCGTGCTGATCCATCGCAGGAGCGCCCTGCGCCGGAGACTGTTCTTGATCCAGATCTGCGTCGTCGTCTTCTTCACTTGGATGTTGCTGAAATCCTGGCCCAGCATCAGATTCTCCGTCCTGCGCTGGCGACAACATGTCTGCGACCTCATCCTCAGAATCTTGATCTTCCTCAGGAGTGATTGCTTCATCCTTGCTGTCCGCAGCTATGTCTCTGCCAGCGTCTTCCTCGTCTTCGAGGATTTCATCTTCGTTTCTATTACCGGGCTGTGCGTCGTGGTCTACTCCTGCGTGACTATCACCTCCTACTTGCTCTATTTGCGAATCGCTCACTGAAACAGAACCAGAAGATTGTCGTGCAACTTCTTCTTCTTGTTCTAATTCTCGCAACATGTTGTCTGCCTCTTCAGCTAAATTCGGCGTTGGAATTTCCTCGTGTGCGGCCGGTACTACCGCGAGCGCCTGCTCGCCGTCATGTGAAGGTGAACTTTCTCCTCGTTCTGGTTCTGCTTCTTCACGCATATGCTGCTCTACATCCGCAACCGCATCCTGGCGATCTTCAGGATCGGGAGATCTTTCAGCAGCGTTTCCTTCATCTGCTACCTCTACTTCCAGCATCTCTTCGTCCTCGATTTCCTGTAGTTGCAGCACTGGTAACTCTTCATCTTCTGCTGCACTTTTGGCGACTTTCGGACTTTCCAGTTCCAGCGCAACGTCATCGTCTTCCGCGTCTTGTCGAAATGCAGCAATTTGATTTTCTGCCGCCAGCTGCTCTCCCTCATGCTCACCTGCCGCCGCAACGCCACCGGATGAACAATCTTGATGATCTTCAGCAGGAGCAGGTTGTAGTGGCTCTTCTTCTTCTTCTTCTTCTTCCACTTCGATCGGCGGGTACGGGTCGTCTCGATCTAGTGTTATGTTTCTGGAATCCAGGAAGCAGTTCTTCGGTGTCTTTCGCAGAGGATCGTTATCCGACTCAACACTCACTTCCGGCGTCACTTCAACACTGCTGGGCGCAAGATCTTGTTCTGCGGGGGACTTGTTTTCTGATTTCCCCTCACAACTCTGCTCTTCGACTGGCACGGGGGCGGCTGGACCGCTCGTTCTGCTTTTGAAGCCAACCGGGTACACATTTTCAAGTATCGCCGGCTGCTGGTGCTGCACCGGATCTGCTTGAAAGCTGAACTGATTAAAGTTCGCAGCCTGCACGTCTGCGCCTTGGTCTGCGTCTATCGGGACGGAGATCGGCGTGTCGAGCCCCGCACTGGCTGCTTGTGCGGAAGATGCGGAATTTTTGCTGTGGTTCATCTTTTCGCCGTCTTGGACGAGACCAATCGAGGTCATTTTCGATTTCGACGCCCACATGCTGCTCATCCATTGTTGGCTCATCCGCGCAATGGACTCAGGAATTTGTTTCCCTACTTGCAACAGGGGTTGAGGCTGTTCGGGCGAATAGCACGGCGACTCGTCGATGATTCCGTCGTCGGAAACATGAAATCGTGGAGGCGTTCTGACTTTTTCCGGCATAATCTTTGCTGTCTTGGTCAGGGGACAACCAGGCCCTTGTGGTACCGCCGCCGACGAAATCTTTGATGAAGCGGGTACTACTGGCGGTGGCAACATGGGACGGGTGTGGCTTGAGGATGCTGCTCCGCCAAAGGCTGTTGTACTACTAGACGGCCTTACTGCGGCCACAGAAGATGAAGTAGAGCTAGACCCGGCGGCGCCGTTTCCAGGACCACTGCCTCGGCTCGTTTTCTTTTCGTGCGTCTCATGAGGAAATAAACCGGCAGGATTTCTTACATCGTCAACTGTCCTGTACTGCTGCCGCTCGACCCACACCCTCTGTCTGTCGACGATGTAGAAGGCTCGCTGCTCCTTCTTGCAGAAGTATACAGGAACGCTGCCGAGGCGTTTACCTGTGACCGTGTCGCGCACGCCAGACGTGGTGTGCGCTAATCGTTTTGTTTTTTCTTTTTCGGTTTCCTTCTCGTGTGAGATTTTGTGATCTTTGTGTCTATCTCCCTCGTCGCTACGATATTCGTCGGGTCTTCGATGTGAAGGTGCTGATTTAGAAGTTCGAGAGGGCGGCACTGCGAGTTGTTCGACTTCGACTGCAGCTTTTTTTGCCACATTATCTGCCGCAGCCCTTGTCAGTGTTGCTGACACAGTACCGGTTCTGGTAGCAGTTACAGTTTGTGGGTAACCGCCTGGAAGTTTTACTTGAGAGGTACTCGTCGTCCCCGCGGGGGCACTCCTCATATGAGTGTGATAATCTTCCGGTTCTTGCACATCGTCTTTCATTTTCATCTGCTTCTTGTTTTGCTTGTTCTGATCCCGATCCCGCAGACCTGGCGCTACAAAGCTCGAGCTCGATGATGTTGCACTTGCAGTAGTTGCTGCTGGTGGTCTTACTTGTGACGAGGACGACGACGCAGACGCGGCTATTATCTGTACTACTTCGCGAGGAACGACACTTGTGCTTGCCGTAGCCACTTTCGAAGACGATGATGAGGCACCACCAGTCCGCTTTCCACTTTCTCCTTTCACAACTTCAGCGGATCTTCCGGGTGGCGTCTTACTCTTCTTTGGCGGCTTCGATGCCCCGACATTTCCATCCGAGGGAGCTTCAATCGGAGTTTGTTGTTCCGCTAAAGGGTGCTTCCTCGGACGACCCCGCCCACGCTTCGTGGTTCCAGCGTCTCCGCTTCCGGGTGTTGCTGGAACCGACACTCTCGTAGTTGCAGACGAAGTTATTCCTGCGGTGTCATTCGGTCTCTGCGCTGACGCGCTGGACGCTGTGGCTTTTGACGTTGAACCGGATGATACAGCAGGAGCAGCGAGAATCGTTCGCTCTGCTGGTCTACTTCTTTTTGATGGAGCTGGCTCCTGATTCTCCTCTTCTACAACCTTCTTGGGACCAAACTGTAACTTCGATGCAGGTTGGTGCTGCGACGCTTTGCTACTGGTTGCTCCTCCTTGGGCTTGTTGTTCTCCGCTGCTCCTATTTGTACCTGGTTGCAGCTGCGGCACCCCAATTAGGGGTTGAAAGAATTAAGTTTTTGGTCAAGGTTTTGATTTGCGATTTTTCATTTTTTTTCTCCTCGCTCTGAATGGAAAAGGAAAGCGCAGACCATCCAGCCGAAAAAGCTCGCTGCGCCGATATCAACATCTCGGCCGGTATCCAGACCAGCAGAAGCCGGGCAAAATGGAGGCCGCGCGCTTGCTGCTTCCAACCTCTCCCCCGGGTGAATACGATGAAGCCGCGGCGGCATTTTTCTCGGCTTCTGCTGACCTGGACTGCTGGCCAAGATATTAGCCTCGGCACCTCCCCAGAAGAACCCCAGACGCATTCCATCCGCCGCGAGGTATTTGGGGCGCCGGGCTGCTGGCCCGGCTTCTCCGCCCCCAGATCTCATCCTGCGGTGGCGCGTATCGGGGTCCGGGGGAAGAGGCTGAGCAGCTGCGGGCCTGCCCGGCTGGAGGTTTGGCCGGGTCCCGGTTGCCGCCAAGGCGGCAAGTTCTCGGGTGGGCCTTTTCATGACAAAAGCGCACCAAAATGGAAGCAGGTTCTGATTTTTTCCGGGAGCTTTCCCCGGACTAACGCTTACGCCTTTGCCCCTGCCCTGGCCCCCCCCTTTCGGCCGAACTTGGTGGCCTAAACTGGGCCGACGCGGGCGCCCATATCTTGGCCTGGCGGCCTGCCTTTTCCTGCGAGTTCCCTGGAGCAAATGGCAGGGCGCCCGGCTTCTCTGGCCCCGCATCCCGTTCCGCAATCTTGCGGGACGCCGTCCGGAGGCAAAGGCAGAGCACCTTCCTGGCCAACCACAGAGATGCCTGTCCCTGTAGTGGCTGCCGCCAAAGCGGCAAGAGGTTGGCCAGGGTTTTGCTCAGAAGAGGCTCACGGACATGGACGCTAAGACTTACTTTTCCCGGGAGCTTCCCCCGACCTGGAAAAGTACGCTTTTGCTTTCGCTTTGTGCTTCATCTTGTGGCCGAAAGTGCGAAGCCGAGCTGCGCCGATATGCTTGCCCATATCGTGTCGAGGCGGCCTGCTTCGTCGTGCAAGCCACCTGGAGCAACTGGCAGGGCGCCCGGCTTCTCTGCCCCCGGATCTCGTTCCACAATCTTGCGGGACGACGGGAGGAGGCAGAGGTAGAGCACCTTAACGGCCAACGACGGATATGCCTGTCCCTGTGATGGCTGCCGCCAAAGCGGCAGGGTTTTGGTCAGGCTTTTGCTCCGAAAAGGCTCACCGCAATCGACGCAAAAACTTACTTTTTTCGGGAGCTTCCCCCGAGCTAATAAAATAAGTTTTTGCTTTCGCTTTGCCCTCCTTTTTGTGGCTGAAAGTGTGGAGCTGTTCTGGGCCGGTATGTTCGCCCACATCGTGCCCAGACAACCTACCTGGCCCTGCAAGTTACTTGGAGCATATGGCAGGGCGCCCGTCTTTTCTGCCTCCGGATCTCGCTCCGCAATCTTGCGCGGCGACGTGCGGAGGCAGAGGTAGATCACCTTCCTGGCCAGCCACAGAGATGCTTGGCTCTGAGGTGTCCGCCGTCGACCTCATCTTCAAGCCAAAGCCTTATTTTATTAGGTCGCGTTTCGGACAAAAAAAAACTAAGGTTTAGGTTTGGAGATGAGGTCGACAACCCAACCTCAAAGATCGCCCTCTCTTTTTGCGGTCCACTTCCTGCTGGGCCACTCGCAGTGGCTGGAGGCTGGCCATGGCCGGCCCGTAGGAACTTGACCTCAAAAAGAGAGGCCGACTTTTGTCGGCTGGGTATAACGAGCTCATTTCAAATCAAAAACTTAGTTTTTTTTCTTCCGAAACACGAGCTAATAAAATAAGTTTTTGCTTTCAACACGAGCTCCGAAAGCAGCCCCGGAAAGCAGCCCTCTTGTTGTGGCCGGGATTTTGCCCAGTCAATCTCCGGCGGCGGATGTTGGCCATGCCTAGACCCGCACACCCGGGTGGCCGATTTGACGACAAAGACATACCGTACTAGCTCGGGGGAAGCCCCGGGAAAACCGGGCTTCCGACCTCATCTCCAAACCAAAACCTTAATTATTTTTTCTCCGAAACGCCACCTAATAAAGTAAGGTTTTGGTTTGCAGATGAGGTCGGCGGCGGACGCCTCAGAAACGGGCGTCCCTTTGGTTGGCCAGGAGGGTGGTCTACCTCTGCCTCCGAACATTGTCCCGCAAGATTGCGGAGCGAGATCCTGAGGCAGAGCAACCGGGCGCCCTGTCACTTGCCCCAAGTAACTTGCAGGGCCAGGTAGGTTGTCTGGGCACGATGTGGGCGAACATACCGGCCCAGAACAGCTCCACACTTTCAGCCACAAAAAGGAGGGCAAAGCGAAAGCAAAAACTTATTTTATTAGCTCGGGGGAAGCTCCCGAAAAAAATAAGTTTTTGCTTCGATTGCGGTGAGCCTTTTCGGAGCAAAACCCTGACCAAAACCCTGCCGCTTTGGCGGCAGCCATCACAGGGGCAAGCATCTCTTTGGCTGGCCAGGATGGTGATCTACCTCTGCCTCCGAACGTTGTCCCGCAAGATTGCGGAACGAGATCCGGAGGCAGAAAAGCCGGGCAGCCTGCTCCGCGTACCAAGTAACGCGCGAGGCGAGGCGGCTTGCCTGGCGTAGATGCCAGCCTAGATCTCGAGGGAAATGCTGACCCCCAAATCAGCCAGCGTGCGCTCGTCAGAATTGTGGCGACACCTCGCACAAAATCTGGATCGGCATCAAGGTAGAAGGGCCTTCAGCTCTGAAGGCCCGGCGGCTTTGGTTTTGCCAGCCAGACGAAATACGAACCAAGGCACCACCTGGACAACTGCCGGGCGGTGCGAAGAGGGACAAAGGCGGGGGCTGCGAAATCTATGAAACCACGAACCAAAACCCTGATGTAAACCTTAATTTTTTCAACCCTTAACCCAAAAAACCTTCCCCATGCGAGGAGATTCAGCGTCCTCTGCGGCTGCTGCGGCGGTACAACTGCCGTGGGAGGCGCTACAGGTGCCTTCGAACTTGTAGATGAGGATGACATAGGAGCGCGAGCTCCTTCATTGCTGTGATGTTTCTCCTTGTTCCCCCCGCCGGGAGGCTTATTTTCTTTATTCCGCTGGGGAGACTTCGAGACGTCAGCTTGCTTTGCCTCGCGCTTAGTGACCTCCTTGACCTGATCAAGCAACATGTTTGTGTTTCTCTTAGCACTTGTTGGTTCTTCGATCTGTGGCAGACACAGACGAAACTCAAAAAAGGTAAAGGTGGACCAAAGAAATCGACAATAGATGTTGAGAAACCAAGTTCAAAGTTCTACTTTACGAAAAAGCAATCTACCTTCCCAGACGATGGCGCTGAAGAGCTCACTCGAGGCTTTGACTTCGATCCGCTCCGTGCCGCCGGTGTCGCTTTGGACGTCTGTCGCTTCGCCATGTTGTTGATTCCGCTCTGGAAAAGATAGAGTCGGTCGTTTACATTTCTTCAGGTGCCAATTCGTGCAATTGCTTCTTTCTTTGCAAACCCACGCAGGCACTATACACGACCTATGTAGTTAAGTACCTGACCAACTTTGTTCTACGAGGTACAGTGCGCAGACACATTCACCTAACAAAAACGGTGAAGACGACAATGGGAGTGATGTGGAAAGACAAAACCGAACTGAAAAACTGAGTGCTACTGTAAATCTGAATTTTACCATCACACCACAGCACGAGGACAGCTTTACCTCCAAGAATCAAAACCAAAAGTTCTGAGCAACTAAACCGGCGGAGTGAGGCCAATCGAAATTTCGAGCCGTACCGATCGACGAAGGAAAATCGAACGAAAGTCACCTCAAGCACTCTGTACAGAATAGCTTCCACATCATCCTCACACGAGGTGCACATCATCTTCGCGGTCATCATCGTCTCCACAAGCAACGAATAACGCATCTTATCATGTTTCCGTGTATTTCAAAGAGATGACATTGCGTATCGGAGTGCGAGCTGAAGCGTCGATCACCACGTCGCTCGTGCTGACTTGTTTCTTCTTTTTTTGAAAAATCTTACGGGCGATTTTCTCAGTCAGCGCACATCTGCATGAGTCTACTCATGATCGTGTAGCCGTCATCCAGCAAACCGGAGTGCTGGTACTCATTCGAGATCCACAAACGGATGCCCGGAATGCTGCTGGCCGTCCTCTCCGACAGTGCACGCTCGACATACATGTCGTTGTGGTAAACGATAGCTGCTATTTTTGGCTGATCCTTTCTGAGCTGCTCGCTAGAGGCAAACCTTTCCATCTTCGTGCTTGTCTGCGTATTGCCGCCGCTGGACTGCTTGCTGCCGTGCTTCGTCGTTTCAGTTTTGCTGATGTGACCAAAGTTGTACAACCCATAACCACTTTCGCTTCCCCAGCTTTTCGAATGCAGTGCCTCCGCGCAATCGCGTAACGCTGCTAAACTACTACACTCTTCGCCGAAAACCCAGGGGAAAACCATTTCTCCGGAAAAAAAGAGAGGTCTGAGATCGTCTTGAGATGTTGTTGTTCCTTCTTCATCAGCTTCAGCTGTGTCGCCGTTTACTATTCTTTTCGTCGCGCCATTCACATTCTTCTTCGCTGTCGCCTGCTGTGCGGCTTCCCCTGATTGATGAAACAGCTGCCTGCGAAAATCGAAGTCGGCCTCGCATGCTGTATCGTCATCCCACATAGAATCGCCGAAACCGGTGTTGGGGTGGTCTTTGTTCTCTTCCAAAGGCGAGAATGGTGGCACTACGCTTGCCACAGTCATCTTGTTCATTGCTTTATTTCGTGCGTCCGCAAGCTGCCGCTTCTCCTCGTCGCGCTGCTTCTCGTGCTCCACAAGACCTTTGTGGTACCAGAAGTCTGTTGCGAATTCGTCTTCGGACAGACACCGGAGTGCTGCCCAGGAACTGCTTTCATTCGATATGGGAGTGTCAGGATTGAAATCGTCAAAGTTGAAATGATTTGTCATGCATAAAATGGATGCCAGTTGGAACCCAGTCTTCAAGTGGCGCATGACAAATTTCGGTGGTCCCTAAACCCAGTTTGTCATGCTGTTCAGGGAAAGAAGATTGATTTTCTCACGCTACTTTAGCAGCTCGAGCTGCAACCCCAAACAGGCTTACAATCGGCCTCACTTGCCTGCTCTGCAACGCACGCGCCTCGGGTCATGCATTTTATGCATTGCAAATTATTTCAACTTTGATGATTTCAAACCTGACGCTTCCATATTCGATGAAACTGCCTTAATATTGGGTTTTCCCCCGCCGTTCTGCCCTGTCATGTAGATCGCCTCCTGCAGCAGTGCGTACAACGGCTGTGCCTCGAATGGCTGCGCACTCGACAACGCGTTGAGGAAAGCGTCGCTGAGCTGAGCGGATTCGAAAAGCGGATGCTCGGAGGGTCTGCGATGTTTGCCAGATGAGGGGTCGTCTGCTCCTCGAGCAGCCTCTTCATCTTCCAGCTCCGGTGGTTCCTCGTCCACGGAACTGCCTGTTTCTCCCTGTGAAATGATGCGCTGCTCGCATTTGATGTGCTTGCCATTTTTGCTTTCTGCTGTCGAAAGAAACGACATGTCTTCGCCGGCTTCGCGGAGAGAGGTTAGAAAATTCTTTGTCAGTGTCCCGGTGGCTTCTGGTGCCTTTATCTTGTCTACTAGACGAGGAGGGGAAGCCGAGTTTTTGACATTCGCATCGCCTTCGGCACCATCAGACTTGTTCGACACGACAACAGCAGGGCTTGCTAGCATGCGTCCGTCGTTTGTTTTTATCCGCTTTCTTGCAGAAAGCTGCAAAGAAGTATCAACATCTCGCTCCCATTGATTTCGGGGCGAGGACGAGCGCTTGTTTTTCTGAACCGGCGTACCCCTGGACTGGATGCTGCTTGGCGACTGTTTTTCATAACTTTCCTCTGCGATCGGCTGCAGCAGAGATGTCTTCTCCAGAACCGGTCCCGTTGCGGCCCCGTTCGCCGATGGCAGTACATTTTTGTCCGAGGAGCTCTTCTTGTCGCAGTGCTGCCCATCTTGCTCCTCGCCGAGATGAATACTCCGAAATGGCTTCGCGAAGGCGTCCGTGATCAGTGTGTGCAGCCCACGAGACCCGGCACGCGTCCCCAGACACAGCCCGAGCTGCAGAAAGCGACGGCCCGTGAGGCGACTTCCGTACCTCGGAACTACTCCTGCTGCTGAAGATGTCCCTGCTACGTGACTCGAGGTGAGGCTTTGCGACCGGTCGCGGGCTTCAAGGTTGTAACCTGCCGGCGATGGTTGATGTTCCGAAGCTGCTCCACCTGCCACGGATGGAGAGTAGATTGAGCCCGCCTGCTTCGACGAGCTCTTGCTCGTTTTCCTCCTCTGTCTGCTGCTCTTCCTTATGTTGAGAGGCGAAGAAGAACCAAAATTCTCCTCCTGTAAGTCGACGCTCAGCAGACCGGTGCTGTTCCTAGTACAACCGTTCTTGCGCTGGTCGTGATCTTCGAAGTTCCTGTTTGATTGCAAATCCGACTCCTCAGAGCGAAAACGGCCTCTCTGCTGGCCTCCCCCCGGGGAGAGTGTGGTGGCACCCCCAGGCTGGAGCTTCAGACGGACGTCGTAGGTGTCGAGGTACTTGACGATCGTCCGCACCCGCTCCACGTCTTCCGGATACGTCTTGTAGTACTCCCGATTCCTAGCCGCGAGCCGCCGAAAAGTCGCACGGTACACGTCGACGACCGGACAGGTCGGCGGCGGCGGCAACCCCCCGGTCAGGTAGATGTGCCGCAGTGCGTACGGATGGAGGGACAGGTAGTGCGTCGCGAGAAAGCCGCCGTAGCTCTGGCCCAGCACGCTCCAGCGCTGGTCTTCCCCGAATCTCGCCTTGCGGAAAAGCTCCAAGTCCGCAACGATGCTGTCCGTGAGAAAGTAGGAGAGAAACTGCGCTTGTTCCTCCGGAGATCGCTGCCGCCGCCCGTGCACCGAGGTCCTTTTGATCTGTTTCACAGGTAGGGCCACACGGACGGGGGGTGTGGTTGTACTTTTGCGCGGTTGCTTAACAGAGCTCAACTTCTCTTTGTTTTGCGGGGAACAATTTTCTTTTTCACCTTCTCCTAAAATTGCACGCTTCCCGTCGGTTCCGAGGAGTGTCTCAGGTGGCGGCGCCGATGGCGCCTGAGCGGGCTTCAGATCCGTAGATGCACAAACGCCATGACTGTCTGCAGCTTTTTCGCATACCCATCTCTTCGATTGGTCGTGGAAATACCACGTCCCGGGCACTCCAATTTCCTGCCTTTCCTGTTTCGCAGCATTCACTTTTGTGCCGCCTGGAACTCGTGTAATGGGTGCATTCGAGGATTCCGAGGGGGAAGGGTCTCCGCCATGTGGTAAGGCCATCGCAGGGCTCACCAGTCTCACAACTGCGCTCTGTTGATTTAGTGCTCCACCTGCAATAGGATTCATTTTCTGCGGCGCTGGGGACTGGTCGTGGTCGTCGTCACCGCAGGACCCGACTAGACCATTAGACGTGCCATTTGGTGCGGGTGCAGCACCGCCACCGGTAAGAACCTGCTGATCATCAACTCCTGCCCCTGGAGCGAAAAGTTTATGCTGACTTGTATCGTGGTAGCTGTAGTTTCCGTCTGCGTCGAGGTACTCTTTCAAAATATTTTTTGATTGTAATGGCGTGGAGAAACCCGCTCCGCGTTGGTCCATCAGGTACAAAGTGTGATTTTCCAGCGCTTTTCGCATCCAGCCCGACTGTTGCACATACCGCGGACACGGGTAGCCCGGCCCTCCCTCGAGATAAACGAGCGGCGGTAGCAGATTTTCACTTTCAACAAACGATCTAGTGGCAGGACTTTTACCCGTATCCGCGTGTTGTTGTCCATTCTGCAGCTCATCATCATGTCGAGCAAAACTCCTGGTGTCCGTTGTCTTTACGAAAGCCGCAGTGGAAGAGGATGACGGCGTCCGGGTGTTTGCAGCGGTGGGAAAGTGACTTGCTTGTTGTTCGTTCCTGCTTTTCTTGTCGATCCTCCGGATCTCCCGGATGTAAACCTGAATTGTCCTGTCCTTGTCTGGGTCGACGTCAGGCACCGCGGGTTGATTTTCGCTGGACAAGGCTTGAAGGCTTCCCGCAAGTCCAGCAGACCGCGGCTCTTGATGGAGTTGCTTGTCTTGCAGTGCTGCACCGTTTTCCTTTTCTGTCCACGTTTGCTCATTACCGTGAACAAGCGGAGCCTGGAGCCAATAGTCGGTAACCAATAATCCGTCATTTTCGAAGGTGTCACCGACACGAAGCATGTTCTTCATTTGTCGTGATGAACAACATGTACAAATTCAGAATCTTGTCGTGCGTCCCGACTCGAGGTCATGTCGATAGAGAATGTATGACACGAAACACGGTAGTCAATGGAACGTTGTATTCGAAGGAAAAATACCGTAGCCGGCAGAGTGAAAAAAGCGAACTTTCAGAACTGCAACTAGTCACGATCATGATCAACACAAAATGCAGCGATCGTGCTCGAGCACAACAACAAACTATCTACTGATCAGATCTGGCATAATGGTAAGACGGCGAGCAAAGGAGAGCATTAGGTAAAAATGAACAAAAGTAGAGGATGAGGAATGTCATGCAAGCCGGAGTCAAAGTTGTCAAACATTCGAGAATATCCAATGAAATTTCGCAATAACTGGGTGTGCCGAATTAGCAACACACCTTCCTTGCTGCAAAACGCATTCATTTTGAATTTGATCGCGGATGTTGTACGTCTTTTCATACATTGCTCAGACATCAAGGACACACACACACAGTTGTTACATTGAGAAGTTCATGAGCACAGAAAGTATTGCGTACCACGTCGAAAAGTCGCATTTTGAAGCTGCTTATGAAAGAAGTCTTCATTTGCGGCCAAAAAACGACGAAGAAACCAGCTTCAAATTCCTGCGGACACCTATTCGAGATACCTCGATTTATTCCCGTCTGGCGAGCTTCCTCGGGCGTGGTTTCCAGGTCCCGCTGGCTCCAGGTCCACGACGTGCTGATCTTCATTTTCGCTTCCGTTGTCTACGCCCGCCCGCGCCCGCACGTCCGCCAGTTCTATCTGCGTCCCAAGCACCGTGGCGTCCACGTCGTCGTGTGCCGCCACCTGCTGCATGCTGCACTTCAGCTTGAAGTTATTCCTCGAGGGAAGAAAAAGATATAGGAGCCCGCTGACCACACACGCAAACGCCACGTTCGGCGCGCCCTCATCGAAAAACCACACCAGCGGCCATCTCCCAACGATATCGAGCGACGACTCCAGAACAACTTCCAGAGCGGTGCAGATGGCGACGCCTGGGTGGACAAAATACTTGATTTGATTTATAATTTTGTGTTTTCATCACGAGTTCTTGGCAGATGATAGATATGCAAGATCAGTGGAGGAAGAATCCCACAAAAGCTAGGGGAATCTACATAGATTACCGATCAGAGTCAGACTCGAATTGAAAGAAAGGACAAGTAAACTAGTACTGATCGCGGTATAGTAGACCATGTTGCCGAAGGTAAGTAGCCTAGCCAGCGATTCCAGCTGCCTGCTTTCTACCAAAGACGCCTTCAGCTGCGAAAAACCCCGGCCCGCCCAGCTGACCAGGTATGCGAAGGTCATGGCTTCCGGCAGGATCGCGAACGCGCTCGTGTCGGACAGGTGGTCCAAGGCGGCCACCCCAGTGGGAAGAAGGGGCGACCCGCTGCCTCCACCCCGAAGCATCAGTGCCTGTGGAGAGCGATAATTGGGAGATAAAAGGTTTCAAATTCTTCGGAAAAGCTGCAAAAGCAGAGGCAAAGGTCGTTCCCTCAGTCAATCAAAAGAGGTTCTCAAATTTGAGCTACCCGCCCGTGCTGCAGGACATGGACATCAGCAAAACAACGATCATTAGTACCCGCACACTGGAGAGTCCTGCGTACACTCCGGCACAGGAAAACAGCATGGTTTTGTGCGGACACGTTTCCAAAACAATGCCGCAACCAAGGGAGATGCTGACGCAGACCACCAAGATGAACGCGAATCGAATCGCCTGCGCCACCTCCGCGAAGAACACGTGGTTTTTGGCGTGCGCGGTCAGGTCCACGGTGTCGTTTGAAACGGAATAGAGATGATACCGGCCCACGGCACAGACCCACGCGAGCACAACCAAGCCGGTGAGAAAATGGTGGAGGGACACGAGGTGGGACTTATAGGCGAAAATGGTGTACAGCCAGTAGAGGAGTAGAACCGAGTAGAAGGCGACAAGATACTCGTTGAAAAACATGGCGGGAGCGTCGACCGCGGGAAGGTATCCATGACTCGACTTCGCATAAATTTTGCCCTGTTTGTTTTATTTTGGCGAGCTCTCGTTTCATCTCGGACAGGGACTTCCTATTTCAGGCTAAAACAGGCGTCAGGTGACGCTTACGTACCCACGCCAGAGATATATTACGCACAAAACAAGTACCTCGACGAAGTCCCTGAGCGGGTCGAAGTTGGCTTCTGCGCAGTTGGCGAGACCTATGTAGTACAAACTCTTTTCCATCACCGAGAACCGGACGCTTCTGCCTTTCGCGTCCGCCAATTTTGTTGCGGACAGAAACGCGTTCGGGCCTTTCGTGTACCGGACGCTGTGTTTCTCCATGCACCCGGCCGCTGCGGCTTCGTCCTTTTTTGTCCCCTCCACGGCGGACAGGTTCTCTACGTCTTCGTCCGAGCAGCAAAAATGCTCGTGGTCCAACCGTTCTTCCAGGTCCTCGGCCCGCATGATCACGATCTGCACGTGGTCTGCACCGACGGAATCCGTTAAGAGGTGCAGTTCCTCCCCGTCAATCAGAAACTCCCCAGGCTGCTCCGGCGTCGCTGCAATCGTGACGGAGTGCGTTATTTCCATGCTCCGAGCCTGCGGAAGGCGAAGCCGAAAACTGTACAGCTCGGCGGATGCGAGATTTGGAAGTACTGACGCGCTCGAAAACAACGACGCGGCTGTATCCTGAGTAAAAACGTACCCACACCAGAGCTGTAATGCAGATTTGCAAAGACAGGAAGACTTGTAATGCGCATCCCCATGAGAGCCATTTCCAATCGTGTTTTGGAATTTGTGATGCTGTGAACAGGACGAGCAGCTGGATTTGTGATGCGGCTGCACTTGCTAACCTGCACTACACTGCAGAGTGCAACTTGTCATGCGTGACTCACAAAACTCGTAGGTTTGTGTTGCAAAATCCCCATCCTGACTCTGGTGTGGGTACGTTTTTACTCAGGATAGGCTGCGGCGAGTGCCGGGTGCGCCGCTCTTATCAAGTGTAAAAATGTCTGGGTCTGGAAGATTCTGAGACTTGTCATGCATGTTTTGCCTGGGCCATGATGTGATGCATGCCCTAGCATCACAGATTTTTGGAGGGCCTCGCGATGCCTATTCCGCATGACAAATGCCCTCTCCGCGTAGCAAAAATTACACTCCCTTTGCTGCTCATGCAATACAGATTTTTTTGGAATCCAAACTCAGCATCACAAGTTGCATTCTTCCAGACCCAGACATTTTTACATTTGATAGCTCTCCTTCGCATTTGATTTCGTGGTGGACGCAGCGGTGGAGGTCGAATGGCGTTGGTTTTAGCAGTAGCAGTGGAACTTACACTTAATACTCCGCACCTGCTTTGTCCTGCAGACACCATTTCTGGCGATAATTTCTCATTGTCGTTTTCTGTTTTCGCAGTCGCTGAAGCAACGCATCTTCCAAGCAGGCAAGAAAACGACGAAGACAAAGAGGACGAATTTGGAGACGCTGCCATGACGACGATGGACTAAAACTCTGGTTCTTTCCGCCCAAAAAGTGAAACCTTTATGATATGTCGTGCTTTGTTAAGTCGTAGCAAGAGATCTGTGGAGAAGTCCACTTTGGAATTAGTGGTCGCAGTATATGGCGTCGCAACCTGATCAGAAGGGCGGTGATCATCGAGAAACTCTACTTCAGCTCCTGAGCGCTTGTCCACTTCGACGATAGACCGTCCAACAAGCATGAAGGGGGCACACAAAGGCCACGTCCAGCAGAAACGCACGTCTGCGAAGTCCAGGCGAGGGAAGAAAAAATCTCCAGGGCCGCTAGCGGCACATCTTCACATTACCACGGTTCATTGCACGAACTAAATTGTTTGTCTCCCCAATATGTTGATCAAGCACTCAGAATGCTACCAAAAACTGGCTGCATTCTGCGCGTACGACATACTCTATCATCCTCGACCTTCGGGCAGTTTGAGGTAAAAAAGAGGAAAAAGGTTGCTTTCACGACAACATTGCTCAAAAAAGGGTTGCTACAGAAAAAACTCGTTACAAAGAAAAAAAGATCAAGTAAATGCCACAAAAAAATAGATCAGCGCAGAAGTTCAGTTCCTCAAATCTGCTGTAAAATGTACAGATACAGAGGCAGAGACGAATCGCTCACAAATTAATACGGTACAGATGACCAAACAGATTCTTCCTGAAAAATTGCCCCCACTATTTCTACATACTTACGCAGTTTTCGCAATTGCAGTTCACGGAAGTTTAGTCTCATTGTCTACGAATAAAACTAAAGCTCGAATTATAATCGGTGGAAAAAGTTCAGAGGTCACTGGGGAAAAGAATGTTCATGCTGCTCCACATACTATTATTTCGCTCCGATCGTTGCTGGAGCTTCTTTCAAAACCCGACGCGCGTTATGCCCAACTTCTTGTCCAGAAAAAGGTCTTGGTATTGCGGATTCTTCTGCAAGATAGGTCGCAGTACGTCATTTGCCGGATAGGCGAGTTCCCGGCGAACCTTTCCGCCTTTTGATACCTAAAACGATTTTCTCACACCCCGCTTTCACTTTGTTATTGTTTCAGCAACAGCATCACCACATAATTCATCTTCATGCTTTACAACTTTTGTTGAGAACAGCGTTGACATTTTTCAATCAGCGACGGCACGAATGACGCTATACCTGTCGCAACAGCGGCGTCTCGTCCAGCATACTGAGGTACTCCTTCGTGCTTCTCAGATTCAATGCACTTGCCTGTACGTTGATGATAGCTTTCCCTCGCTGGCACAGCTCCTTCAGAATTTTCAGCACCTCCTCTGGCGAAAGACACCTGGACGGATATGTGAATTTTGCAGCTCATGAGAATGCATTGAAAATTTCATTTTTCATCACATCATCACATGCATATCAGCGATAGGCTAGAATTTTTGAGCACCTCCACAGATAACCATAACACCATAGTGATCGGTAGAACTTCATTACCTCTTGATCGCTTGTTCCTTTGCTGTTTTCTCGAGCGCCGCACTGTTTTGGACGGTCATTGGCAGCACCTTTTTTGCCGAGGCCGCTCCGTTGGCGATGAGGGCCTCCCGCAAACGATCGTTTGTCTGACACGCAGAAGATGAGCCGGTATCTAGCATGTGGTCCTGACCAGAAGCGGTGGTGGAACAGGTATCCGGCTCTGCCTGCTCCGCTGTTCTCTTTTTTCCCCGACCTTGTGGGGTCTTGAACGTGTTGCTTCCTGGCCCTGGCGTTAACGGTGATTTGGGTTTATTTGTCCCGCCCGATGTCGTTGTCATTTTGTTCTTTGCGTCAGCTGCGGCTACCTCGTCGAAAGCACTCGTGAGCGCGTCTACGAGTTTGCGCTGCTTTTTCGCCTGTTGCAGCTCTGCGTTCTCGTCGATCTGTTCTAGCGGGGATGACGCAACACCAGGAGCTCCTTCCGAGAATAGGTCCCGCTTCAGCGCTTTCTGCTGTCGGCCGAGCCTCTTGTCGTACATGGGATTGTCGTACTCCAGCGTGATTCCCTGGTCGTTAACGCCGCTGACCAAACAACAGAAGCACATCAAGACCACCTGCTGCATCTGCGGAAGCGCCTTCACCGTCGGTGCAATCTGCTCCATGGGGCTCATGCTCTTCATGACCACGTCTTGCGCAATGTCCAATCCGATCAGCTGCCTTGGCTCGTTTGCCCCCTTCGCACTAGATTTCATCTTTGCAGCTGCTGTTGAGGATGAACTGCTAGAGGAAGAGGCCTTACTAGTCCCGACTTTTAGTGCTGTAGTTGTCGCTGCTGTTGAGGATGAAGCTGCGGACGCTACTGACTGCGCGGCGCCGGTGGAGAAAGAGGAAACCAGGCTAGATCGCGCAGAAGATATCGTCGAGTTGTGCTGTCCAAATCGGCGGTCCTTCATCTCGTCGAGGGCGCGAGCAGAGAGCTCAAGCGCTTTGCGGCAGTCGCCATTGTTGTACTTCGACGCACGGTCTGCCAAGAATTCCAGCGTTTGCGGACCGAAGATTCCCTCCTTCGTTACCTGCGGATTTCATTTTTTTCATGAATACGATGATGATGTCGCTATATGATCGCTAGTACTGTCCTTGGAACTTTTCTCGCTACGAGGTCAACATAGCTAAAAGTAAAAACTACGAACAAGAATCAATACTCGTACCTGATCGAGCCTGGAGAGGATGATTTGCTTCATCTGCTCCGCGCCATAGGGCCGAAAGACCAGGTCTTGCACCTGCTCCAACTCGTTGCAGATCGTCTTCTGCTGGTCCAGCAACCCAATCGAGTTCGCGATTCCGATCAGCGTGAGCGGTCCGTGTCGGGGCAATCCAAAAATTTTCGCGAACGTGGCGTCATGCTGTTTCTTCTTCTTGCAGAAGAAATCCACCTCATCCAGAACCAAGATGAACGGTTGCTCCAGCGATTTCACGCGCTTCTCGAGTTTGTCAAGCCTGTGAGAGGAAGGAGTAATCAAATCAAATTCTGACTGTTTTCTCAAAAAACTAATTTGATGGTGCTTCAGCTTCACACAAGCAGCAGGGCAGTAATGCAAGAAGACGATCAGTGAAGAAGAAACATCAATGTGAAAAATCTTCGAGTATTAAGATACAGGCCCTTGACTCCCGACTGTGCCCCGCGCTGCATTTTTGCGCGTTTGTTTTGCTCCGCTGGCAAAGCTTCCAGGATTGCTTTCAGCACAGTCGCTGGCGTCGGGTTGTCGACGCAGGTCATGCAGTTCAGCAGCGTGCTCTCCTCTTCTCGCCTGTACAAAACGTGGGAAGTGGCTAGGGTTTTCCCCACCCCCGGTACGCCCGAGATGTACAACGCGTCGCCTTCGAGGTCTATGCTCGCCTTGTCCACACTTTCCTCGATAAAGGAGTTTATCTTCGCGATTTCCTGCTCGCGACCGACGATTTCGCCGTTGTTTCCGACCCGTAAAATTTCCATGCACTTCTTCATCAGCTCCTTCTCTTTTGCCTGTAGTTTTAGTTCGAGTTCAGCGGTTCTTGTGGTGCTTCGAGAAATGAAAATCATGCCTGCATCAATAAGATACGCAGATATGTCTTTAGTACTAGATTTTCCTTTGCATATGTATGTAACTAAGTCAGACGATAAAAAAAAGAGAACGATCATCCTGTACATAAAGTTCTGCCGCGGCCTGCTCGTTCTCTCGCTCCAGTGTTTCTTGCTGCTGTTGCGTGATCTCCGCCTCTTGCTCGGCTGCTTGCACCTCCTTCAGCAGCTCAGCTTCGAGAGCGGCCGAAAAATCGTGCCGCTTGTTCGCCTTTTTCGGGTCCGACTTCCGCACCGGACGCGGCGGCGCCGGGGGCGGCGCTAGAAGCCGCCTTTTCATCTTGATTGTCACAGAGGAAAGTAGGGCGTTGATATTTTCACACACGGTAGTAAAGTCACTCTCTCTTGGCGCGTCCTATCATCAAGCATCAACATGATCAGCGACAAGTTTCTTGAAAAAACACGTAGTTTGAATTCAATTTGAAAAGTTTGTATAGAGTCAGGGCTACCCGCGTTCTTGTAAGTGACTAGACATAAAGAATTGGGCTGAGTTTACACTAAACACAGCACTGCACTGACTTGTTGAAATTCACGACACTTTTAGAAAGCGTCAAAAATGGCGGTTTCGTCTTGTTTTCTATTCTTTTCTTGAGTAGTAGACACAGTTAAGTACGTGAAGAGAACATCAAGAAGACGAGCAACTTTGGGACGGACAAGATAAAGACATAGAAGACAGAAGATTTTTGAGGAAGTAGCAGTGGGTTGAACTTGTATTCGTTGCGCTACTTCGATGATATTCGTCGACTACATCCGATCGAAGTCCACACACGTCACACAGTTTCTGTTTCTCTCAGCACCACCAACTAAAAACAGGATTTTTTTCTTCTCTTTTGGTCTCTTCACCCGAGGATCAATAGCGGTCACACGAGCCGGAACACATGACTACAATGAAGCTCTCACTCTGATGTTCCCGTGATTGACATACCTTTCATCTCCCCAGAACGAATGTCACAGGTTTTCAACGAGATTCTGGGGTGCAACTGTTAGATTTGGCGTAGATAGTAAGCACGATGCATTTTACATACACCGCGACCAGAATTCACTCTCCAGCGTTGACGCCATGCCACTTGTTTCGATAAAAACATCAGATTGACGTATTTCTATTTGTGTTCCTTTTCACTCATGACTAAGTAAGTATTTTCGTTCCTTTGTTTCAAAAATCTTCTATCTATCTTTTCAAAAAAAAGCAGGCACCCTTATCGTTATCTAGCTACACATGGCAAACAATTACAGGACCAGCAGCTAGAGCACATGCAAAAGGAAATCGATGATCGCTACCGCTACGTACTTCGTTTTATCTATCACTTTTCCGTTTGTTCGATTCGCTGCTTCATCAGATGCGCAAACTGATACGTTCCCGTTTATTCTAAGACCGGAGGAAATCTTTCCGAATGACCCTGGTCTGCTGTGGCGAACGTGGCGTTCCGCCGAAACTGCCTCCGTTTTCGCTGCTCTGCAAAATGTGCTTCAAAAAAACGTTCCCCGCTTTCGCGGCGGCGACTTCGCTGTTTCGCTTCAATTCTTCGGCTTGGTTTCGCCGCAATCCCGCACGGACACGGTCCCTGTAGTCGTGCCAGTCATTTCGTTTTCGCTCCTTCTCCTCCAAGTGGATGTCGCGCCAGTGCGCTTTTTCCTCTTCCAATTCTAAGCGTCGCTGCTGCACCAGATCGCGAACCTCCTGCATTTGCCTTTGTGCGCGTTTCGCGTGTTCGGAGAGCTGCTTGTGGTTATGATCCTCAATGAGCAGGAAATTTTCCTCCACCTCACCTTCCGCTCCTGTGGCATCGTTGTAATCAAGCGATCGCTGCATTTCATCTTCTGCGCCAGCCGATTTGCTGTACGTGCGTCCGTTTTTCTCTGGCGAGGAAACCATGGAACTGCTGTCGACGCACCCGATCAGCGACAGTCTGCGAAAGGTTTTGTTCCCGCCCCTCGTACTACTACTGCTACCCCCATGATTCAGTGCCGCGTTTTTCGCTGCAGTGGAGGTCATTGCGTGGTCTCGCAACAACCGCACGTGCTGGTGCAATTCGTCTTGCCTTCTTTCCCTTTCCACCTCCAACGCGTGCTTGTCGCGCCAGTGCTGCTCGATCTTCTGTTCGTTCTGCAAATCCCGCTCCATGACCGCCGCGGCGCGGACGTGTTTCCGCGTTGCCACCTCGTTCCGAATGCGTTCCTTCAACTCGACCAGCTCGTTTTCCCTCTCCTCTTGTGCCTTGGCGACAAAGTGGCTGAGTTTGCGCTTTTTCCACCGCACCTCCTGCTGGACGAAAAATTGCTCTTCCCGCGCGGTGGTCCGGCGCCAGGAAGACGAATTCGAGCTGGAGGCCGTGGTTGACAGTGCACACGTAGCGGGTGTAGTTGCGCTACCGGTTCTACTGCCTTCATCGATCTGCTGTTCTTCATCATCGTCGGGCCGTGTAGAAGCGCCCACTGAACGAGTCCAACCGAGCTGATCGTCGAGATTCATTCTCTCCTTTGAGGAGTTCTTGCTGCCTGCGTTGCTGGTGACCAAAGCAGGTTCCTTGGCGATTACCTCGTTCGCAAATGCTGTGCGCATCAACACCTCTTTCGACAAATTATCGTAGGATTTGGATTTGTTCTTCAAATCAAACGGATTCTCGTCCTGCATCTGCTCCGGGTCTTTCTTCTCGCGTGCGTCCTTTTGTGTCCCTGCAGTGAATGGTAAAAGGTCAGCGATAGTTCGTTCTCCAGGCACACACTCTCCATCAGCTTGGTGTTCTTGCAACGCCTCGCCTTCTTCGATGACATTTTCTTCATCCGTCTGAACCGGAAGCCAACCGTGCGCGGTTGCGTTACTTTCCAATGCGGTTAACTCCGCTTGCAATGCCCGCAAGTCGCTGCTTCCTTCGAGGTCGGGGTCGCTGCCTTCCTCAAAGTCTTCTTCCAGCAACGTCCTGCCTTTGTCTTTATCTGTCTCGAGAAGAACCGTTCGGGGTCTTTTCTGCACTCCCTCTTGGAATAAACTCCGGTAGCGCGGAGGCGTCAATCCCTTGAAGTCCATTTCGAGTCCGTGCCTAGCAGCTCTGTTCTGAGCGGTCAACTCCCCATCGTCTCTACTTCCGGCTTCGTCAGTTGAAGATGGTACCTCTTCATTTTCCATTCTTTTCCGCAGTAATCTCGCGTCCTCTCGCTGCTGTTGCTCCCGCTGCACCTTGCTCTGGTTTGTCGCCTGCATCCCTTCTCTTAACTTCTGCAGACTTTCGTTCACTTCAGTTTTGTAAGCCAGGTGCCGCGCTCGCATTTCGTCAATTCGAACCAGAGCCCGATCATAGTCGAAAGGATCGTCTGCTGAAAAAGTAGGTTTTTGCTCGAGCGGCGGAGCGGTGCCGTGAATCTCGTAGTGCATCTCTTTCGTCCAGTGGCCAAGAGGAAACTTCTTTCGCTCTGGTGTTTTTTCGTCTTCATCGCCGTCGGCTAGGGACATGGTCTTGTTGGGAACAATGCTGGTAGTTGTCCCTTCACCTGCAGAAGTTGTTCGTGCCTTAGTACCATGCTCAACCACAACCGCGCCATTCCCATTGTCTACCACTCGTGTTGGTCGCTTCAACCAGGTTGCGGTCGGACTGGAACACCCGTCTTCACCGCCTAGCCCGGGTTCGAAACCCGCCCGACCGTCGTTCTTTTTGAAGAAATCGGGAGAGCCGCTGGTACTACCCGTACGACCACCATTTTCACCATCCACGTTGGCGCGCCGGCGCTCGGCGATGATCTGTTGCGCGCGTGCCCCAGTGGCTGCTGAGGAGGACGAAGAGCTTCCCAGCCAGGAATCCGACCACCAGCTGGCCGCGGATGAGCACGAGGATCCGCGGCCCCCCGTTCGCGGTCGTGTCTGTTCCTCCGCTATCCTACGGGCCGCCGCTGCCGCGGTGCGGCGAATGCCTGCTTGCGGATCCAGCTGCAGTAAACGCGGGTCGGGTGTCGGTGGTATGAAGAGGGACTGCTGTGCTGTCCCGGGGCGAAAAAACCCTGAGGTCGAGGGGCGACTTCTGTTTGCGGAGTCTAATCTGACGCTCGCTTCGCCGGCGGAATTGGGGGGCTGGGCCGAGAGAGCGACTCCTGGTGTCAACTCGTAGTTCTCTGCAAGACTAGATTTCGTTTTTGCCGCGTAATTTTTCCAGGTGTTCTTGTAAAGCATGCCTTCGAGATGCAGGTCGTACTGTTCCCACAAATTCAGCGACTCGCAAGCAACGTCGTCCGATCCCAGCTGCTCAGCGGTCCATAGTCGCACGCAAGTCGCGAAGTGTGCGCTCCCTTTCTCCTGCGCGCCTTCATCCCGCAGCCGATTCAGTGTGGACTTGTTTTGCTGCTGCTGGTAATCAGGATTTTTTACAACTACACCATCTTCTACCGTACCAACTCCTGATAGGCCACCTGCACCTTCCTCTTTCTGTTGCAATAATGCAAGTTCACCCCGCCGCAGTCTCGGTACGAACTTCTTCGCACCCATACGCCCTGTGTTCATCTGCGTACTTGCGTTTTGCTGCGTGGACAAGCGGCGAGCGCCTCCGTGCAGCCCCGCCACCTGGTCTTTTTTGTCGGCCAGAAGGTAGCACTTTTTCTTCGCAGCAAAGTTTGTGTTGTACGTGGCGATGAACACTGCCGCAGCGGCCATTTTTGCCTGCTTGATGCTGGAGAACCGGAGCTCAAAAAACCGGAGTGCGGACCGGTTTCGCTGGAACCGGTCGAAGGACTGGGACTGGATGCATTCGGGGACGGCGAAGTAGGTCTGGGACACACAGCGCAGACAGGCATAGATGTCCTTTTCCGTCAGGGGAAGAGAGTCACTGGTATCTCGCGCGACGTAGGAGTCCCTCGTTCCCTCCGCCCGGCTGCGGGCGTTTGCGCGCGGCGAGATGTTTTTTTTGAAAGTGATCTTCTGGCGCACCTGGTTTTGTCGGCGATGGCGGTTCAGCGGTGTAGTAGTCGCGGACAAACTTACAGACTTAGAAGTCACGCTGTCAGCTGTTCCTGGTTTGCTTCCTTGTTTTCCGCCCCGCATAATGCTGCTCCTGCTTTTTGTTAACGGGAGAAGAGGGGAAAAGTCGTGCCTATCGTCCTGCAGTTCTCCAGCTAGGTCGCACGTGTGACTTCGGGCTGTGAATGCTCTCGCCATAGGCGGGACCGATGACGGCCTCCGCTGCGTCTTCTCGCTGTGGGCTTTTGTCATCATGACTTCCGGTGTGGCCTCCACACCTTTTTCACCCTCTACTTCAAGGTCCTCGCGGTACAGGATTTGCAGTACGTCGTCGCGGTCTTCCTCGTCGTCAAAAATCGTAGACTGCTGCGTCTGCGTCCTGCTGCTGCGGTTCCGAGTGCTGAAAGACAATTGCTTTCGCAGTGAAAAGCTCGAAGTCAAAACTGCCGTGGTATTGGTCCGGGCAAAAACTTTGCTTCTGTCATTGGCGAACTTTTTACTCGCTTGATCGTCAGTTTCACTGCCTGCTCCTGTGAAAGAACTCTTGCCGCATGACTTCTCATTATCGTCTGCACTAAAAGCGATAGTACAACTCTTCTGTCGTTTTTTCTGCAATGCAACCGGAAACAACGGATTTCCTTGCAGAGACGACACCTGGCTCAGCAGAAGCGACAGCAACCCGTTTGGCAGAACGCACAAACTGTCCGGCACGCGGCTGTCGTCCCCTGGCAGCACGGTGAAAGGCGGATTTTCCTCTCCGCCGTCGAAACAGTAGTCGCGTTCGAGCCAAAACGGCCACCCCAGACGTCCGGTCGGCCGGTTTGGTGGAGACATACGGGAAGTTGGGGTGTGGTTCATCCCCGAATCTTCGCAAAAATTCTCGTCAAACGCTACTGCTGTCGTGCGGCCATGATCCATCTCCCTGGGGGTTGTACCTTCCGGCGGTCGTTCTGTAGAAGCACGGTGCCGCGAAGATCGCCTCTTGCGAAACGAACTTGCGATTCCAGAAGGCGTAGTAGAGCTATTTCTGCTAGCAATTGTGCTTCGATCACCTCGTGTTGCCTCGTCCTGCTTGGCATCGATCATGACGATTTGCAGTGCGTTTGTGGCGAGATCTTCTGCGGTCGTAGTGCTTCTGCGGTTGTCGACTGGCATCTGATAGTGGTCGTCGTCGTCGTTCTCCAGGTCCAGACCCGCAGTGAATATCGCGGGGTCAAATCCAACTTTCGACTTGCGGTCCACCGTTTGCTGCACACCGAGCGCGCATTCGAGAAAGGAGCGCCAACCGGGAGGTAGTCGTTGCGTGGTTTCGTGGATGTGCGCCAGGCCGAGGAGGACCCGTTCCTCGAGGTACAACGTGCTGTCCGTCACCTGACTTAACACAGCACGCAGACGGCTCAACATCTGCAGCCTTCGACGTAGCAACGACCAGCGCCAGAACCGCTGCACACACAAGACCGCTCTGCGCCGCATCACGATCATCGGCAGAGGCAGGCCAAACTGCCGCGTGCTCAGGAACCGGCGAAAAGCGGACTGGATCTGGCACGCTGCAGTGATTTCCCCCGATGTCTTTGGGGTGAGGAAGAAAACGCAGCGGCAGTACCTCGCCGCAAAGGTGGCGGGAACCCGGTTTGTGGTCAAAAAAGCGATGGCGTCCGGCTCCAGGTGCGGGAATTTCAGCTGCTGCTCCTGACGCTTGTTCCTGATCTTCTTCGATCCGGAGGTGTCGCGTACTTTATTCCTACTTCCCGTGTCCCACAAGCGGCGGACAAGTCCGGCAGGAAGCTGCATCCCGGTCTGGCTCGTGTGGGCATGTGCAAAAATCACACGGACGCACTCCTGCACAGCGTGAGCCAGAGCGCTTTGTACGTGCGCTGCGGAACTCGGAGCTGCGTTCGGTGAGTGATCGCTTTCAATGGGTCCTACCGATGCTTGAGGTGACAGCTGTGTGGTTTCTCGCTTGTCGACACCGATTTCTGACTTGGCAATGGCAACAGTGTTTGTCCCCAAAGTTGGTGGCTCGTCTTGCTCGAAACCTAGTCTCACTTCTTGCAACACCTGCAGAAAATTTGCGAGCACTTTCGCCACACTTTCAGCTTTGTTCCTTTTTCCGTCTTCGCTGGCAAGAACATCTTCGCGCACAACAGCGTTGAGCTTGGCTGCTCGAGTGAGTTCGTAGACCAAAAAGCCGATAAAATCCGAGACGCCGCCAGTTTTGGCTTTGACGATCCCATCTACCTCCGTGCGCTGAGCTGAAGAGAACGCCCGCATCCGCTTCATGTCCATGACGCAAATGTGCAGCAGTGTTCGCAGCATTGAAGGGATAATGGATGCGGACGAGAGCGATGTTGAAAACTCAACATTTTCCGTCGTGATCCCGCTTGAGCTACTTTTCACGAAGACCGGTCGTGACTCACTTTCCAGCGCAAACACGCTATTAATTGCCACGCTGGCGCGGACCCAGTGCCGGTCAGGTTCCCACCCAATGCGACTACTGAGAAGGTACGTGCGCCATGGTTGCAGCCGCAGAGCAGCAAGAGCAATTGGTGAAGGCGTTCCAATTCCCACGAAAGATTTTTTGTGAGGGCTTCGCTGTGGTGAATTTCCGGTGACTTCGCAGGTCTCGTTGTCGTCTGCGGCCGCTTCGAGGCTGACAATCTTGTTCCGCGTATCCGATTCCGCTTTGAGGTACGACTCGAACTCGTCATAAAGTGCATCCGCCGTCTGTAGGAGGCTAACAGTCGAATTGAAGTGATTCATGCGATGCAGTACTTCCAACGAAAATGCGACATCAGGATGGGTGACTGGAACCTTGTTCTCAACGCGCTCGTCTGTTCCATCTTTGCTTCCACCAAGAGCCAGCGGGAGCCACAACATTCGTTGGTCAAGGAAAGTGGCCTTCTTGTAGCAGTTGAGCAGTCGCGGGGTCACAGATACAACTCCGGACCCATTCGTAGCGGAAGATTCTGATGCTTTCGCCCTTACCGCCATCGCTCTTGCGCTGTAGTAATTTACCGGGAAACACCCCGTGATTTTCTCCTTTTCCGCTCGCTTCAAAATTTTTGCACGCTCCTCCCCCAGCGTGCCTCTTGCCTCCCGGACGAAATCGCGAAAGCAATCTTTTTCGGAGAAGTAGGAAAAAAGCCTGCGCTGTTTGGGTCGTCGCTTGCGTGTCCGAATTTTTAGCCCCGTTCTTCCGTATGGCTTGGGGATACGAGGTGGACGACTAGTGATGCTCTCGTTTTCGCCGCGGACAACGTAGCCCCGATCTTGGTAAGTTGACGAACGCGCAACGAGGTTCTGCACAGCATTTTCATTTTGTTTTTCACCTATTTCCTCCTCTTCTTCCGAAATCATGCGAAAGAAATTGTTCCTTTCACTCTCCGACGATGAGGACTCCAGCATGCGCTCGGCCTCGTCGACAGCAGACCGTCGGCAGGTCTCGTGTTTCGAAACGAGCCCCTTTACTGAAACAGTCGTCAACCGGGTCACCGGGGCATTCGCGACACTTTTCATGGGAGAGCGAGCGTAGGTTGGCCGCAATAGCATGTTTTGCATCTGCTGGTCCTCACGGGAATCGAGTATCCGCAGCTGATGTTTAGTTTTCACACTTCCGAAGGCGGGTACGGGTTTTGTTGGAAAAGCGCTAGTACTTTGGTCCTTGTACTCGTGCAACCCTAATAGTGCGGCAACGTGATTTGACATCCGTTTTCGAAAGTTTCCTCTGGCCTCGTGAGACTGCAGTCCGCGCAGGAATCCATCGCGAAATCTTCCCCTGGACCGTCTAGAAGTACTACTTGAAAGCTGATGCATTTGCATTTGGTTTTGGGTTGAGCTGCTGCGCATGAATTTCACGTCTTCCTGCACGTCTTCGTCCGAAGAGAATTCCGTGTCGCTATCATTCCGAAAAACAGCCTGCGATCGCGGAAAACAGAGTAGACTGATCTCACTACCGATTGAAGCGGCAGTCGTCGTAGCGCGCCCCTGACTGCTGTGGTCCCTCTGCCGACCCTTCGGTCCTTCAGGGCTGCTGGTGGACATGCTGCCTTCGTCACTGCTACCCTTGTTCCAAACACTTTTCATTCTGGTAGTGGACCGCCTCGCCCTGTGCGGCTCCACAATCGTCAGGCAGTTGTTGTCTACGAGAAACTTGTCGATGTCGGAAATGCCAGCGCGTTCGAGTGGGTGAGATTCCTCCTGACCGCTGCAGCTTAGCGAGAACGCGCGCCGTTCCAAGTCCGTTACCGCACACTGCCGACGACGGACTCGCACTGGAAGGGTAGTGTTGGCATCGAGCAGAGAATGAAGCGGACCGCCCCATGGCGTAGCGCAAGAAGAACTCGTGAGGACGTCGCGGCTTATGTAATTATCCTGCTTCCGCTTTCCTGCACTGCGCCTTGCCTTTCTCAGGATTGTTCGTTGTCGCCGCACCATCCCCGAGAAGTTGCCCAACACTGTCCTGTCACCGCATCGGGCAAACTGCTCAGGAGCTTCGATCGACGGGATGCGCACGGCACGAATGTCCGCACTGGTGACTCCGTGGTCGAGCGGCAGGCGTGGCAAATTGTGTTTCACACGCACCGCATTGACGATGTGCCGCACTTCCCACCAAGCGTCCTCTGGGAAAATTATGCCGAGATTTTCCCGGCTCACAAAATGCTCCTCGAAACGAATTTCCGGAAAACCGGGCAGACAGCATTTCAGCAGCTCCGCGTCTTCGTCCTCTGTATCGGCGAAGCTACTGTCTAAATCAGTCCGCGCATCGCCAACACGCCAGGAGGAAGATACGACAGAGGCGGAGGTGTCGTCTATGTCTGGGGGTAAGTTTGGGCTGGTGCTACTAGCGCCATTAGCTGCACCATAGTTGTTAGCTGATTGAATCACAGAGCGTCTGCTCCCTGGACTGCCGCCGCCAGCAACGGAAGTTGCAGAGCCGCGGCGGTTCTTCTCACTGTTGTTCATCAAGATCGACTGCTTTCTTCTACCTGCTCTCGTCGCACCCTGTCTATTCCGACGGCGTGACCGTTGCATGCTGTCGCTGGGGTCCTGTGTGCGAGAGAAATAGTCGAGCAGGTTCGTTTGCTCGTTTTGCCTCGCCGCTACTGTCTGCTCCCGGATCTGCGAAACGACCTTTGCCCGGGTCGTCTTGTAGGAAGCAAGCGGCGAGGCTGCGGCTGAATAATTAAGATCCTTGTCTCGGTCTGCAGCAGCTGGCGTCGTCCCTACTGAAAAGTGACTGTTGACATTGTTTTCTGTTGCTGGTGCAATCGACGCGGATCTGTTGCGGCCCTGCTTCTGTTTATTCTGATTGCCATCGAGATTTGCGAAAACGTCGATGGTTTTCCACGACGCTACGTAGGAACTCGTTACACTTGAAGCTCCGACATTCCCGTTGTTCAAAACGTCTTTTATTTCAGCTTGTGTGTCAGCTCGAGCTCCTTCGACATCCTCCCCACGAGTCGGACTTTCCTCGACCTGGTGCTGCTCCATGAACACTCTTTCCTCGTCTTCCTGTTGCTGCCGCCGCTTTCTTTCCTGAAACGCGCGCTTTCTCGCCAGGTACATCCCGTCGTCCCGCGCTGCGCCGAAAAATACTTGCAGCTGTGCCAGTCGTCGTTCGCAGCAGCCGCGCCAGCATCGCTGAACGTGTGTTGCAGCCTCGTTCTGGAGTCGCTTCTCGCAGAATCGCGCGACCCAAAGGCGGGCAATTTTTTGGATTTTCCTGGCGCTCCGCTCGTGGTGCGATAATCGCCAGCACGTGCGGTTGAACTCGGAGCAGAGTTGCTGCAAGTGTCGCTCCACCTTGCGACGCCACAAAAACCGACGCACCGACGCCTGCGCCTTCACCAAGCGCTGCTCGAATTTTCGAAATCTTGTTGCGAGTCGCCATCCGCGCCAGCGACGCTGAATCTGCACACTGGCAGAGCACCAGTTGCTGAAGTGTACTAAGTGAGAAACGCAAGACGAAAGGCTCTCCAGGTACAGAGTTTGTTGCGACTTATCCACGAAGCTGTTCTGTCCCAACAAGCTGCCTGAAAGTGCAGCGCCAAACCGACTCTTTGAGGAAGAGTCCAGTGTGCCAAAGACCCCATTTTTACCTCTTCGTTCCATCGCCGAAGCAAAAGAATACAGCTGCAGCTCGGTAGTTTGTCCGAGCGCCCGGTAGCGGTGCTCGAATACCTCGTACCGACCGGTCGTTGCGACCGGGGCGCAGCACTCTGGAATCCGCTCGTCATCCGTGATCACGTGCGTGTCGATGGCCAAGAACTGCGGGAACTCCGTTAGAATGCGTTCGCGGTACTCCTTCCCAACATGGAGCTGCCACGGGTTTCCGAACAGCGTGAGCCAGAGAAGTGAGGCCGACAAACGGACGGAGTTTTGCATGGTCTGCGCGTCGTGCAACTGGTTGCCCTGTAGGTGTTTGCGGTAGAAACTTATGCTGGCTATGAGACCCATTTCTGCTAATGTGTCCAGCAGGGACGAGACGAAAAAACGTAAGGCATGAAAAAGTACGCAGCAACATGACTACGTCCAAATAGCAGATCCGCAGTTGCGACAAGTAGATCGCCGGCACCGTAGACAAATTCGTTTCCCCAAGGTCCAAAAATTCGAGCGCTCGCGTCTGCCGCTCCAGGTTCCGGAACAGCGTGTCCTGGTGACAATCTGCATGGCTGGACAAATCCACGCCACTTCCTCTGAGTCGCAGAGCCCGCAGGTTTCGGTAGGACGCGGACCGCAGGACAGGGATGAGCAGGTGAATGGCGGCAGAATTACTCTGTTCTCCATCCTGATTCGCGTTTGATGACGTCGCTAATGCGCTGGTCTCTGAGGGTGATGAAAGATCGGGGTCGATTACCACCGGATTGTGTGGATCTGCACCTCCGCCTGCAGCCTCATTCCATACTTCACCTGCGGATGAAACGTGGATGCGAGGCGCCTGAAACGCGCCAAACACTCGGTAGGCAGCATCCGGCTGCGCAAACTCATTTTGTTGCATGATTTCAACATTTCTCTACTTGCTACATTGAATGAAACGCTTTCATTCTATGTCACGCAGCGTTTTCAGACGAGTTTACATCTCGTCAAGAGCAGTGCCACGACACTCACGACCGCCCCCACTCTTCCGTGCATCATGATACTCGTGCGCCTCCTACCACTCTGATTGAATCACCTAAGTATATACCCGCAGCCACAGTGTTAGCACTTTACATCAGGAGAACGCAGCAAGATCCACACAGGAATCGCACAACGGCTGCATTTGAATAAGGAAGGATCTCGTTCATTATCCCATAAGCATTGCGTTCAATTCGTTTATTTCGTTTCGCGGCTGTGTTGATAGCATCCATTTTTAGTTCATCAGAACATCGTTCTGCACAGAAGTCCCAGCGATTTTCTTATCTCGCATTGCCAAAACTGCGAGCACATTTTCGGCAAAACTCGGCAACTCCTTGACGTGGCTGGCATTCTCCGACCCGAACATCTCGAGGAATTTCCGTTGCCGGCGCAAGTGAATCCAGTGGTTGACTTCCCATATCTTCGCGAGTGGCTCCTTCGCCCCACCCGGCTGGCAAATCTGGTACGGTGGCGGCCCGTGCTCCGCGATCATGCTGGTGATCTTGTCGCCGCGCGCTTTTTGGAGCTGCCAAATTTTGTTCCACCAAGTCTCGTGTTGTTCGACGTGACCGAGCCACCTGAAAGAGTGCAAGGGGCAAAATTGGAAAGAAATAATTATGTTGATCTATCGTTCATTGTGATTCGTCCTTTCGCGATATAAGAAGCCCCGTAAAAACTCCATAATACATCACCACGATCGGAAATAAATTCACTTTAGTATACTCATCTGCTCTTGGGTCGGGAACCTGCGAACCTTGCTCGTGCCCCACACGGCAGTGCGTGTGGTAGACGTTTTTGGAGCAAAACTCGATCGCCTTGCTGACGTTCCCGTCCATCGATTCCGAAACGCAAACCCAATGCGAGAAGTCCGCACAGAGTTTGAGGCTCGGGAAATTTTTCAATATTTCGATCGTCCTCCAAGGAGAATATAGGATCCGCGAGCGGTGGGTCTCGTGGCAGATGGGGACTTCTCCAGCATATACTTCGAAAGCCAATGCACATCTGAAGAACTGCTCAGCCATCCGCGCGGTAAAGAAGTCTCGCCCACTGTGAGATACAATCAGATGTAGCGGAAGGCCAAATCGATGCTTCCAGAAGCTAGCTTTGTTTACTTGCTCCTTCCACACGTCGAAGTGCATGTCCGCAAAGGCATCTCCCTCCCTCCCATCCATATCTAACACTCCCCCCTTCGGCTCCGTCGGCGGCGCCGTGTACCCCTCGTACGGTCCGCCCCACAAAATCCCCGCTCCAGGGCAGACGACGTTGTCTGTGAAGATCATGACGTTGCACTTCATATTATTCTCCACTAGCAGCTTCGTCATCCTTTCCACTCCATGGAACAGAAGGAGTTTGAAAGGGATCTCGATTCCATCGAACCCCAACTGGGCCAACAAGGGAATCGTTTCCTCCATCGTGTGCACAGGCGAACGCGCGGCAGGGCCGTCGCACTCGTCCGTAACACCCCACAAAGTCCGGAATTGGAGCAGCTTCATGGTTTCGATAAACTTTTTGTTTTCAAAGAGTTTGAAGAAATTCCGTGCAAGTGAAAATCTTTTCTAGCAGGCTGACACCGCGAACGAGGCAGGTGCTGGTGTCCTAGTCTAAATTGCTTCTCATATGATCTGTGGTGATTGTATCTGTACGGCCAGATAAGACTTCAGCAAAGGCAGTAGTGAGCTTCTAGGATGCATCAGAACCAAATTGATCAGAGATGCGATCTCGAGGATGGAGATCGCCTTGGTGATCCAGATCATGAAACAAGTTTCTGAACATCCTCTCAACCACCCCGTGAAAATCAAAGCACACGACTGCACTGTCTTGTCTATCGTTTATTTTTACCTGTCCCTATTTATTTTACAACCGTCTTCGTGGAAGCTGCACAAGATCTATGTCAATCCGAGACTCGAATGAACCACTCCTCAACAAAATAAAATTGTCGTGGACACCAGCACTACGGGCAACATGATCTGTATTAATCACAAAAAACAGAGGATCTAAAACATGCATGATCATACGACAACACAATCACAAGTTCGCACCACCACCTCGTTTCTCCGGCTTAAACCGTTTCCCCTTGTACAGAATAGGCACCGTTTCACGCACTTTACTCAACCACAGGGACAGCGGCTTCAAGCTTTTCTCGTCCTGCAGCTCGGGCAGCGCGGGCGGCATCTCGATATCGCCAATGAACCCGATTCCGGCCAACCGCTCCATCATGGCGTAGAGACCGCACTGTGCGCCGGTCAGTGACTCAGGAGGCGTTGGCGCTGTGTAAAGGTCTTTCAACCCCGTTCCCAAAAACTCGATCAGCCGTCGGCGCACCCGCTCTTCTACCTCCGGCGACCCCGCTTCCGCCATGGTTTGGCAGGCGCAGAGCTGCAAATCACTGTCGTACTCCGCTAGGTCCCGTTGGATCGAAGCTAGAAAACTCGCCCGCTGCGACTTTATAACCCGCTCAGGTGTTACAATCTCAAACGTTACAATAGAATTTGGAATTTGTCTTGCAAAATCCGTAACATCTGGCCTACTTCCAAAGGAGCGCGCATGACAAGTTTCGGAGCTCCAAACCCCAGGAGAATCATCTGACGAAATTTGTATTGCGAAAAGCCCAAGTCCCTGTATGGTACTCATGCTGTTCACGCAAGACAAATTCCAGATTCTATTGTAACGTTTGAGATTGTAACATCCGAGCACGCCATAGAATTCGTCAGGTAGTCCACGGCACTTCCCCGAAAAGCGAAGATGAAGCCGGGCAGGTTGTCTTTGAATTTCTTCTTCATGGACCGCTCGTAACTCGGCGGGTAAATCCAGTTGTAGTAGAGTAAAAAGGAGTTCAACTCTTTTCCAATCTTGATTTCGCTAAATTTGAAATCCGCGGCCGCATCTGGGAAAAAGGGAGAAATCTTTATTTTCTCGATTGTTTCTTCACTCCTGGTTGTTACTGGAAGAGCAGATGTGCCGGCGTGGGAGAAAATTTCGTCTAATCGTTGGAAAATCTTGTCCGAATCCGGCACGATTTCGTCTGGTTTTCCATTTTCCGTAAATTTGATCACCATCTCCGGGGTCAGGAGGCCGCCAGAGGGCAATTTTCGCCGACTGGGAATCACACTAACGTGGTCGACGAAGTGAGGCAATTTCCGGGATTGCAACCCCGCGAGCGTTTTCGCGGCGAACTGAGAGCCGCCCAGCACGTAAATCGTGAGCCTTTCAACGCCGAAGTTCCGAATCTGCACCATGTTTTGTTCGTCGTTGTTGGCACCAGCAGTAGTTCTTGTCGATTTATTCGCAGATCCAGCAGCTTCTCCAGGCGCAGAAGGATTTATTTCCGGGTTAGACGAGTCAGTACTGGAGGTCATGGTTGGTGCAAAGGGGTGCCGCGAGAAATCTGAAAGTTGCACTGATGTGGAAGATCCTGTGGATGCCGTTGTACTGAACGGACGGAGATTAGGACTAGGGGGCTGGACGGACGGATTAGGACTAGGGGGCTGGTGTTCCTGGGGCTGTACAGCCAAAAATGGCAAACTTCTCGCGCTCAAACGTAAAAGTCGCACCATGCTTGCAATGTTCGTGGATAATGTCGTTGTGTGATGTAATACTCAGACTGTACCAGAACCAGTCTGCAACCAAGAAGGAGTCTGTCTTCATCGGCAATTATGGCGCAATCCGTCTACTCTGTTACTTACTGGTTTTCGATAGGCATCAAGAAGCTTGAAGCAGAAACGCAGAAGCGAGATATCATGAGGAACACGTTCGCGTCGCGTCATATCTCGCGAAAGAATTAGTTTGTCTGCGGTGACCGACTGAATTCTACCTTCAGCTTTGTTTATTTCATCAAGGGTCGCAGTTCAGTTCGATACTCTCCTTAGAAGTGGCTGGAGTTGATAGATTACGAATAAGCGTCGTGACAAAACAGCTCTGTTTTTGGCCGCATAATCGAGTTAAGTACTATAGGACCTGCGGAGGATCAATGGCGTCAGGGGACCTTCTAGGCAGCTACAGAAGTCGTCGGGTGCCATTCATTGTTAGCCGAAGCCGAACTTTTCCGAGCAGAATCAATGCGGACAGTGTGTAGTTGGGTAGAAAGCTTTTGCACTTCCTGCTCCACGTTTCAGAATAGGTGAGGACAATCGACATGAACAAAATGTCGTAAGTGTATTGATGATTCAATTTTAAGCTTGACCTTGACTCGTCTCGCACGACCACCCTGCTAGCTCATCAAGCAGCAAGCCTCATTCATACTCACTACGTCGCTACCGCGCCGCCCATTTGCATTTGCTGCATTTGCTGCGTCACCGTTAGGAGCCCGGTTACTCGACCCATAATCTCATTGAGCCGCTTGTCGTAGGGAAAGGCTTTCGCCTCCGCGCTCGTTGTCAAGATTTCTTCCTTCCGCGCCTTTTCCTTGTCCCCAAGCAACTGCTCAGCCTTGAAGATCTTGTACTTGCAGCGGGTGTCGTCGTTGTAGGTCTCCTTTTCGCACATCAGTACCATCTTCCAGCGTGTGAAAAACTTGTCGTTGAACAGATTCTCGATCTGCTGACCGTCCTGCGCGTTCGTCTCCTTGCTCTGCCACTTCTTCCACAGCGTCCGTGCCGGCAGCGGCTTTTCCTGCATCTCCCCAGCCGTGAGCGGTACGCCGGTCTCCTCATCGTGGTACATTGCCTGACCGAACTGGTTTACCTGCTGGTTGCCGTGCTGGTCAACCAACGGCTGCCAGGCTTGCAAAATGTTTTGTCGATCCGCCAGCAGGGTTCCCCCAATATCGTCAAACGCCGTCGCCACGGTGGACCCGGACTCGTCCGTCAAATGCATCCGGATGATGTATCGTGGGTCGGGCTGTCGTGCAGAAGTAGACATTGAGTGAAGCTTCGTTTTTGATTTGAAATCGCGCTCGTGTGCATCAGTGTGAGTCTGTTGCTGGAACAAAAAGGGAGCTACTTCTTACCTAATCAGACGCCTCTCTATGCGTGTGCAACAAGATGCGAACGAAGTAAGCGAAAACAAGCATGAAAGAAAAGCGACGTGCTTCTCCTATAAATAAAAGCAAAAAGCTGTAGCTTAAGAATACGTTCAGAGTTTTGTGCCCATCCGCGCATACCCAGTAGTCCGGGTTGTCACCGAACCCGACCTTGTCCAGTTTCTTGCGGCACTCGCTAATTTTTGTTTTTGTCGGATCGCCATAGACTGGGCGCTCGACCTTTTCCGGGCACGCCAGGTAGTAGGGTTCCTTGCTGTGTGCGATCGACGCGATTTCCACGCATTCCAGGTTATGCCAAAGCACCTGACGATAATGCCAACATTAGAGACCATGAGACTTTGACTCTCACGACCTGGACCTGCAAGCATGACAAAGAAAAAGAATATCGTTTTAAAGTACTAGCCGTGGCATGATCAATATCAACCCAAAGGGCACCACCACAAACAAGAGCGCTACTGCAGCTTACCCTGGGCGGCTCGCCGCCGTCTGCGGTGGGTTGTGGGTCCAGCAGCTTGTGCTGTTCCGCCAGGATTTCCCGAATCGTTTGACTCCCGCGACCCTTTGCCCCGTTGGAGCGCTGCCCGCCGAGCCTTCGCGCCTGGTTGACCAGTTGCGGGTTATCAAATGCAAAAATGTCTGGGTCTGGAAGAATTCATGTTTGTCATGCTTGTCTGACATGACTCTTAAATCTGTCATGCACGTTACCCAAGAGCTCCGTTTCTCTGTGATGCAGAAGCGCAGTTTGTCTTGCAGAATAGGCAACACCTAGGAGCTCAGAAACTTGTCATGCTGCGCCAGCATTTGTAGCCTCATCATGAGACGCCACCCAGCATCACAAGTTTCCAGACCCAGACATTTTTGCATTTGATACGGGTTGTTGTTGTACCAGGTCAGGATCTCTTGCACGCGCTGATCCGAAGGGAGAGGCTCCGTAACCTGGCCGCCGCTCAAGGTGCGGCCTTGAAAGTCCCCTACCTGCGCGCCCTTCACGTACCAGACGACTCCCACTTGCGGCGTCGACGCCTTTAGTTTTTCACCTTTCTGGCCCCAAACAGTAAGACCGATGCTGCACCCAGACTGGTCAACCAGCTGGAATTCCACCTTGGCGCTTTCCCCATTTTTCGTGTTGACCATCGCCGTATCGCCAATCTCGTGCACGATGGCGCAAATGTCAACCTTCTTGCCTTTCTCCGTTGTCTCGACCGTGCTGATTTTGACGAAGTTCCAGTTGCCGTCTGGAATGGCGCCGCAGTCGGCTTCCGGAACTGGCGTAATCTGCGTGCTCTTGTTGAAGGTAATCTCGAACCTGTTCGGGATTTCGATTAATGTGTGATGGGCTTCTTCTTCTTTATTTGAGTTCTGTTTTTGCATATGACAAATGCAATCTTGCATGCTCTCTGACATTCTCGAACCAGAGCTAGAAAGACGGGATGTCACGAGAGGATGTAGAGCCCGCTGGTGCGACATGTTTCGTAATCTTACGCTGCCAGATCACATACACAGGGCACTGGCAAACAACAAACTGGAACTCAATGACTACAGGACAGAAAAAAGCACGCTGATACTCTGCGTTCGGGCGGTATCTCTTGTTGGCGTTCTTCACCTCTCCTTTGTGAAAGATGTAGCAGCTGCCTTCTTGCAGAATTTGGAAAAACTTCTGCGCTTCGTTGCCGAAAAAGGTGCCGCTTATCTCGCTGAGGTGTTCATCCATCAGCTCAACGTTGAACCTGCAGCGGAATTGTAATTGATTACTCCTCACTTTCGATTTGATATTTCTTTTTCAAACAAGCTCATCAAGTCGTGCTCTGCAGATGCTATATGCATGCTGATCGCCGTCACCAAAGAATGGATCTATCTCTTGATGTTGATGTCACCTCCATTTTTCAACTTCAAGCATGAGAGTGCAGCGCGCTACAGCTGGCTATCTCTTTTCTACCTAGTTCTAGCAAGCAAACGGAGCATGAGCAAAGCCGCAAAACTTGAAAACAAAAATCTTTCGTACAGCTGCCCCTCGCCTCGCTGATTCGTGAATTTCCGCATTTCGCTTTTGCTGATTACCCGGGCAAAAATCTTGAACCCCCCAGCGTAGCACGAGAGGTCTCGGATCGGCATATAGCCCTTGGGGCGATTACCGGTGTCAGCAGCACCAATCCGCTGAATCGGGCCTCGGGACGAGGACGCAGCCGCGTTGCCGGTGCTGATGTGAAGAGTGCGAAAAAAATTGAAAACGCATTTCGCTGTTAACATACATGATCCTGCTACAACATGAACAGAGAGAACGATCTCAGCAAACTAACAGACACCCGAGCGACTCGTTAAAAAAAAATCTTAGCTCGAGGCTTAATTCGAGGAAAGCAGCAGAAAGCAGGATCATACGTAATTCCTTGCTGCATTCCAGCAACCGGTTGCTGCTGCTGCATCTGCATCGCTCCAGGTTGTTGCTGCATCTGTTGTTGCATCATTTGTGGATTCGGCTGCTGCTGTTGCTGCATCTGCATGGCACCTTGAGGTTGGCCCGGTTGCTGCATCGGAATGCCGGGTTGTTGCGGCGGCATATTATTCCCGCCCATCGGGTGCTGATGCGGCATGAAGTTACCACCCTGTGGCTGCATCGGCATGCCGTTATTGGGACTCTGGAAGTTAGTTCCAGGCTGCTGTTGCATCTGCATTCCTTGCTGAGGGGGCTGCATCGGGGCTCCACCACCCTGCATCGGCATCATATTTCCACCCATCGGTTGCATACCTGGCTGTTGCATTTGGATGCTACCTCCAGGCTGTTGCATCTGCATATTGCCACCTGGCTGCTGTATCTGCATGTTTCCACCTCCTGGCTGCTGCATCTGCATTCCTGGTTGCTGCTGCATCTGCATCCCAGTTTGCTGCTGCATTCCCATCGCGCCTGGTGTTTGCGGCATTTGCCCGAAGCTTTGCTGCTGCATGTTGCCTTGCTGCGGAGCCTGCACTTGCTGTGGCGTCGGTGCTGCTCCCGGTGGCTGCACTTGCTGTTTTGATGTTTTTCTTCAGTTCTGGTTCAAACTTGAACTTCGAACGCAATAAATCTCCTGGGAACAACTAAATGAATCTTTGCAAACCGAAACGACATACATTTACTTCTTTTACTTTTACATCAACATCGCACAAAATGTGCTACAAGAAACCTGTTGCGCGGCTGCGTAGGGGTTAAAATTCACGGCGGATCCTCCGCCTTGGTTGAACGCCCCGGATGCGTAGGGGTTGTCGCTTTGCTCGCCTAAGTTTCCGAAGGAATTCATGATTGTGGGCTCGTTTTAGTCGTTAATCACTGTGAAACTGAAAACGTCCAAAAAAACTGTTGGTTTTCTATTTCTTTCGTAGCCTACGTTTGTTCTCAAAATAACTAAGGAACAAATAGAAGGGCCGAAAATGAAAAATCTAGCTTCGCATACTGCTATACTCTATACACCTTGGGATTTCTAGATAGAAACTCATGGGAAGAAGGAACTGACTGTGATGATGTTTTGAAACAGAAAAAATTGGCAAAAAGCGAAAGCCCGAAGAAATTCAAATCGTAAAATCGAAGAAAGCGATTTCGAACATCAATGTTCCTTCAGAAAGCCACTTCATCTCCAAGCACTTTTGAGGTTCAAAGCTTTGAATTGGATATCTCCTTGCCATGGCTTAGTTATCATTACCATGATTCGCGAACTCAAAACGACGAGGCATGAATCCAAAAAATTCATGAGAGTATCGACTTTGCTCTAAAACCGGCGGGGCTATCGACTGTCGAACAAACAAGCGAACTTGCATCATGTGGTGGCCAGCCTGACACGCGAAAGCTTTCGAGAAAACGAGGCGTCAACTCGTCGATGTCAGATGTAGATGATCTTTTGTCGCATTATACTCTGTCGCTTTTCGTTTTGTTCATACATGATGTGCAAGCTCATCCCAGCACCATCGTTTTTTGCAGTCGTCCGCAATTTTCCAGTAATGCTTTCAGGGTCTCTCTGTCGACATTTTTTGTGAAGTTGGCTACTAATGCGGCACAAATTTCTTCTTCTTCCCTTGTTGGCAAGTCAACTGTTAGCTGCGACGGCTTGGGTGGCCGCAACGTGATATTGCAGGTTGCGTGTTCGCCCGGAGGGGCATAGGAATCGAGATCTATGCGGGAGAAGACTTCATTCTCCGGCAGGATGCCATACAGTTTCGGTAGATCTAGTGGATAGGTATCCCAAAAATATTTCGGAACGACCCTAGAAAAGTAGTCCTTCACAGCACTCGTCTTCTTCATCTCCCCCTCGCGGACCCGGTTGACGATCATCCCAAGAACCGGCACGCGGCCGTTGGGACAGGCCTCAAAAAAGGATCTCGCTTGCTCGTAGGAATCTATCGAATCTCCCATTCCGGGTTTCCCGACTATCAAGACCGGCGATTTGCAAAGAAACGCGGTAGTCGCGTTTGACACGCCGCATAAGCTGCCGACGCCTGGGTAGCCGACGCCGTCGATTAGCAGGACTTTGATCGGTTTATTTTTCACCGCGGTTATATCGTCGTTGGTAAAATCGGCGATGTCGGCGCTTGGATTCAACAAGTCATCGACAGCTTCCTCTATTCTCGATTGGAGAGTGCTCCTGTATTCCTCGACATTTCTACCGTACACCTCTGTTGGAAGAGTCTCTGTTGCGAATTTCTGCGTGAAACCAGCGAAAAATACCACGGGCCCGACGTGTCGTGCGCGTATTCCCTTCGCCTTGCAAAACTTCGCTACGAGCGTCTGCTGAATGCCCTGCGTGCAGGGCTTAATGTAAGCAAGTTCGTCTGGGCTGTAGCCCATTTCCAAGAGCGCACCGAGGATACCCAAGCATAGCGTGCTCTTTCCGGACCCTTGTCCCGCAGCGCCGGCGACGAAAAGGCGAACTGCTTCATCCCGATTCGCAGACATGTTGATGTGGACAATTCTTTGAAAGAATTCGAAGTAAGTCTACATCTCTAGGAGGGCCACGCCAATGCACTCACAATGAAAAAGAACAAACAAGCTCTGGATGCAGAAGTACCAGCAACCAGACCCACTACTTCATGGTCTTTGGATTTGGCAGAAAAGATTCCGCTGCGAATTTGTTTAAACCTTGTACTCTAAGACGATGGAGCGAAACAGAAGCGCGGCAATGTTCTTCAGGGTTTGAACGCTCGTTCATCTTTCTTCATTTCGATTCCATTTCACAGTTCCGCATCTCTGTTGACCAGAGTATGTATTGTGAGACCTTCTACCGACCCCTGTCCTGAAGGAACTTTACTCCCTTTCCCAGGTCGAATTCTAGATTTTTGTTTTAGTTTTTCTCGCATTGCTCGTCAGTGTACAGTTGTTGTGCTTGTGGTTCTCCTGCTTCTAAATTCATCTGGCGTGGCTCACCAGCGGGGAATTCAAACTGGCCTGCTTTGTTATTGTTTCCTTGACGCGTCGACATAGACATTACAAATCATTTGATAATTTGCGTTTCTTTGTGTCGCTCTGCTGCGCAGCGCTCGCTTTCTTCTTCTTGCGACTTTTCGAATAAAAGTACGAGTAGTACTCTTCGTTGCCGGTATCCGCAAGTGTAGAAAGCTGCGCCTGGCGCTGCCGCATCAAGGCCGCCTCGAAGGCCGTCTCTAAATCACGCCGCGAAAGGGCAGGTCCGCCTCCACAAGCCGCAAATGACATCGCGAAATCCGGCAACTTGCTTCGGTTCTCCTCCTTGAAGAGCTGGAAAAACTCGAACAGTTCGCTTTCACCGTACAACCGAAACTCATTCGATTCCTTGGCCCCCCACTTTTTCCCTGGCTGTCCATCGAGCTCCAAACTCTCCTCGTGCACATTCGTCAGCAAAGGCGCGTAGGCGATAAAGCGTGCCAAGTCATCCGAGCGGTGGCACTTCACAGTGCGGAGCTTCGGCAAGTACAGCGGCCCCAGCTTTTCTAGACCGTAATTCTTGCACAGCACAATCTTCTCCAAAGAGGGACACGACGACAACGATATATCGAGGGAGCAGTTGTGCAGCGAGTAGCAATGATCGAGCTCGAGAAACTTCAGCGAGGGCAGGGCGAAATGTAACTCGGAGAGGTGGTTGACTTGCCTGATGGACAATCGTTCCAATAGCGGAAAGCTTTCGGCCGAGAGCACGCATTTGCGGATGTGCACGAAGTCAATCGTCAAGTCTCGTAGCGCGGGAAATCGATACTGCGGATTGGAGAAGATAGTCCAGTTTGCGGTCTTCCGACAAGTCGTAATGTGTTCAAACTTGTCAGGATCCTCTTCACTCTGCGGAGCGACACCCTTCGTCGGCACCTGCTTTTTCGTTTTACTTTCGTCGTCAGTCAGGAGGAGCTCCATGTCGGAATCCTCGTCGTAAGTAAATTCTTTCGGCTTCCCGTGACGCTGCGTCTTTTTAAGCGCGACGTCCCGCCGGTATTGTTCCTTCGATATCTTGTCGGTCGACGGCCCGAACTTGATAAAACCCGGTTCACCATTCGGGTCAAAGAACATGAAGTCACTGAATTGAAGTTCGTACAGACCCTCGCCGTTGAGTATTTGCATCTCTGTGATTTCATCAGTCGGAACTTTTTTTCCCAGAAAAAGTTCGTCAAACGCTTCGCGAGACGTCGCATCCTCAAACCCTTTACTTTTGATGATCAGCGACACTGCCTTTTCGTTGTCAACGTCTTTTTCTTTCTTGGTGTTGCTTTCCTCAGCTGCATTTGGCGATTTGCTTTCGGCTTTTTTGTCAGCATCGTCTCGAGTCGGGGTGGGCTGAGCTGTCGGGTTCTTTCGGATTAGCTTCCAATATCCTTCTGGGCACTCGTAATCCATGTCAGCATCGTCCTCGGATCCACTACCGCCAAAAAGCACGGCGCGCGTGACCGGATTTGTGAACGCATCGGGCCCATACTCCGCATAGAACTCCCCGAGCGACATTCTTTTTCTACTTAAAATAGTTTTGCCCTGTTCTAGTAACTTAGCTTCATCCAAGTCTCTGATTCTGCCATGCCGATTCCATGAAAAATAGTTGATTCTGATGAAGTGCTGAAGTGTACAAACGAATAGTAGCAGATTGCCCTGGATGTACTTCCTACCGGCAATCAAGTAAGTATTTTTCGCGAGCTGACACCAGGCACAAGGAACCAGGAACAACCGAGAGGTTGGTGTTGAAGACGAAGATGAACTTGAAGTCATTCTTATTCCATAGATACTCGCCAATGCCTCGCTCCATAATTCGGATTTCATCTATAGTTTTCCAGACCGCACCGGATCCTTTTATTTCTGGATTCACATAGATCCAGGATCTGGCTGCCTTGTCAGTCTCCGATTTCGATGGAGAACAGGCCCTCGATTCATTGTGTCGCAAAAGCGGCTGTTGAGAAGCCAGCAGCTCATGGCGCTTTGCATTTGCGACAGGTATCCGTTATCTTGTTTAGGACACATGCCGGCTCCGATAGTTTGTTCGTCATGTTGCTTCGCAGCAGCGCTTCTTTGCCTTGTGCTGGAGCAAATTAAGCGACACACCAGTTTAGCTCCGTGTGAAAGAGTGGAGAATCGAGCTGCTGTCGCTGGTATCAGGCATGAGCGATCCAGTCATATTTTGCATCTTTGCATTTTATGCATAGGGTGAAACGCCTTGCACCTCCCGCAGAACGTGCGAGGTCGCTTTATGCGAAACAAATTTCAAGACTATGATTACAGTGACTGTGTCTGTAAATTTCACCGGTACAAATTGTTCACCTAAACATTGAAAAACTACGAAGTCGTTCACGAATTCTTCTTTATTGAGTAGGCAAGCATTTTTCTGTGCTTTTTCTGTCCCAAGCTTTACGACCATTGGTCGGTAGTGCCCAGCAGAGCACGACTGGTGCATGGTTCATCTGTACATGTCTATCACTATCTAACTACTCTTTCTTCTGCCCTTTATCAAAATCCTGTATCCTGTTTCTGTCGTTCATAGTACTGTACATACATAGTTGTAGTAGACAAATCTTTTTTACATCTCTTCGTTCTCCTCGACCCGTCGCCTCTTACTGTCGTTCTCCGGCGGCGCCCTTTTACTGTACTTGGTGAAACTGTAATACTGTTCGTTACCCGAGTCCGCAAGTTTCTCCAGCTGTGGAGTTCGACACTGCAGCAGAATCCGCTCGAATTCCTGTTCAGAAAGGTCGCGCTGCGATGATCCGTTCAGGAACGGCTGCAACGCTTCGTGCAGACCCGGCAAGTGTGCCGCGTTGTGCTCCAGAAAAAGAGTAACGAAATCCTGAAACTCGGATCTTCTGAAAATGCGGTATCCCCAAGCGCTGCTCTGCGAACCACCTAGCTGCACCCTACTCTCTTCCAAGAACGGAGCGTAACACACAAGGCGTCTCAAGTCGCAGGAGCCCTGCGCCTTCAGGTCACGCAAGTTGGGTAAGTAAACCGGACCGAGGCGTGCCAGGCCGTAGTTTTTTCTGCCTAAATCCAACGTTTTCAGTGCGAAACAGCAGGATAAAGACAGATCCAGTTTGCAGTGGTGCAGGCGATGGCAGTGCTCCACCTGCAGGTACCGGAGCGAATGGGGAACGGCAAAATGCAGCGCGACAAGGTCCTCGCTCAGTTGCTTCAGTGCCAGCGACTCGAGCGCAGGGCAATTCTTCGGCGTCAGGACAAATTTCCGGACATTCGGAAAGTTGACCGTCAAGGAACGCAGCGCCGAAAAGCGGTACAAACTGTTCGCAAAAATCACGTAGTTTGGATGCTTGTGGTAGCCTGTGATCCGCCCATTTTCGGTGACAGCGAGCGGTTGCTCAAGGTCCGAGGGCACTTCGTCGGCGTCGTCATCTGTATCGCCAGCGCGCTCCTCCGGGGGGCGCGCTTTTTTGATGGCCAACTCCCGGTGCCACTTCCCACGACTCAAATCCGTGCACGCACCAAATTTGGTAAAGCCTGTTTCTGCCGGCCGCGCACCTTGGTCGTGCGAGGATGGCGGTCCAGCGCCGAAAAAGTCCATGAACATCATATCTTCCTCGTCGGAGGAACTACCGGGCAATTTTCTGATAAGCTCAAAGTCCGTGATTTGCCCAACATTTACCGGCCCGTGCAGAAAAAGTCGATCGAAAGCCTCCCGAGAAATACCCTGATCGATGCGCGCATTGTCCTGCTTGATGGTCAGCTTCACCCGATCCGCCCCGTCGCTGGTCTCCGCCTCCTCCGAAGCGACGTCCGGATGCTGTGGCGCACTGTCATGGGTGACTTTCCAACGACCCTCCGTCCGAACTTCGCCGTCCGTGGTGTCGGAATCACTGGATTCATTTCCACCACGAGGAGGGTCTAAAAGCAGTCCAGGGTTTGCCAAAACGTCCCACCCGTACTCCAAAGCGAAATCTGCAATACTCATTTCAGCAGTACTGTACCCTTATCCGATATTATAAGTTGGAATGAGCAGGGCGAAGGTCTGAAGATACTATTTCAAGAAATAGAAATCCGATGCCGAAATAGTGAACTTGAAACGCCTTATTTCGTTGACAGAGCTGTAAAAAAAACAGTGTGTGTGTTCTTTACAGATGTAGTTTTCGTTTTCTATACTATACTTTAGTTCCACATTGGTCGAGAGCATCGACCTCTACACGCTTGAGATGAAAGTCAGGGGACTAAACCAACCGAGCGCCTGGAGGTGTCATTGAAAGTCATACAGAAAGTATTTCACACGTGTCTTACAACCACTTGGTAGCATATGGTGTCTATCAATGTGAACCGATGCGAAACCGAAGCAGAGGTAACGGGCCTGAATGCCTCAGTACTTAGATGACCATACGTATGTATTCAAGCCAATCGACAGCGCACTTGTTCACTGAAAGCAGCTAGTCTTGCGAACATAGCGCTGGAACGGTCAAATGGCGTTTGTCGCAGGTGCCCCTACCGCAACAGCGTAGAAGACGTAAAAGCAACTTGTCATTTACAATGTCTTTTTGAAGAACCACTCGTGAAGAAAGTCGCCTGTTGCTTTGCAATGCCGATGTAGGTCTACTTGTGTTTCTTATTGACATCTTTGATCCAGGATTAGCATAGTTGTGCCTGTTTGTTCGCTTGCTCATTCGATTTTGAAAAAGTGTTCCTTTAGTTACACGACCTTCTGCACCGGGTGACGGCGATGTGGCTCCTGTCGCTGCTCTGCACAAGCGCGGAACGAGATGGTGACACGTTTTCGCCAACCGTTTCGCTATTGAAAAATTCCTTCCGTGCCTACCAAAAACATCGCTCCGCACCCCTTGGATCATGCCCGAGCCATTTATGCCCTTCACATCGCCTTCACATAAGCCTCGAATTTTTCCGCCGCGTCTTCGATCGTGCTTTCATTGGAATCCGAAATCACTTCGTCCCCGTGCACCATGCGCACCCGCATGTTCAAGTTGGTCAGCGGCTTCTGCACGACCGGCTCCTTGGCATTCACGACGCGGTCGTAACTCACTTTCTCGTTCTTTATCTTCTCCTCCACCGGCTCGCTGATGTCTGCGACCCAGGCGTCTGCGACTAGGGGGGACTTCGTCAACTTCTCTACCAAATCGAGGAACATGACGGAATTTCCGCACCGCCAGTACGCTTCGGTGATCTCCGGACCGATGGCGGCGTTGTCCGTCAGAAACCCATACTTGTCCAGGAAATACTTGCGGGTTTGCATAACCTGAGATTTCATTTGCATTTCATGCGAGTGTGGTACTAAGCAAGCTGGTGAAATTGCTGCGGCTGCTGCACCGGGAAATGCGAGAATTATTAGCTCATGTACAATTCGGATATCCGATTCATCGTCCTACTTTCTCATGCAAGAAAAGCGCGACAATCAAACTAAAAGTACGCTCATTTCCGCAAGCACGTAGCCGTGGTAGTAGCAGGAGGACTCGTCTGACATGATGTGCGGCACGGACAGCAGTGGTCGGCCGTTCAAGCCGCCGCAGATCTTCTTTTCCACATCGTCCGCGAGCGACAGAACCCGCTCCGCCGTCATTTCGTCCTCCGTTAGTTCGTAGAGCGCCTTCTCGAAATAGGGAACCGCGATCATGTTTCGGAGCATGAACACCGCGAAAGGGTGGGTTTCGCGGATCGACTCCTCGATCAGCTCAAATGGCATCGGCTTGTTGTCCCGGTCGAGCGCGTATCTTGCTTTCCAGTCCGCGTCGTCGACTAGAGAATCGAGGAACATGCTCTGGTTCTCGGCGTATGCGACCGACGTGGGGGCCCGTTCTTGGGAAAAAAGCGGCGACCCCATCTTGATGTTCGCGAAGTGCGCAGCGTGGCCCGCTTCGTGCATCAGAGTTGTCAAAGCGGTTTTCCCGCTGCCCACACTGCTCGGGATCGCGAGAGAGGTAAAGTTCGCGACACTCGGAATCCACTTATCGCCACTCACCCACGCTGGCTGCGGCCAGTGGCAAAACCCGTTGCTGTACTTCTTGGGTCGGTCCAGCAAATCGAGATTCATCTCGGCGCCCTCGTACTGGATCCCGAGGTTGGCGTAGCACTGCGCGTAGCGGAGGACGGCTTTCTCGAAGGGAAAGTAGGGGTCTTGTTTTTTCGCCAAATCGCCGGCGAGCATGAAGGACAAATTCCAGGGCTCGAACGCGTTTTCGCCCTTCTTCTCCTTCAGCTCCTTGATCGCTTTTTCCATCGTCGCTCGGGTTTTCGATTCGAGATCGTCGAGGATGGTGAACAGCTTTTTCTTTCCGAACCCCTCGGCCTGTGTCACTTTGTAGTCGTAGAAGTCCTCGTAGCCGAGCTGCTTTGCGAGCTGGTTCCGCTTCCTGATGATCTCGACAAAACCGTTCGAGGTGATGAAGGTGCCGATCTCCCGGATGCCCTGGTAGGCGGCTTTCCTCTCCGCTTCGGTCTCGCTGTTGCGGAGGACCTGGCGCAAAGCGACTGAAGTCAGCGAAACTCGCTTTCCCTCGTAGTCATACCTGTTTCGTATTTGTTTTGAATTTGATGTTTCGAGGTTGCAAAACTCACAAAAGTTCCGGCAAACTCGAACAATTCCGATTCTGTTTGTAAGCATACACAAACTGAAAAACTTCCTTACCCTGTGCTCATTCCGTTTCTCTTCTGTTCCAGCTGCGATTCCAGAGCCGTCACCTCGTCCCGAATGCCCCGCACTTCCGGCGGCATCTGGTAGCATTCGAAGGTACGCTTGAAGATTTCCAGGGTCTGCAGGTCCTTTTCGTCGTGGTCCGACTTTGCGCCCATCAGGTACTCCATGGTCTGTTTCAAATTGTCTGCGTTCGCGAGCCAAGCTTCCATGGCCTGCTTCGTGGAGGTCAGTAGATCCGGAGAAAAGTCGCCATTTTTCAGCGCCATTTTGTTCCCCCAGAACTGCTCCTCAAAGGCCTTGTGCAACCGCTCATACTCGCGGTTCTTGGCCTCCACAAATTGCTGCAGCCCGTCGGTCGGCATTTTGTTTGAGTATAGTGGCCCGCCTGTAGTGGAGGCAGAAGAGGTAGAGAGACTTGCAGTCGGGTGAAAGTAAATGGGTCGCTTGCCAAAAAGGGGCAGGGGTCTAGTTGTACTAGGTGAAGGAGATGCAGGGGCGGTGCTGAAGAATCGTACACTTGCTTGTGATCTTCGTGTAAAAGCCTGTTTGACAAACATGCGAGTGATTGCGAGGAGTTCGGGCGTTTTCTAGGCCGCACCTACTTACTCACGTACCCAATTAGCTACAGTACAATTCCTGTTGCTTGATGCTGATTAAGTTGGAATAAAGTGGTTTACGAAAGATTCATTTGCACACGTCTCGCTCACAAGACTGAGGATCGCAGCTGGAGAACAAAACTGAAAAAGTGGTTGCGATGCTTTCATGTACGTTTCTATCACTTTGACCTGCTGGTAATCGTGAAGGCGAACAAACTTCAACTACTTCGTCACTGGTGCATTATTTTTCACGGCAAACAGACCCAAGCTGCACTGATGGCCGCTGTCGTTAGTTTTGCATAGTTTTGATTTTATGAAGGTGAAGGATTGCGTCCGCTTTCTTGATGTATCAACCTCACTCTACATCCTTCAGCACTCGGTATTCCAATTCCAGAAACCCGTTGCAGAAAATGCACCCGTCCCGCTCGAAAATTCGCTGCAGCAGTACCTCCCGGCACTGGTGCCTCAAATTGCCGAGCTTCTTGTGCCAGTCGTGGCGAACGATGAGACCCAGCGGCGCCGTGAAGTACTTCGGGTGCGCAAAGTGGACATTCTGCCAGTACCGCGGCATCATACCCTCGTCGAAGCAGTAGTTGAGGCCTTTGTGGCCCTTCTTCATGTAGTAGGAGAATCGCTCCGGGTTGTCCACTGGGACGTTGTACCAATCTTCCAGCATTTTCAAGCCCAGCGCGTCGTTCTTCACAATCCAAAAGCCGCCGTTCGCATGCGTGTTCTCCCTCCCGAACTCCTCGTAGTGGTACTCGAGGGAAAACATCATTTTCACGTCTTTTTTCTTGCACTCCTTCGGGTTGTTGTTCGTGTGCGAGACTCTGTAGTCTCCTTTCCGGAAAACTCGCTGCTTCTGCGTTTCGACTGCAGCAGCGAGGGCTTTTTCGTAGTCGCCGAAGGCTGCAGGTACTCCTTCCAATGCCTTGTGCGGGCCAGGGTTGCCGTGCATACGGTCCCGCTCCGTTTCTATGTAGCCGTTGTCGCGGGAAAGAGCGTCGGGTGCGAGGTTTTGGTCAAATTCGGTTGGAAGTTGGCTCGTGTCTGTTGCGTGGACGAACCGTGGGCGATACTCGTCTTCCTCATCTTCAGCCCCTGCGCTTCCTTCACCATCGAGCACTTCTTGCGAATTCAGGTCGCGGTCCTCCTCACAGTTGTCGGAATCGAAGTAGTGCGCAATTATGTCCTCCAGCTTTTCGCTGCTCCGAAAAAACGCGTCCGTGTCGACGCTGACACCGTACGCGCACTTCTCCGGACCGTACTTTCGCAACTGGTTCTCGATAATTTTCACCTTTGCCCACCCGACTTTGCGGTTCTTGTAGTGCCGCTCCTCGTCGGGCAGGACAAACTCCAACCGGTATCCGTGCTGTTCGGCGTACAGCGCGTTCACGGCGTAAGCTAAAGAAATGTACGACGCGTCTTCCACTACATCGAGCGTGTTCATGTGCACTGGAGGCCGGCTGTCGACCATGAAGATACATATCGGCGCGGTCCGCGCGCGGGGGAACTGATGATCGCTTTTTGCTCCTGAGGAAACAAGACCTGGAGTTGTACTAGCGAAGACTGGGGGCGACAGCGTCGCACTTGGTGGTTGTGCCTGGTCATGACGCAGGGTAGCAAGCAGTTCTTCTAGTTCCTTCTGCACCAAGGGTCGCAGCGCACTCAAGTCTTGTCCAGACTGCGCGGAGGGTACTGGGACGCGGTTTACCAAGTCCCATGCGAGCTCCTGAACAATCGGCGTGTTTTTAGCAGAAGTAGCCGCCAGTTCCGGAAAAAGTTGCGAAAAGCTACTCGAAAGCAGTTTCGCTATACTCACAACCTCGGACGGCAGCGGCTCTGGAAAGAGTTTCGCACGCTGGGAGCGCTTGATCGTCTTGTACACACGCTGACATTTGCAGGTATAGCGGGAGGGGGTCGAGTACCGCATGTGCTCGGCGCGCACGAGATTGTCGTCAATGAGAGCATTCAAAACCAAGTCGGCCACCTCATCCAGGCTGTGCACGCGCGTCGGCAGAAACGTCGACAAGCCCTGCTTTCCCTCGGAACAGTAGACCAAATTGCATTCTTCGGGAAGTAGGCTCGGGTCGTAGTTGGTCCTGTCACTCAGTTTTTGGTTCGAGTGGTAGGCGTAGGAAATGTGCTCCATCACTGTGAATATTGGGTACCGGAAGAACATCACGTTGGAAAAGGTGAACTGGTACATCTCCTGGTACAACAGCAAGTAACGCTGTGACACATGGAGCCAGAAGAACAGTATCTCCTCCTGCAAGATTCTTTCCTCGACGTACAGAAAATGCGCCACCGCGAGGGCGAGAAACGCGGCAGCAAGTGGACAGTCGTAGGGATGAGTCTCAGTGGCGGAAAGGGTAGCGCGGTACTCTGCTTCTTCGCCTTTGACCCCAAACCCCCAACGCCGAAAGAAAGCAATAATGCCAGGGCCGAACCGCTCCAACAAATTGTCCGTGGTCTTTTCAGACACGAGCGCCGCGACAGCATTTTTCTCCTCTGCAATGCTGGACTCGTCCTCTGACACAGCCACACCTGCTTGCTCCCCACTGCACGTAGTTTCCACGGAAGTTTGGAACAAACCCTTTGCGTGATCCAACACGGCCTCGGACCGTCTCGTCGCGCCCCAGGAAGAAGTAACTAGTCTTGTGCGTTCGCGAGAATCCAGGTGAGGGTCGAGCAGTCTGTCTCGCACGGTAGCGTCCTCTCGCAGCCACTTTTCCGTGAAGCCCGGATCCCCTTGGGAAATCTCGTTGGGAGAGAGGGACGCGAGTTGGGCGTCGGACATCGAGAATAAATCCTCCACCTCACCGATCAGATTTCCGCTTTGCTCAGAAGATGATCCCGGTACAACTTCAACCGCACACTTCGAAGACATCGCAAGCTGCTTCCGCACCAAGTCTCGGACGATGTCCCGCCGCTCTACCGCACGGTGCGCATTCACAGCTTGTTTCTCCTCCTCACTCACTCTTCTCCGTTCGCTGACCACTTTCAACCCAGCCGCGGCGCCCGCTGTTGGGACGAAGAGCGAAATCAAAATTCCCTGCAGCACCCGCTCCAGGTCGATTTCGTGTACGTACCGACACGCTTCCGGGTTTTTCCAAATGCTCTTCTCAATGTTCTTCCCACTTTGCGTCCGCAGCATGACCGCCTGCATGTTCGCGAGATAGGGGTAGAGGATCGCGGCCCAGCCGCTTTTGACCTGCACTTCAAACCGCGTGTCCAAGGTTAAAGCGTACCAGTCCGTGAGCATGTCCGCGTGCTCCTCCCGGTCGAAAAACTTTTCCAGCAAGTTGATGGGCGGGATCACGGACAGCATCCAAAACTTGCTGCCTAAAAATCCAAACAGGCAATCCGTGACCTGTGTCATGTTGCGGTCTGAACCGAAATTGTTCGCCATCGCAGTGATCTTTCCCAGAGTCCGGTACAGCCGCGTTTCCGGGTCCACGGGGTAGGACGCGACGTACAAAATTCTCTTCATCTGTCGCCAGTCGATCAAGAGGTCTTTGGAAAACAAACAGCTCATGCCGTCCACGTCGTCCGCGTCGCCCTTCCAACGATACTGCCGGGGCTTCCCCTCCTCGTCGTAATACACGTCGGGATCGTAAACCAGGCCGCTCCCAAGCTGGTCCCTGACCAGCGCGTTGCTGATCACCAAATCCGGCGTCTTTTCTTCGCCAACGTACTGCGGCTTGGGGCCGCGGCTTTGCAGCTCCGAGGCGTTGAGAGCAACGCGGGCATGGGAGTGCCGCACGAGGCCGTGTAAGACAACGCCGAACGAGAGAAAGAAAACGCGGAGACATGATTGCTTTTGAGGAAAGGAGCGACAGTTTCTGTTCACCGAATGCGAAGGCCGCACAGCTTTGGACAAAGCGGCTTCTCTTCCGCAGCTGCAGTGGCAGTGGGTACAAAACGCTGAAAGACTCGTATAGGCACCTATCATTGCTTCAGTGTTCTCATAGATACCAGTGCGCTAGATGAGAGAAAAAGCAAATTCGAGTGAAAGATGGGTTCTAGGCTCTCGCGTCGCGACTCGAATGCCAACTTTTCCATTTCTTGTTGTTCACCACCGTTTTTATAACTGATCAAAAAGAGGTGTAGAGAACAACCGTTCGAGCTTCAGCACATTCTTGTAGGAAGAAAAACGGAAGCAAGCCATCCGAAGGAGTCAGCATTTTTTTTCATATCTACATCTAGAAAAACTGATTGAATTTTGGTTTAAACAGACAAAGTGGAGCTTGTAAGTCGAAATCTACTTTATTCCCGGCCACAAGAACCACAGGGGTGTATTTCGCAGAAACTTTCTCTTCAATTCGAGCCGGTATTGATTGCCACAACGCATGGCAATCCAGAAGAATGCAAGTGACTGAAACAAGGCTCAAATAACTCTTCAATGTACGTCGATAAACAAAACTTGATGAAGTACTCAAATTCACCCAATATCAAAATTCTCGAAATCTTTGATGGGCAGCATAGCGGATCCATGCCACCCTAATTCTGCATCCGCAGAGATTGAAAATTTATGCAGCAGAGCACGAAAGAAACCTAGAGGAAAATGAATGTAGTAGATCTAGATTTGACGTATTAGATATTAACATGCCGTCCTTCCTCCTGACGTAGTGCAACACTACAAGCATCTACTTTCTCTTTCGTTTGTCAGGGAGTTTTTTGACGATCAGGAGCAATCACAGCACAAACCCTTTGATGTCGACGTTCTTCTTACCACCCCCGCAGGTCAACCTCGTCTATGGTGCTGGAGTCGTCGTTGCTGCAGCCCTGATCCACGCTCCACAGCGTGGACGCGTTGGACCCCCTCCGGGCCTCCTTCCACTTCTTGCTCTTGCCGCACTTCTTGCAGGCCGCCTTCCAGGCGCAGTCCAGGCACACGTCCCACCCCACCGGCTCCGCGATCCCCAGGCCCAGGTTGAAACTCAAGTTCGCGAAAGCCTTGGTGAGCGTGGCCGTTTGGGTGCAGTGGTGGCAGTGGTAGAACGCGAGCGGGTAGCAGTTCTGGTTGTTCGACTTCTTGTTCACCATGTTGTCCTGAAAAATGAAGAAAACAAATTTAAGCTGACGCTTTTGAGGACTAAATCATTGGTAAGAGCATGCAGAAAAAACACAAAGGAAGAACTACAAGGAGCTGTCGCTACATGGTCGAAGACGACACTAACTGCAATGAATGGGTCCTCGCCGTCGGCAAAAACAAAATACAAACCAAAATGCATAATTACTTACCTCGGCATTGCAGTCGGGTCCGTCCCGGAGTTTGTAGCGCCCGTTGTGTTCGTCGCAGTAGACGGACATGGTATCATAGGGGCTGGTCTGCTGGAAGTAGAGTTTCAGTTTGTTGTTGCAGCGCGGGCAGGTGATTTTCAGCTTTCCGTCCAGCGGGTTTGGAGGCACCATGACGCCCGGCGGCAAATGGTAGCCATCCGGTCCGTGGTTTCCCTCGGGCTCTTCCGCGCCGAAATTCTCACGGTACTGCACATTTTCCGCGCCGGTCGCAACGGCTTTGGAGAGAGCACCGGCGGAGCCGGTCATGAACGGAGCGGATGCTTTCGGAGCTGCCTCGTTGGAAGAGCGAGCGGTGGCGGAGTCCGAAGATGACGCGGCTGCAGTTCCAGTTGTCCGCGGCTCCAGAGACGGCGCGACAGCGGTATCCTTATCTGTCACTTTCTCCGCATCCGTGTCTGGTTGTGCTACTTGTTCACCAGCAGCTGCGGTCGATTTCATCTCAGTTTTCTCAGTCGGTTCTTGTGGCTCCAGCCCCAGCAGATCCACCGCATCGCCCACCTGTTCGTACGACGGGCCGCCGCTGGACGAGGCTAGATTCGGACTGGTCACGGCAGACGTAGAGGATTGCAGCGACGAGCCGGTTATGCAATGCAAAAGTATCGCACTACTAGTATTGCATTACAAATTTCCCCAGAATTACAAATCCAATTTGTAGTGCTGATTTACCTTGAAAAAGAGACTTGTAGTGCATAAATGCAATTACTACGAGTACGATACTTTTGCACAGGATACCGGTGCCCCCCGTCTCCACCGCCGGAGAGTTTGGCGCCGTAGTTCGCGTTTCTTCATCCACCTGCACGGTCGGCGCCGCTCCACCCGCTGCCCCGGCGTTGGACAGGAAAGCACGCGGGTCGCGGCGCGGCCGCAGCCGTCCCTCCTCGCGACTGCGCGTCAACAAAAACGCCGGCGGGGGCTCCTGGAAGTTCGGTGGGGAAGCGGAGGAAATCGTGGAGGTAGCAGTCACCGGCGGCGTCAACATCGGATCAAAGTTAGTAGCCGCACTGCCCTGTTGGTCCTGAGCAGTCGCACCATCGTTGAAATCAGGTGACCACTGCTCCGGTTGTGGGAACACGCCGCTTAGCTCCTCCTCGAGGCTGCGCTCGCGAAATACTTCCGCTAGTTCCTGGTCGGCGGTCAGCCCCAAGTCAATCAAATTTACCTCGTCTTTCGGCGTTTGCTGCAACTGCTGCGTCGAGGTCGACGGCGTGGGCGGTGCTGGAACTGCGGCCGGCTGGGACGGTAGTCCGGCACGCAACGCGTGCACTTGCTGCGTTTGGTGCAGAAGAGATGACGTGGAGGACAGCAGCAGTGTGATTCTGAGAGGAACAATCGACATCTTGTTTTGCGTCGTTGGTTTCTAGTTTCAAGGCGGTCTACAGTCCGAGGACAAACAGCAAAAATCAATTCCGGTTTGCTAGATTCCAAGAAAAACTACGGCGGTTGAACTTGACCACATTCGTTGTCCGAATGGAATGAAGAAATCGTGGAAAGAAACAACTACATACAATCAAGAAAAGGAGAAAAACTAAACCAAAATGAACGAAAACATCAGTAGAGGCGAACACGTTCGTGATCCTCGCATGACAGTTATCGCGCACAAGCGCGAACAGGAAAAGCTGAGCTAGTTTCAGCCTCGGATCTTTCTCCTAGCGAACTCGCTGCAAAAAAGCAAAGACCGCACGAACTTTATTCTAGCACTGGCTCGGATAGATGCATGAGCACAGCCACGAACATACGGAGCGGGGAGACGCTCACAATGGCAATACTCTTGCCACTTCAAGCTAGTGCGACTGCAATTCAGTTTTGGTGCAAGATGCATTTTCATTTTGTTGCCATGTATACCTCCGCAACATCAACAAAGTCGAACGGAATGCGACTTGACGCAAAAACCGGCCGAAGTCATGCCTCCCACAGCTTGTCAGCCTCAGCCTCTCCGCCTGTAACATAGCGCGCAAAGTCTTGCCAGTCTTTCCCCGGCCACGTGCGCTGCGTATACTCTTGCAACCGCTGAGCTAATCCCGTTTCCTGGCAGAAGGCAACAATGTCTTTGTCGCGTTTGACGCGCAGCGCCGACAAAGCAGACATTGCGTTCGTGAGATCGTGTGCCGGGCAGCCGTACTTTTGGACCTCACAGATATCCTTCACCGCACAAATTAAATCGTGCCTGCGGATAATTTCCAGGTCGATTTTGCTGAGCAAATCACGCCAAGGGGGAAGCGCAAACCGATTCACCAGATTGCTAGGATGGAAGGCAAACTCGTTGTAAAACGCAACGTCGAGACGTTCCGTGGCACAGCAAGCAGCAATCAACTCCGCACAAAACTTATCGATCTGACTGGCCTTACCGGCGATGTTGGAAGGACACGGCCTCTTCTCAAAATAATCCAGGACAGTCCGAATGTCCACTACTCGAATTATGTGACCCAACGGAATAGAATGACCTCGCCACGCCCTTATAACAGGATTGCGATACGTATCATCCCTGGGCCAAGATGGAGAAGGGTTTCGCTTGAAAAGTAGCCCAACAACTTCGGACGTGGTAAAATTTGCAGCTCGAAGCGTTAAGGCCTGGACATCGGAACTGCTGATCGCACGCCTGTGTTTGTCGTTCCTGCAAAAGAGAAACAGTTCGCATAGTTGCTTCGCGTAACGTTCTCGTGCTTCTTGAGGAAAAAACCTTTTTTCTCTATCTAGCGAAAAATGCTTGCGCCATTCCTCTTCCGGAAGTTCCATAATTGCTATTGTCCAATGCCACAATCCGATCGTTTGGGACAAACTTCTCAAGAAACGCTCGTGATGGCGGTGCGATGATTGCTCCAAGACGGTAGGCAGGAGGGCATCCAAAAGATTGTCTTCCCGGCGGAACGCTTGATCCAGCCAGTACTTCATTCTGTTCCAAATGGCTTCTAGCATTTCCCAACCTTGATCATACACAAGGTCGCGCACTTCATTCAAAGACATGGAAGCTAAGGTTTTCACCCAACGAATCCACCAAAAAGTCCCCTCCTCCTCAGGCCGCGGCTTTAGCTCTTCGTATGGAAAGCTGCTTTTCGCGTCGACCACAAACTCTAGAGACAAAACGGCCGCAGTACCATTCACGAGTATCTCGTGCTCTGCCACGTCTGCTAAAAGCTCGCTCCGATCCAAAAAACGCAACTTCGCTCCCCCGTCATCGGTCGCGTTCTCGGGTGCCTCGTCTCCGTCACCGTCTCCCTCAAGAATTTCAAAGGTAGCATTCTCGTCCCACGCATGGCTCGCATGTGATTCACCCTCGTCGTCGTCCGAGGGTGGATCACAATCCACATTGACCTTTCGCCACAAGAGCCGGTGCGTTGGCGGGAGCAGTTGCGTCTCATCGAAAAACTTCGCGATATATTCCCACGAGCACAAGTCTGCAACAGTCTTTACTTTACTGGGATCGATCTTTACTTTCTGCGTGTCGCCATTCATATTCGATATCTGCAGCATCGTCAATTCATGTGGCGCTTCCGGAGTCGCCGCCAGTGAGGGTTCGTGCGCCGCGGACATATCCATTTCAGCTGCTGGCTCTGGCGCATCCATGTTTTCGCTTTTGGTTATTTCATCAATGACGGAGAATGATGGCGAGGCGGAGGATTTCGAAAACAAACTGAATAAAAAAACTTTCTAAGGGACAATCAGAAAACGTTAACGTGCACAAGTTGCGTATAGTTTTGGAGTAGATCTCCTAAGTTTCACATTTACCTTTTTCAATGAGCTGAATCTTGAAGTACAATCACCGGATGAGCAAGCGTGAAGTTCTTGACACAACGACAGGGAAGGTAATCAGGGACCACACACAACAGGGAAGAAGACTTTTTCCATGTGCGATTTTCTTTTTTGAACCTAATGGTGAAACAAAATAAAACGTGCCGCGGGTGGTCCAAAGATGGATCTCGCTATTTGCAGGAGCATGTCGGAAAGAATGTCATCTGTGTTCAAGTGCAATCTTCGAGATGCTTTAAGCTATTGATCATGGGGACATGAATATGAAACCAGTTGGCGCACATTCGTCTGTCAATGCTCGGCAAGAAACTCGTGAAAATTCGGAACTTGGATGGATGTTTATACAGCTGACTTCCAGGTACACAAAAGCACAGCTGAGTTCCAGCTACACAGCGTTCATTTGCAGATGACGGGTTCGCAACTCGTGCCCTGAGTTCGACTACAAGGTGGAAGTGCCGCTCTCAGTGGTTGTGCCGGCCGGTTCCCTCCACCTTCATGAGACTTCCGCCGGCGGTCCGCACGTAAATTGCCTCTTCCGATTCCGAGTCGCTCAGCTGCTCGTAGACGTCGTAACTGCGGTACATGGGGTTGTAGGACTTTGTTTTCAGCGGATTCTTGTACACCGTCTGCTTCGTGTACGGATTCGTCCACGATTTTTTCCCCGTCCGGTTGTTCATCTTTTCCGTCCACACGTCGCGATTGGCGTCGGGCCCCTTCGGTTTCTTCAGGCTGATTTCGCGGGTGATCTTGTTGCGCCACCTCTTCCGGCCCTTGTTGTCCTCCTCGATGTACCAGTTTTCCCGGACCATTGGGATGCGGCTCTGCATGGGCTTGGTCTTGCTGATCTCCTTCGTGTACTTGTTTTCCCAGTGCGAAACGGTCATTTTCTTCCCCTTCTTTTTGTACTTCGTCACCCAGTCCAACGCCGCCGGCATGTCCTTCCCAAGGATCAAGTGCCCGCTGTCAAACATCGCGCGCGCGGTCGTGGGCTCGTGGAGGTAGAAAATCCAGACCTGAGGAAAAATGACCGGAGAGGTTCAAAGTGAGAAGATTTTTGCATCTGTTGCGCGAGGTCGTGCAACGAAAGGACTACTACAAGAAGATACAGTGTTCTAAACTTTTGTTCTCAAACATAAAAAACTACCTTCCAGCTGCCTTTCGCGTAGTCTGAGGTCAGTTTGGTCGAATCTGGGTCTTTGGCGTGCTCTCTGTCCCATTGGTAGAGCAAGTGCAGGTATTCCTCCGCGTCACGGCGCTGCGCGAAGCCCATAAAGCCCGCACCCCGCTGGTGGTAGTGGGTTTTCGGAAACTTCTTCTCTAGCCCCGTCCCGTCCTGGTGCGAGGGATCAAAAATCACGGAATCCCAGCACTCCCCTACGCACTTCAAGTACCACAGCACCGTCCTGCTTCCGCACGCAACGCCGGTTGCCTCTTCCTGCATGATGGTGCTTGGCTCGTCTGATATGATCGCGAAGAACGTTGTAATGTAGTATGTGGAGTACAATTTCAGCACCGTTGCGTAAATCGCTGCGATCACCAAATCCAGCGAGAAGGGCGCGTCGTAGGACACCTCGTTTGTGTCCTTCGGCTTGAAATACGGCCGTCCCGTTTCCGGCGTCTCGCCAATCTCGATGCCCGGGTCGCGCCACAGTGGATTCAGCTCCATCACGTTCGGGGCTTCCCAGCTGACCTCTTTCGTCTCCAAATGGTGGTAGTAAGAGAACAACCCGCCGCTCTCCAGACTCTCCGTTAACCCCAGTTCCACCTCGCCCCACTCTTTCGGTAGAAGCTTGTTCCGCATTTTATGGCAGCCCACGTCGAAACACCGCACGAGCTGCAACTTGCGGGCGATCTTCAGGCCCATCCCCTGCAGCAGCAGGTCGTGCTTGTCCACGTTGAGCTGCGTGATCGCCTCCAGGAACTCCTCGCTGATCTGTTTCGCGCCGCTGTTCTCCTCGTGCTTCTCGAACGCCTTCATCGCGATTTCCATCAGCTGCCCCGACGTGCTGTTCTCTTCCGCCTTTATCGTCACGTACCCGGTGTGCAGCGGCGCCATCAGCGTCGTGTGTACCAAGTCCCAGGGCGCGCTGAAGATCTGAATCACCCAGTTCACGTCGATTCCCGATTGCCGGATTTCGTCCATCGTCAGAATGTCCGACGGTTTCTCGAGCTCCACACTGTGCTCTACCCAGTTTTTGCTCGTGTAGGACTTCCAGATTTCCTTCTCCGGGTCCAGTTTGCCGACCTGGGGAAACACGCCGCGGAAAACGTCCTGCTGCAAAACGCGGTCGACGCCGGCCTTCGCGACGTCGCCGGCGGACACCTCCAGCCGGTACCGCACATACAGGACGTCTTGCAGGGCGCCGGAGGCCCGCCCCAGCGCGTCGATGGACTTGAAGAACCGGCTCATGCGGCCCACATCCAGAATGGGCGACTGCGCGAGCAGCAACGCAACCTGAATGCAGGCGAAAATCCGCGTGGCGGTCGTGGAAGGCGGCGGAACCCGGTCGCGGAGCTGTTTGTCGTCGTCGTAGGTCAGCGTCCAGGCGAAGAGTAGTTTTTGGTAGGGAATCTTGTTCCGCGTTGCGGCCTTCTGCGCCTCCTCCGAGGCCTCCTTCAACGCCTTGGCGGCTTGGTCCATGATGATGAGGGTGCCAGTTCCGAGGTGCAGAGCCGCGGCGGGGAGGACGAAGCGAAGGAGCAGAAGACAACTAGGAAAACGATAGCAAAGCGTTTGGCTGTGTCATCTTTGAGTTTCTTGTGTTCATCTGAGCATTTAGCAATGTTTGTGAAGGACACTCTCAACTCGAAAACTCTCCTTCCTGATGCAAGTTACGTAGGCACAACTTCATAACATGGAATAACAACAGGCAAGCAAAAATAGGACATCAAAAACCGATCGAAATATGCGTGTCTAAAGCTAAAGCAGGTGTTGCGCATATAATGTTGGTCACTCGATACCGCTTTGGTCGCTCGAGATGAGGCTGTATCACAATAAGAGCGGAGTTGAAAGTCACGCACCGAGACGAAACTGTCAAGATCGGTCAAATCAATCCAGCCACCGTGTGGCCACGGGGCAGTCTCCAAATCTTATTGCTGCAAAAGCAGGGATCGGCAGTACCATGCTGTTGATGTCTCACGCAATGGGAAAGAGCTGCTGCTGCAAAGTCCTTGATATAAAATGGCGTAAGAGTCTCGCTTCTTCGTAAGACTGTCGATACGTTTCACGTGCGCTCTTACTAGCAAGTCAGCGACCCATGAAAGTGCTGCTAGAAAATTGCCACCATAGTTTCATCTTTTGTTGCGGTCGTTAGACTTCGTTTGAGTGTTTAAAATTCCACATCCTGATTAGAGTCACAGAAGAATGCGTCTCCGGATCCACTCGAGCGTCAACAAGTTTGCCTTGGCGATGTGGTGCTCCTTGTCGAATCCGTGTCCTTCGCCTTCGAATATTTCCATGTGAATCTGCTGCGGTAGGTGTCCGCTGGTTGCACCCGAGGATGGCCCGCCATTCGCAGAAGCACTATTCCCGTTTGCGACGGTAGAAGTGGTTTTTTCCGCGCTCCGCAACCTGCGCAACAGCTCCACGTATGCCTTCCCGTTCGGACCCATCGGCACGCGCAGGTCGCTATCCCCGAGAAGCATGAGCACGTCGCACGTCACGTTTTTGATAGAACTCACCGGCGATTTTTTCTTCAATTCAATGCAGTCTTCGTCCGACAACTCCGACCACTTGTACTGCGTACGGTTCAGAGCCTCCGCAAAAATCCACTCCGGGATATCGGTTTGCCGCACCATTCCCTCCAGATCCGTGACCGGATTCCGCATGATGCCGCACTGGATGTTGGGGATTTTGTTCCGCCCAATCAAGTGCGCCGTGAGAAAACCGCCGTGGCTGCCGCCCATCACAAACACCGGAAGGGGTAGGCCTGCAGGGGGTTTGATATGTTGTGAACACCAACAATGAGCAAAAATGCATCAAGAATCTCGAAGGCAGTACGAAAGCAGTAGCGGTGTCTATGTAAAAATGCACGCAGGGGTTTACTATGTTGCAAGCAAATTCGACGGCAGTGCTAAGAATCCATCAAGTTCATTTTCATTTAAGTACCACGTCGCTGCGCCGTCGCAGAAGGATCCGAAAACACTTTCAGCAGTTCATTGGTGAGCCCTTCGCAGTCTGCCACGTCGTCGACGCCGGCTTTCCCCAGCAGGCACTCGTTGAATTCACGGGAAAAAGATGTGCTGCCGCGGTAGTTCGGGAAAAACAGCGGGACCTTCAGAGCCTCTGGCAGCAGAACATGGACCGGGCTGTAGGTTGGGATACTCACACCGTGCGGACCGCCATGGAGCTGGATGGCAAGACCGGAGACTGGAAGTTCTTTGGGTTCTTTTCCAATTTCCCCTTGGAGGTACGCTCGTATGACTTTTTTCGTTTGTTTCGCGAGTCGCTCGTGTGCTGATTTGATGTCTGCGTCTGTCGGTTGTCTCTCAACAAGGTTTTCCCGACCTGGACCAAACTTTTCTTCGGGGACCCCGAGGATCGTCGACCACAACGCGCACTCTGCCTCCTTGTAAGCTGTGTCGACATACTGGTACGCAGCCTTTGGCAGCACAAGAGCGCCCGACGCTCCGGGATGCTTCGCAAAATCCGAGAAGTGTAGCAAAGTGCTGCTGTACATGCTGTCGCTAAAGTTTTCGCCCCGCAGGAGCTTCCAGCTGCCCTCCACCTCCCCCTCGACCAGCTTTTCCTTGGGATTTTTGACGTGGTAAAGCCACAAAGTTGGCAAGGCGACGAAGCTAGTCTCCTGAATAATGGCGAAAAAATCATCCCAGTAGAGCAACTCTTGCGAGCTTGTGAAGTGTTGCACTCTTTGGTCTCTTTTCCAAGCTAGCGGATGCACATGCGGCGGAATCAAGTAACGGATTTTGGAGCCTAGCAATTTGTCCTGCTTCTCGTTCCACTCGAGTGAAATCAACTGCACGCGGCTCATACCGTGGTGAAGAGTTTCACAGATGATGTATTTATCTTCTTGGAAAGGCTCGGTAAAAAAGCCGCACTTTTGAACCTGTGCGTGATAACCATAGCACTGAGCTACGTCCCGCGTCTCCACCTGGCCCTTGCTGTTGAGGTACTCCACACGCCGACTGAACAAAGTGGAGTGGCACGAGGCACTTCGCTTGCCGACGGTTGCGATCGCCAAGTCGGTGCCCATTTGCGCCGGTCGCAAACACCACGAATTAATTGGGTCCGCATGATCTCTTGCAGCCAGCGCGGTCTTCTGTCGCTTTGCTCCTCTTTCCATCGTGTCGTCGGTTGCGTCTCTTTGCAGCACCATCCTGCCAGATGACTCATTGTCGACGTATTCTGATGCGCTTTCGAAATCCCATGTCGCTTTGCATTGCTCTGCGTGGCGATTCATGCACGCTGCCAGTCCGCAGGGGAAGTCTGAGATCTTGTACTTGGAAAACATGACCTCTCTGCGGTACTCGCCCGCAAAACAGGGGAAGCAGGGAAACTCAAGAGGGCGGTCGGCAAAGTGGTCAAGCAAGACGTAAACAAGCGGTTGGCCGAGAGGGTTAAGCTTACTGAAGCTTGCAACCACAATAACGGGACTTTTTATCGTCTGCAATCTTTCTCCGAAGTCTACGTTTTTTCGTCCTTCGCGAAGCTTTCTCACTTGCGCCTTCTGCCTTTTCGTCGCAAAAAAAGGAAGCTCGTCTGCTGTTGGGCTCAATTCGCCTATGAAGCACAAAATGCCTCCATCTAGAGCGCCACGGTAGAACTGCGGCATGCCGAACTCTGCAGTCAAATGCACCGTCTGTATCCCATACTCCGATAGGTCTATCACCGCTCTTCCAAAAGCGTTGTCGTGTCTTTCCAAAAATCGTATACGTCCTGCTGCTTTTTCGTCTTTTGCGTGCGTATCTGCAAGAAAAAGGAAAGACCGAGAAGGGCTGCGAGGGTCTACAAAAACTGCCTTCTGTGACTTGGTGTCCAAAACTGACGGACGAGACCAAAGCCTCATCGGCCACTTACTTTTGGTTTCGGGCATCCCTAAGGTTGACTCGAGCTTTTTCTTATCGTACCGCTCTGCTTCGTCACTGATCATCTTCTGGACTCGTTCTGTATCGCTTTTACTGTCGGGGCCAGCATTACCTGCTGTCTTCGCGCTGCTGCTTTTGTCCTTCGGCTTCATATACCCCTGCTCAAACTGAAGACTGATTTGAAAATTGATGTAGTGGTCGTCCCGAACATGACTACCTCCCTGGCAATCGTACTTGCGTTCCCATGCCATTGAAAGGTCTTCGTATTCCTGGCAAATCCGCTCTGGCGATGGCCGATTGGGCCCAGCAACATGAGTTTCAACTACGTTCGACATTTCTTTGGTTTTGTCTTGCGATTGTGTGTCACACCGCTGATTGGCCCACAATTAAATTCAATGGAGAAATAGACGATGCCGATCCGAAATCAGATACGAGAAGGTATGAGTCGCTGCAATCCAAATGACAATGTTCTGCTATGATACTATTTGCCCGCGGCTCCAGAGGACAACAGTTTTTTAAATCCTCGTCTCTTCATAGGGTGCTGGTACTAGCAATATCATGTCACTGCCGAATAGTTGCAAAATAGCACTTCAACTGTTTCGATCCTTTGAGACAGAATCCGAAGTTAAAATTGGTTCTTTACATGCGAACAAACACTGTGCTCCGACTTCATGCACCTTCTAAAATGGGGTGGATCCTTCAAGAATAATGATCACATTCACAGACAACTCCTGCTCTTCTGCTTGTAGTTGAAGAACTTCGTTGTAGTTGCACTGGTGGCTGACCATAAAATCCTGATCATGAAAGAGCTTGCTTCTTGGAACATGCAATCGCAGATGATGCTTCACTGCGCGGTAATCATATACAGCCTCGTTCGCTGCGCCATGTCATTCACATACACATCCCGCCGACGAACGGGTGTTCAGAGAAACAAAAAGCCGGCGAACAAACATTACTGGTTACACTTTTCTCAGGTTTCTTGAAAAAACGATGTTGGATTAGAATTATAACTACGACAGCGCCTTGACGATATTCTCGGGACAATGGACAACTGACACGATATGTCGAGTATTTTTTCTTTGCGGTGGCTACAGCCCGTGTGCGTCTGTGTTTAACAAAATCAAAATCTCTTACAGTGGAAGTGGCGTATTTATAGTAGACAGCGGAATCAGCTCGAGCTCGTAAAACAACTTTGTATTACAAGGATAAGCGAGGCGAAAAAGTACTCGATCTCAGGGACGGAGAGATCCTGTTGAAATAAAAACGGTTACGGTGAGTAGAGCTAAGATAAAAATGCCACTCTGATACTAAACGGGGCTGACAGCAGAAAATCCTTCGTTGAGGATTTTTCAACTTTTTTTCTAGCCGTATATGACAGTGAAACTTCGCCTAAAAATGGATTTTGGGGAAACCCACTCGCGCCCGGTTCTTCTTAGTAATAACGTAGAGGTACTATCATATACTTCGTTGTCGCCTCGCTGTTGCGCAAGCGTGGGACCTTCAAGTGTCTACTTGGTTCCCAACAGTAGTCCGCCCGTGGAAAATTGCGGGCCATGCTCGTCCGGTGCGGGTTATGACATCAAGCAGCAGGTATCGACAAACTGGAATCGAGCGCAGAACGCTCGACCTTCCAAAGACGGGCGCATGCTGTTGACTGTTGTAGACGTCCTCGCAAATCTGATTCTCTGGGACTACTTTAGGAAATTTCCAATCGCAATACAAGAAGGAACCCCACCGCATCTTCGCAGCTTTGTATAAAATGATAAAACATAAATCAATGCGCACGCGCTTCGTGGGCACGAAGTAAAACCTTTTAGTGTATTTGAACGTGAAAATTGGGACACGAGTAAAAACTCGATTAGGAAACATCGATATTTTTGAAATTACTCTTTACTCTACTACTCTTTGTCTTTTTATCAAAAAAAACAACTACTTTCAACGCGAACTGTCGATAAACATTGACTACGTAGAAAATCAATCTGTCGCACCAAACCTGGGTGCGTTCTGTGATCACGTTGGTTTCGATGAGTCGCGCTATGTTGTGGGGACGTAGGTACTATTCATCAGACTTTGCTCGGGTCACGTCGATGAGGAAACTTTATGGGTGTGACATCAAAACTCGAACTCCGTCAGGGCCTAGTACTCCTGCTTTCCGCCGCCCTTGTGGCGTTTGCCCTTGCCCTTTCCCTTCTTGCCCTTGCTGGAGCTCCCATCGCCGTCGATGACATCATCGTTCGCACTACCTGATAAAGTCCGGATTATGGTAATTTTCCCAGAGACCATTTCCAAACACATGAAGTTCAAGTGCATCGTCAATTCTAGAAGTATTTTGCCTTTCGATTATAAGCTATACCTTTTACGCATGGAGTTTTGCTCATATCTTAATCAATATTAACCAACAAACGACAACAGACGAAACAAAAACGCAACCGCACCCTAGGCAAGAATGTGTCTGCGAGTGATTCCTCACTACAGCAGGCAGGATATTCTTACCTTTTCCGCTTTTGCCACTCGATCCTTCTTGCCCTTTTTCGCTTTTCTTGGCCTTGTTGCCGCGGCCTTTGTTCTTCGGACTGCTATTTCCTTCTGGCTGACCTTCTTTTCCGCCTTCTCCTGAGTACGGACAGATTTTAGTCTTTGTCTGTACCAGAAAGACGCAGGGCGACATCAAAGCACGTTTTTGAGGCTGCGCCGACGACAGAAACAATGAAACCCGATACGACAAACTACTACACCAGTACCAGAGCCACGGCCTAACAAACTGCTTCATTTCGATCTCATTTGCCATACACAAACGCAGTTTCGAAATTTTATTTATTGAGGGATAGAGGTAGATGACGAGTGACCTTTGTCTAGTTCTCGTTCTTCAAAGTTTGCATCGGAAATACCTGCACCAGCCCCACCTTCGCGGGAGTCTTCGTAATTTTCATCACCGTGATCCCCTTTTCCTTTTCCATTCTGCCAGGAGCGGCCGCTTCTGTTTCGTTTTGATTGGAATTGGTTTCGGAAAGAAAATATTTTGTTTGATCGAATACAAATTCTCTCCAAGAAAATTCTGGTTTTACCATCCCTAGCACGACCTTTCGCAATCGATAGAACAATCAAACGACATCGTCCACGTGATTTTCGATACCTGTGCCCGCTGTCGTGGTAGCCGTCTCCGGACCCTTGGCCCCCACTGTTGTTTGGTGGTCGGTAGGAGCCCTCATCATAGTTGTAGTTTTTCCAGCTCTTATTTTTTTTCCACGGCTTGTATTCGTAGCCGTCCTCATCCCACCATTCTTCGTCGTTTCCCCCTTCCCATGAGGCGTAGCTGTAACTGGGGCTGGACTTGTACCTGCCCGAGCTTCCATTCGCGTGCCTGCTCTCGCCGTTCTGGTAGTAATTATTGTTCTTGTCGTGATGGTCGCGGTAGTTCCCCTTGCCGCCGCCCTTGGACGCGGAGTTTTTGTAATAGTCTCGGTCCTCGTAGTAGTGTTTGTCCTTGTAGTAGCCGCGATCGTAATGCTTGTCGTAATTTCTGTCTCGGTGGCCAGAGTCTCGGCCTTCGTAGTAATCGGCGTATTTTCCGGACGACCCCCCTCTGTAGCCGCCCTTACCAGAGCCGCCTTTTTGATCGTAGTAGTCGCCGCTGTACTTGTATTTCCCACGGGATGACCCTTTTTTGCTCCCCTTCTGGTTGTAATACCCATCCTCACTTTGATACTGGTTGTACTCTCCGCTTTCCGGGTTTTCATCCTCGTCCTGAGGGGAGTTCGCCGCGTCTGCCCAGTACGTTTCCGTGATTTCCTGCAGAAACTGCGGCCCGTCGGCTTTTCGTGCGTCCTGGGTGACCCAACCAGTCACTTCCGTCTCAATGCTTTTTATCTGGCAAAAGTTCGAGTTTGGACTTGCATGCAACACATACATGCAATTACAAAACAGAAACGTGAGGGGCATACTGCTTTGCAAGAAACTCGACTAAAGACCAAATGCAAGAAAAGCTCTAGGGCACCATTCTTATCGTAGTTAAGGTTGTGATACCTTGATTCGCACGATGCCGTCCGCGATAATAATCGGCTCACCGAGAAGCTCTACTATTTCCAGCCGCTGCAGGCAGCCCATCTGTTCACTCGCGAGATCCATGCCCTTCCGCACGATCACCATCTCAAAGTGGTCACTTCTCAGCACCTTTTTGTTTGATATTCGTAGGCCTGACTGACGAGGACAGAAGAAGGAGAAGTCTCCACAAACACTATAACACCAACTATGGCAGCCGCCTCAGTAACGTACTGCTTACCTGAAACATTCTCGGTTTTCCTTGGTGCCCCCCTTTTCGGAAGTTTCCGTTCGATGGGAGCCATTTTGTATCCTTGACGGGCTGGATTTTTGTACTGGTACCGGGGAGCACTTCGTATTTGTGGACGGCCTTGATAAATAGTTTTCCATCCTCCTGCTCGATGAAGGCGTACCTGGGAAAGTTTTTCGGAACACTGTTGCAATGGCTGCTCCTAATTTGTCAGCTAAGTAGTCTTCTCTGACGTAGTTTCACGGAGTCTGTCGTTCTCGTCGTCGTCGATGCAGCCGCGACTTCCGCTAAGTTTTCACAAATGAAAAAAAATGACCAATACCGTAATCCACGAGAAGCAAAGTTCCATACCTTCTTTTATTCTCATTCGACGCGTTGAGTAATCTGACGAGTTCGGAGTACGAGCTAACGCCACAACACCGTCGACATATCTCTAGGAGGTCCACTACCTCGACCTGCTTGTCTTCATCCATTGGTATGATTCCCTTGTTTCCCTCGTCCGCTCCGTGACGCAGGATGTAGCTTACGATCTTGCTCACCTGATAGCATTTATCACGGTATGTTAGTGGATATTTTCGATCTTCATTTCATTGATGTATGCCTCAGTTGAAAATTTGCACCGCCACCACCCAGTGCAAAAGCAGTGAAAAACCAACTTCGTATAAGTAAAGTCATACAACTGATACTCAGAAAAAGCAAACTACCTGCTTGAGCAAATCGTCGGTGTCCCTGAACTTGATTTTCTTCATGAACTCTAGGTCCATGTTACCGAAGTATACTCGGTTGGCTACCACGGAGGGTAGCCGGTCGTACTCAATCGGTTTTTCGGCCATCATAGTCACGCAGACGGCGACTTGGTCGCGCGGTACGTTTTTCTTCCCAACAGGAAAATCGCTGACGCCCTGCTACTCGACTGTTGAAGCCGTGTTTTAATCCTTATTTTCACGTCCACCACCTCTCCGCGCTTGGAAGAAGTTGATGACGTGTGAGTGTGACGTTATTCTTGTTCTAACACTTCCATTACAATCGCCCTCGACGAATTTGATAGTTGTATTGTTCTCGGGTAAGAAACTGCAAAATCATTCTTCTCGGAGGTGCGAGTTCACGCACAGTCCTGGGGTCTGGTGGTTCACCAGCTGGCAATCCTTTACGTGAAGCGCACAGACGAGAAGCCTCTACAAGCCGGCTTGCGATGGGAAGAGAATCCCTACTTCCTGCCCGTTCCGCCTGACTCGATACGCGTGATATCTTGTTCAGGTTATTTGTGGTCTCCTTAGCCTTTACTGTAAGTGTAATAATAGTTTGAGTTTTTTGGGAACGTTCACAGATTTATTATGGTTGCGAAGCTTTCGCTTCTTTTTGGTTTTAACTAGGTTCTTTCAGGGTAAGCAGTACCACCCGGCCCGCGAAGCGGTTTCTACAAGAACGCTGCTGTTGCCCGTACTATCTAGTTTCGTCAATTTGACAACTGTGTAAAAGTCGGGGCGGTGCGCGTATTTGTAAACCGTTGCTTTAAGTACTTAAAGACACTATTATGGATAAACTACTGTCAAAACATCCATAGTACGCCGGAGCGCTTTTTCATCGCAGTGCTGCTACAGGCAGCAGCTGAGTTACGACTATTTTCTCGAACTATGTTTTCTGGGCCTGTTACTTAGTAGTCACGGAAAGGTTGCTTCAACTTTCCATAGCAGCGTCGAAGTCGAAAACGCGGCGCGCAGTAGTAATCGCTTCGCGCAGAAATCATTTGCGCTGTAATTATTGTTCGCGCACAGTAATCGTTCTTGAGCATACTCAATTTGTACTTGACAAAAGTAAGTCGTAGTGATGTGAGAGCATCTTGCGCCGTACCTTCTTGGCGGTAGGCGGCACTGAGCAGATCCTTTGTCGTCTTTCAAGAAGTGGATCGGAGCGTTCTCAAAATATTCTTTTCGTTTTCGTTTTCACCATCACCTATTACAGGCTGCATTATGCATGGTTGTTTTATTGCTTTCTGGCACAGGCAGTAGAACACGTCTACAACCAAGTGTAACACACAGTATTGACCGAGCATTTTTGTTGAGTAGTTTCATGTATTGTGACTGTCGCTTTTTCAGGGAAACAGTAGACATTCAACATTCCGTAGCTGCAAAAGCCATTGCCAAGAAGTTTGTGAAAGTGTATGCGCATATCATCGATCGTGACTGCGGAGAACGTAATCACATTTTTCCATCAATTGATTTTTCGTATGCGCACGTCGAGCGGGCACTTGGCACCCAGCTTCTGCGTCGAAGGGGGCTTTACACCACGGCGCTGCGCTTCGGCCGCACTGATGCGGGTGATCACGCCCCCCGGCCCGCCCGCCGTCCCCGGTCGACGCGACTCCGGTACGTAGTTGAGCGGTACTAGTTTTGGCTCGCCGGTCTTCGCATCCGAGCCACCATTCCGCACGGACCTGCGAGAAGCAAGTAAATGATGAAAAACTACGTGAGATTGCCTACTTTTTTTCCAAAAAAAATTTCGTAGAGATTGACGACGCACACAAAGTTAGATACTTGAACGCCAGGCAATTCAGTATACGATTGCAGTTCTTGTAGCCGTTCCGCGCACTCCTCTGCCCTTTCCAGACACGACTTTCCAACCGCGCCGAGCCTCAATTCTGGCACCGCTCGCAACGCTTCGACCGCATGAATGGCCTCCTCGTAAAGCACAATAGCTTCTACGGTGCGACTTTCTCGGTCTGCCTTGCGCGCTGCGGCGACGGCGTCTATGAAGCCCGCCACCGTTTGCCGACTGAGGCACTGACCGACGCTTCCCGGCGCGGTCTGGGGACGCAGCCGCGTCCGCGGGCTGTGCTGGTCGAGCAAGACGCTCTGTTCCTGTGTTTCGTCGTCCGGCAGGAGCTTTAGCGTCTTCGCTGCGGCGGCTGCTGCAGAGGATGAGCTGCTGGAAGAAGTTGCGCTGCTGGTTAGCGAAGCAAATGCTTTGCTCTTCTCCCGTGCGGTAGCCGTCGGCGTCGCACCCGCGCCACCGAAGAAGAGACTTCTCGTGTTTGTGTCTTCTTGTCCACCTCTACTTCCGGGTGCCACGAGAGCTAGGGAAGATGAAGCGCCACCTGGTTCATCTTTCTTATCCGCCTCTCTTCTTTCCTTCTTTTTCGCAGCAGTGTCAGCGATAATTTTTTCCCTGAACTCAGTTACTGCGCGCTGCTTTTCGAGCGCTTCCGCGGCAGTGAGAGTTTGCGACGCGCAGGCCTTTGACACCGCAGTACCTTTGTGGAGGTCTTTACCGTCGTTATTTGGCGGCGCAGATTGTTCTGAGTCGGCATCAGACAGGCCGTCATTCTCGTCTTCTCCGTCTTCCTCGAGATCGTCGCCGTAGATGCGCTTTCGTAAGTCGTCCTCATCCTCAGACTCTTCCGCTTCGGTGGGGTCGGCTCGCTGCGCCGTGGCTCCCCCGTTCTCCATTTCCTCCTCGTCGCTCTCATCGGTTCTGTCGCCGGGCACAGGCGACGACGTTGGCTTTGGCTCGATGTCGTTTTCTTTTTTCTCCGTTTTATCCTGTATTCCCGGCTGCGCCGTCTTCGTTTCAATGGAAGCTGCTCCTGACGGCGTCGCCGCGGCAACGGTCCCTTTGGAAGCAGAAGGTGCAGGGTGGTCTCCAGATTCCTTTGCAGCCGACGCTGTAGTCGCAGGTGCTAGTCGTGCACCAATAACTAAATTAGTGCTACTACTTGATGTAGCTGGTTTTTTCGCAAGCAAGCCTTGTTGCCCTTGAACGGCGCCCGTGCCGGGAGACGAAATCGGTTCCAAAACGACTTTGTTGCTTTGCTGCAGGTCTCGCACTGTAGTAGCTCTTGCAGTTGTCGCGTCCTTCTTTGTCACTTCGGAACTGTCTCCTGCTCTGCCGCCCTGATTTCTGGGCTTCGTTGGACTCGTCGCAAGCACTTTGTTCGGAGCAGTGCTTTTCTTCAAGATGTTTCGCACGCCGGGCTGACGCGTCCCTGCGGCCGGAGAAACGGACTTTCGTTGCTCGGAGGACGAAAACTGCACCTTCTTTTGTACTTCCTTCCTTGCGCTCTTCAAATGCGCAATTCGGCTCTGCAAACGGGCCACCTCGTCTTGCACCTGTGTGTGTTTAGCGAATTCGATTGAATGTGATCAGATCTGGACAACTGCGCACCACGGACCTGGACAATCACACGAGGGCAACGAACTGTACATTCATAGAGGAGAGCGCAACAAAGTCAATATCTCTGTAAGTACTTACCTCGGCATTAGGAGGTAAGTGGTTACTCGCCACGTGCTGCTGACTCTCGAGCTCTTGCCGGGCTGCCCGACCTCGGGTCGCCACACAACGCTCCACCATATCGATCTTTGTTCGCAAACGGAACTTGGTTCTGAAAATGCAGATTCTGAACAACGAACTTTGATTTGAATTCCTATTGGTAATCATCTAGAACTTCCCTTAGTAGCAGATTTACCGTCTGTATCCGTACGGTCAAACCACAAGCAACGACACAACGGGGCTAAAGCTAACCGACACAATTCCATGAGGCTCTCGGGCGCTCATGAGCATATACGCCTCTTTTTTCGTCTCCGCTCGAACTACATTCATTTCTCCTCGTCCTCCTCTTCCGGCCGCTCCGTCAAGGAATTCATTTATCACGACAGGCGGTGTTCTTTCGCGTGACGGGAAGAGCTTGATCTTCATCATGACGAAACTTCAAAACGAGGCGAAAGTCATGTCAATTAGAACGAGACGAATATCGAAATCAAACTACAACTAGGAAACTACGTAGATGCTGAGGCACGCGGCGAGAAGAAAATTGGCTCGTCATGTCCCGGTGCAACAAGATATTTTTTTGTTTCTGCTTTCCTTCTAGTTGTTAGTAGTTCTAGTTTCCATCGCAATCGATTTTTGATCATACAGCTGCAGCAGTTCATTCTGGGCCTCGATCACCAGCTACCTTAAAAACGAGAATCGCAGAGGCGAACTAAAACTGGTGTCGTTTCTCGAGCATTCACTATCACATACTTTTTCTCGCCTCTTCTTCTCGTGAATCATACACAGACACAATCAATCCGGAATCAAAATTCAACGTTTTTTTATCGTCTGCCTCTGAGCGACATCTTCAATTAAGTAGTGCCCTCAGCTCTAGTCCCCCTGTCCAGCTTGCTCCGCCTCCCATGCCGCCCATTCTTCCGCTGTGTACTGCTGTCCATCTTCAGCTTCATCATATCCCTCGCCCTCGTCCTCCCCTGACTCCTCCTCGTACTCACTGGCTTCCCCCTCTCTTTTGGGCTTCTTCTTGCGCCTCCGCCCATTTTTTTTCCTCCTTTTCGCCGGCGATGCTTCATCTTCCGTGTCGCTGAGCGGCTTGTCTCCGGTATGGTGCGCCCGGTAGTTTCCCTTAATAGCCGCGGTCCGCAGGTGCTCCATCGCGGCCCGGTGGCGCGCGTGGCGCCGGTGGCACACGGACAGGGCTAGTACGACCAAAAGAATGAACAGCACGACGGCGGTTGTTTTCTCTTCTTGAGTGAGCTGGTCCCAGCCCGGGATCCCGAACACGCTGACCCAGGCGGTCAGCGCATTGTCGTCGTTTTGTGCGTCTTCGTCGGTGACCGGGGAGATGTAGGGGTCGTTCCACGGACACGCCGGCGAGCATCGGCGTCGCTCGGAGGTAGTTGCGATTTTGATGCACTCGCCCCCGCCCGCCGCCACGTCCAGCGTGTCGCGCGTGCGCTCCTCGATGCCGTCGCACTGCGCCGACGAGCACTCCGACCAGTCGCTCCAGGCGGTCACGTCGCAGGGCGGCAGCGAGGCGTCGAGGTTATCCTGCGTGTTGCGAAACCGGATGCCGGCCAGAATGATCTGGTCCTTCCGATTCATCGAGTCCATCTTTACCTCCGCTGACCCAGTGCACGTGGGGTACTTCTCATACGGCTCGGCAAACTTTTTCTTGTCCTTCTCCATGTCCGTGACGACGTTGCTGTCCTCGATGACCAGCCGGAAATACCGGTACGCCTGGTCCATCGGCTGGAGCGAGAACCCCTGCGGCGCGCCCAGGCTGGACCGGTAGTCCCGGTAATAGTAATTGTGCGCAATGGACTCCACGTACCCGGTGTGCTCGTACACCAGCTGCTCTTTCGGGCAGTTCGGGATTGCGGGGTTCACCGCCGTCGGACAGCCGAACAACTTCCACATCCGCGGGAAGTGGTCGGTGAGCACGCCGTACAGATCGACCTTGTCCATCTTCGGCACGTTATCGCCCAAGTCGAGAAACAAAACTTGCGGGAACGTGCCGTCGCTCACGAAGTAGGTGTCGTACTTCTGGTCGCACACCTTCGCGAAGTCCGTCTCCGGCGGCACACAGGTGGTGCCGGTCCCGGTGCACACCTTCGGCCAGAACATCTGCCCCACCTCGCACCGCTCGTGGTAGGGCTGGCAGTTCGCGTCCGCGCCGCAGAGGTAGCTTACCCGGTCGCATTTGGTCTGGTCGGTACGCTCGAACTGCCGCATGCACTTGTGCGTGCGGGTGCCGCTCGTCGCGGTGGCGAACTTCTTGAAGTAGTCGCATATTTTGCCGCGGTTCGGCTCCTTGAACTGGTACACGCCATCAAACCGCCCGTCCCCGTACCCCATCAGACCTGCGTTCTCCGTGGCGACACCTGATGTGTTGGGAGAGAAAACTGTTCGCAAGGAACTAAAAGTAAAAACATTATGTTGAATGTCTGTCAATAAAATCCTGGTTCAAAACCGCTGAAGCATCATGTTCCTGTTCGGCACTTCGTTCTCTGGCCACGAAAATCACTCAATTTATGTCTTCTTACCTCCGTCGTCTTCTGGATGATCGCCGTTCAGATTGTGTGCTAATTCGTGGACAAACGTGTGCCATGTGGGCTCCGCGAAGCGATTGATTCCCACGGCGGCGCTGGTACAGGCCTTGTTTTTGAACGCAAGTCCCAGAATCTGCGTCTTCTGCTGGCAGAACGAGAACATGTGGACCGCGATGGCGGTCGAGTCTGCCTTGGGGCCCAACTGGGCGCCGGTCATACCGAGCAGCTTTTGGTACACCCAGTCCTTTTTCACGTCGGTGTTTCCCTCCGGGGTCTTCGGGCAGCCGTGCACTGGGTCGGTGTCACCCTCCTTATGCGGTGTGAGCACAGTGGAATCTTTCACCCGTACCATCACGTGAAACTGGTTCTCGTAGACAAAAGAAGACTGCCACACCATCACCGCCATCTCGTGGTGCGTCGTAGACGGTTTATCGCGGAACGCGAAGTGGTTCAACGCAGGGTCGCCCTGGTAGTATTTTTTGCGAAAATGCTCTTGTCGTGCAAGAAGTACGTGCGCCAACAACATCCTCCGTTATTCATTACGTTAGCTTTTCACGACCACATCAAACAATCATGTGAAGAACAACTAGAGCATGAAGCTGAAGCAAGTAAGTAACTAACTAACGTACACGACTATACGATCACGTCCACATGCACTTCGTGCATCTTGTCGTCCCCGGGGTAGCAGTCGCCGTCCCCGTGAAGAGACGCAGCTGCCGTGTAGGCCTCGGGACTGGACACACCTCCGTCCGTGCCCGCCGCGACCCCGGCCCCGAACCCGTTGTGAAGTGCCACGACGTCATTCTCGACCACCAGAACTTGACCCGTCAAGTTCACTTGTGAGATGTTGGTCGGGGCAGTCGAGTAGAGAGTGGTCGTGCTCTTGGTCTTGGTTGTCGCTGTGGCCTTGACTTTATTTGATATTTTGCGTCCCTCAGCTCTATCAATAGCAAAATGAGGTTAAGCGCTGCCAGCTAACGGAGACGACACCGCTCCGGGCAACGACGTGCGGGCCTTTTGGTTTCTCGTTCGATCGTTGCCCGTGTGTTGTACGGTCTGGCAATGTCGGAATAAACACAAAGAGGAAAACGGCCCGCGCGCCGTGCGGTATCCATATCCCCCCAAAAGAAAAGAGGAAGCCGTGGGCACGGGAGCGTCAAGGCGCCCCGGCCCACGCGGAGGTGCATGACGCACTCCGTGGAGGTGCTGCTGCAACGCAGAGGTGCACTCCACGGCTGTGCAGACTGCACTCCGCACGGATGTGCGTCAAGCACTCTGCTCAGGTGCTGCTGCGAAAGCAGAGGTGCACTTTGCAGATGTGCTATGAGCGCCGCACTCTGCTCAGGTGCTGCTGCGAAAGCAGAGGTGCACTTTGCAGATTTGCGGATCGCACTCCGCTGGCTTCGGTGCCGCGAC